TACAACCACGTCGAACCCGTCATACTTGCACTCCATTTTTGGTCATCATCAGACTTTAGCTGTTCTGTTCATTAGATTGATGAATATATAATGCTCGCCATTTGCTATCTTTAGCATGATAGGCCTTCACATTGATATCTTACGTATTAACTTGGCTTGTTACATATCTGGATGAATCTGTTAAAAATATTACATATACTAGGTATTGTGCCGGGGGCACTGCGAAAGCCCGGGTCTCCATATTTCCTATCTTAGAACACCGTAGAGCCGCGGTCTCCGACATACTAATGTATGGTGGAGCAATTGATAACATAGCCAATTATATCCAAGACAAATCACCCAATTAAAACTAATAACCTCGCCGCTAAGCCTAATTATGCGTTCCGATTGAACCCTGCTGGCAGCACTATTCATCGTCGATTACGCGGTCTTATTTTGCGGCGTAGGTTACAGCACGTTCGCGCTCTTGGCGCCTCGCTTACCTCGAACCGAGAAGCAGAACCCCTGCACTATTTGAAATTCTTTTCAGTCAGAATGATTCCAAGTGATCCTGGGCATGGACACCCACAGGCCACCCACCCTTCAAAGCCATCACACATCCTCCACTAGCTCTTACACGTATCTCAAAATCCTACGGATTCGGATTCGTGCCGATTCCTGACTTGCATGGATTTTCAACCCCCATACTTTCTAATTCTAGGGGTTGCCGTTTTGAACGCTATACATTTACAGCGTATGGCATCAAGTTGAGAAACATGACTGCACAAGGGCATGCAAATACTCTCACCCTTGTGTATATGAGCGGAGGTCGAAGGCTCATTTGGAACTGACGAAGGGAGTTCCAGAAACTATGGTGGCGAACGAAAAGAGGATATACCAAAACAGTTATATTGGCGCTCAGCACTCCCAAGACGAGTTCCCCCATCAGATGGTAGCGCACTTAATCACAACATTGTAAAGCTTAATCCTGAGCTGACATCCAGCAGGGAGATGCAAGAACTTTCAGCTACAAATATCCTCCAGTTTGAGATCCTTTGCCAATACCAACAATAAGAAACGGTAAAAACAAGATGATGATAAAGAAGAAGCAGCATTCCTTGTAAAGTGATTTCAATAATAATGGGTGGTCTGTAGACCAATGGAGTCGCAACAATATGGATAGACGACCGCATGGGTCTTGCACCTGGTATGGACGTCAGTTGCCGGTCCTCCGCCTGCGTTGGTCGTACGACCCTAATCTTTCGACCAGGCAGGTAGGTCGGGAGCGCAAGGTCTGGCGTGCCTGGTTCTACATCACAAGGCCTACGCACGCCGCCTTACTACCCAGGTGTTCAAACCACGGTCTTTCACCCGTTCTCGACCTGGAACCCCCAGGCTGATCTCCAAGGGAAGCTTCAAACCTTGCTGGTCGTGAGTCCTACGATGTACGTCCTAGCCGTTTCCAGAATATTCAATCCTGGGACACTCTATCGTGGTGTCACTATTCATATCAGAGTGTCCCAGCTGTTCCGTCGGGTTGAGACTCATCTTTGGAACTAACTCTTTGTATCAGGTTTCCTGCATTGCTTCACATCCCGCAGCTCTGGCCCGCTTCCTCAGGTGAAGGCCCCATGGGCCAATAAACGCCCATTCTTAACCGCAGAGATGCCCGCTGTGGTGCTAGGCTTGGACCTTAGCTTTGGAAAGACCATTTTGAATATGTTCCGGGATCTGTTTAGTCGCGAGCTCTTCCAGTACGACGGCATCTTTGACTGGACTGTCAACAAGTACCAGGCAAACAGCAAGAGGCTTGTGGATCAGTTGGAGAAACAGGACAAGAAGGGTAAACGTGCAGTTAAAGGGGATAGCTAGTAATACCTATTTACATGTCTAATATCTACTACTCAAAATGTGCTGTCATTGTTCAAAGGGCACAGCAGCTTTGGGGTTTCAGGTGATAAGCAAGAGTCCTTTTCGTCTCAGCCCTATCGTTTGGAAAACAGTACGACGGACAGGCATGCCCTGATATCTTTCATGGCAAACCAGGTCATTCTCGAAACCAGCCCATAGGAGTAATTCGTGAGGACTCTTAATGGATAGCAGCATTCTTACAAAAGCGCTGAGCCACTCCCAGGACCCATTCACATCGCAGGATGATATCGGCTGTCCTTAAGCAGGGGCTTTTAAATCAATTCGTTCTTGAAGCAGGCAAAACGTAATTTATTTTGTCTATGTTGTGGAATATGCATGTAACTCAGGGAAGAAGGGCAGAATGAAGCTGTATCGACTACACGTACGTAGCCTACTAAGGAACGGATGCCATTCTATCTTGTCTCTCTCTATCTACATATAATCAGGGGCTCGGATTCTCAGGGGTTGGAGAGGGAGCCAAGCCGCCATACCACGTGACCTTTCCATATCAGATGAAAAGTGTGACGATCAGCTATAATAGGATGAGAACTCGCTATTTGGCCGTACTGTCTAGGAATAATCGTACATGAGGTGAAGAAGGAAAGGCAAAAGGTGAAAGACATGGTGGGGAGGAAATAGGAGGCGAGGGCAGGCAGCTGCCCTCGCCTCTAGCCCTGTGCCCTACTTGCTCAATCTGCTGGCACCTTCTAAGAGGTGCCAGTGCCAGGGTCATATGCTGACAGTCATACCTCAGGTACGGTTGTCACAAAACCCAATGTGACATTGCAAAATTGATGCTGTACATAAAGTAGGACTTATTGTCCTTTCATATTCTAAGCAACCCAGCTCTCACAATGAGCTGGTGACCCTCTTTCTGACATATATGCCTGAAGCAATACTCCTGAGTAATTAATGGAAGTCCCAATGATGACACTCTGTACCAGGCATTGACTGGTTTGGGATATAAGACCCAATCTCTGCATAATGGCGTTCAGCAGAGATCCAAGCATGCTGTACCGCAAGTACTTGAAAAATGCAGACACCATTGCATATCGGCATGCTGAGGTTTTGACAGTTGCATACAGTGCAGGCAGGCAACAAGAGATTGCAAATTGTATGCATAACCATTTGTATGCAGGTGCTTCCAGGCATATCATGGAACTGACAAGGCGAGCCATATTGAAGAAGATAACAAACATGAATATATATAAAAACAAGTTGTCATGATAGAACTGGAAATATACAAATGGCACTGTTGAGGCCCAGACCAAGATAATTGTTGCAAGAGAGTCGATGCTGCACTTCGCGGGGTATCGGAGTTGGTATAGCATGAGAACGCAGTATGTAAGGGCACTCAATGGAAAGCATAGGACGACTAAGAAATCCGGCATTGTATCATTGGCTTGTAAAATTGGAGTCTCAATGAAGTCTCGGAAGAGTCTCACTATCAGAAACATGAAACACAGAATGCTGCCTGTGAGCATCATGCCCAGCGGAATGTGGTTGGAAGTGGTATCAACTTTCGGTGCCGGCATTTTGGAAAATGTAAATATTTAAAGTGGGAGTGTTCTTAAAAGACTTGAAACCAGACCTTGTATCCTTATTCCTACAGGCCATATTTATCCTTGTGCTGATAGAGAAATAGAGTGGGCAAGTCATGTATAAAACAATAGAGAACTAGGCAAATTACAGGTTAACTGTCACGACCTGGTCGTTCAATAACGTAATTCCCAACTGAGTCGACCGCCTGGTCGACCCGCTCACCTCTTCAAAAATTCATCGCGGTTCAACGCGTAACTATTTAAACAACCACCATGCCACCAAAATTGCGTATTTTGAATCAAAACTTAGTGGGGCAAGAGGCGAGGATTCAGCTCCCAATATCTGCGCTGAAAAATCTTGACATCTCGTCAATTCGTCGCGCGGCGGAGGTTTTTAATGTGCCTTACTCAACATTACGCGATCGAATAAAGGGAAAGTAATATCGACTCAAGCAACGCGCCAATGGCCACAGGCTCTCTAAAAATGAGGAAGCATCTATAGTTAAATGGATCTTATCCAGAGATTGCGCATGGAGTTGCTCCTGGGCCGTCTCATGTGGCAGAGATGGCTAATATTCTGCTTGGTTCTGCAGCTCAACCTCTTGGGAAGAACTGGATCTCTAGCTTTATTAATCAAAATCCTGAGGTTAAAACCCAATGTGCTCGATGATACAACTATTCACGCGCGAAGTGTAAAGATCCAGAGGTTATAAAGGGCTGGTTTCAGCAACTGCAGAAGGTTCAGTTAGAATGGGGGGGTGTCAGGGCCCTTGCCATGTAGACCAGGACGAGCACGTGAGCTTCCTTACTTGGATTAGCGTGGCGCGTGGATAGGAGTACGTCGTCCAGCTTCACGTAGATCTCTTCCTTTTTCCTTCCTCTCCATGCTTGAAGTTCTCGTCGATAGCTGCCTAGATAGTCGAATAGCATCCTATTCATCGTCTAGTTGAGTTCCGTGACAACTGGCGGGCAGACCTCTTCGCGCACCTGCCCTATCTCTGCGAACGACCAAGCTAGGGCTGCTTCCCGCGCATATAACACCTCCATAAGGAGCTCTCTCTCCTTTGGCTTTATCAACCCTATTTTTAATCGTGTCACCCGTTCCGGTGTCAACCGTGACCCTCTCGCGATCCCTGATATTTTGGGAATGACACTCCTTTGAAATTCCCCCTTGACCTCCTCCACTCTTGACCACTGGTTCGAATAATACTTCTTCAGAACCTTCAACCGCCAGTCCCCATTTCCAACTGGTGCCGCCCCTGTTGGATCGGGCTTGTTTACTGGCAGGACCTTATCTGCTTTCCTTTTGTATTTGGTGTTTACCAAATACTGCTGTCTCAGTGTCACCAAGTCCACACGTCGGCTTATCCGTGGCTCTATTCCACTTCCATCCCAGCAAAGGGCCGGCTGGAACCGCACTTCCCGTACTGGAGCCATTTTCTCCAACTCCGCAATACTCATGTATGTCCGTTCTCCAACATCACGTGACATAACATCCGCCATACTTTGGTATGATGGCCTTGAGCCCCCTCCGTCCGCTGGGTCCTGGGCTCGGTACAAACCCAGCGGCTAGTTTCCCGGCTCCTCTCCAATTAACCTCCGATCTTCGAAAACGTCCCTCCGGGTCTCCATCCTACGCGTTCCGGGGGTGAAAACCTTCATTCTCGCGACCTTCGTCCTGTCCATTGAATAAATCGTTGTCATGACCGCCCCGGAAGCTGTGTTCGTGTGCGCCATACGGCTCATGTGTTCAAATGGCCTCCCCAGCACCACTGCATGTCCGCCGCGCGTGTCCACAATGAAGAAAGGGACATAATATTGGAAACTCCCAATCCGTACTGGGACCCGCTCGCAGATTCCAACAAACGGCGTGAGACCTCCGTTGGCACTTCTCATCGTTCCTTTGGCGTGCAGAGTGACTGGCAGCGCATGTTTTTCCGCTAGCCAGGCTTGCATCACATTGATTTCCGCACCTCCATCCAGCAATGCCTGAACCCTTTGTGGATCCTCCAGTATCTGGATCCACGCTGCTAGAGTTCCACAGACATATAACGGAGGTTCTTCATCATCATACCCCATTTCTTCCAAATCCATCTGGTTCGCCTTGCGGCTTCTCATCCCTAAGTTCCCCACTCGCGCAATGACCCCTGGGTCTGTTCCTTTGCTGAATTCGATAGACGTTGTCACCGGCTGTCAGGTTCCTGAGAAAAGGCTCCGATGCAGCCCATCAGACATCCCTAGCAGCTCCTGGAGTGATAATGTCACCGTGGTATTCAGAGTCCGATTCCGTATGTCCTTAATGTCCGTTGAATTCTTCGGTTCATCCGCCAATTTGTTAAGCTTAGCTTTTGGGGCATCTTTCCTCTGGGGGACTCTTGCTTTGGGGGCCCCAAACGATCTTCTTAAACCTTCCTCCACATCCCTAACTCGGTAGTCCGGTCGATCTTCCATCTCCACATCTGCGTCAGGTTCCTCAATTTCCTCATATCTTCCTGGACGGACTGTCTTCAAGATGGGAATTTCTTCTTCCCTCCTAGCCACATCGTCCAGTGCACGTCGCTTGGGGTCTGCACGCCCCTCTGGGGTTATCTTTCTCTTTTCCGCATTAACCAGCGCATTAACCTCCATTTCAACAAAGCTTTCCATAAATCCTTCTTCATCTTCCTCCTCCACTTCCTCAATGTACGCAGTTTCTTTTAACATGTTGTGTACATAACCCACTGCACTGTTCCCAGTCTGGTGCTGCTTTCCATATTCCTCAATGGACTCCTTCATGCTCTTACCATTGGTAATTACCCTTACCACCTCTCCGGCTCCTCCAATCGGTCCATAACGGACTTTGGCATCTTCAGCAATATGGCATAGACCCTGGGCAGCCAATGCTTGGTACCGTGGACATGTCCCCCGTATGTTGGTGTGACCCGTTTCCAGACAGAACCGGCATTGGTCACCCACGATTGGCACATACCCCCGTCGATTGGGTATGTCATTTAGCCCATGTCTTCGGAAGTCGTTCTGTCTCAACTCCATGAGGCTGATTTCCATTTTCCTCATCCGTTCAGCCAGGTCATCTAGCGTTTCCTGGTGTCTCGTTCCTGGGGCTGTTCTTGGCACCTGCCGCTTCCCTGTAGACACTGGTTCTCTGTCCTCTGGCTGTCGTTGTTCATCTGGGACTCGCCCATCTGGCTGCACAACTACTAAGCTATGCGCAGCTGACACTTCCTCTGCGAAGTTCACATGCTTCCCTCCACAACCCTGCCGAATTAACTTTAATCCAGCCACTTCCTCCAGATATTCTTCAACTGCCTCCCGGGCCCTTGCGAACTTCATAGTCTCGAACTTCTGAGGGCTAATCTTCGCCCTCCTTACCACTTCAACCTGCACCTCCTCCGGCAGACCCTGCAGGAACATCTCTGTTCTCAAGAATTCCACCAGCTGGCCTCGGCGCATCAGTTCACCAGAGACGTTGCTAAATTCGCGAACATACTTGGTCAAGTTGTCATCTGTTGACCGTTTCTGAGCAACAAACCTGCTAAGCCAGCCTATGTTGAGCTTGGCCTGTGCTGAATCCTGGTCCTGATACTCCTCTAGGAGCCACTTCTCCAATCCTTCATAGTCCTTCCTCTCATATTCAGGGAGACTCTCTACCCACTCACACACACTTACTGACACATAATCACACAGGGCACTTATCTTGTCCTCCTCTCGCGTGATTCCATGGTTCCTAAACAACGAATGCAAGGTCCTCAGGAATTCACTGACCTCCTTACCATTGAATGTTGGGGCTCCAGAAGTTCCTTGCAGCGGCAGACCTCTGGGTGTCTCCAACAGTTTTTCCAACATCTGCATCATCAACATCGGCATGCCTTCTGGCTGCCACATTCCAGACAAGCTCGGAGTAGTGGGCATTGCGGCCGGTGCCGGTATTCCCTTTGCATCTCCCGGTGCAAGAAGTGGACTCCCTTGTTCCACATGCACCGGGAGAGGTCGATGCTCCGAGCGGTCGCTCTCTGACGACATCTCCTTACCAAAGTAGGCAATACCGACGGAACGCCGTGACAGAACCGTGGAACAGCTAACTTAGCTGAATTCAGAGTTTTCACCACTCCCGTACTCTCCCGTGTCCCAATCTCTCCGGGAAAAGCCTCTCAGTTGATTATTTTCCCAAGAATCCCTAGCCAGGGTGCTTCCCACGCGCCCTAGAACCCAAAGCGAAGTTCGCAAGCGCCAACAAGCGTAGGCCTTCCCGGGGACGCCAATATGTAAAGGGGGGCGTACGTGCGTTGTTCCCTGCGACAGGAACTGGGTTGTGATCAAGGGATCTCAGGAATGGATATACCAAGGCGATGCCGCTATACCACACGGCACCGAACCATCTTAGCAAGAAAACGATACAACGCTAAAAGGAAACACAACAACAAAGGAGCCTCGCTCCGCTCTATACAACGATAGCGATACTAGTGAAGCAACCTAGAAACCAAAAGAATGCTCTGTTTCTCATAACTATCTGGGAGGGAACCCTCCATTAAGTACTCCGGCCGCGGGCTCCACCATACATTAGTATGTCAGAGTCCGCGGTTCTACGGTGTTCCAAGATAGGAAATATGGGAGATCCAGGGTTTTGCAGTGCCCCCGGCACAATACAGTACTAGGAGATTAATTATATTTAGAATACTAGGAAATATATATATATAAATTAAAATAGAATAAATTACATGGCAGTGATATAGGAATAAAAAAATGATGTGAAAGTAAAATATGAAAAGATCACAATGAACCATTCTCTTCTCCCTTATTGAGGGTCATACATCATACCTAGGTTCCATTATGCCATGCTTGTACCCATGCTTAACACCAGACCCATCCACAATAAATGGGTATTGATGCTCAGGTTTTGCTTCTGGTTTTGCTCTTATGTCTGAATTCATTTCCTGCAAATGGTCTGATCTAGATTGCCACCTTTGAATATGAAATTGATTACTCACATCATGGCCATCATCAAAGCTATTATGTGGCATGATCTGCTTACAAGAGAGAGCAGGTGACGTATTCCAGTGTCCACTGGAAGTGAGATCAGCTTAAAAAATTTGTGTCTTCGCTGTGGGTACTGCACTATTCAGAGTCACCATGGTATCTTGGGATTTATTTTTGTGGGTCTTTGAGGCAAAGTGCGTATAGGCTGCTGGAGATCCAAGTTTGCTTGTGAAGGGCTAAAAACATTGGTTCAGCAGGGTATTTTTATTTTTATGTGGTGCATATGGAGGAAGGAAAACAGAGTCTCGGAACTGCTGACTGTGAGGATGGCATAGAGTATTTGAAGGCCGTACTAGTGCGTCCTTCAGGGGCTGCATGGGAGATAGGAGGTACAAGAGAATGGCCGATGACGTGGGATTGAAGACAGATGATGGTGGAATGGAATGCAGCTGGAGCGCAGCAGCTGCCGTGAGGATCTCAGGTCCTAGTGTGTATAGAACATGCATACTGCCTGTAGGCATTGCCGGAGCTCTGCAAGAGGATTATGCATTAATTGTTGGTATAATCATATACAACCAGTCATCCATATACAAACACAGCAACATACACTGAAGAGAATAGAGGAGCGCATATAGGGCCTCTTATCAGTCCAGCAATGGGTTTAGTAGGCGAGCTAGTTCATGCCAGAGTGACGACCAGACTCCATCCATTCCAGCCGTAAATGGAGAGTTTGTCTGGGAATAGATCCATTAGCTATCATGTCTGCATTGTGCACCAGAAAAGCCTTTACATACAGTAGGTTCGCCATGCTTCATCTGCATCCTTCAAAGTGATCTGACCCAGCCCATCATCATATACTACTGCCTGTCGAATACGCTTTGCAGTCTGACGCACAAGGTCCTTTAATTCTTGCCAATGACAATGAGCTGGGATCTGTGTTCCCAGTAAGCATAGCTTTTCTTTTTAGTTTTTCCCTAAGCACACATACTCCCTGAAGAAACAGTACAAATTCATCATCAAATACTCTTGGTCACCGTGACGTAGGACCCATTTTGGAATAGTAATGAAAGCATCCCAAATTCAGGTGATTAATATGTTGAAACTGGCATGGCAATAGCTAGGCAAGGATGAGCAGGGTCAGTTAAAAAGCCATTGCAAAGCCCAGGTAGATGCGCTTGAGAAGTATTGCAATAATGAAATTTTGAAGGCTAGGCTCTAGATGACTAGATGTGTAAATTAATAGGAGTCTGATTTATTAATGAGATGCCAGGATGTCACCCTCACCCAGCGAATACGCGCCAGACGCTAAAAGTCGCGGTTTCAGACATACCCCTGTTAGTGATGCGTACTGAACACCTTGCTACCACATCTGTTGATTATATTTCTTCTACTACCACTCCACATCTCTTATTGTTTTGGCAATCATTACCACTACTCATCAATACATTACTATGTGTTTGGGTATTTAAGACTACTGCTTTAAATCAATGTTCTTGGTCCCAGTTGCGCCTCCTTGAGGTGTTTGAGGCAGAGGACAGGTTAATAATGTTCCAGGCCAGTAACGTAATCAACTACCAAACTGCCAGTTTTTGACAACACCAGTCATAACACTATGCAGCAGATCTACCACCTCCAGGCCTATAAGAGAAGGTTCCTCACTCTAGTCGCGATTGGAATCAGGGGATGATTGGATATAGCAAGGAAATTGAGGGGATAAGGATGCAAATCGTGGCCAGTGCAGCCAACTGGAACCATCTACCAGCTCTGGGTGAGGCGCTAAAAATCTCAAGGGTTTTAGTTCCAACCGGATCAAAGATAATTACTGGAAACCGTGCCTTTTGCTGACTCGGAGGCTCGCGATATGAGCATCGAACCGCCAGCCTCACCTCAACTCCATGGTGGGCAAGGGTGAGCTGGGAGTAAAAGCCGAGGGTGAGTCTCCTATTGGCTAACCTCTCTTGATTAGGGTACTTTCATACAGCTAAGTATGTTAGCAATGATCACAGTCACTGCACGGACCCTGTTGTGACTTTCCAGGACCAACAAAAGAGTGCATTCTGATTGGCTTACTGTCGGTTGGGGGCTGAACTTTGAGTTAACAAAGCTGACCAATATCCATGGCACAGTAAGTCCAGATCTTTCGCCATGGATGACAGGATGGATAATTTTGTCCACTCATTTGAACCCGCATTGTTTCCTCCTTCTGTATCTAGTAAGGGTAGTCCACCTACACAGCTTCTTCCACCTGGCAGGCGATCCTTCTGCTTCCCAGCATGTTGTGCTGCCTTATTGGCTAAGCCATGTCTCATTGGGACGTGTATGGTTCATCCTTTGACAAATTCACGTACTCCCAACCAATTATATTGTAGGTGGCTCAAGAAGACCTGTGCTGTCTATTGAGTGACGTCAACAACACAGCAAGTTCAGATACACTGATGCCATTCGCTCAGTCAAGGGAGGCTGTTCCACAGGAATCCAGGATCCCCGGGGTATGGATGCTGATGGTGATTCTGGCCTTCGTTTGTCATGTTCAATCATCGAAGTCATCTTGGCTCCTAGATGCAATAGCCTCATGCCACTATATCAATGATATCTCCGAAGGCTTCTCAAGGAGCGTCACAATAGCAATGTAAAGGGAAGAACCTGTTCTCAACTGGTTCTAGATTACCATCTTTCAATGAAACACCTGTCTTTCTCAGCCGTGAGTAAACTGCCATGTTCTATGTTTTATATTATACTGCGTTAGCCTAACAAGCTTACTTCAGCTGAACATTCCATCCTCTGAACCCTGTGTTTAGATTGAGCTCAACTGGGAGCAACATGCAGCAGCCACCGGAGGCATAGCAGAAATGAATTCATCCATACCCAATGCTTGAGGAGAAATATGAGGAGCAGCAAAAGGATATGCAAAAATGAAGTGGCTTTTTTTGGAGGCTAGGATCAGATTGCTGATCCCATTGGAACCCTAGTGTTTGTGGACGGCCGATCACAGTAGAGTTATATCTGTGTTACAGAGAATGTGCCCGCTGGGAAAATGAATATCCATCTAGGGTAGATAGTATAGAATAGCTCTATTTTGAAATTAGATGCATTGGCAACACAATTGCAGTAGTTATCCTTGTTGCAACAGCACGTAGGCAATTCCAATACCATCCTATCAGCTTACTTGATGATTGCATGTTAGACTCCTCCATTTGCAGAACTTCTGGTGTCTACCTTCAAGTTCTTCCCAGAGGTCGTCACCCGCCGTAAGTTTTGCATTTTTCATTTGGCTGAAAACCAACCATGTATATGACCTTCTCTCTGTCCTCCCACAAATGTCGACAACACAGTATATGGTGACTCCATCAATTGTATTAGAGCAATGCCTCAAGACATGCAAAACTGTTCCAGGTAGTATCTGGTTGTCATAGCCTGCATCACAGCGTGTGTCACAGGTTGATATGGCATATTTTGTTCCTTGGCCTCTAGACAGAGATTAGCAGGTTGAGAAATGCTAAAACTAATGAGATAAATTCTCACAATTCTTCCAATTTCAATGAACACCATTTACTAAATTCAGGAAAGGCAATGTGGGGGGACTGCAATGGCATTGCTGAGCCTCAATTTTGAGCAATGCTCATTATACAGTGAGAAGAGTCCTATACTGTGTGTACAAAAGACAAAACAATGAGCAAAATACATGATTTAAGTTAAGGTAGGAATAGAGATTATATATGATTCGCAATAGTCCCTTGTACTGAAGGCTGGCAGCAAAAAAGGAGGCGTATGCATGAAGCTTTGGAAGTATCTTTGAAGTCGTGTGCCGGGGGCACTGCGAAACCCCCGATCTCCCATATTTCCTATCTCGGAACACCGTAGAACCGCGGACTCCGACATACTAATGTATGGTGGATCCCACGGCCGGAGTACTTAATGGAGGGTTCCCTCCCAGATAGTTACGAGAAATTGAGCATTCTTTTGGTTTCTAGGTTGCTTCACTAGTATCGTCGTCATTGTATAGAGCGGAGCGAGGCTCCTTCATCGTTGTGTTTCCTTTTATCGTTATATCGTTTTGCTAGATTGTTCAGTGTGTCCATTCCTGAGATCCCTCGATCACAACCCGGTTCCTGTCGCAGGGAACAACGCACGTACGCCCCCCTTTACAGTCGGAGTGGGGGTGATCCCGTCTCATCACGGTAGGGAGGTAATTCCTCCTTGCAGAAGGGTTGTGGGAGCTGATATGACAGCTTTTGCTATTTATAGTAAGCAGTCAACCTTGCATGGGGAAGGGAAGGGTTCTCACCAGAGGTATAGCTCGGTAAAGCGCAAGAAAGGAGCACTAGTGTCACATGTTGAGAACAAGGCTGAGAAGGAGCGGTGAGGTATTTTATATCCCTGCTTTGCTTAGTGTGTTAGGTCTATTTATACATTATCATGTTGTTTTGGAATTTCACCTAAGTCCAGACGCCTAGCAAACTGGCCTATAAAGAGAAGAGAATGCGGTTGGTGCGGTCTCCTTCCAAACGTGGTAAGGCTTCTTTCTTCTTGGAGGTTTCGGTTCGGATATTAGCAACACGTCACCCAGGCAGGCGGGGTTCAGAGTTAGGTGAATTATGGAAAGTACATAACTTGGGTCTCTATTTAGGGACTCTGTATTCGTATAATCTGCTCGCTTGGACACAATATAGAAGAAATTCTTACGGACTCAGAATTTACATTTCTCCCAGCCTAGCGCGCAATATGGACGCCAAGACCTCGGCATCATGCGATCCGACCGTGATCATGACTCGCTTGCGGGAACTCAGCAGTCAAGCAGCCACTATTGTTAGAGCTCTAAAGTATGGGAGGGTGCAACTTGGTCACGAAGAGTACAAGTCCTTGGAGGCTGCAAGCTTGGACCTTAACAAGACTGTAGTGACTGTTACAGAGGAGGTTAAGTTACTGGGAAGACGGCGGAAGGATGCAATTGTCGCAGAAGGACAAAAACTTCTGTCTCAGGCAGAACACGTTAAGTCAGACATGATGAGGACAAATGAGTTGAAAAATCGCGTCATCTTTATCTGGAACATGCAGTTATTCTTCAATCCTCCAGAAGAGTCAAAACTTGACTCGCCACCTGTCCAGAAAAGGAAGAAGTTAACTCGTGAACGTTGTGAAATAATTCACAGCCTATCTCTGAGTGCAGCAATTATCTGGGCAGCAGCCTTTCCTCCCAGTGCTTGGGATTCGAACATCATGTCTAAAAGCCTATTCGATTATGTTATTGAGTTTCTGACTCCTGGAAAAGATGAAAAAGAACTACGATACCCTGCCAGTTTATACGAGATCTTAATGACGCTGGCAGCTGAGCAGCCACTCCAGAATTCAACCGAATTTGAAGCGTTCTTGGCCAGTGAGTACGCCACCAAGGTTCTGAGTAAAGAAGACTAAAAGACGGTAAAGCCGGGCACGACTGCATGAGCAAGGCAAATGTGCAAATGAGCAGGAGCATTAACATCCACTGATTTGCCGACGAAGTGGACCAATGTAATAAAATTGATTGGTTTGGTGTTTCTGTACAAATAGTCCGCAGGATCTATGCACTGGCCTCAGAGTCATTCGCCTTGAGTTGATTGTCATAATGACATTTTATCTGAGTTCTACATGAAGATTGCGGCACAGTTAGCCTCACAGGGACAGCGCTTAGGACAGTCTATTGGTATGGAGGAGCCGAAGGGAGAGACACGAGTAGGTTCGAGCCCGTCAGGCCATACGCTCGGGGTGGACGGGGCCTTTGTTACCAATCCGGCCACGACCTGTTCTAGATCGGGAGACTCAGGACTCTCTTTACATTCAGTCAGTCAACGGGTTCTCCGTCACATTGACAAGGAATTGCTTACCCTGGGGCGGTTCAACCCTTGCTTGCGGAGACGGGGGTAGAGTGGATGTCTGAGTCTGAATCGCTGGCATGTTGGACAATGAGTTGGAATGACGCTGCTTGAATGTATGATGAGAGCACAGGAGAGTTCTGTGTATTCAAGACAAAGGGCAACTTGGGAAACGCGCCTTCTTATATGTTGGCCCTCCTGGAGATAATACCTTGTGCCCTTCATTGTGAAGCGTTACATCCATCCGATCCTTGCAAGACAGGGATTCCAGTTATTATACACCTCAACCTAAGGATCACGACTGTGGACAACAGACAGTAAGAAATGCGGCTTACATTTGTGTGAATTATGACTTATCAAAAAATAGGCATATGGAAGGGCCTTGAGTTCTGTAGAGACCATCACTGCTGTGCAAAGTATCGCCTATGTGACACCGCCCACTGTGAAGACGGCGATGATCCGAGTAGAACTTGTAACCTCTGGTCTCACAGTGGTTAGAAGCTTAACCTACAGCGAGTTGACCCAAACTGAAGGTGGTAGCAAGGCTCTTAGAGAATATAGGCCTACATTTCTTTGAACGGCTTGGGCTCTTTGTTTGTTGTGTTCTTAATATTCGCTTCCGACTTGAGAAGAATAGTGAGAAAGTCACAGTTTGCACGATAATATCAGGCCTCTGCTAAAACACATATGAAATGCTGTAGTCTAGAATTAGGGAATTGCAATCTCAGAACAAAAGCGATACTTTCTTTACATGGTACATGGATTCTTGACGTGGCAGTGTATAAGTGGTCATAGAGTGGTTTATGATAAGCTGCCTGCTTCAAGTTTACCAGAGATCAACCAGTCTAACAGAACACAGCTGCATAGTACATTCTGGGTCTTTCATCAATTTAAACCTCTGCTGCCTCATGCAGGACACGTCATTAGATAGTGCATGTGATGACTCAAATGCCTCTAGTCGATTCCCTCTTGTTGGACTGGAAGAAGGCTTGTTAGTTATGTCTCAGTGTCAATAAAGCCACGGCTATATAATACGTGTTCCCATGTTTGCGGTAGATAAAACAACGTATCCAATTTTTCACGAATCAACCGAAGTCTGAAAGTAAGTTCCCATCCCTCACTATAGAAACCATCCAAAATGTACTTTGCCAGCATTAATGAGCCGTCTAAAGTCAGAATGTGTATTCGATTTGTTTACACGACAAAATATGTCAATTGCACCGCCCTACCGAAGCATATAATAATAACCTACGATCCACAGCCGCCATGTGGTAAGCCGAACTGCGAAGGGTATAGAGACCAACACATGGGACAGTCCACCAAAAAGGGAGGAATATGCCCAAAATGTTGATGATCCCGCGTCACCTGAGTGACTTTGGGACTCTTCAGTACGGAGAATCGAACGAGAATACAGGCATGAGAAAGGACGGGACAAAGTGTTCAGATTGTTGTACTCAGCTCCAGTCATCAATAATAGCATAGTTGTTGCTTTGACAGTGGTTCCCAAATCGTCCTTGAATTTGAGCAAAGTGTTCAGATTGTTGTACTCAGCTCCAGTCATCAATAATAGCATAGTTGTTGCTTTAACGGTGGTTCCCAAATCGTCCTTGAATTTGAGAGATGTCATCTATGACATCTGCCGCGGAATTGAACATTTGTCTCCAGCATTTATCTGTAATTTGAGAGCATGCGTGCTCTTCGGTGGGGAAGCGTCCGTCTCGAAACCGCGATGCTATCTCCTCGTCATGTTCCAGGCTATCCAATTCTGGGAACAATTCATGCCCCAACATGATGAAGTAAATCGCAGAACCCAGTGCAAAAATATCAGTCTTCACATCAGCGTAGTCCCCATGACTCCGCGGCATAAACGATTTTGAACATTCTCGCGATAACCCGTCCATCAATGTTTCACCGCGGGGTGATTTCAGCATCCCCTGGAAGTCAGCAAGCACAATGTCGAAATTGTCATCAAGCAGAAAATTCCGGAGATTAATATCACAATGGATGATGTTCTTCTCATGTATATACTTCACAGCCTCAGCAGCCTGTTTACACCAACGCAGTCTTTGCTCAACAGCAATTTCATGATGTCCGGAAGTGATGTATTTGTAAAGGCTCCCATTTTTTGCATATTGTAATGCCAAACCATACTTATTTAGGCCTTTTGAAGCAATGATCCTCGGATGCTTTTTAAGGATTTCGAGAAGTTCGGCTTCAATTTCAATGCCTTTACGGTCGCCTGGAGGACAGGGATATTTTAGAACAGTGGTTTCATCAACGAGACCAATGAAGCTTCCACCGCCACGGTCAATAATCTTGGTCACGCCAGGAGGATGATATGGACGGACTTCAATAACTTCGATATGGGCAGGAGTCACGGGAGTAGCCTATATTCATTCATAAGAATACATTCCTGAGAGACACAGAACATGAGTGCTTACTGTATTTGACTTGGATGTAGATGTGTGCACGTCTTCTACAGCACTCTTTTCCGGCTTCCATCGAAGTAAGACCCTGAAGATAAAACCAGATACCACACGGAAAGGATACCAGATGATCTGGATTATAGATGGAGGCGAGATTGAAATGCTGCTGTTAATCGAAATCATTATCGAAAGTCTCTGAATCAAAATGAGAGGTGCTATTTCTTCAAATATGCTGGCCTCAGGAGTTTTGAAACTGGACCGCTATTTCAAGGGGGTGTGCGGAGGGAAGAAAGGGATAAGGAGAGGTTGGGAAAGGGAGAAATGTGAAAGTCAGCTTTTGTTTCGCCGACTGGGGCGTCAAGCACCTTTCCTAAAGTAGTAAAGCTTCAAGAATGCAATCCATCCATTGGCTGAATCACCAGCGTGTTCCTAGGAAAGGTGTGCCCTGTTATTATTATAATTATTATGATGCCATAGACTGTCCCAGCCGCCTTAGTGGCAGCTAACGTATTCAACCATCGAACGGATCACACTGAGGGGACTTCAATGACTATAATTTCCCAAGGCGCCGTATTACAGTTCCCCACCGCAACTCTCAAGTCAGTACAAACGATACTTCATGTACGACTAAGTGCATTGGATTATAGAGAGCCTACTATGACAGAGACACATCGCACACGAGTCACACTGACACCAGACCGCATGCGACAGTTTTATTCGCAACCGAGGAGCAGTTCAAGCAGAACAAAGCTCTTGATTATTTGGTCCGTCAGCATGTTAAGAGTTAAGAATATGGTAGAGGAGACAGAAAGTTCTCGTTAGTGACATAGGTATTATCCATGTCCATAAAAGAATATCAACAGTCATATAATTAATTGTCAATTAGGGATGAAAATCCAAGTCACGGTCGAAGACGGATCCCATGTATAGTCTGTGTATGGTTTTTGAAATGTGAGACACTGGAAGGCACAAAAGTAACATTGTGCATGCCACAGATTCCACACCGCTGAGTACCACTGTTGAATCCTGCCAGTGCATGTTCATGGATGTTCTCCACATGATCCCACAGCTTGTTGATCTTGCTTTTCCGCTTTTTACGATCAGGCCATGGCAAACGCCTATCAGAGAGACAGAAGGGACATTGCAATGGGTCATATTTCTCTGGGATGGCTCTGCCTGCCGGTGGCTCTGGAGATGGTGAGAGCGACATTGCCATCACAGCTTCTCTTCCTCGACGTGGACTTTCTTTTCAATCCTGCCAGCGGACCATGAGCCGGATATACCCCAGTCGACGAGAGTGGGCCTCATCCTCGGTTTTGGCGGGTTCGAGGTAGCACAGTAAATGAGTCAGTTCCGCCCTCTCAGGGATCTGATAATGATGAGGCAGGCGCCCCTGGATATGATCTCCCTGAGCGTCTGGGGTCTTCTCATACCGCTCATTGAAAATGGCGGTATCCGTACGCCGAAAGTGTCTCTGTCGATTCTTTTTCTTGGCCTCCTTCTCGGAGACTGGTGAGCTTGCGGTTCAGTTCTGCATCGGCTTGCGTCTTCTGCTCGCTAATATCGGTCCCAGCGACATCTTTTCAGGTTCGGTAACCCCTTCGACGCCTCTCTTCTGTCAGGTCCCAGCACCGCCTCCCTGAGTTGACGTACCTCAGGATGGTTCGAGATCTGTTGAGACTGTGCATCGGTAATACCCATAGGAGCAGTATTGTCCGCAAGCAGCATTGCTGACCGGAGCTCCCTCTGCACCACTTTGTTGGACAGTCACTTATGAAACGCCGCTGCAGTGTCAAAGTCCACCACCTCATTGAGATAATATTTGACAGTGTTAGACTCATGGTCAGCAACCTGATCACGTACAGAGGACGGAGCTCAGTCTGTTCCAACATGGACAGTTAGTTTCGTTAGAGTCTGTTCAAAACAAAGGGGGTCATGCTGTTAATCGCGTTGATGCCACCTCGGCGAAGTACTTTCTGAGTCAGGCTCTGTTCCTGGCCCGCCTGGTTTCCTATTCGCTTCAGGTAGCGACTCCACGTCCTTGATTTGAGAGGCTGGGTGTTAGATGTTCGAGAACATTTTTGTTCAGGTTCTCGGAAAACGGGAGCATCCAACTTTTCTCTCTTAATCTTCAGTTGGATTCCCTTTCGGTGGGCCAGAATTGATTTGGTATCGCGACATCTTCGATTGTGGCTGCAAAAATGTCGTCATGCAGCCCCAATGCCAAGAGCTGGGAGAGCAGGTCGAATATTAGGTTCTCTTCATGTTCCACCACAAACCGCTTTCTAATTCTGACTTAGTTACCGCGGTCATCAGTTGTGCAAACAGTCACTTACATTTGAGGCTTCCGATCCTCCCCTTTCGTATGGAGAAGTGTCATGACGGCGGCTAGAATGTGGTAGCATCCCGGTACGGGATTGCGCACAATGTAGAATTCAACATGTCTCCACAGAATCGTGCGGGTGTCTTCGTTGCCCGCAAGGTATCCATCATCCATGATGCTGGAGCAGTCCAACTCATACTGAACATCGTTGTCGGTCTCCATGGCAGTTTTGTCATATGGCAGTTCTTCTACAACCGCTCAGGGCTCACTGGGGGTGCTATCTTTGCCAGTATCATAGCCCGAGTCATCCAGTGTTTGACCGCCTGATGCAAATGGTGAGCATTGCTTGCCAGTCCGTTCTGCATCAGACAACTTGTGCCCATCATCCACCTGAATATGGACCGAGTGTCTGGTATCAAACAACGACACCGCCCGACACGCGGATATACTCGACAGGTTGAGGCCCGATAGAAGATAGAGCCGTTGCTTCTCATCTGCAAAGACTGAATTACAGTGGACCAGATTCGTGACAAGGAAATGCAAGAGGTCATCCGATGCCGCCGTCGGCTTTGGTAGTGGGAGCCTACGCAGGCCCATCTGCTGGCTGACAATATTCATGTACTGTGGTTTAGTAGTTAGGTAACAGGTTCAACAGCACTTCTGCTGGAAGTCATCACTCACATTGACACAGTCTTTCTGCATGCTCACTTCCATCTCCTTCTTGTTTTCCCAAAAATAAAGCATTTTGAGAACCCTCCAATAGTTCGCCAATGTAGCGCGGGCTCAGACAGAGTCTCTGAAATTCTCATCAATCCAATCGAACCAGGACTTGACATCCGCTGCGACCAGAGTTTGAAGGAGTTTCTCTGGCTCTAAGCAGGCCACCGAACAGAACCTGGAAATAAAGAGTGTCAGCTGTATTCGTGTAGAGCATCCCCAGGGGTTGAGTTACCAGTTCCATTTTGCTTCCACTGAAGCCACTGACAGCTTGGTGTTCTCTGAATACTCCAGTAGTGTGATTCCATTTTCAAGGTGCAGTTTCCGACGTTCAGCATAGTAGAGGGCTGACTCTCGGCCCTTGTTTCTGTCTGAACGCTGGAGTCTTCTCCATGGTAGTCCTGAATGCACCATTAGGGTATGTCAATGTCATTAAGAGAGAAGAGGCCAGTTGTTAAATGGGGAAATGAATGGATGGGAGGCTTTCTTCTTCTTCTTTTCTTTTGCACGGAAATCAAAAAGTGGAGAGAGTGAAGAACCTGAGATTACTGGTCAGTACGCCATTAGGATATGTCATTAAGGGGGAAGAAGCCAATGGGGACATGAAGGGTGTTCTTTTTCACTGAAATCGAAAAAGTGAAGAGAGTGAAGAACCAGGGACTACCGGTCGGCCGGGCTGGGCTATTTATGTTTTCCATTCTGTTTGAGGTTCATTTCTGGGGTGGCCTTGTTACCCATGCTCTCGCTCATCCTCACTGCTCAATATTTCCTCATCATGCTCTACTTGCGGTACTACTGCGCCAAGCTGAAACCCCAAATCCCTGAGAGGAGTTAGGCTCCGCAGCGGGTGGGTCTTGGTGAGGGTGTAACGCGATTACAGGGCGGTCGCCGTAATTTTGGACCTCAAAGGCGGTGTGCAGGGACTGCCTGTTCAGGTCTAGCTTTCGGGGCCTGAGTCGCCAAAAACGGCGCCTTTCCGTCACTCAATCTGGCGGTCCCAGCCCCTAAAGGTACATTCTGTCTGGTATTTGTTGTGGAATATGCATGTAACTCAGGGAAGAAGGGCAGAATGAAGCTGTATCGACTACACGTACGTAGCCTACTAAGGAACGGATGCCATTCAGATCTTGTCTCTCTATCTTGCTCTCCATACAATCAGGGGCTCGGATTCTCAGGGGTTGGAGAGGGAGCCAAGCCGCCATACCACGTGACCTTTTCCATATCAGTATTGTTTAACGTGACACGGCCCCACCTCACTTCTCCAACCCTGTTCCACTTTGAACGTTCAACTGCACGCTCCTCGCCCTGTTCAACGGTGGTTATTTACATCATCACCAACCCCCCCAAAATATGTTGGATCAACTTGCTTGTATTGTATCTCTCTAGGTTGGTCTAGCTATTTTAGTGTGTCAGGCCAAGTGAGGGCGGTCTAATATGGCAGAATACACGTGACCTCTAACATAACAACCCTCAGGGGTTCATTTTGTTGGATCACGTGGGATTCTGCCGCATAGGTCCGCCCTCGCTGACCCTTTTCACCACGTAGGCCTATCTAGCTAGTAACCAATCAATGATACACCTCCATTACATTTGCTACAATTTAGTACAGTACGTTTACTGATACAAGAAAACTTTTTCTTAGTTGTATGTGGCGGTGCAAAAGTACTCCGTAGGGCTCGTCCGCATAATCGGTGGGTGGTGTCACTAATTTTGATATGGAAAGGTCACGTGGCATGGCAGCTTGGCTCTCTGACTCCTGAGAATCCGAGCCCCTGATTATATAGATAAAAAAAGAGAATAGAATGACATCCGTTCCTTAGTATCTAATAAGCTGGTGAGTGGGGCGCCGTTTCCCGCTCCCCGTCCTCCTCATTGCACCGCTCCCTCCCGTCCCTTCACCGCCTGCCCCTTTGCGGAACGAGCCTGCCGCATCGGGCATCGCCCCGGCCCTGGCCGCTTTTGCCCGCTTCGCCCTCGCCGTCGAACAACCCAGTCAACCATCTACGCAGCAAGCATATCCGTGTACGATATCATGCCATCCGGGACTTCATTGAACATGGAGATATCAAGCCAAAATACATTCCTACTTCTGAAATGGTCGCAGACGGACTGACAAAGGCAGTTAAGCCAGATGGTTTAAAGCGAGCACTCCAATTACTACAGCTGGAGTCAAAATAAGGAGCCGCAACTCCACCATACTGAGGTATGGCAGTGTGGTCCTACGATAGCGGCTCTAACTGCTACCAGTGGCAGCACCGTGACAATAAGGTTCTATGATACAACATCAAGATCCACAGATTGATATGTTAAAGACGTTCAACACCCCTCCACTTGTTTTGTTTGGTTTACTATTTTGGAAGCTTATATAGCTTCATGCCATTCGTTTTCGGGGTATTGAACGAAGGGGAGTGATATGGAAAAGGTCACGTGGTATGGCGGCTTGGCTCCCTCTCCAACCCCTGAGAATCCGAGCCCCTGATTGTATGTAGAGCAAGAGATAGAGAGACAAGATCGGAATAGCATCCGTTCCTTAGTAGGCTACGTACGTGTAGTCGATACAGTTTCATTCTGCCCTTCTTCCCTGAGTTACATGCATATTCCACAACATATACCAACCCTCTGCTTCTATGACTGCCTTCACACGATGAGGCTTGACAAATTCTCTAAAATTCTTGCCTCTTTCTGTGGGCCTAGTGATGGGGGATTTTTATTGGTTACAAATCAACCTTCAGCAGCTGGCTTTGCACCTGTGGAAAGAAATCCAAGGTTGAGAACGGCAACAGTTAAGCAAACCTGGCCATTCGAAAAGATGGCATTAGCTTTAGCTCGCGCTTATTTCGTTCCGATGGCTGGAAGCCGTGTGCCCAGTCACTCACGCTGGTGATGACGTTTGGTACAGTTGCGGGTTATGCTTGGAGTTGGAGACGTGACTAATCTTGTCAATCAAGATGGACTGGGTGTGGGGACTGGGGATTTCGGTTAGAAAAAACCATCTTTTACATACATCTAGGTTGTAGTATCTGGGACAATACAGTGAAGTGACAACTGAATATTGGTGTTATGATCTGCTGGATAGCATGGACTGCTCTTTCTAGTATTTGAATGGTTCCAGTCACTCTGGCAGGTCATCATCTGGGACATCGTCAAGTTCTTGCCCTGCCTCCCAAGCTTCCAGCCATTCTGTCAACCTCTTGGGGGGACCGGGTTGATCTGAGCACATTCCGTGGAAGTTCTGGATCTTATACGGAGCGCCCTTGAATCCGCGTGCTGGATACCAGGTAAGATCAGTATCACATCCTTTCCACTGAACCCGATATTGTAGCTTCCCTCTAGATATTCGTGAAGCTAAAATACGTTCCACTTCCCATTCTTGCTCATCGATGGTGTTACATGGGACCTTAGAGGGAATACTATTTCTGGAGGAAGGCCTTCCAACTTTTTTGCGCCCATGGGTGGGCGAAACGTCTGTAAGGCGACAACACGGCTCGTCGTCAAGGGAGATTTGAAATTGCGGTGTCTTGGGTTTGATTGGGGAATTTGGCTCGAAAGTAAAGAAGTACGAGGTTCCCAACGCGTGAGTTTCGATAGTGAGGATGGCATGCCCAAAGATATCTTGGCTGCTGCAAGACTCTGTAGACTGCGCAGATGCTGTACCACATAGCAGCTTCCCTGAACGCCCAGAAGTTGCATGGTTGGTCATTCCTGCCGCAGGTCTAATTGCACGCTTGCGTCTCTTAGCAAGACGTGGGCATTCTTCTGTGTCAGAGCAGTTGGGTCGGCAGTCAGGTATAACATCATCAAGGCCCGGTTGGCAGTCGCCGGGTGGCTGGTTTCTTTGTTCCACGATTCGTGTCTTGGCATCTTCGAAGGCCTTTCGCCGAGGCGGCCTTGTGATCGCGGATGGAAACTCAAGATTAGGGGTAACCTTTGCTATTTGACGATTATTTGCTTCCTGAGACCCTGCCGAACGAGACTGATCTGACTCTAAACAGAGTTGGCCCTTTGAGCAGGATTCAATCACAGCAATTGAAGGTGATCGTCGATCATTTAGAAGTAGTTCTCCTTCACTGAAGACTGGTCTTGACACATGCTGCTTCAGTTGCTGCGGGACGTCGCCCAGAACATTCCGATTATTTTCTTGTTCTCCAATATGTTTGTCAGTCCTCTCGTTGTGAGGCACATAGCGTGATGGGGTGCTGCAAGAATTCATGTCATGGTTGTCATTCGGGGGACTCAAACAGCTCCGATTGGTTATTCTAGACTCGTCAACAGAGGTGCAAGGCCGTATGTCTGCGATAATAAATCAGATCGTTGCACAAAGCAGGTGTGCGTAGTGGATGCCCTTACCCAAGGGATGATCCTGCTCCTGTAGATCTGGAGATGGAGTGCACAAATGACCATCGAGACCTGTAAAAATTTCACTACTTCCTCGGGCCGTTGTAGTTACAAAGGGGTCAGGGGCATCGGTTCTTTTTCTTGGGCTGGAGAGACACGAGGTTAGGGCTGCAGGATGAACATAAGCAAATGACATAACATGAAACACCAACACCGAAAAGCGCTGACTCACAGAATGTGGAGGCATCAAAAGTCTGGCTGCTGTTTTTGTCCCGCATGAGCTGGTTGTCCATGGTTGGAAATGTCAACTGTGATGTTGCTTCCGCGAACATGGACAACTCGACATCAAATGAATTTAGCCACGCAGGGCTGCATGAAGAATCACTCCCATGAGGGTGGTTAAAAAGTGAAGTACCGTCACCGCGAGGGACGGTTGTGCTGGCAGCCACGCCTGGGAGGAAAGAAAGGGATGGCAGAATAGGCTGGACAGAAAGAGCCACTTCCGGCCGCTGTGATTTTGAGGGCTGCGGCCGGTAGAACTCGATATTGTCCAGGTTTACCAGAGCGCTTTGTGGCGCTGGCTGGGTCATCGTGGAGGGATGGGAAGATGGACCCGGGGAGTTTCTCAAAATTGAAGTGGTTAATAACGACAATGGCTCACGCAGCTTTCGGCGCAGACACGGGCAAGGCCAGCTTTATAGCATAGCAGTTCAGCATCCAAACTTCAAGGTCTCGAGACGGCCAGGCGACCAGCGGAACTACCCGGAAGCCCGTAGATGGCCTCTCCGATTCTGATGCAGTCCCAATTGGCCCAGCAAATCCGAACAGATGTTGGACTCCTTGCCGCCAATAAGCTCGTCCAACAACACCTCAGGAAATACAGTCCGCACGGGACTCTCAGTTTGGGAACCCAAAGATCCACCGTCGGGGCTGTGCCGTGTGGTATCAACCAGTAGATACTGTTTGAGGCAGTGACGGTGAAGTTGGACGCGTCATCGCCGTCGAACATAGATCAGTTGTCTGTTAGAGGGGAATGATCAGCAAGAAAGCAACCCCGCTGTTGTGCCCTTCTGTCGCCGCACAAGGCGAAGTCGGCATGGGCGGGAGCAACTGAGGCATTTTTCTGATTGGCCTCGGTATGAGCCCTTGTCGAGGCGCATCAAGAGATCCTGGACGCCAGAGGGAATCTGGGCTTTGGGGTGGACTGGGGGTTTCTCTCCCCCAGGCCTTCCTCCGCCAGCTGAACTTGGAAGTTCACATGAACGGAAAAACCGCCCAGGCCAAAAGGAAAAGGGGTGGAAGTCGAAGGGAGTAGAGGAGGATGAAGAATCGTGGCCGCGGTACATACAGCCCGGTGAAATTGATTCCGCCAGATGGATGAAACCTTCTCCTCCTCCATCTCCTCCATCCTTTAGGCAGCAACGTTTCTTGCCTCCAAAACTAGAATTTCCATGTCCAGCACACAGCGCGCGCGCTGAGCGCCAGAAGAGGAGTTCGCAGCTCACAACAGCGAGTCAGAGGACTGCATCCACGCCCATCAGTGGAGACGTCAGGTCGTGTGATGATTAGAATTTTTCAGGTCGGGCTGGAAAGGCTGTGCAGTTCGGCCGAGGCGTCGGAGATGACCGTTCCATCGTGCAGGAGGGGCGAAAAGGGGCAGTGCCGTGAAGGGAAGAATGAGAAGTTGTCGTCGAGCGACGCACTCGACCCTTTTATAGTCCGGACGGTCAAAAGATGGGGCGGTGGAAGGCGGCAGTACCTTCTCGGGTATAGCGCGTGCCACCAAACTGTATCGGGACACACTAAACCAAAAGAGGCGGGCGGCGAGGACGGCTAAACCCGAACGGGGGCGCGGCCGGAAACGGCGGCGGCGGCCCAAAAGGAAATTCTCCTTTTAAAAATCCTATAATTTCTATCTTTAATACCTCTCTTCTCTCTCTATTCTCCTATTATTTTTCTTCATTTTTTAATTATTTTATTCTTATACACATCTTCTCTAATATCACTTAATATTATTATCCCTAACCACTTCCTTCTTTAATTATAAAAAATCATCTTTTTTATATTTTATTTCTCATATATATCCTATTCTTAACCCTAACCATTTTATCTCTCTCTCATATTATTTCTTTAATCTTTCTTAATCATTCCTAATTTTCTTTCTTTTTTATTATACTTAATTCCTATACTGTGCCGGGGGCACTGCGAAACCCCGGATCTCCCATATTTCCTATCTTGGAACACCGTAGAACCGCCGACTCCGACATACTAATGTATGGTGGAGCCCACGGCCGGAGTACTTAATGGAGGGTTCCCTCCCAGATAGTTACGAAAAAGAGAGCATTCTTTTGGTTTCTAGGTTGCTTCACTAGTATCGTTATCGTCGTATAGAGCGGAGCGAGGCTCCTTCGTCGTTGTGTTTTCGTTTATCGTTATATCGTTTTGCTAGATTGTTCAGTGTGTCCATTCCTGAGATCCCTCGATCACAACCCGGTTCCTGTCGCAGGGAACAACGCACGTACGCCCCCCTTTACATATTGGCGTCCCCGGGAAGGCCTACGCTTGTTGGCGCTTGCGAACTTCGCTTTGGGTTCTAGGGCGCGTGGGAAGCACCCTGGCTAGGGATTCTTGGGAAAATAATCAACTGAGAGGCTTTTCCCGGAGAGATTGGGACACGGGAGAGTGCGGGAGTGGTGAAAACTCTGAATTCAGCTAAGTTAGCAGTTCCACGGTTCTGTCACGGCGTTCCGTCGGTATTGCCTACTTTGGTAAGGAGATGTCGTCAGAGAGCGACCGCTCGGAGCATCGGCCTCTCCCGGTGCATGTGGAACAAGGGAGTCCACTTCTTACACCGGGCGATGCAAAGGGAATACCGGCGCCGGCCGCAATGCCCACTACTCCGAGCTTGTCTGGAATGTGGCAGCCGGAAGGCATGCCGATGTTGATGATGCAGATGTTGGAGAAACTGTTGGGGACACCCAGAGGTCTGCCGTTGCGAGGAACTTCTGGAGCCCCAACATTCAATGGTAAGGAGGTCAGTGAATTCTTGAGGACCTTACATTCGTTGTTTAGGAACCATGGAATCACGCGAGAGGAGGACAAGATAGGTGCCCTGTGTGATTATGTATCAGTAAGTGTGTGTGAGTGGGTAGAGAGTCTCCCTGAATATGAGAGGAAGGACTATGAAGGATTGGAGAAGCGGCTCCTAGAGGAGTATCGGGACCAGGATTCAGCACAGGCCAAGCTCAACATAGGCTGGCTTAGCAGGTTTGTTGCTCAGAAACGGTCAACAGATGACAACTTGACCAAGTATGTTCGCGAATTTAGCAACGTCTCTGGTGAACTGATGCGCCGAGGCCAGCTGGTGGAATTCTTGAGAACAGAGATGTTCCTGCAGGGTCTGCCGGAGGAGGTGCAGGTTGAAGTGGTAAGGAGGGCGAAGATTAGCCCTCAGAAGTTCGAGACTATGAAGTTCGCAAGGGCCCGGGAGGCAGTTGAAGAATATCTGGAGGAAGTGGCTGGATTAAAGTTAATTCGGCAGGGTCGTGAAGGGAAGCATGTGAACTTCGCAGGGGAAGTGTCAGCTGCGCATAGCTTAGTAGTTGTGCAGCCAGATGGGCGAGTCCCAGATGAACAACGACAGCCAGAGGACAGAGAACCAGTGTCTACAGGGAAGCGGCAGGTGCCAAGAACAGCCCCGGGAACGAGACACCAGGAAACGCTAGATGACCTGGCTGAACGGATGAGGAAAATGGAAATCAGCCTCATGGAGGTGAGACAGAATGACTTCCGAAGACATGGGCTAAATGACATACCCAACCGACGGGGCTATGTGCCAATCGCGGGTGACCAATGCCGGTTCTGTCTGGAAACGGGTCACACCAACATACGGGGGACATGTCCACGGTACCAAGCATTGGCTGCCCAGGGTCTATGCCATATTGCTGAAGATGCCAAAGTCCGTTATGGACCAATTGGAGGAGCCGGAGAGGTGGTAAGGGTAATTACCAATGGTAAGAGCATGAAGGAGTCCATTGAGGAATATGGAAAACAGCACCAGACTGGAAATAGTGCAATGGGTTATGTACACAACATGTTAAAAGAAACTGCGTACATTGAGGAAGTGGAGGAGGAAGATGAAGAAGGATTTATGGAAAGCTTTGTTGAAATGGAGGTTAATGCGCTGGTCAATGCGGAAAAGAGAAAGATAACCCCAGAGGGGCGTGCAGACCCTAAGCGACGTGCACTGGACGATGTGGCTAGGAGGGAAGAAGAAATTCCCATCTTGAAGACAGTCCGTCCAGGAAGATATGAGGAAATTGATGAACCTGACGCAGATGTGGAGATGGAAGATCGACCGGACTACCGAGTTAGGGATGTGGAGGAAGGTTTGAGAAGATCCTTTGGGGCCCCAAAAGCAAGAGTTCCCCAGAGGAAAGATGCTCCGAAAGCTAAGCTTAACAAATTGGCGGATGAGCTGAAGAATTCAACGGACATTAAGGACATACGGAATCGGATTCTGAACACCACGGTGACATTGTCACTCCAGGAGCTGCTAGGGATGTCTGATGGGCTGCATCGGAGCCTTTTCTCAGGAACCCGACAGCCGGTGACAACGTCTATCGAATTCAGCAAAGGAACAGACCCAGGGGTCGTTGCGCGAGTGGGAAACTTAGGGATGAGAAGCCGCAAGGCGAACCAGATGGATTTGGAAGAAACGGGGTATGATGATGAAGAACCTCCGTTATATGTCTGTGGAACTCTAGCGGCGTGGATCCAGATACTGGAGGATCCACAAAGGGTTCAGGCATTGCTGGATGGAGGTGCGGAAATCAATGTGATGCAAGCCTGGCTAGCGGAAAAACATGCGCTGCCAGTCACTCTGCACGCCAAAGGAACGATGAGAAGTGCCAACGGGGGTCTCACGCCGTTTGTTGGAATCTGCGAGCGGGTCCCAGTACGGATTGGGAGTTTCCAATATTATGTCCCTTTCTTCATTGTGGACACGCGCGGCGGACATGCCGTGGTGTTGGGGAGACCGTTTGAACACATGAGCCGTATGGCGCACACGAACACAGCTTCCGGGGCGGTCATCACAACGATTTATTCAATGGACAGGACGAAGGTCGCGAGAATGAAGGTTTTCACCCCCGGAACGCGTAGGATGGAGACCCGGAGGGACGTTTTCGAAGATCGGAGGTTAATTGGAGAGGAGCCGGGAAACTAGCCGCTGGGTTTGTACCGAGCCCAGGACCCAGCGGACGGAGGGGCTCAAGGCCATCATACCAAAGTATGGCGGATGTTATGTCACGTGATGTTGGAGAACGGACATACACGAATATTGCGGAGTTGGAGAAAATGGCTCCAGTACGGGAAGTGCGGTTCCAGCCGGCCCTTTGCTGGGATGGAAGTGGAATAGAGCCACGGATAAGCCGACGTGTGGACTTGGTGACACTGAGACAGCAGTATTTGGTACACACCAAATACAAAAGGAAAGCAGGTAAGGTCCTGCCAGTAAACAAACCTGATCCAACAGGGGCGGCACCAGTTAGAAATGGGGACTGGCGGTTGAAGGTTCTGAAGAAGTATTATTCAAACTTGTGGTCCAGAGTGGAGGAGGTCTTTAGGGAGCTTATGAAGAGGTTTAAGGTGAAGCACATTACAATCTCACCGTACAATTCGCAGGCCAATGGTTTTATCGAGGTCGCGCATCGCATGTTCATTCTTGGCCTGAGGAAGCTCACTGCGGGCTTTGCCAAGGGCTGGGACAAGCATCTCCCAGCACTTCTCTGGTCAGAAATAGTCACCATTCGCGATGGGATTGGGATGTCGCCGTTTCATTATGTTGTTGGTTTCGACGCGGTGTTGCCGGTGGAGGTGGAGGTCCCGACCTGGAGGACCCTGCCTTGGCATTAATGGATAGGCGCATGTATGGTCGTATTACTAGGTAGGCCTGCCTGTGCCGTGAGATAGGTAGCGAGGGCGGTCTAGGACGGCAGAACCTCACGTGTACTAACACCCCCCCACGCACGAGCAGCCTACAAACTATGGAATCAATCTAAATACAGAAATCGGCCTCTATTCGGGCCTTCAAATGAGTGAATATATGCAAAAATAAACAGAGGAATGAAGGTTCTGCTTTAGCCAATCGAATGCCGTATATCAAAATAGAAAATATATCCAAAATGGGGGAGATATACGCGGCTTAGCTTATGCCAGTGAGTTGTAGGAAATGATCAAATTGTTCAGTTCGGAGAGGTTTGGTCAGGCCGTCTGCTGCTTGTTCTTTGGTAGGGCAGGCCTGGAGTTTAACAATACCGTCTTGGATCTTCTCCCGAACGTAATGGTAACGTATATCGATGTGTTTGGATCTCTTGGTGGTGAGCTCAGCTTCAGCCATGGCGTGTGCACCTTGATTATCGATATAGAGAGTAATTGGCGGGCATTCAGTAGGGAGCACGTTGAGCTCGTTGATGAGGTTCCGGAGCCAAAGGGCATCTCGGCTGGCTTCACTTAGAGCCATATACTCAGCTTCGTTGGAGCTAAGTGCAACGGACGTTTGCTTGCGGCTTTTCCAGGCAATTGGGGCCCCGGCAAGCAGAAATATATATCCAGATACTGACCGGCGATTGCCTGTCAGTTGACCACCCCAATCAGAATCAGTATAACATCTGGGCATGAGGAGGTCAGATGTAATGGGTTCCGTGGCCTTATGGTAGGTAATTTGTCGGTTAATGGAGCCTTTAAGGTAGCGTATAGCGTGTATAAGGGCACGCCATGCCTTTTGGGTAGGTTTGGCGTGATATTGGGATAGTACGCCAACTGTCCGGCTAAGATCAGGTCGGGTTTTGGTGGCTAGCCAAGTAAGGCAGCCTACACCACGTTGATATTCTTTGATGTTCACTGTAGGGTCTGGGTCATCATCAATTATTAAACTAGGATCCATGGGGATCCCAACAGGGTGTGCTTGTGCTTGGCCAAAAGAGGCAACCACGTCTTCAGCATAATTGGCCTGGGAGAGAGTATATGTGGTCTTGGATTGAGAGGTGGCCATGCCAAGGTATTTGGTAGAGTTTCCAACTTCTTTTATGTCAAATTTAGCAGAAAGAGACTCCATAAACCAAGTGGCATCGTTCTCATGCTTAGCATAGACTTTGAAGTCATCCACATGGGTAGTCACATAGAGTTGGGTCTGGGTGGTATGGATCCAGAGACCAGAGTCGTATTCGGAGCTTTTGAAGCCAATTTGTCGTAAGAAAGCATTTAGTGTATCATACCAGATACGGGCAGATGGGATTAGTCCATAGAGGGACTGGCGGAGTTCACAAACCAGGTCTCCAGAGCCTTCTTTGAATCCCTGAACTTGGGTCATAAAGACACGTTTATCTGTGGGCATTTTTCCATTTAGGAAAGCAAGGATGGCATCTGCCTTTCGAGTATGCCAGCCAAGTAGAGTGGCCAGTGCTGTAAGGGTTCTAGTGGTATTTTCATCTACCACTGGGGCGTATGATTCCATGAAGTCCTTGTCAAGTAGATTTCCACGGATCACCCAGCGAGCTTTAGCTTGGTAGTCCCTTGTAATAGGGGTACCAGGGATTTCTTTCTTTTTGTATACCCACCGGCCAGGGATGACCTTGGTCCCTGGTGGTAGGTCAGAGCGGCGGATAAGTTGCCAGCAGCCTTTTTCTTTGAGTTGGTTGACTTCTTTTTGCATGGCTGCTTGCCACTTGGTGGCATCAGGATGAGATATAGCCTGCTTATAGGAAGTAGGCGTGTCATCTTCAGATGAAGGAGTGGTTGAAGCGGTGAGATAGGCTAGGGACATGCCTTTGGCGGGTCGAAGCCATATTTCCTGGTCTTCATCTTCAACGGGTTGGTTTGTATCTTCTTTATTAGGAGTACTTGGATCTTCAGGAACAGTAGCTTGTGGAGGTGTAGTTGTGGGATCCTCATATTCTTCATCAAATATAGTGTCATTGGTTGAAAAAATGGCGTCTGTTTTAGGGTCCCACACTCTGTATTGTTGGCTACTGATTTGGCCGATCATGAAGCAGCATTTAGAATGGGAATCGAACTTGTTTATAGGCTTATCTGAGCCATGTCGATGAACCCAGACAGGGCAGCCCCAACGTCGGTATTTGTTGATACTAGTTGGTGAGTTGGTCCAGGCAGCCAGAGGCGATTTATATGGGCTTGGGCTGATTTTTGTGTTGGTATTGACCCCCCCAGGGATAGGTGAATTGAATAGGATTGTGGATGTTGGGAGGCGGTTTGTTATATCTGATGCATATTTTAAAGCATCAACCCAAAATCGCTGTGGTATATGGGGAGCGTCAAGCATTAATGTCCGAGCACGGTCAAAGAGTATGCGTATGCTGCGCTCACTGACACCGTTTTGCCAAGGGGAATATGGAGAACTTGGTTGCCATTCAATGCCTTCCTGACGGTAGGTTTTCTGCCATTCAGCTGAACAGAATTCATTGTCAGAGACAATATAGGCTGGGGCAGGGAAATGGTGATTCTTCATCTGTTGTAGCCAACCCCGAAATGCATCAATTGCAGCAGATCTTTCAGTTAGGTAGTGGACCCAACGGTAACGTGTAGCGTCATCAGTAATAAGCATCACATATTTGGCTCCTGTACGTGAAGGTAGAGGCATATCTAGCTTCTCTATATCTAGTGTTCGGCCGCCACCAGCAAGGTCTATGTGGACTCGGGCTAGTGGTGCAGTCATACGGGATCTTGGTGTTTTGCTGTATTGGCGAGTTTGCTTGCCCTGGATGCAGGCTTCACAAAGTGGTAGTTCTTTGGAACCTTTGATTTCAATGTCTGATGTAGGATCTGCGGCAAGGCGTAAAAGATCCTGCTGGTTTAAATGGCATAGACGGCGATGCCATGTCATAATTGGTAGAGCTGTTTTGGAGCTCTTAGTCTTTGGGGATGTTGTAGGTTTCTTTCTGGGAGGGTCCCCTGGTCGGTTGGCCTCTTTGCCAGACCGGGTGGTGACAAAGGCATAGGAGCTCTCGTCGGGAGAAATGCAATCTGATAGGATGAATACATTGTTGGTATTCAAAATGGCTTCAAATTCTGCACCAGAAGAGGTTGTGATTTGTGCTACTTGAGAGCTGGAAGGGAATTCGATACGAAAACCTTGTTTGAGAAGCATTCCCATGGAGATTAAGTTGGAATTGAAGGATGGAACATGTCGTACATCCCTAAGGATCAAGGATCCGGTTCCAATATCAATGACGACGGTGCCAATACCATGAGGTTTGGAAATCTTCCCTTGAGCATCTTCAATATAATCCGCTGGAGTAAGGTCCTCCTTTCTCAATGTTTTATAGGACGTGAAGAAAGCTTGATGGGGTGTAACATGGAATGAAGCACAGCTATCAAGATACCATGAAGCTTGGAGAGATTGGGCTGATTTAGCAATGGCTGTTTTTGCAGCTGAAGAAGTCCATGGTACCAGTTCATTGGTTTCTGCTTCAGAGAATGAAGCAGTGGAAGATTCTTTAGCAGTGTGTAAAGCACGAATAGCTTCAATAGTATTTTTATTGGCTCGGCGCCAATGCTCAGAGGCTTTCTCAGGGTTCTTGTAGAGGCAAGGCATTGGGTGGAAATGACCACACCAATCACAACGGGTCTTTGGTTTGCGTGAGTCCTGGTCCTGAGGTTTATATTTAGTGTTGGAACTTGAGGCGGAAGAGCTAGCAATGGGGTTAGATGCTTGTTTGGAATAGCTTCGTCCGGATAGATTCTCTCGTCGTCCTCCGTGTTGGGAGCGGGATTCACGGGCTTGGGTGCCCATACGGATAGAGAGTTGAGCTTGAATGGTAGGTAGGTCCAGATTGATGACAGGGCCTTGTCCAGTTGAGTATACTTCATCAAGTTTACTCTTAATGAATGCTTTGTTCCATTCGCGGAGGCCTATAAAAAATAGGTCGTGAATAATGTTGTCAAATGATGCTTCTTTTATAGCATGAAGGCGGTCTACTATCCTAGTAAATGCAGATTGGTAGGATAGGTAGTCATTGTCTTTTATATAGAGCTCCTTGAGCTCTTTTATGAGAAGCATTCGTTCTTCACCAGTAGAACGTCCGAAAAAGGTAGCAGTTCGGTCCCATAAACCATGGGCTGATAGGTCATATGTGTTGCCCAATTTGTCAATGGCTTGGGCAGTCATAGCATGAAGCATTCGGGCTCTCATGACAGTGGCTTTGCAATGCCATACTTCAGCATCATAAGCTGAGTATCCTGCTGGAGGTATATCCTGATGCAAGACTGTACTAGCGTTCAGGACATTGGCTTCTCTTTGAATGGCTGAACTCCAGGGGTCGTAATTATCATGAGACAGTGTGATTCGGCATCGGTCTGGTAGGAGCGCTTTAACTTGAGCTTGTACATGATCAAAAGGATCTTTTTGTACTGGATTTGAGGCTGGAATAGCCGCATTATTTTGAATATGATTGTAGGGAGTAGCGTTATGCCGGACTGTAGGAGTGGAGGATTGGGATTGACGGCGTTCAAGGGTATTAAAACGAGTCATGAACTGGTCCATCTGCTTCTGCATTTGTTCCTGCATCTGCTGGAACAGAGCTGTGATGTCTGGTGTGGATGCCATGGTGTTGGCTGTAGTAGAGCTTTGAGCTCTAGGGGCAGTTGGGGTGTCCATTTCTTCAGAGATTACTGAGGAGGCGGAGGAGCCTATATCTGATGAAGGATCTGTGGATTCTGGCTGACGACGGTGACGTCTAGCGGTGGTAGGGGGCGTTCGAGGCACCACCATTTTGGATGGGATCGATCGAAGGATCCTGGGGTTCAGGGGCCGATTGTTGGCGGTCCTGGTGTTCAGAGTCGCTTAGAAGCGCTCGATTTCTGGTTTGACCAATGAGAGGTCACAATTTAGCCTATCTGAAAGGCTTTTTTTTTTTTTTTTTTTAAGCTCAATATCGTAGAGCTAAAACGGGCTCATAACCTAATGGATAGGCGCATGTATGGTCATATTACTAGGTAGGCCTGCCTGTGCCGTGAGATAGGTAGCGAGGGCGGTCTAGGACGGCAGTACCTCACGTGTACTAACAGGGAGGCCGCGGGTCACGTGCGCCACGTGATCCGCCGAGTGACGTTAAATAGTAATCAAATCAAATCAAAAGTCAGCACATCATTTCCCCATAGTTGTCACGGCGCTAGCTGGGGCACTTGCATTAACTCCAGGTGCGAGACCCAGACAGTCGTTTACCTATATTATGGCAACCCCATTGGTCTCCCAGCCATCCAATATTATGGAAATCGCCGCAAAACTCCATATTCGATAGTTTGCAGTATCAACGCGGCAAGATACCAGATTCTCTGCGACGAGCGTACCCATTATCGCGGCCGAGCCAAGATTTATCTGAAAGACCTCTAATGCCACGGGATCTCTGCCCGAGGCAAGGTAGATTCTAAACATAGAGACCGATTAATTAATGTATTTAAAAATAAAGGATGTATCCGCCTTCATATTCCTGGGAATTCCGTCCCCGCTGCTGTCAATTTAACCGACTGAGGAGTCACCATTCCTCCAATTCCCCTCAGAGGGTTGATATGGAAGGTTTTAGGGTAGCATTTTCTCCTTGATATTGAATCATAAGGACACGAAGGAGATATAATGGAGCAGAAGATGTCTAGAGAAGGACACGGACAGGAAGAAGCACGCCCTGCGGCAAGGGAAGATGCCCTGGGGCAGATCCCTTGGGCAGAGCTAGGGGAGCTTTCTACAGCATATGCAGTCGTTTCCCAAACTACTGAAGCTTCTTGAAAGTGGTCAGCTTTGTCCTGTACTCTTCAGTCCCAGACACAGATCGGGTATTATATTATGCTTACCCGTCTATTTGAAGGACTCGCGCGTGTTGACAGGTGTCAATATCGTAAGGGTTGCCCTCATACATGGACGTATGCAACATGTGAGGCCTAGGCGAAGCAACAGAGGCCTTGCTGCGGGTCTGTCTCGTGGAAGGAAGTTCCTCAACATTAGTGTCCGCCTCAGAAATTCCGGAGCGGGCACTTCAGTGCGGTTGAACTTCTCAGGTTCTTCTCCCTTGTCAGTCTTCTCATCAGATTTAGACTCGGGGATGGCCTGCTGCATTATCTTGTGTATGAAGGCGTCTGACTGAGCGGCGTACTTGCAGCGGAGACGGATCGACTTGCTTGTAGATGAAGAAGGGGAAGGGGACACAGGCAAGGGTAAAGAAAGCTGGGATTGAGGAGGCCCAGTGGATACCAAGGTCTTGGTATATGTAGGTAGTGAAGAGAAGGAAGACGGCACCGAATATCGAACGCAGGGCAGATTTGGCGGCCAGGACAGAGGCAGCGAAGATGTGTATGTGTCGATTAGGTAGCTTATGCTGCTGAGGAACACCAGCACTATACCGAAACCGAAAAGACCAGCCATATATAGAGAAAGCAAGAACATAATGGGCTCGTGGAAGAGCAATCTAGAGCTGGGACAAGGCCGTCTTGAAAGCGTCGCCAAGTATAGTCTTTCCCTGGTTAATGTCGGCCTTGCTTCGATATACTTTTCTAGTGATCTTGGAGAGTCTTTCAGCACGGCGACGAAGAAGAACGGGGGCGTATGCCTCCGGTATGAAGAGCAATCCGGCAATCAAAAGGGCGCCAGAGAAAGCACCCAAGAAGCCCATAACCCATCGCCAACCCGCGTTCATTCCGAGGAAACCACCGATAATGGGACTGAGGACGGGACCTAGAGCAAACGATGTCAGATTCAAATCACTGAATCAATGAAGGGTAGAACTATCGAGGGCCTTACCTAAGAATGGTGCAGCGGCAAGCATACTCATAGCAACACCACGCTGTTTGGCTGAAAACATATCGGCAATAACGCCACCAGCATTGGTAAGAGGCGAAGAACCAAATGCACCGGCGAAAAACCGAAGAATGATGAGGGTCCATGAGTTCTTTGCGCCGGCGCATCCACAGTTGAAAGCTGTAAGAGCCATGTATGTAACGCAGTAGACAAGCTGATGACCAAACATCTCACTCAGAGGTGCCCAAAGCAAAGGTCCAATTGCAAAACCTAGGACCAAAAGAGAAACACCCAGGGTCGCAACTTCGCTGTCAATCCCAAACTCAACTTCAATCTCTGTAATACCGCCCGAATATGCAGAAGAGACCAATGCGGCTGCCAGAGCCGCAATGGCAGCCATGCTGGTGAGGAACCACTTTATTGTTGCTGAAAATTCCATAGGATTCCGGGGGTCGTTGGGGATCCAGACAACAGCGTACGGATCGTCTTCTGTGCCGGATCCAGCATATTTGCGATCGATGACTTCTTGCGTCAAGGCTCCCTGGTCAAAAACCATGCGATAGAACGGGATTTTTCGTGTGACAGGGCCTTCAATAGGCGAGGTCCCGTTTGGGGTTCCATGGTCTTTGGCCATGGTGAGAATTTTGATATCGCTCAAAGGCGAAGCTGAAGTTGAAGATGTGAGCGAGTGGGCGAGTCTGGAGCTGCTGCGGGAAGTAGTTGGTGTTATAGCTCTGGGGAAAGAGAGGACAGCGCCGAATCCAAACAAGTACTGGCTCTCAGTGTATTATAAGAAATGCGCAGGTATTAAGGAGTTTATATTCCAAATCTGGCCTCAGTAATTTCCCCCACTCGTTGCAGACCTGGGGCTGCCGGAGATAGGGCTTAAACAGGTTAGTTGCATCCTGCGCATACTCTCCATTGTCGGCCCGGCGCATTGCCTAGGCAATTAGGCAATTAGGCACAGGAAGTACTACTAGTCCTGTATGCAAGTTTCTACGGAGTGGCAGTGCTGCTCATTTCTCACCTCGTCTGGGGTACAGCTCCAAAATGAACCCTATTTACCATTCTCTTCTTCTTCTCTTGGCAACATCGTTCCTTTCAGATAATTGAGAGGTCCAACAAGACCTGTAATCTAATTGTCTTTATTGAAATAAATAAGATCAATTAATAAGTAGAATAGAAACCCGCAGAAAGAAGAGCGCCCGGAGAGAAGAACAGCCGACCCCACCTGCTTATCAATCACTTCTCTTGTCGCTCAACGACATCCATCATACATGAAACCCTCCACTTTCTCTTCCCTCAACTTACTCACCCTTCCAATCCAATTATCATATTACTCACCTCGACATCCAAATCCAGAAAAAAAAAAAAAAAAAAAGGTCAAGATGGCCCCCCAAACAATGCGCGCAATCGGCATCAAAAATGGCGCTGGCCCCGCCGACTCCCTCTTCATCAACCAAATCTCCACACCCTCGCCCGGCCCCTCGCAAGCACTTGTAAAAGTCAAAGCATTTGGCCTAAACCGGATGGACCTGCTACAGCGCGAAGGAAAATACCCAGTCCCACCTCAAGCACCGCCAACGCTGGGTGTGGAATTCTCCGGCACAATTGTGGAGCTAGGCGAGGGCGGCGCAACAGAGGACTTTAAAGTCGGCGATGAGGTCTTTGGGCTTGCATATGGGGGGGCCTATGCGGAGTATATTGCTGTTGCGACGGGGACGCTTATTCATAAGCCCAAGGAGTTGTCGTGGGAGGAGGCTGCGGGGACTCCCGAGGTATGTCTTCTTACTTCACTTACTCATTTTATACATGGTTCTGATTGCTAATTATTGTTTTGCGTGGTGGTAGACATGGATAACAGCTACCCAAGTCCTATATCTTGTCGGCGGCTTCAAGGCGGGAAACAGCGTGCTCTGGCACGCGGGTGCATCCTCTGTCTCGATCGCGGGGATCCAGCTCGCAAAGGCCGCCGGTGCGTCAGCGATCTACGTCACAGCGGGGTCGGACGAGAAAATCGCCTTTTGCGTGGACAAGCTCGGTGCGACGGCTGGTTTTAATTACCGCACCCAAGATTGGGCGGAGGAGCTCAGTAAGGCCACGAACGGGCGCGGCGTGGACGTTATCGTGGATTATATCGGGGCTGGATATTTCCAGGATAACTTGAAATCTGCGGCGTTGGATGGTCGGATTGTGAATCTGGCGTTCTTGGGGGGCGTGAAGGTTGAAGGGGGTGTGGATATTTCGTATTTCCTGCGGAAGAGGGTCAGGTATGAGGGGTGTACGTTGAGAAGTCGGGATGAGGGGTATCAGAGGAAGTTGAGGGATATGGTTATTGAGAATGCGTTGGATAAGTTGCGCAGTGGGGAGTTTAAGGTGTTTATTGAGAAGGTGTTTAAGTTTGAGGATGTGATTGAGGCGCATAAGTTGATGGAGAGTAACCAGACCAAGGGGAAGATTATTTGTACCATCTAAATAACGTAATTCCCTATCGACCCGGGGTAATGTCAGGGCCCTTGCCATGTAGACCAGGACGAGCACGTGAACTTCCTTACTTGGATTAGCGTGGCGCGTGGATAGGAGTACGTCGTCCAGCTTCACGTAGATCTCTTCCCTTTTTCCTTCCTCTCCATGCTTGAAGTTCTCGTCGATAGCTGCCTAGATAGCTGAATAGCATCCTATTCATCGTCTAGTTGAGTTCCGTGACACTATCTCGGATTCTCTGCACAGACCCAGTAAGTGGCAGTCAGTGACAGGGTTCCCCTCTCCGACTCAACAGATTTTGAAGCACTGAACCACATGCATGCTGCCATCGATGAATGATATTGCGCGGTAGGCCATGAAAGAAAAAAACATGAGTTCATCCACACCAAAAATGGAGATTCATGGACACACGCTAGTGCACGAGTTATCACAGCACTAAGGAAATTTTTAAGTCACATTCCTCTACAGACTCTCGCCTACAAGCTGAAAACCACGTCAGCGTATGTGTAAATAGTCAGAGCTGCATTTTGACCCTAGCGTGGCACGGGGCCCATTTTTCTTCCTCGAGAGGATAAATACAGAGTGGATTCCTCTGTCGTTTCTTTAACTCGTTGCCCTTCAAACCTTGTTTTTGGTGGCAGATACAAATTTCATTAAACCCCTGCGGCAAGGCTTCTACGCAGAATGGCAGCTCAAGTTGCGAAATATTCTGTTCTTCCTCGACTTGATATGGCTCTGGAGATCCAGGATTTCCGCGCAAGTGGTGCACTGTATGAATTCCATCTTATCGTCCATTGGGATCCTTCCTATTTGTAAAGGACCCAGCAGCTGACGCCTACAGATACAACACGCTTCTTGATGACTCCGACCAGCCCCCCGTTTCTGAAGAGCATATTACACACCTGGCGGAAATGTTCGTCCGTCACAATGCCGACAAGGTTCTTGGGATTCACTTGATCCACGGCCACTTCAAGATTCCCAAGAACACTGTCATGCTTGGGTCCAACTTCGAAAACCCTTCCCTTCGCTGGACTAAAGTCACCGATATTGACGAGATTGATCCCTCCCGTGTCCATGGACATATCTTCGCCCTAAGTAAGGGCGGGCTGTGTGCTTATGAGCTACAGGACGGGCCCCTTCCTGACCTGTCTGGTGTTGGCCCAGGATTTCTCGACGAGTTCATTAACTACATTGTTAAGGAGAATCTCACAAGTCTCATTGGTCTCCAAATTCTTGGGTGCAGTAATGTCTCCATGTCGGAACTCATTCTCGACCAAGCAACTGTCATGCTGGAATCCACCTTTGTCAAGAACACTGTACCGACCCGTATCACTGGCTGGAAATTCGAGGCGAGCGGTAGTAGGCCGCGTGTTTGCTCTGCAAATGAAACCCATGCGGTTATGACCTCAGGCAATCACAAAGTCTTTAATGCAGGGAAGCCTCTTCCTAAACTGGAAAATGTCGACGATCTGAAGGCCGCTCTTGCTGTGGTTGGGGTTATTTGATTTGTTCTAGTATTGCCCCTTTCGTTGGTTATTGAATCTCCTATCCCAATTTTTTCCATCGTATTTCAGTGCCCATCGTCTATGCTAAATCCGTAAACCTTGTAGCTGGATTAATTAATAGCCCATCCAGATCACGAATGTTATAAGCTCCACTTTCATCATCCCGAATAGGTACTGGCTCCGGCATATTCGCGAGACGACTTGTGAAGCCACGAGATAGCAGTAGTCCCACGATTCTTGCTGCTTTGATGGCTCTGATTGTGTCATTGCCCAACCCTCCAGCTTCAACTCTGAATGTGTTCCAGAATATATCCTCCAAAATGACGTAATCATCATACCGGACCCAGCCTTTCTTGAGATGGACCTTACTTATCAGTCGCTGGTGAGAAAAGAGATTCAAGCCAAATGGTGCAATTTCTGCTTCGGCCCAATCCACAACCCCAACTAAATTGCATGACATTTCGTTCACAATAATATTGCAGACACCAAAGTCTTTGTGGACTAGGACCATGGGAAGAGAAAAAATGGTGGGTAATGAGTTGAGAGACTCCTGGATTAATGGGTGGAAGCGATCTGGGAGAGAAGCAAGCAACGAATTCAGCTCACTTTTGTATCGACTGTACAAGTCGTCGCGGTATGTTTGACCAACATCTTGAGGACGTTTCCACGAAAGGGCAAAGAATCTAACAGGGCGTTTAATTAGCAATTCGGTGTATTTGGAACAAGAACACTAAGCATACTTCGCAATGTCAATTACAAGATTCTTGCGCCATGAAGAAAACTGGGGCGAGTTTTCGGGCACTTGGCTATTATGTGCCAGGATAAAATCCAAGTAACTAATGCCTCGAAGTCGACTCATGACGTAGATGGAAAGGGCTTCTTTGCTCTCTGTAGCTTCTCCAATCTGTCCCATAAAAGTCACTTGAGGTGCAAAGTGGCTGTAGATGCTTCGAGCAAGTTTCGCAATCTCCATACTTAGTTGGAGGGACGCAAGGCGAAATTGTACGACGAATTCGGCATTGTTCCCCGCATAGACGGTATAGCTGCACACACCCTGCACGGCCACTGGAATGATGTTTCCACCAATATGCTCCCTCGCAAAGTTGTCACAGGCTGAGCGAGTGGCTGTCGTCTTCTCGAAGAAATCTGCAATTTCTTGGTCCACAGAGTATGCGAGGTCTCTGGTAGCCATGTTGGGCACAGGTTTCTTTGTTCAATATGATGAATTATGAAGCAAGAGGTTGTAAATGAGGCGAGGCAAGGAGGGAAAGGTATACGTATTATATATCCCCTATTAAGAAGGGCCGAATTGGGGGTCAGGTGACAGAACATCAACACCTAGACGCCTGACATTTCTGCCACAGTGTAGTGTCACCCACCGCCGTTCCGGACAAACAATTTTCCTAAAAAGTCCTAATCTCAGTAACCAATTGCGTGTTCCTTCCAGAAGGCCGAGCCTTCGCTATCTAGTCGTCACTTGTCCAGCATTAGCTTGAGAGACCCAACACGTAGCGGTTGAAGCCAAAGTCACTATACAGTTATTGTTGATTCTCATAAATCACCTGGATTCGGTCACATTCAACATCTTGACCCTAGATACAGTAAGAGAGCAGCAGCAGTAGGAAAATAAACAAAATCGAGGAAACAAAAATAGTAATATAGAGCTCCTTGAACTTATTCTCCGTTTTGAATCCACCTCGGACCAGGTCGTTGCTCGTCCCTTCTTAACTTCAGCAGAAGATTTACCTCTCCCGAAGGCTGGGGAATAACTGGAGGCGTTGCCATGACCACGGTAACGGTACGCAATCGTTTTGGTTGAGTGGAGTCTGCCACTCTCGCTTCGTTCAGTCCCAGCTAAGGTCGCATTGCACTGCCCTCGGTTTCGCAAATTGGCCTACAGCGAGAGATCAGATATAAATGTACCCTCAATTTCAAGTTGGTTTGACCAAGAAACGCCTAAAAAGACCCTACAGATATGGTGTTTGTCGGCACACTTAAAACCGGGGACCCGGGATAGAGAAAGATGAGACTTTGAAGGGGATTTGAATTCAAATTTTGCCTTTTTTTTTTCGAATTGGTAGTCTCTTTTATAGATGATGGTCGCCCGCGCGCAGCCCCGGCAATCGAGCCCATTCAATTGCATAGTCGCAATATCACGTCAGTTTCACAATCTACAACCACGAGCTGCAGTTCATCGGCAACAATACCCGTTATAATGCATGCCCACATTAGCAATCAGCCCGTTCGCCATTCGATATGTAACGCAGGGATCATAGTATGGGTTCACTGTTGCAATCCGAGCACAGGTCGCATGATGCAGGATCGACCAGGTCAGTAGCGTGTGCGGTATATTTGCTATTGGACCATATCACTGAGCTGTGCTTTCCAAAATTTCATCGACTGGGTATAGAGGAACCGGAAACCGACAATGACGACAACTGGGCGCCAGAGCATTCGCGACCAGGCAACCGAGAGCTGTTCCGTGACGGCGGGGGCTGTGCAATGTAACCTCAGATGGGCGGACACAGTGGGGAATGCGACGTAGATGGTATAACGGTACCTTGCAGATGTGTAGCACACCGTGGCAATCAGAGACGAACAAGGCTCACCGGTAAAGGAAGACCCAGATAGCTTCGTGGTATGGAGCACAGTCACTCCCTTGGGGAAGGAGTAGGAGTATCGACCCGACGTCTTGCGATGCCACTGCGGGCTGGATCATCTCAGTGGTTCTGCCCCTGTGCGACTGCTAGTCCAGCGGGAGGAGCGAGAATGAGCTGGGCGTCGGATCGAGCGGCATCTCCAGTAAAATGAAAGGGGCAGTGCGTTGGGCTGAAAGCCAAGGCGCAATGGTCGGTGGGGGCCAGAATGGAAGAAAGGGGCCAGCGATGAGTGCAAAATAGAGGAGTTGAAGGGGGGGAAAGGGAAGGAAAAAGAGGTCGAGAGGGCAGGTCAAGTCTTTTATGTCGGGGCAATGGAGGAAGAGGGTTACATGACAGTGTATTGGGGCGCTAGGCCGGGAACGGCAAAACTAGCCCGATCTAGTAAATCACAGGTCCCAATATTACATCTACAATCGGTCATTTCAATCCAGCATTACTTTTCGGCAGCACGCTGAATGTGACTGGAGCAGCATTGATGGCCACATTCAAAACCCATACGCCTGCAGCACGATGGATAGCTTACCAGATTATCTATGGTATCAGCATTGGTATGGCATTCCGGCCTCCTTTCATTGCCCTGCAAACCGTGCTTGAGAAGCCACTTGTTCCTGCAGCCTTGGTACTGCTGAACTTTGTGCAGATGCTTGGTGGCATCATCTTCCTATCCATCTCACAGAATGTGTTCCTGGACAAGCTGACAAACAATCTTACACAAAACATCCCAAACTTTAACCCAGCCATCGCCAAGCAAAATGGCGCGACTGGTCTGAAGGGTTTTGTGCCCAATAGGACCGTGGTGCTCTAGCAACTCATCCGCAATGCTCCTATGGTACTGTGGATGACCCTGCATACTTAGCAGACGGCCTTTCTGGTACATAACTTGCACCAAGCATCGCTCTGACCAACCCAGAAGCTCCACGTTTGCTGGACAGGCAGGCAACGTGTCTCGATGCATCTGGTGAAGCGCCTAAGACGATCGATCTCTTGGTCAGTCACGGTGCTCAGTACTGAGAAGCCCTCAGCAATGGTTGTTTGTTCATATGACGCACCAGGGAAGGCAAGTCGAACAATCGTCGACCCTTCGATGTCATTTCGATTTCTGTGACCGCAACCTCCCATCCATTCTCGTTCCTCACCGGCATCATACCCAATGCTCGCCCAATGATCTGGTGCCCAAAGCAGACTCCTATCACTTTCACCCTTGTTTGTTGATGCAGCAGGTTTGCAACAAAATCGACAAGTTGCAGAATCCAGTTTTCCTCTCCATTTGAGAAACTATCGTATCCTTGTGCATACCAACATCAGCGAAAACTATTGTAGTTTAACTCGCAGAAAACATCCTTACTGCTACCCGTCAAGACAACTGCATCGATGTCATCTAGCAAAGGATAATTCCGCCCAGACGAACATTCGTATGAGGATTCGACAATTTCAGGGCCTTCTCTAAAGCTATTTCGCTGTAGGCGTATGACACCTGCAGCGAACAATAGATGGAACAGGTTGCCAAATGATCCATATTTCTTTTTGGTCTCCCCAATCGGTTCATCGCACTCCAATATGGCAATACGAAGCGGAGAGGACATATTCTTGGACTTAGAAACAGAAAGAATTTCCGATGTGTGACTGAATTTTGCTACACGAAGCTGGAAGGTGTCTGAACGTCTGACTGAACGCTACCTGTTGATATCTGGATATGCGGTGGCGATGAGGTCGACATCAATCTGATGAGACAATGGCTCGGCCACAACGCTCTCCCGTCAAGGTTGATGCTAGTTCGGGACGTGCAGAACATACGACGAATACAGGATTATACCGACAGTAAGACAGTCCATATCGCTGAGTGGCCAGAGCAGGGCTTGAAAGAAATTTCGTTCTGTGAACAAGTGCTTCGTTGCGCTGGAGCACAGCATGCCCAGACTCGAAGACTCACCGGAATTCGGCGGACACTGGTCAATCGCCGGGGCGTAGTGATCCTTGTTGGAGCGGGAATAATGAATCTCATTAATGCACATTATCTGGCCGCCGGTGGATACTCTGTTCAAGTCCATGACGCAGGCCCGGACCCGCGATCAACCCAGGATTGGACGAAGCTAGGGACGACGCATGGTGGTGGGGATGCCAGGATGTTCACGCGCACCGAAGCGGACAACTACAACGAACAGGGTAACCAGATATATCCAAGCATGGACACAATCTTTAGGCGGACTGTAAGCACAGGCGGATGGAGTGTGAAACCACCTGACGGGCTCACATCTGCTGAAATGGACTGGGTCAAATCCTTTGAGAGCCTTCCGGGATGGTTGTCCCGGGCTTTCAGAGAGGATATATACGAAATCAACCGGCAAGCTGGGCAGCTCTGGGAAATTTCATGCAAGTGTCACCACACCTGTTTCAGCAAGTCGGTCTACATCAGGGCATCACCCGCATGTATGTTGAGCGAGACGACCTAGAAGCGTCCATCAAGCTTAATACTGGTCTTGGTACAATGTTGGAGACTTGTGAGCTTCAAGAGTTCTTGAAGGTACACCCCACCTTTGGCTCGGCCGCAGCAACAGATCAGCTGGCGGGAGGTTTTACCATTGCCGGCTTCACTCTGAACGTACATAAGTTCGTTGCGAAACTCATTGATGATATAAGGGCCAAAGGTGCCGAGTTCCACTGGAACCACCCTATCAGTAATATAAGACGCGATACTCTCGGACGTGTACTAGGGCTTGAATCACGTGAAGGCAAACTGCTCGAAGCGGATCATTATGTCGTGAGCCCTGGAGTGTTGGGGAACAAGCTTCTTGAGGGTACAGTTTCTGGAAGTGTGATCCAAGGCGTTCTTAGTGTATGGCTACAAATCCCTAATCTTGAGCCAAAATTGAGCAGCTCGATCAAGCTCCATCAACGCGGGCATGTCGTGGAAGACATCAATATCACAGTGGCGACAGACCCTCACACAGGAGAAGATATACTTGTCTTCGGTGGTGGATACGGATTTGTAGGACTTGATAGGCCTGCAGCCGACAAACCTGAACTCCAGCTCCTTTTCAGTGAGTTGGAGACCGTGGCTCGAACATATTTTCCACAGGGATACGATTTGGCCAAACAGAATGACTCTCTCTGGACTGGAGGCAAACAAAAATTTTGCATTCGTCCCTTCACGCCTACAGGACTGGGAGTGTTCGAGACCGTCCCAACCATCTCTGGCGGAAGATTCATCATCACTGGTGGTAATAACACAGGCGGGTTTTTTCATCATGATGTAACATTATGATATATTCTCATAACCTCCCATCCTCGACACAGTCTCACAAAATGGCGTCTTTATTCACTCCCCAGCGTAGCCTTCATCTTCCGACTCCATTCCTCCCGCTTCATCTGCAGAAGGATCAAAGGAATGCCACTCAGCAGACAGAAGAGACAAGCGGCCGTGAACGACCATCCGGTCCCAATGGCATCGAACAGCGGTTGAGCAATGACGGCACTAACACATGATAGGCTGTTCCGCAGCAGATTGTTCACTGCGACGCCCACAGTAGACTTCTTAGGGGTAAACTCCGTCAGCATGGTCATGGTCACATTGGTGAGGATCATCCCGCTGAAGCCATAGAAGAAATTTCCAATCATCTATATAGTATCAGTCGGATTTAGTCCATCCACGAAAAGATACAATGCCGAACTTACCGGCACCAGCCAGAAGACCTGCTTCTCGGCGGTCCATCCCCACCACAACAGCGCACCAGGGAAGAGAATGCCCGCCATCAGGCAATTCTCTCCCAACCGATCAACAGGATGCAGGATTAACTGGCCCGCATCGTCATACCGACCCTCCTTTCGGGCGGTGCGCGCCATGATCGAATCCTGCCAGCGACCGCCGACGATCGCCCCGAACAATAACCCCAGACCCCCGGGAATGTAGGCGACGCCAACAATCACAGGGCTCCAGGAGTATGGGGGCACGGCAAAGGTATCCTCAATGGAGACGCAGATGAGGTAATAGGTCGCAAATACAATTGCTGTATAGTAGACCGTGATTAGGATAGGCGGGTACTGGAGGAGCTTGGCGGCCTCAATGGGCTTGAGAAGAAAGTGGGCAGCCTTTTGGACAGAACTGCTAGCGTTAGCGCGGTGCTCACGCTGGTTTTGTTCCAGGTTTGTCGCTGTCTCTGGTAAACAGAAGACCATCACCATAAACACCGCCCACCCGTAGATCACCATGAACCACTGCGTGCTGCGCCAGCCCCACCGCATCGTGAGCGCTCCGCCAATGATGGGGGCAAACATGGGGCCTAGCATGGGGCCTAGCATGAAAGCTCCCATGGCTTTGCCACGCTCGTGCGTGTCAAACATGTCGGAGATGGTGCCTGCGCTGACGGATTGGAGGGAGGCGCTTGAGGCGCTGCCGAGAAGGCGCATGGTAATGAACATCCCGATATTGGGGCTGATGGCTGCTAGGATACAGAAAAGGCCGAGGAAGAAGAAAGATAGCAGATATACAAGACGGCGACCGTAGAGTTCGGCGAGGTAGGACCACCAGAGGGGTGTGATGGCGACGGCAAGGGAACCGAAGGCGATGGACAGATTGACAACAGATTCGGTGGTATTGAGGTCCGCGGCGATTTCAATCAAGCAGGCTATTGGACGACCATCACGTAAGCTTTCAGTCTGTCTGGAGAGAGGAATGAAGGGAAATTACTTACGGAACAAGACGCCGCTGCTCAACGGAACGACCAAACCACCAGCAGCAACGATGAAGGTTAAGAACCACTTCACCCCCGAGCTGTATGATCGGGGATTCTGTATGGATGGGACCACACACAACCACGGGAGATATCTGGCCAATGGCCCAGACTTCCTCCTTCTGAGCTTGGGTGAGCAGTCCATAGAAGGCCTCCATCTGCGTGAAGAATGGGTATGGCTGCACCGCGCGGTAGGCGTTTATGATGATCTTCTCCTTATTGGGCGCGAGGGTCTAAGGTTTTATTAATCTCTCTTTCACCGCGAAAAGCCCGGAAACCCCATCCCATCCATCACGATAAAATCCGAAAAGTTAAATTCTTCTAAATCGATCAGCCCCATGAGATCTCGTGTATCAAAGTCCACCCCCGCCGTACCCATTTGGGGCGCACCATCAACACCCCCAGCACCAGCAGGACCAGCCGGTCTCATAATCATGGACGGGTTATCCGAGGCACCACCGGGCCCAGCAACACCATTACCGGCGGCAACAGTGCCAGCAGCCACCCCAGGCCCAGAATCCCCAGTCAGATCCTGTTGGAACCGAATACGGTTCGCTAACCAAATGATTGCGGGCCAGGCGCCCGTAGTATGCTGACCGCGGAGTTCGTAGATGGCGTTAGCGAGTTGAAGCCCACGTTGGCGAAGATCCGCCCACTCAGGAGCCTGAAATGCGGGACTCCGGATCTCAGAGAGAACGTAGAGGATGAGGTAGAAGCCGGCGTGCGAGGTTATGTGCCATTGATAGGGTTCGCAGGCCGGGCTCGATGAGATGGCGCACCAAGTTTCTACGGCGGTAGCAGCATCGATGAATATACTGTCAGGAGTGATTTTGTCAATAGTTCTGTTAGAATATGCCCTACGAGCCCTTGCTTACGCAAGAGCTTCGGGCTGTGGGGAAGGGGGAGAAGAGCGGAAGAGGGAAAGGCTCACGTTCGTCTCATAGCGGGACTTATAATCTTCTCGCGATCCTGTCGGGGGATCTGCATCCAGAACATGACCCAGAATTTGGTCTTGAGGTGCTGGCAAAGGTCCAAGGCCATTGATTGCATAACCACCCTCTTATCGCAGTACCGAACGAGCTCGTCCAGACTCCTCTCTAACTCGCCTGCAAGCCCAGTGGCGGTCTGCAACAGTCCCTGCAGCTCCATCAAGGCTTGGGACTCGTCAACGGCCAAACCATGCCGGCCGTTATGCAACCGCTTGCGCGACGCATGCGTTATCTGGATGATGTGCCCGTAGTAACCGGCGGCTGTGATACGCAGGAGGTAGATGGTCATATCGGTGAATTTAGGGGCATCAGAGAGCCCGGCCAAGGGGGCCACGCCTTCTATCAGATCCACGTCGTCCAGACTGACGGGTCGACGCGTGTCGAAGTCCGATGCGTGGATCGACGGCGCGAAGCCGTGATCTTCCGCGGCCCGGAAATCCAGATAGCAGATCTGCGCCCACAGGCGACGGCGCAGCTCCACCTGCACAACGTCGATCGTCCCCAGCGGTAAAGCTAGAGGGTCCCTGTGGAGTCCCTGGAGCATTGCCATCCGAATGACCAGGCCTGTTAATGGCCACACTTTGCCCATGTCATCTTCTCTATATTGCGCAGTCTATAGGCACAAAATGAGATTAGAGATTAATTTTCAAACCCTTTTTGATTCCTTACCAGCAATATCACGAATGCCTGCAGAACCTCAAAGATCCTTGATGTCATGAATTTCTGGCCCTTGAGAAGCATCTCCGTTCCCATTCGATATCGATTGAGGAGAGAGGCTTTGTCCATGCTGAACATGGTGGCTACGTCTGTATCCTTTATACTGTTGAGAGCCGCGTAGAAGATTGACATGGCCAGTGGCTTGAAGGCGTCCGCCTTGGTAGGGCTGAGGCTGGTACCGCTGTTGCTGCCTCCCCCTTGGGTTTGGCTATATCCTCGACTGTCAGGGTATTGAGAGCGCACGAAGGCGTCGAAGCGACGGGCCAAACTCGGCCGATGGATAATGCGAACGATCGGGTCAACATTGGCTAGGTACGCATTCAGTAGCAAATAGCAATCTTCCCGGGTATCAGGCCAAAAGTTGTTGCTGGTGCCGTTAGGTGGTGCCTTTGCAGGGGAATCGGCACACCAGATGACATCGTCAAGCGTCCCTTCTGGGGAAGAAGATTTTTGAGATTCTGTGAGAACTGATTGGATGTCTTGGAGCTAAAAATGGAACCGCGGAGATTGGGTTAGCAATTCTCTCCCTTTCTGTCCTGCTAGCCGTCAGCTGTGAAGCGCACCTCTGCTGCCATCCAGGCCCAGTGTTTACCAGAAACAAAGTGTGGTACTCCATTATCGAGGATGAGGGCATCTTCCTCCGATCGCGGATTGTGGGGAGGAGCGGAAGTGTTGGCTGCTGATGTCGGTTGTGTTGTCGAAGTGGGTGTGAAGGACTCCGGGGACGACGAGGAGGGACTTTGTGATGAGGATGCCTCATATGCTTTCGCTTGCGCCATGAAATTGGCCAATCGCTGCAGACCAGGACTAATTCGAGCCAGTGTCGACGAAGACAACCTGGAGCCACTGGTGCTGCCGAGTTTGGTTATGCGGTTCGCCTCTGGAGGCAAAGCCGACGACTGCGGCTTCGGTACATACGAACAAGCATGACCGCCTCGCTCACACACCAAACACTGCGGTTGGCGACGGTCGCATTTGACCTTGCGATGACGGCAGGGCAAGCAAGAAGTAATAGGACGAAATAAACTGCTCGGGGATGGAGATGAGATGGAGTCCGTAGGGGACGAGTGCGCGTCTGAGGGGTGATGAAAAGAGGGAGTATCTGTGTTCATGGCGAAGGTACTGGGATCGAGTCAGTCGGGGAGGTGTACTTGTTTAACATGAATGGCGTGCTTGTTGAGAGGGTGGGAGATTTTACTCCGCTTGACCCCGGTGATTTTGTTGGCGATTTTGTTAGCGTGGTGGGGAGGTGCAGGCATTCGAATCCTTAAAAGCAGTGAGTGTCAACCCGTTCGGCACTGTTGTTCCTTCGTATGCACTACTACTATATAGCTAAGGTGCCTAGAGGGCTAAGCCAGTGACGGATTCAAACATACTAGTGGTTTTCTTGGTCCACTGATCGGATTCGGACCCGAAGTCGGTTCCTTAACACAACCAATACCAATACCACTTTCTCCTTATAGCTTTAGCCTCATTCACACTTTATCCTTATTTTCCTTTTATTTGGGCACTAATTTGCTATATCTTGCCCTGCCTACTTTCCTATTTGCTTATCTCCTATTATGGTAACTGCCTTTGCTTCAATTCTGTATATAGATTTTGATTTTTGATTTGATTACTATTTAACGTCACTCGGCGGATCACGTGGCACACGTGACCCGCGGCCTCCCAAGGGGCATCCGGACGTGCTACCTAAGCAAAGACTCACTAAAATAAATACATGCTTGAAGCAACAAAGCTGGACACTATGTGTTGGAAAAGAGTGGAAGAAGCACCAGGCGCTACCCTGGCCTGGACTTCTAAAGGTGAGGAACCTGCTTTGGCTACCTTCAGTCGAGCAGGGGTGCCTTTCCCGTTCGTCCAGGTAGAAGCGTAGACTGTTGCACTATTCAGTGCTTGAGCGGGCCCAGTTTGGGCATATATCCTTGAAAAAGGATGAATCTTGCACGATGTGGCTGAACTCTTCCGCCCCCGCAGCTGTACCTAGTAGCCAGTCAATTGTACTTGACGGGCTGCCTCTCTTGCATTTCCATCTATCCTTCCAGCGCTTCCTGGTGGGTGGGCAGAAGAAGAAATGGACAGGGGACTTCTGTCTCTTGCAGGAGCAGGTTGCTAGGTAGTCTGCATGTTGAAATCTTTCATGATATGCTGCAAAATCCCCGTGACCTGTACGGGCGGCTATGAGCCTGCCCAGAATTCTGTATATAGCTTGTACAAAGGTGCAATCTAGGGGGGTGTGTTGACTTAGTAGTCACGTGATCTCTATTAGCTAGATAGGGACTGACCCCTTTTCATTTGTTATATCTCCATCCCCCCACCCCCACGCAGAATATGTGTCGCCGCTCTGGCCCAGGAATCCTAGGCAAACTCTCCTGCGGGAGTTTCTGCCAGCATGTATGATAGAATTAGCTTAGCTACCAGATAGGCAGTTTCCGCTCTGCCCGTCGTATATTCCGTTCCGGGATCCCCGCGGGCACGTGATTAGCGCGTGTCCCACACCGACGTTAAATAGCACTACTACTACTACTACTACCTCTTTATGAATACAACCATGTCCAACCCATCAGCTCCAAAGCCGTATCCTTCATCCTCTATCCCATACTCAATACATTCAACCATTGTAAAGGGGGGGATACGTGCGTTGTTCCCTGCGACAGGAACTGGGTTGTGATCGAGGGATCTCAGGGACGATGCTGCTATACATTAGTATGTCGGAGACCGCGGCTCTACGGTGTTCTAAGATAGGAAATATGGGAGATCCGGGGTTTCGCAGTGCTCCCGGCACACCAACACATATTACAGATACGGAAGGAGAAGTGATTATCTTCTTAAAATGTCCGGAATCTACGTTTGCCCCATGGAATGAAAATGTGGCGGGCCCGGAACCGTTAAAGAGCGATGGCGATGTGCAAAAAAACGACAGTGGCGACAACGCTACTCAGGAAGGAATTCACAAGAAATTCACGAAGAAGAGATTGAAGAAAAAGAATAAGAGGGGAAATCAAATGCCCGTCCAGCCAGAAATGGAGAATCGACTGACAACCCTGCTGAAACTCCAGAGCCGGCTGACACAGCTATGCAGTCTGCTGCTGAGATAGTTGATGACAGTGTTACTGAGTCACCTAATGGGCCTACCACTGAGCCTTTGGACGAGCAACTTCAAGAAGCACAGCCAGATGCTTCAGTTGATGGCCCAATAGAAAATGGGCGTGAAATAGACTGCGAAGTTGCCCTGCAAGAACCTGAAAGCGATGAGCATATGCGAGGGGATTGCTTCCGCATCCAAGTATCCGCGAAGCATTTGACTCTGGCCTCACCCATCTTTAAGGAAATACTTAGTGGACGTTGGAAAGAAGGCCTTCGCATGCTTAAGAAAGGGTCAGTATAGTTCCCTATACGCGATTGGGATCTCGAGGCGTTTCTGATCTTGATGGATATTTTTCACTGTCAAGCCCAAAACCTACCCCGAGAAATATGCCTGGAGTTGCTTGCCAAGATTGCCGTTTTAGCAGACTGTTACCAATGCCAGACACTGGTGCGATTCTTCGCCGAAATATGGATCGGCCATCTAAGAAGAAAAATATTTCCCACAATATATTCCCGTGATTCAATGCTCTGGGTGTGGGTCTCGTGGAACTTCAGACAATTCTTCGAGTTTGAGAAATCAACATCCATTGCTATCTCCCAAAGTAACGGTTTGATTACAGGTCTCGAGTTGCCAATTCCAGCGAAAGTCATTGGTAAGTGTCAAGCCCCTTATCCGCGAGAACCTATCATAACAGCTTCTGTATATGAAATGAATAGGCACAGGATTGACGCAATCTCCGCTGTCTTCTCATCGCTCGCGGAACAACAGGACACTTTCCTGGATGAGAGTCGAGGTTGCTTTTCGAATGTAGTTCGATCATGTTGGGAGCTCTTACGAAACATACGCACTCAAGCGGTCTGCTCTTTCGAAAGCCTGCAGCCCCTTTTCCAGGTCTGAGTTACTGCCAACTTCTAGAGACTGTGCGTGGCTTCAGGTCTCCACAATGGCATTCCCATTCAGGCTACTCGAGATACTCCTGGCATAATTGCGGGGAGGCATCCTTTTCTTCTCTGATAGCTGCACCGGAGACTTGCATCAAAGGATTGAGTTTGATTGATTTCCCTGTTCTTTAGTCCAGTGAACTTTATACTGGTTCATTAAAGATGGCAATTTCATTTACTCACCGGAATAATGGGAGATTTTTGTTGATTATTGGTTGCAGGCCAGTAAGTTGTTGCCAAGTTCGGAGTGGTCCGCAACCCAGGTTTACATGAAGCAAAGCCAGAAGCTGAAGGGAATATCTTGACGAGTACTCATAGAAAAGCAACCCTGCCTCATCAATCTGTCCTGCATGGCTGAGCAAGGCTTGACCTCGCAGTCAACTGAGTAACAGATTTGACTACATAAAGGGCGGGGTTCTCCCGCCACCTCATCTCACCTCGCTCCCCCTTTAATGGGGCCGCCCATGTGGATCGTGCCAGAGACATATTTCTCCAGTGATTCTCGAACGGCCCGTCCCATCTTGACCAATAAAAATAGGCCGATCTACCTAGCCCGTATGGTCCTAGCGTCTACCATTGGCATCAGATATTGAGTGCCTCAGCATACTTAGATCTCACCCATGCATTAGACAACGTGGATCATGGCTACCTGTAAAAACACCTTACTACGTTCCAAAACCCCAAGGTCTGTCTAAGAAGAAGCAAAGCTCATATGTTTCAAGCCCAAAGCAGACAAGTGTTTGAGTTCACAGAGATCGACGAGATCTACCCCGCATTGTTAAACCTCCGACGCCCAACCTCACATTTCAACGCCAAAATCACCCATGACCACCTAATGCCCCTGAAGAAGCTTGCGCAAGATCTAAAGGCCGGTGCGCAAGCACTCAAAAATGCATATAAACTAGGAACAGGGTACGACGATCTGGCTGTGGTCCTCCTGGAGCCAAGCGACAAGGCAGACACTCACTGCTTTGACGATATGCTCAACGCCTCAATGGCTTTAAAGGCAGTTGATTTATCTCTACGCCATGCATTCGATGGGCAGCGTAGTATCCAGAACACAATTATCTTGGATATCCGGGCATTTCGAAGCGATTCAATTCGTCGAACGCAGCGTGGTTCCGACAAACTTAGAGCTGGCGAGCTTGCCTATGCCGCCTTCGAAGAGATACTCTGCAATCTAAAACCAGACGTTTTCCTTGTCTGTCAGTGCCAAACCAATACGAATGCAGTAGGGAACCAGTTTGCTCGGCAGGTTTGTTCATCGATCGATGAGGCTACGGATATAAGCGTGCTTCGCCTTCCCGGGACTCAACATGAATCGGTGATGGTGAAGGGTTTTCACCCAATGTATCTTGAGTACATGCGTGAGGCGCCAAACGACAGCGTGATAAAGGCAGTGTTGCGGGAGTATTTATTTGATGCTGGATTTATAATCGCATCGAATGCCCTTGCAGGACGAGACAATGATAATGCTGCGGAACGTGAAGCGTTCCGGAAGGATGATATTCTAGAGAAAATAGGCCCCATTCCAAAGCTACCACAGGGAATCATACCTTGGTGTGGGTCACTTGACTAAGCCTGTCCATCGAAAGGCTGCCTACGATAGTTCTTTGGCTTACGATAGCATAGGATAGCTCTCCCAGGAGGTATGTTATTTTAATCACGGTTACAATAAGAACTACTGTATCCAACGGTTATAGTGCGAGCAGACAGACAATGGATATCTCAGGGGAGCTGGTGGCTAACCAAGTCATACTGTCGTACCCATTGGCTAACTGAATTCGCGACCATCGCCCAGAGCTGTTGCAGAACATTCGCTGAGAAGACAAAGTGGGCGATAAGTTGAAACGGACCATCACTTACCCCACACGAATGCGAAAGGACAACCCCCATCTCTACAGAAACACTGTACTTCCATGGCTGGAACCCGTGTTCTGGCCACGATACGTGGATTAAGCGCCCACTCATTTGATCCTATGCTTAGAGAAGACGCACATTGGCAGATGAACTCTAAGTCAATCTACATCACGTCTCATCGCGCAGATGGCGGCTATGACTCCCGGTAAAGAGTTGGGCATCTAGGAAAAGCACCATGGATATAAAGCCCTTGAATTAGCCCACTTGTAGCCCAGTTTTGCCAGTTTTAGAGAACAATCGATTACACTCAAGCGTTCTCTGAACAGTATCTAATCTAGTCAGCGCTAGATCGAGCTATATTCTGTGAAGATCGCCCGCACAATGCCATCAAACAAAGATCGTCTGTATGTTGCTCTCTATGCACGTGGAGGTAATCCTACCATGCCAGGCAAGGAAGACACGTGAGTCCATCATGGGAAACTTCTTTGGTTTATGCTGTTGTAATCTAAAACTGACCTGCAACCACGACAAAAGACAGCTTCACATTACGTGTATCAATTATACAACAGATACCTCCATAACCCCACCTTGATATCCTCGCTCAGTTCACTCGAAGGTCTCCTGGAAGGTCTTGTTAATCATACTCGGTCAACAATGCAGGATGGCACCCAATCCAGCCCCATCAACCGTGGAGTTTATCCATGGTATGATAATGAGTAACGAACTCACCCCCTCCCAGATGGCTAAGGCTGCTGGCTGCAATGAGAGTACAATTAGGTGGCATGTCTATAACCTGCGCCTGTTTGGTCATGTGAAGGCGTCTCGGAATAATGCCAATCTAACCGTAAGAAGCAGCGGCTATGTACAGAGATTGAAACTTTCCATGAATCTATCATCATAGAATGTCATATAATCAGAACATGTACATTGATATGTAAATCTAAATCAAGGGTATCGCCTTATTTATCCTTCTTGTTCTGCAGTCGTTTTGCACGGCTAGAAAGAGAAGCCGCCGTCAACAAATCCTTCTCCGTTTTAGACAGCGTTTCCTTAATTTCCTCTATGGCCATTAAAGCTTTTAGTTCCTCCTTAGCCTGTTCGACTTGTTCGTCGGTCGGTGTGTCTCTAAGAAAGCCAATGACGATACTCTGACTGTCAGGGTCATCAACCCAGTTTGGGACCCTTTCCAACGACTCGCGATTGTGGCGGTAGTAGCTGAGGATGGACGCGAAGCTCTCGCGAGCCTTTTGGTCACCCATGGTCGAAATGATTCGGATGAGCAGGTTTTATTCAGATAGAGGTCCTTTCATAATATAAGCATATATCATTGACCGAATTTCAACTCTAGTCACCTACCTTCCCAATTATTTTTGATCCTGCTGCCAAAAAGAAAAGAGGTGTCGAGTTGGGGCGGGGTAAAGAGGGGTTAAGTATTGAGGAACCCAGTTGACACTCGGCATACCCTTGCACTTGGATTCCAACAAGATGACCAGTGGCTGGACAGAAAGGAATTCCCACTCACAGCCTTGCATTAAATCACCTGATAGGCGCTTTAATGTTTGTTTGAGCGCAGGTTGAATATCTCTCAGCATCTATGGCCATAGAATCAACTATTTGCGGGCGCCACTAATTATTAGACCGCAGCACAACTCAATGCTAGATAAATAAATACTTAATCATAATACAAGTAGCTTCTCAATTGGATAGTGATCGTCGAAACTCTCATTATCCTGAGTGCAATGGCCAGCCTTGTGCCGCACAAGCTCATTCATATCACGCTGCTGTTCTTGGTCCAAAAGCCGTATGCGGTCATCAAGAGAGGTAAACGTTCCATAATACCGAGGGTCGATAAATGTCCAATAGATATCATCGAACATAGAGCTGTATCTTGCTGCTAAGCATACCCAAAATAACCCAGTATCCATTGAATGTTGCATCCGTGGAGAGAGGCGCTGTGACTCAGACAGGGAGTGTTGGTTTATCAACTCGTTTTCATAGTCACCAAGAACTTTCAAAAAGGCATGAAGTCTGGGGGAATAACGGTTCAGAAACTGGTTGAGATCACCCTCCCAGTCCTCCGGACTTTGCAACAAGAGCCACCAAGGAGCTACATATGTAAACTCAGCAGGCGCAGCATATGTGAACTCCCAATCAATAACTCCCGAGACACGGGAGGTATCACAATCCACAAGGACGTTTGAAGGACGAAAGTCGTCACAATATAGCCGAAACGGCCCTTGAGGGTGCTGAGGGAAGATTTTCTCCATAAGATTAAGAAATAAACAACGAGCGGTGAATTTTTTCCGGCAGTCCTCCTCACTGTTAACAGCATCTCGTTGCTGTAATCGAAGATGGAAGAGATGCTGCATAGCAAGCGCTTTAAAATAGTCCGTGGCTGACCTGAAAGGTTGCAAGGGGAAAACCTCTTCAGGCAAATTTGCAGACGCCATTAACTCATTCATGTTGAAGGTGAGAGGTCGCCTAGCAATGGAAAAACCCCGCTCATCCTCAGCAAGCGCACCTATAGAATCAAATTCATGCTTGGACAATTCGAGAATAACCGTAGCCATTTCGTAATAAGCCCACTTCAAGCTCCGATCGCTTATCTGCGGGTTCAGGACTGGTCTTCCTTCTATAGAAGGATCTTTGAGAATCTGTGACAATGGCACGCCTTCGAGAAATGACATAACAATGTAAGGGCCCGCCCAGCAATTACCAGAGCCGAACACTTCAGGAACAGTTATGGAAGTGCTGTGGCGTATGTACTTCATCGTTGCGACTTCATTTTCGACTTTTTCCCTGCGGAGAATAGCCCTTCCAAGGGAAGCGAAACGAACAATGACATGTACATCATCATCATATCTGACCCTGTAGCATATATTGAAAGCACCACTTCTCCATAGGCATGCAGACTTAGTTTTGCCAGGCCGATGCTTCTTAGCAAGCTGCATAGACAATTCTTCTGGGCGTCGGTTCGACCAAAGTTTCAACCAAACGGTAGCTTTCTGTTCCTGTTTCTTTTCAGCAAAATGGTCAAAATTCATGGCTATCTTGTGGTTGCAGTTGCAAGGGAAACGAGAATGATGCTGGACGGTGATGATCGAAGAATGGGGTTCACCCTGTCGCAGAAGGAAAGCAAAACAAAGGGGCAGAACCCCTTTTTGTGTTTCGGAATCGGAATCGGATTAATTAATAGGACCGTACCAGCCACAAATAACTTGCACCTACTATGTGCCAAGCACCTAGTTATCTGCTACGGTCGAAACGAGCTGTGTAATCTACCCATTTCTATACGCTTTAAGCAAAACCGAAGCAAAGCTCTGTGCGCCCACATGCCTCGATTAGGTGGTTTCATTACATCTTGTAGACGGGGCCGATTTCCGCGACCGTATCCATACCGAAGATCCGAAGCTAGTCCCACAGTACTCCATTCTACCAAACTTTAATGTACCCAGTTAATAATATATTATTAACGTCCTGAAATTTCCACGACGACTCACAGGTGATAATGTTTTTGCCAATGAAGGCGATTCTCTACTGTAACAATTGCATGATTTCTAAACACAATACGGTATATATCAATTCATTCTGTCCTAACTGTTGTTGTTTCACAATGCTTGATCCAGAGGCTGATCTCGCCAACGAACCGGCGGGCGACCCCAACTTTCACGCCCCTTCTTGACGAAGAGATTCGTGTCTTGGTTTAAATGTATTTGCTTAAGGTCGAGGCAATTCTAGAACGTTATATTAGCGCTTTTTTAATATTATCTTTGAAGATCTCCGTTTACACGCGTGATAGTTGCCAACTAGTGTATTCCTCCACAGCCACTTCGAGAAGCCCAGGTATATCAATGGAATTACTCCAAGTAGCTCCCGAAAGTGTTGCCACCTGAGTACATAGAATATCACAGGCTGAGATGACTGCGTCGGGAGGACATTGATATTTATGAGAGGAAACATTGTTTCAGTTCGAGGATGGGTGGGGGCCTTATGTTGCTTTTCAAGTCACTGCCGCTCTTCCGCGTACAGCTGTTCACGCACGGTCTGGAATATCACCGTGCATCTCAATGATACCGCCTTGTTCCTCATATTCAATAAGGACTCCCGTGTGATTTGTTCTGGGTTTGTAATGCTTTTTCCCTCCTGGATCCAGCCAGCAGTATTGGTCTTCATGATAGCATGGTGGACCAGGCAACGCATTTTGCTGTACACATCCCTCCAGACTGAAGCCTGTTCAGGAGAGACTTCAGCATTAACCTGACCATCCTGCTAGTTACTGATGAATTTAGTTTTGTCAGCTTTCCTTGATGGGGGAAGGTCGCTGTCCTCTATATAGTTAATAAATATGAAAATCCTGAGCTGCTTCTTAGGCTGACGAAGTAGATTTTGCCACATGAGGCTCTGCCTATTTTTAGCTGTCCAGACGATATCAGTCTTCTCAAAACGCTTAGGAAGATCCCGCTGTGAACATTCATTTACAGATACTGTAGTATCGTCTAACTCACTCGTCGTGACGGGCTATTTCCCCATGTAGCACACTTTCAGCCTTCTGCTTAATCTTCTGCCAATACGAACTGGGCCATGAAACCAGGTGTTGTTCTGTATCTTTTGCTACGACCCGGTTATTAAGGGTCACCTGCCACTCAAATAAAATAGGATATAGAGGACAGATGCTCATCATCTGTTCCTCCACCATTCAATTGAGCATCATCGTGGAGACCTGGTTGGCTAGACTGGGATCGTGGCAAGGGTGTGGAATATCCCCCAAACGTACGGCTAGGGGAAGGACAGTGACCAGATGGTGGTATTTTCGGTGCTGAAAACAAGGAGTTGGGGCATGCGATAGAGTTTGTTCCCATGGTTCAAGTGGAGAGAGACCATCTCCTCGAGGGAATAAATGCCACCGAGAAGCCTAAGTGTCCAGAGCATGTTAGCATTCATCCAAGAGACGTGTTTCACACTAGGGAAAGCAGCTGCTGACAAGCTAGAAAGAATGATAGACAGGATCATTGACATATTCCACTTGGACGCCTCGAGCACTTAATATAAGCACCGAGATGCCAGGATGGCGAGATTTGAACAGGAAGGGTGTTGACAGATTGCCGGATTTGCCAGACACTCATGCTTTCTTTTTCTTTTTCTTTTTCTTTTTCTTTTTCTTTTTCTTTTCTTTTTTTTGGGGGGTTGTGGGGGAGGGTTCCCACAACTCCAAATCTGACGGATATCGACAATAGCTGTCGCTGCGGTGCCAAATTATGCCACAATTGCGTCCTCGGATTGCACCTCCTGAGTTTGAATATGAGGCTCATGAGCATCCGGTACGAGCTGACCCTCCAGAAGCGCGCGAGAAATCATTGAATTAGTATTTGCGAACAGCCTATGACACTGACAAGGGGCTGTTATACGGACGGCCTGGACTAAGGCTTTTGATGAAGTTGTCTCGCTAAGAACGTCGAAGCACTTGGGAGCTTGCCTTGCACGTGATGTTTTGTTAGCCTCACATAAGCCACGCCGCTTGTGGCTGAGCTACCGGCTTGCGATTGAAGCGCACCGTGGTACGGTTCACTCTTCTCGTGGCATGTACCTGGCATGATGGAGTGAGACATTTGCAACCGCATACCAGTTCTGAGAAAGGTAACAATTGTCTATGGAAACGCATAATTACAATTGTTACTGTAATTTAGCAGCCGATCTATGGATATTTCTATATACATGTTGAATATATTCCTTCATTGTACCTCATCTATTACTAGACCCGCATGCCTGAAGTGGCCTCTGGCACTATTCTCTCGAGCTCCTACTGTATCCACGCATTGTGCGAGGTAATTTTCAAAGCCTTGACTAGGGTCTTCCTCGTAGAGATACCAATGTCGCCTTATAAAGGCCTTCAGCTCGGCAAAGAACTCTTCAATTGGGTTCAGATCAGGCGAGTACGGCGGTAGAAATATTAATTTGACACCCTTCTCAGAGCATAACTGCTCTACTCGCTCGGAGTGATGAAATGCAGCATTATCCATTACAAGCACGGACCTTTCTTCTGGGTACTTCCTACAGTACCGAAGGAGATCTTCAATGAACTCCTCAAAGACAACTGCGTCTGTTGTGCCATTGAAGATGCGGAACAAGACAATACCATCCTGGGAGTATGCAGGGAGAATCTGGTAACGTTGATCGCGATGAAACTGGGATACTTGCACTGGTGCAATACCACTAGGGGCCCAGCCCGTGCGTCTAAATCCTATCCGCCTGTCACATCCAGATTCATCAACGAACACCAGTTGGTATGACTTAAATTCAGATATGTCATGGTTATATTCGTCGCGTAGATCGGGATTCTGCTCTTTTGCTCTCTGCTGAACCGTCTTTTTGGACCAACCGACCGAGGAAAGCGCCCTGCTAATGCTGCTGGTTGCTACTTGCAGGCCAAACTCGTCCCAGATGAACATTGCCATCTCGTCTAGGTACAAGCCAGGCTTTTCGAGAAGGTGTTCGCATAGTGCTTCCAGCATGACCGGTGTGATTAATCTCGCTCGGCCAACTCGAGTTGGCGGTGCTCTAGGAGAGCCGAAGACCCGCAGGTTGGAGCGGATATATTTGACCGCCTGCTTACTGCATTCGGCAGCTTTAGCGGTTTTCGAGATAGACATGCCGCAACTCGTCATAGAGCATATAAGCTGGATCTTTGATGGCGATAGGTGTGGTGCCATCGCTGTACTACCTTTGGCAGGATAGCAACTTGACAGTATGTTTGAAGAGAAAGTCGAAAAGCAACAGTGAGGTGCCCCTGTTGGAGCGTTGCCTGGACACGGAAGCTTCTAGATTGCGGTATTCCTCTTACGTGTACTACTGTAAGGTTAAGAAGTAAGGTCATCAAAATTACAAAACGTGTCCATTAGTGCCAAGAGCACTAATATGCCCGTCTAACCGTATACAGGCTAGTGTAATAGTGCTAGGGATTGGGGAAGAATTTGGAGACTCTGGGGTAGGCATGGTAATTGTGCAAGATACTGTAATAATAAGAACGGGCTCAGTAGTAAAAACCCAATCAATGCCTTTCTTATTTTTCTGGAAGAGATGGTGTATCTCCCGACTCTGACAAAGGCTCAACCTGGGGCATAGTATCCTCCAATCCCTCCTGGATAGGAGGAGGGTAGTATGATGCCTACTTATATTAACTTTTATTCTCAGAGGAGTAGATTGAGTATACTGTACCAGGTTGGACAGAGTAGCGATCCACTGGCTTAGCGAGGATGAATCGAGGAGATATAATTGCCCGGTTTTTCGAATTCGAACAGCCACAAATATGTCGGACTCACATTCAAGACAGAATTCTGCTGCCTTTCTAAACAGAGTCTTCCTCCGCCTCTGCCGTTGTTGTGTTTTTGCTCGAGCTGTCTCAGCGCGACGTTTCTTCACCCAAGGAGATTGCTTGGGATTTTCGTTATTCGAAATACATATTGGAGCTTTTTATGTACTTCCCCGTAAACTTTGGGGGTCGCTGCGCTGTAATTGAATTGTAAATATAGTTCCGCAGGCGTGCTCTGCTTCGGGGACCCACACCGCAGTGGGAATTATTTTTTATTATTGCTAAGTTACAGTATAAGAACCCTCATGACTGCAGACTTCCCTTCATCCTCTTTGCAATCCTTCTTGTTCTGTTACTTCTCTTTGCACTGACAATGAATATATTGGCTATCTACGCAATTGCCGCTGGCGGGATTTTTGCGGGATTGTTCCTTACACGGATCATCTCCATTCTTGCGAATTGGACAAATCTATTCTCTGTTTTAGTATCTCGACACTTGACTATCCCTTATATTGTCCATAGACGTCGACTTTGGGGCCCTTGGTCACGAGCCAGTGTTATACTTCATGTGATATATGCCGCAATAAATGTCTTCCTCATCCTCTTCCGAATAACAACGCTAACGAGCGCTGGCCGCCGGGCTGGAGAGTTGGCCTTGATCAATCTAATTATCCCTTTATCAGCCACCTACCTGAGCTTCTTAGCTGACCTTCTTGGCATCAAATGGCACACTTGCTGTAGGATTCACCGTGCTACTGGTTGGATGACCGTTATTCTGTTGTCATTTCATATAATTGCAATGGTGCAAGACTAACAATTTAGCTTCCCACTCGATGAATCGCGGAATATGTTTACCCTGATTGTACGTCCTCCCAATCCTTCCATTCGCGCCAGCTAATAGTGGCTAGGGTGCTGCATCTCTGGGTATCCTTGCCCTGTGTACAAATGCGTGGTTGCGTCGGTGGTCTTTCGAGGTTTTCCTGCGAGGGCATCAGATCTTGACTGCAACTTTTGTCTATGGCACCGTGCGGCACCTTTCAAACGAAAACGCCTCCTCAAAGCTCTATCTCTGGGTTGCGTTGGGGATCTTAGGGCTAACCACATGCTTGCAGCTAGTGATCCTGTTATATCGAAACGGATTGTTTGCGGGCCGGGGTGCTCCCAGGGCGCTCGTATCGTTTACTTTCAAGAAAACGAAGGAGGACAAGCTCGTAGTAACAGCTTCCCAGGTCCGCGTCCTATTACCTCGACCGGTGCAGGTCGAGGCCGGGCAGTATATCAACCTCTGGATACCATCAGTGGGTTTATGGGCGTGGACGCAGACACATCCGTTCACTGTCACATCATGGTCCCGACATAGGCAGGATGCTATGGAGCTTCTTGTACAACCACGCCATGGTTTATCCGCGGATCTTACTCGTCACGCCTCAGTGGCCACAGAAACCTCTGTTTCTTATATGGCCCTATTCACGGGTCCTCACGGAACAACTGAGGATGTCAGCAAATATGAAAATGCCTTGCTGATCGCCAGTGGATTTGGGATTGCCGCGGTAATCCCGTATCTGAAAAAGATGATCTACGGTTATAACACTTGTACTTCACAAATACGCCGACTGCACTTAGTATGGCAAGTAGAATCGATTGGTGAGTGCGCTATGCAGTTATTCCTGCGAACACCCAGCTAATGAGCCAGACATGACAAATGCGGCCCAAGGCCTGCTTAATGATCTCCTCGATGACGACATTATAGACGATGGTTATGTATGTAACGGGTCCCAAAACCGAAGATGTTCCGTCTGAAGCTGACCTGATACGGTTCTAGATTCTCAATGTATCCATATACGTGAGAAATGGCCTTGCACATAACAAAGTCCCATTTGGGGAGCACGAAAGATTTTGTCTCTACCAGGGTACACCCAATTACGAAAGTATTGTTTCACTCGAGGTATCTGGGGATCAGATTGAAAGGCTGCCGAACATCCGGGAAGAGAGAGGCCGGACGCTGGTTGTGGGTAAGCAGCCCGATTGACTTCGTTCACATCACAGACTAACGAAGAAGGTCAGTCTCTGCAGGAGACGATATTCGAGACCACATACGAGAGATTGTACGAGAAGACTTTCATCAGGGTGTACAGCTTTCAGAACTGGAATACCAGCCTAACGATGATTAATTGGGAACGGATGGGGCCGGTTTGAAGCGTTTTGTAAAATATGACGCGTATATAAAAGATAAAATACCGGAGGTGATGGGGCAATAGGGTGGCGACGTATTCTGGACTAGCTGTATTTAGGCGGTGAGAAATGTAACTTTGCCCTGGAGGTCTAATTGCACGCTTGCGTTTCTTCGCGAGACGCGGGCTCTCTTCCGTGTCAGAGCAGTTGGGACGGCGGGCAGGTATAGCATCAAGGCCCGGTTGGCAGTCGCGGGGTCGCTGGTTTTTTTGTTCCACGATTCGTGTCTGGGCAACTTCAAAGGCCTTTCGCCGAGGCGGCTTTGTGATCGCGGATGGAAGATCTAGATTAGGGGCAACTTCTGCTAATTTTCGATTGAATGCTTCCTCAGACCCCGCCAAACGAGACTGATCTGACTCTGAACAGAGTTGTTCCTCTGCACTGGATTCAATCACCGCAATTGAAGGCAATCGTCGATCGTTCGGAAGTAGTTCCCCGTCACTGACAACTGGTCTTGGCACGTGCTGCTTCAACTGCTGCGGGACATCGCCCAAAACGTTCTCATTATTTTCTTGTCCCCCAATAGGCTTGTCAGTGCTCTCATTGTAAGGCACATTGCGTGATGGGGTGCTGCAAAAATTCATGTCATGATTGTCGTTCAGGGGACTCGAACAGCTCCGATTGATTACGCTAGACTCGTCAGAGGTGGAAGGCTGCATGTCTGCGAAAACAAATCAGATCGTTGCACAAATCAGGTGTGCGTATGGGATGCCCTTACCCAAGGAATGATCCTGCTCCTGTAGATCTGGAGATGGAGTGCACAAATGACCATTAAGACCTGTAGGGATTTCACTCCTTTCACGCGCCGTCGTAGTTACGAAGGGGTCGGGGGCATCGGTCCTTTGTCTGGGGCTGGAGAGACACGAAGTTAGGGCTGCAGGCTGAACGTAAGTCTGTTCCAAAGGTTCATTTCAAGCTTCTCCGCTAGCGTTGTAGTGCGATTAAAAAGAACTTGCATCGCGAGAAGCTTTGAGACATTGATTACTGCTATCATGTCTCCTTCTCTGTCGCTGTAGTCCCACGATCTTATAATATTCAACACCCTTGACGGGCTGTCAGATAACGGAATAAGATCTGATGGCAAATTTCCCTCGCATTGGTTCGTCAAAGAATCTTTGTTCACCAGCAAGCTGTTGAGTAGAGTGCCATCATGATACACAGGAGGAGTCAGAGGCTGATTAGAAGAACGAAAACCTAGTTCCACACTATGGCGGCCATGGCTTCCACATTTGAAGGCGCGGTAGAAGAGCTCCGGTGTATCTGATTCGGGATATTCCATAGGCTTGCAGTGAGCCTGGGATATAAGATATCTGTTGAGCATTCGCAGCGTTTCTATATCGGTTTGGTGGCCCAAGCTGGCGTCCCGGAGCCTGACGTTAAGGATATCCGTCTTTTCACTCAATGTTAATCCCTGTCTTGTCTCCATACGTTCGATCTTAGGACTCGCGGTCTGAATTTTAGTGCCGGCCATCTTTGACGCGACATATTGGAGGCTCTCGGCGACGAAGAGCTTATCATCAAGGAGGCAGCAAAGTTTCAATTGAATACTATTGAATTCGATACTCAACTCCGCAGTGTGGCGGGATATACGGTTATGTTCTTTTTGCTCTTCCGTTAATGGGTCGTCACCGATCCGGATGTAGTAACGGGCGACAACCGGCAAATCTAGGAGGGCATGGAGTTCTCTGACCTTATGAATTGGCATATCTGATTGTGGCTAGAACGATTGTTCGGTAGTAGGGTCCGCGATGAGGGATAGTCATATAGCACAGTCATAATCCTAAGGTTGGCGCTTTTGTACTGTAAGGGAAGGCGTGAGTACTGAGTTTGCCTACGGATTTGTCAGCGATACCGCCAAGTGGCTTAAAGAGCGGAGAGAAGGTGGCGGGATGACGATTTACCCGCCAGAGAAGTCACATGTCTCGAAGCTCCCAGAGAGTTCGTAAGGGGTGCAGTTCCCTTAAATCTGACTTACCTGCCTATTCTTCACTCATATACTTCTTCTAACTCATTTCATAGCCCCCATTTCACCCTCACATAAGTCTAGTCATGGCCCGGGTTAGCAAGTCTAAAGCTGCGAGATTCAATGCGCATATCGTGAGGAATCTTCAAGCTGCTATCGAAAAGGATCCGGAGATTGATCTGACAGCGAAACTGCCCTTGAGGTATTCCGATCGTTTGAATGGTATGCGTCAGAAGATTGAGCTTGGTGAGTAGTCATCTTCTAGACAATATAGCCCGCGTCTGATATCCTTTTGTGCATTAGATAATGCGACCGTAACGGAAGAGCACGCAAAAGATGACATTCGGCATTCAATTCGCGCATCAGACTCACCTGAGGTCGTTTTCCCTCTATCCGATAAAGTTCAGGAGTTACTTGGGATATCTTATGCGGGCGAACTACTTCCAGCTGGGCTTGGGCAGCGATTGGTTGATATCATACACTCAAGCGACGTTGTCTGGAAAGCTCCTTTCTCCCGTCAGAAAATGGTTCTGAGCTGTGGTCACAATATTATCTTGAAGGCTGTGCGGAACTTGGACGATACAACGGAGTATACAACCCTAAACTACCTTCACCAACGCAAACCGAACATAGCCGCACCAAAGCCACTTGGATTTGTTCGAATGAATGACGTCTCACTCATATTCATGACTCGCTTGCCTTCGAGAACTCTGGCTGATGTATGGCCATCTTTAAAAGAATACCAAAAGGTCTCGATCCGGAAGCAACTTACCACTATTCTGAATGATTTACGAACTTTACCTTATGAGGAAGGTACGCCTTTTGGTGGAGTTGGGGGTGAAGGCTGTAAGGATATTCGAAGACATCTTCGTCGAAGTGTTGAGCCTATCATTACTGCTGATGAATTTGAAGATTTTCTCTTCACAAGTGGTCGGTCTGGCGGAGCAGTCTTCATAGAATTGCTTCGCCAGCTTTCCCCTCCTACTAAGTCTCCCTCGCCTGCAATAGTTTTCACACATGGTGACCTTCGCCCGGAAAACATTGCCGTGAAGTTGGAAGATAATGAATAGATCGTCACTGGACTCCTTGATTGGGAATACAGTGGGTTTTACCCAGAGTACTACGAAGCTGTCAGGTGCACAAACTGCCTGGGGCCTTATGAAGAAAATGATTGGTACCTATATCTACCTAACTGCGTTTCACCGAAGAGATACATGCATTGGTGGCTTCTTGATCATGTTCGAGAGTCTAGAGTGGTATAGATGACAGTCTGAACACTCATGAATATATTCCGTTGGACAGAAAGACAGCGGTAATATTAGAGAATTGCTCCCCTTCTCTTCTTCAATTCCTTCCTAGCCTCGCGATAGTCCTCGTCGTCCTCTTCTAGGATGAACTCGTCTTCCAACTTATCAAGCAGCTCAAGCACATAGTCCTGACAGTCCCAGTCAACAGTGTCGTTGTCGACTCGAACTTGCTTCGCGGCTTCTTTGACGTCTGCAATATCGTCATCTCGGAGTGTGGCAACATAAACATTGCTAACATAGCTTCTGGAAGCATCCGGTCGAGCGTACACCACATTGCGCTGGAAGTTGCTGGCCGGTGACTTCGAAAATGATGCTTTCTTTATCGCCGTCTATGTATAGAGCCCAATGTTGGTAATTGCCGTATCGAGGCCGGTAGAAAGCAACATATAGCTTTGGATTACCCATCTCTTGTTCTCTCTCGTGTAGTCAGCATTAGATCAATAATGAAACGCTAAGTCCACGTAAACAATCATATTCTTGCGCAAAGCTGAGCGCCAATTCTCGAAAGCCATACGAGCAATAATTGGAAATTTAAAGGATTGATTGGTTGCTCCTATCAATGGGAGGAGATTATCATTCCCTGCGGCTTGCGCTAATGCATGCCTTAAAGAGTCTGTCACACAGCAATACTTAGTTGGAGCTCGAAACGGCTGTTACGTGGGATGCCGTACTTTTGATTTGCTCCAACCCTTGGAATCCGATTGGGAAATCCGACTGGGGGCTATGACCTTGTCATGCCCATTCGTGTCTTTATGTGCCGGCTGCTACCGCCGCAATATCCTACATTCTGGCCTCCTCTTATTGAGGACCTAGCCCATCCCAAGTCATTTCTTTATATGTGACGTGGCAGTCCCCTCTTCCATCTTCTCTTCCACCTTCTCACCGTTTACTTCAACATGGCGCATCAGAAACCATTCACTGCTACTGGCTCTAGTGGCACGTACCAAAAGTCCAACAAGGGTGATTCAAGAGGAAAACCCTGTCACTCAGGGCTGTGAACGGGCCCTCGCCAGGAACTCGAGGCCAATGCCAAGAGCGACATCTTTCACCACCACAAAAACTGGACCGAGGAAGTTTTCAGGACCACATATCTCTAGTCTGATGTATCTATTATTGGCCAAAGAGGATCGCGTTTGGAACGGTTCAGGCCCGGAGCCGGTGTACAGCTGCATGTACTAGCGCGAGGCTGTTTCGGATACACTGAATGCGATAGTCGAGTGCGATGGCGAACTTTTATATCCCTGACCAATCATGCGATAGTAAGAAAGAAGCCTTGCATGCTTGTGGCACATCGAAGGACCAATAAAACAGCCATGTGGCCAATGACCTGCGACGTGGCCGTTCAAACGCGCTAGGCTGCAGGCTTCCTCCCGCTGGTGCCTGCTCCTACTACTCCTATTGCTCCTACTGCTCCTACTACTCCTACCCTTTGCCCTTTCTTTCTGGCTCACTGAGAGGAAATGAAGAAAATACTTCAACGCATTCACGATGTTATCGAAGACCTTAATCGATGGCAATTCATACCTGCCAACTTCGAAGCGATACTGGAAGAACGGCTCTTCCTTGTCTGCAAGCTACCAGATCGACTGAAGCGTGAGAAGACACCACGGTCAAGGAGTGAATACAATTCACACGCCCGAAGGAAAAGGGCTCGGGAAATCTACCTCGAGGTCCCTGCAGTATCCCCTCTTAATTTCCACGTAGCCCCATTATACCCTCCACTGCCAAGCGATCACTGCATACTGCGTCAAGCAAGAATGGAGCCAAGCCTGAAAGCTCCACAACTCTGGGCTGATTAAGCATATGATCCAGAGTTAACCACTAACTAGGCCCCAGCTTGCCTATGCCGCTAACTGCAGCAGACAATCTATAACAAAGTGCTAGTCGCAACAGAGTTGGGACACCGAAAGATGTAGATCCTTAAGTATTCAAATACCGGGGCGGTTCAGACGCTGAAATGTTCAGACATTAAAGCGTCTAGACGCCGGACAAGTCCGAACACTTTAGTGTTTAGACACCAAGGGTGTGGCCAACAATCCTGAACTGGCTACTGCTCAACTTTTCATGCGGTTACTTAGAAGCTGATATGGAAAAGGTCACGTGGTATGGCGGCTTGGCTGCCTCTCTGACCCCTGAGAATCCGAGCCCTGATTATATGTAGAGAGAGAGAATAGAATGCAATCCGTTCCTTAGTAGGCTATGTACGTGTAGTCGATACAGCTTCATTCTGCCTTTCTTCCCTGAGTTACATGCATATTCCACAACACTGTTATCATTATATCGTTTTCTTGCTAGATCGTTCGGTGCCGTGTGGTATAGCGGCATCGTCTTGGTATATCCATCCCTGAGATCCCTTGATCACAACCTGGTTCCTGTCGCAGGGAACAACGCAACGCCTCCCTTTCCACCGTCAGCCTGACTGAGCATCGCGGCATGTGGCAAGTGTCACCCCCATAGAAAGCGACTGCCGCTCCACCCTCAGCGGCTCGGCCCGGAGGCCGCTGCCGCCCCACCAGACCCAGCAGAGGTTGAGGCTGGCACGAGCTCCAGTGACTTAGTCGAGCCGGGAGCACAACCAGGCTCACTCTCCGCCAAACCCTCGGGCTCCCACGTCCTATCAGTCAGGAGGGTTTTCGGCCACCCCTGGGCCATCCCAGTTCAGAGTACCACCGCACTCCCATTCTCCCACTGCCCGCGAGCGGTCCGAACCCAGCCCGCAGCTGCCGCCCTCCAGTTCCCATTTCCATCAGAGGGTCATCTTGTAAGCTGCTACCGCCACGCGTCCTGAGACGACTCAGTCACCCGGTAAGATCCTTGCGCCTGAAGAAACTAGAATACTCTCGGTGAGATCGCATCCCTCGGAACGAGAACGACAACAGTATGGCTGCTCCTCCTCCTCCACCTCCACCACCGGAAAATTTTCGTTCCAAGGTCTCGCCTTTTGTACAGAAGCTACGAACCACACCGCTGGACTGGTATTATAAGGCGCCTAAATCGCCACCACCAGTTGATTTCCTAGCTCCGCCAACAGGTCCATACTTCTTTTATGGCACTCTGACTGATCCGTGCATGATTGCGGAAATCCTCGGGTTAGATCATGAACCTGAACTGCGACCGGCTTATATCGTTGGATACGAATGCAAATTATGGGGCCAGTATCCGGCTCTCCTCGATGCCTCAGACTCGATCGTCAAAGGGGCTGCTTATCATGTCTCAACAGTTGAAGACGGAGAGAAACTAGCAGCTTATGAAACGAGAAATTACCGTACAGAACGTTGCTGGATCAATTATATGGATGAAGAGGAACCATCAAGGGAAATAGGCTCTACATTCAAGTTTGTTGGAGACCCTAGTGACCTTAGTGAAGGTCAGTTTGACTTGAAGGTCTGGTTGAAACATATGGGAAGGACAGCCGCACTCGAGAAGCTCGAGGCTAAAGTCAGAATTGATGTGCCAAAAACAGGGAATGTCATCTAGGGACCAGATGTGCGTGAAATTCATGCAGTCTTAACTCTTTGGTGTGATAAGCGGGCAGAATGGTAGTTGATCGCATCTGTAGTAGGGCACTCCCTCGGGCGAGGGGAAAGGCTGCAAGCACGAACCCCAAGTGGGAGGGGCTAGGCCCACAAGCCTCACCTTACCCAGTTCCACTCGCCGAGTCTATCAACCGTCAAGTCTGGCCACTCCCTCCACTAAGTCGTTGGCCTATCGCTAAAATTATGTTTGACTGTAATGTTTGTAAACAAAGCAATGATTATACTATCGCTGCATGATCTATAAGCGGGTTGCCATAGAGGAGGATACACATATTGGAGTTTCCTGTCCATTGCCTCAGCACGTCTTCCGTACAGCGAATCAAATCTTCTTTTGATGGCGCGCGGCTACCAAATAAAACGGAAAGCCAGCTAGATGCGATAAATGACATCCACTTCGTCCTTAGCCGCCTGCCTCCAGGCGCTTGCCGATTTTATTTTTAGTAAAAAGTTCAGTGCCTTCTTCATAGTGAGTGTTCATATAATATAGAAGGTGACAGGAATATCTTGCCTTGTCTCCATACGAAACAACATCTTATCGGATCACAGAAGAAGATCAACACACCATTGGAAGAAAAAAAAGTCCGCGGCTCGACCTCCATAAACAAGAAGAGACGTCCCAACAGATATTACCCGTGGCAAGCGAATTCACAATGCAGCAGTTTCTGTCCCGAATGACCTTATATCGCAAGGAGTCGCAAGATCTGGAGAAGCAGGTCCAGATTTCCATTCAGCAGATGGTACATGATAAGCGTATTGACTTCGTCCAGTTACTATTTGGGCTCAAGTCAGAAGACCTAGCGCACTTTCCAGGGATCAAGTCATACTGCGACTACTTGGAAAGGGAAGCTTTTCAAGCCCTTATGAACCCGAGTTTTGACCCAATTCGGGGCTTGATACCATGCTCGAGTCCACTGCAGGTTGGGGACTGTTGGGACTGGTGCATTGCGGTATTGCAGGCTGTACGGTCAACGCAGCCTGAAACAAGTATACATGACATATTGCGGCATCTTGAGGAGCAATCTGAGCTCTCCAAGAACAAATTTGATCGGCGCCAAGATAAGAGCTATCTTTATCTGGCCATCTTCGGGGCACTGTGCTGGACAAGCATGATGGTGCGACCTAGGCTTGTCTTCAAAGATGGTGTGAGACCGCACCTAACATGCCTGCTACCAGATGGAGTCAAACAGCCCAAACACTCTCAAAGTCAGAGGCTAGCTGACCGGTGTATGCGACCAGTCCTGAGCACCTTTCGGTCGTTCAAGCAACTGCATTGGGGTGAGTGGTCAGATGAGCATGCATATGGTATATCCAGAGAAGCAGACAACCTATATGCGGCAAGCCTCAGCATCTACTCGCTGCGCTACTTCGGTCACGTCACAATCCAATGGGTTGATACTATCACTGAGCATCTGTGGTTCAATCCAGCTAATCGACGGCTATCTTTATTTCGCTTTCCGTCATTCTGTGCCATCCTTGCCATCCATAGCAACGAGACTTGTCCCGCTGTCCGAAGGTACAACATCTAAATTGCTGGCTGTCGACAAGTTTGATCCGTGGCTAACATCTCATAGTATATCGGAAGAACTTGAGCCCTTATCCCCAGAGGACAGGGATCAGTGTTGCGTCAGCCTTGAGCAAGAGGTCATCCTCTCCTACCGTATTCTATTTGGACAAGATGATATGTCCAGGAAGCTGGCACATGAAGAGGTCTGTAACCTGAAGCAGTCGCGTGCCAACCAGAGCATTGATACCATGTTATTGGATCTCTGTGAGCGCAAATATAAGTCGGGCTATCTATGGTGGAAGAGCTACGACAGAGTCCTGCGTGGATATCCTCCCAATATATGGCCAATCACATGTCGGAGCATAGAAGGGCATCTCCAGCAAAGTGATGTGTACAGTGCACAAGATGACTTCCCAAGACTTGGGCGACGATTACTCAAGCTCCAGCAGTTCAATTTGCGCCAGAGACCCAGTAAGCTTACTGAACTGTGGCGTGACAGGAGGAATCCTCTGCAATGGTATACCTTTTGGGCTGTTGTGCTGGTTGGTGGAGTTGCAAATATTCTTGCAGCACTCCAGCTACTAGTGGCTATTATTGCATTACAAATGTCAATCTAGGGCCTGGGATCAGTCCATTTTCAGACTCTCATCTGTTCACTGAACTGATGTATTGAGTTGAACCTTCCCAGATAAAGATACTACAGTAACCACAGAGCCAGTCAAAATATCATAGGCTGGTGGATGTTGTCTGTAGTAATCCGCCCTGTCCTCCATAGATGCTAAAACCCACCATACATTAGTATGTCGGAGACCGCGGCTCTACGGTGTTCCAAGATAGGAAATATGGGAGATCCGGGATTTCACAGCGCCCCCGGCACAGCAGTGCTGGAGGGAGTAACTTTTCATTATCATGTTATGCAGTATGCAATCCCTAACCAAATAAAAAATTAAGTACTCTCTCTACCTCGCCATACGCATACAAACTAGTTAGTTAACTAGTTATCTACACTTGTGCTGACTAACATGGGGGTAAGCCTAACTAGGAAGGAGCTGAACCATGGGAACCACCAACGATAGATATCTAAGCTAGCCTTTTTTCAATGACTTATTCAAGGCCTTTCCCTAGGACAGAGAGAAGGGCAATGTGTCTATATAAGTGGGGGTTGCTCTAGTCCCATTTGCCTGTTTTGGCACCACCATGACGCGTGCTTTTTAGAAGGGCATTGGGTGCCAGCCTGCTTTGGCACAAAGCTAATACAGGGTCACAATGTGGTCTCTAATTATTGGCTGAACCACCTTATGAAATGGTTTTGTTGCTGGGCTTGTTCGTGGAATTGGCTCTGGATCTCACATGGCATAGGCTCACAACATTATACTTATATCATTATACTTATATCTCTTGCCATAAATGCTGTTGAGACTAATGACTTGTTATGTCCTATTGATAGCTCTCACACAATACTGACATCTGCAGCATCATCTCTATGGGCATTTTTGTAAGATCATAAATGCAGGAGCCTCAGGCCACACAAGATCATGTGGACTTAGCGCTTAGGGAGCTGAACTCTACAGCACCGCAGAGAAGTCAATTAAGTTCAGATACAACAAGGGCCCTACGTTCTTCTCCCTACTATCGTACTTAGCATTATCTGTATATTGATTACCTCTTCACACTATCACTGCCACCCTGATCTTACAATTTTTGACACAATGCCTGAGGATGGCAGCATGATTAGTGTCGATGACCTAGCAGTCAGGTTGAAGATCAATGCGGAGCTTGCAGGTATGGTACGCCCATGCACCAATCTGTTGAAGTTATCTTCTGACAGCTGTGACAGTCCGCCTCCTGCGAGCTTGCCCTAGCACGCACTTCTCTGAGGCTCCCGGTGTCAACCACTATGCGCACAATGCCCGTTCATGTGTCTTCCTCTCCCCCGACAACGGACGCTGTTTGCACATATACAACTTTACCGGAGAAGGCGTCTTGGCCATTCCTCTCGTTATGGGGAGTCGACGAACTGGACAACCACTGGCGATTACTACCGTGGGCCCTTCCAGCTGGCCGTAGACACCGATCTTGGCTAGTGGGAGTACCTTGTCGCGAATCCCAACCACATGAAACCATTCAATACCGGCATGCGTCTAGGCAAGATTGGACGCCGCGCGTCTGCCTTCCCCTTCAGTAAGGCGTTGGCCAGCGATCCTTGCCCGGCGGATAGTGTGGCCATTGTCGATGTCGGTGGCGGACAAGGTCAGTCCCTGGAAGCCATCCATGAGGATTAGCCTGACATGATTGCCAATACGAAAGCAAGGGGAGTGTTGTCTTATATTGAACCGTTGTCGCTATCATTCTTTGAAGAGCAGCCTGTAAAAGGTGTGATACGATGCCTCATTCACACTGCTTTTACGACCATCTTATTTTTCTGGAGATAGTGCGGATTCGTCTAAGTAGTAGGCTAGTTCTGAAATTGCGTTGTCAGAGCGAAGATGGACGAGCTCAGGAGATGCGTGCTGGGCATTGCAATTTTGACTCCATGGGTCCAGTTGAACAGCGAAAGGCAAAGGCACTTCATAAAGCACAGACTCTGCACAATCTCTATGTAGTTCGGTGTCTTCAGGTTAACGAACAGTCTTTCAAGCGATACAGGGCCAGAATACTCTCCAGCATCAGGTTAGTGTGGTTCCGGGATTAGTCTTGATGTACTACGAGCCGCTCCTCCACCGTCCGTTGAGAGATGTCGAGAAGGAATGGGCACATATTATTGGCGTGGGGGGAGATGGCAGCTCTCCTGTAACGCCGTTCCCATTACAGCTCTCAGACGAAGAAACCCAGCAGGATGGTGATCTATGGGCCCAAGGTGTTGAACTCATGAATGCATTTGTAGACGACACTGGCTGTTTTAACCATTGGGATGGTAGGGTTAGCGATATAGATTAGGAAAATTCTGGGATAGAGCTAGACGAGGGAGTAAAGAGGTTCTTAGACCGTGAAGCCAGAAATGATGAAGAACGTAAGGCTTTTCAGAGCCCTACCTTTCGTGGAGTAAAGTGTGTGGCAAGGGTAGAAGATATCATTGATTTTAGCACTTCTAACATTCTAATTATTGCTACATAAATATTTGGACTTCAATTCCCAGTGCCGTTACAGATTCCTGGCGCTTAGCAACTGGTCAAGGTACCTGGCATCCACAGCAGGACACTTGAGCGCTTCAGGGAACCGCTTCAATGCTAACTGCGTGCTTTGCCCATCCAACTGAAACATATTATGACCTTCCCTCAGTAGATTCGTCGTTGCGGCCCATATCAACTGATCTCTCTGTGAGACGCTACAGACCTTCTCAACCCGCTCAAGCCACGCCTCCAAACTAAGCAGTTCACCACGACCCGGGCCGTTAGCTAATGTGGGAATGACGTCCAGAATCTGAGTGAACGGTAAAGGGTGCGGGTTGGTGAGATGCCAAATGCGAAGCCGGTCTGTCTCCGGCGGCACCGTCGACAGGAGATAGAGCCACGATGACAGTATATTCACAGGGACCAAGTCGACAGCCATATCCGGCTGTTCTGGCTGTGGCTCAGGCACGTAGCCCGTTTGCAGCATGAGCGTCACGATCCGCTCGATGACTCCGTTCTCGGCTGGGGGGATTTGTGTTTGCGTACTGGCAGTGGGCATGGATGATCTGTAGATGCAGGTTGGGAACCCGCGATCGGCTGCGTTAGCGAGAAGCATCTCAGCTGCCCAGCGGGCCTTAATGTAGCCATGGTCGTCGGAAGTGGAAGGCCGGTAGTCGGTTGGTGGTGTTTCCGTCAGAGAGTATGAATCCTGTATGCGGACGGACTTCGTCCAGGACTGCAGATGCGGCACGCTGAAGGTGGAGAGGTGGTGGATTGTGGAAACATGAGGACCGCAAGCGGCCAGTTCAATGACGTCCAAGATGGCGCGCGTGTTGACTGTCCTGAGGTTGGAGTACTTCTGGATCAGTGAGACGTATACTCCTAGGTTGTAGATGGCCTGGATGCGGGCCCCGAGGCGATGGAATTCTGATGTGGTGAGACCGAAATGTGGCCGTGTCATGTCACCGTGGTAGCAACGCGCACGCGCCCAGACAGTCCCCGAGGAGACTGAATCGCGCAACAGCCCATACTTCTGCAGACTCTCAATGACGCTGGTATGGCGGATGCGGCGGGAAGTGCCGATAATGTGGACTGTCACATCGGAGCGAGCCAGGACTTCGGCCAAGAAATGGATTCCGACAAAGGTGTCGACACCGGTGATAAAGATGTCGGTCATCCGCTGCGGAGCAGCAGATTCCCCTCCGACAGGGATATGGTACCGGTCCTCCACGGGGAGCAGAGTTTCCTCATCCCAGTCAATTTGGAAAACAGCCTTCGTGCTGTTGAGACGCTCCTTCATCATCTCCTCGCTGATCTTGATCTTTTCCATGACAGGAGTTGCACCGCTTGGGCTGGTGCTGCCCGAGGTGACACGGAATGGGACCTCACTGGACGTGGAACTGGGAGTGATCGACGTTCTTGTTCCCGTAGACGAGGTGCTCTTGCTCGGGAGCTCGAATGGGATCCCTCTCATGGTGCAGATGTGCGCCATCACTCCGCTGGGTGTTGGTTCGTCGACGATATCCCGCAACGAAATCTTTACCTTAAACTTGCGGTTGATTGCGGATTGAACGGTGAGGAGAAGTACACTGTGGCCTCCAAGCTCAAAGAAGCTGCTTTCTGCATCGAGGATATGCGTTGGTTTAAGGTTCAGAGTCGACCGAAATAGCTGCTCGACCCAGCCATAGACTGACTTTGCATCGATCTCATCCTCTGACTTGCTCTCCTTACCACCATGCTGATGCAAGTGGGGGTAAACGAGATTCAATGGCATGGTCAGCAAACTCTGGCGGTCTGTCTTACCTCCAATAGTTTGTGGCAGGCAAGGAAGAATGTGATATCCACCGGGAAGCATGAAGTGGGTGAGCCTCCTGCTAAGGCCGCGGTGAAGTCGAGATACAACCTCATGGGGTGAAGTGACGCAGGAATCTCGCAGTACTAGAAAGGCGATCAGCTGCCTCTCGTCAGCGAGAGTATGTCCCGTAGTGCTGGTGTTCAAAGTGCGTGCCACAACGCAGGCCGCAGCAAGGTCCTTGGTTCCAGTAGCACCATCTTCAATCAGGATATTCTGCTCGATATCAAGGAGATCAAGACGGTATCCTCGAAGCTTCACCTGTGTAGTTCCCGCCATGCGGCCAATATAGTCGATCGTCCCGTTGCGGTTCAGCCGGGCCATGTCTCCTGTGCGGAAAATGTGAGACGACTGTTGTCTAACTGAACTATGGGCGAACGGATCAGGATAGAACGCTCTTCTGCTCTCCTTCGGTCGATTGATATAACTGTCCCCAACCTGGGGTCCGCCGACACATAGTTCTCCAATGACCCCGGCCGGGATGGGATTCAGGCCAGCATCCATAACATAGCACCAAGAGTGTTTCAAAGGCCGCCCAATGGAAATTGGCTGGTCCTCGGAGACAGACCTATCGACCCGTTGGAGGGTAATCTGGACCATAGCTTCACACGGACCATAGGCATTGTAGATAACCGCCGGTGTCTGGAGGCCGTACAGCTGTCGAGCGAGCCGGGGATGAAGGACCTCTCCACAGAAAAATGCCGTGCGCCAGGTGCTGCATCCACGCAGCTCGTCCTCTGCACCTTCCACTAGCACTGCGAATTGGGATGGCGTGAAGTAGGTGAAGGTGACGCTGCTCTGCTTCATGAACTGCGCCAGGAGGAGGGGGTCCCGTCGGGTAGCAGCCGAAGAGATGCACACCGTTGCGCGGACTAACAAGGGAGTGAAAATTTGTAAGACAGATAGATCGAAGCATATGGAGGTTGCCAGAAGGAAGTGTTCATGGGAGTCAAAGTGGAATTCTCCCTGGATGTCTTGGAGCATCGGTTGCGCGTTGCGGTGGCGCATCACCACGCCTTTCGGTTTGCCAGTGCTCCCCTGCCAGTAGTCAGTATTGACCTGTAAATTTGTATCCTCCTGTGATAGGAAGAGCAGACATACCGAAGTATAAGTGACGTAAAAAGGATGATCCGCTTCAAATGTTGCCAATTGAAATGATCGAACTGGAGGTTTACTGGTCACTGAACGGATATTGATCACAGTTTGCCTGAATCGCCTCTCCTGACCATTCGGCTCTAGATCAGTCACAATCAACGCGCACCCTGAGTCCGTAGCCATATACTGCAGCCTCTCTTCAGGGAAGTCGGGATCCATTGCCACAAAGGCGCATCGACTGAAGACGATTCCTATCATGCATACAAGCAAGTCAACGCTGGGGGTCGCAAGCAGTCCCACAGTATCTCCAGGCTTAGCACCACAGGTCTGGATGCTCGCAGCAACCTTCTTTGCCGCATCGACCAGCTGAGAGTAGGTCATACTTTGTCCATCCGAGTCGAGTAGTGCAACAGACGAAGGGCAAGTGACCGCTTGATGGCAGATGATCTGTGCGATGTCCATCTGGGAATCAAAATCGCTGGCAGGTTGACTTCGGCACTTCTCCAGAAGCGTTCTTTCCTTTGAACCGCAAATGAGGATCTCATTGATTGGCTGACGATAATCCTTGAGTGACGAGGACAAGCAGGTCAGGAAATTCTCAAGGAACTGATCCATATCGTCGCTGTTATACAACGCTTGGGAATACTCCAGATTAAACTTCAGCCCACCCTGTGCATCTTCAATTGCCTCAAAGCTCATATCGCACGCAGTAGGAATGTCGACAGTCTCATATCGCCCAATGTCAAAGTGCCGGGTGCTATAATTCTTCATGTGTCCGTGGCTCTGGTAATTGAATGCCAACTGGCCAAGAGGGAAGTGGCTGCTAGACCGTGGCACGGCGGCTTCTCGCACGATCATATCGAAAGGAATAGCGGCATGTTCCATTGCCTCCCAGACCCGGTGCTGCAGCTGTTCAAGTAGTGCGTCAAACGTAATGTCGGGTGATTCGAGGCGATACCGGATGGGAAGGAGGTTGACGTAGTTCCCCAGCATGTCGTGAACATCGGGATGGGGCCGATCACCGTGAACCATGTGGATGGTGAGATCCTCCTGCTGCGTGTAGCGGTAATGAAGCACTCGTAAAGCCGCCATAATGAATTGCGGGACTGTGCTACCTAATCGCGCTGCGATACGCCTCATGCGGGCAAGCAGGGGCGCAGATAGGGTGGCCGACAGAGACGATGTCTTGAAGGACTGTGTCTGCGGTCGCGGACGGGCAAATGGAAGCAATTCACTGACCGGTGGTGTCTCCTTGAACATGTAGATCCAGTACTCGAGGTGTGGTTTCATCTCCGGGCTGTGCAGAAGATGTTCGTGCCACAGAGTGAAGTCAATGTACTGCGTCCTCCGGTCGATCTGGACCGCATCTTGAGATTTCCCTGACACCACATCGTTGTAGGACGTGACAAGTTGATCGAGGAAGGCTTTTGAGCTGCCTCGGTCAGTTACAATGTGGTGCACGATCAAAACAATGGCATATCGGTCGGGTGCCATTTTCAGCAGGGATATGGATACCGTCTCGCCGGACTCGATATCAAGAACCCGGCTTCTGAGCTGGGCTATGCGAATTGAAACCGCCTGCTCGGAATTTGCTGCAAATGAGAGATTCTCAATCGAAATCTCGTAGTGGTCCTTGTTGACCACCACCTGTTCTGGAAACTCGTCTCCCATGACAAACGCAGTCCGTAGGACTTCGTTCTGTTGTCGTATTGAGGCAAACGCGGCCGACAGAGCGCCGATGTCAAGCTGTCCTCGCAGATGCAATGTAACAGAAACATTGAGTGCAGATTTATCCTCCGCCATCTGATGCATGAACCAGAACCGCGTCTGGTACGAGGACATGGGGATGTGCCTTGGCCGTGGTACCTTTCCAATGGAGGCCCGCTGCAACTGGACCTTCACAGCTGCGATAGGAACTGTTTCTGGGGACATTTCCGCTTGAAGAAGGCTTTCTGGAATGTCCTTGACCACCCTAGAAACTAGGCTAGCGATACTCTCTGAGCCAAGAATTTCAAATACCGCGACATTCACCTGGAGCGTCTTGAAGAACCAGTTGCGGATCTCCATGGCCACCAACGAGTCGAGTCCGTAGCTGACAAGCGCCTTGTCGGGAATGAGGTTATCCACTGCGACGCCGGTGATCTTGGAGAGAGTCTCAAAGAAGGTGGACATGACCAGTTCGGACCTCGCCTTGTTATCAGACGCTGCACGCAGTAGTGGGATGAGGTCCGTTTTCTTCCCACTCTTTGCAGCCGGACTATCTTCCTCTTCATCACATATAACAGCTAGTTGACGGAAAAGAGGTTTCTTGTGCCAGAAGCACTGTGGCCCTGTCACGCGAGCCCCAGTAACAATCCGGAAACTCTCCATGTTCCCGTCGTCGGAGGTCGTCAGCGAGCGTCCTGTCTGAACTGCCTCTTCTATCAGACAGAAGAATTCATACTCATTGACCGGATCGAAACCAGTCCGTTTCATGCTTGCCTCAAGCTTAGCATCCGCAGCGACCAGACCAATCCCTATCACCATGCCGATATTAATGGCCGTGCCACTTAGTCCGCGCTGTCGACGGCTCCGCATCAGGGCGTCCATGTAGGTGTTGCCGGCCACATAGCTTGCCTGGGCCTTGGTTCCAACCACTGCTGAGGCAGAGGAGAAGCAGATGAAAAAGTCCAAGTCCATGCCTGCTGTTGCTCGATCAAGGTTGTCTGCTCCGCGGACCTTGGGCGAGATTGTGCGACACCATTGGGAAACGGACATCTGCTGCAGGGGGCAGTCATCAATCACCGCAGCGGCATGGAAAATACCGCCTAACTGAGGCCCTATCTGCATGATGCATTGTCCCACTGCGGAGAAATCGGTCACATCGCATCGGTACACCGTTGTTCGCGCCCCTTTTGCCGCCAATCTCGCCAGCATAGCAGTCGCAGCGGCGTTTCCTGCACCCGATCGAGACATGAAAGCAAGCTGACGCGCGCCACGGAGCACCATCCATTCGGCCAGCTCAAGGCCAAGACCGCTCAGGCCCCCCACGAGAAGATACACTTTGTCCGGGGAGAAGATGAATGGGGTGGAGCCGAAGGATGGTGGCGAGACGCTGACTTGACAGCCGTCTTCGGCCGTGATGATAGTAGGCACAGTGTCCTGCATAGATGCCAGGTGGTCAAATGCAAGTTGTAGTTGTGAGAATGAGAATATCTTGGGCTCTTTGCCTCCAATATTCACGATTCTCTCTCTAACCAAATTGTGCGCGACTTCTAAGACTTCAGAAACCAGCACTGGTCGATGCTTGAGAAGACAGTCGAGGTCAATCCTGGCACAGACTTCGCTATGGATCAAGATTTCATCAGCCTGACTGTCATCTGCAATATGACTCGTGGTACCTTCAATGTCAGAGTAATCGATAAAGCGCCCGCATGGCCCTAATAATTCCCCATGATACCATCTTGGGTTGACCCCATGGTTGCTCAGGATGACGTCCGCTCGTCCGAACGTCTGAGTGCTCGAATTCGTAATTTCATCCAGGGTGAGAACAGTTGAATCCGGGAAGGAATTGAGCAAGCTCAGTTTCCCACTCATTGTATTTGCAATCGCAAGAACCGTTGCTCCGAGGTGCTGTATTCGTTAGATTCTGAAGTCACACTATGAACGTCGGGACCTGGTATGTACCTTGGCAAGCTGCAGAATGACCTGTCCAGTTTCACTCTCTGCCGAGAGTACCAGGACGATTTCTCCCGGGACGACGTGCGCAAGATGAACGAGGGCGTAGTACGCCATCGCCACAGAGGTGGGCCAGAGTACAGCCAGATGGAATGGTTCATCATCTCGCAGGCGGCGGCAGTAAGCGGCTGGTATGCGTAAACGATTTCGAATGGATCCCCCCAGAGGGCGGATGACAGCCACTCGGTCACCGAGGGTGAATTCCTCGTCGCGGATATTATATCCTTTCTGCACGACAATGCCAGCGCAATCGCCTCCTGCTGTTGTGAGACATGTGCTTTCAATCAGGAAGTCTTATGCATATACGTACCATATCGGGCATCAGATGAGTCCCTCTGAGCTTCCAGAGCGTCTTTCTGCATAATTTCGGTTGCCTTAACCTCAATCTCCAGTTCATCATCACCAAGTGCCGGCATCGACACCGGGTCAAACATCAAGCCCCGGCGGGGGCCAATGGCTGTTGATCGCAACTGCAACACTTGCTCTTGCGCTAATGGGGCCTGCAATGGCGATCGTCCGTAGCCGTTGAATAGCTTGCCATTGAGTGTGTCATCCATCTCCAGACGAGGAATGTAGTACATGCCGTTCCGCGCTGCAATTTCATCTTCAGCCGTGACCTGGGGGTTCAGGAGAGACTCCATCGCTTGGAATATCTGGGGAGCTTCACTGCTGGGGGCGACATCCAAACAGACGATCTGAGAGAGCTCATTTTCGCTTCGGGCCACGCGCAGCATTCCGTAGATCATGGCATGCTGTGGGTTGGTTGGCTCGAAGGCGGATCCCTGGTTTAGAATGTTAGAATAATAATTTTCTAGTAGAGGAGCGAGACTAAAGGAGCTTACCTCCAACACCCAGATAATACGCTTGCCATGAGTTGAGAGTAATTCCTTCATGCCATCGAAATAAGCTGAGTGACCGGAGTCCATCTGGTGAAGGAAGCACTCATCGAGCGTTTCCAACACGATGAGTGTCTCTGGCATATCCTGAAGCGCGACCCCATCCAGCTCAGTAAATGTAGTCCTCGTGATAGGACTACCTTTCTTCTCTAGAAGGCCGATGAGCTGCATCGTCCGGGAGGATGGGGCGGTCGTTGTCACGACCGCAGTCGGTTGAACAGCACCATCACGCCCGCTGGGGGAAGTTTTCTGCCAGCAGTCGATATGACCATGCTGGAACCGCCTAACCATATTGTGGCTTTCTGGTACAATTCTAGCGTCGCTTATGAGGACGCCGTTCATTTTCACGAGCTCTGGAGGCAGAGTCATCTGCTTGCAGGCAACGACCAAATCAAAAGACCTCTGGGATGGGATCTCGGACAGTATAGACACAGACGGCCAGTTCCCTAGTCTCTTCAATGCCTCCAACTCCTCAACGGTACTCACAGATGGAGAGAAAATTGTGATATCCTTGTACCTCTTTCGGGTACGAGCTTGCAGTCCAATCCCATTCACCAGCTGCTTGAACGTGCTCCCGACATCCGACATTATATAAAGAATGGAGGCATTGGGATGCTGATGAGCGAACATATCCAACAAGCTCTCCATCGAGAAACTAGCAAGATCATCAGCTGCGTGCCTCGTCGAACTCAGCAGATCAAAGCAGGGCAGCCACCGGACTTTCTGGAACAGAGACCGCTGGTTCTCTGCGCTCAAGTCCGTCCCAAGGGCTCGAAGTTCCAGTCCTTTCAGCGTAAGAAGAGATGTTTCCGACGCTTCGTACACATGGACACTCGCTATTAGTGACCGTCCAGAAACTCTCTTCGCGCGCGAAAACACCCTCATGTCAGCAGGACATGGCTTCCGTAGCAGCAGACCCGATATCTCAAGGGTGTCCACATAAACGGGCAGGAATGCTTGCGTGATCGGCCTCCCTAGTTCCGCCTCTACTGCAGCGAAGATGGGATGCAGAGTTGCGTCCAGAAATCCGGGATCCAGTAGACAAATGCCGGATGACTCTGGAGCCGGAGCTGCGACGGTAGCCGTAGCGAAACCAGCCTGAGACTCGATCATTCCCCTGAGCAGCTTGAATGGACCATCATACTCCAGACCGAGAGCGTGGAGCTTGTGATAGAAACGCTCGTCGGATACGGTCCGAGAGGCTGCGATGTCCAAATCGGTCGTGACATCCGCGAGAGTGCTGGTCTTCGATAATGCGTCAGGGGTGTTGTCATTGTCGATGCTAACAATGCCATGGCAATGCTCCCTGGAATTGCCTTTCGCATCAAAGGAGTGAAGGATAAACTGCCATTCTCCGGCCCGTGATCCAACCTTGCCGGCTAACATCCGAAGTTCAAATATTATTTCTGTTCCGGTCTCATTGTCGGAGAGCTCAAGCGCAGCTTTGATATGCACCTCCCGGAACCTGAAAACGCTCACGGAACCGACCTCCTGGACCCGGTATGCGGCCTCTGCTGCTAAACTGAGATACCCGGCCGCCGGAAAGATCACTCGACCCTGTACCCTGTGACCCGCAAGCCAAGGAATCTCTTTGAGGCGGAGATAATTCCGCCAGCGATTCGTCTGGCTTGTCGAATCCGGTTGGGGAGCACCCAGAAGAGGGTGACGATACTTGCGTTGCAAATATGCGGTAGCGAGGCGGGTTTCAGCCCAATATCGAACATGATCCCAGGGGTAAGTGGGAAGGTCGTCGACTCGCTGTCTCAGACAGGTATCGTAACCGTTGACTTTATCCATATCAATTGGGTATCCGAGGGATTGAAGCTGCCCTGCTGTCGTGAGCAAAGATTGAAAATCGTCAACACCACGAGAGAGAGTTCCCACATAGGGGATTTCAAGGGCGAGTGACGCCAGGGTCTGTCGAACAGGCCCTCTAAGGGCAGGGTGAGGCCCAATCTCGACAAAGGCATCAACCTGGACGTGGTCGGCCTCGTCAAAGACCGTTTCCGTCACCGCATCGAAGAACCGGACAGGCGAGACAAGGTTGTCTACCCAGTATTGGGGCCCAGCTGCGCGTTCATGAAGGCGACGACCCGTAACACTTGAGACCATGGACACAGCGGCTGGCTGAGCAGGGGCAAGATGAGCACAGCCCTCCATCGCTTGCAGATAAACGTCAGAGAAGGGAAGCATGTGATGCGAGTGGTAGGCCTGTTCCACCACCAGGGACCGCGCAAAGAGCTTCTGCTGTGTCAGCGTCTCCTTGAGCTCCCTGATAGCATCCAGGTCACCCGACAAGGTAAGACTCGACGGGCTGTTGATCGCTGCCACACAGATTCGACCATGGTAGTGTTCAAGCGCCTTTTGCGCCTCTGCCTCGGTCATTCCAACAGCAAGCATGCCTCCAGGGACCCGAGGTGTGTTCGACGAATCTTGCGAGGTATATCTTCCACGGTAGTATGAAATGACGGTAGCGGAAGAGAAAGAGATGAGACCGGCGGCATACGCTGCGGCGATTTCTCCAGACGAATGCCCTACTGTTGCAGAGGGTTTGATCCCCCACTCCTGCAGCTGTGCTAGGAGTCCTAATTGAACTGCAGTGCACATGGGCTGGGAGAATTGTGGCTTGTTGATCCGAGACTCTTCTTTGCTCTTTTTCAATTCATCTGCAAAGTGAGGGTTAGCTGCAATCCTCGGTCAGCTAATAAAGGACATTGGATAGACCTACCGATGACGGTCCAGTCGGGTGAATCGGGCAGGCTTTGCAAGATTCTATCATACTCGTCAATGGCCCTGCGGAAAGGGGCAGAGCTATCCAACAAGGTGGCACCCATACGTGCCCATTGTGCTCCCTGTCCGGTGAACACGAAGCCCAAACGCCTGGTCTGTTTAACTGTGTTCCAGACCAGGGGCTTTTCTGAATCTCCCAGACAGGCAGCTGCTTCTGCAGCGGATACTGCGCTGACAAAGGACCGTTTCTCATGATTGGCACGATGATGGCTGAGGGTATATGCCAGGTCGGCCATACTGACATGCGGATGTTGAAGGAGATAGTCTCGCAACGCCGTCGCGACCTTCTTTCCCACCTTCTCCGAGTGCGCAGCGATGGGGAGAAGATATCGACGGTCAGATGCGGTATAGTTACCAGGGGCATTGTTTCGGGAACTGTATGCCTCCACGATAACATGGCAATTGGAGCCTCCGTAACCAAAAGAATTAATACTTGCCCGACGGCAGGGATGGTCAGCAGGCCAGTCAACCACCCGAGTAGGGACGTGTAGATTCCATTTCTTAAAGTCAATCTCCGGGTTTGGCTGGATGAAATGCATGTTCGGAAGAATCTGGCCATTCTTGACGCTCAGCGTCGCCTTGATCACAGCGGCTAAACCAGCCGCCCCTTCAAGATGGCCGATAACACTCTTCACGGATCCGATGTACAGGGGCTCTGAGCGGCCATCGTCTGCGAAAACGGCTCCAACCGCTCGAGTTTCCCGTGGGTCTCCTGCTTTGGTTCCCTGAGATAGTCAATTTTCGCTTCTCCCTTGACAGACAGATTGAGTGGCCTACCGTTCCATGAGCCTCGAAGTATACAGTATCCTTTGTCGATATCCCGGCTCTCCGATACACGTCCCGCATAAGTGCTTCCTGGGCCGCCGGATTGGGCAGCGTGATTCCGTTCTTGGTGCCGTCATGATTCGCCCCAGTGGCTCGAACCACTGCGTGAATGCGGTCGTTGCTTTCCTCGGCATCATGTAGCCGCTTCAGGATTACCACGCATATGCCCTCACCTCTGGCATATCCCTTGCCATTTGCATCGAAGGACCGGGATCGTCCATCAGGGGACAACATACCGAAATCAGCCATTGTCACAAACATGTTGGGATCGAAGTGAAGGGCTGAGCCAACGACTATTGCCTGTACTAAGCGTTTACAATCTGATGTGTGAGGTTCGGATGGGGAGGATACGTACCATATCCGATTCGCCGTTGCGGAGGGACTGGCAACCTAGATGGAGACAGATCAACGACGAGGAGCATGCCGTGTCCACGGTCATGCTCTCTCCATGGAGATCATAGAAGTAGGAGATACGATTGGACAGGATCGTTTGACCGGTACCTTGGGCAATGTCAGTGCCCGTTCGACGTATCCAACATGGCAGAAAGGAATACCTGTGACCGTGTATGTAGGGTACGAGGCCATATCTCGGTCAATCAGTTTCCCATAGTCATTGGTAAAAGAACCACAGTAAACCGAGGTTCGAGAACCGGCGATCTGAGAGAATGGGATTCCCGCTGAGAGACGTAAGTCCAAGTCTCCCGTCCATGTTCAAGGCAGAGGCCTACCGTCTTCGAGTGCTTCATACACCACTTCTAAAGCAAATCGTTGCTGAGGGTCCATCGCCTCAGCTTCCTTTGGGGAGATGCCAAAGAAACCGGCATCAAAGTCACCCAGGTTCTGATCCAGGAAATACCCATACGGTGCGTTCAACTGTCCCTCTTGTCAGCTGCCCGCAAACATCTCCAAGTTCCTCACGGAGTAGACATACCGTGCCCTTGTTCTGCCCATTGGGGTGGTAGAACCCATCCACATTAAACCTATCAGCTGGCATCTTCCTGCGAAGATCCCTTGGTTCCTTCATGAGCTGCCAGAACTCGTGGACAGTCTTGGCCCCAGGGACTCGGCAGGCCATTCCGGTGATTCCCACAAGGCCTGCCTGGGAGTCGTGAGCTGGAGAAGTAGCCATTGCCATGTCGATGAGTCAACATATGAGGAAGAGAGAAGCAATGGAGCAAACGGGGAGCTCTTCAATCTCGATGGGTCAGTTACTCTCTGGTTGCTTGACATCAAGGGCAGAAGGCAGACAGTCAACACAGCTTATATACCCATCCATCAACGGTCAACCTCCGACATCGATGAAGAAACAACCACCTCTGGTTATCCACCGGCGCTGCCTCCAATGTAACAGTCATCTCGCACCTCGTATAACCGGAAACACGCTCTGAGGAGAGGAGCACTTCGGCACGAAACTAGGAGTGATGGAGAACAGCCACGAAACTTTAGAAAAGACGTATCCCGTGTTGGGCTTCTTGTCTCAGACGTAGGGCGGATGTTTCCCGTTCTCGTGGCACCCTTGGAGCATGCGTAGCTGGAATGGGGAATGAACATCCACATGGTCTTGAATCTTGCATAAGTCAGTGTATAGTTCTCGTGGTACCCCTGGGGCATGCTTAGCTGAAACGGGCAACGAACATCCACATGGTCTCGAAGCTCGTATAAGTCAGTATATGGGTTTGCCAAGACCTCTGCCATGCTTGTTCCCATACAAGCCTGGTCCAGTCTCCGCTAGGGTGCAGGAGTCGGAATAAATGAATATCATATTAATAGAACTCGGTCCGTTTCCCTAACTAAATGGCATGGATCTTTCCCGCCCTAACATTACACTACCACCGCTACGCGGAACCCCGTTTGGTAAAGCCGTGCGGCAAGGAAGAACAACATCCCAGCCGCTTCCATCACACCACAAAACACCATCAGCCCAGTGTACCTCCCATTCCATGCGGAGATCAGTCCACCCCCAATAGGGTTACTAGTGAGATTCGCGACAGATGTCACCGCGTACATGGCGCCGATCCGCACTCCGACCTTGGATTGATCGGAAATCTGCGTGATCAGCGCCGGTGCCAGCGAGATGAAGGCGCCGGATGTGAGCCCAAAGGCCGCAGCGAAGACGACAATGCCGGCGTTGGTGGTGACGGGAATCCAGATGGCCAGGACGACAATCGCTGTCAGCCCAGTCATGATAACCATGCAGTTGTAGCGACCCGCTTTGTCGCCTACCGCACCTGGGATGATCCGGCCAAACAGACTTTCCTGTAGTCAGGCTCTGTGTCATCGACTATGTAATGGTGGGGATAGCACATACCTTGCGGCATTGAGGATGGGCAGCATGTACAGCGCTAGATCGTAGTTCATGCCCCGGTAGATCGCTTCCGAAATCACGTAGTTGATGGGCGGGAAGAGACCGAACGAAAAGACGAAGGCCCCCATGGCAGTCAGACAGAACAGGGGTTCCGTGAAGGGCATCACCAGGTCCTTCGGGCTACCTGCCTTAGGATTAGGAGGCAGACGGGTGCGGACAGTGACGTTGGCAACAGCCAGGAGGCCAAGGATGATGAAGGCGGAGGTGCGCATGGTCCACGGAAAGCCGATCTCTGGCAGGAGCTTGTCTATCATAATTGGGAAGATGACTCCGCCGAGACTGGACCCGCTGGCGACGATGCCGATGGCCAGTCCGGCTTTCCGACTGAACCATGTGCTTGAGGCCCCGAGAGCTGTCTACGTTAGCATGTCCGGTCCATTGCAATTGACAAAAGGAACGTCCAACCGGCGTAAAAAATACAACTAGCCCCGATACTGCTGCAGATCCCCTGCGCCAACAGGAACTGGTAATACTCCTGGCAGAGCGAGGTCATCATCAGCCCGAAGACATGCAGGAACGTCCCAATGAGCAGCGGATACCGGGGACCATGCACGTCGCAGATTTTACCTAGGATGGGCCCCTGGTAGCGTCAGCCTCGGAAGACTGCCACGTTGGCAAGGAATATGGAGTACAAACCCCTAGGAACATGATGAAGACCTCGAAGGATGTGATCCACGCAATCGTGCTGGCGGAATAATTCTTCAGCTGGTGGGTCTCATAATATGTCTGAAAGAGTCCGATGCCTGTTATCCGGTTAGCATGTTCGGAACAGCGCTGGATCGTTGCATCTTCCTCACAATTGACCCAGCCAAAACTGACAAAAAGACACAGGAACGATCCGGCCACCACAGTCCAAGCCTGAAATCCGCCGTCCGGAGGTGGACTCGCACCGTGAGGGTCATCGATTTCCAAGGCATCCTTTGCATGCATTACTGGGGTTATTTCGTCCCCATTGTGCATTGTCTCCTGGCTCATTCTTTTGTACGGCTGCGGTGATAGCATGGTAGATGAAAGAGGGACAAGAGATGCACGGTGTTACGGTTGCTACTTGGGGGATATATATACGCATGTGTCGACTCCTAGCAATAAAAAGAAACACATCTGTCCTACGATGAGTTTGCCAACAGTCAAGATCATCTGTCAAATCGGCCGTAGGGCAAACGGCCGTATGGAATATGGCATACAATAAACCCACACATAATTCTGTTGGTTATCTAGAAGAATTCGCCAGATAAAGGGTCGCCATAGCAAGACTTCGACTGCATTGAAAAGCACGGACAGAAGCCGAACAGAGACTAATTAGCGATCAGTGATTCAGGCTTCCAAGCTCGTACGGCCGTAAGAGTGTGGGCTAGGCAACCAGGGTCCCCAGGTCCACAGTTACGGCCGTAAGGGAGCGGGACCGGGACGGGCAATTAAGGTACAATTTGCGTGCAGGAGCCAGATAGTCAAGCCCTGCCGTAGTATAGCCGACGTTGCCCCGTAGCTGAGAGCGAAGTTCAAACAGGAGAATTGAACAGAGTAGCGAGTAGCAATATCTCCAACCCTAGATTGCACGGTCAAGGGAGGGCTTTTATCTGCGGTTGAGCAGGGGTCCAGAGAAGGCCAACCATAGGAGCTTCTCTCGCCTGCTACGATTTTCTTTTTTTTTTCTGGTTAAGCCCTTGTGAGTACAGTTTTAAGAGATTACCGTTAGGCTATTAGATTATGTGTTAACGCCACCTTCGCATATCACACGCATTGATATAGTATACTCGATATGAAAAGGTATGTGGTGTTGAGGATCTTATTCTACGAATTACCCACCAAAGCACGAGTATCCCTTGGCCACGAGATCTCAAATATATAATTTCCAGAGTTGCGACTTTCAGAATGCACCATCCATGGCATTACGATGAAGTGCATCCCACTCTGACTGTACGCTGTTAGCGAGTCCCCGAATGTAAGGTAGAGGAAACAGAAACATACCCAGTCAAAATCCACAAAGGACGATGTCAAACTATTCTCGGGCAGATCGATATTGATCAAAGATTCTGTATCTGTGAAGGATGCGGGGTGCTGCAGCGGAAGCAGCCATGGGTCAGGCCCTGATGCAGCATACCCGGTGAGGTCTGTCTGCCCCATACCCTCATTGAACAGGGAATAAACAGCATTGGACGCTGGTTCGTTCTTGGGAAAGTTGTTCTCCAGACTTGTGGATTCTGGCCGTTTGGCTCCGAAAGAGGGAAACGACTGCCTCGTGACCCTACTGCTCTGGACCGGCATGCGAGCGCGCCTCATACGCCGATACACATCAATGCGATCCCGCAGCGCTGTCAGAATAATCCGAGATTTGCGATTCTGGATGGTCAGATTGCGGTCCTCCTCTAAGTCCGCCACAGTTGTAGTTTCGTAAATGTAATCGAGGCAAGGCCAGATTCGATCTGCCCCCGGACCGGTGGGCCGCAGATACACCTCTAATAATAGCAGCATCGAGACGTGATACTGGTGGTAGGCTTGGCTGTACCAGGCCCACAGCTGCAGCTGCGGCATGGTTTCCAACGCTATGGAGCTCTCCAACTGTTGTATGCCCGTACTCACCACGAGCTGCCGCAGCCGGGGAGGGGGCTGTACGATCAGGCCCCGGTAGAACTGGTGCAGAACGGCCGTGTAGAAGCGGTTTATCAAGAGACTCATCAGGTTCTTGGCGGCTATTTTCAACGGCGTTCGTTCTGTCTGGCCGAAGATCGGGTTGTACTGGGACTCCATGTGTTGACGGAAGGTTTCGATCTGCCGTAGGGCCTGGGACAAGGGTAGCTTTTTCTGCTCCAACTGAAGCCGCGCTAGAAGACACTTGCGCTGCATTTCCTGACACTCGAACCGAATGCGTGTATAGGTCATATCTGTCCACACCAGCGGATCACTGTCCACCCCGGCTGCGATCTGCTCATCATCCAGATTGACGGGTAGCTCCACCGAAAAGTCTTCTGGCCGAATAGCTACCCGTGGACCTTGCACTTCGGCTGTTCGAAGGTCCAGGAAACAAACCTGGTACCATGCCAACCGGCGGACATGGCTTTCAACTGCCGAGTACTGCGACTCCCTTGGATCTCGGTGTAGCCCCAGAGACTCCGCCAAGCGCACCGCCATTCCCACAAGGGCCGAGTGCGCCCGGGAAATCTCGCTGCGGCACATGGGAATCTTCAGCTTTTCAGTAACGAATTCGCTTAGATGAGAGACACGCTAGAAAGCGGGGACATACCAGATATAGCACAAAGGCCTGGAGCGTCTCCAGTCTGGTCGTCGACAGTAATCGCGCATTCTTGAGGGCGTTTTCCGTTTCGAACTGCAATTGGTTCTGCAGGATCTGCTGTGGAATGCCAAACTGGTGCAAGACCCGGGATGTCGACATGCTCACCACCGCGACGAAGAACATGGAGCAAATCAGTGCTCGCAATGACGCAGGCGGTCTTCCTCCCGTGTTAATTGCTTCCCAGAATGTCCTGTAGCGCCGTTCAATACTAGGTTGGTGGACAATGCGAACGATGGGATGCACCGCCTCCCAATACTGCTTTAGAAGGGCATCCGCCATAGGTCGCCGCGAGGACCAGTCAATCATTAACGAAGTCGGACAGGATTGACTGAAGAAGAGGCCTGACTGAGGCGGAATGAACGAGGGGCCAGGGCCAAAATAGAGATCCTTCTCGGCCGCACTGAGATTGTACCCGTGGTGAGTGCGTGGTGCACTTGGGCCTCCCGTTTCGTCCAGAAACGCGGACAGCTGAGGAAAACAAATTCAAGTACGTCAGAAGAACTCCCCCCGAAAGTAGCCCGGTGGTGTAGACGGCATGCCTACCTCGTCTGCCATCTGCGGGTGAAAAAACCCTCCCACGCGCTCGTTCACGCGCATTTTCCCAAACCGGAACCCCAAGTCATACAGATCGTCATCCGAGTCATCATCTTCCTCATGGGTGTATGCTGCGTCCTGGATCCCCAGCAAAGCTAATTCCAGTGAGGTGACGAGCAGATCATCCTCATCCCCACCCTCGTCCTCATCCTCCGGCGATCTTGACCCCGATTTGGTAGATTTGGCGACCGCCGTATTTCTCTCGAGACTCTTCTCCAGCAGTGCCGTTTGTTCCTTGACTGCCGTGAGGTTTTTATGGGCGCTATGGTGCGAGTCCAGTCGCAAGAAAACGCATTCCCGGCCGGCTCGCCCGCAGTTAGAACAGGGCTGTTGGCGGTTGCATTTCAGCTTGCGCTGGCGACATGCGAGGCAGGAGTTGATGCGGCGGTTGCGGCGCCGAGGGTTGTCAATAGTTAATTTATCCGACTTCTCCATCGCGGGCCATGTTGTTGGGCTTTTTGGCTGGTCTGCTCGTATTTGTACATGGAGGACAGATCGAAGTTTTTCTTTAGCCTGCATGTGCCTCACTAAGCCATTTTCCGATTAACTAAGATAGCCCACCACCCCTGAACTAATATGTGGGAATGCGGCGCAGCCGACGGACTCACCATGAAACTACACAGGACTGCAGCCAATGGACATGCCATGGGACTTCCCTGGACTACTAGCAATTGCTGTGAGATGGAATGCATAAATGTACAACCTGCAGCCTAGGCATTCATTTCCCTTCCCTCCTTGACAGCCCTAACCACTAACACCCCCCTTGCAAACATAATTGCTGCAACCAGCAAAATGCCTCTACCAACTCTGTATATACTGGACTTGGCTTGATGAGGATAGCAATCTGTGCTCTTCTACTCTCGGCCACATACGTGGTGGTGCACACCAAGAAGAAGATCGGAACAATGGCGATTGGAGACCTGGCAAGGGGTCAACTGGAGTGCAATGGGAAACGTATGGACCCTTCCAAGCCTCTTTGCTGATGCAACCACAGGCTCAACGGCATCGTCAGGTTTGTTTCAAAAGGGCATTTTCGAGTCGTAAAACGGTAGGTTCCGTGCCTTCTCTTTCACCAATGTCGCGAGCTAATGGAAACTTGGCATTGGTTCGTCACCTGGACTCACCTGGACTAGATTGCCGCGAAAGTACCAGCACTAGGGGAGTGACGGGTTCGACGTGGTTGTATTCATAAAGGGGTCGGCGGAGTTGGTCCCTATCTAGCTAATGGAGATCACGTGACTACTCAACAGCTTTTCTAATGGAGGTGTATCGTTGGTTGGTGACTAGCTAGATAGACCTACGTGGTGAAAAGGGTCAGCGAGGGCGGACCTATGCGGCAGAATCCCACGTGATCCAACATTTTCGAACTTAAATGCCAATATGCGCTATTCCATATAGGGAACAAGTGTATTTTAACCAATGTTTCGATCCCAGCTCCTCTGAACAAAACAATTTTGTATTTGAGTCATCTGTTTCATTCCCGTGTTGTTACAATTCTAAAAATAGAGCCCAACTGCCATGATATCACCAGGTCAGGAGCCATGAACATTCAAACGATCCATCGCAAATGGCGAAGAACCTCAATTCCCGGCAGCGTAATATGATTGTTCATATGATATACAGAAACAAAGCACTCATGATATCACAAATTGCCCGGGCAGTGAAATTGTGAATGGTCTGTGACTACGATATGCAGGAAGATTAGATTATTCTGCAGGGCCGACCGCCGACTATTACTCCGGTGATGCTTGATGCCCTCTTGATCACCTCGCCGAAAAAACCAACCCTATACGTTCATTGGGGCATGCGTGTAGTCAGTTCCATAATGATCTATATCCACGCTTCTTCCATGTATTTGTCTTGTCCCATGCACACATAGTCCGTGTGTGACCATATAGACCTAGGACACGGGAACGTGTATAGGATTGACGTCGTGTTTTTACACTTTATTGCCCTATTCCCTGTCCGAAATTATTTGGTGGTCATCTTCCGTATCTACAGTTCTCTCTTCTGATCTTGGACCGGCAGTAATAGGTCATAAATTCAGTTAAGGTTGGACCAGGTACAGAAATACAGGAGGTAGCCCAAGGAGCATCAACATATATCATCTTAGAAAGTAGGATGCCCTCTACCAATAACCATTTCTGTGAAGTCAGAACGATCCTTTCAGGGAAGTCCTCCTCCTCCTCCTCTTGACGAGAGGTCTTTGAGACATCCTGGTAAATTTTCCATCTCCTGCTTAAGTGCGTCTGGGTCGTCACATTTCTGAGCCGTGTCAAAATCGATCAACGTAGCTTTAGAGTCGTGAATGAGGAAGTTGAATCGATTTGTATCCCCATGAAGGATCCCCAAGCCATGTAGCCGAGACAAGACCTCCCTGCAGATTTCAACATCCTGAGCGCCCGCGTGCCTCGCGTTGGTTATGTGTTCCATTAAGAATCCAATCACCCGGCCATTTTCAGTCACGTGACCTAGAAATTGGGGCCCAATATCATATCCCGATATCCATTGATATGCGGAGGTTTCGTTCTCAATGTATTGAATTTCCCAGGGGAAGCGTGCGAATTTGGCGACAACAGTACAATCGAGTGATGGGCACTTGACCTCGTAGAGACCTGTTCGTAATTTTCGTCTGACTGAAAGCCCCAAGTAGTCCACGTATGTCCCATGCCAGTGATTTTGCACCCCAGGGAATTGAGTGGACTTGACGGAAGCAAAATATGCTCGGCCATCCTTAGCGCCTTTGGTAACCAGTCCATCATTCCAATCTCCGGGCGGGAGTTCTGGCAAAATCAAGGTTAGAGAAGGGCCAAAGCACATATCTTCGGCGCTGTAGACGCCAGGGTCGATGGTAATGTATTTTATAGATTGATTATTGACCAGAAGGCGAAGATAGCTTTGATCAGTCTCGTCAACTTCAGCTTGAAGTAGATCGATCTTTTGCAGGTTGTCCATTCCGAAGTCAGAAGTTTCTCGTTTAGATCAATCTTGAAGAGGGGTGGGACCGCCACATTGGAATCGCTCCTCATATCTATTTGAGTCTTGCAGCAGGACCCCGCGGAGTCAGCAACCGTAGGATCGATCCACCCAACCCTGAAACGAGGCGATGCTGAAGTAGCCGCACCCCGTACTTAGACCTGCAAGCGGATTTACTTGCTGTCCAATTACGAACATCCATCGAACTCATTGGGCAATAGGTTGGATGGTGGAGGCGAATCGCGGCCTAACCAGAGTATTACATGGGCGGGCCACTGATGAGGGCCAGGCCTCATTCACCACTTTCATAATTGGCCCACATGGTTCTAGTGAGCCTGTTGACCAGTATGAGAGCATATTTGCAGTAGCCAGCGGTTTTGGTATCGCAGGAGTGATTCCATATTTAAAGCAAGCTCTGCATGGCTATAACACGTGTACCTCCCGTGTTCGCCGGATACACTTTGTCTGGGAAGTGAACAGTAAGGTAAGTGTATCTCGATGCTTTGAGGCCAAACTAACCTGTGGGCAGATCTTTCCGTAGCTGCTCAGCCGTGGCTCGATGACTTACTGATAAACGACGTGCTTTCGGCAGACGAAATTGATAAAGGTCCTGAAGGCCAGAAACCTAGGAAAAGTGCCAAACAAGGATACGTCGGTCCCACTTCTCCTGTCTGTAAACCATGCATCTGACTACTTTAGTAGATCGTTGAGATATCTTCGTATGTGACCACGGAGTCTAATAAGCACGTGGTGGACATGAGTGAGCACAACAGGGTGAAACTCTATGCGGGGAGGCCGAATCACGAAAAGATCATGTCGGAGGAGTATTCTGGGGATTTTATCAAACGAGTGACAGACACTGAAGAAGCGAAGGGGAAACTTCTTGTTCTAGGCATGATATTCGGTTGTTGCATGATTTCGTTTAGCTAATGGTATCTAGTTTCCGGTTCCAATGAGTTGAGGGACACGTTAAGACCGATTGTCTGCCAATACTTGGGTGGCAGGGTCAAGATGCACGAGGTGGATTTTCAGCCTATGTAGCAACATATGCCTCTTGTAGTTCGCACGAATGATCGGTTGTTTACTCTGTGATAGCCACTAGGAATTAATATACACTGCCCACTATCCTCGCCGCAATCAACGCAAACCGAATTAAGTCAACCAATTCGCCCCTAGGTGGACGATGGGAAACAAAAGAAGCTGCCTCAGTTCGTCTATCGAACCAGCCGAGGAGGTTGCTAGCAAGAATCGAAAGGCAGGGGAATCAAGCGGCCAGCCATCGGTGTCTTCAACCCCTATTACGAGATTGCCATCTCCCCTATCATCCTTCTCATGTTTTTGCATAAGAATCATGGTAATGTTTGTTAATGCTTTGATCATTTCGGATTGGGAGTTCAAGGACCTTTCTACGAAAACTCCAGAGCACCTGGTGGGTTGTCAGCAGCGCAGCAATTCTGTCATGTACAAGATTCATACCGATTCTTATATTTCCAACCAGATCAAGAAGAATGTTTGAACAACTCAGCGATCTATGCTCAAATCCAGCGGAGTTTAGGTATGAAAGGCCGTCAAGAATCTTCGTCCTGTCAGTCTCAGCTGTAGTTACCGGAACATTAACCTTACCTGTCCAATAATCAAAGATAGCTGCTGGTGCGTAGGATAAACATTGCCGCACCAGACAATATGCTCTAGCGTAAGTGGGTAATCACGCATATGAGCATACATGGTGTCCTTGGTTCGATAGCATTCTTTGACCATAAGAATATTCCCATGCTGTAGGTTCCTGAAGAGATGCAGCATTCTATCAGAGTCCTTGGCAGCATACAGCCGTATGGCCACCACATGGGATGGGCGTAAGCGGTGAACAGCAATAATTACTGTGCCCGCAAGGTCACAGGTGAAGGCCTTTCGAAAGGTATCCCATGGAGATTCATTGTCCCGCAAGAGCAACCCCTGAGGCACCAAGACTTGAGGGAGGCCCAGGCTTTTTAAGGAGCCTGTCACCAATTTCCCAGCAGGCATTCCAGAAATTTAGGGCCACGGTTTTGCAAAGGCGTGGCTGTTGAACAAGAACCACCCAGGGACCGGCGACATCACTTGTAACACACCGTGAACTTCAAAATTAGCGAAATCAGTAGTCATGCATTACAATATGTCTAATGATACGGAATCTGAGCTCGCTGTGGAACGGAAGAAGCTGTATCAAGGAACATTCAAAATTCACCTGGATCAGATCGTTGCCCACCCATCCTGCCGGAAATTGAATGAGAAAAATGGGATGCGACTATGCAACATTTTCCATAAGGAGACTTGTCGACGGTTAGACATCGGAAATCGGGTCACAGCTGTGGTGTGCCGGCAGCATCTAGAAACTGCTCTCCGCGCTGCGGACGACGAGGAACGGGTTGGAAGCGACTCTTCTGGTTATAAAACTCTACAGTTTGCCGTAGGACAGGTGAGATGTCTACATGGCCAGCACCGGCTTCGGGCAGCAGCAAAACTTCTCCCGGTGACCGACCGTTGGTGGTTGGTTGACATATATCTCGATGGTACCCACATCCCTTAGACAACACGTTAAATCTTGCAGACAAACTTACAGCCTGCAGATGTCAGCCCAAGCCTTCAGGCCGCACTCGTGGATGAATATGCGAATGAGCGGACTCCTAGTGATGGTGAAGTCTACTGCAAGGTGCGCCAGTACCAGCATGAGGCCAACGCTGAATTCGAAGGGATGTGGATGGCCCGGCTCTCGGGAAACAAAGCCAGGAGATTCCAAAGTCTGTCTTCCAATAAAGCTATGAGAGCTGCATTCGACGGATTCCTAGCAATTCCTGCAATTTTAGAGCAGGGAATGATGTTCGGGTCTCTGCCCTGGGTCTTTGCAGCTTCTGCTGACGAGGTATAGCCCGTCCCAGTCCTTGAGCGATATTGGGATTCTCATCATACATAGGAGGTCATTGTTGTCCTGGCTCAGTTACGAGAATTTTGGTCATCGCTGGTGCAGAATGACAGCGTGAAAATGTTGAAGATTGACTCTGGCACAATCGAACGCCTGCAACTTCGCGCCCCAGGAGTCTCGGACGAAGACAGAGACCTTATTTATGGATGGATCTCTAGCGGTCAGGTATTCCCAAATCTGACTAAACCTGAGCGTGACGAAATATGGGATATTCTAAAGGGAAGGAAATCAATTATTCCATCACTGTACACCTTTTCCCAGAATATGCGGTACCTTGCAGCATGCGCCAAGTGCATGAAACGCTTAGTGTCCTTAAGCAAATACCATCGGACTATTCGAACAGCCATGTTGAACATATACAAACCGTCCTCCGAGGGATTTTTTATTCAAACTTCAGAAACTGACTTCCGAAAAAATTATGCTTCCCCCAGGGAAGGTGCAGAGCTCGCATACGAGCAGTTATGGATCTTCTCCATGCGCCACTATTCGGAGATGACCAAGGAACCAGAGAATGACGATGTTATCGCAAAGCCAGACTATCAAAAGCCAAATGAATCGCTCTTACATCGTATGGCTCTTCTTGCAAGGAGGCTGGGCTTTGACTCAGATGAAATCAAGGGGCTTCTGAAGCTCTCTCCCGATCGACAGATCGCAAAGTCTGCTCTTCTTCAGGCCAGGCCGCCGGACCAATATCAATACAGCAACGATATCTTTGAGTCCCTTGTGGATCGCATCGTCGAGTCTTTTGACTATGTGGCACCGGGTAACCCACCTCAAAGATCAACCCTAAGCGAGGAGACAAAATTGAGTGCTCGCCGAGGGTTCCCACACAAAAAGGCTCAAAATCTTGATCGGCCGGTTCGATTTATTGATCAACTTCATGCTAAAATCCCAAATTGTAGAAAGGTAACTACATTCTTCATAAGACAGTGTATATATTTTACATTCTTTGGCAAGGTCTCGAGGGGGCTGCTACTCGATACCAACCCATGCAATCGTGAAATGCCCCAACGAGCTACCTCCCCTCTTTTTGTTCCAGATACTGAGGAGATGGAAATGCCGGATGCTGTCAGAAGTTCTGTTGACGCTGAGATGCAGAGAGGGAGCCTGCAGGAAGAAGAACGTCTGCGAGAAGAACAACGTCTGCGAGAAGAAGAAAGCCTCCGAGAGGAGCAGCGTCAAAGACGTCCAGTCACTCGACTTGATTTTTCTCAAGCCTTTGACAGATTGGAATCAACAAAGACCTCTAGTCAGTCATATTCTCAACTACCTCTACCGCCTAACATATCTACACGGCAGGATATTGACCTAGAAGAGCAAGAGGAGCAAGAGGAGCAAGAGGAGCAAGGACAAGGAGAGGAAGCAGAGGAAAGAGAGGAGCATTATCAACAAGACGTGCGCCAAAAAGACAACCAGCGTCAAAAGCGACCTGTCACACGAGTTGACTTTGCACGCGCTTTTGAAAAATTAGCTCAACAGAATAGTCCGCCTAATTTTTCTACACAGGACGGCCAAGGCATACTGGGCACTGAAGTCCAGTTTTTCTCCCAACTGGAAGGTGATCCGATACGTCTGGATCACTGGTCGTTTCGGGTAAAGGGGTCGTTTTGGGTGAAGGTTCACGGAAGTTGATGCGTTTCTGTAGTGTCCTTGGCACCTCCTGATGATAGAGAGCCAGTCGCATCTCAAGAGATCGGATACGATCCTCTAGAAGCTCAGCGTCACTGATCTTATCAACATCCCGATTCTTGAATTCAAGGTCAGCAAGAGCTTTTCTCTCCGGAACCACATGAGATATGTCAGGTTCGAAGGTAAGGGGTTTTCCATTGTAGTTTCCCTCGACAATGCAGTTTCCAACATGCATGAAGAAATTCTCATGCTGCTTATTTTTGGTGGCTTTATGCAGCTTCTTCCTTCTCACTCTCACCTGTCTCTGGGCCCTTTCAAATTCAGAGTATAGGGCGGTCCCTCGACCCTTGTGCAGCTGATGATATTGCGCGATCAGATCATGCTGGAGTTGATCACGCTTGTGCTTTAGTTCAGTGAGCTCAATGAGTTGCTCAATCTCTCGTTTCTTTTTATCACTCAAGTGTTGGGGCACAGACGCGTCTCAGGTCAAACTTGAATTTGTTGCCAGCTTAATCAACGCATCTCTGGTAGGGGTGCCCATAAAGGCGGATTGGGTATCGTCCTGGACCTGAACATAGTATGCAAATGTGTGACTCCGGCTATGGCCCATGATCACATTTCTGGAGTGCTCGTCCAAGTGCCCTTTATAGATATTAGTACCTGCATGGTTTCTCTTTCATGTACAACTTACTAAGATTTGCAGCCGCCCCTTTGCGGTATTTATACAAAGAGCCAGGGTCCTTGGAACCATCTGACCTGCTTGTCGCGACTTCATCTTCCTGGAGCTTTTTATATGGTAAGGCACTTGTGGGGTGAGTTATCCACTTTCCTTCTGCATCCTTCACGGCGCGACAAAATATCGGGATCTCTTGAACTTCCTCCTTGAAATGAATAGGGGTACTGACTCGGTGATCCGGTATGTGGGTGTAGTGCCAGACATCTCTTGGCTCTTTAATATAATCACTAGCAAATGCATCATCGCGAAATGCAAATTCTAATATGTCTTGAATGACACATAGACCCAGGTTGTCGTTTCTTTTCGTATAAGTAAAGACTGGGCTTATAAGGGTTAGAAAAGTGTATGAGAACAGGGTAGAAGACTTACGCCACACCCTTGTTTCTCTTGCCTTTGTTAAGCCGGTGCCTAACCCTCATAAGAAGTGTCGGACATGCCGGGTTTTCCGGGTGCTTTACCATGTAAAGCTCGATATCCTTCCATTTTAGAGAGTCGGAGCTCCTCATGTATCCCTGAGACTCAACCAAAGTCCTGGGGCGTGTGGACGTTGACAACATCATCTTCCTAAGGCAACTGTGTTGATGTCGACACTGAACAGTCGCGAAATGCACGTTTGACAGTGCCATGATGTGGTATGTCTTGTACAGGAGGTCATCAATGTTGATAGGAGGCTGTGTCTTTGCCCCCATATCAAGTTCGTACTCGTCAGTAAGAGTGGTACATACCAGCTAATCAAGTCAGTTTTTTATCATTCATGATTAATGGTAGCAACTTGCCCTTGTCATCCTCTGTCTGAGGTCGTAAGGGAAGAGGCTGTCCATCTCCTCACCAGAAGATCCGAAAGTATCAGGCGAAGACCAAGAATCCAGACTGATACTTTATATTGTGTTCACTGAGATACCAGCGTAGGAAACCTTCAACTACCCTCAGTGTGATATTTTTGATCCAGTATTCGTATTTTGGCGGGTTTAATTTTAGATGAGAATCTGTAATAAACGCTGAATCAGCGAAGGCATTTGCATAAAGAGAAGAGACTTACTTTTGAAAATTTTGCTTCACATGGAGTATGTGACTCTTTATTGCCTCAGTAAAATTACCCTCTGTTTTATTCTCAGGCTGCTGAACAAAGGTGTTCCAATCAACATCCTCAGGTAATATCTTGGTTCGAGGCATGCTAAGTAAATAGCAGAGGTAAAAAGGTTCCAGGAGACAGAAGTAGTAGAACCTCTAATATTTATATAACTTCTTATGAACAAAGAAAGATCCAATCATGGATCTACGAGGCTGCATCTTGGTCTTATATATTCTTGTCTGCTCATCTAGTGTACTTTGCTTTCAATGGAGTGTTCAGCTGTTCGAGCTATGCTGCTGTGGAGATTGCATACCTTCTGTACTTTCTGTCCGTTGCCCTATCTATACTATTCCACGCAAACCATGCCGCGAACCCGAGAGAAGGTAGCCCAATTTTTTTCTTTTTCGGGAAAAGAGTAATCTCAACTGCGATTTCAATTAATTGACTATGTTCGATGTTTTCCTCTCCTTCCCCCAAGACCTACGGTGTTCCCCCTTCGGAGCATAGAAGACGGTCCGTGGCGATCTCTCCAGACTCGATTTCTACTAAGGGAGAAGCAAAGACAAACACGAGAGACTCAAACACCAATTGCACGAAAGGATGGCCCCATAATGAACTAAGTTTGGGTGTCAAGTAATGTCGTGGGTACTGGACGAAGGCCCTTCGCAAAACCAGCAGACGTCGCAGTCCTGATATAACCAAGGCGAATGGGGTGTCTAGAATGCGCATGTAGCATTTCTTTGGCCAGGATTAGACGGACTTATGGCGTTCTTATAGAATACGCTGTCCAGCATTTCTTCGGTCGGTCCCTTGCACGATGGTAGAATGGTATGGGACCCGTCGAGAAGGAGTTCAACCACGACCCAAAAAGCAAGATGGCAAAATGACTTCAGGTGTAATAGGATTATCCATATAGTTCAAAGTATTATACAGTCGATTGACGTCTAGATCTAGCTGTGCATGATCCATCGATTTTCCCAAGTCACGAAATGCAGGTATAGTATCAGCAGCGCATCGTATAATTTGGTTTCCATGGGGAAACGTCATATTCTTCACTAGCATCCTCTGTACTCGCCCAGCTGCCGCAAGGTTCCATTTTATAGTCATGCACCGTGCCTATGCTTCGGTTGGGTAATGCCATCACGGTCGATGCGATTGATTAGAAACAGCAGAATTGGCGGTAGGCTGCAGACCGTCTCTGGGTCCCCATCAAAGAATTGCTTTATTGTGGAAGATGTTGTACTGGCAACATATAGAACGGAATTATTCCACAGATGTCTGCTTCAACCACAGCTGCGAGTACTTCCCTCCCAGATCTAGCAATTCCTTATGCGTTCCCCGCTCAACCACTCTCCCATTATTAATCACCAGGATCAGATCTGCGCTTACGACAGTGCTCAGCCTGTGTGCCACCGTGAACACCGTCCTGCCCTGGCCGAGGGTCCGAATTGCCTGTTGTATGACGGCCTCGGTATCCGAATCAACCGAACTTGTCGCCTCGTCCAGAACCACAATCTGCGGCTGACGCAGGATGACTCTTGCAATTGCTAGACGCTGCAATTCGCCGCCTGAGAGGCGCACTCCACGTTCTCCGAGACGGGTGTTGTAGCCGTCTGGAAACTTCATGATTTGGTGATGGATATGCGCACTCTTGCAGGCTTCGATGACATCGGCTTCGCTCGCGCCGGGGCGCGCATAGATGATATTCTCCATGATGGTCTGGTCGAACACGGAGGGGTCCTGTGGCACAGCACCCAGGCTCTCTCGGAGGCTATCTAGAGTGACATCGCGGATGTCTTGGCCGTCGATAATGACACTGCCATCGGATACGTCGTAGAAACGGTATAGCAGCTTGAGTATTGTAGACTTGCCGCCACCGGTCTCACCCACCAGGGCAATGTTCTGGCCCGGCTCGACTGTAAACGACATATCTTGTATGATGGGCCGGTCCACGCCATACGCAAAGTTGACATTCCTGAACTCGACCCGTCCGCCTTTCCATTGGATGTTTCTGGCCCCCTTCTTGTCCTCCACCGATGGCTTGGTGTGCAGCAGTTGGTACAGCCATTCCGCATCAATCACATGCGTAGTCATCTCCCTCACTGTCCATGATAAGCTATACAACGGCGACCGGATTGAGTCCCAGTACGAAATGAGAAACACAAAACTGCTGAGCTTGGCTGTCCCAGCGGCAACTCGCATGGCCACCATCGAGCATGCAGCCACAAGGCCAGCGTCCATCACAAAACTCTCAGTAGCGCTTATGTAGCCAAAGGCATCAAAGTATCGTCGTCGAGCTAGGAGGTTTTTCCATACCGATTGCGAATAGCGCTCCTGCTCGAATTTTGCACGGTTGTGGTACGCCACAGTCGGCCAGTTTGTAATGGAGTCATAGAGTGTCTCATTCTCACCACGGCTGGTTTCATTGAGGTCCCGCTCATAAGCCATGGTCAGTCTGTTCCCCTTGAATGCAACGTACGCGTGCACCATAGCCGTAGCGACGATGATGAATCCCAGGCTCGAATCGAAGTAGGACGTGAGGTAAACGATAGCCACGACAAAATCGATGGCCATCGGGGCGACGCCAAATACGCTGTCCAGAACGGAGCTAAGATTGCTGCCTTGTTCGATCGCTTTAACCACTCTTCCTGAGCTCTTGGTTGTGTGGTAATCCATGGAAAGCGTCATGACGTGTTCAAACGCAGCTCCTGTGAGCCTTCGGTAAGCATACTGCGAGACACGAAGAGATGCCATAGACTCGAGCATGCGTGTGCACGCGGAAAGAGGAAATTGTAGAACGCCCCAGACAGCAATTTCCTTCCACGGCACAGAACCCGTTACCGCCATTTCGCTCAGAGACTCGGTGAGAATGCCCAGCTGTCGTGGGATCATGAGCGTGAGGACACGATCAACGGCCATGCAGATTGCCATGATAACCAGCCATAGCTGCGTCGGTAGATCCTTGTACGGCACAATGTACGGAAGGAAGATAACAAAACTCCTCAGGTATCCCAGCCAGCCTCCTTTCTCCTCGAGCCTCCGCTGCTGCTGCTCCTTTATCTCCCTCTCATCGTCATTATCACCGTCTTCCTCGTCCTCCCTCAGACTGCTGCCTTCTCTATCATCCCCAGGGATGGAACCGTACATCCTGGTAGAATGGGAATCGGCATCATGTCGCGAGCGCGAATATGCGCCTCCAAGTAGGCTCTGTCTCTCCTCGTCGACACCACTTCCATTCGTGTCATCGCGCTGGATGGAGCAGAGCGTGTAGATCGACGCTGCGAGCAGGACGACCACGCGAGCAGCATGGACAGACAACCAGGCGATATACCAACTATTCTCGAGAGAAATATTCCCAAAGGAAAGCGAGATGAGTCCAATGTTGATGATAGTACCAAAAGTCCAGGCGATAATATACGCAGGCCAAAATGGAGACTTGCTTTCCACGAGCACGACGCTCACAGTAGCCCATACCAGAATCGACACTAGAGCATAGCCCTTTTTCACCGTATTAACAGCGCCATCTTAGATTTTGGTGTGAGAATTGGTGACCCACCATGGAATTTCGGCCTAAGACATCTGGAGACGCAAATCGACTCCGTAGCGGATACAGAATTGCCTCCGACACCTGCCGACCACAACGTAAGTGACATTCTTGTACAAGAAAACAGAGGACTGAAACGCACGCACAAATGTTAAACAAACAATTGGAGACACGAAAAGCAGCGTGTTCCTTGCCTTCTTGGCGATGATATAGCTCGATCGTTTGCTCTTCACCTGCGTCAGCAAGCGCACTGCTGGGATTGTCGCGAACAACAAGACAATTGCAAGAGGACAGGCTATGTGCAATGCATGGACGAGCCATTCCCCCATGCTACTTCCTGGAGTGTTATCCATTGGCTATTTCGCTAGAACTCGCGGTGGACGAGGATTGTCCAGGCAGCGATTGACAGCCGCAGGAGAAAAATTCAGCTTGCCTCGGGCACGTGCTGTGAGGCTGCAGCTGTGGTTACGGACGCCTGCGCGGAAGACAGGGCGAATCGGACCCCAGAGGGAGAGTAAGGAAGGTCATAATGCTGACAATGTTACTGTATAGAGTGGTTCTAAAATATGGTTCTAAAATACACAGGAGAAAGCATAGAAGGGAAAGTTAATATTCAAAATTGAGGCACAACGCCGGCAAAGCATGCTATTTATAGCAATGGCTTCCTCCGAATAGCTTCAAAACTTGGCGCATATCGCCAGCAAGGACGCGTCTCCGTCTCCACTGACAGTGGGACATTCTTCAACGGTCATGGCCCATTACTCCCTCTCACTCACTGGAGTGGGCTCAGGAGATTGATTTCTCCACCCCCAGGCTTCGATCTCTAGCCTGTCTGGGGAAGTCTGCATATCCTGTTCCTCAGGGGACTGTCATATCTCTACTGTCTCTGGCAGTTCAAGCGCGTGTGGGAAATGGCAAGACAAGCCGACATGGTTAGCACATGCACGGCCTGCAGCACTGTTCTGGTCATCTTCGCTAAACAGTAGGATCTAGCTACGTCGTATCGCGACCTTTTCGAGACGCTCTCGGAGTGTACCATGCGCATGGTCTTCCAAAACAGACACCTCTCTAGACAACCGCAGCAACCCACGACGGACTGATAGACCGATATGAGCGTTTCCGTGCACTTCGAGTCAGCTGCGCAGGATTGAATCTTAGGACTAAAACAAATGTCCATGCCGCAAGAGTCAGAGTGGTTTGTCCAGGGATTGCTCCAGGGTGATATATTCCTTCTGAACCCTGTTTTCTCAGGTAGCGCAATGGTATTCGATATTTGTCGAATGGGAACCGTGTTTACTCCTTCGGAACATCTCGCAACTCGGGAAAGGCCTCTTTCCCTCCGACCATCGAGGAAGGTGTTTGGATAGCATCGAAAAATATCAAGCATCTTGCATCTATGCTAATAATATCACTATCGCCTGACGGATATCTACTCACTCGAGCGTATTTTTCGGGTCTTAGTACCTTTTACTGAGCATGATACAGAAACGCCTGGATGCAATGGTATTCGCAGGATTACGACATTAGATTATTGCTGCCTAGAATTCTGTCTACTATTCTTCTATTTTACCAGCTGCGTTGTAGCAGTCATGGAGTTGTAAATCCGCCCGAGAATTCCCATAATTAACGTCAACAAGCACCAGCTCGTCAAACATGAACCGACGCACCAGTGCTCTTATTCGCGAACCTTTTCCACAATGAAGACCAAATAGAATCCTCCCCTGATGCCGTGTCATTCCTAGGCGCGCCGTCTATGCTCCTTTTCTTGCTGGCTAACTCAGGCACAATGTGACTGCTGGTGTGTGGCAGAGCATAGACCCTCATCAGAACGCAGCCCTGGTGGGTGTAGAACACGTATCCGCCGCCATAGCTAGTCCTTGACTTCTCGGTCTCTTCCATGCAACTAATGTCACTCGTCCACATTCCAATGCAGGTCTTGTATGCATCGCTATCTTTGGGACCGGAGAATACCCATTCCGTGATAGTACCGCAACCTGACTGGTCCTCAGCCCAGTGCATGGCCACATAAGTGTTGCCGTTCCCTTTTTGAACTATCCCTCCCGTGTGTCGAAGTTCGAGGACACGGTGAGAGCGACATAGTTTCACAACAGCCTCCATGGCATCATCCACGGCGAAAGGAACGTAGCCCATGGACTCGGTGAAACAGTAGGAACTGCCAACCTCGAAACTTGTATGAATCGGCCAGTACGCGGGAGATGTCCTGGTAGCTACAGTAGTCGTTATCGTCGTCGTATCCAGTTTGGAGGGTGTGACCAAGTTGGTAATTGTAGTAGTAGAGGTTTTGATTATTATGGTTTCCGAATGCGTTGACGATGTTGTCGGTGTGCCTGATAAGGATATGGTGGACGTGAAGGATGAGGTCCCCGTCTCCGTAACGGTCACAGTCGATACCATTTCTGACGGCATAGAGGATGAAGTGGCTAATGTCCGTGTTGATGTGATTGTCATTGTTGTCAATTCCACTGAAGCTGTGGATGAGGTGGAGGGACTCACAGTTGTTGTGACTGTGACAGTTGACACCGTTCCCGAAGTTGTTGATGAAGTTGATGAAGTCGTAGTGGAAGAGGTGGAGGGACTCACAGTTGTTGTGACAGTAACAGTTGATGCCGTTCCTGAACTTATGGAGGAAGTCGACGAAGTCGTAGTGGATGTACTGGATGGACTCACGGTTGTTGTGACTGTGACAGTTGACGCTATTTCCGAATTTGTCGACGAAGTCGTCGTAGTAGTGGTGGATGAGGTGGAGAGACTCAAGGTTGTTGTGACAGTGACAGTTGACGCTGTTCCTGAACTTATAGAGGAAGCCGATGTTGTTACCGCAGTGCTTGTCTCTGTGATTGTGTTTGAAGTGATCGAGAACGTAGAAGAAGGTGTCCTGGTCGAGGAGGGGGTCCAAGTAGTCGTGATGGTCGGTCCTGACGTCGTCAAAGTAGCTGTTGTTGTTGCAGTAGTTATCACTGTAACTGTTATCTTTGTTGCTGTTACCTGTGTGGGCGTTGTCTTAACCCCGTTCCAAACCTCTTGAGCAGCACTCCACAATTCAGCCGTGTTTGTATTGTACGTGCCACACTCAATGCCAAATAAGTTCCCAGCCGGCGTATAGCTAGTGCGGATACGGGTTCCAGAGGTGTCGCATCCCACAATTTCTATTCGACATTGCGCCGATATTAGCAAGAAAGATACGATGCCAAGAAAATGATCGGGTTGCCATACCTTTACAGGTCGATGAGCACGAAGTAGTAGGGGATGCAACAGCGCAGACAGTCCTGCATGAACTGTAGGTCTCCGTTGAGCAACTCGATGTTGACGGCGTATTCGAGGGCGTCGGGTCCTCCGAGCCTCCAATGTTTCCAGGGCCCCCAACAGGGGGTGGAGGAGGGGGTGGAGGGGGTGGAGGAAAAGCAGGAAAAGGCGGTCCTGTGGCAAATCATGTTACCCATGATCACGAAAAAAAAGGACAAATAAAAAGGAGGAAGAGATTGATGGGAGTGATATTTACCGGGCCATGGTAGACAGAAAATTCCGAAAGGTCCGCATCCATTACCATCGTCATCATCACAACGATGGAAAATATCACCAAAGACCCCTTCTGTGCACTTCTTGCCACATCCATGGGCCTGTGTGCACCGGGGGTTAGGTGGGCCAGAGTTTTGAGAGACAGAACTGGTAATCAAATCGCTAGATGATGTGTAGTGGCCACCTGGTTCTGAAGTGGAGGTCATCATCGTAGTCTGGCTTGGATATGTAGAAGTTGGACTAGGTGTTGGCTGAGATGCAGAAGCCGACGTGCCTGTGGTCTGGCTAGTCCACGTTGGAACGGATGTCAGTCCAGATGTAGAGCTAGACATGCTCATCGTCGTCTGATTTTGATACGTCGAGGTGGATGCAGACGTCACTTCTCCGGATGTAGGGCTTGTAGTATAGCCCGGATTTGATGTCCACGCCGAGCCAGGCCATGGGGGTGGGTAGAATGGCCGAGGACTCGGAGTGCTAGCAATGGTAAGGTTGTCGATGACAGTTGGATCCGTAATACTGAAGAGAGGACCAATAACTGATGGCTTTGGATGGATAACTATCGGGGTAGTGTCAGAGACAACCACATCGGACAGAGAGATGATGGAAGTCGTGATGGGAGGAATGCTGATAGTTGTACTAATGACGGTGCTGAAGTATATAGAAGTCGACGAGGCAGTTCCCCTCCAGGTTAATACTGTCGTATTCCACCATCCAACCTCGATTGAAGTGGGCAACGGAGGATAGACTAAAGTAGTGGGACTCGGCAGTGTAATAGGCGGGAATATGTATGTGCATGGGGGGAAGCAGGACACGTTGGCTCCCGGCGTCTCCCAAATTCCTGGATCGAGCGTAACGTCGCCCGAGCCTAACTCCATGGAAGGTCGACCAACATCCCCGCCGCCAGTCGAAAGTTGTAGCCATGCCGCGATTTCGCTTGTGTAGCCGTCCGTGGCGGTGGTGTTAAAATAAAGGGGAGCCAAGCCACCGTTCGGAGAAACAATCTCGATATTTCCCTTGGTGAATATATTGTAAAGCCACAGACCCGTTACGTAGTCCGTCTGGATGAGAGAAAGCTGGCATGTCTCAGTCCTGATGCAGCTTCGGTCAAAATGCTGGAACCATGAATACAGGCCTGCCGAGTAGATGAATATATCTGAAGAGTTCAGCAGTCGTAAACCCCAAGCTCCCTTGCACAAATCGTCAGCGCAATCGTCGAACAGCGGATCAAATGGGAATCCACCGAAGCCGGGCATATACGGCGCCAGAGCATTGGGCTTGGGCTGGTAATAGGGCGTCTCCGTTTGTACGTGGCCGAGGTAGATGTGGGAGGCATTGAAAATCTGGTATTGATACAGCTGCGAGTGTTCGCTCGTGGAAGCGTACAGCCATGTTGGTCCTCGCGACTCGACGAGGATTCCACGCGCCCCAAAGACGGCGAGGTGAGTCTGGACATTGTGCGGGATGCCAGCGTCCGTCTCGATGGCGAGCGAATTGAGGGGGTTATCGAGGTCATGATCTGCCACCCATGCCCATACGTTCTCAAAGTATCCGGACGCCCTTGAGGTGATGTGAAACATCAACGATGCAGCCATACAGCGCGCTTTCTGGGAACCGGCAGGGCAATCTGCTAGCTGTAAGTCGGTACCAGTGGCACCGCCGACACGGAAGTGGCTGTCCCACATGCAAGCTATGAAAGTGAAGTTAGCAAGGACAGTACGAACAAAAAAGAAAGATAAAAAAAAGCCAACAGAAAGGAAAGTATAGGCGTGTGTACTGACCACTGCCCTGAGTATCTTCATGGACGTTCCACTCCACCAAGACGGCACCTGCCATCGCACCCTTGACGGTAAAGAGAATATCGGAGATTTCAACAGTACCCCTGTCGCCCTTATTACCTACCTGGACAACGACCTTTGGGTCATCGGCCTTCTCAAAATAGGAACCAGTGGCCATGATCTGACTCCAGCCAGATCCGGTAATGCGACTGCCTACAGGGATTTTGAGTGTTCCTTTGACAAGGTAAATGCCTGCGGGAAAGTATATAAGTGACCCGACATTCTCTGAGAGCAGGGCATTGATGGCATCCGTCTGATCGCCCGTGGCGTTGTTGGAAATCCCATTGTGAGTTACCACGATAGGCTTGTCATTCTCATAATTCGGTCTTGACTTGGTGAAGTATGCATCTTCAGATAGCAGTGAGGCGGGCTTGCTCGGGGTAGGATCCATAAATCCAGAGTTAAGTATCCCTACTCCGTCTGGTCCGACTATATAGCCACTGGACCACGAATTAAAGAAAAGAGGGCTATCTGACCCATTTAAAATAGCAGGTCCACCCAAGGGAAGAATAACTATAGGCGTTTCCTGGACAAGGAGGTTATCAAGCACGATGTTAGGGCGCTGGTTGTGCTTTTCGGAAACGGTAATCGCATGTTGGACTCCTTTGAACCGGGAGTCGATAACGGAAATAGAGCCTATGCCCTGTGATCTTACTGCCCCTGAGAATGTAGTGGTGTCGATTGCAATGTTACAAGATGACACAGATATGCCCTTCCAATTAAACCCCCAATTCCAGAGGTGCTTGATAGCCGTTCCGCATGAGCTAAACTGCAGGTTCCTGGCAGTGAACTGCTGACCACCGGCGACAAAACCGATATTCCTGGTTGGGCGAATAAAGTCAGTATTATGACATGCACCAAGTACGAGCTTGTTTTGGGTACGGAAACTTACCCTCCGGAAAAGGTCAGGTCGGAGACAAACCCGCCAGTCCCAGATTCCATGAAGATACCTACGGCAGTAGCTGTCTGATTTGCGGTTGATGGAGACATTTGAAAGTCGCAATTAGTAATACTCGATGCCTGGCCAACCTGCCAATGGATGCCCGTGGGGACATGGACTTCATCATCCTTGTCTGGACGGATCCGGTCCATTGCCGTCATATCAAAGACAAAGTTCCGGATTTGGCGATAGAAATTGTTCTGACTGATATACCACTGATTGCCGTTGCTATCAGGGATATCCATGTTTGTATCAATCAGAGCAATACCAGTAAAGTTGTGGGAACCCTTGATTGTTGGCTTTCTGGTTGGATTCCCAACGAACTGCGTATAGTAGTACTGGATGATCGGTGAGCTAACCAAGTAGGTGCCTGGAGGGAAGTACACGAGGGCTCCTTGAGTCGTGGTAGAGCCACAGCCCAGACCACAACGTCGTACAGTCTGGTTGTGAAGCCCATAGGTAGCAGCAGCTCGATTAATTGCCTCGGTATCATCCGTGATGCCATCACCCACAGCTCCGAAATCTTTGACGTTGCGAAAGAACTGATAGTCAGATGGGGCAAATGGCATCTTCACAGTCCAAGAAAGTAGCAGTTAGCAATTGGAGAGTAGATGAAAAGACTACTGTTATAGGAAATGAGAAAGTTTATCTCACCACACCAGCACTTCCATGTACAGATAACCAGTAATCGTCGGTGTTGCTGTTGTAAACAGCTCCCTCAGGAACAAAACCCAACTTATCAAAATTACGAGGGACTGTTTCCCATTTATCATAGGCATTACTCCCCATAACAAGAGTGAGTGGCTATGAGGCCAAGAGGCATTAATCGATGAACAACATCCAGCTCCTGCTTTCATTGAACTCACCTGTGGCATTCCAGGAGGCAGGGGGGGATCTGTGCCAGCAACAGTTGGTGAGAGTATACCACTAGCCATAACATTGAGGGCTGGGCCTACAAGGAGCAGACCCAGTCTCAATGTCTTTGCCATTGCTATTACTTCTTTTTATTCTTTTCCTTTATCTGTTTTGGTTAAATGGTGCAATGATTTGAAGTGGTAATGGGAACAGAGGATAGAGAAGAGAAGAGGACAAGGATTAGTTGACGGAGAAAGGTGACAGATAAAGGTGACGAACACGAACACAGTGGTGAGAAGGAGAACAGGGGAAGGAATTTGTGAGAAGTTTTAAGAAAAAGAGTGCGAAAGTGAATGGCAAGCCCTGATCTAGTTCTATGTCTATAGGTGATTCTGCGCTAAAGATCCTGACCCCTGCCAAGACGGGTATAGCCGCCTCGCTAAGCTGGTAGCCCCATAGCTTAATGCTAGTCGCTGTTAGGGCTCTATATACTGCAGTGAATGGATCTATGGCATTTTGCAACTTGTCTGCTCCCTCCTCGCTTTCTGTCTTCAGTATTGTCATCAATTTTTAGGTATCTTTGCTAGCTAATTATCCATCCCAACACTCATTTTCTCTCTGATCATCCTACTCTTGCTTGACATCCATTATTCTCTCTACCCCCTCCTATCTAAATGAGGATGGGAACAATGGCTTCCCTTTGGAAGCTGCTTCTCCTCCTCATACTCACTTCTATAATGGACAGTTGCTCTGCTATGCCACGTTTTGGGAATGCAACTGGTCCTCCATTGCCATCCCACTACTTGGATAACCTGACTGCGTTAACCGTTGCCCGCCCCTTACCCGTCAACGCTTTGTTCAACGTCCGCCTGGATACAGCTGAGAATGGAGGCTGTGCTGCATGGGGTGAGGATGTGCTAAATATATTCATTCAGACTGCCTGGGATCTCTCAATTGCGGGCCTTTCTGCTGCTGGGATCCTCAGGCAGCCGCAAACTTCCCCCCCAAGAATCGTTGCCCAGGCAGCAAGGCTACTTGGTACTTATTTTCAGGGTGTGGGTATAGACACGCCTGATGAGTTGGCCATAATAGAAGGTGAGACTATCTCATTTGTTGCCTCTTTAGCATTCGTCCAGTCAGGGCTTCCCGTACGCCTGGCTTCGGAACCCCCAGCAACTAAAAGACCGATTCTATCAACTCTAGGGTATTACCAGCAGGTTAAAAACTTCCTGGAACATGGAGTTAGCGATGAGTTCCCAATCAACGACGGGCAATCTACCCGAAAGCCCTGGCTCTTCTGCGGAGACCCGTTTGTCCGACAACATATGCATGATGTCTTGCTTGACAACCAGGGGAACGTCGTGATGGATGAACGGGGAAATCTACTCTTGATTAACGACGACCGTACAATGCGGACTGAGTACAAGCGGCTGCAGAGAACATATCGTGTCACTATGTATCCGGTAATCCCCCTTCCTTACTTTTCTAAGCTTACTCGAAGTAAACATGCGGGGCTGACTGGTAAAATGCAACCTGTAACAGCACTGGAGCCATGATATGAAGCAATATATTTGGAGCCGGTCGTACGGTGCCAGCCCACTGTCGGGGTACTGTTATGCTAACCCAGCCGGAGGTATTACCTGGTTGGGTTTGGGACACACTGTAGCAATGCAGCTGTGCTATGACGTAGACAGGGTCCAAAACCAACCTCTGGGTGCCATTCCTCCAAGACCTGTTCTTGCCGATACTCTTGGGGGCCGAAATATTCCAGACGGCGCACAGTTCATCGCCGACATCGTCCCAGCCGGATACAGATTCACCCATGAGCTCTTTCACCTCGTCTGGGGCAACGCAAATTCCGTGCCACGCCAAGGTGAGGTGTACGATGTTTTAGAGATGCTAGGCTTTCGGCCCATCAATGTCAGAAAAGCGGATGGGACAGTCGTACAGGAGAGGATTAGCCGGGACACTACCCTGATAAATCCCCCCACATATACTGCCGTCGCGTGAGTGTCCTATGTCCTTTAACCCTAACCCCTTTCCCGTCGTCTCCTTAGCTAAGCGAGGCAAATTCATTCTAGTCTCTCATGGTGGTACACAATGAATAAGCGCACGGAATATGGCCATGATGTGGAGTTCTACTCTGGGATGTGTACCTATGGTGAGGACTGATGCGGTGGAGGAGAGTCGCTGCTGGGGGCCGGATGAGGTCATGCCTGGATTGTTTTCTACGGATGAAGAGCGCGATACATGCAATCAGTCTCATCTCCGTCATTTGAGTCGAGTTAACACTAGGGTTTCAATCATAATTGCCAACCTGTATAAGCTGGACGACTATTATACTCATTGTGCCCATGATGGATTCAATAACCCTTCATAACCTGGGAATGGGGTGATACTAGACACATCACCTCCTGCTCCAGGCATCCCCCCTCTGCATGAAAATGGAAAACATTATCGGCGCTGTATTATTTTCCACAGCAATGTGCATGCTCACAATAGCCAATTACATGCCGTGTTGATCCGTTGTCATCAGAATGGAGTATAATTGATGACTGCGATCCATTATATGGGCGACTATAATTCTATGATTCTCGACGATACATCCATGCCTGGACGCCATTACTGAGTGGAAAGCTGCATCTTGAACTCGAATAAACGAGCAAACAACTTGGTTGAGCAGAGCTACCTACGAGTAATCTAACCGCCTTGTATACCTCCGTAGCTGCCTAATCAGGCAGTCCTCACTGCTTCAATACCACCTTCAGGTGTGCAGATGCTGGAGGCAGCAGAGTACGGATATTTTACATCCGCCTTTCAGTGATCAAACCCATGGTATTGCTGAGAGTCACTTCGCAGCCGGGATAGACAAAGTATTGGCGATAATTATCTATGTAGTCCTTCTATTTGGTTGTCGGCCGACTCTTATCGAATCCTCTTTTCTTATTGTTCTTGGGTAAGTATGCCTCAAGAAATAGGCGTATGTGCAATCTTATGCTATATACAAAGCGTTGGAGAAGAGTCCGTGCTATAGACAAGAAATTGGCGCGCCTGACAGCTTCCATGTCTAAGAAGCAGGGCTGGGGGGTAGCTCTCCGTTCGTCCAGTTGACAGCAGTGCTGCCCAGCTGGAACTCCAAGGTGCCTCCATTCTCGAAGACATCGTTCCACGACAACCAGTTCTTCGTCCACTTCCGTCCATTCACCTTCAGGCTCTGTACGTAGAAGTCCGTGTCGCCATTCCCATCGCCACCCGTCGAAGTGATGTGCAGCTTCTTGTTATTGCCCAGATCGATGGTGAGCGACTCAAACCATGGCGAGTGGATGAGGAATGTCGTCTGTCCTGTAATCGGATACAGACCGATCATGTTCCACAGCAGCCAAGTTTCCATGGCTCCAGCATCGCTGTTTCCGGGGAGTCCGTTGGTCCCAATGCCGTAGTATTGTTTTGCGACTTGCCGGGATCGGGAAACGGAGAGGTCCTGCCGGTCGACGTAGTTGTACAGGTATGGAACATTGAACATCCTGTGTTTGGGTGGTTAGATGTGCCAAATTCGTGCAGTCAGAAGGGACAGAAACTAACGGTTCATTTGTAGGGTCGAAAAGGATGCCGCTGGAGCCAGTCGCCCCCTCCTTGAACATGGTGTCTAGCCGATCCCTGACCCTTTCAGGTCCTCCCATCAAGTCAATCATATGTTTCATATCGTGAATGCTGTTCCATGAGTAAGCCCAGGAGTTGGCTTCGTAGTATGGGTCGCCCCAGTAGCCTGTATCATGCACTGGATCGGTACTGAGAAATCCGGATTCATCACGCGGGACGACGAAGCCAGAGAACCCCAGGGAGGTGGCATTGGGATTCCAGTGATTGCGCCAGTTCCGGGATCGGTTGAGGTACTTGTCAGCGTCATCTGCTTTCTCCAGTCCTGATGCGACCTGATACAGGCCAAAGTCGTTGCAGGAATATTCCACTGCGCGAGTGACCGCACGGGTGAACCTGGGAGTGATATAGCCCAGGCTGAGCCAGTCGGGGAGCGCACCGCGTCCCTCGTGAGTAGAGGAATCCGAAGCCATAGGATCTGCTGGATCATTCGGCGGCGCTACTTCAGCGTCCTTGACCATGGCACGATATCCGTCCTCCCAGTTCACGGCACCGCGCACACCCTTGACGTAGGCATCGGCCAGGACGTTATCTGCGTTCGAGCCCCCCTGCGTACGGCCATTGTAATTGGAAGAGCGAGCGTCGGGGAGGTAACCATCGTGGCGCCAGATGTCGATCAAAGAGCGAATTTGTTCTTCGTATGCTGTCGGCTGCAGGACCTGCATCAACGCGGTTGAGCAACGGAAGAGATCCTGCTCTGGTTAGTCCATGGACATGGTCACATAAAGGGAGGATGTCAACGAACCCAGAAGGTGAAAATGTCCTGATAATACGGCTCCGTTGATGTCCAGCCTGGGTTCTCCCCGGTCTGGTTTGTGGGAATCAGATGCATGAAATAGAGGGAGGTGTACAACAGAGACAGGCTGGTCTGGTTTCCGGCCGTTGTGGTGATCTTGGACAGAACCTTGGAGTTCCACTCGGCCTTCGTATCCTCGACCACAGACATGAAGCGTGTGCCCCTTGGGATTTCCTCCTGGACGTTGCTGCAGGCCTTTTCCCGCGAGATCCACGAGATACCCACGCGAGAGATGACTTCCGGTCTTCCGAAGGTAAACAGGCCCCCGACTCTCGTCGATCCGGAGGATGAATTGGCGGATTTGCTGGGCTGCTCGACACTGCCAGACTCATCGGTTCCCACGTACACCTTGCCCGTGGTATAAGGGGCGTCAAAATGACCACCTGCACAGTCAGCTGGATAGTCGATGGTTTAAAACAGGAGGTTACATCGCTTACAGAAATATATCGTCCAGTCCGGAGCCTCGTTCCAGCCGTTATTGTAGACTCCGTGACCCTCGTAGTGGCCGTCGGGAAAGATCTCAAAACTGCCCCCTTCGTAGTTCTGTCCAAGACCCATCCCCCTGAACGAGGGCAGAACATGTGAAACGTCCACAAGGATGTTGTTTCCGGGCGACGCTCGCGGAAAGGAATAGCGATAGATGCCGGCATGTGCCGATGCACTCAATTCCACCGAGACACCCTGGGCCGTTGTGGCACGGTAGTAACCTACAGAGCCACTGTCTGCGCCGGACCGGCCGACAGTTAGGTGCGAGAGCGGCTGGCTGATATTGCCAACCAGAGGCAGCTGGGAGACAGTGCCGTACTTGGGAGCGCCCCCGGTTCCTTGCTCATGCATCATACTGAATCCGGAGAAATTCCCAGTGCTGAGATATCCTGAATACGCGTCACTCCTGCCATCGTACAGGTCGGGACCGAGTTTGACAACCCCGAAAGGGCGAGCCACACCTGGGAAGTTATTCCCGCCGGCAATGGTCCCTTGGCTGCGGTCATTCGTTAGCAACAGAGAGCCGTCCCAACACACAAGAGAAACTCACAACACGCTGACATGGGGCGTTAAGTCAGGGCCATAGTGACCCACGGCCGCGGCCGATGCGAGCGGCTCCAGAAGGCCCAGGGCCAGCAGCGCAGGTAAGACGGCCATGGCAGCGATGGATGAGGTCCAACCTGAGTGCGGTGCAATCGCGCAGGGGATGCTGGTCGATCTCTGCCCGTCTGGCTCTGTCTGCCATCGCGTTTAAATACGCGTCCCTGCCAGCAGAGCGCGCATTCACCCCAGCAGACAACGCATTCACCTGCCCTGCGTTTCGGAGACCGCCCGTTGAGTCCAGCAAACGGGCTTTAGCGAAGGAAGAAGCCCTTGGGCTATCACAGTCAGATGCATACGCACGTGGAGCAATGCCAGTCATAATGGGCAGCAGTTATCGCATGCGTGCGTTTCTGCCGGGCTTGGTCCCTCGATGCCGCTGCATGAGAACGTTCCATGGCGACGTCTCTCCTGCCAGATGAAGCATTTCAGACGTTGATCTGTTAACAGCGAGCAACGAAGACCTCCGAAGACTTAAGGTTTGGAGCCAATCACTTGGCCAAAGCCCGGCACGAGCCGTGAGATGTTGTTTGATGTACCGTCCGTATATTAATCATTGTTCCTCAACTTCAGGTGATGTCGAACTTTATCTATCTGCCAGTTGCCGGCCGCGTGCCGCCACGCGGGTCACATCCGCGCATGAGGATGGTCCAGAAGGAAGAAGCGCTATCTGGGCAGATCCATAAATCATGCCCGAAACACGACGGCCCTCGCAACGGACGCTTCGGTCATCCTCCGCAGCACGCATCGAGAAGGCCCCGCGCGCTGGCAGGTCGACGCGTCGCAGCCGTGGGAGCACTGTCCAACAAGCCGACAATGAACATTCCAAACCAAGGAGGGGAAAGGCCAAGTTGACTCCGTCTACTCCATCCTTCCTTCAGCGATCGCAGGCCGATGCCGACGCGGATCCCAACCGCCAGACGCTGCTTCTTCGCCTTCCCCGGGAGCTCATCCGCGAAATCGCCGGCTTGCTGCCGCCTGAATCCCTCGTGTGCCTGACCCTGACGTGCAAAGAGGCTCTGCATGTCCTGGGAACTTCGTCGTGGTCCAGGACTGATGTCCGGCAGCGCTGGTACGAGTCGCCTGCAACGGGCATCCAGCATCGCCCGCTGCTGCTGAAATTGCTCCTCCGCGATGCCCCCGACGCGGACTTCTGTGCTCGGTGCAACACGCTGCACCCGCCGCTCCGGCCACCGCGTTGCTATCGCCCGACCAGACTGACCAGGAACTGTTTCGGACCGGACAATGCCATTGACTACTGGCCGCAGGATGCGTCGAAGGGCTACTGCCTCGTCTTGTCCCACGTCGAGCAGGTATTTCTGGCGCCACACGAGGCCTCCCCGGGAGCAGTGAGTCCACCGATCGATCTCCTGTCGGGCGATTGCATCGCGCAGCGCGACCATGTCCGTCATACACTACATATGTCGGCACGGTGGATCGACCGCTTCCTCATCCTGCGACAGGAACATCGCCTCTGCAGCACGGTCCACGGGACTCCCCTCCGCGCGAAGGACGTCCTCGCCCTGCCGTTTCGACTCTGTCCGCACCAGACGACCAGCGTTTCCCCTCCACCGACGTCCTACCACACCCGCGATCACGTTGCCAATGGCCCTGTCCTCACGCATGCCGTTGCGACTGCCTTTCCGACGGCCATGAGAACCGGCATTCCCGCGGCCAGCACGTTCCGCAAACCGAAGCCCTCGGAGGCCCGGCAGATGGCCGCAGCCAACCGTGGTGATGGCGTACTATGGCGGTGCACGAGCTGTCCGACGAAATTCCGCGCGGTCTATGCTTGCGATGGCGCGGAGGGCGAGCTGGTGGTAACTGCGTGGCAATGTTTTGGGAGGGAATTGTACGATGTTCCGAGCTTCTGGAGGATGCTGGTGAGACGCGAGGGACCGAATCTGGGGCCTAAGAAACGCAACAGCGAGTTCTACGCCTTGTCGCAGAGCATGCCGGATTTCCGATGCGAGTAGTCTATCTCCTAATTTAATTTTGTCGGACATGCTGGTCGGACTACGGACGATCCAAGTTACGTTCCAAGGAACTTCTAGATCCCCTTCCTTGTTTTCCGCGCTGACTTGGTCGTTTAAAACAAATGGCATCATCCGCATCCGCATATTCTTGGACTGGGCTATTACTTCCGGTGTTAAAGCGATACGGGAGATGCCAGCGTGTAGAATATGCATGCGGCCGCATCAACCCGCCATATATACACTGTGTATACGTATGTATTTATCCACGCCGACAGAAATGCCGCATGCTTCCACCGGCAGACAAAGAGCGTGTATTCCAAATGCCATCTCCAACCTGCGAGCACCTCCCTACATTTAAACATCTTCCATTTGCCAGAGGGGTTGAACAGCGGCACTGCCGGATGCCATCTCATACGTAAGACTTTATCCGGCGCACCCGGAATCCCCACGATCCTCAAAAAACGGAGACAGAAACCGCAGAACCAGAACCGCAAGGAACTCACTTCGGATTCGACGGTCAGGAGACATGGAATCCGGGGCCTGCGTAGAGGGCAGCATCACTGGTCCGAGCAAGAGTTGCATCCCAGGAACGGATCCCTGGCCAACAACGACAGGCTGTGACGATAGCCAAGGCCGGTCAAGCTTTCAGGTTACATACAACCGAACTGCATGCAGAGTATTAATGCACAGTGTGGGCCGACAGTGCCGCGTGTTCCGTGAGACATCTGCCTTATAATGGACCATTCATCGCCAGCTGCAGCAATTACAGGACTTACCACCGCCGGCTGCTGACGGGGATTACGCATGCGCCAGTGCTATATTTAACCGGCCCATTCGCTGTTTCTGTTTCTGGCCGAACCGAGAGACATTAATAATAATAATAATAACAACTACCATGCAGGTCCAAACCCGTCCACGACTGTTGTGATGGGAGAGGTCTGCTGTGCCTGTATTCTTCCCTTCTGCGACAGGTCTCCGTGATTGAGAAACGATGCATTTACCGCGGGCGTGGCCCATCTGGAACGGCCTTCTGGCCATGCTGCTTGCGGGCAAGGCAGCGCAGGCCATCAATGTAGATATCAACAGCGAACGTGTGTGGTACAACCGTCTCCCTGCTGCAAATCGATCGTGCTGACCGCTGCTATCGCCCAGAACAGAATCGATCAAGGACGCCGCGAGCACCGTAACATGGGGGATGATGACCTACTACCATGGCAACGAGTCCGGACAGATCCCCGGAGCCTTTCCCGACAAATGGTGGGAGGGCGCGGCCCTCTTCCTCGCGCTGCTCAACTACTGGCATTTCACGGGCGACGCCACCTACAACAATGAGCTCAGCGTCGGGATGGAGTGGCAGTCCGGGGACGATGGCGACTACATGCCCAGCAACTTCAGCAGCTACCTGGTGCGGCTTTCCCCGTAGCTCTCCCGGTGCGTTTGGCCCGTGCTAACCGTGCTTCCAAGGGAAACGACGATCAAATGTTCTGGGGCGTCGCAGCGATGACGGCCGCCGAGTTCAAGCTACCCGATGTGCCCGACAAGTTCTCCTGGCTTTCACTGGCGCAGGGCGTCTTCAACACGCAGGTCAAGAGATGGGACACGACAACCTGCGACGGGGGGTTGCGATGGCAGATATGGCCCATGCAGGCCGGATACACCATGAAAAACACCATCTCGAATGCCGGGTTGTTCCAGCTAGCTGCACGCCTCGCTCGGTGGACCAACGACGACAAGTACGCCCAGTGGGCCCAGAAGGTCTGGGACTGGTGCATGTCCAAGGGTTTGCTGAACAACGAGACCTGGTTCGTTGCCGACTCGACCAGCATCGGCGACGGCTGCTCGTCGCTGGGGAGGGACCAGTGGTCTTACAATTACGCTGCGCTCTTCACGGGGGCGGCGTACATGTATGCCTATGTAGGTGCTTTCCGCTATTTTTTATATTTTTTTTTTATAACCATGACTAACACGGCGACTGCAACAGACAAACGGTTCCGCCAAAGCGCAATGGTTGACTGCCGTTCAGGGTCTATTGAACCATACATTCGAGACTTTCTTCCCGCCTCAGTACGGCGGCAACGTGATGGAAGAGGTCGCCTGCGAACCCAACGAGTCGTGCAACAGGAACGAGATCCTGTTCAAAGGCCTCACGACCTCCTGGATGGCGCTTGTTGCTACCCTTGTTCCGTCGACGTACGACATGATCGTCCCCAAGCTGCAAACCTCCGCCCAGGCCGCCGCCAAGACGTGTACCGGCAACAACAATAACTCATGCGGAGTCCGCTGGTACACCTGGGAGTGGGACGGCTGGACGGGTATGGAGGATCAGATTAGCGTCAGCAACGTCCTGTCCGTGAGCCTGCTGAATTACACCAAGGACTCAGCCCCGGTGACCTCCACTACCGGCGGCAACAGCACGAGCAATCCCAACGCCGGCAGTCATGATCCCAGCGGCTCAATCCACAAACCCATGAAGATCACGGCTGGAGATCGTGCAGGCGCCGGGATTCTCACCGCTGTCTTTATCTCGTCTTGGATTGCACTGATGATCTGGGTGTTGATGGGTTAGGTCAATCCGTGTGTAGGGATGCCGTGGGGCTGGACGATCCCCATTTTCTGGAGGTGTTGCTTCATCCCGTTTTCTTGCCTGTACGACCTCTGTATCATTGCATGTATCTGTCTATGACCGGTCCGTTCCATGTTCTACCGCGCTGTTTGGCCCACCGGCCGGAGCCGGTGATTCTCCTGGGGTTGCGGCGTCGGGGGGAGTTTGATGCTTTCAGGGTAGAACGTACAGATTCGATTACGAAGATCCCCAGTGTCACTTCCACGTAGGTCTTACCACGGCCTGTGTGTTCTCCTCCAGTAGGGGCGATTGAATCTGACTTCACATCTATGAGTCCTCCCTGAGCCCTGCACGCTTGGCTGACAAATATCGAGACTGGGGAATGCTTGCGCGGTTTTCACTGTAATTTCACTCTCTTTGGCGATGTTGGATCCTGGGAACAATCCGTAATGATAATCCTTGAACGATCTGGTTTGGATCTATTTTTGGAAAATGAGGCGTTCGCTCGCAGGATGACACAGAGCATCTCCAGGAATGGAGCTGAGATCCCTGGCCCTCTAGACTTGCGAACCGGGAAACCCAATATCACATCGGCCGTCCGTTCCTGCAGTTCCTGCAGTCTGTTTGCATGCTGTTTCCAGTACCCGGCATGGCATTGATCCTGTCCATCAGCTGGTCAACGAGACTATCTTCCAGCGGTACTCCGCAGCCACGACGAACAGCAATGGCTTCGCGCATCAGCTTACGTGTGAAATGATTCGCTTCCTCGGACGAGTGCCGCCATCTTCGACGCAGTGGATGCCCTTGATGACCACGGGGAGGGAGACTCGTCAACTGCCGAAGCCCACGGAATAATGTCCCAGTCAATGAACGGCGAGATCGAGCTGGCCATTGTCTTTGCTTCACCTTGTCCTCGGGCGTTCCTATCCGGTCCCTGGGCAGTGTAAGCTATTCCGATCGATGGGTTCATTCCGAATAGAGTCACGCATACCGCAGCACCCAGATCCCAGAAGCACTCTTGGACTGGAAGGTCTGGATATTCTTCCTGCTGTACCAAGAAAGTCGCGACAAACGCGCTCATGACCCTGGGTGTCTGCACGGGAAACATTGCCGGTCCCTTTTTCTACAAATCTCACCAGGCGTCTGGCTATTCCTCGGAATCTGGTCTATAGTGGTGGCCGATTTGGTTGAGGTTGCGCTGCTACCGGCGGCGCGATTGTATCCCGGACGTTGCCCGTGGCGGAGAAGCAGACTATCAGCGACAGTTGGAGCTGGGTCGGACGGCGTTCAGTGGTTTGACGGACAAGGAGAATGTGAACTTTCGCTATCTGTATTGAGCTCACTGCTGGGATGGTTTTTATTCTGAATCACAACTGCCATTTACGACACCCAGTAGTCTCTATTATGGCAAAGCCAACACGATTACGCCTAGTCGCGTAGATCCTTGCTTCAAATATACCCTCATAAAAAATTGAATCAGACCATCTCGGTGTTTCTCCGTAAATCATCATCTCTGCAGGATTCCCCGGACTCTCCACAGGCCGGACGAGAAATTCCACGAATAGCACCACCATCGTCCTGTTGATCACCATCCGGCGTGGGGAAACCCAATCTATGAAGAATCAACTCTCGGGGTCTCTCCGGCTCTTCATCTGAACCTTCTCTCCCCCCGCGTGGGATGCACGCTTCCATCGTGTGGAATCACAGTCAATATAATGTTCGACGCTGCATCCAAGCAAGCTGCAAATTCCCCCGATCACACAGAATGGCCAAGATCAAGTCAATTGAGTACTTCCGGGTGAAGCCCCGGTGGCTATTCGTCAAGGTCTGCGACGAGGAAGGCCGCTTCGGCTGGGGCGAGGGCACACTGGAAGGACACTCTCTGGCCGTGGAGGGTGCGCTGGACGAGATCATTGCTCGCATTGTCGGCTATGAAGCAGAGTATGCCCTGGTTCTCCTCCTCCGACCATTCCTATTCCGCTGACGCTCGCAGTGACATCGAGCACATTTGGCAAACAGTATGGCGTCTCGGATTCTACCGTGGGGGTCCCGTTTTCATGTCCGCTTTGGCCGGAATCGATATTGCGCTATGGGACCTGAAGGGCCGACGACTGGGAGTGCCGGTATACCAGCTGCTCGGAGGCAAGGTACGCAATAAGGTCCAGGTCTACGCGTGGATTGGAGGCGACCGTCCGAGCGATGTGGCGGCCGCAGCGTGAGTCTCCAATTTCTTTACATCAGACCCGCTCTTCGATACATGCTAACTCACACCAGAAAGGCGCGCATTGCCCAAGGCCTCAAATGCGTCAAGATGAATGCGACCGAAGATGTTAACTGGCTTGACTCCCCGGCCGTTTTGCAGTCCTGCGTCGAACGGCTAAAGCAGGTCAAGGCACTGGGACTCGATGCCGGCCTTGATTTCCATGGCCGTCTCCATCGACCCATGGCCAAGCAGCTGGCACAGGCGCTGGAGCCTTACAAGCCTCTCTTCATCGAAGAGCCGCTGCTTTCCGAGCATCCCGAAGCCATCAAGCAGATGTCGGGCCTCACCTCCATCCCAATTGCGTTAGGTGAGCGTCTCTACACCCGGTGGGACGTCAAACGGTTCCTGGAAGACGCATCAGTCGACATCCTGCAGCCGGACATTGCTCATGCAGGAGGCATCTCCGAGACGAAACGTATTGTCTCGATGGCCGAGGCATACGATGTAGCCATCGCACCGCACTGCCCCCTGGGCCCGATTGCCCTGGCAGCCTGTATGCAAATCGCCGTGTCCTCCCCGAACTTCGTCATCCAGGAAATGTCGTTGGGCATGCACTACAATATTGAGGCGGGGCATATTGATCTGAACAGTTACCTAGTTGACAAGACGGTCTTCGATATCAAGGACGGATACGTGGCGGCTCCCTCCAAGCCCGGCCTGGGCGTGGAAATTGACGAGGAACTGGTCCGGAAGATCAGCAAGGAGACGGAGCCGTGGCAGCCCAAGGAGTTCTACGGGCCTGATGGGTCAATTCGTGAATGGTAATTTAGTGATATTGGTAATGAATGCAAATGCGTTTCTTATGTCCCACTACACCGGCCGTAATAAATCCCCTACGGCGCCCTTGACTTCGGATGAGCCATCATCGATACTTTGCTCCGCGCATCTGATCGCCGTGATTCTTGTCCAGAGAGACAACGGCAGCCCGAGCACAAAGGAGGCGGCTGAAAGGCTAGGACGAAAAGCGAGCATGTATACGGCGGTTCTTGCCTCGCAGGAATCAGTCTCATCCCTCACTTCGACCGTGCTGAAAGACGGCCATGGCATTGGTATCCAACGAAGACATCCAAGCCGCGTCTTCTCACAGGATGTTGTCTGCTCCACATCTTCACCAGCAGGACAGCTGACGCTCATTGAACCAAGGTGCTCCAGGTGAATCTCACGGCCGTCTTCACCCTATGCCGTGGCGTGGGCGCTTACATGCTTACCCGTAAGCCCAATCACTCCGGCCAAAGGGGGCAGCATCATCCATGTAGCCTCCCTCGTGCCATTCCAGGGAGGACTCACAGTCCCGAGTTTCAATGGCTTCTTCATTCATATTGTCCAGGATGCTCATGCTTGTGGTGCCATCGGTAACAGCAACACAGCACCATTCGATGAAATCACCTCGCCACAGGTTGTCAACCTCGTTTCTGTCCTAGCGGAATGCATAAAGCCGCGTGAGAAGCGAGTGTGTGAATTGAATCTGGTTCGAAGCTCCCGGCGTAAGCTTACACCTGCAGGCCCAGGCCGTGAGGCTTATGCCGTGTATCGGCTGGAGTGGATTGGCTCCCTTATTAAGGAACTCTCTTACGTCCGTGTTTCTCAGGATCTCATGTTCCTTCAATCAATAGCCCTCACGAAATGGGCAAAACCATTCTCCTGCGGAATGCTCTCATTCTGGTTCGATCCGGCGAGTCCGATGACCATGTCGTGCCTCTCCGGGAACACTCCCTGCTCATCGAGGGCAACAGAATCAGCAAGATCGCACCTCAAGTGACTGCTCCATCGGCAGAGACATTGGTCATTGACTGTACCGGAAGGATCATCTCCCCGGGTTTCATTGATACACACCATCATCTGTGGCAGACACAACTCAAGGGAAGACATGCGAATCATACGCTGTTAGAGTACATGCCATCCGGTTAGCGAACCCTCGCCGGTCTTGCGCTGTATGGTGCACCAATCCACTCATTGGAGATATAGGCAACATGCAGTCTGCGAACTACGCGCCCGAAGATGTATTCTGGGGCGAACTGGGCGGGTTCCTCGCGGCATTGGATGCGGGAACGACCACGGTCGTTGACTATGCCCACATCAACTGCACGCCGGAGAATAGCAGGTTTCGTCCTATTTGTGGTTAACGCGAGGACAACCAACCCATCTAACTGCGATGCGTAGCCTATAACGCCCTTCAAGCCGCGATATCATCCGGGCTTCGCGTGGTATTCTGTTATACGCCCACGCTGACCGTCAAGCCGTGGAAGCCGGATCTCGAATGGGGGGAAGTATGCTGGAAGACTGGGTGTTAAGGCAGCTGGAAGATCTTGCTGATAATGCACCTTACGCGAATGGCCGCGTGCAGATAGGACTAGCATTCGATGGCTTCTTCCTCCCGAAGGAGACGGTGATCGATCTCTTTGAGCGTGCGCGGAAGGCCGGTGTGAAGGCAATCACATCGCATTATGTACCTGGGAGCTTATTTGGTAAATATTCCGTAACGGAGATCGTCCATGATGTTCTTCTAACAATCATTGCAGGGCACTACTCAGTTGTAGACACTCTAGACAGCTACGGCCTTCTAGCCTCGGACATCGTCATCTCCCATGCCACAAATCCCAAGCCGTCGGACATTGGTAAATTGGCCAAGGCAAAAGCCTGGATCTCTTCAACCCCGGATACCGAACTGCAGATGGGGCACGGGTACCCGATCTGTTTTGACGAGGGCTGCTCCGGCATCAGCTCGCTAGGCGTCGACTGCCACAGCAACAATTGCGGCTCTCTCGTCTCTCAGATGCATCTCGCGCTGCAGCGTCGGCAGGGCTGATGGCCGTCGCAACGCTCCTTGCGGCGCCTGCAGGTCAGGCAGGCCTGCGCACAGCGACGGCGCTCGCTGTCGTTGACTCGTGGAGTAGGCATCTGCCAGGGCACCTTACCTAGGTAGCATCTGATGCTCCCGGAAGAGAGAAGAAGCAGCCGAAGTTTAATAATGGAGGTTTCCACCGTCCACCGTCGGGAGTCGGGTAATGATTGTACAGATACAAGAACAGTTCCTGCGGCGTCAAGGCATACATCACCTGGTCTGCCATCAGCATGTCTCACTCGTATACCTTTGACTATCCCTCCGGATCTGCCATGCAGCCAGAGGTGATCCGCTTCTTCCAGGACTTCTACCAGCTTTCCGACACTCCGGACGGCGACGACTTGTACCCGACCAGGTTTACTGAGGATGCAACGTTCATTCTGGCATCGCGCGTGAGCCGGGGACGGGCTGGTAAGCCTGGAATCACACCGGGAGGAAACGGTAGCTGATGTCTTTTCATGTCTTTTCTCACGGTAGAAATCCTGGAGACGCGCAAGGGCATGTGGGCCACGGTGTCTGCCCGTCGGCATACAGTCCACAAAGTCTTCCCGTTCGGCAAGGATTCAAATGAATTCATGCTGCATGGCGTCGTCAATTACACATTCAAGACAGGCGGACAGGGCACCGCGGACTGGGCAGGGAAAGCCGTCCTGGAGGAGCAAGACGGCGTCTGGCGCTTCAAGTTCTACCAGGTCTATCTCGTGAGTATCATGGCTATACTCGCAATGCGCGTTATGGAGGCTGATGGAGCTGCTATGCCACTAGGATACCGGGAGTCAGAAGTAACTATCAAGCCGCATATAGTATGAATTCTAAGAGCCTATATCGTATTCCGTGCTCCGGTTACTGCTGTACTTTCCCTTGAAGCCCAGAACCTGGCCGACAAAGTCCAATACGGTCGATCTAACTTCCTCCGCAGCTTCAATGCAGTGCCAATGACCAACACGGGGCAAGCTCGTAATGTCTCGTGGACCGTTCCAGCTAAACAGGGGAATACAGAATGCGTGAGCGCATGGATACAATACGCATAAACGGTGTAGCCCTCACCTTTGCAGGATATTCCGAACCCCCTCTGCGGGTGCCGTCTTATCCTCTTCTCCGACGATGGCCAACACCGGACAAGTGGCACGGGAATAGGGAGGTCTCTCTGCATCGGCAATAGCTCGACAGAGGGATGCGTATCCTTTTGGATCCTGAGCAAGGAGAAGCGCCCGGATAAATGCACGGTGTGTTGGCGTAGACTTCGACCCCGTAGCAGCAGCAGGGATCGTGTCTGCCATGATTTCCATGCCATCTAGAGCATTTCCTGTCAGCGAGCCAGTATAGCACAGCTGAAGCAAGGTCAGCTCACTCTTCCGCACGGCTTCCATTCTCTTGCTGAAGACTTCTGCAGCCTGTGGGCTCGGTTCTACAGGCCCGATCAAAACTGCTCCGCGGAGTGGAAGCTTCGCGGCTAACTCTCCGACTACCATGCCTCCCATGGAATGCCCGACGGCGACTGTTCTATCCGGAGATATATCCAAAGAAGATAACACTGCTGTTACATCATGGGCGATTGATTTCATGCTCGTCTGCTGGCCCGTATATGCCGAGAGCCCGCTTCCTGTCTCAAGTTAGGCATGCGGTATAGGTCCACTAAGTATCACTTACCATGTGTGTCTATGGAAAGACAGGTAAATCCTGCTTCGACAAGGTAGGGAATTATAGTAGCGTAGAACGAACTCGATGACCCTAGCCCAGGGATAAAGACCAGTGTCAATGTCTCATTAGAAACCTCCGGCCTCCTCAGGAAGTAGTACAGAGATCTATCGTTAACCGTGACGAAAGGCATCCTGGGTCGAATTGAACGCGGAATGGGACAAAGAATCCAGGTACCGTACGATCCTACCCTCCTGGCCAGATGCATCCTGCTAGCCTTTCTTTTCTCCTTCTGCAATGGAGCGGGGATGGGATCCGGCATCCGGCTGCCGGAAACTGTTTCTCGCCCGGTATCCGACAGAAAGGACTTCGAATTGCGTTGACTTGGAGACGGATACATATCTCGGGAGATGAATAGAAAATGGCGCTCTGCTGCTAGACTGGTATGCGATGCTAGCTGCAGGAATCGCTTCTGCGATCTGAAGACATATGGTTGCTCTCCTTTCCTTCCTTCACATCTGTTCCTCTTCCGCCATGGCAAACTCGCCGTACTCCTGCCTCGCGGAGGCTGGACGGATATCCGATTTGCTCTCCAGCCTGATTCCTCTGCCTGGTCCGGTAGAGGAAATAAGGCGGATTGTCCAATTTACAGCGTCGCGAGATCTGCCATACTTCCCCATCCCATTCAAGGAGACGGAAGTCACCGTCGCTCTGAAGGCTATTGAAGGGAGCTTTGCATATGCCATCCAGTGCTTGCGGGAGGGCAACAATTTTGCGACAGGCAGGAGGATATTCGTCAATTTGGAGAAGACCACTGCGTTCCTGTTCGAGGCATACCTGGCGACAGTCAATGGGTATGGGAAGCTGGATCCGGAAGTGAAGAAATTCCTCAAAGGTACGTCTGTTCTCCTGGGATAGTATCCTGCGAATAATCATAACAGTAGTGCCAGACACCGACCTTCTACAGGCCCAGTCTAATCCATACCGTCGTATGTCTGCCAATCTATACGAAACGAAGCGCAGGGGACAATACTACCACATCCACGGGTCTCTCGAGGCGTCAAAGACGCTGGCGATGATTGGACTCGAGCCCTTCCGTCCGGATCTCCAGGCTCATGAAGATATTGTCAATGCAATTGAGCCGGCAGTGAGGAAGTTCACTGTCGAGGAGCTGGAGGTTCTCAATTCGCAGAATCGTCAAGCTGGTGTGCCTGCGTTGAAACATGAGGATTTCTTGAAGACGCCGCATGTATGCCTTTGATGTCTAGTTTTCCCGTGTTTTCCTCATAGCCTAGGATTCCCGACACTAACGGTTGGCGATGACATCCAGGGAAAGATGAACGCATCTCTCCCCCCATGGAGCGTCGATAATCTGGAAAATGCCACGCCACCGCTGCCATTCACCCGCAGCAACGCAGATCCCCGCCGGCCTCTGGCTGGAATAAAAGTCATCGAACTCTGCCGCATCATTGCAGGCCCCATTATAGGCCGGATTCTGAACGAGTATGGGGCGGACGTCCTCAAAATAACCAGCCCCAATCTCAGCGACGTTCCCTTCTTCCAGGTGGACGGAAACATGGGCAAGCATGCAGCCGACCTTGACCTGAAGAACCCCGAGGGCAGACGCGTGTTTGAAGAACTAGTTGCCGAGGCGGATGTTGTTTTGGATGGTTATAGGCCTGGGGCTATAGAGAAGCTTGGATACGGAAAGGACTTCTTCGCCGCGCTGGCAAAAACGAGAGGCTATGGGATAGTGGTCGTCAATGAAAACTGCTTTGGCTATGAAGGCGAGTGGGCACAGAGGCCCGGGTGGCAGCAGATTGCGGACTGTGTAAGCTGATAATCTCCTTGGCAGAGGTACATACGCTGACCTGAAGTCTTTCATACTAGGTTACTGGTGTTGCATGGGAGCAAGGCAAGTTCATGGGCCTGGACGAACCTGTAGTCCCCCCATTTCCCATTTCCGACTACGGCACAGGCTGCATGGGAGCCATCGCTGCACTGACGGGGCTGTATAACCGGGCAGTCGTGGGCGGTTCATGGCACGGAAAGGTGTCACTCGTGCAATACGACCTCTTACTCTTCAAGGCCGGGCTGTATCCCCCAGAAATACAAGACCAGCTCCGTGCGATTGCAGGAGAGGACTTCCTCAAGCTGCGGCATAGTCACAGCGTGGACCAGATCTCCGGCACGGCTCTACGGAGATTCCGCGAACGCTTCCCAGACCTGGTAAACCAGGCGACCTACTGCGATGCTTGGTACTCCCATGCCTATCGTAACGTTGTAGCGGCCGTCAAGCCGGTCGTGGAGATAGAAGGGATCAGAATCGGTTTCCGGCGAGGAAGCAGGCCAAATGGGACGGACAAGCCGACCTGGGATTTTGGGATAGAGGAAGATTACAGGGTGGCTGTGTGATTGCTTTAGTTACTTAGAGTCATGCTGAAAGATACATTTTTGAATAGATCTGTTCATAGTTGGCAAGTCAGATATAGCATCAAGCAACATGAACCACATGAAGAGCCTAGGAAGAACTTCTGCCTCTTAATACAATGACAACAGAACAGTTCCCCTTAAGTGGGAGCAAGCATCGACATATTAACCACAACAGCGGCTCTCGCATCTACTGTAGCGAGTCTTTCGAGTAAGCTCACAGTTGATACGCTGGAGATATCATTCCACCAGAATACGAGCTAGACAGACAAAGGAACGATCTCCCACGGCTCCTGATAGCCGTTCCCTAAGACCGAGACTCCGGAGCGAGAGAGACGTTATACTCGAGATCAAGCTTCGCCTTCGGGTCGCCCTTGCGAGGCTGGAATACCACTCGAAGGCTATCCTTCACGGCAAACACCGAGTCGTTGTCTAGATACTTGCAGTCGGAGTCGAATATCTGGGTGGTTATCGGGCTGCATCCCTCTGCTTGGACCTGGAGAACGTATGAGTCAGGATGAACCGGTGTGTTGAGATGCAGAAAATAAACGCACGATGAGATGAATGTGAGCAGGTCGCCATGGATGCCGGTCTAACATGGCCAGCAGCTTGCCTGCCGGTCCGTCATCCGGGACCTGGGGTCGTTAATGTGGAGTCAACAAGGTCTTGCTACCGGTTACTTACTGGGTATGGTGTTGGTCGGATACAGTAGAATGAATAGTTTCCCTCGCTGTCGGTGATGAATTTCCCGCGGAGGTTATGCTCACGCTGCCTGGGATCCTGCTGCTCATAGAGGCCTGATGGATGACTCTATCAGCGAATATCCCGGAAGAAACGATACCGAAGCCAAACGCACCGTTGGTCGACGCCTGCCAAGCTTCAACCGAAGCATTTGCAAGAGGTTTCCCTGTGCTTCCACAGAAGACCTTGCCGTGCATGTAGACAACCTGCGCATCGGCCGGGGTGTCAAAGGTGATTGTCGAGCCATTCTCGCGAATGGGAGTATCATGTCGCCAGAACGGACCCAAGATGGCAGAGGAGGTTATGGATTCTCCGGCCTTTGCAGCCGCTCTGGACGTGATATCGTCGACGAGACTTGAGCCGGTCAGCCAGGTTGTCTCATGGGAGCCCATTCCGAATCATGCTCGTCGAATACTCACGACTCCAGGCCGATAACGTCACACATAAGCTGTCCCTCGTTCCGCTTGGCATCACTCATCCGTCCTCCCTCGTTGATCATGTTGACTGCCATCATCCATTCATCGTTGGTCAGGGAAATCTCCCGCGCAAAGTCATGCATGTGTTGGATGAAAGACTCCATGACCCGGCGCAGTCTGGGATTGGCCTTGGGACCGATGGACTTCTTGACCATTTCGGTGAAGTCCTGGCCGAGCAGGCCGGTGTAGGGAGTTTTGACATCGGTGCCCGTGGAGCCCATCTTGCAAGTGTGTATGTATTGTTGGAGCGTAGGCGAGGGATCGGTATAATTCCCATCGGCAGGCCACGGCACTGTGTGATTATAAATACAATTCGAGAAGACAGAAGCATCCCACCACGGATAACCTGTAAAATCCGGGGATCGAGTCGTCTCCATCTCTCAGGAAAGACACGAGCACCCGGCATCCGACGCAGTGACTGCATCGGAAGCAGGGTTGGGAGAAGATCTGCTGCGTTGCGTCCGGCGGGGGACTCTCCTGCAATAATTATAAGTGATATCCCCGCTTCAACCCCGCGTTGGAAACGAACGTTGCGGGGATCAGCGTCACAATTGACAATGCTTTGCTGCTGGTTGGTGAGAGTGCATATTTCTGCTCCAGCCGGACCGAAGCTCGGCAGGAATCAATCGTATGTTGCATGAGCTTTGTCCGCCAGGTAGTCTGACGGGCCAGCGCCTGATAAATGAAGGTCAATAGCTGCGGTTGAATCTCCAGTCGAATAGCGGTTATAAGATAGCATGAGGACTATCCATGGCCGGATCTGTTCGATCTCGTGCCGATGCATATCCGCAGATGCATATCCAGCTCTGACAACAGCTTCATCCATCAAGATAGAAACACTGCCCCTCGCACGGCAATGTTGTTGAGAACCCTAACAAAGATGGGAGTGCTAGACGATAGTAACCACAACACCATCTGATATTCTTCTTGGCTTCCACACTTCACTGCTGCCACGAGAGACCCGCGATAGCTTCAATCGAGCACGTCAATGCGGGGCTTGATGCCTCCAGAAGGTGATAAGCAACCGCCCATTCACGGAAGAAGCCGATATCACAATGGCCTTGATACCACCAGGGACAGGGATAAGAAATAAGGGACACTTCGGATCGCAGAGCTCAACGCCAGCACTCGACAGAAACTCCCACTCAACCGACATGCCAGACAGAAAACCGCGGGTTGTCTCGCTAGGAGCACCCCGGTACGTTGGCGACGACTATCTCGCGGAATTCGCCCGGGAATTCGACTACTCCGCGCTGGATGCGTATGATCGCAGAACAACCAAGGAGCTACTGCCACTGGACATACAAAAGAATGGCCCCGTGGACGCCTTCATAATCCGCATGGGAACGCTCCCCTACGAGCCGTTCGACGCGGATCTCCTCTCGGCCTTGGTTCCTGGGTGTAAGATAATCACCTCCGCCAGTGCTGGGTATAACGAATTCGACGTCGACTGGATGGCCAAGCACGGAGTCTGGTTCTGCAACACCGTCGACGCCGTGGCTGAGGCAACGGCGGACATGGCCATTTTCTTAGCGCTGGCTGCGCTGAGAAACACCACCAACGCCGAGAAGAGTGCGCGCACCGGCACCTGGAGAAGCGCAGCGGGCCTGGTCCCTGCGAAGGATCCATCGGGACTGACCCTGGGAATTATCGGGCTCGGCGCCATTGGCAAGGTCAGCGTCATCCCGTCTCCCGTCACAAAGCGTACCGTGGCTAATGGAACGAACAGCACATTGCCAGGAAAGCCGCCGTGTTCAACCTGAACATCGTCTACTACAACCGAAACAAACTGTCCGCCGAGGAAGAAGCCAGGTACGGCGTCTCATACTGCAGCTCCCTGCACGAGCTGCTGGCCGTGTCGGACATCGTCTCCGTCAGCTGCCCATTGAACGCCCGCACGGCCGGCCTCATCGGTCCGGCCGAGTTCGCCGCGATGAAAGACGGCGTGTTCCTCATCAACACCGCCCGCGGTCCAGTGGTCGACGAGAAGAGCTTGATCGACGCCCTCGAGTCCGGCAAGGTCGCACGGGCTGGTCTGGATGTCTTCGACAATGAGCCGAACATCAACCCGTACTTTCGGACGAGCGACAAGGTTATCATCCAGCCGCACTTGGGAGGGTTGACGGACATGGCGTTCCGGAAGGCTGAGAGGGAGTGCTTTGAGAATATTCGCGCCTTGTTCCAGCGGGGGAAGCCGAATTCTCCGGTGCTTCAGATTAAGAGTGGATAGGTAGTTTGTTTCTGTTGATAATCCAGCCCACTTCGGAAATTAATGTCTTATCTGATCCGTGAATCGTATGCTCTACAGATGGAGCTATTTATAATACATTGAATACATTGACACTCGAATAACGGCTACGGCTTGGAAAACCCTCGCTGCCGCCACTCCGCGAACGTAATTCCGGCGGACGACGGCATCCGGACCATCAGCGGAACTTCCACGTCTGCATCTGTCCCCACATCCTCGGCCTTGTGAACGACTGTCTCCGGCAGGGTCTCGAACCCCATCTTCTCGTACAGCTTGTATGTCGACGGAGACGCCTCGAAGTACAGCGGCAAGCCGGTGGCGTTACTGGTATCAATCCCCCATTGCACGAGGGCAGCGCCGGCCTTTTGTCCTTGACGATCCGGACGGACGGCGACAACATGACCATCTGTATACCATCACGGATCAGCATGTCGGTCCCAAGGAGAGGGCGGACTGTGCGACGGGTGTCTGCTCACAGATATGTCGTCGTCCCCCTAGCACCTTCTCGTGCGCCTCCCAAAGACGGCCGACAACCTTCTCGGCCCGTTCTTGCGCTTCCCCCTGTAGCCAGCCGATGGCGGGCCGCTGTCTCTCCTCCGCCGTCCGTTCATGGAACAGGATGTCCCCGAGAGCCATACCAACGATTTCACCGGTGTCCGTGTCGACGCATTTCATGGTGTACTGGAAGGGGCATGTTTGCCAGAATCTCAGCGTTTCGCGGGTATGCACGTCGCGGAATTCCTTGGTGATGCCGCCGGGGAAGAGGATTTTCAGCATCAGAGACCCGAGCAGGTCATTGCCGAAGGCGGCGAAGTAGATGTCGTATACCTTTTCGATGTCGGAGACGAGGGCTGGGAGGACGACGAAGCCCATGTTGCTAGGATGCAGGCAGGAAAGATCTGCAAGAACTGGTGAGGTTGTGCATCTTCTGCACCGATGGGGACAGCAGGGTTAAAAACGACGAAAAGCAGAGAATCCATCCCGAGAACCGGACCCGAGCCTCTCCATCGAAACAGGTCCAGTCCGGGTTGCCTGCCTTCTTGGGCTGTCAATATGGATGTGGTGTGCTCCGGATTGGATCGGATTCCTGATAATACGACCAGGCTGAGACCTGCTCGTATATCCCGGCTGGCGAGGCATGTCATTCGCACATGTCTCTGGAATGCTCGATGGTTCCACGGTCCCAAGGCCACTAGGGAAATTGACTTCGGATTGTCATTATCTGATCCGAATTTTAAATGCTGTGGGCCATCAGATAATAGTTCCTATAAAGTTTACCGTCGGTTCCAGCCCTCCTTCAGCGGCTCTCGCGTACCAACGTAAAGGGGCAAATGCAGCATCATGTTCGAAAAGAAATTCCTCTTCCTGCAGCTGGTCCTCTACTCCATCCGCCTCTATGGCAATGTCATCCGTCGCTCCGTCTCGAATTCCCTCCGCCGTTTGCTCCACCGAGTCCTGGGCACGAAAGCCCCACCGCCCGCCGAGCGAAAAGGGTCGATTGTCATCGTCGGGGCCTCCTTTGCAGGATACCATGCGGCTCATGTAATATCGACTTCCCTACCGCCGGACAGTCCGTACGATGTCGTCGTCATCGAGCCCAACAGCCATTTCCAATTCACCTGGGTCCTTCCGCGTTTTTCCGTCGTGGAAGGTCACGAGCGCAAAGCATTCATCCCCTACGGGCCGTATCTGGAGGGAGCTCCGGAAGGCCTGGTCCGCTGGATTCGGGACCGGGTGGTGAGGGTTGACCGGAACACCGTCCGTCTCGGCGGGGGAGAAGAAATACCGTACGCCTTTCTGATTCTAGCCACGGGATCTGCGCAGCAGAATAACACGCTTCCGTCGCGTGTCGGCGCAGAGGACATTGCAACCGGGGTAGGGAAGCTGCGAGGACTGCAGACGCGCATCCGCGAGGCCAACCGGGTTGTGGTACTCGGGGGAGGCGCTGCGGGGGTGGAGCTTGCTGCTGATACCAAGGAGCTCTACCCTCACAAGGAGGTGATCCTGGTTCACTCGCGTGATGCAGTCATGCACCGATTCGGTCCGGAACTGCAGGCGGCAGCACTGGAGGGCCTGCAGCGTCTAGGGGTCGAGGTGATTCTCCAGGAGAGGGCTAGCAGGGACGCGTTAAACGGCAGCGGGGAGTGTCTGTTGTTGGGCTCAGGGCGAGTGCTCAAGTGCGATTGTGTGGTGAGCGCTGTCTTCATCCGTACTCCTCCCTGCTGCGAACTAAAAGCGTATGACAGGTCGATTGCACCGGCCAAAAACCCATGTCACACCTGCTCGCAGAACTCAGTCCACAAACAATCTCCGAGTCAGGACATGTCCGTGTTCGTCCTACGATGCAAATCGCCGACAGCAGGCTGGCCAATGTCTATGCCTGCGGTGATGTGATTCAGAACGGGTCGCGCAACCCCAATGCTCGTACCGCAATGAAACAAGCCATGATTGCTGCAGATAATGTCCTTCTGGCGGCGCTGGGCCAGACACCGCGATACCAATACAAGCCGCATTGGGCTGACGGAGTAATCAAGTTGACTCTGGGGCTGGTGAGTACGCCACGGAACTCCAACCGTCGCAGCAGAAGGTTGATTCATGCAACAGACAAAATCCGTCACGCACTTTGGCGGCAATGAAGTCGAGCTTTTGTTCCCCGGGACGGAGACGGACCTGGCTTTGATGTGCGACGGGGCGTGGAGGGCATTCGGAGCAGTTCCGTTCGACGATTCTGCTGGTTATTAATTAATATCACATACTACGAGTTTTTCAGAGCACGCAATACAACAGCGCGATGAGCCGGCGATAACAGGGGATTTCTGCATTTGCTGCAGACGACGCCATTCCGCAGCTTCATGAGTGCATAACCTTACTTGGAGCTGCGTGGGGGAATAAAAGACAGAAGATAGAGTAGATATATAAGTAGTTGCACACGTAGAGAAGGGAAGAAGGGGGGAGGGGGAGAACGGTCAACAACATTCATCATGTCTGATTTGAAGCCAAGGTCCGGCAGGTTGTCCCTGCTAGGGCTGGCCAGGGAGGTGTTCAACTGGTATCCATCCGCCTACCCAGCGGAGGAAAGGAAGTATGTTTCCAATACACATTGACTCAATGGAGCTGGATGCTAATTGTCAGATTGCTGTTCAAACTGGATCTGTCCATCCTTACTTTTGCCTGTCTCTGCTGTAAGTCTAGTCCACCGGATACAATACCACGGCATGCTAACAGCTGCAGTCTTTGTCAAGTATCTCGGTGAGTCCATTGTCCGAATTTACAGTGAGTCGTGTCAATTAGCTAACAGTGGTATGTATGTAGACCAGACAAATATCAGCAATGCCTATGTCAGCGGCATGAAGGAGGACTTTGGACTCTATGGGAACCAACTCAACTACTTCAACATCTGCTACTATACAGCATATGTTGTGTTTCAAGTCCCCGGCCTGCTCATCATGTCCCGTCCGAAACTGTGAGTTCATTTCCCGCCCAGAGCCCCTGCGCTGGGTCTATACGTCAAACAGCTGACAACCCAGAGCTCGCTGGCTGCTGCCCGGTCTCGAGGTTCTCTGGGGCATTTGCACCTTCGCCCAGAGCCGCGTTACCAACGTCGACCAGCTATATGCCCTCCGCTTCTTAGTTGGTATGCTGGAAGCGCCTGTCTTTGCGGGAACCCATTTCATTCTTGGTAGGTCACCTCCGCGTCGGTTCGGGAAGATACTAACAGTCAAAGGATCATGGTACTCCGGGCCCGAACTATTCAAGCGAGCCGGAACCTGGTTTATTTGCAATCCACTCGGAACCATGGTCAGTGGATATCTGCAATCGGCAGCCTATAAAAACCTTTCCGGCGTCGGGGGAATGCCAGGATGGAGGTGGCTGTTTATCATCGATGGGATATTTACCATTCCCGTGGCATTAATTGGATTCCTGGTCTTTCCCGGGATCCCAGACTCCCCAAGGCCCTTTTACTTGACGGAACGAGACATTATTCTGGCCAAGGAGAGAGCCCAGCGAGCAAAGATCCGACGACCGGGAAAGTTAGGGCTGGACGTGTTCAAGCGGACGTTTAAGAGATGGCACATTTGGGTTTTCATCACCAGTTATGCGTGAGTCGTCACTCTCTTTGCTTCATCCATCATGCTGATGTTGTTCAGCTGCATGATCATCTCCTCGTATCCCAGCAGCTATATGAATCTATGGCTGAAGGCAGAGGGATATTCAGTCAGCCAGATCAACCAGCTACCAACTGTCGTTTCCGCCATTAACATTGTCACGTCCTGGTTTGGGACAACGCTGGCTGCCATCTATCCATCATGGATCATTTATACTATTATCACCGCATGTTGTCTGTTTTCGACACTATGCATGATAATCTGGAACATACCGACGGCACTCAAGTAAGTCAGTCTTCTTTTACATGAGTGCCATGCTGACCTCTGTGTGAAAGGTTCGTTGCGTGGTATCTCCTCGGCGTTCCTGGCTGCGCCAGTCCGATCTTATACTCGACCGTGAATACGATAGTCAAGGATGACTCTGAAGAACGAGCCCTCATTCTGGTATGTTGATTAGTATGTCTAAATATCATGAGAACGGATGGCTGATTCCAACACGGCTCGGCAGGGCTCCATGATGACATTTGGCTACTCCTTCAACATCTGGGTCCCACTACTTGCATTCCCAACAGCTGGCCCAGACGGTGCGCCGAGATGGAGGAAGGGATGGCCCATTTCATTCGTTTTCTATTTCCTCCTATGGGTCGGTTTCATGACAGCCATTTTGATATACAGATAGTAAGGGATTCTATGAACCGAGAAAGATAACATGAGCGAGCTGACATATAGAACAGTGAGCAAAAGAGGGCATCTCTGGAACACCGCCAGGACAGCGGTGATGAGGAGACGGAGACGACCATCGTTGTCGAGGCTGGTCCGACTAAGAATGGAACGAAGATCTGAATCCTTGTATATCAACGAGAGATCTCCACGCCGACATGTATATAGGACATGTATATCGGACAAAGCGCGTTCTACACAATCGAAAACAAAAGACTTGATTTGAGTAAATTCAAAAGACATCACAATCAATGCTAATATCCACCTCATTAAACATAAAGCAGTGTCCTCCCCAGTTTTCGATCAGAGTAATGCCGGGCAGCCGCCAGGGCTATATGAAGCCATTATGCATTCTGGCAGCTCACCCAGGCAATGGGCTGAGGAGGTCCAACGTAAATCGTCTCATCCGAATAAAGAACACCACCCCATCCCTCTGCACCCTGGATGGAGCAGAAGCCACCACCGGGCGACCAGATGGAGGAAACGGAAAGGGGGTTATCTGCATGATCATGTCAGTCTACTTTGACTGAGAGAAGAACGAAAGGACCAAGAACGTACCAACAGTAACAGAGCTATCATCTGCAGGAACGCTCAGGCTGTAATTGGCATCCCCGGCACCGTAGAAGGTGAGGGAAACCTCGAATGCTTGCTTCTTTTCAAGGGGCGCGGCAGTTGCTGCTGCTGCCAGGAGGGCGAAGACGGAGGTAATGGCGGACGTCTTCATTTCGATCTTTTGTTTGCTCTGGGTTTTCTCTTGATTATTGTAGCACAGGTAGTTTCTTCTTCTTGTTCTGTCTGTTGATAAGCTGACTCTAAATATGACAATGTAATCACTGCTTGGGGATCGAGGGGACTGACGGCTTTTATGCACAAGTTCCACCGTGCGTCGACGGACGACTGGAGGATAATCAATCCCATGGTGAAGACATGGGTGGTGTTATTTTGTCAGCCCGGATTACCGTGGACAATCAATCAACGCCATGAAGAGGGTATGGATGTACAACGGTGACATTTGGATGGCCAGGATGACGCTGGCAAAGCCACCGGCCAACATCCCATCGGACGGTTCTCCAACCTTGACCAGGGCATTATTTACTACTGGCAAACTCTGCAGAGATAAGCTGACATGCTTATATACCTATATTTAGATACCATGCGGTGCTTTCTTTGCTTTGCTTGGGCCCTGGCATCATCGATCAGGGCTGGGTTGACACTTCGCCAATAGATACAAGCCACACAGCCCTAATGTAGACCGTCTGGTGGAGATATCCGTCTTACTCTTATGTCTTATCCCGGAAATCAGGCGGTATATACTTTAACACCTCAGTGATCCTGGGCTCAATACAATCTGCATCTGACAAGCTGATGACTCGGCTTTGCTGTTGACCGCCCGTTCTATTAGTTGGTCCCGTAAGCAGACTTGATGCTGCCAGAATGGTCTATCTAGATATGTATAGAAAAGTGCCAGTGGAGAATGAATAAGGAATCACCACTGTGGCTCTACTGGGTGCAGAATTCGTCAAAATCCGCATCCTCCAAGTCCTAGACAATCCTACCCTGAAGCCACCCCCGGAGAACTTTTACTCTCGCAGATCCACCGGCTATGATGTCCCGATCCCGATCAAGCATGATAAAGTTCAATGCCACGGCGTCGTCTGCGGATGTAGAGGATAACGCTGCGGCCATCTTGGCCTGGGGCATCCGAAGCGCATACAGGTAGAATTGAAGTATCCCCAGTGTTCTGTTACATCCGGTGAAGTTAGTAACCAAGCCGCGATGTAACCGGTAGGCGAGTCAGACACCTCACGCGTTTTGGTCATGTCCGTGAGACGGTTCAACCACCCACCATGCCACTAAGAGCCCATAAGAAATCGAAAGATTTAGCTGAAGAGGAAGGCAGATCCTACTCGCAATAAAGTCATCAAGAAAGGGCATATCTCAAATACTTGTGAAGCAGCACGTGTTTTCAAAGTGCCTCTTTTTACTCTGCATGACTGACTACATGGGAAAACTTATCGCAATGAGACATACCCAAACTCACGTAGAGTGACTCAAAATGAAGAGGGAATCTCTTATACAATGGATTCTCTCTATGGATTGATGTGGAGTGGCTCCCCGACAATCCCAGGTCTGAGAAATGGCCTATATTCTTTTATCGGAGCATAGTTCAGCTACTATTTCAACTGTGGGTGAAAAGTGGGTGTACGACATGATGAGCTCAAAACAAGATATTCAGCAATGTAATTACCAATGCACTAAATGCGAAGACCTACGATCATTAGGGGTGGTTTAATCATGTACAAAACATATATTGCAACATGGGATTGTACAGGACATCTACAATTTTCATGAAACAAGCTTCGCAATAAGCCTAGTGGCTACTGCTGTGCCGGGGGCCCTGTAACATAGATAGGACCCTTCTTCCGTTTCTTATCTTCAGATACTGCCTACCTTGTTGGACGGACAGACTCCGCCATACTCGGGTATGGCGGAGTCCGTAGCAGAAGGATACTTAAGGTGTACATCCTCCTAGGCAGTTTCGAAGAACCAAGCATACTTTTCGTTTTCAGTCGTGTAATACGGAGCTCAGCCCCATTCTCGTTGACTTCTTCCCTTTGTTGTTTTGTTTCCATGCGAAGTCGTTCCGCGCCGCGTTGTATCGCGGCATCGTTTGAGTAGAGACCGTCCACGTGACCCACGAGGGAGATGTGTTAGTACACGTGAGGTTCTGCCGTCCTAGACCGCCCGCGCTACCTATCTCACGGCACAGGCAGGCCTACCTAGTAATACGACCAGACATGCGCCTATCCATTAGATTATGAGCCCGTTTTAGCTCTACGATATTGAGCTTAAAAAAAAAAAAAAAAAAAGCCTTTCAGATAGGCTAAATTGTGACCTCTCATTGGTCAAACCAGAAATCGAGCGCTTCTAAGCGACTCTGAACACCAGGACCGCCAACAATCGGCCCCTGAACCCCAGGATCCTTCGATCGATCCCATCCAAAATGGTGGTGCCTCGAACGCCCCCTACCACCGCTAGACGTCACCGTCGTCAGCCAGAATCCACAGATCCTTCATCAGATATAGGCTCCTCCGCCTCCTCAGTAATCTCTGAAGAAATGGACACCCCAACTGCCCCTAGAGCTCAAAGCTCTACTACAGCCAACACCATGGCATCCACACCAGACATCACAGCTCTGTTCCAGCAGATGCAGGAACAGATGCAGGAACAGATGCAGAAGCAGATGCAGGAACAAATGCAGAAGCAGATGGACCAGTTCATGACTCGTTTTAATGCCCTTGAACGCCGTCAATCCCAATCCTCCACTCCTACAGTCCGGCATAACGCTACTCCCTACAATCATATTCAAAATAATACGGCTATTCCAGCCTCAAATCCAGTACAAAAAGATCCTTTTGATCATGTACAGGCTCAAGTTAAAGCGCTCCTACCAGACCGATGCCGAATCACACTGTCTCATGATAATTACGACCCCTGGAGTTCAGCCATTCAAAGAGAAGCCAATGTCCTGAACGCTAGTACAGTCTTGCATCAGGATATACCTCCAGCAGGATACTCAGCTTATGATGCTGAAGTATGGCATTGCAAAGCCACTGTCATGAGAGCCCGAATGCTTCATGCTATGACTGCCCAAGCCGTTGACAAATTGGGCAACATATATGACCTATCAGCCCATGGTTTATGGGACCGAACTGCTACCTTTTTCGGACGTTCTACTGGTGAAGAACGAATGCTTCTCATAAAAGAGCTCAAGGAGCTCTATATAAAAGACAATGACTACCTATCCTACCAATCTGCGTTTACTAGGATAGTAGACCGCCTTCATGCTATAAAAGAAGCTTCATTTGACAACCTTATTCATGACCTATTTTTTATAGGCCTCCGCGAATGGAACAAAAGCATTCATTAAGAGTAAACTTGATGAAGTATACTCAACTGGACAAGGCCCTGTCATCAATCTGGACCTACCTGCCATTCAAGCTCAACTCTCTATCCGTATGGGCACCCAAGCCCGTGAATCCCGTTCCCAACACGGAGGACGACGAGAGAATCTATCCGGACGAAGCTATTCTAAACAAGCATCTAACCCCATTGCTAGCTCTTCCGCCTCAAGTTCCAACACTGAATATAAACCTCAGGACCAGGACTCACGCAAACCAAAGACCCGTTGTGATTGGTGTGGTCATTTCCACCCAATGCCTTGCCTCTACAAGAACCCTGAGAAAGCCTCTGAGCATTGGCGCCGAGCCAATAAAAATACTATTGAAGCTATTCGTGCTTTACACACTGCTAAAGAATCTTCCACTGCTTCATTCTCTGAAGCAGAAACCAATGAACTGGTACCATGGACTTCTTCAGCTGCAAAAACAGCCATTGCTAAATCAGCCCAATATCTCCCCCATTTTGGATATATTTTCTATTTTGATATACGGCATTCGATTGGCTAAAGCAGAACCTTCATTCCTCTGTTTATTTTTGCATATATTCACTCATTTGAAGGCCCGAATAGAGGCCGATTTCTGTATTTAGATTGATTCCATAGTTTGTAGGCTGCTCGTGCGTGGGGGGGTGTTAGTACACGTGAGGTTCTGCTGTCCTAGACCGCCCTCGCTACCTATCTCACGGCACAGGCAGGCCTAGTAATACAAACATACATGCGCCTATCCATTAGTTAGACCGCTATCGCCTGCCTAGCCAGCCGGTCTAGGAACCAACTCAGCGAGTTCAACCCCAGAAGACGGGAGATATCTCCAACTTCTGTTTTCATCCTGATTATAAATATAGGAACAGAGACAAAGGAGAAAAGGAACAGCAGTTACCAGAAAGACATAAATATAGGAACAGAGATAAAGAAGAAAAGGAACAGTAGTTACGTTACCAGAATGTCAGGGACCTAGCATGCTGGCCGTGCCAAAAAGGCAACAGAGCAGTAGTCGCTATTACGGGCACGCCTTATAACCCTATAAACCTATCCTTTTCGCATCTGTCCCTGACACAGAAAGACAAATATAGGAACAGAGACAAAGATGAAAAGGAGACTAGTTACCAGAAAGATATAAATAAGGGAACTTGGGTTCTATACTTGCTCCATCCAAGATTCCCAAATTAACACATCGCTAAAATGGAGTACGATCTCCTCCTCATCATCGATGCGACGTCCTCCATGTACAGCTACCTCGAGGCACTCAGAATTGCCCTGCCCCAGGTAGTCTCCATATCCGCCATAACAGGATGCTTCTCGCGCTGTGGTCTCCTTGCATACCGCGACTACGATCAAGGAGAGAGTACGTTACTGGAATGGTCCGGATGGCAGGAAAACGGGCACAACGAAGAGGGAGATGAGAGCCAGCCCGATATTCTGGCATTAGCCAGGTCTCTCAAACAATTCGGTGGAGCTGACAGTCCAGAGGCAACGAAGACAGCACTGGCCAAGGCATATGAAGTGATGCGTCCCGAGACGAAGACCATTATCTTGCTGTATACAGATGCACCTCCTCATACCACTGTCAACGAAAATATCGATTGTCATATCGGTTATCGGCGTTCAAATACCCAAATGGAACGTGACGCTCTTGAAAACCCGGACGCCTATGGCGGTTATGGGCCCAAATTTGTCGACTGGGTGTCGGCGTGTAATGAGCTACGATATGGGCCAAAGAAGGCACACGTTTTTTCCATCGTGGAGAAGTTCATAACTCCAGGCGTGGTTGGCTACTACACCTTTCTTTCAACGACAACGGGCGGAGCATGCATCGTACTCGACTGCACAGAGCCGTCGGACATTGCGAGGATGACGGTTGACATCCTGCTGGCGTGGATGGGCGTGGCAAAGACTGGTTCGTTCAATCTCGATCCTCCACCGGCGCGTCTCGCCCGCTACAAAACTACCGATGATATAAAAGATCTCACGGATGAGAATGACAAGAGGGGTTTTAAGTTCTTTCCGGTCCCGGGTTCGGGAAAAGATGTCCAAACAGCATTCTTAACTAACGTATTTTTCACCCTAATGATAACGGATACCGTGCAGAAGTATCTGCCCAAGAAAGACATCCCTCTGGCCGATTTTGCAATGGCCTATTCAACCGATGCCACATATCGCCAGCTCGTGGTCAAACACCTGAAACGCATCATAGATAATGACGTACGAGCCATCGCGTTGAATCCCGTGTTCGGAAGCCTCTGGAGGATATTCTGCAAGGACAGACAGAACAATTCTCGCCACGAGGTCATCAACGCATTCAGCGTTCAAGTCGACCGAATTGCAGATGCAGGTGACAGGACCGCCATGAAGGGCTGGTTGGAAGCCTCGTATGACTACACTCAGGAAGTCCTGGATATCATTGCTCGCGTTCCGGAGGACAATCGATTCCCATGTGTGTGTCTCGACCCAACTCTCAGCTTCAGTCACGCAGACGCCAGGCAGCTCGACGACAACGAAGACGACGATACCAACAAACCCATCTCACAGTTCACCCGGAAGGAGCTGCTGGAGATTGGTAGATCTTGTGATTCAAAGATCCTCAGACGTCTCTCTCGTGTTTTAACGCGGCTGACCTACATTGAAAGCGAGGCTGATATGCCCGAACATCTCGCCATGACCGGTAACGAGGAGATCCCAAAGATTCCAACTATCCTGGCAACCGACCAGTTCGATCATAAGTTCTGGGAGGTTCTCTTGCATCTTGTTGTTCCAGGTACATTTCTATCGGCCCGTCCTGCAGCCCTTCTCGCAGCCTTGGGTCTGAAGCTTGGTATCGCACCTCTGTTCCATGCAGCTGAACGGAAAATGCTAAGTTTCCGTGATAAGTGGAATAACATTAAAACGCCCGAGAATTGGAATGTCTCGTGTTTGTCTCTTCTCCTAGATGCTGATAGCGCGTACCGCAGTCGACTGGAGGAGTCTGGATCTCTGTCCCAGGACGGACAAGCTCCCGCGAATTTGTCTACTCTCATCAAGCCCAGCGACAGGAAGCTATTTGAGCATTTAATAGCATACCGAGTGCTGGAACTCAACATGGACAGTCAATTAACCGCCCGTATCGGTTGGAAACCAGCGAAGACCTCCGTGCCCGTTGGATTTTTGGTTACCTGCCGGTCCTGTCAGTATCCCAGATCAGTCACTATCATGGGCCCTAACAAGCAGTGCGGTATTTGCCTCAGCACTGAGCCCGAGGTCCGTGAGAAGGTAAAGCACATTCGTGTTTCAAGGGATGATACTGAAGCCACTCATGCAGCGTGGGTTGAGTGCGGTGTAGCAACTTGTCGAGCACAGTATGTTGTCTACAATCCGGAGGCATTAAAAACCAACTCTAAATGCCATTACTGCCGAAATGACAATGACCGGAATCATCCCAACCGTGCTCCTTGGGTTGAATGCCAGAGATGCTTGAACCGCATTATCTGGCCCGAAGAATACCGGCCTTTCGCCTTCGACCAGTCCAGCTTCGTTTGTGTCCACTGCGTTTCCGGTGTCGAGACAATCCAAGACATGGAAATCACGGCGAAAGAGCTCTGCACTGAAAACGGGCCGAAATGGCTTATATATGATTCCAGAAAGCCGGATACCATTCCATTTATTAACCACTCGCTCTTCGGTACAATCTCGGCCATTGGAACGGATTCATTCGTCTCTCAGATGCATATCTTCCCGACAGCGGACGCCTCCCTAAAGTTGCAGGGAAAACCGATTCTAAATACCCTATCGCTCATATCAAATCTGAAAGATCGTGTATCCCGTCGCGAAACCGCCAGAACGCATTGCTCGCTCTGTTTCTCGACCTTCCACCCCACCGCTCTCAACCCTGCCTGTGGCCGTCGCGGCTGCAAGCAGCGAATCTGCAAGGACTGCTTGTCATCCTGGTACGGACTCAACGAGCCCGGCACGATAATCAACACAGCAGCCCTGTCATGTCCCTTCTGTCGACGTCTGCCGTCCGGACGGACGTTGGCAAAGTACGGCATGGGCGTCTACGCAGTTGGCAATCTGGTTGATGCGGTCCGAGACAAGGGAACATGGATCTACGCCTGGTGCGAGACATGTTCGTTCGCCAGACAATTCATGGAGCGTGTGTGCGCGCGTGGAACGCCGACAGACGTGTCGAATTGGACCTGCGAGATCTGCCGGGCAGAGCAGGAGAGGCTGGATAATCGCCGTGTGCAGGGGATTAAACCGTGTCCTGGCTGCGGGACAATGACGGAGAAGATTTCGGGATGTGGACACATCCAGTGTACGGTGGAGGGGTGCAAGAAGCACTGGTGTTATTTCTGTGGGAATGCGTTTGACAGTGATTCCATTTACGTGCATATGAATCGCGTGCATAATGGGATTTACGATGAGGATGCAAAGTATGAGAGTGATTAATAGTAGTTAGTACATTGTATACAGCTAAAACCAGGAAGAGCAGCAGTACATTGATTATTCACGTTTAACTACATTCTTATTCATATAAACAACTTACTGCCACCACGGTAGTCTATAATGCGTCAAAACAGTAGCATGGTCCGAAGTCCATTCATTATCGCGGTGATCCGGACTGGACTTTGGCTCTCCCACAACCAAGCGCCGGGAATCAACCACCTTCAACCTCCCCGTATGATAGATGAAATCGATGCGATCCTGCGGCTCACCCGGCAAGATAGGCGACCACGTCGTTCCCTGCTCAGCAGCAGGATCCGGATGAGCGATACGGAACGAATCCACGAGTCCCCTCTCGGTCGGAAGAATGGAAGTCGGCCACGCGTAATTCGCCACGCCGCAGTTCTTCTCGCGGAGGGACTCGACCCAGTCCAGATGCGAGGGCGCGTTGAAATCCCCCGTGAAGATAACGGGTACCTTGTAGGAATTGTCCAGTTGCGGACCCATGCCCTCCAACGTCTCGATCATCTGCGGCATGCGTCCCGACTCGGCTTCCCGCGCCGTCACCTCGTCGGGCGACATGTGGGCGTAGCAGAAGTCATACGGACCGTACGGATCGAATCCGAGATGCGTAGTCCAGAAGTTGATTTCAAAGGGCGAGCCAAAGAGGACAGGCCGGCGACCATTGAGATTGATGCGAACACCTCCGGACCGGCTGATTTCGCCGTACTCTTTGACGATGGGGTATCGACTGATGATGCCGACGCTCTTGGTGCTCTGCCAGTAGTACCAGCCCAGGGCCTTTCCGAGACGAGCGGCGTGGTCGCTGGTGGTTTCTTGGAGACCGACGATATCAGCGCCGGACTGCAGGAGAAACCGGAGCTGTTTCTCGTGGTAATTGCTGACCTGCGTCCCGCCGAACCACATGTTATACGTGAGGATGCGCAGGTCGCCGACGAGGCTCTGGTAGAAGCGTCGCACGGGGATGAGGAGACGGATTTCTGCCGTCGAGCCGTTGTCTGCCACGGCGCGGACTAGCACTGTCGAGCGCCGTGGAGAGAGCAGACCAGGCTGGCCGGAGATGGATCCGTTCGAGCCCACCTGGATCCAGGAGTGCCCTTCAGCTTTCTCAAAGCCGACTTTCGCATCGCCCTTCCCGAGAAGCAAGCCGTCGATGCGCGCGGAGAAGTGCTCGAACTGGCGCGCGTTATGCAGCGTAGCATTGGCAACGGGGAAGTAGAGATCCGCCGGCGGAGCTTTAAGAGTGACATTCACCGGCTGCGCAAGCCATCTATATCCATTCTGTGCGAGGAAATACGCCCGGTACTCGCCCGGTTGCAAGGAGTCGACAGACAGATGCACCCCGCCCTTCTTCTGCGGCGCATACTCCCATACCAACGACGGCGTGACAAAGGACTGGTTTTCAGGCCCGCCACCAGAAGCATGATACAGTCCTATCCAATTATCGCCATGTGCCTCGGGGGTAGAGTAGTGGAATGTAAACGGTTTCCCGTCACTGTCGAGAGATAAGGTCCCCAGGACATGGTTGTTGAAGCTGAGAGGTTTCTGAATACTGAGACCAGCCGACACAGGAGCCGGCTGGAGGACAACGGACGCGGACATGGCCGCGACGAGCAAGGACCAGACGTGCATCAGCTGCGATGGTGTCAATGATGTTCAACGCCGAGATTATAGACTGCGGTTAGGACTGACTGGCCGTTTCAGGGCCAAGGGGTCCCGAAAAAGCCGAGACCCATAGCATGCATCCAGTCTTCCACGTATCCAGCTGGTTTGTAGGATGAATGGAACAGAGACAGGCGGGGATTATCTCACCAGAGGCTGCGATGGAGAGATCGTGTCTTGGCTGAACGCGATCCGGCGCATTCGTAAGCGTCAGCCAAGAGGCCCTGCTGTGCATATCATGGCGATCTTTCATCCCGAGAGCTGTACAAGTGCAGAACCCCCGTATGGAGGCCTCAGTATCTCCAGAAGTGGAATATCCCAATAATAGCAGAGTTCAACTCCGGTACGACCCATGGATCTCCTCAAGGTTTCCGTTGAAAGTAAACCGACTAGAACGTGAGGACCTGCGGATCAACGCTGAAAATGACCGCCATTCCGGCCTGCAGCTCCCAGCGGCGAGCCGCCGCTATTCTGCACCCGCCAAGCTTGGCTTTGTCACTATCCTGAGGTGATGTTGGCGCTGAACCTGCACCGAGCGTTCTCCCGTTCCAACACCACCGAAGCGACGTAGCATCCGCCTCTCCGACGCTTTCAGCGATACACGCGGTATCTAGTGACGTACTGACGTACCAAGCTTTATAAAGGGCGTGCTTTGTGCCTCTGGTTATTTAATTGACGGTCTGCGTCCTCCCCGTGGTCCGACCAGTACAGTAATACAATTGCCGCATCGCATGTCTGCCTTCACTTCTATTGTGTCGTACTTCCATGCTACGATAACCCTGTCGACCTAGAGGACGTGCTCCTAGTACGCTTAGCCAGCTGCCACCCCTTAAGCTCCTGCGCCCAACCAACTACTCAATACACCCATTAAAGTCATTGTATCCCAACGCCCAGTACGGAGTAGAGCTACGTCGTTTACCGGGAAGATACCTCGGCCGGGAGCCGTGATCAGCTGACACAAGTCACGTGGATGGACGGTTTCCTCAAGCTATTGCTTCTTGCTTCCCCTTTACAACAAGTCGATGGCCGAAAAACAGCTCTCCAGATTAAAAATCTATTCTATTAAGAAGTCTATGTTGTTCCAAATAAATGCTCCATCCTAGTTACTGTCCAACACTACCACCTCCGCCGGCGCGTCCCCAATGCTCTCCACGGAAAGCAAATCCCCCGCATTCACGCCCGACACGAAAGCCCCATCTCCTTCCGACAGCACGGCATCGTCCCGGCCATCCAACCGAATCTTAGCCTTGTTCTGCTGTGTTGAGGGTAGGTGGATATACACGTTCCGCTTCTTCGTACTGCTAACAGCATCACCCGCGCCAACCTTCCACTGGAACACCTTCGACTTCTCGATGATACCTGCGCCCATGACGAAATCCGCATGGATGGGGATCGTCCCCGGGATCTTGGGAACGGCGGCCTCTTCTGCGGCCAGAGTGGCGTCCGGACCCGCTGCCAGAGGCGATATAATGGGCACAAACGCCTTGCGCTTTGCTTCCTCGTCAAAGCTCATGGTATGATACTGCGGCTTCAGACTGTGTTTCCACGGCAGACACCAGATCTGGAGGAAATGCACCGGTTTGTTGGATTCGTTTTGTTCTGAGTGCGCGATTCCTGCATGTGCCTGTTAGGTACTGCGCGTTATTTTCCCTGCTCCAGGAGAGACATACCACTGCCACCCGTGGTAAACTGCACATCACCCCGTCTCATCCGGAAAAAGTCCTTCCCTTGCGCGCCCTCCGCACCCTTCCTGAGCATGCTATCCCGGTGCGTAAGCTCGCCGCTGAGAATGTAGCTGAAGATCTCCGCATCACGGTGCGGATGCGTCGGGAATCCGTTCCGCGGAGCCACCCGGTCCTCGTTCAGCACTCGTAGGCAGCCGAAGTTCACAAAGCGATGGTCGTAGTAGCCGGCGAAGCTGAAGGTGTGGAAGGTCTTGAGCCAGCCGCCGTGTTCGGCGTATCCGCGTTCGCTGGACTTGCGCAGCGCAATCTTGGCGTGGTTGAGGGGTTTGGCCATGGTGGGATATCTGGTGTGACTATTCCGATTATTTGAAACCCTAGTAACGAGATTAATTCAACTGCTGAGTGAAACGCAGTCGAGGTGAGAAAGTGCTCTTATATAACGACAGAGAAAAGCGGATGACATCAGCATCAGCAATCAAGGGTCACTAAATAAGCGTGCATAAGCTCTGACTAAAAAGGCAAATTACGAATGCCAGCTAATAATTAATTAAGCATTAGGAATTCTTCTCCGGCCTGACGTCTTCGTCTTTCATGGCTGTTTTTACGATCTCAATGCCTACATAGCACCGGAATGCACGCTACCGACCCAAGAACCTCAGCTCCAACCACCGCAGCGGCGGATAGCTGAGCGCAGCCCACGAGATACTAACAGGAATACCCAGGTCAATGCCGTCGCCCACCGTCGCAGCCAACGGCCCCGTGAAATACGTCTGGAACATCCCCAGGACAGCGCCCACCCACCCGATACAGAAGGCTGTGAAGGCAGCGATGCCGATGGGCAGTTTTTTCGCCTGGTTCCACGCCTTCCAGTCGTACCCGGCAAGGCCCTTGCGGAAGATAAACTCCTCCTCCAGCGTTAGCGTCACCCACATGGCCGTCCAGTAGCCCATGAGAGCCAGGAAATTCTGGAAGATAGAGAACAGCTTATCTCTTCCCGCGCAGGCGCACACCGTATAGATGATGACGCCGACGATCGTCCAGAAGAAGCGCGGAATAGCCTGGAACCAGCGGCCCAGGAGCTGGAAGGACAATGAGGCGGAATAGGTGCCGGGGACATTGTTGGCGATCATGCCTAGCGCTATGACTACCGCGCAGAAGTGACCGAACGTCCCTAACGGGGCGAAAACCTCGGTCAGTAGCGCTCCTTCGCTAACACCATATGCAGCCCCCCAGGATGGGTTTCCGGCCACGCCAGATGCAACTCCGGAACCCAGCAGAAGGGTGATGATGGTGGAGAGGCCGTTGCCCAGTGTGGAGGACATAAACACCTTCCATCGACTGGCTGTTGGGGGGAAGTAGACGTAGAAATCCGCCGAGGCCGGTGTCCAGGCTAGAGGACCTGACATGCACAGGAAGAAGAAGCTCATCTGATCCGCTGAACGGGTCGGCCCGTTGCCCGTTGACACGGTGGAAGTGTCGAATTTTGGGCCCGCAACACCGATCAGGATGAACAGGACGAGCAGCTGCGGAATGAAGGCGTACCGCTCGTATTGATGGAACAGCTTCATGCCGAACAGGCAGATGACGAGTGAGATGATGGCGGCGATGATTACGCCCACGATCACCGTCAGCCCTTGGCCGTTTACGGCTGACAGGATCTGTCCAGCAATCAGTGTGTCGACCAGGCCATATCCCAGCATGATGACGATGTTGAGGAGGACGCAGATGCGCGATGGCCACCAGCCCATCGTATATCGAGCCACGACCTAAGCAATGCGTGTCAGCAGGGGCATTCCAAAGGACAGAAAATGTAGATATTTCAAGATACCCACCAACGTGCGGTTCCCACTCAGAGGACCAAACGTCGAAATATAGCCACAAGCTGCTGCACCCACCAAACCACCAAATGTCCCCAGCAACAGGCAATCATTCAGGCCCAGGTCAAAGACCAGCGGTCCCAAAAGCCCCAGCAACACATTATTCGCCGTAAGATTTGCAGAGAACCAGATAATGGCCATCTGGACATAGTCCGCCAGGGCAACCTTGTGGGAGCGAAGAGACTCCGGAACGCGCTCAATGCCACGAGCCTCAGCCCCGGCCAGTTTCTCGAACCGCTGCACCCATCTGTAGAGCACGTTATCCGACCAAACCGTTCCGTCGGTGTTGCCTTCTTGCGCTTCGGGGTCGATCATGGTGGCCGAAGCGTAGAGACTGCGGTCTATCCCCTTCTCCGGCGCCGTGCCCACAGTAGGACCAGCGTCGCTCATGGTCACCAAGGATCAAAAATGGCGGACGATGAAAAGCAACCCGAGATATATGGGGCCGCTGTAGCGGAAATGGCCTGACGTGACTCACCGGGATTTGAAGAAAAAGAAAAAATCCCACTGCACTCACCGCGGATACGCGGGGAGAAATATGAAGACTCTCACACTATCTGCTCGCTTACTCCATCCATGCCGGCTTATCTGCTGTATTCGATTCAAGCTCAATCCCGCTCCAACCACGCCGTCAATCAACCCAGAAGTGCGGCATAAGCGTCCGATCCCAGCTTATCGATGCATTCTCCCCCCTTTTTTACAGTCCGGGTCCATGGGGAATATCCCCAGCGGCCATACGCAGCTTGGCATAAGCTTATGCAACGAGTCCCCGATGGCACTCATCGCGGAGAGAAACCGATCAATTATAATCCCTCCTGAATGAATGCATGGGACATAGACATCATCGCCCCGGATCATACAAAGGCGAATGCGTGTTTGACAAGTGGTTTGAGTACACTCAAGGCAACCTTTCTTAACTATCCTCGTGCGCCGCTCGTCATTAGCTAGCTTTGGCTTCGGTATGCTTGCCTGCTGTCAAATCACACTGCCGTATCCGTTGAGAAATGGGGAATGGCTATTTTTACCGGATTAGTAAAATCGATCCTGAAAGCGAGGAGAAGACATAAGTCAACTGTATTCTCTCCATCCTTGCAATGGCTGCCGAAGTCGACACTTATCACAATCAAAATGGACGTCGCACTGCTACAGAGTTTCATTCAACTTGTGAATCCATCTTTGGGGATAGCCATGGTTGTCTTGGCTCTGCTCCTGGTATTCTATCCGCGACGGCGGAGCACCGCTACTCTCGAAGTCACCCAGGTGCGCTACTCCGGGGATTCGGAAGCCGTGAACTTGATGACTGAGACAGCTTAGCTATATGCATATCCCATAAAAGGCATTCGCGGGACCGCATTACAAAAAGCCTGCATCGGCCGCTACGGTCTGGTCGGAGACCGTACCTTTTGCCTGCAAAAAGTACACCGCAATGGGAGTAACAAGACGCACAAGACCATGTTGGCCGGGCTTGACCTACAGCTAGCTTTGTTCCGTGCCGCTATCCGTTACGATGAGAGAAGTGCGAATGAAACTGGCGAAGTAGTTGTAACGTGGGACGGGCGCTCTACCCAGCTCGATACTACACACGAGATTAGATTCCCGCTGAATCCTCCAACGGACTCTCTCGATGAAATGGAAATTGACCTCCACGGGAGCAGCACAAAGGCATACGACATGGGCGACGATCTGTCCAAGTGGTTCGCGGACCGTCTGGGGTTCGAAGCCAGACTGGTGTACATTGGCGAGTGTTCTCGGGCGGTTCTCGGCTCACTCGCTCCTCACGGTCAAAAAGGTCTTCAGAAGAGCTCAGGACTGGTAGGCCAGTTACAGGCGATGCTTCCATTCAACCAATATCCAGCCGAACGACTCGTCTTCGCAGACATTGCGCACTATCTCGTCGTTACAGAGGAGTCGAACAACCACGTAACATCTCTCCTCACAGACGGGTATACGATGGACATCACCAAATTCCGTCCGAACATCGTCGTCAAGGGCGCGTCTGGACCCTTTGTCGAGGACTTCTGGGGCGAGCTCACCTTCGATGGGAACATTCGAATGCCCTTAACCGCTAACTGTCACCGCTGTCAGAGCATCACCGTCGACTTCAACACGGGCAAGCCGGCAACCGATGATCGAGGGACGGTGTGGAAGAAACTGAACAAGACCCGACGGGTGGACAAGGGGGCCAAGTACAGCCCTGTCTTTGGACGGTATGGGTACTGCTTTGGGTCTTCCGTGGGCAAGACGATTGTTGTCGGCCAGGAAGCTAGAGTCACCCGGGTGAATAGGGAAAGGACCATCTTCGGTGAGTGGGAACCTCCTCCTTGTGTCCATGTTGGACTCATGATTAATGTGAATCCTAGACTGGCCTGGCTTGGCCGTGTACGGTGTCAAGAAGTAGTAGACGGGGCAATTGGGATAGTCCTCTTCCGATAATACGACAAAGTCGACGGCTGTGGCAATTTCTCTGGGTCAAAACAGAGACATATTACAGGCAACGGCGTTACGAACAGCTTCGACATGCTCCGTTTAGTACTTTCGCTGAATTTCTCTGTTATAGCATGCCAGGTTGACAACACTGCACAAGAATGTTTCCGAAGACATCATCACTTATTTCAAATCCAGAGAGCCCACAACCTGCAGGAACCGATAATAATACTTTGCTGCCACGAATTATAATCCATAATAGCTATCTAGTGCTTGTCATCATGGCTCAGGACGGCGAACAGTACATGCTCGGGTCAATCCAGCATGCCGTCTCGGACACATTCTAGTATGCGCTCGGCCCAACAGCGGCATATACAGCCAGCAATAGCACTGGGTTCTGTAGATTATGCCAAGGTATCCTCTTGAACTCCCAGAAAATATCGGTCGCGATACTGTATAGATTCAAGATGTCTTCGGAATCGCCCTCTCCCTCTCCATCCCGACCTGGCTGTAGTGCACAAGCTCCTAACACCGAATGGGATTCACACTAAGGAATAACTCGAAGTCATGCGCTAGCGGCTCGCTAGCGGCTCGCGTTCAAACTAAAGGACTCCATCCGGGGAAAATAATTCATCATATCCCACGAAGACACAGATATGCCTCCATCTCTACGCTTCCGTCGCGCGCGCGAAGGATCGATTTGTCCCGGTTGCCTCCGGCGATTATCGATGTTGGCGATGCAGATATAGTCCCGGATGAAGTTATTGATTATGCCTCTACGCTGTGGAGGTGCGGTGTCCCGACGGAACTGCATGTGTGGCCGGGTTGCTGGCATGGGTTCAATGTGTTCGTGCCAGATGCCCTGATTAGCCGTCGAGTTGATGCGGTTCGAATGAAATGGATGGAGAATCTGGTGGGTGCATAGACATTGTAAATTGTCCCAGAATAAACTATTCTGTTGATCTAGCCAGTTCAGGGAAGACTGGGAAGAAGTATTCATAAATGACGTCCATTTCGTTCATATTGTTCATATTGTTCATGAATGCATCAAAGGCATTACCCATGCAGGTATCAATCAAAAAGGAACAAACACAACACCACCCAACACACACGTCTCCCTCGGCTGGTACTTCGAAGGATCCAGCATCGTGCAGATCCAATTCGAGTTCGGCGCCGACTTATTGAACGTCCACTGCCCCGATTCAGACTCGTCAGCAGTAAAGAACCTCAGCGTGAACGCCTCAATGTCATTCGGGTGTCCAGCGACAAAACTGATATTGTACCCGGTGTTGGCGCACGAGCTCTGAGGGATGTAGAAGTCGTAGTATTCCCTGTGTGATGCCTTAGATCCGTCCAATCCTTCCTGTCGGCTTGCACGGCGAGCAACTTACCAGTAGATAGCACAGTCGGTTTCGACGTGACGGACTTGGTCGTAGAGAGTCAGTTTCAAGTCGGCATCGGGGAGGATCGAGCTGGTGTTGGCTGCCATGTTGCTGATCCGGAAAGCCTGCTGCGACTGTCTGGAGGTGAGGTGGCTGGGAGCTGCGAGGGCAGCGGCAGCAGAGAGGAGAGAGATGGCAGCAGAGAACCTCATCTTGACTTTGGGGGTTTGAATGTGAGATTTTGTTCGGTTGAAGTATGGAAGAGTAATGCACTTCAAGACTATCGGCGGCTTTTATATTCACTATTCTCACCACGAAGGCAAAAACGGAGCCCGGATAAAGCACTCTGCGGGCCTTGTAGGATGTCATCTCACTTGCAGACATCCCACAGTAGCCCTATACCGACCTGCCCAGGACCACCGGACAACGAAGCCATGTATGTCGCACTCCAGCCACAAATACGAGCCAGTGCAGGCCATATACTAGGCCGGAAGATGACAGATCGGCAGCCGGATCCTTCAATGACAATGTTATCCGGATTCCGATGGAGTATGCCAAGGCAGAGGGATCCGCCGTGATGACTCTGCAGGTGCTAAATATAGCCCTTTTTTGGCTATGAATAGATCGCCAGGCAGTTGGTTCCAACAAGCATCGGTACATTGGATCATGCAATCGATGTGGTTTCCGGATAGCCTAAAAGCAGGTAACAATAGCAAAGAGTCGACCATCTCTCCCGAATGTACCTATCACTATGGCGGTGCAAATCAACCCTGATACGCCACTTCTTTGAGCAGAGGAAATGAACGAGAATGTCCCGAGACAACGGAATTCCTCTATTTTTCGTACCAAGGAAGGGTCATCGGCGGCTTCGTCCCGGGTCTTCTTTGCGCGTGGGGGTAAACAGACCGTGTATGGCTCTCTGATTATGCAATTGGCAGGAAGTCCAGAAGTCCAGGAGTTCAGGAATAATCCGAATGTGAGCTGACAGCTGCCGACTCCAGCTTTTTATGTTATTAGTGGAAGTTTGAATATATCTAACGTAATCAACCACCGAGCTGCGAATTTCCTGCGTTCCCCGCGTCAGTTTCAGTCTACCATTCTCAACGCGTCATTTTTTCACCTTCTTCATATAAAATGCCTCCTTCTCAAGAAGCCCACATGCAGATGGCTATTTCTGCATATAATTCAAAAAAAAATCAAATCAAAATTGAAAGTTGCTAAGACTTTTGATGTGCCTGAATCTAGCCTTTGTCTAAGGCTTGCTGGAGGTACACCACGTACAGAAATTCATACAAATGGTCATATACTATCCTATATTGAAGAAGAAATACTTGTCAAGCATTTATTAGATGCAGAGAAAAGAGGTTTCTCAATCAGACCACAATTTCTGCATGGAATAGCACAGATTCTACTCTGTAAGCATATACAGGATTCAACTGCTACCCTTAATGTCAATTGGGCATATAAATTCATCAAACACTATCCAGGGATAAGAACATTGTGCCGGGGGCACTGCGAAACCCCGGATCTTCCATATTTCCTATCTTAGAACACCGTAGAACCGCAGACTCCGACATACTAATGTATGGTGGAGCCCGCGGCCGGAGAGTACTTAATGGAGGGTTCCCTCCCAGATAGTTACGAGAAATTGAGCATTCTTTTGGATTCTAGGTTGCTTCACTAGTATCGTCATCATCGTATAGAACGGAGCGAGGCTCCATCGTTGTGTTTCTTCTTTTATTATATCGTTCAGTGTGTCCATCCCTGAGATCCCTCGATCACAACCCGGTTCCTGTCGCAGGGAACAACGCACGTATCTACAATCCAGGGGAATAGGGAATAGGTCACAATTATTAAGTGTATTGGGTCCAAAGGTTGTCATATTCTATCATTGATAATCTTAAAAGGGGAGCAACAGGCTGCTTGGTATCAAGAATCAGCTTTCCCACAACAACAATAGTATATTGCAACAAGCTAAAATGGCTAGACTATTGATAAAATAGGCCTTCACTGGCTTAAAGAGGTGTTTGAACCATATTCAAGACAATATTCAATTGGTTCAAAGCAGCTTCTTATTCTTGATGGTCATTGCAGTCATTTGACTGCAGATGTTAATACTTTTTACAAAGAGAATGCAATTATCTGTCTTTACATGCCTCCATATACATCTCACCTTCTTCAACCATTAGATGTTGGTGTGTTTGGGCCTCTAAAGCGTGCATATGGGAAGCTTCTTGAAGAGATGATGATCGCTGGCAACAACCATATTGACAAGGAAGACTTCGTATCTCTCCATCCATCTGTACGCCAAAGAGTCTTTACTCAGGATAATATCTATGGTGGCTTTGCTGGAGCAGATATCCCATGCCTGTCGCAGACAGAGTGAGTTAGTTGCAGATATCCTGGGTTAATGAATGCAGTTCCATCTTATAAATGGATAAAATTCTGGGGGAAATATGCCCCATTTATATCCTTGCTCCAGCCTTAAAAAAAAAAAAAAAAAAAAAATTAAATTAAAAAAAGGACTCTGAAAGCTTGTTTATTGTATGTACCTAAACGAAAGATGGAGCCGCTTTCGCGCAAAGTTTCGTAATGCCCGAGAAAGTTCCAGGTAGCTTTGGATTATTCTTGATGATTATTTGACTGCTGAGTGATGTAACCCCGCGCACCCGTGTAGCGATGGATGGATGCTTTTCCAATTGATGGCCATTCTTTGATTGGGGAGGCTGAGGTCCTTGCCTGAATCAGATTCCAATTGGCTCTGGACTCTGAGTCAGCCTCCTGAAGACGTGTTGGATCAACTTGCTTGTATTGTCTATCTAGGTTGGTCTAGCTATTTTAGTGTCAGGCCAAGCGAGGGCGGTCTACTGTGGCAGAATTCATGTGACCTCTAACAAGACGGCCGCAGAGTCTCTGTTGGATCACGTGGGATTCTGCCGCATAGGTCCGCCCTCGCTGACCCTTTCCACCACGTCGGCCTATCTAGCTAGTAACCAACCAACGATACACCTCCATTAGTCTCAACTGTAGCTCACCTGACTAGACGCTCCCTACAACATGAACCTGGTATGCGGAGAGACATTCTTAATTACCCGCTCAAAACACTTCCTGTTCTCAACCACCTTCAATATCCCCCTTTGACGCACACGCCGGTGAGGTCAACCAACGCGCCTCTTTCTTTCTCAGCGCTTGAATGGCCCAGCCCTCCAGGGCAGACATCATCGAAACCAAACCAATAGGCGAGGGATTGAATGCTTTTCACGACAACCTAACATTGACGTTCAAAGATTCAGGACTCCCATGCTCCATCGACTCTCTATGTGAATTGGACGCCGAAGGTAGTGGTTTTCCAGAATTCACGAGCATTTCTAACTGTAAATAGTTCTCCAGAACTTGCTCCTTGACTTAATTTTGGCGTTACAAGCCCTTCCCGCTTCACGTGTATTACGCTCTGTCAGCGGCTGCAGAAGCCTTTTTAGTGACTTGTCGAGACTGAGCTCAGCTGTTAATTCTGACGACTTTGACCTTGAGCGACTCGTTCCGTTACTCGGTGCGGTCCTCAACAAAGAATCCGATAACGCAGTTTGGGACAAAGTCTACGCTGTCGCAGTCGAATCCACTCCTCCTCCTAAGCCGCTTCCTTTTCTCAGTCAAACGCCATATTTGCACACCACGAGCAGTTTCGTTAACTCTTCCGAACATCGAAAATATGTGGACGCTGTGCTAAAGGAAGAGCTGAGCTCAATCTACATCGGTGTACCAGGCTTCTACGAGGCGTACTTTGGAGGTATTGAGGGTTTGGAAGAGACCGGTGCTGTCGTCTTTAGAAGATGTATGGAAGGAGATAACCCCCTATTCAGCGAAGAGAATGGCTGGCGGGACTGGCCTGAGAACTCTAAAGAAAAGGAAGTTTTAGACTGGATCTCGACACTAGTCAACGTTCTCCGCGGCATAGCGACCGAAGCGGGTTTTACCATGTCAACACATCGGACGGTTTTGGCACAGCCTGATCAACCATTACAAGGATCTACGGCCGATCGAAAGTTGTATGTTGGTTTGGTTTGCAATTTGGAAGCAAACAGTCCCGCAAAATTTGGCTGGACAGATATCCTGGTCCTGGGCGAGCTGAAGAGTAACCCGAGTGCTGATACAGCTTCAAAGACGTGGCGTGATCTGGGCCGCTATGCAAGGGAGGTACTCACTGTTCAAGACACTCGTCGGTTTGCCTTGGGATTTACGCTTTGTGGATCCGTTATGCGGTTGTGGGAGTTCGACCGCACAGGAGCCATCGCATCATTGCCCTTCGATATCAACAAAGATGGTCTCCGATTTGTTTCAGCCATATTAGGATTCCTTCGGATGAGCAATGAACAGTTAGGATACGACCCCAGCATTTTCTCCTCTTCCGATGGGAAACGATTCATTGAGATTGTTCGCGACGGGCAGTCGGAGCGTCTTATTCTTGATGGACTTATGAAGCGCGCCTCGTGTGTTGCTGGCAGAGCTACGACCTGCTGGAAAGCCCACCGCGAAGGGGACAAGGCGAGTTCACCACTCGTTATCAAAGACTCATGGCAGTATCCAGAGCGAGAGGAGGAAGGTAATCTTCTACGGGAAGCAACAGAAAAAGGGGTGGTCAATGTAGCCAGGTATTACTACCATGAAACAGTTCAGATAAACGGAAACGTCGATGATACCCACAACAATGTTCGCAGAGGACTCGACGTGACCCAGTCGACAAATTACAGATCGACACGTTCCGACAATTTTACGAGCACGAGTAACGCAGTGGACAAGGCAAGAATTGGCCGCTCCACCAGCAGTTCTGGGCGCAAGAGGTCATCCAGCCGTGCTGATGCAACACTGCCGCCTAGCAAACGGACTTGCTGGAGCTCTCCGACCAAAGGTGGACGCAATTTCACACTGCAGAACAGGGTTCATCGCCGTGTTATTGTTCGTGACTACGGCAAGCCTATTTATAAAGCAAGATCGCGTGTGGCCATCCTTTCTGCGCTTGAGAGCTGTATCGAAGGTGAGACTGATTGGTTTTTCTTCACATTTCGCTACTAACTGAAGAAGGTTACCAATCTTTGCATACAAAGGCGGGATTTTTACAGGGTGACATTTCAACTGGGAACCTTATTCTCAACGATGGTGAAAACCCATCTTGGCCGGCGTTCCTAATCGACTTGGACCTTGCCATCAAAGAGCAGCGAGAACGGCCTTCTGGAGCGAGAGGCAAGACAGGGACAAGAGCATTCATGGCTATAGGCCTGCTCTTAGGGGAGAAACACTCTTTTAAGCATGATTTAGAGTCGTTCTTTTGGGTGCTCTTTTGGATATGTATTCACTATGATGGACCAGGTAAAGAAGTTGGGCCAACGGACTTTGATTGTTGGAATTATGAGAATGACAGGAAGCTCGCTCATTCAAAGAAAGGAATCGTCGTCGACGAAGGAGACTTTCTTAAGATTGCAGAGGAGACCTTCACGTCATACTATCAACCATTGGTTCCTTGGGTCAACAGATTGCGCAGGGTGGTATTTCCAGGAGGAATGCGGAGGAAGGACGAAGACACACGCCTTTACACTCAGATTAAAGAGATTCTTCGGAGCGCGACTGAAGATCCGAAGGTGTCGGGCTCGGAGGCTTAGGTTTTGCAATTCTTCAACAAGGAATTTGTTACTAGCTATGAGTTGGCGGATCCAGCCTAACATGCCCTCCATGATAGCCCCACCTCAAGAAACCAGTTTCCGCGCAGAGAACGAATATCTCTGAGCTCTGCGCCCAGATATCACTTAGGATGTATGCGCCCTCAATTTAGGGTTATTCCGACGAATAGTTGCGCGATCCTTTGTAATTAGGTCCGAGCATTTCCTGATAGCCTCCAACTGTTTGTGCGTCAAAGGGAAATAGTCCTCAGAGAATTTTCTTCTTGCTTTGTCAAGCTTATCAATGAACTCAACCAGTTGGGATCTGTCTTGTCCGATGGCACCTCAAATGATATCGTTTGGAAAATAATCCTGAATAAAAGTGATGTGAGGTAAAGTGAGACGATATGAGGCAAATTATGGTAAAATTGAGTCAGGCAAAAGAAAGTTATGCGGGGTAAATCAATGTGGATTAAGTCAAAATTTCGAGGTGAAGGTGAAGTGAGTTGAGGTGAAGTGAGGTGAAATGATGTAATGTGATGTAATGTGATGTGGTGTAAGCTATAGGAGGACTTTTATTGGTCAACAAGCACTTTTAGACAACTACATCTGCGCTTATCTTGTATCAACCTTATCTCAACTACAGGTTTCAGCTGGCCCTTGTCCTAAGTAGCATATATAACAATTACAAACCCTGTAAATTATAGTCTAAATAAACACTTCTAGCTTCAATGATGTTGCTATACGGTCCAATTGGGATCCAGGTTGTCACCTATGAGTTTGGCGAGTGAACAAGCATAACAAGACAATCAAGACAGCTGCATACAGAAGTACGGGCATATTCCTACTTAGCGTTGATGTGTGCCATGCAGAAAAATGCATATGTAGACCTATACACTTTAAAAGTCCAAGACCTTCATCATGCACCTCACAGCACAATTCCATGCAGCTCAAAGCAGGATAGCAGGAGGGATGGAGGCATTTCTGCCTGATGATTGTTGCGCGTCATGAAGCGGAGCCATCATCCAATCTGCTGATATTGAGGATACTATGCAAGCACAGTTAGGGCTACTTCCCTGGCAGAAAAATCTTGTCTTCGCCTTTTCCCTTTTCTCCCCTATCCTCGATGTGCGCTGGCAGGATCGCATTCATAGTTAAGCAACGAGAGACCAATTGAAGTTCTTCCTGCCGCCCTGTACCCCATGGATCCCAGAAGAAGGATAGAGATGTTCCCTTTCGTGTTGATCCGTGCCGCAAGGTGGAGGTATTATGGCATGTGCTGGCGCCGAAGTGACTGTGGGACCCCATAGAATGCAACATGTTCGAGCCCATCATTGCGCATCTCACGGCACAATGTCACACAGCTCGACACGATCGAGACCATGATCATGTATCCTGCGGCATATTAACGCGGGATGGAAAGAGGGGAAGTGATGTCTCGTCCAGAAAGAATCGAGATATTGGTTGAGCATGATTACGATCAAGTTTATGGTTATAAATATCGAGTAATGTATACTACTATTTCCCTTGGATTATAGTCTGGACCATGTATATCTGCTCTGTGGATTTCCCGCATGCAAAGAGTTTCACGTTGACAAATGACAAAAATCCCCCTCATACATTCGAAGGTCTGTGTCCTTTCTACATCATCGAACCATGCAATTGACTGTGCACCAGTGATGGATTGCATACCTGATGCAATGGTTCTCTGGAAACGGTTTTGGAAGCCTTCGGATACGACATCAGTCAATGACCAAGACAAGGTCAGGCACTTTTCCTCTCGGTGAAACAAACTTCTAACCTCATCTCCAGGCAATAGAGTTTGCGGATGTTGAATACCCAATAGATAACTTTGATGGCGCAAATGAAATGAGGGCTGTAGTATTCTTCAATGGTGAAGGGTTCAGGCAGGTGGCTTGGAACTGTGCTGAGTTGCAGGGATTAGCCCAGTCAGTGCGCGAAGGGTGGATTACAAGAGATGAATTCAACGAACGTCGCAAAAAAGCAAGGGCAAGGCGGATCTCTATCTCGGATTCATGCACGTTTTTCTAGAGCGCGTTTATAATATCCCTCGTACAACCCTCCAGCGACGACTTAATGGAATCACCTCACGCGCAGAAACACGCGCCAACGGCCATAAATTGACTCAAAATGAAGAGTAATTGCTTGTATGATGGATTCTATCACTAGATTAATGTGGAGCAGGCCCCTGACCATCCCAAATACAAGAAATAGCCAATATTCTTCTTGCAGAGTGTGGTGTAATATCTATCCAATCAATTGGGAAGAATTGGGTCTCTAGCTTCATTAAATAGTATAATAAAATGAAAAGTTACTCCCTCCAGCACTGCTGTGCCGGGGGCACTGCGAAATCCCGGATCTCCCATATTTCCTATCGTAGAATGGTCCGTAGAGCCGCGGTCTTGTATATAATTCCTTTTCTTAACATATCTAGTACATGCGACCACAGGGTGTGGAAAACAGGGCTTCCCGTCCGCTCAGCCGTACTTAAGCCACACGCCGGCCGGTTAGTAGTTGGGTGGGTGACCACCAGCGAATCCCGGCTGTTGCATGTTTTATTTTTTATTGTTATTTCGTCCACAGGACCTAGTATTACATCAAAGTGTGCCGGGGCATTGCGAAATCCCGGGTCTCCCATATTTCCTATCGTAGAACGCCGTAGAGGCGCGGTCTCCGACATACTAATGTATGGTGGAGCCCGCGGCCGGAGAGGACTTAATGGAGGGTTTCTTCCAGATAATTACGAGAAAGAGAGCATTCTTTTGGTTTCTAGGTTGCTTCACTAGTATCGTTATCATTGTATAGAGCGGAGCGAGGCTCCTTCGTCGTTGTGTTTCCTTTTATCGTTATATCGTTTTGCTAGATTGTTCAGTGTGTCCATTCCTGAGATCCCTCAATCACAACCCGGTTCCTGTCGCAGGGAACAACGCACGTACGCCCCCTTTATACTAGAATTTTGATTAGACAAGATTATTAAAGGTCATGAATTAACACTTAATGAGCTTGTTCTTGCACGTGAAGAAATACACAAATTTCACACTAATAATGAATGGAAAGGTTAAAAGTGAAAGTGCTCTACTAGGAAGCTAGCTATTCCAGAGGGCTCAGCAATTCAGGAGGGTTTAGAGTGATTTCAGCACAAGAATGAGGTTGTTGAAGGTCAAGATACGCTTCCTATAGATCCAGCATGTCACGGAACTCAACTAGATGATGAATAGGATGCTATTCAGCTATCTAGGCAGCTAACGACGAGAACTTCAAGCATGAAGAGGAAGGAAAAAAGGAAGAGATCTACGTGAAGCTGGACGACGTACTCCTATCCACGCGCCACGCTAATCCAAGTAAGGAAGCTCACGTGCTCGTCCTGGTCTACATGGCAAGGGCCCTGACACAGCACTTTCTGCAGTTGGACCACGCGTATGAGCTCCACCACAGTGTTCTAATTGTCATATTTTGGGGCATACTAGAGTTAGATGTCCTAATCCCCTTAGTAATTAGTTTTTATATAAAAATGCAATTGTTTGGTTGGTAGATGCTCTAGTATTTAGCCCACGGGCAGGAGGTGGCCGCTCGACCGGGAAATACGTTAACTAGTTAACTAACTAGATAGTGAAATATTTAGTTAGTTAGCTAAGTTGTAAACTGTGTTACGTACGACTTTACAGACTGCAGAGAAGAAATGACCCTAACCCTGAAGCAAGAATTAGTTAATTAATGTATTCAACCCACGAGCTGCGAGTTCTGTACTCCCATACAAAATGTTACTTTTTTAACCTGTGATATCTCAACCACTCCGCTATTATTGATCATCACATTAGGAGGAGAGTTAGTTTCATGTGAGTATATATATAGCTATCAGACAATATTTCTGAGGTAATTATGGAAATAAATCTTATTGTAAGTAGTAGTATATAGTTACATTCTCATTATTTTTGGAGCAGTCTCACGTCAGGTCGTCGTCTGGCGGCATCGATTACCAACTCTGGCGATGAGAGTCTTGTCCTACAGCAGCTCGGACCAGTAGCATACTATTAATGATGCCAGTGGATATCTATGTTGTCGGCCTACTGGTGCCAAACATTATGCTTTAGGGTATCACAAAGCATAGGGTTGGCCATAACCTAAAGGACAAGCCACTGGATCAAGATGAAGGTCCCTACAGTCATGCTGAATCTTGGATATTTCTATGAACTAGGATTTTATTTGAATAGAGTAAAGCAGAGGGTTTCCATTCTGGTGGCTGTGAAAGTATAAATGTGGCCGTAGTCAACGATGATTTTTCCATGTACATCCATCCAAAGCCCCGAAAAGACTATTCATAAGCATATAATTCGTCTGAAATCCGAAATTCATTGCGCGTTAGAATTCAGCCCATCAACCCATGTAAGAAAGTCCGTCCCATCGTCCAGCAAAATCGACTCGCCATTCAACCAGTCTGTCGCCAGCACCTCAGCAGGTAGAGGGGATGACAATGCCGGGAGGTTGACAGACAAAATACGATCGAGGATCCGGCAAATAATCCGCCGCGAGTACTGGCAAATATCGTAGTTGCCGTCATGAGGCCGTACGACATACTGCAGATGCGAGGCGAAGATACTCAGGTTCTGGATGATTTCGGATCGTCTGTGTGAGATGTTGGGAGGCGACGACTGAGACAGGTATCCGCTTTGGCGCAGCAGTTCCATTGCGAGGACGCCAGCGGCAGGTATGCCAAAGGAGGACGCCTATCGAGAAGGTGAGCAAGGACGCACGGAGGACAGTGACACGGGAGAGAGAGAAATTGAATACGCACATTCCATCCTACGCTGTACGTGCCCGTTCCAGACCCGATTTCCTTTCCGATGAGCTCGAGAGTCGTTTTCAGGATTTCGTGCGAGATACCGATCAGAGATTCATACCCAGTCTGGGCGCGTTTGACAAGAATACGATAGAGCAGAAAATCGTTATAGAGGAATTCGAGGTTCATAGGGATCAGTACGCTGCTGTGGAGAATGGAGCTTTCTACGCCAGGACGCCAATGAAGAAAGCCCGGGAGTTCATCCCATGTCCTGCGAGAGTTTTGCGATATTTCACTAAACACATATCAAGCATTATATCAGATTAATTGTGAATCACCAACAGGGAGAGACGTTTCACTGACCTCACTTTCAGCGGCAGATCCTCAACCTGGCGGCTCAGAGACAATTCCAGGACTTGCTCTCGGATTGAACCGACGAGAAGTGAAATGCGCAGCCATGCAGCTTTATGAATAACACCCTTGGTATTCCATCCGCTTAGGTCAAGTTTACTGATCGCAGCCTCTCGGGTCTCAGGCGCCGCCAGGATCTCATCGTAGCTCAAGTCCAAGGGAAGCTGCATATCACAGTATCTCCAACTGATCTGTGGTGGCCTCGCCAGGAATGTTGCCAATCGCTTGTCGATTCCATATGCGCCAGCCATAAGCCGCTTGCGCAGCTCGATCAGAAAGAACGGAAGTTGCGCGCTCTGCTTGGACTGGTCGAGGGTGAAGACGACGTTCGATAATTCGGCCAGTTTTCTCCAAGGCCGGTAATCTTTCAAAGCGTAAGCATAGCTTCAAAGAGCAAAAAAGAAATGGAGGCATTTACCATTGTCCCCGTAGACCAGGATCAACAGATGTATGTGCTGAAATAGCAGCCAACCCAGCGGATCATGGACGGTGCCAAAGTTATCACAAAACTGTAGACAGGCATCGCTAGCGGCAGCAGCCATGACAGCTATAGACCTCTGATCTCTAGACACGGTGCCGTCCATCTCATAGATAGACTTCCAGTCCCTTTCCAACATGGCACCCTGGCCGATAACTGAAAGGACCAGTCCGATACCCTCCCATGTGCCCGACACAGCGCGAATGAAGTCCTCCGGAGCCATGGGCGGATGGACGTCAATAGTCCTCGAACCATTATCGAATATCTTCTGTGACCAGCCCAGCATATTCGCAAACTGAGCATTTGGATCCTTTGCGTCGGTTGTCCAAGCTTCGTAGGTGTCCTTCAGAGACCTGATCAGTATACTCACGAGTCGATAACCCAGAAGAGACCCTTCGGGCGACAGCTCCAAGGAAGTCTCCGCAAGTCTCTCGTACAGAGGAAGGTGTTCAAACAGCAGAACAAGCAACCGCGCACCCCGCTGTACCTGTCTGGGATCTGGTGTCGTCGGAGCCGAGCGAAGGGCAGCAGGCGCATCGATACGCAAAGCCCTATTCAGACGATCATCACTCTCACCAAATACAGCCGAGTAACTCGTCAGCCCCTGTAGCCTGGAGGAGGAGCGCACAGGCACCTGCGCATCCCAGTTGGCGAAAGACCGGGCTTGCAGAATTGGCTCGGAGCTGGTCTTAGGATGGGGTGATGCGGAGGGCGATATGCCATCATTACTGTACCAGGTGCGACTCATCGGGCCCTGATGATAGACACAGCTCTCGGATTTGCCTCTGCGCGCACATCTCTGGCATACGGGCATGGAATGGTCGCAACGGAGCTTTGCTTTGCGACAGGGCTCACACGGAGCCAGTTGGCCATTCCGTCTGACGGACATTGTATTGAATGGTCCAGCGGGACCCAGATCACTGAGAGACGGTTAGATCAAGGTAAAAATATAAGGGAAACAGGATAGTTCTCCTGGATGAGATGTTGCTGGCAGGGAAGAAAGGAATGGCGGGTTGTTCGCAGCCACCGGATTTTTCTAATTTTAGTCTCATATCGGCAACTTGCATACATATTTTAGAACGCTCTGATATGATTAATGCATGCAATTCGATGGCTATCCGTCCTGCGAGGGGTGCGCAGTGCTGTTAATTTATGAGGATTTGAACCGGGGAATTTCTCGTCCAGTATACGGTATGTCTTCAGCCACCCGGACGCACAGATGAGGGCTCGCAGAATTGTCGAACTATTAATTAACCCGAGATCAGCCAGAGTAGCTATTTTAAACTCGGATAAATGTTTCGAATGGTCTGCAAAGCTAGTATTCATGCACGATTTCCTAGAAGATTTACAGACCGTCGTATATGAAATACGTCCATAAAACAGGGAGCTTTATTCAACGCACGCCAGTGAACGAATACTAGACGTCTACCTGCGAAACAGATATGCCCTTCTCTGCTCTGAGGGCATACAACCGCTCTGAGGACCGACACCTGCGTACATCCTGGGTTCCGCTGATGAAACGGACTGTTGTCCCATTCGGGAGACGATCTCGGTGCTCCAGGGTGTCGTCGGCGAAGCATAAAATCGTCTGTCTAATACATCAGCCTCCTGCTATATGATTTCACAAAGGTTTGGAGGGGAAAAAAAAAGAAAGAAAGAAAGAAAGAAAAAGAACCGACCTGACGAAGGTAGTCAAGGCAGTGCGGCCAGTGAGCGTTGTCTCTCCAGTCCATGCCGACATCCTTATTCTCCCTGGACTCCTGTAGGGCCATCCGGATTGATGCTAAACAGTGCAATTGATGGAACCTGTTCTTGCCGGTCATCTTTCAGCGGAACCAAGTCCAGTAACAATAGAGACCTACATGCTGATCGATTCCCGCTGTGGCTGCCCATCTGGCCCCGTCGATTCAATGAGAGGGGATGAGTCAGTCTCAGACCATAAATAATCAAATTTGTGGTCCAGCGTCATGTACTCCTCTGACACTCCATAGCTATACTGGACCGTATCATTCCAGCCCTGTTCCTGCAGCGGGCATGGGGTACACATGAAGGGGAATAGTCTGATGCAGATGATGACCAAGAGCAGGATGATCACAGACTGCGAAACCACCATGCACAGAAGCAGTCTCCTAGAAGGCGAGGATTCCCTCGAAGAATACACCCCAGGGTCCAAGAACGTGTAGTTGTCGGCATTAAGCACGGCGTTACCAGCATGGACATGGGCTTCATCCCCAGACTCTGAAAGTCTGTGGCCCAACATACTGAATTCGTCACGAGAGGGAGTTTCAGTCCTGGTTCTTCTACTAACCCCGGTGTATGTTTTAAATAATCACTGACCAGATGCCTGAGGGAACCGGATAACGGATAGGAAAGATTCAGAGCACCAGAGCATTTCCATATCCGCAACGGGAACCTATTATCTTCCATGGCCGGCGGGGTGAGCAGACACTTAGCACATCGTGTCTTCTTCACGTTGATAGAGGAACAACCTGAACCAATGGGACAGGGTCATCCGTGAACAGTCCGCGTCACCACATACTTCCGAAGGAGGATCGTCTTGTCAGGGTTACATCCACCATTCCGGTTCGTATTGTTGACAATGCTTAGCTGCGGCATTTCTCCGTATCTCACTGTCCGTGATAGCTTGGCTGCAGGTATTCAGTGGAGTTTTGGGGGAGCTTAGCTGCGAGACTAGCCAATTTGCGGCCACCCAAGATAGCTTAGCCAGCGATTTACAGCCGTGTATCCATTTTGGAGACGCAGCAAGCACCGTCGGCCAAGTGAGCATGTCCGTGTCGAGATATAAACGTGACAAGAGAGAAATCAATTGAATGGTCGAAGGCATCCGAAAGGAATACGCTTTCTTGAACTAGCTCAGCCACTGAATAACATGCCCCAGAAAGCCTTTCCAGAATAACTCCACCATTATCACCACGCAGTGACTGCGAGTATGGACGGAGAATCGGTGAGATAGTTGCCGTCCAGGCTTGATATTTAAACAACACATCCCTCCGGCTGGGATATGGGAAGCAGCTTGAACGATACCAGTAAGTCGTCCAGGCAGGTGTCCCACGATCTCAAGTTTTTGTCTACGAGCTTTTGTGTCCAAAACAAACCGTCACCATGAAATTTAGTGCACTCCTCTTCTGCACTGGCTTAATCGCCTCTGTAATTGCGGGCCCGGTTCCCAACGGTATAGTCTCCATCTATGGGATTTTGCGTGGTCCAAGGAAATGCTGATGTTGTAATAGGTAGGAGGGATGGCGAGATTGTTGGATACTTTAATTCCAAATCCTACCATGAAGAGGCAGAAAAGGCCAAAAGAGATGGTGAAATGGTTGGATATATTGATTCCAAGTCTTACCGTGAGGAAGATGCGGCAAAGCTCAAGAGGGACACTGAAATGGTTGGATACATTGGCTCCAAGGCTTACCACGAGGAGGAGGTTTCCAGCAGCGAATAGGGAGTTAAACACATCGCCGAACACGAGGAGTAATATGGGCTAGCTGATGATGTCCGCTGAGTTCAAGGACGGGGTAATCCAGGAGATGTCGGTCATGGGGCAGTTGAAGAAATAGAAATTGGGACTCGAGAGTAAAGTGAAATCGAAGAATGATCCTGTTTTGAAATGATGACTGGCCAATCGCTTCAGTTGCAAAAGAAGTGAGAAGGTAAAGATTGGCATGACATTCCGTCAGCCGCCTAACGGTGAGTTTTGGAGAAACGCATTCCCGCATACAGTTGTGGATCAAGGTCGTATCTGCATATTCTCACTGCAGAGACAGTAATAGTTCAATGTTTGTCTCAGGTGAGGACCGAACGGGGACAAATTGTGCAGAAGACAAAGCTGCATAGTTTCGAGCTTTTTTAGCGCCGGGAGATAAGAGTAAGATACTCCAAAGTATAGTCCATGCCAATAATATTAGCCTTGAGTAGAAGACGAAACCCGTGGATGGTCGTCTTACAGCTCCAGTGGCGGTCGTGCAGACGGACTCCGACGTTAGGCCGTCTTTCTGCAACTTCTTCTTCGTACTTGATAACACAAACGAGTCATCCCTATCTTTCAGGCTTACTATGTAATAGTCATGACGCGCGTTCGCAAGTCGTGAGGTGTCGAGGTGGTCATAGCATTGAACGTGGCGTACCCTAACAGTTCCTCCCCTCTCCCGGTCATCACCAGGACCGTCTTCATATCTTCAAAAGACGAAAGAGGGTGGACTAGGATGAAGGAGCCTCAGGAAGAATATAATGTGCCCTTCCTTTCCGCTGATGATGAACCCACGACAGAAGTGAATGAGGGTGATCGTCATCGTCGCCACGCGGTCATTCTCCGGCAACCATGGTGGCTGTTTGGGATTATCACGGCCTTCATTCTCACGAATATCACGACCCTGCTTATTAGCAGAGCGTTATGGAAGTTGAATCTCGACAGAACATGCGCATTTCATACTTCACAGCATGAATGTAAGCTTTCAAGGCTCTTACAAATCCGAGATCAACCGAAGACACGTACCTGTCTGCATTCTATTGATACTTTCAAAGCACTACTCCTTCGTGACCTGAAGATAAAGTACATACCCACGCGGGTCAACATTTCATTCGCCAAGGAAAACATCTATAGACGACAGCCGAGCCCAGAGGTCGATGCTGCATGGATCGATTTAGGGTCCCAATGTATGTGTTGCATGGATATCTGGTCCTTATGGGAATGGAGATTTGGGCTAACTCCCATATAGACAGGCCACTCATAGTCCCCTATGAATTCGCAGAGGCAGCAGGCATAGAACGCAATCGGTTTCATATCACCGAAAAAGAGGGAGGGCCGGGATATCCGGCATTCGTGGCCGTGCTGCATCAGTTGCACTGCCTGGTGAGTGTTCCTGTAGCCACGGAGTGCATTCTATTCTAACATATCCATGTTTAATTCGACATCAGAATCTTCTCCGGAAGAGTCTGTATTTCAACGTGGAATACTATCGCAATCTCGGCGAGAATGAATTCGGGAGCAGTGAGAAGGTCTTGCAAGCACACGTCGGTACGTGTTACATCTGATTATTTCAACGTTGATTAATGATGCTCATCATGGGAAACTAGGTCACTGTCTGGATAGCATTCGCCAGAAATTAATGTGCTCGGCGGACACTGAACTACACCCGTACTTCTGGGTCAAGGCCGGTGAAAAACCACATATATTCCCGGATTTCAGCCGAGATTTCAAGTGCCGCAACTTTCATGATATCAGGGAATATGCTGAACGCCACCAAGCTCCATGGGGTGATGATGCAATAGACGTTATCCCTAAGGAAGGAGAATTGGTTCTTGATGAAACTCCGTAACTGCTGCTCCTTGGGGATTTTTTAATGGCAGTTCATAACCACGACAGCAAAGTACTGCTACTTTTAGCAGCGACAGGCAATGTCGAGCTCAAAAAATAAATAAAAATAAGAAGTTTCCATGGCACCTTTAAGAGCCTGGAGCATGTACTCGAGTCAGCAAGCCCAGGTAATTGGAACTCCACCAACCATGGTAATAAAATTGTCCTGGTGGGATGTGTCACGGTAGACAATTAGTTGAATATGGCCAGAATCCTTTCCCAATAGAATGCCGAAGAAGTTGTAGTTGAGATACAGTAAAAGATTTTTGACTGCCTTCACACTGTACAGGGAAGGGTGGGAGTTCTTGCGTTGAAGACGGGAGACAGTGAAGGTAATATCAGGACGAGTTTGATGCTCTCAGAGGGAGCTCAATCGTCATCTCCTTCACCCTCACCCCCTTCGGCCTCATCTTCCTCCCCCTACCCCTCCTCCTCCGGTTATTCCAGAACGGCCGTGACGGCACTGCAGGCAACCGCAAAAACAGTCTGTCCACTTGCAAGGGCGGTGGTGTTCGCGTCTTGGGGGTAATTTTTGATTTGAGTAGCATACTCGATGCTACTTGGGCCACATGGCACCTTTTCAAGTCAATAGAGATTCACTCAGTGGAAAAGAATAGTTCCACTGGATGCCTCATGCAAAGTGGAGCATTCCCAAATTTCTCATTCGTAGACCTCATGAAAAGATCCCGTTTTTGCCTTGCCTAGTCGGTGGCATTTCTGAAAGAGGTGACTCAACGAAAGTTCTCCAGTTATCGGTCAGAACTCAGTCCTTGATTGAGACATGTGGTAGTTTCCTAGTCCCCTTAGTGTCAGTCGAGGTGGTTGGATCGGTTGCATACTGCCTTGTTATACCAGTATGGTATTGGTATAGGCCTGTTGTCATAAACAGATTGCCTTCTGTAGGATCGCACACGACGCATTGCACGCGCACCTGAAGGCCCATTATAGAACGTCTGCCGTTCGAACCATCGGGACCCTGCACTTACAAAGAACTTTAGTAAGATGGGCCTGTGGTTCTGCGCTGATTGGAATGATATAATGTAGTGACTGAGAACCGTCGTAGAAACCAAGCTTTGCATTTGGTACTCTATCTGCAAGGGGTTCGAGATTCCCAATAATTTGTCTTCGCCATATATGATACCCGCCTCACCGCGTATGATGGGGGATACAGATGTCATCCCCTTTTTGTCAGTGAGTACATCAGTGTACTCCTGCACAGAATCTTCAGGTGCGCCCTCCCGAGGGGCGTGAAGGGGGGAGAGGACGCTCTTGGCCGCTCTAGTACTTCTTTAAGCTCATCTCAGCTGCCAGGTATTGGGGAATCATGGCCATCCGGGTGACGGTATTTATCGGGAAGGGAGTTATTGTCGGCGAGAAGTGTTAAAAAGACTCAAGTCAACAAGAAATTTGTTAAATTTTGGGTCGTATAAGTCAAAGACTTTCGCTCTGGGCGTGTTCTGGACAATCGTATCTGGATGTCATTTGATAGATCGTCTGCCCCTCCCCTTGGCTTCCTTCACTCTTCAGCCATCGATGATTATTGAGCACGCGTCCAGACCATCGGCAGATGGGAAAGACATGGTGTTGATTATCTTCCTTGTGTAAGACCAGTCCATAACCAGCGTAGGTTTTTTTTGTGTAGTCGCTGTATTTTGTTCAACTGACAGAAGGCATGCCTAATGCCTGCAGGAGTGCGAGTTGTCGAGAGTATACAACAGCTTGTCGACTCGTCGAGGACAGCTGCATGTTGCTGACTCAGCAGTCCTTATCAGATTCCGAGGTCGGAAGAAGTCCGGACTTACTCCGTATTTATGGAGAGGATCCCTCCCCTCCATGGCTCCATAGTCCATATTACGACCCCTAGAAGCACAATCATGGCATCTTCCGTTAAAGTCCGGGGCGTCCCTCACACAGGCATCACTGTACGATCACTTCCCCGAGCAATTAACTTATTCCGTGACATCTTGAATCTCCCCGTCCAGGAATCTAATCACTTCTGCCCACCCATCTCCACCATCGTGGGCCATCCCAAGGCCGAGGTCGAGATCGCCTTTGTCGAGCTTCCAGGCGGCCACCTGGTCGAATTGCTGGAATATTCCTCTCCGCCAGCAAATGAGCGCCAGGTGTTGAAACCACGGCCTTGGGACGTCGGGAACTGGCATTTATGTCTGGTGGTGGAGAGTATGGAGCGTACGGCCCAGGCCCTGGAGGCAGCAGGGACGGGCTGGGTGAGGATGGCGCCTCCGCAGAAGTTAGATAAGGGTCCCAGTTCGGGGATGATGATGTTGTATATGCGGAATGAGGAGGACGGGCTGACGTTGGAGCTGTTTGAATGAGTGTCCAGTGGGTAAGCCCGTTCTAAGCACAAGATCAGGTCAACTGTCGCTAAGAACCAGCCAGAATATGATACTCAAGCGAACTATATTGGTGGAAATAGACACTGGGTCTGGTACTGTAGATGTGATGCGCGTCCTCTGCTGTTGCTTGGACTAAATTGAATCATAGCAATAGTTGATTTAAATGCACAACAGTAATAAAATGGTGTACGAAGATATTGTGTTACATTTACTACTATATAATATACGGAGACAGCCGCGGGGTTTTCTATTTTCTGGTCCCACAAATTTCCAACATCACTTCAAACATCCCAGGCCATGATAATCCCTGGTATACGAATCCCCATTCCCGAGAAAGACCCACGAAATAGCATAGACCCATTGTCTTGCATTCTAGTCAATGGCAAGCAATCTTCCCAAATACCGGGACCTCCCGCGAGATCCATCACGGTCTCCCCGCTTCGCCTGGGGAATCTGGGGCCCGTCAGACCAGCTGGGCTGCTTGAATCTCTTAACGTCCGAACGGCGGGTAGCTGCAGCTCGCGAGGTCCGAGAGGGACTCAGTTTTGGCTTGAATTGGGGCTTGGACCAGATGAGAGTTCCCCCCTGGTATCGGACGGTGTTGCGGCATGAGATCTTCTCTATTGCGCCAAATTGTAATGTAGGTAATTCTCCTTCTGTGGTATGCGAAAGTAGTATTTTCCTGATTGACAAACGCGCAGGATGATAGACTGGAGTTTAACACACAGACCAGTACGCAGTGGGATGGATTCAGGCATTGGGCATTTCCTGATGGCCGATTCTACAACGGCTTTAGCATAGATCAGTTGCAGGATAAGAATAACAAGACGAACGGCATTCATGGTAGGTGATTGAGCCATTGTCCCTTTGACTCAGCTGCTAATTCTCCATGCAGAATGGGCCAAGCAAGGAATCGTCGGCCGGGGCGTTCTCATCGACTACGTCCGCTACTCAAAACAGCACAACCTGGAATATGACCCGTGAGCTGCAAAGGCAATCACCGTCGACACCATTCAAGAGATCGCGGCATCATGCAATATCGTCTTTCAACCAGGCGACATCCTGCTTCTCCGCACAGGTTTTGTCGAAAAGTACGAGTCCCTGGACGACACAGCCCTGCAGGTCAAAATGACCGATTCAACAATGACATACCCGGGCCTGGAAGGATCTGAGAAAAGCTTGGAATGGCTGTGGGATACACACTTTGCTGCGGTTGCCTCCGACTCGCCCGGTTTTGAGGTTTGGAACAGTGGTCTTGATGCGGGACCGGGACTCCGCATGCATGAGATTATCCTCTCTGGCTTTGGACTGCCGATTGGGGAGTTGTTTACGCTCAAGGAACTGGCAGAGCAGTGCGAGAAGCTGAATCGGTGGTCTTTTATGTTCGTGAGCGAAGTGTTGAATGTGCCCGGTGGGGTTGGGAGTCCTCCGAACGCATTGGCAATACTGTGACGGTTCTCTGTCTGTCTACAGTTTCTAATAATTAGGGTTTATGGATGAGTCAGTGAAATATAACAGCCTGTTCCGGACCATAGCGAGAAAAGGGTGTCTCTTAGCTACGCATACCAGTTCAGTCAAATATCCGAAGGTGGAAGCCATGATCCCAGACCTCTCACCAGACCAAGTCTATGTTTGGACGCTGTAGAAGTCGGCCGACCGATGGCGCTGTAACTGGCCATTGGCGCGGTTAGCACGATGCTCCCTCCAGTGACCTGTTTCTTCATGTAGCAGATAGCCAATTTGACCGTGTTACAGGCCACGATCAGGTTCACGCGGAGGCCAAGGTATGCGGGCTCTGCCAGCTCGCCGTCCCCAGTCAACACGTCTGAGAATGTCACATCCGGCACTCGCCCTACGCCAGCCTGGGTAAAGCAGGATTTCCCCGCTTAGTACCGCAGGCAGCGGGTTATCCGGACTCCTAGCAGTGGTTTCTCGGATCTGGCTTTGAAGCCAAGAGAAAATATCACAGATATCGTCGAATGGCGTGGGAAACGGATTCTCCGGCGCAAGACGATAATCGACCGTGACGACGGTCATATCCAACGATCTCTCCAATGTACAGACAATGAAGAAATCCGACATGGCCGAACGCAGCGTCCAACCGCCCCCATGGAGGGCGAGGGATACGCGCGGTTTCGTTTTGGAATTAGAAGGCCGTTAGTCCCCAGTAGCAACCTGCCACTGATGATGGGAATTTGATACCCATCGCGAGCGGTGACTCTCGATTCAGTCCACTTGATACCATCTGAGCTTTCTCGGACTACTCTCTCTTCGTTCTGCCGGAGTCCCTCGCGTACCTGGTCGAGGGTGAGTCCGGCTGTCTTGCTGATGGGGGCTTCGCTGTTTTTCGGGTATGCTTCTAGCTATAGTATTCCGGTAGGGTTCTGAATGCTGTCGTCCTTTAACGACGCTGGCTCTCGAGTGCTTACGGCTGTTGAAGAATAGCTTAAGGTTAGGGCATCGTTCAATATCAATGGTTTCCTAATTAGAGTGTATATATATATTGTACAGACTTGAGTTCAGGCAACGCCGCTTTGGACTGTCCAAGGGTTGGAAGTTATGCTGTCTAATGCGCGGGCTACGGCTCTATGTGAACTCTGACGGTCATATATTGCACGATAAATGACACTCCTATTATTCACGCGATGTCTACAGCGACATTAAGAGAATTCGGACGAAGTATCCAGCCACGATCCAGTCCGCAAGTCCTGATTTCCGCGTCGGGTGCATACAACGGCGATATCAATCGTACTGCACTGTACTGTACTGTACTGCACTGACTGGAATGAGGCATTGTTAACTGTATATCTTAGAACTAGACCCAGCACTGTTACCAGGAACGAAACAAAACCCGACATGAAATATCAAGCCATATTTTAACCACTCCTTCTGCTAAAACAACCTTGTCACAGAGGTGCCAAACCGTCACTTAACACTTATCCCCGATGACAAGCACGTTGAAGTTGTCGGTATTAAAGCGCTGACCATTAAACCTATTTATACTAGTGGTTGCGCATTTGCCCAGAATAGGCCTCACGTAATCGTAGCCGATGTCTGGACACCAGATGTTAAGCTCCTTGGGGGCCTATCCACCTCAGTTAGCTCCAGTCCCAGTACGCGAGGTCTAAATCCAGAAGAACTCACATCGTTACAGAGCCATATGGCCGAATTATAAGAGCATGAAAAACGCACACAACGTTTCGGGCCAGCCTCCACATGGCAAAGAACTCCCTTAAAACCCTCAAGGTAAACTGCACCTTCCAGGATAGGGCGGGGATTAGCCGGCGTGTAGTTGGTAAGCCCACACAATATCTTGTCAGGGCAGCGCTTTTCGTGCTTCGTAGCCACGTCCAAGGTGAAAGAGTCGACATCGACACTGACGTTGTAGGACGAGTTGATTTCGAGGAGCTGGGAGTGGATCTCCTGGACGGTACCGGTGAGAGTGATATTTTCACCATCAGGACCGACAGGGCCAATAATAGTGAGTGGATCAATGGTGTATCCCTGGGCTTTGAGCTCAGTGGCAGTTGTGTTCACAGTCACGGCCACTGCAGTGCATAGTGCACTGTAGAGCTGGACGTACAGTTAGTTGATAGCTGATTGCATGCGTGAAAATGAGCAATAATGGGCTTACCAAGGTGGCTGCACCAAGAAGAACTGGAAACAGCATCATAATCAGTGCAGTTTTGTAGGCTCTTTGAAAGGATGATGGCTAGCTTTGTGGCCCTAATGAGGGAAGGAGAGATGGGTGAAGAGGATGAAAAGAATCGTTAGAAGAGACACAGGGGGATGCAGGTTATGAAGGACACGAAGAAGCTCCTCAGTAGAGAAAGGGAATCCATATTGTATTCACTGTCTGTGGGGAAAACGTGACTGCTCTTGTAGGCTTGTAGCCCTAAAGGCTGAATTCATGCCCCCCTATGGAAGAGCAACGAAGATTCCAGGCTGGTAGCCAGAGAAAACCTATCATTCACACAGGAAAGAACACATAACATTAGGCAATGGGCTTTATGGGAGAATGAAACTTTCCCCAGATATCCTCGATTATCCCGTGGAAAAGCTCCTGGAGCCGTTCTCTATTAAAATCCCAGAAGCGCTGCATCGATGTGTTGGCAGCCTTTGTTGGCTGAGAATCTCACAACGACTATTAACGACATGAAAGTAGATTCTGCTTCAAAATCCCAGTATAAACACTACCTCCATCTCAGACCATTCCCACGAAAAGAAGGACCTTGATTTGAAGAGGGCTGGTTCAGACAGCCGAATGGAGCCAGCTAGAAAAGCGCTCGGCCTTGATTCTGGCAATGCATCCTTTGAGGCGCAAACGGATGGATTCCCCGAGGACAGAGAGATTCATCGAATTCGTGCAATCGTCAAGTCAAAGCAGCCATGGGGAGAAGGCAGCACAGCAAATACGTGTGCAGGAAAGCGCCCAAAAGGTTGCCTGGCTATTGAACAGCCCTAACGACCACCAGGAGTCTCCTGGTCGGTGAGCTTACCCCTTTGCCTGACTCTGTTCGATGCTAACTTTCAAAAGTCACCCCAACGTATCGCAGGACCGGCATGAAATCTGTTTGGCCTTTGCCGAGTTTGATGAGGGACATCTGAAATATCTCAATGGCAAGATCAGCCCTAGCGAACCGCAATCCTTTTGGCTATCACGATGTGTGCCAACGAAAACCAAAAATTGGAGAAAGGAAAGCATCGTGCATGACGGTATATGGTGAAATAGGACTGTTTCAAGTGTCCGGGTGTCTTAGTTGGTCTTTTCAGTGGTCATCTTTGACGGTTCTTCTAACTGCCTATGCGGTGTTTCTGGTTCTCGAGTTCACGGTGTACAAGCTTTGAAGCTGAACATGCATAGATCGATTATGCTGGCTGACGATGATGCCCGACTTCCAGGGATGCCACCGATGAAAGTACTCCGTACAATAAACTTATTTCACATTATATCCTATTATTATACTAAGGTACACACAAGTCTGTCGGGTTGAATGAATCTCAACAGAAAATACGCACCGCTCATAACCCGAGAATGCGCTTCCGACGACTCCTCGACCGCGATCGTGACCGTGACCGCGAGCGCCGAGTGATGGCCGAATTCCTTGTATTGACACGATCAATGTCGAATGGACTCGCCTCATACGTCGTCGAGACACGTTCAAGTGTCGCACGAGACCGCGTTGAAGTACGAGTAGATACCATGCCCAATGCGGACTCTGCCTCCAGGTCGTGCGCGTAGGGAGTAGCCGCCTCTTCCTCCGTCTCCTTCTCGGGTTCGGCAGCCTTTTCTGTCTCGTTTCCTCCCTCCTCTTCTTCTTCTTCCTCCAGGGTCGTAGCCTTCTCCGCGAGTTTCCTCATGAACTCGTCCGACTCGGCAGAGTACCTGCACAGTCTGCGGATGCGAGAACCGTACCGATAGAATAAAAAGGGGAAGGGAACGCATGCCAACGCCAGGAAGGCCGGGATACATGTTGCCCAGTGGATGCCCAGATTATGGTACATGTACATCGTGAAGAGAGGGAATCCCGCACCGAAACATGACCGGATGATGGAATTGGCCGCAAGAACGGACGCTGCATAGATCGTGTATGCATCGATCAGATAGTTCATGACACCTAGAAAGACCAGGACCATTCCAAATCCGAATGGCGCTGAGGCAATGACGCTCACCATGAAATGCACACTCTTGCTGTCCGTCCAGGCAAACCAGAAGAGCCCGATGGGGATAGCAATGCCGCCGAACATAGTGGGAGGGAGTCGAGCCTCCGGCGGGGCGAAACCGTTATACTTCTTATGAACGCGAATATAGCGTTTGTTGTCATACAGATTCAGAAGGACAGCAGACATCATGCCAACCATGACGCCGAGGAACGGCAAGCTTCCAACGCCTTCACTCCATCCACGCTGCTGCTGGTAGACAATGGGGAAGGCATCGAAGAGCATATAGAGCGTTCCATACACAATAGCCATGTAGATCGAGAGAAGCAGGACGATTGGCTCGGCAAAAAGAAGAACCCAGGGTCGGAGAAGGGCCGCACCAAACGCATCCTTGATGGACACACGGCCGCGTTGGAGGTCGAGCTTGCTCCTGTAGACCTTGCCAGTGAGCTTAGATAGTCTTTCTGCGCGCTTTCGAAGCAGCAAGGGGGCATATGTTTCAGGCACCAGACAGCATCCCATGATCCAGATCAACCCCGTGAATATCGCCAGGAACCCCTGGACCCATCTCCAACCTGCAGTCTCACCAAGAAAGCCGCCGATGACGGGTCCAAGGGTTGGACCAAGGAAGGGAGCACCAGCGAAGAGGGTCGTGGCCGCACCTCGCTTGTCCGCAGCGAAGATATCGGCAATGACTCCGCCGGCATTGGTAAAGGGCGATGAACCGAACGAGCCAGCGAAGAACCGGCAGATTATCAAGCTCCAGCTATTCTGCGTGCCAGCGGCGCCTGCGCAGAACGCTGCCAGGGCGAAGTATGTGATGGCATAGACGATCTGGCGACCGATAAGTTCACTCAGGGGCGCCCAGATCAGCGGTCCAAGAGCGAAACCGAGCACATATAGCGACACTCCCAGTGTACTGACCTCCTGGCCTATGTGGAATTCACGCAGGACTTCCTCTACGCTACCCGCATAGGCCGAGGAGCCCAGCGAGACTCCAAAGGTAGCAAAGGCAACGATGATGGTGTATGCCCATTTCAGCGTGTTGCTGAACAGCATCGGGTTCCGTGGATCATCGGGAATCCAGTCAACAATGTACGGATCGTTCTCGGTTCCTGAGCCAATGTACGGATAGTCGACGATTTCCGGCGTCACAACGCCCTGGTCGATAACCATGCGCCAGTAGGAGATCCTTTGAGGCCGTGGAACTTCACCTCCGTCAGCCATCTTGTTGAATCCGGGGCACCATGTGGAGAAGCTCTACAACAATCTCAATAATACGAGAAGGCACTCCATACTTATTAGGCCGAGCACACTGGAGGGCCGGAAGAGAATTTTAGCGGAGGGCACAATAGCAAAGGTACTGGGCGCATATCATCTCGTCATTTCAAGTTAATATATGCTTGCGGACAATTGGGCCAATAAAGAAACGAAAGATCCCTGTTCTAACACATCAAGAATGCACCGGGCACGGCATCCCATGTTCCCATGTTCCACCTTTTAATATCGGGCCGCCACCCGGTAGCTCAGCCAGTGCACGGTGCCGAGTTCCGATGTCTAAAGCAATTGAATGGTTCGAAAAAGTAGAAAAAGACCCATCAGCCATGGTCAAGCTGCCTTTTATGTCCGTCTGTATTCCCGGGACCGACTATAATCCCGATTCCCACGATCATCGTCTTAATGCTTCCAGATCATGCCCAACCGCTGAAAGTATGAGAATAGAGAATTCTTAGGCACATAGCCGGCATACATTCTCTGCCAGAAAGCGGCGAACGATCCCTCAATCGGTCCCAGTTCCCCGAATCCAAGGGCTTCGATTACCCAGGGCGTCAAGATGGCCAAAACACCGAGGGCGATGAGGGTGCAGTAGACCGGGTGCTCCTTCGCAAAGCCCACCGCAGCTTCGGTGGCTGTTTGGACGGCTTGGTTCACTGCATCGGTCATCTTGGCACGGGCCCTGATCGCCTGCTCGAGCCCGTGCAGGACGGCTTTGCCAATTTCCTCCGTCCATCCATACTCTCCCACAGTCTCATCGAGTCTCTTCCTGGTGATGCCTGTCCACTGCGTCCTCCGTAAGGATGACGGACAGAACGTCTGCAGCGATTTCTTGTGCCGCGCGTGGTTGGGACCTGTAAGCAATGCGCTTGTCGTCGTGATGACTGCTGGGGCTTTCGTTGGCGTGACCCATGAGACAGTCGATGATAGGGCGGAGAAGATCCATTTGGAGGGAGAAAGAGATGTTTTCGGATGCGAATGTGTGAACAGCGAGCGGATTGGATTAACAACTGATTGATGGCAAGCAGGTGTCGATGGCGGTAGTAGGGACGAGGGAGGAATAAGAGGGAGTACAAGTACTTGGGTGGGCGGGGTGCTCTATGACATGACTACATCCAGCATAAGCGCCAGGCAAATGCCTCGCTTCTTCTACATTCTAACAACTGCTTGCCAACAGATCATTTTGCCATCGGTTGCCCTTGTTTCAAGAATTGGACCATCCAAGTCAGACAGCTGAAGCTGGACAGCATTGGAACGATAACTCTCTCCCACATCTGGACTCATACAAGCAGACGTGTCAGAATGCCGTTCGCCAGCAGGCGCAGAATAATCTACATTAGCAGGATGGCCATCCTTGATGGCGGTGTACGCATCATCTCATTGGAAATAACATGCATATAATATAAACACGAAGAGCATAGGCGACTGATTTTACCCATGGACCCTGAAGGTACGACCACTAGCCGTCTTCCTTTCCCGCTCCTCGTTCTCCGGTCTGGCTCGGTTGAGGACTGGAAGAGCGTTAACAGCTGGTCAAGAGAGAGAGATGGTGATGATGCTTACCCTGGAGGAAGTCTGCCGTCCTCTTTCGCATTCTCGTGTGAATATAGGCCTAACAGAAATATAAGCAGCTGATTCAATGACCCAAACCCAAGCTCTCATGCGTATGATATACCTTTGATGCCTTAATGTGGTAGTGGAAATAGTCACGGAACGTTTGAATGTGCGAGATGTTCTCGTAGCGGCGCTGGGGAGTCAGGTGGCGTGGGAAAAGAACTGGTAGCCTTTGTCAGTAGCTGTGATACATCTGAATTCTTTTCCACACTGGATGGAAATACCAAAGGTAATATAGCTAATGTCGTTCTCGGATGTGCTCTTTAACCCGGGGACACCTTGTAGTTCAAGCGGGGGGTCGCTCCGGAAGAGCACTTGAGGAGCATTCTGCAGTGTGTGAACACGCCTCCTCGCATCAACGAATTCCTTCGACATGGTCAGTTGTCAGTTCGTTCCCTAGGCATTAACTGGCGAAATAGGATGCCAACCTGCAAGAACACCTTGCCAAAGATGCGGTCTGTTTCTTCACGGAAGACAGTGCTAAAGATGACTGTCACTCGATCGTGGCTAGCTTTGATGTAGATGGCCTCCTCTTCACGGTAATGAATAGCCATTAGTTGACCTCCTTCCTGAACTCCCTGCGGTGCCGCCTCGAGGGTGAATCTCGAGGCCTCCTCGGACAGTTTAGCGAATTCCTCGAAAGCTCTCTCAAACGGCGCAGCCATCGCATTGCGTTTCAACAGCGCAAGGCGCGTAATCAACTCATCCCTAGCCGTTGACTCTGGTGGAATATTCTCCAAATCTATTTGCACTGAGAAATCGTAGCCGGGTTCAGGGGCGACAATGTATGGACCATATTCCCGCTCCAGCACCTCCTGCGCACCATACTGAAGCAGCTCCTTGAAGCATTTAACGCTGAGTGAGATGAGAATCTTGGTTTTGGACTCGGGAGTAGAGACATGAAAGATAACGCCGTCAAAATCGGAGACGATCTGGTCAATTGAGACAGGGGGAGCTCTGTACAACGAAGTATAAGCTGGTTGCCTTGACGGCAGACGTAAGACCTGGGGATGAGGCGGGGTTGGAGGGAGGGATACGTACCCAGAGAACCGCTCCCGGAGAAGGGACTCGATGAGAACGTTCTGATAGTCTAGAAGAAGCATCGCGGCGCTACAGTGACCAGCACACTCTGACGGGGACGCAGAAGAGCTACTGCTATCCCGCGATGAGGATGGACGAGGAAGCAGAGGACACGGAGAGGGCGGTGGACTCCTGCGCTTGTGGTTGCTGCGAGCCGCCGGAGACACGTGCCATTTATCGATACGAAAAAAAGTCGAGAGATCCAACAGCCAAAAAAGTCCAACTTTACCTCCTCACACACAACAACAATGGTAAAGTCATATTTGTGAGTTTTTCCTGCGTATCGTCTCATTTCAGACTTATTATACTAATTGCGCCCAGAAAATTCGAGCATTCCGGGACCTTCAGCCTCATTGCCTCTGCCTCCTCGAATGCGATCTGGACCAGGGACCAGGATGTCTCGGGTTCTGCGCGCCATACGGGTGCAGGACGGGCCATTGTGGGCGCTGGTGAGGAGGTTCTATGTTGGGATGTAAAGAAGGGAGAGTTGCTCGGCAGATGGCACGATTCCTCGTGTACAGCGCAGGCCAGTGCTATTACGCAGAGCCAAACAGATGAGGATATTTTCGCAGTCGGGTAGGTCGCTTTCTTCGCGGGCATTGGGATAATGTACTGTTTCTTACTATTTTCCTTTTTCGTTTTGTTGCAGTTATGAGGACGGTAGCATCCGAATCTGGGATTCCAGAACGGCTACTGTGATTATCTCATTCAACGGACACAAGTCTGCCATCACTCAACTCGCTTTCGACAGCGCCGGCGTGCATCTCGCAAGCGGCTCGAAAGACACAGATATCATTCTCTGGGACCTGATCGGCGAAGTCGGACTCTTCAAACTTCGCGGGCATACTGACCAGATTACATCGCTTAACTTTCTTGTTCCCTCCATGGAGCTACTTAACGCTGCCGGGATCAACGACCACGCAGGCTTCCTGCTGACTACCGGTAAAGACTCTCTAATCAAAGTCTGGGATCTTGCTTCGCAACATTGTATCGAGACACATGTGGCGCAAACAAATGGCGAGTGTTGGAGTTTGGGTCTCTCACCGGATCATAGTGGATGTATCACTGCGGGAAACGACGGAGAACTCAAGGTCTGGTCAATAAACGAGACAGCCATGCTGGAAATCTCAAGAGAAAAGGTTGGCGCTGAGGGCCAGAAGATTCTGACAGACCGCGGAACGTTTTATCGCAACGGCAAGGATCGCACCATCGGTATTCGATTTCACCCTCGTGCCGACTACATCGGTTTTCATGGCCCGGAGAAGGCGGTTGAGATCTGGCGCATCCGTTCCCCAACAGAGGTACAGAAGAGCTTGGCGAGGAAGCGCAAGAGGCGAAAGGAGAAGGAGGCCCAACGTGGTGTTGACACGGACGGCGCTCGGGATCAGGCTGAGGACATTTCTTCTGCCCCTGTCACAGAGGTCTTCGTTCCTCATGTCGTAGTCCGAACGGGTGGAAAGATTCGTTCCTTCGACTGGATTCCAACAAAGGCGAACAGTAGCCTGCAGCTTCTTGCCGCGACAACGAACAACCAGCTTGAGACATATAGTATTTTTACGGCAAATAAGAAGGCCAAGGGCAGTGAAGATACAGAATACAGCCGTATTCTAGGGGTTGAAATTCCGGGCCACCGTACGGATATCCGGTCCATCGCCTTGAGCTCCGACGACCGCATGCTTGCATCCGCTTCCAACGGCAGTCTTAAAATTTGGAATGTACGGACGCAGAGCTGCCTTCGCACGCTCGAATGTGGCTACTCTCTATGCTCTGCATTTTTGCCTGGCGATAAGATTGTGGTTGTCGGCAACAGAAATGGCGAGTTGGAAGTCTTCGACATTGCCTCGTCAACCCTTTTGGATACGATAAAGGCACACGATGGTCCCGTGTGGTCTCTGCACGTCCACCCAGATGGCAAGTCCATGGTCAGTGGCAGTGCCGACAAATCAGCTAAATTCTGGAATTTCCAGGTCGTTCAGGAAGAAATCCCAGGGACCAAGCGAACAACACCGCGACTGAAACTTGTACATATGAGGACCCTGAAGGTCTCCGATGATATACTCAGTCTCCGGTTTTCCCCAGACGCCCGACTTCTGGCTGTCTCACTTCTGGATAATACGGTTAAGGTATTTTTCACGGATACTCTCAAACTCTTCCTCAATCTCTACGGTCATAAGCTTCCGGTCCTGAACATGGATATATCATATGACAGCAAGTTGATTGTCACCTGCTCCGCCGACAAGATGGTTCGTCTATGGGGTTTGGATTTCGGTGATTGCCATAAAGCTTTCTTAGCTCACGAAGACAGTGTTATGGCGGTGGCGTTCGTTCCCAACAACAAGGAAGGGAACGGCCACAACTTCTTCAGCGCGAGCAAGGACCATGTTATTAAATACTGGGACGGCGACAAGTTTGAACAAATTCAAAGGCTACGTGGCCACCATGGCGAGATCTGGGCACTAGCGATCAGCCATTCGGGAGAATTCATCGTTAGTGCGAGCCACGACAAAAGCATCCGTGTGTGGGAGCAAACGGACGAGCAAATCTTCCTAGAAGAAGAGCGCGAGAAGGAACTTGAAGAATTGTACGATAACGAGCTCACCGCATCTCTGGAAGAAGAAGAAGACGGGGAAGGGGAGAAAGCCGAAGCAGTCGACGCGGGCAAGCAGACGGCAGCCACGCTGATGGGAGGAGAGAAGATCATAGAAGCTCTCGACCTTGGAATGGAAGATTTAGAGGTTATTCGGGAGTGGAAAGAACTCAAAGCCAAGCAGCCCAACGCCGCACCGCCAGCGCGCAATCCTCTCTACATGGCCCTGGGCAACATTTCCGCCGAGAAACACGTTCTGAATGTGGTCCACAAGATCCCTCCGGCAGCTCTACAGGATGCACTACTCGTCCTCCCCTTCTCTAAAGTACCAGCGCTCTTCACCTTCCTCGAGATCTGGGCCAGCCGGGAATGGAATATCCCGCTTACATGCCGCGTGTTGTTCTTCATGCTCAAGACACACCACCGACAGATCGTGTCCAGCAAGACAATGCGGCCGATGTTAGACCGGATCCGGAAAACCCTGCGTCGGGTCCTGACCCATCAGAAGGACGAGATGGGATTCAACCTGGCAGCTTTGCAGTTCATTGCCAACCAGATCCGGGAACAGAGCACCAAGGACTATGTGGACGAAGAGACATGGGAGGAGCAGCAGCAGCAGAAGCAAGGAACGGGGAAGAAGCGGCGTTTTGTCCATGTTGCCTGATTGGGTTGTTGTGGGAATATGTGCATATACGGCGTTGTTTCTTTGGACTATAAAAGCTATATATCCGGAGCTGGAAAGCATTGGTTAGATATGTGTAATTTCATTTTTTATGTTCTATATGAAATCCTGGAACAGAGCCTGTCTCCTCAGAACACCTGAATAAACACCATATCGAGATCCAACACTCAACCCGAGGGTACGTAGAACGAATCGCACCTAAAGCAAACAAAATCAGCACCGCAATCTGAATAAAACAGATCACAATAGACCCAGAATGAGCAATAGCAATAAAGCCATCCAGATCCAGCAGAAAAAGCAATGCAACAAATAAACCAAACGAATCTCCTCAGCAGAACCATTATAAGCACCGACGACAAGACGCCATACGACGTCCTGCCATGCCTTTTCCGGCTCTTCCTAAAAATAACCGGTTCTTGAAAAATGCTCTCATCATTTGGAGGTGTTTCCTTCGCGCATCGTCTTTGCTGTGGGTGGATGGGTGGAGAAATTGCACAAAAAAACAAGAATGATAATATGAACGTACCGTAGCTACTGTTAGTATTAAGTAGAGTTAGAGCATCAAGATAGCCCAGCTGTAAGTCATTTCTGATGCTGGTGTTGGGTGAGATAGTTTTTTTTTCATTAATATTTCGACTCTTTCTTGAAAGAAGAAAAAGTCGCAGTTGTGGGTTATGTAAACGATCACGTGTTCTATTTCCAAAATAAGCCTAGCGCTGTCCACATACATATATCTCATAATGATACATTTGTCAACATAAACAAGAACATAGTTAATCCATTCAGTCATCAGTTCCCCGTGCAAACACTTCGGCGATACCAGTTATATTCTTTCCCTCAGCCAGGAGGAGGCCCAGCAGGATTCTGGACTTCTGCGGGTTCAGGTATCCACTCGCGATGTGCGTGGAAGTGTTACTCGAGACGTCCGAGAGAGGGACCTCGCCGTTTCCGGTGCGGAAGCTCTGAACAACAGGGATGGTATGGTTGTTGACAACATCCTCAATGGCAGAGTTGAAGGGGGTGCTAACGCCTCCGGCGCCGGCTCCTGCGATCTGTTTAATTTGTGAGTGGACGGGACTATATATACATATGGACAGCAATCAAACTCACCACTATCCCCTTGGCACCGCTCTTAACCGAGTTATACAGCATATCACTCGGCATATCTAGATAAGCATAGAGGATATCCACCCGGGGAATAACGGTGATATTGCTAATATCCACCACGTGCTTCCCCGTGGGCGTCGCGGGCGGGTAGAAGAAGAACGGCGTGTCGGAGATGACCTGGCCCAGATTTCCCATCTCCAGGGCCTTGAAGGTATCCATGGTATTGGCATTGGTCTTGGTGACATAGTAAGCGGAAGTGATGCGGTCGTTCATGACGACCATGGCGCCCCGATTGCGTGCCTTGGGACTAGCAGCCACCGTCACGGCCTCGAGGAGATTATACGGACCATCCGCCGAGATGGCGGTGGAGGGCCTCATGGCGCCGACGATGACAACAGGCTTGCCGCAGTTGACGGTGGCGTCCATGAAGAAGGCCGTTTCCTCGAGGGTGTCCGTGCCGTGGGTGATGACTGCACCCGCCATGGTGGGATCATTGCAGACGACCTTGTTGATCTGTTTGGACAGTTTGACGAGGATGGAAGAGGTGACGTCTTCACTGCCGACATTGGCGATTTGCACACCGGCCACGTTAGCTTTGGTGGTGATGAGAGGGACAGCGTTGATGAGGGATTCCACGCCCACGGCACCGGCTTGGTAGCCCGTTGTCGCGGAGGAGTCCGGGTCTGAGCCGGCGATGGTGCCTCCTGTTGATTGTCAGACACCATGATCCTAACTATTCTACATGTCAATATGGACATGAGCGTACCGGTTGCGAAAATGGTCACGTTGGGCAGACTAGGGTTCATCTGCGTGAAGTTCAACCCATTGGCATTGGTGTAGACAATGGTCGTGTTCCCGGATGCCTGGCGACGGAGGTGAACGGGCGAGGCATTGCTGGCAGTGCTCAGGACAGCCAGGGCCGACACGGCCAAAGTCTTGAAGCTGAAGCTCATGGTGCGTACCCGATAACACTACCTCCGGATAGAACATCCAGATCCCAGGGACATATTTATATCCGTTTCATCTACCATCGTAGCTATTGATAACAGTCTCGCAGTCATGACTCTTGAATAAGCTTGATTAGTCCAACTAATTATCTTGGATCTCTACGCAGCACGATTATCTATATCTGCCGGATCGAGAAATGGGTCAGAAATGGATCCCGGTTCCACCGGATGGGCATCTTATCGCCGCATCGACCTTCCACTTTACAGCTTCTAATATTTAACTATTATGGCATGATGTTACTGTAGATATAGAGATAGAGATAGATAGGAAGAACCGGCGAATTTCCCGAGCAATAAATGACTAATAATGATTCATTTAGTTATTTGCTAGGGCTGAAGAGTACTCTTATCAACAATGTTCATCAGGTACTTACCTTGCTTAATTTGTCACTTACATCCAGGTCTATGCATCAATTCATTATTGTATTCGTCATGGCTTGTAGAGAGTATCCTGTATAGCAGAAGACACGTACGCAATGACGCAGTCACCTGTTGTTTTTGTTCCTTTTCCTCTCTCCATGCTGCCCTCGGGACAATGCTAGACAGTACAAGAGAAAGCCTACATATCATGCATCGTATTGTAGCCCGTCTCAATCAAACTCCTCGTCCCCTTCATGTCGGACCCAATATGCCAATAAAACATCCCTCCCAGCTTCATCTGCGTCACGAACTTGGCCTTCTGCTGAACCGTTCGCGGCGTGTCGTAGCTCACAAAACCACCATCCCCACCAACACAGTACGCCGCCCCGGCCTTCTCATCGTGATGCTCCGTCGCTCCGGGCCGTGGCAGATCGCAGTAATCAAACGTCCCGTCTTCCCCTCCGATCCCGCTATATGTCTGCCCGACACCGTCACTGCCCAGGAACGACCGTCCGTACGCGGGCACTCCGAGCAGAATCTTCTTGCGACTCACGCCTTGTGCCAGGACGTATGATACGGCTGATTGACAAGATGTCGACGTTGCTCCCGAGCTGTACAGCTGGGACTGATGCCCCGTTTGGGTTGTCCAGGGGCCGGAAAAGTCGTATGCCATGATATTGATCAGATCGAGATAGTTCTGCGCCGCGAATAGGTCGATATGCTGCAGCGCCCATTCCCCGGCGGGGAGACATGTCGTGACGACATATTTAGGGGGAGGAAACCCTTGACGAAGCCGACGGAGGAGACTCAGATAGTCTGCCCCTTGTACTGCGTCGGAAGGATGTTCCCAGTCAACTGAATGAGTTAGCAGGCTGTCCTCGAGGTTTAGAGAAGAAAAGGCTATAGATAGTACTGTCGACTCCATCCAAAGAGAACCGATCCACCAGCTCCCTCGCCGTCCGTACAAAGGTCTCGGCCCGTGAAGGATGTCTAGCCACGATAGCAAAGTTCTCACTGCCTTTCCCTCCGCCACCGATGGAGAGGATGATCTTGATCTTGGAGTGCTGGTTTCTCAGCTGGGTGAAAGCCCTGAGACACCCCTGGGTGCCATCCACAGGCATTTGGGAATCGGCCCACTCATCGCTCAACTGTAGTCAAATAAGTCAGCAATGGCTTGCTATTTACATGTCCGAAGAAAGCAGGGAAATAAAAAAGGAGACAGACATAAACAGTGCCGTCTTGTTTAACCCTAGACAAAGAGAAATTCACAAAGTCAACTACCGGTGTTCGAAAATTGCAGCAGAATTCATTCTTATTTTAATTTTCTTCTTTTCTTTTTCTTTTTTCTTTTCTTTCTTTGGTTTGTTTTAGTTATATATACCAAGCAAAAGCATAGAAGATGTGAGAGACGAAACCCAGTCTGAATGAAGACGGATACTGCCCCCGGTACGCTCTCCAATTTGGAAAATAGGCAGCATTGGCGAACAATGGTACCTCGTAGGACGTGGGATGGCTCAGGAAGCTTGCTCCTGCTGTTGTTGTTGTTGAAGAGGACGACGACGGGGCCGGTCGAGGCCAGTAGGGAACACCGAGCCGGAGGGATACATGGATGAATCAAGCAACGCGAAGGACAGAACGGAACCGGACAGAACAGAGCTGAAGACAAAACTGAAAGTTGAACTGGATTGTTGAAGATATTAATTATTGCACTGCACGAGAAACTTCAAACCAGGCGATGTGGGGTCACGTGGAGGAGGAAAAACACGCAACGCTCGAAGCAGAAGAAAAGAGAAGGCAGAAACTATATAGAAAACTCAAAACACTCTCGATCTGGTTGGACCGGCCTGGGCCGTTTCTTTCTGCTCCTCCAGTACCCGCTTCGCAGCTCAATCCTACACGGACAGTAAGAAACAGCGTACAAAAGCCTCCTACACTGTGCATCGTGACCAGGTGCAGAGGCCAAAACACAGCTGGACGCTGTCAGCGATTTCTAATGGAAATAAGGCCAGGCGACAAGGGAAGGGGGGAAATAGTAAAGCGCAAGAAAATCTTTCACCGGATTAGCTCGCATAGGTCATCGTGCATGCATGGCGCCGTCCACCAAGTGCATCGGCTGGCTTGGAGGCTCATGCACCCCATGGCCTTACTTGCGCATGCTGCGTGTTGGCACCCCGCAAATCTCAGGGTTGACTGATCAGCCCGGTTCAGAAGGGCCAGCTCTGTAGTTTATCGTCACACGGGACGCCGAAGCTGAGCGTCGGTCAGCACGGACGCTGTGCCCATACGCGGCCGTCCAGGGGGTTACATAGAAGCTGGCTGTGCAGTATGCACGCCCCTTTTCCATTCTGCAATGGCATTCATTCCCTTGCGTTCATGCACCAGCTAGTTTTAAGAGCCCGTAGATATAGTGTAGTGTCATACACGTATGCAAAAAGATGAGATCGATTGTTTATGTTTCAGTTCCCTCCAGGTACATTGTACGGCGTCATCACACCTTCTCCCATCCCACGTCACTGCTACTCCCGCTGCCACTGTCAGACAATGGGCCGCGGCCGTGACCGTTTCGCAGTCCAAGCATCCACCCCACAAGTCCGCCAGGAACCCATTCGCCTATGATCCCATAGCATCGTGCGCCGCGCCCCACGTACACAACAGCTTCCTTCGCCTTCCTCCTCCCAAAGATGTTCCTTGGGGTAGCCTCGATTGCATCAAAGACCGCATAGTGCAGGTTCCGGGCCGGTGAGCCCCGTACCGCACCCGGCCCGGTGGAGGCCATGGGTCTCTGTTCGATACTGTTCAGGTATTGTGGGCCGTAGAGGGCGCGTTGCTGCGTGCTCCATGCAAGTACTTCGGTCCCGGCAAGCTGGCTTTGCGCGTTTCGATAATGAGGGCCGAGGTCGATATTACCGAGTCGCAACTCCACAACATCGATGTTGCTGCGCTGTAGAAGACGCAGCTCTCTTCGCAAAGATGCTGCAAATCCTGACAGCGCACGAGTCGCTGCAACCTCTGGGCCGGAAAACGGTGCAGAGAGGGACGACGATATAGAAGGGTATGCAAGAACGATGGTACTGCTGGTGTTGCGAAGGGTAAGGAGTGGCAAGAAAAGTTGTGTCGTTAGAATCGGCGACAGAATTCGAGTATTTACAGTATCGGCCCAAGCCGACGGTGGAATGGTTGCGACGGGACCTGTCGCATAGCCTGGCGAAGGGATAACGACAAGGCCGCTCAACTGACAAACGTGCGGAGGCATTCCAGGAGTTGGATGTTGGGGTTGCGTGATCAGGGACCGGATCGCATTGAGTGACGGATGTATTTCTGACGGCGATGACAATGTCTGTAGATATCCATTAGCCGATGCATCCAGCCGGCTTGCTTTAAGGACCAGAATCTCACGGTTGTCAAATCGAGCCATAGAGGGAGAATATCCAACCGATTCTCCGACCGAACGATCTGCTCCTCCTCTTCAGATAACACGGTAATGTAGACGATGAAGCCGCGACGCTCCAGATCACTCGCGATTGATCTAGTCAACGGTTCATGAGGTGAACCGGCGACCACTATAACCCATACAGCTTAGCACGGCGCAGACCCAAACCACATGGCAGTTGTATCCTTCGACCTACCGACTATCTCTTTCCTGGCACCATTCGCAGCTTTTCGCGCTTTTCTTCTCTTTCCATTTAATTTCCTGCTACCATACAGCAGGATACAGCCGGTCCCAACGAAAGCGAAGATGGCAGCTGACCATGCTTGATTGCGAAGAATCCAATTCTGCACGCGGTCTGTCAGGGACCGGGGTTGGGAAGGGGAAAGACGCTGAAATGTCCTCGGACTGGGTCGGATGGAAGAAGGAAGCCATGACTGCTGAGATAGTGTATCCCGGATTACTCTCGCGGCATCGTCGACATGCCGGTCAATCTCATCGGCGACCTTCGAGGAATACTTCCTGACGTCATGAGGTATCGAGGCAAGCTGAACGGGGACTTCGGGTCAGCGCCAGATGCTAAGAGTATCCTGAGGGAAAAAACTCACGTAGTCAAAGAAAAACTGATCATCGCTGGTCATTTTGAAGGAGGACAAACAGATGTGGTGGACGCAGATGACGTTGAAGATCGCGAGGGGTTCAAGTTCTTTTTGCTTTCTTTGAAGTTTCGGCGATGCTTCGGATCACATGATGCCCTTTGATCTTCTTCTTCAACTCAGCAGCTTCATTCTTTCTGCTGTCCTCGTCTTCTTTAAAATCTGTCTGTCGCTCTCTAACCGAGGATTGCTGTTATCAGTGGCATTTGAATATACGATCGCTTCCCAGCTGTTATTCCAGGGACCTCTCTGACAGCCTCATTGCTGGCCGAGTCCTACATCCTACGCTCCTACGCTGTTGGCAAGTCGCAAAGCGTACATAACAGGTCAGATCCAGATTTTAAGTCATTCAGTCGTTGACAGCCACTTCATTTATTCAGATCATTCTCCATTCACATTCATTCTCCCAGTTGCCTGAGGCCAAGAACAGGTGGTTTATCCCGAAGGCAACTTCAATAGACTCAACTGTCAGCCATCCTTGGACAACCCAAAAATCTCTGGCTATCCTCAGTGGAACCGGGCCCTCTTCTTTTGGGTTCATCCTCAAACCTTGTCTCTGCCAGCCGGTTCCTACTGGGTAATGTCGCTGACGAATGACTGGATCAGAATTACTGGACATCCAGAACAGCGTCGATATTCTGGCATGACTTTCATTTTCTGACGGGGAAGTGCTTTGAGAGATTGGCTTTATTGTAAACAGTTTAGATTTCATTTATAACTATTATTTTCTTTCTTTCTTTCTTTCTTTCTTTTTTTTTTTTTTTTTTCTCTCTCTCAAAGACTTTCTTTTTCTGGAGCCAGAGTCCAAGATGCGCGAGTTAGAGCCTTTGGTCTTTGAATATCAACACGAGAAGCATCGGCCTCGGGAAGCCGAGGCACTATTCACCCTTCGAAAAGTGGCATCGTTAGTGAAGCCGATCATGCGACGGCGAGACTGGAAAGTAGGAACCCTCTGCGAATTCTACCCTCGCGAGCGGAATCTCCTTGGTTTGAACATAAATGCAGGAGAGAAGATATGTCTGCGACTCCGCTATCCCAATGATGAACGCCAGTTCATTCCTATAGAGCAGGTGGCCGACACCATGCTTCATGAGTGAGTAGTTCGGTTTCTAGACCGGTACGGCGAAACAAGACTGACACCTGCAGGCTTTGCCATATTGTCCATGGCCCGCATAACCAACAGTTCCATGCGCTCTGGAACCAACTCCGCGATGAACACGAAGAACTTGCTTTGAAAGGATACACTGGAGAAGGCTTCCTTTCTCAGGGTAGACGTCTAGGCGGTAGCAAGATACCCTTGGAAGAAGTGCGCCGGCAAGCTCGGGCAGCCGCGGAGCAACGACGAAGACTTTCAGCCGGGTCTGGTCAAAGACTTGGCGGGGCCCCGGTGCTTCGAGGAACTGACATGCGAAAGGTGATCGCGGATGCCGCACAGAGACGCATCGATGTGACCCAGGGTTGTGCATCCGGCACGGAAAGGGGCACGCAACTGGCCGAGGAGGCATCGAGGAACGGGTTCCGGACGAAAGCCGAAGAAGATGATGCCAACGAAAGGGCTATCATGCAGGCTTATATTGAAATGATGGAAGAAGAAGAGCGAGAGAAGTACGGATCTTCATACATCCCCCCTAGCCAGACAAATCCGGCAGGGTCCCGGGGCCTTCGTCCACCTTCTGTTCCGGAGCATACGAAGCCACCACCACAATCCGCACCTGGAGGCTACATCAAAACAGACAATGTCCCCCGTGCAGAATCATGGACATGCCCAATCTGCACACTGGACAACCCACCTACCTTCCTCTGCTGCGGCGCTTGCGCCGTTGAACGACCAACGCAGACAATAACCCAAACCCCATTCGAACTAGAACTAGAACGAGAATGGGAACGCGAGCAACAACACCAACGGGAACAGAAACGGGCTCGAGCTCGAGATCGCGAACGTGAATGTGAACGCAAACGACCCACAGAAGAAAAACACGAAAAGGACAGCCGCAACCTTCGAAATCCCAACACCAACCCCAATCGGGCAGACCACAAACGTCCGCGTCCAACACCAGATACCATGGACAAGGTAGGTTTCAAGAGCCGAACGCGAGCCGTGCAATCCCTCGATGCGCTGGAACGGGCCGCTCAGAAACGGCCTCTTGGGTGGGTTTGCCACTTATGCGGAACGTTCATGGAGATGGAGTGGTGGACTTGTTCCAGTTGTGGGGTTATGAAGCGGGCTTCTTGACTCTTTTCTTGTTCCTAGATGGATTTCATGGATTTGACCGGTCATGATCTATCTCTTTTGTCTTAGGTGGTGCATTTGGTTTATGTATTATGAGTAATGAGGTGTCGTCTGTTTTTTCTCGGTTTAATTCTGCGTGTATATTATACCCAGTTATTGATACCACCTGGTTACGCAATGATAATATTAAGCTATGTTCACAATGATCCAAATAGCAAAGGAATGATAACCCCAAACATGAGGTTATTTTTTCACATTCAATCCATAGATTTCATCTCATCTCATCTGTCATATGTGCATTCACTTCATGCTCGTCCAACCTCCGCATCTGCCTCTCCTTCATCCATTAACATTTACATCCATATCCATGTTAACATAAACTAATTTATGATACATCCAACCTCCAAGCTGACAGGGATGTATAAAAGATATTAAGAAAAAAAAATGATGTGTAACTGAGGAACTCCAAATAAACAAGACCAGTTATTTACCAACATCGGAGTTTGGTAAGTAGGGTATGCAGGTCACATTCATCTTCATGATAATATGGATATGCGTAGATAGGGGGGTATTTATTCAAGAATCCAAAAAAAAAAAAAAAACAACCGGGAGAGTATTTTGTTTTGTTTTTATTTACGAGCTGCCGCCGCCCATGAGTTTCTGAAGGGCGGCGCCCACGTTGAGAGTGATGTTCTTCGGGGCAGCAGCCTTCATGGCGTACTCGTAATATGGCAAGCGCTGGCCGTTGTTGACAATGGACTCGGTGTAGATCGAGACCGGGAGCATGCCATCGGGGTATTTGGGGTTATCACCGGAGATCATGGGTAGAACGGTCGTGACATTGGTTGTAGCTTCCATGTAGAAGTAGTTGTCTCCGGGTCTCAGAGTCACATCGTTCAAGTATGATGTGCCAATGGGCGTTCCCTCCACAAAGATGGGCATGGTAAGATTACCCTGCGGACATTATGTTAGACTGATTGATTTGAAGAAGTGATGCTCAAAAAAGGGAGTCTTACCAATTCAATAGTGATGAATGAAGGGTTCGGGATGTAGACAGTTCCATTCATGTTGTGTCCCTCAGGCAGACCGCTAAGAATGATCTGGAACTCGGTGATGTTGAATCCCTTGAGTCCGCTGAGGCCTTTATCACATATTCGTTAGATGAGCGACTATGAGAGCGGTTGTACAGAGAGTAGAGGCTTACCGGTCAGAGGGACGGTCTTGTTAAAAGTCGCTGTGACCTTGGGCAAAGCCCCTTCCTTCAACTCAGGCTTGCCATAGATGTTCAGATAGAAGGTCTCTTCCATGACGAAAGCCTTTGAGAACTCGGCGTAGGCAGTCGTGTTCGTCAGATCAAGAGTTTGGTCAAGATGGAAAAGCAAGTTGTTCCGCGCATGGAATTCAGGATTAGTGATATTTGCATACGGTGCCTGTCCAGCGAGACTAGCCTCAGCTTGAAACGACCAGAACTTTGCATGGTAGCTGCTGTTTGTTTTCAGAGTCATGTTTTCGATCATGTGTATAGAATTAGGCGTTGGGGAGTAAGCCGACAGCAAAGAGAGTTCAATGCGTGCCTTCTTCACGATGTTCCTAGCAATCCTTGGGTAGCCGACATAGACGCTGCGCAGCGAAAAAAAGAGATTAGTTCACCACGGCCCTATGAGATGGCATGAGGACAGGGAGCTACTTACACAGGAAGAACGATTACCAGAACGCAGATAATGAAGACGATCAGATGGGCCCACCAGAATCTCTTGAAGTGAGCCCGAACTTTCTGGAGGAAGGTGGGCTTGCTTGCTGGAGCAGCCGCGACATCATACTCGACATTGCTGATTTCCGGCTTCCCAACGGGGTCCGTGGCGTCCCTGACGCTGGCCATTTTGTTACTGGTGCGCTTCAGCAGTCAGTCAGTAAGGAATGGATGCGGAAGGGAGAAGCCTAGGTGAAATACCAGAGTATATATTATAGGAACCTTTTTTGATCACTTCCTCCTAGGTGAACGGGCACAGCTCCTCACCAGTGGGACAGAAAATCTTGTCACAGACAAGAGGCTAAGGCAGAATGAGAACCCAAAAGCAAAGCAGGGAAACAACGAAGCACAAAAGAGGAAGAAAAAAAAATCTACGTCGCTGGGGCCGGGAACAGTGCCGTTACTTATTATTGCTGCGTCTCTACAGGAGAACCATGAAATATGACCAGACCAGACCAGACCAGACCAATCTGACCGTGATCAGCTAGATGAGGCCAGGCAGCTAGTAGTCGATCCATGATCCATAGCGGCTGTTGGGAGTGGTAGGTAGGAAACTCCATCCGGTGTACTCAACAAAAGCCAATGCGGTGGCCAAGAATAATTAAACATCGTCACATGCTTCCCAACCGAAAGAAAAAATCAGAGAAAAAAAGGGGGGATGGTTCCATACGGAGATAGGTTGCCCGAATCGTCAATGGTCGCATAGCCGGTGGGCCACCTAAGGCAAAAAAGAGCAAGGGAAGCAATTAATATTAATTAAAAAGAAGTCTGGAGAGCTGGCACTTGCGCTTTTTGCGGAGAAACACGAAGCACTAGGTGGACCAATCAGGGAGAACCACAGACCGATAGCAGACCAAGTGCTGGAGGAGAAAAGAATCACAGGCGACGAGGAGATGAGAGCGTAGGAAGATCCAGCAGGAGCGGCGCAGATAGGCCGAGGCATGGCAAGCAAGAGGAAGAGCACAGGCGGGATCTGACCGGTCTGCAATGCGCATACGGCATCCCGGGTCGGAGAAATAGGGGGCAAGCGTAGGGAGGATACGCTGCACGATGCTTGTTATTATTCATTGATCGTCAATATGAGATCATCATTAGAGGCAGGGGAGCACAAGAAAGTCTTGGGAAATTGGAACCTAATTGACCACGCGTGGAGAAGAGGCAGAGCAGGGCAACCCCAGTCAGAAGCTGGAGTGGAACGTCGTATCGGGGCGTCGCGGGGGAAGCTCGTGACTCCGGGCATCATCGACGTCGACCAGCCAGGGAGAGAATGACAGGACCATGACAAGACGATCTGAGGGACGATGAAGACAAGAAACTGACAATGTTGATGATGGTGATGATAATGGAGACAATAATCAATGACGATGATGATGATGATCCGCTGGTGAGTTGTAGATAGATGGGGAGCACTGAGCAGAAGACACGACGAGCTGCTGGGGAACGCCAGGCTTGTTTGGGGCATTTGTCCGATTTGCCCTGTTTGCTTCTCCACGCGGGGTCTCCCGGAGTTTTGATGTTAATCTATTTTAATTTACTCTGCAATCTGTACATACGGCAGTGCTTAGGGCAGGTCTTCCCAGGATCTTGATTGCAAGTGATCGCCGCTCATAGATACGAATATGAACATGAATATGAACATGAATATAAAGCCCATGTCCAATAGCGTCAAACAGCAAGAATCCAACACACGTGTCTACGCTGTATCCTTCTCTGCCAATCCTCTCCGTCTCTACATACCCCGCGGCCCGGAGGAAAGTCTATTTGAGTCCCTCCTATCGCCTTCCGGGCTGTTTACTGGCGGTTGCTGCGTACCTTCATGAATCTTTCCCGTGGTACCCCGCATATCCCTGCGGTCCCGCGGCAAGGATCTCCCTCGGCGCTTTGCTTCCTCCAGACTTGCATCTGATTATGAAAGAGAATATACATCATTCCGACGGTCCTGCGTGTCATTCATGAAATTTATCTCGAGGAATAAATAAAAGAATATGTCCAAATATCCGGCTTCAAAGCCACAGGGAAAGAGGAGACAGCCCTCGCTGTCTCTTGTAAGAACGATGGGTATCAACAAAGCATAGAAAGATGTGCCCGCCAGGCATGTGAGAAGCAGAAGATGACAGGGGAAGAAGAGAAAAAGAAATACAAAGAAAGGGAAAGAATCCCTGTTCCACGAATAGTATGTCCGGCTTAGACCAGCTGTCAAGTCCTGCTCGAACGTAAAAAAGATCCCACTTGGATAGGTCAAAAAAAAAAAAAAAAAAAAAAAGAAAGAAAGAAAGAAAAGAAAAGAAAGTCCAGGAGATAGAAAGTACAGGCCAATTATGGGGAAGAAGAGAGATTAAAGAAGTTGGAAAAGGTAGATCGAACGAAAGTAACAACTGAAATGCAAGGTCAATGGTAATAGGTCAACAACCAACAACCCCTCCGCATTACCGAAAGCAGAACGGTGACGGTGAGGAAATGAATAAATCAATGGAGACCCCCAGGCCCGGGCTGTTATCAACTCTGGAAGAACATAGAATGTGGGGGGCCGCACTCGGCAGCCCCAGCTTCGAAATGAAGGCTCTCTAGACTATGCGCCTGCTGCAAATGACTTTTTTCTGTGGAAAATGCTGCGTGTCCGTGATTTACCGCGATTCTTTTTCTCATGTGAAGATGTAGTAGCACTTCTCCCTCTCGAATGTGAAGTATCTTCGTCATCGCCCATATACTTCTCCTTGTAGATCCTGCGGGGAACGTAACGCGACACATTTAGCAAACCAAGACTGGAAAATAACATGGGAAATCCCTTATCGTCGCACGTACCAGCTGTTACCCACCATGCTCATCCCATTAGCCTCCGCCATGCGGTAGTACCGCGCGGCCGTCTTCATATCCTTCTTGCATCCGACACCTTGCACGTAGCAAAACCCCGCCTCGGCCATTGCATCAACATCCCCCCACTGAGCTGCAATCTCGAAACAACGCAGGGCGAGCGCCTTGTCTTGTTTGATGCCCCATCCGTTGAGATGGCTGACTCCTAGCTCGTACACGCTCAGAGCAAACTGTGCACGGTGTGTCTTCCGCACCATTTCCTGGGCGCGAGATGTCCCGGAGGAACCGTTCGCATGGTCCGTTAGCAGCTCTACCCCTACACAATCCAACGCCTTCTGCAGCCACCGCACACCTTCTTGCTGGTTTGGCCGCATGCCCCATCCGTGCCGACAGGCTAAGGCGTAGAGCAACATGCCAGTTGGGTCATTCATCTTTGCCGCAAGCCGCAAGTGATACGTAGATTCATTCAGTGACCCTTTCTCGTGGCATTCAATCCCCAACGTTACGTGGTCCTCTGCTGTGAGCCCGGTCAAACCTGCCGGAGTGGCACCGCTCGTCTGTGGTCGCAGGGTGCTTGCCGAGTCTGCTGAAGAGGCCTCCTCTGCGTTGGCGTCGCTCCTCGCGGCGACGGAACTCAGCTTGGATGCATCTGTGGACAGGCGTTCTGGCCGGTCGAGTTCAAACGAATAATTAGGCCCACGGGATGAGGATGATGCGTCCGTCGCGGATGATTGTCCATTTAGGGCAGCCCGATCGGTGTCACGACGAACGGACGACGAGGAGCTTCTAGGAGTAGGCAATCCAGGTTCCTCTGCGGCATTGGGTAGAGAGGAACCGTCGTAATAGGGCTCATGTCCCTCCGGCTGGGGCGCTCCTAAGTCAGAGCAGACAACAGAGTCCCTCGAGACCCCGCGCCCACGAGGAAGAGGGAACTGCGCATTACTATACGCCGATACGGTCGACGAGGGCTCTTCACTGGTAGATGAAAAGTCAAAGCCAGATGGTACAATGATCGGGCTAGGTTTATGGGTTCTGCTCATGGCGCTTCCCTGGCCACTGGGTATAGAATGTGGGGCAGGAAGCGATGTTGGAGTGTTGCTGCTGGATCGACTCAGGGGCCGTGAGAAATTCAAGGACGGACGCAGCAAGGGCTGGCAGCCGGTGGACATCTCCGAGTTCGCAGACGGTGACCGGCGGTGGGAGCGATTGGCACCAGGAGACATGGGGGCGTGCGGCAAAGACAGAGCGCTGCTCGACGACAACTTGCGCGGTTGCGAGAAAGTAGATCCGCCATTGGAACTGCTGATATCGTCATCCGAGCTATCTGCAGGAGCTGCCCGGGAGCGGGGAGATGCTGGAGGGACTAAGGCACGGGGAACATTGAGGTGAGAAACGGAGTCCGTGGAAGACTGCCTGGATGGTTCAGGTACGGAACCGCTGACGGGGGCATTCACGACAGGACAATGATCCTCGTCGCTGGCCGCCCGTACGGCTGAATCCTCCACGGGCGACTCCGTCTTTGGGATATCCTCGTCATCAGTTTGAACGTGGCACAGAGGAGATTGACGGCCAGGCGTCGCTACGGAATCACGAATGCTACCGGTCTCACTTTCGGCGGTAGGGACATTACTGAAACGGGGATATTCCGACTGCGGGCGATATTTGGGCATTTCCAACTCCGGGCTTGACTGCTGTGTCGGGCGCCTGGACAACGACTGCTGGGAGTCACCGGAGCCCGGGGAACGAAAGTAGCCAGGTCTGGGTTGCGAAAGGGACCTCACGACACTGTACGGAGGTAATCTGCTCATGCGACGGTCTCTGCGCCGGGACTCGTTCAGTTCCTTCGCCAAAAGACGGCCCTGGGCTGCGAACGCATCTAGTGGCGAGAGGGCGGGAGGAATCTCTCCGTCGAAATGCTCAACGCGCGGCGAGGGAAGTCTGCCCCCACTGGGCGCACGGGGAGGTGAAGAGTGGCCATGCTCGCGATAGTTGGGCCGGGTGGCCATGACGGAGAGGAAGATATCAAGCGTGGAGCGTTGAGGCGAAAGTGAATCAAATCCGTACAACGGCTGTGGAAACGACGAATGCAATCAGAAAACGAGTGTCCTTCTTTGGTAGAGTCTTTCCCACCACGTCAATCCATCTAGTCGAAACTGGTGAAGGGAGTAAAAGGATATGGCACGGTCGTCACGGGCGGTTGCGGAAGTAGCCCGGCGGCATTCGTAGGCGTCGAAGATGCGGTTAAATAGCGAGTGTAAGTAAGTGATGGGAAATTCCGAACGGTCAACGAGGAGATGGACGAAGATGAGACAGAAGAAACGAAATAACTGGCGATGGGGAAGGAAACCGATGAGACGGGCGAAGGGAGTGACGGTAGAAGAGCGGGAGAACGAGATATGAGAATGGGACAAAAGTGTCAGCTGTCAGTGACTTCTGCAGTTCCTGCGAATGCGACCACCGAATTCAATCGACTTTGCTCGCGACAGCCACGCTTCAGGGGCTGGCCTCGTTATCCTCGCGCCTTTATTATTATTATTACGCCGCTTTTTATTACTATTTTGATTATCACGACTCCCATTATTTAACATCCCCGCCCTGTACGCCCACCAGCCCAATGGCGTTGTTCAGGGGCCTCAACGGCTTCTTGGCCCTGCGAACTATGTATAGAACCAAGGCGCTAGTTCTGTACGTGTCTTCCCCTTTCCCCCTTCTTGCTGGGGCTTCTTTAATTGCCCTGTGTCCCAGATGCTGACAATGGTTCCTTCTCAGGCTTCTACCGTCTTCTTGTTCATCGTTCATCCAGTCTTCGAGCTCTGCAAGCAGCCATTGCCTTGGAAAACGAACAAAATAGCTGATGCTGACCCGCAGCCCCAGTGGATCCAAACGTCTATTTATAAATAAAGTCTTTGTCAAACCTGGCGACTGGTGGCGGTGCTGGGGTTGGCCCGGCAGCTGGATCACGATGGATGGAACAAGCCTGCTGAGAACGCTCAGCTTCAAAGGCGTAGATTCCCTGTCTGATATCTGCCTTGCATCGAGTCACCTCTCGATTGCAGCGCCGCCTTGATCTTGATCTCTTTCGGGCCACGTGGTTTCAGCTATGTACGACATATCCTATGCAACCTCGCTCGAAACATCATATAAACTCGTACGATGCACTGTTCGTATGTCGGCTTTGTCCGACCAGCTCTTTCTGCTGCTTCCAGAATTGGACCCAGACTATGACATGAGAGAGCATAGCCTGACTCGTTGACCATGCACAGTAGGATTTTCTATTATTGTTACTTTTTTTAATTAATTTTCCCCGGTCCATTTTTGGGTGAAGACAGACCGCTGCTGGTAGCGTTCGTGATACCCAGCTGGAAGATACTCCAACGAGCCCGAAAGAGAGTCCTCAATCCTCGATGTACCTGTACATCGAGTGTTGGACCGGCAACAACAAGCGTCGAATCCTTTTACTGCGGCCGCCAGAGACCAGTAACCGGGTTACGTGCACGCCGGTTCATCGTCTTTCTATATCGAGTATAGCAGAGCGTGCGGAGAAGACACATCGATTCCAATAATCTGATCAAGCTGATACACTACCGTCCGCCCCCCTCACCAATGCAGAAATGAGATGCTTGCTACGGAGCACCGATCATGGTTGCATCTAGCAGGCCATCTCTGCCGTCGCCTTAATAACGCCTTGGTAATTCGCTTTCCTTGGATGATGCTAATAGTAATAATTATTCCATGCCCTCTTCCTTCAATAGTAGCTTCGGATTAGAGCCAATTCCGAACCAGGTTAAGGACGGCTCAAGCGAGTTTCTAGAACATTGTCAACCCCGGCTCTCGGTAGGCCCTATAGAAAAGGATCTGGGGCGATTTGAGTTTTGCATTCCAGGAAATAAGAATATTACTCCCAGAATGAGCGTATGGAGCAGGCTGTCTTGATGGGTCTACACCGCCTTCCTGTTCTGGCAGCCCGGCAGAAACGTAGTTCTACTGCGACGAAGAGAAGCACTCTCACTCTCGATGAACACAAACTCTGCACGCCAGGCACAAGATAGGGTTGTTATACGGGCTAGATAGATAGTATCATCCGAATACATTCCGTTGACCCTTTCCAGTCGAACCACACCATGGCTGCAGACGTCCACCATGCCGCCACTCGAATCCTATCAACCGACGCCTCCCGCGACCCAAACTACGACGAATTCTCCTTCATCCCATTCCTACGGCAAAGTTTCGGCTTCGGCCTCGCCAGCGATGTACCGGTCTGCAAAGCATACAGCGAGGGCCACTGCCCGCTCGGACCAGCCTGTCCGGACCGCCACCCGACGCCGACGAGGGTGACGACGTCCACAACCACGGCCTCGGGGCTCGCACCATCGACGACCCACGGCTCGCTCGTCTGCAAACACTTCCTCAAGGGCCTGTGCAAGAAGGGCCTGAAATGCGAATACCTCCACGAGTACAACCTGCGGCGCATGCCGGAATGCCAGACCTTCTCGCGGACGGGATACTGCCCCAACGGCGACGACTGTCTATACCAACACGTGCGCGAGCAGGCGCGGCTGCCGTTGTGCGAGCACTACGAGCGTGGGTTCTGCGAGCTGGGTCCGCTGTGCGCGAAACGTCATGTCCGCCGACGTATCTGCCGGTTCTACCTAGCCGGGTTCTGTCCTGAGGGGAAGGAGTGTGTCGACGCGCATCCGCGGTGGACAGAGAATCTACCGAAGCCTACGGTTCGGCTGGAGAAGACCGAGGAGGTGCTGGAGCGGGAGAGGGCGTTGATTCGAGAGGAACAGGAGAGGGAGAGTCAGCGGGAGCGGGAATGGAGGAGTGAACGGGGGCGTGGGGGGGGGTTCATGCGCGGGCGATATCGAGGGAGGGGGAGAGTGTAGTACCACTGGTTTCCTGTGTCGCTGCTAGAGAGGCCATGAGTTTTATTTGCTAGAGAATGCTCGAGATACCCCTGTTCCAGTGTTCGGGATGCCGTTGCAGAGTTTGACGTATGGCACCATGGAGCATGTCCACAATCCGGATATACCAAGGCTGTGGCACTGGCTATATCCGAGTCTGCGGCTCACCAAGCGGACAGTAATGGCCATAACTAAGCAGCGGCATTTAGTAATCATCAGTAATGTGCTTCTATTTGTGATTCTCGACCTGTTCCGTGCGGTTTGTCAGGAATGTGTAAGGATTTGGAAGCGCACAGCCCGAGCCCTGATTGGCTTAGGGCACAGCTCGACGATTCTTGTTCGCATCAAGGCTTCAACTTCACGCCAATGCTCGACGCGAGGCCAATCGGGTCTGCAGCTGCTTGCATCCAGGAGGGGCGGTCCATCAGGTTGCTTGGTGCACGTCATGGACTCCCTCGCCTATATAAAGCCTTGTTTGTCTGCGTTGTGTCGTGGCCTTTCCTCCCAACAGTTCACTCCACATCGTCTACGCTACTTAATCTGATATAACTGATATACCCATTCTCACACCGCACTCTCTTTCTTTGACCGTTTTACCTCAACTTAATCAATCACAATGGCTCCCAAGGTTGCTATCGTCTTCGTACGTGCTCCTCCGCTCAGGTACCCCCCAACATGCCGCCCCAGAACACCCTACTGACCATGTCTAGTACTCCATGTACGGCCACATCGCCAAGCTGGCCGAGGCTGAGAAGAAGGGTATCGAAGCCGCAGGCGGCAAGGCCGATATCTTCCAGTGAGTCCTCCTCGTCTTTCAATCGACTCTTATGCGTCCCATTCATGCTGATGAGTACCCCAGGGTTGCCGAAACCCTCTCCGCCGACGTCCTCGGCAAGATGCACGCCCCCGCCAAGCCCTCCTACCCCGTCGCTGAGCCGGCTGACCTGCTCGAGTACGATGCCATCCTCTTCGGCATCCCCACCCGCTTCGGCAACTTCCCCGCCCAGTGGAAGGCCTTCTGGGACAAGACCGGCGGCATCTGGGCCTCCGGCGGCTACTGGGGCAAGTATGCCGGTCTGTTCATCTCCACGGGTACCCTGGGTGGTGGTCAGGAGTCGACCGCCATTGCTACCATGAGCACTCTCGCTCACCACGGTTTCAACTTCGTTCCTCTCGGCTACAAGACTGCCTTCGGGCTCTTGGCGAACCTGGAAGAGATCCACGGTGGTAGCCCTTGGGGTGCTGGTACTTTTGCTGTAAGCTGTCTTCCGTTCTTGCCTCCTATGGTGAATAACAATGCTAACGGTCCTATTCTAGGGCGCCGATGGTTCCCGCCAGCCCACCGCGCTCGAGCTCGAGCTTGCCGAGAACCAGGGCAAGTCGTTCTACGAGCGCGTCGCTAAGGTCAACTTCGCTTGACTACATGGCGGAGCCGAGTCACAGAAGCAGGAGCCTCAGTCGCAGTCGCAACCAAGGTCTACACCTGCACAGACTGGGACAGGTACTCAGAGTGCAGCGAATGGGAACAGCAAGGAGTGTAAAGAAGGGCCCTGTGGATTACCTGCAAAGTGCAATCTAATGTAATTTTTTTTTTTTCTTTTTGATTTTCCGGATCAAAATTATATACCTAGATAACACTGAATGGAGTTATGATCATTGACGCACAAATGAATGGATTAGAGTTAAGATTCGATTTAAGCTTAGGGTTCCAGGTGGGAACTTGGAAGAGCGAGTTTCTAGTATCATTCCCTAATATACTATTACAAATCTCCCTAGTTCGTATGACACTATACAAAACGAAGTGTTGTGAGGCAGGTAGCATCATCTAAAGCCGGCCCATAAACAAATCCAACAACTTCGGATAAACCGGCGTCCCCAAACCAGTAACCGGATCCCATCCAGGAGCAGCATAGAAGCCCGGCGTCCCGCACCCGGAGTTATTCCCCACGGTGATATCATGGAAGACCTCGGGATGGGCATAGAGAATGGGATTCACGAACCCCACCGTCGGCAGTCCCACTGCTAAACGCTCCTCATTGATCAGAGTGAGGATGGAGGCGAAGGCGGGCGCAGACGCAGAAGTGCCACCGATCCTCGCTGCTTTCCCCTGCGCGAAGATAACGACATTGTCACCGATGGCCGCGACATCCGGATAGGCACGGCCGCCGCGGTTGTAGATGCCTCCGTTTGCACCGAAGCTGCTGTTGTCGACGCCGCTGTAGTACGGATACGGCGGCTGGGCGATGTCGAAGTACTTCTGCACCGCCTGCTTCTGGTAGTCTGTTGTTGCGTAGATGTTGCTGAAACCGCCGCCGGAGGGGAATCGAGTCACGGCGACCTCGGCGTCGCTCTGGGCGTCCGCGCCGGGGGGCAGGTAGGTCGCGCCTACAGCGGTGATATAAGGACAATTAGCCGGGAATTGGGGCGCGAAGACGGTGCCGTTTGCGCCCAGGCAGTTGGAAGGCGTCGGATCGCCGCCTCGGCCGGCGACGCCGGAGTCACCAGACGACACGAGCACGGAGGTGCCCTGGAGACCGAGCTTGAGCCACTCCATGCACTGGCGACGTTGGTAGGAGATGGGGAGATCGGCCTCGGCTTCACCGTAGGAAATGGAGACGACGTTGGTCGGCCTGTAGACGCCGCACATGCGCTGTCCCTTGTACCCCCCCGGTGCTGGATCGGGATACGGGGGATCCTCAGGCGAGGTCTCAGAGCAGTAGGAGCCGTCGACGGCATCGAGGAAGTTGTTCAGGAAGCCCGGGTAGCCGTTCTCGGCGGCGTAGTGCGGGTCCTCCGTCTGGAAAAGCACCGAGTTCTGCGGCCAGATGATGGGGTAGGAGATCTGGAAGTCGAGACTCGATTCTGCGCCGGCTTCAGCGACGGGGACGGGGGCAATGGCACCGTCGATCAAGTTGGGGATCGGGTGCGTTCCCAATGGAATCTCGGGATAGAGATTCGCGAAGAAGAGGTTCAGATCCTCCTGGCTGTAGTAGTCTCCTTCCTCGAAAATGCCCAGCTCATTTCCTGGCGTTGCATTCTTCCCGGCTGGGATTTGGTACATTGCTATATTCCAATTAGCAGGGATTGCGCAGGAGATCGGATGGGTTCAGGCTACTCTTGATGCAATTCGGCGTGATATACTTGTCGCACTGGGACAAGCTGGCGTCAGCAGCCTGAACGTGCTCAATTGGCTCGTCGATCGGCCTGGGTACCGGCGCTTGCCTGCCACCCTGGAGCGAGCGCTTGGTCTTCGCATCCTGCGGCGCGACCTCGAGCCATTTGACCCCGGGGGTGATGTAGTCGATGTGTCGGCGAACCGACTTTGGCACGGAATATCTGCCCATGGCCGCCACGTCAGCTCCAATTCGACCCAGGGAAGATAGATATCACGGAGTCCTATCTGGTGAGACTGACTCGCGACAAGAAATACGCAGATTGCCCGTGGCAGCGTGCGGGTGTACAAGGTACTTGGTGTTGAGCAAATCCTCCAGTTCGCCCGCCTTCGCGTCGAACTGCAGCCACTGCTTGTTCGCGGACAGAGTGATTCGATCGGGAGAGATGCCCGATGCCTCCAGCCATTCGCGCACGGCGTCGACACTTTCTGTCGAGGGCGCGAAGATATCATGGACCTCTTCGGCCGTGTAGTACTTCCCGTAACGAGGGGAGGTATGGTCGGACCTAGCACGAGGGTATCAGCGCATATTCTCGCGACTCTCGAGTCTATTGAACCGTGGTGACGGGACAAGCGTACACTTCCATCAGAAGAGCGTCGGCAATGTGGAGGTTCGATTGAGCCAGGCCAATGCGGACGGGGAGGACGGTGTTCTTGTCCAACCGGTAACCCTCGTCGAAGGAGGCCGGCAGCGTGCTGCGACGCTCGTGGACGACATGGTGCTTTTGCCCTGGAATGGCACTGGCGCTGGCAAGTGCAAATGAAGCCCCGAGGAGCAGTAAGGACAGCCGCATATCGGCAGTAGCAGCTGGAGTCCACGGTTGCAAAAGAAAAAAGGGGGGAAAGAAAAAAACACAACCACGAGGATGGACTATGCCATGCCGCTGCTAAGAATTGGCCTCTGCAGAGGGAGATGCATCTCAATATCTATCTGCTGGCGCCCCTCTCAGGGGGTTTCATCAAGACAAACAATCGCGGGCAGATTGCTGATCCCAAGCTACTCCGGAGTCCGTCGCTGCACATGCAGATCGTGATAGAAAGATCGAAGGCGCATTGGCTTTATCCAGCAGCGCTAAATGGTCAAGTTCCACAGCATCTGCAAGGGGATGCGCATTGCTACTCTGAACGGAGCTCCGTCCCTGCGACTGCATCAACCAGTCCACCTTGACGACCACGTCACCCTTGGCAGTGCACTCAAGCTCGTCAAGCTTGTCGCCAGGAACGCCGGTGCCGTCAACCGGCTCGGCGTCCGTGTCTGTAACCCTCTTATACCATGCGGAGGCATAATAACAAGCGACGAGGCAACCAGGACCCAGTAGGTGACAAACATCGTCTCAAAGGACGTCTTCTTCGCATCCAGCGCGAAAGTGACTGCCACACCAACAGATCCACGGGCCTTGTGGAGGGCTGCGTATGTGGTGAGAAGCAGGGGATCGTGGAGCTGTGCTTATTCCATCGGCTCCAGGACGGTCTTCGGTAGGTTTCATTTAACCCTTAACATTGTAGAAATGGAACAGCAACTAACAGAACCAGCCAAAGCTTCTCCTACTGGGTCATTGGGCACCTTATCCAATGTACTTTGCTGTTCGGGGCTCCGTCGCGTCCATCCGACGTCTGGTACGGAAGATACCACGAAACCGAGAAGGGAACCGGGAAGAAGAACCAGATATATGGCTCCCTTTTGAAGGCGACCCGGGAATTCTTCAGTTCCGGGATGAAGGTCCTGGAACAGGCGGCAGTTCTCATTGAGCTTGGTTTGTCCAAACATTGAAGGGGGGGAGAGAGGGAGGGGGAGAGTTTACCAGAAAAATGCAGCACTCAATCCACAAGCCGCACCGGAGAACAGCACGAATCCTGTATTCTGAGCATGGTTGTAGCACCAGAAGCCGCTCCGTACAGGGCATATCCAAGACTACCGATGACAAGACCCGTACGCAGGTAAACCAGGACAGCAGGCATTCCTCGCGGTGTGATCATATGCACGAAGCACCATATCAGAGCTTTTCCCATGCTTCTGCAAACATACTAACGACAAGGAAGCATACAAAGTCTACCAGAATGACTGTCCCAGGGTCGCCCGATAAGCCGGGGTGGCCATGAGCCCTAGTTTATGATGCGAAGGCACGAGCAGCTCTGCCGGTGCAGCTGGGCCGTGTTTGCTGATAGAAAGAGAAGAACAATCAAGAGGAGTATACCGGTCTGGAAGCAGACATCATGCATTGTCTCCTATACTCGTCTTGTATCTCCCCATACTGGCGTGCCGGCCATCAGAATGGACAACGTCCCCATCAGCGACTGGGAACGCGTTGTCAACACAAACCTGACAGGAACATTCTGAGTCTCGCAGCATTGCATCAAACACCTGGAGAATTCTCCCTCCCGGTCAGTGGTGATCACCAATATCGCGCACTGCGAGAGTTACGGAGCCGCAAAAGCCGGTCTGGTAGGTTTGACACACGCCATGGCAGTCTCACTGGGGCCTTGCATTTGAATCCACTGCCTCAGTCCGGGATGGATCGATGTACGCCATGAACGACCCCGGGCTACGTCGGAAGCACCAAAGGAGAGTACCAATAACGGCTGGGCGCCGAACTGGGGCCACATGCTGGGGGATGTTGACCATCAGCAATCCCGTTGGACGGGTGGGAAAGGGTGAGGATATCGCAGTGTGGATTGAGTTTCTGCGGTACGAGAGACTAGTTTGCGACTGGAGGAGTATGCTTTTTCCTTCCCCGTTCACTTTTGGTGGTTTGACTGACTGGTTGCGGTAGGAAGTTGTCGTGGATGTGGATGGAGGAGACTCCAAGCGACTCCATCATGCTTGAATGATTTAATAAACATTTCCTTCGGGGAGAATGATATGATGTGGAATCAAACAACCGATAGTTGAATAAATATTAATCTTAGTGTCATCTTTGCATCTCTGTAGACCCATCGGTGGCACCTAGGTGTACGTGTATATATATGCAGCGCAATACCGCAGCCTGAGGGATGAGTAAGAGTACATATGCTCAGGAGGGAGACTAAAGTCTTCGATAGCATAATACGAGCAGTCAGGAATACAAAGAACCCCAAATCCAGTAAATTTCAAACACTCATAATTGACATCTGGAGAATGAACGCTGTTTCCATGATGCATCATCCATCGTGCAGGAAAGCTGCTGTAACACAGATACCGGATTACAGCCATATATGACGCAGAATACAAGGCCAGTGGGTAATACCAATACACGATGACGCTCCACCATGACGATAGAGCTCTCCCGCTGTTCTTCCTGTTCCAACTTGACAAACCTCCACCACCCATGCCCCTCCCTCCTGTGGTCACCGTGCATAGGGAATAGCTTCTTTCTTCTACTGCACTTTAATACAACCACCATGGCGTCTTCGCGCCCCATCGTCCTTCGATTTGAGAGCCGAAACGGTCAGTTTCGCTTGACCGTCAGCCCGCAGGAGCTCTTCCCTTCTCTCCAGCAAAAGGTGCAGTCAATATTTCCGATATAAATCGGGATCACGGGGGAGATCTTGCCAGTGGATATTCCGCTGACCTCTCTGGCGTTATTAGATCTTGGACCATCTACCGAAAACCGTCGACCCGTCTTCCATCGTTCTATCCAACAGACCCATAGGTACTGGAGGGCAGGAGAGACAGTTACAGACGTTGGCAGGTGTTACGATCCAAAGTGTTGGTCTGAGGTGAGTAGTGTGAGTGGATATCGTCGGCACGGCCGATGGGCTTCCTCTCTGCTAGGCTGCTAATATCTTTGGTGAATCGTGACTAGTCATGGAGACAAGTTGTTCGTGGGCTACAACGAGCAAACTGCGGCTTTGAATGGCCATGCCCCCACCCCAGCTCAGGGATCATCGCGCCGTCTTAATGGGACTGCCGTTTCGGACACCATCGCAATCCGCCCGCCGTCCGTCTTACCGCAAGGAACGATCAAGAATCCCTGGGAAGTTGTTCGGCAGTCTCCCCTTGATGATCGATTAGACAGGAAAGATGGCAAGATACCACGCCCTCGAGATTCGAAGATGTGCACGCATGGTCCCAAAGGCATGTGTGATTACTGCATGCCCCTTGAACCGTACGACCCCAAATACCTGGAAGAAAAGAAGATCAAGCACCTGTCGTTCCATTCGTACATGCGGAAGATCAACGCAGCAACCAACAAGGCCGAACTCGGAAGCTCATATATGCCACCGCTCAGCGAGCCATACTACCGGGTAAAACCGAACTGTCCATCAGGACACTCTCCCTGGCCCGAAGGGATCTGCACCAAGTGCCAGCCCAGTGCGATCAGTCTACAGCCTCAGGAGTTTCGCATGGTCGACCATGTCGAGTTCGCGACACCTAGTCTCATCAACTCGTTGCTTGACTCTTGGCGGAAATCCGGTGCTCAGCGTCTTGGTTTTCTGTACGGCACATATGAGGAATACCCGGAGGTACCCCTTGGAATCAAGGCCGTGGTCCAGGCCATCTACGAACCGCCGCAAGTGGATGAGGTTGATGGCATAACACTTCGTGATTGGGAGAATGAGAAGGATGTTGATGAAGTTGCCCGTCTATGTGGCCTGGAGAAAGTCGGTGTGATCTTCACTGATCTGCTGGACGCCGGTCGTGGAGATGGATCGGTTATCTGCAAACGTCACATCGACTCTTATTTCCTTTCATCTTTGGAAATCGTCTTTGCATCGCGACTGCAAGGCAAACATCCAAAGCCGTCGAAGTGGAGCGACACCGGACGTTTCGGGTCCAATTTCGTGACCTGTGTTCTCAGTGGGGATGAGGAAGGGGCCATTACCGTCAGCGCCTACCAAGCCTCGCTGTCCGCAGTGGAAATGGTGAGGGCAGACATTGTTGAGCCCTCCGCAGAGCCATCGGTGATGCTCGTCCAGTCGGAAGATGATGACGACGCTGAGAACAAAGTGCGATACATCCCCGATGTTTTTTACCGCAAGATAAACGAATATGGTGTCAGTGTCCAGGAGAACGGGAAGCCCAGTTTCCCTGTCGAGTATCTTTTAGTCACCTTAACCCATGGTTTCCCAACAGAGTCTGCGCCGATTTTTGTTGACAGCACGTTCCCCATCGAGAACCGGGAGATGATCGGTGAGAGCCAGGAACTGCGTCATGTTTCTCGGAAGCTCGTTTCCCACGGGGATCCCGACAAAGCCATCCGTGGAGTGTCTGATTTCCATCTTCTATGCTTCTTGCATTCGTTATCCACCTTCAGCAAGGTAAGCGTGATTTACTCCGATTACATGCCATCCCTCTCCTCCCCATTGCCTTAGATATCTTCTGTTGACTTGGAACAGGACGAAGAGGCACTCCTTTGCCGCGTTGCAACGTCTCGTAAACCAGCCGATGGTCTGCAGTTGATGAACACACCTGGGTGGGCGACATTGGTTACTATACTTCAGGAGAGTGGTGAGCGCCCCCCCAAGCGCCCCTTCGAACAATATCGCACATTTATTCCTCCATCCCAGACGCAGCGTAATTTTCTATCTTCCTCATCATCAACACCTGAACCTCTGAACTTCGAGGGTGAACAACTTGCTAAGAGGTTTAAGGGAGCTAGCTTAGAGTGACGATCGAATACAACTGCATTTCCGAAACTACGTCTAGCTATCTTGCCTTACGGGCTGATTCTACCTATCGTCGTTTTTAATGCGTCCTGAACCACGAGCAGAATCGTTGTGTTCATTCATGCTGCATCTATATTCGAGATCGTCGCCATCTTGATGATCGGTTGTCCATTCCCGCCCACCATTTGCATCTTAGTACGGTTAATTATCTTATCTATCGTTGCTGGAACGAGCCCGATTCGCAAAATGGGGAGGAGGGCGCATAATGCGAATGATGAGTTGAAATATCACCTAGACGAGTGGTGTCTCAGAGTTTGTGCAACGACCAAGGAATGTATTTAGTTAGGCACTTCGACTGGAACTCCTCAGTGCTCGGTACAATGCCATCTTGATGAACCGGATGAGAACGGTTGTATGCGTCTCCTATGCATAGACAATAGACGTAGACCCCATTTTTAAGCACTAGATTAAATGATTATACAAAGCAAGTGGAAATCCAGACGAGGAGCGTCAAGCATAAACCAGCAAAATAAACAAAAAGATTATTCACCCCTACCAAGCAACTCACGCAGCCTCCTCTCCAAAACGCGCCTCCCATCAACAGACCCCCAAACCTCATGCGGCGCCTTCTCCACGACATCCCACGCAACAAGCCGATCAGTAACAGTCTTCAAATCCTCCTGCTTCTCCGCCCACTTCTTACTATTCCTTACCTCGATCCCAGAACTAACCACCACAAGCGGCGTATCGGGGATACCCACGCGACGAGATGTTTGGATCTCGCGTTTCGTCATGGACTCAGCGATAAGATTCTCCTGTAATTTCGCTTTGATGACCTTCCCACTCTGATAGGCGCTGCGGCCCATGACTCTGTCCTCGCGGGTGCGGCCACGGAACAGCGCACCGGCGACTCTGTCGATTCCGAGCGGGGACAGGATCCCCCTGAGCCAGAGGAAAAAGCCTCTTCCCGAGCCACCGATGTAGTCGTCTAGGAGGTCTTCGTGGAGGGTGTCGATGAGGAGAATACCATGGACCTGGGGGAGATTGTGACTGGCGAAGATGCGGCTGTAGATCCCGCCTGTGCCCGCGGAGACGAGGATCCAGGGCCCCTTTTCATTGGCCTGGGAAAGGGCTTCGGATAGGGCGTCTGCGGCCATTCCGGCGGAGAAAGGGGAGGGGGCATTATCTGACCAGCCGTATCCGGGACGGTCCCAGTAGCAGTATTTGTTGATCGAGCCGTCTCGGTATATCGAGTCTATGAAGGGTTGGAGGGTGTGTTCCACGGGACTGTGGTCGCCTTCTAGGAGGATTGTGGGAGTAGTAGTGTTTTTGTTAGTATTTCCCACGCAGGCAAGATGAACCTGGTACTTGTCTTCGCTGACATAGTATTTCCTTCCTGGGGGAGAAAGGGAGGCGTCTCGAGCGCGAAGAATGAGGGTTGCAGTGAGAAGAACGGTAGCCACGACCATGACGGCCACGATGACCGTCTCGGCCAGCACGGCAATCCATTCACATAGGGATCGCCTGGTCTCTTCTCTTCCAGTTAGACGTTGTTCTTCCTCCCTCTTCCCGTTTGCGACCGTCCGGTTCTGGATAATCGTATATAGCGCGATGACAGTTGCCCAGATGACAGTCGCGATTCCGGCCCAGCCTTCCTCGACCCTGATCCGAGGAACGGCAAGCAGGATACACGTATCCACGAGGAGGAGAATGGCCAACACAGCCCCCCAGATAGATAGTGGTTGCGATGGGATGGCGAAGAACAGCCGTCCCACAACGATGAGATAGGCAACCGTCAGTGCGGCATAGGAGAATGCAAGGAAGCCGGAACCGCGGGTGTACATCATGGGAGGACTGACGAAGGTGCTCACGAGGAGAACAATCCACCAGACGAAAGTGACGAGCAAGAAGAAGAGGGAGAGGCCGGAAAGGGCCCGGACAGTCCAGAGGTTATAGGGCGAGACCTGTCGGGGTTTCCATGGTTAGGGGAGATGTATAGACCTCGTATATCATTGCTAGTGCAATGCAAGACTTACAGCAGGGTCATCAGGGCTCAAATAATGGGGCTGTAGTAGCCGCGTACGCTCATCCGGCTGCTGTTCGTTTGATGGCCCGTCATGATCTTCTCGCGGCCGTTGCTGCTGCTGCTGTCCGTTAGAATCACCGCCGTCGCCTTGTTCCTGGCCATCATAGTTGAAATTTTTCTTCCAGGGCCAGACAGTCGCCATGTCTCTTCTATGCTATCTGCTTCGCATTCAGTGTGCTGTTGACTGCGTTATAGCTTCCGGAATGTCGAGACGTAACAAGAGGCTTCGCGAGAGGACCCTCAGCGTAGGCAGGACTGTCACACAAGACTTTCGAGCCAACTCATCGATTAAGACCGACTCATCCGAGCAGTTTGAATTGTATCTTGCCTCTGAGAAAGTCTCCCAGAAAGTCTCAAGGGATGGGAGAAGAAGGGTCTGACGTCATTGATTCATCGCTGCTGAGCGTCCCTGGTTCCTCTCGAGAAAGGATCTCATTGTTATTATTATTGCTTTCTTCATCTTCATCTTCATCTTCTCCTTCTCTCATTGTCTTCTGTCTGCGCCTCTTTTATTCGCCCATCGTGGATAGTGTCTCATTGCGAACATCCACCACGGAAGCTGCCAGGCCACTCGATTCACGGGGTACGCGTAGAGTTGGGGAAAAGGAACGCGTATTGACAAGAGCCATAGACAAAGAAGAGTTCAACTGGTGGTGATATCCAGCTGTCGTGGAGTGTCTTGACCGCGAAAAGAGCGAGGTGGAGGAGACTATCAATCATACGGTCGAGAATTATGACGATGGCAACGTCGACTCCATCGCAACTTGGCCAATTCGACTGTTTCAGAAGAGAACCCAACCCTGCCAGTAGTCTCCATCCAGACGTACAGGTAGATATTATATTTTATTTATCGAGAACCGGACCTTCTCCATGAGCGATCTTCAAAAAGCCTTTGTCAAGTCGCGCCTCGCCAAGCTGCCGCCCGAACTGCCTCTGATGGAGGACGACGAGTCTTCTTCCCCAGATCCCCACGGGGTGTCCGCCCATCATGACGATGATTCCTCATCGACCTCATCAGCGGGGACGGTGGTCCCATCCCCGAACAGGCATTTGTTTGCCAGGCCAGATCGCAGGTGAGTTCTTCGTCTGCTTGCTTCAACTCCCCATTCCAGAAGTTCCCGAAGCTCATCTCCCCTCTAGATCGTCCAACTCCGTATCCCTGGACTGGAGGGATTTCTTCTCCCAAGAATTATTCCTCGAAGAGGTCTACAATGAAACGAACATAGTCCACCATGTGTATCTCACTCCCCCCTCGGATTCCGGGCCGCTCTTCGTCATGCATCACGGCGCAGGCTCCTCGGGTCTCTCCTTTGCGACCTGCGCAAAGGAGATCCGCAAGATTCTGCCCAAGGCTGGCATGCTATCTCTCGACGCCCGAGATCATGGCAGCACGACGACCAAGAGCGAGCCAGACGGTGGGCCAGTTGAGCTCGATCTGAGCCTCGACACTCTCAGTCGAGATCTTGTCTTCGCAGTCAAAGCCGCCCAGTCGAAGATGAATTGGAAAACTCTTCCGGACATTGTGCTCGTGGGCCATAGCCTGGGAGGCGCAGTTATCACTGATGTCGCTAAGAAAGGCGAACTGAGCTCCAAATTATTGGCATATGCCGTGTTAGATGTTGTTGAAGGTATGATGAAAGCATTTATTCATATATTACCAAGCCATTGCTTATTGAACATGATTCTCCCCCAGGTTCCGCAATGGACGCCCTACAGAGCATGGAGCAGTACCTCTCCACCCGTCCAACCAGGTTCCCTTCTATATCCTCGGGAATCGAATGGCAGTACGTGAACAGCAACCCATCCCTTTTCAGAAATAAAAATAGAATATCTAATACAAGAACCAGCACCCGATCCCGCACAATCCGCAACAGAACCTCAGCCCGCATCTCAGTCCCCTCATTACTCCACGAAGAATCAAACCCCTCCGATCCAACAAGACCATGGGTCTGGAGAACAAACCTCGCCGCCACGAAACCATTCTGGGAAAACTGGTTCATCGGACTGAGTAGGAAATTCCTCGAAGCCCGCGGTGGCAAGCTGCTCATTCTGGCGGGGACGGATAGGTTGGATAAGGAGTTGATGATTGGGCAGATGCAGGGTGAGTTCTTTCCCTCCCTTCTTCCTTTTGTTCAACTCCATGGCACTGTATGTGCAAGTGATTGCTAACATCATTCAGGAAAATATCAGCTCCAAGTCTTCCCAGAAGCAGGCCACTTTATACAAGAAGATCTACCCACGAAAACAGCCCAGATCCTAGTGGATTTCTATAAACGGAATGACCGAAGTGCGCTCGTGCTCCCCCCCAAAGTCGCGGACATGCAGGCGTCTGCTGCTATGAAGAAGGGTCTGGGTACTGGTAGCAACGTGAAGCAATAAGCTGGGATTGGTTAGTACTGGTATCCCATGCATAGCTCGTAGGAATTGCTCTTCATACATGTTATGATAGTAGATACGAGATCTGATGAACTACATGAAATTCTATTAGATCAATGATATCAGTTAAAATGCTTTTTTTCTGCATGTTTTGGAAATGATTCCTGAATCACAACCCACCGCCAGTTCGACTCCATCCATTTGCCAAAACATCGCCAAAAAAAAAAAAAAAAAAGAAAAAGAAAAACCACAGCCTTGCATCAACCCGCATCATACGGTTGCACTAGAGAGATGTAACGGAATTTAAGACTGAAGAAAGAGGAGACGGATGTAAAGAACAGCAAGGTCAATTGTAACCGAGTAATACAGGGTATCAGGCGCCGTAATGCATACAACAGAATATACTCATCACCCTCATCAAGGAAGGTAAGCGCCTGCAGCAATGATCAGATTCATATTGGTAAATTTCACCTTGTATACGGGACTCTTCTTGGTCGGGAAGGCGCTGATCTGATCAGGAGTAACAACCACGTCTTTGCCCTTCTTCTTGCCCATACCGAGCCCAACAGAAGTAGAAGTCTGCGTGCCCGGAGCGGTAGGGTTTCCAGCATCAATCTTGGTCCCTGTTGAACCATCCGCTACGACTCGTCCTTGTGATGGGTCGTGCGTGGGACCAGCAACATCCCATACACGAACGGTTCCGTCAGCACCGCCGGATACCAAGACCGTCGATTCGACGCTCCAGCTCAACGACCAGATACCGCCTCTTCCGTGGCCGCGCATACGTTTCAGCAGTCTTCCGGGTGCCAGATCCCATAAAATAATTGATCCATGGTCATCCGCCGAGGCTAGAATCTTTCCATCTCTGCTGCATGCGAGAGCCGTGACATTTCCTGTATGCCCGGTGAACATGCGAACAGCATTGCCTGTTGTCACTGCCCACATGCGAACGGTACGGTCAGAGCTACCCGTGAAAACGTAGGCAGAGTTTGGATGGAAGCAGACGCAGTCTACATCTTGCTCATGTCCGACGAAAATACGTTGCTGGCGGATATGATCTGTGACCCAGAGACGAGCCGTTTTCTCATGACCACCTGAAACAAAATAATGGCCATATGGTCCCCATGTCACATCCCAGACCGGCTGGTCATGACCCTTGTAGACAACCATGCACTGCCATAAGTCTAGAGACCATAGTCTGATGGTCTTATCCTCGGAAGAGGAAAGTAGCCAGCGTGCATTTGTCGGCGCCACAGCGTCTTCTGAGCGCATACTCGAAGGAGCAAATGCTACGGCATAGACAGGGCCAGAATGCCCGATTAAACGGCGGGAATTCGAAGGCTGGCTGTCGTTCGCAGAGTCATACGCCGACTCAATTCGCTTTCCGTCCACACTCCAGACCCTAATATAAGACTCTTGCATTCCCGCTGCGACGAGCATGCTATCATCAGAGATATCCAGGCAATTGACACTGGGTGCTTGTTAGCGATTATCTGTAAACTGGAGTAACAAGTACTTACCCGTCATAGGTGTTGTGAAAAGTGAACATGCAAACGCTAACAGCTGGGCCAATGCCTCCGGTACGACCTTCGATTTTGAACCTGTCACGGTGCTCCTTAACCTTTTGCACTTCTATTGCAACATCTCGAGCGGTAGCGGGAGGATAAGGAATATCTGCTCGTGTAGGGGCCTCCTCCTCCTCTTCTTTCTTAATCATCTGCTCGAATTCCTGAACGAGATTGTTCCGGCCAGGTCCCGGAGGATTCTTTGAGTCTTCTGCCACAAGTTCCCCCCGGACATCAGCTTCCAGCGTCTGATCCAGAGGGAGCTTTCCAAGTCTGAGTCGGGGAAGAGTGCCAGCCATAGCAGGATTATCACCGGTATAGGCGGATCCAGGGTGGTGACCTGGGATGCCTTCGTCTTCTGCAGGAAAAGACTGGCCTGCGCCAGCTTGACCAAGCACAGCGGCAAAACTGAATCTGTCATCGGCAGAACGGTCCTTTGTGATAATAGTGCAGTAGCTGCTCAGGATGGCAGACATGACAGACCCTCCTTCCTTCTGCTTGCTTTCTAAGAATTGCATGAGATTCGAGAAGGCAGGATTGCTGAGAACTAAACGATACTTGTTGCTGCGATATAATTTTGCCGTATGATTGTCCTGGGCGTGTTCGGGGAGACTGATGTGTTCCAACGAGCGCACATCTTCCGTATGCTCTGGAAGAAAAAGGTTCTTGTACGTCTCAAAGAACATCTTGGCGTCTGGGGAATAAAAGGAGGCCACCATACTGAGGAACGAGTAAACGAACAGTGGCCACAGAACACGCCTAAGTTCCGGCTGTTGCATGTGAGCAAAAATAGACCAAATGACTACTATGGGTGGCCAATTCTACCTTGTACAGATCTAAGTTTTCCTCAACCCAGACCTTGAGTAATTCTAGGGCGTAAACTATATTAGTCTTTCAATTTTCTAAACAGAGACATGCAACAGAATAATTCCCACTTACCAAAGCCCATTTTGTATTTGGGGCGAGCATCTTCGCCAAGGGGTGGTAGAGGGCGGCCGTCAATTTCTTGATTGGCAGACTCCATGCGGAGCATAGCCTCCGTACGACTGTAACCCTTCTTTGCCAAGTAGTCGATGACCTATGAATGGTAGAAAGCGTCAGTGTACTGCGCGGTATTACAGGCTTCAAGAAGGTAAGGCAAAATAGAGTGTCAACGACACTCTAACCAGTGATGCTCAAAAACACGCGATGAGGAGAACTAAAAGGAAAAAGGATTTTAGATATAACACAACTGCGCAGATATTACACATTAAACAATGTGTAACCCAAGGCATATCGGCAATACATGAGAGTCCCGCCTTGGTCGAGCAATCCTTTATCCTCACTAAAGCAGGGGTTTTTCGGATTTGATTCAGCTCGACCAGCAATATATGAAAAAAAAAGGCAAATAAACCAGCCAGATGAAATGGCTTTCCCGTTTCTCAAGATAAATTATTGACAAACAGACGATGCTCTGCGCATAAGAGTGCGACCTTGGTCCACAAAACAAGTATTGCGGAAATGGTACCATGACCAGAGTGATGAATCATATCATGAGCAATAGAGTCATAAAATTCGATGCCACAGGGGGGGAACATGTCCTCTGAACAGAAGCTTTTGTTTGCTGGCAAGTAGGAATAGCAATAAAGCTGTATAGAAGGCGATTCCTATTCGCCACATTCACACTTGCAGCTAGCTTCCTGAAGACACTTTGCGTAAAAGCAAGAATCGTCATAAAATAATATTGAACAACAAAACGAAAACTTTCAAACACAAAACAACAGGGACGCGCATAGGGAGACCACCGGCCTCGTCCAAGAAAGATGGAAAAATCGACTTACTATTTGATTCAAGTTTTGCTGAGACATAGGGCCACTCTGAGGAGGGGGAGGGGGAGGTCCAGGAGTCGAAACTGGCGTACCAGCCATGGGCTGTTGGTGTGGCATTGGCACACCACCAGGCCCGATGCTTGCACTCCGCGGTGCAGGGCTCGGGGCCCCGCCTGGCGCAGACATGATTGTTTTCGTTCAATCGCAGTATATCCTTTTTACGCAATTGGAGCTGCAAGGAAAGCTGTACAAAACCCTCAAGTGACCGAAAGCGATGGGAGTGGGAGTTGAGTGAAGAAGTGAAGATGTCAATGAGAGATGTTCTCTTGTCCATCGCCGACTGATATTGGACTAGTCCTGTTCTGGAATAGCGTTGCTATAATGCTTAGTCATGAATAGTTATTCCATTTAGCACGTGACTACAGATATCCACTGTGAGCCTGTCCCTCACGGCCGGGTCTCAATGTTCGACATCACCGAGGCATTGGTCTAGCTTTTCCATGGCTGGCGCTGAAACTACTGTCCTAGACGTTTCAGAATGCCTGATAGCACAGATCCTGGCAAACAAGATCAGATATTCACCTCTGCAGACCGGATCCAGCAACTGAACGAGATTGACAAGGTAAGGAAGCTCAGAAAGTAATCTACAAAAACGCGCAATTGATCACCAGTTGTGTTCTATTCGAATTAGGATGTCGCAAAACTAATACATTCCGCTGGCCTGGCTATCCAAGCCTTGACGAACGCCAAATCCGACGATCCCTCGTCTCCAGCAGACGATTCTCTCGCATCTCACAAGGCCCGATTCCAGGGAGCTACGTCGCAGTACTTTGCGCTGCTCTCGTCCATTGACGTCAGACTCCGTCGCCAGGTCTACGCCCTTGAGGAATCTTCTATTCTCGTCTCAGAGTCTTCCGCGTCACGGGCAAGAGATGCTGGTAGTGCTGGTGGTCCTACGGCGGGGACTGCCAATCCGCTTGACATCAGCTGGTTGAATAGTAGGAAGGATACCGTGGGGAAGGACAAAGAGGCAGAACTCTGGGCTGCTGCGAGAGAGTTTGCGGAGAAAATTGGCAAATCGTCACCGTCGCCGAAACTCGAGACAAGTCATGAAATGGACGTCGATCAAGCGTAGGTGGGCTTGGTTCGCCGTGCCACCACGTACGTACCTGGACGCAGCACTTATTTTCTTGCGTTCTCTCTATGCAGCGTCATGCTCATCAGCTCGCCTATTTGCAGTCATTCTCCTTTGGATTGCCTACTATTGTTAAGGCTGTGATGACGTTGACGGTCACACGACAGAACCCAACTCCGGCGATTCCTTCGAGCCTGAAGATTATCCTATGCGCAATGATCTCTGGAAGACTAACGCCTTTGTCAATGGGAACACCTAGGCTTTGCCTTATCGACCGTATTATCGGATATCTTTAATCCGAGCAACGAGGAGTGAGCAATGAGCCAATACAAAAGACAAGGGTGACTTTCATTCGGAACGCAAGGTAAATTCTAGTCTTTACTAGCGCAATAAATCAGTCCTTGTCTACAGGAAATACTGGGCAGGAGATAGATAAGGCAGGGTCTAGTATCATCTGGTATTGACTGAGCTTAAAGACAACGAACATACAACTGCCTAGAGGCAATGGATAAAAGAAATGTTCATGGAACACGATAATGCAAGTTACAAGTCCAGCTGTCCCGTATAACTATTTATCCTCCCAGCTACCTTTGCATCGACATTATCATTTCCCGCTGGGTGGCTCTGTCTCTATTCGCCTCAGACAAGGTGCCAAGACCTGCAATGAATGCCATGTGGTTAGTGTCTAGTAGCAGATAATGAAGAGGGGAAGGGGATATACTTCGGAGCTCGCCCACTATATCTTTGGCTTTTCCAAAATAGACCTCCTCTGTAAACTGTTAGCCAATATCCACTGTGAACCGAACACAAGAGATAGCAAAGCAAGAGCATACGCAGCTGATTCCTCATCTTCAACTCCATATCCTCCACTAGCTTGCCAATGTTTGGAATATGGCTTGCATCAGACTCAACCGGCAAGTCCACCTCGACCTGTCGAGTCAGGTTGCCGCTCAAATCCATCTCCCCCAGATTACTATTCTCGGTAGCAAGATGCAACATGATGGTACTGGTCAATTTGTAATGGGACATGCGCGCGCGGTCAGTAGCCTCGAAAACGTGAATGCTATCCCATACACCGGAACTTTTGGCGCCGGGCGTCACGGCTGCAAATTCAAGGCTCAATCAGCAAGGTCGAAGACGGGAAGAAAACAGACGCAGGAAGATAGCAACATAAAGAAAAGAACTCACACTTCTTCATTAGAATAGCCCCCGCAAACCCATCATCCAAATCCCAAAAATACACACTCCCAACCCCGCCCTCATAATACAGCTCCCGATAAACATCAAAGGCCTCATTAGCCGCGACCTCCAGCTTCCTCACGCGTTCACTAGGGCCCGCTCCATCCTCAAGAGGCGGATCAAACTCATTACTCCAGGGAGATCGGTAACTGTCGCCATCCCGATTGTAGTCGCAGAGGAGGTAGTCGCGTTTGGTCTTGCGGCAGGTCCGGACCTCGAAGGGCTGGTCAACGGAGGTGAGCAGGTCCTCCGTGAGATCGGGGACTAGTGTCGATATAGCTTGAACATTACGTTTCGTGTCACGGGGGTTCAAGCGGCGGAGGAGGTCACTGGATGAACATGGGTAGAATAGTTAGCTGTTCCGTTGCTCTTCCATGCGGGGTGGTCATAAGCTAAGTGAGTCTTGATGTCGGGGGGTAGAAGGTATAAGACGAAGAAGAGGTGATATGGATCCTGTGAATATAATTGATAAACAACTTACAGCGCTCTGTCTAGTTGCTCGTCGGCCATTGTTGGTGCTGTTTGGTTGTAAGGAGGTTCTTGTATACTTGACTCCGTGATCTCTCCGTCTCCAGGCGGAGTGGGGGTGCGTGTCTGGAGGAGTTAAGGGGCGTGGCAGCAACAGCGTACATGGCACGTCTACACCAATAAATCGGATCATGCTCTAGCATAAAGTGTCATGGTTTCATTTCCAGGATTTCAAGTGGTCATTAAGTTTTTACAGAGCATGTGTCTAAGCATCGTGTCCAAAAGAATGTAAATATCCAGCAAATCCAACTCATGTCGTGGCTCATTCGTCGCTGTCATCAACTACCGCTCTGTTCCTCCTGCCCAACGACTTGTGCTCATGGGTGATCTCTTTTATAAGCGAGTTAACATCAGGGAGGTCATCATCCGTGCCAAAACCACCACAACTCAATTGAGACGCATGGGGCTGCTTCTGAGCCTCTTTGTTCCCCAACTGTGACAGTGCCAGCGAAGGTAGCGATTCTGCATCACTGTCATCGTTGCCCGGGACTATATCTGTCCGCTTAGACTTATGCAAAAAACTCGTCCCGGATTTGGCAGCCTGTCGTGATGAGGGGGCGCCCAAAGGAGCTTTCATACTATGAGTGCCCGAGGAGCGATTCGCCAGGAGACTTGATTCGCGAGCTAGAATCCGTTTGTAGTATTCCTCGCAATTCACGCTGGATTTCTCCATTCTTTGTAAAGTGTCGATCAAGCGACGGGTAACCGAGCCATGCCTGACCATCTTGGTAGGCCTTGCAATCCGTTGTAAGTGAGGGAAGGAGTCATTCCGCGGCAAGCTAATTGTCTGCGGAGCGGTGCCCCCAACCCTTCGGTAGTGGACTTCAAGCTCTTGTTGCTGAGCTGGCGTAAGTAGAACTTCTTCAAGAACCGGTATCTCGATGGGTGTAGGAGTTGGAGTACGGATGTGTTTCTTACTCGTTTTGTTTTTGCTCTTTGGCCCCATGCCATTGGCCCCGGTGAGCCGAGAGGCCTTGGTGAATCCGGTTTCGACATTGTCTGGCATATGAAATTTCTTCGGTGGCCTTTTCGGTGGGCGTGCTCTCTTTCTTGGCTCCGGTAAGCCTGGCTGCTGGGAGTTTTCTACTGGTATATCGACCATTCGTTTGTCGGCAATGGGCTTCACGTCACGGGGTAGGATACGCGGAGACCGATCCTCGTGGAATGTGAACCGAGAGCCGCTGGCAATTAATTGCTGCATCTTCTCGTAGTTATCCTTTGCTCTGAAGTATGAGTCCTCCTCCTTCCCCCTCATCAGGAGTAACACTATATTTCCCGCTCGCTTGCGTCCTGTTCGTCCCATCCGCTGTAACATCCGAATTGGCGAAGAAGACGAATCGTAGCACACAATGAGATCAACTTCGCCAATGTCTAAACCTTCCTCGCCGATTGACGTTGCGACGATGGTATTATAAACTCCCTTCTTGAAATTTTCCACAACACTGAGCTGGGTCTTCTGGTCCATCCCATCTGACCCCTTTGCACTGGTTTGGCCGACGAATACATGAGGCCGGATCATCGGTTCATATCTTTTCAAAACCCTCGTCACTTCTTCAGCACTGTCCCGAAAGTGTACAAAGATCATGATTCTCGTGTTCGACTGAGAAGGTTTGTCACTCTGGTCGAGCCCATCGCCTGCATCCATAAAATGGTTTAAAACGACTTGCTTGAGATGCTCCAACTTTGGGTGCCCGATGAACTCTGGGTTTTTGTTCCAGGGTTCAAGATGGTTCATTAACTTCTTGAAATTATCATCGTTGATGATCTCTCGCTGGTATTTGCCACTCCCTGAGTTGGATTTAAAATGTACAAGATGTCGATAAAAGGGGGTTATCCCGTGGTACTTAAGCAGGTCAATACCATGAGCCAAACTCGCAAGAAGAGTAAATATAGCATTTACTTTGCCTTTCAGACCGAAGCTGGCATTTCTACCAGCATCAGACGCCATCCACTGCTGCCGAGCCTTGGTAAGACCGTAAGGAGTGAGAGCCATCGGGTCTCTTCCCCAATAAGCATTAAGTGTTCGGAGTTGGTCGACAAGCGGTTGCAAGGCAGCCGAAAAAAGATCCATACACAGATTCATTTCGTCAGAGCTATCAAACGTCTCCACCTCAATGCGTCTATCATGGACGTACTCTCGGATATCAAGAGACTGCTCGGTACGAATCTCAACTTTCGATATATCCAATCCATCAATGACTTCTTGCACTGATTCCAGCATAGATCCCGGGGTCGCTGTAAGGGCGAGGACCCGAAAGCTTTTATTATACCTCCTAAGGAACTTGACGACTTCCACATACGCATAACCGCCAGTGGCTCGATGGGCTTCGTCTACCACAAGCAGGACGATACGTTTTGGGTCCGCTATTCCAGTCTTGAGGTCGTTGATAACTGTCTGGGGAGTCATGAAGAATACGCGCTTAGTCTGCCATTCCTCGGCCCGAATTCCTGGGGCCGTCTCTCCAGTGAGCAGTGTTGTCCATGAACGGGGTATACCCGCAATTTCAAAACACGCAGAGATTTGTTGGGCCACAAGAGGCTTTGTTGGCGCCACAAAAATTATTTGAGCATCCTTCGTCCAGCGAAACCAATTAAGCATGATCGTGGCGGCAATAAACGTCTTCCCAAGACCGGTCGGCAGTGCAACTAACAAGTTGTGAAAGAGACCCTTCTGCGTAATGTTGAATTGGTAGTCCCTAATCTTTCCCAAGTTCGTCGGGTAGACCCACGTCTTAATAGCTTCGCGATCTAGCTTATGATGTGTAGAGGGTTCATCCTGAGCAGGCGATTCCTCTGCCTCACTCCGTGCTGGGCTGTTTGAATTTGGCGTGACCATGTCAAATAGGGTTCTTTGACGAAGACGCCCAGATCTCGCTGTAGACGGAGTAGCATTATTGAAACTAATCTGAGCAGGACGAGAGGGCGGTGACAGTGATGGCGAAGAATCGAATGCGTCCTCTGGTATATCTCCAATGTCAAATGGGGTAGAAGCCCGGTCATTACTTTGCCCTCCAGCAGAGTCTTGGACCGATTGTGGTGCAAAGTCCCTAGATACGGTGTTTCCGAGGTTCCCCGCAGAACTTTCCTGCTGAAATGAATCCAACGACGCAGCTATAGCGGCTTTAAGCTCTTCGTCACCATCATACTCGTCATCGTCGTTTTCGTCGCGAGACTCTATCCGATCGGACATGGTGCTGGTAGATACTGGATCTGGCTTCTTCCATCGCGGGCCCCGTATTCTCTCCGGGCTCGAAGGAGGCTGGGTCAGCTGCGTGACAAAGATATTCTCTTGGACGCTGCGGCGCTTCGGTACGAAGACCTTGTATTTGGATCCCTGGTGTCCATTGTCTTGTCCTTGGAACGAGGCACGACGCGGCGATGGCAGGCCCACGGATGATAATGATTCCGAGCGTCCATCCTCATCGTTAGTGTAATCACCCTCTTCTTCTAGGCGCCGACGCTTTTCTGGTCGAGGAGAGTCCGCAGCAAGAAACTGGTCTTCGCTGTCAAAGCTAAGCGACTCTGTTTCGAAATCCGACATGTCGAGGACGACATCTACGCCGTTTGGAAAGTGCTTGTTCCTTCTGCCTGTCGCGATGTGCGCGATGCCCGCGGGGACGCGTCGGCGCATCGCGGCATCACGTGGCTAAACCCATTTCACGTGATAGGCGCACGCGCCGCCGCAGCCATAGAACGCCGTCGTAATAATAGCTCTCCCCTGATAACAATCATTGCTTTTATGCCTCGCAGCGTCTTCCCGGTCCATTGAACGGACGGGATCTAAAACATGGCGGTGACTTAAGGTTTCACGTCGCAAAGTCAGAAGATCTGCTCTTATGTTCAATCTCCATAGTTTCGACGATGCGACGTGGATGGGATGCCCTACGATATCCACCAATACAAACCATGCCGTACTCCGTACATCGCATGGATCCCGGCTTACGTCTCACTCTTCAAGGGTATTGATCCCAATATCTACAGCCTGAAAGCTTGGCTGGAATAGATCCGTCCGGGTTTGGAGATACGCCATGGTTGGACCATGGTTGGACAGCAACGGGGGCCGAGCCTGATCCCCTAAATATAACCCATTTAGCTCAGCGAGGCGAATAACTAAGTCAGTCAGGAGACAAGAAGATATCGAGATAGGCCGACGGCATACGGGTGACTCTGCAATGCATGCTACCGCAACAGACAGGTTGCGCTGGACCAACCATAGTCCCCTGCCGTATAACCGGCGCTGAGACATCGCAAATCACAATGCGTCGGCCATATTTAGTTTCCTTCAGCTTCTTTGTTTTCGTTTCGCTCCTTTTAGCGCTTCCCCAGGAAATAAAATCAGGAGGATTTCCCCCATCTTTTGTTTGTTTTATTAGCAGAAACCCGTGGGTATCGTTATAACATTAACAGTCGCTACAGTCGCTGCTACAACATCATCGTCATATCAACTAACAGCCACTCGCTTCTGATTGCCATTCATTCTCATCATTGTCAACTGTTCGAAATGAAGCTCAATATCATTGCTCTCTCTTCCCTGCTCGTCCTGGCAGCTGCCCAGGACACCACTGCAGTGGCCCCGACTACAACAGCCTCTCTCTCCCCAGAGGCCTCTTGCGCTGCCAAGTGTGAGTAGCTCTTCCATCTTCCCTGCCGGTGATAGATATAGACAAGAATATTAACGCTCATACAGGCGATAACACCAACCTGTGCTGTATCGCTGGCTGCTACCACGTCCCTTGCCCGAACCACAGCCAGGCCAACCAGAACAACGACTGCGTTGCCCGTTGTCCTCAGGGCAGCGGCACACCCGCCGATGCAACTGCCTATGCCCTGTGTGAGCAAGGCTGCATCTCTACCCACTACTTCCCGATCACAGGTACTGGCGCTGCCGCCGCTACCGACAGCTCTCCCTCTTCTTCCGATGCCACCGCAACCGCTAGCAACGCTGCTACCACTGACAGCTCGTCCACTGCAAGCGGTATGTACACTTTTTGTTTTTTAGCGGGACGGAAGAGAAAGAAAATTTGTTTTAGAAGCAAAGACCATGCTAACAAAGAACAATGACAGGCTCCCGTTCTGGCTCCAGCACCGGCTCTAGCACTGCCTCCGCTTCTACATCTACCCATACCGACAACGCAGCTAGCAACCTGCAGCTCGGGACTTCTGCTGTTGGCATCCTGGGGCTTGTCATGGCTGTCCTGGCTCTTTAAAGTGAAGCATACAGATACAACCATATCACCATATCATTCTTCCGATAATGTGAATAGCCCCCCTTAATCAGAGTGTTATCTAGTTTTGTCTTCGTTCTTCTGTCGCTATTACTTACTCCACGATTGAAACTGTTTTGCATGGAAATAAAAAATTTTTTTTTATTTTTATTTTTTAATTTTTCAGAAAATAAACAGGAAAGTCATCTGACTGGCTGAGACTCAGACTTCTCGGCTGCTTTCTTTTTCCTCCATGATTTCTATTGTCTTCTTTTATTTTCTAATTCCTCCTTTTGACCCCTCTTTTTCAATGTTGTTGTCATTATTACTGACTATACTCTTCTGCTTCCACGGCATACAAAGAAAGACCTACTTCCTAAATACAATAATGTCTACGCGCCCAAGTCTTGTCCTTCTCTTACTTCAACCAGCTGTTATTCCATCAATGATAATTGTATTATTGTACTTAATAATATAAGGGCCGCCTTTTCCCTGGTTAGGACTTCAGATTTTACGTAAACCGCCGAGAACATACATCTGTATCCGGACTGCCAAGTATACTACGGTGTTGGAATCATTAATGCCAATCCTCAATACTACTCGCATTGAGTCGGACATAATGAAGGGGAGACGTTGAAACAACGGCTGTTGCCATCGCCTGGGGTATTACTTGAGTATGTGCAGCGATGGATCTGCTGAATCCATGCATTACCACGTCGACAAACTACCTAAGAACACAGCAATATTGACAACAATATTGTATACAGCACTATATATAGGCCAAGTGGCCGGTATATTAATCGAGTCATTCTATTCCACAGGTGTGCAATGCTGATGCAGACTAGCTATTCCGTCTTTCGGTCCAGCCTCCCAAAGTCGTTCAGAACAAAAACACAGTAACCGGATACTTTGAAGAACCAGCCAAACAATGCGGTATTTGCCATCAGCTGGCGAAAAGGCATGACAGTCAAGGTTGCCTGAATGGATCCATTCTTGCTTCGGGTGACCAAAAATGTCCTTCTCATCGCCAATGAAGCGGAAGAGTGAAGCCGCCCAAAGCAAGCAATAATAACAGTAGTAACCCAATTATCGTGTGCCCTACGCCAAATCATAGGCATGATACTAAATCAATCACTCCACGGAGAAAAGAAAAAAAATCAGGCAAACCAACCTAAGCTCAATCCCAACGCCTTTACCCTTTATCGATTTGAATATCTAAATATCTCGGTGAGTCGTATCGTGTCTGAATGGTATGTTCGTGTGCTAGACCCTATCTCTGGCGAAATCTAGCACCTCGCAATCATCTTCAAAAAACCCATCGTCTACCTCCACTTTGGACGCTAAGGATGTCACTGAAGGACCACGCTTTTTCCGACGTGTAGTTATGACAACCTCTTCGACATTGTCGGTGCTATTGCCCAGGCTTATAAGATTCTCCATTGTCCCATGCCCAAGAGGATGGCCATTAGCGGTGTCATCATCTTCATCAGCGACATCACTATCGCTGAATGGTCGGACGTGGAGCCTAGACATTTGTATGTCGTCACCAAAAACCCATTGGCCAACAGAGAGATTCGCCTCGCTGCCAAGGGGCAAAACATGTAGATTGACTCTTTGGTCAGTATGGAACGGCTGATAGGGAGCGTTCGTTTCGATTTCAGCTTGGGAAAGGGGTTGGCATGTAAACTTTGCTGCAGTAGGCGGCTGTAGACTGGGAGATGGAAGGCTCAACGATGCTTGAACGGTCGTCTCCATATCGAATGTAGCAATGGGAATGGGGCTGCAGGGATTCTGTAAACTGGCAGGCAATTTGAACTCCAGTTCCTTACTGCCAATCACAGACGGTAATTGTCGATTTTTCCGGGTCGGAACGCCTCTTCCAATCGTATATAGTCTGAAGTAGCCGCTGTCAACCAAGCCCAGGAAAGATTGACCTTTGTGGGTGATCCAAATTACACGAGAGGGCGCAGGATCCCGAGAAAGCCCAGAAAGATGCAGGCGATTTCCACCAGCATGACGAAGCGTGTTGACTGTGCCAGTAGCTGCGCCCACTGACTTACTAAGTCCAGCGGCGACCACCTTGCCACTCCCAGCGGCTGATGGAATAACGAATCCACCGACGCTTGCAAATGCAGTGCTGCCTGAAGGAGCACGGCTTCTTACAGCAGCCAAAATCGGTTGCGTCTTGCCTCCAACAAGCTTTATAGCAGCAGAGAAAGGATTTGTAGAGGCCGCTCCTTCGGACGATCCATCAGTACTCACATCCCTACTTGGAGAGATGTGAGCTTGAACTCGAGCTCGACGGAACGGAGGCCACTGGAATGCACTTCGGGGTACATCGAAGACATGTACAGTTCCTTTGCGCGTAACTATAGCCAGCCGATCGGCTCCTGGGGCATTCCAAATCACATCCACAATGGTCGAAGCAGTCAATCGCGGATACCGGGCAACCTGTCGCACGTTGGCACTTGGAGTTGGACTCTCATCTGACATTAAGACCATTGCCCGGCAATGCCTGACCTGCATAAGATCCCATACATACTGCACATCGCCCTTCTTGCTCGCGGTCAGTAACATCAGGCCATTCGGTGAAAACGACAGAAAACTACATCCATTTGGTGCCTGAAATGTGGCAATAGGCTCAAGGGATGTATTCTTTCCCTCTCCGCTTTCATCGAGCCGCTTTAAATCAATTATCGATACTAGTTCAGGCTCGGCAGGTGACGTTGCTTGAGTATCCTGAGCATGCGTGGGAGGAAACGCGCTGTGGCCTTGCTGCTGAATGTCAAACAAGTGAGGGCGCCGTAAATTTCCAGGATGAGACTGCTCCTTGCCCCAGTAATTATTCCACACCTGGATGCCTTGATCGCCCATCCAGCGAGCTCCTCTGACAAGCTCCTGGGTAACCCCTCTTGCTACCTTGTCAAACAGGCTCTCTCCTTCACCACAGTCTAAAGAGCAGGTCATAGCAGGTCTCGCCGGAGGACTACGCGTCTCAATCCCTAGTGCCTTTCCATGGACCAAATGAGCAGGAACATTTCCCCGGATGGAAGGCCGGTAGGTCGACAATGGGGGAACTACCGCTAGCCATCTCCCCTTCAATGATACGATAGGACTATCACAAGGCGGTAGTCCGTGAGTTGAGTCGTTCTGAGAGCCATCCGCGTCGGTCGAGCTTGAGGAAGTGGAGTACCGGCGGGATTCACTTGACTGGGTGGTAGTCCAGGTTTTCCCCAGACACCTGTATGAACTTGAGGAGAGACTAACGCCGTAGATGAATACCTCTCCACTTACACCAGAAGCTAGTATAACGTAATTGCCGCTTGAATATAGCCTTAGACTACCCACTGGTGGCGACGCAAAGACACCGAAGCCGGGAGCAGTTTCAAAACAAGGAACATGTCTGCTTGTGAAGAGCGTTGTAATGTGATCTCCGCTTCTCAGAGAGTAAACCTCGACTCTGGTCTGGTAGTAACTTCCCTCGTCCCTGTTCTGGCGCCTCTCAACGGACGCTCTTCTCCCGGAAGGGACCGCAACATTTTCGTTGGCCTCTGAGCCGGTGGAAGATGTACTACCCTCGTCCTCTCCATGAGGCATAGGCCCATGGAGTATAACTGCCACATGAGGCCGGGACAGCACAAATGGGTCAGTTTCCGAGTTAAAGGTTAGGATTTTCGCGCCCACTACTCGACCATTCAAGCCAACAATCCTTCCTATGGGACGGGAATTCCGATTCTCTATGGAAAAAACGTCAAGAGCGCTATCAGTCCCGACAAGAAGGACATTCCCGCCCATCCTGGACCTGAATGATGGACTAGGAAGCGTATCACAGGAGCAGAAGGAGTATCCTCCATCCATCAGAGGCCGATTTTGACCAGGCAATAATGGAAGGTCGATATCTGGAGCACCATAAAAATGGGCCTGTGGTAGATGCGGCAGGGGAATCTGAGCATTGAACGGGCTACTAATCGAGTGACTCTTCTGTCTGTCAACCGACTGATGCCTTGACCTATTTGAGGCCAGATACCCATTCCCGTAGCTGAGGGGACGTGTTGACCTGGGAGGAGGGGACGCCGATGAAGGGTGGCTGAAGCCACCCTTCTCAGAATTCATCGGAAAACTGAATGGGGATTCGCCGGGAAGCTCCGCATCCATGAGATCATTTGGAGGACTCTTGCCAAACGGGATGGATTTGGCCCAAGCGCCGGTGCGATACGCGGTGTCATTGTCTTGCGTCTCCACCAGAGCCCCTAGTGCGTCGAGGACAGGTGACACGATGTTGTTATTCACAGGTGGTTGCGCAAGGGATGGATTCGGACATGACGATGGCTCTCCTTTGAAAGCCGGTGATGGCGGTGGTATCCTATACAGGTTACCGGGACATCAGTAAATCCCATGAGAAGTGGAGGTGATGGGGGCATATGCGCTTACAGCTCATCGGGTGGTGTCTTCGCTGCTGCCTTAGTCACTTTATCCTTTCCCCTCGACCCGTTTTTGGTCTTTTTCTTACCCCTTCCACCAGACTCATGCTCTTGAGCGGGTCGATATTGATCTTGAGAGAGTGGGTTATTATCACCAAGTGACTGGCTATGCTGGCGAAACGGTTCGTCAGAAGGTGCCGGGGGCATTCAAATAGCGTCCGGATGACCGCGGACAGACAAAGATGCCTCCAAGACGAGGCAATCTGGTGGGTGTGAGGAGAATGGCCGTTCCTAAGACCCCTTTGTCGAGGCTTAAGAACGGGGAAACTCGGCAGTTCCGCTGGGACGGTTAGGCAAGGCAGACGGTTTATCGTATACGACTCTTTTAAATCCACGCTCCTTTGACGAGTCAAATTGTCAGAAGATATCACCATGGATGCAGAGCAACATAGGATTTTATTCCATACTAGATTTTCTTAGATAGTTGGTGGCAGGATGGTGTCGAAAGGGCAGTGAGTCAGTTTGATAGGACTGGTTGATGACGATCCCAGGCGTATCTCGCAGTCGATTATGCTTCGAGATACGCGGGAGCAGCTGGAGATGCGAAGGACACGGTTTGGATGAAAGACTGATGAGCAGTATATTTGGGATCAGGACATACGGTGCTGGATAAGCAGATCGCAGTGGAGAGCAGATGAGAAAGAAGTGTTTAGGGGTCGATAGATACCACTAGCAGTAAATAGTCGGAGTACCTACAGGGAGGGGAAGCGCGGGGAGGGGAACATGCGTCAGGAGTAGCTGATGATTCGACCCGTGCCCGCTGCCGGGCGATTCTGACCACCTCATAAATCATATGTGTTGGTTTCTTGCAATGCGATGACCAGAGGATATCCTCGGTCATCTCAATTAATCCAGCCTCTTCTTTATGTTTACTACTATCCATTGTACCGACGTCCATCGTCATCCCACTCGCCCGCATGAGGGGTATCATGGCTGGTGCAAACACTGCAAACACATCACTGCCCCATGATCACTCCCACGTGATTTATTCCGCTCAGCCTTCTCTCTTTCTTCCTCTTCGCCCTCCCCAACTGCTCAGCGATCCATGATTCCTCCAGAACGGTACATGGCCTCATTGGTGAGCGCCTGGTGACTAGGATATGACGCAGGTGACTGGGTCAAGATCTGACCCTGCTCTGGAACTTCGTGGACGATCGGTGCCTCTCATTGTCACCCCTTACGCAGGACGAACTACATGGAACAAAGCCTATATTTCGTGTTCTGGCGGGTATCCTCTGACATACATATATAGCTGCCAAGCTGTGGCTTGGATGAGATGAGCCCTTTGACAAGGTTCCAAGTCAGATCCCTTCTTTTACCAGCTTTGAGCGGATGTGTGAAAGTTTCCCTTGATCCATTGAGAAACTGCTAGACATAGCGAATCTCTTCTCACCAAACCGACGTTTACGCCACCAATATGGAGTACCTGGAATCGCAATCCTCTTCCACACGCAGAAATCTGCACAACCTATGTTCCCTGACATTGAACTGTACCATCTGTTGCAGATGTCCCTTCGAAAGTGTCTTACATGCTGGTAAAGGCCGGACGTGTGCGTACTGATATTCTTCAGAACACATTTGGTGAAATAGGCTTCTCTTGCTTTATTATGTCTTGGGGCTCAGTATGGTCCTGAGGAATAACTGTCAAAACAAGTATCACGGCACAACAGATGCCAGAGGATACTCCGCTTATGCGTTCGAAAAAAGGCCCTCTTTATTGCTAAAGTTAACCTTTCTCTCGACTTCATTGAGTCTACTGGTAGGATACTATAAACTTGTAACGGAGAAAAGAATATTTCTATGCATGGTCTGATCTGAAAGAGATCAATGTGTTTCCGTGATTTGATTAAGCAGGTAGCTCTGCATTCAAGTTACTGCGTCAATGCCTACATATTTGACGCACTGACGCACTGAACCACCCAATCTTCATCCTTAAAAGTTATAGTAACCACTGTAGAGACGTCGAATGAAGTAGTTTACATTATCCCCTGTTATATACGCAGTAGGACACATCCAGACACAGCTTAGCCCCATTGCAATCCTTGCATTGAGACCGCGCTATATCCATTCAAGCCTTTTTCTTTCCGGCCGCCTTGGCTTTTGCAGCTTTCTTTCTGTTACTGTTGATCATGACAATCCCTATAAATGTTCCAACCACCGCGGAGCCCAACAGGGTGAGGATGACAGGGATGCGGATTGCCCATACGCGAGGAGGGAAGAGAGCGTGGAGAGGGTGGTCAGCATCGACAAATGGCTGTGGAAGTGTCAGTTATTGAATGGCTAGTTGATCCATGGATGTACGGGCATACCATTAAAAGAGTCCAAGCCGTGTAGTAAAGGAAGATAGCAGTCGCGGCCAAGAGCATGGCGGATCCCACTAGTTGGCCCAGCTATACACGATCAGTTCGCGAATAAAGCCGAGATACGGTCGCAGGTGTCATGCTTACCATGCTGGCTGTAGACAATTGACCTTTCAAGGCCCCGAGGTAAAAGGCACAGGATAAGTTGCGTTGAAACCAGGGTGTCCAATTTATTATTTCGATGCTTGTGCTCTCCTATTCCCGTGGCCACATCACGACACGTGACCGCAGAGCTTAGACTTTCTTCTTGTCGCCGCCTTGGACGAATTCCTGGGCAACAATCTCTTGGGGAATCACCATACTCCCTTTCCCACATCAACTCTGAGATTATCGGTGAGAGGCTTGAGGCCAGGTGGTTTCTTGGATGATGGCGGACCCTGTGATGCTCCAGTCGGCGGTTCGAGTGCCTACACCTCCGCCAGGCGCGTCGTACTCTCCGCAACCTTCAGGCTCTCGAAAACGCTCTCCCCCTTCTCGTTCGCCCTCACCCAACCGTCGTCGTTCGCCTCCAGCCGGTTCATCTGGCGATGGTCCTAATGCTCCTCGTATTGACTCAGACCGTGCTATAGAGAGGGAACGCCAGCTCGCAGAGCGTATCCGTCACCATGAGAAGCAAGAAGCTGCGCGGAAACCGCTAACGGAGGAAGAGAAACAAGCTGCAGCAAAAGCAGAGTATGAGAAGCTTTTGAATATGCGGTCTGGTGGTACCTATATCCCCCCTGCTCGACTGCGCGCATTGCAGGCGCAGATCACGGATAAGACCAGCAAGGAGTACCAGCGCATGGCGTGGGAGGCCCTGAAGAAGTCAATCAACGGTCTTATAAACAAAGTCAATGTTTCCAATATCAAATACATTGTGCCAGAGCTTTTTGGTGAGAACCTGGTTCGTGGACGTGGTCTGTTCTGCAGAAGCATCATGAAGGCTCAGGCGGCTAGTTTGCCTTTTACTCCGATCTACGCTGCAATGGCAGCAATCGTCAACACAAAGTTGCCACAAGTAGGTGAACTACTGCTGAGCCGGTTGATTATACAGTTCCGAAAGGCTTTTAAAAGGAACGACAAAGCGGTCTGCATATCCTCGACCACGTTCATTGCACACCTGTGCAACCAGCAGGTTGTGCACGAGATACTTGCTGCCCAGATTCTTTTGCTCTTGCTTCATAAACCGACAGATGACAGTGTGGAAATTGCTGTTGGACTCACGAGAGAGGTTGGGCAGCACCTGGAGGAGATGAATGGCCCTATCGCCTTGGCGGTGTTTGATCAGTTCAGGAGCATCTTACATGAGGCCGATATCGATAAGAGGGTGCAGTACATGGTCGAGGTCTTGTTTCAAGTACGAAAAGACAAATACAAGGACAACCCAGCTATTAAGGAAGAGCTTGATTTGGTAGAGGAAGAGGATCAGATCACTCATCGGATTGGTCTGGATGATGAGCTTGATCCTCAGGATGGCCTTAATATCTTCAAATATGATGCACAGTGGGAAGGGCATGAAGAAGCCTACAAGAAATTAAAGGCTGAGATCTTAGGGGAGGGCTCCGACGATGAGGACGAGGACGAGGATGAGACAGACGAGAGCTCAGATGAAGAATCAGATGAGGAGCAGAAGATGGATATTAAGGACCAAAGCAACACAGACCTGATTAACCTTCGCCGAACTATATATTTGACGATCATGTCAAGTATAGATTTCGAAGAATGTTGCCATAAACTGATGAAGATATCTCTCCCTCCCGGGCTGGAGCCGGAGCTTCCATCCATGATTATCGAGTGTTGCTCCCAGGAACGAACATACTCCAAATTCTACGGTTTGATCGGTGAGAGATTTGCGAAGATTAATCGCCTCTGGTGTGACCTCTTTGAAGCCTCCTTCGCCAAATACTATGAAACTATTCATCGCTACGAGACCAACCGTCTGCGGAATATCGCTCGCTTCTTTGGCCATATGCTTAGCACTGACGCTATTGGTTGGCATGTCTTGTCTGTCATTCATTTGAACGAAGAAGAGACTACGTCGAGCAGTCGAATTTTCATCAAAATTCTCTTCCAAGATCTAGGGGAGCATCTTGGTGTACGGCAGTTGCAGGAACAACTTAAGGATGAAATCCTTCGTCCCAGTTTTGAAGGGATATTCCCGATGGAAAATCCTCGCCACACACGTTTCTCGATTAATTATTTCACCAGCATTGGGTTTGGTGCTCTCACGGAGGAGATGCGAGAACATCTTAAGAACCTTCCCCGACCGGCAGCTCCCGCGCTGCCTGCTCCCACTGCAGACTCGGACTCAGAGTCTGTTGCATCCCATTCGACCTGCTCTACTTGCACGGGCTCTCGATCCCGATCCCGTTCATATTCATACTCTCGTTCCCCTTCGCGGAGCCGCAGCCGCGGTCGCTCTTACAGTCGCACCGCATCCATATCATCTCGTGGAAGGAGTTATTCGCGAAGCTATTCCTCCTCTCGATCACGATCCCCTGTTTCTCGAAGCCGTAAGCGTTCGATTTCGTACAGTCGTTCGAGGTCACCCATTGATCGAAACCGATCCATTTCGCGTACACCGCCCATACGAACTCGCGACCGATCTTACGATTCGAGGAGCCCTGTTCGCCGGGGTCCCTACAAGCGACGTCGTTCACCTTCTCGATCCGTTACACCACCGCGCAGAGAGAAAAACGGATATAGTCGGAGAGAGCGAAGCTATTCCAGGTCACTATCCCGCTCGCTCTCTCCATCCCCTAGGCGGGAACGTCAACGTACGTCACAAGGCAGACGCTATTCGTCAGCTTCAGTGTCACCTGCCCCTCGTAAGAGGCCCGTGAGAAGTGTCTCGAAGTCAGTCTCACCCAGGCCTCGGGCTTCGGGTCGCCGTGGCAGATACTCCCTGTCTTGCTCACCGAGTGTATCACGGCAGGGCTCTGGGCGCAGGCGGTATTCTGATTCTATTTCAAGATCCCCTCCGCCACCTCGTCGACGCAGGTCGCCATCGAGAACGCCACCTCGCGCACAGGGGAATCGGGTCCGTGCGGCTGACTACATCTAAGGATTCCTTAAAGAAGAATTCACGAGCTTTATTGTCTAGTGAGGGTTCGAATGGGGGGTAATTTGGGGGTGAGCGTCTTAAGGAAACGTTTGCCTGGATGGTTTGATGGATTGTCTTTTGTCTCCTTTCATTTGATCGCGTCTATGGGCATCTGCAGTGATATCATGTATTCATTCCGGTCATAGTATAGCATACAGAAATCTGGACTGCAGCACAAGCGTAAGTGGTTAACTATGACTGGACTCGTGTAAGGAATATCCCAGCTCAATGATCTAGATGAATATCCAGACAATATAAATCCGATATAAGAGTCCTCGGTCTTGACTTCAACAGGTAGGAATACGATCAATTGCTTCCTACATAATAGAATGTTACTCAGATCCTGTATCGATGAATCTGAATCTACTGCAAAAGAACTGTTTAGAGCTAGCAAAGAGGCTAGTTAACGGGCGATATGACGAGGACGTGGAGATTTGGGACCGACCGTTTTGACGGTTCATCTGGAGAGGTATTTTTGCTAACAGATCTATCGGTATATACTAATGGACTGAAAAGACTTCCATGACTGAGTACGGAGTAGTCTTCAGCGTACTCAGATCAATAGGAAAGAGACGAGAAGGACTAATGAGATTTTATATTTATGTAATACAGAGACAACGTGAATGAATGCTCTAAGCAACTACTTCGCTCTCTCTCCTTCACCACTCTCCCAAACACACCTCTCACACAGACATAACCCGCCCAAAGCCCCCCTAGCCCACTCTCTCCGCTGCTTCACATCCAACCCAATATCACAATAGTGATTCAGGATCTCCTCGTCCGCCCGAATACCAGTGGAGGACGTCTTCCTTCTCTTCTCCCTCTCCTCAGCAGAAAGACCAGCCCAAACAGCCTTCTCCGTCTCTCCCCTAGCCATAAATGTGATCTCCCCGCCCCATTCCCACCGCACGTTGGGATCACACGAGTGGTTCGCAAGACACCATAACGGGTGCACGGCGCAGACCTCCGGCCCGCCGTCCCAGGTGGATAACCGGCCTGACGCGGTGCCCCGGAACTTGGCGTACAGGGTGTTCAGGATCCAGGTATCGTAGCGGGGGAGGGAGACGAAGGGGTCCAGGGCCATTTCCTCGAGGAGACGCATTGGCTGGAGGATGTTAAGGTGGAAGGAGAAGGGGAGGGAGAAGGAGGGGTCGTTATCAACATTAGCATCAACGTCGTCATCGTAATTGTAATCGTAATCATGAAAATCACCCCAGATATACTTCACTTCTGGTAGTTCAAGTGGATGCACATCCTGCGTCGCGGACATGGCTAATGCCCGTCCCAGTAGTAATAGGTACAAGTAATCCGCCTTATCCTTGGGATCGGGAATGTCCTTCCCGATGGACTGAAGACCGTCCAATCCACAAATAGCGCCATGGTAGGTCTGCTGTGCCTGGTCGTGGCATTGTCGACTGCAGAAGATAGTGTCGTCGCAGTCTTCACAGGGTACCGGCGGCTCCACGGCTGAAAGGTCCGGTAAGGGGGCATTGCAGGCATCGCAGAGGTCGTCGTGTAAGCGGTTCGTAGCTGTCAAAAGAGATGATTCGCGTAATAGTATTTCGCCTGGTTTGATGTCCTCTTTGGCGAAGAGGCCGAGTTGAATGGATACATCGGAATCCGTCTGGTGGTCATGGAAATTGTCCTTGTCCTTCTCAGCCGTGGTAGCAGCATTGGCATGTAGAGCCGGCAGTGCAACAGCCCGCACCTCGCACTTGGGCGCAACATCCTTCAGTCTCTCGTTCAGCAGACGCAGCGTCTCTGGTGCTTTGCGATCCGGCTCATGCTCGTTCCACGGATAGAGAACCCTTCGAGCGAAGCCCTGGGCGGGAAGTATGCTGGGATTGATTTCAGCACCATCACCACCACTACTTTCGTCGCTGGTAGCAGGCTTGTTCATCCTTGCAAGATAAACCCGCTTGATCTCCCTCATCAGTTTCCTCAATTCCTCCTCCTCATCGTTGTAACCGTGAAGACCACGAACAAGCACAATCCCCCTCCCACAAAACTCATACGCATCCCTCAAACAGCCACATCTAACCAAACACCGCACAAGCAAGATATACACCTTGCCAATCGTATCATCGTGCTCATCTCGTGTAATAGGAACGGAGTCATTCTCCTCCTCCTGTTCCTCCCCACAATCAAAAGACTCATTCATACACCCATCGGGGGAAACAACCCTTCTAGCATGAAACTCGCATCCATCCGGGTCAACAACAGACTCGAACAACGACAGCGCCCGGTACGCATCTGCGGCAGCCAAATCCGGGAATCCTAGCCCCTCGTATAGAAGTCCCCGTTCAAGGTGAAGGAAGGGGTTGTGCGGATCTGAATATAGCTGGGTGGTTTTGGATTTGAGGGCCGTGGGGGATTGAGGCATTATTAGAAATATCGCCTCCCTTCAAGTGGGGGGAATTGAATGTGTAGAATATGTTATATCCTCCACGAGAATGATATGTCAAGAAGGATGTCCAACGGCGAATCCGCTAGGCCTATATAAATGCAGCCGCAGATCTATAAGAGGATGGGCCAATCCAATCCACCAGCGAATCAAGAATAAAAAGAACGCATTGAAAAACAACGAAAATGGCTACCTTCTTTAACTGGTAAAATTTCACCATTCCTTATCGATAAATCACGTGTTACGTCATACCACGTGAATTGTATTACTCAGCAGGATTTCCTCATGGATGCATCAAGGTGTATCAAGGTGTATCAAGGCGTATCAAGGGTTGCAAACTAAGCTTGTGATAATACAGAATGGTAAGAAAGGTAGTAGTGTCCTATGTTTCTGGTTAACCGATATAGCACCATTCAAAAAGCTCCAGCCGAGAAATAATACTAGCCATGCTAAACGTTGGATTGGAGAAATTCGTCGATCACATAACCTGCCGATTCCAGATATTGATTAGCCCTAGTTTCAACGAGAACAGAGCGAAGGATAACTTACATTGCAATTCTGGTCCAGGACAATCGTCGCATGTTCACCACCACCTCCCCCTCCAGCAAAGGCGGCGAGTCCCCCACCAAGAGCATGTCGTTCCCTCAGGGTCGCGGCGAGCCGTGCAAGCATGCTTGTCTGTCACTGAGTCAGAACATAAATAGTGAAAGAAAGGTTGTCAGAAACCATACCGTAATGCGAGCCTCACTCATTCCCCCCCGTCGGTCAATGTCATTCTGGCTAGTAATCTGGTAACTGTCCTGCATGCATTTTCGACTCCTCAGGCCAGTCACGCCCGAGATATGCCGGCCGAGCGTATTGGCTGGGTTGTCAGGATCGAGGATATTGATACCCCGGCGTGCATCGTCCTGGGCCCGTTGATCCGGAGAGAAGATCTTGATGGTATTATCTATTCCAGAAACAGCGATGGTCGGTTCATACGGGTGACCTGTAGAATTAGGCCGTGTAAGCATACCGTCAAGTGTACAAAAGATTCTCTGGACGAAATGGAAAGGGGTGCACATACCCTGCACAACATTGACAACGTCACTGTCGCCCTCGAGGATATTGACCAATTTCGACGTCTTCCGATCCCAGATAAAGAGATGGCCCGAATCACTGCCGCTCACCACATACCCATCATCCAGACCGAAGTAGTTAACATCCTTCACGGTCTTGATATTGCAGTGTCCTCGGTACACCCGCGTGTGCGAGGAGCAAGGAACGTCAAGATGAACATTCTCCCCCCGTGGTCGCCCAAAACCATACCTACCGATAAAAACGTCACCGTCATCTGCCAACTCCTCGTCAGAGGAAACGCCTGCAGAACTTCCATCATCGTCGTCGTTCCAATCCTCTTCAAAAAAGCTTTCATTACTGGCTTCGGACATTCCATCTTCCGACTCGGGGGCGACATTCCTTCTGCCGGTAGATCGACCGGGAGCTATCGAACCGATATCCTCAACAAACTCCTCTTCAGCATTGGGGTTAATATCATCCTGGGACCGTTCCAATCCGGACCCGGTATCCAAGTCGCCCTGCAGGGTCGTATGCAAGCCACCGAATGCCCGATTGGTAAACTCAAAATTGACGCCTTTACCAGCCTGTATCAAAATCCCCCTGCCTACCCTGAAAGCCCAAAAGCGTACTGCTGCGGACCGGTCGATAGCACGAATGTTAAGTGGACGAGTCGTTTCGCTCGGGTCTTGTATTCGGGTCGCTGCGGTATTCCCCAGATCTTCCAAGTCTAGTCTCATTGCATTCTTGAAAGCGGTGACTGCAGCCTTCTGTGTTTGGAACAGGACACGAGTTTGGTCGTGTTCGAACCTGGATGCATCAACGTTCACTACTGGAGACGTACCGGCTAGGTCTTGAAGATATGGAATCAGTACATCTTCGATGGCACTATCACCAGCTGTTTCCGGTATTGGAAACCGAGTAGGATTGCGGCGTTGGACAGGGTTACATCGGAATCCCTCCAGGAGAGCCTGACGACCCCCATCGAGCCAGAGCATAATGGCCTTCAGAAAGTCGTAGCCAAATTGGGACTGCCGGTCGACTGTATCGTTTTCTCCGGGAGCCGGAACTATTTGTTGAAAGCTTTCTATCCCACAGGTTTCCTCCCCAGGAGCAGCCTGAATCGAACCCCCCAGAAACCGTGAAAGGGCCCCTGCGGCCTGGACAAACCTCCAAGCCGAGCCTCGATTGCGCCGTAGCGTCTGCTGAACGGCCACGACATCTTCGGTGGGGTTCATTGGGTACCTCCACGATCTCATGACCTCTTCCATCCGATGCAGACATATAGACGATTCCGTTAATGCAGGCGTAAATCCATCAGCATAAGAGGCAGGGTCCATATCGATAGCCTCGGCTGCTTCACGCACAGATGCCTCGAGCGAGAAGAGAGACCTCCTGATTTTGACCAGACCCTTGGCGATCTGAAAACTAAGACGCTGTGCTTCGTTAAGCACAGAGTACCGGGCTGCTTCGATCTCTTCCTCCGGGGCACTGAGAATAGGATTTGGAAGGGGCGGAATTGAGATATCTCCAGACTCACCATTGCCGTAGCGGACTCTGAATGACAGTTCTCCGCCTTCGTCCTGTTCCTCCGACCGGCGGCGTGACTGGTGGCGATCACCACTGCTCTGCGACGACATTGAAGTCCCATTTTGACGCTTACGCTTTCTGCTCTTAGACGTCTTCCTTTTACGGGAGCCTAAACTTGTCCGCGCCGTTTTCTCACTTACTCCCTTGACATCTCCGGCATCGGGACTTCGAATAACGTCGAAGCTGTATATGTGATCTCCAGACCAGCTCACCACCATCTCATCCGGATTTGCATCGCTAATTTTGCATGCAGTAATATGGCCGGTGTCCCGTCTCCGCATTCGCTTCTTCCCGTTGGGTGCAAACCTCCGTACACACCTCGTAGCCTGTCCCATTTCCTCGTCATCATGATTGCTGGGACTCTGAGACGAACTACTCGGTTGACCCTTCTCAGCAAGACGGTCCCGACCCAGCATGCGTCTGTCGTGCAAGAAGCAGTGGAGGTGGGCACCGCCCAAAGCAATGTAATGCGGTTGGCTGGGAGAGCAGGAGATAGTATTAAGATCGATATTGTAGCGTTTGTATGAGATCAACGGAGGAGGCACATTCGAATCATCATGCTGCAACCCCGGGCGATAAGACATGAATCCCTGCCCACCTCGAGGCGGCGGGTATGCAGATGACGGCTGCCGCAAATCCCACTGGCGAACATCACCATCCTCGGAACACGTAAGAAAGAGATACGGGGAAGACTCGGTCACAATGCGCTTTACACTGTCCGCATGACACCGATAGGCCCTCGCATTCGTATTGCCCTCGCTGAGATATTGCACGCCGGGGAAGAAATTGCTGAAACGTCGAGTCCTCGCAGAGGCCATGTTAGCAGACGTAGCGGCAGCATTGTTATTGCTACTGGAGTATTCGATATCGAAGACCCGCACTTGCGAATCACCTGCACACGACACCAGGGTACGGTCATTAGAGTGCGGCATAAACTTGACGGAGAAGATATTCGCCCGATGGCCCGTCAGGATCGTGGTATTCAGAGCGAACGGAGCAGTCGACGATTCCGGCTGATAGGAATAAATATTCAAATGTTGGTCATCGGAACCAGAGGCCAAAAGACGCCCAGACCGAGACCAGCTGGACGATGTCAGCACATACCTTTGCAATCTTTGGGCAACTGGTCAAAGGAGAAATACCTGAGTGCATTAACACATCCAGTATGCCCGCCCAACTCATTAACAATATCCAAATCATCAATCCATTCCCTGGCCCCATAAACGCCACGAATACTAGAATATTCCGAAGCATCCCCGTATTCCCTCCGCCAAACGCGATCATACACCAAGCCCTTCTTCATGATTTCTTCCGCGGGTTACAACCAACCAAATCGTCTCGAGGGAGGAAGTTCATCGATTCAGACAGACCATCGGAGCATAACGAGCGGAGCGCGCAACTTGCTAAACCCTGCCAACAGTAAATGACGTCAGGAAAGGTCTGGTCAAAAAAATAACAGAAGGGGGGCAAGGATAAAAGCTCACCTTCTTTGAGGGACAGTTCTGCTTAAGCGTTATCGGTCCGCTATGGCAGGAAGGTGATCTGGCTGTTTTCGTAGTTTGGAGATGGGATGTGTAGGTAGAGCAAGGGCCATCTGTGCTTGATAGGAAAGCCGTTGGAAGGATCCCGGAGTGGGGAACAACCGAGGAGGTTCTTATACTCCGGCAGAAAGCAGACATCGTACATAAAGGCGCTTCAGGCTACTCTAAGACAAGACCCAATATTATTTGGTATGCGATGCTATGCTATGTATCGTACACTCATGAATATCTACTGCGAGGAGTAGCAACATAATGTCGCCTACGCTTCAGGCTACTTCAACACGGTCTTCCATATGCCCATTCTGTCTTCTGGTTCCAGTGGAGATGCCAATAACTGCTCAGTCTGCCGACTTACCCATTCCCTTTCCGACCGGACAATATCACGCTCGATCGTCTGCATAGTATTGAGCTCGTCCACCATCAAGGTAATCATCTCACCAAGACCCATGACGATTCGTACCAAGGCGGAGTCGTGATTCAGCCGACGTCCTTCGTCAGCATCTGCTGCCCCATGCCCCAGAATATCAAGATCCTGTAACTGTCTGGCACATAACTCAAGCCTTGTCGTCAGGGCATAGAGTTCCTTCTTCCAGGAGACCTCAAGAGGGTCAATAAAGACCGCCACTTCCTTGATTCCGGTCCCCTGATCGGACTGATCGCGACGTTGTCGGATCTGATAAGCCTCCTCAAACCAGTCCTCGAACACTCGAACAGCTTGTGCGTACTTCCCTGACTTATCCGATAAGTCAGACACATCCTGTACAATGCTGGAGAGGGTCTGGATCTGTTCCGAGAACCTCGGCCCACGATGGTTCTCGCGGCTATTCTCAAACCACAGGTTGAGAGCATGGATGTTGAGGCGTCGCTGGGTTTCTTTTTCCTCAGCCAAAGTAGAACGGTAGGCTTCAGCTACCAAGTCATACTTTTTCCGCAGGGAGGCCTCCGCGTTAGCTTGCCACTCGGCATTCTGTTGCAGATAGGATGAATGAAACAAGCTTAGTTGCAGGATTTCGGTTTGCAGCGCTGCAATCTCCGGCCATGAGGATGGTATCAACGAAGAATCATCCGATCCCAGGCGAGCGCTTCCATCAGATGTCATTGGAGTAGGCGGTTTGACTGTTTTCTTCGGAGAGAAGCTTTGCTGGAAAGTATTAAACCGCGGTCTTACCCGTTGTGTTATCGTCGTCGATGACGAAGCAGCAGTAGCATCGGTTTGTTTCGCAGGATGATTCGTAGTAGTCTGCGCTCTTACCGTCTGGCTATGATGTCGGGAATAAACCGCAGGGACCGTAGTACTACTCCCGAATCCAGAGCTGACAAGCGGCTGTCGTAGGGAACTCGACCGCGTAGAGCGCGGTGGAGGCATATCCGGCTTTCGAGGCGAGGGAGGAGCATTTCTGGGAGTTGCCGGCTGTGACTTTCGTGGTGATAACGGCGATGAATCCGATGTATTCCTAGACGTAGACACGGCGGTTTTCGAAGGTATCCTCAATTCCGGGGGACGAATCAAACTCTTCCGACGAGCGGCAAGCGGCAATTCTTTTGACTGCTGAGTAGTCTGAGTAGTATTTGCTCTCGACTGCTGCAGCAGTTGTTGGTGCTCCTGAGATCGTAGACGGGCAGCACTAGCCGGCCCATCTCCCAACAGCGAGCCACGTCGTTGCGGTAATTGAGATCTTGTCCGATTCAGCGCACTCCCAGCCTTAGTATTATCAACCGATGACGGGTTCCCTTGTGTCCTGGCTTGGCCGTGAGCAACGGCAGTTCGCGTAGACTCTTTCGCGGGTGCGACTGCTTCGGATACAACGGAGGTCGCCGTCGCGCTGGACCTGCTAGTCGACGGACGCGCGATACTGGATGTCTTTCAATGGGAAAAATGTCAGTATAGAAGCACGAAAAAGCGACATCTTCTTTCGGGGAACAGCAGGAGTAGTAGTGTTCTTGTTAGGACGCTGTTTATTGAATCCGAATCTCAAAATCGGGGTAAAGATTGCTGGGGACTGGCTGACCTGCCTGCGAGGCTCCCGCAGCGAAATCGAGCGCGTGGGCGCCTGCATATTGGAGTTTCAAACCATCTGTGAGGTTTGATTGAGCGGATGGATCGTGTGAATGAGTTGTGGTCGAGCATGCAAGGGGACGCAGCATGCTTGGCGGTGATGGCCCGCTCAGCCTGCGGCTGGAGTTTTCGCAATTGGATACGAGGGCCGTCCCTGGATGTGTCTCTACACCCGCACATACATCCAAGTTCTGTGACAGTGGAGTTCAGTGGAGTTCAGTGAGAATTTCGCGAGTCAGTCGACGGCGGAAAGCATCATATTATTGTCGGACCTACAACTATGGCCCCCTAAAGCTACCAAGTAAAAGCGCAAAGGTCCGGTGTACGTTTCCTAACAACCAGTCCCATCACTACAAAGGGAAAGAAAATGGCCACGCATGAGCTGACAGTGTCTCTCTCCATTCCAGGTTTGGCTAGAGAAAGCTCAACCGTTAATTGACATGTAGGGGGGATGTATGATACTGAACACAACATCTCTGGTAACAATGTCTTATACACCCCAGAGGCATTAATCGTGAACCAGTTCAATGCCGGAAACTAGCATCCCCCGCCTCGGCGATTCGAGTAATAGATGCATTTTCTTATTTTCTTCAATCTCTTCCTCCAAGCTCTGCACTGCGTGTTGAGAAAGGTAACCTCATCTCGACCTGTATTCATAGGCTTCCTTGCTTGGGGAACAGTATCCCCACCACGGCTGAAGCATCGGTGAACCAACTAACCTTGCTCCCTGCGCCTGCGTTGACAAGGCCGGACGGAAGCGACTTGCCCTCTTCCGTATCAAAGATTTTCTTCAGGATCACCTTCTTTCCTTCACCGGCGACAACGAAAGCAATGCTGATGGCGTGGGTGACAACGGGCAGAGTCAGAGTAATGCGCTTCGGCGGGGGTTTGGGCGAATTGGTCTCGGCAGCAACCCAGGCATCCTTCTCACGCAAGAGTTCGTGTCCCGGGAACAGACTGCAAGTGTGGCCGTCCGGTCCGCAACCCAACAAGATGAGATCGAAGATGGGTAACTTGACGGTTTCCTTGGCGGCAAAGTCGCGCGTCAGCTCTTCCTGGTAGGCGTCCGCGAGCTCCTGAGGGTCGTCCTGTTCCACGATCTTCTCGTCGATGGGATGCACGGTCGGGGCTCCCATCTCGGGGGGGATCTTGCTAAGCAGTTCATCTTTGAGCAGGCGGTAGTTGCTGTCCGGGTGGTTGTGAGGCACACAGCGCTCATCGGCGAAGAAGATGTGCCATTTCGAGAACCGAACGGTGTCTTCCTTCGAGCCGTTCCCGGGAAGAAGCAATGACTCGGCCAGAACCTTCGGAAGGGAGCCACCAGAGACAGCAACTCGGAAGACATCGTGGCGGTCGATGGAGCTGTTCTGATTCTGGATGAGGTAAGTCCTCAGCTGCCTGGCCAGATCATCGGTATCCGGGAAGCTGTAGAGACTAGGAGAGCCAGACATGGTATGCAGTATGGATCGAACCGAAGTTTCACGCGTCGGAGAGGGGGAGGAGGGATTCTTCGACGGGGTGTTGTTCGGCGGTGGTTTTTGAAGCTTCGATGGTGGGGTAGTCTGGCGGTGGTGACTACGCTGTACGAGCGGGGTTTGCTTAGGCGGGTGCTTTAAGAAAAGGACGGGCAGTCGCATACGCGCGACCCCGAAGGTTACCGTAGGGGTCGGTTAGTGCTTTTTCTATCTAATATCGATCAGACACATCTCCAGGGTCCGTTACTTGGGAGATCTTCAGGAGACAATAGGGAGTGCATGAAACAGGGCGGCGTCAGCACCGCCACCGCCTCACTGCGGCTATACCCTGTACGCTGGAAGTGTACACGGTAGCCTGGATGTGTACTCTGGGCATGACATTGCGGTGTAAGCTGGAGCTGAAGCTCGTGTCAGCGCAAAGCATCCACGAGGCCGGAACACCAGGGATTCTAATTCTGTCCTGTCGACGTTCTCGATGTTCCGGTCGAACCGCGTGACCGGGTCGACTAGCGCGTGCCTGAATCAGGCAACTCTGCAGGCCTAGACGGTTCATGGTTATTTATTATGGCCATTATTTACTCCCTTCTTCCCCCGGAGACGTAGGATCCGCAAGCATCCATGGCGGTCATGACTCGCCGGGTCATGCGGTTCGGCTACTGTTGACACTTGACAGGAAGTACAAGATGCTGAGGCTGGGCTGCGCTGGGCTGCGCTGGACAAAGCTGGGCTAAGCTGGGCTGAGCTGGGCATTGAACCCGTACGCTGTAGGGAGAGCCGCCAAGATGTTGGGATCAAAAGGCATCAGTAATCGATAATATTAATCACAATAATCAATATGAAATAAACTAACAATGAACTCAAACTCCGTCTTTCCCAAGGCGGCCGATGCCACAGCCGCCTGAAACAGGGCTATACTACCGACTGTCCCACTGCAGATTATGATTATCCTTCTGGTTTATTACCGAGAGACTACTGCTCGCGCCGTCGATCCTGATCCTATCAATGGGAAACACGCCCTGCCGCAGGCAAATCAGAGTGTGCATGCGAGCCCTTTTGCACGCCCGGAGCCCGGCCTTTAGGAGAGCCGTGCGCGCACCCAGCCGGATATAAATGATGCCCAGATATCTGACATCCTCAGAAAAATATTATTACACCTATATAACAAGCCTCCCGTCGCGTGGTCTTTACTGCTTCCCCGTCTAGATCACGGCCGAAATCCTGTCGATTACGGAGTATATTACTCATTGATTCTATCTTTGTCCGTTTTGGGGGCAGCCGTGCTGCTTGCTTGACGTTTGACTGCTGCCTTGCTCGACATATATAAGCAGGCCTCCCTGTTTCCCTCCAACATCTGTCTACCTATCTTGCCTCCCCCTTCGACTTCGATTCTAGTACAGTCTCTCATCGGAACAGAATGAGCTCCTCGTCCGTTCACGTCCAGCCCAAATACTCCAACTCCTCGCCCCAGGGCACCTCGCCTCAGTCTCCTCTCACCGAGTTGAACTTCGACATCGTTCGCTGCTCACGCTGCCAGCGATCTCTCAGTCTCGAGAACAGTTCGTCCCCCGGCGTCGTTCGCTTCGGCATGAACTCCTACTACTGCAGTCGTTGCGCCTCCATGGTTGGCTTCATCCGTTGAGAGCCGAAAGAAAAGAAAAAGAAGAAGAAGAAAAACCCACTGTCGTCGCATGGAAATCAAGGCAGATACAGTCCGCCTGTCTCCCTAGTCGATCCCCTCCTTCGTATCCTTCTCCGCAGAAGAACAAATCAACTACGGCTTGGTTGTCTCTTGCTCTCTTGGCTACGCGAACCAATGTTCCCGGAACGGGGTTCCCTGCGCATATCCTCCCCGTCTTCCGTCGAAGCTGGCCTCCGGCGCAATCAGACAACTCCATTCCACCATCCACAAACTTCGACCGGTGCTTGGTGTGGAAGGAACGCGAAACAGGAGAACCATGTTGGCGCTGGGGCTTTATCTCCGAATGAATCGGCATCGTCCTGCCTTTGAAGGACAGTTCCTCTCTCGGGGTTGAGCTGCGCTCGCTCTTGGATTTGATGCGGCAGAGTAGCTGCGTCTACACGGAGAAGGTTCTATTCTTGGTTCGCTGGGAACGGAGAACACTGCGAATATGGACTTACCCTTCTGTCATTCCCATGGTATAGATGTTTTGTCTATGTGTTTGCTAGCTTAGCAACCCGATATTCTGTCTCCATTCGTTTTCCAGTTGTATTTACTACAACGATACCCATCTTCATATGGACAATATGACATGATGTCTTCTACTCGTGCTTCTGCCCTGAGAAGGTTATCTCCGCTTCATTGCCAGTAGAGTACTTTGAATCGGCCCGGTTCAGTGCATGTCGATCATGTCGAAACAAACCTTAAACCTCCGTATCGCTTCTGCCTATCCCCATTCGTGCGGACAGGGTGAACAGCAGGTCATGAAGTCATAGGTCTTGTAGTTTGCGTATACACATACATACCCCTTGGTTAGTGGATTACTCGGATAGGTTCAACAGACGACATGCAACACAGACAACAGCGCTGACGCAGCATTCCCAGTAATCTGCGAATCAGGCGCCACAGCATCATTATCATGGATCTTTGCTTTCATAACCCCTCCCAATCTGCTGATGCCCGTCAACCCGAACGAACATCGAGCATGATAACCACGCAGTTACGACGTCCGGAGAGCGAACCACCGTATCCATTCCCCGTAAAGCCACATGCATGATGATATCATCCAGAATTGTCAATTCTCTAGCTGCAGAAGTAATCCATAACTATCATATCACCACGCATGATAAGCATCTGGGAATCCCCGGCTGAACAGGATTAATAATAGCCCATCGACATCAGCGTGCATCTACCTGTGATTGCCTCTGTACTCCGGAAGATATCCCGCGTCTAGGTGCACAGTATTACCATAGGTAACTATCGCCGGGATAACTGGCTCCAGTCTCCTGAGTTCTGGTCTGAGTCTGAGGCTAACCTCAACCCATCCAGCCACGGCAGTCGGTGACCGTAGCTCTCGCTTTGGTTGGCTATATTGCCAGGGTTCCTGTCGTTTATTGCCGTGTGCATAAACTGTATTTCTTGGATTCGGATGGACGAAACCTTCCATGTCGTATCAGCTGGCTAAGCTTTTGCAGTATTGCCGAACTGGGAATGAACTGCATATGAGCAAGGCTCCAACTTTCCCGCGCTCGCGTACGGAGCACCTATCTCCAACCAGGAAGACTGCTACTCTGTTTATCAGCGCTGACACAGACACATGCTGATGACTAACATAGGTTCAGCCACTGGGCCGCACGAGGAGTAACATCATCCATCGTATCCTGCTCGATATGCCGATCTAGTATCTATTATCTAGTACTACACGCACGATGTCGACAGCACAGGGTAGAGCGCCACTAACGTGTACCATCTACCATTCTACCAGACCTCGAAGAAACGCCCGGCTGGCGACTCGAATAGCTGAGACGAGAGGATCTCTTCTCGGAAATTACCCATATGCGCTGAAACCACCCATTTGTACCCGTTGCACTCGGCAAGCAAGACTCTGCGATAGTCCAGTCCAGACTCATGGAAGCCAAAGCGAAGTACCACTACCACTGCCACTGCCACTCGGGAATCAGGAGTCCATGGAGAGCACCCCAGACAAGCAGAGTAGCATGTCTGTTTCAGTAGCCGAAGTCAACCATTCCAGAACCCAGTCCACAGGGTCCTGAATAGGTGAAATGACGACGACAGATTAACTCCACACTCATTCCTTCATTCCTCCGGTATGTATGTATCTGCTGAGGATTACAGTTTTGCGCTCTCTCATTACCTAAGTGCATGGCATGCATCGGAATCGAGTGTCACGGAGAAACGCTGCTGAGGGGCCAGCTTGTTCCTGGTGGGCCTGAAGACACTATTAAATCACCTGTCACACAAAGTGCTGTGCTTGCGAAGCAGTCTCGACTCTCCAGTGGTGCCTCCGCGGTTTTCTGCTGGCCAGGACCAAGACCAGAGATGTTACAGCGCTACCGCCGGATGTGATAACGACCAGTCGATTCATGGCTGGATCAGATGCCAGATGTTTAATCTGGAGGGATATGGTTTCGTCTTATTCCGAGCGGCAATAAAACACACTCGGGTATCTGTTTCCTGGAGGTAAACTCAAAGTCGTAGACACATCCTCTCCGTCTGGGCGGAAGATTAAGCGTTGATCCCTCAATGCCGCGCCCGTCGGGCCCAAGAACGTTGTGCCATCCCCTCTGCAAAGCCGGAGCAGCTATGACGAACGAGGATATTTGTGTTTTGTAGAATCCTGTCCACCATTAAGGATGATAATCGGTCCGCGTCGAGACTCTGATCGGCTTTGAAAAAGTAACCGGGAAGAGTGTAGTCTCTTCCTACGGCTCCAGCTTCGGACTTCAATGAAAGCGACTACAACTGATGAAGTTGACTTCGGACGGGTCAGCTCCTCTGTAGTTGCTTTGGCCTGCTGCTTTGGGGCTCGAGGAAGGTCGGGGTTGGTTGAATTCACTGCGTACTCCGGATGATGACTTCAAAATGATGTTCTATTTGTCTATGGACAAACAGGATGATTCCATATTCGGTTCGATACTTAAATCCCTATGCTCAGTTAGCATTCTGATGGATGTGGCTTATGCAGAGGTTGTTTAGTATATCTAGGTTATCGGGCCGGACGTTGGATTTCACGACGACCACGACGACGACAACAACGACAACGACAACGACAACGACAACGGCATCAGACACTGCCAGAGAACCTTATCTATTGAATTCTGAATGAAGCAACCAGTGATCTATGTCCAAATTTAAACGGTATAACAGTCTGCTCTAACAAGAATAGACCCATCGGTCGGTATGTATGCGGTCTGACATGGCCTTCTGTGATACGTGCGGATGCTGATGATTAACGCCGAGCAATCCAAGTCAACTGCATTGGCACAGGCCAGATTACAACACGCTGGCTAGCTACAAGGAATAATAATGTCCGACTGACCGTGAAGGCCTGGTAGAAGACTGAAATGTGTTTCTCCTGGGAAGCCGACTAGTATTTATTGGGCCTTTTCGACTCCCGCTAGGCCGTCAGCCAAGCTGCTGTGCTGACGCCCATCGGATTCCTTCGTCACTGTCTGATCGATTTTCTGCCCTGTGAAATTGGAATCATCCAGAGCAAGGCCTATCACCCTCCCTGGAGAAGGCAGAAGACAGCCCGACAGCCCTCGCCGTCTGTGTCCGTGTCCCCTGACCGGGACTGGTCGGCTCTGTTCTCCTAACCTTCCGGATGATGTTCTAAATAGGCCCAACATCTCGAGTCCAGCAGAGGGATTCAGTTCCTCAATCACAGAATCCAGATACACCCATTGGGCTGTGTTGTGCGCAGTACAACACAACTGGCATCACAGGACAACAAATGGCCCATACCGCAACAAAAACACAATGCGAAAGATGAGGCATCCTTCATTCCATTCCATCCTCTCAAGGGCGAAAAGGACCACCCGGCCGATTGTGCCTAGCTAGCTAAGCTGCAGTGTCGCGACGCTATTCGCCATAGTTCGTCATGGGAGCATGCAATTCGTGGCTTTAACATTTCCCTCATCCTTTAGGCTTCACTTCGGGCCTCTTTCTTCCCCTTCTCTCTCTTGTAGAATTAAAACCCCCTCCCACTGTCTCCGATCTGGCTATGACTAAACAATCTGTCTTAAAAACCCGGCCATCTGAAACCCGGTGGCACGAGCTCAGACCCAATAGTTCGAACGTCGAAACGGATCCTGTGCCCGTCACGTTCGGCCCAAAAAAGATCTTACTCACAGCCAGAATAGGGTAAGCAAAAAAACGCAGCCCATCACTGTTTTTCCCCCCTCCCTACGGAGATATTGGAAAAGCCCTCTTCAAATGAACCGAGGCGCGTGTGTTGCGCATACATCCAATGCATGTATACTATTGCATCGACCCTGGTGCCTCCTGGGGGAGAATGTCTCGGCTGATGGGGGTCATTTCTGTTACTATTCCTGGCCTTTGAAAGCTGACTCCCTGTATAACTGTTTATTTCTGTGGCAGTTTATGAGGTGTGGATTACTTATTATTAAGTGATACTTTGGTTGACTGGACTCCGTTCTTTGAGGGACATTTATCCGGCCGCTGTCGTCCCCGTTGTCTCCATATTCTTTACTCCCAGCTATTTTTTCCCCTTTTTCCCGACACAGTCACCTTTCGAATCGCGAAGAAACTCTGGATTCTCGGGATTTCTATAAGATCGGCTAGTTGTACGTCGCCATGCCCTCGCTGACAGCCACGCGTCAAAGGGGTTCTACTGCAAGACCAAGAGCACCTAATGATGAATTCGTATTGTTTCTCCAGGGGGTAAGCTCTCTGTTGCTTTACGGTGAAGCTACAAATCTTACTGAGAATGCAGATTCCAGCTCATTGTCGATGGCAAGAATTGAAGGACCTCGTGCGTCAGACTGCGCTACATATCCGACAGGCCGTGGTATACGATGACCAGCAGGGATATCCTACCGGGCTGGGTCAGATCATCGTCAAGAATGAGGATGAGGCATGGCGCACATATCGTATGTGAAGGCCGTCATCGTGCAGGAGAGCGAGGGAGAGACAGACGGACTGCTGACGGTACCTCCAGATAGACTCTCCACCCACGGCTGGGACGGACAGAGTCTGGTCGTCACTCTAGCACGAACCAGCTCTCCCACTCAGCCTATTGCCGGGCCGACGAAGAGCCCTCCCTGTATGTTCAACCAGGGCCATTACGCGTCATCCTCGCCCAGGAGACTTGCCGGGAATCTATCCATGCCTGCCTATCCCCCATTATCTCCGGGGTACGTTGCTGTGTCGGTACAATGGACGAGGCCTTTCTATACTATATGCTTCTATTGATTGTATCTCGTTGTGCTAACTATGAATATTCTACCTTGTAGAACCCCGGCAATGCATGCATCCAGTCCAACATACCAGTCTAGGGAATTTGTATCCATGATTGGGCCCCCGGGCACCACACCTCGCCCATACGGGCATGTTCCCGGCATCTACACAGAACCACCAGTACACCAGGTGCACTCTATCCCAGCATCACCGGTGCCTCATCCCTCCGTCTTCGATCCCATGGCGTTTACCGTTTTCTCGTACCCTCCCTCTCTCATGCAGGCCCTGCATGAGGCACCCTTGAACAACATCCTGATCAACAGAGCAAACAGCGGGAACTACCACTACCACCCCAAGATCGAACACGGTCATGGATACGGCTATGGATACATCATTACAACGATGCCAATGCAGCCTCGAAATCAAATATACCATCCCCACGGTCAACAATTTCAAAACCACCATTTCTCCCAGCACCCCGTATCCCTCAAAGATGTCAACCCCAGCACAAATACAGGAGAACAAGGACCCCTCTTCCACAAACCCAGCTCACCAGAGACCTATATACAGCCTACCCCGAATACAGAAATAACCCGCACACCTCAACCCGAAACGACAGAGCAAACAGTCCCGGCTAACCCCCATCCAAACGGGAACTGCAACGCAGGCGGAGACGAAGACCTCGGTCCTCCGGGGGAGAAGAGAAACGGACCTGATTCAAATCCTACATTATATGCTAAGGAGCAAATAGCCCAACAGAACATCTCCGGTAATAATGGCAACGTGAGTAACCCTACTTCTCCCCCCATTCATACCCATGCCCTCCTCGCGAGGAAAACTTGATACTGAAGAGAAAGAAAGAAACAAAACAGCAACACAAAAAACGAGTATAAATACCAGTATGATCATGATAATAATAAACAATATGATAAGCAGGAGCCAAAGCCTAAACCAGAGATACCACAGTCCGGACCAAGAGGGGAAGAAGCAAAAGCAAAAGCAAAATCTACGTATCGGCATCCGCTCGTCGTAAATGGGTCCGGTATATCCAAGGCATGGGGATAATTTGCCTGCTTTCTAGCTTTCTACTCTAGCTTTTTAGCGTGCTCGTTTTGCTCTGAGGTCATTATCATTCCGTGGGAGATTTGTAATAACATTGCGATTTTTGGAAGCTATATTAGGGAGAACATGGAAGTGGTTCATTGATGATATTATTTTATTTTACTTGTTGCATGCTTACATACATACAGACCTGCCGTCATCGGCATGACTCGACCTCAATAAATAGGTAGAATACCCGACAAACGAAGTCACCAATTATCATCTATCATTAAGCTCGTTAAAATCAATAATCATACTTATCGTCTCATCTTGAATTTTGAACATTCCATTCCATTCAATTCCATCTCGTTCATGGTCATTTTCCCCATTCCCCTTCGTACCGTTTCGTTCGAATCGAATAATCTTGGTAGAAAATAAAGAAGATAACCGAAAGCAAACATTAAAAAAAGGAAGTAATTGGAGAAAAAGAAGACACCGGAAACGGTACTGCCTGATGGTTAATCGATTCATGATAACTGAAACAAGCTCATTTCGCATGCTTGACCAGCTCCACGTAGAGATCGTCGGGAATCTTGCGAACGATCAGCACGGTCAAGGCTATGATCTCCTTCGCGTCGAGCAGGGGGAAGGACCGGAGGATCTTATTGGGACTGTTGGTTTTCATGGTTAGTTATCTGTTGTTTTGGATTTGATTGATCTGAATATATCGAACCTACCTCGGGCTATTAAGGAGCGTATCCCGCATCCGGATAAGCTGGGCGACAATGCATAGGATATTCAAATGAGGCCCATACGCGAATAAAAAGTCCCACAAATGAAGTACTTGGGGAAGAGGCGGCGTGCAAGCGCAGAACGTCAGTACGGACGGAAACGCGTATAACTCGGCATGCATGCCCTTTGAGAAGAGGTATGAAGCCAATTTGGGCTCGATAATTTCAAGACAGCGATCAACCAGTCTGACGCCTCTGTGCACCCCGTCCATGGTGCTCCGGACATAGGCAGGGCATTCGTGCGTGACAAAATGGTGGAAGAGCGCAAATGCTTCGACTTCACTGCGGGCTGCGTAGAGGAAAGGTGCGCACATTACATTCATGCCTTGCACATATTCTGTGAGTTCGCTCTTATCCTGAGTGTTGCCTGTCGACACGACCGCAGTATCGAACTCATCCTCCTCGACTATCTTTGGTGGGGGGTTGATAGTGGTTTGCTTCGAACGTCGACGCGGCGATTTATCCACGCTCGGAAGTTGGGGGTTTATTGTATCGTGGATCTTCCACGCGACCGCATTCAGCAGCCGGATGAGACTTGCTTCAGTGACCCGGCGTTTGAAGAGATTGTCCGTAGCTAGAGTGCGGAACGTGTCATTGCAGATCTTTTGATATGCCGGGGAACGTCCGCGGTGAACTAGGGAGAGATATTCGTCTGTTGGGAGTGGAGGAATATCAAGAAGAGCGAGCCATAGGTAGATCCGATACGGAGACTGTAGTAGACAACGTCAGTTTGAGAAGAAAAGAAACCGACTAATCCTCTCGCAGTCAATTTAACCCGAAGAACAACATACCATGCCATCAGTGTCTGCATCAACCCTCGCAGACAGTACGAGATATCGCAACTCTTGCAGTCCTTCCAAGAGATTTCCATTTGGCGGTCCGTCTCTCAGGAGAGTTTCTAGGACAGACCTCCTCGCCCCAAAGCCAGACCTTCTCAACGATCTACTCTGTTTCTGGGCGGGGGCTCCATCACGTAGTCCAGTAGCGCTGCTAGATCTCGCCCGACGAAGCGAACCGATCTGTCCGGGCCTTGAGGACTCAAGTCCCGACCCTTGCGGAATTCGCGCCGTAGGCCGGTTGAAAGCCTGGGATCTCAAACCTGAAGAGCTCGACGAGAGCGTCTGGAGAGACTGGATTTTCCGAATCGTTCGCATAGTACGCGGGGAAGCGGGTGCTGCGAAGGCCGCGGAGCTGAGGTGCGACGGTGGCTGGGGTGGATTGGAGGCCATCGTCGGTATTAATCAATTGTGGGCGATTGCTTGAAGTGAGAATGGATGTGTTGAAGCGTCCTCCTCACCAGTTGGGGAAATCAGAAGAGAGGCCCGTCAGGCAAGACGGGCAAGGATGGCCATTGTTGTGCTTAGAAGACTTGCTTTTCCTCCACTGTTTGTGTCGGAGCGCCGGGCCCCTCGTGATTCCCTGGTGATGCCTGTCATCGCTGGACAACAGCCACCATGGCTCTCTTCCACGCAATTCCCGCAGCCATCACTGCTTGATTCTCTTGCATCATAGCTACTGCTGTCTAGTTTTACACAGAAGGGCTCTGTTTGTAATCATTGGCATTCATATTCATTCCTCTTGTTATAACACTCCGTTGCTAGGCAGAGACAAACAGGAAAAGATGAACCATCCAAAACGCCGTCCTGAACCCAAACCCTCCTGATGAAAAGGCACCACATATATGGACGTTCGATCTCTCCAAATCAGCCTTGGGCTGCATCAATTCCTTGCGGTCCGTTTGCAGCCCCGCTCGCCGCTCCGCCTACAACAGTCCCGACAAATTCTTGATACCTGAATACCTCACCCCGTTTTCCTCCTCCGCTGATTCCATTGTTTCTCAAATATTTCCCGCCAAACATTCTCCGTCCGGTAAAACCTGCCATCACCTCATTGACCTCCCGTTCAGTGAGCGGTTTGTCACCGGCTTCTGGCGATGTGTGAAGCAGAGCTTCCCGCAGTTCCTGCACGTCAATCTGACCGCTATCGTCGTCGTCGAATGCGGCCAAGGCGTTAAGCAGCTCCTGGGAAGACGAAAGAGATGAAATCAATGCGGACAGGGTATTGAGGAATGTGGGGAAGTTGATCTTCTGGTCGCTTCCAGGAAGAAAGAATCGCGAAATAGCAGATGCCGACGGGTCTTGGCCTAGTCAGGGTTGCATGGATTAGAGTTGATCTTTGGCAATTCGGTATCCTGCCTGATCTGTGTTACATACCCAGATTTGCAAGCACGTCAGCCACATCATCCCTATCCACAAACCCATCATTATCCCTGTCAAGAACTTGAAATGCTTCGCGAATTTCTCTCAGCTGTGCGGCGCTCAAATTCGTAGCAGCGTCACTCCGTTCAGGCGTCATACTGTTGGATTTGAGCCCCGCCATTCGGGATGGACTGCTGGGCGAACTGGCTCCTTTGGTAGGCAACGGGGGTAATTCCCCGGTAAATTTAGGCTGAGAAATCGGCTCATTTGTCTCTATAGAGGTTTCGTCTTCGTTGGCTGTGTACGACTGATTGAGCTTGCTTGGCGACTGAACCGGGGTGTATCTGCCTGGTGAGCTTCCTGGAGTCCCCTGTCGCATCCCTGCGGGCGGGGAATTTGGTGTCGAGGGCCGACGAAAAGGAGAGCTTCGGGCCCCCCCGAACGACAATGGCGATGGTTTGAATGGGGCATTTGAAGTCACCTGTGTATCGCCCTGTTAGCTGATGGTGACCGCCCAACGGAGAAAACATGGGGAAGCATGCCATGGTGCCGATGGAAACTAGAGAGACTGAAGAAACTAGTCTTGCGATTCAATGCAGACAGTACCTAGACTGAATTAGCGATGTCCTGGATGCTTCAATTCACAGCTAAGACTGCAGCTGGCGATGATGTAGATGCTGTAAACAAACGGATCAACACTTTTTCCGCGACGGCAGCACGTGCGGGGAGCATCCCGACAACACATGAGCTTCAGAGAGCCTCTGCATCGATTCGCGTCCATTGGCAAGCGTCAGGATGCAGTAGTAGTGATGATATAATGAATTTGGTTCTGTTTCTTTGCTGTCTTTCGCCAATTCTTATTTTGAGCTTCCAAAGCCGTGCCGTACGTGCTGTTCAATGCCTCCAGTGTGCCCCCCCTGAACCGCAATCTGCCCTACTCCTGGACAGTCCGCTGATTAAAGTACCAATTCTATAGTCAGGGTCCTAATATGAATTGAATGACTATGCGACTATTACTATAATCACCGATCAGCTTGCGGGAGCCTCCTCCATCGTGAAATTTCCCCCACCCAGCAATCATGGCTACGACATCGCTCCCATTCCGGCCCCCGACCACCGACCCCGATAATTCAGCTCCTCCCTCTACGGCGTCGTCGAATCTATCGAAGCCTAACGGGCTACAACGGCTTCCTTCTTCTGATTCTTTGACGAGACAATCGCCGAATACCTCCCAGTCATCGTTGCATCATACTCTGGGCAGCGGCACGGCCCGAAGTTCGAAACAGCGGCGTTACAAATCTCAGTATCCTCTGGATTCAGACGAGCATCATGTGGAATATATCCTTGTCGCCTCGTTCCATATCGATCGGGGCCCGATAATGGAACACCAATATCCCGCCCCCATCAGCGGCGACGAGAGCATGTTGGCGGAATTGATGCTTCCTGATCAGACGCATGTGAGAAGCCAGGATTGGACCATTTTCTTCTTGCACAAGGATACAACGCCGGAGGAAGAGGAGCAAGCCCTTGAAGAGAAGGAGTCGAGGAAGAAAGCTAGGGCGACAGCCCTTGATGAAGATGACGATCCCGACGGTAGTCTGAATGATGGCTCCGATACGGCTGTCAGCGAGGCTGAAAGCAGTGACGATGACGAAGGCAGCGAAGGGCCGCCGTTGATGTATGTGCTCAATCTTGTAAATACGAAGCAGGATCATACGGTCAAGCGGTATGTCTTTTATGACCTTGCCTTTCACATCCGGCTCTATTTGGTACTTCTGGAACTAACCCTGTCAATATAGAGGCGCTGTCGTCAAGGCCATGGCGATATGCACGCGCCATTCGTTTCTTCATATATATAAAGTAGGTCGACGCTCTTGACACTTTCCTAGAAGGCTTGTCCAACTGACGGCAAGAAATTCAGCCTTTGCTTCTTCTAGCGCTTGATGATTACTTTAAGAACCCATACCCGGAAACTCTGGCTTCGCTTTATAATGCCGTTAATGCCATGGACCTCTCATTGATGCCCAAATTCTCTCTCCTGGAACGCCAGTTACTGCAGGCCAGCGCTTCGAAGGATATGTTTATCGAAAAGTTCGAGCGAATGGTCGAGCAGCGGCTGGCCGACGAAGGAATTCCAAACGAAATACACTCTCCGCCATCACCAAAGAGGGTGGTTCACCATCGCTATGCACTTCCCAGAGATACTCACGAGTTCGAGTCCAAAGTTGTCTACCATGACATACCCATTCCTGTTAAAATACCAACCGTAATTTGGCCGGAGACAGTGGGAGATTTCTCTATTATCAAACTCATACAGACTTTCACGACTTCACCGACTTATCCATTTCCCATACATCCTCACCTCACGACGAGTGGACCTTTCACTCACCCTATTATCGTTCTCATCAACGCAATGCTTACCCAGAAGCGAGTGGTGTTCCTCGGACATAATCGACCGTCAGGGGAAGTAGCCGAAACAGTCCTCGCTGCTTGCGCTCTTGCGTCTGGGGGCATATTGCGTGGATTTACCAGGCATGCATTTCCCTATACTGACCTGACCAAGATCGATGACCTGCTCAACGTCCCTGGCTTTGTTGCGGGAGTGACAAACCCCGCGTTCGCCAACCACCCCGAGTGGTGGGACCTCCTGTGCGATGTCTCCACGGGTAGAATGAAGATTAGTAACCACATTGAGCCAGCACCGGTGACAGAAGGGCTTTTGTATTTCCAGCAACAGAGCTCGTTTTATCCGCCTCCCTCTTCCTCCCACTCACAGGGTGACCCGACCGGAGACACCCAGTTTATGCAAGACGTATGGCATAGCATCACGAATCGCCATGGCGAGAATACCGTCAGAGCGAAAATGCGCGCGTATATAACCAAATTTACCCGCGTTGCGGCTGCTTTTGAAGAAGCAGTATACGGGGCCTCGAATCTGCTGGTTGTCGAGCCAGGCGAAGAGGTCGCGCCCGATAGTCCTAGCGGAGTCCAAGCAGATCCCCTTGACCCCTCGAGTCTGAGCGGGCATGGCTATGTTTGGCCCGACGAACTGTCAAAACGACGTGAGCTTGCGGCTTCAGTGTCCAGGATCGAAGGTTGGCGTAGTACACGGTCTTATTTTGCATATATCCAAGACATTGTCTCCATGTATGGTCCTGCACGAACGATAAAATCGCTGGACCTACATCACCACCACGATCGTCTGCGGATGTTGAAATTACCCCAGACCGATGCAGGCGCCATTTATACCGCATTCTCGCATGCAGTCAAGGATTACAGCGGCATCTGTCAGCTTCTGATCGTTGCCCCAGAAAACCAGGCGGGTTTGTTCTATCTCAGCATGGGCCTGTTTCACCCGGATAAAACAGTACGGGAGGCGACGGCGGATCTTTTAGAGCGCATCGCGGTGCATCCTGCCGGCCGACACTTCTGGGCTCAATTAGGCCGCTTTGCAAAACTGGCATATTTCCGTATCAAACGGGAAAGAGGCGCTGCCCGGAGCCAGAGTACTGTTTCCAGCGACGAGTCAGGTTCGGCCGAACAACGCAGCCTTGTTGGCGTTGCGTTTGGAAATCACTAGGGCTTTCCTCGAAGTCAATCGAGTCTCGGTATGACGCATGCATATATCCTTGGGCTTCTAACAGTAAGCCTATTATTATCGAATAATGAAATGAATCTAATCATGATGGTTAATTGGAGAATATACTCTGGGCTTTTTTTGAACTATTGGATCTATTGTTCTTGGATTTCCTTTTGCCTTTGTTAAGAGTGAGCATGGGTCGGAATATTGGCTTACTGCTGCTATTTTACGAGATCACTGGATTGGCTTTGGCTTTATCTTACATCCACTGGATTATTGTGTGTCTTTCTGGCCTTCATGTGTGGATAAGCATCGACTGCTGTCTTTTTTGTCTTACTACTTACTTCCCTGTAGATCAAGGGAAACGGATCCATTTACTTTTTCATCGAGCCGCAGATCCTCTCCCCTTCGGTTGAGAAGTGAGCAGGCTCGTCAATCTTTCCATTTGCCCAAGACCTTCACGCACAAGCCACAGAGTTCAATAGATGCCGATGCATGAATGAAAGTCGATATTAAGTCGATATTAATAGACACCTTGGCGCCATCTTTTTTTCGTGGAACGCTCTCGACCGATCGGTCTGGGCTCACCCCTGAAAGTACTACGAGTGCTTCCGGGGATGGCCGTTCGTGCTGGTGATGCTATTGCCCATGGCTATTGTTTTCTACGATGCGACTATTGGAAGTACCGACCGTGTTGTCAAGTCAAGTCACTACGGAGTTGTCACACTCCGTGCTTCGACACCTTTTGCTATTGATCCGCAGATATTAACAAGCGGCAGGGTCCACTAGAAACAGACTCTGCAGCATCTCTTTCTGTGGTTGCACCATCCACATGCATGCATGTCTGCCCTTCTTTCTGGAATCCCGCCGGATCCCTGCTCTGGCTAGCACGACGACCATAGTCCTGCAGTAGCCGAAGCCTAATTAATATGCCCCTAGAGCCCCTCTGATAGTAGCTGCGTGGACAAAAAGCAGACGCAGATAAGACTGCCGCTCTCCCGCTGTTCCTAAATGGCCATGTCATCGCGGCAGAGTCGACCCGTTCCATAGCCATCCTCCGGTGCTCAACCTGCTGGCAGCAAGCAGGGAAGCAGAAAACCGCAGCGGACTATGATCCTCTGAGTCTAGTCACTGCTTGTCATGCACAGTCTCTTGCTCTCAGGCTGTTTCGATTAGCCTGCATAGCCCCTCTGGCGAGTCGCAAAGTCACTCTTTCATATCCTGCGGCGTACTACGATGAAGGCACCTCGAGTCTGTCCTTCTCCTGACTGCCCGTTCAGTCTTCATCTCACACGGACTTTATTTTGCACTGCCTCTTCTCCTTTCGCTCCTTTCTCTCGCCATGCTTCGTTACCCGGCGAGAAGTTGCGGCTGTATCGACATGCTTCCAGCGGTGCGTTTACGTACCAAGTTAGGGCTGCTCGAATGCTTTGCTTCGTCCTAATAATGTTTATTCTTATTTCGCATTCGCCCGCTTCTGCTTTGGGTCCTTCTGCCGGAGCACTTTCCCAGCGAGACATTCCAGACAGCATCACAGACGACACGATAGTCTACGATGATGGTGATGAAGTGGACGAGACAACCTGGCCATCGCTGGCTGCAAGATCGACAACCGCGTCGAACGACTCCTTTACGATGCCGGTTCCCTTCGATACTAACATGCAAAGCAATTCCTTGACCAGTAACTGCCATCAGTTCTTCTCCGACTTTCTCTCCAACCCCGATTTCACGAACTGCCACGCCATCTCCATGCTCCTGGAGAATTCCAATTCATTCTTCCACTCCCTGACCTCGGCAGCAAAGATCTCAGCGATACTGGATACGTCGTGCGCAGCGTCACTTAGTCGATGTTCGACGATCATGACCCACCTCGCTATAAAGCTGCTTAAAGACGACACGTGCGGTCCGGATTACCAGAATAACAACCCGCTCGTGATGACCGCGTACACGGACATGATTACGTACCAGCCGATCTACAATACGTCGTGCCTCATGAACCAGGAGACAGGGAACTACTGCTTCGTCGATGCAGCGATGAATGCGTCCAACCCGGACGATTACAGCGCCTACTTCCTCCCACTGGGAACATATTACACCAACACGAGCAGTCCAAGCTGCAACCAATGTCTCCAGGCCACGATGGCCGTCTTCGCGCAATGGGCTGAGGTGAAGCAGCAACCGCTCGTCAACACCTATCTTCCCTCGGCATATAGATTGAACCAGGTCTGCGGTGCTAATTTCGCCGATGCAAATGTCACCGTCGGCGTTAAGAATGCTGTGACGTCCATGTCTGGTCGGAGTCGACCGTGTTTGTCTCTTCTGAGGTATGCGCTGGTGCTGGCTTTGGCTGTTTGGGGATTGGAGATATTCTGATGGGATGAATTAATGGCTCTATACAACCTGTCTATATATTTATTGTTTATTCCATTTACACATTCCCGGTAGAATATATTACTCCTTTATAGACAAAGGTAGCATTAGGTTCAGGCCATGTGGCATCAGGGAAATTATCACTGTAGCAGACCCACTGCAAGCAATTATTCCTATACTCAACGGTCAGCTGAAATGGCAATAATAATACCTTGACTTGACAGATTTAGATATATACACGCTTAGGGTTCTGTAGAATCTACGCATACGTCCCATCCTCCGTCCATCCAGACAACAACAACAACAACAACAACCAAAATGGCACCCAATATCATCTCTAAACTGCTCAACAAAGACAAAGACAAACCCCCCCGCTACCCCATCTCCCGCATGGGCCCAAAAGCAGTAGGAATTGACAATTCCACCTGCGAAATCAACCCCAAACATACGAAATGGTGGAAACTCCCTATTCCACCGCCAGAACAGCGGGATCGCAAGCTAGGCGGTACGCGCCCGCGCAATCCACAATATCAGAGTCTATTTTTCGCGAAATTCCCGCGAGAGGTCAGGTACTTGATCTATAAGGAGGTGATGGGCGGTCGACGCGTGCATGTTGATTATGGGTTCAGGACACCCTCGATCCATCTCCAGCGGCGGGAAATGAAAAAGGATCCTCCGCGCTGGCTTTGGTGGCATTGCGTGTGTGAGATGAGTGATTGCTATTCCTTCGTGGATGACCGGTACTATGATCATTGTCCGGGAACGATTGACAAAGCGTTTTTCGTGCGACGAGAGGGTGAATCTCCCCCTCAAAGAAGGAAGATTGGGGATGTGGAGTGGTTGAGATGTTGTCAGATGGGGTCAGTTTATTCGTTTTTCTTTCTAACCATTCTATTCGGGATGCAAAGAGGCTCATGAAAACAGCTACGAAGAAGCCATCCCGGTCCTCTACGGTACAAATGTCTTCGTCACCGGGTTCGCGATGGATACAGTCTTCCGCATATCCAGACTTCTCCGGCCAGACTATACCTCTCTCATCACGGCCATGGATATCGCCTTTACGATGCAGCTTCCCACATCCTCTGCTGATTCGGAAACCGAACTGCTGCCCGGGGACTGGGCAACGGTATACCCGGCCTTCTTCGAGCTTTTCACGCATTCCTTCCGCAACGTGCGCCGGCTGCGCTTGACAATGTGTCTGGATCAATCTCACGTAGCAGCCAACGTGAGCACGAGAGCGCTTCTCGCGCCGCTGGAATCTCTCACAGCTAGTCGAGAATGGGACCAGCTGGATCTCTGCGTTCCGATCTCTTTGTATCTACGGTTGAAGGAGAGGGCGGAGGAGCAGGATAGGTGGGTGTTGAGGGTTAGTGAATGTGGTCGGGATTTCCCCGTGCCTTGTTTCTAATTTGATGGTAGTATATTGAGCGTTAATTATTTGAAGCAATAGCAATAAATCTACTAGCTAGTTGCTGTAGCTGCAGCTATCGGAGTCCCACTGGTGATGGTTGTGACCGGCCCAGCAGTCCCGATGCATACAAAGACAGAAGCCTGCAGGCCGGAGCAATCTGTGCTGACGGCGGGATTCCAATTGTAGAAGTCTCTGCACATTTGTCAGTAAAGCCTCACAGATGCACCTATAAACCAGAGAGAAAGTGGTAGAAGACTCACGTCAAAGCAACACCCGCCTGTGAAGCAAGATCAGGACATCCATCTCCACTCTGCACATCATAGAAACGACGACAATTGGAGGCCATTCCGCTCTGGATCTCGTCAGCTAAAACTCACTCTCACTCACGGATAGAGAAGGGGAGCAAAAAAAATCTCACCTGGGTTGGCGTGGGAGTCGCAGGGATCGGCGTGCCCGTAGTAATGGTCGTTGCGTATCCCGACACCCCAACGCAGACGAAGACGCTTGCCTGGAGACCGGAGCAATCCGACTTGACGGCGGGATTCCACGAGTAAAAGTCCGATAGCGAGACTCCGGCGTCCAGGGCGATGTCGTAGCAGTCGTTGTTGGGCTGGACGTAGTAGAAGCGGATGCAGCCGTTGACCATGTCCGTCTACAGGGGGTTAGCTTCCTGAAGGGGTAAGAGGGATCGAAATGGATGCTAGAATTCTATGCGTACCTGGACTGGGGACGGAGTCGCTCCGGTAGCCGCGGAGGTTGTCGTGGGAGTGGTTGAGACTGAAGCAGTGATTGTTCCCGTGGGAGAGGCAGAGAGAGAGGAGCTGGAGGTTGTGCTGGCATTGCTGGGAACACCCACGCAAATATAGGTATTGGGAGCCAAACCACTGCAATCCGGCTTAATCGAAGGGTTCCAGGCCACCAGGTCATCGAGGGAGATGCCGCTGGCCGTTGTAATCGTCGTGCAGTTATCATTCCTGGCCTTCATCAGCAGAGAGATCCACGGCACAGCCAAGGGGACTCGGAAGAGTAACATACTCTCCCACCAACCAGTAGTCTGCACAATCAGAGACAGTACCGGCCGGCGTCGAAGGCGTCGGCATAGGGCTCGCAGATGCGGTTCGAGTCGCCGGCGTCCCGGGAACAGCCACGCAGTAGTAGTCGCCAATGACAAGACCAGAGCAATCCGACTGCACGGCCGGGTTCCAGGCGATAAAGTCCGACTTGGCGAAAGTGCCGAATTCATCCACGATCAAATCGCAATCGTCTCCATCCGTAGCTTGATACCATGCCGTGCAGGACGAGACGATGCCCGTCTGCACGGGGGAGGGAAGAACGGTCGTCGTCGACGGCATGGGGTTTGACAGCTGAGGGCGAATTGGAGGAGAATTGCGCCTATGAGCCACTGAAATAGCCTGTTCATACTGTACATGTCTTCCAACATCTGTCAGCGCAAATCAGGCTCGTACTGGAGGGTTGAGAAACCAAAACCAACCAAAGCGGGAGTGCACCACCGAGCCGTGTCCAGAGGAAGCGAGAGTCTCTGGCTCGAAGTAAACAGTCGGATATTTTCCTACTCTGGCTCTTGAACAGTTCCATTAATGAATGGGGGCATGATGATCGGGTGTGTGGCATTAGGCTAGTCTTTTCATGCAGGATTCATTAGGGTTGCAACGGCGGAAATAGCTGAAGCGGCGGCTTCGTTAGTTCGTCTTCTAGGCTGTAGACCCAGCAGGAAGTGGACTCTGCAGGTAAACAAAGTATTCTGTGTTTGTATGAAGGGTCGGCCGGTTTTTATGAGGCTGAAGTTGTCCTCGCGAGCCCTTCCCCTACGGTTTGTCTCCATTCCTCCCCTCGTCTCCCTCCACCCCGATGGGAAGAGTCATCATGCGTTTCGGCTTTCTATTCACGCTTCTGGGCTGTGTGGCAGCGACAGTGTTGAAACAGAACTCGCTCGTTAGACGAGATCCCTCGACCGATCCTGAGGACTTCTCCTGGATCAAGAACTGGGCCGCTGTCGGGGACAGCTTCACTGCCGGCATTGGATCCGGCAATGTATACAGCTCGCGCAAGGAAGACAAGTCCTGCTCGCGGTATGACTATTCATACCCGGCTATCATGAACCAGTTTTTCGGTGGCTCCGTGAAGAGCTTCACCTATACAGCGTGCTCCGGGGCCACGTCGGTGGACGTGGCGAAGCAGATCGATGACCTGCCGACAGGCTTGGATCTGGCCGTGTTAACGGCGGGAGGAAACGATCTCTGTCTGGTGAGTGAGGCCTACCTGAGTGAAGTGCTTGAGAATCGGAATTGACGGCGGACACCAGACGAGCATCATAACCAAGTGCATCCTGCTGTCAGTCACGTCCGAGTCGACCTGCCAGAGCGCCATCAGTGCCGCACAGAACGCCATTGATAATATCCTGGAGGACAACGTGGCATCGCTTCTGACATCGCTGGACTCGAAGATGGGCCGAAATGGAATCATCGTGCTTGCATCGTATGCGCAGTACTTCAACAACGCAACCAGCGACTGCACCAATAACCAGGACTGGGTGTTCCCCGGACAAGCAGGGAGCACGAGTCTTCTCTTGACCACGGCCCATCGGACGAGCTTCAACACGCTGGTGAAGAATACCAACGCCAAGCTGCAAGCGGCCGTCTCCAAAGTCGCCAAATCCGCTAGCTCGACCATCGTCTTCGCTGACTGGGACGACTGGGGCGAGGCGACCAGCGGTCGTTTCTGTGAACCGGGCTCTTCGCCAAACCCGGACGATCCCAGCAATGCCAACGTGCTCTTCTTCAAGCTGCCCACGTACAAGACGTATATCCCGGGAACCTTGTACAAGAGAGACTTCGAGTGGGACCCGCTCCCTGTGATGGAGGTATCATCAAACATCTCCGTCGTCCGGGAGGAAGAGGAACAAGAGGCAGAGCGGCGAGGACTTGCGAGACTCCTGGAGTGGGCATCCATGCCCCTGGCAAAACGCGGTTCTCCCACCGGCCCAGCATGCTCCAAATCAGGCCTGTCCAGCCTGCTGCCGGACGGGATTGGCAAGATCTTCCACCCCAACACCGTGGGCCACGAAGCCGTCGCCTCGTACGTTACCTGGGCGATCGCCAATGCCCGGGCTGGCATCCTGGGCGTGGCCAGTCCCGCGTGCAGTATCGTCGATGAGTTGAAGTGTTTCCAGCAAACCGGATCCAAGGGCTACGCCAGCGCGTACTCGCTCTACTCCAGCACAGCCAAGTTCTGCCGCATGGCCGTGCCGGACATCAACAGCAAAGGCCCCGGGACGGCGTTCAGCTACAGCTTCAACGAGGGTACGCCCGACGAATCCGTCTTCACAGTCACCATGGACTCGGGCGCGAGTGAACTCGACGAAGGCGCATGCAATACGGCCATCAACCGCATCCTGGACGGCTGCGACGGCAACGACCCCAAGAACCCGATGAACTGGAAATTCGGCGGCAACTACATCAACGGCGGGTTCACGTACAACATCGCGATGGCCCGAGACAACCGGCCTTTCCCGCCGCCGACGGAGCCGTCAGCCAAGTGCCAGGGGAAGTACAAGGTCGTGCTGACGCGGTACAACATCCGGGGTGCCGGGTGGGCTACCTGGGACTCCGGACAGAAGACCCTGCGGCCGAACAGCACGCATTGCTTCGGGAAAGGGTTGACCGGCTGGTCGTTCAAGTACTTTGACGAGCCGGATGAAGATGGGTACGAATGGCTGGCCAAGTTCAACTCGCCGATTTGGACGGAGGCGCGATGCTACGCGAACAATAAAGTGCAGAAGGCTGCGGGAGGGCCTGCTCATGATGGATGTCATTGATCTGTAGTCATATAGCTGTCTTTGTCCTGGCGATCTACCGTATCTTCACAGTGATGAGAATCCCTTCATTAATAATCTAGACTAGATGCATTGCGCCATATCAACCTCCTTGCCGCGATCCATGCCCAATGGCCATTCCGGGCATCTGGTCACTCGAGCCCGTTTCTGCAGCTAATCAGGCGCTTCTCCGGTTGAAGATGAAGGAGGGGTGGTGCTGTCTTCGTATAAGACGGCGCTGTGCCCTGAGCTGCAGAGATAATAGACCACTATACCATGCTGCCACGGCAACATGGCTGGTAAACAGTACACCGTCGTCGCAGCTGTCGGCGTAGACACGGCTTCGGACAGCCCCTCGATGTCGCCAGTTGCTCAGAAGGCGAAGACGACGGCGAAGACGCCTTGGTGGGCGCATCTCTGGGTGCGAATAATTCATCTGCATCGGTAGAGCAGTGGCTGACAGAGGAAAACACCAGGGCCACGATCCCACTAGAAGTGCCGAGGAAGTCAGATTCATCCGGAAACTTGACGTCTTCCTGGTTTCCATACTGTGCTTGGGGTATTTCATCAAGAACCTGGATCAGGCAAATGTAAGTGTCCTGTCCTGCCCTCACCACGCCACGGTGCTTGGCTTCCTCCCCGGCTGATTCCCCGGGATAGATCTCCAATGCCTACGTGAGCGGCATGAAAGAAGACCTCCAGATGAGCGGAAACCAGCTCAACCTCATCGACACGGCCTGGACGGTCGGATATGTCCTCGGCCAGGTCCCATCGCAGGTTATTCTCACCCACCTGCGCCCGTCGGTCTGGGTTCCGGCTTGCGAGCTGATCTGGTCCATGTTGACCTTCTGTCTCGCAGCGGCGAAGACGTCGAACCATGTTATCACCGTCCGGTTCTTCATCGGTTTGTTTGAATCCGCCTTCTACCCTGCCGCGCATACCATCCTAGGCGCGTGGTACAAACCCTCTGAGCTGGGGAAGCGGGCGTGCGTCTTCCATGCCTCTGCTGCCGGGGCAGGGATGTTCTCTGGTTACTTGCAAGCAGGCGTGTACAAGGGTTTGAACGGGGCGCGTGGCTTGCCTGGATGGAAATGGCTTTTGGCATGTACCTGTCGGTTCTTCCGCGTGGCCTGTAGCTTCTGACAGGTGGTTTATAGATCATGGATGGCCTCGTCAGCACACCCATTGCTTTGGCTGGGCTGCTCCTGTTGCCAGGTGAGATCGCAGTGATGCAGACATGGAGCTGAACTGACTGTCCGTAGACAGTCCGGACAACTCGAGAGCATTCTATCTCACCAAAGAGGTATGCATATGGCTTCTGCCTCCACGGACGAGTTCTGACATCTTCCAGGACTGCGGGCTTGCAATACAGCGTATGACTTCCGTCGGCCGTGCCCAGCGAACGAGACTAGGCAAGTCTGCATTCCGGAGGATTTTTGGACGGTGGCATGTAGGTTTATCCATGGGATTGCTCTGTACTTCATAGTACTTCAGGCTAAGAATCAGGTCTACCTGCTCACCGTGCTGTATGTCATTTTCGTCAACCACAGCCCCAGCGCCAGTCTTAACCCATTAGCCCTCTGGATGAAATCCACTGGACGATACTCTGTCTACCAGATCGTGAGTCTCGCGGTCTCCTCTCTCGACGACCCTGACGCAATTCGATATGGTCATAGCCAACTGATGCCCTAAGAACATCTACCCAACCGGCCAGAAGGCCATCCCACTCATCTCAACAGCCATCCTCGCCATAATCTCCGATCGCTTCCGCACCAGACCCGCCATAATGTCCATAAGCACCGTCTTCGCCTTCCTCAGCAGCCTCCTCCTAGCCGTCTGGGCCATCCCAGACGCTCTGAAGTGGTTCGCATTCTACATCTCCCCAATCGCCATTCCGTACGGTCCTCTCGCCATGTCCTGGGCCAGCGAGATCTGCGCTGCGGATGCAGAAGAGCGCGCCATCACCATCGGTATCATGAATAGCGTCGCTTACGCTTTTAACGCGTGGTTGCCGCTTGTGGTCTTCCCGGCTACGCAGGCCCCGAGGTTTAAAAGGGGGTGGGTCTATTCGACGATCATGGCGTTTCCGGTCCAGGCTGGTATTACCTGGGTGGTATGGTACTTCTGGAGGAGAGAGGAGCGGCAGAAGGAGAAGGAACGAGGAGCGGCGGTCGTGGAAGAGTATAGGGATCCGTAGATCTGGCTGTTCCGGTCGTTAGAAGGGATGGCCATGGCTCTAACCGCACGATATCACACATCGTGTTGCCTGGATGCGAGCCGAGTCAACAACTTGATTGAGCAGAGCCATCAACGAGCAATCTAACCGCCCTATATACCTCCGTAGTTGCCTAATCGGGCAGTCCTTACTGCCTCAATATCGAGCTTTATCGGGCCGAGTAGCTACGGTCTGCCGTAGGAGGAAACTGCTGACGAATACGGCCTTGGCGCCGTATAGGTCAACATATCATCGTTTTGTTTCTCTAATAGCAGTCGTGCAGTTGTGGTCTTTATCTATCATTGCGCTCTGCACTGAATGCCATTGCAAATGGATATGGATGAGATGGGGGAGGGATGGGAGACCAGGATCAACGAGTGGATGGCCACAATCTCAAAAGAAATGTCTCCTTCGCTTTGCCTAGCAGCATGCAACTTGTTCAGCTCCGAGCAAAAAGTGGACTATCACAGATCTCCCCAAAATCCCTGGCCCAATACAACTGACTGGGATCAGCCGAAGACCACTCCTCTTCATCCCACTCGCTAACATGCTTAACGACAATCCCCGATTTGTCCAGTATCTCTTTCAACTCCTTCTGTTCGAAGGTCATCTCCTCGTCCCGGACAATAATCCCCACAATCCTCTTCTCCAAGAGACACCGTAAGTCCGTCACACTGTCGCCCACATAGATAGTCCGCGGATACGCATCCAGCGTCTCCTTCACAAGACGCATCTTATCCTCGGCCGTCCAGATCCCCCCATCGGGATGCCGGAAGGGCCTCGTAATTCCCCCCGACCCGTCCTCCATGATATCGTTCGCAGCGATCTTGAAATCCGAATCCGGGCTCCCAGCCAAGAGGGCAGCAGGAAACGCCGCATCGATCGCAGCGCGGATAAACACCCGACTCCAATTCACACTAATCACCTCCGTCCATCCACCAGTCGCCCGGACATCCTGAACTAACCGATCCCATCCGGACCGGAACGTGATCTTGCCTTCCCGGACAGCCTTGCTAGCACCCCGAGAGAGATCGGCCGGCGTCACGTCCTTGAAGACGCCCGCGGCCTCGATCCGTTCGATGCTTGCTCTTTCCACGGGCCGGAGACTATCCAGGTACGCCAGTTCTTCGTGGATGCCGTCATTCCGGTTCTTCGTCGTTCGTAACTTGGTGTTCGTGTAGGTGTCTCTGTGATGCTGCAGGTCTCGCATGTAGGCCGAGGTTATCTCTGACCATGGCCTTGCGGTCGGGTTGCGATGATATCCGACCCGGGCCAGGATGCTCAGTGTGGAGGATTGGGCGATTGTGCCGTCGAAGTCGCAGATTAGATGGACGCGCAGCGGCTGTGATGTGCTTGCTGCCATTTTTAGAATCCGGGAAGCCAGATTGGTGGTGTTTTCAATTAGACACTAGGCTGTGGTCCTCTTGTGCTCTCTGTTGGAAATGGGACGAGGCCGACCCGGTGGAGGCATTTATTTTTATTTCCTCTTTCGGCCACTTGTATTCCGCATCTTGACGTTGCACAACCGAGTCGCCAAGCAACTATTCAATGTAGTGTTCGTGTTTCTCCGTACATTTTAGCGAGTTGGGAGTATTTCCCGGACAGGCTAGGCTGCTCTGCAGCGTCCACTGGGCTCATACATAAATAATAGACAGACAGCCGACGTTTCCAAGCCATCCTGATATCAGTCCGTGAGCTGGATTCTTGGTTTCAATTCAGTCACATGTCACTCTCCTCCATAGTGGTCGCAATGGCGACCGACACGCAGAACGGCGCGCGCCAAACAAAGGACGAAAAGCAACTGGAGCAAGCCAGGAAACTGAAGAAGATCCCCTGGTGCGAGCAATACGAGCGCATGATCTCTGGCATGCTGTAGGACTAGTACTCCTTGGATTATTCGTATCCACCTGCTAACTCTACTCCAAGATATGACTCTCTCGTCCCCGAGCTCGCAAAAGCCCGCTTCCAATCCCGCGCCTGGTGCCACCGCTACAACACCTACTTCCCCTCCCCAGACGACCCCGCCGTCAACGACTTCGACTCCCTCCAGAAGCTCCGCGCAACCTGGCTCCGCTCGTTCATGGGCTCAGTCAAAGACGACGAAGTCTTCATTGAACCGCCCTTCTTCGCCGACTACGGCTGCAACATCATGCTGGGCGAGCGGTTCTACGCCAACTTCAACCTAACCATCATCGACGATGCGCTCGTCACCATCGGGGATCGGGTGATGTTTGGCCCGAATGTCTCGATTCTGGCCGCGACGCATGAGACCGGCATCCAGAGTCGACGGGATAATATTGAGTATGCTAAACCGATTACGATCGGGGATGATTGTTGGCTTGGGGCGAATGTGGTCGTTCTTCCTGGCGTGGAGATCGGGAGGGGATGTACCATTGGGGCTGGGTCTGTTGTTACGAGGAGTATCCCGGAGTTTAGTGTTGCTGTGGGGAGTCCGGCGAGGGTTATCAAGAAGGTGACGCCTCTGGAGTAGCATTCCTTCCAGTCCAGTGGTGAAATTAGTATCTTACTTCAAGTATATCTATACTGTACACTCTGGATGGTCACCGGGTCAAAATAGCACTGGCGCGAATGTCCGCCGAACTGGCACCGACCAGGATCGTCGTCGTCCCGTTCGGCAACAACCATTGCTGCGACGTCACGTCCCAACGGCTCAGGTCACGCCGGCTAAGGTCAATGGCAAACTCCTGCGTTGACCCGTGCGGGATTTCAATCTTCCTGAACCCTCGCAGCAAATGAGTCTTCTCGCCAGGAAACTGGAGGTAGATCTGCACTACCTCTGCAGCATCGACAGAGCCGGAGTTGGTCACCGTCACACTAACGCTGACCAGCGGGTCAAAGAGCGATTTCACGCCACCGGGAATACGCCTGTTGGGGTTCGGTGGAGACGTGGATGCGTTTCGGAAGCCCGTCGAAGAGACGGTGATATTCCCATACGTGAAGGTCGTATACGTCAATCCAAATCCGAAAGGAAAGCGTGGCTCGATATTGTTAGCTTGGAAATATCGGTAATCGAAAAGAGATGGTTGAGAGAAGTCGCCTGGTATGATGGTCAGTAGGGGATTCGCAGAGCAGAGCAGGGCTAGATATTATTTACTTTGTGAGTTGTTCACTGGTGTGCCAGACCCATGCAGAAGTTGGCCATAATCTGATGCATTCTTCGCAACAGTGTATGGAAGCTTTCCGGATGGCGACTTGTCCCCCCAGAGAAGCTTCACGAGAGCCCTCCCACTGTCCTGACCCGGCAGGTGGGCGTACACTATCGCAGTGACGTTCGGGTGGTCATAGAAAGCATCCACTAAGCGAATGTACGTGTTGTGGATGACCACGATGGTATTGGCGCATTTTGCAGCAACATTCAACACAAGAGAGTCCGACACTGGATCTGCCAGGCCGGCTCTATCCACTCCTTCCGTTGATACGTCGTTGACGAACACCAAGCAAGCGTCGCTTATAGCACTGACCTGAGGTTCGTATGACTTGAAGTCCCACCAGAGGTAGGTATCATCATCATAGGCCCTATCAGATATGGCCGAGAATGGCTTGTGGAGTGTCAGGAGCATCCATTCAGTGGGGCGGTCAATAAAGCTTTACTTACGTCGCTGATGTATGCTGGCGTGCTGGCGCCACTCCCTAGACCAGTGAAGAGAGTTCCGCCTGTAGCTGATTGTAGAATGTCTCCCTTGCCTCCTACCATCGCCTGCAGGAGTGTGTCCACGCTGGCATTCATAACCTGTGTCCCAAAGGCCCATCCGTAGTTAGAGAGGGTGTTGGAACTCGGGGAGTTGACCATTTGCGCCCGACCATCGTAGCCGAAGAGAGACAGAATCTTTGGCTTCTGTAGTGGTAAAGCGTTGTTCGTGTTCTTGACGAGTACATGGCCCTCTATAGCTTGCTGCAAACGGTTTGGCTTGCTGGCTGGATCTCTGCCGTCGACGAGAGGATGGGGGGCTGTGTAATCGGTCACTAGTCCATAGCCGTTGGGGGGGGACGAGGTTATATCACCAAAAACGTAGTATGAAGCAGCGAGTTGTCTGTTCGGCCGTTGTCAGAAAGGGTCTGGAAGTTAATGATTCGTTTTGAATACCTGGTGGCCATGTCCAGTAAGCGTTCCTTACTCAGTGTCCCGTTATTGACGGCCGCAACAAGTTGTCCATTGTCCCAGTAGCTGCATGATGAATGGCCGGTTAGAAAAGCATAATGATGTTTGTCAATGGGATAGTCACCTGGAGGATGGCATGGCGACGTCGAGGCCAGCAGCCGCACTATCTCCTGAATGTTGTCCAGACCAGTCGGAGACAACAAATCCAGGGAAATTCAGTTCACCCTTGAGTAGACCGTTCAGCGCAGCATCATTCTCACATGCATATGTTTGATTAACCCTGAGGAGACAGATGACATTAATAAATGGAGTGGTATCCCCTGGATTCAGCATTACCTGTTGTATGAGCACATTATACTGGCAGCACCAGCAGCAACAGCATCCTGAAACGCCCATAGATACAGTTCATGCATGTCTTTGTCGTTTATGTTGGATGATACTGAGACCGGATTTCCGCCAATAGGCATCCTATCAAGCTCCTGCTCATAGCCGACGAAATGCTTTACCGATGCTATGACAGATGCCTGGAGGCCACGCACAGAGGCCGCAGCGAGCTTTCCAGCAAGCGAAGCTGAAAGATATGATCAGTCTCTAATAATTGGGTTCTCAAAACGTGGCGACGGAGACGTACGATCAGCACCGAAGCCTTCCATATTTCTGCCATTTAGTGCTGTACGCCCGATTGGCTCAATCACTGGCCCAAGAGCTACCTTAACTAGGTAGAATCAATAATGTCAGTATACTAATACTAATAGACTTGGGGGTTCAATGAATTCCTGTCATCTTACCGCCCTTTCTCCGAAACTCAGCACCCATGTAACGGGCACGCTCGTACGCAAGCTCAGCATTCCAGCTCGCGCCAATGCTGATTCCTTCGGCATATGCGTTGACGAGGTCGGTGCCGCGAACACCCTCCCCTGCATCATTCATACACAGACCGTCCCAGCCGACTCTAGGGACTGAGCCGGTCATACCACTGCATGCCGAACTGAAGCCGTACGTGACATTATTGAGTTCCTCTGAAGTCATCTGCGGCGTCATGGTCCCGGCGCGGTTCAATGCAGCAGCCCATTTCGATGCTGCTGACGGGTTATCTAGGGTACGTTAGCATTTGCATTACAGGTAATACTAAATCGACTCACAGTGAGCGAACCAGGGTGACTGGTCCTGGGCAGCGAAGGAAAATGAACTGAGCAAAAGAAGCCCATATGCTAATACCGATTTAGAAAACATTCTGTTGGTTTTTGCTTCTATCTTTCCCTCATTAGGGGATGCAGAGTTGCCGAGGGCGCAGCACCTTTAAGAATAACATCAAGGAAACAACAGTGCAAGGTATGCCTCGGCATTGCTATACCCAATCTTGCTATAATGCAGTTCATCATTTGTCTTTGTAGGCCCGGTAGAATTTCGGCATAACTACCCCATACCCCACGGATCTGCACGGGCTCACATGTGCCTCGTGAAGCTGCCGTTGCCGTTGGGAGAAGACTCCGGAGTAACGTCGTCGGACAATTACTTTCCACGTATTGCAGTGCCGTAGACATCATCGTCTATCCCCGGATCATCGACCTGTCGGGCAAAGTCCCTCGCGAAATCAGTCAAAATGGGATAGGGTATTGCGGCTTAATTCAGTCCATCCACAGTAGAGTGGCTCAACACTCGTCTGCTCTTTCCCTTCCCTATCTGGGAAGAAGATAGAACGAGGTGTCCATCTTCTGAAAGTATTGTTGTATGATCCCAGGACATGCCCGGCAGACAAGCTGTATCATTCATTTCTCAGGATTATACCTTTCTTTTATTCTTCATTAGTCATCAGCATCTTGTTGGTTTTTAAATGCTGTCTTGCTTCGTGAAATATCGCATGGATAACAGGCATTTGTGATCAGACCCAGGAAGTGGAGTACGACGATCAGGGGAAGGAGGAATTAATAAAACGGTTCAAAGGGCTAAAGTTCGCATCTCGAGCATGACCATTACCAAACCAGTTGGAACCGCAAGAACAGTATGTGTTCTGCCAAGCCATTGATATTATCCTGGGGAGAGTGGAAGAGACATTATTCTGTCATGGAGTAGAAGAGATAATCAGCGTTCACGTGATCTGGGAGATCATCATCCATGAGGTCTGGTCTGTATACGTACCATGAATTTGCCTTGATTGTTGCGGAGTATAAGCCATCTGTTCATCTCTCTGACTGGATAATAATACTAGTAATAATCAGCAGAAAGAAGCGAGTCCGTTCGGCGCAAAAACGATCGGGAGGGGCAACGCTTGTTATCTTCGGATAACATCATTGCAGCAACCATTAATCATTAATCCACACATCCCAGCAACCCATTATTATTGCTGTCTTGTCACTTGTTAAAATATCCCTGTCCTGGGGTCTGATCTCAATCATTTGCCGGCTTTTATTGCCTCTGGATTTCTTCTAGCCCCAAGATGACCTCCGACTCTGACGCTTTGGTCCCCGAGACTCGCGTCCTTGCCGTAGCAAGCCATGTATGTGCATTGTCTCCTCTATATCCTGATTTTATGGGAGATGCGCATGCTGACGAGCCGGATTCTGTGGGATCAGGTGGTCTATGGGTAGGTTCTGCTGTCTTCCTGGCATACGCATCTGCATGTGAATATTGGGGTCTTAACCGCCCGATTTAATCAATGCAATTACATCGAATCTGAGTTATTCCTTGGGTTTTCTTGAATGAGACATTGCTAAGAAGATCGAACTAGATATGTCGGGAATACCATGGCAACGTTCGTCATGCAGTCCCTGGGCTGTGAAGTCGCGGCCTTGAACACCGTCCATTTCAGTAAGCTGCACCTAATCCATCCCAGGAAGCTGGTGACTAGCTGACTCTACGAGCACAGGCAACCATACCGGTTATAGGCAATTCAAAGGCACCAGGGCAACAGCTCAAGAGATCACCGACATCTATCAAGGCCTATGCCAAAGCTACCTGACCGATTTCGATGTCATGCTGTCCGGATATGCCCCCAGCGCTGCAGCCGTCGAAGCCGTAGGCGCAATAGGCCTGGACCTGCAGAAACGGGCTGAGAAGAAGCCTGGTTCTTTCTTCTGGGGTGAGCTCTATCGCGCCATTCTGGAAAAACGAATTTCCCTAACATAATGACCCATCCCCGTAGTCCTTGACCCTGTCATGGGAGACCAGGGACGGCTATACGTCAGCGACGACGTGGTGCCAGCATATAAGAAAACAATCCATCATGCGGATCTCATTCTCCCAAACCAATTCGAAGCAGAGTGCGCATAACCCGTCTCAGTTCCATTTTTCTATTTTCACCTTTTCCATGCTAAACACAAAACAAGGCTCCTCTCCGGAATCAAAATCACCTCCCTGCACACCCTCGCAGAAGCTATAACAGCCATCCACAAAATCTATTCCGTGCCCCACGTCATAATCACCTCGGTCCAGCTCTCGAAACTCACCACCTCACCCACCACCCCGCCCCCAGCTTCCCTGACCATCATCGGCTCCACGACCCGCTCCGACGGCACCCCGCGCCTCTTCCGCGTCGACGTACCCGCCCTGAATTGCTTCTTTAGCGGGACGGGCGACATGTTCGCCGCCCTGACGGTGGCTCGACTCCGTGAGGCCGTGTTCGCTGCCGGTCCGGACCTCCGCACCACTAAATCCTGGGTCTCTCCTGATTCCGTGCAGGCGACGGATCTCCCCCTCGCCAAGGCCACGGTGAAAGTCCTAGCGAGTATGCACAGTGTTCTCGAGAAGACGCTGGAGGCTCGTGGTGCTGAACTCACAGCTACCGCTCAGGAGGTGTCGGTCTCAGCGGCATCTGGGGAAAACGATGAGGAAAAACGGAAACGCGACTATCTGCGCCATACCAAGGCGACGGAGGTACGGCTTGTTCGGAATGTGAAGTATCTGCGTTCTCCGGTGATCGAGTTTAAAGCACAGGAGTGGAGAGAGTAGGGGTGCATGCGCGCCTTTCTGTGCCCGAGTGCGTCATAGAATGCTAGAAAAAGAAAATAAAGCACATAAACATAGCATAGATGGGTCGAGGAAGGAAACTGAAAAGGGACAACGAAATCTAATCAGATTTTTTTATCTATGTAGACATTCAAATACCATTCCATACCCATTTAGAAACAAACCCCTAATTCCCAATCTCGGGATAAAAGTCGACCCACCTGTTAAATACCTCCATGCGCCAAGTTGACAATTCCTAACATTGCAATTCAATCAGAAGCGAAAGAAGTTCAGTAAAAAGAGCAGTATCCTGCCTTCTCTTAGGCTCCAGTGCTTCCGAATCCGCCAGCACCGCGGATTGTCTCTTCAAGCTGGTCAACAACCAGTACCTCAGGTGTATAGATCTGATAATAACAGTCAGTAGGGTAGAACAGTGCGTATGCCATGACGTTTCAACATACCCTTTCCAGAACGAGCTGAGCAATACGATCTCCTTGCTTGACTATTCAGATGTCAGCCAGTGAAGTTCTAGGAGGCCTGAATTGGATTTCCGACCAAGAGAAAGGGGGACACACTTGAAAAATCAACGTCAGAAAAGTTAAACAGAAGAACCTTGACCTCGCCTCTGTAATCCGCATCAATAACACCAGCTCCGGTGTCGATGAAATGCTTCGCAGCGAGACCGCTCCGGGGGGCGATACGGCCATCTAAACCAGTTTTCTGTCAGTGGTTGTTTATCTACATTCTTCTGTACAATCCGAACGTACAGGTTCCCTCAGGCACAGCGATCGAAAGCCCCGTATCTACCAATGCCTTCCCCTTAGCCGGGATCACGGTTTCCTTTGCGCTGTACAGATCATAGCCTGCAGCAAAGGCAGAACCGCGGGTTGGTGCTTGGGCAGACTCTGTGAGTTTCTTGACGTAAAGCGGCGGCAATGGTTGAGATAGAGACGTGACGGATGTTCCATTGGATGTTTTCGAGGTCATGGTGGAATCAATCGACGTAGAGGCGTTCTCCTCGCTGTCCTTCTGAGATGTCTTGGTCCGTTTAGGGAGCGGAGAGGCTGGGAGAGAGGGAGGTTCGCGTGTCGCTGTGAGGGCTTCTGAGTCTGTGTTTAGGGGAGGTGTTGTCTCTTTGGTCATGATATTTAATGGGATATTTTTCTCTGACGGATGAGAAAGGAGGGAGAAAAATTAATTGCTGCGACTTTTGGCTGGGGATTTCTTCGTTTGGATTTTGGAATTGAAACGCGTGAGAGACGCGCCGCGTCGAGGCAAGCGATGTCTAGAGTGTTTGTATTATTTGCAGTGTTTGTCTATTTGTTGATGATGAAATGATCGCGTGCTTCTCTTATCACCTTTATCTAGACACTATGCACACGGATAAATAATATGAACACGACATTCTTCCTTCTACACAGGAATGCGTTTACAAGCGATTATTAAAACCACAGCTCTTGGTGTAAACCCCACGCACCACCAACGCTGTGATCCATCTCGCTCTTATCAAGACCACCTCCTTGTCTTCTCTCCTCCCCGCTGCTTTGCTGGACGCAGGTCCTTTGCGGTGTGCGACGGTCTGAATGATATTTCCCATATTACTCTCTGATACCCTTGCTCTCTACTACACCCGTCAGATTTTCTGACCATGCCATCTCAAACTGAGATCTTTGTCAAGGCCATCTCTCGGTGAGCGCAAACAGATCCGCCCTGAAGAAACCCGGTTGAACTCTGACTAATTAAGAACGGCTACAGCCTTCTGGGATGGATATAGTATGTTGCAACTAGATTTGTCATATTTATATACGACTACTTACTCCCTTTCCAAGCTGACGGATCTGCAGTACGTTCTGCTGGTCCGCATCCTTCTATCCCCAACCAATCCATAACTACCAACGACGGTCGACGGCTGGATTAGCAATCGACTTTCCTACTATCAACGTTCTGGGATTTGTCTGTTACACTATATACACCACGGGCTTTTTGTATTCTCCGTTAATCCTGAAGCAATATGCTGCTCGACACCCTGTTTCGGAGATGCCCAGTGTCCGCTTTAATGACTTTGCCTTTGCCCTGCATGCGGTCATTCTGAGTTCAATAGTCTACTCGCAGTTTTGGCCTAGGATTTGGGGGTTTAGGGTATCTCGCTTTCAGACCGTAAGTAGGCCTATTCTGGGCCTGTTTTGGGGCTCGCTGGCGGCCGTTGCCGTTGTGGTCGGTATTGTCCTTGTTAAAAGTCCTGATGGGGGTTACGATCCTTCGACTTGGGCATGGATTGACGTTGTGAGTGCCATTGCGTGTGTGCAGGAAAATATCGAGACTGACCAGTTACACAGCTCTATGCCCTCTCGTACGTCAAAGTCATTATCACCGTTGTGAAATATGTGCCTCAGGCATGGGTCAACTATAAGCGCAAGTCAACCGTTGGCTGGAGTATCACTCAGATCCTGTTGGACCTAGCGGGCGGCGCGCTTTCTCTGATCCAGCTGGTCATCGATTCAAGCTATGAGAATGACTGGAGCGGGATTACGGGGAACCCTGTGAAATTCCTGCTGGGAAACGTCACGATTTTCTTTGATTTGATCTTTGTGGTTCAGCACTACATCTTGTATTGGCATCCTATGGAGTCACAAGCTAAACCGTTAAGTCAGGAACCGGATTTGGTCACGCCACTCTTGTCGGAACCGGATGATTTACTGAGGGCGACTATAGTATGAGGGTAAGAGGTATAGAGGAGGATGGGAGCTGAGTATTTTTATTATTTCGTTCTTTCATTCCTCTCATGAGATCAGATAGAGTACGTCACTGTTAGAAACGCACTATTGCTTGTATCATTATACCCAAAGTCACCAACGACTCAATCGCGGCACAGTCAAGTTACAAATAGAAGGATTCAGCTCTTAATGATAAGAACTTATTGAGTTGGGCTAGAATCCCCATGGTGCCTAATTACCCCCAACATCGGGCTGAGATTCAGTGCTCCGTACAACCAAGTTCCCATCAATAAAGCCGCTTTAAACCTGTTCGCTACCCAGTATGTAGCTAGTATTTCTAATTACAAAGTAGCTATTAAAGCTTACCAGCAATAATAGTAGTATATGGTGGCTTAGCACCTGCAAATGCACATCACTGTAGTATCAGGAGGATGACTATGTACAGCACAGCAATGACTCAGCTAGACCATGACAAATCCAGGATTCAGCTCTCAGCTCTACTAAACCAAAGTCTTACCAGAATAATTGCAGTAATCATAATAATTAATCGATCTGTGTGCCGAGGATATCACCTCAATATTGAATGCATCCCTGTGGACGATGTTCCGCTAGTGCTTAGTATTACTGCTTAGTTTGATTCAAAGTTAGGGCTGCGAACGCTCAGTGGTTGTGCTCACTGATTATTAATGGCCGATGCGCTTACTGCTTTAAGTATTCCGCGCTTCTACACCGTAAAGACATGACAGATGCTTTATTTTTTCTTATTCTTCTTCTTGCTGTTGATATTGTTCTAAGGGGATAGGCAGCGTTATTGATTTGCCACTCTCGATAGATGTATTGGAGGGCTGCCTCAGGTTCTCCTTCGGAATCAGCCCTAACAGGCTGTTTCGAGGCTCTGAAGAGGCTTATAGATCACAGGCAGCAAGGCACAGCCAGAGGCTGGTAGCTTCATATCTAGGCTTTTTTGATATATATAACGTCTTGGCTATATACAGGTGATCCGATTATCAGATCAGAATAAGCCGTTTTAATTGTTGCGTTGCATTCAGCTGCAACGGTGAATTTCCTTTTTTTGTAACTGGATCCTTTTCTCAGTAGGATTACGGTTGGAACCACAACAATCCTTACGAAAAGGGAAAGGATTTCACTACGAATATCTGCTTTCAAAGCATCGTGCAGCTCTCCAGTATTTGTGGGGCCGTCGGATATTGCTGAGAAGATCGCGACGACACTATGCTACGTAGTATCAAATAATGCCAGGGCTATGCTGTACCTGTTTCACCGGCTTCTGGCTGATTTTATACCTCCAATCTGTCATATAGCATTATTGTAACATTATATTAGCCGGGTCTCTACGAATGCATTGGCTTCTTCCCCCATCATCTATCCGCCCTCTCGGTTCGATCCTTCATCGATCTCAGCTCCACCGTCGTTATTCATATTAGCCCTTGAAAGAATAGAAAGAGCTATTCCGTCCTGAACGTCCTGAATACACTCCCTTTACTCTTGGAATGGCCAAGGGCCAATCGAGTCTCACACCAGTCTGACGGATGGAGTCATCACTCTCAGCCTCGAGCCACGCCGGCTGATGCCCTGGACAGTTAACTCTTCGTCGACGACAGCTATTCCTTCTTCTCCTTCCCAGGAAAGACAGAATCACAATCCTGCTGCATCGTTATGGCCTTATTTCTGCTTCAGCTCCAACTCCAACTCCGTCGATTTGCCTCCTGCCTCCTAGCCACCTCCCAGCGGCTGATTCCCTGAGAGCAAGCAGACAGACACTTCGTTACGATCCTTTCCCCGATATAGTACCTCTTTCTACACTTCCTTTTCTCCTTTATAATCTCCGTCTCCTTTAGCAATGCAGCGGAACAGACATGGCTCTGCAAGGAGGGCCCCGGGTTACGGACTCAGCCCGTCACCCTCGTCCCAGAGCGATATGATTCCGGGTAACTCCGACGTTGGCACCGTTGACCCTGGTTTCTACTATCATATGTATCAGACTGGTACAATGGAAGGAAACGGAAATATGTCTTCATCTGGCTTGGAACATGTCCCGTATCATCCGCATGTAGGGGAGGGAATCAACATCAACACTTACGGACACGGACAGACGAACCTATTCAACCCAGCTCAGATGCAGATGCACATACTGTCCTACCAGGAGCAGTACATTCCCATTCCCATGTCCATGAATCCTAATCCGAGTCCCTATTATGCTATGCATCCAATCCCAATCCATCAATCCCAATCCCTCCCTCTCCCTATACCCCGACAAACCCTACCGTCGACACCAACATCGACAGCGTCAGCTTCAACAACCATGACCCCAACCCTCATCCACCCAAAAAGTCCCATCAACAGCAACAGCGAAAACGAAGGGACTTCCCCGGAAGAAAAAGAAAAACCCCCAATAACAAAATATGGCCATCCCCTCCCCGACGGAACCTACCGCTGCGCACACCCAAACTGCACCTCACAAACCACCTTCCGCCGCGCCTGCGATCTCCGCAAACACTACAACCAGCACCGACGACACCTCTTCTGTCGCTACGAGGGATGTCCACAGTCTCAGTCACCGGCCCAGGCTCAGGCTGAGTCACTCGGCCGGGGAGGAGGGTTCGGGGTCGGGTTCTCGTCGAACAAGGATCGAGCGAGACATGAGGCGAAGCATAACCCCGGTGTTATGTGCGAGTGGGAGGGGTGTGGAAGGGTGTTTAGTAGGGTTGATAATATGAAGGATCACGTTAGGAGGATTCATTTGAGGGCGGGGGGAGGGAGTCTTCGGTTTCTGCTTCCGTTTCTTCTTCTTCCCATCAGCGAGCATCATCAAGGTGACATATATAAGGTTCACAGAACTCTAGTTTTGTAAATAAATGGATTTGGATCACCTGGAAGCCTATATGTAAACAACATACCTCAAATATATCACATGAAGATAAGACCCGTCGAGGGCTGAGTGAAATCAGAATCAATAGAGAAAAAAAATATTAAAAAAATAGAAACAATAAAACAAGTATATCCCGAAAAGAACGCCCTCCTTGCTCCAATCCTGGCCGTATCATCATGGGAATCCAAATATGCTCTCAGCCACACAATTGACAATCACATTGAGCATAGACTCTACATGTCTGGTATCATAGATGGGGAATTAAACAAATTAAACAACCAGTTTCAAGATGCAGTTCCAACACGCTGAAAGAATGGAAGGCAAAAGCAGAAGGGGGAAAAGGAAAGAAATTCGTCATTGGCGATGGCCTAGAACGTGCCATCGAAGTCATGCATTCATCCGTCGACGTCTCCCTCGTGCACTTCCTGCTGGTTTTCGCGCAAGTACTTTTCGGAGCTCGGGGTCGTCTTTGCCTTTGTCGGGATGGTGTACCTTGACGTGGCTGTATTGTCATCAGCAGGAAAGATCCCACCTTTAATTAAGATACGTGCGAGGGGGAAAAAAAATAATGATAAAATAAAATATAAAATATAATAATAATCTCACCGTTGAAGATTATCAGGTCGTGGATACTTGTGCTGCTGGTTCGGGCAGAAAGGGCAGACGTATCCTGGGGAATCGTGAACGAGGCCGTGTCGAATCATTTCATTTTTGCGTTTGAACCCTTTCCCGCCAATCCCGCGATGACAGCCCGGGACGGGACAGAAGTGAGGGCGATCTTGTGAATGTACATTCGCGTGGGAACTGCCGACATGTCAGTACTAGCTTAACACAGCATTTCCGACAGATCCGTGCTTCAAAACGTACTTCAACAAGTATTGAGTTTGGAATGGCGGAGCCGTGCATCCGGGATGGTCACATTTGAAGGTGCCCACGGGAACGGAAACGGTAGACTGCGTACTACCGGTAGGATGGGCCACTTTCTCCGGAACCGTACATATCTGGTCTGTGGGTGTCGGGTAACCAGTGGCAGGGCTCTGAGCCATCTGCGACGGATGAGGTGGAACCTCGTAGTTCGGTGGTATATGGGGTATGTCTGGTTTGAATGTATTCCTCCATGACGGTAGCTGGGTAGCTGGAGAAGGCATGTTCGAAAGATCGGTTGAGCTTGCGGGTGAGAAGTGTGAAAACGGACTGAGGGGTACTTGCGGTGGAGGAAGTGGTCCAGACAGCTGACGCTCATGGACCAAATCCGTCCGGGGTAGAGGTGGAGTAGAGCCTGGGACAATTGGGAAGTGGTAGGACGGGGCGCTGCCGATCCTGGGCTCCTTTGGTAGTGGGATCCCCGATAGTCGATCACCAATAGCGGACTGCAGCGAAGGCAAGCTATGATTATTGTTGTTTTCCGGTGGGTTGGCAGTCGCCGATTGCGGGGGGGACTGCAATGCCGGGAGGACTTGTTGAGCCGAACGCTGGCAAGGCGAAATGGCATATTTCCTGAGAGGTGAATTTTCGGAGATATCATCATCAAAAAGTCCGCGCTCAAGGCAGATCTTGAGAGGTGGCAGTTCCTGGACGTGCTGCATGGGTTCCGTCTCGGGGGTTGGGTCGATTGGGCCGGATGGCGAAGGGTCATGGCCGCCACGGTCCTGCCTGTGTAGCGCATCATTGCCGCCATCTTCGGCCGGTGCATCGTTGCGGTACAGTATTTTGAGTACTTCTTTTGCCAATTCCCGCGAGGCCGGGGGGGCTTCTGGCGGCTGCGGCTCTTCCTTTCTCGTCGGTTTCTGCTTGGGGGATGACGAGGGGCCCGACTCATCATCTGACGATGGGAACAGCGCGTTTTTCGCTGCATAAGCGGCGATGTCAGGGCGGCTAGGAGCGAAGTGGTTTAGCAGCACCTGGTCCGCTGCACTGGGTGGGACTTTTCCACGCTGAAAAGAGCGTTCAGGAGGCGATCTATTCATTAACGGGCTCTTGCGGCTTCCTCTGCTGGAGGATGAAGGTCTACGGAGAAAGGGGGGCACTGGATCTTCGGGGTCATAGTTGATAATCTGCGGTTCCAGACGGTCGGAACGGTCGTAACAGTCGTCCGAATCGTATGTATCGGTCATGAAGGCGGCGGTATTGTGCGCATTAGTTGCTGCACATCTCTCTTCTTTTGTATTCTACTCGAGGTTCAGTTCTGTTTTCCCGGGCACCCCTAGAGAGGGTCGAGTTGTCTTGGTATTGTAATTCTGCACAGCCAAGTTAGCGTGTGGGGCGCACTGAGAAATTGAACGCGATCCATAAGGACGAAAAAGAGACGAACAAGGAAAGGGAAATGCCAAGGAAACAGCGAACGGTGGGTATGACAGGAAGCGGGAGTGTATATGGACATTGTATACTGTAGTGCGGGGAGAAGCACTTCCGCAGTCAACCAGAGACGTGCAAATGGGAGCAACGGGGGGATTCGCGGGAAAGAGATGGGAGGTACCACATATCGATGTCCATAAGATGCGAAAGTGGAGGGGAAGGGGGGAAGGGAAGATTGTCAGACAACAAGACACAGGAGGAACGGTGGATAGCCAGCATGACCCGAGGCGATGGAAGTGGTGAGAGATGTCCATTGCATTACTGGATCTACATGAGAGACAAGACAACGCCAACTCACCTCGCAATTACAAAGGAAAAAAAGAAGAGCGTAGCAGCAGCAAAAAGTGACGGCCTGCCAAGGATGCGGCTCTGTGCGTCTCCGGATCTCCCGCCTGAAACAGACAATAACGTTGTGCTGCGTGGCCTTGGCAACCTCGGCTGGGGACGTAGGCGGCTGAGATGAGGCTGCGTGGATCAATGCGCGGGGCAGGAAAAGCCGCAGGAAACAGGAAGACAGCGAGGATTAATACAATCGATCAGACCGGGTGCGTCAGGTCCGCCGATGAAGGGAGATGCAGCGATGATATGATATGGGGGGGGGCGCGTAAGACGATGAGGCTGGAAGAGGAGGTGCTCAGGCCGATTAATATTAAATACGAAGGAAGAATAAATATGTATTATTGTATTATCATCAGAGCCTTAAAAGTGAGGCTAAGCGGGATTTTGTTAGTACACGTGAGGTTCTGCCGTCCTAGACCGCCCTCGCTACCTATCTCACGGCACAGGCAGGCCTACCTAGTAATATGACCATACATGCGCCTATCCATTAGATTTCCGCTTGGCAGTCGATGCGGTCAATCCCGTGATGATGATCAGAATGGCAGCAAAGAAGAGGAGAAATGAGTATATTAGTGCGGTAGATGATATTATTATTATCCTCCCAACCGTTCTTAAATTCTAACACAGTGCACTGCGCACTCAACAGTCCGAAACGCCAGGAGGGGCCGATCCTCGACGGGCTTCACCAAAAGCCCGACAAGTGGGGAGAAGGCGGAAGAGAAAGTCAATCCTGGCGAATATCGCTGAGGCTCTGGGGACGCGGCTTCAACCTTCCGATTGGCAGCTACTAGAGGCTGAAGTGTTCGACTTGCCCGCGCTCGCATCGGGTACGTTCTCTCTCTCATGCGTGCAGCATGCGTGGCCAGCCAAATAACCACCCCTGCCCATCCGCGGGCAAATAGCATCTACATCGCCCGTGGAAGACGCGGTGCGAACCGTGACGGGATTCCCTCTGCCTGCATTAGAGAAGTCCAAGTCTGCAAACCCTGGTCGCACTGCGTCCACGTGATGCCGGATCGACACGGACTCTCGCCGTCGGGGAATTTTGTATTTTTTATTTCTCCTTCTTTTCTTTTCTTTTTTGGTTACCGTCGGGTCTCGTTATTGGTTTAATATTCTAATGTCCACTATTATGTAGAATTGTGAGAGAACACCGGACCGGGCGGGTCCAGAGTGTGCCAGGACTGACGAAGAACCACCTAAGCATAAGTTATTGACACAAACTTCAAGTATGCACTCAGGCTTCTCCACATTAATAATTACTATTCTATGGCTCTGTAGTATAGTATGTACCAGCTTCCTTGGGAAGTCCCAATAGGTAATTCCGTGAGATCGTCCGGGGCATTGTTTTACCGTCCCATTCGTCACTCCGAATTGCACGTGCTTGCGCCTGTCTAGACTGTTACTGCGTACGCGTCAGTAGCCTGGCCAGTAGCTACTACATTAGCTCTCGAGCCTCGTGCTATTCTGCGGTCCTGTCAGCATTCAGGTGCGTATTCCTTAATTAAATCAAATGCGAGGACAATCCATCGATAAAATGCTGGGACGGTGGCAAGAAGAATCCACTGGGTTGTTGCAATCTGAAGCATATCAACCATAGGCCGGCCCTACATCCTATCCTCCACAACTTCGCTCGGTTCTGCAAATAAAAAGAGGAATTTCTTTTCTTATTAATTACCGTCGCACCACTAACTTCACTCATATATCTATTCCTTAGACTGGCCGTCCAGAATTTCCACAATGAATCTACAGGAGCGTGCTTGGGGGTTTCTTGTGCAAGACAGATTGCTGCACATCTGCTGTTATGAGCTGCTAGGCACCCTTCCATTGGCAGGTCCAAACTGGGGTACAACGCCAAATTAGAAACACCAAGTGCAGAGTACCTGTTTTATTTATCCCAACTATGCAAAAACCTGCCGGTTTCATATCTATCTAGCGGTGTCTTGATAGCTGTTATATATCCTTGTTAATATATGAAGTACCATGCCAAAGACAAGGTCTCTAGGTTGGCAAACACCCACACCATCTTTTGCAAGCAACGTTCCTCCAGCATACATCTAAATACCTCCACGATGAGAAGATGGTAGGGCCAACTACTTAATGATATACTATCCCCATGGGGAGCCGAGCAGCAACCAAGGTTAGTTCAGCTTACAACTTACGGCACCACAGACTGCACTACTTTCGCGACATCGTCTGCCGTAGCTCAGCTCCCACGTGATATCCGTCTGCTGAGTCAGCCGTTGTCCGGGCTATGGGACACAGCGCTAAACCGTAAACAGGAAACAGTTTGTCGCTTCAGCTGCCCGTCGTCGCATTGCGGTACCTTGGCCTTCCCAGTTGCACCGTCATCCTCCTTATTTTCTTTCCCGTCACCTTTCCTGGCGAATTCGTGTCTCGCGCGTTAGTTTATTTCCTTCGCTCCCTCGTTTGTGTTGCTCAGACTGGCCTTGTTGACCCGATTCCCCAGTGTACAATCGAGATCCCCGCATTCGAATCCAGCCGGCTTCTCAGCGAGCGAGCGTCCCTATATTCCGTTCCAAGACCTCTTCGTTAAGTTCGGTGCATTTCATATGACTTCGGTTTTATATTGCAGGGTTCCCCAGAAAGATTGATCCGCCTTCCCGTTCGGCGCATGGTACATTCTCCGGAGTGGGGGATCTCGATAGATCTCCTTGAGTAGCCCGACACTCCTATCTCGCAATTACTTCCTTCGAAGGGGGCTACAGGGGTTTTTGAAATTATGTCGTCAAACAATGGGCTCTCATCCCCTGGGAGCAGCACATATTCGTCCGATACACTGCATGTTGGCGATGGAACATGGGATAGCTCTCGGGATACCTTCCTCCTGCCAAATCTAATGGGACTGAATTTTGATACTATGCAATACAATGGTAAGCCGTTGGATTAATTGGTGGAAGTTAAATAACATGCATGAGTCTGGTTCTCTGCTGACACGTAGTAAACCAGGCATGGGGAACAGATTTCGCGATATGCCCGAGTACCATTCCTTGATACTAGCACATGGGGTTATTGGAACTATGGTATTCCTTGGTTTCGTTCCTTTCTCAATCTTAATACTTCGATACTACTCTTTCAGGGACTCGTATTTGGCTTTCAAGTTGCACGTATGGGCTCAAGTTCTGACCTTGCTGCTGTCCACCGTTGTCTTTCTGCTCGGCTGGTTTGCTGTTGGTCCGAAGAGGAGTCTGACGAACCCGCATCATGGAATTGGACTCGCAATCTACGTCATGGTCATATTCCAGGTCCTCTGGGGCTGGCATGTTCACAGAACGGAACGCCGCAGGAAACGACGCGATGTCCCACTGAAAGTAGTGGTAAGTGGAGTCTACGTACAGAAGTATCCCCCGTCCCTGAAAGCTATTCTAATCTGGGTCTTGTTCAGATTCATCGTTGGGTTGGCCGCGCACTTGCTGTCTTGGGCGTTATTCAAATCCCGCTGGGACTCACTCTATATGGTTCTCCAAAGGCGCTGTTCATCATATTTGCAATCGCCGGCTTTGGACTCCTTGCCACCTTTCTGGTTCTCTCTTATGCATATGACACTCGTGGATACTACTATATGGAGCATGATTATGAGGACCAACATAGCCGTGTCTCGGGACGTTCGGATCATCGGGGCAGACATATGGCTGCAGCTGCAGCTGCAGCAACTGGTTTGGCTGCTGCCTTTCGACATCGTCCACGGAGTAGACACACAAGCAACTCGTACGAAGATTCCCATCTCTCGGACGTTGAAGAAAAATACTCCGATGAGCCAGCCCCGCGGCGCAGCGGCTGGGGGAAAAGACTTCTCGAAATTGGTGCCCTCACCGGTGGTGCCGTTATGGTGAAGAAGTATTTTGACAGGAGACAGCGTAGGGATAGTGACACTGAATCCGGTGGATACCGACCTGCCCACTCACGGACTGCCAGCATGACGGAAGAATCCCTGAGCAGGGTAGAAGGGGGGCGGCGGGAACCCAGTCACCCAGCAGCTCACAGTCAGCCATTAAGCAGGTCGCCGAGCAGATCATCGAGTAGATCGCCATCACCAAGCAGACCCCCAGGCAGAGCTCGGAGTCCCTACTCAAGCTATTACACGGATAGTGGCTATTACCATGAGCACGAGAATGCCCAACAGTCTCGTCCATTCCGGGACGCACTCGCTGGTGCCGGTCTCTTTGCAGCCGCCAGAAAATTATTCGGTAGCAACAAGAAAAAGGAAGAACAACGACGAGTGGATGAGATTCTCCGTCATGATGCCGAACAAGAAAGGATTGCAAGAGCAAATAGCAGGAGGTACACCGGAGATGGGACCTTGCCCCGAAGGGATAGGAGAACCAACACCCTCAGCACAACCGATATATCGTCTGATAGATCTACTCCTCATGGAGAAAGACCTGTTGCCTCGGGAGCAATCAATCCACCGATATCTCCCGTTCCTCCAATGCACCATAGCTCAGCCCCATCTCTTACGGCGGATGATCCACATTCTCAGCGAGCACACTCACCTGCAGCAGAGGCTCACGATGCGGTTGTGCCTCCTCATCGTCATGAAGAGCATGTGGAATCGCCCCCAGTATCGCTCAAAGTCAAAATGCATAACGACGGCAGAAATATTACGCTTCGCAGATTGACGGAAGAGGAGGCAGCAGCTAGCCGCGAAGCAAGACGAGAACGGCGGCACTCACATCTTCGTCGTGGCAGTGCAAGCTCCCTGTCAGGAAACGAAGCCGGGTATGACCGATGGCGCCGCGTGGAAGAATTGGAGCGTCAACAAGAGGAGCAGATTCGGAGAGAGCAAGCTGCCGCCTCCGCCGCAGCAGCAGCAGCGCCCATACCACCCCCTCCCCATATTCCTCCAGCAGAGAACATGCCCACTGGTAGTATGCCAACTTCCGCGCTACCTTCTGCTGGCATGGCGTACATACCACAGCAACCACCGCCACCCCATGCCCCAATCCAGTCCCAGACTAGCTTACCTTACGGAAGCTATACTTCGCCCACTTATACGGGAACAGAGGCTAGTGGAGACTATGCAAGCAATCGCAGACGAAGACGCGCGGAACGAGCACGGACACGGCAGGACAGACAACAGCATGGTGTGGAATTTACTTGATGCACACCATCAAGCATCTCAAAAGGATCTTCTACTTGCCATTACCCATTTGCCCTACAACATGTTCCTTCTACCAACTACTCTCTCTCTTTCTCCCTTTTATGGCCCCTTTGTTTAAGCATCCCTACCTTAATTACGAATTCAGTTTGGATGCGAGAAACGGGTACGGAGGATTTATATCCTGAAGAAAAGACGACCCGGATGTATTAAGCAGATATGGATATGGATGGATATGAACGTATACCCTTGGATGAATTTTTTTATTTATTTATTTATTTTCTTTGTTTTTCTTTTCCTGCTCCTTCCCCAAAGTGCGGTTCTTCATTTCAGGAGATTTCCTTGTGTCTTGATTACCTATTTTCATGTAACTAACTATTCTTCTTTTTTTCTGACCCCCTATGGTTTTTCTGATGATTTATTGTTGAAACCTGTCTGTGTTCTATCTCCTTGGTTGGCCTTTATTTGGTTCTTTTTTATTTTATGACCTCTGAATACAGAGTGAATTGAGGCTCGGGTGCTTGAGTATGATAATATATGCAATGCGAGACACGTTCATAGAGTAAATAAATGCCACTTAAGAATATATTGCTTAAATCATAAACTAGTGCTAGGCCCTCATCTCATCTTTACTACACAATACGGAGTACATTCGGTTGAATACTCGGGTGTATTAATTAAAAGGGAAGAAATAAAAAGGAAGAATCGTCAGATTGCTATGGTTCTACAATTCAAGCGAATACGCAGGTTCACAAAGATATGTACAAACAAGCCTATTTAAGGACGGCCTGCAGGCTCTCAAGAACCTATCAATAGCGGGTTAGTCTATGCTTAAGCAGACAACAGTCGCGGTGCATGGCAAGCATACCTCCAATTCAATCTTAGCCTCGGCAATATCCTGCTCGCTGCCGCTGCCACTAGCAATCTTCTGTGCCTCGGCGATCTGGTTCTTGACGGCCTTTATTTGAAAAGAAAAATCAACGTTAGTTATATAATATTCCAATGACACCAGATATCGATCATGACATACCTCAGAGCTGAAATCCTCAAGAGGGAATCCCTCGACGGCATTAACGCTCAGTTGAGAGTCGGGCTGAACGACAGCGAAGCCACCGGACACTATTTGTGAAAGAAAGAAAATATATCATCAGTATGGACCGTAGTTTCAGCAGGACCCGAGAAAGCACCCCATCCATGTATCTTCCCGGGAAATCGGTGTGGATTTGTTTGAAAACATACGGAAGAAGCGCTTGGTGTTTCCACTCTCCTCAATGACCTCAACGAGACCAGGTCTGAGCTGCTCGATAGACGGGACGTGGTTGGCGAGAACACCCATGTCACCGGTGGAAGCGGGGATGTTGACCTGGACACTATATGGATCGGATAAAACACATCGTCAATATGTATACGTATATATGTATATGTATAATGCCAATGTCCGTTGTTGTCAAGATTCGATGCCGAGTTCAGACGGTGAGAAAAAAAAAACAAAAACACGTACACGTCGGTCGACTTGTAGATAGTCTATATACCCCAATAACAATCAGTACGCAAATCTATAGTCATTAAATGCCGAGGGGAATCCAATGGATTCCTAAAAAAGGGCTATTATATTCTTACCTGGTGAGGAAGGACAAGAGAGAGCTTGATCTTGTCCGACACGGCCTCGGCGTAGCCCCTGCGCTGGACGGGGACGCGGAATGCCGCAGGGCGAGCCCTCAGGGCAGAGCGAGCAAAGCGAAAAGAATTCATCTTCTTGCAATGGGTCGAGAAGGAGAGGAGTGGTGATGGGGTATCCCGCGGTGCCTAGGTTGGGGTTGCGACGAAAGTCGAAGCCGGAGTGCCGGTTGTTCCCTAGGCCGCATCGTGAAAGTCACGTGGGGTGCGAGGATCGAACGTTGCTTTGTCCGTCATTTCCCGTTGGACTTGTTTTCTCCAACACTATCACGACTTCGACAAGCTATACGGCGTATTCGGGGATGTGGCAGGATCCCACTCTTACAATTATAGTGGTGAAATTGGAATGTGATTCTTCCATACTCAAACTCGCGAAGACCACTTGTGTATGCTCGGGATAGAGCAAGGGTCCATAGTATTCCACAGCTCGGCAGAATCGATGGCTCTACCCTTCATCATCAGAGACAACAGAGACAGCAAAGACAAAAAATATCAATATCATCTATGACAATGTATGCACTAGCTATGAATGAATTGAACGCCGATATCGATTACTTCATGCAGCATGTACTTCAACTATGAGTCAGGACGATACAAAGACCACCAACTCCATTCTCCAAGAAGATACAATTCGCCATTGGAAATTCCGATGAGATATATTATATCTTAATCGAAACAAAACAAAATCCCTACAAGTAAAAGCCATAAATGAATGAATGCTCTATCAAACTGCGGCGAAGATGCCTCTCGACACCCGAATCCGGAGCTAGCCGCTTTGGGCCAGTAAGCGAGACCCCAGCGATTCCCACACAAAATTAACCGCCGCAAGAGCCCTAGCCGACCCTCCGTGACTTCCAAGAGTTCACCGTCCCAAGTCCAGTCCAACACCGGTCCAAGTCAACAACTCGCTCGTTGCGACACATACCGTCAAGATGGCCAGTACGTTGCACACGCTTGCACGCCCAGCAAATGGGTTATTTGAACAAATATCGCTGACATTTGTTCCTGCTTCTAGAGTCGAAGAACGCCTCCCAGCACCACGCCAACAGGAAGAACCTCCGTAACGGGTGCGTATAAAACAACCCCCATTTCGCGAATCCCTTACTATTACATTTCCTCTTCAATCCTGGGACTTGCGGATCGTATCTCGACTGAAATGGATGAAAAATGAGTTTCGTGCAACGGGATTGAATTGGATAACTCGAAATAAAAGAGGACGGAACAAAACCAACGACGAAACAAGAGCGACATGACTGATGTTTTCTTTTTCTACAAATACAGCATCAAGAAGCCCAAGACCCACCGTTACCCTTCCCTGAAGGGCGTTGACCCCAAGTTCCGCCGTAACCACAGGCACGCTCTCCATGGCACCGCTAAGGCTCTGGTACGTTTGTCTACCTCTACATTCTTGGGATGTTGCTTTCGATGGAATTCCAGGAATACCCTAAGGGGGGAATTGAGTCGAGAGTGCTAACTTTTTTCAACAGAGGGAGAGAAAGGAGGGCAAGCGCGAGGTCGCATAGATGTTATGTTTCGTTTCGAGAAAAATTTGAAATAAATTTCCTTGGGTCGGATTCTCAGGTGTCTTAATGTGCGATGATCAATAATCCGTGCCTACTTGGCCGTATGGGAAGAATTAGTTACTCCGGACAATGGAGTTCTTTTTTTCAAAGACCTGACTTTTTCTTCCATTTTCTTTCCCACTTTATCATCTTCGCCAAAACGGTTTCCGGAATTGGGATGGTTCATTGGAAGGATAGATTCCTATTCGGTTTCCGACGCTTCCCCGGGTTACGTTGCTTCTTTTTTCGATCAGTCGGGTATAATCTGATCTCACAAGCTCTGGGTCCTCCCTATTACTCACAATGGATAACTGAGCAATCCATTGGATCCCCTTGTTGACTCAAGTCTACGCCTTCAGCTGACCGTCAATTGTCTCTTTTCCCTTATTAAGGCATATGTGTGTACAGCGTCGTGCCCCTATCATGCGCGGTTGCTGAAGGATTTGTTTACGTGCCGAGAGAAAACCCCAGGCCTTCCAATTACCAAACACTCTCTAACGTTTCATATGTGTGAGAGGGTGCATGGACGGGAGGCTACACACCGTAGACTTCAGACAGTATAGCTAGACCCGTAGCAATGGATATATCCTTCCTATAATAAATATCTCGTCGTGGAGTCCTGTCATTACTATTAAAAAAGGTATTAAGCTTGAATATATTCAATTCTTCCATCAAACCCTCCACACAATCAACCTCTTGTCAAAACCACCACTTACTAGCCATTCTTCCCTTTTCATTGCCGTTCCCTCTCCTCCGTCGTCCTGAGGAACATCCACCCAACCAGCCCAGAGAGTTCTCACCTTAGACCCAAACTGGTGGCCATTCTTCAACGTAACAGTCAGTTTCCCAGTCTTGGTCTCTACACCGCGAATCACTCCGTCATCGCCGTTGACCCACAAGCCCGACCCGTCAGGCCTCCACACGACCTGCGGAGTGGAATACGGCGTCTGTGGCGCAAAGGTATTAACTTGTATCAATATGGCCGCGTCCTCGCGGTTCTGCAGCGTCAATGCCGAGAACGCCGGGGAGATATGCGCCGGCGATGGAACTCCAATACGAGGAGGGGGACTGCTATCGTCATCCGCTACTGCGGGATAAATGAACTTTTCCCTGCCTTCTTCTTCTGATGGGAACAGCAAGCGTACGATCATAATCTTCATATGCGGCGTCGTCGATGTAGCTATTGCAATTATACCTGGGTCATGCGGAGAGAGGGCAAGACAGCACGGAGAGAAGGTCAACCAAGCCACGGAGTGAGGAGCTAGATTCTGTCTTCCCAGTAACTTGCACTCGTAGGGTTTCTTCTGCATCATCTCCCAGGCATCCTGTCCTTGGTCCGTTTGCGCGCCTGCTTGAGCTTGTTCCTGCTGCGTTTCAAGTTCGACTTCAAAGTAGTGTAGATAAGTCGAATCACGCCGTGAAGCAAGGAGGACTAGCCGTCCTGACGTTGGGTGATGGACGAAGAGTATTGACTCGGGGTTGCTGGGGAGGGTGATCGATGCAACGGGATCACCTATGGTCATGGAGACTGCTCGATCATGACAGTCTTCGTTTTCGGCCGGGGCAGGAAACGGATCCATGCAGTAAATAAAGATCTTCCCATCCCATCCAGCTGTTGCAATCCATAGCTTCCTTTCCGAGTTCTCTTGTTCCTGCCCCTGTTCGTGAGCCACGACTTTAACTACATACTTCCCGTGATCCTTTCTCTTGTCCAGTATCTCCGAGCCTCTTAGAAGTAGCAGCTGTCCGGACATATTAGTCATGAAAACATATTCTCCGCGAGAAACAGAGACATAAGACAGAATCGGCGAGTCTGAGAGCCCCGACAGCGAAATGACATCACCATTTTCAGCTGCTGTATGGCGGAGGTGGATTTGTCGGTCTGCACCTGTTGCAACGACATACAACGGTAACGGGGGCTCCGTCGTCCCCGGATCACTGAGCCTCTGCCACGGTTCCACGGACACGGCTAGGAGATTTGAGGGAGCTGGCGTTGCGACTATAGTTGGGTTGGAGGGTGCTTTCGGCAGAATTAGCAAGCTGAAAAGTAACAATGGGGCATTCCCAATTTCCAGTGTAAATGTAGTAGTAATATTATACAGGATATCAAATATATTCAGGCTCAACAGAACCCTGATAGAGCCTTATATACTAACCAGGCTGAGTCCAGACATTCTTTCTATCCCCCCTTCCATATCTTTCAAACCTCACACTATAATCAAAGGCCTTCTTTTCTTCCAGGAGACTCTCAATGGTCCATTCTTCCTCGGAGCTTGACTGGGGCTTTATCTGACCCGCGTCTGCAGGGAGTCCCGCCTCACGGATGAACGCCTCCAGAGTCTGCGCGTAGTTGTTTGACCGGAGAAAGCGAGCTACCAAGGTGCCAGCAGAGGGAACCGGTTCCGGGGACTGATTCATTTCCGCAAACCTCCTCGTCGGAATAAATATTGTGGAGCTGCGTGAGTGGCACTTTGTGACCTAAACTGGAATACTGTAAAGTGATGCAGATAAGCGAGTTGGGTCGAATGCCAGCCGTCATTTGGTTTACAGTTACGGTTAGATGGTCCCATGGTCGGGACATGTGTCATTTTATTTCCGATTCCATTTTGATACTTTTATTCTGTATCGATGTGATGATTGGAATTCCTGTGAGTGATTACAATGGTTATAAAAAAAAGCATGTATATATATGTGTGTGTGTGTGTGAATTTTAAGGGGCTTTTACCGGTTCGCCTCTCGAGGCAAGGAGATAGGAAAAGATGAAAAAAAAGGTAAACGTCCGCCGGGCCGGATTCGAACCGGCGACTTTTCGGTGGCAATTATTCCATTACAGCCGAAAGCCATAACCAACTAGACCACCAGCGGGCGATTGTTGGATGTTGATTAGAATTAATAATAGATATGGCTTGTTCTAAAAACTTTATTCCCATCATACCAGATACCATGTAGTATGGCAACTATTTTGTTTTTACTTCCGGCTGTTTGCCATGATAACCCACTTGCTAAAGTTTCATATACTTACCGGTTGGTGAAAGTGATCTGTTCTAGGTGGTTCCGTTCAATCAATTATTTCAGCTTGTCTGGTTCGATTTTACTCAGATGAGATATATATTGTCACTTTGCAATATTTTTATTCCATCATCACAGATACTTTCACTTTCGGGATGGCACCACCTTCATGGGGGTACTCAGTGTGATCCCAGTGCGTAAAATCCTGGGGGGTCCTTTTTAAAACAGGGTTCCCACCCCAAACAATAATAAAGGCCCAATTTGACCAACACAAAGTCACATAACATGACCAAGCACACAATACAACAACCTGGTCATGCCCATGTAACCCTAACAGCTTCTAAGACATACTGTTACCATGAGGTCCACGGTAACCCATAGATGCCACATCCGGATATATGCAATCCCATTGGCCTGGAAATAGAGATAGGCAGCTACAACTAGCAGAAAATACTGCAGTTGCCTAAAATACTCTGACGTGTCTTCTCAGATTCAGGGAGGGGGTGGAATTTTGTACATCAGTATTTGTCCGGATCGGGCGGCCATAGTTCATTCTCGATGGACCTACTATTCGCGTGTTGACATTGTTTTCTGCCAAGTCAAGCGCCATATCTCGTAAACCTCGACGACTGGTGGAATTAGCACTTGGTGGCATCAAATAGATTCTCACATCAACATTACCCATGGCCTCTTCGGCAGCCTGGATGGCAGTCTTCCATGCTGAATGGGCAGGGAGCGTGACAGATAGATCATTATGCCGGCCGTTCATTGCTGTGGCAACCTGATAGAGGACGTGTCGAGGATGGTCAACTCTAATTTCTTGGGGGTCTGCCATTTTTGACCTGCAATGATTTTCGTGGACAGCTAGAAACGGAACAACGATCCCATTAGAGAAATAAAACATGATCTCCTACTCGGCCTGTTGAAGTGGATGGGTTGTAGAAACGCGGGTACCCTTTGCCTCACCCGGAATTGTTCCTGATCTGCGGTATCGCTTTGGTCTGGCCATATCAATGTCAGTTTGGTCTATGACTGGCTGAAAGAAGGACGAAGAGCGCAATAAGGGTAATAGTGGTTTGTACACGAGAGAAATGAGATTAAGTATCAAGGTGATGGATCGCAAACAGGGAGCCCCAGCCGGAGGAAGAAAGGAAGATGAGCATCGGATGAGGAAAGAACATACTATACTAAGTACCCAGGTAACTTTTTGCCTGCTGCAGTGACACCAAGGAAGGAACACTCGGTTGCTAGTTACAAACCGCGGGACGGTATCCTCCAGATTCCTTCCCATCTCCAGATCAAACAGTGCATAACCAACAGCATCTGCTGCATGTACTCTGTCATAGTTAATCAGACATCCCCATAAACTGTTAGTACACGTGAGGTTCTGCCGTCCTAGACCGCCCTCGCTACCTATCTCACGGCACAGGCAGGCCTACCTAGTAATACGACCATACATGCGCCTATCCATTAGGTTATGAGCCCGTTTTAGCTCTACGATATTGAGCTTAAAAAAGCCTTTCAGATAGGCTAAATTGTGACCTCTCATTGGTCAAACCAGAAATCGAGCGCTTCTAAGCGACTCTGAACACCAGGACCGCCAACAATCGGCCCCTGAACCCCAGGATCCTTCGATCGATCCCATCCAAAATGGTGGTGCCTCGAACGCCCCCTACCACCGCTAGACGTCACCGTCGTCAGCCAGAATCCACAGATCCTTCATCAGATATAGGCTCCTCCGCCTCCTCAGTAATCTCTGAAGAAATGGACACCCCAACTGCCCCTAGAGCTCAAAGCTCTACTACAGCCAACACCATGGCATCCACACCAGACATCACAGCTCTGTTCCAGCAGATGCAGGAACAGATGCAGGAACAAATGCAGAAGCAGATGCAGGAACAAATGCAGAAGCAGATGCAGGAGCAAATGCAGAAGCAGATGGACCAGTTCATGACTCGTTTTAATGCCCTTGAACGCCATCAATCCCAATCCTCCACTCCTACAGTCCGGCATAACGCTACTCCCTACAATCATATTCAAAATAATACGGCTATTCCAGCCTCAAATCCAGTACAAAAAGATCCTTTTGATCATGTACAAGCTCAAGTTAAAGCGCTCCTACCAGACCGATGCCGAATCACACTGTCTCATGATAATTACGACCTCTGGAGTTCAGCCATTCAAAGAGAAGCCAATGTCCTGAACGCTAGTACAGTCTTGCATCAGGATATACCTCCAGTAGGATACTCAGCTTATGATGCTGAAGTATGGCATTGCAAAGCCACTGTCATGAGAGCCCGAATGCTTCATGCTATGACTGCCCAAGCCATTGACAAATTGGGCAACACATATGACCTATCAGCCCATGGTTTATGGGACCGAACTGCTACCTTTTTCGGACGTTCTACTGGTGAAGAACGAATGCTTCTCATAAAAGAGCTCAAGGAGCTCTATATAAAAGACAATGACTACCTATCCTACCAATCTGCGTTTACTAGGATAGTAGACCGCCTTCATGCTATAAAAGAAGCATCATTTGACAACCTTATTCACGACCTATTTTTTATAGGCCTCCGCGAATGGAACAAAGCATTCATTAAGAGTAAACTTGATGAAGTATACTCAACTGGACAAGGCCCTGTCATCAATCTGGACCTACCTACCATTCAAGCTCAACTCTCTATCCGTATGGGCACCCAAGCCCGTGAATCCTGCTCCCAACACGGAGGACGACGAGAGAATCTATCCGGACGAAGCTATTCCAAACAAGCATCTAACCCCATTGCTAGCTCTTCCGCCTCAAGTTCCAACACTAAATATAAACCTCAGGACCAGGATTCACGCAAACCAAAGACCCGTTGTGATTGGTGTGGTCATTTCCACCCAATGCCTTGCCTCTACAAGAACCCTGAGAAAGCCTCTGAGCATTGGCGCCGAGCCAATAAAAATACTATTGAAGCTATTCGTGCTTTACACACTGCTAAAGAATCTTCCACTGCTTCATTCTCTGAAGCAGAAACCAATGAACTGGTACCATGGACTTCTTCAGCTGCAAAAACAGCCATTGCTAAATCAGCCCAATCTCTCCAAGCTTCATGGTATCTTGATAGCTGTGCTTCATTCCATGTTACACCCCATCAAGCTTTCTTCACGTCCTATAAAACATTGAGAAAGGAGGACCTTACTCCAGCGGATTATATTGAAGATGCTCAAGGGAAGATTTCCAAACCTCATGGTATTGGCACCGTCGTCATTGATATTGGAACCAGATCCTTGATCCTTAGGGATGTACGACATGTTCCATCCTTCAATTCCAACTTAATCTCCATGGGAATGCTTCTCAAACAAGGTTTTCGTATCGAATTCCCTTCCAGCTCTCAAGTAGCACAAATCACAACCTCTTCTGGTGCAGAATTTGAAGCCATTTTGAATACCAACAATGTATTCATCCTATCAGATTGCATTTCTCCCAACGAGAGCTCCTATGCCTTTGTCACCACCCGGTCTGGCAAAGAGGCCAACCGACCAGGGGACCCTCCCAGAAAGAAACCTACAACATCCCCAAAGACTAAGAGCTCCAAAACAGCTCTACCAATTATGACATGGCATCGCCGTCTATGCCATTTAAACCAGCAGGATCTTTTACGCCTTGCCGCAGATCCTACATCAGACATTGAAATCAAAGGTTCCAGAGAACTACCACTTTGTGAAGCCTGCATCCAGGGCAAGCAAACTCGCCAATACAGCAAAACACCAAGATCCCGTATGACTGCACCACTAGCCCGAGTCCACATAGACCTTGCTGGTGGCGGCCGAACACTAGATATAGAGAAGCTAGATATGCCTCTACCTTCACGTACAGGAGCCAAATATGTGATGCTTATTACTGATGACGCTACACGTTACCGTTGGATCCACTACCTAACTGAAAGATCTGCTGCAATTGATGCATTTCGGGGTTGGCTACAACAGATGAAGAATCACCATTTCCCTGCCCCAGCCTATATTGTCTCTGACAATGAATTCTGTTCAGCTGAATGGCAGAAAACCTACCGTCAGGAAGGCATCGAATGGCAACCAAGTTCTCCATATTCCCCTTGGCAAAACGGTGTCAGTGAGCGCAGCATACGCATACTCTTTGACCGTGCTCGGACATTAATGCTTGACGCTCCCCATATACCACAGCGATTTTGGGTTGATGCTTTAAAATATGCATCAGATATAACAAACCGCCTCCCAACATCCACAATCCTATTCAATTCACCTATCCCTGGGGGTCAATACCAACACAAAAATCAGCCCAAGCCCATATAAATCGCCTCTGGCTGCCTGGACCAACTCACCAACTAGTATCAACAAATACCGACGTTGGGGCTGCCCTGTCTGGGTTCATCGACATGGCTCAGATAAGCCTATAAACAAGTTCGATTCCCACTCTAAATGCTGCTTCATGATCGGCCAAATCAGTAGCCAACAATACAGAGTGTGGGACCCTAAAACAGACGCCATTTTTTTCAACCAATGACACTATATTTGATGAAGAATATGAGGATCCCACAACTACACCTCCACAAGCTACTGTTCCTGAAGATCCAAGTACTCCTAATAAAGAAGATACAAACCAACCTGTTGAAGATGAAGACCAGGAAATATGGCTTCGACCCGCCAAAGGCATGTCCCTAGCCTATCTCACCACTTCAACTACTCCTTCGTCTGAAGATGACACGCCTACTTCCTATAAGCAGGCTATATCTCATCCTGATGCCACCAAGTGGCAAGCAGCCATGCAAAAAGAAGTCAACCAACTCAAAGAAAAAGGCTGCTGGCAACTTATCCGCCGCTCTGACCTACCACCAGGGACCAAGGTCATCCCTGGCCGGTGGGTATACAAAAAGAAAGAAATCCCTGGTACCCCTATTACAAGGGACTACCAAGCTAAAGCTCGCTGGGTGATCCGTGGAAATCTACTTGACAAGGACTTCATGGAATCATACGCCCCAGTGGTAGATGAAAATACCACTAGAACCCTTACGGCACTGGCCACTCTACTTGGCTGGCATACTCGAAAGGCAGATGCCATCCTTGCTTTCCTAAATGGAAAAATGCCCACAGATAAACGTGTCTTTATGACCCAAGTTCAGGGATTCAAAGAAGGCTCTGGAGACCTGGTTTGTGAACTCCGCCAGTCCCTCTATGGACTAATCCCATCTGCCCGTATCTGGTATGATACACTAAATGCTTTCTTACGACAAATTGGCTTCAAAAGCTCCGAATACGACTCTGGTCTCTGGATCCATACCACCCGGACCCAACTCTATGTGACTACCCATGTGGATGACTTCAAAGTCTATGCTAAGCATGAGAACGATGCCACTTGGTTTATGGAGTCTCTTTCTGCTAAATTTGACATAAAAGAAGTTGGAAACTCTACCAAATACCTTGGCATGGCCACCTCTCAATCCAAGACCACATATACTCTCTCCCAGGCCAATTATGCTGAAGACGTGGTTGCCTCTTTTGGCCAAGCACAAGCACACCCTGTTGGGATCCCCATGGATCCTAGTTTAATAATTGATGATGACCCAGACCCTACAGTGAACATCAAAGAATATCAACGTGGTGTAGGCTGCCTTACTTGGCTAGCCACCAAAACCCGACCTGATCTTAGCCGGACAGTTGGCGTACTATCCCAATATCACGCCAAACCTACCCAAAAGGCATGGCGTGCCCTTATACACGCTATACGCTACCTTAAAGGCTCCATTAACCGACAAATTACCTACCATAAGGCCACGGAACCCATTACATCTGACCTCCTCATGCCCAGATGTTATACTGATTCTGATTGGGGTGGTCAACTGACAGGCAATCGCCGGTCAGTATCTGGATATATATTTCTGCTTGCCGGGGCCCCAATTGCCTGGAAAAGCCGCAAGCAAACGTCCGTTGCACTTAGCTCCAACGAAGCTGAGTATATGGCTCTAAGTGAAGCCAGCCGAGATGCCCTTTGGCTCCGGAACCTCATCAACGAGCTCAACGTGCTCCCTACTGAATGCCCGCCAATTACTCTCTATATCGATAATCAAGGTGCACACGCCATGGCTGAAGCTGAGCTCACCACCAAGAGATCCAAACACATCGATATACGTTACCATTACGTTCGGGAGAAGATCCAAGACGGTATTGTTAAACTCCAGGCCTGCCCTACCAAAGAACAAGCAGCAGACGGCCTGACCAAACCTCTCCGAACTGAACAATTTGATCATTTCCTACAACTCACTGGCATAAGCTAAGCCGCGTATATCTCCCCCATTTTGGATATATTTTCTATTTTGATATACGGCATTCGATTGGCTAAAGCAGAACCTTCATTCCTCTGTTTATTTTTGCATATATTCACTCATTTGAAGGCCCGAATAGAGGCCGATTTCTGTATTTAGATTGATTCCATAGTTTGTAGGCTGCTCGTGCGTGGGGGGGTGTTAGTACACGTGAGGTTCTGCCGTCCTAGACCGCCCTCGCTACCTATCTCACGGCACAGGCAGGCCTACCTAGTAATACGACCATACATGCGCCTATCCATTATAAACATCAGACGTCACACCATGTCACGTGACGCCGATTGATCTGCGGTTCTTTGGAATTATCATCACCCTCAATTCCTCATCTCTCTGCACAGCCAAACCTCAAATGTCTAGCACTTACTGAGCTCGTATACGGAATACCCAGTCACTACTGTGGTGCCATCCCACGTTCTGGGCATGCTCAGATCTACTAGTAGTGAGCAAAAGATGGTGAAGAGCGAGGAAAGGTGAAAATGAAACGGAAAAGCGAGGATATCAGGTACAGATATAGTATCTTCTCTGTCTTCTGTCTACACCATGCTGACTAACGTGGACCAAACCTAACTAAGAAGTATCTGAACCATGGGGACTACCAACAGATACTCTAGGTATGTCCGAGATCCGCTGCTCAAGTGAATAGAAGGTAAGTCAGCTGGAAAGTCAGTGTGTCTTTTTCGTCCTTTTTTAAAGAATCTCCATATATCTTGCCTCAATTCCACCTGACAACAATCAGAGACATGGTAATCACCAATCGAGGGATGCGTATACAGTGTACACAGCCAAAATGATAATGTTGGCCTAAGAAACACGGCATCTAATTCCTAGATAAGTAAGTCCAAAGGCGGTGAGGGGACTGCGTCAGCCAAGTCTGCGCCTATCCCGATCAAGGAAAGCCAGAAAGTCTCGGAAGAGCCTCGGACGTCTCTTCAGTTCAGCTTCAACACCTCTCAGTCTTCTCGACCCAGTTCGCAATTCAACCATCGACAATCCTTGCCGTATTCATTCCCTGTTCTCTCCTCTTAAATTTCCCTCCATATCCCCTTTAAACATGGAGGTTGCCAGTCTTCAACCGTCAAACTCAGCGGACTTCACATCCAACGCGATGGATACCTCCATGGATATCGATATGGATATTGATCTCGGTCCTTTACCAGAGACAGAGACGAATGATGTCGTGAGTTCTGTTATTGTCTGACCTGGCCGACCTTTAACTAAGCCTCCCCTTTTACGATTCCTAGGAACCTATCGCTACGGAAACCACCACGGCAGCCGCTCAGAACAGCACGGTAGACCCTGTCGCCAGTGAACTACAGTGTGAGAAGGTTCATATCAGAGGCGTGGATGAATTGACTACAGACGATATCAGAAAATTTGCCGTGGACCACTTCACACTTGAGCCACCTACGCGCGTCGAATGGATTGATGATACTTCCGCGAACATTATTTATTCGTCTCCCGAGACTGGGTTGCAGGCTCTATCTGCTTTCACGCAACCTGGGACAGAAGAGGATCCGACCTCATTGCCTGCGATACGTCTCCGGTCTGCTAAAATCCTGTCTACGCACCCCGACTCTGTTCTCCAGGTGAGAACGGCCACCAAGGCCGACCGCAAGAAACCACGTGCCTACGAAGCTAGTCGTTTCTATCTGATGCATCCCGAACACGACCCTAGAGAGAAATTGCGGCGGGAACTCTCAGAAAGACGACGCCAGGGTGCGGCGGGCTTGAGCGATGGCGACTATCGAAGAAGGGGGTTTGATAATCGGGAGCACCAACGACGAAGGGGCCGCGACAGGGAGCAAGGGTTCAGTGCTGATATGTACGACGAGAAGCAGGCAATGGATTATTCCGATTCAGAGGGCGGCCGGGACAAGTTGAACCGAGGGGACTTGTTCGTGGACGATCAAGGTCGCTCTACCGGTCGTCTTCGGAATCGCAGTGCATCTCCTGGCCGGGATACCCTGGATGATGTAGGTCGCGTGGAGTGGGACAGCCGGGAGTCGCGTCGACGTTTCCGTGAACGATCACCCCGACTTGAGCGTCGGAATGAAGGCAAAGAACTCTTCCCGTCCAAGAATGACAGCAGTGAAGGTGACAAAAACGCGCGCGAGCTATTCCCTAATAAAACGACCGATAGCTATCTCAAAAAGGAACTTTTGCCCAGCAAGAACAGCAGCCACCGTCGGTCTGACGCGTTCGACGCGGCCGACGAGACGGCAGATCTCCTAGGAAGAAGGATCTCCGTTCCTTTCGTCGACGGGGCTCGTGACGCAAGTCATCGGCGGAATGGAAACGTCGAACTTTTCCCGGAGTCATCGAATGGAAACGGTGTCACTACCCGTGGGACAGCGATACAGGACCAAGGTCTCTCGATTCGCGGGGCAGCGAATGGCATATCGATCAAGGGAAGAGGAGCTTCAGTGCGAGAATTGTTTCCATCCAAATACAACGTGAATGCCGGCAAAGAGCTATTCTCGGACAAGCTGGAAGGAAGAGGAGGTCGACGACGGAAGGCGGAGGATATGTTTAACTGAGGTGTTTAAGGGGTTGTCTTTGGGGTTCATTTCATTTTATCAAAATGGACGCCATGGGATGAGATCCACGATTTCATTGTCTTAGCAGTGGGATACTTTGAATACCATAGGCTACTTAATTTACAAGTGTGACCTGACCGTCACTAGCATATTCTACCTGGCAATAACTCCCAGATAGATCGATGAGTAAGCCATAGAGGAGAAGAGGGATGGGCAAGGAAGAGAGCCCTTTGACCATATTCAGATACTCCGACCAAGGTTACAATGGAAAGGGATGCATGACAGAATCCGATGCAGGCCATGCCCACTGCATAGTACCTATTGTTTCAGGAGACGATGATCCAGGTATCAGCTCCAGACCATGGAATCCACGTGGGAGAATAATATTATTACTGCAGAGGATTCAGGAAGGATATGGAAAACTAGCTCGGATCGTCGCACGGACAAGAATATTCAGTTGAATGAATGATGGATGAATGGCATTTTGAGAGGAATCGAATGAATAGAGCCGTGCCAATGCGCACGTATATCCTATTTTGACAGTATGGCTGATGGAACGGAGTCCGAACTAGTACCGCCGATCCGGACGATCGACCCCGGAACCTTCAATGGAAGCGACTATGTCCACAGAAGAATGACAAATACCAGCGATAGTTTAGTTTTACCTGTGGTAGCCACATCACAAGGACCTAGCTTTTAATTTTCCAGTGTATAGATATTAAAAAAAAGAATACTGCAGAATGAATGTAACAGACTCAGGGTGTGTTCTGAGCATTATCTTGTTCTGGGATAGTGTCTGGTAGAATTCCTGTCTGGTCTCGACTCTGCAGGGTAGGGTAACATCGACGGCACCGCGACTGTGACTAGGATTTCAGGGACAAGGACGAAGACAAAGAGTTCGAGTGTGCTGCTTTAGGATAAAGAAAGTGAGTTAGAAAAGTGTGAAGAGCAGGGACCCGTGCATGCTGTGGCTTGTGTGGCTGAGCAGGCGTTTGTGGCTTTCCCGACTTTCCCTATTGGGTATCGAGATCGATGGCCTAGCAAGATTCATAAGAATATCATAAGCATTCTGATTCACTCCATGCGGTAGAGTTTGACCAACAACGGGACTGTGATTATGATATAACCAGGTAAATTGTCATAGGTACCCGTTGTCCTCCGTGCTCCATCGCGGAACTACACCGCAAACGGCGACGGTGCAAAGCCACAGCCATCAGCATGGGCTACTGCAGGGTCAATGTCCATCCAGCTCCATCCACAACGGATCCATGCCGAGTCAATCAAACAAGGTTAGCAGATTCCGAGTTCGCAGCAGTTCGTGCGTTCGTCCAGCCAAATGGCAGCCACAGCCCTCCACTCGTCATCCCAAACTCTGCTGCGAAACTCTATCTTTCTGTCTGTCGGTCCGTTGGCTCTGGATCTGAACTCATCCCTTCTGGCTGCAGACGAGGGGAACTGGGATTTGCCCGGTTCCAGTTCCCTACCCACAACTACCTACTCTTCCCAGTATAGCATTGTACTTCCTCGTAATCCCAGATTCGGCTCCAGTCTGAGGACGTCCATTAGGCGCTTGCGCAAGGCTACGGTTGCGGTCAGTGCCCACTGCTCACCCCCGGTGGCCGTACAGGGAGATTAATTACGATTACGACCCTCCGGAGAATTCCCGATCATGAATCATGGATGGGATCTTGGATGGTGGAGACTAGTAGATTCATCTCATCAGTTGTATTATTATATTATATAGCGATGGTAATCTTGCTATTGGACAAAGTGTAATACATGTAACGCAGACAAAACTACGAGGCACTTCTGTAATAGTAGCTCTACACAACCCCGACAAATCAAGAAAACACGAGGCTAGAGCTAAGGAGCGCATTCCACTAGCCATGTGCATATCCCAGCCCCATTCGTACCCATTTAGCGAGTACGATCGACACTTCTTTATTTTTGCATCATTCATACTAGATAGACACATTTCTTATGTATTGCTCTTTTTCTCCGATCCCCGCGGACCCGTCTTTCCCTGTGGCTGTGGTGGCTGTGGTGGCGATACGAGCCACTTTATGGCCCTGCTGAAAAGAAAATACGAGCCACAGAACCAAAACCGCTAATTAATAGTGAAAATTCTTTTCCAAGGAAAGTGTTACCTTGAAACAAGTCGCAGTGTTATGTGGCTTGCTGATGATTACCCAGTTCGGGGAATAGTTGGATGCATCGGTAGTCGGATGTATGTATCTACAGCTCGAGTGTACGGTATATCTATCCATCCCTAGAAAGGAAAAGTGATGGCTCTGCTTATAAACTATGTACTTACCTAGATTAGATCGACGTTGCAGGTAAAATCCCCTTTTTTATTTTATTTATATTTTATGGAATTCCTGTCGCCGAGGAAGACCTGTCAGACTCACATAGCCCCCAAGCCAATAACTTAGATACGGCTGAAGTCAAAACGGTGGCTGGCTGGGGGGTGTGTGTGCGTCGCACTGTCGGGTCGAATAATAGACAGGTGTCTCCGTTACGTTAACTTCCCATGTGGGGGTTAGTTTAGTTGGCGCGGTGCATTAGCCACATTTGGTATGTGATGTATTTACCCGGATTTCTTTTCTAAGCTATTATTATTACGGAGTACTCCGTAGATACCACTCACATAGTACCAGATACGTCATGATTTGAATTAATCGGGAAATTATTTATGAGAATCGAACTGTTGCAACATTTATTTTTATTTATTATTTTGGAATTGCTATGTAGATTAAAAAGAGCAGCGCATAATAATTGGCTTGTGGACGGACCACTTGGCGGACTGGTGGGCCAGATGAAAACGGTTTTTTCGGCTAATAAATTACTATTCAAAAAAACCAAAAAAAAAAATAAAAAATAAAAAAAAAATCAAACTAATATGGGCAAAGTACCTTTCTGATATGACATGGCGATTGGGTGTATACAGTGAAACCTCAACCAGACACTATGATTTTCAGATGAGATCTACGCTGCGCCGAACAGAGAAAAGAAGAAAAAAAAAGAAAGAAAAGGAATTCAGCCAAGCCAGTCCCAGTAAGCTGGATGGATGTCCCGACCCCACGGGAATGGGCTGGGGAGGGAGAGGTTCGAGATCTGTTCCGTCATCTTGCCTGTGCAACAGCGGATATCCAAGTATTGCAAAGCAGGGATGTTGGAAATAATAACTAGGTATTCAAATAAATATATAGTACACCGATCAATCAGATATCGCGCACAGTCGCCTGTCTGTCCCACTACACGTTTTCTGTCTGTGAGGTGGCTCTGGAAAAAAAAAAAGAGCGAGAGCTGTGGCACCGAACCGAGTAAGCTGGAAAGGAGGGAAAAAGGCGGGTTAGGTACCCATGCGTGGACGCTGCAACTGCAACTCCACGGAGGACGGACGCAACGTTTCGTGCTCTCTTTTGGTCCGACAAGTTAGAGGTTGCAGCGTGCAGGGCTTGATTACAATTCATGATCAGGCTAACCTGTTTAGGGAGGCGCTCCACCGGGCCAGGATTCCTAAAGCGGATTAGCTCGGATACGACCAAGTGGAGTTGGAATCCGACAGCTGAAAAGCGATTTGCCACAGGCCCCGTGATCGCCCCAGACAGCTGCGGCCAATAATAGTATGCTAAAGCGCAAGACCGTTCGCAACGGGCTCCACTTGGATAGAGTTTCAGCCCCCGAGATCTCAGATCCGATCTTCGCCAATAGTGGCCCACCGATGCCCTGTCGTTCTTATTTTGCTTTTTTTATCTATTTATTTGAATTATTATTTTGTTATGATTATTTTATTTAGTATTTTCTAGTGGTTTATTTTATTTTTAATCATTTTATTATTTTTCCCTGCGAGGTGAAGAATCACCACCCCCAACTGGCTCGTATTTACGTATTGCCCTTCTCATATATTATGCCCTCGATGTCCGCACGTTGCGACAAATAAACTCACTCCTACATAACCGCTCCACTCCTTCCTTTCTTCCCTCCTCCAAACCTGTCCCTCTCCGATCTCTTCCAAGTCCGGTCGCCATCCGTCTGCAACCCTGGAACTTGACCTTGCTTCTTGCCGCCTGCTACATCACTTGGGCTGGGCACGTGCACACCCAGTTCCTTTTCACCATTTATTTAAATCCTCAGGTAAGGACGCATTTCAACCCTTTCAATATATTCGTTATTCCACGAAAATACCAACTGACCGTTTGAAGAAATAACTTTTATTGCTCTACAATTGCCATGGCCCCTGTTCATCGTCGCGGCCCCTGGGTCCCAGAAGAGGACCAACTTCTGCTGCAGTTGGTCCAGGAGCAAGGCCCGAACAACTGGGTCCGTATCTCACAGCACATGCACTACCGCTCTCCCAAGCAATGTAGGGAACGTTTCCATCAGAATCTTAAGCCTTCTCTGAACCGTGCTCCTATCTCCCCCGAGGAGGGTCTGGAGATTGAACGGCTGGTCAACGAGATGGGGAAGCGCTGGGCGGAAATCGCTCGACGCCTCGGTAACCGCAGCGACAACGCGGTCAAGAACTGGTGGAATGGCAGCATGAACCGCAAGAGGAGAGGTCTGGGCAGTCCATCTTCCTCTCACCACGATTTCTCTTCATCGCGAGTTTGCCACGGTCGAGTTGGCGCTCCTTATCCTCGCGCTTCGGTGGAGGCACCTCGCAGTTTTGTCGATCGGTCGCGTTTTCTACCATATTCTCGTCCGATTTCTCCGTCATGGACAGCGACAGCACCAGCAACACATACTTGTCCGGAGAAGTCCTTGCGGATGGACCGTCCCGCTCCCATCAGTGTTTTCCCTGCAAGTCTACCGATAGTCGAGCGACCACGGTCGTCATCGCCTGCAATGGGTCCCATGGTGAAGTTTCCCCTGCGCCCCATCGAATCGGCATTACCATCCCCGGCCTATTCGGAAGTTTCGCATGCGCCTTCTCTGGAGACGCCGTCGCTCGTGTCCGATCAATGTTCCATATCATCCGCCTCGCTGCGCAGCGTTCATTCGCCGCAGCTCCTACCGCTCCCAGTGGATTTGCGCCAGCGCTATTCCGATATGCGACGGCAAAGCCTCCCTTCTATCGTGACAGATGACGGACACTTGTCTGCTTTTCCTCCTTCCTCGACCGCCTCTTCCCCGGCCTTCTCTCGCATGACACCTGTCAAACACCTGGAGCCTGTTTCCGAACCAGCCATCAGACTGCCGTGGCCGGTGCCAAGTCAGCCGGTGTCTACATGCTGGCCCCAGTACTATCATCACCATCAACACTCGGCATCGTGGTCTCCCTCGAAGAAGGACGAGGAAACACACGATTCCCGGATCAGTCTGGACAAACTGCTGAATTAATTGGTTGGCCGATCTGATCCATATATATAATTAACATTGCGTCTCGTTCTGAGGTGTTTTATGTATGGTTTATCTAATATTTCCTTTGTCAATTTCCTTTGTTTTGTTTTTGTCTCCGGTCAGCGTTTCACCTTCATCCAGTGCAGGTCACCTGGGTTGTGTATTTACTAGTCAATCCTCGGATTATTGTTTTGGGGGCGTACGGGCTGAGCTGCGTTGACTACGAGTTTGGATGGTTTAATGTTCGGGTATACTTTTGTTTCCTTTTTTGCCACAGCTAGGCGTTTCTATTTGTTTCTACTGAGCCAGGTGGAATAATTGCATGAAACTATGAATTCATGATTCTTGAGTATTATATGATAGAATACCCTTACAAGTAGACTTGAGATGTAGGTACTGCGAGAGAAACGGTACGTCCACTTCAAGTACGAATATAATATACAGCAAATAATACTCGAGAGAAGTCGATCAATCCCAGTTTGTGTTAGTAGTTCATGAATGCCCGTATTCTGCGTAGTGTGTACTGGAAGAATTTCGGACATAAGCGACCCTCGGACTTAGTACTATTGGTAATATATTATAAATTCTCCCATTGAGCAAAACCAAAAGGATCAGTCATGCATAACTTGCATGACCCAGGGTCTGGCAGTGGAGATTGGGATTGAATCGGTGTGTGATTTTTTTTTTTTTAAATTATTATTATTATTCAGGCAGCCACAGTTTTTATTTACTTTTACTATTCCTGTCCACCGTTTCTAATCCAGCACGTAGTAGTAGACTACCTAAATTAGTAGTACAGAGTATAACGGACTCCACGAGGTGCAGGTGCTATGCCAAGGACCGTTGAATCGATCCTTATTTCTTACTCTGTACTCTGTGTCTACTATCTATACATGTATAGTAAACACCGAACACATGTTCATGCAATGTGTCGATGGATGTTGTGCATACAGCCAGTGGTAATTGCTATAACCGCCGTGCCATAACTATACTATATAGAGCCATCCACGGTCACTCTCATAAAATGCGGAGACAATGACCAGACCAGAGTAAGTCTTGTTCCATTCCACCGAGTAAGAGCACAGACAAATGATAAACACACCATTTTCCCAATCCGGCCAAAATGACAAATCATAGAACCTTGTAAATGAGATCTGCCAATCATCACTCTCATAAGCGTAACCCCCTGCAGCCGCTGGCCGTCAGTGTTTAGTGTTTAGTTAGTGGTTCTCCGGCCGTTCGTGATCCTTACTTCCATTCCACTTTCCACCCTTGCCAGTGAAACTAAATACCTTCTGATGTTGTACTTGCTCATAAACATAGACATACAATAAACTCTACAAGATTACCTTGCCTAACTTTGGTCCCCGAGGTCGCCGACGCCGATGGGTTTTAGGTCACCGATGCACTTCATACTACTATTTAGCATTTACCGGCTAGGATCTATCCCACTTGTCTAAGACTAAGCGATATCTACTTACATACTACTATATACATATAACGTCGCTCCACTATTTAGTATTGTGGCTCAGCTGACGCCTTGCTCGAGGTATTTGTGGCTGATAGTGTTGGTGTTGTTGTCGTTGCCGAAGAGGTAAGCGGCGTTAAGGATCAATCCCGCAGCTTCCCAATGTAGATTCCTACATATCCTTAGGATTCGATTCATTCCGATCTTGTCTCTCAATGGGTCTCTTGTTCACATTATTAATTCACATGCTCAATCCATATCATGCATAGACAAACCAAAGTAATACACCAGGGTATATCCTTTCCCAATTCAATTGACCATTCAATCCATTATCCATCATAACCAGATATCCTCCTCTTCGCCATTCACCCATTTTTTCCACACCCGCTCGTACGCCTCCTCAAGATCTCCCACCCAACGCCTGGTATTGAAAAGCCGACTCTCCCATCTATGTTCAAATAGCATCTTTCGCAGCTCACTCAACCGCCCCACCGCTCTTCCAGAGCCCCCCCGCGCATACTGGAACCCCAGACACAGCCGGATAGCCTTGTTCTCGTAGTCCTCGTCCGACGTGGCAATCAGCTCTTCTCGTGCCTTCTGTCCCGCTTCCGAATCCGGCACCGCGCTGCTCAGGATGCTGGACGCCATCCGCGAGCACATCTTGTATTTGTGTCGCGGATACGTGAGAAGCGGTGTCCCGCTCCATAGCACGTCCGTCGCCGTCGTGTGCGCGTTACATTCTGGCGTGTCCAGGAAGAGGTCCAGTATCCTGGCCCGGGATATATGTGCATTTTTTGGCGCCACATCCGTGAAGATGAGACGTGACGCCGTCTCCTCACCAGCCCAGGCAACTGCCGTCTCCCGGAGATTCTTTTCTCCAATATCCGGAAATCGGAGCAGCCAGAGGACGGCGTTGGGGATCCGCGCAAGAATCCGTAGCCAGGTGCGGAAGGTTGTCGGCTCAATCTAGTCATCGTTAGAATTCGGATACTTCAATAACAACAACATCAACAATAATATACCTTGTAGAGCTGATTGAAATTGCCAAGGATAATAGTGTCATCGCTAAGATTCGGAAACAGCTCTTTCCGCATCTGCCAACGCTTCTCCTGTTCTTCCTCCCAGGACATCGGCTTCTCGCCCGCGTTGAGCGAAGTCTGCCGATGATCGCAGCAGAAAAACGTGTCCCGGGTGAACACAATCCTCTCTCCATAAACCCAGTCATCAAGCTCTTCCGCATGGTCTTGTTCGAGTACTTGCTCCTCAAGACTAAGATTGCGTCTCCCAGGACTAAGCGTCTCCGGCGGGATGGACAGCTCATCTGAAAGGATGTAGTCGCACCACTCAGCCCCGAGTGTTCCTGCGAAGCCCATAAAGGACATCTGGATCGGCGCCGGTCTGGCCGCAAAGACCTCGTTGCGAGCGCCTCGCGTGTAACCGTTCAGATTGATCAGGATGTGAATCCCATCCTCAACAATCTGCCCGACTAGCCGTTCGACCGACCAGCTGCTAGCATCGTAGAAAACCGGAGCCTCCCTTTCAATTTGCTGACGATGTGATGACCTGTCACTGGCCGTAGTAGCGTAGCAGTAGGCTTTGACCTTTGACGGATTGTGTATGCCAAATACTGACTGCATAAGATGGGCCAGCGGGTGATTATTAAAGTCGGAGGACACGTATCCCACTTTGAGATACGGATTCGGTGGCGACGGAGGTTTAAATACGGTACCCGGGAGCCATGGTGACCGCAAAGTCGAACAGGAGATGCGAATCCCATTCCGTTGAGAAATATGCCGGACCTGTTTTGCGGAAACTGGACAAGTAAAGGTGTGGAAAGGCAAAACGGTCGGCGCATTGGGAATGGTGAGCCCCGACGGCAGTTGTGGGCGGCGGTATTTGGATAGAGGATATTCTTTCCCATATACATAGCGGTCCTGATACCACTGCCAGGTTATCGACCGGATGGCGCGTTCGATCAGCCGCACGATCCGTGATCCTTCCCATTTCCGTCCTGCCCACGACTGGAGAACGGCCGCCAGGGAGGCAAGTTTTTGACTAGGGCCAAACCGGCCATTGTCGAGGGCGGGAGCAAGCTGCGCACAGAGTTGCTCGATCGTGTTGGGCGTCAGTAAACCACAACCCCACGTCTCGCCCTCCTTGAGCTGTCGGTCGACGATGTCAACTACACGCTTTATCCAGCCAGTCCCGGTTTCAGCACCGTTAGAATCACGAAGCATGCCTTGGTCATCAACGTGCCACCGGTCGAGGAATCCACGACCCTTTGCGATCCCACCGCGACCAGTCCAGTTGCAAACGGAGTTCAATGCATTGGCGAGTCCGCACACAGCCTCAGCAAATTCCGGGTTTGCTTTGACAGCCCGTCTGTAGTAAGAGATCGCGTCATTGATCCGACCCGCATCCTTGACGGCATTTGCCAAATTGGCCAGCGCGATGTCAAAGTTATTATCGCATTGGACCGCCTGCTCGTACATCCGGATGGCTGCTTGAAACTGACCGAGATCCTTGAGTAAGCTGCCGAGATTCGTATAGAGATGGGCATGCCGCGAATCTAAATGCAGGCCATAATTGTAGTACGCTAGGGCCAGCGACACTCCGCTTCCAGGGACCACACCAGGTATTTCCGGATGTTGGATTTCTCCAACGGAATGCAAGTGTGTCTTGATCGACGGATTGTTCTGGATGCTGGCAAGCAAGATCCCCACGTTATTTGCGGTAGATGGACTAGGCAGGAGGGAAAGAGAGAGATAATAGAGGGTCAGAATATCTCCAACATCTGGTGCGCTTCCTAGACACGCAGAGACGCTGGCATTCGACATGCCATCCTGGTAGATCTTTGCCAACGAAAGCAGACAATTACTTGTAGTTGACACGGCGGCTTTCCTTGCAATTCCTTCAGATACATATTTGAGGCCCGGCGGTAACCCACTGTGTGGGAAGACGAGTTTCGCGGTCTGAAGAGCCTTGTCCGGGTACAGAAGGAGGGTTTCCTTCGTGTCGAGAGGTGCCGATGGCGTCTGAAAGCTGTTCCGCAACCCTTGAGAGAAAGCGGCGACTATGGCTTTGATTAGACGTTTGATTCCGTGCCGTCTTCTCCCAGCAGCAATCAGAATGGCATCTTCAAAGGCAGCCGCAGCCCCCGAATGGTCGCCCAGAGTATACAACATATTCCCCTTAGCATGAACAAGGGCCAGCATTCTACCGTTGTCGGACCCGGGAATAGCGTAGCCACTGGAGGCAAAACCAGCAGAGCCTGCCTCGGTCGAGACCTGGTTGAACGCCATCGAAAGCCCGCAGTCATCGTCGTAGTCGAATGCGGCCCTTTCATAGGGATTTATATCCGACAGTATACTATCGGCATCGCTGTCCGCATCACTGGCGTGCTCGTCTGCCTTGAAGCAATCTCCATCTCTGGGGAAGCGCAAGGACGCCTGCACATATTCAATGATATTGACCGCTTCTTTACCACGGTGACTGCTGCAGAGAAGACCGATCAGATGTTCCACAGCCTCGAAGTAGCTTGGCCGCAGTTTCACGGCACGTAGCCAATGCTGGCATGCCTCTTCTCGACGGTCGAGCGCCAACAATGTGGCCGCAAGATTTGATATTGCTTCAACATGCCTTTTTGATTCGATGAAGCGCATTAGAATCTCTTCAGCCGCTAGGGGAAAAAAAAAGAGGGCATGATAAGTAAATCAATAATTACTCACGTTTCATCGCGTGCAATGATTCTAGAATACCACCTCATGGCTTTGTGATAGTCACCCAAGCCATATGCGAGGCAACCGCCCAGTAGCATGCCGTCAATCCATTCCCAACCACTTTCCATACAAAGATGAGAGAGCATCTCCAACGCTGAAGCGGCGTTTGCCGTGGTAGAACTCTCATTCGCAAGATTGGAGAAACGGGTCATGGACAGTGGACCAGAGAATCGTCCAGTGGGGCGTAACCGTTCCACCACGGAGGTATCCGGTGCCCTGTGTTGTTGCTGGAACTGGTTCAGCAGCGGACGTTCATGATGCCGGTTGACTGAGAAGCCCGGGGTCGAATGGACCAGTGGCGGCGCGGGTCTTCCCAAGCTGGGTATACCACCAGCCTTAGCCATCTGCTGGTCAAATTGAGTGGAAGGATAGCTATTATGACGGAGAGCTTCCGGGGTGTGATTCTGAGATGAGAAATCCAAGCCAGGCTGGCGAGGGGGCTTGGGGTAGATACTAGGCTTTAGCAAACGCGAGTTTGCCCCGTCAACGGTGACACCAGCAGCAACACTGTTCCGTCGAGCCTGATGGATAGTCGCGAGCAGGTCAACGTAGACACCATGGGCCCATGACAGGACCTTCTCCTTGAATTCTGCATTTTCTGCGCGTGAAGTCGTCGCAGCCGCAAAACTAGAACCGCCTGGAGTGCCAGACCACGCCAAAGGCTCATTTCCGAGTTGATGCGACGAGTAACTAGCCGATGGCGCTTTGGCGTGACGTGTATGATAGGACAGGGTGTGCTGATGTTGGGGCGGATCAAGCGTAGGCCTCTGGCTCGAGTGCCGTGGAGGAAAGTTCTCCTTCAGTAGATGATCTTGATTATCAACCACAGCAGTGGGAACCTGATTCCAGAGAAAGGCCGGGTCCGACGGAGGACCACCGGTAGGAAGAGATGGTCGACCGAATGAAGGCTGTCCTATGTTGTAGAGCGGTGGGCCTTGTTGACCGAACGGACGATTGAAGCGCGAATCGCGCATGGCCGCTGGACGATACGGGATATAAGCGCCATCGGGCCAGTAGGGTCCATACGGACCTGTGCCAGCCGAGGCCGTGGGTCCGATGCACGGTTGAAGGGCCGCTGGCAAAACGGTAGGAACGTAGGCGCCATTGGGCATGAAATAACGCGGCTGTGGCTGTTGCAGCGGCAATGGCAGCGACAGATTGGAGTCGATCCCAGGAGGGTAGTTCAACGATCGCACCCAGCCAGTGGAATTTGGATCCGGAACGGCATCGGTGGGAAAGATGCCGGTCCCACGATTGGCATCGCCCTTGAAGACAGGCGGGAAATTCATCGGCTTAGCGGTCGAGGCGTGGTCGACGGTGGGTTGCATCCAACTGTCCAGCGGGACGCCGGTCCGCGGAGCCAGAGACTGACTTGTTTCGAGGGGAGAGACCAGGATATGCTTCGTTGCCGGCGGTTGGATGGTAGTATCCCCGGGAGTACCATCGTAGCCAGCGGCGAGGGTACCGTTTGGAGTCTTCCTCCTCAATGCATGCTCGCCAGGATTTTCCGCACTCGAGGAGGGATCCAGGGCATCGTGGGCGCTGAGGCGCTGGACGGGATGAGGAAACTGCACACGGGATCGAGACACGGATTGGAACGAGCCCTTGGCCAAGTCCTCGCGGGAGAAGGAGGCGGGAAAGGCAGTTTTGCTGGGGCTGTAAGGAAGAGGAAGGGCATCGGTAGCCCGATAATGGTCCAGGTGGTGATGAGGTTGCACCTGGGGAAACAACGCCACGGAAGGTAACATGGTTGCAGGGATTGTGATGGACCCGTGCCGTCAATAGGAATAATCACCGAAGGAGGACAGACAGAGGAAGAGAGAAGTGAAAAAAAGCAAGAAATAAGGGCAACAGATCAAGAAATCGACACAGGCAATTTGGCTTCTGCTGATATTTCAACAAGCAGCATCATCTTCTCCTCAAGCGTTTCCGACACCTCATCATGGGATCCAGCCCAATCTGTGGATATTCCGGGAGAATAGGCCAGACGGAGTGTTCACGAGCTCATTCCCTGCCTCGGTGAATGGTACACGCATCAACGTCGAGGGAAGTGTAGAGAGGATGAAAGCGTGTGGTTCGAACTTGAAGAAGGCGGATCGAGAACGAACGAGGTGGACGAAAGAACGGGCGGGAAGGAAGGGCGAAACAAACGGGGCGATGAGAGGAGAGAGGTGAGAGGAGGAGAAAAGGATGCAGAAACACAGCCTGGTAAAAATCCTGGTCAGAATTTGAGGCCACACGCTAGATGCAGGTGCCCGCCAGTCACAGCCAATGGAGGCGCGAACGAGCGGCAGAGTCCACGCAAGATGCTCACCCACCGGGAGAACACACAGGTAAGAATAAGAATATAATAAGAGAATGGTAGAGCAGAGGGAATGATGCAGAAGCGACCACGAACAGGAGGGGGAGGTGCTGAGCGACGAGAAGAAAGACCGGTGCCGCTGGACGAGCAAAACCGGGGAAGCCAGTCAGAACGCGTGGGCGAAACGCGGAGAAAGTTGTTTGTTGGGACGAAGAACGAGCAAATATAAGGGAAAAGAGATGGCAAAAAAGAAAAAAAAAAAAAAAAAGGAAAGAAAAGAAAAGAAATGAAGAGACCAAAGTTGCAGTATCTATCGAGCTAGCAGCGTAACGCCCAGCGGGAAGCCAACTGGGGCTGCAGCGATCATCTCTCCACAATGATATGATGATTGTATCCATTTTGCTTGCGGCGTAGATTCTCTTGAGCTTTGTATTCACGGTAGATTTTCTGTACAATTTCTACAAGCACAGTTGTATCTACATCTCCTTCACATCTACATCTGTTAACAGCATACCGTACAGTACTACAGTGTATATACCATCTAGATTCACCGATCCAACGGGCTAGCAATCCCCCGAACCCACAGAACATACGAGATGCGCAACACCCATCATATCATCATTAGCGTCCTAATTTAAGGGATCCGCAGTGCATGTTCTGACCTGCTAGTCTGTGATCCCTCCTTAAGACCGTGCCATGTCTCATCTCCACGTAAGACGGCCTGCAACGGGCCAAAGCCACCTCCGCTCGCACACTTCGAAGCGCCTGTCTTCAAGAAAATCCTTAAAGACAATGATAATAACACTGGTATAATAGCCTGTTCCATCAACAGAACCTTATCATTCGACTCTTTTGCCTTTCCGGTAAAGCCACCGTCTGTCTGATCCCTGAGAATCCATTCTTGCTGGCGAAGGATCTCGGTCAACCGCGCCAACTTAAATGCGCCCCAGTGGTCGCTTCTGTCAAGTGATATCACCGGCTCCCCTCCCCAATCTCGCATCGTTGGTTCAAAATGCCGTCTTTCGTGTTGGTGGATCTGCGCTTATTTCTGTTCCCTCCTGCAGGCCTAGACCCATGACTCATGTCACGCATCGCCCTGAAATAAGGGAATCCGAGACTGCCCTGATCATTACTATGATTATTATTCCGGAGCCATTGTTATCTTATGGACTTCTGTAGCACGTTGCACCGCTGATCTATTCAGGCGGTAACACGGTCAAGGATCTCTACGGCATTCTTCATTCAAAATTGCAACAATATTTCATTTCTACAACTCGAAATCTACTTGCCAGATGGCATTTAGGCCATGATGATGGACCACTGTATCCATGACGAGGAGCCGTAAGGACTCCCCCACGAATACCGCGGTGAGTAGAAGGCCGCTTTAATCTTCTTTGCGCAAAATAAGCCTATACCACGGTATATGCATGTCCCTGGAAGAGACAGTACGGGCCAGAGTGTTGCAAAGGTCGGCAGAGGAACCGAGACAGCCATGCATGGAACGATGGTGTCCCGCTCCGACTGTCAGAGAAAGAGAAGGGTAGCTGGTCACTGACCGATAAAATGTCCGGTCCATATTCATTTCCAACGCCTATAGCAGAAGAACAAGAGAAACGTCGTCATTCGTTAAAAAAAACTTTTTGTTTTTCTTTCCGTGACAATAATTTTAATTCATTGTAACTAGCACCGCGAACATCTCAAATGTCGGCAGTTACAAAAACAAAATCGGATGCCACTTCCATGGGGTATTATAAATGGATTTACTCCGAGGGGACTGTTCCACATTAGTATCCAGAAACAAGATCCCAAGAAAAACTCCACTTACCGTCAATCTCTCCAGCCTTGATGTCGTCGCTGACATCCTTGGGGCTGCGGCCATCAACCTGGCAGCCAACCGAGAAAGCAGTACCCAGGATCTCAAGGACGGTTCCCTTGAGCTCCTTGGCCAAGCTCCTGGTGCGCATCTGGCGAGCAATATCAATGATATCTTCGAGAGGGATGGACTTGTTGTGCTTGATGTTCTTCTCCTTCTTGCGGTCACGAGGAGGCTCCTTCAGAGCCTTGATGACCAGAGACGAGGCTGAAGGCACAACAGAGACCTGAGCCTGACGGTTCTGGATGGTGAGCTTGACGGTGACACGGAGACCTTTCTGCATATCAGAAACATCAATAATTAGCGGAACACTCTAATACGCGCATCTTTCCCATATCCGATGTAAGCATACCCAGTCGCCAGTGCTCTTCGCAATGTCTTCACCGATCTTCTTGGGAGACAGACCCAGAGGACCGACCTTGGGGGCAAGGGCGGACTGGGCACCGACTTCACCACCAGTCACCCGAAGGTGGCTAGAGAAAAAAAATGTTAGTGTCAACGTTAAACAGCGGAATAGAGCAGTGCACACATACACGATCTTCACCTCATTGGGGTCGAATTTGGGAGCTACCCGAAAGAATTAATGTCAGTTGGCCGCCATATGTACGTCCAAGGAGATGATACTTACGCATGGCGAGTGCGAAAGGTTGTCAATCGTCCTTGGGGATGTTGGTCGGGGTGGATGAGGAAGAAAGGGAGTCTTGAAGAATTTCTCGAGAGTTGACATTTAGCCAGACCCGCACTGCGCACTAAGCGAGCCTCCCAACTCGGAAATCATTGAGGGCTTAACCCCTTCAATCACGTGAGTTTTGATAATACAGAATACTTAAGTACCTTCATAACTACAGCGTAGACCATAACCACAGTATCAACTAGTTTAATTTACTATCTTGCGTCTTAAAGAACAAACAAACAAATAGCACCGCTAAAGATACAAAAATCGACCGGGGTGTCTGATATTGGACCGCCTTTTGCTCTCGTTACAGCAATTACCTCATAATATCTAGCTCGTTCCGGACACAGCAAGCCTAGGTTGACAGGTTAGCTAGACGTACAAAAACACCCTATGTAGCTCGTTTTAAACTCACTTCATCAAATGTTCCATGAAGGTCTGCAGTGAAACATCATCGGTGAAGATGGTCTGCGAAGTCACACCTCCGCCATACCCACCGGTGGTGTGGGTAGTGGATGGGTTAAGCTTGGACAGGAGGAAGCGTGCTTGAGAGCCACCTGCGTCACAGACGATGAAACGAGGCAACGGGAAACGGTCTGCAATCAGTTCCTGTGTCACGCGTGAGTCAGCAAAACATATATCCAAGAATAGCTGCAGACAAGAGGAACATACCCTTGCGTCTTCCTTTGGTCGCTCAAGAAGAGCTTTGAGATTCTCATAGCCTTCCTGATCCTGGTAGCCCGCCTTTCTCCATTCGGCAATGGTCTCTCCATGGAAAATCAGGATGTGGAAGAAGGTGTCAAGAAGCAGGATGTGATCAGGTTGGATGGAAGCCGAATCCAACAGAACTGGCTGGCTACCCTCATGCTCCAAAGAGTAGGAATCAAGAGTTGGCTGGATCATGACGAGAGAATTACCAACATCTTCGTGGTCCAAAACATGCCTATAAAATGCAGTCTCATCAGGAGAATTGTTGAACATCTGCAAGAACTGACTTCTCCGGAGATGGAACATGAATTGAGGGTACAGAGTGAAATTCTTCTCCAGGCGGAATGACGTCGGGTCATCCTTCCGGTAGTCTGCAAAACGAGAGCAGAGCCTGATAAGCATGCGATCAACCCAGCGCAAAACATCTGGGCCGTCGTCAACTTCCGCCTTGAACACGGCGATGCGAGCCATTAGTACCGCGGCAGCTTCTTGATCGAATGACTGAGCGAGCGTTGGATCACCGGCCGGGCCACTCAAGGCCCGGGCAACGGTCGTGACCCTGAGATGGTAATGTCCAGAAGAATGTTGATAGTAGGTCAAGAACTGCATTAATCCTCTCTGAGGACCCTGCTGCACGGCCGCAGGCCCGCCTTGGTTTGCAATTTCAAAGTAAATACCGTAGCTTGAAGCAGGGTCAATTCCGCACATTTTCCACGCGCAAGTGTTGCCAATACCACATTCAGTCTCACCCACGGAACTCGATTTTTTATTCAAGCTGATCGCATGGCCAATAAGACCTGTGACCTTAAGCTCCTTGGTAGTGAGCACCTCCAGAGATGCATTAAAAGCCATCAGAAGGTTGTCATTCTGATCCTTGTCAAAAACCCTAATAAAGGATTGTTTGAACTGGGACGATGTAAAGCTGTCCGTGAGAAGCATGTGGCCACCGGTAGAATTCGCGAGGTTCTTCATTTCGAAAAGGCCAACTTGATCAAGACACCCTGCAAAGATATCAACAACATGCCCATTGTGCGCAGCCCGTTTGGCGAGGTTATCGTAAAACTATGAACGTCAGTGATGAGCCACAACAACCAGAGTCAAATAAAACGCACCTTGACTGCCTTCTTGAAGTACTTGACGTTATCCCGATCGATGTCGTGGTGAGATCGTATCGGTTCCTTCAACTCGGGTGAGACGACATGGCCCGGACCTTCAGTAGCAGGTCCGCTCGTGAAGAGCATGATGCGTCCACCTGTATTGAGAAAAGAGGTCTCCAGGAGGCCAACAGCAACATTTAATGCAACACCTGTACATCTCAGCGGTCGCTTATCGTTTGCAACAGGCCATGGGTCGCGCTGCAGCTGTTCAAGCACGTTGGTTATCTGGAACTCGGCCTGTTGAACGGGCAAAAGGAATCGTGCTGCCGGACCCAGGGCTGGGCGAGCCATCTGCTGAGGCATAGCTTGTCGTAGTCCAGGTGAGAGAAGGCCAAGCATCTCTTGAACCTGTTTCGCGGCATACTCCTTATTTCCCCTAAAGACATATGACTTGGCGCATTCAGTGTATCCGAGTTCGTGCACTTGTGCCTATACTCTTTAGGTCAGCAAATAGTTGTGAGAATAGCAACCCGCAAAGGAATTATGCCGTGAACCCTACCATTGTACCAAAGGTGATCAACCCAACCAAAGCATTTGCAGGCAAAAGAGACAAGCTCATAATCAAGGTATCCTTCAAAGCCTTCAAGCTGTCATCCTCTTGGCAAGTATCCACGACGTACAGGAAGATCGGCGGGGCAGATGCAGGACGCGCCAATTGATACTCAATCGTTGTGCTCTGGGGGTGGAGCTCTGGGGGTATCGCATTTTCCGTGATGTCCTTGTAGTGAGGAGGTAGAGGGTTGCGCATAAGACAGAAGGGGCAGATCCAAATTCGCGCTCGAACGTCGACATTGCTTCCCAACGTCAGCCGAATTGCGAGGCATCTGAGCGTTGGGTCTGGTATACATACGCATAAGGGTTAAGAACAGCCCTGCAAGGCTGTTTGCAAGTTACCGGTTCATATTGTAGCAATGGAGTATCCGGCTTCTCCTTGAGGGGCGTATAGACGGCTGCGATGGGGACCACCAGTCTGGATGCCTCCTGTTACAGACACCTTTTGAGTAATTGAACTGAATATGTGAGGTCGAGCACATACCATTCGAGAACTTGGAAACGTATTCCAACTGAGCCTAATGCCATCGCGATCTTCGATATCGCTCCATTGGTCCTTCAACGCTTCGTAGTCCATGATGCTCGGTGATGGGAGGCGTGACGAAGAGGGGGTTTTTGACGGTATGAAGCAGGGAAAAGGCGGAAATGCTTTTTTTACTCCAGAAAAGAAGTGGCAATAAAAATGTCTGCCCGTAGCATAATCCTACCTGGAGAAAGGGCAACGCCAGCTACTTGCTGTCCAGGAGGTCGTCGTCAACAGATTGGAGAGTTAGTTGTGTGAGCCTTGGTTGCTGGCATAAGGCCAGGTTGCAGCATTTGTGGTCGCCATCGTCTACCGTACACTATCACTTAAAAATTTCGCTTTCCCGAGCTCCCTCTTCCTTCCTTCTTCTCATCTACAATTATCACGCCGACTCAAGAACTGCAATTCTGTCGACAGCCTCTGTCCATCACTAATGATGAAGCTGTTTTCGTGTCGAGCGTAGAACAATTTGACCCGTCGCTGGGCACCTGGTTTTGAAAGGTCGTTCCGATCCTTTCGGATTTTCTGGGAATCAGCAGTGGTTACACTTCCTCTCTGAATATAGGCTTGTGATATATAAAATTGTGCATCGACTCTTTTAGATTGACATATGATTATGAATTTAAATTGACTATGGAATGATCACCGTAACGGCGTAACTCGACAGTCCCAAGTCCGAAGTCGTTACTATCCCAAAACTCGAAAGCAAAACGCCAGCATGAAAGGGGTCAAAGGAAGGACGAAGGAGAAGAAACAGAGCATAAAACATCGTGAACGATATGGACCACTTTCAACCTCATTCGTTCTTCTGAGGGTTTCCACCTTGCTTCAGAAGATACGCCCGCTTGAAGTACTCGTTTGGATGAGCAATCATCTGGAGGTCCGACTGAGTCCAGATACCGTCTTCTTTGGCCTTCTTAATCTCTGTCCTGTATGTCCAATCGAAAACTCTATTGCAGGCTGAATGGTACCGAGTCTTTTCAACGTCTTCTCGTACTCCGCGGAGAACATCTCTATCGTTGACGCCCATAGACTGAAGTAGTCCGGTAAGGTTGTCGATAGAGAAATGACGATATGGACAACCATGAGTCTGGCCAACACTAGGCCCGGTTTCTTTCAAAATCCTATTACAGCTGAAAGGAGCCGCACCTCGATTCCTGCGGTTGGCATCCCCCCCAACGTCACCATACGCGTGGCGTATATTATACTTGTACCTGGAATTGAATTCGTCATCCGAAAATCCCCTGAATGACTGTCGCCAGAAGGTTATACAGTCTTCCAGTGACAACCCAATACCTTTCAGGAAGAGTGTGTACTGAAGACGACCAAAGTGCTTTAAATGGTGACTCTTGCGCAGTGTCATATGTAAACTCCGCATGCAAGCCGGGAAGTATTGCGAAAGGTGATCAATCGATGCGGCATTGATTGGGGCGCCATCAACGAAGCCTTCCCCATCAGTATAGACCGAATCCGCGTTTTCGAAGTTCTTCGATAGATGATCCAGGATCGGACTCAAACGGTCATCCTCATCCAGACGGGGTAGGGCTCGGCTCGTTAGCTAGAGGAGAGTTAGCCGCAGTGATCACAATTAAGGTATTCCTTCCGCGCACCTCAAGCGCACGCTCTAGGCGAGCCGTAAACTCGGCTATTACAATGCTTAGTTGTTCCCTTCCCGGCACATAGGCTTTCCCTTTTGCTAAGAATACCGCCCGCCGCTCGACCAACTCAGGAACATTTTCCCAGTCAACCTTATACCAAGTCTCCTCATCAACACGGCGTAAACCGGGTGTCCCATTGTGTAATTTTTCGGACAATTCGTGCCTCTCCTGGTCGCTGACTGGCTCCCAATTGAGATTTAGACTCTCGATGAAGGCGCGTCTTTCTCTAGAGTCATCCTGCTGGAATCGAAACCTGAATAGCATAGTTTCCGCTCGCACAAACCGTCGTCGGAGATCTTCGGTAGCCGAGAAGGCCAAGCGAAGAATGAAATGTGAATAGTGATCTTTCTGCCGTTCATTTCTCAGACGCTGATCGGCGGCGCCAGATGGTGAGGAAGTATTCGCGGAAAGAGGAAGGAATTTCTGAAGAAGAGGTGTAATATGCGCAGCTGTCTCAGCAGCCGACTTGTTTCGGTAGGAGCACGATTCGATCTCAGCAAGGACTAATTAGATGTCAGCCAGAAAGCCATATTTTTTGTATGCACCATTTCCCCCCGGTAAAGCGTACTTTTCAATCTGTCAATCGCCCATTGTTCAAACTGTTCAAGTGTTATCTCTGCAGTTGGAGGGATCTCATAGAAGTTCAGACGGTAAGGATAATCTTGTTGCTTGTATGTCGGTGTAGCAAACTGCTTCTTCCGGTGATCGAGGACAGCCCTCTTTTTGGGATCAATTCTGTGGATATCTTGCCGAATCATTTTGAGCTGCAGCAGACAGATAGGAATATCTCAACTCCCTCGTCTGTACTTTGATTGAAGACCGCAAAGGTTGTCGTGGTTATTATCTGGGTATCTGCTTCTACTCGACGCGCAACACGCGCATGGACGCGCCAATTGCTGGTCACGTGAAAAGTATCTTTCGTGACTCTGCGGGCTCCTAGCTCGGACCACTTAGAAATTAACTCTGGCCACCTAGAGGGCCGGAACGGAGAAACTGTCGGCACACCTAGAGAATTCCTAGGTATGCCAAGCCATGCATTAAACTGAGCTGAAATTTCGCTTAAACTTATGCATAACTTATACTCATAACATTAATTATTAACTTGATTTATCAAAATCCTCACGAGTGACATGGTTGCTACACTGGGAATACGCAAAGAATAATAAGAAGAGCATTCAAATATGTAAGGCAAATGTTATGGTGCCTGCCCTGTCCTACCAGATATATATATATATATATGAGAGAACAGTGTAGAGCCTCCGGCTCTACATCCTAGTATTTTGCTTAGTGCAGCGATTATGCTTCTGAATGCTCCCAAAGATCACCCCATGACAGCAAAGGAGAAATGAAGCTGTTAATACACTTAGCATATATTCAACATATAAAAAGTGTGTAGAGTCACAAGGATTGGAATGGTCCTCCATATACTGGTGTGACGGTTAATCGTGCCCCCACCGCCTACCTACCCGTGTCCCCGTGTAGGTGCGCCCAAGTTCAATGACACTTTTTGATTTTTATTAAATAAATTCAATCATATCAGCCCCAACATGGCCAATCAGTATATTGATGAAGAGGCTCGCATTTCAAATGCAGTAGAAGCCTATCGAAACAAAAAAAACCAAATCTATCCCCAAATTGGCTGAAGAGATAGGGATAGATTACCGACGACTCCTCCGCCAAATCCAGGGACACCCTTCGCGTTCCACGCGCCCAAAACGGACTGGACCACTAAATAATGAGCAGGAAGGGGCCTTACGGGCATGGATTAAATGTGTTGATGATATGGGAGCCCCCCCAACTGTGGAAATGATTTGCTGCTGAGCAAATTCAATGCTTAAACAGTCCAATCCAGCAGCAGACAATGTTGGGAAGAATTGGCCATACAACTTCATTAAATGCCTTGGGCCTAAGTATAGACGTGTCAAGCAGAAGCCAATGGACCCCAAACAGCTTGCTGCTGAAGATATTGGTATTATAGAGACCTGGTATGATTGGCTGAAGATCCAGCTTGAGCTTCATAATATTACACCAGACAATCTCTATAATTTTGATGAGACAGGCTTCCGTATAGGCTAAGGAAAGAAGGAATCTGTCATTACAGCATACTCTGATAGGACCCAGTATCCTAGCTCTTCTTCTCAGATCTCAGTCACCATTATTGAGACTATTGCAGCAAATGGCTGGATTGGACCACCATTTATTATACTACCAGGAAAACAGCATATGGAGGACTGGTATACCCAGGATCTGCCTGAAGACTATAAAATTGCAGTATCAGATAGTGGTTGGACCACTGATGACCTGGGTCTAATTTGGCTTCATCAAAATGATGAAGCTACACGGCATCAAGCACATGGTCAAAATCGGTTTCTCCTAATGGATAATCATGGCTCCCATCTCACCTTTGAATTCATCGAATTCTGTCGGAAGAGGCATATAGTATTATATTGCTTCACGCCTCATTCTACACATCTGCTTCAACCACTTGATGGTAGCCTATTCCAGCAATATAAACACTATCATGCAAAGGCAATAAACATCATAGCCCGTCTAGGGGTTCATGAGGTTGATAAATGGGAATTCCTATACCAGCTGATAAATATCCGGAAGGTGCGTGAGATCAATACTGATTAATTGATAAATAGGCATCTCCTATACTAACTAATTAATGCCTTCCTGTATAGAAAGCCTTCAAATACCGCACTGTCAAATCAAGCTTCAAAGAGTGAGGAATATGGCCATTTGAACCTGATATTGTGCTTCAACCTCTACGTGAAAAATACCTCCCTACTGGTGTAAAGGGGGGCGTACGTGCGTTGTTCCCTGCGACAGGAACCGGGTTGTGATCGAGGGATCTCAGGAATGGATATACCAAGACGATGCCGCTATACCACACGGCACCGAACGATCTTAGCAAGAAAACGATATAACGATAAAAGGAAACACAACGACGAAGGAGCCTCGCTCCGCTCTATACGACGATAACGATACTAGTGAAGCAACCTAGAAACCAAAGAATGCTCTATTTCTCGTAACTACCTGGGAGGGAACCCTCCATTAAGTCCTCGCCTGCCGCGGGCTCCACCATACATTAGTATGTCGGAGACCGCGGCTCTACGGCGTTCTACGATAGGAAATATGGGAGATCCGGGGTTTCGCAGTGCCCCCGGCACACTGGACCAGAGCTTCAAATATATGATGGTGAATCTACACCACCACCACACCCATCATCTTCAGTATCTCCACCTACCACAGTTGACTGGCTCCAGAGTTCAATCAATAAGGCTCAGATGGCAATAAATACTGTCTCTGAGGAGGTTCATGATATTATGGATGACCATCTTCGACACAGATTGGACCGTATATTCACTGGAAGCCTTATTCAGGCAGAGCTGGCTGCTCAGCACCAATAAGATACCAAGGAGCTGCTCAACGCCAACCAATGCCCAAATCAGAAAAAAACCAGGCAGTCCATACAGACAGGTGGTGTTCTATCTGTCAAGGACACCAATCACCATATTAAGGCTAGATCTTTGGAGGAAATGCATAAAACTGCTAGAAGGGTCAGGCGGGACCAGATGATCCTAGAGAAGGAAAAGGAGCGACTAGCCAACCAACCACCATTACTGAGGCTGAAAAATAAGCTCTAGAAGGCTTTATGGTGGATCCAGATGGGGAGCCCCTTATTTATAAAGATGTCACCGGTTTTGGCGTGTAATTGGACATTGAATCTCCAAAAGTGTCATTGAACTTGGGCGCACCTACACGGGTAGCTAGGCGGTGGGGGCACGATTAATAGCATCAAGTTCGGAGGACCCTCATCATCAGTCGATCCCACTGGCTCGTGACCCACCCCTTACAATCGCTCGCTGGTTTCAAGCACTGAACTTGCACCTACTTTGATGCTCCTTTCGGTGTTGCTGATAGGCTTCCAACATATGCCATGTTGCCATTCATGAGGAACTTTAGGCAATTTCGCCGCAACCAGCAAGTGACGCAGATGTCAATTATTTGCAGAGGTAAGGGGAATGAAAGTTGTCGTACAGGAAGGGTGTCACTAAGGTAACAATCAGGCAAACCAATCAGCCGCGATGAACTCTTCACGTATACCAACGGCCGCTTCCTCGTTGATGAGGACCGTCAGCTTGCTCGACGCTACCGCAAATTCAACCCAGACGCCCTCTGTGATATAGCCGCTACAGCTGGTGGGAGCACATCTCGAATCATATCTATTGAAAAGCTCGAAGGAGGTTTCAGCAAGGCTCTTCTAATGACAAAGGCGGATGGAAGTGAATTGATCGCGAAAGTTCCCTGTCGTATTGCTGGCCCGGCCTTTCTCACGACAGCCTCCGAAGCAGGTACATTGGAGTATAGTACGTGCATCCTATCCCGCCCATGGATTCCTAAAGCGCTCACGCGCCACATACCAGTCAGAAAATACACAAGCATTCCTGTGCCTCGTGTCTTTTCTTGGTCTCCTCACAATTCAAACCCTGTCGGGGCAGAGTATATTCTCATGGAGAAGGCGGCTGGGATTCCGTTATTTGAACGATGGAGCAAGATGGCGGAAATCGACAAACTGGGGCTTATAAAGAATTTGACCCAACTTGAAGCTCAACTGGCGGCTATTTCGTTCCCGACGTATGGCGGCCTGTATTTGCGTGCAGATGCCGACCGCTTACAACATCAGAACCTTGATGACAATGTGGATGAACAGCACCTGTTCTGCATTGGCCCTTCACCTGACCGTTCCTTTGATCTTGACGAGGCTGCTAGCCTACGCATCAACGATGAGTCAATTAACAATGGGCCTTGTATGTATTTGATGCTCTTTATGAATACAAACTGATGATTATGCAGGGAATAGCTTGTCAGATCTCGGGATATCAATTGCCAAACGAGAGCTCTCTCAGATCGCAACGCAGTTTCCAGACAGCCAGTCAATAGGCCATCGAGGAAGCCCCCAGGAACAAGCCCGTTTACTGGAGATTGCAATCAGCTTGATGGGGATGTTGGACTCCCACCCGGTACTAACCCAATTCGCCCAGCCTACGCTATGGCACACCGACCTCCATATGGGAAATATTTTTGTAGCACCAGACAACAACTCCCAGATTACAGCACTAATTGATGTCCAGTCTTTGTCGGTACTCCCATTGTTTCTTCAAGCTCGATGGCCAGTGTTTCTGCAGCCTCCTCGGGAGTATACCAGAGGCCTTGTCCAACCTGTGCTCCCCGACGACTTTGATTCTTTAGATAAAGAAGACAGAGTTGCTGCTCTACATGACTGGACGCAGGCTAAAATGGCAAAAGCATATGAAGTCTCGACCTTTTTAGAGAACAGACCTGCCCATAACGCCATGAATGTGCCGCGAGTTTTTCGAGAACTGTTCATTCGCATTGGAGAAACCTCTGATGTAGGGATTGTTCCACTTCGGGAGTGTTTGATTGAAATATTCCAGAACTGGTCGAATCTAGGCATTTCTGAGCATTGTCCTTATTCCTTCAGTCAGGAAGAGATCAGTGCACATGAAGAGCAATTTTCTAAATATCAAGAATGGAATGAAGTCCAGCAGCTCGCTCAGGAATCTCTAGACACCGATGCGGAAGGATGGGTGGCGCCGCAAGTGGATTTTGCCCAAAGAAGAAGTCAGAACAAGGAGCTGTTATCGATGTATATTGCGCGAATGGCGGAAAAAGGCTCGTCAGACGAAGCAAGGCGGATATGGCCCTTTCCTGAATGATAGATAAAATGGACTCGGACACACGAGACGCCGGCACATTCAGAAGCACAGTCCGTAACAAACTCCCGAACAACAACAAGGGGCTCATAAACCAGGAGCCAAGTCTATCGTACTGATAGTATGGCGGTGGTCGGGGTCTCAATGTACAAATGTCCGTAAATTAGTCAATGCCGATCAAGAGCCTCCTATTCTCAATCCATATTCGCCGAAGTAGTGTCTACTGTATCAAACACATACGTAGTCAGCGTCCACAGAGCTATTTTGCTCTGACTTGATATAGTTCAGGTATCACGTCACTTTTGAATTTTTATTTTCCCATCCTGGCAGACCAAAGTCGGCGAGGACTGCGTGCCATTAGTTAAGGGGGACCGGCTGAGAAAGATAGATGTCCTATCCATGAGGGTTTTATGAGGAACTGGATCGTCTTTCTCGGCCTATCAGACAGACATTTATCCCTGCGTCGTCTTCATCCAGTCATGTCCATCACGAACATCACTAACGCCGAATTTACGCTTCGAGCAGTTAATATCTCTCTCAACCAGTTATCTCTATCACAGATATGACAAGCGCGAGAATTACTCGTAGTAACTGCTACTCGCGAGACTGACAAACGTAGTACAGTCGCTAACTCTTCCTCAGGGGTAGCCAACCTCATATGTCCAGGAAAGATCCTTCAGACCAAAAGCCAGTGATAACTGTCAGTTACTACACAGCTTCCAGAACTCGCGTGCTGTCTATTCACGTGCACGATGACAGGACCTGGGTAGAATTCTTTTCGCGCAGTGGACGACGCATGGCAGGTTCAGGCGGTACATAATTGAGGATATGAGAATATAATTGCTTGTTGGAACCAGATGTTAATATAGTATCAGTGTTCCCACAGAGCATCAATCTGTTTTCTTGTTGAGTTTGGTGCTCCAGAATACCTGTATTGTGCCCAGACTTCCTGGATACTGCTCTGAAAGTAACCTTGCCACCTCTGACCAAGACTGACTGTCATCCTATTTCAGCTTCTGCAGAAGATCTATCTCTCCTGTGAACCATCTATTATACTTTTTCTTCTTTAGACATGCTCTGGTCTTCCTGCAATCACACTGGTTTTCTTCAATGCTATGTGGGAGTCTTAACAGGCTCCTTGCTAGTGTATCTCAATCTTCACATGCTGTTAGTGAAGAGCCAGGTATGCAGCATAGTAGAGCACCTTTTAAAAGCTGAGAAAGGAATTGCAAACATTCATTGAGTGGTAGAGACACAAAGTAAGAATAAAGAGGGGTGAAGGAACCACCCTTGGGTAGCACAGCAAAGGAAACTTCAAGCTAATTAAAAGTTTGCATGTCAGATTCTCATGTCTTCTGCTTAGAAACTCTGGATTGTCCACTGGCATGCCACTTTACATAGGCATAATCAGGATAGAATATGTAGTATCAGCATTGTGTTGGGGGTGATACAATGGTTGATGCTTGTGATCTTGAGGGTGACGTGCCGGGGGCACTGCGAAATCCCGGATCTCCCATATTTCCTATCGTAGAACGGTCCGTAGAGCCGCGGTCTTGTATATAATTCCTTTTCTTAACATATCTAGTACATGCGACCACAGGGTGTGGAAAACAGGGCTTCCCGTCCGCTCAGCCGTACTTAAGCCACACGCCGGCCGGTTAGTAGTTGGGTGGGTGACCACCAGCGAATCCCGGCTGTTGCATGTTTTATTTTTTATTGTTATTTCGTCCACAGGACCTAGTATTACATCAAAGTGTGCCGGGGCATTGCGAAATCCCGGGTCTCCCATATTCCCTATCGTAGAACGCCGTAGAGCCGCGGTCTCCGACATACTAATGTATGGTGGAGCCCGCGGCCGGAGAGTACTTAATGGAGGGTTTCTTCCTGATAAATACGAGAAATTGAGCATTCTTTTGGTTTTTAGGTTGCTTCACTAGTATCGTTATCATTGTACAGAGCGGAGCCAGGCTCCTTCATCGTTGTGTTTCCTTTCATCGTTATATCGTTTTCTTACTAGATCGTTCAGTGTGTCCATCCCTGAGATCCCTCGATCACAACCCGGTTCCTGTCGCAGGGAACAACGCACGTACGCCCCCTTTTACAGTGATACTTATCTAAGTACTACTATTCTGACCACCCAGTCCTCCACTAAAATCTTGATCATTTTCAGATAGGCGGTGGCGGAGGATGGATAGAGGGTTGGGATATGAGCACATCGTCTCCAAATTAACAAGGCTGTCAGTTTGTGGGGCAGACTGCTAGAGGTCAGCATCCTCCTGAGGCCTGTTGCTGGCAAGGATTACCAGGCCAATGGGAATACTATCCTGTGCATCCAGAGGCCTGGAGAACTCCTCAAAACTGTCATTTGAGTTAGACAAACTTGGAGATGATAGACCATCTTCCATGAAATCTTCCTGGAAACAGGGAGGCTTAATCAGCATATTGATGTCATTGATGCTTGTCACGGAACTCAACTAGACGATGAATAGGATGCTATTCAGCTATCTAGGCAGCTATCGACGAGAACTTCAAGCATGGAGAGGAAGGAAAAAAGGAAGAGATCTACGTGAAGCTGGACGACGTACTCCTATCCACGCGCCACGCTAATCCAAGTAAGGAAGCTCACGTGCTCGTCCTGGTCTACATGGCAAGGGCCCTGACAATGCTGCTGTCACATTGAAGATTTCAGCAGGGAATTCGATCTGGATTTAGGATGGGAGGCATTGACTTATGTAGAGAAGTCATGCAGCGTCTGGGAGTCTCCAAATGTATATCTGGCTCAGGCAGAGACATTTCCTGGTGTTGAAATTGCGAGCTTGCTGGTGCACATAGCTGGGTATTCACACCAATATGCATGCAAACTTCAGCCGGTGGCCGGGCAGGGCCAGAATACGCACGGACCGCCGCACGTGGCGCTCTTCCTCGGGTCGGCCCGTCTCCACAAGCTTTGACCAAGAGGCAGCATGCCCTTGGCGGTCGTTGGTGGTGGATGGAGCTTCGTCTCAAAAGCTTCTTACCTTTTGCTGGAGACACCGGTCACACTACCTTTTGACTGACACTTGGCCCCCTGATGAGCTGCTTCGGTCTTACATGTCAGCGATATGATTTTGCCCGCGTGAATTGCCCTTTTCGGCATCACTGTCATTTACTATGTATGTTGCTAACTACATGGGCATGCGTAAGTGATGTTTTCTGGCTTGGAATAAGCCAATACTTATGTATGTAAGAATAAGTACTAGGACTGTTGAAGTCTACGGGGGAGGGGACTTGGCATGACGATTTGCCTCGGGCACTTGATGCTATTCAGCTACCTGGTCCGATAAGTACGGGCTCGGGGAAAGAATAAGACAAACAGAAGGAAAAGACAGCAAGACGTCGCAGATGATACCATGCTTCTTTATAACTTGAAGTCTTCATGTTACTACTTTGCAACAAACGTCCAACCGTGCGATGCTGCTGCCGCCTAGGTAGGCTTGGACAGTCTAAATAACTCACGCAGTCCAACCTTTTCTCCAGAGGGGTGAGCAGCCTTTGCATCATCGCTGAGAACACGAGGTCGAATCCAGTCCTGGACCGACCCCCAATTCACACACGTGTGGGTGGCGTTTCTGCGGTTGATCAGGGGCCTGTTCATGTTACTTTTGTCGATCCACCATGAGCTCGTGGTCATGTCAGCGCGACATTGCACGCCCTGCAAAATGACATTGAGACAATGATCGAAATGCTCCTCACGATATCGGCCGGTCTTGGTGGACGGGTCCAATTCTTCAAAGCTCCGGTTGAGGTTCGAGTACTCGCGTTTGATCCAGCTCATGCAATGTAACTCGTGGAAGACCCGGAGTGTTCCCACGTAGCCCTCACTGTTTGCCAGAGCAACATTGTCGTCGCCCAGTTCACCGAATTTCCGAAGTTCATCTCCAGAGACACGGATATTGCTCCCTACAGGCCAGAATGGGTCAGTGGGTTCTGTTCTTCCCTTTTAGTATCGTTGCGTTCGCGAAAAAAAAAAAAAAAAAAAAAAAACTTACAGGCCAGTAGTTCGTCCCATGCCTTGTCTACTTCAGGGCCGAGTTCTCCTGCAAATGGATTCCCGGCGTTCTCAAGATGCATGATAGTGTTCTCGTACTTGATTCCAGTGTCTCTGGGAGCTGCGTGAAGTCAGTGTTAGGGTCGGTTAGCTAAGTGTTTCCATCCATCCATCCGTTTCTTCTTTTATTTCTAGTTCCTTGGAAGTGAAAGAAAGGATCGATCTCTCGTACAGAACGGCAGTTCTGGGCAATAGTGCCTCTGGAACTTGACCCAGGTAATACTCTGCCACGAGTATATCACAGTGTAGGCAATGAACACCAGGTTGACGGACAGTAAGGCTAGATTCAACCATGGCATGAAGTTCTTTTGCTGCTTCTTTGTGGCCGTGATGATGGTCGGGGAAGGGGAGGATGACAACAATCTCGATGACAACTCGTCGTCTTCACTAGATTCATCATGGAACTGCATATCGCCACCAATGTCGACCGAATTATCACGGGGCTCTGACATTGTGAATTATCAACCAAAACGAAAATAAGAAGGCAATGTGCAGTGGACTGGGATGTGGAAACTGGGCTGAAGAGAGGAGGGATATGATGTGGATATTGGTAGTATCTGGGAGACAGGCAGTTTTGGAAGAGTTTTGATTACTCTCTTTATTCTCCTCCAGTATGTTGGTATGATATTAGTTGTAATACATAGATGTGTTTAAGAGTATACACGATACTATACATAGTACTATACACATGCAGCATACCATGTATGATACCAGGTACGATACCATATACAATACCATGTATGATACCTAGGTACCATGTACAATACCATGCAGGATACTACCCTGCATGATACCAAACTATGGATCACACTGCAGAGCATCAGGATCAAACCCAAGCTACTTTGCTACTTTGCTATCTTGCATCATATCACATTTAGCTGCATACAGGAACCATAGCCTCCACTATACCCTCATTATCACCACGGTGCGGACTTGTCCAGACCCGCAAAACCTGCAGTCCAGCGCTCTCGACCAAGTCAATCCACTGGCGTTGAGACCGCATTTTGGCGGATAACACGGCCATCATGGTAATATCAGCTGCAGCAAAAAAACCGGGACAGTTCCGCTCTGGCAGCACTGCCTCATTGAGCAGCAGCCTCGAATAGCCAGGCGTCATTGCACGGGCGACATGCTGCAACATGACGCGGCACTGCTCGTCAGGGAAATCATGCAGCAGGAAATGCGTATAGAAAACTTTGGCCCCCACTACCAAGGCCGGTTGCGGTTGGCAAAACAGGTCATGGCTCATGGCAGTGATACCATACTGGTCCAGTGATGGTAGGCTGTCTATCGTGCCGGGGAGATCCTGCAGTACAAGATGGCCGTGTGACTCTGGGAACGTTCTCACAAAGCGTTGCAGATCGTGGCCCCGGCCGCCACCCATATCCACCAGGAGGATCCTCTTTTCGCCGTCGGAGGAGCAGCTCCTCCAGTTATCGAGAAACTGCTGACGCACGGGGAACCAAGTGGTCCAGTGTTTCCGGAGACTGCGGTTTCCCGTCATAAACGTGTTGAAGCTATGCATCCTGCGGGGGTTGCTGTGGATGAAGTCGAAATAGGTCTGGTCCGTGTGAAGGGCATGCTGGAATGGACCATCGATGACGCTGTGCGGAGACCGGTAGTCCGTTTTGGCCAGGTAGGACGGGAGAATGATGCTGACAGCAGCTGCATGCTCGTGACTGTGCACCAGGCACGCTTCCAATGCTGGTTGCGTCAATGCATTGCCCAGAGCGGATGGAAGATACTGCCTCTCCGCTGCTTCTCGTGCATATCCCAGTGCAGTCACTACACGCATTATCCTCACTGAGAGGGGGCGGGGGGGAAATGATATGAGCCTTTAGTGAAGTCAACAAATGCAGTTCCGAATCCACCTACGAAGCAGTTCTTCCTCGGCACCTGTGAGGTTTGCCAGCTCGCTTGAGGAGATCGCGCGAGTGCGGCGTTCTGCCAGCAGGTGGAACACTCGTAAATCGACTGCTACCCGTAAGCAGCAAGTGTGGGTGTGAGACTAGTACATCATATCAAGCCCTGTGGTTAGCCGAGTTGCTCTGCTGGGAACCAGATATAGCGCTGCTTTTACCTCAAAAGCCTGCCGGAAGACCGTCTCTTCTGGTTTCTCAAACCAGCGGAGAATTGCTTGGGCCCAGGACAGACATTGTAGGCGTAGAGCGTCCGGCCCAAGAGTCGACGAGAGCCAGAGGCGGAATGGCTGCCAGTTATCCATACTGGAATGAGTGTTTGGGTGATGTGATATAAAGAAGAGCTTCCTTTTGTTTTGTTTTTCTCTTTTTCTCCCGTCTCCCTAGCTATTTATACCTGTCGAATTCATTATTACACGAGGGCCCGCTCCAGATAACAGGATCCATCGGCTGCATTAGTATAAAATCTGCCACAAGCCTTGTCCTTGTTTCCTTGTCTCTCTTTCTCACAGTATTCGTCCTCTCTACTCCGTACTTTGATTAGTCTCAATCTCTTGTTCACGATGAAGCAGGATGATTCCCCATCCGAGCCACGCCCGCCTTACGAGGTATCCGGGAACAGCTTTCTATCTTACCTTCCTACCTCCTGGGTACCGTATGCCCAGCTAATGCGCCTGGATAAGCCAGGGGGCTACTTTGCCTTTGTCTTCCCCTACTGGATCGGCCTCTCGTACGGGGCCAGCATTGCTCTTCACCCACCCACACCGGGTTTTCTCCTCACCAGGGCCGGGCTGTTCTCCGTTGCCTGCATTTTCTTGAGAGGTGCGGCCTGTACCTGGAACGACAACATTGATCAGGATTACGATCGGCTCGTGGCACGCTGCCAGAATCGTCCCATTGCGCGTGGTGCCATCTCCACCACGGCCGGACACGTTTTCACAGCGCTTCAGACGGTGATGGGCAGCACCGCTTTCTTCCTCCTACCCGACATCTGCATGGCCGATGCCATCCCGATCACCCTGCTGTTCGCCATCTATCCGTTTGGAAAGCGCTTCACCGATTATCCGCAGGCCATTCTAGGGTTCCCGTTTGCTTTCGGCATTGTCCTGGCCTGCCATAGCATTCAAGTTGACCCGTTCGCCACGAGACCGGCCGGCCTGCTCTGGTCAACGACCGCCCTGGTGGTCGCCAATGTTCTGTGGACCATGATCTACGACACCATATATGCCCACCAGGATCGGGAGGATGACCGAAAGGCCGGCGTGAAGAGCATGGCGGTGCGCTTCCGGGACAGCACCAAGCTGCTCTGTTCCGCTCTGAGTGCCATCATCGTTAGCCTGCTGGTTGGAGTAGGCGTCTTTGCGCAGTTGCACTGGATTTACTATGTGGTGGGAGTGGGCGGAGTGGCCATCAGCCTGATTACGATGATTACTGCAGTGGAGTTGGCAGTGCCGGAGAGCTGTATGTGGTGGTTTCAGTGGGGGTTCTGGTATGTTGGGGGGTCACTGCTTGGAGGATTTTTATTGCAGTACAGTCGTTTATCCTGAATGTATTTAGAATAGGACAAGTCTAGTTATACTCTATAGACCTTCATGAGCGTCGGTATCCTCATTCCCAATCTCCTTATTCTGGGTGTGAAGTCCGTCGGTAGGCACCACGATGATAGGATTTCCGTCTTCATCCAGAGGCGACTCCGGGACGCCATCGACAAAGCGCATGCGACGCTTATTCAGGAACTCCTGCAGACTATCCCACGAGACGCAGGTACGCTTATAGTCTGGCCGACGGACAGCCTCGCGGGCCTCAGGGTCGTCTGGCCACCAGTAAAAGGAGCCGATGGCCAGGTCGGCCTTGCACATGGCGCCCTGCTTCAGTCCGTCGAGGCAGTGGTCAAGATGGTCTGTCATGACGGGCCGAGTAGGATCCCATTCTCGCTTGATCCAGTTCAAGCAGTGCAGCTCGTGGTAGATGCGCATGATGGCCATGTAGCCGCCGTGCTCGAGCCGGAGTGACTTGCCGGGCTCGAAGGCGCCACTGCGCTGTAGCTCGTCGGCGGTGGCGCGCCAGATCTCGTTGATTTGGAGCTTCTCCCATGCGCGGTCTAGCTCCCTGGTTTGCGGGCCTGCGTAGGGAGTGCGCGATGTGAGATCTAGCGGGGTCATCTCGTACCGCACATGTTTCATGGATGGGGCTGGAAGAGAGAAAGACTCGCCGTTAGTCAAGATTTCCTTAGGGCTTGAAGTTCCAGGGGATGTCATACTATAGGGAATCTCGGGGCAGTATGATTTCACTCCCCGAACTTGATTCCACATCGTCACGACCACTGCAAAATTGACCAGCAGCACGAGGATGTTGGAGCCAAACAGGCTCGACGACTGCAAGATGCACCATGCAGTCGACGTCCTGACGTTGCGATGCGACGGCAAGGGAAAGGCCTCGTCCGGCACTTTACTGTACGCTTGAGACTTGGTGAAAACCATGATTAATTTTTATTCCAGGTAGAGAAAGGTGACGGTGGTAAGGTGCTGGCCAAACTCGGGGTGTTGTCAACTACCCTTTATCACTACCCTGTTCGGAGTATATTGGCCATCGGCATGATCGACGCTCTGCTTATTCTCATATATTGAAGTTAATATAGATGTAAATAAGCATCTATAAAAGTGGGACTGGCTCCACTAATAGTATGGGTCCGGTATCAAGATCAATGCTGATATAGTACGGTATGCATACCAGTACAGTACGGTATGAGTATTAATACAGTATGGTATGCATACCAATACCCACATCAATACCTACTAATTACTGCGAATAGTTCACAGTTCCAGTTAGTAGTTAGGATGACACCGAATTGCAAACTGTTAAAGTCTAAGAGTCAATCTCCTTTACCCTTCACAATATACTGATAACAATATCTGGTTTGTAGCTGTTCAGTCACTGCAATCCATCATCATTTTAATCATTCAATACAAACCTCGACCTTATTTTATGCATCCATCATGTCCATCCCACTCCTAGATGCCGCCCACTTCACCTCTGGCTCGCCCACCGACCGCACCCAGTTCTGTCAAGACCTGGTTGCCAGCGTCCTTCGCTATGGCTTCGTACGGCTGATAAACCATGCAATTCCCGAGCCGGTTATCCTCGACATGTTCGCGCGTTCGACCGACTTCTTCCAGCTCTCGCCTGCTCGCAAGACGGCCGTGGCTCATCCTAGCGGCCCCGACCCCCAGCGCGGATGGAGTCGAGTAGGCGAGGAGCGTACGGCCAAATTATTTCGTCACGGTGGTGGCTGCGACGACTATGACTGCAGTAATATGGACTATATGGTTGATGCCCGGGAACACTTCGACCAGGGCTCCCCGTTTGACCACGAATGGGCCAACCGGTGGCCAGCCGAGGACGAGCTGCCCAACTTCCGGACCACAATGGAGGCCTTCTACGCTGCCGTCCATGCGGTCGCGCAGACGCTCATCCTACCGGCGTTGGAGGAAGGGCTTGGACTCGTTCCGGGCTCGCTGGTGCGGCAGTGCGCCGGTCCCCACAGCGAACTGCGCCTGAATCACTATCCGGAGATTCGCCTGCGCGACCTACGCGGCGGCACCACCAGTCGCATCCACCCGCATACTGACCTGGGCGTGGTGACTTGTCTGTTCCAGCACGGCGGCATGGGCGGTCTCCAGGCCCGCGACCATGAGACGGGATGCTGGGTCCCGCTGCACACCGAGTCGGCTGCCGAGATGATCGTTAATATCAGCGAGACCCTGGAGCGCTGGACGAACGGCCAGCTGCGGGCGGGCGTGCATCAGGTCACTGTCCCGCCGATGCTGCAGGATGAGCCGGACGATGAGACGTTGGTGCCGCCGCGATTATCGACGGCTTTCTTCCTCAAGGCGAATCGCGATGCCTGTGTCGGGGCTCTGTCGTGTTTTGTATCGGAGGAGTGTCCTCGGAGGTTTGAGGAGATGACTGCTTTGGAGTATCATCAGCAGCGACTGGCTGCGGCGTATTAGAGAAGGGTATACCAGACTGGTGATTTTAGGGCTTTACAATATAACTGGTTTCTTTATTTACGGTAGTATAGACAATTAGATCCTAGTAATCACCAAGAGACATGGAAATCTTAGGGCTAAATTTAGAACCCTAGTAGGAGTCACACCCAACATCAACTACAGTGCCATGGAAGAAGAAATCGTAGCCACAATCTGTTCCCGGTCTTCGCTATCATGTACAAGACGCCAAAAGGCCCCCCCTGTGTTTGCCAAAAGGTCTGCAGGAGTGCCAAACTCAGCTGCCCTGCCCTCTTCCATCACCAGAATCTTGTCATAATCCGCGATCGTACTAATACGATGCGCAATGGCCAGGACGGTGGTGCCCTGGAAATGCTCTCGGAGACTGCGCTGCAGCTTGGTGTCCATCGCCGTGTCCACTGCACTGGTGGCTTCGTCGGTGATTACAATCCTCGACCCGGAAAGCATCCCGCGGGCCAGGCAAACTAACTGTCGCTGGCCCTGCGATAGATTGGACCCGCGAGGAGAGATGCTACTATCCAGGGTAAGGCCGAATCTTGATGACGAGGAGTAAGCTTCCTCCCTGTCACCGTCTGCAGGCAGGAGGTGAACCTGCCGCAGACTCTGCTCGAGCATCGCATCGCTGTGCTGACCCTCCGGGTCGAGGTTGGACCGGATCGTGCCCTGGAAGAGAATCGGATCCTGTGAGATGAACGTTACGTGCAAACGGAGTGATGACAGGGCGACGCGAGTGATGTCCACCCCGTCAACCAAGATGGTCCCCTGCCGGATGTCGAGGAAGCGCATGAGCGCCAGGGAGAGTGAAGACTTGCCCGCCCCCGTCCGCCCGACAATGGCCACGCGCTCGCCGGCCTGGATCTCCAGCGAGAGACCGCGGATTGTGTCGGGCAAGCCGGGCCCATAGCCGGCATACAGCCCGTTCACCATTACGGTGCCGCCGTGACGCGCCCATGGTGTTGCTGCGGGAGCATATGAGGTCGCCGATGCCGCATCTTCTTCAGTCTCGATATCCACATACTCGAGCAGTCGCTCCGTCGACGTCATGCTAATTTCGATGTTGGCGTATCGTCGCACGGCCGTCTCCAGATTCCGGGGCAGACGCAGCGCGAAGCTCAGTGCAAAGCCTGCCAGCGCTGGTCCGCGGGTCGCCACCCCGACGGCGACGCATGCCAGGAAGAAGGAGCCCAGGACGCCCATGCGGAAGGTCATCCACTGGGTTACCAGGGCAAAGGACCAACTGATGCGGCTCACCTGGTCCAGCAGTGTGAACATACGCCGTCGAAAGTCCGAGACACGGCCGAAGGCGCGGATCGTGCCTATACCGAGCGCAGTGGAATTGAAGTGATCTAGCACCGGCGATCGAGATATGTTCTCCAGTCGCCGTGTCTCGCGCGCTGTATGAATGTACCAGGACTGGTAGTACCCGGCCACGACCAAGAGGGCCGCTGGGGGGATCGCCATGTAGGGGGATGATGCGGTAATCCCGGCGGTGCACACGGCGACAAAGGAGAAGCAGGCGGCGAGGAAGATATGCACGTCTCCGGGGATTAGAGTGTCCATGATGAAGACGTCGGCCGTGTAGCGGTTGAGAATGCGTCCTGCTGGGTTGGTGTCGAGCCATCGGAGCTTCGCTCGCAGAATCGATTCGGTCATGGCAGCGACCAGTCGACGAGAAGCCTCGAGCGCAGGCAGGTATGTGGCCAGGCATTTCACCATCTCCAGGACCGCGCTGAGCACCGAGATTACCACGTAGATACCCAGGTAGTACTGTACCGTTGATGTGTTGGATGAGGGCTCCTGCGCGGTCCAGATATTCAACCACCAGTTCCGACCCAAGATGGCGCCTTGAAGCAAGGCAACGGCGACCACTGCCTTGACAGCAGCAGGCAGGCTGCCCGCAAACTGCAGGTATCTCCAGTATGTCGTGCAGGGGACCGATCCCTTCAGTCGAGCTTCAGCGTCCTCCAGTGACTGCTCTGGGGGCGTACTGGCTGTCTCGGCCAACTGTGGTGTCTGCTTCGAGGGGTCAATTAACTTCATCCGTGCCTCTGGCCTAGGAGATTCTCGCTCGCAAGTGGCCTGCCGGCTCTCCGATAGGAAAATGGTACAGGCTGCGTAACTACGAACAAGGGCAAGATGGTGAGTGGCAAGAATGATGGTTCGTCCAACACCCAGACTGCCCCGAATGGCTTCGTGCAGGAGATGCTCTCGGACGCGGGCATCCACTGCGCTGAAGATGTCATCCAGCACCAGGAAGGGAGTAGGCGCGTACAATGCCCGAGCCAGGGCAATCCTCCACCGCTGGCCGCCGCTCAGAGTGACTCCATGAGCGCCCACCTGCGTCCGATCGCCGGCTGCGAGTGTGCGCAGGTCGGGCCCAAGACAACAGGCAGCAATCACCTGCTCGTACCGCGTCTGCTCCAAGGCACGACCAAAGAGAATGTTCTCCTGGATGGACGCGTTTTCGAGCCAGGTGGCCTCGGTCACACACGCAATAGAAACTGCGTCGGTGGGCATCCTGATGCTGCCAGCAATCAATTCGGCCTCCCCCACGATAGCAGCCAGCAACAGGGATTTGCCAGACCCGCTGGGACCAGCGACGACTGTCAACTGCCCGTGGGGGATCTGGAAAGTGAGCTGGTGCAGGGTGAAACGGGAGCTGACACTCGCACTGCTGCACCTCTCATCCGGACCCTGCGGCCAGGCAATCGTGGCGTTGGCCAACTCGATTTCTGCACCATGGTCGTCATTGGGAGTGGCGTAGCGGACCTGCTCTGGATTCGCCAGGTGGGCATCAATACGTTTACAGCTGACTGCAGTCTCAATGGTCTGCGCTACAGCGAATGGAATCCCGGACAGCGCTCCCTCCAGACTCTCGAAGATGGCCACCGCGGTGAAGGCAACGGCCGGCCGGAGATCACCATGCAGGAAGACATAGACACTCAGCGAGACGACGCACAGGAGCACCGGGGAGACCAACCACAGGCATCGCATGATGGAGATCCAGACGAACACCGTCCGTTGCTCGGCCAGTTCATGATCGCGAGCCCGCATAATCTTCCTTTGCCAGAACGTCTCCATGTTGGCAATCTTGACAACACGGATGCCGTGAATGGCTTCCGTGACCAGTGCCATTCGCTCATCGCGGTGCCTCATGACTTTGATCTGTGCCGTCGTGTAGGCTTTGGAGGCTTTGTAATTGACCGGGAGGAGGAGCACAAGGGCCCCAAGGCCGGCTGCGAGACTCGTGAAGCCGATCAGCCGTGTCAGCACTAGAATGGAAATCACCAGCATTATGAGTGAGCTGGGATAGATGTAGCATCTCGCGCAGAAGTCTGCGATACGGGCTGAATCGAGTGTGACCAGATTCGCGCTTTCCTCCTGGTAATCCGGCTCTTCTTGTTCTTGTTGTTGGTGGTCCTTTTTGATGTCCTTCATGCGAAGGGCTTTGGCATAGATCATCGACGCCAACTGTGTGCGAATTGGTATTTCCAGACGCGAGTTGGCCGTCCATTCTACCTGAGTCTGCATGACATACTGTGCCAGGAGACACACACTCATCGATAGACCCCAGAATAGGACTGCGAGCGGCGGCTGCGTTGCCTCTCCTTGATGCTCCTGGAGCAGAGACACGGTTCGATACAGACAATAGAACGGCCCAAAGTTCAAAACGCTGGTGATGGATGCAATGGTCCATACATGAGCGATCGAAGCCCTATGGGCACTCGCCAAAGCCTTCCACAGATGCGGCACCGGGTGTCTGTTCATTATCCTTGCCATCCGCCGGTACAGATTGGCCGAGCGTGTATGATGATCCATCATCGGAAGGCTGCCAACCATGATGTGCTGGTCACTGGCTGCTAACTGGAGAATTGGGGTCGCCCAACCAAAAACCCATCTGTTCAAGACGGATACACTGAACTGGGCATCCACAGGCTTCCCCTCATGCCTCAATTGCGGGCGGGCAGGGAGAGACAGAGAGGCGGCAATGATCACGATGGCGACGAGTACCTGCCCTACCATCATCCCGAGCATTGTCTTCCAAGGGCCATCGTCTGGTGGAGGAAGCTGGTGCTGATCATGGAACTCGACCAAGTGATACATCTCTGCGACTAATACGAGGAGCAGAGCCGACACACCCAATGCTATATGGGTGCCGATCTGAAAGCGTTCTAGCATCGGCACTCGCATTGGTAGCAACAGAATGCTCTGTACACTGACTAACATCTGTGACTGTCAGTCTGTCTTTTCTTATTCAGTCTGAAATCATCCGGATAAACGGTAGGTAGCCTACCCATGCCGCCAGTCTCTGCCAGGAGCCCAGGACAACATATCTCTCATCAGCATCACCATTGGAATGCAGGAGCGTCCATATGGCCGCATATCCCGCTATTAGAAGGCCTAGAAGCGCGAGACTCAAGACCAGGATTCCCGTTAACCGGTGGGAGGTGGATTTCTTGATAGTAGACTTGCCGTCTGAATCCTCGTAGTCTACGCCTGTTGAAAAGGGAGAACGGCCGTTGGCCGTCTTGACAAAATCTAGCACTGTCAATGCCAGAAGCAGGATCCAAGCAATCTCTGTGGCGGCCATTGTGTTTTTGAGTATGGTAGTTGTCGTTGGATGGAGGATGGAGGATGGAGGATTACTAGGTACTACCTAGGCACCTACAGAGCCTAGTAATTAGTACCTGTAACTAGGGGTACGGGTAATAATACCACAATTACTCTGGGGTTTAGGGCTTTTAGATCGTGTAACGAATACGGAGTATTATCGGAATTGATTACAGAGCAATACGTCTTACTACGGCTTCATGCTCTCTTTCTCTCTCTATTCCGATCATTCCCTCCTCCACCATGATTCTCGAGACCGAGGACATACATGGAAGGATGTCTCTACCGGTAGATCGCAATTCGATAGATTTCCTGGAGCACGAGGCCCACGACCGGCTGCTCGAGAACGAGAAAGACAACCGGCCTCGACTCCGCTTCCATGTTCGCCCCTGGTTGATTCCAATCTGCATCCATTTCGCCATCTTAATCGCCCAGGTTTGGCTCTTCGTGCGGCCCGGGCTTCTTTTAAAGGCCACACCTCCCTGGATTGACGCGGCGACAGTCACCCCGGCATTGAAGTGGCAGAAGCAGGTTATCGATTCGACGGTGTATCGCCAGTCGCCGTACAGCGGCAACCCCAGTCCAGATGTCGACCATGCATGGAATCAGTTGACAAGCGGCTTCAATCTCCGCGTCCCCAAGAGGACGTTGGATAGACTCAATCGCACCTCGATCCCATTGTCTGACGGGTCTGGCTATATTGCCGGGTGGGATACAACCCATCAACTGCATTGTCTTGTAAGCCCTTCAAGACCTGTATAGAGAAGAGGGAAGTGAACTAACAGCCACTAGTTGAGCATTCGACACGCTTTGGCTCCTGAATATTATGCCGAGGAGATGGCAGCCATGTACAAGCCCGAAGGCGAAGTATATCCCACACATATCTGTAAGTTCTACTGTCTCTCTATTATGCCAGTGGCTGATATATCTTTGCGAGAAAGCACACTGCGTCGAACTCCTCCGGAAACATATCATGTGTAAGGCGGATTGGAGCCTGTTCACCTATGAGTGGTCTCCGGACCAACACGCTCCACTGACCAACTTTGCTGTTGAGCACAGCTGTGTCGACTGGGATAATATGTATGAATGGTCGGTGAAGAATAGCTTCCCTCTTCATGATGATTTGCTTGTTCATCCAACCTTTGGGCCATGGCCCAATGGAGGGCCGGTGTAGAGGCGTGAAGACAGCCAGCATAGTACGTATTGATGGATAATCAAAGGTGAAGGATCGATACGAATATGACTTGGTTATTTCGATTATATGTTTGGAAATATGCAACCACTTCCGAATCTTCTACATCTGTGGATCAACTCTCCATAATGGGCTTCCCATCCAAATGATGAGTCAATTTATGCGCCGCCGCCCATTCAGTAATCCTATGCCAATCGCGACATATATGCGCCGTGGCCGTCGTTGCCCACCCCTTCTCCTCCGTCCACTCCCACCTCACCGGACTGAGATCCGCATTGCAAATCAGGCTCTGCCGTAAGCTTTCCACGCAATGATCCAGATGCTCAATGCCAGCCGCAACGTCTTTGACCTTGGACGTGTCTGCTTTCCCGGCATAGCGATCCGGTCGCAGGTTCTTCCGCAACGCATTGAGACAGTGCAGTTGGTGGAAGATATCGAGGCCCACTATGGCTGTATCGGTGTGGGCTACTGGGATCGAATTCTCGGGGATCCGAACTGCCTGACGACGCGGGATTTGGGCAAAGAGGGTAGGTTCCCACAGGGCTTCCCATGCTGCGTCGGATTCATCGTTAGGAGGACCGAGGTATATGGAACTTGTCCATCAGCCGGCGGAACATCAACAGCATAATCGACGGAGGGGAATGACTTACGCGTTGCGATCGAATCCTTGGTTAAACATCACTGTCTCATATCTGACAATGTGCTGGGCGGGGGAGTATACGGTCGATGGCCAGGGAGGCAGAGGAGACTGATATCGATCCCATTGTAGGGCTGCGATGATAGCTATACCTATCACGAGCACGATGTTGAGTATAGTTGACAGATAGGCCCATAGTCTGATGCGATGCCCCATCTGGGCCGCGGTGGCAGTCGAGCCAGCATCAGTAACCAAGGCGTACTGATGAGTCTTTTCCCTCCACAACCACATTTTGGACAAGTGTGAAGAGAGAATCAGAACAGTGCTTCAGAGACAGCCTGGTCTACGGTATATTACAGTGATGGTCTCTGCCGTGTATTCTAGGAATACACAATACACAATACAGATACACATATACAATACCGATACCCATACATAATACAGAAATACGATACACAATACAGAATTCCAGAATACCTAATACGAGAGCCGTTTTGGTACGAGCCTGCAGTTCCAACCTGCAGTTAGTTCCATTGCATACTGCAGCTAAAGGGCTAAATTAATCAGGCCTTCTCATTCTTCAATGCTTGGCCCAACATCCGGGTCGCCTGTGTTGTCTCACGGATAGCGTCACATAGTGCCTTCTCGGCCCCGCGCTGCTCCAAAAGATCAAGCCCAACCCGCGTTGCACCGCCGTGGGTGGCCACTTGGTCGATGATAAGGTCGGGAGACATGCCCCCGAGCACGAGGGTAGCCGCGCCTTGCGCAGTCATTTGTGTCTGCTGTCGTCGCCGCCGCCACTCTTGTTGAGGGCATGCACCACATCTTCGGTGAGGAGTGTTGGTAGAGATCGCGGTTTGCAGCCCAGGATAATAATGTCTGCTGCCTGGGCCGCCTGAGCATTGCATGTCTGATTCCAGAGGTCGATGCATGGGGGAGAAGCCAGAGCTGTCGCGAGAGGCTCGATGGAGGTTTGAATCCGGTTCACACTGCAGTCTGTCTGTGCAGTGGCAATGAGACGGCGAAGGTGAATGGCAGGAAGATCTGTCTCGCATCCATGGTTTGGTATACTGGTACAGGACCGAAGAAGGCCTTGGAGAATAGCAATCCCCAACTTGCCACATCCGATCATTGCGACGGTCACTCCCCTGGTCTGTACTCGCATCTTGTCGCACCAAACAAGTTATCCTGGAGATTGTAGAATTGTAAATGGTTCAGAAATGACGGAGGAGTGGACAGCCATTTATGGCACTCTGCTACTATCTAGTACGTCCTGCAGCTAATCTACAATAGGAGCAGGAAGTCTATACTTCAGCCGGCCATTCCATCATTATTCATTCGCTTGCATGGAACATGATCAGCTAGTGGAGACATAAAAGCCATGAAATAGAAGATACAAATCAAAACAGCATGGCACTCTGTTCACACGATTTTCCAAACTCATCAATCCACCGTTCAATGCGCTTCTGGTGGGCCAGATGCGGGCTGTAGGAAACCGTCGCGCTCACTTGGCCCTCGAAGCATCCCACGATTACCTCGAAGAGCGCAGTGCGCCGGCGGGTAGAAGACTGGTCAATCAAAGTAGCACCTTGCTGTGGGTTCCAGCTAGTCAGACGAAAACGTCCGTGAGGAGTCGGGCCCCTTTCGAACGACTGATACTGCCCGGTATAGTTGAAGGCGATCTCGCCCAAGCCATACTCCACCAAGTCGGCAGGATGAGAGACGCGAGAGGCAAACCACCTCCAGGCTCGATGCTCCCAGGCTCGATGCTCGTCATGAACAGCACGAATCATCCCCTGCAGGCTGGTGGATTGGGCTTTGGCTTTGACCTGGATTGGGTAGAAGACGGTGCACCAATCGACCGTGTGCGAGAGGTCTGCCTTATCAACCAAATGTCTTCCATGTGAGGAGCTGAAAACGGCTGGAATAGACCTGTCCGGAAAGATTTGCTGGAAGCTGTACAGCAGGGCCGCCTGGAAGACTTCATGGGGACGCACGCCCAGGCCAGCATGGCAGCCGTCGGTCAACGTCTGCGATGCCATCGGCGTCAATTCAATTCGGCGTGTAATGTACGGCGTGAGAGGTATGGGGCATGACAGGCCGCCCCAGTAGGCAGTGTCGATGTCCACGTTTCCCATCAAGTTGTCATTGACCTTGTCGTCGCAGCAAATGAGATCCGCCTGCACTGTGCACCAGTCCATGTACGACAGACTGCGGCTGAGATTTGCCGTCGACGCATCCGATGCCAGGAGCTCATCCAAATCACGCAAGATGATCCTCCAAGAGACCAGGTCGACTGCGAGATGGTGTGCAGTCAGGAACAGTTGTTGCTCGGATCCGTGTTGGATCAATGCCATGGCCAGCATTGGGCCATGTGTAATATTGATGCGATCGCGCATTTCCGTCGCAATCGCCGACAGATCCTGAACGCCTTCTGGGAAGGAATATTCCTCGACATGGATGGACCGAGAAACGGGCGTGCTCACGTCCAGTACAAATTGTCTCCACTGGCCAGCGTCGTCCCGGATAAAGCGAAGGCGAAATGCGTCATGGATCTTTACTAGAGACTCTAGGGCACTAGCTAGGCAATGGCACTCAATCTGCGGGAGAGTCACGGCCAGGCTCAGCTGTTCAGCGTCGTTGCCTTCGGGATTCATCGAGAAGAAGAAGCGTTGAATGGGAGATAGGGGGAAGAATGGCTGCGGCTTCTCGACAATGGCCAGCGAGGACATGCCTGACGACGAGTTGGCCGAATCTTCGCAGTTCGAATAGTTGCTGCAAGCTCCTTGCGAGCTCTCGACAGTGCTAGGGTTAGAGGAAACAGGATCGGGTTCTTGTTGGAGGACTTCAATATAGGCGCAAAGCTCCTGCACAGTCGGACGTTGCAGGACCTCGCGAAGAGAAAGCTCAATCCCTTCACGGCGGAGGCGAGTAAGGACTTCAATTGCAGAGATGGAGTCGCCTCCGATCGCGAAGAACGAGGTGGCAGTGGTAATGTTGGATATGGATAGAGTATTCCGGTTTAGGACCTGAGTCCAGATCAATCCGACCGATTTCTCCACGTCTGTCACAAGGGGCCGTCGTGACGAGGATACCTGTGGCGCCTCTGCAGGGGCATAGACTGCCCGCTCATCCACCGACAGAGAAGCGGCCAACTCTCGCAGACACCGTCGATCTGTCTTGCCAGTGCGTGTTCTGGGGAGATGGCTCAGAGGCAGGTAGAACGACGGTTTCATGTAGTGTGGGATCCTCCGCGCGAGCCGTGCGTCAAGGTCTGCAACCATCTCCTGCAGCACGCGAGAGGGGATGTCGATTGAGGATTTCTGTTGGCCAGAACTGGAATTATCTGGAACCGGTCGATGAAGGAAGGCAACGAGGAAGGAGGCTTGATCCGTGGTGATGAGCTCGACCGCTGCCTGCCAGGGATGCACCAACCGGCAATTGACTTGGAATTCAATCTCTCCTAGCTCTACACGCTGGCCTCGGATCTTAACCTGCGAGTCTCTACGACCCAGGTAAATGAGAGATCCATCATGGGCGTAACGCACCAGATCCCCTGTACGGTACAATTGCGTGTCCCCCTGCCGCCGAGAGGCCAGGAAGTCCGGATTGGTCACAAAAGCTGCCGCAGTACTGGCAGCATCATGGAGATATCCAGAGCACTGCAGCGGTCCTTCGATGAGCAGTTCTCCCACCGTCCCGTAGGGGGCCAGCCGGTGAGGATTGCCAGGATCGCAGACCCATGCCACGCTGCCCACCGGCCTTCCGATGTTGGTAGGATCATCAGGCGTCGGGGATGGGTTAACACTGCACGTCACGCATAGCTCGCTGGGGCCGTACGCATTGAGGAGGCGAACATGCGGTGACCATTGCAGCACATCCCGGGCACCCATGGGCTCTCCCCCGAGGAGCAAGGTCTTGAACGTGTGAGGCATGGATCTCGGATCGAGCGAGCGAGCAAAGGTCGGCGTTAGATGGGCCCAGTTAACGCGCAGCGCAGCCATGGCTTGGGCAAGATTGCCCGTGCGATCCGTCTCGCTGGGGATGCAGATGCAAGCACCGACCATAAGAGTGGATAAGATGTCTTTGATGGAGTCGTCGAACGAATACGAGGCAAATTGCAAGACCCTCGACGACGAGGTCAATCCAGTGGAAGCAATGTGCCCTGCTGCTCCGGAACAGTACGCCTTATGCTGGATGCAGACTGCCTTGGGCGCTCCTGTCGAGCCTGATGTTAAGATCACGTACGCCAGGGAGTCTGGCGATGAATCCACCGATTTCCAGTCACACGTTGGATTCGTTGACCATGAGGATACACTCCCAGACCGTAGCTCGACGACCGGAATTTGCATGCTGTCGGCCAGATGACGTTGAGTCTCAGAAGCAATAATCACAGTCGGCTTTACGACCGCGTGTATGAACTGGCGGGCTCGGCTCTCTGAATGTGAGACATCAAGCAGGAAAAAAGCAGAACCGGCCCTCAGGACTGCTAGGACGGCGACAGGCGTCCAGAAGGACTTTTCAGTCAGGATGGGGACGACGCTGCCGGGTAAGACTCCAAGACCGACGAGATGGTTAGCCAGCTTGGTGGAGAGCACGTCCAGTTCGCCATAGCTGAGACTACCATCCCATGCCTCCACGGCCTGTGCATGCGGCCTGGTAAGCATATGCCAGTGGATGAGGTCGTGAATGCGCATTGTCACAGCGGGAGGAACGAAGGAATTCATTTCCCAAATCCGCTGCCGATCCTGACTGCTGGTAATGTCGATATCTTCAATCTTCTCGGCAGCCTTTGCGTTCAATTCTTCCAGCGCAACCGCCAAGTGGCCGAGGAGGCACTGGGTATCGGCTTCCTTTAGCACAGTGCTATCAAAGAAAGCTTCCAGCAGGACCTCGTTGGTGGTGCCCGTCCGGAGGATCGTGCAGATAATCGTGAGGGCATGGCTGTGGAATGTCTCCAGACCTTCAACCCTGACAGGCTGCCAAATGGCACTGGTTGGATCAGCATCTGGTTGCTCTTCGGGCTGGATCACCAGCAGTGTTAGACTGGAACAGAGAGCCCGAGCGGCCGGATTGATCTTCTGGATGTTGCGCAGGCCAAAGTGCTCGTGTGCCGTCATTGCCACCGCGTCGGCCTGCACCGCAGAAAGGAAAGCCTCCACCGATCTCTGCATAGGGTCGACAGCAATGCGCACCGGGACAGTCGCGAGTGTTGGCCCCGTCACAGCCTCGATATGTGCCACCGCGACGCTTCGTCCTGAAACGGCCATGTCGAAGATTACGTCCGCTGAATCTGCATGGGCCTTCAGCACCACTGCCCATGCCGCGCGCAGCAAGGTGGGTAGAGTGATGGTAGACGACCTCTTCTGGCCCATGAAGGCCACATGGGAGACGGTCGAATTGGGTCGGGGACGATAGCCTGGAGGAATCCCTCGAGGAAATGCCGTTCGAGTGCCGCCCTCCAGATACTCCTGCCAGGATCGGGATTGTGCTTCGGAGTCCGAGTGCACGAGATGGTGGATGAAGTGGGCGTACGGCACATCAGGGGGAACGTCATCATCATCATCTGCTTCTTCTTTGGTAGAATCCGGTGTAATTCCCATTATCCTGTTGTAGGTGGTCCGGATATGCATGCAGAGCAATGGCAAAGACGTTCCATCGTAGGATGCGTGATGCTGTGTCCAGACGAACGTCCGACGATCAGAGCTCAGCAGAGCCCATCGCGAGAGAGACTGGTTCAGTCCGATGGGCCTGGACCGATCACCGAGCAGATAGCTGGTCACATCGTCTTCAACTGCCCAGACAATCGGGTCCTGACGCAGAACAACCTGGACCATCCGCGACGAGGAGAGCATCACCATGCGCGTACGCAGAATAGCGTGCCGTTGTACGACCTGCTCACAGGCGGCTTTAAACGTCTCGATGTCTACTTGGGGCAGAAGTTCAAAGACATGCTGGGCCACGTACTGGCCGGGTGTCTCTAGGGACATGCTCATAAGACCCTCTTGCAGCGGTGTACAGGGGTAGATGTCTTCTACTTCGGCTCTGCAGACGCCCAACGCCGTGTAGACGTCTTCAAGTGTGCGCGTTGCTTCTGCCTGCATGCCTAGAAGAGAAAACGGCTTATAGTCCAGCGGTTCCTGGGACACTCTCGCTGCGCAAAGAGCCTCCGCCATCTGGGCAAGCCGTGGCCGTTGAAAAACATCGGCGACAGTGAGCACCCATCCAGCCTGTCGGGCCCTGCTCACCAGCCTCATTGCCGCAATTGAATCGCCCCCCAGACGTAGAAAATGGTCATCACCCTTGATGCTCTGTTCCTCAACGCGGAGCACATGTGCCCACAGACGCCGCAGTTGCAGCGTTGCCGGTGGAACCTCCAAACTCGGCGCAGAATAAGCGTCATCCACCGTCAGTGTGGCTGCCCGGGAGTTTGTTAATGATGCAATAGTGCTACGAGACAGCTCTGGTTGGAGTCGTTTGAGTTCGTTGCGCGCAACTTTGCCTGACGGGTTGAACGGAATGTGGGTAATGGGAATCAGAAGCTGGGGGATCATATACGACGGCAGCGTTTCCGTCAGCGCAAGCTCAATGTCTTCCATAGAGGGCAGATCATCTCGTAGGACCCAGTCAAGTGTTGGCGGTTCCTGCGAGCTGACATGCATCCTCGAGCGTTCTCCTCTCCGGGCAACAAAGCCACACAAGACTCTTCGGGGCTCGTCTACTTCGTCGAGGGCAATTGTCTCGGCAATCACCTGTAGACCGGGCAATAGTCTATGAAGACCTGCCTCCACCTCGGCCAGCTCTAGACGCTGCCCGCGGATTTTAACCTGGTTGTCCTTGCGTCCGATGAAGAGAAGGGAGCCATCTGGGGCGTACTGAACCAAGTCCCCCGTCTTAAACGCCCGGCGTGTAGAAGAGCCAGGTCCTGTTCCTGCGAATAAAGAGTCGTCCTCTTTCGCCCAATCTGGTAGGGAAATAAAGGCCCTTGCCGTCTGTATCGGGTCGTGCAGGTATTCCCGAGCGAGTGTTGGGCCTTCAATCAACAGCTCACCAACAACCCCAATAGGCTGAAGACGCTGATGGTTGGATGGATCAACGATCCAACAGAGCGAGCCAACGCCTCGTCCAATGCAGTTCCGTGCCGTGGTTGCCAGCATCCGGCCAGCAATGGATGTCGTTGTTTCTGCCGGACCAGAGCACTGAAACAGATGGACTCGCTCTACCCATGTCCGACGGATCGTTTCCGGGAGGTCTTCCCCGCCAACAACAAGGGTCTGGAGGCTCGGTACCTGGTCCGGATGGAGCAGAGAGAGTGTGGAAGGCGTGAGAAAGGCCCAGTTTGCTTTTGTTCGCTGGATGGCACCGGCCAGATCATTCATTCGCTCCATGTCTGAGGGGACGCAGATGCATCCCCCGTGGATAAGGGTTGTGAGAATGTCATATACGGCCATGTCAAATGCGTGCGAGGCAAACTGAAATACACGCGAGGCCGTATTCAGTCCTATTGCCGGGCCATGGGAGAGGATGCTGGTGCAAATAGCCTGGTGCTGAAGAAGAATTCCCTTTGGCTTACCCGTGCTTCCAGATGTAAAGATGACACATGCTAAGTCGCTGGGGTGAATGGCACTAGACGCTGCCTCCTCTGATACTGGAAAGCTTATGCCATGCATCTCATGTTCAACGATCACCAAGGTGGCCCCTGGGATCAACCCTCGGAGCCTTGGCTCCAGGTCACTCGAGGCCAGGATGATTGTTGCTCCCACTTCCTGCAGAAGACCTCGAATCCTTGCTGCAGGATGCGATGTATCCAGCAAGCAGAATGCGGCGCCTGCTTTGATAACCGCCAAGGTGGCAACGACGACGTACATTGACTTCTCAAAGCATACCGGAACGACCATGTCACGACCGACCCCTAAGCCGCGAAGTCGTTGTGATAACCGGGAGGAGAGACAGTCAAGCTCTGCATATCTTAGGCTTCCATTCCAAGCACAAACCGCCTCGGCTTGAGGTCGCAATTCGCATGATTTGGCAAAGAGACCGGCAATGCTGCTACTACTATCAAGCGGCGGAGAGGCCAATATTCCCTCGTTCCACGACAGAATTTCCGTGATATCAGACGTGGTAATTGCGGTGACTTGGTCGACCACATCAGTGGGTGCGGCCAGACAGAGTCGACACGAAACTGCTTCCAGGTGCCCTAATATCCGTCGCATCTGAACGGGATGGATTACGCTGGGATCGAAACTAACGTCCGCCTCGACTACGCCCGCATTGTGAGAAGTCATCTGCAGCATTAGGGCAAACGGATTCAAAAGACGGTAATCTATCAGGTGCTGCACTCGCTCTCCCATACACCGGCTGTAAGACTGGGGATCTTCTGGTGTCTGGATAACCAACTGCGTGTTGAATCTACATGCTGCCTGGCAGTCGGCCCCCAGTTGGGCAATATTCTGCAGACCCAGGTGCTGGTGAGGGACCATGTTGACAGTTTCATTGTAGATTCTCCGCAGGAACGTCTCGACGGTTTCCATTCGAGCGATACGTGCCCTGAGAACGGGACTGTAGTGAAGACTGGACCCTCTATCTCGATCACATTGCTGCATGGGATATTCCGACCGTTGACGGTATGGCCAAAGACAATATCGTCCGAATCTGCATATACAGCGGATACCAGCACCCAGGATGCGCATAGAATGGAGGCCAGCGTCGTGCTTGGTGGTCGGGATCGAGGCAGCGTCCATTGGCGTCTGGCTGAAGCACTTGCACTGGGCTGGTACGACGGGGAGGAAAGTAGAGGATAGGGACAGCATGTTGCGCTGCTGCCTGCAAGCACGGCATGCCAATAGCTATGTGCGGCGTCTGCATCAACAGCTGCTGCTAAATGCTTTATAAAACATCGATATTCCGCCGGGGGTGACCAGGCAGTCTGGCCGAGATACACCGAGTTGACGGCTTGGAGGATGAGCCTGAGGGACCAGCCATCATACAGCGCATGATGAATGGACCACACCAGGTAGGTCTCACCGTTATCATTATCTGATTCCAATCCCGTAACGATTGAATGGCGAGACATCTGCTGTCCCAGTGCCATCACGTTGAGTCGGTCTTGCCCTAAGTACGTGTCCAGGGATGAGCTGCTCTTCTCGATGATGGCAGGCTCATTCACGACAGCCTGCCACAGACGCTCTTCGTATTGAACCAAACGTGTTCGAAGGATAGTAGTCCGTGCTATCACCGTCAACCATGCCTGGATGAGACGATCGACATCCACGTCGCGAGGGAGGCGAAAAACGTGTTGCGCCATGTAGAAGCCACTCCGTTTCAAAGACACTGCAACAATGCCTTCCTGGATACTTGAACTCGGGTAGACATCGGTAATGGATGATTCCGAAACATTACAGGACCGTGCTATTGATGCCAGAAGGCCCTGCAGAGCGAATCGAGGACCTACCTGCTCAAAGGGGGTTGCTGACAGGGCAGATGCGGATGTTACAATGCCCTTCCGGGCTTGACGCACAGCTACCATGGCCATCTTGGCCAGTACCGGGCTACGAAATATATCTGCCACGGTAATACCAATCAAAAACGGCTCCTGGCTCGCCAGGGAAGCCAAGCGCATGGCGGAAATCGAGTCTCCTCCCAGGCGAAAGAAGGAGTCGTGACGGTGGATGATGTGCTCGTCCCCCAGCCCCAGTGTCTGCCGCCACAAGCTCTGGACGACCTTCTCCATATCTGTCCACGGAGAGGAGTCCTCTTGCGTGCATTGCGCAGCATCGTCAATGGCACGCAAGAAAATGGCCGATTCCGCGTTGACTGTGCTCGCCCGTGCTTTCAAAAGATCCCGGTTCATTTTCCCGGACTTGTTGAGTGGCATTCGATCGACCACGATTACGGCTGTAGGGATCATGAACCGGGGCAGCTCCAGTGACAGCTTTTTGTAGAGGCCACGGCATCTGCCTTTCATAACGTCTCGTATTTTCCAGTGATCAAGGCCGTCGTCTACACCGGCCAGATATGCCACCAGCCGCTGTTCGTCCGTGGACTGGGCGGTTGGCAGGCGTGCCACAGCGCAAAGAATGCGCCATTCGTATCCCAAGTGCGCATTGAGACGACCTTCCACCTGCTCGAGTTCCACGCGTTGACCGTTTAGTTTAACCTGTGTGTCTTGTCGCCCATGAATGTAGACGGATCCATCGGGCCCATATGAAGCGAGATCACCCGTGCGGTACATGCGACGACGCCCGTGGGCTTTCACCGGCAGCCACTCTGGATTATAGATAAAAGAGAGGTCCGTCTTGACGGGATCGTTCAGGTAGGAACGGGCAAGAATTGGCCCTTCGAGAAACAACTCGCCCAAGGCCCCAATCCCCTGCAGCTTCTGTGGATTCCCCGGCTCCGTGATCCAGGCAATGCATCCCCTTGGGTGCCCCTTGTCATCGGCACCGGAGGTAGGCTGGAATATCTTGATATTGGACTTAATGGCCACCTCGGCCGGCCCATACTCGTCCAGCACAGTGACTCCCGATTCGAGCCACCTAGCCTTGTCCTGTTTGGTAGAAGGTTCCCCGCTGAGCACCATGTATTTCAGGGAGGGCAGGGACGCAGGCAGGAGGCAACGGGCCAGTGACGGTGTCAATTCGGCGTATGTAATGCGAGCTCGGTTGATGAAGTCAACTAATCCATTCTCTCGTTCGCCGTCCGATGGGATACAGACGGTGCCTCCCATGAGCAGTGTCGTCCAGATATCATCGATACATATATCGAAACTAAAGGACGCAAATTGCAGGACTCGCTCGCCACGCTTGTGAATCATGGCCTGGCGGCCTTGTACACTCGACATATAGGAGCTGTGTGTGTGGATGATTCCTTTTGGGACCCCGGTGCTTCCAGACGTAAAAATCACATAAGCGGCACTCCATGGGCTGATCTGGGTTGGGGAGGGCAGGGCATGCTCTGTCCGCTGGCAACATAGATCCAGCAGTAATGTGCCATCCACAGTGAGACAAGAAGCCGATGCCATCTTTGGCAAGCTGGGTAGCACCGAGGCTGCGCTGAGCAGCACACTGCACCGGCATTGACTCACCATGTGTTGAACCCAGCTTGTTGGATGACTGCCATCCACAGGGGCAAATGCGGCTCCAGCTTTCCACACAGCCAGCATGGAAATAACTGCCCAGATTGACTTGGGAAAGACAATGGGAACAATATCTTCGGGCCCAATTCGGAATTCTCGGACCAGATACGCAGCGAGAAGGGTTGATTTCTCATCCAGCTCCTGCAATGTCAGACTTCCATCCCAAGCCTCGACCGCCAGGTGGTCTGAGGATCCGGCCGTGACCAGGCGTTGTAACTCGTAGGGAGCCGAGGTTTCTGCTGCTCGTGGGATGTGACTATTACGCTCTCGTAGGAGCTCCCTGTCTCTCTCCGAGAATATGCTAATCTGGCTGATAGTAGATTGCTGTTGCTGCCCATTGCAAAGATGCATTATCACCTGCGCAAACTGTGCGATGAGACTCCGTATCTGAAGCTCAGAGGTGAATACCAGTGCATCATAGGTGACATGGCACATCACACCTCCTCGGACAGGCTCGCATTCCATCACTAGGGAATATGCGCCAAAATTTAGCCAGTCGGCCACACTGGCAGGGGAGCCCTGGAAGCGTAACGCATTTTCCGGCGAATGGCCCTGCACCAGCAAGAGTGTCTGGAAATCACATGCCCGTCGAATCTCGGGGGATAGACGTCTGATATTCTGGAGGCCGGTATGTTCATGGGGTATCATAGCCGCTGCCTGCGCCTGTACCTTGTCGAGTAGTTCGCTGATGCCCTGGGTTGGTGGAAGAACAACGCGAACCGGCACTGTGACGATGGTGGGTGCAATTAGGGCTTCCAGGCCGTCCACAGGGGCAGATCTGCCATTCAGCGTCGCCCCAAAAACGACGTCTTCAGTACCAGCGTATTTTGATAGCAGAACAGCCCAAGCCGCCCGGAGAGTAGTCGCAACGGTGAATCTGGTACTTTGAGGCATCTGGAACTGTATCTCTTGCCGGCATGTGGTATCTGCCGCGGGCGTGTAGGCCGGCTGAGGCAACGGGGGCCACGCGAGACAGTCGGCGCCATCCAGTTGCGATCGCCAGTACGCACGAGTAGCATCTGAATCCATTCCTGTGATGTGGTTCAGTAGGCCGTGCATTCCAATGATCGGATGCAGAGGGGTCGTGCCTCGATACTGGGCCTCCAGCAGTTGGAAGATCAGCTCGATGGACCAGGCGTCGAGAATCGAATGGTGGACCATCCACTGGAAGCTGCGAGTCCCGTTCAACATGTCTTTTAGCGTATATGCATGAAGCTTGCTGCCGGTGAGAAGACCCTCTGATAGAGCATCCTTCCATGAGTTGAAGGAGTGACTATCCGACCATTCCGGCTCCTCGTCGAGAACGACCTGTCGGATGCCGTGGGCGCCCTGGAGGAATCGGGTGCGGAGAATTGGCAAAAGTCGGACGAGCGCTTCCCAGGAGCATTGGAACCTGGACAGGTCGATTTTGTCCAGGAGAGGAAGCTCGATGGTCACTGTGTATGCTCCCGGCTTCTGCATTGCCAGGGCAAGGAGGCCTTCCTGCAACGGCGTCGCTGGATATGTGTCGATAACCCTAGCTGTCTCCAGGCCATGCTGCCCGGGGATTGAGGGCGGCTCTTCTCGAATTATATCAGTATCATCCAGGGCCGATGAAGACGAACATTTGTCATTCGGTGCCAATGGCCGAACCATCGATGCCAACTCTTCCACTGTTGGATGCTCAAAGATCATTTGAACATGCATGTCCAATCCCAGATGGCGAGCAGCTGCTACCATTCGGATCGCAGCGAGCGGATTTCCTCCCACTCTGAAGAAATCATCACCTCGGCCCAGCTTTTCCGGTTTCGAGATGTGGAGTTGTTCGCACCATAGTCGGTGAATCGATTTCTCAACTTCATCTCTTGGTGCCTGCTCGGATGGTGATGAACCCGCCAATGGCGCCGCAATGACATCGTCCCAAGCCAGCTCCGATGCCTTGCAACGAAGCTGTCGGCGGTCTATCTTGCCACTTGGTAACAGCGGCATACATGATAACGGGATATACACCGTCGGCTGCATGTACCGGGGCACAAGTACATCCAGTCGAGGCTGTAGCCTCTGCTGTATCTCCCACGCGCTGTCGAGAGACGTTGTTGTATCTATGAAAATTGCATTGGCCGTACTATCGTCGGGTTCAGTACTATCAATGGCAATGAAAGCCGCCAGAACCGGGTCCATACTATCTTCTTGCCCTCGGAAGCGCACTGCTTCCACTGCCAATTGAGAGGATGGTAGCAGACCTCGCAGATGGTGTTCTACTTCCGCAAGAGTCACCTTTTGGCCCCGGATCTTCACGGCATCATCGAGACGTCCTAGCAGGCTAATTCTCCCGTCTGCATGATATCGAGCCTTGTCACCGGTTCGACACAATCGAGCAGTCACAGCAAGAGCAGGGGCCGTCGACCAGGCTGTCTTGCTGACGAACTTGCTCGCTGTCTTTTCGGGGTTGTTTAGGTACTCTGTCGCGAGCGCGTGGCTCTCAATAATCAATTCCCCTTCCATCCCCACCGGCACGAGAGTGTCTATGTCGTCTGGGTCGGTGATCCATACCCGGCAGCCGCATGGTAGGCCCGCAGTGGTTGTATAGTCTCCTGGCGGTATCCATTCCAAGATGCAAAGGTTGGTCTCCGTGGATCCATAGCAGAGTATCAGCTTGACTGTGTGACTCCATCGGTCGACAAGGTCTTGAGAGACCTTCTCACCCCCAAGCCCCAGCACGCGGAGGGCAGGCAGACTCTCCAGGTCCAAGGTTGCCGCAAACGTTGGTGTCATCACAGCAACATTGATGGCATGTTCTTTCATGAACAGACTGGCATTGTTCAGACGATCATACTCCGATGGAATAAAAACCTGTCCGCCTTGCATCAAGGTAGCCAGGATCTCGACGGTGCAGGGAAGCCAGGCAAAGGCCGTGAATTGCATCATCCGAGAATTCATGCCGAGCTCCAGGGTACTTGCGTAGGACAATGCTGCGGTCACCATTGCGGAGTGAGAGATTACTACCCCATTGCGCTTCCCAGTGCTGCCGGAAGTAAACATAATCAACGCCGGCATGCCACTGTCGACATTCATATGAATGCTGGTCCTATTGGCGGTTTCGTTGTCGGCTTGCTGACCGAGGGAGAGGACTTCATCGACAGTCACCACCCGAGGAAGATGCAGTCTAGACTCATGTAGTTGTGCAGCAGTTGCTTTGGTAACCACCATCAAGGCTGGTTCTGTATCCTGGAGGATCATCTGCAGTTGTTCAAAGGGCGTGTCAGGATCGCATGGTATCCAGACTGCCCCGGCCTGCATCATTCCAATCATTGAGATCACAGCATTTTTCGACTTCTCGCAGCAGGCCAGAATTCTGTCTCCCCCCTTTACCCCGTGCACAATTAGGCCGTGACTAAATACGTCGATCTGGCGCATCAATTCCGAGTAAGTCAACGTGCCATCCCAAGCAGCAACTGCCGGTGTCTCAGCATCCTGTAATTGTGCACGCCACTGAATCGCTTTATGGACACACGATTCTCTCTTTGGTGGAATCTTTCTGTTCCATTCGTGAACCTGAAGCCATTCATCATCCATCCCAAGTCCCTGTGTTGCGTCGTTTACGTATTCCATGACTTGGTATTATTCTGGTGATCCAGTGATGTTGACTTCGGTGAAGGCTCCAAGCCAAGAGCCAGTCGGACAAATGCTTCTCAAGTGAACGTGGACTACCACTGTGCCAGCTTGGTCGCTGTACCTAGGAACTAGGGTTTCGTACCTGTCGAGGTAATGAAGCTATCGGCTTGATTAGCGATAGTCGCTTGCCTGCCTGTTCTCGCCTAATCTTCTACCTCGTTTTTCGGAGCCATTTCTCGGTGCGCGATTTTGCTTGCGCTATCATGAGGGGAGATGATGATGTGTTCTCGATAATCCTGTGGTAGTATTCCTTCGTGCTCTGTTGCTGCATGAGCGGTTCATGTAACAACAAGCTAATGTCCATGGTACTGTTTCCACGGTACTGTTTCCGTACCTTGGTGGGTACCTAGGTATTGTACAGGGAGTATCCTACCGTATTACGAATTTCTCACTGTATTCTTGTTTCTTACTGTACTGTTTCTTTGGTATTGTTCTGTATGCTAAGTATCTTACTCACGTAAGCTGCAGAAGCAATCTGCACACACGGCCGGGGGAGGCGCTAACCACTGCAGCCAACAGACAGATCAATGATGACTGTAATCTCTACGACGTTACAATCAGCCGAAGCGCCGGGGAGATAGGCCTTCAGGTCTACATAGTTGAGCCTTGGACTCTTGCTCTTGGTTAGTATCCAAAAGTCCATCCGCTTTTCACTACGATTCCCTCGAGCACGAAAGACCTCGGTTTCTTGATCCTCCCCTACTAGTTGACAAAAGTCCTAAACAAAAGTCGGAACGAACAAAATGAAGATTGCGACTCTGCTCCTTTTTGTCTCAGTGGCTGTTGCTCTTCCCACTGTTCCCGGTAAGCCTTGGTCTGCTGTTGACTATGTGCTTAGGGTTTCCTCATACTGACCGTTACAAGTAGTGCCCATTCACCGCTCAGTCGATGAGGTTTCCGCCGCTGACTGGGGCCAGAAACGTTCTGTCGATGAAGTCTCTGCTGCCGACTGGGGTCAGAAGCGCTCCGTCGACGAGGTTTCCGCCGCGGATTGGGGCCAAAAACGCTCTGTTGATGAGGTTTCGGCCGCTGACTGGGGTCAGTAGACAAGTGTCTACTTGCCGTAGCCTTTTACTTCTTTTTGCCAAGCTCTCACCTGCGTGGCAAAGCGAATCTCATAAGGTCTGGGAACGATTATGGACATGACGCGGAAATGTCATGCAATGTTACAAGGACAGGGAATGTAGTACAGCATAATGCTCAGTTATTTGGCAATGGAATGGAGATTTAGTTATGATGGACCTGCTATATAAATGATCTTTCTATCTTCATATTACAAGCCCACGATGTAGCGTTCACAATTTCCTATGAAGTCTGGTAAAATGATGCCTATTCAGTTATGGGAATAGAGAAACTTATAGCAGGCGACATACAGAGGAAAGAAAAAGGAATTATTCAATCTTGTGGCCAGAAGATAACATATATACCATTTCTTGCAAGATTGAGTACAGACTGTCAGATGCAGACTGCATCTGACAGTCTGGCCAGCCTACTTCTCCGCAACCAAATTGCCTTGCTGCTCACCATCATTACATTCTTAATATCTCTGGGACTTCCCTCACAGGTGGTCTGAATCATGCCCTGAAATATAGACAGTTTGTTCCAGCATTCTATGGGCATGTAATACGACCTCCAGCTGCTCTGATGTCATTTGTATCTGCCACCGGCGAACAAAATCGTAGACTGACTTTATGTCTCTGCACTTCCGGGGAATAGAGGTGTTATGCCCGTACAGCGATGGGTCAATTGGTTCTAGGTTCGTGTCTGCATTGCACAGAATACCTTGCGTAAGGTAGTCAATGCATTGCTCGGTGTGGTATGGAATAGCTGTCCAATTTCGAGATCCTGGCTCAGCGATGGCTTGGTATAGCGTATTCTGGAGGTTCATCTAATATCGAATTCCACTTAGCACTAGATCTGCCTCTGGGTTCTGCTCCCAGCATCGACGGGGTGTACCTACGAGACAATGGAGTTGGTGAAAGACTGCCAGAGCAGAGCCATTTGGGGCAAGAGTGGGATGCTGAACTATTCCACCGACGGTATTGTGTAAGGGAAACAGACCTCGCCAGGCCTCCAAGTAGCTTTGTGGGGACGGTTGCAAATGGGAAAATGTGCCGTTCCAGATGAGATGGCCGTCAATGTCGCCAGCAGGTACTAAGGGCAGAGGAGGTGTGATTAGACCATGGAGCAATAAATCCTAATCTCGCAAAGGATAAGGCACTTACCGAGAAGTCCAGCCGTGTATTTGTCATGCGATGCCTGCTGGATGCAGCCGGAGGAGGTTCCAATGCCAGAGGATGAAGAAGATTTACTCCAATCCTCAAAGACAGGATCCGGGCCAGGGCCCCCCTGGGCGTTCCTACCCAGATAATATCCCCCTGCACTGGAGAAGATGGCAATACCAATTATGGATATGAAGTATGCAAGAAGCAGCCAACGGCCTTCGCTTCTTTGGGGGTAGTTTTCATTATACGGCAATAATTTTTCATCGTCATCATGCTGACTATCCGGGTCTTCCTTGGGCATCTGAGTAAAACGGATGCCGTTTCTCAGATTAAAGAGCCCTGAGAACTGCATGGTAAGAGGGAGGATGTAATGGAAGGAGAATCGCCTATATTGAGCGGGAAATAGCCTTTTGACACGAGTCAAATGCTGCTGCAGGAGGAGTTGCCGGCTTTTATACTAAAGTCGCAGCAGGATTCGGCCCGTCTTTGAACATCTCCCCGTTATAATTCATGATTCATGACCCCGCCCGACCCCGGTAATCTAGCTTTCTGTTCTTGTTCGATATCCAGTTAATCCAGCACTGCGACCATGTCTGCTGACTACAAAGGGCTTCATGCCGATGAGCGGCAGTCCTCGTTCGAAGCGGAAAGGCTGCTCGATTCGACTAACGAACAGCCTGTTGCCCACCAAGGCATCGGTAACCAGCGTCTTCATCTGAGGATCCTCTACGTTATTATTGTAGGGTTACTTGTGCTGGTCGCCATCCTGTCATCGTTACTTGTGAAGATTCGCGGCAACAACCCCCAGCTTGCGTTGTGGTGTAAGCATTCCCATTGATGGCCGTCTACGGGGCCCTGGGCCGAACTTTCTACTGATGGAGAACAGCGCCTGTCAATGATATTATCGATTATAAAACAGTGACTTTTGACGCTTTCTTTCTGGGCCACGAAAGTCCTTGGACCAGGGGCCCGAAAGAGGTCAAGGATGAGCTATGGAATGCTACCTATCAGTGTATATGCCACCATTCCCATCATCCACTTCCACAAGAATACAGACAGACATGCTGATGAATGTGTTTAGTTGGAATCTCCTGGATCACCAAGGAAGAGGCTTCGCGGATGGTGAACCAGACACTTCCTGCGCCTCACGACCCAGACAAATATATGATTCAGCTGGAGGTGTTCCATAATCTTCACTGCCTCAATATGCTTCGCAAGAGTCTGTATCCTGACGAATATCCGGAGATGTGGGAGTACCATAAGAATGGAACGGTGAACCATAACACTCTGCAATCGCTGCATATGGGTGAGTGTGCCGTGCCCTAAGCTCCCTCTTGTAGAAAATACTACTAATTAATATCCATCCACTATGTACCTTATAGATCACTGTGTCGATGCCCTCCGCCAGTCGACCATGTGCGAAGCAGATATCACCCCCATTCCGTTTGTCCACAACTACTTTGGGCGCGGCGTTTTCCCCAGCATTGTTGCTACGCATACGTGTCGGGACTTTGGCGTTATCAGTAAGTGGGCCAAGGAACGGGAAGTGAAGGATTACAAGGCGCATTGATCGACCTGAGTCGAGTCAACAGGTTGCCAGGATGTGTATGTAGCATGAGCAGCCAATCTGCGATACATTTGTTATAGTGGCACCTAATTGGCGCCTCTGCCTAGGTAGTACATTGCGTGCTCTCGATGTGCAGTGTACAGGAACTAGGGTTGTGTTGTCCATCTAAACGCGCGTATGTTACCGGTACAAAACCAAGGTCTCCAATACCAACATGTATTACACCCCACATCTGGTTACAATACATATTACAATGCTAATTGTCAGCACATCCTACATAACTAGCGCCTTGGCATCTGCAACCAGCGCAAACCGCGGGGTTAACAAAGTTAGCAACTGATGAGATCTATTTCAAGTTAAGGCTTAGCAGGGACAGGCGGGTAGATAACAGAAGATAAGATAAAATAAGATAAGGAAATCTGGCCTCCCAGAAATAGTAATGCTGGGCGAAGAGAAGCCGAGATGGTAAGTGCCTTTCCATGCTTAGAACCACGCTACCTACCATATACTTGATAAAAAATGTCGTGTCCCTCTCGCTCATAGGCCCCCCTTTCGATCAACACCTTTCGAAGTCGGCCGAACTCCGGGACGGCGTATTTTCGGTAGATGGCGGTGATGATTTCTAGGGCAGAAGCTGAGGGATCGAACCTGGTCTGGAGAAGCAAGGCATTGGGATCGGCCCCATACTGTATGAACAAAGATACAATCGCCGCCAGACGAAAGGTGCCATCCTCACTGGTGTCATAGTACCGGATCCACTGGCGGCGATCTGCCTCTCGCAGATAATCCAGGACAACTAGCCATGGTGTCTGGTTCTTCCCGTTCAGATCCTTGTACGGCTGGTTGGGATCGGCCCCGCTTGCGAGAACATCATTGATTATTTCTGGACTGGATAAAGGGTATACCGTCTGCCGTCGACTGGCAAGTAATTCAATGCAATGACTGAGAAGCGGTATCTCGTCACCAACATCACTGCCATGTGGCCTGCTATTATCCTCCAGGATGCGTTCGCGCACTAAAACTGCTAGCCCAAACTTGGCAGAGAGTGAGAGAAATGGATCACGAAAAACGAGGTTTTTTCGTTTCTCATAAGATGAGAAAAGGCTTCGTGCCCAGTGATCGAACTTGATGGACCTCCGGAACGCCCAATGCTGACAAAGTGCCCGGTCCAGCTCAGGGATTAGTACCAGCTGTGACTGCCAGCAATTCATAGATAGTCGTGCATGAGTGAAGGCGAGGAGAATGCTTGGCCACCAATCGTCTATCTGTCGGTGCGGTTGGAATTCATCCAGTGGCCGCTTGAATTGAAGAATGATAGATGTGAGAAGCGATGAATGGGGCTCGAATGTCGATCCTAGCATAGGCTCTAAGAGTCGGGACCGAACATGAGGAAGTGAGAGAAAATCCTTCACAGTCCGATGGACATAAGAGACCTTGCTATGTGCCAGTTGTTTTCCATGTGATGGTGTATCTCGCTGAAGCATTCTCGGTGAAGAGAACGAGGAGTGTGTTATTATCAACCCTGCACACTCCCCGGATAGGAGGGCCCTAGTCACCTCACATATACGAGTGATGTCCAACTCGCTTGCCTGTTGCACATCAGTAGGAATGCAGGGCATGCTCTCCTCCAACTGATCGGCGAGCGCGAATTCCCAGAGGCTCATTGATGCTGCACTTTGCCACTGGGTGACGTAACATGCCTCTTCTCTGGCCTGGATAATCTGGAATAGCCGTGAGATGATAAAGGTTTGATCTTTCGACACAGTGTCAAAAATGAAATATGCGAAGAGATTGTCTATGTTAGTGGGATGTTCACGCAAGTATTCATGCATTTGCAAAACGTCTTCATACTTCTCACGGCGCAGTAGAGACTGAACCACCAGCATCACCCAGAGGAAGACGCCGTCTGCCCTCTCGACAATGTCCAAAATGAGCTGCGATGCTGCGTCCTTGTCCTTGGAGAAAAGTTGGTTGATCGAGGGGTTCCCGTATAAACGATCCTCGGCGAAGTGAAGCATGTCCCTTTGGGTCAGTTGGTGGAGTTCAAGCCTAGGGTTATTTCCCAAAGTTTCCCAAAAAGCAGGAAGTGGTCGACTTGATAGACAGATTTTGACGTGAGGAAATGATGTAACGCAATTTTTTAAAAATGCCACGATTTGCTGATGGTCGCCGGCGAATTCGTCTAGCCCATCAATGAATAAACAAATCCTGCCGCTGTTGCCCGTATAATGCATGAAGGATTCCATGGCACCCGTCAGCTCGAGAAGATCCCACGAAATGGAGGCCTTGACACGTTCTCGTGTACTTAGAGACCGAAGGTGTTTCCATCTCGCCGGGAAGACAACCGGGATGAGATGCTTCTGTTCACTCAATAATTGATATAGGAGATAGCGCATCAGACCTGTCTGGGATCTCTGCTCCAGGGTACCACTTATCCAAAAATAAAAGCCGGCGGTGATGAGCTGTTTATTCCCCGCCCATGAGCGAAGCAGGTTCACGGTTTCAGCGTGCTGCATTACAAATTGCATCAGGGTGGATTTCCCTGATCCTGCCTTGCCGCTAATCCAATATATACGCTCTTGATGCTCGCCATTCCGCAGCCAGTTGGCAAGAGAGTTCTCTGACCGCCACCCTTGAAAGGGGGCGCTCGGTTTACTGGAAGGGGCAAATATCCAGTCAAAAGTCGTACTATGAGCGGTGGTAACACTGTTCTCTCGATCGGTCATTGACGGGAACTTTAGACTTTCCAGCAGGAAGTCTTGAATAATCATCTCGTGGTCTGTGAACAGGGTATCTTTCGTATATACTTTCTCAACCTCCTCATACGCCATTTTATTCTGTACCTCAGTAGGGTCTTCACCAAAGAGTTTCACAATACCGGGCTCAGCTGGTCTCTCGCTCCGCTCTCGTCTCTGATCCAGCAACGTGGGCTCATTTGGTGCTCTTCTGTCTCTGGTAATGTCCAAGGAGCGGAGAGCCTCACGGGCAGTGACTAGACTGTTTAAACTAGAGGAGTCATTCTTGGTGAATGGCCAACCGCATGTGAAGGAGAAAAAGACATACCTCTGCACCGACGAGATGGCCACCTCCAGTTCCGATTTCAGCCAAATAATTCGTTCTTCCAGTCCCATAGCATCTTCTAGGGGCCAAAGCTGCTTCAGATCCCCGACATGGAGGAGTGAACCGGGCCCAAAGCTCTGAATCAGCTCCAGGCGAGTTGATAAAGTCCTGAGGATGCCATGGCTGGCAGCACGGAGGTCATCCAGCGCCTGGGCCTGCTGAGATAGTGGTCCAATCTCCCTTGGACAGCCGCCTGTCAGGCAGCTACTCAGGTTGGTGAACTGGGTGTGCAGTTCGCATACATTCCATTGCATTACAGGCTGATCGTCATCGTCCAGGCTGTGTATTTCGTACAATTGGCCCACAAGCTGAATGCCTGCATGGATGAATTGTACGACCAGCATCTGAGCTGTGCTGTCAAATTCATCCGCAGCCATTCTCACGTTGGTCCACGACTTGAGGCAGTCTTGGAAAGGGATTCAATTCTGGAGAGAGAAACGAAGCGCCCTGTCACATGATAACAATGGAATGAGGGGAAACACAGGCTAATCCATATTGGATTTAATGTTACAGATAACTGTAATTACTGATGGATACGAGCGTTTAATGGAACCGATAAGGTATCAAAAAGTATCATTCTATTCTCTGCGTTTGAAAGACACTGCTGCTCTACTACGCCACCCTCCTAGCTTGGTAGAATGGCTCCTACGACCAGAAAATTAATCGTGGCTTCCCTCCGGTCACCTCACTCGGCAGGAGCCCTATAAAACTTGCCAGAGCAATTCGTGGGGCGTTCTGGTCTCCAACAGGCGCGACCTCGTGCATGTTCCGCGAGTTGAAGATGCACAACTGACCGACTTCGACGTCAAAGCTGCACTGGGCATGGCCGTCCACGAGTGCTCGCGAATATCCATAACTCTCCGGGTCGCGATACCGCAGTGCATCCTCGGTCCACTGCACATCGTAGATCGTGGTGCGGCCTCCGGTCGTCGCGGGAGTGAGATAGAGATTAAAGACCGCCTGGCAGCTGATTTTGGACAGAATCCAGCCCTCTTCGGCGGGAACATCGTACGGACACCAGTCGCAATGAGGGGGCGTCCCATGGTTGATCTTGCGAAAGATGCCGCTGTAGTACTGGTGGTCGCCGCATGATGGCTCGCGGGCGACTTCGACATCCCACTCGGGGACCAGTGTGGCGAGTGTATCAATGACCTTCTGCCACACGTTGGTGCCAACGGCAGCGGAGAGATCGTCATGCAGGGAGGCAACCTTCTTGACTTCGTCAAGGTAGCGTTGTTTCTCATCGCCCCGGCGAGATTTCATGTCCTCCTCCGACTGGGCCTGGAATTCAAACTGGGCGACGCCCACCTTATCGACGGGAGGGCCGGTCGCATGCAGATAGGGGGTAAATCGGGGCTGCAGCTGCTGAACAATCTTCTCGGACAACTCGCTGGAAATAAAGTGGGGGACTTTGATCACAGGCAGCGTTCCTGCTAACACGTCCAGAAATGACCTTCTGGTCAATGGTACTGGGGCGGTTGTCTGCCAGTTGGAGTCGGGGGCGACGGAGACGGGCATGGATGGGGGAGTCCCAACTGTGGTGGACATGACGAGTGATCAATGTGTGCTTTGGGCGTGTTGTTCTTGGTGATTGATATTGCAGAGCGGACAGCACGACTTCTTATATCTCCCTAAGTATACAGGCGGTACCTACTAGGTACGTATTAGGTACTAGGTAATTAATACAGGTAAGATTAGTACGTGTATTCGAACCCCGGTAATCTTTCCTATCTGATGTATCATAACAGCTGTGTACCTAAGGTACCTACCTATGTAACCATCCATGATCCTTTCCCCCCTTATATCGCCTCCCATGGGACGCTTTCATATCACTAGGAAAACTCCAACCCATCGCGATGGACCATCAAAACCATCAAGATAATGCTTGCATCAGATCCGATGCATCTTTTGGCCCAGTAGTGTCAGGCTGTCGCGACAACTTCGACTTCACCCTCGCCTTCGAGCTGTATTTCTTTCTTATCACGCCTGCAGCGCTGTTTCTGCTGGTTGCCCCAACCCGCGTCTACCTGCTCTTTGCCCGAGATCGCTGTGTCGATGGCAGGTGGCTCCGAGATGCCAAGCTGGTTCTGTCTGCTGTCTATTCGGCCTTGCAGCTCACCCTCATCGCGCTATGGACGCTTCGACCGATGCCTGCATCCGCCGCGGGCATTGCCGCTGCATGCGTGAATACCGGCGCGGGTCTGTTTCTGACCCTGCTCTCGCCCCTGGAACACACGCGTAGTCTCCGCCCGTCATCTATCATCAACACGTATTTACTCTCGATTTTTCTGGACGCTGCAGTGGTCCGCACCCTCTGGCTAGCCAGCTATGCGGCCGACGACCTGCGCAGCACCTTCACTGCAGCATTCGTTCTGAAGGCGTGTCTCTTCGTGCTGGAAACAGTGGAGAAGCGATGGCTGTTCTGTTCCGAGAAGGAGAAGGACCTCAGCCCATATGCAAAGAGTGGTGTCTACAATCGCGCGGTTTTCTGGTGGATTAATGGGCTGTTGCGACAAGGGGCTCGACAACAGTTGACTCCCAAGGACCTGCACCCGCTGGACAGCGCCATGGCCGCTGAGTCGCTTGATCGGCAATTCTGGGCATCGTGGCTGAAAACAAACCCAAAGCGGCGTCGTCGACTGTTGCACACCTTTTTCCGGGCATTGCATTGGAATCTCTTCGCTCCTGTAGTGCCCCGGCTGGCGTTGATTGCGTTTTCCATCTGCCAGCCGCTGTGCCTGCGACGTTTCCTCAGCTATCTGCAGGCAGATCCGGAACAAAGTGTGAATATCGGCTACGCCATGGTCGGAGCGTACTTCCTAATCTACTTTGGCATTGCGGTTCGTTCCAATGGCTTGAGTCTGGCGTATGAATAAGTACAGCTAACGATGTCGTACATTAGATTTCCACCGGGTTCTACTGGGCGTCCTGGTTTCGCTCGCTGGCTTTAATCAGGAGCATGCTAATGACTGCCATTTTTGAAAAAACGCTCCAAGCTCCAGCATCTGTGGCTGCCGAGAAAGCAGCGGTGACATTGATGAGTACCGACGTCGACCGCATCATGAACGGTCTGCGCGAGGTTCACGAGCTATGGGCCAACGTCGTGCAGATCGCTATCGCCACATATTTGCTCGAAACGGAACTAAAATATGCCTGCATCGCACCTGCTGCCATCGCCGTCGGCTCTTTTGTAGCCATCACGTATCTATCGGAGTACACCAAGCAGTTCCAAAAGCAGTGGATGGGGAAATTGCAATTACGCATTGCTCGAGTTTCCGCCATGCTCGAGTCCATCAAAGCTATCAAGATCTCAGGGCTAACGGAGCGGTTGCACACGATCGTTGCTGGTCTTCGCCAGGATGAGGTTGATGCCTCGAAGCCGTTTCGACTGCTGGGTGCGGGCACCTCGACTATCGCGTTGCTACCTCAGATTCTCTCCCCTGTGCTGGCGTTTGCCATCTATACCGCAGTGACAATTCGGGGAGGGGCCATCCTAGATGTCTCACGCGTGTTTACTTCCCTGTCCATTCTCTCCTTACTGTCGCAGCCCCTGTTCACATTGTTCGGCTCCCTTGTCAACTCCCGGGCAGCCATCGGCTGCTTTGAGCGGATCGAGGAGTATCTTTGCCAGGATAGCCATGTAGATGATCGTACCAACCTAGACTGCGAAGGCGTCTCTGTAAGTGAAAAGCTGCAGCGGACTACGGTTACAACTGTCAGGGCAGGTGATGGCACTCCACGGCCGGATTCTATGATGGTGTTTCAGCTGGAGAAGGCATCACTGAACTGGTCCAGGAACAACGATGCTCATGCCCTTCTGCAGGATATCAGTCTTTCCATCAAGCGCGGCACCTTGAACCTAATCGTCGGCCCATCGGGTGTCGGTAAATCCACGCTCCTGCACGCCTTGCTAGGTGAATGCCCAGTACTCGATGGTACTGTCCGTACATCTGCGACTGAGATTGCTTGGTGCGAACAGACTCCCTGGCTGGTCAACGACTCTGTTCGGAATAACATCCTAGCTGGATCCGCCATGGATGAGACGTTGTATTCAACCGTAATCCATTGCTGCGATCTCCAGGCTGACCTGGACAGTTTGCCTGCCGGTGACCAAACCAAGGTTGGCAGCAAAGGGACTGCCCTCAGCGGTGGTCAGAAGCAGAGGATTGCCCTAGCTCGTGCCCTCTACTCCCGAAAGGATGTCATACTGCTTGATGACCCCTTCAGCGGGCTTGATATTACGACAGAGAGCAAGATTATTCGCCGCTGCTTCGGACGTCATGGACTGCTTCCGCGCTGGGGAACCACTGTCGTTCTAGCCACTCACTCTTCGCCCGTGCTACCTCTGGCTGACCAGATTTTGGTGTTGAGCCCCAACAGAGGGATTAGCGAGCGCGGTACTTATCGGGACCTCATCGCAGCCGAGGGCTACGTGTATAGAATTCATGGTCATACACTGACTGTACCAGCACAAGAGGTAGATAAAGAATCGAACAAAGCCGACACATCAATAGAGAAGTTGCCAGAACAGACGAATACGAGCAAGAAACGAGTTTCAAAAATTCAAAACACCCCCCGCAATACACCGGAAACGAAGGCATCGCCGCGCGCTGCTAAGATGACAGCAGTAAACGATTACTCTGTTTATGGCTTCTACATCAAGGCAATTGGAATCGTCCCGCTGGCAAGCTTCCTCGTACTGGAAGCAGTCTGGGCGTTCCTTTCCGTCTTCCCCGTCCAGTGGCTCAGGTGGTGGGCAGAGGATAGTAGCATCCACGGTAATAAGCACTATGGACTTTACCTGGGCGTCTATGCTGCCTTGCAAGTCGTGGCACTTGGATTTTCCGCGCTTGCCACTTGGTTTTCCTTTAGCTTCATGGCGCGCAAGTCCGGCATCTCACTCCACGATAGTCTACTAAGGGCGACCCTGTCCGCTCCACTAAGCCTCTTTGCCAAACAGGACACTGGTCAGATTCTGACTCGGTTTTCTCAGGATATCCAGATGGTCGACATGAATCTGCCTCTGCAGCTGTTGACGCTGTTCCAGAATTTATTCACCTGCATTGCCCAGGCAGGCCTGATTGGTTCTGGGGTTGGTTGGGTGGCAGTGAGCTATCCTGCGCTGATCGCAGTCTTGTTTGTGATCCAACGCTTTTATCTGAGGACTGCAAAGCAAATGCGGTTGTTAGACCTATCTGAAAAGGCCCCCGTGTACAGCCAGTATCTCGACACTCTAGGCGGCCTACTCACAATCCGCGCCTTCAAATGGCAGGCTCGGTTCCGAAAGACGAGTTACGAGCTGGTGGAAAACGCCCAAAAACCGTGGTATTTGTTACTCATTATCCAACGGTGGCTTCTGCTGGTCCTTGATCTGGTCACAGCCGCCCTAACGGTGCTGATTGTCGGGATCGCAATCAAGCTACACTTGTCGATTGGGGCAGGTGGCGTTGCTGTTGCTCTGGTACAGATCATTACCTTGTCTACATATCTCAGCCAGCTGGTTACTACTTACACTATGTTGGAGACTACCTTGGGTGCAATCGCACGCATCAAGAAATTAAAGGAAGACGCGGCCGCGTTGCCCGGTGGAACGTTCAACGACCGTGGCGACCAGCCACCGTCTACTTGGCCTGACAGGGGAGAGGTTATCTTGGAACAGATTTCGGCATCTTACGACGGTACTGGTGAAAGCTCGAACCGGCCAGCGCTGGACAGTATCACAATGCACATCCAGCCGGGGCAAAAAATTGGTATCTGCGGCCGAACGGGAAGTGGAAAGAGCTCGACCCTTCTAGCTCTATTCGGGTTATTAGAGTTGACTTCCGGTAAGATTTTAGTGGATGGTCTGGATCTGGCCACTGTTAATCAGGAGACCGTCCGGTCACGACTGAATGGGCTAGGTCAAGATCCGTACTTTCTTACTGGCAGTGTGAGGTTAAATCTTGATCCATATCAAGACCTGGATAATCTCGATGATGAGCGACTCATCCGGGTGCTCAAGGTCGTGCGGCTATGGTCAGTGATTGAGGAGAATGGAGGACTGGATGCCGAGTTGAAAAAGGAGTCGCTGAGTCAAGGACAGAGGCAACTATTCTGTCTGGCGAGAGCGTTTCTCCGACCTGGCAAGGTAGTGGTTCTGGATGAGATTACTAGCAGGTATGCAATGCTCTCTTTCATCTTTACTTTTTCGGATTGTATGTCCTCAAGCTTATCGTCTTCGTTCCATGCAGTTTGGACCTTGAGATGGAGGAGCTGATGCAAACCGTCATTGCCTCGGAATTTGCAGACCGAACAGTTATCATGATTGCACACCATTTACATACAATACTGGATTGTGATCGTGTAGCTGTTATGGCCGATGGCAAGTGCGTGGAATTCGACAACCCCAAGACGCTCCTGGAAAGGAAGGATTCCCTATTCAGTGCTCTTCTGCAATCATCACAGCAAGCAGTGTAATGGGGTAGAAGCCGGGACTTCTATTATTATGTGGAGATGGGAATTGTGAGTATGATGGTCTGTTATGGCAGTGCTACCAGAGGTGTGTAGATGAAGCGCTTTAAGTTGTATGTTTGCCTCTTTCTTCCTTGAAGATACTATCTCGCTATGTGAAGTAGTACATGGTGAGTGCCGAATACGAATTCTAGATACTGGATACACTTCATAACCTCAAGAGATATATTAGTACCATCTAAGCCGCATTTAGACCCTTATCAGAGCAGCGTCTATATGGTTTTCGAGGGACCAGCTGGCATTGGCGTGGCAAGTTTATTAAGCTCGACTTTTCGCAGAAACTTGGAGTGCTACGACAAGTCGGCAGATATCGGTCAACACGAAAACGCTGGCCCTGACGGGTTTTGCCGGTGCTCAAATGCTTTTGGCTCTGGCGGAGTGAGACTGAAGCATCGCCCACAGAAAAAGGCGAGTTGTTAAACGACACGAAGTACAATTGATCAGCGTGTCGATAAACGATATACTGCGTGGCCTGACGTCAAGGAGGCGTGTGACCCGAAAAAGGCAACCGGGATCCCAACTTGAAGTAACGGAGTCGTACCTAGGTTGTAAAACTTGCCGGGACTTGGCTGTCCTGTCTAATCGTGTTTGAGGACGCGAAGGATGCAGAGATCGTCAACGGAGCTAGTACTGTTCACTGGATTGCGGCCAAACCCCCTACGAGTAATAATAATGGAGCGCCCAACGGATCATACATGCAGGGCTTGTACGGGACACAGAAGCAGACGGTGATCTTAGTCGGGCACGATGGACGCGTGAAATATTTTGAGCGGACTCTTTATGAGGACGATGCTCGTGCTACGGAGATACATAAGAGGGATCAGTCCTTCGAGTTTGTAATTGAGAAGTAGTGGAGGAAACTTATATATATTGCATCGTCCAAAAGAATCCTGAACTGGTCCATCGATTCTAGACCGCTGCAAGGACCAACGGGGGAACCTGGGGGATCACCACGGTGTTGTCTTCACAACTCAGCAGTTACTAGATAGTAGATATGGGGCCTGTCACTGACACCCAAGCAGATCAGGAACATCGGAAAATAGGCACGGCTTGCCAATCTATAATGCTTATGATCTGAGATGGGTCCTCGGTATCGACGAATGTTATCCACGTGAAGATCATTATGCCAAATCACACCAGTCAAGACCTTCTCGTCTCGGGGGATTATATGAGGACATATTTTGAGGAAGTCTTGTAAGACTGATAGTTTCGCTTCTTTGGTTGGATGGTAACCACCAGGCCCACCAAATAAACCTTGCGCTGGCAATGCTTGGGGAAAACTTGGGAATTCCTCTAGATATGCTGCTTCTCGCTGAACCAGTGCCTTCATAAGATTATCTGCTGAGGTCCCTAAGATCGAAGAAAGAGTTAGTAGAAGTGTGGTTGTGGAAGGAAGTAAACCGCATACAAGGGCCCCGAGGAACATCAATTTCTCCTCTTCTCTTGTCAAACAATGCTCGGCCGATTGTAGGCCCAATGGGGAACTCATCATCAATGAAGATACTCTCAGATAGAGTAACATCTTGCCTTCTGTAAAGTGAGCCATGACACGGAAACTGTGATCGAGCAAGTGTGCAGGCGATAGTGGCAAGTTGTTTCACAATGGAAAGTTGGTCGCGGGCCCTGAGTCCTTCCCACTTCTGACCAAGTTCCACTCCAGGGGCCCTCTCCATCACAGTGTATTCTGCCCCAAGCTTGCTGTTGCAGGCCCTGGAGCAATATCCAAGAACCTTTGGAACAGGACTATGAAGCTTATCGTGGACCTGAGAACGTAATTATATGCCATATATTGGTTTGGCTCCAAAAAAGGCATTTAGTAAAGGTTAGATGGATTTCTCACAAATTGCATGGTTGCCACTTCAGATATCGTAGTGTAATGAGCGGGTCCCTAATTGGGATTGGGGATTTTGCCAATCAGTTGCTTTCCGTCCTGCATAGTTGCAAGAAAGGCTTTATTGAAGTTTCCCTCTGAGAGCTTCAACACATTCAACAGATTGCATCCGCTCCCGCAGCCTCTTCGGCAATATGGATGAGGGCGTTCAGATTGAATTTGACATATCTGCGTTGCATTTGTTCTGGCTCATTCCACAGCCATCTCTGATCAGAATGCACATAAAATGCCTCTGGGTCACAACCTATGATCGGTTAGCCATATTCTCCTCGCGATGAACAAGACAACCTGCCAGTGTCAGGGCCCTTGCCATGTAGACCAGGACGAGCACGTGAGTTTCCTTATTTGGATTAGCGTGGTGCGTGGATAGGAATACGCCGTCCAGCTTCACGTAGATCTCTTCCTTTTTCCCTCCTCTCCATGCTTGAAGTTCTCGTCGATAGCTGCCTAGATAGTTGAATAGCATCCTATTCATCGTCTAGTTGAGTTCCGTGACAGCCAGAAAGTATGGTTTCGGACGCGCACCCTTTGCTAGGTGGCATGTAAACGTTCGGGCAGTGATGGTTTAAAGAATCCAGGGAGCAATCTATAGCCTCCGGTCGCTCCAGGGGCCATTTGGGAAGATATAGTGCAACTAGACGCAATAGGGAGAAGCTGAAATTCCTCAGGGACATCACTTGTCCACTCTGCGTCATGTGGACCCTGGGACGACCCTGCTTAGTCATCTGCCAGCCTAGCCAGGTTAACGTTAGTTAACGAGTTAGTTGGGTGACCCCAGGAATACATGACAATAGGCGTCTAGGTAGTAGGTAGGCGGTTACAGGCCCCAGAGCTTGGGTACAGTCACAGCCGCCCAAGCCAATAGTAGTATGGACATAGCAAGTCAGCACTCAAGTTGCTAGGAGCCTAGTGTTAGGAACCTAGTGACACAACCGAGCAATGTCAGCCTACAAATAAGGAGCTAAGTTACACAAACGATGCAGGACTGCATTAGCACCAGTCATGTGACCAAAAGACTTGGCATAGGTATGAGGCTTGGTATTCGTATGAGGAGCATACTCAAGTATGATGGTCATACTTCTGAGTATGATCATACCCCAGAGCTACAAATCATACTCAAGGGAGAAAGACATATAAGGACACTCATTACCACTATATATCTAGTATTATTATTTATTCTATATTATACAATCTCAAGCAAGCAACGCTCAACTAGACTAATAAACCAAAGCCATGGCAATAACTGGCAAGTTTCTTAACGCCTCATCCAAATAAACAAAGGGGGGGATATAGGCACGAATAGGTTAGACGAGATTCGACCCAGAACCTTGAAGAAAAGAAAGGAAGAGAAAAAAAGAAGGGGAGAGAGGCCGGTTGGTTAGATAGAATTGAAGCAGGAAGCGAAGAGGTAAATATTGCATCATATATCGCCATCCTCGGTGTTAATTAATGAGAAAGGTAAGAATGACAAATGCTGGAAGGATACAGGTAGAGATCCAAAATAATAATAATAATAATAATAAAAGTAAAAGTAAAACCGTGGCAGTGAATAGCAAAGAATATAAACGGGAAAGCTGGAAATGCACTATAATTACACGCAATCTGACACATGATGATGATGGTGAGGATCTGCATTGCTATATAGATGGATAGGTAAGTAGGTAAAGTAAAGCAGATGCGTTCGCGGTATGAGGGAGGTTATTCGTAAATAAATCATCCTGGCTACCTGGCCATTGTGCTGGAAGGGAATCGAACCGCAATAAAATTAGACAAAAAAAAAAGGAAAGAAAAATGTAAATGAAGTAAGGCGAGTAGAAAATGGGGGGGAAAGAAAAATACAAAGAAAATAGAATACAACAATAGTGGCGCTCGCTAAATATTTGACAGCTGTCATGGCCACCATCCCATGCGTTTGTAGCTGTCAACCATTTCCCTAATACCGTCTACGTCGAGACGTTCTCGGGAAGGTTTCCAGCCAGTAGTTGACTCGAACAGAGACCCGTCGAGACTCATGTCCTGGTCTCTGATAACTTCCCGCTCGAGGAATGGACTGATGGGACCGGGACGCTCAACATGGCTGTTCTCCAACAGTTCTGCCCAACCCTGCAATGTCTCCTCGTTCATGTCATCTATGACATCGTCAAGATTGAGTTTGGCAATCTGAGACCCCAGGGAACCCAAGAAATCGACCTTGAGATCAAATATTGCGTTGAGAGCCTTGGCTACGTGTTCCTGTCGGGTATCATTGTGGTCGACAACGTTGAATTGTAGGGGGATCGAAGGGTTTTCAGACGAGACAGGGCCCTTGCTGGCCCTCCACTCAGCTGCTGCCCATAAGGCACTGGCAGCATCCTTGACGTACAGAGTATTGATTTTCAGATCCTTAGTGTACAGGAATACAAGGTCCTTTTCCAAATATTTGTGCACGCGAGCCAGGCAGATACCCATGGCGAAGTACCCCGAGTCGTAGGGACCGTAGACGAGTGGCAACCGCAGCAGAACATAATTGAGACCGGGGATTTTCTGTAATTCTTCTCCGGCCTTTAACTTCCACTTGGCGAGGTTGTGCCACGGTTCTTGCTTATCCGATTCCTTCCGTGGGGAAGAACCAGGTTTGTAGATGTGGCCGGTGGAGCACTCGACGAAAGAACGGATGCCACGACGGGCCACCTCGCGGGCCAGAGTGACTGTTAGGTTGTAACTTCGGAGTTGGTAGACGTCATCTGGTTGGGAATATCGGGTATCTCCACCGCAGTTGATCACATAGTCGAATTGCTCGCCGTTTGCGCGGTCAAATATCCGTGGAAAATGTTCTGGATAGCGAGTAACCTCCCAATGAGAGGTGATAAATAAGCAATGTTGTCTTTCTTCCCCAGTATGATCATTGGTAAAGATCATATCGCGTAGAGTGACGATAAAGGGACAACAAAAAATCATCACTCACGTTCACGACTAGCATCGGCCTGGACGAATTTATCCCTGGAGCAAGCTTCTTCGAATTCAGGCGCCAACCAGGCCAGCTGAGGCAGTACCCTGTCAACCAGACGAACTTCGGATGCCAGCTGATTCTCGTGAAGGTAGAGGGCGAGATGACGCCCAATGAATCCTTTTTAGACGGGAGGGAGGCTCGCATCAGCCAATTGAACATCCAGGTACAACGGTAGGGGAGGGGAGTAGTGCAGTACCTAGTCCTCCAACAATGAGCACCGCTGGCTTCTTATTCTGGTCGCTAGCCATAATGAATTCTAGTACTTATGAACAATCCGAAAAGGCGAAGGACAAAAAAACGGTATCGGATATCCCCCACAGGAGCGTAATTATTATCGTCGAGCTTGGGAGTCACGTCTCCAACGCGGTAGGGGCACGTCGCACAGTCTGTGCAGACGGATCACGCAGGAATGGGGTATATAAGAAGGAAAAGAAAGAAAAGAATCGAGGCAAAGACGAAAAGAGATAATGGTGCGATTTTATTTTGACGAAATGCAGGGGTATCTGGTGGCGGTGGGCGACGTTGGAGACGCGGTGTGGGGGGGGCGAACGGACGATGGTGGGTAAAAGAGCTATTGGGATAGGCGAAGAACGAGAGACTAAGCGGGTCAATCATCAAAGACAAGGTTCGAGAAATAATACCAGAAGATGTGACGGCGACGGTGAGGATGGCGATGGCGATTGATAACGGGAGACAGGCTGGGCAGGGGTTGAAGCCGGAGGAGCAGCAGCCAGCAACGCCAACAGTCACAGTGACAAGGAATTTAAGACAGCAGAGACCAAGCGAGGAATCCCAACTAGGAGGCTGCTCGCATGATGCATGAAATCGCAGCATGCAGCAGGGGGATTCGATGATCTGCTGCTGATCCTGAAGCTGATTGATTAAATGCACAAGAGTAAATAATAATAATAAACGAACTTGATTATTACGATCAGACGAAACGTCAAGTCCAATTTGGATAGACATCCTAATATTAATCAATCCACAACGGCCCGTCCGAGCGGAGCATCCCTTCATGTCCTGGACCTGGACAGCCACGAATACTAATCATTACTCCGTACTTTTCTTTGAAATCGAAGCGCAACGGCGTCTGGAAAATTCACCGCTTTTTGGAACCTTCTTCGGCCTTTCTGGACCGAGTTCTGACCCGAAGCGCCCAGCGGTCATCATGCATTATCCCGTCGAGAACAGAAAAAGATAACCCAAAGAAAGACCTTGACACGTCCAACACCAGGAGCCCTTGCAAGTTGTAGCCACTGACATGTAGGAATCCTCTGTATATGCAGAAATCCCGGAGACAAAGAGAGAAACACCCAAGGATCATCCCACGACGTGCAGCATGACCACAATCTCAAGGTCGCCAACGTCACGCTTAATATTACCCTCACTACCGTTGTCAACAGTAGCACTATTGCTCTGATTGTTCTGATCCCTGTTGCTCCACTCCTTTCGTATTTTTTCCACCAGAATCTCCCAGTCCCTGTTCTTGTCAGGCCGGACCCGGATCGAGAACCCAGACCACTTCAACTCCACAGACGCGGCAATGACCCCTCGCATTGCCGCCGCTGGGCTAAATGAGTTTGACATTTCCCGGGTCAACTGTGTGCTCGGATCCCATTCATGCAGCCCGCATTCGTCTGTCATGGATTCGATGAAGGCCGAGGCAGTGGGAAAATTCTGAAAGGGCACGAACACTGGCGCCATCCCGGGTTGGCTCGTAGCGGTGACTAGGAAGCTTGTTCGTCGCTCCTCGCTCGACTGCGTCGGGGTTGCAGTACTCTGATTCCCTATGCTTCTGTCCCGTCTTGGGAATAAGGGCGCTTCCAAGATCTCGTCAATGTCCATGTCGTCCATGTCATTGACTTTCATCTGCTTACTTCCTTGAGCCGCATGCTTCTGGGCCTTCTGCTCTGGTTCTAGAACCCCCACTGGCTTGGGAATTGGCCTCTCCGGGAGCATGCCGATTTTGCTGGGCGGTAGCATGTTACTGTCATCTTCATTGTTTTCTGTCTTGGGTTTCTTGGACTTTTTCAGGCGGCGTTCCTTTTGTCTCACATAGAAGGGATCTGGACTGTCAGATGTGCGTCTTTTGCCCCCGCTCTCATCCTTGTCGTGGTTCGTGTTAGTCGACTTCGCCTTCGCCTGGGGGTTATCCGGTTTCAGGATAAGTAGAGGCGGGTTGGTGGGCGGATGAGAGGGTTTTAAGCCCGACTCTTGTGCCTTGGTGTCGCTCTTTGGCAGGTTGTTACTTATAGTCCAGCTTCACGATATCCGTAGTAGGGCTACTTACCAGGACATCCTGGGATTTCGGTCCAACGTTTGCTCTTTTCTCCTTCAGCTCGGTTTTGACCTTCTTCTCAATGAGAAGCATTATGATCCGCGTGATTCTAGAAATGAAGCCAGTTAACTAAGACTCTAACATCCAAGAGAGAGGGAGATCAGAAAAAGAAAAGGGAGGGGTGACGGGAAGACAGAAATCCACAAAAAAGAAGACTTACTCCTCTTTTCTTTCTGGATAAGTGCACAACTCGCCCGGATTTTCCAAACTCTCCGCCATGAGACACTTCTTTCGGTTCTTCTCTCCCCAGTACTGCATCCCGTATTTCTCCAGAAAGCTTTCGGCGCAAGCCCTACGTGCGTCCCCGTCCCACTCGAGATTGTCCCAGGAAAACTGGGATACCTCCTTGACGTGGTCGAACAGACGCGTCATGAAGTGATGATGATATCCCTTCTGCAGGTCCAGGAGAAGAGTGAAGTCCCGATACTTGCTCCTGAGTTTCAAGACGCCCTCTTTGAGAGCGTCCATGATGGGGTTTACCGATGACAGGGGTGCCGGAGGTTCTGAGTATAAACTTGACGTGTAGTCGGGTTCTCCCATGGACCTCCTGGAGCGGGAGGCGGACATCTTGTCGTTTCACTGTGTTAGATGTACAGGAAGGATGGGATAAAAGGTGGGTGTGATGATACTGGTGGTAAGAGGAGTAAGAGACAGATGAGCGTCTGGGGGTAAATAAGAAATGAGAGAAAAAGGTATAGAAGTAGAGGAAAATGAGGGAATCAGCACTGATATTCACCTGTTAGTTGCTGGTGAATGTATAGACATATTGCAGCTTGCTCTCACCTACGTCTTGTTCGTCCACAACTTAACAGCCTGAGGCCAATATTAACAAAGTTCCCCCTGGTCAAGATTTGTTACTCAAAATGGATACAATGCTGATATGTGCTAGGCAATGTACTCCCGAGTTCAGAATAGACAGTTTACCATTTACTCAAACAAGGCTCTGAGCTGAATAAGGGCTGCTATCCATCCTACCTAGATACTCATGGTGCCAGATTCAAACCATCATTTGAGACCGCGATATTTTGGCTTGATTTACAAATAGAGAGAAAGAGCTAAGCCTTCTAAAAGAGCTAGATATGGACAGTCATGTTCTCATTTCGTTGAGCAAAAAAAGAAAGGGAAAGAAGCAACCATCGTCACCGGCAAGTAAAGGAGATAGAAACAGTTAGAGGACAAAACGAAACGGTATCATAAACATAGATCACGCTCACATATGCAATCATTCTGCTCCAAGGTATCTCAAGGAATTCCTAAGCTCCTTAATCGCCGTATCGACGTCGTCGAATGTCAATGCAGAGACCGCCCATCGCGCATGTTTCTGCGCCAAAGCTATCGAGTTGTCATCAACTGACTGCGAAGCCAGATTTCTTGATTTTGGAGCAGCAGCTAGCCGTGTAGGAGCATTCGCAGGCTCGGGTACAGGTGTAGGTCGTGATATTGGGGCTGCCTTTCCAAGAGACGCCCCGGAAGGCTGTTCCGGTGGTTTAGTAATCCCCGTATTCGGATCTGGTTTGCCGTAGAACGAACTTGGGTCGTGGGAGGAGACAGTAGGGCTAGGAGGAGATTCCGTGGTTGGGGGAGGGAAAGATTGGAAGCCTTTGAATGAGCTCAAGGAAGACTGCGCAGGGAGACTGGTGCTTCCTGGGGCGTCTGGGAGGCTTGGGATCGAAGTCGACGGAGGGCGATCAAATGATGCAGGGGCTGAGGGGAGATCCAACGGCGGGCCTTGTCCGTTAGCAGGTGGATTTGCTAGACCTGATGGAGGCTGAGGGAAAATGGGAGATGGCCCCGAAGGTTCATCTGGGACGTCTTCCACGGATGGTTGTAACGGCTGCACAGCTTGTTCCGGTGCAGATTTTTCGGGACCCTGAGCTTCGGATTCGAGCTGATCAAGCTCCACTTCAGGACTCTCTTCCGCTCTCTGAACTGGATTTGTAGCATTTGGATCCTCCCCAGCCTTGATAGCTTTCAAAATTCTCACAGAATGGAACTTCGCAAACTTGATCTTCGCAGCAATCTCCGGATCCAGGGGCCCCCAAATCTGGCACAGCTGGAGAAACGTAACAGCAGCTAGAAAGGTATCGGCGGTTTGTCTGAATTTCTCAATCAGGACCAATTAGCGTTCATATAAAGGAGCAGAAAACTGGCGAAGGGAAGAACCAACATACCGAGTAACCTTGTTCGCATCCATGGCATTTTTAGCACGATCAAAGACCTCCAAGGCAAAGCTCTCCACATATGCACTTGCAGCATCATTATCAATCAACGTATCATTATCCGGGTTTTCGTTTTTGAACTTTCAGTGTGCACAAAAGCACAAAAAGGTTAGCTATGGTTCCTGAGCTAGGATAATATCCGAAACGGGTCGCTTGTTAGGCAGACGTACTTGCTCCAGCTTATCCATGAGAGCTGCCGTGTATTGCGCAATTTCATCGTTGGAGGTATGGAGACTCTTTTCTATTATCTGATTGACTATCCAAAAGTTGCCTGCGAGTGAAATAAATAGACAACGTCAGTCGCTTTATCTCTATCTTGGAAATACGGAGAGGGGGGAGAAGATACTCACACCAGTATGCAATGACAGGCTTTACGCGCTCAACCTGCGATGCCCTGCCGGCGAACCGAGTAATGTCCGCAGACTTCAGACATGCTGGGACATTGGTCGCCATGGCCAATCAAACAGAAAGCCTTTCCTCTAGGTGCTGGAGTTATTCATGGGGTTGGGGGGTTACTTGTCCTTTTTGCAAAGCGGGATGACGTTGGAGCTCTGGAGGTTGCAGTGCTAAACTTAATTTGGTTGCTACATCTGCAAAGGAGCAACTCCCGAATATACCAACATTCCATGCACATTGTATGTGGCCTTGATGACAATCCCACAGTCCTTGTTTGTGGCTCTTCACATAGTGACCTCTAGGTTTCTTCTAACGGATGGCTGAGTGGAAGTATCTACGCTGTGGTTCTTCTCTCTTTCTTCTCTGCTGAGCTCGAACCTCCTCTCTTGGATTAAAGGAACTGCGAATAATGCAGCACTCCAACACCCTTTAAATACAAGGAAGCCGCCGGACACCGTGCAAGCACATGGGCAGTCCAGGAAAATTGAGATTTCCACATGAATTTCAATGAATTGACGGCCAACTCAAAGCTCCACATGCTGATATCCCCTTTTTCTTCCTGCACTCATTCAGGCCATGCCATCTACCTAACAAAAACTCATACAATGAAAGCTGGAAGAAGTATATTCAGCTCAGCTGCTGGTAATTCATGCATCCTCGACAATCCATTCTCCGATTTCCACTCGTTCCTCGGCCAGGGCCTCCACTTCAAGATGATCCTCAACCTGTCCTCCCGGCCCCCCAATCCGCTCCACGACAATCCAAACTCCACTTCTTTGTTCAAGCTCGGGTCCCAGGTCGAAATCTTCAATACGTATCCCAGCCGCAGCATCTGTATAATTGCCGTCTTCCGAGGATGCTAGGATTTCTTTATACGGACCCTGACCGAGCTCCACGGTCATTAGCATCGGCGACGGCGCAACTGCACGACTGCCGATAATAGAGAGTCTGCTTCTAGCAATGAGCTTTATGCGCGTCAGTCGCGGTACGCGTAGAGGAGCTAACAATTTGTCTTTGCCTGGAGGCAAGACACCGATGTCTGAAATCACCGCACGTCGACCGGCCGCTTCTCCTGGGAGGGGCTTCACCTTACACGGATGAGTGGTTGAAACCCACAGAGTAAACTGGCCAAGTTGATCTGGGGCAAATGTAGAACACACGATGGTGTACACTCCCCTTGTTAAAGTCCTAGTTTCCGCAACAGCGCAGCCTCGACGGTAGTCGCCGCTGTCGGTGATAAGATCACGAGTTCGCACCCTGGATACGCGCTTGCCGTTGGACCAGAATAGCTTGACGTGCGTAGCTAGATCTGCATTTGTGGTTTCCAATAAGATGGATGCGGACGTTTGAACTGGCACTTCTAGGCTGAACTGTGGGTTTAATGGATATCGTGCCGACTCTGCATTTCCCCCCGCAGTGGAAGGAGTCCAAGCTCCCTGGACCTTAGTCACACATGTATATTTATCTTTGGAATGGGACAGTGTCACCGATGAAGTTGACAAGGCCGATAGAGTGAAGTTTTGACTCATGGCAGGCAGTGACTGCTCTGATATCACTACAGTGTAAGTCGTACCAGGTGGCATTTCGAGCCTTGCGAGCGTGTTTGGAGAGTCGACATAAGGCCCCCGATGAATTGCGCCGTCACTGAGGTAAACTCTTTTCCCGTCGGCCTTGAACACGTAAATACTCACGAACCCTACTTCCTCGTCTTGCGCAGATGAGTCCGTGTGTGTTTGAGACCGGTAGGGTTCATTTCCCATCAGGTGCTTGCCAAGGAGGAGCCAGACAGTACCTCCAGTGTCAGTAGATACTGCAAACTGGGGATTCTTCACAAAACAGCCAGCAACACTCCGACTGGAGAGATCCCATGTAAAATGAATGTCTTCGCGGTATTTGAATAGTTCAGGGTTCCAATTCAGGTACAGATTGTCAAAGTTCTGAAGGACATTGTCGCATTCAATCCAAAAAGAGCCTGGAGAGCTTGACGTTGTAAGGTGATCCTGGTTCCTCCTTCTGGGACTGGTATTTATGTCTTGGTGTCGGACATCAGCTTCGGCTCCGGCCCAGGGGTTTTTGACTAAAAATTGGCGTCGTCCCATGGACTCCTTCATGTCCAAGATCGCATAATCGTGTTCACTCACGAGGCCCAATCCATCCTGCTCACTCTCTGTGAGTTTCCCGGTACCGACGGTTAGTAGTACGTCTCCATAATGAAAGGCCTTGTAGAGTCGATTCCAAAGCTGCTCAGATGTTACATCTTCGTGGTGCAAAAAAACTTGTTCAGGTATCCAACCGGTCAACACCCACAGGTCTGTGCCGGAATTGCTTCCAGGAAAATCGTAGCCCCCGCGGACTTTAAGATATGCCTTTTCGACTAATGCAGGCCACAGATAGTTGAGATGGTTTCGGTCAATCATGTGAAGAAATCTCGGAGTGTTAGAGGACGGCAGACGATCGTCCACGACCACTTTTCGGAAACATCCGTTGAAATAGAAGCAGAAGACGTATTTTCCAGAGGACGAGACTACTGGATTTGTTTCATCATAATCAGAAGGATAGGTGGTTAGGAGAGAGCGCTAATCCTGTGAGCCAAAAGAACCACCACATTACAATCAGGATGTTCTCTTACCTTGTCAGGCCAGCGCTCCGCCCTCGCCGTTGTAGCGCAGAGACTGGCTACAACAGAGCAGTCTGTCAGCATGTCTTGCACGAGGTCGACCTTCCCCGAGACAGACATGACTGGTTCGCTTCTGGCATTGCCTGTCATTTTTTCAGACAGTAATTCACGAGGTCGCTTCCAGCCAGCAAATATCTCCTTCTGGGAGCTTGAGAGATGAAGCTCAGGTTTGTCACTAGTTTCTGTCAGAACGCAGGGAGGATACAATGGGAGCCTTTTCGACATACAGATACAGCTTCGCCCCATCTTCTTGCTCGAACTCTTCGAACCCCGGAGAGGCGACCCATGGCGGGAAGATGAAGCCGTTCAGTTTCGCGCCTTCCAGAAGAATTATTTCTTCACGGGTTGTTAGCTTTCGATACGACACAGGTGCTCGCGACGTGGGCAGTTTTCTAGGAACTCCACGTGCTGCGGGTTGCCAGTCCTTGGCTACTTTTATCGTCTCCGCTCTCGTGAGCAGTTCTTTGCATTTGGCGTCCAGCCTTTGTCTGTCTTTGGCAGTGGTGCTCAGTCGAAGAGCTTTCATGTAACTTTCCGCAGCAGTGATGGCAGCATCAAGCGCCTTTTTACGGGACGCGGCCGTTGATACATCCCGTTCAGCTTTCTAACTGGCCGTTAGTTAGATGCAGACAGCAGGTTGACATCGCGGGGAGAAGGAATGACAATACCAAAGCCTGCGCTACCAGGGCTTTTTGCGCAGAAGCAGACTCGTTCCTAAACATTATTTATGACCATCAAGGCCGGGCGCCACGACGGTCTAGTTGACGGTCGCGATACAGACAAACGAACCGGGCCACCGACGTCTTTCTCCACAACTCGTGGTGATGAACAAATTAGAGCCCGAGAAGATAGCTCAGTATTGGCTGTATTGCAGATCTGTAATAATAATGCAGACGAAACGTTGAGACTGTTGACCACGGACCGTCCACGGAATTCTGATGGCTTGTCCAAACGCGACTCCCGAGGGTAGCAAGATAAAGAACGTGAGAGGCGGGCCGTCTGCTCTCAGAGAGAAGTGGCTGGAAGGATAATCCTTAGTCAGACTGGGCTTCGTCAGGAGCACTCCAGGAATGCTCTGGGATAGCAACTGGGCGAGTCGGCGTGGAGGCGTGGAGAGAATTGACTGCGATAACGCGAAGAACCTCGGTCCACGCCATCCACTCTGCGGGGGCTTTCTGGCAGGCCGAGGTCTGCATCTGGAGCATGTACGGAGACCCCGTAGTCTCTGCGTGCTCCCGGTCCACGCAGCGTTTTCGTCTCTTCCATCCTGTTTTGCTCCTCTTTCCGGTCCGTGACTGGGGGCTTTCTGTGTATGGTTATTACGTCTGTCATACGGAATAATCTGTGGATTCCTTTTTCGTACATTTCCGGGTTGCCGCCGTCTTGACAATTCGTGCTTCACTGGTCGCCATCGGGAGTTACTATCTATCTCCCCTTAAAAGTCCCGTCTCGAGACCTCGTGCATAAAGCATCCTATCCCTTTCCCTTTCGTTTCGCTTTCCTCGGAGACGAGCCGCGTGACATAATATAGAACATAATGGGGGGTCAATCGAAGCCGGTGCGTCTTCCCCCCTGGGGGAGCGCTGTCGCAGGTGCTACTGGTGCGGTGCTTGCCAACGCTATTGTATATCCATTGGACATGTATGTGGAATTTCCAAAGCCCACAACGCAAGACAGCATACTCACTCTATCCCTCTTTCTACCAGAGTCAAAACAAAACTTCAAGTGCAAGTGAAGTCCAAGAGTACCGGACACAATGAAGTCCATTACGAATCGACTTTGGATGCCATCAATAAAATCGTTGCGGATGAGGGTGTTAAGGGTCTTTATGCTGGGCTTCCCGGGGCTTTACTGGGAGTTGCATCGACCAATTTTGCATACTTCTACTGGTACACAATCGTGCGCGGCATATACATGGCATCAAATCGGGTACCAAAACCTCCCGGGACTGCTGCTGAGCTCGGTCTTGGAGCCTTAGCGGGCGCTATTGCTCAGGTTTTCACTATTCCCGTTTCTGTTATCACGACGAGGCAGCAGACTCAAGAGAAGAGTGAAAGAAAAGGCCTATTTGCAACAGGCCGGGAGATAGTAGACAGTGAAGACGGCTATACCGGTCTGTGGAGAGGCCTCAAGGCTAGCTTAATTCTTGTGGTCAATCCAGCTATTACATATGGAGCCTATCAACGACTGAAGGACATCCTTTTCTCTGGCAGAAACAACCTTAAGCCCTGGGAGGCTTTCAGTAAGTAATCGGGGCGCCTTTTTCACTCTGAAAAGACTTCCAACTTGGAACTGATTGGTATTCTCCAAATAGTCCTTGGTGCACTATCAAAAGCTCTGGCAACAATTGCAACGCAGCCTCTGATTGTTGCCAAAGTCGGTCTTCAATCCCGGCCTCCGCCAGACAGGGCAGGCAAACCATTCAAGACCTTTGGCGAGGTTATGCGGTATATCATTGATCGCGAAGGACCACTCGCTCTTTTCAAAGGCATCGGCCCGCAGATAACCAAGGGTCTTCTAGTACAAGGACTGCTTATGATGACGAAGGAAAGGTACGATTCCTCCTCTCTCGGACCGATTAATATAGTTTTACCTCAACTGACAAGTTAATGCAGAATGGAACTCATCTTTATCCTGCTCTTTGCATACATCCAGAAACTTAAGAGGGAGAAATTCGGCAAGGCAGTGGATGCTGCTGCCGAGAAGGCAAAGGCCAGCCTTCCGGCCACTTTGAAATAAAGTACTCGATCTGCTTCATCTCCTTTACCTATCAATGGAACTAAATCCCCCTCGCACTCCATGCTCTGTATTTTCGTCCTTTTTTGTTTTTGGCGCAAGCGATTTGTTAGATTTTCTCTCTATTTTTGGCCTCTCCTGGGAACTGGCATGTGCTATAGGATCTACGTGCACTTTGTTTATAATAAAGTGATAGAATTATGACATATGAGCCATTACGCACCCATTCCTGCTATGTGTTAGATCCTGCTGCTCCGGAGAGAATGAAACTCGACTCGTTGAGGCGACACTAGCTACCGCCAAGACCGACAACGTTCTTGGCCTAATATGGAATCTCCAACTCTCCTAACCAAAACGATCAAAGTCCAAGCTTCTTTCCACCCCCTAAAACCACCCAGAACAAGGGACATGGGCCATAATGCGATGGCCGCCATGGATTTCAAAATCAAACTCTGAACCCACTCTCAATGAAAATAGGGAGACTGCCAAAAATGGCAGTGAAACGCAGAGCTCCCCATCCCCCTCACTCTCCATCCCCGCATCGCCAAAACAAACACAACAATCACAGTCACAGTCCCTATCCTTAGAGTCAACGGGTCTATCATCATTCTTCTCCAATTCTAACCCTTCTAACTCCAACTTCACAAACCCCGAGACACTCCTAACCTCCTTCATCCTAACCAGCTCCGTTCTCTCCGCATTCTACATCCACCGCCGCTTCCTGCGCCGTTTCCCCAACGCCACCAGCGTGTGTCCATCGTACTTCCGGAGCAGATCGAGAAGTATATTTGGATACGTTACTAGTGTGGGCGATGGGGATAACTTCCGCATGTATCATACGCCGGGGGGTCGAATGATGGGGTGGGGATGGTTACCGTGGAGGAAGGTGCCGGCTTTAAAGAAGGAATTGAAGGATAAAACTGTATGTATTTATGTTCTTTATGTTACTTTTATAGTATACATAATTTGGATGATCTATTTATGCCTTTTTTTTGGTTCTTTCGGGTTTCATTGGATTAATGAGGACGCTTAGATCCACGTTCGTCTCGCGGGCGTCGATGCCCCTGAACTCGCGCACTTCGGTCGTCCTGAACAACCCTTTGCCCGTGAAGCGCATGAATGGCTGACGTCGTACCTCCTCAACCGTCGCGTGCGTGTCTACGTCTACCGTCAGGATCAGTATCAGCGGGTCGTGGGGAGTGTGTTTATGCGACGAGCGCTGGATTTCCCTATCCCTTTCCGCAAGAGGGATGTGTCATATGAGATGCTCAAGAGGGGGCTGGCGACGGTGTATGAGGCCAAGAGTGGGGCGGAGTTTGGAGGCGCCAATGTGGAAAAGAAGTATAGGAATGCGGAATGGTGGGCGAGGACGAGGGGGAAAGGGATGTGGAAGGGCTACCGGTGGAGTAGGGATGAGTGGGAGAGTCCGAGGGAGTATAAGAATCGGTACAGTCAGACGGTGGTAGAAGGGAAGAAATGAATTGGGGTACATCAGTTGTCACGTCTTGCAATCACATGGATACATTCTTCCATGGAAACGTGGGACGTGCGATTGTGTACCCATGCTCATGCAGGTATCTCACCAGAAATAAGCCGAAAGAAACACAATCACCCATATATGAAACAGACAGCACAAGCAGGGACCGGTATAAACAACCATGCCACGAAAAAGAGAAAAAAGAAAAACCAAAAATCTATGTACAAAGAAGAAAACGAGGGTCTCAGTAGATAGCCACTGACCACTAACAGAACCTCTCCTCAATCGCCTTGAAAAGCCTAGGGGTGATCTCATCACTCGAGTTCCCCTCAATCCGCGATAGACAGCCCTTGTCCGCGTAATGTGCAACTAAATCCCGACTAGTCTCCTCGAACTTGTGATAGCGCTGATACCACGTACCGGTCGAGTCGTCAGACCTCTGCGTCAATGGCTCCCCAGTCACGTCATCCCTGCCGGGGACTTTCGGGGCGTTGAAATCCGTATTGTAGACTCTCCCTGATGGTTCATGAACCCAGCGCTTTGCTATCCGGGAGAGAATGACGGAGGGCGGCGTGACGAGGTGAACAGCGAAGTTGATAGGGACCAGTGAGTCCAGACTTAAAGCTTGGGAGAGTGTTCTGGGGAAGCCGTCGAGGATGAACGAAGCGTCGGGCGATATTTTCGCTGGTGATTGGGGAGCAGGTACTGGGTTCTGAGGAGAGGGCGACGAATTACTCTTGGTGCCGTCGGTGCTGCTACTGCGATGGCTCGTTGAGAGCCAGCCCCTTTTCCATAGCTCTGAGGAGATAAGATCGAGGATCATTGAGTCTGGGACTAGATTGCCGGATTGGATTATTGTCTCTGCTTGGATTCCTGTTGTCGCATCGCAGCGCCCGGTTAGCTCGCGCGACAAACAGTTCAGCACCTCCAGTGAAGCTCATAAGGACATACCTAACGGTGTCCTCAGGCGAACATTCTCTCTCAGAAGATCCCCCGAACTGATCGAAGCCAGCTGCGGGAACCTAGCCAGCAGCCTTTCCGTCTGAGTCCCCTTCCCTACACCCGGTGCGCCGATAAGAATGATTCGAGCGGCTCTCTTGAGTCGCGGAATGGAGACTGTCATTTCTCCTCTCTTGTTCTCTTTTATCCTTTTTCGGGTATGCTTCTAGTCGCTATACGGAACCATGCTATAGCTCGATAGCTCCAATCGAGTTCGAGTTCAAGTGAGGCAGACTGCTGATGGCCGGTGCCGGAGAGGTGTAACAATGCTCTATTCTAAGAATTGAATGTGCAATATAGTAAGTAGATTCAGCTGTGGGTTTCAAAAATGCGCTGCAAATACAGAATGCGCGTCAATTGTTGAGCCAGCCTGTGCCTGGCTGTTGGGGAGCCTGAGGAAGAGAAAACTGATGATGAGGTTATCTCCAGTTAACTCTATTCGGTGCCGGTGAGCAGTTGCGGGGATCGTATTTAATTGTAGTCTCCGACTCTCCGCACGACGTTCTTGCGTCTGCTGGGTTTGTTGCTGTTCAACCCCGAATATCCCCGATTCTAGCAGGGGTTTCGGTGAGAGTCTAGGGACAGTAGAATATGGAATGGATATCTACCTAGGATTTTAATCCTGTATAGAATATGGAGAGTTAGTTCATGGTAGACTAATTACAGCGTATCCCTGAAGAACAGTGGGTCAATGCACGGGTCTACAGCCTGACAGCAGTGATACTCCAGAGAAGACGATCCCTTGAAGGATAGTAGGGCTGATAAATGAGTGAATTCTTTAAGAAATACACAATCAGCTCATGGAATGTACATGCATGATTTTTCGTACAGTGCAGTGCGGAGAACAACATAGTAAGTAGAATTCTAAACTTATTGTATTCAACTGAAACTTCTTTTCTTTCAAGGAATTTAAAAGCTGTATCGAAGCAACTTTAGAATCAAAACAAAAACCCTGAAATGTTTCCTGTTGTTTGTAGAATGTTGTGTTGTTGGCAATGAAGATCTTTTTCTTGTTAAGGTTCTATGGGGAAAAAAGAAACAGGAGCAAGCGCTGAAACGAGAAGCAGACAAGGAAGTTAAAAAAAAGCACAGTTCTACTAAGTGCGCACTGCCCAAGATGCCGAAATGCCGCTCCGCGATCAAAACTCCCAATTCTCGTCAACGGATTTGATGGCCCATTCGAACTTCTCCCGAAGGGACTTGGAGAAAAACTTTTCGATCGGGACGTTGAATTTCTTGGAGAAAACAACAGTAAGACGAGGATCGATATAATTCTGACAGATGTGTCAGTTCATATCAACCCAGTGGGAAAAGAAGATGACACTTACTATCTTAGAGGTTCCCAACGCAACCTCTTTATTGTCTTCTTTATCTTGGGCCTGAAGAGACATCGTCTCAATGCGTTGCTCTAATTTCGCAAGGGAATTCTCCAGCTTCTCAACGGTTGGGCCTCTACCCTCAGGCTCAACTTTGCCGGTTTTGTTCTCTTTATTAAATTTCTTCTCGGTCTCTTTGACAGCCTTCAGTCGCTCCTCGAGCTCGCTCGCTTTCATCTCCTTTTCTCCATCTGCTGAGAGCTTTTCGTTCTCTTTCTCAAATTTCTTCTGAATTTTCTGTCGTTGCTCTTCGAGCAAGAAGGCTTGGTGTTCTTGTATCCATTCTTGAGTCATATCCTCATCCAATGAGAAGAACGCTGCGCCTTTCTTCTTCTTGAGGCTGGGTTCCAAAGCGAGCATCATCTGCTTGAGTCTCCATTTTTGGTAGCGTAGACCTTTGATCTATATCGATTGAGGAGTGATTAGCAACATGTGGATATAATAATAAGATATATGAGACTCACTCGCTCACTCAATTTCTCCATCTGGTTAGTATGGGCCGCGCCAACAGTACGTTTGTGGTTGCAAAGAATGGCAACCTTGCGATTTGCATCGTTATACGCCTTGACTTTCTCGGCCACCGTACCCGTCGCTTTCATCTCCTTAAGCAATGTACTCATTGTATGGGAAGCATTATAAGTACGGAACACCTTGGCAGTGAGCCCTGGCATGTAAACTGAGAGATGTTTGTTCAGAGCGGACGTCTATCAGAGTCAGTCATCAGCCCAAAAGAGAAAAGACAGAGTAGGTTGCATACGGTTAGTCGGTCAAAAATCTCATCGCCTTCTTTCTTGGGTGCCTTCTTGAAGATTTTCAGATTTTTGAATACCTGCGGGTCGACACTGACTTCGTCGTAAAACCGGATACTATCTTTACCCAAGAAGTCGAATACAACGGTGTTCGGCGGCTTCAGGGTCACATTCTCATATTTCAATGAACAACAGCCAACCGTCTCGGCCTCATCCTCCCCCTTCTCGTTCCCAGCACGAAGAGCGAACTGGTCAATGAGATAGACCGCTGTAGCCTTTTGCCGCTCCACCATCAGCTCAGACTTCAAGGCCTTCTGATAGTCCTTGCGGATACGATCGATGTGCCCTTTCAGCTCACGAGCCTTTTCAAATTTCTTATAGTCACTCTGGCCTTTCACATCAGAATTGGCGGCAAGCATAACATATTTGTAATTTCCGTTTATGTTTTCCTGCCACATAGCTAGCCAGGTTCCTTCTTGATCGTGTTTCACTTCTTTCCAACGACGACCTTCCGGTGGAGGTGGAACTCGTGCCTCCTTTCCGATATTAATTGTGATTTGCTCCGGCTGGACTCTAGTCTTCACTCGACCGGTCTTCGGGTGCTCACCACGACCGCGGAAGAGTCCCGGGGGTTCAATGCGGAAGTTGCCGACCTTTTGCTTGCGGCCATCCCACATACAGTACATGTAAGGTGCTTCAGCTTCATCTTTCTCGGCCTTCAAGCGCTTCTTCTCTGCAGGAGGGAGATTTCGCTTCTCCTGACGTTTTGCCTCGTGATATTCAAAGATGAGCCGGAAATCGCATTTTCCGAACTCTGTTATCTCAATTCTGTTGCCCTTGTGATCTGTGGCGCCTCCTGTCCTCTTCAGAACTTCTTTGAAATCCATGAAGAAGTTCTTCTGGAAAACCGGGTTTTCAACATGCTGCGTAGCGTTCAACATGGTACCAAAAAAAACAGCCACTTCTTCTGCTTCCGGATGCAAGGTGACGGGAACACCGTCGTATTTCAACTTGACGTGCCCTGGAAGTGGCTCGTAGGGTGGCGGGAAAACGACGCCATTGTGTTCGAGGGTTGTCCATTTAATTGTCCCGTCGCCCTTTGTTGGATCCTCCCACCACCTATACTCTTCCTCGTCCTCTTCGGCTTCTTCGCTCTCCTGTTTGACTGAGGTCGATCTCCCCTTTTCTTTCTTCACAGGCGTCGACTGCTTTGACTCGGGTTCCTTCTTCAGCGGTTTACTAGCGCGCTTTGTGGCGGGTTTCTTGGCTGGTTTTTCTTCACCAGCCTCTTCCTTCTTAACGCCGTTGGCCTGTTTCCTCTTGTTGTTTGTTGCCTTTTGAGCAACACCACTCCGGATAGCCTTAGCCTCCTTTTCGGCAGCTTGCTCAATCTTGCGCTTCTCAGAGATCAATTTCCTCCCAATAGGGACATCTGAATCAGACTCCTCTCCAATAGAAGTCTCCGAGGCTTTGGGAAGCTTTCGTCCATTCAGACCTAGCGGTATGCCTTCTGTCTCCGGGTCCTCATGTTTCACAGAGGTGCGACGACGTTTGCTCTGTCGGACAGGTCAGCCCGCGAAAGACCAGGCAGGGGAAAGCAGCAATAACAGTAAGAGTCGCAAAGCAGGGAACGAAAAATGGGTACTGAAGGGCGTTGCGTACAAGGGGTTCATCCTCCTCGCTACTTTCCGGCTCCGCATAAGACTTTTTGCTAATACTCTCTCGTGTCTTCCGTTTGTGTGTACTGTCACCATTGACGTCGCTCCCAGCATCGTCCATCTTATCTTGGCTTTGGACAGGACCGAAACGGATTGACACACCGGGATCGACGTGGCCGTTCGTGCTGGGGGCATCGTCCATCTTCTCATCTGTGTCCATTGCGGCCGCTTTCGCCGGGAGGGAATTGCCTAACGTGCGAGGATGGTCGGTGAGAAAGTAGATCAACGGTAAGCGGCTAGTGGGGAGAGAAGGGGAGAGAGAGTAGATATATGAGCAACAAACTCGGAGGCAAGAGTGAGAGTGAGACGATCAGCGGAGAAAGTGAATGGGGGTGGACTCACGAGCAGACCGGCCATTAGCCTTCACAAGAGGGATGTCTTCGTCGGACGAGCTCATGGTTACTGCAGAGATATAGACAGAACAGCGGCCAGCCGGATGATAATATCGAAAGTTCGGACGAAGAAGGGGCCGTATAGGGTGCCTGAATCGAACTCTGGCAAGACGAGCCAAAGCTTGATATGTGAATGAAGTAGACGCAATGTTGACCAATGACGAGTGAATGTGGCTAATTCCAGAGTGGAGGCGATGATGCAGGAGGGAAAAGGAAGCGAAAGCAAAAAGAAAAAGGAGCGTGAGGGTGAGGGGATGAAGCGAAGCAGGGGTCCAGGTCCTGGTATGCGCTCAGCAGGGCCGGAATGAGAGGGAGAAAAGTTGAGCGCGAGGAGGAATCGAAGACGAAGGAAATATACTGCGAGCGTAGGGCGGCCTGAGGCAAAATTACCGCCAGGAGACCGGAATAGTCGCGGATTTGCAGCCTTACAGGCACTTTTATTGGGTGTGTCGCTGGGCCGACGGCCAGTGCGGCAGCTGATGCCAGAAATTTACCGCGCAGGGGTCTCTAAAGCGTGGAAGCACCAGCCATGCAAACATTGCAAACAGCGGCCACAGTCACAAAACCCGCGCGTGTTGTGCGCTTCTGGTCTGCTGCGACCGCCCTGATTCCCCATTCGGGTCTAGCGCAGCTATTACAATTCCCGTGACCTCGTTTTCTCCGGGTCTCGGAAGCAAAGAACTGCCAGCCAGGAGTTGCCCGGATTCTCTTCCTCCAGAGGCTTTGGCATCACATTGACTTCCGCTGCTTTCCTTCTCTGCAGCATCCTTCGCGGATCCTCCGTTGTAACCTCTCCACTTCTCCTCTTCAGCATGTTCTCCCGCGCTGTTCGCCCGGCCCTCAAGGCCGGCAGTGCTACGTTGACCCGGTGAGTTCCAACCTCTTTCTCGGATGTCCCACCATAGCCGCGCACCAGCGAAAATCACCGTGAATCGTGAAAAACACGGACGACGAACCTTGGGGAGGCATGCCAGGTGCCAATTGCTGACCTTTCAAAGTACCGCACCGCCCAATGCCGCCAACTTCGCGACTCTGCGTGAGATTGAGGGTCGTCTCAAGTCCATTAAGAACATTGAGAAGATCACCAACACCATGAAAATCGTTGCCTCGACACGTCTCACTCGCGCCCAGAAGGCCATGTCCGATTCTCGTGCCTACGGTGAGACCTCTAACACGGTCTTCGAGAAGGCTGAGACGAAGCCCATCGAGGACAAGAAGACTCTTTTCGTCGTTGCCAGCTCCGACAAGGGTCTCTGCGGTGGTATCCATTCGGGTCTGAGCAAGGCTACCCGCAGACTGTTGGAGAGCACTCCTAACGCCGACGTCGTGGTTCTCGGAGAGAAGGCCAAGGCCCAGCTCAGCAGGACCAACCCCCAGTCCATCGTTTTGAGCTTCGCCAACGTCTGCAAGGACATTCCTTCTTTCGCCGATGCTCAAACCATTGCGGATCAGATTTCCTTGCTGCCCACAGACTACTCCAGTGTCCATATTGTGTACAACAAGTTCCTCAACGCCCAGAGCTATGAGCCCGCTACGATCGACGCCTATTCCGTCGAGGCTATTACCCAGTCGGGTGAGTGACTCATGTCTGTGATATAGAAGTTTCTCAGCTGCTGATTGCTTCTTCCAGCCAACATCTCTGCTTTTGAGGTCGACTCTGAGGCCCTGTCCAGCCTCCGTGAATTTGCCCTCGCCAACAGTCTGTTCTGGGCTCTCGCTGAAGGACACGCTTGTGAAATCTCGGCTCGTCGCAATGCTATGGAGGCAAGTACCATTTGACATATAATCATTCTCTTTTCGATTACTAACTTTCAATTCTTTTATAGAACGCCTCAAAGAACGCTGGTGAGATGATCCAGAAGTAAGTGTCATTTGCTGAATTTATTTGGATATATTATTCATGTATCTAACTTTTTTTCGTTTAGGTTCCAGATCCTGTACAACCGTCAGCGTCAAGCTGCTATTACCGGTGAACTGGTTGAAATTATCACTGGTGCCACCGCAAGTGAGGATCTTTAGAAGCTGTCTCCCTGAAGCTTCTGTGGGAAGAGGCCACATTATTATGTGTAAACTCGTCCTTATATACCTAGATTCTTTCGTCAATTGTAAAAATCAACTTTGAACCGTTTATTGCTGCTTTGTCTTTTCTCTCTCTTCGCTATGTTTCACTTTCTCTGGATTAGGACTCTTGTGGCTACTATTTCATGCTTTAGTGACTTTCCTCCCTTTGAAAGTGATCGTGTAGCATACCTAACTGCAGGTACAGTCTGAAGAAGGCCACCAGTGCCTGGGTTTGCTTTTTAATTTGGGGTGTTTTGTTCTGGGAGGGTTGGAAAGGTTCTGGCATTCCCAATCCACCTTGCATAGTGAAGGCACCTTCCATTCACTTTCCATAGGCGCCTTTCACACTTTTTGAGGATAAATTCCCACTGAATCCCAGCAAAGTTCTCTTCTTTCCTCTCATAACTCCCAGGCTCTAGTCTAGAACAAGATTCTCAGAACAACAGCTTTGCTATTTATCTGATATACTCTATCCAGGCACCCTAGTCCAATGAGGAAGGGTCTTGCCAGTTCCTAGAACTATCAGACCCTTTTCAAAGTTCGACAGAGGGCTTCTAAATATCGGACGATATCCACGATATATCTATCTATCCCGTCTTCGAAGTACTCTTTGCTATTCCAGTTGAGACCTCTCGAGTTCTGACCATAGAACGGTCCTCGTTCCCTGACCCAGTCAATATGTATAACCCCTTCAGGCAGAGGTCGAAGGTTGTCGACTACTACGAAGTCCTAGGAGTTGCCAGAGACGCGTCTCTCAAAGATATCAACACTGCCTATAAAAAGCTCGCACTGAGATTCCATCCCGACAAGACAGGAGGCGGATCTGATACTACTGATGAATTTCGAAAGGTATGTGCATAGGGCACGCGACTCTCTGTATCTCCCTTCTATTGCATAGCCTTTTCATTGTTCTGCTGTAGTTTCTCTAACCTGGTCTTACCCAATTCAACAGATCCAGCAAGCTATCGAAGTTCTTCGTGACCCAGATAACCGCCAAAGGCTTGACAAGGATCTGGGTTATTATACCCCCAGAGAACCAGCGTGGATAAACGAATTGTTCGGAGAAAACTATACGGGCTGGAGACCCTCCAACGGCTCACTGTACAACTTGCGTAATGGCCTCGATCGGTACATGTATAGTTATGGCAACAGTGTGCATATGAATCCTCATTCAAATGACTCCGCCGAGGAGAGGGCATGGCATGAAAACGAGCGGGCTATGAATGAAGAAGTTCGCCAGTGGAATATGGAAAGGGAGGAGAGACGGAAGCAAGCTATGCGTGAGCGTGTCAGACGTGATGAAGAGGAAATGGCGGTCGCAGGGGAGGAATCTGACGACAACCTAGGAGAAAGCGACGTGCACTGGGAAAACGGGAATACATACCAGCAATGGCCCGTGGAAGAAGATGGTCAAGTTCCCATGGCAGCTGCTAGCTATGACAACGCAGATGATGATCTCGATGTGCCCTACGTGCCCGAGGATGAGGTGCCAGATTTTCCTTTAGTCGACGAAGATGATATTGACAACACCGCCGAGCGTGAACATGATGCAGAAGACAACCAATCTTTGCCCGACCTGCTGCCGAATGAGGAACCTGAGAATCCCGATCAAAACCATGATGCACTCAAAGATGAAGAATATGACATTAGCCTGCCGCAACATGTGAAATTCGAGAGATCCTCCCATCGCAAGTCGAATAAGAGCAACTTCAACTATGCAGTGGCTATTGATGATGAGGACGAAGCGCTGTCGGACTTGCTAGGAAGCGAGGAAGATGGGAGCTCATCTGAGGATGAGAATGAAATCGTGCATACGCAAGGAGCAGCCTTAGCTGAGGAAGAAGTAGATGATGGCTGCGAGTCTATATCCGACTTTTTAGACGCCGAAGAATTTGAAAGCGCTCACCAAAGCGAGTATAATTATGGGGACGGTTCTGACAGCGGAGCATATATCAGAGACTATGGTGATGACCTGGAAAGTCTTCAGAAAGAATATGGCACCCACCTTGAAAATGAGAACGGCTCAGACGTCTTCTATGACAGCAAGGAAGCCGAATCGGAAATACATTCGGTCTCTTCTAGCTTTTACAACTTGCCGGGGGTCAAAGATCACCAGAGTCCCAACAATGAAGGAACTGGTCCCCTTTCGCCTTTTATTCCTTATTTCAAAAGGAAACTAAGTCACCATTCTGGTCGGTATACGGCACAGGATCTCGACCTTGAATTGAAAGGCGTTATGATGGAATGCTTTCGGGGCTGGCTCGAAACTCTACGTCTGACCATGCCACACTCTCAGCCCCTCGAAACTGGTTACGATCCTAAGAATTGCTCCCACCTCGGACTATGGGTAAAGGAATTTGGGCAGCCTGAGTGCGACATCTGTGGCCGTTGGATGCCGATCTCCATGCTTCGCTGCCCAGGCTGCAGCATTAGAGCTTGTATAAGCTGTAAGTTCAGGGGAGAAGAAACCTTTTAGGTTGACGTGGTAGGTAGGTTGTTTTCAATACAGGATGGTAATGAGCTTAGTCGTTCTATTTCTCTTTACGGTTACCTTTGCAACGATTGTATTTCAAATTATTTGTCAAATGGTGAGGCGATGGCCCTTCTGGAAGCTGGCCCTGGGCCCTGATAGAATGGTATCACATCAGACTGTCAATTGACAAGAATAGAAAACATGGAAATGTGCAGTCAGGTTGACATTGGATGTTTCTGCGAGCTTGCTTTCTCTTGAATACAGGAGTTAGATTCTGCTTTGCTGCAGCTTATAATTCGTGTTATTTATTGAAATAAGAAATGGTTCATCCTGTTCCAACATATTCAACAGGAATATGTACAAAATGATATGTGCACGTATTTCAATTGATAAGATACAAAAATGTAGAAAGTGCATCTATGTGCAACAGCCCTATAGGGGCCTACCTATCAAACCTGCAAACGACAAGTTCCCCCATATGATTCTCACCAACTACAAACCGTTCATCGCCACAAATTTTCCCTTTAGCCACGAGCTGGAAAAACTCCTCAATGTAGAGAACGATATTTGAAGATGGTGTTCGAATACTGAGCCTCATATCCAAGGTCGGCCAGGTCGGAGCGAAATGGAGACAGAAGCGCACTTGAGCAAGTCTGTCCGCCGCCTCCGAGATAATGCTGTACCAATACTCCCCATTCTCATCGTCACCGGAGGCGACAAGGGGGGAGGCACTAAAGGTCCCATTGCCACGAGTTGGGGGAAACACCGCCTCTGTCTTCCGCCGCCAGCAGGGTCCCGTTCCAGTTACAGGGATGCTGGTTGTGCAGACTTCTGGGGTCCACTTTGATGGTGTTGACCATATGTTGCGTAATACGGTTTCAGTTATTTCTATCGCCTGCGCGTCGTCGGTCATCTCTAGGCGCTGTATCCGGGGGCATCCCCTTTGTCGGACCTGGAAGAATCCCAGTTCCCGGAAACCAAAACGGGAGATAATGAAGGGACCCGGATTTAGCCCGTTCCCTCTTAAACGGCCCTTTGGGTCTAGGGGGGATCTGTAGGTTGATGGAGTTGAGATGTCCCAGACAGTTAATGACTCGATTGGCGCGTCTTCGTCAGCTGTGTATAGACTGCGGTTGGGCTGCCAGACGTAGATGACATAATGGGTTTTGTTGTGAGAGGAAAAGAATCGATCTCGCTCGCTCAGTGGATGGCCCAGGAACATTATCTTCCATTCGTTCCGGAATGTAACAGTCCAAGGACAGCGGTGATCATTATCTTCTAACTCAGGAATCCTTGTTACGTCGAAGGAAGACGCAAAATGACGATGCACCCCATCGGTGTCATCTAGCCAGTGGAAGGCATTGGGTTCAGCCCATTCGATAACGAGAACCCTTTGATGTAGACGCACTCTTCGCACCACTTTTCCCGTTATTATAAACGGGACTATAGTGCATCGGTCGTTCTCTGAATTTAAATCCATCAGAACAAGACGATGGTGATCGGCGCTTGGGTAAACGACAAGACCATCCTCATAGGACCAAAATGCCTCCGAAAAGGGACAGTCAACTCGAGTCGGATGACTTGCATGGACTTCCCAGTGCTGTACCGGAAAGAATTCCCTTTCCCCAGAATCACCAAAGTCAGCACACAGCTTGTACTTCTGAATGGACCTAGATTTGCCGCGAGCAAGGTGATCGTATCTGCAGGCGACCTGGCTGAATATCCTGTGGACATGTTCTCTACCTCTGGATTTCAACAGGTATGGATTGTCCAAAATTTCATATTCCTGAAGCTCCCTGACCTCTCTTGCAAAGGGGAATGATTTCTTCAGCAGTCCGACCAGCATGTATGGATTCCCAAAGGCGTCATTCCATGCTCGGGAAACCTGACGGCAACAAATAATGTCTCTTGGTGTAAGGTAGTCTAGAAATACCCAGAAAACATCCCCCGGTAGAGAGCAGAGATCAAATGCTGCAGATGTATTATTGAACATGGTTAGTGAGCCAGCTGTTCTAGTCTCCATGGACATTTTGTATGCAGAGAAAGCCTTATTGAGGGATGAAGAGCAGCAGGACTGGCAGCGGAGCTAGCATCTGCCATGACAGCTTTTCCCAAGGATTTTACCCGTATGGTAAACAGAATGAATTCAAGATATCCACGCAGTTGTTCGTTAACTATCAGACCATAAATGGAAATGATCAGGTCAGGTCACGTGCCATGGAGCTTCTCCATCAGTCCATGAGGACAGCTTGTCTAGAAAGCTTCCTATTTAACTAGCTTCGTGATCTTCTTCCCTTGGCTTCTTGATGTTTGAAGAGCTGTCCTATTCTACTTCCTATCTACATTAATGAGAATTCCATGATGCCACAACCAAGCTCTATGCTTTTACTGATCTCGTCTCTTCTAGCAGCTTTGCCCGCAACCAGCGCCAGCGGCTTGTATACTAAGAACTCACCCGTCCTGCAGCTTAACCAGCAGACCTACAACCAGCTAATTGCCAATTCAAATCATACATCAGTGAGTAACATGGTACGCTAATTACCTTTGCAGCCAGCTAATTGCCTTCTAGATTGTAGAGTAAGCAGCCGTCCCTCCTCTGTCCGCTTCCCCACCGTCGTTACCATGTGCTCACTCCGTCACTGCGCTTAGATTCTACGCCCCTTGGTGCGGACATTGCCAGAACCTGAAACCAGCATATGAAAAGGTAGCTAAAAATCTCGAGGGTTTGGCGAAAGTTGCGGCTGTCAATTGCGATGACGACGCGAACAAACCCTTCTGCGGCCAAATGGGAATCCAGGGCTTTCCGACCTTGAAGATTGTGACCGCGTCAAAGCAACTCGGGAGACCGTTGGTGGAAGACTATCGTGGTGCTCGAAGCGCGAAGGCTATAGCTGATGCGGTGGCGGAGCGAATACCGAATCATGTAAAGAGGCTCACGGACAAAAATCTAGATGGCTGGCTTTCCGAGAACGAGGCACTTCCCAAGGCTATTCTGTTTACAAACAAGGGAACAACAAGTGCCCTCATTCGTGCTCTCGCGGTTGATTTCTTGGGTGGAATAAAGTTTGCACAGATTCGGAACAAGGAGACTGAGGCCGTGGAGAAATTTGGCGTCAAGCAGTTCCCTACGCTCATCTTGCTACCTGGAGATGGGAAGGAACCAATTACCTACGACGGTGAGTTGAAGAAGAAACCAATGGTGGAGTTTTTGAGCCAGGCAGCTGCACCGAATCCGGATCCCGCGCCTGCAAAGGCCAAATCCAGGTCTGTGGATAATCGAGCTGAAAAACTCAAGCCGACTGAATCCCCCGACCCCCAAGTCGTCCCTGAAGACGCCAAGGAAGCAAAGCCTGCCCAGGTTCTGGTTCAGGCTCCCGATATCGACACTCTTCCTACCGTAGAAGCCCTAGAGGCCGCCTGTCTTACTCCCAAATCAGGGACATGCATCCTTGCTCTCCTGCCGGAACAGAAGGAAGCAGATACTGATTTCCCTGGCCCTGTGAAGGAAGCACTGAGAAGTCTCTCTGAGATTGCGCACAAGCATTCTCAGCGCAAGAGCAACTTATTCCCCTTCTACAGCGTCCCTGCGATAAATACTGGGGCTCAGACGCTTCGCGACGGCTTGGGTCTACCGGCGGATGAAAACGCTGTGATCATTGTCTTGAATGGACGCCGGGGCTGGTGGAGCAGATATGATCCCTCGAAGAGCGGGGATTTCGGGATCGCTCCGGTTGAGGCGTGGATTGATGCTATCAGATTGGGCGAAGGGTCTAAGGAGAAGCTGCCTGATGGTATTCTCGTTGTAAAGGGGGAGCCAGAGAAGGAACCTGAGGAGTCTGTCGAGGAGTCTGTTGAAGACGGGTCTGTCGAAGAGGAATCTGCTGAGGAATCTCCCAAGCAGGAAAAAGAGCACGATGAGTTGTAAATCGCGCATGAAAAGTAACTAGTCTTGTACGTTGCAAAATAATCACATAGGTACTGCATAACGATGATATTTCCAGATATGTACTTGTTACTTGACAACTTCTGAGACTAGATCTCTACAACACACTGGAGTTATCAGAACTGCCTGCTGACATCTATTCTTTTTTTCAGAAGAGCAATGGATTTCATCCATATTCACCTGCTTTATCCTGTATAATAATATCTTTAGTAGTCACGCTGACCTTGCTTATCCATAGCTGAGATATTTACTCCGTGCCATGGACCATTTTTAGAGATGGGAGTAATTAATATTTTATTTTATTTTATTTTTTAAAAAAAAGAAAAAAAAAAAGGACCAAAAATGCCCAAACTAGTTTTATATCATCCTAATTCTATCCAGTTGTTTTTTCATCATTAGCTTCAAAAAGATATACAGATATAACTGACTTTGCGCAGGAGAATCTTTTTTTAGAAGAAACCGGAATGCAACTTCAAAATCCCTGTCCAAGACGTCTTGTCATGTCTCTTTAAGTTAAAGGAAGTAATAAATATCCCAGCACGGAACCGACAATTGTCAAAGTCAAATCGTCACTTTTCTTTCTCTTCACCGTTTTTTCCTCCCCTCCGTCCCCTTCTTGATAATCTTCTGCCTCTTCGACTCGATTTCCTTGTCGTAGATCTCGCGGGCCGTCTCGCCCTTCTTCCGTTTTGCTGAAGAGGACTTGACGCTGACGGTTGATGCTCCGCCAGATTTTATCTGCTTCTCGGCTATTTCCCAGGAGGCGGCGCCGTTGTCAATTTCGTATCTGGGGGACTGCGTATCAGTTATTGTCTCATTTCATATGTATATAGCTTTGAATTATACTTGATTGGTATTAAAGCAAAAAAGGAAGGTGAGATCTGTTTGAAGGGAGGGCTGCAAGAGGCCGTGGACTCACTTTTCCAATGGAAGCGCATCAATCAGCGCCCTCTGCTTTTCTCTTAACTCCTCGTCTACCTGCTGTCCTCCTTCTCTCAGCTCATCCTCTAGTCCCGTTTCCAGTGGTTTGAATCGCTCGTCAGGTGTCTCCTCATGAGCATCAGCCGAAGTGATCGTTAGGGGAACCTTATTTGCGGGAAGGGAGTCCGCAACAGCATCTTCAACCAACGAACGGAAATGCGTGGAGACCTTCCGGACAATCTTTAAGAACATGGCTAGCAACTGCGATGAAGGAAGGTTCAATTCTTTCTCGAGGTCTTCCAGATTCTTGCGCTGCAGACCGATTCCGAGGAGGATAGACTGCTGCACACCGGAGAGGTTGACTTTCCCTGCTAGACGGCCAGAAAAGTAAGAATCTGCGATTATGGGGACCATATCGAGGATGACGTGATAATCAAGCAGGTTGTTGGCGTAACTGTCTAGGCGCTTGAGATCGAAGGGGGAAAACGTGGCATCGAGATCCGCTTTCTTCAAGGGTATGGGAGTGAAAGATGTGTCTAACTTGGCGCCTGCGTTGGCAGATTCGCAAATGCTGAGTGAGAGTACTGAAGGGAATGTTCGGAACTGATATGAGAGCAGGGTAAGGAATCGTCTGTGGAAGTCCCGTGCAAATGCACCAAGCCAACTGCTGTCATTCGAGCCCGCGCTGAGTGTACGCAGCATGACGCAGGAGTGCTCGCCCGTGAGATCATTCGGGGTTTGACGAAGATAAACAGGGACGAAGGAGGAGCGTTTCCAGAATTTGTGCAAAGCAGGTGTCAGGCCGTAGCTAACTCCGACATAGTCGAGGGCATCTGGGCGACGTTCTGATAGTTTACCGAAAAGTGGAGGCATGGAACGAATGTCACGAACACGAACATTGTCATCCAGAAGATTGGAATTGGCTAATTCTTCGTCGGTGACTCTGACCATTTCTTCCTGGGGATAGGTGGCATCTTCAGACAGACTGGTAAACTTGCCCTCATAGAAGTCCAGCAACATTTCCAGAGCCCGCGATCCGTATCCCATGTTTATATACTCGGGATTGGTTGCAATACGAACAATTCTAGCTCCCGAGAGACCGGCAAAGTCCTCATCTTGGAACTGTTGGCTGACAAGCCACGGTATTAAGTCACCTCCCGCTCGTTGACCGCGACTCAAGCTGTTGAGCACGCTTTGTCTGCTGATGCGACCTTCAAGAGCGACTTGAATCACACAAAGCGGTTCCGGCAACTTGGTGGCATTTTCGTCCACTGGCGGAACGAGCACGAAAAGCTGGTGTGCTGGGGCATCACTCATGAGTTGGAGATCATTTGGAGTGTTCTTGTAGTGACTAGCTACATAGAGAGCCATCATCTGCTGGAGGAACTTTTCGGATACAGGGTGGAAAGAAAACAGCGTGTCTCGGTTGACTTGGAGCAGTTGGCACTGTGATGGATGCGGGCAGCCCTGCGTGTTCATCTTAGACTTAGGAAGAGTGGCATCAAGACATAGAACCTTGTTCAACCACTTCTCTACCGAGTCACCGGGCGCGTATCTGATGGGTTCGGAGAGAGTAATCTCCCTTAGGGATCGCCCAGCGAGATTCTTGTCCACACTTTTGGAAGCCTTGCCGGTCGCACGATCGGCAATATCGGTGTCATCTTGACCGTTTGCTTTCAAGCCTCTTGACTGCTCACGGAGCTGTTGAATCAACTTCAACGAGAGCGATCTTCCTGTTCCTTCGTAACCATTGATGGTCGATGCCATAAAGACAAGATATGGGCCCATCAATTTCCGTACCAATGGCAGTGGGATCGCAGCAGCCTCATCGATAACTAACAGCTCTGCCTGTCCCAGGACATGGGCATCTTGCGGTTGGATATATTGGATTGTTTGGCGGTGTTGACGATGGACGTTGACTCTGACGATGGCTTTGTTGAAATCCGGATTAGTCGACTGAAGAATAGTATAGTCAACATGGTCGAGATAGCCAAGGGCATCAAATCCTTTGAATACAAACTCGAACAGAGTCTTCAAGTTCTCCGGGCTAGGCGATGTGATGAAAATGTTGCTATAGCCATGAGCAACGGCAGCCGCGATAGCAACACCCATAGCCGCGGACTTTCCACGACCTCTGGCAGCGGTCAATGTGACGGTGTTCCGGAGTGTCTTCTCAGCGATCGCATCAACGAATGTAAGAAGGGCTTTCGCCTGGTCGACCGTCCGAGCCAAATTGACTAGAGGACCAACAGGCTGAGATTCTGCCAAGCTATCCTTGATTTCCTTCAACTCTTTCTTTGTAGGTAGAGTAGCCTCGTCTGTAGACTCGGCTGGAGGGAGGGGCTTCACATTCTTTCCCCCAGATATAGGCAAGACGTTCATTTCATCGTCGATGACCAGACACGAATCGCAGCTACCAAGAGACAGGATAAACCGCTCATTAAAGCGTGCTATCACGTCATCATGTGCCTCAGTTCTGTATCTAGAATGGATATCCATGGACAGAGTGTATAGCTGCTTCAAACTCTTCATCCCCTTCAAGAGTAACAGAACGATTCCACCTCCTTCAACCGTCTCGACAGTGCGTGCGAGGAGATTCGGCGTCATGGCCTCAAAATCTTGAAGAATGCACATTCCGTAGGTGTTTCCCAAGATCTTCTCCGTCTCCTTGTAGTAGACATAGCGGATCTGGTTGAGGGTAATAAACAACTCGAAGGGGTCCTCCTGGTTCGGTTCTCTGATGCCTCTCTTAACTTCCTTCTTGATCTTTGCCTCACGCTTCTTCCGATGACTCGTGAAACCAAGCAGGTCTTTCTTGTAGGCCCACAGCACCGACTTATTCTGCTTGACATCGAAGCTGGACATAATGTGATGCAGATACACGATCACATCCTTCGCGCGGTCTCCCACCACAACGAAAAAGCTCCGTTTCTTTTCCTGCATTCCATTTCGGATGAGCGCTGGAATGCGCGAATCGATCGCCTTGCGCGGCATGGTTTCCGACAGGGGATTGCGCCGGGAGAATACTGTTCTGCTGCAACAGTTCCTCTCAGGACAAGAAAAAAAAGTTATCGAAACTGCCCATCTGCCTCCATACACCGCCTGCCGTGTGTATCACCGCCTTTAGTGGATTCGTCACGTGCAAGACATCCTGGGTCTATTCCACATACAGAAGGCGGTGCCACCTGGCTGCGGCGATCAGCAGACAAACTAGTCTGTATGCGGCTAGCGTGGTTATGCAACGGCGACATTCTGGAAACTGCAGAAACGCCAAGTTAATTAGGCGACATGTAACGAAGTATGTAGCGATAATATAGATACTTAATGCACTGTATGACGGAGTGCAACTTTTATTGTTAGGCAAACTCCATCGTCCCTCACGCTCTCGAAAAATTCGCCGTGCGTAACGACACCCTCGAATTGTCTCGCCTATTTCGGTTCTCTGGCTGGGAGAGATCGTCCGACCGGCATCCGTTGACGCAATCAGCTGGACAAGACGCACTCCCACTGGGTCTTCCTCTCCTGGGATATCGCACGTATCTTGGCCGACGTGCTGTCAAATCTTAACGCGACTCTATCCTCCTGGCTCTCCTTCCCCATTCCATCTATCCCCCTACAAGTGTCTTCCGACGATGCCGTTGCTTTCGTCTGATTCCCGGGTTCCAAATGTCTAATCTAATGTTATCTCCCCTGGCTCCAAGATGATTCGCTTCTCCTCCGACTTTCGCTTCAGGCTCTCCCTGGGGTAAGTGCTGCTGGTGTCGTTGAACTGCACCGCGGGACACCTTGATCTGATACTAGACTCGCCTAGGGTGTTTATTCTGAGCTGCATTCTCCTCACAACGTCTTATCGTACAACCTTTGTATTCGGTAAGGAGACACTTGCTTCCTTCACTGCGTTTCGGCTGCTAATAGACATACTACGGGGGCTAGATCACCCCATCAACTCAGCAGTATTGGCCTGTGTTCTTGCGGCCTCAGTTCTTTTGTTCCTGGGCATCCCCGGCGCCCATAATTCTCACTCATCCAAACTCTCCCATGCTTTCGTCGCGGAGTATCTCGAGACGCTGGACGTCAGGTTACCTGCAATCGGCTGCGCTAGGGGGATCCGCATTGTTAGGATACAAGAATGGATCAAGGTCGCGTTGGTCGCGTGCATTGTTCTCTGTGTTCGGATTGAGCTGTACCGCCAGATTACTGTTTACAATGAATGTGCACCGACTGGATATGCGTATGCGATCCCATTCCTTATCTCGCTCTACGACTACTTCCGCGACCAACGATCCCGTCAGGTTGAGGACTATACGCTACCGAGTGAACAACTAGCGAATGCGCACCTTCGCATCCTCGTTACTTCCTACAGGCGCTTCCGTCACTATGTTCTTAGAAGCCGTCAAAGATATTTGATTTCTGCTGCCCTGATCTCTCTTGGCGGTTTGCTAGCGTCTGCCTTTCATACAGGGCAATCTTCGACCTACATCTGTCCATTGGTCTCGGGGGAAATGTTGCGCATATGGCTCTTCAAGAATACTAGCGCGCTTCTTGACGCTGTCCTCTTGATCGGAGTTGCGGAGGTATCTCGGGAATGGACAAATAGCCCTGAAGAGAAAAGAGGGCCAGTGATTCGGCTGTGCGGTTACCTGTTACTTGTAAGTCCATCGCTTTTGCTAGTAAGGCAGGACTACATAATAGACTTATGCATCTTCTCTAATATTTTCATCAATTTTAGGGGGTTGCCGCCTTCTGGACGGTTGTCGGTGTCATTATAACTCTCCGTCATGGGCGTGGAGGTATCACTTTATCCGTCGATGACCGCTATGTACAAAGTGCCATTGGACAAGGCTTGCTAGTGACGTCTTTGCTCGCAGCAAGCCTTCAGCTGGTGGGTTTTGGTCGCTGTTGCCCCATGATACCCAGTGCTAAGACAATTATAGATCCCGCATTTCGGCATTCTTGGCCTCTGTATGTTGGCTGGTTTTATCACCATCTATACTTCGTCCACTACAACCTTGATGGAAGTACAGCATCCTTTCCCATTGATTTATTCTTCCAATGCAATAACCGCATATCTTGCCATCTGTGCGGGAATGGTCACATTCTTGTACGTTCGGGCAGCTACTGAGGAAGATGTGAAATCCTTGCCCAAGATGAACGTCATGATTCGGCTATCATTCGTATTGCTCCTTGGGCTTGGGTTGATCTTCGCCGGCCTACAGCCAGAGGTGGCCAATGTGCATCCGATCGATCTTCTCATTTTCAAGAGTAGAATTCGTCATAATGATTTTATCAGCCAAGCCAGGGTCAGCAATAGTCTTAAAGAGGCCGTTGAGGAGTACCGAAGACGATATAACCAGCACCCGCCACCGTAAGTAGCGCGCCATCAGTTTGAGAAGCCTGGCACTAACCCTTTGGTGAAGAAAATTTGATCAATGGTATTACTATGCAATCAGCCGTGGCTCTATGGTTGTCGACGACTTTGATCAGATCTACACGGACCTCCTCCCGTTCCGGGCCTTACCACCCCAGCGACTAAGGGAACTGACACATCTCCTGGCCACGAACCCAGTCAATGATATTGGCGCGATCAGTATTCGTGGCGGTAAGCCAAGGGTCCAAGATGGGATCAAGCCTACCCATGCTTGGATGGTGTTAGCTGCTGCAGAAATGATAGAGAAGTTCTCCGAACATCTTCCCGACATGGATATTGCCTTCAATCTGGACGATCAGCCGCGTGTCGCGGTGCCATGGGGGGATATTTCAGCCATGCGAGATATGGCGAGCTTTCAAATGCCTCCTGAGCATGCGCTGAATGGGTGGTCACTGGACCGAGGACTGGGCTGGGCACCCATAGAGCCAGCTTATCAGACTAACGAGACCGTGTTCACGGATGCCTCCTGGCGAGGCATTTTTGACGAATACGTGAGTCGTTTGTGCCCGCCCTCTTCCGAAGCCCGTTCTCGTCGTGTCTGGGACCGACGAGAGGTATGCCTGAGTTGTATTCGCCCCCATTCGTTGGGCCAGTTTCCAACAGACTGGAACCTGGTAACAGATATCTGCCATCAGCCTGATCTTGGGGCGCTACATGGGTTCCTAATTGCCCCTACGGCATTCGGAGTTAGCAGGGAATTGGTGCCAGTGTTTAGTCAAAGCTCAGTTTCTGGCTTCAATGACATTTTGTACCCAAGCCCGTGGAATTATATTGACAAGGCGAAATACGAGCCTTCAGAGAAGTTTCCCGATTTAGAGTACGAGCAAAAGCACAGTTCCATGTTCTGGATCGGCAGCACATCAGAAGGCATGAGTAACAACGGAGGGTGGAAAGGAATGGGCCGTCAACGGTTCGTGCACCTTGTCAATAATAATACTCGGAGCAAAGTTTCCGTCTTGCTGCCGACTCGCCAGTCTCGAGCGTATTCCTATCAAATTCTTGACGGTTCGGCCCCGTCGAAGGATTTAGGACTCCAGACTGAGGTCAGTCTGGCAGGCCCTATTTCACACTGCGGCGACTGCGATGATCAAGAACGGGAGCTTGGTGCAGCGCCTACGGTTGACTTCCAATCGAACTGGGCATATCGGTACTTGTTCGATCTCGACGGCGCGGGATTTAGTGGACGGTTTCTTCCCTTCCTGCAAAGCCGCAGTCTTCCGTTTAAAACAGGATTGTTCCGTCAATGGTTCGACTCCCGGATTACGCCATGGCTACATTATGTCCCTGTCGACTTGCGTCTGCATGGCATGTGGAGCACCCTGGCTTACTTCGCTGGCGTTGACGGAGAACTTCCCGAAGAAGGACTCCTTGGCTGGCGAAGAACGAGAAGAAAGGTCAGGATGGAACCTCACGATAAACAGGGGAAATTGATAGCGGAAGAGGGGCGTAATTGGGCGGCAGCAGCTCTGAGGAAGGAGGATATGGAGATCTACTTCTTCCGACTATTGCTGGAATGGGGAAGGTTGACAGACGACCATAGAGATATCCTCGGGTTTGAAATGGAAAGCGAAGACTAGGTCTATGGCGGTTTTCTTCCTTTTTAGCATTGCATTTCTGGCGTTTGCCATCTTTCTTGTCGATATGTGGCTTTCGAATAAGCCAGTTAGTTATGATGGGCATGTCGAATGGACCTCAAATAGAGAGCAATAGGCGACGAAACGAAATAAATACTTATGGCATGTATCAAGAAGCGCCAGCATATAGTAGGACTTGCAGGGGCGTCTCGATGCATTCTGGATAAACAGAGATGTTCAATGCAACCTTCCGAGGAGGGTCACCACACTGCAGCGATCGTCAGCAACACCGACGGTCTTCCATTGACATGGGGGAAAAGAGATATGCAACAATCCCAAGTTATCGACTAGATCATGGGATTCTTCCCCCCCACACAGTCGGAGGAGCACATCCTCTCTCTAATCTCCCAAATCAAAGACTGGCAGATCAACCACGGCTCCCTCCTCAAACTCATCCGCGCAGAGACCGAGCACTCTTCCCTCTGCCGCCCGGTAGGAGTCAGCGTGTTCCCGACACCATTCCCGCGGACGCACTTCCACCGCGCACTAGAGCTGCAGACGATCTACAACGAGCTGTACTGCGCCATCGCGGAAGACGAGGAATGGATCTCCGAGACCATCAAGGACTTGATCCCCGTGGAACCGTTAGTGGCGATCTTGTGGGAGATCTACCAGGAGGTGAGAAGAGATATTAGGAACGGTGTTGATATTAATAATGTTTCCGCGGGAATCTTTCGGTCGGATTATATGCTTAGCCTTGGGACTCAAGGGAGAAGAACAAGAACCAGCGGTGGGGACGAGAATGGGAATCAGAATCAGGGGGTGCTTCTTCTATCTGAAACGAGGCTGAAACAGGTCGAGTTCAACACGTTCTCGTGTGCGGGTGGCGCCCACGCTAAGAGGGTCGTGGATATGCATCGATACCTGGCCAGGAGGGGGGATTACAGTGATCTTCACTGTGACAGTGACAACAGAAGCAATGATAGCCCGATCAACATCACTGCAGAGTCACTCCCACGGAGCGACAACGTCGAGGCCCTGGCATCGTGTTTGAGAACGGCCCACGCAGTCTACGGAGCGCCCAAAGGCAGCGCGGCGGATAAAACAGCCGTGTTATTCGTCGTCCAGCCACACAACTACAATATCGCCGATGAGCGACCCATCGAGTACGCATTGTGGAATCCCACTGATGGCAAGGATGATGACAACGGCGTAATACCGACATACCGGGTCGAATTCGGCCATGACGTACTCCACGATACAATCCTCACCGAGTCGCGCGAGCTCCTCTTCCACCCAGGCCCACGGAGGAAGAAGAACCAGAAACCCGTGGAGATCTCGGTGATCTACATGCGAGCCGGGTATGAGGCGGGCGAATACAGTCCCGCAGCCGGGGGCAGGGAAGCACGGCTGCGACTGGAGAAATCTCGGTGTATCAAATGTCCGTCGTTGCTTACGCATATCGCGACGTTCAAAAGGGTGCAGCAGGCACTTACTGCGCCCGGGGCGTTGGAGAGGTTTCTCCCTCCTGAGAAGGTCGAGGTGATTCGAGATACTTTCGTTCCGATTTATCCGCTTGATAATGAGTCGGAGGCTGGGAGGTATGCGCGTAGTTTGGTTGAAAGTTACTACTGCAGTAGTACTAGTACGGAGAGCACTAGCGATACCAATGATGGTAGTGGTGATGAAACCTGCCACCGCGAAGAGATTGCTCCGAGAAATTTCAACTACGTCCTTAAACCCTCCCGAGAAGGCGGAGGCCACAATGTCTTCGGCAATGCTATTCCCGAGTTCCTCGCTTCCATCCCGGAGTCGGAATGGTCATCGTATATCCTGATGGAGCGGATTAGGGCGCCGCCGGTGACGAATGTGTTGATCTCGCCCGATCAGAGGATTAGGATGGGCGAGGTTGTATCTGAGTTGGGTGTGTTTGGGGCTTGTCTATGGCGGAGCAGCAGTAGTGGTAGTAGCAGTACTAGTGCTCCTGATGGCGGCTGTGAGATGCTCCAGAACGCTGTCGCAGGATGGTCGTTCAAGACGAAGAGTGCGTCTACGGATGAGATGAGCGTTGTGAAGGGATATGGGTGTTTTGACACGCCTTGCTTGGTAGATATAGATTGAATGTCAGGATATACCTGAAAATAAAAGGTGAAAATACCAGTTCTATCAAATAGAACTAGATGCAGTCCAGCTGAAAAGACCAAGAATTGAATTGAAGTGAAAGAGTGGCAAGAAAGCTGTAAGAAATCCCCACATGTCGCATGTCTCATATCATAGGTCATTGATTTCATGTTTCACATTTCAAGCATGCGAACCTCTCATGTATCGACGATGAACCCTGGAAACCCGACCGGGCACCGGCGAACCGCCGGGAACAGTTCCAGTTTCAGCTCCACCTGTCACATTCCGGGACCCAAAGTCGCCGGCGTTAACGTCCACGTCGACATCGCCATCGCCATCGCCATCGCGCTTAGACCACGATTGCTGCTGCTGGTACACCTTGAGCGAGTTGATGGCCCAGTACGTCTCCTGGAAGGCCCACGGGTTGTTGGCAACGAAATCCTGGCATGTGCTTGCCGAAGCGGAGCAGGATGATCCCCACGCGCCGCCGGCCCAGTCGCCGCAGAAGGTGATGTCGAAGACCTACGGGAAAGAAATCCGTTAGCATTGGTTACATACTCCTTGTGGCTCTGCAGCCTGTGGCCGTTGGATAGCGGGCAACAGGGGTAAATGGAAGACTCACAATCTGAAGATTGTTAAAATGGCTATCCCAATCACAGCCGCCTCCTGTGAACTTCGCCGCCGGAGGCCCCCACGTCGACGGATCAGGGTTCCAGCCCGCAGTGATATCAGCCGGAATGGCCCATCTGGGAAAGAACCAGATGCTGATCCCGTTGCTGGTCCACTCGGTCGCGTAGACTCCGCCGCCATTCGCGTTGAAGGGGGTCCCGTACGACAGGCCTGAGGTGGACTGGATCTGGCAGCCCGTATGGGCCGATTGACCGGGCGCGTCGACGTAGCAGTTGGATGTTAGGAGGGAGCCGGTGAAGCCAGACCAAGGCTCGATGGCGCAGCCATCGCTTGTGTGGAGGGTCATGTCGTTCTGGATCTGGGTGTTTACGCCTTCGATGATGTCGATTTCGCCGTTGTTGGGCCAGTCGGCGCCGACGAGCCAGCTTCATTCGTTATTTAGCTAGGATATTGAGGATGGGTAAAGAACAACATACAAGGCAGGCCACGTCCCGCATACGCTACCAGGCATATGCGCCAGATCCAGAATGAAGAGTCCATGCTGATAACTGCTCGTACTGGTTACTCGGACGCTGCGACGGCCATTGGGGGCAGTGTTGGAGTTGTCGACGCCCATGTGGACAGCGCCATTGGCGGCATAGATGAGACCTGCATCCTGCGCCGTGTTGCGATCGACGTACTCGACGAAGCCATTGGTCGGATCTTGTCCCTGTTTGATGTCAGCCAGTGCTGATTACAATCGCGCATGTCCGAAGCAGAAGCAGGCATACAGTGAAGAACTGGAACCTGTCGAAGAAAGAAGCGGAATTCCCATAGTCATCCGAGAGGGTATAATCGGCCTGACCGAGTCGGGCCAGAAGGGCCAGGGACAATGCCAAAAACGTGCTCAACAAGGAGAGACTCATTCTGAGGGGGTATATATAAAGGAAATGAAGGAATGATAATAAACAATGACAGCTCGTGGCCAGCACCAGCGACTGATTTCAGAAGGGAAAAGTGATATGATGCGTCGGACAACAACCGGAAGGACAGTATATAATATAACGCTGGGGCCAAATGAACGTCTCTTTTTTCTTCTTTCTTCTTTTTTTCTTTTCTTTTCTTTTGTTCCAAGGAGAGACAGCAGATCAGGGCGAGTGTTGAGGCGACTGCCTATGGCCAGCAAGACGGAGCAAGACGGAGCAAACACAAAGGAATGAGGAAGCGGTCGGACCTGGACCTGGATGCAAACGACCCTGAACAAAGAGAGCGTGGATGTAGAAGAGAAGGGAATGTCTAGAATACAGATTGCAGAGACAGAGGGAGAGAGAAGCTGCAGCCATTATATAGCCAGGCCAGCTGAACATGCAATGCTGCACATACGCGCGCGTTACTCGCTGACACTTACGCTCCACCGGCCCCGCCAAAGCCACAGTATTGCAGCATTGCAGCAGGCTAAAATGGCGGGAAATTCAAATAAATTGAGGCAAGACAGGAGAGAGAAGAAAAAAAAAAAAAGGGAAGGTTGAGGTGGGTGACAGCTCAGATGCTCGTCACACAGAGTAAAAACCCTTGACCACGGTGGATTTTACATACTGTCGTGGAAATAATTGGTGAAAATAATACTCATATTGAAAAGAATATCAAGAATACCTACCTGGATCAGAACAATATCGATGAACCTGAAAATCTCAGGGGTCCAGGGCTTGTACCTGATTCCCTACTATCTACTACTATGGAGTGCTTCTACTAGATAGGATAGACTCCATCTGAAACAAAAGAACCATGGTCTATTCCATGCACGACGCACATGCACAAGCCATCAGGGTCTAGTCTCGATCCAAACGAACTCTTCGTATTCTTGTTATTTAATAAAGAATAATATGGGCTCTTCAAAGTTCGTACTTTCGTATCGAAGTACTCCGTACTGCACGAAGAATAAGAATTACTCAATCAGCCCTTGCATTCATCCACCAATGTCCAACACAATACTCTGCACAGAAAACCGGTGGGCAACACAAGATAATCATCGGAGCTGATCAGGCCTCAAACATTTTTATTTTTATTTTATTTTTTCTTGCTGCTCTTGTCCCACAGTACCAGGGGTCAAATGGGACACAACACAACACAACAACACAATTGACATGACATCTTGCGTTTGCATTTCCCTCACAGCTCACCGTTCTGCTAACTTCTGCTTGAGGAAACTGGTCAATGCTATTCTTGGACCTTACGTCTACGAACCTGGTTGGCGAAATGAGTACAATATGAGAGAAAGTTCGGTGGGAGGTGACTCGTTCGAACGGTGTAGAAATGCAGAAGTTAAATCGATGTACAGAATCCGGTTTTGAGCTTTCTGGTTGGCATAGTGGCTAGCTAGCCATGCCAGTTTATCGGTTTACAGGTCATACTTTGTGCTGCAGAGACAAGACCAAGGCCAGGGCACCGTATGCAATGAATGCATCAATACGGAGTCAAAGATTCGTCACCGTGAATTAGAAAAGACCTGATAGCAAAACTAGACAAAATACGCGTGAAAATGCAGATGCAAGCATGATAGAAGAAAGTACACCGTAGTAGAAAAAAAGAAAAGAAAAAAAAGGGCTGCCGAACGAACTATCTACAAACCGGACACACCGGTTCCATCCCCAGCCTCCCAGATTCCGAATCTGCCTCCAGGAGACACCCGCGGTGGTAGAGATGTCGGCACGCAAATACCACCACCGGTCCTGGCACCAATGTCGATGCCAATTCGAATGCGCCCTGCGATGCCCGTCTCCTGGGCACGTCGAAGCGACCGCTTCCATCCGTCCCATCAGCATCGCCAACCTCATCGTAGTCTCCGTCAATGCCAACGCCAACGCTAACAGCAACGGCCTTGCCTTTCCCGCCATGTGCCGCAGGGTCGATACTACTTTCAGCTCTCTTCGCCACCCGTCTCCGATGGTCTCTGCTCTGCTTCTTTTCCCAAGCCTCCCAATATTGCGATCCCGCTCCAGGACCCCAGATACGCCGACGACAGATCTCACAGACCTGCCCGCGTGGTCTCCACCCTTGTTGCCGCAGCCGCGTGACCTCGTTCACGTGTACGAAGAGGTCTCGATCTAACATGCCATTGGCGAGAGAAAGAAGAGACTGTTCGTAGGTATATGCAGAGAAAATTGATGCAAGAACCGCCCGGAGTTCGAAAAGGGATGGAGACCACGTTACGGCCCGGGTGAGGAAAGCTCGTAGAATTCGAAGAAACGAGACGTCTGTCCGGTCGCTCGCTATCGACGCTGTTCCCGTTGCTGAAGGACTAGTCGTCCCCTTCAACGTGTTCGACAGTAACGCTGTGAAGACCTGTTGTACCAAGCCGCGGAATGACGATATCAACCGACCAGGCGGAGCACTGCCCGGATGAGACGTTGATTGTTGCACCAACTGCTCACCCGAATGGCCTGGCTGGGTTCCTCGTAGAAACGTAAAGACATTGCTCGCTATGCGAACAACGGCCTCAATGAGATCAAGCCAGAGACTCTCGTCGAAAGACAGTGGTTGCTCAAGAGCAGCCATCCCGTGTTTGCCGTTTGTCTTCACCACAGCCTCCCGAGGTCGCCGGCTCGTCTTGGTCTGCCCTTGGCAAAGCCACGTTCCGACCCGCGCGTATTTGTTCAACGACTCGACAAGATCATCAATGGCCTCTGTCGTGCTGGCAGAATCCGGACTCTCTTCTACGCTCTGAAGAATACCCACGAGACCAGATTGAAGGGTGCCAAGATGAGAAATGAGTCGATCCATGGCTGCCCGAACTTGGCCCTGTCTAGCGAGCAGAATCACTGCAGCATCCACCACTCCGCTCTCTTCCATAGAAGGCAATAGTTCCTCCAGTCGGACATCTCCAGTCCGTAGGTCATCCACAAAATCCGCTACATGGGTCGGGTTATACTTGCACAAAAGTTGTACGTAGCGCTCAAGCATCCAATTCTCAATCGCCTTCGGTCGTCGCCTCCTACCCTCCACAGCGGTCTTTTTTGTCTGCGGCTCAATAAGTGCCACCAAATACTCGTATTGATTATATGGGTCGTTTGTCAGCGCTTCCAGGAAAGTCGCGTGCGTCTCTGGGGCCACAGCTTGCATCGTATGGGCAGCCTTGGTGACATCGATACCAGCCAGTTTCCTAGCCTGGCTCTTAATCGTGTTGACAATGTCTCGTATCTGCTTCTTACTCAGCCCCGATCCAGGCCGTAGGCAATCCTGTATACGCGTAAAGACGGCCTCTTGCTCATTCTGGTCATCGAGATACGTCAGGATCAATTCCGGGAACATCTTTTCGGTGCTATAGGTCGATTTAAGAATCCGAAAAAAGCGCGCTTTCTTGAATAGTGGAACCATCGCCTGAATGTCAGGAGGATGATATATAGACAACAGATATTCCGCGCTGAGTTCACAATCCTCCGCCATCTCCTCGTTTGAATAATCGCAAAGCCGCACGAGAACTTGCTGGAGTATCGTGCCAGAAAGAAGGATATACTGGGGGTATTTTGGAAGGTTGCGTGCAATAAACATGTCTAAATAAATGGTATCAGATGGGCTGAAGTGGTGAGGATCCATGACCTGGAGTAATATGGTTATGAGATACTGCCGGTTAATCGAGACACCATGGTTGAAAGAGGCTACTTCGTCGGATTCTTGATGATCGTTGAGGAAACTATCTTCAAACGCCTCGTTTAACATGCTCATAGAGCTGGCTGCATCGAACTTAAGCATGGCTCGGAGACCGGAGAATGAATCGTTATCCTGGGCAACAGTGAGATTCTCTACCTCTGCCACATCGAAGGCTAGATTTCCTGAGAAGAGATAGTGATATAATGCCGACTTTGCTCGCACGGATTCGTCCTCGTCCATATCATCACCCGTCGGATAAACGCGACCAGTGAAGATAAAAGAGAGGTAAGGAAACATTTTCATCGCATTCGCCTGTTGCTTAAGTTCATGTAGCGACTCTCCGTTCACCAGCGGTTCTGTACGGGACGGAATGAGCGTCAACAGCTCCTGCAGAGGGCCCACGTAATCCCCCAGACAGCGGTTCCAAACGTATATATAAGCCTCGTACAGATTGTAATGCCTGCACAGCGTCGTAACCTGATCGATGTCCATATTTTCCGTGTCGAGCAGACAAATTATCTCTTCAAGCCTGCTGGCCGTATGGGTCTTTGCGAAGTGATTGATGAGAGCCTTAACAGCAGTGGGAGGTAAAGACCGCAAGGTCCCATCGACAATATACGGCTCGAGAGCATCAAGAAAAATACCCTGAGCTCCGTGTTCCTCATACCAAGTGAAAACCTCCTCCCATAGAAATTCCTTGTCGGCCAGGCAGACGCACGCAGAGATAGACGTCTCCGCCAACTCCTCCAACTGTCGGTTTTCGAGCCGCTCGTTGTTGGCCCCTTCATTTCGGCCAAAGGCATACTTGAGCGACGCCGAGATCATCTCTACCAGTCTATCTCGGACAATGGGATGTCTTAATGCATCCTCTTCGGGAAGGCCAATAGTGAGTTTCTCCGCATTGCCTCTATAGTAGGACGTGGCCAGTCGGATAGCTCCAATAAAGTCACCCACTTCCATTAAAGAAAACAGCCTGTCTGCCCAATTCGACAAGCTTCCCACGGAAACGTCGTTGTAGCTGAGGAGAAATAGACGTCCCTTGTAGGCGCGAAAGCTCATATAAAATGCATCGGCAACGACGCCGTGCATTGACACATCCTCCTCGTCAAACTGCTCGACCAGATTATGGAGCTGCGAAGAAAACAAGTCCGCATGATAGATATGTCTGTGGAGAAGGTCAACAGATTCAGTTACACGAAGCGAATAGTCCTCCAGGATGAGCAATTGCTGGGTTATAGTAAGCACTGCCATTACCGAACGGCTCAACCATTGTACGGCAACTATAGCCTCTTCTGCTTTCCACCGGCTTCGTGGTTTGAACAGGAGACTGGGGGGGTTATCACTATTGGTCGATCCGTTGTTGATCTCTGAAACGTCAAGGACGGTTAGTACATTGGACCAACAATAGACGAGCTTTGTCTTCGATATTTCCGAGTCCTTTCCCTTCAACTTGATGGCTGGAAACCATGCCAGAGCCCCGGTCATAGCGCCGTGCGCTGCAACCTCCCTAGGACGAGGTGCCTTATGCTGGGTCCGCGCGACGGGCGTAGTAGACACGATGACCAAGAGATACGGAGTGAGCATGGCAACCAGGCCGAGAGAGTCGGTCGGTTGGTCAACATTGCCGAGAGGGAGAGGGGAGAATGCGAGGACAGAACTTGGTTTTCGCGGTTTGCTTCCGGCCAGTTCGCTCTGAGGATATCGGCCAAGTATTCTTGCTGTCTTCACCGTCCGCCCTACTGCACCCATTCCCCTTGTCGCAAGATGCGAAAAGGCCATCCCCCGCTCGTCAGCGGATACGAGCGCAGTGCGCCTGGTCCCAAGGAAACCCACATGTATAACAGACGCTCCGAACACATGCCCATCAGAAGTCCGACGATCGATTTGAGTAGAAGGAATAGGGCGTATATGAAGGAATGGTCGCGCAGATTTCGATATTTCCCACGTAAATATATCACCAGAGGCGTGGCCACCTGCGACCGTCGAGTGATCCGCGGAAATGGCCAACGAAGTTATTGCGCCGCATTCGACAGCTAGAAATAACAAAACCCAAACGTCAATGAAAAGCACAAAGAAAGAAATAAAAAAAAGTCTATAACATACCCTTTGTACTCAGCCCAATAATTGCCCTCAAGGTCTGCTGGTAGTCAAACACAAGAATAACACCTTTCGAGGTCCCAATCACAATAGACGTAGAAACAGCCACGCAAGTGGGACGACCAAAATTGCGCTTGCCCAGCTCCGAGAACACCTGGCCGGCTATCTTTCTCAACTTGGTCCATCGTACCACATCCCAAGGGTTGTCGGACGTTTCGGTTCCGGAGTCTGCAGGGGATAACTGACTGGCGAGGGAAGATTGTCGAGATCTGAAATGGTTCAAGAAAGGGGAAGATGGTCGAAAACCGCTATGCGACGGGGAAGATAGTCTGGACTGAAATCGAAGATCGAAGGGACGATGATGATGGGAAGGGCTGAGGCTGGCTCTGGGAGACCCTCGAAGCGCCAAGGCACTGCTGCCGCTCTGCGACGAAAGGAGAGAACCCTATGGCTATCAGCGAAGGATGTCAGGGTTATAACAAAGAAAGAAAGAAAAAGTTGCAACTAACATGTAAAGAAGGGGTATCATCTGGTGTTGAAGTAGTCTCATCTACACTCCCAGGCGCTCTAGGGAGCAGCTCCTTCGGTTGATCTTCAACCGGAGCGTCGGCCAGATGATGGCGATTGTCCGTTGCGAACGATCCTCCTTCTTTACCAACGATCATTGAATCAGCCATCTCGTCTCTAGATTCATCGCCGTTGGACATGATTGCGCCGTCGCCAGCCTGATAGGGATGAAGCTCTTCATTCTCCTGACCCAAGTCGAGCTCATCCTCTCGTGCCCAGTCATCACGGCCCTCAATCATGGAGCTCATCAGCAATATTTTCGAATGATCATTGCTCCGGGACTTTTCTATTCGAAACGTGTTCAGTTTCCCAAAGATGTCGCCGAATTAGTTTTTGTTTTTTTCTCGAGAGGTGGGCGATTTTCCGCTAGCCGGGGATGGGAGCCTGGAGTTGACGGGGAGAACAAATGGGCTTGCTCGGGACGGATCTGTCAGAAGCGTAACCAACGAGGATATAATGGATGCGGCGGGATGACTGGCTGAGAAGGATATGATGCGGAGAAAGACCCCTTCGATGGCAGCTTGGAAGAGAAGTAGAAATAGAGCGTGATGCTGGATCGGAGTAGCTCCCTGGCCAAGTTGGTGGTTGGTTGACCCCACAGGCGGCTGCAGCTACACCAACTGTCGTTCGTTTCTACCTTTTGACAGCACTTTCAATGCATGCAGTTATTGTCTATTTTTCCCTTTGAATTGAGCATGTATACTCTTGACTCGTGAAAGCATCATTCGTTCTTCGTATCGTCATAGTCAACAACTGGGCATCATGTTGTCCAGTTTAGAAAGTCGCCGACATCTACTTCCCTTCACAAGATAGAAAGTGAAGAAAGCAAAACAAGACAACAAGAAGGAGAATATAAAGAAAAAGAATAAAATAAGATCAAAACAATGACCACCAAAGTACTCTTCAAGTCCAGAACTACTACCTCCCGAACTAACCCCATTCAACAAGCTCTGCGCCTCTATCACCCTTCCCTGATCCACAAAATCCACAAGTACAACATTCGGCGGCCGTCCGTAGATGGATAGGCACTTGTCGCAGTGAGCCCCGATACTCCCGTACCCAGACACGGCGTTTGTTCTGGCCGCGTTGACCCGGTCGGGAATCAAGACGCCGAAGACATCAACGTCGAGGAAGTGGTTGACGATGTACATGCGTCCTGTCGGGGAGGCGGCAGGCGGCCGGTTCACGCTACAATCATCCAAGGCAGGATCTGTCATGTCGAAGGGGCTCTCGAAGAAGTAGCCAAATTCGTCCAGGATGTAGTCGTATGGTGAGGGGGGTGTTGCTATTATTGCTCCTGTTGCTCCGTAGTCTTGATTATTTTCTGTTAGTATAGCAAGAGGGAACAAATTAGTCGTTATTACCAACCCAAGAAGACAACCAGCCTGGTCCCATTCTCAATCAATTCCATCAGAGTCGGCCACTCTTCTATGCCCATGATTGAGGCGACGCCAGGACGAAACGCATACTTCTTAATCCCGCTCCTATCGAAGGCCTCGTCGAACAAGCCCAAGTCAACGCGGTCCCCATTCGTAAGCAACAAAGTCACCACCTCGTTCGCATTCTCATCTCGCTCCAACCACTCCCTCACGGTAACCAGGAACCCCTCCAGAGACCCCGCATCTTCAAGCAAGCACGACGTGTGACATAGTTCCAGCCTCCCAGTACGCGGAGACCTGTGGGTTTGCGCCTGCAGGAAGCGGACACCCAGGTTAAGCTGGCGAGCGACGTCGATGTTCTGGTTCTGTTGGAGCAGAGGGCCGACGAAGGGGGAATCATGGGCGCCAATCTGGGTGATGTTGGAGTATCTACGGGTGCAGTAGACAGGGTTGCCGTTGCATGCTATTGTCGCGGTCGGTGGTGTTGGCGGGGACAATATATTCGCGATGATCGCTGGTAAATTGAATGTCCATAGCCATCTCCAGGCCTCAGGAAAAGTCAAGGATTTACTGAGAATCAGAACTGTAGTTAGACGAGAGAAAACGTGGAGATATGCAGTTCTACCTGCAAGGAACTTTGCACGTACGTATCATGGGTCATTTCTATCGCTGGTTATCAGACGTCACACTCCACATATGCCTTACTGGCATTGTAAGAGTCATCGTAGGTAGGCAGTGCCAAATATGGCTGTGAGAGGGAAAGAGGATTGGGGAGTACAAAGCTGCAGTAGTCGCATTGCTGCAACACTGCCCACGCTTTTTGAATGGCTGGATTCGATCAGGGTTTCATCATCCGCCGATAACCAGAAGTGTTCCTCCAGACATTCGGCTACCCCAGAATATATAAATATCTATTGAATTTTCTTAAAATTATAGGAATACGATATGTCACTTTATTACTTGACTTGCCTAAAATGCTTGCGTCCAATATGACCCAAATGATATGCTTACAAAATGCCAACCATAAATATATAGATACCTCCACGATCTAAAAAGAATCCAATATCGGCCTCCAAGTGAATGGACAAACAATCCTGTATATTTCGACTGGGACTATTCATTCTTCCAATTCGACCTGTGTTTCACGTTCTGGAACATGGAGATGTTAGAACTGGAAGGAATCAGCAAAGAAAACATGAACCGCACATACCCCAGATTTTATTTGCAGATGCAACAATGACCTCAGCCTTCTTGAGCAGCTTGGCAGCGTACCGTTCGGCTTCCTGGGAATGTAGCTGGCTCTGCCGGGCCTTATAAGGATTGGCCTACTCAGATGATCAGCAAGGTCTAATCTAAAAGCAATGAACAACAAAAACATACCATCATCAATACCGGAACAAGATCCTTTGGCTCTGCGGCTGCCAGCGCTCTCAAGTTCCGGAAGCCGTTATCTCGGAGCAACCTCGCGGTCCAGCTTTTTACGAAGGTCACTTGCGCCATCTCCAACAGATCGGCACGAGCACCAGCCTCCAGCCGATCTCGCATATGGTCTAGGACCGCCGCGAGCATGCCCCAGTCCATGCGCTGACAGAATTTTACTATACCTGCCGCAAAACCATGGCATTGTTGGGCGAGTGTCTGTATACTTCCCCGTTGGATACGATAGCGACGGGCAATTGTCGATAGCGGAACCTCATTACTCAAGTCGCGGAGCTGGAACGCTGTGTAGGCACGGCGGTAGATTGTCGCTTGCTTAATCTCCGCTGGAGTTGTCTCCTTGAGCGAAGCACCGCTCTGGACCCTAAATAACAGTCAGATGTTTTCTTCTGGCATGGACTTTCATCAGGGTTTTTCTAAATGAGACGGCATACATTGAGTTGACGAGACCCGGCTGAACACCGACAAACTGAAGAGCGCGGATCCCGCTCTCATCTAGATTATCCAATTGACCGCGAAAGATAGGCCAATCTATCTGCATGTTGACCGCTACCTGTAGAGGAGTGAACATGTAGAAAATATGCATGTCCCCGTCCATCACAAAAGCCTTCAGTGCTCGTCTCAGCTCCTCGTAAACGAAAAGACCGTCCTCTGGCGAAAAGGCCGAAGCGACAATAGCTTGTCCAAGTCGCGTGGCCTCGTACGACTCATTATCTCTTAAGTGCAAAAGACCCTCGTTAAGCAATTCCTGGAGAGCCGAGTTCATGATGTTGTAAGTTATCTTCTTGTCCAATGTTCTGTGGAGAAGGGTGCATTTGACGTATTCCTTGATAGCATCAGCCCCAGAAGCCAGACCGGTTGCTATGGCTTCCAAAAGCGCCCTTGCAAAGTGTCAGCTACAGTATCAAGAAATACTTGATAGAGCACTACCTCTTGAGGCCTCGCTTTTCAGGAGCCAAACAGCTTGCAATAGCGGGCATATCGGCTTCTAGCAAATCGCAGACAGCCTGTAAGTCGGTATTCCCGCATATAAGATACGTCTCTCCAACATCATCCTTTCCCTTGCGGCCTGCTCGCCCACACATCTGCCGCCTAGATTGATCAGTATAAATGGAACTGCATAAGGTACAGGAATCCTACAGCATCGCTGGACCAACAAGCTCGCGACCCATACGGGCACCGTTGATTATAACCCTCCTTGCGGGGAGGTTGACACCCGCGGCCAGACTGCACGTTGCAAGGAGTACCCTTAGAGTCCCTTGGTCATAAGATTGTGCTATCAACTCTCGCTCTTCGGCAGTCATCCCGGCATCTGACGGTTGTCAGCTCGTGCACGTCGACATGGTGGTGGCCAAATACGAACGATGAAAGCCAACACCTTTGACTATCGTCTTCTCCAGGACAGGATCAAGACCACAAGGTAGACTGCGTAATTCAGCAAGCAGGTCCAGCCTCTTGCTCAGATCATCTTCATCGGCAGCGATCTCCATTGGCATTGCCTCGCTTATTATAACAGCATTTGTCTGGCAACCCTGGCGGCTGCCACAAAAGACTAAAGCCCCGTATCCTGTTACAGCTGTATCGACTGCCAAGGCCACCGTCGCGTTCGTCATTGGATTGGAAAGCTGTCTGAAAGTTGAAACTTCTATTGTTCGATGTGGGGTTATGGAATCAGGAGACTTTGAAGTCAGTTTAGAAGCAGTCTGAAATAACTGCCTGGCTGTTGCAGCCAGGTATATTGAATTCTCATAAACGAGGTAGTCATCTATAGGGACTGGTCGATAAGTGGAAATAAAATACTGCGCATCGATCCATTCCGCCAGCAGTTCAGTATTCTAGCGATCTGGTCAGAAACAGATTTCAGAAACAAGTGCGCAGAAGCAGGCATACTGAAAGAGTGGCACTCATGCCAACGATCTGGATATCTTGCTTGAGCAGCAACAGCTTTGTTACCATGAGCTCCATCAGATACCCGCGGTGTTCATCATCCAGCATATGCAACTCATCCAGAACAACGGCTGCCAAGTCGCCAATACTACATTCCTCTATGGCGGCATTTATCAATGAGTTTGCCTGACAACATTAGCACAGTGAAGGGGAAAATAACAGTAACCAAAAAAAAGTCCTGCTACAGGCATTCCAGGACCAACCTTCTCAATGGTGCAAACGGCGATATCCGTGTCGGCCCAGGTAGCGGTAGTTCGACTTCCGCCAAAGAATCCAGTGATACGAATCGACTTCTCCATCTTCCTCCAGCGCTGGCGGGAAGGATTGGCGTTGTCTACATTATCAGTGTCATCTTCAGGAATGGCCTTTTCAACATCTCGCACGATGCGTCTGAGCCATTTGAGCTTCTCTTGGACCAAGGCAACGTAAGGCAAGACCAAAATTGCCTTGCGCGAAGGATTCTCAATAACCCGTTTCAACATCAAGACATCCGCTACGAGGGATTTCCCCCCTCCGGTAGGAGCCGTGTAGACAAGATTTCGTTCACCAGTAAGAAGACCCCGGACAAGCAAGCATGATGCCTGCCAGGGATAGATGGTTTTGACTCCTAGGGACGCGAAATTGGCTACCAGGGTCGTAGGCAATCCATATCGAGGGTCCTTGAGAGACAAAAAGCCTTCTTGGTCAGGTTTGGGTGTAGATAAAGGGCCAGATTCTGTTTTCAGAGCAGCAGTTGTCGGCTTTGCAGTGTCATGCTCGGGGGCTTGCAATGTCAAACGTCCATGTCCGTTTCCATGCAGTGTGTGCGAGTCACCCGCAACCGTGCGAATCTGGCTAGCAACTAAATGAGGCTTGGTAATAGCAGCCGACGCTCGAACGAAGTCAGTAGGATGATGACCCTTTATACTCCCTGGGGCCTGGCGGGTATCAAGAAGAGAATTGTCTGGGGGTCGCTTGTGTCCAGCCAGAGGGGCTACAGTATAAGTTTTCCTGTGGGCGATATCAATGGAAGTCTGGAAGCCATAGGTTTGAAATGGCTGCTCAGACGCCGACATGCCTTGGAGTCGCTAAGGATTATCCGACGAACATGAGGAGGTCGATCGAGATTTGAGTTGACGGTCTGGAAAGATATTATTTATTACTTCCCTTTCGGTTCTCAATTCTTTGACCCGTATATCCGGTTTGAGATTTACATAATTTTCCAAGGGAGAAACCAAAATAATGCCTAGAAAAATAATACCCAAAAAAAAGAAACGAAGTAGGCAGACACGAGCAGTCGCGTAACATAAACACTCGATGTTTCAGGAAGGAGCACGGCACGCTAGTCCCGAAGCAGCAAGGCGGCCTGTCACATCCCGAACACCAGCTGAGTCAGCGGGAACGCAAATGCCACGACGCGTCTAGCCGAATCCGGACTAGCGAAAATCGCTAAGCCTTGTTGGGTCTGGAGGTTGCAACGTTCCTGGATCAAGCCCTTTTGCATCCCACCAACCGGAGCACTCATAAACTGTAAGCTGACCACTGCAGACTCCGCAGTCTCGAGACGTGCCATTTCATGCAGGGCACCGAGGACTGAACCTGCAACTAGACGGTAGCGCATTCATACGCCGTAAATAATAATAATAACATGTTTGAGCTATGATCGGATGTACTCCGTACTTGCCATTTAGGCCCCCGAGAATATTTAGGAATGTCTTGGCGCCTACTGTTATAACTTATCTACAGTCTGTTCATACTCACAGCCAAGCCTTCAGGCTTCGTATTATTCCCCTCAACTGCAGAATCATGTCCAGAAGTGGTAATAACGAATAGCCTGGTCTAGGCTCTCAGCAGTATGATAGATTGCAAAGACAAATGGTCTTTAACAGAATCAAGTTTTCATTTTTTTTTCTTCTGTTAAGTAGCAACCCGGATATCCGAATGGTTGCCCAATGACCCGAAGTCCTTCCTACGTACGTACGCGAGTGGATTTTATGAGCGGGAGGTCCATCGTGCAGAATTAATATATCTCCTACCGAGTATCTGCCATCTCCACACAGTCGAGTCAAAATGCGGATACGCCTTCAGGGTTATTCCCTGCGGACTGATCTAGCAAACCGTGTCCTTTTCTCTCGTCTTTTCCGTGCGCTCTGTTTTCTGTGCGGTGGTTGGTTGGCTGATCAAGGTGCATGATGGATCTTACAAAGTTGGTCGTGGGTAGATCGCCCGCTCGTTAATATTATTACTCCGTAGCTGCCGCCCGTTTATTCTGCCTAAGCCGAACTTTGAAGAGGGTGACAATGGCGATAATATAGCAATAATGAGAACAATACACATGGTTCTGCGGGTTGTCTATCCGTAAATGACTACAGTAGTGAATGATTAGGGATCTTGGAAAATGCGAGCCATTAGCTAACTCCAGCATTTATACGGAGTATGCAGATGCAACCTCATTGTCGCACGTCCGTCGCTACACAAGACCATTATTATGAGCATCAAAGAAGGGGGTGAAAAAAGCAGCTTAATTGAACTCAATATAGGTGTCGACTAAGACTTTCTAGGAGACGGGGCCTGCCTAGGTCTTCTTTCACTTACAATAATGGCAGTGAATGCTTAAGTCAATGAGAAAAATATCAAATCACTTTGGGACAGATGCATCGCTTCCTTTCCAACCCCTGCACCATGCTTGTTGCACGAAATACAGAGTACATGCCCATGTACAGCGCCGTACAGCGCATGCTCAGTTGGTAAGCATGCGTAGGTCGGCTAAGTCGCCACGAAGTTTATCTTCCCACAAACCATTCTATAATATATTATGTTAACAACCTTCTTCTGATGTGGTGTGGCGGAGTGACGGTGGCGAGTCAGTTCGAGCTATGTGCCTCTCGATACGACGGACAGAGTCATGACTCCATACTCCCCAGTTTCCAAACGAAGGTGAATTCATTGACGCGTTGATTAGAATGGGCCGGATGGCGGTCTGTCTGGTTTTTCTCCGACTCGTATCGCATCGACAATGGCCATTCGTATTCACCAACACTCAAGAATGTTAAAGAAGCCCGTCTTCTTAATATTCAGGCTCCAGCGTCTTCCGGAGCGGAGGGCAGTGATTGGAGAACACGAAGCAGATCATGGGCCAGAAAAGCACATGACGGACTGGGTAATCTGCAGACCAGCAAGTGGTACGGGCTCAACCACCGCACTAAACATGTTGATTATATTGCTGTTCTCAATTCCAACCGGCAGATTCAGCATGCGTACGGTCGGCAGGCACGGTTAGGGTGCACTGCAGTTCCTGTACCCGAAGACCCCTTAGTTGTACATCAGTGGAATACATTAGGTACTCTGCAGAGTCCGGACTACCTGCGGTGTAATGCTTATTATTACCTAGGTTTAGTCTGCCGCGTCCCGCAACTCATTCATATCAGCGTTATTCACCTAGTCAGCCCTTCTTCTTCCATGGTGAGCAGAATAGCATTCTAGAAACCCTCCGTCATGGTTCGTTCTCCCTCGACTCCTCAACATAGTCCGTAATATGTAGTACTATGTAGGTACGGCGGGAAGACTACCATTGCCGCTAAAGAATGATCGGACCGTAGATCGCCCACGAGCAGATCCGCAAGCTTCCCTCGGGGCAGGGGGAGCAGGAAAGGGAAAAGAGGCAGAGGCGACGTGCTCTCTTGTCCCAGAGCAGTGCAGGATTTGTTGGATCCGTCATATTAACACATCGGGACTAGGGTCTGGCCTACCCAGCTCCTGCTCCAACTGTAATAGTACCGGACGAATTATTATTGCTTCTTCTTTTCCTCTTCCTCTCTCTCTCTCTCTCTCCCTTTTCCTTTTTCCTCTCCCCTGTCATCCCTCTCCTCCCGGAGCCCCCATCGTGCCACTTGACGTTCTGTCGCGTTATTCCCGCTCCTGCGTGTTACTGTGCGCCTGGCGTCGTGTCCGTTCCCAATCCGCGAGTCGGAACGAACTAGTGGCTCTTGACCCTTGTTTGGCTTCCACCGCCGCTGCGAATACCTAACGCTTTGCTTTTACTTTTCTTCTCTGCCCCATTCTCCGTCATTCTACTTCGCCTGTCCCGTTTCTTCCTTTTCTTATTTCGACTCATTCTCCTCAACCATCCTCCCCTTTCGTCATCTTCGGGTTTGTTCCACAGCCCGCCTTCCCGGGGGAGAGGGTTCTTTCTACCTACATCTTTTCTATCCGCCGGTTATCTCGACTGCCAGCGCTAGACGCATCGGCTTTGGCAAAACAAGTAGTACTTTCTCCGTGCCATCACTTCTGGAGGGAGTAACCTTGATATCCGCTTTTTATCGGTGTCTTCTGTTCTTCCCCCCTACCTTGACGTGGCGCGTTACCTTCAACGCATCCTTTCATAGACGTTAAGAGCTCCCGTCTCAACAGGTTTTTTTTTTTTTTTTCCCTGGGGGAACTGTCTCAACCCGCATTACAACATTTCCCTCGTTCCTGATACTGGACACTCAGCCCCCCCGCCACGTCCTTCACTTATATGGTTCCACTTTCTCGCTTTCACTGGGAAATCGTCTGCTGACGGACCGTCCACATTTCCATCTCCGCGTCTGTTCTGCATTCCCTTCTGATCATTGACGCTAGCCTGGATCATATGCCGCCGTCCAAGGACACCCGTTAATTACTTGCGGCTTTGTCATCTCCCCAGACAGGTCACCGCCTCAAAAGTCGCGGCACCACCACGTGAACTCCTGTAATTCCTGTTCGTCTCCATCCGGCGCAGCAGCTCTGGAACGCATATCGAATGACCGCTTCTGGGACTTCTGCTGTAAAAGAACCTACTGGTCTTCCAAACTCCCCAGCCCTTGATGGGCTGCAACCAGGACAGATGACCACCAGTACTGCGGCTTCAGAGGTCACAGACCCGGCGCCAACCAGCTCTTCCACCACTCCGGCTCCCTATGGGACCCGCTCCAGAGGTCGAAATGCAGCTCCTCGTCCCAACTATGCAGAGGACCGTGATATCGACACGGATTTTGAGATGACCGCAACCCCCGCGCCTAAAACTTCCAAGCGTACTGGCGCGGCCGCCACTCACAGCATCGCGAACGGCTCCAAAACGGACGGGGAGAAAGCGTCATCTTCCAGCTCCCGAAAAAGTGCGGCCGCTGCAAATGGAACACATTCGTCATCTCCGAACAAAGATGCAATCCCGGGCACGTCGTCCTTTTCTGCGAAGCCAGACGATAGTAACGGCCCGTCTAGTGGGCCTAGGAAACGCAAACAGCCCTCCAGCGCTGCAACTTCGAATTCAGCAAGTGGTAATTCAACGAAGAAAATTTTCACCACTGCTCCATGTGTCGCTCATGGGAAAGGCGACTCCAACATGGTCACTTTTGAGACTTACGGTGCTTATCTGAAGAACGGGAAACTGAAAGCTGATGACGGTTCAACTTACGCCGTGAATGGTACGTACTAATGCACTTTATTAAAGACTGCATGGAAATCCCTGACCAAGCTTTGGACTAGACCACGTCTACCTGATTTGCGAACCGCCTGGTGAGCCGTACTATTTGGCGCGAATTATGGAATTTCTTCCGTCCAAGGACAAACCATCTGGACCCATCGAATCGGTGAGGGTCAATTGGTACTATAGGCCGCGCGATATACCGCGCAAGTCCACAGATACGAGGCTGGTCTTCGCTTCAATGCATTCAGACATATGTCCACTCACTTCCCTACGTGGGAGATGTCAGATTTCTCATCTGTCGGAGATCGATGATCTCGCCGAATATCGTAAGGCCAGAGATTGTTTCTGGTACGACAAGTTATTTGACAGATACATTCACCGGTACTACGATATGATCCCTACGAGCAAAGTGATTAATGTCCCTTCAAACGTCAAGAAGATCCTCGATGAGCGCTGGAAATTCGTCCTTGTCGAAGTGGGCAAAAGAAAGGAGTTAACAGGGGCGGTGAAGACCTGCAAGCGGTGTGGCCAGTATGCAGCAAGGTATAGCCGGCTCTTCTATCCCATAGAACGTATTGACGAAAAGGGATCTCGGTGGCTAACCAACCAACTCTAGTAACAATTCTGTGGACTGTGCTGTTTGCAATTTCACCTATCATATGGACTGCGTACGGCCAGTTTTAACCAGAAAACCGGCACGCGGCTTTGCCTGGGCTTGTGCAGCATGTAGCCGGGCCCAGGAACGGAAACTCGAGGCTCGAAATACCCCGCTCGTGAACGGCTCCCGTCAGGAACTAGAAGAAGAGCTTCTGGAAGAAGAGGATGAAGAGCTAAATGGCGTTGCAAATGGTACGGCCGGAAGCACTCCGGCACCTGTTGAGGAATCGCTGCCTCAGCCGGCTACGGCAGAACAAATAGCACAGGCCAAGCTATGGCCATATCGGTACCTGGGGATTCACTGTCGAGTGGAGGATGCTCTAGACTATGACGATCGGATATATCCTCGAGCGAGCTCGCGTTTAGGGACACGTCATCAAGCCAATGTTCCCTCGTGGTTTGGGCATCCGGTCGAATATACGAAGCCTCTCGACGTCAAGAAGAAGTATTTGAAATCGGGAAATCGTAAAGAGTCAAAATTGACCAAAGAAGCTCAAGCTGCTATCGAAGCAGCGAAGCAAGAAATGGCCAATCGCCCAAAGTGGGTCATGGATGAACCGCCTGGATACGTGCGGCGGGGGGAAGACAAGCCGGTTATGGTAGATGGAAGGCCGACACATACAGCAGAATTGCTCTTTAAAATGCCCACTGCAGAACAGTTACCTGCGCGAGGGGAAGACGATGCCCCTAGGGCACATGTCAGTGATGCGGACCGGGAGAAATTTGTCGAAGATTATATGAATAAAGCAAAGGAAATAGCAACTGAAAAAGGGGTCGAGCAGTACTCGACAAATTTCCTTGACAAGGCTCTACAGTTGCTTTATTCCGAGGCGTTCGATGTGGAGGCTGCTCTTGCCAAACTGAAGCAAGTTGACAAATACACAGACCTCAAAGAACCTCGTCTACAGCCCGAAGAGATCAAAATTTTTGAACAAGGAATCTCCAAGTACGGTTCTGAGTTGCGTCTCGTTACCAAACATGTTAAAACAGTCCCACATAACCAAATCGTCAGATATTACTATATGTGGAAGAAGACGCCACGTGGTCGCCAGATTTGGGGCAACTATGAAGGCAGACGGGGCAAGAGAGAAGCCAGACGCAATGCCCCGGCAAAGTTGGTGGACGATGTAGCGGACGACCAAGATGATTCCGCTTTCGACAGTGTCAAGGTCGCAGAGAGGAAACGGGCGTTCAGTTGCAAATTTTGCTCGACAAAATCTTCACGGCAGTGGCGACGCGCACCGGGAGTACAACCCAATGGTGTAACTGCCGCAGACACGTCTTCCAAAAAGGAGAAAGGTGCATCATACACGGTGGCGCTTTGCTTACGGTGTGCTCTACTCTGGCGTAAATATGCTATCCAGTGGGAAGATGTCGACGAGGTCGCAAAGAAAATATCTCAAAGCAGCCACAAATCGTGGCGCCGACGTGTTGATGAGGAACTACTGGCACAGCTCCTTGTTTCTACTGAGACCCCAATAAACATTAGCAGTGCCACTGCGGCCACTGCAGCCTCGCTGGGAGTTACGGTGAACGCCCACGCGCAAGTTCAGCAGGAACCACCAAAGAAGAAAACGAAGTATAATGACAGAGACAGTACTGCCGCGACCTCGACCGCTACGTCGGTGGAACCAGCCCCGAAGAAGAAACCTGCGGCTGAAAAGGCCCTGGAACCGCCACCGATTATACCCGATCCTCCCAAGGCCAAGACCCTCCCTTGTGCCATATGCAACAAACTAGAGCCCATGGGCGACCAGCACCTGTCATGCAGGGATTGCCGTCTCACGGTACACCGGGGTTGTTACGGTGTTCATCCTTCGCGGAACTGTGCGAAATGGCTATGTGACATGTGCTCGAATGATAGGAATCCCGTCATTTCCACTCGCTATGAATGCGTCCTCTGTCCGGTAACCTGGACGGAGCATGAGTTAATGGAAGCCCCACGGGTATCGCACAAGAAAAAGTCAGAGCGGGAGCGGGAAAAGGAGAGGCTTGAAAAGGAAATGGTGACAGAGGCCATCAAGCTGTACCGTCAGAGGCAGGAGGCTGTGGGAAAGCCCATCAACCCGCGCGAACCGTTGAAGCGTACGGTAGGCAACAACTGGGTTCACGTCTTATGTGCCTTATGGCAGCCCGAAATTAAATTTGGCAATGCCGAGGAGCTCGAGCCCGCAGAGAATTTCGGTATGATACCAACGGACAGGCATCAAGAGACATGTAAGATTTGCAAGACGTCCAACACAGGAGCGTGCATATCCTGCCATTACTCTGGTTGCAATGCCCAGTTCCATGTTGGTTGCGCTTTTCAGGCCCAGTACAAATTCGGGTTTGACATCTCACCTGTGAAGAACTCCCGCCGGGATTCTGTCAGTACGGTCAGGCTTGGGGATGAGGTTGGAGTAGCCTCTCCAGCCATCTGGTGTCCTCACCATGCAATATCAGGCACCGTACATGAGATAGGCGAACCTACGGGGAAGGATGGGCTCAATGCCTTGCAGGTGTTTGCTCGAACATACAAACAAGCCGACCTCAGTCTGCCCGGTACGGTCCGGAAAGCCGCGTATATCCAACAGTCGGTTGGAGTTTCCCAGCAACATTCCAGTTCGGTTCCAAGTCGACGATCTTCGGGTGCCAATGGCGTTTCTAGCGCCTATACAAAAGACAGCCACCGGAACACAAGGACTTCTCCGGACGGCACAGTCGATGCGATGGTTGTTGATTCCGACAACCACACAGGCCCTCGTCTGAACGTCGAGAAGGAATCGGGTAGGAAATGCTTTCGCTGTTCCACGACATTTAGCCCTAGGTGGTGGCCGGTCGAGAACATGCGACGGGGCCCGATTGTTCGAAATGGGACGCCTATGATGAACGGCGTTGCACCGAATGACCCATCTGGAGCTAGATTTCCCAATGCAGCATCTGCAAGCCCGCCGTTCCATGCTCGAAACCTTTCTCAGGGCTCCTTTACAAGGCCTAACAACGGGGAGTATCACCCACCAGATAGGAACGGGGCCGTCGCACATGAGGAGCAGAGCTTGATATCATACGAATGCCACAAGTGTCATCTCAAGGGATTTCCACAACCATCGCCAGAACCCCGGCCTTCGCCTTATACATCCCAGCGGCCAGTCTTGCCGACACCGGCCCCACAACTTTTGGACTATCACCCCCATCCTTACGGTTCTCACCCACATCCTATGGCTCCAGCCCCAGCCCCAGGGATTCTTCCGCGTCCCGTCGGGTCAGCCCCTCCTCACACCGGCCCTCCCGACTGGTACCCTGGATATGATCAACGCCTTCCAGCCTATGGGGATAGCAGCTTGCGTAACGGTATGCCAGTGCCTGCCTATCATGCAGGGCCTGCGCCGCCGTCGCATCATGGCAGCGGCTACCAGGCGCCGCATCCCGCTCCGCAGTCTCACTACGCAAACGGGCCCCCTCCGCTCCCACCGCAGGCATACGCGACACACCAGAGCCCCTATGCCCCTGTATCCGCACCGTCACCACGTTTACCCCAGGCTCCCAGGCCTCATCATTTTGCAGCGTCGGTGTCACCGCCTAGTGTGCAAGCGACGATGGTTCAGCGCTCTCCTCCGTTTCCGATCAGTACGCCTAGCAGTGGACCTCCCTTGCCTCTTGGCTACCCCGTTGACCGTGTTCTAACTGCGCCAACGCCCTCGCCTTCACTAACCCATGCGCATGTTGATCCTCAAGGGCCACAGACGCCGGGCAAGCTGGATGACGCTACGACGGGCGGCGCCGCGAGACAGATGACCAACGATAAGGCCGGTAGTGGTAACGGAGCCAGCGGTGGCGGCAATACTGCATCTGGAGCAAGCGCGAGCCCGTCATTGAAAAATCTACTTTCGTAGCGAAATGGAGTTTGTACAAAATGAAACGGGTCGGTTGGGATTCTTTTCTGGACTGGGGCTACGGGCTACATGATTTGGCCCTTTTCCTCTTGCGATTTCGATGGTTTTCTGTTTTCTTTATGTTTCTTCTCACGTCTATTGCATTGAACAGTGGGATTCAAGCCGTGTGTATTTAGTGGTGTTCTACAGCAAAATTATTTTATTTTGATGATTCTACGGAAGGATTTGGGTGTGCTCGCTATGTGTTCGATGGGCAACAAGAGCAGCACGTGCAGCGTAATCAGGATCCGAGTAGACAGCGGACTGGGAGCAGTGGAGTCCATATATTATTATGTATTGGTTGAGATCGTTATCATGAGTAAATTAAGCCAGGCGCTTGTCATTAGATATTGTTCTGCTGGAAAGCGAAAAAGAGATAAGTTTGACAAATCGACACAGCCTCCGAGTCGCAGACGGTATCGCAGACGTAAGCGGGATGATCGACACGACGACCTTGGAACGCGGCCCATCAATCACATCAGCGATGGTGAATATATCGATATCGACATTGACGACAGACAGTATTTAGTTTCACACAGTAGATCATGCTTATCATAAGCCTTTGCTAGTGGTATATTGCAGTGTAATATGAATCATTGCAGTAATCACCTCTGCGAATGGACATGGATCGGGCTGGAGCATCTATTTCATTATTACTTCCTCCGGTAGTGATTATTTTAGTGTGGTTGGACGGATCTGTGTCCGGAGCAGAGACGGACGAGGCTGCGGGAGTAATTACGTATCTGCTAGTAATTACCTAAATAAACGGAGGCCGGAGGATTTACCCCATCCATTGGTACAATGCAGTGCCATTCCATATATAGGTAGTGAGCGCTTACGGGTCCTTCCAGACTCCTTTCGAGACGGATTCTGGAACGTGGTGGGAAAGTAGCAGAGTTACTTACTGTCGCGGATTGCGGAGCACGGAGGGCGCCGCACAAGGTCACGGTGATGCGTGTTAGGTAGGTTACATAGCCGTGGGAGACGCTTGCATCTTTATTACTATTGTTTTACTATTGTTTGTGGACTGAGATAAGAGATGTATCAGCTTCCAAGAAAGACAAGACGAAGACTCGGGTATTATTTATTACTAATTAGTGTTATTGTTGCAATAACCGGTACGTACCGTACGGACAGACCGGGCGGAGAAAATGGCCCTGGGCCAATCGAACGGCCACGATTTGCTGGGCGCCTGCCGATCATGTCACGCAACATGTGACCGTGACATATTCTAGAAAAGAAACAGGCAGGATCATCTTCTCTCATGCTGGCATTTAATCTCCGGCCTTTGCGGACTCGCGTCAAGGCTTGTTCAGAGTTCCTAGTTCGGGCTGCTTGGTTCCTCGACTCTTGGAGACGGACTATGATAAGGAAATCGTAGTAATACGTACTACGTAGGTAAGTGGTAAGTACCAAGGATATGATAATAACAAGACATAACTCAGATTGCCTAAACACGGCGTCACTGCCCCACTCACCTTATCTCTGCATTTGTATCGTTACTGTTATTACAGTACAGTTCTTTCATGCCTCGCAGGGCCTTATCCACGTCCAACGAACTCGTCAACCTTCTGGAAGGCCAGCAGAAAATTCCACTGTCTTTCCAGTCTCTCCCCCTTCGCCCGTTTGGCTTTGCACTATCCAAACTGCTCTGATCCAGCCAGTCGTCGCGTCGATCCATCTCCCTTTTGTCTCTGCTTCGCTCGCTCCCTGGTTCCCCTCCCCTCTCTCTTTCCTTCCCTCTCTTACAGTCGCCTTTCTTTAGTCTGTCCAGTCAATCCTTCCATCGAATCTTCTCCTTTTTCCTACGCTTCTGGCTCGAGTCCTCTCCCTCTATCTCTCCTCACTTTCCTTGCTATTTTTCCCTTTTTCTCCCCCTTCTGTATTCTTGTATTTCTTCTCACTGATTTATATTATTGTTATTATTATTACTACTCGTATTACCAGATAGGGTTCGCTTTAAAACCCTCATTGTCGCTTGTCTGGTCCGTGGCACAGCGACTACGTACTTAACACCTACCCACCACCACCAACACCAACACCACACTGCCAACTCGACTCCTACAGCCGTCGTTTCTGTCCTCCTTCCTATCTGTCACGGCCGCTCGCCCAATGGCGCTTTGAGCTAACCGGTGCAGAAACGTCATCGTCATCCTGTTCCAAAGTCTCCGTCGCATCTAACAGGCGCATCCCTGAATGTTCTGCGACACCACTTCCCTCTCACTCTCCACCCCCTCCAGTCGACGTCGATAATCTTCACGGTCATTCATTCTGACCCTATCAACCTTTTGATACGTCCAATTGAATTCTTCCTTTCGCACCGCGGTTTCTCATATCGTCCTTATTAGATATCCTCGACCATCGCTGGTTGACGTAATTGAACTACTTCGGCCGCCTGGAGAGATTTTGATACCGATTACGACTTGAAGACGAAGACGAACCATACTCGGTGGATACAGCTACCTTGGCTGTGGACGAGACTCCCTCCGCCTTCCCTTCATATATTCAACCATATGAACGCGCTGGTCCCGTGTACTGCTCGATAACATGCACGGAGAAATGGAGTCGGTGGGAGGTACAAACCAATCTCGCGACGCAATGGAGTGGATGGAATTCTCTGCAATATACATTGACCCGCGCGTAAAACTGGAGAGATGGGTGCGTAGGGCTGTGGATGGTGCACCCCCTTCTAGCCCGGAACTGCATGCAGATGAGGTGGAGTCGCTTGGATGGGATCTGGATCTCCTCCTAAATGTTTGCAAGCAGAGTATGTCGTACCCTCCTTAGCAGCTCAGACTTGTCCGTGTTGGCTGACCGTGTCCCAAATGCAGTCTACATCTGCCACTCGAGTGTCTCGTTTACGACCCATCTAGCGGAACTCTCGGGGAATGCCGTGAATAGCTGTACACCAGTCGTAGCCTTTTTCAGCGTTGGTTTTGGGAACGAGGAATCCCTTCGGCAGGGTAGAAGGCCTAGCGACCGCAAGTCGCTACTCGATTCCGAGACCCGCTCTCCATCGCCTGCATCTAGCCGTCCGGAGTGTCCACTTTCCTCCCAAATGGAAGAGACGTATGGCCTGCAATTACTCTCGACCGTCGCTGCGAATGCACAGATCGAAGATGGTCCGAACCTGGTCATTCCCGTTGCCGTTGTGCGTTCAGCGGGCCCCGGACCTGTCGGTTTTCCTGCTCGTGCGTGCTTCCCCCTTTCTCTTGATCAACCCGAACCCGTAGCTTACCGATCTTTACAGACCCGAATGAAATCGCAAAGTGCTTGGATGCAGGGGCTGTTGACGTCCTGTCATCCCCGCTCGACAAGACCAGAATACATGGCCTGGTGGTTCATGCCTATCGCACACGCAAGACCGCCCAAAAAGAAACGTCACGCTTTTTGGCGAAAAGGAATCTACGGAAGCAATCCTGGGTGGGCGTGCATGACGAGAAGCCGTACGCGTATCTAAGGGAAGCGATGTAAGTTGCAAACGTGCCCCTTTCACTTCGGATGGTCTTTTCGTCGGTGAAACCCACCTTGATGCCAGGAAGAATAGATATGGATGCGTTTCCCGACAGCTGCTGACAGCAATACCTTTGGTCTAGGGTCTCCAAACTCATGAAAGGGATCTGCAACCCTGAGGATGCTGTTGGAGAATTTGAGGATCGGTGAGTGGGAGAAACTGTCTCTTCCCTTACATTGTCTAGTTCTTTTTTTTCTGACCGGAAACGCAAACGAACAGCGAACTCGACGTCATTGCGGAACGTGCGGAATTTGTAAAGGATCAGTTGGGCAACTGGTCCTTTGCTGCCCATGATTTTACCGAAGACGAACTTGCATTTGCGGCATGTGAGATGCTTCGGCATGGTTTCGACGTTCCTGGACTTGAACGATGGCGCTTGTCACCAGGTAAATGAGGATGAAAAATATGGGTCGTTCCTGTCACTTGAAGCTAACAGAAAGGAAAATCTCCAGACGAACTCAGGAAGTTCATTCTCGCTTGTCGCTCTGCCTACAATTCCTTCGTTCTTTACCATAATTTTCGACATGCCATCGACGTTTTGCAGTCCATCTTTTGCTTTCTGCTTCACATCGGGGCTTTGGCACCCTACGGTAGCTTCAAAACACCCCCAACCAAGTCGCCCATTGTATCTCTCCTCACTCCCTTTGACGCTCTCACACTTCTCATATCGGCCATTGGCCATGATGTCGGCCACCCCGGCGTTAACAACGTTTTCCTAATTAAACTCAACGCGCCCTTGGCGCAGCTCTACAATGATAATTCTGTCCTGGAAGCCTTCCACTGCGCTGCCTTCTCTCAGATACTGCGTCGTTATTGGCCGGCTGCTTTCAAAGAACCGCAACTCAGGAAGTTGCTCATCAGCTCGATCCTGGCTACTGATATGGGTATTCACCATAACTACATGGAACGACTTGCGGCTTTGCAAGAAAAATTCCACCACGACGGCGGATCCCTCGATGGCTGGAAGCAACAAGATATTGATTCATACAAAGCACTCGTCTGTGGTTTGCTCATCAAGTGTGCCGATATTAGCAATGTGGTAAGCAAGTCCTCTACTTTGTTTCCATCACTTATCTTTCGTAGCGCTCTTTCGCTTATCGTTGATAATTTCTAGGCACGGCCGTGGGACGTTGCCGAAGAGTGGACCAAGATATTGCAGGAGGAATTTGCCAACCAAGGCGAAATGGAAAAGGCAGTTGGATTGGAAACAGCTTTATTTGGCGGGCCCCCGGAAATTGGAAACGTCTACAAACTGGCCACGGGCCAGATTGGTTTCATGTCCATCTTTGCCCTGCCTCTCTTTGAAGGCGTATCGGATCTCCTACCACAGATGTCTTTCACCGTGGACCAAATTCGAACTAACCAACAGACTTGGCAAAAGCTGGCTGAGCGTGAGAAACAAAAGCAGGCTCACTGTCTTGAAAAGGTCTTCTCCCCCCGCTCCGGTAGCCCAGATTCAAATGCCAAGGTATCCGGCCCAAACCAAGGAAGTGGCGGTTCTGATGATCCCCAAGACTTGTCCCAAGCCGAACATACAGCGGTAAACGGCACCGGGGCGAATGGGCATGCAGATGGCTCGCCACACTCCCGGTCTGCATTCAATGAGGATACCTCGGATTCAGTCTCATCACCGAACTGCAACAATATTCCACTGGCAGAGATGCCGTCTCGGAAGTCATCTAGTGCTATTCCTGCCGATATTGCCATGCTTGCCATCGGAGAAGCTCCACAAGACGACAGTGGGTTGACGGGATTGCAACACTCGACTGACTCTGACGCAGCGGCTGATGCTAGTTCTTCAGTTTATGATGAAAATGCATCAACCGCTGCTGACTCTACAGACACAACGTCTGAGCGTCCGAGCAGTTCTCGACACGGTCATCACAGCCAACATAGACACCAGGCAGACAACAGCTCTTCTGGAGGCGCATCTTACCCATCATCCTATCGACAAAGTTGTGCTCAAAGACACAGCGTGAGTACCCGCAGCAATACAGTGATGACACCTATTTCCCCAGCAACCAATGCGACCAGTTTTCTTACCGTGGATAGCGGCGATGAACTGGGGCCTCCTGGGGTTGGAGTGATCTTCAAAGAAAACGGATTCCTCAAGCACGATGATCTTATGTACCGACCGAGCTCTAGCGAACACTATCCTATGGATGGAGGCGAAGATGGGATATATTACCACACTACTGACCAACGTGATCTGAGAAAAAGTGCTGTGACGACCACGGTTCTTGGCAATGAGCAAATCAGTCCTCCTCGGTCTACTACTGCAGAAAACGCCGAACACGAGGGCCGGAACGAAGATGAGGGCGTAAATGATGGTAACCCACCCCCACACAGATTGCCCAAACGTCGGAGTCGACTGCGTCTGGCCTTCTGGAAACGCAAGGGCCATTTTCTACATCGACAGGAAGTGAGCAATGAGACATGACGTCGCGCACTGCCAGCATAATTTTCTCTTTTCTTTTGAAATTTATGTCGATTTGGTCTCTGTCTCTCGCCCCTGTCTCGCCGGGAGGCTGTTCAGTGGACTGGAGTTACTGGGATAATGCAAATTCATGATTGCTCACTTGGTGATGATATTCGGGATTTACGATGGTTGCAATGATTTACGATGGTTGCAATGATTTACGATCCTTTGGGTGTTTATTGATATGCATCCTGGTTTGTTGGGGTGGGTTCTCTTCTCAACTGGAGCTGGAGCTTTTGGGGTCTGATCATTGACGTTCCCCTATCCACCTTCCAGTGGAGCCCCCTTCGAATGGACCCGACGTCTCCTGTTGGCCACATCAGACGATGGATGACGTCTAATGACATGGAATATCTGCATCAGATCGGGTTTCTTCAGACAGTCAAAGAGCTTTATCGTCGTCAACTCTGCATCAGGTGGTTATTGCCTTCTGTGCTGCGGCTTTAACTCCTGTGGACAAGGAGTTGACACAATTTTGAAGTTTTGTGATTTTACCTGGGTTGAATTGAGATTCTAATGGCGAGAAGTAGTAGTTCAGGCTTGGTTCGGGTTGATGTTTTGTATATAGTATATACCATACCTATCTAGAATTGCGGCTTGAGGGCGTTGGGGAACTCGCATTGCATTGTACAGTATGGTTGATATCATGGTTTATTTCTTTGAATTCCCTGATTCACTGTAGGTATAGTAGGCATGTAGTGTGTAGTATGTACACTGTACCATGCTACTGGCAATCCGTACAAAATTCCTTCTTTTCATTAGATGTTCCCGTGGATGCAGGAGCAGTAGATGTCGATACACCCTCATTCTTCTTCAAAGCCCGATCCGTATGTCCCAATCCCCGTGTAGGATCAACAATATCCCGCACGAGAGATTTAAGAACTTTGACTTCTACGCGGATTAGCATAATTCAATACAACATATGATAGGATAGGATAAACCAGAGAGACAGACCAGGAAAGCCTCCATCCCTCTTCCGATCCCAAATCACATTCTCGCGGATGGAGAGGTCAGATTCAGCACTGGAAGTAGTAGTACGGGGAGTACCAGATGATGCGGATGTATAAAAAACAGACACCGTAAACGTACCCCCCGTCGTAGGAATCAGGGAGACTTCGCCTAGGGTTGTGCTGAAGGTTGAGAGGAGTTCTTGGGCGAACTATCATTCATCAGTTCTCACAAATTGTTTACATATTTCGGGCTTTTTATTTTATTAGGGGAATGGGGTACTACATATGCAGCTCTTAACATCCATTTACATTGTGTGCAGTATTTGATTGTTATTCGGGGGAGGTTGACTTGGGTATTTGAAATTGCTTGGGTGTCTGCTTCCGGTGTGGGTTTTTGCTGTTGTTGTTCGATTGGGGCGATTGGCTCGGTCATTTTGATAATATAATATAATATACTCAAATATCGAGACTGGACAATGAATAAATCAATGCTTGGGATGAAATGACGGAATGATTCAGCTGGGTGTAAATAGATAGAAATTGACATCATTCTGTCTCTGCCTTGGGAAGGTATTATTCACGTGATTCGAACTGTAATTAGTAATGTAGTTCTCGTAGTCTCTAGGGATGGTAGTAGATATCATTTTCTAGATAGACAGATCTTAAGTCTAGACTTGACGTTAATATTCCAGGTTATGGACATTGGGGAGGCAGGTAGTCAGTCCTAGGTTGATCAATGACTCTGAAACATCTAAGAGGAAGTATTTACGAATCAGTTAATGTCTTGGTGCTGCTGGTGTCGGTGACTATGATCCCTACTGAAATGCATTGCTACAGAATCGTCGATCATAAACAACCAGTATTATGTATTCCATAACAAAGAAGCTCCAAAACGTATCCACGACCTATGGTACAGGAGATTCGAGCACGCGTTACATGTTTTTGAGACACTCGAACAGGACAGAAATCGATCGTGCAGTCGGGACATCGCATAGACTGCTGGACATTGTCTTTTTATCTCTGGGAAGAAAGAAAGGGGAAAAACAGAATCCCGTTCACCTTCCATGCTCTGCAAGAACGTTCCAGGAAATCCAAAGTAGAAAAAAAAAATAATAAAAAATAAAAAATAAAAAATAGAAGAAATAGAAGGCAGAAATGGGAAGTAGAAAATAGAAGACAAAGGGGAAAAAAGGTATCAAAATAATATACGGTGGAAGAAGAAAAAGTAATAGTAAACAGACGGAAGTTCGGAAATTAATATCGAAGGTCGTGTGAGATAAGAAGTATCGAGCCGGTCCAAGCGACGCAGGCATCAATGTGCGTGCGTCCTGTCGAACCTCCATGGACCTGACTGTCGCAACACCATCTCACTGTAGTCGGTATGTCGGATGACGGCGTAATGATATAAAAAGAATGAAAATGGAGCGAAAAAAAAAACCCCGGGGACCAGAATAGGAAAAATCATGACGGTATGGGAGGAAACAATAGGCGTAGTACAGAGTATTCGCGGTTCGAAAAGACGAAAAAGAGGAATCGGTATGAGACCAACCCTTCAGGTCCAAATGTGTCCATTACATAACGGTGCAGCAGCCTCCCTGCTGCTGAGGAGCATAGGGATCGTCACGCTTGTCGACCTGTGCTCGCTGTCAGCTCAAGTCTCCTAGCAATATGAATATGTGCTATCTAGCGACATACCTGACCCCATACCGACGGCACCATAAAGTCACGGGTGTTGTTACAATAATTAATCAACCTATTGAAGGAAACAACATGTATGAGCAATCTGCTTGCCAGCTCCAACAGATCTGATTAGACGATGCGACCGGAAACTCACGAGAGTGCTGCCTCAGACACCTTGACGCGCGGACGATCCAAATCCTCCCTCAGACGAGAATTAAGCTCTGTCAACCGCCGATACTTGAGATCGGCAACGCTCTGCTTCTTGTTCCTAACATCGCCAGCTCGGATTTCGTAGGTTGGAACAGGCATATTGGTGGGTGTTCTTGTTCTTCGGTGGGAGAGAGAGTAGAAAGGGGCGGAGGTGGGAGGAGGTAACGCAATTCGCGCGGTTCACGCAGTTCGAACAGGAACGGCAGAGACGACTTGGAGGGATGACGATACAATGTCGAATGACTTGGTTAATGCAGATGCTTTCTTTGTCTGGTCTGGGGGGAGCGAGGGGCGTTAGCGGGGATAAAGGAGCGGACGGAGGACGACGAAGGGAGGTTAAAGGAGTTTCCAGGATTTTGCAGGGAGAACAGAGGAAGAGGATGGAGCGTATTGAAATTACGCCTGCGGATATGGATTAATAGTGCCTGGACTGTGCTCTATTATTACTATGGAGTCTTATTATTATTACGACGTAGTATTCTAAGCAGTCATTAATTACTATTTAAATCCTTCAGCTTTTACCCAGTAGAGACAGTCATAACAGCGAACATGAAGCCATTAATTATTATTGTGCTCTGTATTATTAGGCATTGATGTATCGCCGTACCAAAGTTGCTGTTACACCACAACAGCTCAATCTACATCCATCAATCAACCATCCTAAAAGACCAATTTATCAGTCGACACCATCAGAAAAGTCTTATTATCCCAGTGAACCCGAATATCTAGACTATGGCTTATGTACATCGCTTTGTCAGGGCGCAACATCCTGGAACAGATGCCACTTATCCATGCTATCTCTTGCTATCACCATCCTCTAGCCAATGCCTTCACTTTCCAGCTCAAAAGGGAAAGGATAGTACTATTACTAGGTATACCAATGTGGGGCATATATATATTAAATATAAATGCAGCACTACAATTGTTATCTTCGACTCTTGCCATTGAATATTCTCACGGTAATAGATGCACGGAGTATAAAACCCCCAAATAAACCTGCCACGCCATGAACAATATATGCCTAGTTGGGAGTGGAGGCGTAGGGACCATCGCTTCCCTTGTTCTTGAGAAGTCCGGGAGGGCCAAAGTCACGGCCGTTTTGCGATCGAGGTATGCCATTGTTAAAGAGAAAGGGTGGAATATCGACTCGATTGATCATGGGAAGTTGGATGGATGGAGACCGTTTAGAGGTGAGTTATCTATTTCATTCTACTATTTGCAAAGCTCCTACTGACAGAGCTCAGAAAGTCGTTCCCAGCGTCAAGGATGCCGTCTTCCCGGACGACCCTCCATACGATTTCGTCGTCGTCACCACCAAACAGCTACCAGATCACTACTGCGTCGCTGAATTGATCAGACCCGTCATCACGCCAGGCCATACTGTCGTCGTGCTAATACAGAATGGACTGGACATCGAAGTTCCCATCATACAGAACTATCCTGGCAGCAGCGTCATGTCCGCAATCAGCATGATCGGGTCGCAGACCAGTGGGGAAAACACCATTCTGCAACCAGGAACGGATGTTTTGACTATCTGTCCGCACTTCCACGACGGTCTCCCGCATGAGCGTCAGTTGCAAGACGCGAGAATTCGTTGAGATGTACACGGCTGGAAGCAAAGGAGCCGGTGCCGCCAACGCGGAATGCACGTTCACGGATGATATGCCACGTGCGCGGTGGCAAAAGTTACTCTGGAATGGAACGTTCAATACCATTTGCACAGTGATGAGGATGGATGTAGGTGAACTGCAGTCTTCCGGGGGACGTGAGACTTTGCTTATTCCAGCAATGTGGGAGATGTATGCAATTGCCAAGGCAGCGGGACACCCACCACCAGAGGAGATTATAGATTTCTATGCGTATCGTCTGCCGAATGATTGTCGGTATCGGCCAAGCATGCTGTTGGATTTCGATCACGGGAGGCCGATGGAGTTGGAGGTTGTCTTGGGGAATCCGTTGAAGCGGGCAAAAGAGCTAGGCGTGCAGGTGCCTACCCTGGGCACATTGTATGAACAATTGAAGATGATAAAGTGGAGGGTGGAGCAGGAGAAGGCAGAGAAGAAAATAAACGGCGCGTAGAGGCCGAGTGTGCCCCTACCTAATAATGTCAAAGAAGTCATGATTGTCTGTCTCTTCTGCTCGCTCGACAGATCAGATTGGTATACATTCCCCAGGGTACTGTTGAACCAGATTCATCCAGTTCCAATCCAACCCATTGTCTCGCGCATGCCAAACACGCTGGACACAGAATTCTTTGGCACGCAACGTAGTCACTGTGTTCCTCACACGGTATATACCGTCGAAGATTTGCATCACTGCGGTCCTATCTTCACTTGTCGCCAACTCACAGGCTGCGATGAACGTTGGCCAGGTACACAACTTCAGGTCCCTCGCGGGGGCACTGAGATGCGCCAAAACGTCACAGGCCATCCCCAGGGCCACGCGGTCAGCTTCATAAGAGCTTTCCGCCGGATGAATAAGACGGTGTAGATAGAGCAGAGCTGCAGACCGATACGCGTACGCCTGTACCCAACACTTTCTCGCTGTGCTGACAGACATTGTATAATCTGGAGTCGGATGCCACATTCGAAGGCGCAGCGCCAGATCACCTGCGCGCTGAATGAAGGGGTTCTCCATACATAACGTCATGGGGGAGCTCATCTCTGGTTCGCTATCTAAAAGGAAGTCCTGGCCCAAGGGCCCTTGTTCTTGAATGTCTGAAGCAAGAACACACAGGTCCTCTAGCAGGGGCATCAGTGTCATCGTGAATCCCATAAGTCGGTCTGCTGTCATCTCGCACGCTTGATCCAGCCACACCGGCGAGGGGATGAGGGGACGACGCATCAGCGTCAAAGAACAAATCATATCCTGACGAGCCAGTGCCCGGAGAAAGTACCGCGCCGTTGAGCTGATAGATTTCCCAGCTTGGATATGTTGGTTCACAATCGACGCGCAACAGGCAATCAAACCGACAATGGCGCTTTCTCTCCGCTGGCTTTTGATATCGATCAACTAGCAGCCGGTAATAGATCAGATGCGTTCGCAGAACGACGGACATAGACATACCTCCATCGCACTCAACCCTAGAATCATCATAATGAGCTGTTCCAACCCGTACCTGTTGCTATCGTTCTGCATGTTGCGCAAACGCGCGAGTGTTCGCGCTCGCCGATCCAGCGCGGGAACCAGAGATCCATTCCCCGTCATTTCAAGATAGGTCTGGCCGATGGCGTAGAGCGTATCTGCTATCGCTTCAGGATCGCATTGGAATACCAGCAGCGTATGCGCATTCATCTCGTCCACGAACCTCTGTTCGATGACTATTTCCACGGGATGTCGGGTGAAATACTGCTTGATGGGCTCTTCGTCGGCTGCGGAGATGACGCCCGGAGGGATCGGACTGAGGCTTTGCCATGTTGATGCCGACGGCAATGATGATGATGACGATGATTGTCTAGTATCTCTGGGAATGGAGACCGTGCTCGAGGTGGAAGGGCGACGGGCGCTGCTACGAGAATCCGGAGCTTTGTAGCCCTGGCAGATATGGCCGCGTCGAGCACAGGTTCCGCAGGAGGGGCGTGCCTCGTCGCATTTCACCTTGGCCTTTTTGCAGTCGATGCAGCCGCCGCGAGAGCGTTTGCGGGGATAATAATCAGATGTATCGGATGTAGCCATGAATAGTATGTGTTAACGGGTTATGGAGTTATGGATTGATAGTGCGGAGAGGACGGAGCAGATGCAGCGCGAGATGGATGTTATTATACTGTATTCCGGGATATTACTGAGTGGTTAACTGCGGAGAGAATACTCTTATTTACCCGACTATATCTCTCATTTCTTCGTATATCAATAATGATAATAATAATATATGTTGGATTCTTCTGTGAATTAGGTAGATGGCTGTTTTGATTCAACCACGTCGTTCCCGGACCGAATTCGTTCTTGGGGTAGACGCTGTCTGCGGTCACAGTGGGATCCAACAATAGAACAACGACAGCGGCTTCTCTATCATTCCAAATTCCCACTGAATAGGAATAAGAATAAGAAGAACAACGAAAAACGCAACTTTACTGACTCGAGATCGGTCACGTGAAGCACGTGACCGAATGGCGTCGCTTATCGAGCAACAGCGCCAAGCCTTTTTCCCACAACGAATAATCCCGTCCTGGCCGTGGCAGCCTTGTCAAGCCTTTTGCCATCGACTCCCGTCTGTCGTTGCGCAGTCATCTTCCCTTCGTGATCACCGTTTGCGTGTTCATCTTATCGGGAGATCGAGTGTGACTCTTTTCTCTTTGAAATAAGCTCGATCTAAAGACTGACTTGGAAAGGAGCGCGTTGCCCAGTATGCCGCCTCCGCCTCACATCAAGCCTGAAAATGCCCTGAAGGTAGGCTGTTTTCATCGCGCCGGTTTAGCAAACGAACGCCATCAAGAATTTTGCTAATTTTCGGTTTTTTTCTTCTCTTTCCAGAGGGCTCAGGAACTTATCGCTGTGGGCCAGGCGCCGGCCGCCCTAAATGTCCTTCACGAACATGTCACCTCAAAAAGGACGCGCAGCAACCCGATTTCGTCGCTCGAGCCGGTCATGCTATTGTTCGTCGAACTCTGTGTTGATCTACGCAAAGGGAAGGCTGCCAAGGATGGCTTGTATCAGTATAAGAATATCGCCCAAAATACCAACGTGGGAACTATCGAGGTAAGGGGTTACTGAATACCGAGATTTTTGTATTGTCCCGAAAAATAGAGGAATGTGCTGATGGACCTTTTTTCCCTACACATACAGATCGTTTTGAAGAAATTCATCGAACTCGCGGAGAAGAAAGTGACCGAGGCTCAGGCCAAAGCGGATGAGATTCAATCTTCTCTAGAATCGGCTGCTCCCTCCTCTAATGTCGACGATTTGGAAGCTATTGAGACACCCGAGACGATCCTACTCGCCACGGTGTCCGGTGAACAGTCTCGCGATCGCACCGACCGCGCTGTTGTCACCCCCTGGCTGAAATTTCTTTGGGAAACGTACCGGACCGTTCTTGAGATCCTGAAGAACAATGCACGCCTCGAGGTTATGTATCAGAGCACAGCATTGCAGGCTTTCCAGTTCTGCCTCAAGTACACTCGCAAGACCGAATTCCGCAGACTCTGTGAGCTTCTCCGCAACCACGTCCAAAATGCCGCCAAATATTCCGCTCAGATGCATGCGATCAACCTCAGCGACCCAGATACTCTCCAGCGGCATTTGGATACTCGCTTCCAACAGTTAAACGTGGCAGTGGAACTGGAGCTCTGGCAGGAAGCTTTCCGCAGTATCGAGGACATTCACACCCTCCTGAATCTCAGCAAGCGCCCTGCTAAGAATGTCATGATGGCCAATTACTACGAGAAGCTGGCCCGTATCTTCCTCGTCAGTGAAAACTACCTCTTCCATGCTGCAGCTTGGAACCGCTATTACAACCTTCTCCGTCAGTCTGCCGCAGTTCTTGCCGCTGGACACGGCTCAAAGAAGGAAAACCCATCCGTCTCGGAAGCCGACATGACCAAGGCCGCCTCCTTCGTCCTCCTATCTGCTCTGTCAATTCCGGTCATCAGCACTTCTCGTTCCCGCGGCGCTCTTGTCGACGTCGATGAGGTGCGCAAGAACAAGAACACTCGCCTGACCAACCTGCTTGGTATGACTCAGGCACCCAGCCGTGCTGTTCTCTTCAGGGATGCTCTGAACAAGGGTCTGCTCAGACGCGTGCGTCCCGAAATTAAGGATCTTTACAATATCTTGGAAGTTGACTTCCACCCTCTATCTATCTGCAAAAAGATTACTCCTATCCTCAAGCAGATTGGTGCCGATCCGGAAATGGAGAAATATGTCGTTCCCCTGCAGCAGGTCATTCTAACCCGCCTGTTCCAGCAGCTCTCTCAGGTCTACGAGTCAGTCGAGCTCAAATTCGTTTATGAGTTGGCTCAGTTCCCGGATCCGTTCCAGATTACTCCTGCTATGATTGAGAAGTTCATCATGAACGGCTGTAAGAAGGGTGATCTTGCTATTCGCGTTGACCATGTCTCGGGCGTTCTCACTTTTGACTCGGATATCTTCTCCTCTGCCAAGGCATTACATTCCGGAAGCGCTGCTGGATCTGCCGAGCACGAGTTAGGCACTGTGCAGCGCCTGCAGAATACCCCGGCCGAGATTGCCCGGCTACAACTTACTCGTCTGGCCAAGACCCTTCACGTTACCTGCATGTATGTTGATCCTTCGTACACCGAATCTCGCATTCAGGCCAAGCAGGCTGCCTTCGCCCGCGCGCAGGCTGGTGCTACTCAGGAACACGAGGTGACTTTGGCTCGTCGGGCTATTATTGAGAAGAAGAAGGAGGCTGCTACGGATGCCATCCAGAGGAAGCAGAGGGAGGAGGAGACGCGTAAGCGGATCCGTACACAGCAACTTCAAGAGGCTGAGAAGCAGCGACTTCTTGACGAGCACAGGGAACGTGAGAAGAAGCGGATCAAGGATGAGCAGGACCGCATCCGTCAACAGGAGCTCAAGAAGCAGCTGGACGAGCTGAAGAGCGGAGTCAAGGGTCTCGATCTCAGTGAGATCGATCTTCAAGAACTTGATGCTAACCGCCTGCGTGCAATGAAACTCGCCCAACTTGAAAAGGAAAAGAATGACTTAAATGATCGCATTCGCGTGATCTCTAAGCGTATCGACCATCTGGAGAGGGCCTTCCGTCGTGAGGAACTCAAACACATCCCCGAGGACTACGAACGCCAGAAGAAACACGACATGGAGATCTACGAGGCACAGAAGGCGGAGACTTTAGCCGAGGCTGAACAGAAGCACAAGGAGGCTGTTGCTCTGAAGCACCGTCTTAGCCGCCTGGTGCCTCAGTTCTCCAGCTTCCGCAAGGAGGTGTCAGAGAAGCGTCACGAGGAATTCGAGAAGCGTCGCAAGGCTGCAGAAAGAGAGTTTGAGGCTAAGAAGAAGCAGCGTATTAGGGAGGTTCAGGAACGCAGACGTCGCGAGAAGGCGGAGCGCGAGGAAGAAGAAAGGCGGAGGAAAGAGGAGGAGGAGCGCGCTAAGCGTGAGGAAGAGGAGAGGATTGCACGGGAGGAGGAGCGCCGACGAGTTTTGGCAGAGGAGAAGGCCAAGCGCGAGGAAGAAAGAAAGTTAGTTTTCTACCCGCTTCCTCGGATTACCAGTTACGTTTGCAATATTCTAACCCATTGTACAGGAAACTCGATGAGATTGCCGCCAGGCAAAAACAGCGTGAGGAAGAAGCAGAGGCTCGCCGTGCTGCCCGGAAAACAACCGGTGGTGTTGTTGAACCTCCAGTACGACCTGCCGAGCCTGAACGCATTGCTCCCCGCCTCAATATTGCCCCCCGCGCCAGTGGTGGCCTCAGCTGGAGAGAGCGTCTTGCAGCCAAGGAGGCTGCCACGGGAGCCTCTGGAGCCTCTGGACCTCCCGAAGCCCCCAAGGAGGAGGTTCCTCAGCCCCGGAAAACTGGCGGCTATGTGCCGCCTCATCTGCGCTCTGGTTCTGGCGCTCGTGGGGAAGCTCCTCCAAACGCAGCTCCTGATCGCTTCTCCCGTTTGTCGCGCGATCTTGGTTCATCCCAGGCTCCCCCACGTGCTTTCCCCTCACGAACGCAGACCCCTGCCTCCGACGCGCAGCCATCGACCGAACGCAAGTCCGCGGGCGCATGGGTTCCACGGTGGAAACAGCAACAGCAACAGAGTTAAATGGGACATGGCTAAAAAAGGAAAAGTTGATGCTGTGACTTTCTGATGTATGTTTATAACATACATTTTTTTTCTATCTTTTGTTTTTTCTATCTTTCGTTTTTTCGTCTTCCTTGTTTCGCTTATCATGAGCCATTAGGCAAGGAAATTGTAAAGTTCTCAGGATCCGGGCATGACATGATGTCTTCTTTCTTTGTCTCATTCATTTCCTTCCCTCAAGTACTTATGGATATGTTGTCTATGTCCTGATCAACAAATGAAATCCTCTTTGGTTGGAAAGTTCTGATAGATTCAAGGGTGGTATCACTCTTTTTTCTTTACTCTCTTGATTCTTTTCTCTTAATATACCCGTGTTTATGGGAATGCCTCTTGATGAAAATGGATTAAAGATTGTCAATAATAATAATGTTACTGTCTTTTGCATGTTAATTATCGACACAATGGTATCTATCAAAGTCATTAATGTGACTTAAATACTTAGAAAATGAACGTCATGGCAAGCTTTGACTGCATGTGGTTCTTACCTGGTACAAGAAATAGTGGCTCGACTAATAACTCGATAGACTTCAGGACTGAGACTGGGCATATCGATCATGTAGATCATAAGGCCACATCACATGTACATAACCTCATCAACACCTAGGTAATGATAATATTTGGTCCTTTAATTGCCAGTTAACACAGGTAGTGTTAGGAGGGAAGAAACATCCATCTATGTCTGTTCTGTCTGTTCTGTCTGTTCTGTATGTGTCTATGCAGTGCTCACAAAATTGTATTACGCTGGGGTATGTGTGTATGTATGAACGTATGTTCGGAAAGGGGGAAAGAAGAAAAAAAAAAGTAATGATTAAAAAAGAAGAATCAGAATGAGGAGCCGTGCAGTATAGTTCGGGCACAAAACCCTAGAATCAACAAGGAAGAGAAAAGGGAGAAAGGTAAGAAGAAAAAAGGGTTCATCTAAAACCAATCAACCAGCGACGGCCTCCGTCCCCGCAGGAGCAGCAGCAGTGCCGAAAAGTCTTTCCCTCCACTGCCCGCAGACCTCCTCAAATCCGCTAACTACCTCTCCACAGACTCGACCGGCTTCTCGCTCCCTTAATCGGCGGTCCCAATCGCCCCTTTCGATCCAGCGCGTGCCTTCTTCCCGGCCTTCCTCCTCGCGGCGTAGTTCGGCAACTAGTTCCCGTGCAGACCGTAATCGTCGTGAGGCGGTGGAGGTCAGCTGGCGTGCTTCATAAAGGGTGTCGCTTAATCCGCGAAGAGAATGGTTGAGGTCGGCTGTCTGTGTGATGAGCGCTTGCAGAGAGGCGAGAGGGTCGAGGAGAGAGGAAGATTGCGAGGAGGGTGTTGCTGGTCTCGAGGACTGCTGTTGCTGTTGTTGTGGGCTTGGATAAGGGTATGGAAGGTTCGGTAGAAGACCTTCATCTATGAGAGGGATGAGAGAATCAACGGCGTCTGTGGAGAGGAGAGGTAAATGAGACAATAAAAGGGGATGGGCGAGAGTTTGAAGAGCACGAGTTTGAGACGTTAGATGGGATGCGATGGAGGTGTGAGCTGTGATGAGTCTGAGGGCGAGTCAGCATTGTAAATCATGGACAGAGAGAAAAAGAACAAACAGGAGAACTGAAATACCAACCTCATTGCACTGTTCTCAATCGCACTTTGTGCACCGAGTTCCCTCAGACTCTCAACAGTCCGTTTAACGACATGATCGTTTTCGCTTCCATTATTCTCCAAACCTCGTCTCGCCAAGCTCTCAACCTCAGCCATCTGATTCTCCAGACCTGGCGATATGTCCGCTGCTTCTTCCAGATCCGAATCATTCCCGTAGTCCGAACCGTCGTAGGACGATTCATGTCGCCGGTACCGATTATGTCCGTTCCGCAACCTCTGCTTTAGATGTTGTTGATGGACTGTGCGCTCAGGGGACGCGGCAATGCCAGTATCCAACGTTGCTGTTCCTCGCATGTCTGTCTTCTCTATGTATCCATCCTCTCCTTCGCCTTCACTGTCATTGCGCTGCGGTTCCGCTGGAGCATTCTCTATGCCAGACGCATATCCGTAACCATCCTCTTCATCCTCTTCCCATGCATCTGCGAGTTCATCGGCGAGACTCCCCAAACCGCCGCCGCCGCCATCGCCACCTCCTGTGTCTCCATCCGCAATTGCTGACAGTGAGTAGTCACCCGAGACTCTGTTGGAACCGTTCAGTCCTCGTATGTTGCGCTGGCGCGGGGTCGACGGAGACGGAGGGCCAGAGGATCGCGGTGACCTAGGCGAGCGAGGCGGACTCTGGAAACCGTTCATGGCATATTCGTCAGAGAAGTCGTTGCTGGAGTGGGAGTAGCTACGGCGGTGGGATTGTCTCAGGGGAGACGGTGGTATGGCGGGCATGATGCGCGCGTCTTCCAGGAACAGGTGTATGAGGAGAGTGCCTGAAGAGAGAATGAATGAAGATTAAAAAGCGTCGTCAAATAAACGTGGCAACAGAAAGGCCAGCAAAGTGGTCCCCTCTGTGGATCGTTGGGGAATATGACTGAGTTGGACTCTTGGACAACACAGCTCCAACGGTTGAGATCAAGGACGTGCCCGAAACTATATGGTACTTCTCAGCGCTCCCAGTAGAATCCCGCAGCCCGTGGCGTGAGTCTGACAGCTGGAGCAGAGACCGGAGGTCAAAACAAGAATACGGTCAGACTGTAGCGAAAGCCAGGGATGAGCTGGAAGCCTGAAACAAATTAATGAAGCCGGAACGAAGGCATGACTGGCAGTTCCCGTGACCGCGGCAAGCCCCAGTTCGTTTTTCGTCATTCTTCATCCGCCTTACTTTCCTGTCCTGCAGCACTCAAGATACCCAGCGTCGTCAATTGCAGTCTATCTACAGTTCATTTTATTCATATTTTAATCCACCTATTATTCTACTGCCCAATCCTCCGATCTCAGAAGTCAATCGCATTCACAATGAGCTGCACACGCCGCATGACGCCAACAGACCTCTTCTCCCTCAATCTCACAAACCTCGATCCCTTAACCGAAAACTACGACCTGGGCTTCTACCTAAACTATCTCATGCGATGGCCCTCGCTATTCAGCGCGGTCCAGGATCGATCAGAGGGAATAGTCGGATACAGTATGTTGCACGTATCTACCACTATGAACTTGTACTGTATCTAACCAAAAAAAAGTCATGGGAAAACTAGAAGAACAACCCCCCTCCTTCCGATCCTCCCCCCACTACACCCCCTGGCACGGCCACATTACTGTTCTCACTGTGGCCCCCGCATGGCGCCGCCTCGGCTTCGCGCGCCGCCTCACGGAGCGACTCGAGCAAGGTTCCGACATCAACAACGCGTGGTTTGTCGATCTGTACGTGCGCGCGGGGAATAAAGTCGCGGTCGACATGTACAAGGGGATGGGGTATTCTGTTTTCCGGCGGGTGCAGAACTACTACAGTGATGATCCCACGGGGATGTCGGAGACTGGGGAGGATGCGTTTGATATGCGGAAGCCTTGTAGTCGGGATAAGAAGTTGGTGCATGTTCGGGAGAATGGGGAGCAGTTTGTTGTTAGTCCGGAGGATGTTTCGTAGGTGGGTTATTTTCTTTTGGTAATGATTATTATGAAATATTTTGTATTGATCTTTTTCTGTGAAGTTGGATGAATAGCAAATTATATACTGGAAAGACTGAAGAATATATTGGTCTTGAATCCGTGCCAGCCATGCTAATCCTATGCTCTGCAGACACCCAGAACACTGTTCAATACGTCATGAAAATGCCGAGAAAAATAACAGAACTTTTGTGATATTATTACTCGGAATCATAGCCGAGGGCCATGTAGACCAATTGTCGAAGATCGTGAAGAGCATGCAAAAGGAGACCCCAACTCACGTCTTGACTAGCAACCGCGGTCCAGTACGCAAAAATCGGATTGTCGCGAAGAGAATGGACGACGTGGCAAGACAGCAACCTGTAAACAACTGAACCCCCAGGAACTTGTGAGAGCTGTTTAGGATGGCGCCGCCAATGGGGGTACCAATCAGCAGACCGAACGCTGTAATCCCAAATACCATGCCCAGTCGAGTCCCAAGATCGCGTATATCTTTTGTCAGGGTGATCATCACCACAGGCGGCAGGGAAACGAAACCGCCGGAGAAGAGCCCATACAGCACGGCCAGAACGATGATGCCGGCGACAGTGTGGACACCAATCCAGACAAAGGCTAGGATGCCCGTGATTGATGCGGCGGGCGTGAGTATGTTCAGTGGCCCGGTGTCGTCTGCGATTAAATTGGGGATGATGCGGCCAAATGTCGAGGCCGCGTTCAGCATAGATAGGAGGTAGAATCCGAGATGCTCGTCGACGATTCCTGTTTCAATGGCGTACGACTGGACGTATACGAGGAAGTTGTAGAAGCCTAGGAAGCCAAAGAACATGGCCGTGGAGAAGAGTACGAAGGCCGGCTCCCGAAAGGCAGAGAGCTGGACCAACTTGCGCTTTTCGGTGGGTTTGAAGCGCATTCGCATAAGACTCAGGGAAACAAAGGAGGTGCCCAGAGCAAGGAATCCTACTGCACGGGTTGCCCAGGGGAATCCGGCTCTTCTCTGCACTTGACGGAACATGATGGGATAGATAACACCGCCGATACTACTGCCACTGGCTGCAACGCCGTTGGCCAGCGCTCTTTTTCGCTTGAAGTACTGTGGCAGGACGGCAACAGACGGGACAAAGAGGCATGCGGTGCCCAGGCCGATGCAGATTCCTTGAGCTAGCATTATGTGCCAGAATTTGGAAGAGAGACTGGTCATCATCAAGCCGAATGGAAGCATGACGGAGCCAAAGCAGAGCATCTCATGGAAGTAGCCAGCATCAAATAATGGCCCCGTCACGACGCCAAAGAACATGAGAAGAAACGACTGCAACGATCCGACCCAGGCGATATCAGACGAAGACATGTTTGACAGCAGCGTCTGCTCGTAGTATGTTTGAAAGGCACCCCAGGTATTGATAACGCCCCTGCATAGCGTTGCAGTTAGCAGAGTGAATTCTATTTTCTCGGGGTCGGCGTACCATGAATTAAAGAAGCAGAAGAAGGCCCCGATCACTTGCACCCATGACCGGGCAGTATCAAAGACCGGCTCTGAATCTTCAGACGTAGCAGATGGGATATTGGTATTCTCGATGGTGATTGTCTTCCCCAGGTCTTCTTCCGCACCCATCTTGGCTGACTATTGCGGTGCTCTGGACAGTGAACGCAGACTGTGAAGACAATAAATGTAGGCGTCAGAGACGGTAAATATATAGAAGCCATTGAAAATGATTGAAATTGAGCGGGGTACCCACCAGCTTACTAGCCAGGCATCGGTCCAGGTCCGTTGAATTAGCATATGGACATTGTGCATTGTAATTATTTAACGGCACTTTGGACATGAAGATCTCCCGGTTGCCAGAATCTGTCTGCTCCGTCCTGACTCCTCAGGATTACCGCGGCTATGACTTTGCTAGATGCCTCTTCTGTTGAGAATAGCGCTGGTGGACGTGGAGTAGATCGGAGGGATTCCCGAATGCCACATCGTACATATTCATCGCTACTCGGCTATCTTGCCGTCGGGGAGGTTCGTAAACGCTGCTGGGCATCTGCAGGCTGAGACATGGTTCCTCGTCCTCCTCTCGAGTCTCCATCATTGATACGAGCCGGGTTATCTGGCGGGGAAGTTAGAGTTGCTTGCGTACTGGAGTACTTTATGTACTATCATTTATGTAGGACTCGTGAATATGGAGTAGGGCTGGAGCCCCAACTCCGCCAAAAGCTTATTGTCTCTGCTGGAGAACAGTAACAATTAACGTGATCAATTCTCCCATGGAACTAGGGTCCTATGGTGCTTGTCATGGCCTCATGGCCTTTTGAGAACTGCCTTTGGCGTCTCCTTGACCATTCCCAATCCCCTGCTGATAGATGGATATCTTCACTGACTCACCCTTTACGGAAATAAGAATTTAAACCCGCAGGGGATATATCTTCATTCTGGGCTTGGATGAGAGTCAGGAGAAGCTTGCTAGGGTGCTGGAATTTGTGGATAGCAAGGCGACGGAGCAGTTACGTCTGTTGATACCAAAGCTATGGAGAATCTGAAGAAGCAGGCGGCCTAGGATAGTATCTACAGAGAATCTACAGAGACATGACGAAATCAGCAATTTCTTTTATTTTTTTTATTTACTCTCCCGTTGGCCCATTATTCCTTTTTTGTTTCTTCCCATTCCCGGTGAGATTGAACCGGTCCTGGTTGAGTATTACCATCTGCCCTTGTACACCCAAACACCAAACGCTATGCCTATTGAAGCGAAATGAAAATGACCGCCAAATACAAAAGAAGGAAAATAAAAGACAAATTCAGATGGGGTCGGGTCACGTCTATAGCAGCTCTTCGCAAGTCCAGTCCTCATACCTAGAAAAGAGAAGAGGGTCAGTGGGAGATTCTACTATCCCCGAAACTCAAGAGCACTTACTTTCCGTCTGGCAGGTATCTTCTCACGATCAGAGGAATCTTCTTTTGGTTCAATTCTTTGATAGCAATCTGCAAGGGATCCGTTTCTCCTTCAAGATCAACAAGCACAGGAGCGTTCATGCTGAACAGATACCCATCAGCCAACCGCCCATTTTGTAGTACAGTATGTCAAAGAGTGAGCAACGCACCTGATTTGCAATGCTCGTGTACCGAGAATGCGGGCTTTCTCATACTTTGTCATGTATGGAGTCGTGGTGCGATCCTCGTTGGCCACCTTTTTTGAGCTAGCCTGCTCCATAATCTTGCCAGCGTATCCAGCATTCGGGTCGCCTGAAACAACTACACGTTCTTCATTCGCAGCAGGAGCATAGTCATCTTCTCCATATCCCTCGGCCTCGCCTTCTGCAGCTTCAAGATCCTCGGGGTTAATGAAGTCCTCGGGTTCATTTTCGTCGAACTGCTCCGCGGGCTCGTAGTCGAACCTGCGAGGGACACAGTCAGAACATCGAGTTATAACCAAATGTTTGTAAAATATATTGCGCAGATATAAAGAAGACTGATTGTTCGTTTCTTTCGTTTCATTTTCCAATTTGGTACAGCTGGGGTGAATGGGCCTTACTCCTCAGCGTCGTGGTCACCGTAGTCAGACATCTTGTTGGCGGAAAAAGGCAAAGGGGGACGGCAGAATAAATTCAGGAGAATTCTTCCTTAATCCAGCGCACTGTCGACAGTACTTCTGGGAGATGCCCGGTGGTGTTTGCCCCTCGCAATGGCGTTGAGGTGGACGAAATGCAGAAGTTTGTCTGTCGCAACTTTCAAAGGACAGAAAAGTCTAGATCGCGCTAGTCCGCTTCTGGTCGGAGAACATACTCACCGCCTTACGTCGCATCGGCAGAATCCTTTAAGTTTGTTTTTTTTTCTTTTTTCTGTAGAATCATTGAAGACGGTTCTCCTGCTTCCATGGGACTGATCTCTCTGCATTCATGTTAATATGCTAAAGGCCTGGCTGAGCCATGGCCCAGAAACGAAAGTCCTCCGCCTGCAGTTCCCCTGGCCCTAAGAGGGTACGGACACGAACTGCCCTGCATGACTCTGGTAAGGGACTGCGAGTGCAATCCTCCAGTGGGATCAAGAATCTGATCAAGTGTAATAGATCCAATTCATGAGGAATACAATTCAGATCCCGATTACGCATTCTCCGATGCCGCTAGTGTCAACAGCGATTCTCTGAAGGAAACACCGACAACACCATTCTCGACATGCTCCGTGAAGTATCCGTCTGAACTGAAGACTCACCTTTGCCCGTTCGAGGGCTGCACCAAAGCATTCAATCGGCCGGCACGACTGCAGGAGCATTTGCGCTCACACAATAATGAAAGACTCTTCAAATGCCCCTACGAAGGTTGCGAAAAGACTTTTCTTCGAACATCCCATCTCAACCACCACATAAAAAGCGCCCACACCGGGGTTCGAGACTACGTATGTGATCGTCCAGGATGCGGGAAAAGTTTCGTGACAGGATCGCGGCTGCGCCGTCACCTGGCTGCACACGATGGAAGGGACAAATACCGCTGCACCGAGTATCCTCCATGCAACGAGACGTTTCGAAAGCACTCGACTCTCCAGAAGCACATTGTAACCGCACACCTGAACCAGAAGCCATTTCCATGCTGTCATACTGATCCGAAGACGGGTCGGAAATGCCCAATGGCGTTTGATACGGCGGGTCATCTTCGCGCCCATCAGGGTAGAATGCACACTGAGAGACGCTTTACCTGTACGGAGTGCACTCAGCAGAGAGTCGAAACCATATTGTCCTCCATGGATAATATAAACAATGATGACAACACCGTTACATTCCCAACCTACGCCCTTCTCCAAGCTCACATCAAGTCTGTCCATCCCCCGCAATGTCCCAACTGTCCAGTAATGTGCTCGACTTCCCGTGAGCTGCGCCGTCATCTTGAAGTAGCGCACGGAGATATCGACATTGAGCGGGGGAGATTATTTCCATGCACCGTCCCAGGTTGTGACCGCAGCTTCACTAAGAAAGGGAATCTAACAGTTCATATTCGAACAGTCCATGAAGGCGAAAAACGATTCGTGTGCGGCGAGACAGACTTGTCAACTTCTAAGAAGGTACAAGGCTGGTTCGGTGAAGGCTGCGGAAAACGTTACGGTAGCAAACTCGCCCTGGAAGAACACATACGTACGGCACATTTGGGATTCCAGAACGCAAAGGCTGAACGCAGACAACGTCTTGGTCTCAGCAGCAGCAAGACGCATACAAACGCCAAGCGACAGCCATCTGCCCGACCTACATTGGCAGCTCTTACAGGTGAAGGCTACGCAGAAGAAACCGGTCGAAGAATCAAATGCTTCTATGAAACTTGTCCGCACCGCTTCCACCGTGATTACGACTTATGGGTACATATGACTGGTAAACACGGCTGCACCGAGGACGAGATCCAGAATTTCTTCCTGCAGCGTGCCTTGTTGGCAGACGGTGAACAGGAAATGGAAAGGGAGGAACACCATGAAAGCTCTTTTGGAATCTACGGTCTTGAATTCGATGTCGTGGATGCAGATGGAGATAGAGACCTGGGATATGGGCCATACCCGGACTTTCTAAACAATTATTTCTCACAGTCCACTACTACTACCACAACGGCTGCTCCTTCTCACACGAGTATTGCCGGGTCTTCAAACAATCACGAATACGGATTAGGAGATAATGGATACCTTGATACGTCAGCCCTAGACCTCCATCAAAGCGGTGATGGAAGACAAGCTGGCGATTTTAATATGCCCGGCAACGATGACATAGCGCTGATTGACCCTGTACTGGCTTTCGATACAATGATTAGATAAAGTGGATTAATATTAACTAGATCTCGACTCTGTATAAGCATTTGGTATGGATGGATTTTTTTTTCCTGAGTTTACTTTATTTGTGGGAGATAGCCTGTATCTAGAGATACCCAAGTAATATTTATTTCAACGAAGTAATTCAATTTTGTTTTCCAAACAATTGCCTGTCAGTGCGATGAAATTAACCTAGCTGGATATATGATGGGGTCATTCTAGAATCTGACCCGATCATAACATAACTCTAGAGACCTTTCTTAGACCATGGCCAACCCAAACCAAGTCGATAAATAAATCAAGACAACTTCCTCTCCCTTATCCTTTTATTAATCATTCACCTTCACTCATAGGTACGGGAGGGGGAAGAAGGAAAGAAAGAAAAGAAAAAGAAAATCCAATCAAACCCCCGAAAACATCGCCGAACTCCTCGGACCATGCATCATCTATTACATAAATCAAAAAGAAAAGAATATGCCCAGTGTCATTTTTTCTTTCTTTCAAAATGTACCCTTTAAAACACCGCTATCATAATCCTTCTGCACCAGAAAATAATCTTCCGAGTTCGAACCAAGAACGTTGCTGTGCGTGGCGTGGAGAGCTCCATGTTCATTGTCAATACTGCTGTGTGCGAGGTCGAGGTCAAGCTTTAGCCTGTTCTTTTTATTCTCTTTCATCATTCTGGTATTAATCCTGTCTGTTTCGATGCGGATATCACTATGAACAGCGGTAGTGCTAATATCCACAGGGTTAGGAGTCGTTGAGATGGTCTGTCAAAAGGGGGGGATTTTGTCGCCAAGTTAGCTTAATCAAGGGAAGCACGCAAAAATGGTCTATCTGTACTTGCCATATTATTATTAGTATCATTATTATTATTGTTGTTGTTGTTGCCTCTCGCTGACATGAACCAACCTGGCAAGCTAGCACGGCGATCATGACCTGCCACTCCGGCAGCAAATCCTTCCATGGTAGGCTCATTGGGCAAGCTGGCCTGTCCAATTCCAATCCTCTGCGTAATATCCATTCTAATCTTTTCGCGGATTTCTGTAGGACAAAGACGGAAGCCGGAGTTTGCCCTACTGCGTCTCTTCTCGAGAAGGGACACGCTTTGGAAGACATCATTCGCCAAACCACGACTCGACTTCCAAAGATCAATGAAGTAATCTGGATTGCGGTTCGCGAAGGATCTGTCCTGCCAGGGGAAAGGTGTGGGCGGTCGGGTCGGAATACCATCGCTCGTGACTCTGATCTGGGAAAAGTAGTGTAGGAGCTCGAGTCGGGATCTATCTGCGTTTGCGGGTGGCTTGAGCCCGGAGAAGAGTCTGGCGACGTCGCAGAATAGATGGACAGCCGGTAAGCCTCTGGCGAGGGCTAACCAGCGGGCCGTGTCGAACATCAAATTGAGCATGACGTTGAGCGAACCATCTGATGGGGTGCTGAGGCCTGTGTTCGTTGCTCCTTCTCCCCTTCCTCCACTGTCACGACGTAAGGATAGATTGGGAAGATGAAGTTCCTTCGGTGGTAGCCATCCCATCTCCATTGCTCTGTCTGGCGACAACTTGCATATATGAGCCTTGTAGTAATGGAAGAATGAGGTGAAGTCCAGATCGGTTCTGCAGAAGTCATCCCAGGAAAGTGTGGCTCTGCATGCATCCATTCTAAGCTGTCTCTTACTGAGGAGGGACATGCGTTTCCATCCGACGGGGAGCGAGAAATAGATGCTTCCTTTCGTTGTTTTGCACCGAATGGGTCAGAGAAGGTTCTCCCAATACCCAACTAGTAAAGAAATTACTTACTGGTGTCATTGTCTCCCCCCAAGACAGCTGCAACGTCATCCTTGAACTCTTCAATGGCTCTCTTGGAGGCCTCAAGCTGATCACACATCTTCTCAGCACTCAGCTGCCTAGTGTTGATCCAAAAAATAGGCATGAGCGGACTGTCTTCTCGCAAGGGTGCCAATAGCTTCCTGAGCATTTCAACCTCAGCCCCGAAGAATGTCTGATCGGTGATATTAGTCTCGCTGGGTCTGCTAGGCGCTGGAAGATCCATGTCCAGGTTCGGGTAACGATCACGAAGCCACTCCGTCATGGACTTCTGGCTCTTCTGCAGCTCAACCCAGGGCTCGAGAAGAATAAGCAGGAGATGGCTGTACGAGCCAGGGAAGAGGCCTATTTTCAGATGCGGACGAGACAACTTGACGCGGTCTGCAAAGGATCCAGGGTCGAATCCAGCGGAAAATTCAGCCATCATTTCAACGAGCTTCTCCGTGTCCCCGGGGTCTGCCTTTTCCTCTTCATTTGGCGATAACGGTAGGTTGCTGTCGTTACTGTTTGTGCTTCTGAAAGATGTCTCGGCTTGTGGTGGCCCAGGCTTCCTCCCACGAGCTTCCACATCGCGATCTGGTGAGATACGAAATATCTCCATGTTGTCAAAAGGTGTTCTTCTCTGTTCACATGTAACGTAAGGTGAATTGGAATCTTGATAGAATGTGTATTTCTCTCATTCGACAGCTCAAAACGACCACAGAGGGGACCTTCAGACACGATCAAAAGTACCCTAAAAACGAACAAGACTGTCTGTCAAAAAGAATCTAACCTTCCTAAAAATAGAGAAGGCCCCATGGAAGAGGAATTGGCTTATTCCAGTGGAAGGATAAGATGAATCCTAGGGGAAGGGTAATGGGTGGGCAAAGAGGAGAGAATCAAGAGAGATATATATAGGAAGAAATGGAAATGGAGTCGACTCATTCACTGCTTTCAGCAGTGAATCGATGTCTGACTTGCTGGTTCCCTCCAAAGGAGAATTCCTCCGTATCTCGCCCTCAAGGAAATCTCCAGCATTTAGAGAAACGGTCTATTAACCGCCAGAGCTCAACGAGATATCTGAAAGGAGACACCCTTTTCCCTCTCGACTGTCATCGTCTATCCTTGTTGAATGAAAAAGAGGAAACTACCGATATACTGAACTTATTCTACATGGGCAGAGTTAAATTATAAATAGGCGAGCTTCAATATCTCGTCGTCGATATTAATTTCTGTTGATGGCAGCTTGATGCTTAAAGAAAGCTCCAGGAATTATCCATGTCTTCTCTCACTGCTATCACTAGCAGCAGGAATCCGCTCATCCCACAGCAGAAAACAGCGTCTGTTGGATTTATTAGGTCACCTCAATTCTTGTTGTCAGGCGATCGTCAACTCAGTAAGGAATCCCACTGCCTGTGTTTCGTATGATCCTGTTGGTTTTACAAATACTTGATAGAATATATATACCAGAGTTGGAAACAGCAAACTCCCAGCCAAACAAACCAAAATGAATTATGCTCTCTATTATATCGCAAACGGAGGAAAAAGAAGGGAGGTGGAAAGAAACTATCAACGACAATACAAAATCACCGACACGTATGAAAGCAGAAAAACGGCGTTGCCAAACAATAGAAGAGCATGGTCGCTATGGTCACTATCTCTGTCAAATATCATCCTGGGATCATGCTAATTTCAAATGGATCCCCGATTTGTGTCTCCCATGCGAAAGGAATAAAGGCGATCATCCCACGGTCTCCGTCAAATGTGACCTAAACTTACACTTCCAAATGGTACACTTTTTCCTGCCGATTGTATCATAAGGAAACTGATTCAGGTCAATTCTGTAAAAGTAGCAGATTATGGCTCCAAGGCCTTGCGTATCTGAATTGGGTCAGTGCTACTTAATATAGGAGAAGAGCATCTTTCGATGGCCAAGATGGGTCTACTGTTATCAACTTGATCTGGCGCAATCATAGAATCATATTCGTATACCCTGATGGGCTGAAATGATGGCCGGCTCTCAAGGTGACCCTGATTGATTGCTTTCGTGTCCTAATACAGTCCTGGATACTGCTGATCCTCCAGCGAGATGGCATAGTCAGTACCGCGCCAAGTAAAACTAGCCCCGACTGCCATCTTACTTTATCTAAGAACTAAGTTACCCTTTCCGTTGTATAGTTGAAGCCATTCCACCCCAGTTGTCGTTTGTAAGTTGGCTGTTTCTCTATACCTTGAAGGGGATACCATACTCATAACTCCAGTTAGCTTCTCAAAGTTCAACGTTGAGTGGGTATTGGTAACGAGGTAGGTGGTAGTATCCTAGAGGATAGCCAACATTGAGGTCATAGGGCTATAGTGGTATATAGCGTCTTACCACCATCCCGCCACCCCAAGTTAGGGATTCCCTAGTACGGGAATAGGAAATGCGCAACGGCATCTTCAATAAATAGCCAGCATGGGGCCAGTAGCTCAGGTAAACGAATTCAGGCTCTCGGTTTTGTCCAATAAAAGCATAGGCAACGCCTAGTCAAGTACGATTATTGAGTCAAAGGAATGGTTTGCCAGTGCACCTTGCCGGATGGGTCGCTTTGGGATGGGTTCGCTGTCAAGATGGGAAACCGTGTTGATGGAAAGAGATACTCAATCCTGATCCTCGGGGGGTGATGGCTCTTATCAATCATAATGGCATCGTTGGTTGTGACCCTTACCTCAAAATCCCAGTCAAATGATCGGATGTTCAGCTTGACGTTTCCGCTGAAGTTTCACTCCTGCAGAGTGAAACAAGGTCGCTCTTCTGTCTCTGCTGCAACCATCCTAGTGAAGACGGTATTTCCTGCTTGGAACTGTGCTTCGCTGCATAACAGAAGAGAGTAGCTCTGTTTTTCTGGCTGTAGATCCCATTCAAGCAACTTGGAAGAAAACGGCTTTTGTTTCACCTGTTCCGGATGCAGCTGTCCTGCACTTGTAGCAAACTTGACAGCACCAAAGAAAAAGGGGAATATAAAATGGACCTTCTTTCAATTTCATTTTTCCAGTTTGACGTCCTTCTCCCCCTCATCTCACCATGGCTACTAGCCTGGTAAAACATGAGAGCCCAGTGAGTATCAAGTATCCTCCCAGTTCCACCATTCCTACAGTCTGATAAAGTCCCTTCAGATCCCTGCCCTGCCACTGACAAAGAGCAAGGCTGTTGATGAGGAACAAGATATTGGAGGTAGCCCACCATCCTCCGATTGAGGATAGATGACACTTCCACCGTGGTAACTAGCCTTGGCTTTAGAAGGATGGAACAATGCTGCTAGCCGTCCAGGTAGCTTCATGTCAGCCAGGAAAAATCAAAAGAAATAATGTCTATGACTGGTATATGCGCCAGGCGAATCATGTTGATAGGTCGTTGTTGGTAGATAGATCGAATGCCTAGTGTGGCACGGGTAACGGATAGCTTAAGTAGACTTCATTCAATTTAGCTACCTAGCTTCCTCGCCTTTCCGCACATCAATTACAACGCATACCTCAACCTCCACGTCCGGAACTGATTATTTATGTGAGTTTATTTATTTATTTCAGATTAGCCCTGGTTATGTATTTTATTTTATAGCCTATGATTTTGGTGATTCTATTCCGCTAACAGAGTCCGACTTGGTCGAAGCCTTTTCTTTTCTCTTCTTCCCTGGTCAATCCAACAAACAGCCAGGAAACGAAGCCAAAGAAGGATAGGAGAGGAAGAGAAAATAAAAATGCCACCAACAAAACAGGAACTATCTCTCCTTATCGACCCTCTCGTCCCGGAATCAGTCCAGCACAATAACCGCGTATGTTGCCCACCACAAACAAGGCCATCAAAGAACCCTACGCGAACCATGGCCAAAAGCAAAGCAAAGAAAAGGGGAGGAATACATGCTAACATAGATATATGCGCAGTCCCTCTCAACCCTCCACAGCCTAACCTCCTTCCTACTCGGCCTAACGGCCGGAATCCTCTCCCTAAAATCCTACACAGGCTTCATCTTCTACCTGATCGGCACCGTGATCATCTCGGGTCTCTTCCATCTCTTTCTCGTGTCGTTGAGTAAAGGCGGGAGCGCGGGTGTGTATTTCCCCGGGTCCAGTGGGGAGATTGAGGGGATTGATGAGCAGGGGGTTATTCGGTCCTCGTCTGGTGGACAGGGACAGGGAGGCTTTGTTGTTCAGAGGAAGGGGGCGTGGAAGGATATTTGGTTAGGAGGGGGTGTGTTTGGGGAGGCGTTGAGTGGTTTTGTTTTGGGGTGGGCTGGAGTTGGAGGGGTTCTTAGGTAGTCGACATATTACTACTACCTACTGCGTAGATGGTTGGGGAACAGGTAGTACATCACTCATGGAGTAAATGGTTGCTTTAATGTATATGGTGGTTGTTTGAAACTAGAACTATCATCATATGTCTCAACAAATCACATTCATCTAATAAGCAAATTTGTTTATTAGATCCTGAAGTCAGACAGAAAGGGGTATGTCTAGCCGTTCATAGTAAATCCCAGTCCAAAATCCCAAAAACAAAGCACAAGAAGAACGCTAACTCCAACAAGACATAGCCAAGAATATATATACAATGGACACAGTATGCGTACAATCATTTAGTAAATCCGGTTTCCGGTGGGAAAACACTGGAGATTTCTTCCATGTTGGCAATAGCACTCTGCAGAGCACTGGTAAGATCGATATGAAAGAACGGCCGATTGATGCCCTGCACCACGGCCGCTTTACGGCGAGCCTGGTACGCGATGCTACCAGCAAGTTCATCATGCAACTTCTGGGGATGCTCCTCGATACCGCTGCCGTCCCGGCTGCTATCGCTCCCATTGTATGGTGAAATTTCTTCCACGGGAGCTTTGACTGTGTCATCATTCGACTGAGACTTGGAATCGGGGCCGGCCTCGATATCGATACCCTCGCTCCCCTTCTGGAGACGGTGTCGTTCTTGTTCTTGGTGTTCAGCGTGAGCGGCAGCAGAGGCGCTTCCTCCGATTTCAGCCACGCTGAAGATTGGTTTCCATCTCTTGAAACCTTCACCTGAAGGGAAGGTTGGGTAGCCGAAGCCTGCAGCAGCAAGGGCTCTCTTGGTCCAGCGGTTGTTGATGTGGGCAAAGTGCCACTGTACGGTGTCTGGTGATGCGTAGCGGTCGAGTTGGTTGCGGACGTCGATGAGAGTCTGGACAGCTGTCACATCAACGTTGTTGACGGAGGACAAGTCAAGGATGATAGCCTTCAAGGTCGGGAGATGTGTGTCGACTTCCGGTGCCTTGCCCCGGCGCGGACCCGGGTCGTTCCATGGTCGATCTCCAGGTTTCTCGTAGGAAAAGGGGTTCGTTCGACGTGTTCGTTTGAAAATGCTTTCGACAAGGTGGTCAGTATAGTGATTGGCGTTGGGGTAGTTAAGTCCTTCCGAGAATCGGTAGATGAATATGCCCGGATAGGGCTGTTCCGGTTCAATATCAGGGTTAGAACCATCAGCATGGTTGAGGGGCAGGAAGATCGTCCGGACGGTCCCGCCGTCCTTGCCATCCCCTTCTTCAACTTTGCTGTCTCCTGGCAAAGGTTTCTTGTCGGAGCCGAATGTGCCATATTTCCCATCGTTGTCAAGCAGATGGTCGCCTATCACCGAATGGATCCGGACCCGCCCAAGGAAATTGCCACGCGCCTTTGCGACACGGAAGAGAAGAAGGGCTGCGGAGACACAGATAGTGCAGTAAACACCATTCTCGATTGACGAGAAAACAGTCACGATAACTCCGATAAAAAAGATAAGTACATCCAACGGCGACACCCTCCAGAACTGGTAGACCACATTTGGTGGCGTAATCAGATCACCGACAGCGTGGATAATGACACCAGCCAGGGACGCTTGAGGAATGTAGAAGAAGACGGCAGGTAGCGCATAGATGGCCAGAAGCACGACGATGGCAGTGATACAGCCAGCCAGTGGGGTCCGAACACCAGCCTTGGATTTAATTGCAGTTCTGGAAAATGAGCCGGTGGCCGGGTAGGCACCAAGGAACGGCCCTAGAAGGTTTGTAACTCCGATGGCGACAAGCTCTTGAGAAGGATCAATGGTGTAGTTGTTGACACGACCGAAGGACTTGGAAATGGCGATGTGTTCAATCAGAAGCACAATCACCGAAGCCGGGAGTTCGGTAGCAAATTTCTGAATGAGTTCTTTGTTCACTGTAGGGGCGCCAGCATGCTGAAAGCCTAGGGTGACAGGCGAGTTAGAATTCATGGTACATAGCCGAAGCATTCCCAACTGTCAGCACTTACCTCGAGGGACATGACCAAGGATAGAGAACCTGGGGTGGTCCTTTCGATGCAGGTTAACTGCAGCGCTGATCATCGTGTAGAAGAGAATAACAAAAACGGTGCGCATGGTGGATGCGAAAAAGAAGATCTTTGAATGTTGAGGCCACCTCTTTGCACCGTAGGTGCAAGCACTGCGAATGATGTACAACATGGCTAATGCTGTGAGGCCCATGGCGGCGCCGATGCTCGTGCTAGGTAGGTGTTTCAGGGACTCGATGATAACCATGTAAGTGTCACCCTTATTGTTGAACTTATCCTTCTCTTCGAGGACGGTCTTCAACTGGCCGGAAATGATATTGACGGCTGAACCGGTCATGAACGCAGAGATGGCTGGAAGCGGGATAAAATCCACGATGAACCCTAACCTGAAAAAGCCAAGGCCCGCAACAATCGCACCGACTATGATGGAGAGACATCGGCCAAGCTCCTCAGCTTGAATTTCGGGATGCTTCTGTTGGGTCCTCTTGACAATATCCCCCACGAGAGTCGACATGACTGCGACAGGCTAGAAGGGGGAAATGAATGTCAGCAAAAAAAAAAAAAAAGAACCGTTAAATTCAGCGGTGTGTCCAGACTCACTCCAATGGTGATATCTTTGGAGGTTGCAAAAACCCAGTAGATTAGAACGCCCATGAAGGAAGTGTATAGGCCGTACTCCGGCTTCATGTTGGCCAGCTTCGCATAAGCCATTCCCTGAGGGACAACAACGGCTCCGACTGTGATACCTGTAAATTGGATGAGAACAAGGATTCATTCACAATGCAGAGTGATGTATTCCCTACCTGCGATCATGTCTCCCATGAGCCACTGCAAGTTGTAACGGGTGATCCATGATAGAAAGGGGAAGAGACGGTAGAAGTAGAGCCCAATATCATGGAGGGTGGGCATATTCTCCTTGATCCATTCCCACGAAGTTGGCTCCTCTTCGAGGTAGGCATAGGTGTCGGTAGTGCCTGAAGTGAAAGTCGACTCGCCTCGAGTGACAGGGTCATCATTCGCTCCCAGGGGGTCCCGGTAGTTAAGCTGCAGACGCAGCACCTTGGCCAGTCCATGACCGACCTTGGTGGCCGTCTCACCAGGCATAGTTGAGAGGCGGCAGGAAAGACGGTAAAAGTTGGATATATGTATATATATATAATATATATATAAGATCAAGGAAATAAGGGAGATTCAAAAGCCAGCACGGATTCCAGCTGGACAGGTATTTATATATACGGAGTGGTTAGATATACGCCTGGTGTGCTGGCGTTGATCCAGGCGGGAGTGGGAGGATGTTTCGTGTATAGACTTTTCCCCCTTGGTATTTGTTATACGGGCGAGGCCACTAAACGAGGCAGCTAGAAGCACAGTTGCATGGCGGACGAAATAGCCTGAGTGAAGAAGAGAAATTTCTGACAAACAGGCCGGTAATTCAGGGACGATCAAGGTTTCTGGCAGGGCGCCACGTCGATGTCGTGATTAGGAGGCAGTAAGGGCTCAACGGGACGAGACAATTAAGCGAGATAGGACTAGACAGGAGAAAGTTATTGATAAAAGGGAATAATAGAAGTAATAATAAGAATAGTAATCGCTGAGAAGAGAGAGAAAAAGGAACGCTCCGTGTGAAGTATTGTATTTCAAGTTGGGATTAGCACAGCACTACGACAGGCATGACCTACGGTGGGGTTTCTATTAATCATGCCGGAAGAATCTTTCTGTTCTCGAAAAGAAGCAGGGAGAGCCGGGACGATGCATGCATGATTTGCATGCTGCAACGCGTGGGCACTACTGCGTACTGCAGAGCTCCCCGTCTCCACTTTCTGCGCCAAGATCCCGCCGGGGCCAATCACTGGTTCGGCAGAACACGCCATCGCCCGTGCCGATGGTGAAAGGACTGGCCATTCTGCGTGCAGCCGACCTCGGCAGTCATTGTACTTAGGGCTTGGGAGTTCGGCTTTCAGTAGCCCTAAGACTTGGATATTATCATATTCCTGCAGCCTCACCATGTTGGAGTCTCATGTTAATAAATCCATCAATTCACATGTTAGGCAGGTATGTATATGCACTGCTGCTGCTATTCCTATTACCTCATCTATTGGGATGCAATTTTGAGCTGCCTCATTCGGAAGTCGATCCATACCCCACAGTCATAACGCAATCGCCCCGGAAATCGCGTCATCCACCCTAGCTGCGGCTCGGGCGTTTAAGCATAGATCTGCCTGCTGATCAGGAGACATCGTTATTATCATATTAATTATTACTGTATTCAAATCTAAGATGCATGATGCCATTTCTTCAATTTACCTAATTAATCATCCCAAAGTTTAGTCTGGTGGGTTGGAACTAGATTCCGCTTTCCACTCGGAAAAGGCGAGAACTAGGTTCAATACGGGGTCCCCGAAAAGCTTCATGTTTTCCCAATCAGGAAGCGCCATTCATGTTTACTCTCTGTATGCCAACCCTCACAACAGAAGCTGATCACGCGAACTGTCTGTATTCCTCAATCTCCAAACAGAAGTTGTTGAACTGTCTAATGACATGATCCAACTTGCAACATGGAAGGACCACTGCCTCCTTTGCATTTCATGGAGCCATGGACACTGAATACCAGCGTCAGCAGAATGGAAGTCAGGTGATACGCAAGCAAGATGTTGTTTCTAAACTTAAAAACAACAAACTACAACTCATCCACCGCAGAAGCCTACCACTGTCCTCTTGTCATCATCCTCTTTGCTCCGGCTGAATCGAGCCTCACCATATGGTCAGTACAGAGCTAGGGCCAGTACAGCTTGATCCTCGGCCGGCCTCACTACACAATATGGATCCATTCAGTCCCAAAGGCGCATACCTGGACCTACTCTTCTTATCGTCCAGAATTAGCTGGCTGGTTCAGAGAATTATGGACAAGTGATAGATTATTCCCTTCTGGGTCCTTCCAAGGTCATCCATCTTCATGAACACCGGGTCTTGAAGAAAACACTTTTATCTCCGCGAAGAATCTGAAGCAATGAAATTTATCACTGCAAACACCTCTATTTCCAGTTCCTAAAGTTCACTCAATGAACATCATGGGTGAAGATGAATTTTCGATATTTTCATGGACTACATTCCTGGGGGAGTCATTTGACAAAACATAGAGCAGATTGACTCATGATCAGAGGCTACCTACTTGTCACTAACTTGCTGGTTATCTCTCCCAGCTACAAAAGCCGAAGGGGAAAAGAATTCAGACAGCAAATGGCGGTCCCGTGACTGTTGGACTACGATTTCCCCGTGAGGGTGGACCATTCAACGCCGAGAAAGAGTTTGTGAGACCTGCAGTATATGAGCGCACAGACCAGGCTAGAAAGGGGTCGAGTAGCGCGGATACGGGGTGAGAGAGAGCTTGATGCGCCTACGAATGCGCGTAAGGGCTCGAATTGAAGGAAAAACGTGCGTGTAGCCTTGATTCAGAGCTAACCGCTGGTCTTCGTAAAGGCCTGCGGTCCGAGAGGAGAAACTACATATGATCACGTGGTATAATTTTACGTGACAACACTAGCTAACTAGCATACCTTTGAGCTCGAGCCCTGACAGAGTTCAATATTGGACTTCCTAGTTGGGATGGATAGCTAGTCTGTCCCGTCCTTATTCAAAGCACTACGCAAGAGAGCAAGAGAGGCACTAGCAGATAACCATGACAATCATTTTGCTCATGTGACTTCTTGTCTCGTAATATCCTCGTGGATGAAGAGGGTTTGTGTTCGGGCTGCTTGAAAACATGTAAATATGATATCTTATGTCGGAGAATATCACGAAATGATAGATATCCAGCAATTCGCATCTTACTACCCCGGACTCACGTCATTAGGAATACGAGCACTCCTCGGGATGACATTTCTCTATTAGAAATATTTATACGAAGTCGGGTCAAAAACTCTTCTAGATGTACCTAAATACGGGATCAACCACAAATGTCATTATGTAGAGACAAAGACAAGTCCTATCATTGCATGCCCATTTCCCTCCATTCAATCATTACAACCTGCAAAGAGAACGAGGCCAAGAAGATCGATCCCAAATGACACCATGTTGTTCTAGGAATGTATGTCTGTAACCAGGTCTGCTACCGTCATCATTCCAATCCCAACCGTAATCCCGAAGGGTGTAGAAAGGACAACAGTCGGTTCGCCTCAAATCAACCCTCATCACTTTCATATTATGCCACGAAAAAAAGAAGCATGTAAACCATTGGGGAAGGATGAACAGAAACGAAAAAAGAAATCTTCATTATCTCCCGAATCTTCATGACACAAACGCCGTCGCAGAGCAAGGAAAACCAACAGACTAAAAAAAAAACATTTTAAGGAAAAAAGAGAAAAGAAGAAAAAGAGAAGAAACCCCGGTCTCATGTTTAAACCCCACTTTCCCCGGTATGGTATCATAATGAACGTTATCAATGTCTCCAAACATTGATTGCATCATTCCCGTTAAAAAAAAGCTCTGCCCTTACTGGGAAGCGCACTGCACCCTCTCAGCTCCGGGGGGAACGCCATCCTCATCGTCCTCATCCATGGCGGCTGCGGCTGCTCCTTGAGCACGAGCCTGCGAGCCGGCACTGGGGTCAACATCCTCAAGTTCAAAGTCCTCGACCATTGCATCTGCTGGTGGCTGCACTTGTTGCATCCGGGGTGGTAGAACTTGTTCCAAGAGTTCGAGGTGCTGGACCTGACCTGGCTCGGGGAATTTGACGTCGAACTGAATATAAAGGTTGCCAAAGTTGTGGTGGCGGTAGGATGGCATACCCTGGCCCTTAATCTCCTTGATGACACCTGAAAAGGAACAGTTAGCAAAACACGAAACGACGCTGCCTGAAGTCAAAGTGGAAACATACCAGGTGTGATAATTTCACCGGGCTTTATTGTGATAGTCAGCCACCGATCATCAAGGTGCTCGATGCTAATGTCGCCACCAGCGAGAGCCGTCAAAAGATCAATCTCGGCATGGTAGAAGAGGTCATCATCCTTGCGTTGGAACCTTGGGTGGGGCTTCGTTTCGATTTCGAACACCACATCACCGGGGAGGACACCAGGTGCCTGATCACCTTCACCACGGAACTCAACCTTATGCCCGTTCTTGATACCCCGATCGACGTGAACGTGAAGAACCTTCCGTTCTACAATAGTCTTCTTGCCGCCGCAGCGCTTGCAGCGATCCTTCTCTTTGATCATCTCTCCCTCACCGTTACAGTCGGAACAAACGGTCTGGAAGCGCTGAATCATTGGTCCCATCTGGCGCATCATTGTCTTCATACCAGAGCCACCACAGCCGGTACACTGCTTAACAGCACCCTCCTTACCACCACGGCCATCACAGGCAGGGCAGATAACCGACTTCTGAAGCGCCAACTTCGAAACCTTGCCGCGGTAGATATCCTCCAGGTTGACTTTATGGACGTGGTGGATGGTCCTGGCCTTCTTGGGGGCTGTGTCTCTCATACCACCACCGAACATGCCGCCAAACGGGCCTCCACCGCCGCCAAAGAACTGGGCGAAGAGGTCTTCGGCAGCCATTCCAGCACCGGCACCTCCATGTTCTAAGCCCTCCTCACCGTACTGGTCATAGATCTGACGCTTCTGGGGATCGGAGAGAGTCTCATAGGCATGAGAAAGTTCCTTGAATTTCTCGGCAGCAGCCGGGTTATTCGTGTTCTTGTCTGTTTATTCCAAATAGAACGATTATCAGCAAATGATTCTCCCGACATCGACCCTCGTATTAACTGAGATCCGTTTGCATTCAGATCCCAGGGAACACTTACCAGGGTGGTACCTCAGAGCGCCTTTCTTGTAGGCAGATTTCATTTGAGCCTCGGTGGCATCTGGGGGAACCTACTCCGGCGCTTTCGTTTAGTCTGCGATTCAGTAGCCAACGCAAATTTGACAGCTGCAACTCACCCCAAGGATATCATAATACTTAGTCTCTTTGACCATTGTGACTGGTTTTTAGATGGACGAAGAGATGGAAATGGAATATCGTCCAAAAGGAAGGGGGAAAAAGGTGTTTTTTTCAATTCGAAGTGGTCACTGCAACGGAACAGATGCAGGTATAATTATTCAGCAACGGATAGTAGGAACCGGAAGGAAAACCGTGCAGGGCCTCGTTTGAGAAGGGAGATAGCAGATCTTCAAAGAAATCGGATGGTGATGAAGGTGAGAAGGAGAAAGGAAGAGGAAGATTTGGGTCGTCGAACCTGTTATCTGCGGCGACAGCTTAGAGAGAAGAAAGAAAAGTGCTGGTTTGATACGGTATTGTATGTAATCGTAAGTACGCGGACGTAATCAGCCTGTTACCGTACCAGGAACAAATGGACTCTGGATTCCGCTGCAAGCAATCCTGGGCTTTTTAGCACCCTCTAGACAGCTGGATCAGAGACTAAAAGTGAAAAAAAAAATAAAATAAACCAGAAACAAAGCGGACTACAAAATATGGGAAACGCCGGTAAATAAGCTGAAACTACAAAGACGGATATGCGAGTTATGGCCGGTGTTGGTGCGGTCTTCTCGTAGCTTCGACTCGACAGAAATTCCAAGGCTTTTCCGCTGCGCGCCCTTTCCATGCGATTCTGCGCGTTTCCATCGCCTTCGAATCTCGCCGCGCTTCTCCCCGCCGACCGTAATGTAATTACCTTACCACTACGATACCAGCCCTTTTTTACCCTTCTTCTACACTAATGCCCGCGCGCAGCTCTTGCAGCCCTTGGTAATTAGAATTCCAAATACGGTAATTTTCCAGGCCAACGAAAATTTCCATCGCCTTCGATTCTTTTGAAGCACCGCCTCATTTCGACGTGGCTCATCTCACCATTCATCTCAAGCAGTTATTACTACACCATTATTCTTCCCACAATAATCACCAGATTCATCAAGAAGGCGTTTCTTCAGACTCTACTGAGAAGGCCCACCGTCGGTCTGGATGCCGACTCGACGGGATCTTGCAAACTCTTCTCCCAGCAACCTCCGCCACTCGCCACAACTCAAAGCTCCAAGCCATAGATTCAACTACTCGTGTCCACCGCATGTGTTCTATTTTTCTGACATTCACAGAATGATATGTAGATGGACAGAGAAACGCAGTTCATTTGCCCTGCTCTATGGAATCTTCCGAGTGGCATGATATCAAACGGACGTATACGAGAAAGCAGGCTTTCCGCTGTTGTTTGAACGATTGCTTCCACAAGCTTCACTAGCACCGCATCTTATGCTGCAAAGGGCTTATATATAACGGCTTCTAGATCTACCTGCAAGGTTAAGATTGACAGTCTGACAGGCAAGCCAACGGCTGCGATAGCCAGTGAAGGGCCATGATCCATGAGGACCTGAGTACCTGGGTAGTATCTATGGAGAAGGATTAAGACGTGCTAGCGAAGTTAGCCGATCGAGAACAGCGTCTCAGAAAATGGCAACTAGATGGACTGATATGCCCTATATTTATGGTTTTAAGAGGAGATATAGAACAACCTCGTTTGCATAATTGCACTCGTCTTCATGGAAGCTATGCTGGGAATCGAAATAGTCCTTAGACTAACCGACAATAGGATGAAGCATCCTATCTCATGATCCTTCAATGACATCTGATGGATGCAGACTTCTGTCAGAGATGCTGCAGGACGATTTATACTTATCACATATTGATATTGATCAAAGTGACGTAAAAGAGAATATTGACTTCAATTTGCTCTTATTCTGACAGCTAGATATTCAGCATTGAATAACACACCCGGCTTATACCTTTTGCAAAGAAAGGCGAATGAAACGAAGTATAATATTTAGAAGAAAACAGCAGCTATTGAAGGCGCATCATCCATCATCCCGCATTGTATTGTTTTCCCTTATCAATCCCACCTCTCGGCTATCCCCACAACCAGAGATATATCAAACTTCTTCGTAGGCCGTAGACCATTCAATCTTGTGTTATACTTCCCAAAACGGATCACTCCCTCGAAAACTATCCAAGTATCATCCAACCACAACCCCTCTCTCTATCACTAGACATGGAACAGGATCCAGGATTCATCGCAGCCGTGGAAGAAGCCAAAAAGGGCGCCGAAGAAGGCGGCATCCCCATCGGAGCTTGTCTGGTCTCCAAGGATGGAAAGATTCTCGGTCGTGGACACAATATGCGCGTTCAGAAGGGTAGCGCTACTTTGCATGTAGGGTTGAGTCTATTCAATCTACCCTGGCAGTGACAACAGTCATGCTGGCAATAGGAAGAAACAAGCACATCGTTCATTACTGTCCTTCTTTCCTTGCCCTTCCCTCACCTCAAACTCACAGACCGTTCAATAAGTGCCTAGGTACCTGCTTAGATACTAACTTGGCATAGGCTGAGATGTCTGCTCTCGAGAACTCGGGCCGCTTGCCCGCTTTCGCCTATGAGGGCGCTACAATGTATACTACTTTGTCGCCTTGCGACATGTGCACTGGGGCTTGTATACTGTACAAGGTGAAACGGGTAGTCATTGGCGAGAACAAAAACTTCCTGGGTGGAGAGGAGTATCTATTGAATCGAGGTAAGGAGGTGGTGGTTTTGGATAATGAAGAGTGCAAGGAGATTATGGCCAAGTTCATCAAGGAAAAGCCGGAGTTGTGGTAAGTTTATCATATCTCTCTTTTCATTCGATATATTGTACTTGCGTTCGTTGCAAGCTTCTTTTTGCCTTTTTATCTCTATCAAATACACATATTCTTAGAACGGGGTGCTGATGGCAACATGGAACATAGGAATGAGGATATCTCGGTTTAAAGACCGTGGTCTTTCGAGCATCGTTACATGTTCATCAAACATTGAAAACGCGATTTTAGTAAAATAAAAAAGAAAAATAAAATTACCATCTACCGTCCACTTTATATATTCCAGACCCAATCTAGTTCAATCACTGGGCTGTCAGCCGGTGTATCTCTTCGAAGTAGAATTTGAGATCTTCCGGATCAACGAAAGGAGTTACGCCTGTCAAGTGTTAGTCTCAACTAGATATCCCATGCATATAGAGAAACGTACCATGACCCAAGTTGGCGATCCATCCTTGCTTGCCTCCATTGAACCCTTTGACCATATGTTCAACCGCTGCAGTTATAGCGGGTCTGCCTCCATACAGCACACCCGGGTCAGCGTTCCCTTGAATGGTTACCCGACCCCTGGCCACCTTCATAGACTCTGCAGGGTCGTGTTGCCAATCAAGACCAACGACGTTGTAGCCAGACTCGCAGAGGTCGTCTAGGGCGTACCATGCTCCCTTCGCGAAGACAGTCATCGGCACAGGCTCCAAACCCATCTCTTTAAGCCTCTTTGGTAAATTGGAAGAAATGTAGCGCAAATATGGTAGTGAAAATGACTTGAAGGCCTCAGGAGAAAGCTCGCCGGCCCAAGAATCAAAAACCTGCACGAGCTGTGCACCCGCAGCAACCTGGAGAGCAAGGTATTCAACACAAACGTCCGTAATCTTCTGAAGCAAGGCCTGCGACTCCTTGGGATACTTGTAAACCCACTTCTTAGACTGGACAAAGAGCTTGGTTCCCCCGCCTTCGACCATATAGCATAGAAGTGTCCATGGGGCGCCGCAGAAACCAATAAGCGGCACCCGCCCCTTCAGTTTGTGCCGGGTAAGTGTAATGGCATTGTAGACATAATCCAGCTCAGCCTTGACATCAACCTGCTTCTGCATTATTTTTTCGTATTGTCCGTCGTCTGGCGACTGCAGAGGCTCGGGGAAATGGGGGCCCTTTTTGTCGACCATCTCAACCTGCATTCCCAATGCTTGGGGGACAACAAGAATGTCCGAAAAAATAATCGCCGCATCAATGAGCCCTGCATATCGCTCGACCGGTTGGATGGTAAGGGTGGATGCAACTTCCGGGGAACGGCAGCATGCGAAGAAATCGCGATTGCCTTTAGCCTCGTGGTATTCAGGGAGATAGCGGCCAGCTGCAGGAAGAAAGGAAATACCCCAGTTAATACCGCATGAAAAGCCTTGAGTAATACTGTAGAAAGGGCGATGGTAAACTTGGGGCTCTCACCTTGCCGCATGACCCATATTGGAGGACGCTCTACCTTCTCACCTGTATTCCCCATCAGTCACCTCGTCTCGGTTGGGAACATAGCAAGTCGGGTACCTTTTGCGGCTCTGAGTAAGAGGTCATTCTTGAGAGGCTCGAATTGTTCAGTCATCTTAATGGTTATAGCTATACAGCAACTGTCTAGGTCGAATGCCCCTCGACAACCTGCGGCTGGCGTGCGGAGGCTGTTCGGGCCTCGGAGATCCGATCGTCACGGAAAACCCTAATCGATAAGATTCAATATGCAGTGTGCCCTTATCAGTTATCGTGAGTATCATGAGTTCGTTTTCTTGGAATAATTACAAGACTTGTCTTCTATCTTCTATCCTATTCATCGGTGAACGCCTTCTTCCGGAGATTTCCCAAGCTATATAGAGACTCGTTCAGTTCTTTCTTTTGCTTCCCATCAACACTCGCAGGGATCTCAGAGGTCCCTTCCGAATTGATGTTGGTAGTCACTGAATCTTTAACTGGTTCCCACTTCAGAGTCTCTTGTCCTAATCTAGCAATGAATGATTCAACAACGGTTTGATTGGAGGTGGAACTAGTTCTCCAGGTCTGCATCGACCCAGCCTCGCGAACACAGTCGACAGAGACGAAAATAACACCCTTGGCTTCATTGCTGGTTACGTCTAGGACATTCCCAGAAAGCAGTATGAAGCCTTGGGGTTTCAAAGTATCATCCGATTCAAAGGAATAATATAGAAGCCGTGGGGACCTGCAACAAGTACGTTAATTCCAATGTGTCATGGTTTAAACGGTAGACAACGCCAGGGCTTACCCGTCTAGTGCGACGAGGATCGCTCTCACGGTCTTGGAAGTGTCTCCAAGTTCTGGGAAAGATACCGCCCAAATTCCTCGTACAGTAATATCCATAGCTTCCTGTTCCTGATTTACCAATGGGACCTTTTGCAGTACACGACCTTCAGCCCATCTCCAAATAAGGATATAATTGTCACCTCCTCCAGATACCAGGATCTCAGGCGCCCATCGTGGAATGCAGAGCTTGCTAACAAATGAAGTATGGCCAAGACAATAGTTTTCAATAATGTGTGCTTGGGAAGGACCGCGAGATACACGAATATGTTCGTCCCGGTCTGCAGTCAGTATATAATGACGAGCACGGTTGTTGGACGTGTCCAGTTGAAGCGAAGCGAAAGCCAGATCCGTGAGCATCGACACATGGCCAAGCAACAAGTTAAGTTCAAAACTGGGAGTAGATTTGCCACTTGGTATCTTGTTTGAGTGCTTCAACTGCTGTTCCAGGGCTTGAAGGTTCCGTTTCGTATGTACAGTGAGAGTTGTCGCTGCCGGCTTGAATAGCTTTGATTTGCCGGGAGCTTGAGGTTTCGGGAGACTCTTTTGCTCTCCAGGTAGCAGGGGCAAGGAATAGACATCCCCAAACTTGTCAGCACAAAGAATACTGCTGTCATCACTAGTCAAAGCGATGGAAGAAGGTCGCTTTGGCATAGATCTAGATGCACGTAAGCGTCTCGTTCTACTTCAGAAAAGGGGGCTCCCCTACCGTTCGCTTAAATGCTGTAGAATTCCGTCTTCTCCAATCTCGAGGACCCGAATACATTTGTCTTCCGCCGTAACGGCTACAAGATGGTCCCCGTTCGAGGTAAGAGCCAGTAAAGGGATGTTCAACCAATTAACCGAGTTTTGATGATCACCCGATGATTGAGTATCATCTTTAGATTCTTCCAAATCATCTCCAGATTGAGTTATCTTTCTCTTTTTCTCCGGAGGTCCCTGATCCTCGGGGATCGAATCTGCACCAGTGGTCTTGGAGCTCTTTTCGTTCTTTTGATCCGGATCCCGAGGCCAAACAGAGAGACGTTGTCCGGTTTCAGCAGAGTAGGTATAAATCCTTGAACCCGCTGATGCAACCAAAAGAGGCTTAAAGCCCCTGAGACTCCTCTCAATGTACCGGATGCATTGAAAAGGATGTCGGAAATTCGCGGTCATGATGTAAAAAAGTCAACACGGTGCAAAGAGAGCAGGGTTGGGCCCCCAAGCACAACTATGCCAGACTCGTATATGAAAATGAAGCCACAAGATCGACAGCTTCATGCAAGCAGAGCCTTTCGCTAGGATATTAGGCAATATCAAGCAGCCGCATGCCGTCGACAAGAAAGTAGAAACGATGATGATCCGACTCCGCCTAGCGGAAATATCACGTGACTGGTTAGGCGAAGCCACACAGAATTTCCCAAAATTGTGCGCGAAGTCAATTTCACTTTTTGGAATCAACCAGTCAACTTGACTTCAACCAGACACACTTTCAGATAAATCCCGCTTGCCCTTAAACATCCTATCTTCAGCCAAATAAGGAGACATGGGGGGCAAGACTGAGGTTAAGGCCGCCTACTTCGAGAAGCTTAGGTCCCTTCTCGATGAATACAAGAGCATCTTCATTGTCGGTATCGACAATGTCAGCTCTCAGCAGATGCACGAGATCCGTCAGACCCTCCGTGGTGAGGGTGTTGTTCTGATGGGCAAGAACACTATGGTGTGTTTGCTGCGTGTCCGCTGGATTAAGAGAATAGCCTATTAACTTTTTTGGGAAAACTTCAGATTCGCCGTGCCATCAAGGGCTTCGTTTCCGAGAACCCGGAGTTCGAGCGTCTGCTCCCTCACATCAAGGGTGAGTACCCGGATCATTGGGAAGTCTTCGTTGGGAACATTTGCTAATGCGAGATTGTTCTCAATTTCTACAGGCAACGTCGGTTTCATCTTCACCAACGGTGACCTCAAGGAGACCAAGGAGAAGATCCTTGCCAATCGTGTCGCTGCTCCTGCTCGTGCTGGTGCCATTGCCCCCGCCGATGTCTGGATTCCTGCTGGAAACACCGGTATGGAACCCGGTAAGACCTCTTTCTTCCAGGCTCTCGGTGTCCCCACCAAGATTGCTCGTGGTACCATTGAAATCACGACCGACTTGAAGCTCGTCGAGGCTGGTGCTAAGGTCGGCCCCTCCGAGGCTACTCTCCTGAACATGCTGAACATCTCTCCCTTCACCTATGGTATGACCATTCCTCAGGTGTACCAGGAAGGCCAGACTTTCCCGGCAAGCGTTCTTGATATCGAGGAATCTCAGCTCCTTGAGACCTTTACTTCTGCCATCAAGACCATCACCGCCATCTCTCTGGCTGCCAACTATCCTACTCTGCCGTCCGTCATCCACTCTCTTGTCAACTCCTACAAGAAGGTCTTGGCTGTGGCTGTCAGCACCGAGTACAGCTGGCCTGAGATTGAGGAGCTCAAGGACCGTATCGCCAACCCTGACGCATACGCCGCTGCTGCTCCTGTCGCTGCTGCTGCTGAGGAGAAGCCTGCCGCCGAGGAGAAGAAGGAAGAGGAAGAGGAAGAGGAGAGCGGTGACGAAGGTAAGTTATACTTACACTATCATTGGGGCATGAGTAACATCGCTAATTTATCCCTACAGGTTTCGGTGGTCTCTTCGACTAAGCGTTTCCTTGATGGAATGCAATCATGTATTAAACATCCAAATAACCCCATTCACGTCGAATATGGGGAAATGAAAATTTTTACCTTGGTAAAATACTTGCGGCATTCTTCATTGGAATATCTTTAAGACATGGACGTAGTGGTAACCAACTACACTCCGTTGTCTTCCTGTCGTTGCGGAGCGTGAGTTTTCCTCTTATTTTCTTCCTATACACTCCTATCTCCCCAAACATCTTGGCGAATGATTAAAAATTTTTAACCCTGAGCTTTGCAAACCCTTACGGGTGGCACTGAAGATCAACAAAACGCAACAACACTCTAATTTTTTAATGACGCCTTTCCTTTACCCTTTATGCACCTTATTATCGTTTACATATTGCATCTGTCATACTATTATTGATGTCGGAAGTGCTAACGGCCTCTTAGTCTACAGGATAACCGATCTGCCCCATTGATTAAGGCCGATGGTCTTTCGTAGATGAAGGATAACTAACTAGAGAAAATACTCCGTACAGTAGAATAGATGCGAATGTAAGTGACTCCTAGCCCGTGGTTAGATTATTAAGTGATGATAAAAGTCCGGTATTGGTATTATTTGCCATAGAAATTGAGCAAATATGGAACCATTCTATTTCCCAGGCATTCGGGGCGGATGTTGGGAGTAATTCACTAACGTAAAAAAAAAAAATAAAAAAAATAAAAAAAAGGGAAAGGATGAAATTAAAATAATATTTACAATATCCGCCATGCTATGCCAAACAACTAACTAGCAGTGATGAGCAGAACCACATCTTTCCTGACAACTGCAGTCACTGAAGTATCAAAGCAGATAAAAGAAACACCGCGACTAGAATAACGAAGTCCAGCGTCAAGCTACGACGCTGATGCAGACCCAGCAGCACTGCTGGAATCATCACCGCCCCTACCGAATCGTCCCCCAAACCCACCAAGATCTCTCTTGAAGAACTTGCCTAAGTTCTTGAGGTTCTCGTTCAAGTTCGTAGCGGTGCTGGTGGTGCTCTCCGAAGCTTGCGGTGTGGAGCTCTGTTGCACGGACAGTCCAGGAGACGTGGGCCCGGAGCCTGTTATCCCTGTTCCCCCTGGAGTAGGGCTTCCAGAGACGCCCGTACCTATGCCTGCTGCTGCGCTTGCAGAGGCACTATTGCCATTACTGCTCGCTCCGCCAAGTGTAGTAGTCAAGCTAGGGGTCCCCAATCTATCCACGCCATCTTTAGCGGCGGAGAAGATGGCAGATCCGAGAAGCGATGCATCAAACCTTCCAGGCAGAGTAGAGGCAGTAGTCGTTGTAGTCAACGTCCCCAGTCCTAACCCTTGGGGAACGCTACTTGAGGCCATCGCAGTTGGATTCTGCAGCGCAGTTAGAAAGGGGTTACTGTTCTTAAGGTTGCCCTTGTGGCGATCTGCCTCTCGGTGAATCTGGAATAGCTCGACAAGGTTGTTTTGTTCCTGTCGGCTGCGGATGCCCTTGATGTCGAGGATCTTGCGGAAATTGGTATTGCTCTTGTCGGCAACATGCACGAGGTAGGCCTGGACGAGAGCTTCTGGGGGAGAAGGGCGAACTTGGAGAGTTTTCAGGATAGGTTCAATTTTAGCGAAGCTGGTATTTACGCGCTTGACAAAGCCGGTTGGGGCTGGGGCCGGAAGAAGTGATGCCAGGCCGGTCTTGAGGGAATAAGAATCAAGAAGCATCTTTGTTTTGCAATAGATTATGTCAGTATCTTCTTTTGTTGAACAACTAAGAGTGGAAAAACTTCGTACCTGTTCTGCCCCAGTCTCTGAGATAGGCTTGCATTGGAAGATGTTACTGATGAACGAGTTCGACAGAAGCTCCACGAGATGATCTGCAAATGCCCGGGCGTACTGATGCTTATGCAACAAGGGAAGAAACTCCTCCGATCGTGCCTTGCACTTGGTCAATAGTTCACCAATGTAAGGACTGTGGTCATTAACAGACTCCAATTTGCTCCAGGGTACATTTCGCATCTCCCTCCAACACGGCTCGAGATCAAGCTCCACCCTGTGGACGAGAGCCCGTACAGCAGAAGAGGCGATTCCCATGAACGAATCCGCTTGGCTTTGTAAGTCCACTGTCTGTTTTAGATTCTCATCAATCCGGCCTTTAATTTTCTCCTCCAGCTGATTGCAGGTTGTGTAACAGTAGTCTGCTGTGTTCAGAACCAATATAAGATCTTCCACCGACGGCACCTTAGACGGTGTGTGGCCAGTAGGACGTTCACTTATGTAACTTAGAAGAATCTGCTGTGCATATTGGTCCAGATACTTAGCGAATACCCTTGCCAATTCGGCAAGACTCCCGCTGGTCGAGAGTTTCGAGCATTGTTGCAAGGAGTGTCGATAGAATGCAAACAATTCCGTAGAAGATGAAATGACAGCATGCGAGTTGAATTCCTCGTCTGGGGGTCTCAAAGGCTGCTGCCGGTACTTTGGTATAAGTGTGGCAAGCTGTTTATCCTGGGCCTCAACCCATACACTGAGGTACGGCTCAAAGGCCTCAGATATCGCTTGACCGAAGACTGGAGCTGCTTCGTTGGAGGTGAAGGTATCCGTAGACAGACGAGAACCAGTCGCAAACCGTCGCTCCAGGGAATGCTCGAAGTCAAGTGTCTCTTGTAGACATGAAAGAAGCAAATTGATATCGAGTGTCTGACCACTTCGCGTGTTCCGTGCGAGGATTTCTTTAAAATCATCTCTCGTCCCCTCACAGAAGACATTCGCGAGGATCTCATTTACCTTCCAAGAAGCTGGAAATATAACCGCATGCTCTTCATCATAATTCTTCAAAAGGCGCCTGAACCAGGAATACCTCCGAGAAATATTGTCCAGCGAACCGGCCTCCTCATGGTTTCTGAAAACCTGCCTGTATTCACGCAACTGTGTGTTGCAGTACCAGGTCACCAGTCTCGATCGCGCGTTTTCGCCCAGCGCATCCATAACCAGGCAGCCCTCCGCAAGCATCCCTCTTTTCTGAGCAATCTCGCCCTTAGCAAACGCCAGCTCAAAATCCTCGCAGACCTGCTCCATCAATTCCCGCTGGATATCCGCCACGTTCTTGCTGAGAATTGCAATCTGATCGATGGACCGATACGTTTTGAAATGAGTCATGAGCTGAATGACCGCCTGGAGTAATTGGGAGCAGTCGCGGTACTGTCTTGTCTTGCTGAGGACACGGAGCTGGTCGTACGCCGTGGTCAACATCTGCAGTCTCTTCAACGCCGTCATGGACAGCGTGAGATTCTTCTTCACATTGTCCAATTGCTTTATGTCTGCTGTCATCTCTGTGATCGCCTGCTCAGTCTTCAACGCGCGCTCCCGGACATCGTCGATCTTCTTGAACAGTTCCGTCAGGTCGGCCTTTGCGGCTTGAATGCGCTCCACGCTCTCTGCATTGGAGGTAACCTGCTCCTCGACCAGGGCACTGATATCATTGTCCAATTCATCCTCGTAGGTCCCGAGGGCATGGGAAACTTGGGATACGGACGACAGCGTTGAGGGGTGGGAAAAGATTGCGTTTAGGTGATCGACTGGATCGTAATCGGCTTGATTTAAGCGTTAGCAAGTCTAATTACCATCGGCATTTCTTTTCCTTGCCCAATTAGTCAATTATTCCAAACTAGCACTCACCTGAACCCAACCGATCTACGTCCGGGGCCTCGTTCGGTAGCATATGGCCTGTAGCGGTGGTGGTAGTAGTGGTGGACATTCCATTAGCTCTCCAGTTTACACGCAAGACGCATGCTGTGACATGTGGAGGAACAGATCCTTCGTTATTTGGCCCTCTTCAATCAAAATAAGACACAGCTAGAAACAGAATGGGAAAGTAAACTCCGCAGGACTGAGCAGTAAGCGGAGTTGAGATTCGGTACGGAGTAAATAGTTGTGATAGCAGACAAATCGGGCCAGGTAAGCTTAGCGCAGGATAGCTTGGCAACTGCTTCATCCCTGTTACGGAGGATATTACTATTGACTTGCAACGAAGAACCACGAGAATATTCAAAATGATGGCCGTCTTCTGCTAATCTAAGAGAAATCTTTCTAAATTGCTATATCTATTGAGGTATTTCCATGCATGCAACTGCGTGTGGCGGAAAAAAAGGTATCTGTTTCTTCTTCCCAATATGGTTTCCCTGGTCCATCTCTAAACATCACGACAGCACGAAGAATAAATGGTACAGGTGCTAGTTAGAAAACATAGAAAGGCACGCATGCCAAAAAATTCCAGCCCCATTGCTACATACAGACGTAAATTTGTCGTGAGCCATTCGCCTAAAATAATGCAAGTAACGGATTCGCTCTTTTTTACCCTTAGCAAGAACACCCCGAGATATTGAGAAGCATAAAAAAGGTAATATGGTGAAAAAATAATAATAAATAACTCACCAGACTCTGATCACCAGAGATCTGGAGTCTGGCCTTGGAAGCCCTGACTACTGCAGAATAGTACCGGGAAGAAAAGCATCTGCCGGCAGTTTTCCTTGAGCCTGCAACAAAGCACGTATTAGTAAATGAACTATGGCATCTGTATAGACCATTGAAGACCGCTCACCTTGAGCTCCTCAAAATTCTTAAGAGCGGCATCGAAATTCCAGCCATTTCCTGAGAGGGCCATTTCAGAGTACGGGAGAGTCATCTTAGTTTTAGCGCTCATTTGCAAAATTAGCTGCTCCTGCTGTACCCGCGCTTCGAGTTTCCCGGGCGCAGGCATCCCGTAGCCGACCGGTGCCTGTGTCTGTGGTTGCGATTGTGGTGGTTGAACTGGTTGAGGACCGGCCGATAGATCGGCCATATTCCACGCAGTATGTCCACCGTAGGAGCGTAGACAAAGCGCATCATTGATGACCCTGAGACCGCCAACGCCACCACCTGGACCAAGAATAAATGTCCTGTCAAAACTGCGTGTGTCGACCTTGCCCGAAGCACTAAGCTCCTCGAATTTTCCGTGTACCATAATCAGAAGGCCACCGACGCCTGTTTCACTTTGTCCATTTGGATCAGGGAGTCCCGGAATAGGATGGCATTCCACAAGCCATTCCTCGGGGTGGGAGAGCATGTCCGGATGCCTAGTCTTGGGGAGAGAGTTCCATAACTCCCGTATCTTCTCTGCACCAACATACACACGAGCCATCCGCGCAGTTAGGTGGCTGATCTTGACAAGATTCCTGCTTTTCTTGATATATTGCTCCCAGCTCGCAGTCTCCGTTTGCTGGGATCTGGGTGCTGCCACATTCACATTGAAAGAGAAAGTAGAATGAACATCGTAGATGCCATTTAGAAGATCGTTACGGTCATTATCATATCCGGAGAAAAAGGCCCGAACAAAATTCTCGGCAATCTGAGAGTCATCGCGAAAGTACGGTGGCTGAACGGGAATTGGCGTTTTCATTTGAGCTGCCACTTCGTCCGCGGTCCTGACTTCCACGTTGTTTAACACTCTGAGCTTTGGATACCACTTAAGCATGGTATCTTTGAAGGTGGGATCAGCACTGAAAGGGGTAGCACTGAGGTCGAGAAATTCAAGATTACGGAATTTCCAACGCCAGGCCAGAAGGGCTTGCGCATCCTTGAAGTTGTTGTTCGACAGATCTAGGTTCTTTATGTCCGGGAACGTCTGCGCGAGAGTGGTGACGACAGAGATGTTTGAAAGCTGGTTGTTCGCCAGGCTGACGCTTTCCACTGCCTCTCGCCTTTGTGCGGGACTATCGAAATTCATCTCCCAAACTTTCATCAACGCGGGGAAAAATTTCGATTCGGTGGACGTGCTGTTGAAGATTCCCATAGCCATGAGATCGGGATCATTAACCAATTTCGACAGATCGAGAACCTTCGTCGGTTGATAATAACGCTTGCCCAGGATGGCAGTCAGTTTGGCTTTTGTATCAGAAGCGGACGTGCTGGCGCCGTTCGCGGAAGTGTCTAGATCAGCCATGCTGGCTTCAGATCCGCTATACATTTCAGTAGTCAAAGGAGCGCCAGCAAAGCTGAATCCATTAATTTGAAGTAGTCTATTCACCAGTTCCGGGCGAACAGATACTACGAGAGCATCGCCTTCAACACGTGACTAGTTAACGTTAGCAAGGTATGAAAGACCTTGAAACCTGCAGTCACCCAAAGGAACAAAAACGCGCGGACGCCTTGGAAGTCTTTCTTTTCTTTTCGTTTCCCTTGGAAGCCATCCAGAAATAGTCATGGATCGTCCCCATGAAGAGGGGAAGAAAAGAACACAAAACGATGAGACACCGAAGGAGGGCGACGCTGCGAAATGTGTTGGATGTCGCTGGGGACCGCAAAAATGATCATACTCTTTCTTCTTTATGACGTTGCACATACCTTTGTTATCTTTGCGCGCGGCCCTTTCGAATCGGAATGAGTAAGTTTTTTCTCCAGGAATGCGAGAAGGCTTTCAACACCACCATCTGGGTTGGACGCAGCCTTGCTCTGCTTCCAGCCGCGAACAGTAACCTGCTCCAAATTGCCTCCGGTTGGTTTGCCACGTCTGATGTTTGCCTGGGAAGAATTGTTGGCGATAGCTTTCTGAATGGCATTCAAGGCCCTGTCACGAGCGTACGGCTGTCCCCCCATGGGTGTAGAGCGTCCGGAATCGCCCCGACCTCTTTTCGCACCTCTTCCTCGACCGCCTCCATCCATGTCCAAATCCCCGTCTCGATCGGTTCGCGTAGGACCCCGCTTTCGAATCCCCCCGCGGTCAGCACCGTTGGGACGGCCACGACCGCCTCTAAAAGCCCTCATACTGCTCAAAATCCTGAGTGTGGTAAATGTAGCTTCTGCAAAAAAGCCTCTAACCAGACGAAACCGAAACTAGGACGAGATCAGAAGTAAGGAACGGACGAAAAAAAAAAACTGGAAGAAACGAGAGGCGTGCAGAGCGCGGAGCGCCTCTAGTTTTAGACGAATCTTGGCGGCATGCAAACAGAGGAAATACTGGAGAGATAACCGATGACTTTGAATAAGTGGGAGATGCTCGCCTGCAGAACGTAGAACGGCAGTCGAAGAGAAACAGCAGAACGACGAACGGCGAAAAGTGACGTGAAGGAAACATTTCCGCACCAGACACCATCACATGACTGTAAGCGTTGCCACGTGACTGTCTGTCTGCGGAGTCCCTGCACGTAATGGCCAATAAAGAGCCGTATACTGTCCTTTGATATAACGGGCACTTTGGATTATTGACCTAAGTCAAGCACCAAGAGCTCGTTGACAGTAACACAAGGAAAGAAAGAAAGAAAGCAAAGCCCCAGGACGTGCAACTGCATCGTCTGTTGCCATATTCCTTTTGTCCTGGAGCCGCTACTGGCATAGTTGGTTCCTCCAATTGCATTTGTTGTCGTTGTATCGAGCTCAACTGACCCAGGCTTACAGTTTCACACCACTATTACCTAGACACTGAGGTCCTCATCCATGACCTCCGATTATTAAGAGAGATGCCTGCGAAGTCGCGATTCACGAGACTCGATGCGTTCGCAAAGACAGTCGAGGATGCACGTATCCGTACCACCTCCGGAGGAATTGTCACCATAGTCTCGTTACTTGTTATTCTATGGCTAGTCTTGGGAGAATGGGTAGATTACAGACGTGTAGTCGTTCTACCAGAGCTGGTAGTGGATAAGTCAAGAGGTGCATATAATGCGTGCATGCGTTTTCAGCTGCAAGACTGGCGATAGGAAAAGAAGGGCTGACGTTGTGTCTATAGGGGAAAGAATGGAGATCCATCTAAACATGACCTTCCCCAGGCTTCCATGCGAACTTCTGACGCTGGATGTGATGGATGTCTCCGGTGAGATGCAGGATGGTGTCGTGCATGGGGTGAACAAGGTGCGCTTGAGCTCACAAGCGGAGGGAGGACATGTCCTTGACGTCCAAGCATTGGAGCTGTAAGCCTTCCCATTCATTTTGCTTTTTTTTTAGAACCCAAGACTAAATAACTTGAAAAACAAACAGCCACAAACAATTAGACACAAAACACCTCGACCCCGACTACTGCGGCGAATGCGGCGGCGCCCCTCCACCCCCCAACACAGCCAAACCAGGCTGCTGCAACACATGCGACGAAGTCCGCGAGGCCTACGCGCAGAAATCCTGGTCCTTCAAGGGTGGTGAGAACATCGAACAATGCCAACGCGAAGGCTACGCAGAGCGCATCGCCGCCCAGCGCAAAGAAGGCTGCCGAATTGAAGGTGTCCTTCGCGTCAACAAAGTCATGGGCAACTTCCACATCGCACCGGGCCGCAGCTTCACCGATGGCAATGCCCATGTCCACGATACAGGCCTCTACATAGACGCCATCCGCGATCTACCCCCCAACGAACGCCACACGATGGCCCATGAGATTCACCAGTTGCGCTTCGGACCGCAGCTCCCCGATGAACTATCCGAGCGCTGGCAATGGACCGATCACCACCATACGAATCCCCTCGATGGCACTAAGCAGGCCACCAACGAACCCGCGTTCAGTTTCGATTACTTTATCAAGGTCGTCTCGACCTCTTACTTACCTTTAGGCTGGGATTCATCACCATTCCAGGAATCTCAAGATGACAGCTCCATCCCATTAGGCTCCCATGGCATCTCCTCTGGCTCAATAGAAACACATCAGTACTCGGTTACATCCCACAAGCGATCCGTGCTGGGTGGCAACGACGCTGAAGAAGGCCACAAGGAACGTCTCCATGCCGCGGGCGGCATCCCTGCTGTGTTCTTCACGTATGATATTTCCCCGATGAAGGTCATCAATCGCGAGGCTCGTCCGAAGTCCTTCACTGGCTTCTTGACTGGTGTTTGTGCTATTGTTGGTGGTACTTTGACCGTTGCTGCGGCTATAGATAGAGGTCTCTATGAGGGGGCTTTGAGGGTGAAGAAGCTTCATTCCAGTTAATTTACTATTTTTGCATCCTCTTTCTTTTCAAATTTATTCCATGTTTGTATTTTATTTTGTTATATTTACTCTACATTTCCATTGTTGTCATGATGACTTTGCATCTAGATACATTGTATAGGAGCATGTTGACGCAGCGATATCTGTGAGTATCAAGTGTCTACTGAGGGTAGATAGACTAGTATAAAAAAGGTCTCGCATGAAAAATACCGGCGAAAAGCAATGCAGGGAATGGTCGTTTATTCTAAAAATTTCATATTCTGTATTGAATGATCTCTATACAACGTGTGCGTATTCCTATACATTCATTCCGTATAAATACTAAGTACGATATAGATGCATGCAACGAGACAAATCAAGACATGATGAGACGAATATTTCGTCCCTGAAGATAATGCCCTTGCTCCTGCTTCCACACTCACCAGGTTGATGCTGATGCAGTCGAAACATATGCAATGCAAATGCACCATATAAAGCATGATAAGACGGTAAACAGAAAAGTGCAAGGATATTTATATATATATATATAAAGAAACTGGCTTATCACCCTCAAAACTCCATCGTGCCGTATAGTACAGGGAAAAGACCCGAAAATGAGGTAAAAGAACAAGAATACAGATAGACTTCGTCACTCGGAGATGCAGCGTGATCATTTTGGAGAGGTTAGAATAGAACAGCAAACGTTCAAGGTCGTGGTCGCGCTAGAGTTGTTCAAACTTTTTTTTTTTTTTTGGGATCAAAAGTAACCACTTCTGGATGGATTCTGATTGTAATACTGACCCGGATATCCATAAGGCGGAGCTGACGGTATCTGGGACTGCTGAGATGTAGGCGTGAACTGTCCGTACCACGATTGGCGTCTTGGTTCATCGACCCGGTTGAATTGGCTAAAAGCGTCCCAGGTACGATTCGCCGCCGGGAGACTGTACATACGATTGTGCTGCTGGTATCCATACATTTGGCTAGGGTTTTCTTCCTGTACAAACTGTTGCTGTTGCTGCTGCTGCAGAAGTTGCTGTTGCCTCTGGGTAATGGCGTATTGCACCATCTGGTTCGACCACCCCTCTTTCATTTCCTGTCTCTCCCGTTCACGGACATCGATGGCACTCACGAGTCCGTTACGATCGACTGGTGGAGGCTGCTTTTTGTTTTCACTGGACATGTTGAAGAACGCCGAGCCTGTCATGCGGGCTACGTGTTCCTGCTCTCGAGCGGAAAGATGGGATGAAATGTCATTATAACCCAGAACGGTGCTGGCACCGCGCGAATGAGGGCGGGAGATATCCCGTGATGAGGTGCGTGATCCTGAGAGCGATGAGGAACGTGGCGCAGAATCATGACCAAGGCCAAAATATGAGTTAGAGCGAGAATGACGTCTCCGTTCCTCAGATACCCTCTGTGGAGGCGGTGATGGGGTCATGGAAGGAGACCTGCGATGCATAGGAACCGGTGAATTTGCCGCCAGTCGTTGTTGAACGAACTGTTCTGGGGTGATGCCAGTGGCAGAGCTCGCAGGACGCGCAGTTGCAATACCAGGCTGCCATAGCATGCTTCTTCGAACCTCATCTCCACTTGGAGACCTCGACTGGGAACTAAAATCCAATGCGTTACCAAGTGACCGGCTTCTTCTGCCTGTCGCACTCGAGTTCTTCCTCGGATCGGATAAGCTCTTTAACGCGTCTGATGTTGAAGGCCGTCCGGTGGTGGGCAGAACTGACAAAGTTGGTCCAAAGTCAACGGTGGGTATATCTGGAGTTTCCTCCGCTGGTTTGTCGATATTGTAGCGACCGTCTCCAATCATTAAATCCTTCTTCGGTTCCATGCCAACTGTTTTCAGCACTCCCATTCTCGGTTTGCTCGTAGATTTCTCGGACTGTTCGCTGGCGACAGAGCTCGCATAGTCAGGAGACGCCGCCGATTGGCCGTCTTCGCCTTCGTCATCATCCCGATCGTACACACTCTTCTCATCTGAACTATCGTCCTTGCCCTTATCATAAGAAGGGTGCAATGCTGGACTTGCGCGAACGTGCTCCAGTACAACTTCATCAACAATATGACGGAGGTCTTCCCAAGTAGGTTCGGTCTCGGATTGATCCTCTTCCTGTCGCGGCTCGGGAAGAGGTTTCCGTTTCACCAATTTGCCGTTATTTATCGGAGAAGCGACTCCACTAGTATATGATGACGGACCCGCTGTGCCGCCGGCAGCAATTGTCCCGTTCCTCAAGGCACGAGAATCGTAACGCTCCGAATACTTTAGGGCAGCAGCAGCAGTTTCTTTTAGGTCTTGCTCGTCTGATTCGGTGGTTTGGGGACCTTCTTCCACCGGACGGAGATCGCTGGCATTCGCCGGTGCAGTGAGCAAAGTTAGAGTGCCCATGGACATTCGATTTGCCTTTTTCACCTCGGGAGAAGGCTGTGGTCGTACTTGAGGCGTCTCTCCTGAATTATGGGTGAAATCAGGCGGGGCATCCACAGAAGATGGAACAGAAGCATGCCAGTTCTGTTCCTTCGTTGCTTCAGTCTGCTGAGTTTCAAATTGCTCCCCAGTGCTGTCAGAATTGTTCCGCTCGTTGACACCATTCGTCGTGGCAGGCTCCGTATCGAAATTTAACTGACTGTCAATTGGCGAGACTGGAGAAACCTGTGAAGGAGAATCTGTGACATGAGGCAGGGTCCAGAGTTGCTCTCTCTGCTGATCTTGGACAATGGAATCCGTAGACTCGGGGAGGCGAGAAGACTCAGCGCTGAAGTGGGCGTGTCGAACCACTGTGCCGGACCTATAACGCGGAGTCCTGCTACTTCCAGAAATACTGCTTGTGCTACTACTGGAAGCGGCCATTCGGCGAGAAGTTGCCTCCTTAAGTTGTTTCCACCACTCTGCTGTAGACCACCTCTGGCTTTCAGGGGTGTTGATCAGGTTCACGACATCCAGGATATCCAGGTACCCGTGCCGTCGACGCCTGGGAAAGGCGAACATAAGACTTTTAATGTGGTTCGTCTCTGCCAGAAGTCGTGTGGGCCGGCCATAGAGGCCGAACGTGTCGAACGTGGGAAAGAGGAATCGAAGCATGATCTCAAAGCCGGACACAGCAGGATGCACCTCAGGCATAACAAAAACGAAATTCTCGTGAGATGACTCCGGCACCATATGATTGATAACTTGCCCCTCAATTTTGACCAGAGACGACTGGTCTATGAGAGATTTCGACTGAGGATAAATCGCATAAGCTGAGTAGGCATCGGTGACAGTGGCAAGGGGCTGCGCTTTCTTGGTCTTCTTGGTTTCGTAGAATTGGATGTTCCCCTTGGCCAGAGGGGAAGATCGATCATACGCGGACTTCTTCTTTCCCGACTTTTGCAATTTCCGGATTTCCTTCTCATCAGGGGGGTTGACAACAATCCAGCATCGCCTCCAGGGCATGCCTGGACCGAATCTCACGCGGCCCCAATCCTCGAACTTGACCAGACGACGTTCCGTGATAGTCCTGATGCTGTTAAGAACTTTTCCTTTCCCGGCAACTATAGCGCCTGTATATGCTTCGTATAGGGATGTACGTTCGAAGATGGCCAAGCGTAATGCGGCCGTCCACTGGGTTAATGAGTGGAAAGAATTGAAGTGAAACAAATACCGGTTGTTACCCGCAGAGGAGACGATCAAGACGTTAGATATGGAATCTCTCCCGTCTTGTCTTGTGGGCAGCGATTCAACCTGGAAGGAAAGTTAGTGGGGGAGGGGAAATATCACAAAAAGAAAATAAAATACAGACTCACCATCGTGATGGAGGCATCTGCCAGGTTTATAAACGTGGGAGGAACCTCTCCATTCTCACCAGCTGCGTCCAGCGCAGCAGCGTCCCATAGTGAGAGAACAGTCCCAATAAGCTGTGCGTAGCATTCCACCCATCGTCGATTAGGACATTGCCGCCCATCTGTCGGTGAAAGTCAGTCCGGAAGCTCTTCCCACATGTACCTACAGCAGCACCAGATCTAGCTATACTTACTATTATCCAGATCGTTCAGCTTCAGGAAATAACCCTCGTGATACAGTTTATTTGCATGGCTATTCAGAAAGGTGAGGATGGGCTGTAGCTCTGGTATAGTGTCCCCCGCAACGTCCACAGTCGGGGGGTTGTAGGCGAAGGCCATGGACGCAGGACGTGATGTATTGCTTTCAGGTCGCACAAATGGCATGGCTGTCTTTCCTGAATGAGGAGAAGGTGTGTCCAAGGACGAATCCAACGTCGACGGGGCCCGGGCCGGGGCACTGGCAGTCGAAACCGATCGTTTGCGCTTCTCATTTTTGCGGGACGGAGTGGACAAAGCGGACATGAAAGAGAAGACTGTAAGCACAAGTATCAGCGATCCAGATAGCCAGTATTAATATAGAAGGATTGTCAACGGTCAAAGCCTACCACGATGGCGGGCCATGATGCCTGAAGGGGCCTGCAACAGGCAAGCACGGATTGAATAGTGATTTATCTGCTCCCACTACATAAACAGTAGCAGTGCCAGAGGTCGAGCAGAACCACGACGCAAGCTTGGGCGAACTGACGAGCGAATGAAAGCAGTGGGAGAAGGACCAGTTGCTCCCCGCAGAGAATATGTCCGAGGCGGATACTCCACGGCGGGATGGACTCGGGCAGAAACGAACGGAGGGCAGGAAACAGGGAGAAAGCAAAGCAAGAAGCGAAGGCAATCGAAGAAAGGGAGAAAAGAAGAACAAAGACGTAAGCGACGCAAGGAGTGTTGCTCGAGTAGATCAGACGCATGACAGGCGCCAGCTGGCGCCGGATTGGGCGCGGTGGAGTGTTTGTCTTACTTTTATTCGAATTAGAATTGGCATTCTATAACTAGTTATTTGTTCTTTATTACTAAGTTCTAACGATGGGAAACGGCGACAATATCGCTGCTGTATGCACTATTATCCGGAATATATATGCTGCATGGACTCGTCAACTCCTCGCGTCCTCTTTACAGTAACTGCTTCGGGCTCTTTCTCTTCCTCTTCCTCTTCTTCTGCTGCTGCGCAAAGCGTCTGAAACGGAAATCCAGCCAGCGTTGCATCCCTTGCGACTCCCTCCATACCACGTCGCCAATCAACCATTATCACTGCATGGCGCTTTTGCTTTGCTTTTTAATATCGGTCGGCGCTTAGGTAGCATTACTCCGAGAAGATCAGTGCCACTCCGGTACCAGCCACATCTGCATGTACTGAAAGTGAGAGTGAGAGACACTTACGTACTTCCTTCCACTTATTCCATTTTTAGAACATCCCCTCTGTCTCGCGTTCAGTCCCGGATGTCTTATTATTGTCCTGCCTGCGCGCTCACTCGTTCTGCACTGCTGACAGCAGGTCTCACTGCTATATATTATTACTCGAACGATCTGCCAATTATTCTCCGGTGGCAATAATGAAAATATGAGCCGTGTGAAGCTATTAATATGTGTACCATACAAATAGCGGCCAAGAAACGACGCCCTAAAGGCCTGGCATGCTTGACTGCAATCTCTTCACATAATCTGACTATTGTCTTTTGCTGCAGCGAGGGCTATAAAAGGGAATTTCTGTTTCTCACAGCCCAATGACGCGCAAGCTCATGGTCCCTGTATGCAGCCAGGTCCAGACCCGTCTCTACAGCTCAGACAAGTATTATACTTATGCTGCTCTCTTTCCTTGCGTCTGACATATCGCTGCCTCAATTCCAGTCTGGAAAAAGCAACGGGGGAGATGATTGACCTAGCTGTAGATCCCAGTTGCTGATCGCTGTCCCATATAATCCGATCAAGGCCAAGTGTGCTGTACACTGTACATTCAATCAATTCATGAAACCGACACCGTCTTCGTGTCAGCATAAACACTATCCACACACACACTCGTTAAACATTCATTTTTAGACATCAACGCATGCGATGTGCGGCGACATGGCCAACCGCATTGGTCACCGTCGTCCGCCATCTCGACATGCAAGGAGACAAACCCAAATCAAATCAAAAAGAAAAAAAAAAAAAAGAAATAGATACACAGATATTTGCCGGATGCCTGTCGGGGGGCCTGACCTGTGCACTACTTATGACGACAAAGTATTATGGCACTCCCGGAAAAGGCCCATGAGAGAGAATTGGATCCTGTCCACTTATGTCCATTTTGTCCTCCTCTTATTTTCTTGTCGTTAACACAATAGACGAACACATATCCCATCACAGAATGTTATCCAGCTTTCCTTCCGCTTTGGCCTCCTTGACTTGATCAAAGACCTATTTGGATCTCATTAATATTCGAACATTCCTCGTTCCCTCCCTTACCAGACAATGTCACTCACCTTAAGCATCTTATTCCTGGCCCCAAGTGCATTAACTCCGCGTTCTTCCAACGCCTTATCATCAAGTTCAATCAACTCGGTCCATTTGAGATCCTTAAGATTGTCCGTGTATTTGTGCAGCCGCAGAGATCTCAACCAGCTGGGGATGTCCTTCAGAAGATTGGGATCGGTGGGGTCCTCAGGCGGCTTGGAACTTCCACGCCGTCCGCGAGGCGAGCGACTGCGAGCAATTTCGGAATGGTCGGAAAGATAGCCCTCGTGACCACCCAGGCCAAAATGGCCGACCGCCAATGCCCCAAATCCGTTGCCCATGAGAGGATTGTTCGGGTCGTATGCGGCCAAGAAGCCATTGTTTTGCGGAGAAGTGAATCCCATACCACCAACCGCACCTCCCTGCAGGGCAATCCCGGGGGAGGTCGGACGGGAGCGTCTACCTGCTGCTGCTGCTTGTTGCTGAGCCTGCAGGGCCGCCAATTGCTGTGCGTTTAGAAGCTGACCAGCAACCAGATTATTTCCAGGAACGCCTTGATTACCAAGTCCAGTTCCAACGGACGGCGCAGCATTTGTATTCGCATTCTTTCCCTGTCCATCGTTGGAACGAGCACGGCGATACTTGCGAGCATCATCGAGCGCAATGCGGTTGTTTACCGTTGACAGAGCAGCCAGTTTCATCGCCGTGGCATTAGCCACCATATCTGCTTGCGAAGAGGCCGACTGCTGATTAGGGAAGGTGGCCGTCATCGGAGTAGTGGCCAGGGAAGCCCAGCTCGCGTTTCCAACATTGTAAGGCGAAAGCAATGGGGGCTCGATTTCGGGCGCGGGAATGTTAGCTGTTTGATGTACTGGAAGGGGAGAACGCATTCCGGACGAAGTTGACGGCTGACTAAACTGGCCCATTGGTTGCTGGCCAGAGGACGATTTCGGTCGAGCAATCGGCGGCTGTGTTGTTTCAGGACCGGCGCGCTGCGCCCATGGAGAAGAAGGCTGGCCTAAGCTGTCCGCATTGTTATCCGGTGTAGAGATAGTAGGCGCAACCAGCGACGTGCGATCCCCAAAGACAGCACTGTTGCGGTTCGAAGGTGGCGCATTTCCCGTCTGCTGGGTGAATTCTGCTTTCTTTTTGGCAATGGCTGCTGCGGCGTCCGGGAACATGGCATTAATTGTGGACGAATCTAGAACAGAATTGCGCTTGGCACCTGGGGAAGGCGGCGGGCGTCCGAGGGGGCTGCGAGAATTATCGATGTTCAATTTCGACATAGCATCATTCAGACGGTTTGACATGGCATCTATCAATGCAAAGAAATTATGTCAATTAAATGATCCCATACACATTCCAGGCTTATAACTCACCCTTTTCCCCAAAGTTTGCCGGAGACAGCAGTCCGGACATGGGATGGCTCTTCGACATCTGCTGTAAGACCTGTATGAAGAAACGAATCTGCACCTGCGTGGTCTGCTGCAGCAAAGCGTAAAGCGCTGCTGTTCTCTCAGCCTCACTGAGAACGCGGAACCATTGTTCGATGGCACTAAGTTCATCCTTGAAGTCCTGGTCCAGGGTAGCGGCCGCCATCTCTTCAAGCGTGTTCTCATACTGATCAATATCTGCGAGCCATTGTTGCGCCGCCCGATCCAAAGCATCCTCCGTGTTTGTCTGCTGAGAATGCTGGCTGAAGAACACCTCAGACGTTGGACGAATAGAGCGCGAAGACAGAGGAGATGGGAACCCCGACATATCCGCCGAGGCTCGAAGCTGGTGAGTCCCTAGATTCCGCGAAGATGAAGGGGGTCGAAGGGTAGATTTGGAAGCATCAGGAGTGCTATTGCGGTTGCCGATGATATGGCTGGTCATTCTGACGCTCCGTCGCTGTTGGGCAGGACCTCAGGCAGAAAAGAAGAGAATGAAGGTTTGAATGGTGGCTGCCCACAGTATTCCGATAAATCGAAAACACAGATAAATTACGGCAAAACGTCTGCAGCCTGCTGAATTTGCGTAAACTTCTTTGCCGACGGGCCTCTTTCAAGTGGAGGGTGGAGTAGAGTTCAAGGGGAATAATAGAAATGAAGATAAAAAAATAAAAAAATAAAATCGGGACAGAAAATCCTTCCAACAACGCAAACAGCCAACAGCAAACGCTCTAGGCGACGATTATTAACACAGCACAAACCAGTCCAGTGGCCGCACTGCTTCGCTCGAGGCAGTAAAATGAACAAGCGCGATCGAACCCAAAGCCTTCGGACGGGTCCAAAGGTTGTAGTGGAAAAATGTTAGGCGCGACGATTCGAAGAATGAAAGGATGCCAGGACGAGTATGCGGCGTGTCAAGCACAGCAGGCAGACTGTCCTGAAGCATCAAAAGAAGGGAAGAGGATGGGGATGAGAAAGAGGACGCTGAGGTTGATGCTGCAGCGGGATGGAGGGGAGAAGAGAGGAGAGGGAGTGAGAACGACGGGACGGCGGAGGCGAGCGTGATTTAGTCGACGAAGCGAAGAAACCCGTTCTGCTTCTTCCCGTTCTTTTCAACCAGCACAACCTCTTCTGGCTGCCTTTTCAGACGCTCTTCGTATTTTCTATCAAATCAGATCTGCTGAAGCGTTTACGGCTAATTGATCTTTACGTCTGTTGCCATTTCGTCGTGGTGCTGGTGTGACGAAAGGATCAGCTATACTTCAACCATCCCACCTTAGTAAGATTTCCTATGCTTGATTGTCTAACGGAAAGGCTAATTAACCGAGGATTTGGACTGAAAATAATATATCATAGCTGGTGGATGTGACATATTTGTCTTATGGATACCACAGGGCTGCCCTATGCCGTTGTTCCCAGCTACCTAACTTATCTTGGGACAATGCCGCTGTAGGTTCCTGGCCTGAAACGGTGAATTTAAAGATTCTGCCTACGGAGGATCCATCTTCGCTTCTAGTGTTCTGAAGGGAAGATTTTCATGGATGGTTGTCATTCACAACGGAGTCTACACGACGGTACCATCAACGATTCTGGCGGGTAACCAAGCCTTTCTACACCCCAAAGAACCAGTCAATAGCCATCCCAAATGGAGGGTTCGGATGGTTATCCTGTGCAAAATCCTCCTGCAGAGGAGGTCATGTACCCAGACATCGATGAAACCATTCACTATCCTTGGCAAGGAAACCAGCCTGCCCAACACGACTCTTCGACAACTTCTGCGCTCGATCCTAGGCTGTACAGGGATCTTTTCTCACGCAGCACCTCACAGCTAATAGATCAACATGCCCTTGAAAGTGATTATGATGAAGAGGAAGGGGATGCTGATGAACTTTCGTTCGCTAGCGGAGAAAGAGAGGACCAACAGTTCGTGGATGGTGATGACTATTCCGATGACCCGTCCTATGATGTTTCAGAGGAAAACTCAACGTAAGCATACAGCATACTTATGTTATATTTGATGATCTATCTAACGACCTAGCCGAAAGCGAAGAAGAGGAACTAGATGATATGAATGTTGAGGAAGCGGACGTTGATGAGTCATTTTCAAGAAGGCGACGGCGCAGGGGCACTGGTCGCTTTTCTGGTCGTTTTGGTGCCCGGGGCGGCAAGGGAATTAAAAGAGGTCCCCGTAAACCACTTGAACCAAGCCCGGAGTTCAAACTCCTTCATTCAGAAGCAACGTCGGCTTTCATTGATGGTGACTATGATCGTGCCATCGACCTGGTGAAGCGTGCAATCCAGATCAATCCAGAGATGTTCGCTGCTCATTCTTTGCTTTCGGAAATCTTCCTGGCCCAGGGTCAGAAAGACAAGGCCTTGACTGCTCTCTTTAGCGGTGCTCATACTAGACCAAGAGACGCAACCGTGTGGGCGAAGGTGGCAAGGTTGATTCTTGAGCGTGCTGGTGAAGATCGACAAGCAGCGTTGAACGATGTTATATATTGCTACAGCCGTGTTATTGATATCAACCCGAACAATTATAATGCACGGTTTCAGAGAGCAGCAATCTATCGTGAGTTAGGCCACAATGGCAGGGCCGTCACTGAATACGAAAGAATACTCAAGGATGTCCCTCACAACACACGAGCTCTCCGCCACCTTGCTGAAACGTACATCGACCTTAATGATGTCCAGAAGGCGTTAGACCACTACCAGAGCAGTGTTGCTCATTACATGACCCTAAATCCTGAAGATGCACCGGAATTTTCTTGGTCGGACGTCAACATTTACGGTGAATTATTCAGCTATTTAGGACTGTATGCAGAAGGTCTCGCGGCCTTAAAAACAGTCTCCAGATGGCTCCTTGGTCGGAAGGGTGATACAATGTGGGAAGAATTCGAAGATGACGACCGAGAATGGGATGCAGATGATTCCCCAAGACGTATAAAAGCCGATGGCTACATCCCAAAACAATGGCCACGAGATTCTTATGGACTGGGTCTTCCACTTGAGCTTCGAATAAAGCTTGGCCTTTTTCGCTTGAAGATGGGCTATGAACACAAGGACGAAGCTTTGGTAAGTGGATCAGAACACAATTCCCGTTGCTTTGCACTTCCTGTCCTGACAGAGACTACAGCATCATTTTGAATGGCTGAATCCCGAGGACGATTCCGAAGGGGCTAGGCTTTATGATTATGGCGACCTTTTCAGGGAGGTCGCAGACGCGCTGAAAGAGGTTGGACTGATTGAAGATGCCCTGAGATACTACAAGCCAATCCAACAGACCAGTGAGTACGCTGATGTCAGTTTTTTCATGGCTATGGGCGAATGCTGCATGCATTTAGGACAACTGGAAGACGCGGAGAACTGCTATCTTACAGTTGCGGAGCATGACTCGAGAAACGTAGAGTCGCGTGTCCAGCTGGCGAAATTGTATGAGAATATTGGCATGACTGAGCAAGCGTTCAAGTATGTCAATGAGGCAGTACTCCTTGGAAGACAGGAAACCGGGCGCCAGCGACGACGGAAGGACACACGGCTTGAACAGTTGGCAAGGGAGTTCCGAACTGCAGAAATCAGCCCGGAATTGCCAGCCAAACCCACAACAGCGGCTCCTTTGATGGAGACCCCCGGGACTGTGCAGACTGCAGCCCCTACTATCAGACGTGGCGAAGAACTGGAAGTGGAGGGGCAGAGGACAGAACTTATTCAATTTCTATATTCTAAAATGCAACAGTTGCAGCCAAAGGTCAACGAAGGCGATATTAATGCTACGGAAGATTGGTTAGACATTGCTGATGCTCTTTTACGCGATTTCCGATCCAATCGAGTGTTCTATCCGTTGCAGCGCAATATGGTCTTCTTAGGGTATTCCAGGGAAGCACAGAGGAGGGCCGGAAAGACCAAGAACAAAACACTCATGGATGAAATGCACGAAATGGCTGGTCGCCTTCAAGAATCCCTCGGTACGAATAATCTTCTGTTTATTATGAAGAACCCGAGAACTGACGGATGAACCAGGCACCGTGCCAGAGGAACCTTTGCCGGCTGCCATACCGACTGACTACCATGGGATACAATTCGACGGGTGGCTGGACATCTTCTTGCAATATGCCCTTATTGTAGCCGGTCAAAGCGAGCCTGAAGAAGCATACGACACTCTTGCAGCGGCAGCAGACGCAAGCGTATGGTATCATTCGAAGCGCAGCACTCGTCTGATTCACATCTGCTGGTTCAGTAAGTATCTTGCCAATGGGCCCAAACCAAAATGTCTTACCGAAACTGGACTCCTGACATGACAACAAAAATGCAGCATGCGCACTTCGAGCACAGGACGAAGAAACCCTCACAAATGAGGCCCGCTGGTTCATCAAGGAATACCAATTCGTCACAGATACATACCGTCTCTTTGCCATGCTAAGCCGTCTCTGCGGCGACCCACACCGCTCCCTCTTCCACTCCTCCCCAAACATGAAATTCATGCTCCGACAAATAAAAGCTATGGACTACACCCTCCCAGACGACGCCACCCGCTCCGGGCGCGTCCGAGAATCAATCTACAGAGAACGAGCGTCTCTTACCACCCGTGACGAGACGACAGGTGAAACAATCGGCGCTGAGAAAATGGACGTCGCCCTCCTTGTCCTATACGGCCACATACTCTACTCGGGTAATAGTTTCTTCCCGGCCCTGAATTACTTATTCCGCGCCTACGCCCTGGACGGGGAGAACCCCGCTGTCCTCCTCTCCATCGGCCTCTGCTACATCCATCACTCTCTCAAACGACAATCCGAGAACCGCCATTACCTTATTATGCAGGGTCTATCGTTTATGCACGAGTACCGTCGCGTCAGGGAACGAAAGGGAAGTCTCGTCCAAGAACGCCAGGAAATGGAATTCAATTTCGCCCGTGTCTGGCATATGCTCGGTTTGGCTCATTTAGCTATCGAGGGGTATCAGCGTGTATTGAAACTGGGGGAGGAGATACAGTTGCAACTGGAACTTGCCCGGCAGCGACAACGAGAAGAAAAACAGGGACAGATTAAGGTGGTACTAACCACTGAAAACGATGGCGATGTCTTGATGGAAGGGTTGAAAGAGACGATGACGACAGCTCCCGTACAACAGCAACAGCAACGGGATACTTTCGTTGAGGATTTCTCCCGCGAAGCTGCTATGGCGCTGCAGAATATCTACGCTCTCAATGGCGATTTAGTCGCAGCTAAAGCTGTCACAGAGAAATGGCTTGTTATCTGATGTAAAGGATTTCTTCAAGTATCTACTTAATTAATCCTTCTGAACGGGATGGAAGTTAACGTTTTTACTTACAGATGTAAACTGGGCTATTAAAATGTATAATTTTCATCATCCTTCACTTCGTGATAAACATAAATGTAAGCAAATGCAGATAGAACGCCAACAAATAAAATAATCTGGAAGAGCTTAACCAACCAACGCCTACTATATAATTAACATTAAATACTTTGAATACATCCTTGATATGCATGGGTATCCTATCCTCATTCATCTGACCCTGACACCGTTACTCAACGTATGCATCATTTATTTATACACATCAGAATCGGGATCAGCGTCATCGAAGAAAACAGCAGATTGGCGCCTTAATTCCTCAACGAAGCTACCACGCGGAGAATCAGAATCAGAGACATGCGCACGAGAGGAGTTCACCGATACGAAATCCGGCACCTCCAAGTACCGCGACTCATCCTTATAGTTAGAAGAGAAACGCTCGGGTAAAGTACTGTCAAGACGTTCCACCATAGCATCGCCGGGTACGCGTTCATAATTGCGGTTATTTCCTCCATCCCTGTATCGGACCTGGTTCGGGTCTCGTCGAGACAGGATGGGAGAGGGGACACGGCCCAGGGAGCGAGCAGGGGAACAGCGGATTAGGCCGTTCATGATTTCAGTTTCGATCTTCGACCTGTTCTTGATGAATTGGATCTTGCCGAAGGTGCTGCGTTGGCCCTCGTGGAGCATGCGTGCTAGTCGCTCCGGGCTGGGGTCGGAGAGGATGTAATAGAAGTCTGACGCGACGCTTTTAGGCCAGATCGTGATCGTGCCGCTGAATTTCTGTAACCAGACTTCGCTCCAGTCCTGGCCCATTGGACGCGGAAGCAGTTCCAAGTGCCGGAGAACTTTGAGCCACTTGTTCAAATCAAGTTTGATATATTGTTCGATAGCGGAACCGAGAAAACCACCGCGCCAGCCTCGGCCTTTTCGGTGCGTAACCGGCCGGCCTACTGTACCTCGGGAACTGAAGAAGAAGAGGTTGATATGAGGGTTTACCTATTCAATATGGTCAGAGGACGGAGAGTGCCGTAGTAGGGAAATATTTGACAAACCTGAGAAACTATAGTGAAGCTAACATTAAAATGCAGATTTAGAGCCTTGATAGGTATATCAGTCCGAAGGCTACCGTCTTTCCATTTATGTCCAAAAGAGTAGGGCGCTAGAGTACCATCGTGTTTCTTGTACATCAACACCACTGGGTTTAAGATCCCTGGAACAGCTGCAGAAGCCAGCACAGCACTCCATATGACGCAATCCGGAGAGGTTAGATGGTTTGCCAGGATTGTTGGGGAATAAGGATCGGACGGTATGCAAGACACGTTCAGAATACGACCAGTGCGTTCGTACGCCTCCCTAAATGTCATCGAGCCCCTACAAAACCAACTACACTGCCGAGCCCAGGTCAAGGTATCAAACCTTGCGCCTGTCCGCCATAGCCGCGGTATCCAAACCTTGGGGCCTTCATAGCACGCTTTGATGCGGTGGGCCAGTGCCGGTACGAGTAGTTGCTTTAACTCCTCATCAGTCCGGGTTGCAACTAGAGCCGCGACCAGGGCACCTCCCGATGTGCCGGTTATAATTTCAGGCAGGACATCATTGTCGAGTAGTGCCTTGACAACTCCGAAGTGGTAGTAAGCAAAAGTGGCGCCTCCAGACAGGCAAAGTGCAGTTCGACCGAAGTTCGTATCAAGTTGTCTGAAATGCAGGTATTTGATGTCATCGCTGAGCTGGGAGCTATCCGAAAGCAGTCGAAGGCAGGCATGTACCTCATCTATGTACTCCTGCACCAGGTCCTTGGTCCCGGAATACGCCTCGCTATAGATCCGGGGATTCTCCACGCCGGCGAAGTTGTTCCTCACGCAGGCTTCCAAGAGTAACCGAAGCTCATCGATAGCAGGAGGCTCATTGGGATCGATAGTGGACGCATCATGCAGCCCTAGTTCGACCTTCTTCCTCACCTGTTTCAGCTGCGAGACAACTTTATTTATCATCAGATGGTCATAATAAGCGTATTCATCGTGTCGCTTCCACTCTTCATTCCCCAGATAGACATCTAGCGCCTGAGCGCAAGTCAGCCAGTCTGCATAGCTAATCTGCATCGCAAGCTGCCTTCTCAGTTTCTCCCTTGTACCTCTCCAGGTCACGAAGTGTTCGTACAGGAAGATGTACAGACGGGTCAGGACATAGAGGAAGCCAAGCACAATGATCCACGCGAACACCAGGAGGAACAAGGGCCATTTCAAGATAGCATACAAAACCCCCTCCCGCGTCTCATCCTTGCTTCTCTTAGGAGCTTTCCGACGGCCACGGGTCCTCCGAATACGCTGGTTGATGGGACGCCAATCATTTATAGCAACGAGCGGGGAAGCTTCGGGGGCATTCAGCGCCTTCTCGAACTGATATAAATCATCGGGGTCGATGAACTCTTTCTCAAAGTCTGGAAGGGTCGATGGATCGTAAATGTCGTGAAGTGTCGTCTTCTCATCTGAGGTCATTGTCGAGCAGGTCTGGGGTGATTCATGATGGATGACGTCCGCTGCGTTGGGGCAGATGGAGGGAAAGCGTTGTTTGCCATGTTTGCAATCGGGTGATCGACAACGACTCACCAGCCACTAATGTCAGGTGCCGCTTCGGGTCACGCGTGTGGCTAGTGTGGGAGCTAGTGTCAGCCATAGTCTCTTGACGGAGAACGACACAGCTTGACAGTATTAATAACGGCAGAAACGGAAATGATAATTAGGCATTCTTTCTGAAACCCAGCATATTAATTGCCTAGCGGATTTTCGGCAAAAAATATATGTATTTTACATTTAGCCCCTTGCTATAATTTTACGAATTCCGTGCTAGATGGAGCCGTCGAAGCACCAGGCATCGGGATGCACGGAGGCCGGACTCACCAGACTCGCGGGACCCCTAACAGTCGCGATCCTTCTCGGCCGGCTTTTGCCTTCCTGGGGCCAAAATCGGAAGGAATAAAAATGATAACATCAGTACTAGTAACACCAAAATACTCTTGACTATACAGAGTAATTGAATGAGGCAACAGTATTGTCGTCGTTGAAGGGTGGCGTTGAAATCGATGTTATTCTGTGGCTAGATGCAAGGTAACACTTGTGCAACCAACAGGACGGGAATGTCCTAGGAGTTATAATCGGAAGATTAATGGAGGATGACTTGCAGACACGGAGAATGAATCCCACAAGCCATTGACCTCAGTTGGCCCACGCTTCCCGGGCATCCATGGATCGGACCTGCGTTGTCTACAATAACACCACGGGCCAATTATTCGCCTTGTATGAGCCCTCAATTTACATTGATATTGATCCCGGATTGAAGTGGTTCTCTTCATTTCCTTTACACCGAAGACAATGATCCTTGGTATGAGAAAAGCTGGGTCGGAGGACACGGCCACAGGAGACAGCGTGATGTATCTTCGAAGCGGATAGATGATAGCTTCAGGTGACACAGCACAAATGCACCGCCTTATGTTGGTGTAGTAATAATAATAATAACAACAACAATCAATAACAACAACAAGGGATGATCTTTTAAGCGTTTGTACGCTGTGCAAGTCTATAATGCACATTGCGTACGTACACCGTATCATGCGCGCTGTACAGGGTATCCTGTAGTTACAGGTAGGAGTTACTTCATAGCGCTGAAGAAGGTCTATTACCGTTCGATGAGCATGATCGAATGGTGTCAAGGGTGTCCATCGGCTCGAGTGAGGATTGACCATGAGATACTACTACAGCTGTGTGATCATTATTCTGCTGGATGCGTACTGTTTCCCATCAGATGGTGGTTAAACCTCCGAAGCCGGGAAGCAAACCAGCTCGGGAAGAAGAGAAATAAATGCTTTAGATTCCCAACTAGGAAATGCTAGATCGAACTCGAAAGTTTGAACATGGATCGGATGGAGGGTCGCATACTTGAAACTTTGGTCAGCACTGCGCATGCTGGATTTGTAATGGACATTGCATCCTTATTGCATGCATTTTGTATGACCCCAGAAAATCCAGTGTTGCAGGATCCTATAGACTCTGAGTATCCGAAAGCAACCCAGTGTCTTTGACTCGTCTGTCCGCAATTCATCTCGCATTCTGATGTTGGTTTTCCCATGACATCATCCCGATAAGAGTGTATGCAAGGCGTTGCTAGGCAGAAGACAGGGTGGTCATGGGGACGCGGGGCAGGGAGAAAGGGATGCCACCAAGATGCATATGATGTTAGAGATTTTCCCGTTTGGGCCAGCAGGCGGCACGGCATTAATTATTATTATGATGATGCTGCACTGTGTGGTTATGACTGTGGTGTGATGGCGGCTAAGCGGTATGGCCGGTGCGGCAACTTGCAAGCTCGAAACGGACGAGGCTTTGGCTTCAACTTCCATGGTTGGACTGCCGAGAGAAAAAGACTTTGCTCTGTTTCAAGCCGGTAATTTGGTTTTTTTATTTATTTTAAAGTGGTTGAGCTGATGAAGCAGCAATTCAGCTTCACTCTCTCAATGTACAGTTGATCGTTCAGCTCCTATAGCTAGGATAGATAGGGGCATCCAGCAGATCAGCTACCACAGCAGATGGCAATGCTTTCGGGAAAGGTATCCTGGTCTGTGACAGCCATAACCCCCCGAGTTGAGCACTGTGCAGCAGAGCATCCGGAGTGCCGCTCCGAGTATGCTGTAAGGTGGTATGCGAGAGTCGATAATAGAAATAATGCAAAGTTAATGCACGTACTAGTCTTAGCGTGAACACATACAAAATTACAGATTGCCCACGGCCCAAGACGAATCCCCTCCATGCCGTCTAGGACTCCATCCTCTGCACGCGTTATGATTAATGTTTGACTTTCAGGCAAGACGAACGCCTGCAGAGTAGCATCATGAAGGCGGGCCACAGTGAGGATTGCCGCGAATCCTGGCGCTGATTCCTACACCCTTCGCTCTTCTCCCTCTGCGAGGAGATCAACGACGTGCATGGTACTAGCGCCCCATGGTGCTACTGGTATCATGCTGGTGATCAGAAACTGACCTGCACTGGCCTTTCCATTGGCTGCTTTTCTTTCTATCCTTGCCTCTTCATTTCTTTCTTTTTTTTTTTTTTTTGCACGAAGCCGCAGCGTACTACTAGCAAGCCATTAATACCGGGAATGGCGCGCAGAGGATGTACCGCACTGCCCTCTCCGGCCACGGACGTGACCAACAAACTCTGATATAATATGACTGTCCGTGACTGTAGCGTTGGATTCCGTCTTGCCAGCTACTTACATCAACGGCAAAAGTGTAAACTTAGTCGCCTTCGGTATCGGAAGCCTCCACTTGGGAGGGGCAAAAGGGGCTTAAGTTGTGTCTGAACCGAGCACCAGCGCTGATAATGACAATACTTGACCCGCCTACTGCCAATCGCAGCGTTAACTGCCCGTCGATGCGCGGATTTGGTCAGAGCTTGGGTGTTTAGAGCGTTACCGTCGAAGTTTATCCCACCACGGAGAATGCTGCCTCCGGACTCGGTCGACATATCTTTTTTTTTTCCGGTGTTGCTGTGATTCCCATTTCCCACGGCAGATGAGACCTCACTCTTAGATGATAAGAAAATAAATGTATAGATCTGCAGAGAGAAAGAGAGACAGAGTAACCAGCCGAATAAACAAAAGAATACGGCGGAGAAAGAGAGAGAGATACGGAAGACGAATGGCAACATCTGCTATCTCGTAAGGAACGGGACGCTGTGATACAGCCGTAGTGTAAGGTTTAATATAGATACCATAATATTATTACTGCGTATAATGGAAACATAGATATTTGCTCGTCGCGCACGTCCCTGCTGCCGTTCTGTCGTTTTGATCTTCTCCTGATCCTTTGGCGGGCAATAATAATTATTTACCCTTTGCATTCCAATCCATTTTTCATATCTCACTCTGTCCTCTTCTTTCTCTCTCTCTCTCTCTTCCTCTGATCCCCTCAATTCTTCCACCCTACCTTGCGCGGTCCTCTCCTCCACTCGGGTTGTTGCCTTCCCCTCCCGTATTAAATATTTGTTCTACCGTCCTAGCACCTCCCATCCCCGCGCCCAAGCCGAAAGTCGTCGTTAGATCAAAACATCGCGAACAGGTCTTGTGAACCTTTCTGTCTCTGGTCCCCGTCTATATATTCAGAGGTATCCCTGACTCCTCTGTCTTCCCAAATCATCGAGTACACCTGCGCCTCCGTAAATGCCGCACTGCAGCCTCCGTTGCACATTGTGTTGGCTGTGTTGACTGCATGTGGACGGACAGTAAATATAGCAGCAGCTTGAAGGAACCATATCCTTTTACTGACTCCATTTCTCTTTTCTGTTCACAGGCCCCTTTACGAATATTTCTCTTGCTCTTCCTGCACTGGTGCCGGCAAGATGTCGCTCCCTTCTTCCAGCAATTGCTGAACGCCTTTCAGCCAATTCAACGCCCACCGAACTTCCGCCTCTCACTCTTTTCTTTTATATACCATCCGGGAACCAATTGCACCCGGAATGGAGAAATTCGACTCAGAAGATGGACAACTCTTCATAAAGGTTCGTCTTTTTTTTTTTTTCTCTCATCCCTGACTTTGGTTCTGGACTATTCCTAACCTCTCCTCCGTCAACTCCTAGAACATCGCAAATTTCATCCGGACACATGAGAAAGCCCTCGCGAACGCAATCCAGCTGAGACGCCAGTCCGCCAAAAATGCCCAGTCCACAAGCTCCTTTTCCTCTACATCAGCCTCTCTGGCTAGCGCCCTGTCCTTCGGGGCGTTCAAATTCACCTCTCAGCATATCCGGCCGGCCAAGTTGACCTTGACGCCTCATCATCTCTTCTACCTCCTTTCCCGGTTCGAGGAACTTGCCGTCTCCGTGGGGCCTATGAATGTTAGGCTGGAGAACATTCAGACGGAGACACTGCCATCCTATGTCTCGTTTCTAAACAAGCCACAACGGTCTAGGACCGATAGAGACTCTATCCACTCAGTATCCAGTGTCCATAGTGCCCTATCTAGTATGAGTGCTGTCTGGTCATCGCTTGGGTGGCACTCCAAAGACTCGTCCAAATCCGAAAAGGCCAAAGCAGCCCTCGAAGCGGACCTCAAGTATCTATACTCTGCCTTCACTAAAATACCGTGCTTGCGTTTAGCTCCAGACAACCGTGCTCGTCTAATACGCGGATACGAGGAGTTTCCGTTCGACACCGCCGTGCCCCTGCATTCCTTCAAGAACCTAAGTTCGCTCGAGGTCGTTGACATTGACTTCCGCTCCTTCTTCGGTTGGGACAGACTGGCAGAGCAGCTGAGGTCACTGACCATAAAACGAGCAAACCTCGAGGATCCAGCAGATCTGCTAACTGGAATCGTTCTTGATGACATGGATAAACGAAGACGCCGGTCGTCCAAGGCTCAGCCGTCCCCCGTGCTCGATTGGAGTGCAAGCGCATCCTCCCGAAGGTCGGAGTCCGTATCGGTTCCCGGGTCTCCCATCAACGATCTTCTGTCTGGTGCAAGCGCTAGTCCTCAGGCATCTCCTATGATGAGGGTACGATCTGAGGGCGCCAAGGCTCCCACACGAACAGGGAGTTCCTCTCCCACTCGCCCAACCAGTGCAAAATCTCGTCACGCTCGTGGAGCTTCTGCGCGGATTCGTCGCACGGGTTCCGGCAGTTCATATTCCAGTGAGAACAACAATGTTGGTCGAAATGGAAGTTCCTCGAATCTACTCTCGGATTTTCTTCCATCGTCGAAATGGAGATTCCTCCGACATCTCGGTCTTCCCGATAATTCCCTGACATCTCTTCCCGCGGCCAGCCTGGCCCCTGTCGCGGACACCCTGCAGTCCGTCGACTTATCATCAAACCTGTTCAATGAAGTCCCGGAAAGTCTGGCTTCTCTGGTGTCTCTGAGGGCCGTGAATCTTTCTCACTGCATGATAGAGTCGTTGCACTCTCTTTCCCATAATCCTCTTCCTGCTATCACGGCTCTCAATCTCCGCGGCAATCGTCTCCGTTCCCTGGCAGGTATTGAACGGCTGCCGTCTTTGGAAAGACTCGACTTGCGAGATAATAACCTTTCCGATCCAACAGAGCTCGCCAGGCTTACCAGTCTTCCTGAGATACGGGAGATTTGGGTCTCTGGAAATCCTTTCGTGAAGACGCACTCTGGATACCGCATTGTTATTTTCAATCTTTTCCGTCGCACACCAGGCTACTTTGAAGATATCTTGATAGATGGATCCGGTCCCGGATACGCTGAAAGAAAACAACTTGTTGATAGGGTAGCTGAGCCTCCGGCTGCTCCGGTCGTACGAAGGGCTTCCCCAGACATCGGGGAAGTCATAAGCAAGCCGTCTGGTTCTCAATCGGGGACTACCGCAACGAAACCGACAACTCATAGCCAGCGGGAGCGACAGCGTGCAATTTTACCGCCAGACAACGCCGAACCAGCGAGAATCGATCGAAAAAAAAAGCGGCAACCTGAAACGGGTACTCCGTCGCTAGGTTCTCACTCTCCCTGCGATACTACTGGTGGTTTGACCACAGTGATGCCTCCTGTACCTCCCATCCCGCCGGATGCGGAGTTCCGGCTTCCCCTCACACAGCCTTTCATATGCTCCCTTGCTGACCGTCAAGGGTGCGTTGGTGACAACAAGTCCCAGTTCTCCGTATGCAACTCACAGAAACTTACCAAGCCTGGTGGTCATCCAGGTCTGTCTGCCCAGACGATACGCCGAGTCTCTTCCCTAGAGCCCACGGTCCTTAATTTCGATGTTGACGGCAATCTCTATCCACGGAAATTAGGGGCCATCAAGTCGGGGGTTGGAACTGGCTGGTTCGCCGTGCTCGGAGATAGGCCCTGGGAGAAAGGACAGAATGATCTCCCGGTGCAATGTACGAATCCGGAATTGCTGATTCCCACACCACCCGGAATCCAGACGAACTGTCTTACCCGGACAAATAACAGGGCTATCCTCAGCGGCGGCCCTGCCTAGGGTTGATATCATGCCCCTGCGGTCTACTTCTCACCTACTGCTATATACCTACTGCCGTATATGGCGTTCAAAGGACCCACGTGGTTAATACGTTGGCCTTGAAAGCTTTACGTTTTCTTACCAGAGCATCCTGCCCTGTATTGCATTTTTCGGCGTTACCTCGTTTGTCAGATATCTACCATTGGGAATACGGATGCTTGTTATTTTATTTTTATTTTTTTTTTTTGAATTCCTCGCTCTTCCCTGTGTCCCATTTCCTCATATCTCTTCTCCTGGCTGTCTGGGGCTGGCCCATTTCATTGGGACACTCAAAAAGAACGCTGTTTCAGTAGACATTTATATTATTTTGCGGTTTATGGCTGGTTATCTGGGCGTTGTGGGCTGTTTGTTTGTCTCCTTTTCGCTGATTATTATTTTTTTTTTCGGTGAAGTGGCCGTCACTGGGTCTCGTTTTTTTATTCAGCATGCCGGATGTTATACCTAATTTTGCTCTTGCCTGGCTTTTTTCCGTTATGTGCCGCCCAGCGCGCTCTTCCACTCGTTTCTTCCTTTTTCCTCCTTTCTTGCAACGGATATGAGAGACGAGTTTGGATCTGCAATCCGGAGTTGATATATGAGAAACGAAGTGTACTTAGCAGTGACGAGTCATTTCCGGCTAAAAGCAATGGACGTTATGAACTAAGCATGGACAATTTAGTGTTCCAGTTTCCCGTCGTAGCGACCTGGGTCAGCCAAGTCTGGGGTAAGAAAAGATGCCGACTAGTCAGAAATAGCAATAGACTCGCGTAGGCTTGTTCAGAAATGGTTGATTCATCGTGGGATTGGCTGGGTGTTTGCTGTGGTCGGACAAGCGCGTGTGCTGCTTGGGAGCTGTGCACGAGTGCGGGCTATTAGCGAGTAGGTTTTGGACGGTCTGGACGCTGTATTGGGATGGGTCAAGAGTCTTGCAGTCGAGCAAGAGATCTGGATAGAAGAGATGCAATACCTAGTATTATACTGCGCAGACAGCGGGTGAGTTGAAGCAAAGCACGGTTGCTGCTCTTTGCCGCGCCCCAGTCAGTCTCCTCCCGCGAATCATCGACCCGCCGTCTTTCCAAACATCTCTCTCCCTCGTCCATCTTGTCTCCCTCCCTCTCTTCTTCCGCCATCGTTGCCTTCCTTGCCCGTCCAGTCTTCCATCAAGCCAATTTCCCTCGATCCATCTCGCTGCGGCCCCTTCCATCGCTGCCGTCGTCGTCGCGTCGTATTTCGCTCCTCGTTCGGTTTCGCTCCTACGTGCCCCGTTCTCCTTTCTCCCCCTCCTCGTCCAGACGAAGCAAAGCGAATAAGAAAGCGAGATATCTCGAAGCATCCCCTATCCATCCGTCATCAAGCCTTGCCTCCTTTTCCTCTTCACGACTCTCGTTCGTGTCGGGATAACGATCGAATACCCCCTCCCCACAACCACAAGTCTCTCCCGGTGTCCGTGTTCGTGTCCGTCCTAGAGTGCTGGAGATAGACTCTCGTCCCGGTATCTTATATTTTCTTTCCTTTTTTTTTTTTTTTCGCCATCGTATTCATCTGTCACTCTATCCCTATCCCCTACGTCTCCCTGTTTAACTCCTAGCTGCACTATTTTCCTCTAATTCATATCGTTTCTCTTTTTTTTCTAAAAAAAATCAAAATTTATTTGTCTCTTCTGCTCAAACTGTTCGGCGTCGTCGAGTCTTGGTCCTTCGTTGTCCAGACCCAGCGGGAGCCGCAGCGCGATTTGGCTTTAACCATTATCTTTCGTGCATCTGCTACTTCCAGCTTCAGCAGCTGAACTCTCCATTCTAGGGCGCTAGGGTCCCCACCTCGTCTGGCATTCCTGCCAGATTATCGATCCCGGAGGCCATTTGGCCCGTTTCTGTTCCCTTTTTTTCTGCTTGACGAAGCTTTTTTTTAGAGGTTCCTGGATACCATTCCGTAAGCGTCCTCCCCTCCGCCTTGTGTTTTCTCTTCTTCCCCCGTCGGAAAATTTCTTTCGCGCTAGCATCACGTCGTCCTGTCCTTAACTTGGAAAAAGCGAAAAGGCAAAATCACGTCTTTTCGAATTCGCGCATTTCCCCCCTTGGTTGTGATGTCTAACCCTTCTGTTTGATCGAGGTAGTGAATAGATACTGCGCGTTCCATCTCGCTACTCTACCGAGCGCTCCCGAAGCTGCCCTCCCCGCCGTTCGTCGTCTGTCTTTCCCGCGGCTACCCCATCACACCGTGCTTGGTCGACCTTGTTCTCTACTTTTTCTTTCTTTTCCTTCTCGTCTCTCATCACAGCCAGCGTAAAAGATGGCTGACCAGAGTGAAGTGGATTTGGATTCAATCATTGACAGACTCCTTGAGGTGAGGGGCAGCCGGCCTGGCAAGCAGGTTCAGCTTCTGGAGTCCGAGATCCGCTATCTTTGCACCAAGGCCAGAGAGATCTTCATTTCTCAGCCGATACTGCTGGAGCTGGAAGCGCCAATCAAGGTAAACAATGGACCCCCATATGTGGCCCTCCATCTCTCGAGAAATCCGATGGCTCACGAAGCTCTTTCTGTGGGTAGATATGTGGCGACATTCATGGTCAATACTACGATCTCCTTCGTCTTTTTGAATACGGTGGCTTCCCGCCCGAAGCGAACTATCTGTTCCTCGGGGACTACGTCGACCGTGGCAAGCAATCGCTCGAGACTATCTGCCTTCTACTCGCGTACAAGATCAAGTATCCCGAAAACTTCTTCGTCCTTCGCGGTAACCACGAGTGCGCGTCGATCAACCGTATCTATGGCTTCTATGATGAGTGCAAGCGGAGGTATAACATCAAACTTTGGAAGACATTCACCGACTGCTTCAACTGCCTGCCTATTGCGGCCATCATCGATGAGAAGATTTTCACCATGCACGGTGGCCTGAGCCCTGACCTCAATTCCATGGAACAGATTCGCCGTGTTATGCGCCCTACTGATGTAAGTTTCTATTTCCTTGGAGGTTATTTTTTTCAAATTCAAATTTGCAGTTCCCCTTCCTATCCTCGGTCCATTCATGAATGCTGGGCTCCACGAAGCTCAAGGCTTTGATACGCTAACCGATGCAGATTCCCGACTGCGGTCTTCTCTGCGATCTTCTGTGGTCCGATCCCGACAAAGACATCACTGGTTGGAGTGAAAATGATCGTGGTGTGTCGTTCACATTCGGTCCCGACGTTGTATCGCGTTTCCTCCAGAAGCACGACATGGATTTGATATGTCGCGCTCACCAAGTCGTCGAGGACGGCTACGAGTTCTTCTCCAAGCGACAGCTCGTAACGCTCTTCAGCGCACCCAACTACTGCGGCGAGTTTGACAACGCTGGCGCGATGATGAATGTGGACGAGAGCCTTCTTTGTTCGTTCCAGGTAAGCAGCTAGATTTTCAAGTGCTGGCTATAAGAGGTGAAAGTATCCGCATGGCTAACGCTGTCCTTTTTTTTTCGTTTCCGGTCGAAGATTTTGAAACCAGCAGAAAAGAAACAAAAGTACGTTTACGGGGGCATGAGCTCAGGCAGGCCCATCACTCCTCCGCGAAAGCAGAAGAAGTAAAAGGAATCATACGAGCTTTTCCATGTACAGCAGGTTCGGGCGGAGATAATCCTTTCTTTCTCTTAGAAAGTATCAAGGTCACGACGACATCCGAGGCAACCCATCGAATGCTAAGACAACATCCGAGCATCCCACGATCCTCCCGATACGCCATGGCAAAACTTCGACACGACCGCGATATACAATATTATCACCTCCCGCATTCCGAAGAGAGATCCGCATTACCCGCCCCGCCGGCTTGATCTGAACTCCGTGTTATCACTATCTGGAAGGAAGGTACTTTTCTGCACCCTTAAAGACTTGGTTTTCTTTGTTCTTCTAATTATTCCAAACTATTTTTTTTTTTTCGCCTGGTCTTTCTACCTTTTTTATCTTGTCTGCTTTCCCTTAGGGCTTTACTTTTCTTACCCGGGGAAAGGACGGCGACGGGTTGCATGCATTGTTCTGTTCTGTGTGTTTTTTTAGCTTTTCCTTCTTGTCAGTGTAATGCCAAATATGCAACGACATGTTTTTGTCCCTTTGGTCCTTCGAATTATCGTTAGCACCACACAGCATTGAGAAGAGAAAAGCTAGCCACACAACCACGGACTAGATACCCGGGGTTTAACGACAATGACATGAGATGCCTCCTGGGTGCATTTTCTATCCACTCTTTTTAGGTACCTTCCTGGTCATATATGAAATGAGTCCTGCAAACATCGGTTGTAGACCTTAGATTGGAATCTTACGGGCTACGCCACAGCAGATACGGTATAGTATATATATGAAATACCTCGAGTGAACATTGGATTAATTAATTTTTATTTAAAAAAAAAATTCTAGGAGATAATCCAGACATTTCAAGGAAAACTCCACGACTGAAAAGAAATGTTTCCAAATGGGGACGCTATAATTTGCTTAACATCTAACGAACACCGGGAACGAGGAAGAAAGAAAACAAGAAGTTGATCTGGGAACGGAACACGCAGATGACAAAACAGCGAGAAAGATTGAGATCAGAGGACGCATGGAAACAGAAACGGGAACAGAAATACAAAAATAAAAAAATAATAATCATCATATTGCTCAATTTCATCAGACGTATTGGGATAACCATCTGATACCTTCGCCATAACCTGAAAGAAGAAATGAATCTCAGAATCTGCTTTTCAATTTTATCATCCGAAGGAAACGGGGGATAAACCAACCTTGTCTCATAACAACACTACACATAAACACCTCGATGGGTCGGATACCTTCGAGCGGAACCTTTCCCTTGCCCGTTGTCTGATACAGGCCCAACTGATGCCTCAGCTCCTCCTCGCTGACGGCGTGGGGATGATCGATCTTATTCCCAAGCACCAAGAAGGGGACCTTTGCAAGTTCTTCCATGGAAAGGAGGGCATCGAGCTCGGCTTTGGACTCGGGGAATCGTTCGACGTCCTGGGCGTCGACAAGGAAAACGATTCCGTTGACTTCGGGGAAGTAGTCTTTCCAGAGACGGCGGGCTATGGGTATCGAGTGTATCAGCGTTATGTTCTATTCTTTCTTTCTTCCAACTCACCCTGTTTGTGACCGCCAAGGTCGAAGGTGGTAAACTTGTTGTTTCCAATCACCAGTTCCTCGGATGCTGCAGATCAAAATCGGTCAGTCGTGTGTCGCTTGAACGTCGAGGTAAGACTTGTAGAAGAGAAGGGGATGGTGGGATATGTCGACATACTCGGATGCGCGGTAGGCTGCAGAATCGCAACACGGTCATTCTAAAAAAAGATTTCCCTCGATCAGTTCAATCCTAGAACCAGACCCTCGTAGACAGAAAGCAAAGAGAAAAAGAAAGTCAAACATCCCACGCGACCGCAGGAATACAGAATAACCTCCATGAAAGAAAAACACACACCTTTAACATGTGCAAAAGGGTCGTCTTTCCGGCATTATCGAGACCGAGAAACAGGAGCTTGGCATGCTTGTTAAGGAGGCCAAGAGATGCCAGGAAATCGTAGACTGAGCGGGATCAGAAAAGAGCAGGTTAGTTAAGGCATTCAGTGACTGTTGGACTGAACAGAAAAGAAACAGAAATCATCTCCTTTCCCTCTCTCATCGACAGGACAAAAAGAGATAGGCGGCCGCAACAGAGAAGAAACCGGGAGAAGGGGATATAGACGTACACCAGTTGATAATCCACATTGTGGCCCGCGGAATTTGTTTGAGACTCGACGAAAGGAAATAAAAAAAAGCGAAGAGACGTTTCGTAGGGTCGTTTTATGCGTGGGAATTCGAGAGACCGAGGAAAACAGGGTGGGTTGTTAGAGGGGGAGGTTGTTGAAAGAAGAAGACAGGTTGCAGAGGGGCCGATTGAATCTCGACGTTTGGCGGACTCGAGGTACTCCGTGCTAACTCACCGCACTGGCTGTCGTATGCCACTACAAGCCTACAATTAAATGTACACAGCAATAAACAACTTGATTAATTAATCAATTATAACTGTGAGATAATCCACGCTTTTTACGCGCTTGTGGTATTGAGAAATGTTTCATCGTCTTGTATCTTTGGAATCAATCCCACTGACTAGACACGTGACTGATACTCCATGATATTTCACCTGTCAACATACTCCGTATATAATTATGCTACAAGATACAAACTGCTCCTGACGATGATAACAATGGTTAGAATTCTTCGGTTTCATAGCTTAGCCCATAAGCAAGTCAGAGTAGCACGGGTATATAACAACACCACGCATATCACACAGCACACGATCCGAGTTGACCGCAAGAGTGATCCTCCGCGGAAAATAGCGATTAAAGAAGATAATCGCCTGCAAATGCAGTGCCAAGTTCGTTCCTGGCAAAGAGGGAAGAAAACGCTGAGTGAACTCCCAACAAAAAGGAAATTAATGATATGAATAATCCTGGTTTCCGCCCATCGGTTGCCACCGGGGAAAAGAAAGGGGGAAACAGCGGAAGTCTAGTAGACCACATCATCAAGTATGTACAGGAAAATTAAACACATATTCCGTTCAGGCAAAGTCGCACAGCACCTAAACAGATATGACCAGTTGAGCGTCCTGGCTAACGCCGTAAGCTCTGCATCTCTCAGCAGCTTCCAGGCCAAGCTCTTTCATTCGTTCAGCTCCTTTTCCAGGAACAGGTCGCCGCTCCATCTCTTCTTTCGCGATTTTGCGGCAGTGTTGACGCCAGAATTTCTCCTTCCGTTTCTGACGCTTTCTTTCTAGGCCCTCAACAATGTCGACGGGTCCTCTGGTGTGAACCTCCCGAGTACGCGACTGCTCCCGGGACGGGTACTCTTCCAGTGGAGGGAAGTATGACCACCGACGCGAGCTATCCATACCGCTGAAGAAGGGATTGGGGGTCCTGGGCAGTGACTTGGTCCTGGCCATTCCTATCGGCCGCTGGACCAACCCGCTGATGTTGAAACCTACGTGAGGCTGCGAAGGAACTTCGTCCTTCAAAGCCCGGTCGCCAATCGCCGGTGGAGGAGACTTCCCTTTCGGTGGTGGCGGGGATCTAAGGCGTTTGGGTGACGACCGACCGTGACGGCGAGGTGGCGGGGAATGCAGTCGCTTTGGAGAACGAAGTGGAGAAGCCTTGCGAGCCTGCTCATGCCTCCCTCGCGAGATATCGTCATTGAATCCCTCCTCGGCCTCATCATCAGAGAATGCATTGGAAGAATCCTCTTCCTCTGGATCTGAGGCGGGGAAGCTAGGGTCGATGTCCTGAGGAATGGGAATCTGCTTGGAAAGGCGACGCTGCTCTAAGCAGGATTTGTACGCGGCCTCGAGAGGACGGTCCTCGTCTAACGTTCCACAAACGAAATCGGTGCTATCAGGAAGCTTGGGTGTCCCGGGACGCATTTTATTCGATTTGGTGCGATGGGGGTTGCGCCCACGATGAGTCGACGGCCAGAAGGGTTGAGCTTCGTTTGCGGAGTCAGCGGACGTGTACGAATCCCGGCGGCTGCGGTCGACATCAGGGCGATGGAAGACATTGAGATTGCAAGAGGAAGTAGCCGTATTTGACGGAACCCATAGTTCAGAATCCGATCCCTTTTCGCTCTCGTCATCAGATTCGGCAAATCCAGCCTCATTGTCGGACTCATTGCCCTCGTCATCAGAGACATCATAGTCGGTTGAATCGTCATCGTCCAGGTCATCGGCATCTTCATCTTCATCTTCCTCCTCTTCATCCTCTCTGGCCTCCTCCTCAGCTTCCTCCGCAAGTCTTCGTATGGCGTTTTCCTTTTTGAGACAGTCATTCAAGGTGATCTTGTCAGTATGTTCGGGCTCATTCGTGACCCATTCGGGGTCTTCATCGACAGAACAGGCAAACTCGTGGAAACGTGTCTGCTCAGACGCCTCAAACTTGCCTAGACCGGTCATTTGGATTCCGCGTCTCTCAGCCAGTGAAGTCATCTTCTCTGGTTGGTCTTTGGAGGCTTGTGTGGAGGGAATGCCATTCTGTTCCAGTGAAGCCTTGCGAGCGAAAGGAGCCGGGGATCCACGTGGGCGTGACTTGAAAGAGGCTCTTCGGGAAGGAGAGCGTTCCCTGCGAGTCCCTGGTTCCCTGACTGGGCAACATGCGAACGAGATGGTCCTCTGTCTCTTCGGGGACTCAGGCGGCGCGGTCTCGGTCCGAGTGTTGGTATCGGCAGCCGGTTGGGGCTCTTTCGACTGGGCACCACACGCAAAGCTTATACAGCGCTTCCTTCCGAGGTTCGCTTCAACTTGTGACTCGCCACGATCCGCCGTTTTGACCTTCGGAGACGCTGGCTTCTGAGTAGGAGAGAGATGACGGGTGAACTGAGAGGCGAATGGAGGACTAGGTGAGTTGGATAGGGAGGGAGGGCCACCGTCGCTCGTCAGGTCAGCAGTTGGGACACCGGCGTGGCTTTGAGGGTAGGAAGAACGGTATTGAAAGATGTTATCGGTGGGAGAGTAAGGTTGTTCGGAAGGGCTCAGTTCAGGGCTATTACTCTTCAAAGCACGAGTAAGAAGGGACTCCTTAGGATCACGTAGGACCGTAGGTGATTTGATATAGACGACACCGTCATCGATACGTTGGTCCGGCGGCTCGTCTGCCTCCTCAGTGAAGTCATTGTCGCCATGACCAGGCTTGAAGTGTGTACCAGGGGAGAGAAGCATCCTCAGGACGTTGTGAAGGGGAGGGAACGTCCTCTCACGACCGTGCGGCTGCGGCATTCTGACGGATATTGAGCGAGGAGAGTTGTAGGTGGGTGAATCAAAAGGCACACGAATCGGGGTTTCCAAGGGCAAAACACGATCCGTCCGGTGGTGATTTTGGGGGCTTTCCTCGATGCGTCCAATTCAAACAAAGAGAAAACTGAACAGTCCTGGACGGAAGAGGAATGCGTGCCTGTTGAGTGTCCCGAGAAGGACGAGTGAGGTCACGGTATAAGACACATGATGAAAGGAAGAAGTATGACAAGTGAAATTGTCTCGAGAGAAGGGAATAACCCCAAGCTTTTCCGGGGGTAGCTCGATATAATAAAGAGCACCCCAGAGCAGGAGGATCAACGCGGGATGAATTAATGGGAAGAGTAGTGAGTTGTTTCGACGGGGTTGGTGGAGGGGAGACAATGCCGGCCACGATCAAAAAATAATGGAAAGCAGAGGGAAAAGCACTAGGCGGCTTGGCGTAGTGCAGGCTTAAATTCGGCGGAGAGTTTCATTGCCACTCCACATGTAATTACGTTACCGTACGCCAGGCACACTTCAAGTTACTTAAGTGTCCGTACTCCGTACCGACCTGGTAATAGACTGTATGAGGCATTTTCTGTCTTGGCCGTCGCCGCGGGCGGTACAGTACCAATACCGTACACGTACGTCACTTCTTCCTTGCTGCAGCGGGAATATTAAATTGAATATTAAATATGAACATTGATGATTGAATAGAAACATGAATATAAAAGTAAAATAATTATCTATCGGTGACTCTATCCAGTACTGTAGCAGAAACTTAATGGCTCTTATTGAATGGGTAGAGCATACCTAGATAAACGAAGCTGCGTAACAATGCGGCCATATCCATACGTACACGGGCTCGGGAGATGTGCCGTGAGCCGGCCTGAGGCGTCACCCAGAGCGAATCGCATCCCAACAACAATAATGATCCGAATGGATCTGATTTATGGAGTTTACTCCATGAATGTTATTATTCTTGCTTTTAAACCCGTCCTAGGATTCAGGGCAAAAATTACGGTCATCCTTTGCTTTTCTTACTTTCTGTCGAATTTACCTCCAGTCGCTATGCGCCAAGTCAATCCCCTTATGCATCCATGATGTAGTTACTCAATAGGGTTGCATAAAACATACCCTCGCTACGAGGGGGAGTTCATAGCAATGCTATGCTCCTGTTCATGCAACTAACCCTGCAAGTCGCTCTTCGCGCTGTTCGCGATGGAAATGTCCCTTCCCCTAAGTGGCTAGCACTCTTGGCTTGTGCGGCACACAAGTTTCAACAGTGCTCATTTAAGGTAAGGCGCTTATGAGCACTGTTGCCAGAAATAACAACCGCGGTCGATCCTGCCAGGTTTCCCTGCAGCAATGCGTCATAAGTGCAACCTGTCATCCCTCGTTTCATCTGTAGTCCTTAGCGATGAGGTATCAGTATTCGAGAGCATCAATGAAAAAAAAAAGAAATGGGTGTCAGGTTCACTGTTCCCATGAGCATCGGTAGTAATAGCAGACAAGCGGTCAGAATAGATAGGACTCCGTACTCCGTCCTCCGATGGCACTGCACAATAATAATCTATTGTGCATTCTTTTAAGGCGTCGGTATTACGCTGGTCAGCCCGATTCGGAAATATCCAGCGGTGAAATTTACAGTACGGGCCGTTACGGGGCAGATTACTCGATTTGACATGTTGAAGAGATTCTTTCTTATTTGTGCTCCGTGCGGTTATTTTATTATTATTATTACTACTATCTGCATGTAATTGTACATCATTCTGGCAGCGCTAAGAACCTACTTACCTGGACCGGCACACACATCCAATCAACAGCTTCTGCATATCGTTCCATGAAAAAGGAAGAAAAGCATCCGTGCAAGGCGCTACCACTGAATCCCGTATCGTCAGTTAAGGGGGAAATAAAAAAATCTTCAGCGGAACGTCTAATGAGTGTTTCGGCTTGAGACGTTGGTTACCATGGTCCTAAGAGTCTGATCCTTATAAAATTCCAGTTATGTCAACCTTTCAACATGATTTCAGCACACCCAGAGGATGATCCAAGCGTCAATTTCGATTGTGATGGAGCTTATTTACTGTACATGTATACAGACTCCAGAATAACTGCCGGATATTGCAGGCATCATATATGCCGGACAGCTCGTCCCATCCTTGCATGAGATGGCGGTTGGTTTATGGCAACTGGGACACACGGAGTAATTGCAGGGGATGTTATGGATTGGAGTGGAATTCCACCGGCGCTCGGTGTGCAGGGCAGGGCGGCTTCTGTTTCTATGAGGCATTTAATTTATTGACAGCCGTATCCTCCCTGGGAATAGGTCGATATGTATAATGATAATATGTTATGATTCCGTGCGCTCCACCTCGAAAAAACACACGATGCCGTTGGGATACATTAATTGGTAACATCCAGATTGCAAATGCCTTTTTTTTTTTGTTTTTTTTTTTTTTTTTTTGCAAAAAGTGGACTGGGACAACTCAACGTTTCCACTCCTCTTCACCACGTCTACATCAGTACATAGACGGAGTACTCCTAATTTTGGCAAGTGAGCGTATGCCAGCCACTATCAACAGGGCAACCACGTTATCTACAGCTTTAGCACCTAGCGTATGCACGTCTTCTGATCCCTGCGAGGTCAATTGACGTCGCCTTCATCATCTTCTTCTACCGCGGAAACCTCCAATCTCAAGCCTCTCTTCAATATTCTTCTCTGGTTCATCGGCTAGAATGAACCCAGCACATTGAACAATAATCATGATGCCAATCGCAATTGATATCTAACCGGCCGGGACCGCTTAGCTGTCATTGGGAGTTTCGTCCGAGAACGGGTGATCTCCAGATATCTCACTACGCGAGACGGAATTCCCTGTCCACATATTTCTGTCAACACAGTCGCTATTCTGTCTGGCTGCTTTCGCCGATGTGCAGAATTGATGGCGTGCATATCTCGATTCGATCGCTTTCGTTTCCACACTTCACACCTATGCATATGTGCTTGGCTCGAGTGTCAACTGTCAAGGATGTAGGCATCGCCTGATCGAATCCATTCTGTATACCGTGGTGAAGAGATGCGCGCTATACACGGAGCACTGACCTCCATCCTACCTTTCTATATACCCATGCTTGCAAGGCATAGATGGACTCGGACGAGTGGAAGGATTCATCATCATTCCGTGATTGTCAAGGATGAGCATGAGTCTTATGGTAAGTACTGCTGTATGTCAGCGCCTACGTATGCATTCAATGCCCTGGTATGCTTGACACGAAAGGGATGCTATCAAGGCCCGTACATCTGTACCACCCAAGAGTTTTAAGTGGAATATGATGCAAATAACAAGGCAGTGCATGATGACCACTTCATGCAATACTCAAAAGCATAGGAATCAACATGAGATATTAACACTGCCACCCCTCAGGCAGATAAATTTCCGGCTTGTGACAACGCAAGTCTTGGGAGTCGATCTTGCATTTTTTAGCTTTGTTGTCTGTTTTTCTATCGTTGCCTTCTAGAAACACATTTCTTGGCTGTCCTACCAGCTCTGTTGCCAAAGGGACGATCAATCAGACGCAGACGTAAAGTTTAGGGCTGGCTTTTGCCAACTTTGAACGAAAAAAGTATATACAGAACTCTATCCATTTCAATCCTCGATAACATTGCTGTAACACGTCTTGGCAAGAAATAGAAAATGGGGCTCCGTATGTCCTTGCTGCCCCTCCATCAAACAACCACACATCCAACATTAGAACATTATGACTGCTCCACGCCTCTCGTCTCAGCTCTAACAATTCTCTATACTACCCCTTGTTGACCTCCCTACGCCCACGCTCGTCGCCCCGTTGTTTTAACACGACGGCATCCCCGCAACTCTATCAACAGCGGCGCTGCTACGTGTAATGGTTTCAGCGATGCAGCAGTCGAGCCGGCGTATCAAATCCTGTATGTGACGGACGAGGATTATCAGGCCAAATATGACATTCAGCCACTATGCTATCTGGTGCGCGTGCCTGACACCAAGTGGGTGAAAAGAGGAGAAGGATGACGACGAACCGGAAGGTGAGGGCGAAGACGCATGGGAGTTCGTGCGCGACCTTTCATAATCGCGACGATCTGGTGTTGACCCGAGGCGGACGGACTGTACGCAACGGAACTGATCTGCTTGCCTTGGTCAAGATTGCGCTCTATTGAGAGCAAAGACGTCCATGATCAAGCTTGGCGGTTACTTGGCGCTCTATATTAGAGATTTTAACAATACCCTCTGCTCCAAGAAATAGCCCTGCTTGGCAAACACATGCAACTCGGATGATCTGCAGGCCACAGTATTTCTTCACCGGACTGATTTTTGAGAGGACGGAGTACGGAGATGGAGTCTTCAGATTTTACTCCGTACCGCTGTATGTCACTATATGTACTTTCTTTCTATCATCATAGACCTTCCCTTTCGGGATGCCACCACCTTCATGAGGGTACTCAGGATGACTCTCAGTGCGTATTTCTCATCATGGATGAGCTTAATAATCACTCAGGGTATGCTCGGGGCATGCTCAGATCTACTCAGTGAGCACAAGGTATGTATAGCGTCCTTTGTTATGGATGTCATATGCATCAATATGAATGTCCATCATATGCCTCCTAGGAAGCCTAGGAAGCCTAGGGAGCTTTGATGATGTTCAAACTGATAATATCAGCCGATGTCAACATAATCATACAGTATTTGGAAAACCTCGAAAACCTCAAAAACACACCAGTGATACCGCTTCCTAAATAGGAAAATAATGAAGCTGATCTCTCATGCCTAGTAGCTCGTATACCACCCGTAGTATTGCATAGATTTTGAAGCACCCCTTCATCAACAGCATGCCACGCCTCCTTAGCTGCCTCAATCAATTGACATGGGGTCTCTTCAGTATCAGGAGCCTTCTCCAATTCAGGGTATCTCTCATATATTTTTGCTTTCATCAATGCCCAAAGATTCTCAATTGGATTCAGATCAGGGGAATAAGGAGGCCATTCCATAACATCAATCCCCATCTCAGTAAGCAATTCCTGTACAATATAGGCTCTGTTGGCCGATGCACCATCATGCTTAAAGATATCACCATGGTTGAGAACTCAGGAAGAAAGGCTTCATAAACACCATGAATGACCCAAGTGTAATGGGTTGAATATAAAATTCATTTGTGCTAGATGCACGAAGAATTCCTTGAGGGAAGGAAGAGAACAGGAGACAACAGCATTGGTACAAGGAATTCTTCGTGTATCTAGTACCAAAATGAATTCTATATTTGAACCATTACAGGCCCTGAGTTCGTAATATGCCTGGGCGTAGCCCATAACATCAGGCGGCTAATTTAGCATGCCTGGTCGCTAAGGCATAAAGGCCTGTTGGCCTTACAAAAAAATTCTTCAGATATCTAGCTCTAGCAACCTATCAATCTGCTACTCACCCTTACCAGATGCCTCACCTTTATCTAATACACTCATTGGGTTCATTGATGCTGATTGGGTTGGTGTAAGGGCTGGATGGCGGTGACGACGTGAAGAGGTAATCAACTTGGAGAAGAGGTAATGTCTGCCTGGGGATTGGATGGCGAAAAGACGTGTGAGTTTCGGGATTCGTGGTCCTTTACTATTGATCAGTAGCCATGGTCGTAAGAATAAACATGTTATAAGCTATTTGAATGAGAGCATGCTGTGGTGGATTCGGGGCTCTGTAGTCGTTGTCAACATGGAAAAGTCAGAAAGGATGTCTAGTTGTGCACAGTGTTCATAGATACAGAGGGCTCATTTGAATATCTGTACAATGCATTCTGATGTATGCCTAACCACGCCGCCGCAAGAGAGTAAATACACCCAAACCATAACCATAACCATAACGCAATAATAGCTCATAAAACTCCGGCCTTATATTACAGACCAATAGTCAGTTTGTCAGACATTCTTCATAGACCATGGGGTTAACCAATCTTCCCAGGTTGACTTCTCATCCTCGTTGTACGTGCGCGGCGCTGTCTTGCAGTCCTTAGATTTCTCCACCACTTCACGATCACCCCCTTTGCCCAAAGAACCTTGTCTCTTGCTTGGATGACAGCCGCACACTGTCTCGCAACCTCCCCTGCAAGAGTACGCAGGCATGATTCTCGACGCGCTAAGATGCGTCGCCATGCACGCTGCAACACTGTGGCCGCTCGGGGCCGTCTCGAAGCAGAGAGGAGACGGGAGCAGAGAAAAGCGAGAGAAGCAAGAGTGAAATCTCGGTCGAAAATATGAAAAGAGCCAGGGGTTGTAGGGGATACGAGATACGCTGTTATCATCATTCAAAAGGTCAGTTTGCTATATATATATAACTCGGAAGAAAGAGGTATACTGACCAAACTGTGAGCTGCACCCTAGCGCCCGGAGTCGGAGAGCCAATGGACTGCCATAGGCTTTGCTATTGTTATGCGCTTCGTCGATGTGCTGGCCGTATCGAGTTGCGTTTTCAAGTATATAATCCTCATACTCTTCCACAATACTTTCGTAGATTGTCCCGTCTGCAAAGCTTGTGGTGAGATTCTCTATACGTAAACCCTTCAATCCCGCAAGGAGGGACGCCCATTGCGTGAGTAACGAAGTATGCTCGTCATCCTGTGAATCAAGCTGGCGTTCTTCGTTCGATTGAACCGAGTCCTTCGCTTTTCGCTTCAGACGATCAATCTCCTTTCTCAAATCGTCCCAGTCGACGAGCCCAGAAAGACCCCATTTGCTAACAAGTCCCCATAATAGCGCTATGGACTTTTCACGATGACCGTCTACAACATCCTCTGCACGCGTATTGCCGACAATTACTCCACCGCCGTTGGCTGAGGCCAGCGCCTCTAGGGCAACACACACATTAAACAGCTTTGCCGCGCGGCTTGTACAAGGGAACTTTAATTGCTGCGATAGAGGCCAATCGTCATATTCTTCTGAAACAGTCCTTCCATTCTGCACTCGCGATGTTGTCAGAGTGTCCAAATCTGAATTGGCGTTATTCAGAAAAGAGGTCGAGGGATAAAGGAGTATCTCCACGATCCTGGTTAACCGCACGCCATCTCTAAGATCCACAGCCAGATTTTCTATGTGGTAGTCGTACTCTTTCCGTTGATGTTGTTTATAGTAAACATTACAACCCAGATGACTGAGTTGCTTTGTAATGTCTCCGGATGATGGTAGGAGCAAGCGGCCCAAAGCCTGCAGCACAGCAGCAGATGATTTATATGGCGATGACGATGTAAAAAGACAGCATGGAAGTCCTGCCCCAGGACGTACTCGCCCCTTATCCAGGAGGATAATAATCATAATGCTGCGAAGTACTGTACGCGCATATTCCCAACTCGCCACATCTGCGGACGCGCTCTTCGCATCTGTCGTGTGATGATGCATATCCTCATTCTGAAGCAAGAATGTGTCCAAGAAGACTTCCAAATCTCGTTTCAACATCTTCTCGCTCTTGTTTGATTCCCCAGTCGCATTGGGCTGGTGAGGTATTCTTCGGCCAAGGACAGTCTCCGCTGCTGCTCTCAACGAAGCCGGATCATAGACTTGTAGCCAGACATCCAAGAACTTCCTCTTCAGGCCCACATCGTGCTTCAATCGACTACTCCTAACAATGTCTTTCGGGATGCCCAAGGAACCGTACAATAGAGATGCTTTGACTCGTCCGTATAGCTGTGTAAAGAAATCGGTTTGATAGATCCGAAGGAGCTCCTGTCTAAGAGTCTCGGAGCTGGTGGAGCATCCACTTCCATTTGCATAATCAAATAATTGATTCACCAGCTGTGTTATTGCTATTTCCTGGTGCGACAGCCAATTATCCTCATACATTGCAGGATTTGAAATATCTTCCGTTAGCAATGGATACCTCTCACTTCGGCTTCGAAGCCTTGGAGCTGGAACTGTGACTTTAGAAAGTGTAATGGGGACCGAAGACCTCGTGGTGGATGAGAACTTGTCTTCAGTCGCAAATTTTCGCCTCGATATATTATTGCTCGCTGTTGATATATTAGCCTTGTTTTGCTTCGTCACCAGCGCTGCTCTTTTTGTAGAAGGCTCCTTGGATGATAGGGTCTTATTTCCGATTCCCATAGAATTTTGTACTTTATTAGGTCGAGACTGATTTTTAAATGGAGCCAGCACTTTGTCTGTCTCTCCTCTGCTTCCTAGCAGCCGCTCGTCGGAGAGAAGCATCTTCTGCCCGCACGTCTTATCATCGCAGCTATTCAGCAATGTCCCAGGAGGAATGTTTTCCTTTCCCCCATTCTTTCCTGGGATGTCAACATGCACCATATTTTGCTGGGGGATCTTCGAGCTTGCTTGCAGCGGAGCCCTTCGCGTAGACGTTGTGGAAGATTTCTTTGCCAGCCGTTTTCTTGCTATCTGTGCCTCCAAGCTGTTGATCAACGTATCTTCTGGGATATTGTAGTTGATGTCCTGTGACTTAAGGGGGCTGAAGAGTCCCATAAACGCGCTGGCGACGGTCGTGTCGTCGGGAGGGATATAGACCGTGTTACGGCGCACTGCCTTTTTATAGACGTCCTTGGGCCGTTCCTCTGTGTTTGTTCCATCCCTCTTGCCCAGAGAACTTTCCTCAATGTTAATTTCCACATTGTCTCTCGCAGGCCTGAACTTTGATCTCGTCTCTTGCCATGAAGACATATTGGTCGCGAAGCTAACTTTTGGCCGAAATCTCTGAGCTGGTTGGGCTAGTAAGGAAGATTTGCGATTCGAAACTCTTATCGTCGATTCAACCTTGCTTTCATTTTTTCCAGTACGATCGTATGCCTTGGCCTCTTCATCTTCATGTATTTGAAAAGACGAAGCTCCTGTCCTGTTGCGTCGCCTGGGTTTTGCTCCTGTCAGAACAGGGGCTCGTATCCCAGCTGCATAATCGAGTTCTCTAGTATTATCAAGATAATTAAAACGACTTTCCAATGAGCTGATATGCGCGGAGGTTCCGTTACTGCTTCGATCTGATCGTGAGGTTTTCAGCCGCGATGGGCAGGGGGTAGAGATGCTGTCAAGTAGGTCTGCCATTGCGCTCAGAACTTGACTACAACGCGTAAGTATTTCCCAACTTGCAAGGAAGATATCGAATCTTCAATCGAAGATACCCCGTAGCTCACAGTCCCTTAGAAACACGAGGTAAACAAGTGCTCTGAGAAATGCAGTGCGCCAACATAAGTTGAAACAACAATTGTATACAGTAGTAAAAGAGAAAACTTAGAGCGTGCAATTTAAGATTACCACGTAGAAAAATAGATATTTGACGTTCCAGCCAAACTGTTGTTGTGCTCGTTATCCGCCAACTGACGTACACGATCTCGAAAGAACGGTGAGGCCGGACTGTTGATAGGCTTCTGGTTGCCAGCGCAACGCGCTCGCGGGGCATGCATTTCACGTGACTGGAAGTCCCGAGGTCAACGCGAACAGCCATGGCCCATCATGCTCCAGTTGTCTGCAGAAAAGGGATCTCCAGAGTTCAGGCATTATTATTAGAATTCAAGGATCAGTTGCAGAGCCAACCAGCGGTCAATTACTGGCAGATCTACTCCATGCCTAAGCAGGAGATCTGCAACCTAGGTTTGGAACCTGGATTTGCATTTTCTGGTGTTGAGCCCATTTTGGACCCTGTCTGCAGAATGCATAGGTATCTTCCACCTGATTACTGCCGCTGATCAGACTACTGGGAATTCCGCAGGTATGCATACGTATGCTGTACACCACCGGTTGTAAATGACGAGGAGTTCTCCGTGATAATTACAGGAGTTGTTTCGGAAGTTGAACGCGCTTCTGTCACGTGCTTTTTTAAATTGAAGATGAGTAAGCAGATGGGCCAGGAGAAGCCACGGAGCTCCTGCTCCCGTGACTGCAATCTCCGATTCGCCGCCAATTAAGATTAGCTGCATTATTGCGTTTCGAGTCTACGATCGTGCGATTCATCTGCCAACTTCCAACTTCCTTCGTGCATATGCGTGCTGTTTCATTATTCTGGCCAGCAAGGAATTCAAGAATTGTGTGTCTTGTGATATAAAATAACAACTGTCCTGTTTTCCCTTTTCGTATTTCGATTGTTGCTTCGTACTATCTATCATCTCGTGCTGCTGTGCAGGCACCGACAGCTAGGCCAGACCGCCAACTTCCCAACCCTTTTATCCCCTCTTCATTACCTTAGCGGCGCTCTGACGGGGCTGGGTGTTTATGTGGTTGTTATGGGCTAGTCGCGCTGTCCCCTGTCCCCAGTTTCAGTCCCTCCTCGTTTCAGTGTTACCATCCACCGAGCTGCGTCACCCCTTTCTACGTCACCTCTTTATCGGCATATAAGTACGAGAACGGGATGCCAGCTGGCCATGGAATCCCTTGTCTATGAAAATTCACCCTTGGCGGAGTATCTTCGAGGTAAGGTCTCGAAACTGCTGCGTCATGGGATATGCCAATTCACACTCCAGAACCATTCAGGCGAAGGCGAAGACAACCATGACTGGGTGATTCCGGAGACAGATGCCGGGGAGGATAACACGTCTGACTCGACCCAAAATTTTGCACCTCGGGGGGCTTCGAGATTTCAAGAACGCATCCGGAATAAGCTTCCAGATCCTCTTGATCTAAACACCCCGGGGCGGAAGACAGCATTCAGCAGGTTTTACGATGCATGTTCGGTATGGCCCTGTCTCTTATTTCTTTTGAAGGCTTCAGCTGATAAGAAGGTGGGCAAAAAGTCTCTATTGAATTCGCGCATTGGACGGAATGACAATGAAAGGTTTCTCGAACAGTTCGGCTACGTGATTGTCGCTTCGCAGTTGTTGAATGAACATAGTGCACCCTCATATACTTCGGCTGCGGATGTGATGTCGACATGGAGGCCAGCAGAGATGCCATCACATTCGGCAAATTTCGGTCTTCAGGGTGCTATTGTCACTGGGACAACATCTTTCTCAATTGCTTGGCTCCTGCATTGGGGTCGATCACGAACTGGCTCTGGGTTTAATCCCCGGAAGGTCGGTGTGCTTATCGTCCTTGTGCCGCTTCTTGGTATGGCTTTCTTCGCTTTTGCAAGACGACAATGGCTCAAATACTTGCGGCATCAGGCGGTTCAAGCCGCTTCTACCCTCGTCAGTAATGCCCAGGGCTTCGATTCTGCTGCTTCTGCTTCTGTTGTTTTCATACAGGAGGTTGAGCTGGTCTCGAGGGGGTACAGAATGTATGTCTATCCATATTGTTTGGAAACGTGAGAAGACTCCTTGTTGAATGACGCTGACTCTCGCGTAGAAGTACCCCCCTACCCCCGATAAGCAGACTCGAGGATCAAACACATCTGAGACAGACACGTCGATGTTTAAGATTACGCCGGACAGTTTCGGAGTGCTTGTTCTCAATGCTGGGGCGGTATGTTCAAGCCCAGCGCACTTTGCAACCACTTACAGACAGTGGCCACCTGGAAAAATATTATGATATCTATGATATTTCGGTGGAGGAACTCATTGAGGCCGAAGCAGGCCTATCTGAGCCGGAGGAGGACCAGTATTCTTTGCGCTCCCTCCGCAATCTTTTCGGCCGTCTACATAGTGTAAGGAAGAGCGTCCTTTGCTGTCTCCTGGCACTTAGTGCCGATGGTGGGGGTTCCGATATTGCGAGGTGGAGTACTGCCATTGAAGAGATGCGGAACCTCGCTACTGTAACCGGGGCAAGTATGCGGAGGATGACCAATATTCTTAATGAACAGGACAGTAAGTAATGCGGGTATCATTGAAAAGGGAAATTATGTTGACTTTCTCAGATGGCACCGTTGCAGCTCCGGCTTCTTCTTCGCCGGCCCCCTCTCCCAGTAAAGACAACCTCCGTTATCAGTACGGGAAACTCAACTCTCTTTCTCAGGGGATTCGCGCTTTACATGCTAAAATGCACATAATACGCGAGGAATCCTACACAAATCTAAACCAAACAGAAAACGCAAGTGATTTGCAGGCGACACTTCTTGCACAATACGAATCCATCGGGACAGATCTAAGAAACCTCGTTCAGGAATGGGAAGATGGCAGGTCTTCCTTAATGAATACCCTGGACAAACAGTCGGCTGCGGATCGCACTCCACGGTCTTCCACGAACCTAACCTCGCCTCCGTCTCCGGCGTTTAGCCTGAGCGGCGCCACCGCTGTTGAAGGTGGGCCTGCGGATGCCCTTAAGGCCTTGAACGGTGACAGACCAAGCCCGAGTAAGAGTTATTTTGTCGATGACGAGGAGATATTTGAAGCGGATATAACTCCTCGCAGGAAAAGGGCTTCGCTTACTAGGGAAGAGCGTATTGCCCGAGTCAAGGAAGAGCGCGCGAAGAAGATCGCCGCGCGGGACCGAATCGATGCAAACACAAGCATGATGAAGGAACTCGAAATGGTGATAAAGCAACGGCCACGAGGGAAGACTTCCAAACGCGTTACTAGCATTTGATGAAACTTATTATCTCATTTGCTTGCCGTTTCCCCCTTCTACTGAGATTCCTTCGGAGCCTGCAATTTGATACCCAGCGTTGCATAGAGGATTGGCGTCAGGTGTTGATATTTTATCTTACATGATAACATGTACGTTTTCACTCATTTTTAATATTTGATCTTATATTGCAGCACATATCTTTTCGTTCATTTTATAAAAGGCTGCAACTTATCCTTGTCTCCTTTGTTTTCATCTCGGTCTTCACATCTACTTTCACTTTGTCTTTTTGCTGGAATAATCCAGCCACACATCTTCCATGCACAACACTTCAAAATGTATGTACCTGATAGAATGCAATATAGTAAATAAATTGTAAATATATTGTCACAACTTCCCACAACCCATGGTCATTTATGAGTAGATAGGTCGAATACACTCTGGAGTCGCGATGCTTCGCCAGTCAAAGGCTTGGCAGACTAACCGGAAATGGGTATATCAGCATCCATGACGCGCGACTCGTGCACGCGTCCCGCAAAAGCTGCATCCCACCCCAAAACGCGAATTAGGAGGCCCATCTGGCTGCTACGTTTTCTCTTCAATCTTTTTCAACAACCTTCCCCTGCCACTTCCTAAGCTTCTCGAGACGCCAGACACGAATAAATATCCCAATACATCTCTTAGACATTCCAGACTTTTATACTAAATTCCTTCCACTTCTACATCCACACTTCAAATTCACACACGCGGATCACATTGCAAGAGTAAGGACATACTAGACATTGAAACCCGACACAAGCCCTTCTAACAGTATTTCAGTGTTGGAAGCACGGCTAGAACAAGCAAGTCTTCTCAAGCGGGTATGTGATCACAGCTTTACTGACGCAGCTGAGTCTGGGGCCCAATTCAGACGCTGACTTTCTTTTGAATCACCAGGTCGTTGATGCCATCAAGGATCTCGTCCAGGACTGCAACTTCGACTGCAATGACACTGGCATCGCTCTTCAGGCTATGGACAATTCCCACGTGGCCCTGGTCTCCATGATCCTCAAGGCCGAGGGCTTCTCTCCTTACCGCTGTGACCGCAACATTGCTCTTGGTATCAATCTAGTCTCCTTGACCAAGGTGCTACGAGCTGCTCAGCCTGAAGATATCCTGACGCTCAGGGCGGAAGACTCTCCTGATTCCGTCAACTTGATGTTCGAGAGCAAGGAGACTGACCGTTTAAGCGAATATGACATCAAACTTATGGACATCGACCAAGACCACTTGGCCATCCCGGAGACAGAATATAGCGCAACTGTTGACATGCCGTCGGCGGAATTCCAGCGTATTTGCAGAGATCTCAATGCACTTTCCGAGTCAGGTCTGTGAATCCACTTCCTTTTTCTCCTATATTACACACAGAGAGAGCATACTGACTTAAATCCCCTGCCTAGTCACTATCGAGGCCACCAAGGAAGGAGTTAAATTCTCATGCCAAGGCGACATCGGCTCTGGCTCAGTCACTGTTCGCCCATACACCAACGTTGAGAAGCCCGAACGGAATGTTTCCGTTTCTCTCTCTGAACCTGTCGCCCTCACTTTCTCCCTCAAGTATCTCGTGAACTTCTGCAAGGCTACAAATCTATCTGACCAGGTGAAGATCTGTCTGTCCCAAGAGGTGCCTCTGCTCGTCGAGTACGGCTTGGGAAGTGGCCATTTGAGGTTCTATCTTGCTCCAAAGGTACGTTTTAATTCTTGTGCTCGATATATACGTCTTCTCTGTATTTTTTATTAACGCCATCAAATTCAGATCGGAGACGAGGAGTAAGCTTCGAAAGGAATCAGACGATAAAACGTACGAAACACCGACGAAAATGGCATCTAGGGGAATAAAAAGGACATTTACGAGGAATCACATGGGATGTTTTCAGAAGCCTCAAATTTCATATCTATTAATTAGGAGTTTCAAACTCTGATCCAGTCAACTGCATGGAATAGCCTGTTAAGGGAGACCTAAGGGGTAGGAGGAGCTCTTGTGGAGTTGTTGAAGAATTTTCGACCACAATAGTGAAGTTTTAGATATACCTGCTAGCGTGTGTACTGCTTTATTTTGTTTTTCTTTTCAAGGTCAGTCGAATGCAAGTCATCTAGACGAAATTTCTATGCATGTGGATGTCTACACTCCCAGCAGATTCTGTTTGAAAAAGTTCTAGTGCCAGCAGCCATATTGATTCTAAAAGAAAACTATTGTACAGGTGTCTTCGCAACATAAAAGACAAAGGGCTTGTGAATCAAGGGGAGAGGACATTGATCATCAGAAGGAAGGCAACGGAAATATCCACATGGATTTGCGCATTCAGAACAGGTCTGTGAGTTTACATCCGTAATGAGTTCATCATATGATCAATGATCCAGACAATGGAGGGTGTATGTATGTTCAAGTGTACCAGTCGAGTCCACAATCCCATCTCTTGATGCGAAACACCGGGCATCAAGTCTGCCACACGAATCCACTCGCCCTATGGGAACCATATCAAGGGATCCCGATGAGAAACCCTATAATTAGCAAGGATTTCTCAAACAGTTCTTTCCAGCAGCCCCCTTAAAACTCCATATAGGACAGGGGCAAGAGACAACACTGACCTTGGAGAAAAATTTAATGAAGCGCCATCCCCTCCGGAATAATCGGAATCGAATGATACCGTCCTCCCAGACGGGAAAGACAAGGTATGCTGCGTATTGCACTAAAGTGTCACGCGGCGTGGACAGTAAAGTCGACCACGCACACAATCTTCGCAACGACTCTCCCAGGGGGAAAACCCGACTAATAAAAGACGGCCCCGATGTTTCTGATGTCTGTTGCAGATGTGGAACAGAAGTGTTTTGGATTCACACCAGGCCCTCACGGGCAGTACCGGCCCTTACTTTTATAGAAAAAGTAGGAGCGGATTACTGGGTGGGTGAAGATTCCTCCGAATTTCTCATTTGCATGTAGAACAAGGTGTGTTTCAACCTTGTTGTGTGTAGCAAAGAAACGCAGCATTGGAGGGGATGGCGCTTGGGGAGAGAAGGAAGAGAGGAAAGAAAGAGAAGAAAAGATTGTGTGGGAAATTTTTATGTGTGGTGGGTGGAGGTGTGTATACCGCCTTCCTAGTGTATAATTCTGCCGGCAACTTTTTTATTTACCAACCTTGGATGTCTAGCTTGTGGATTTTCTTGTCTGTACGGTTAATAACTCATTTGTGACCCTCTTTCATTATGATACCTTGGTTAAGTGCTGTCGAAGCTCTGAGCGTAGTCAACAGCCTGGGATATTTAGCCCGTGGTACCGTTGACAGGAAAACAGGTGGATGTTATGTGTCATAATAGAAATACACTGCTGCCTGTCAAATCATTCCCTGGGACTACTACCACTTCCTGCACGATTAAGATCGACATTGCATTGAACTTTGGAATCTACGCAAAAAAGAGGGAGCGAAGGAGGTGACAAGATTTGGAAGTATATTAGCAATTTCTGTCGGTTACTACGATTGACCCCAGAGCTTAAATGTGTGTGCACTATGGGGTCTAAGTCTGACATGCCAGATAGTTAACTAATTCTTCGCATGGCCGATTAAACCTTGAAATTGAATGTGGTAACAAGGAAGAACCAGCCCAATTTCGACCGTCAAGTGCCTGTGATGCCGAGCCACCATGTGGCTTGATTAAGCATAGCCACCCCAAGCCGGGCGTTGCAATTCTCCAGCGTACTGTACCCTGGTACCGTGGCGTCTACTGTATATTAATTCGCAATAAAATAGAATTACCGGAACGATCGAGATGGCTGGGACTGAGAGTTTTAAGGCTGTGTCAGATTGCAATGGCTCATAGGCTGACAGATGGCTAATATGGGGCGAATCCGGGAAGTATACCGATATTCAGTCGACAGGTACTCCCCAGGCCTTGCTTGCTCATGTCCAAGATACGATGCTGGAAAGTAAGGAATGCCGTTTCTTCTGCAGAGCCCTATGGAGGTACAGCATGTGCATCTGAGCAGAATACAGGCATGTATCATACCTACCAATACTAAATAGATGACAGCGCGTTGCTTTATTTAGATTAGTATTCGGTAAGCTTAACTGGTTCAGGCTAGTCGGGCGGATCTAGTGGCTCTAGTGCTGACGGGCTGTATCCAGATACACCAGCCATAATACCATGGTTACAGTACGCTCCGGAGGGTACGAGCGCACAGATACGCCCCGTTTATCTACTCCGTATCCAGACTCCAAGCCAAGCACAGAGGGATACGAGGAAGACGCTGCAGCCAGTTCACGAAGACTCTCCAGGCCTCTATCTTGCTGTTAGTTAATCAATATCCCTCCAGAAAAACAGTGGATCCCATTATTTTCATCCATTTCTAATATTACCAATCTCCCCGGACCTTTATAAGTCTATCCAGAACAGAGCACTCCGTACAAACGTCTGCCACTCAGTGCTGGACCCTGGTCAGTCTTCCTGTTGATCATGAGTCCGTTAAATTATCATTCATATTTTGATTTTCCGCGTTACTAACCATCACAACAGCGGCGGTGCAATTGGATCATCGCAGAGCCTCTTCCTCGGACACGCGACGTTTCAGGCCTCTCGGCATCAGCTGCAACATCTTCGTCCGTTCGAGAAAAGCCACATTCTTTTCGTCTTCCGCTGTCCTGTCCTCAGCCTCGTTGCAATTCGGACCTCCGATAACATATGCAAAATTACTTTCTTTTAGACCTGTTGCGACCTGCAGATTTCACGCTGTCACCCCCACGGAAATTCAGCCTGACCTTCGTCAGCCCCCCTTGAGCGGTAGCTCAGTTTTTGCTTCGCAGCATTTAAACGAGCCACTTTGTGTGGCCATCCGACATAGTGCATTCCTTACCAGGTTCTTCGAGCTCCGCACAGGGGCAGCTTTCCAAAATTTATTCACACGAGTCCCGTACGTCTCTGCTGGGGGGTTCCTCGGGTCCTCCCTTGCGGCAAAGTGTCGCTGGTTTCCGCGCAAGGGAAGGCTATGTCAGTGTGTCACCAAGCAACAGTCGCCGCAAGATGCTGTACATTCCCAATACACGATGGACCTGGTCCTTCATCCTAGCGACTCTCGTGCAAACAATAGTCACTCTTGCTCTTGAATGGTATGTCCCGTTGTCCAAGTGATACATACCCACCCCCGGTCGCTGACGATTTTGTGCACACGGTTCTAGCTACGTGTTCGCTAATTTTCAGGTCCACATCCATCGTGACGCCGACGGGGAGACTACATCCAAGACCATCCCAACCTTTCTGGCGCTCTATATCTTCGGGTTCATATACGAATTGGTCTTGGTGTACGATGCTCTGCGCCTGAAAAATACCATTCAAGTCATTGGGCTTTGTGCTTGCAACGTTGGTCTTTTGATCTATGGTGCGGTCCAGGCACAGCAAATCAAGGATGCCGTCTTGCAGCTGGAAAAGGATCATAATATTAACCAGGAGATGTGGCCAGAGTCAAAGCCGTTCCTTGTTGCTATTCCAATAGTCGTGGTAGTCGGGTCAGCGGTGATGATTTTCATCGCATGGAAGCTGTACGATGAGTTCGCATGGACAATCTACAAACATATCAGTGCCGATTTGCGAATGAAGCGCCGATATCTTGCATATCAGGTTTGTCCCATTAGTACCCTTCGCATGATAGATTGGCTAATTTGTGCTAGATCTACATCGCTCTGCTGAAGTTCGATTTCTTTTTCTTCCTGGGGTTCACGGTTCAATTCATCGTTATCGTCACGAAGACAGACGTCGAATTTGCTCTTACAATCGCTGCGATACCTGTGACTATCATTATTCTGTTATTTGCAGCATTCTTTGTCCGACGCGAAAGCTCACTCGGCATGGCAGCTACCATTGTATGCTATGATCCACTTTCTACCTTTTTAGTGTTGTTCTTTGCTAACTGTATATCTCTAGGTCCTCTATTTTGCAGCCATGGCATACTTCCTCTTCAAATTAGTCCGGATGTACACCCCTCCGAAGGAGGACCAATATAAACCAGCACGAAGATCGCTCACGTTCTTCGCCGTCATCACACTTATTCTAATTATTATGACGATTATGAATGCTTGCATATGCATGAGTAATTTCCACAAGGGCCTGAAGCCTCATATCAACCGGAAGAAGTCTCGCGGAGAGGCAAAGGAGACAACAGAGCTGTCAACAAATATCGCCGGCAAGATGCCAACATCCCGAATGATGATCGACTGAGTACCTACAACGAGATACCCTTTAATTAATGCGACGACTGAAGGATAAATTTATTGGCTCAAGGAAAGAAGACGGCTTGCTCTGCGCGCGAAAATATACGTATGAGGAGGAAGAGCCTCCTCGGCATTCCTTGCTCCCTGGGTCATGGAGTTTTGTTTCTGCACGAATATAAGCATATATCTTTTTATAACTTTTTTTTTGGAAAATACATTGATGGCGCATTCTTTTATCTTTTTATCTTTATTTATTTTCAGAGCTTTCAATATGATACCTCCTTGCTTGAAGCTCTTTGATGACTAGGTGTACATTGTTGGTTTTTGCTTCTTCTTCTTTGTCGTCTAACTGAAATCATTTGAGATGAGCCCATTGGGTTATATATATTGTCTACTGTTAATTTATCTCCTATTTCCCAAGAAATGAATTGTAGAGTGGAACAGTTTTTCTAAGCTGTACAGCAATGTAGAGAGAGTGGTCAATCATACTGTATTGTACTGTACGAGATCGTATCAGATCGAGAAACTGGTGAGCGTGGCCTCTTCCGCCTCGACTGCAACTCTTCAGCCAAAGTTCGACCACAGACTCGTCTCGCTTTCACTTCCTCATCATCTTTGTGCGATACTTGTCATCTTCTTCAGCTTACTTACGCCTTCATTCATTTTTTCTTTTCCCTCCCTCTTTTTCCTTGCCTAGTCTCCTTCATAATGGTGAGCCAGCAATCCCGCAACTTGCCATTCATGGGCACACTGCATTGCAACGAATTGCTACTTGTTCCAAAGCAGCAGTGACCTCCATTGCTCTGCTGAAAGCAGTACATTTACTTCCAATGATTGGCGTTTTAGTATTAACCTGTCCCTGTTCGCTTCTTCAGGCCTCCGTTCGTCCCTCCTCGCCTTTGACCTCCGGCGCAGAGTCTGGACCAGAATCCAAGTCCCCTGCTGGCCCCGGCGCTTCTTCCGGCTCTGCCTCATCGGTCGTCCGTCCTTCTTCGCCAGCACCGCCCGGTGGTCCTCGGGCTGCGTTGCGCCGTCGCGCGGCCGCCGACCATAAGGAGTCTCTGCGGAATGCTAGGCCAAGCTCTACTCGTGCGGCGGGCGCTGGCGGTTCCTCGGGTACGATGCTCAAGCTTTACACGGATGAGAGCCCGGGCTTGAAGGTTGACCCTGTCGTCGTGCTGGTTCTCAGTCTCGGATTCATTTTTTCCGTTGTCGGGCTGCATGGTGAGTTTTGTTTTCGCAGTTCGCTTGAGGAACATGGACTGATATGTATACCCCCTTCGTTTACGCAGTGATTGCCAAGATTACTCGCAAATTCTCCTCGTGAAGAATGTCTACACGTCATTTCACCTAGTTCCAAATATTTCGTGGCCGGTAGGAAGGGGTGGAAATGTCATAAATTATCTGGTAAATTTCAATTGGTATTCATGAATACGCGGAGTCTCGAGCACGGTGTCAAAACTACCAACGCGATCGTCCTACTTTTATACCCTCTTCATTCTCTTTGATACAGCCTTTTTACTCCTTTCCTTTTCCGTTGGTGCAAACTTCTATTCCGCTTCAATTTGACGCTTCCTTCGCGACGACTGCGATCCCATCTGCAGGATACGGATTCTCTCTCTTATTTTTATAGACCCTCGATTGTGTGGACCAATCATGCCAAGAGAGCATGTTGTGCCGCCCCGCGCATTGCAATGCTTGGTCATTGATTGTGGCTTTTGAGTGCCAAGGCCGTTGGCTTGGGCACCGCCTGCTGGGGAAATGGTTGCGATGCAGAGAAAATGCATGTGTACAATAGCCTGTGTTTTAGTTGTTCTGTTGCGAAATAGCATGGTTATAACTCATGGCGTTGTGAGTGTAAGTATATCTGTAGAGGGATCAAGCAGCATAGAATCAATCCAACGTCGCAACTCTTTGTGCTGAACATGCTGGCCAGGCAGGGTAGAATAATATGAAGTCCCGGAAGAATCATTTAGTAATTATTTAAAACTTACCATTACTCGACGCATTGAATAACAACTCTGCTGTAGCATGCGTTATCAGGAACCGTTGCAGGGCTAATTTCGTGCTTATCTCAAGCCAACCACCTCCAGCGGACATGGCCGAGCAGTATTACTTTTCTATTCTATTCTCCCGCACAGGGAAAAAAAGGCCTGATAACATGATCTGCAAGGTTAAAACTATCAGTCGATCAGAGACCAATCTTCGCTTTCTGCTGTCGTTTTTTCCTCGGAGTCGTGAGCTAGGTTGAGCTAGGCTTGCGTCTACAGCGGCAACTCATTCCTCTCCAAGAAGGTCCCTCGTCTGTACAACCAGCATTCTGTGATGACATTACGAAATGCCGTTTACGCTTATCAGACACCCCTGCTCGCTGCGAGGGATGTGCAGTACCATTGCCTCTCCTGGCAGAGATCTGAAGCTATCCGTCAGCGCATATCATGGTGGCCTTACAGTATGTATGCCATGTGGGGGGTTGAGACTCCCCGTGATGTCAAGGAATCAATACTGTCTGCGAGTTCGGAGGTTGAACTCGGTGCTGATCCATCGATAATAATGCTTAATAAATAAGTGAATCTGTCATATATAGCATGGTGGATGGATCTCGATCGTTGAAGCGTTGGCCCCAAGCTCAACAACGCTCAACCTTAACCTCCAGAGGCACTGCTTTCCCCAGAAACCGGCCATGGCGGGCACCGTCGTATTCGTGCCTCCCCTTTCACAGGCATTTGGATATGGGATTATTCTCGGATTAGGATTTGCTTTTGCGTTTGTTATGATTTTCATTACTTGGGCTTTGAGGAGGTAAGCTTCCTTTCACACAATCAATGCCATCTTGGATCCTCGGACACCCCTAACCATCTACAAAAACATCAAAACTATAGGTATCAACATGAAGTGCAGACGTCTGAGATGTTCTCGACTGCGGGACGGTCCGTGAAATCTGGGCTTGTCGCTGCTACGGTGGTTAGTAGTTGGACGTGGGCTGCAACGCTCCTTCAGTCGACTGCCGTTGCCTACAAATATGGTGTTTCAGGACCATTCTTCTACGCGTCTGGTTGGTGTCTTCATGCATATTATCTAGCTAAGGAACGGTTGGGTTGACGATCATGTTGGGGATTAGGTGCAACGGTGCAGATCATCCTTTTCGCAACGCTCGCCATTGAGCTGAAGAGACGAGCCCCAAATGCCCATACCTTCCTGGAAGTTGTTCGCGCTCGATATGGGACCGTAGTACATGTTGTATTCATCGTGTTCTGTCTGATGACCAATATTCTTGTCACTGCCATGCTGCTCACTGGTGGTTCGGCTGTCCTGACGGCCATGACCGGGGTGCATACAGTTGCGGCATGTTTCCTACTCCCCATTGGCGTTGTCCTTTATACTGTCTTTGGAGGTATCAAAGCAACCTTTATCACGGACTACATGCATACCGTGGTCATCATCGTTGTCATCTTTCTCTTTGCGTTCTCTGCCTACGCGACAAACTCTACCCTCGGGTCTCCTGGAAAGGTCTATGATGCCCTGATCGCGGCAGGCAAGGCTTTTCCCGTCGACGGAAACGCCGGCGGCAGCTATCTCACCATGAGATCGAAGGAGGGAGGTATCTTCTGGGTAATTAACCTTGTTGGTAAGTCATGCTAGCTCATTTTGTTGCACACGTGTTCGCTGACCATGCATAGGCAATTTTGGGTATCCATCACATTTAACATGAGCCACATGCATTTAACTGACTTAATGGAATAGTACTGTTTTCCTTGATAACGGATATTACAACAAAGGTGCGCCCTCCATTGGCTTCTGCTGTCGTTCCGACTTACTGACTTTCGACAGCCATTGCTGCAAGCCCGGTCCACGCCTTCCCCGGATATGTTTTGGGGGGTCTTTGCTGGTTTGCGATTCCCTGGCTCTGTGCCACGACCATGGGACTTTCTGCACTTTCTTTGGAGGGCTCGCAGCGGATCAGCGCAGACGACGTCACGGCTGGTCTAGTCTTGCCATACGCTGCCATCAAACTACTGGGTTACAGTGGAGCAGTAGCTACAACGCTCATGATATTCATGGCTGTGACGTCCGCCTTCTCGGCCCAGCTAATCGCGGTTTCTTCCGTCTTCACCTACGACATCTATCAGGCTTACATCGATCGCACAACTAAGGGAAAGAGACTTGTCTGGGTCTCCCATATGACTTGTATCGTCTACGCCCTCATTATGGCCGGGTTTTCTACGGGTCTTTACTATGCTGGTGTGGGTATGGGATACCTTTACCTGCTTATGGGCGTCATTATCTCTTCTGCTGTGATCCCGGGGGCGATGACTCTGCTTTGGAAAGACCAGAACTGGGTGGCTGCTGCTGCCTCGCCAGTCATGGGTCTCGCAGTGTCGCTAATTGCGTGGCTCGTTACCGCCAAATCGCAGTATGGAACTTTGAATGTGACCACTACGGGGGCAAAGTAAGTTTCTTGGACATTCGCCAGGTGATACGTATAATACCTTGCCCTTTCCCTTTGCTAATATTCCTCCGATAGCTACCCAATGCTGGCAGGCAACGTTGCAGCCTTGCTAAGTCCTATCGTCTTCATCCCGGTCCTGACTTACGTTTTTGGCCCTCAGAACTATGACTACGAGTCCATGCGTAACATCCGCAAGGTGGACGACACAGATGTCGCGGCAGCGGCGCATGTCGACATCGAGCTTATCCCTGGCCAAACCACAGACCCCTCCCCGCCCACAACAACAGCTAACAACGTTGCCGCCTACAAAGAGGAAGAAGAAGCCACTAAACTAAACAGAGCAGCCCTCTATTCGCGTACTCTAACCATCATCATGGTCCTCTGTTTCCTAATCCTCTGGCCGATCCCCATGTACGGAACCTCGTACGTATTCAGCAAACCATTTTTCACCGGCTGGGTCATCGTGGGCATCATCTGGTTATTCTTCACTGCATTTGGTGTCATCGTGTTCCCTCTATTCGAGGGACGCGAGAGCATGCTACGTGTTGTGCGGATGATGATGCTTGATATTACGGGCAAGAAACCGTCTGCATATTACGGGAGGGAGTCTGATGAGTCTGAAAATGCCGATGGAGATATGAATGAGAATACGGTGGTGACGGGTCATATTTTTGGGAAGTCTAGTAAAGAGGCCTCGTGAGAGAGAGATGAACCCTGTTGAGATGGTTTATTTATTGTCTTTATGAGATATAGCTTTGATACCTGAGTCGATAATTGGGATATAATTGTTAAGTCGGTATAAAAGAGCCATGGCTCGCTAAATGCATCTTGTCTTGACATATGTCCCAGAAGTGATAGAGCAAATGACACAGATTGCCCATGGATATAGACCCAGCAGTACTCGAAGAGACAGCTATTAATAAAATGAACCGAAACCAATGCAAATCATGCATGAAGAGCATCATTATAACAATGACCGCAATTAACGGAAGAAGTAACTAACCCCAAACAAACAACAGAGCGTCAATAAAACAATCAGACAGGAAGGGAAGGGGAGGGGTGCGGCGGCTGGAAAGAGTTTATAAAGCAAAAAAAAAAAAAAAAAAAAAAAAAAAAGAAAGAAAGGTGCACAAGGGTATAAAAGCTATGCCTAGTACAACTGCATGTAACCTAGGTATACTTTGGCGGAGGCCCCGTTGGCGGCGGCAATCCTCCATACGCATACGCCGGCTGAGGAGGTTGAGGCGGGACCGAACCAGGCGGGAGTCCATGACCTGGAATCATGTACGGTGGGAACTGAGGTGGTCGTGTTGCTGGTGTTATGTCGGGTCGATCTCTGTTTAAGTTAGTCATACTGCCATAGAGGACAAGCGAGACTCAAATCTTTCGCTTCTATCTTGATTCAATTCTGATTCCTGCGTTCTTGTTGGAACGAACTTACCGTAGATCTTGTGTGGCGCGGCATGTATAACATGTTACTTCCTGGGGAATTTGTTTAGTAAGTGATTCAAACAGACGGACAGAATAACGAAGACGGACTCTGTACTTATGAAAAGAGAGAGGGATGACGGGCTAAACGAGAGTGTTAGTATGCAGTATCCATCGTAGACAATCCTCTCAGGGTAGATATATCCCAACGTACAATGAAGCAGACGGTAAACCACGGCCTAAGAGATGAATCAGCTTATGCATTCACAGTTAAACATATAGAACATATGTATATAATAGAAATGAACAAGACATGAACATACCATCTCGTAACACAATGCGCATTCCAATTATGACCTAGCTTGTTAGCACTTGTCTACAGAGAACACCCAAGACCTCAAGCTCACAGTTATAGCAATAGGCAACCACATTCTCATAGCCCTGGAGCTGCGAGGTGAACTCTGGTATCTATCAGTTTCATGCTTCTAGGATCGACTGTTGGGATGGAGTGCCATAGAGCATGGCATCTGTTGGATTTCTTTCCGCCTAACTCACCCTCCAGCCCGAACGTGATGCAGATAGCCATCAGAAGAAGCCTCCTATCAGGGGATACCGGATAGAACAATAGGAGTTGAAGATGACAGTAGAGATATTTAGCTTCAGGATATCCTCGCGTTCAAATAAAGGGTTAGCTACATAGGCGCTTTAATTAATACTCAGCCACGTAGTTGACGCGGTTCCAAGACGGCCCTGTGGCTTGGCATGCATAAGTCACATGACTGATACAAGTCTACAATGTATACTGTACAGAAGTATTGTAGTATCAATATGTAGCCTAAGCTTTCCTTGTTGCCAGCCAGGACTGTTCATGGTGGAAGAGGAAACCTCATCACCCAAAGGAAATAGGAAACATCAAGAGGGAAACACAAGATCGCCTATATCTGTGTTGACTGCCACGCAAAACATCGTGAGGTCCTGCTCTCATTTTGAGAAAATGGAGAAGAGTACTGCATCATAGCGAGGAAGATTCTTCAAGCGAGTATAGAATATGAAAAGACACAGGAAAGACAACAATAACAATAAAGAACAAAAATGGTATTACCTTCTCATACGAGAAGCCGTGCTAAACATGCGCGCGAACCCATTCCAAACGACAGTAGATATGTGCAATATAGAGTTTTATTGGGTCTTGAAAAGCAGGATTGCGCAGTGTCCGAGATAGAAGTAGATAAAGTGTTTCGTCTCTGTCTGCGTCTCAGCATTTATGCACGCTATGCATCGAAGCTCAAAAATCCAAGCCCATTCTTACCATGCGTAACAAAGCTTCCGAAGTTCCTCCCTACTACACAATGCCATGTTGCTCCCTTGCGCTGATCGAACTGTGGGGGTATGTAAGCGACGAAATAAGAATGCGGGGGTGTGGCAGACTTCTTTCTTTATGTACTGGGCAATATCCTGCAAAGGGTCAGCGTTGGTGCACTTCTAAAAGACGATGTAAAAGAAACAACCTTCTCAATATGAAATTTGTCCATCGCCTCCGTAGCTAAGAAATTAGTCTCAGTCTCCTGTCATTCGAGGGGCCACTCCGGAAACTCGCACCAACTTCGATAGCCTCTTGCTGCATCTCTTCCGTCTACTTCGCCATCAGCATCTGGTTTCCGAATCTCTAGGACCAGGGGTCTTACCATATCAACGGCCTTGATTTGCGCTGAACGCGACGCATGATTAGCAGATGCGACAAAAACAAGCTTCAAATTGGCGGTAAACCCACCTTCCAGCTTTTCTTTCTTTTCGGAAGCCATTTTGCGTTGACTGTGAGTCGAGTCTCCGTCCAGGTATGAATGCAATGACAGTTGATATCAAGGGAGGTAATATCTGTTAATCAGGGGAATAAGCGCTGTGTCGTTGAACGGTTAATTATGTTCAGGCAATGATCATTGCCTTTGCACAAGGAGCACCCCATAGAATGCGGTGCACAGGCCAAGCCACAACCCCTCACCGCCCTAACAAATTTCCTCAAAAAAAAAATTTTTTTTTTCTCATTCTTCTTCTTCAATGGCACTCAGCCAGGAGCTATGCCGCACAACACAGACATGGAGAACACAAGAGTGTTCATTTCTGGCCTCCCGCCGTCTTTCACTAACGAGCAACTCAGACAGCATTTCTCAAGCCGCTTCTCAGTTACAGACGCTCATGTGCTCCCCAAACGCAGGATCGGCTTCGTGGGCTTTAAAAACCCCGACCTTGCCAAACAAGCCATCAACTACTTCAATAGGACCTATATCCGAATGTCCAAAATTACTGTGGACATTGCTCGTCCAGTATGTGCACTTCCCACCATGGTCCTTGTTTTCAACCCCTTTCAACATTGCGCAAGCTGACCAGTTAAGGTGGTTTTGGAACTGACCAGAATGACCATAGGTCGATTTTAAGCCTACTAAGGGTATCCATCCAACTGCAAAACGGGACAAGTCCGATCAGAGCAATGCATCTGCAGAGAATACACTTAAGCGCAAACGCGATGCGGAAAATGCTCCGCAGGATCCTCAGCTTCAGGAATATCTTTCTCTCATGACACATTCATCTAAGTCCAAAACGTGGGCAAATGATGACCAAATGGTTAATCCCGTGCCGGATTCAATCCACAGCCGTGAAGAGCTCGTAGACGCAGGTCATTCTACTGACGAGCCTTCGTCCTCGCAGAGGAAAAAGGCCAAGGTCGACGAGCCTAATGAGACCTCTCAAGTTCCGAAGATTGCCAGTAGTGCTCTAAAACCGGGGCATGAAACCCTCCCTGTGGCGACAGTCGCTGGAGAAAGTGAATGTCCAATTGAAGATGCAATGGAGCAGAAGGAACAGGATGCTCCTGCTGCGCCGGAAGCTGATGTTGGCCCTGTATCTGACGCTGACTGGCTACGCTCAAAAACGAGCCGTCTGCTTGGTCTTCTTGATGAAGACGAACAGGAAGAATACAATGCCACGTCACAGCACAAGGCTGCTGCTCCCACGGAAACCGGTACTGGTGCGGATATCGACTCACGCGTCAGCGAAGTCCAAAATATCGTTTCGCAGGATGACGATGCCGGAGTAGCAGCAGAGACTCCTGAGACTGACACTAATGTTGACCTCATCCGCGCCTCTGCTCGCTTGTTTGTGCGGAATCTGCCTTACAATACAGCAGAAGTGGATCTTGAACCTATCTTCACGCCCTTTGGAAAAATTGAAGAGGTTGGTCTTTACTTCTCCTCTCCCGTTTGTTTGTTGTTGTGCTTGTTTGATCTACCTTCATGGCGCTCTATGATGATCTTCCTGATAGGGACATCTGATGCAAAGCAGTTGATGTTAACAGGACAAGAGTATTTAGTAGATGCTTCTTAAGAACTGAAGAGCCACTTCATGTTTTTTTTTGTTTGCATACGCGTCATTGATTTGGGAAACAATTGCTGATTGGTTCTAGATTCACATTGCCTTTGACACTCGACACACGACAAGCAAAGGCTTTGCCTATGTCCAATATGTTGATGCAAATTCAGCTGTTAATGCTTATAAAGAGATTGATGGATTGAACTTCCAGGGTCGTCTCTTACATATTCTTCCTGCCTCCGCGAAGAAGACGTATAAAATCGATGAATATGAGTTATCCAAATTACCATTGAAAAAACAAAAACAGATCAAGCGAAGATTGGAATCTACGTCGTCCACCTTTAATTGGAACTCTCTTTATATGAACGTAAGTGCGCCTGTATCAGTGGGAAGACCTTGTAGACTGACAATAGCATAGACCGATGCCGTGATGTCCTCAGTAGCGGAGAGGCTGGGGGTATCAAAAGCTGAGCTTTTGGACCCTACATCATCAGATGCTGCAGTTAAGCAGGCGCATGCAGAGACGCACGTTATCCAAGAGACAAAGGCTTACTTTGCTTCGAATGGCGTGAATCTTGACTCCTTCAAGCAACGGGAACGTGGGAACACGGCAATCTTAGTAAAGAATTTCTCATTCGGCGTCAAAGCCAGCGATCTCAGGAACATGTTTGAGCCATATGGTCAGATCACTAAATTACTAATGCCACCTAGTGGTACCATAGCCATTGTTGAATTCGCGAGACCCGATGAGGCACAAAAGGCTTTCAAAAGCCTTGCGTATCGAAAGCTAGGAGACTCTATCCTTTTCCTAGAAAAGGCACCAAAGGACTTATTTGATCCAGCCGCAGCAGCGAAACAGAACGCCCCTGAGTCTAAGCCTGTATCTCAAGGATTTTCGACCACAGACACTTTTGCGGCCGATGAACCTGAGGAGGACTTGCTAACCTCGACTCTGTTTGTAAAGAATCTTTCCTTCTCGACAACCACTGAGAGGTTGATCGAAACTTTTCGGCCGCTGGACGGCTTTTTGTCAGCTAAGATCAAAACGAAACCTGACCCCAAGCGGCCGGGTCAGACCCTTAGTATGGGCTTTGGTTTCGTTGAATTTAAGACCAAGGCACAGGCTCAGGCCGCTCTTGCTGCGATGAATGGCTACAACCTTGACCAGCACGAATTGGTCATCAAAGCATCTAACAAGGCCATGGATGCGGCTGAGGAACGGAGAAAGGAAGACACTGCGAAGAAGATTGCCGCTAGAAGAACCAAGATCATCATCAAGAACTTGCCATTCCAAGCAACAAAGAAGGACATCAGGTCACTCTTCGGTTCTTATGGACAGCTTCGCTCTGTGCGCGTTCCGAAGAAATTCGACCGGACTGCTCGTGGATTTGCGTTTGCTGACTTCGTAAGTGCGCGCGAGGCAGAAAACGCCATGGATGCTCTGAAGAACACGCACTTCTTGGGCAGAAAATTGGTCTTGGAATTCGCAAACGCAGAAGCGATCGATCCTGAGGAGGAGATCGAGAAGCTGGAAAAGAAAGTAGGACAGCAGCTGGACAGGGTCAAACTTCAAAAACTCACTGGAACGGGCCGGAAGAAATTCACCATGGGGGCTCAGGATGACGAAGAGGCCTGATTCTGTCTGTTGATAGTTACGATATACCCAATTTTATTTTATTCCTTCCGAATTTCTTTGATCCTTTTCCCTCCGTAGATGGACTAGTAATTCTTCTCGTATATACGGAGTAGAGCAGTATGATAATTAATCAGCTTGGTTTGACATGAACGTCCTTTCTGTTCACCACGTAGGCCTATCTAGCTAGTTACCAACCAACAATACACCTCCATTACACAAGCCCCATATCACGTGGCTACGATAAGATAGCCTCTTTTGAGCCTCAATCCAGACGAAAACCTTACAAGTATTCCTTTACTCCAGTCACTTGGATCCTAGATCCATACACATATCGACATGAAGTCCTTCTGGACATCCTCCAAATTCGCAACAAAAGCTGTGCGCGTAACAACAACGCCAGTCCTGAAAAACCTAGGCGAAAGCAAGCTGGTTCTTGCGGCGCTGCAGAAATTCGGTGAGGTAGTGACATATAGGAATTTAAAGGTATCAGAATTTACCTGAACTCTTCAAAACAAAGGGAGACGCAATTGATACAGAGTACTTATGATATTAATATTAGTATGACCCCACGACCCCGAAAATATCCCCAAACAACATACTCGCCATCTTCGACTCGGAACAAGCAGCCGAGAACGCCATAAATGCATCTCCCATCACCATACCCGTCCCCAAGGAGATCAGACGTCGTCCCAGACAAGAAACGTCTCCGAGACCACCATTGCCAACATCTTCAATGTCGGACAGATTGAACATGAACCTGAACATGAAGAGCTCCCGCCCGATTCACCCCGACATCAACGCCCCCCATCGCGATACCTATAACAACGACGATGACGATGTTTATATCGACGATTATACTGAAAATTATGACGAAATTGAGAATGCCATTGACAATGACAGTGAAAATAGCAACGAAAATACAGACCCAAACAACCCCACCGAAAGACCAACCTTCATAACTTGCCGGATCAATCCATCCCGATACAACCACTACACCGCCCAAGGCAAGAACCCGTACTACTCCACCTTCTACCTGGTGCGGAACAGCTACCCCTATAAGGATCTAAGGGACACGGGGATCCCGTTACGGGAGCTCGCGGACCCGCTGGTGGGGAAGAAAGGGCAGATACCGATGTCCGTTAAGAAGAAGGTACAGGAGGAGAATGTGCGGTTGGGGGCGACGTCTTTGGTGAAGTTGTATGAGGAGGGGCTTTTGAGGCCAAAGTCATGAATTTATTGGCCAAGTGGAATGAAATTGGGGTGAAGGGAGTTACCTGTTCTGTTCTCCCCACTACGAGTCTTGATTCTATTTTATCGATTGTGTACGGACGGACCGCGAATACAGGGCTGTATACACCTGGATGAGAACCCAGTGGTTTTCGAAAGCCCATACGGACTCCGTGACCTGACAACCCCGACTCAGATCGAGGTAACTCTACGGGAGGTGTCGACGGAATGAAGAATGGCCATCTACATCCAACCAGTATAACACCAGATCCGACACTCTTCCAGTCAACAATGGTATATATACCATTTTCAAGTCTCCGATAGCATCGACCTTCGTCGATGACAAGGCTTTGAATTGGACCTAGCCACGAGCTATGGAGAATCTCTCATAAATATGCCTCATCTACTCGAAAGCATCTGAGAATGTTTGTTTCTCAAGGAAATTGCATGAATGGATAGGAATAGGAATGATCTTTGTGAACTGCAGCACCTGTACAAATGCAGGGCCTTTTAGAATACGAAATACCATCATAGTAGAACACCATCGTTCATTCATTAATATTGGCAGACTAGGTCTATGCCCCGAGTCATGGACATGCTAAACTTTAAGCAGACACTACCCATACATATATTTTCTTTTCTTCATACTCGTACATAAGCTGGGAACAGAAGTAGTCAGTAACTGATTAAATTAACAGCCCCATTATCGTCCAAAGGAGCTGAGCATAAACATGCAGGAAAACTCACTCGCATCAATTTGCATAATTTGCGGCAACGCCAACCGCACCTTATTCCTATAGAGAGCCGGTGCCCGTGTCTGGAGCGGATTACCCTCGAAGTAAACCGTTTGCAGGTGTTCCTTATTTCTCAGTTCACGTTCGACCTCCTCGAAACTCGAAATTTGATTGTTTGATGCCCAGAATTCCTCGATATTCTTCAGATGTGAGATATTGGAGAGTTTTGAAACTTGGTTGTTGGAAATATCCAGCACTCGGAGCGCTGTGTTGTTCTCTAGGCCATTGAGGTCGCTGATGGCGTTGTGCGAGACGTACAATTCCTCCAGGTTCCTTAGCGATGAGAGACCAGTGAGGCTTGTCAGTCGGTTGGATTGGATGGAAATGATGCGGAGATTTGTGAGGCTGTCGAGGTTCTAGAAAGGAAAGTTGATATGTGAGACAATGCATTTTTCGCGCGAAACACGGCAATCCGCTGGCATAAGGATTCAGTTCATACTTTCATTTCCGTGATCTTGTTCTTCCCAAGCCATAGTTCTTCCAGGGACGATAAGGTGTCGAGGTTTTCAATTTCCTATAGTAAGCCTGGTTGTCAGGGACGAACTCGAGTGATAATGAAGAGGGTCGTCGCGTACTCTAATTCTGTTGGCACCCAACTCCAGATTTCTCAGCGCCGTCAATGCCTCGAGACCTTCTATCTTGGATATCTTATTCTGCACGAAATAGAGATCCTTCAGTTTCACGAGATGCGAGATATTCTTGATATGCTTGATCTTATTAAAACTGAGATCTAAACTCGTCAGGTGATGAAAATCCTCGAAACCCTTGATGTGAGAAATGAGATTGTCGTAGAGATCAAGCTCCGTCATATTTGCGGCAACATTCGGAGGGAAGGCAATACGAGTTATTTGGTTTTGTCGTAGACATAGTCTCTATGCACGAAGACACAACGCGGTCAGCACGGCAAGGCAACACTTCCTCGTGGAGTCCGGGGTGTAGGGAGAGAGAGTACCTGCAGCTTAGGAAAACGTTCCAATCGTAAATCAGGAATAGATTGTATGCGGCAATGCACGAGGTCGATGTCCTAGAGTATCAAGTGAGTACGTGGAATGTATGATTGAAAGATCGTCGACGCAGCCACCCCTCCCATGTCGGCTGAAGAAGGGTTACCATCGCATACCTCAGCGTCGGGACTTTCATCTTCAAGTAGATCTGAAAAACAAGGAACAAGTAGTCAGAATGCAAGACCATGAGTACTTCAGTACGAGAAAGACAAGACGATGCGATATATCACGTACCCTCGTCGGCCTCTATCTTCTCCGGCGAAGGTGCATCGGAATCAGAATAATCTGGGTCTTCCAAAGCTTCTGGATTTGAAAGAACTGCCCTCTGTTTTCCATCCCAGCCTTGACTGTTTCTCATGATGGAAGTAGATATCCTGGTCTGACGTTTCGATGGGGTTGTTCGGATGTTGGCTCAAGAGGTCTGACGATAGCCGTCGATGAATGCGGGGAGCTTGAGGGGTGTCTCACGAAAGACGCGGGCGCGGATTCAATGGACAATGAATGCCGTTGGAGAAAAAAAGGATGGCTATGTGCGACTTAGAAGAGGAGGGAAAGGATGTATTTAGGAAGACCTGGAGAGCCTGGAAAAGAAGTTGATTTTGTAAAAGTTCCAAAGCTGGCCGCGCGAAACTGACTTCTGTGGACCGTGACATCCAAACACCCTCACCAACTTCCACTGCCACCGTCGCGTTACGGATGCTACCTACATACTGTGGGCTCCTTGCTTCAGAAAGCAGCGGCTCTAGTGGTCTACTCGACACACGTTGTCGAAGACACGCCTCGTCAGGTACGATGTTTCTAAACACCCCGACGTCATCTCATACTCCTAGATAGGCAAGAGCTAGGGAAATTGTGGTATTAACCCTTTGATAGCTGGCTTTTGTTGTACATGGTATGCACTGCAGCCAGAGAGACCAGTATATAATGTATTTTCTTCCCAGTTAAGCTGCTCGGCGGCCGTGGCTCAATAGATACAGTAGCAGGGACCAAGGGGCCAAGAACCACCAAAGTATAGAAAGATGCTATGGCAATTCACAAATGATATATTTGATAAGCAAAGGAGATGCTGCGAAAGACAGGGGGTGGTGGCCACTGGCGGAAGAACAGTAAGGGGGAAGTGTAAGCAAAATATCCAAAGCAAAAGCGAAATATAAAGACAATACAAATTGGGGTAGTAGCAATATACCTCAGTGGCATATAACGCAAATAGAACAAAGACCACAAAATATCAAACTAAAGGGATCTCAGCGGATGACCAAAGTAGACGCCTGCATAATGCAAGGAGATTAGGAAACAGGTCAAAACAGAAGCAAGAAAAGAGAGCATCAGGAAGGAAATAAGGAAAGGAAAAGAGAGTTGGGGTCGAAGAAAGAAGAAGAAGAAGAAGAAAAATAAATAAATAGAAAGAAAAACACAGAGAAAAGGAGCTGCAAAAGTGGATATAGAAGTAAAATAATCAATAGTCAGGGAAAAAAGCAAACTGGCATGCGATGGCAACAAACACAACACATAAGGGAATCACAAGACTGGAAGTGCCTCCAAATTATCAACAAATGCACAGATAAACCTTTTTGACAGATTCCATATTAAGACTTTGGCTCTAATACATCTCACCTTCTCATTGTTTTCTGTGTGATGGGAAGTGTTTGGGGAAACCAAGGTGTGTAGGTAGACAAAGGAAATAGGCTCGCTCTTGTTTTATCAAGGCATACTGGGTGAGGGAGAGAGAAGGAGAAGAAGAGAAATAAGAACAAACCAATATCAAACTGAAAGGAAATATGCTTATTAGGAATGCAAGGGCCGTAAAAAGAAATGGGATTACAGCGCGATGTCGAGGACAAGGCTCACGTCCTTCACTTGGGAGCTGGCGAGATCTTCGAGGACAGGAATTAGATCAAGAAGTTCGTTATCGTGAGCGTCAGAGAACCAGCTGCTGATGGGTATCGCATGTTGAGGGTGGAAGATATACGACGTTGGCGAATTGTCGATTATTATCGTTTCTTGGAGGTCGCGTCCAACCTGGGAGAGGTCCTGCCGAGCATGCATGGTCAGGGAGTCAGTAGCAAAGGGCATCAGTGAAGGAGGCATACCTTGACGTAGTTCCCCTGGTGGTTGTAGCAGCTATCCCTAAATAACCTGTGGTGCACAACATTGTGGATATCCAACTGATCCAACAGTGGGTCCCCATACTTGAGAAAGGTCAGCTTTCGTACAGGTAGGGAAGGTCAGATGGGTTAGAAAACGCACCTTGGAGACAGACGCGGTGAACACGACCACTTCGTACAATTCGCCGACGCGTTTCATAAATTGGTCGACTCCGGGTCGCTTGATCACGTAAATATTGTGGTACTGGCCTTCGATCTCGACCGGGATTGTAAAATCGGCACGCTCGAGAACCTAGCATAGGCGAGTCAGCCTAGTATCAAGGCTACAAATGGAAGGGCTTTCATCATACCTTAAAACTGCTGTGAACAAGGGTTTCATCAAGATCGAGGACAAGACACTTCCTGTTCTGCAGGTGAGGTAACCGGGGTGGAAGAAGCCATTGCTGTTGACCTTCCTGGTTTGCTATTTGAGGGGGTGGGTGTGGCAGCACGAATGGTAAACCGGTTGGTCCTTCAAGGTCCTTTCCACCATCTTTAGTGTCCTCTGAAAGGGATGGTTCCGGTACAGCTTGATCTTTTTCAATGGTCTCTTCGCTTTTACTATCGGTAACCGAGGGTGCAGTATCTGTATCTTCTGTCTGAAAGGTCCCCACTGCCACAACTGCAGCCTTGGGTTTCGCTGGATCGCTGTGTGATGGGTCAGAGGTGCCAGAGTCTTCTACCGAAGGTGGTTTTTCATGATCGGAAACAGTCTGATCAGCGCCTAATGATGTGTCATCGACGAGGGCCGCTCCATCTTGGGAGTCCGTACAGCGTTCATATTCAACGTGTGTTCCAGATTGATCAGAAGAAATGGCAGGATTGGGTTTCTCGCTGAGTGAGTACGGTGACTCTTTCGGTTCTGCTGTGTCGGAGTCGCTAGGCCTGACGCTGGTCTTGTCCACGGCCGGGGCAGGCTGCCTGTCTGGAACTGTCTGCGGTTGGGTCTTCTTCGGCGGCGAAAGCAGGGAATCTTCAGCATTGATACTAGATGCAGTGCAGCAGTTCAAAAATGCAAGAAAGCGGATTGAAATTCTGGATTTCTTGCCAGACTTGGGGCGAGCGTCATCTAACTCGGGAGTTGACGCAGATTTTGGTTCCACGCCTGACACGTCACGATCTGCTCGACGAGATCTTCTGCTGCTCCCTCTGCTTTGATCTCGTCGCCCCTTCAGGATAGACGTTTTTGAGCCGCGTAGCGTATTGTCAGAGTCATCCTGGGTTGCTTCCTGAGCGGTATCGAGCGCAGACTGCTTATCGACTCTCGATGACCCACGGGATGGAATGTCTAGTAAGGAACGCCGCTTCTTCGGCAAAGAGTCATCTGTAGGAGCGGTTTCGGAACCCTCGACCGACACAGAAGGGGGTGAGTTTGGCCCTGCGGACTCCGGGCTGTTCGAGTGTTCGGGGATGGACGAGTCCCGGCCGTTGACATTCTCCTGACGCGACGATCCAGGTTCTTCGGGGGGGGGATATCAGCAATGAGGCCACCATCATCATTCGAGGCTCAGAATAGGGGAGGGTTGGGAGAAGGGACGCAAGAAGGGTAACTCGGGACTTACTTGGATCTGATTCGGCAGTCATGGGGGCGGTGGCTCTGGGTACGGACAGTGAAAGATTGCGCTGCTGACTCGGATCAGGAACGAAAGGGTGGTAAACACAGTAGAAAGGAAAGGACGACGCGCCCTTCTAGCCAGGATCGATAACCACCAGGGCTTTCCGCCAGGGAAGGGGCTGAAGAGGCGGCTGGGCTGGGGTGGAAGTACGTCTCCTGGAAGAGTACGGCGCTTATGAGCTTCAGCGAAGGTGAGGTCCACCGCCTTAGACGAGGCTAGTGGCAAGCGCGAACTGCGTGTTTCCGACGCACTGTGGACGGGAGTTTCTGGTATAGAGGATGCGAGGAGGTCGAGGGGGATTCCAGACAGGCTGGAGAAGGACTGCAGGAGCAATCACAGCGACCGTGGTTCTCTCCTGCGCTGTAATAATAGCGCTGTGTTCAGCGTCTCGATGGGGAGGGGGGTCACGTGGCTGCGCTGCGCTGGAGACAACAGCGCCAGCAAGCAAAGCACAGCAGATCGAACAAGCAATGCAGATCGGCGATGTCTAGGGCTGTATTAATGATTACTTTACTTCACTTCACGTCCACTCCTTGCAGCAGACGGAAGTATATCGATTGCGGTCGCGAGTAAAGAATGGTGATTGTCGTAGCACGGGTCGCACTGGAGAGCGAAGGCCAAGTCTGGACCAGAGCAACAATTGGGTCGCAGTGGGCGATCGGCTCACTAGCACCAAGATTTGATAATCTCACGATGGAGTTACACTAACTACTGTATAAAATTTAATAGATCTTATATTATCTCATGCAGCACGCTGTCAACGCGCCAGTGGGAGTCAAACTCCCACGCGAGTCCAGGGGATAATCCAGGGGGCTTCCTCGGACACGCACTCCTGATTAGAGGGGTTTTGCCTCCGGATTGAGCCATCCCAAATACTGGATATTATGAACATCAACCCTACGCAATCCCCGCTTAACTGCTAGTCATGTGACTCAGTGCCGAATGTCCCCTTCACACTGCATGTACGGCACCTCCTATTGAAATCATCTCCCGGATTGATTAGACGAATCTACGAATGCATGCGTCCCTCCGAATCCTGATCTCATCCTGGGTATCAGAGATCACTGATCTAATTGGTTTGCCCGTCAAATGGATGAAGCTAATGCCAACTTGAGCTGGGAAAAAAATCAATCGAGTCACACCAGTCATGAGATTAGAACATGGCCTGTCGGTAGAGTTCTGCAACATGTCTGATATAATCTATTTCTTATCATAATATAATAATGTTATTTCTAAAATCTGGTAGAAGGTTGTTGGAGAATCCAAAGACAGCTATATGTATCTTGGCTTCTTTGAATCCGCGATCCTGGACAACTACTATCATCCCTCTGGTATCGATACATACCCCTCTAAAATAGATTACCTCAAAAGTGATGACACGGCAGACTCTGATAAAGAAAGTGTTTATGAGCTGTTTAGACTGCCCCAGGTCCAAAGGATTATCCAGAAAAGCAGGGGAAGAAAGAGGTCACATTGATTGCAATTACAACCACAATCACAACCATCACCGCAGTCCGTGTTGCTAGACCTGCCAGTTGAGATTTAATATCCGATCCTGGATTGTCTAGATTACATGCACATTACGGATTTAAAGAACGCCGTGTTGTATACCATCCCAAGTGGCTATTGGCGCTTGCGGGCTTCTCAATATCTAGTAGAGATGGACGAAATCTCTGAAAGTAATCTTGATTGGAAACATCTGTGCTTGGAAGTCAAGAAAGTCGATTTATGATGGATATAGTACTGTCTGTTTAGGATCCATTGTGATGAAGTTATATCTCTTAAATAAAATAATGTTTGATCTTAGCACGAGCATGAGCTAAGAACTAAGAGTTGCCGGGTCTCTTTCAAATCCTCTGGCCGAATGCTCTGATTCTCTTGACTCCTCCATCTGGAATGATGATCAATTTAATGTGCGTCAAGGGCGTTTGAACAGCACAGGGATATCCAAGTTGCTTGTCCCCCTCACCCTCCTGCAGCCCAGTAAGATCTTGCCAGTCCTTACTATCCGCAGGTGGTTCTCCTTGCGCGGTCCAGTCAATTCCTTCAACTTTCAGCTCACTGGGGAAATTGCCTCGAAAGTGAGCAGTGTCAACGACTATCTTTGAGACTGTTCCCCTGCAGCCTAGCCGCACGACGACCCAATCCACATGTCCCTCTACTCGGCTCCGTTTCGTCTCCCAACCATCACTCATGTCCTTTCCACGACCAGGAATGAGCAGGTAGCTGGCACTGCTGAAGTGCTGATCACTGCAACTCGAGATCACACCACCGTTAATAGCAGCAGCGAGGTCTACCAGTGCACTCTTCTTCTCGGGAAAAGCAGGAATCGCGTGGCCGAAAAGGCGGAATCGTGCAATGCCCCCGTCAGGGTACATGTTGAGCCGTATGTATGAATAGGCTTTCTCTGTGGGAGTCTTCAACTTCCAGCCCTGGCGGCGATTGGGACCACACTCCTGACGACCAAGTATGGTTTCCCAGCCTCCTCGTTCCCTGCCCCAGCCAATGACATCTTCATCGTTTTCGGCATTACAGCCCTCGATCGATATGGCGGGTGCTTCGTTGCCATTGAAGAACGCTGTGTCAACTTCAGCACCAGTTATCGTTCCAGCAGCTGGTCCCATCCGGATGATGGCATAGTCGAAGGTCTGTTTGTTGTGTCGACGCGTTTCCCACCCATCGTACCAGCCTCCGGTGTAGACAACCTTTCCCGGGATATGGATGGGTTTCTTAGGATTGAGCAGGTTCGAAGCTTCAGCGAACCATTCATCTGAGACAGATACAATTCTGCCACCGAGAGCGGATGAAGTCAGGTCTTTCGAGTTCGTCAGCATGGGAAGCAAACATCTTTTATCATGATATGTGAGGCTGGATATACGCACCAGTGCAATTGTATAGAAATGTCTCGTCGATCTTGTCAGCAGGGACGAAATAAGCAGGAACCGCTTTCAAGGGATATTCAGGTCTCTTCTTCATCTTTGCACCCTGGATCTGAGCCTCCACTCGTGTGGAAATGCAGATGGTTCTGTTGGGAGGCTATTTAGACTCCAGGATCTGATATCAATTGCTATCAAAACACACACTTCCTAGTCAATTAAACCCCACGCTATGATGAACAGATTCATTTTGCACCGCGGGAGACATCGTTTGTTTCTGATACCAACAAGGTCAGCATCGATCTGGAATCCATAACAGTTGGCCCGCGGGGAACTCTATGCCTCGAACTGCTATAATTACCCGATTTGGAACATGGAAATAAAGACGGTATCTACCAAACTTCCCTCCAGCAAATTGCGTTTCTGCGATACAGTGCCGTAGGCGAAAGGATGAAGGTGAGATATGAATGAGATAGGTTTAATCTCGCTAGCAATTGCCAGTTCAATATACGGCGGATTCAGGCATGGATCTAATAGAATGAATGGAGATAGCCTCATACTACCAAAGCTTTTTTAACCACTTTCAAGGCATGACTTCTGGATATACTGGCTTTTTGACTGAACGTTAATCGATAGTAGAAGGAAGCAACCCTACATCATGGATGTTGACCTGATCATCCGTAATGCAACTGTGGTTACGGCCTCAGACATCTGGCCTGCATGTGACATTGCAATCAAAGTAAGTGCCTGTTAGAGCATGAATTTACCGTACAATTATCCTTAACAGCGACTCTCATGGCTACTAGGAAGGCGCTATTCTCTCCATCGGCTCCAACCTCCCAGTCAGTGAAGATACACGAGTCCTTGACGCCGAAGGGGCATTCGTAACCCCCGGCGGAGTTGACGCCCACTGCCATCTTTCACAATTCTACAATCCAGGTCCTGGAGAACCAGAGACTACCCCGACAACGGATGGTATCATTCCAGCCAAATACAACTTCTCAGGGGATACGCAAGAGACGGGATCACTCAGTGCCATCTGCGGTGGTACAACGACCATCATCAGTTTCGCGAATCAGTTCCGGGGCGACGACAGTCTAGTTCCCGTCATCGAAGAATACCACAAGTTGGCTGAAGCAAAGTCATACTGCGACTATGCCTTCCATGTCATCATTACCAATCCGTCCAAGAAGGTGATCGAGGAGGATCTACAGCTCATGGTAGAAAAATACGGGATAACCAGTGTCAAGATATTCATGACGTACGAGTCTGCCAAGTTGAATGACTACCAGATATTGGATGTTATGCATGCTTCGAGAAAGTTGGGCATAACGACCATGATCCATGCGGAGAATGGAGATGTTATAGATTGGATGACGGATAATTTGGAAGTGAAGAATATGGTGGCGCCCCATCATCATGGTACCTCGCGGCCGCCGATTGTCGAGGCTGAAGCAAGTGTAAGCCTCGTGTCTCTCGACTCTTCGAATGTTTGCTATGGACGCAGCTAACTATCATAGAACCGCGCCATCTGTCTCTCAGAGGTCATGGATACTCCGATATTGCTCGTTCATGTTTCTAGCGGACAGGCTGCAAAGACTATCAGGAAAGCACAGACGAGACTTCTACCGGTATTTGGAGAGACGTGTCCTCACTACCTTTTCCTTTTAGCGGAGAGAATGAAACGAGATGGTTTTGAAGGTGTGTTCCCTCAGTTCTTTATATAGATTCATTGAAATGAGTTGACCGTTAGGGCTATCCTGTAGGTGCCAAATACGTCTGCTCTCCTCCTCTCCGTGAAGACTCCTCCGATCTGGAAGCAATGTGGCAAGGAATCAAGAATGGAACGTTCACCATAGTATCTTCAGATCATGCACCCACCAAGTACGATCACCCGAATGGCAAAAAGCTTGGTCTACACGGCCACGAGCCACACGGCAAGTTTCGCTGCATTCCCAACGGGCTTCCGGGACTGGAAACACGAGTACCTCTGCTTTTCTCGGGAGGCGTGATGTCTGGTCGTATCACTCCCCAGAAATTCGTGGAAATGACTTCTTCCAACCCAGCGAAGCTGTATGGCCTGAAGAACAAGGGTACAATAGCCCCCGGTTTTGACGCCGATATAGTTATCTGGTATCCACAGGAGAAGTTCGAAACGTTTAACCTCGAAAACAAGAAGCTGCACCATTCAATAGACTACACGCCTTTCGAGGGCATGGAGTTCAAGAACTGGCCGAGGCATACTCTGATACGGGGTAAGGTGGTGTTCAGTGAGGGCAAGATTCTAAGCCACAAGGGCTTTGGCAGATTCCAACGACGAACTTCTTCGTTGTTGGCAAGACCTCGGGATGTATGGTTAAGTGAATGGCGACCTTGAATGTTTTATAGAATCTGTAGACTGTGATCTAGGTTATTTACCAAGTAACGCATTTATAGTAACGCCCTTTGCGAGATACACGTCCAAACCAGTCCGTTCCACAGTTTCCCCAAAAGCAACCAAGTAGCCCATGCAGTCCATAATTGCAGCCGAATAACCCTTATTCAACAGGACCTCCGCAAGAGCCCTGCACTCGTAAATCGTAGCTGCCGGACTGAGAGTGAAAGCAGACACAGAAACGACTTTAGGAAGCCGCTGAACCCAACGATCCGTCAGGAAAGGCTTCTGCTCATCCACAGGCACAAGAACCGCCACCTTTTCCCCTTCCGTCCAGGCTCGTCTAGACAGAGCCTCTTTCAAGAGTTCGCCAGGAAACAAGATCTCAAGTTTTGTCGAAGATGAGAGATCAAAATCCCCCGTGCACGTTACTGCAGCACGTGCAATTCCTCTAGCCTCTGCTTGTGCGATGGCCTTGTTGAGCTCCGGCACAAGCGCCGACTTGGAAATGAGGATCCGTTCACCGGTGACCGTGGAGGAGCTGATGGGGAGCTCCCCCGGGATGGGTTTGAGCTTCTGCATAATTTCATTCACTGAGTACTCGTCTAGAGGATTGAAGTCGATGACCTCGACGCCGAGGTGAGAGAAGTCTTCGTCTTTGGCGGGTTGGGATTGTCCGATGTGAAGAAGGCCGACTGTCATTGGCCTCACTGGCCTGTTTGATCTGTGGGACATCTTTCTCAACTGTTCCGATGGTATAGATCTTTATTATTGAAGGGCTGATTCGGTGGGTGGGTGTATGTGTGTGTTCAATGATATGGAATAGGTCTGCGGTTGGCTGTGTTTTTAACGAAGGAGCTGCTCGGTAGAATTCAGCAAATCTCGCCGTCTCTCGATCTCATGCCATGATTTTTTTTCTCGTTTCCGATGCGTTTCTACTTGACTGTCAGCCGTAAACGCTCTTATCATCTCGCTCGGCATTTCCATCAACTGCATTACCCATCTAGCTTCAGCTTCGAGGTTCAGATAAGATACGGTGCTCATGGAATGGATTTCCCCAGAACCGAATCAGCTTCACTCTCCCGCAGTCCTTAATTATAGAGTTGCCCACGGGCTGATACGGTACTTGCCCGCAGGCCGGCATTCTAGCCGATATAGCCATGGCATCTGTTTGACTTTGGGAGCGAGGTGCTAGCTAGGTATGCCGCGTGGGAGAATGGATTCCACCCGGTCAAGACACGGCCTATACGTTTCATTTACTGACACCGAAGAGTCTATGATGTGATGGCAGGGTACTGCAAAGGTCACTAGATATAAATCAGAGACTATCACGCCTGCTGATCTTTTCCGTTCTTCAGCTCCTCAGATACTACTTGTGACTCTACATCGTCCTTTTCATACGGCATTGCATCAAAATGATGATCAAATCACGGGTGAAGAACTGGGGCTCCGAGTGGGCTCAACAGTTCAAGGAGGACCTTCAGGTACAGAAATCCAGCCATGAAGTGATCGAGGGCAGAATCTGGTCGAACCAGGACCTCGATCCCACTCCCCCCGAGAAGCGCAACTGGACATGGATGAACTACGGACTGTACTTCATCGGATGCGGTTTTAACAGCTGGACCGGAGGAAGCAGCGTCATTGGCGTGGGATTGGGATGGAAAACCGCCATTGCCATCATGTTCGTCACCCAGGCAATCTCCGGGCTCTGCTGTGTCTTGATCGGTAAGCCAGCTGCACGGTATCACATTGGCTTTCCTGCCATGTCGCGAACGGTCTATGGCATGTACGGGAGCTACTATCAGGTCATTGTTCGAGCCATCCTCGCCGCTGTGTGGTATGCCACGCAGATGTATGCTGGTGCCAGCTACCTCGAGATCTGCTTCAAGGCGATTTTCGGGCATCACTTTACAGACATTCCCAACCAAGTACCAGCCAGCGTCGGATATACCACGCAACAATTCCTCACCTACTTCGTCCTGTGGGCCCTTTATATCCCGTTTATCTTTCGACGTCCACACCAACTCCGCTGGTTCTTCAGCGGCAACTCCCTTGTTGCCTTCCCGGCAGTCACGGCCTTGTTCATCTACTGCATGGTTTAGTCAAAGGGCAAGCTCGCCCTGGAAGACAGCCTCGACTCTAAGAAGATGAGTACCAGTCAGACCGCGTGGATGGTCATATATGCCATGACCAGCACCATCAGCAATGGCGCGGCCTACATCGAATCATTCTCCGACATGGCACGATGGTCCAAAACACCGCACGGCTACATGCTCCCTACCTTTGCTGTGCAGACAGTGTTCAATCCACTCTCCGCCGTATTTGGAATTCTCGGGACGTCGGCCCTCCAGGTCAAAACGGGTCAAATAATCTGGAAGCCGTGGGATATCATGTCCTACATCCTAGAACAGGACTTCTCATCCGGCACAAGATTCGGGATCTTCTTGCTGGCACTTTTGTGGATCGGAACCACCGTCTGCCAGAACTTCTCATCGAATCTGATCCCCTTTGGATCCGACGTCTCCATGCTGTGGCCCCGACATATCACCATGACCCGAGGATTCATCGTCGTCCACCTCCTCGCCTGGTGCATCTGTCCGTGGAAGATCTACGCCTCCGCCACGACCTTCCTCGACTTCATGGGAGCGTACGGAATCTTCATGGGACCAGCTGTGTCGATCATGATCTGCGAGTACTTCCTCGTGTGCCGCGGTAACATCTTTATCCCATCAATCTACATCGGCAACTCGAGCAACCCCAACTACTGGTACACCCGGGGATGGAACATCCAGGCGTATGTCGCATACATTGTCTCGGTCGGACTCTGCTTCGTCGGTTTCGTGAACAGAGTCGGAGCAGATGTACCCGACGCAGGAGTCAAACTAGGATATCTCGGCTGGTTCCTGACATTCCCCACCGGGTTCATTGTTTACTATTTTGTCACTCTCGTCTGGCCGCATCAGAATGCCAAGAATGTGAAGGGGCTGCGCTTTGAGCAGAACGCCATTGAAGCTGATGCACTCGATGGAGTTGGGATGGGGTCGGAAGAAGATGGCTCGGGTGGTGGGTTCAACACCAAGGACCAGATTGTCGTCAAGTCAGGGATTCAGGTTGAAGAATGAGGTAGTATGTTAGGTTAGTTAAGGTCTAGTGGATAGCTGTCAATGTTTACTCAGTGGGTCAACAGTGGTATAGTCGTGACCGTTATTATTCTTTCCTTCCATCTCGGAAGCATATGCACTTTTTATTCTACCTCATTGTACGGCAATCTTGCAGATTGCCCATCCAATGTTGAGCATCACCTCGGGTTCCTCTAGATCTGGGGAATAGACTTCTAGACTAACAGACTTGCTCTTAGGATAAGGCATCCCGGGATGGCCCAATGAGGATCGTCTAATGGTCACATGATTGATAACGAGGAGCCTTTTAACTCTCTATTGGTTGGCTAACTATCTACGCTATGCTGACTAATTTGGGCTAAACCTAACTCACTAACTAGGAAGGAGCTGTAGCATGGGGACCAGCTCTTTCGTAGTGGAATACAGCAAACAAGCAGGTCGGCCGTGGGAATATGTTGGGGTCAAGAAATTTCACTTGTCTTGCTTCCCAATAGTGACAGCAAACAAAAGAGATACACTGCACACAAATCAGACAACCTAGCCTAGCCCATACTAAGATATACAATGCGGGAACAATCTTGACAAAAGAAAGGTCAAGAGGTTATAAAAAAGGGATTGGATATCGAAAGCCTAGTATAGAATTCTGTGTTCCATCAATAGTTGGTTAAGCAAAACTCAGGGTGAATTTCTTCATTGTCACCATTTAGGATTCGAATGCGGGAATAATCTTCGGAGAAAATAATTCGCCATGGTTTGGGCTCTGGATCTTTAGACGTCAGTCATGGAAACTCTGACAGAGAAAGCAAAGGTCCTTACAACATGTGCGAGGAATTGAGCGCCTGCAGTCCAATATCAACCAATCAGTGAGTCGGCCTTGTTGGATGGACTGGTAATATGTTCCACCTGGTTTGAATCTTTCACAATGTTCCAAATGCCGGTCGCCGTAACGTAAGAGTTCGAATCCTCAGTCAGGAGTAGCTTCACAGCGTGTGGAAAGCCATGCTGAAGCCAAAGCAGACGGCGGCGGCAGTGATAAAGGATCCAAAGGCGAACATGTCACCGCTATTGAAGTGCTGCTTTCCCGAAGCAAAGATGCGGCATAGAAGCATATCGGCCGTAACAAAGGCCGTCGATCCCACCAAGTGAGTCCAGATATTCATCGTTTCCATGTGCCAGCAGCGCCACAGACGAAAAGACCGATGGTAGGAATATGTTGGCATGGGATGGCCTCCCACAATATAATCATTGTCGCGTAGCCATCCGGGGATCTGGTCTTTGGTCCCAAAGGATGGCCAGTCTGTCTGGCTCTTTGTGTTTCCTGTGTCTGCGCGGTCGCCTTGTCCCTGGTGGCGCACTTCTTTGGCAGGTTTCGACAATCCGGAGAGACCTCTTCGTCGGTTCCCATATGACTGGTTCCCAGAAATTAGTCCACTGAACAAATTCGCCTTGTTTTGCATGACTTTGGCATTTGCAGCATTCCATTTGATCAGGTGGGATTTCACATTTCCTTCCCGTATAGAGCTGATCCTGTGGCAGGTTTCAAGCTCAATCATAACAGTGGCGATTGTCCTGTACTGGGTCCTAGAGACCATCGCGGCTCGCCAGCGTTTTGGCAGATGGGACAAGTATCTCATCTGGCTGCGATTGAAAAAGAAGAAGCCAGCAACCGACGCAGAGGTTACCGTGGCCTGCCGGCGCCAGGATACTGTCGACCGTCTGGACGCGTTTGAGAGGGAACAAAGAGAGGCGAAGCCAATCCTGCCATGGGAAATCGGCCTTATTTTTCCCATTATTTTGTTGTATGCTGCTGCTCGAGCATATGTGCTTGTTGAGATGTTTGCGAGTCTGCGGGCATTGCCATTTGGTGTATATCAAACGTTTGATCTTGCAGATATATTTCCTCACTGGTGAATGGATATTATTATTATAGTTATTTAGGCCGATAATCAAATACTGACTGATCGTGCACTTCCTTTCCCCTTGAAGTTGAGGGCCCAGGAATAAGTTTACCGACAGGCAAGTAACAGGCAAACGGGGAAAAGGTGACGGTGGACCTTGCACTTATTAACTGGCGAACCATATACAAGTCGACCTTTAAACGTCAATCTATAGAGCAGCAGGATCAATGGCTCCAAAATTGTTTCAACGACATCCACACTCAGCACCTCCTGTCTCCAACCGACAAAAGCATGATGCCTTTATATCAACGTCTGCGACTGCTAAGGCCAAGTCAAGTTGTTTCTTCAAGATCCTCGCCTCATCCTTTCTCTCAAGTTTCAATAAGCACTCATAAAGCCCATGGAGTGACCATACATTATTGGGATGCTGCATTGCTCTTGGCACAGTGTCGCTGATACCAAGGTCTGCTGCGTAGACCTCTAAAGCCTCCTCATCTCGTCCCTGTTCCAATAGCAAAGCCCCGTACGCGTGCCTAGGAGGCTGCATCCACCCCCAGGGCTCGTCATAAGGCAGCGCCTCGTCTAGAGCAATTGCTTCACGGAGATGATTAAACGCTTGCTCAATGTCTCCTTTGCGGTATTCGACTTCACCGTTCAACATTGCCTCGGCGATTTTCACAATGTCCAGGCATGTATTGTTGAATATTGTCCGGGACGGTTTGATGTTGTCGACAGCTCGTCTGAACAAGGCTCGCTCCTTCTCTGCGTTTTCAATTCTGGAAAGGGCTGCATTTGCAACGCCCTTGGCATAATGTAGCAGCGCGGTAGTCATACAATAAAGCTCTTGGTCTTGAGGAAGTTGCAATGCAAGAATATCCTCCCATCGTCCAAATCGAATTAATGCATGGACTCGCATTCCCAGGAAACCTTCCAACCAGTCCGCCATCGGCGGCGACTCCACACGTAGTAACTCTTCTGGAATGCTCGCTTCTAGTTCTGTGACTGTGTCAAGGGCAACTCTCGATTGTCCCGCGAACATGGCTGCATACAGTCGAAAATGATAGTTGTGTGCCCGATACAGCGTGTAGAAATTTAGCGGCCCGACATTCGAAAGGAACTTTTCATCGGCGCGGATAGCCTGTGTATTGGAGATTATAGCCTGGCGATACTCGCCGCACAGCACATCCAAGTGTGTGGGCATATGATTCAAGTGTCCCGCATCAGGTACAAGACCGCGCAAGTTATCCGCAACGGAGAGCGCACTTTCTGGCTTCCCTGACATTTCCATAAGATGGATGTACATATGCAGAATTCCAGGATGCCGCAATCCGCCCTCTAGTGCGAGGGCATGTTCCAGCACATCTCTTATCTCCAGCGTATGTGCCTCTGGAGCAGGTTGTCCTGTTCTTAGATCCCATAGTTTCCATGGCGTCAGATTCATCAACGCATCTGCATATAACGCAGAGACATCAAGATCGTTCGGAAACTTCCGATAGACATTCTTCATCGCACTGGCATACTCAGAATTCCAGGTCGAGAAATCCCCTTCCAGCCTTTCCGACGGATAGCGATACTGAATAGCCTCGATGAGACATTTCTCAGATGGCGACGCTTTGTCAGCCATGTCTTCTGCTCTTCGCGAGGTACGGCATGCTTCAACCAGAGACTTATCAAGGTCCTCATCATCAAAGCTTTGCCATGGCTTGTTGTAGTTCGGCCCCAGCGAATATGCTAGACCCCAGTACGCGATTGAGCAATCTGGATCGGATGCTATAGCTCGTCTGAAGCATCTACTTGCCTCCTCGTGGTTAAATGCATATGTCCAGATGAGGCCGCGGTCGAACCATCTCTGGGCGTCGGGGGAGGATGTTGTGATGGGGCGATGATGGGAGCCTAGATTGTAATAACCAGCACTGGCTGATGTGCTTGATCTGACTGAATTTGTCCCCATTGTTTCGATCTTTGCGGTTTGAAGATGTGGCATGGAGCGATGAAGTTGTTTTTTTTTTTGGCGGATAACTTTAATAATAACCCCTCTCTCATATTGCTGTTGATGTCTCCGGACACCACCAGAGCATAGGTTATATAGACATTGGGAAGGATACTTTTGCAATTTAACTAACTAGTTAGTTAACTAGTTAATTATACCTGTATTATGTAATATCCAAAAAGCAGCGTATAGTTAACTATGGCCTTTATTAGGGTTAAAGACGTAAAACACCAGCAAGTGTGGAGTACAGCGGAGCCACTTCTAAGAGACAGGACAGCAAAACCACAGCGAACCCAGTCTCTCTTACGGAGTGAGTCTGCTCCATGCAATAGTCCTACAGAGTATTCTCCGCACCCATCATCGGATAGTTAATATCAAACAAATCCATCAAGTCAACCCCGAGGAGCGGCAGATTATCAAGCTGATAGCTTGGAGCATCGATAAGAGGCAAGAAAAGAGTGCTATCATCATTAGACGGCCGTAGCCATTTCTGAGGCAGGGTAAGCGGATTTCCCATAGATGCTTCTTCCCCATCTTGCATGGACACTGGTTGCACGTCTGGCTTTGCTGGAGCTCCAGTCGACTCCGCCCCCGATCTCAAGTCCGTCGCGAGAGGGAGCACAATGTCGGAATACTGCTGCTACGACAGTCTCCCCAAAGAATGACGGGTTGTGGCTGTAGTATCGGTGCTTTGCGGTCTCGAACTGTCTGATGCAACAACCTCTCGTCGTGCTCGGATTATGAATGACCATGTCGAATAGGATCATCAGAGCGGAGAGGGGCGTTATGCTCTCTGCTAGAATGGTAAACACAGAGGTTATCTGCTCGGATATTGAGATCACTCCTGTCCAACCCCCGCCCGGGAAGACCTGCGCGCAGTACCTGCCTCTCGGCGTATATGGAGATTGCTGGCGGCACAGTATACAATCCAGACGCGACAGCAAACTGCGAATTGTGCCCTGACTAATTCCAGCACGTTTCTGACCTGTGTCATCGAACTATAGTGATCGTTGGCGGAACCTTAGACTCATATGAGCCTACATCGCTTTCAACGTCGGTACCGCTCTATTCCTGTACTGGACTTTTCGCGTCCCGAAGAAACGATCTATGCATGGCAGTTCGAAGGATAAATAGCTAAGGCCTAATATTGGGTATCCATTCAGTATCAAAAGGCCATGCATTTTTCCCAAGCAATGCGCTCCGTTTCCGCCTTCGCATGCCCATCCAAGAATCCCTGTTTTGTCTTTGAAAGAAGTTCCACCAGTTGAGGATATTATTCAGGTGATACAGCATCATCCCAGCCAGGATAAGCACCCACCGTATAAGATGCATCTTGCTTGAGTTTGATATCTCCGTACCGTAGCGCAAACTGTCTTTCTTGTTCTTCTATTTTGGGAGGGCAAATATTGTACTGGACAAGGCTGTACCGAATATCTGCAGCCAGGCAGATGGCTGAACGGTGTCGCTTATCATTGACTGTATATATGATTCTCCGTTACCAAAAAACATGTCCATACATCGTAGAAGTTGGCGGGAGACTGTCTCTTTCGTATTCAAAGGCCGACAAAAACGCGGTGTCATACATTGGGGCCTGTATTTTGTAGACAACTCAGAGCATTTTCGAGAGGCGGAAAGCCTTTGCGGCCTTTTGTTCTTCACACTCAACTTATTCATATTAGGCAACCGGGGTTCAACCAGGCCCTGGGGCTTTTGGCCATTGAAGTCGAGGACAGATGGTGAAGCATTTATAAACATTGGGTAGATAGGTGTTGCTCGCTTGCTTGGCAGTCAATAATGCTACTTATCTGATGGGTATTATTTGCATGAACAAAGGTATTTTGCATATAAAGGTCAATTGAGTATATCCATTTGGAGGGCAAGCTCTTTTGGTAGGATATAAGGCCAGAGAGCTGAAAAGTCTTGCAAGACTTGAAGTTTTTCGCTGCCATGGGTTCGTAGCCACCGGGACCATTGTAGATATCCCGCTGGCAGTCTTTATTGAAGTCGGGAGCGAAATTTTTGATGCAAGTTGTTTCGCACTGTATGATGCCATGTTCACAAGTTTCTGGCGAGCCTTCATATCCCATGCATGGGCAAGTTTGACGCCACAGGTGCCTTTTCCATGACAATGCATTCAGTGCCAATTTCGCCATCAGTGGCTTTGGAGCATGAAGATTAAGCTCTGGTGTAAGCTGCAGCGAAGTTAGTATCCAGTCTTTGGTGAAAATAAGCGGGGTCTTGATGGCCTATGCATACATATTCCGTCGTAGCAACTTCTGAGGCCGTTGTATAATGGCTACACCAGCATTTTGGGTTAGGGAGCTTGAGAATCAGCTCCAAGCCATCTGCCATCTTGGCAAGAAAGACTTTATTAAAGTTCCCTTCGGGTAGCTTTGTCACATCGGCACAGCCAGCGTTTGGGCCGGCTATTCTTTCAGCAACTGCGACTGGCTGGCTGGGGTCAAACTTCACATAGCGCTTCTCAAGTTGTTGTCTTTCATTCCATAGCCATGGCTGGGCTTTTTAACTGAAAATGTGCAGCTGCTTCCACAGAGCATCCTTGAACAGTTTCAAGCGTGAACAGAAGGCGCCAAGCGTGTGAGGTAACGAACCATGTAATGGAATGGATTTATCACCTATTGTGAAAAAATGGTATATAGCACTAGATTTTGTAATATTCCATCTGGTTAGGCCTTTAAGCATTGAAGTTATTCTGGAGGCTATCGTCGATCCTGAATTGACTTGATGGTTGGTTAATCTGCTTTGGCCCAAGGACTCGCCAGTGTTGTAGCACGTGACATAAACGATGCCGAGGTTCACATGCGTCCAGGACCGATGCTCTCCGCAACACCTCATCGTCCATGTCATTCTTCCCAGACAACCATCTACATGTTTGCCAACAGTACTGGTTTAACCATCATTCTTGGGATTCCAAGAATCGCCTCCACAGTACGACGGTTCTAGTTGCCCTTCCAAAGGCTTCCTGCCGTCTAGGCTCCGGCTTGAAAATGCGAGCTGCCGCGAAGGCAGTCGCTCAAACAGGTCCAAGTTGATAGACGACCGTTAACAGGGATCCAAGGCAATCTCCCAAGAAGACAAGATGACTGTCCAGTCGACCTTGCGACGTTCTGAGGATCCCCTCTTTATCCTGTGTTCCTACTATGCGACCTTGCTACGTTCTCGAATCAAGCGGACACCCCGATGGGCCAAATTGGCCGCGACCCTTTCTCTTCTTATCTCGATCATAGGTAGCGGATATGGCGGCTACAAATGGTTTCGGGAGAGGGCAAGAGAGCGAGCTAGGGGTAGACGATTACTGCGTCGAAACTCCGGTATTCGAGGGAAAGGCGGCTCCCGCATCATCTATGTGCCGTCTGGGGATTCGGCGACTTCGAAGATCACGATATTTCCAACGAAACCTACCACATTCGATGCTCATCGAAGGCTGTTTCTGAATCCTCCCTCGTCTACTCGTCTCGGAGACGGGCATTCCTTCAGCTCGGTTCCCCCGGCTCATACGAAACCTGGCTTGAACCTGGCGTTTCTCCATCAGTTCCTCAGCCTTCTCAGTATTATGGTTCCTAGGTGGGATAGTAGGGAAGCGGGGTTGTTGATGGGACACGGCATTTTTCTTATGCTGCGAACATACCTGTCTCTGCTCGTCGCACGATTGGATGGGGAGATTGTACGGAATCTCGTCGCGGGCAATGGACGTGCTTTCATCTGGGGCATCTTCAAATGGTGTGGTATTGGTACGCTTGCTTCATATACTAATGCTATGATTAAATTCCTACAGTCGAAGGTATCGATTGCCTTTCGCACTCGGCTTACAAGGTACATACACGACTTGTACCTCACGGATAATCATAACTACTACCAGTTGATGAATTTGGATGGTGGCATAGGTCAAGGTGCAGACCAATTCATCACGCAAGATCTGACGCTTTTCTGCTCTGCAGCGGCAGCGTTGTATTCCTCGATCGGCAAGCCTCTGGTGGATCTCTTTGTATTCAATTACCAACTTCAACGTTCTCTCGGACCTCTGGCGCTGGGCGGCATCCTTACAGGTTACTTCAGTACTGCAGCTGTCTTACGCAAACTGTCGCCGCCGTTTGGAAAACTCAAGGCTGTCGAGGGCAAGAAGGAAGGTGACTTCAGAGGCCTCCACTCCAGACTGCTCTCCAATGCGGAAGAGATTGCGTTCTATGGGGGCGCGGATGTGGAGAGGGTCTTTCTTGTGAAGACCTTCAGGGACCTTCAGCGCTGGATGGAGGGTATATACAGTCTCAAAATCCGGTATAATATGCTCGAAGACATTATTTTGAAGTATTCTTGGTCTGCATTTGGCTATCTTATTACATCGCTGCCGGTGTTCCTTCCTGCCTGGGGAGGACTGGGTGGCCTCATGGAGCTGGCGCACCCAAACGAGGTGGCAGTTCGGGAACGGGGTCGCATGCAAGAATTCATTACCAACAAACGTCTGATGCTTTCGCTGGCTGATGCCGGTGGCCGGATGATGTACAGCATCAAGGATATTGCAGAATTGGCAGGCTACACCTCTCGGGTGTATACACTCATTTCTACCCTCCACCGGGTACACGCCAATGCCTATTATCCCCCTCGTGGAAGCCTCCCGGAACCGTACTCGCTATCGGATGTCCAAGGTACCATTCACAAGGGCTTCCACGGAGTTCGCCTGGAGCAAGTTCCAATTGTGGCCCCCTCGCTTTATCCCCGTGGAGGTGATGAGCTCATCGAGTCTTTATCATTTATAGTGCGCTCTGGTGAACATCTCCTCATCTCTGGACCCAATGGTGTCGGAAAGTCGGCCATTCCTCGCATCGTTGCAGGGCTGTGGCCGGTATATCGCGGGTTAGTCAGCAGACCTCGTAACGTCGGCTTTGACGGTATCATGTTTCTCCCACAGCGACCCTACCTTAGCGTTGGAACACTCCGCGACCAAGTTATCTATCCACATACCGAGTTGGATATGCGTGAAATCAACCAAACGGATAGCAGGTTGCAGGAGATCCTGCAAGAGGTCCATCTTGGTTACCTCCCTGCTCGTGAGGGCGGCTGGGACTCTCGCAAGGAATGGAAAGACGTTCTCAGCGGCGGTGAAAAGCAACGGATAGCCATGGCCAGATTGTTTTACCATGAGCCTCGGTATGCTTTCATCGACGAGGGTACATCTGCGGTATCTTCGGACGTCGAAGGGCTCTTGTATGAACGTGCGAAGGAAAAGGGAATCACGTTAATCACTATTTCAACACGTGCATCTTTGAAAAAGTACCACACGTACAACCTTACACTTGGCCTTGAGTCTGAAACCGAGCAGTGGCAACTTGAGAGAATAGGCACAGAAAAGGAGAAACTTGGTGTCGAGAAAGAGCTGCAGGAACTTCGTAAGCGCCTTGCTCAGGTGGAAGAATGGAAAAGACGACGAGAGGAAATCGACAACGAGCTGAACAAGGTCTGGACTGCTGATGGAGAGCTTGATCCGCCGCCACCCTATCAGGATGAGTATGAAACGGCAGAAGAGCAGACTGCGGAGGAGTCTGATAACTGAGGGAGTCAACAGATTTTCATGGGATATTCTGTAATGGCGTTCAACAACATTGGGACATGTATACAGTACTGGAATCTACAATGCACACGAGTGATGTTTCACCATTCAAGAATCTACGCCAAATATATGTTGCTTTTGTAGTCGTCTACCACCGGAGTATCCACAGTAGATACATCAAAGATGACGCCATAAGCCTTTCTTCTCTTTCCTTTCATGCGTCTCAGTCCGTCGAGCCGCCTGTGGGCGTACACCTCACCATGTCATGTCACGTGACCTGACAGCATTCCTTCCATGTCCCGTTGAAGCGCGACCAATCTCAAAAACAACCGCATACTCTGTATGCCTTCAGACCGGAAGATAGAGATCGCCTCCTATTTCCATCGTCCACTATGCTAGGATTCCATTTCTCTTGGTACAGACCTTCATGTTCTCTTTAGACCCCTTATCTCAACCTTCTCTCTTTTCCCCCGAAGACTTCAACCGGCCATCATGTCCGACGACCAGGAGTCTCAGTTTACGGATGAGGACATCATCGTTATTCCAATAGACCGCTCGTTCAGTGATGGAGATCCGTCAACATGGCCGAAGGAGCCAAGATACGGCATGCCGGATGATTCGACATACCGGGAGAAAGTGGCTAAACTGTGGTTGCAGAAGACTGGGGCATATGAAGAAGGTAAGATTTATTAACCGGTGTTTATTTTTGTTTATGAAGGTCTGTTTTGATTTATCTTTTCTTTATTATTAAATGTGAATTGTTTATTCTGTTGTGATTGTCTTTTATCTTTCTACATCCAGTTTTGTTCTGGCGTTTGGGACATTCTTCTATGGCCTTTTTTGCAGAAATTGGAACCTCCTTTCTCTGTCTGTATCTGTGTGGATATTTTATGAGCAATACTCTATTCACTGACTTGGAACACCCCCACTTCTATGTATTGGACTATGACCTCCAACTGCTCTTTCTTTCTGGGCCCCTCTACCTATATGTTCTTTCTGGACTAATGATCTTTTCTGCATCACAGGGATGAACTATATCATAGACCGCTTGCCAGAGGGATACGCTCTTTTTGATAGACCGCGTTTGTCAAACCCTGAAGTTGTAAGCTTGATCATGAAGTCCTTACTGCTTGTACAGCTCTTATACTGATGTGGCTTGAAACAGCGTGATAAGTTTGTCTGGGGTCATCCCTGTGGACAGTTCTATTATTCCTCGGTGCAATTCTTTCCACATTTCTATTATTTGATGACCGGTGGGACTTCAAAGTGCCTTTGTAATCTCTGCGTGAAGATGTCCGAAAAGAAGAAAGGTCAGTGTTCTTATTTTGTGCCATGGAATTTTCCATTTACATTCTCTGACAACGTACTAGTTGGCCATCTACTTCAGCGTGGCCGTAAGCCAAGACCTCGTCCAGTCGTCGACAGCGAAGGGACGCCTGATGTCTACAGAATGGCGATTCAGAAACTCAAGGAGTACGGCACGTTGGATGAGAAGATTACAGAGCCATCAAGCATGGATTGGCGAGCGGAAAGGAAGCGGCTAAGCGAATATTTAACGATGCTGAATCTGCAGGCCTCTTATATCCCACGTGCCGGCGAAATTGTACTCTGGACTCCTTCACTCGAAGGTGAGCTGTCATGGAATTACGACGAAGGACGTATTGAAATGTATTCCCAGTCTAAGAACAGATGGCTTGGTCCCCCTGAGTGGCGCGCCGGCGTTATCGGCCAGGTTCCGGAAGAGGACATAGTGCTCCAGGACCTGGTGGAAACGACAAAGAAGAAACGAGAGGTTAACTATTCGGGCTTCCGCGTGGAGACTTTTCCAAACCCTAACGGTACGGATAAGAGCTACTCGTTACAGTACAAATATGTGCATTTGAGGTGCATTAAGCCGTTCAATGCATGGGAGCTCTTCCTGCAAGGAACTGCTCGCGAAGCGCTCCACCCTTCCATTGAAAATGCCTTAACTATCATGTCCTCATTCAGCTTCCTGGACAAGTACCGCTTCAGAGGCACCTGGCCTAACGCAACCGTGTACTCCCGAGGCATCTTCATTGGTGCGGAGCTTCTGCTCATCGGGGACGCGGTTCGACTGAAACCAACTGGATACGCAGCGAAAAGTCATCAAAAAGCAGAGGTGACGGATATTATGGTCATCGAAAGTATCCGGCTCGAACTCACATCATGCGTGGACGATCCGCAATTGGAACAGCTGGCTGAACGATATGCAGCGCGCATTCAAGGACCAACATACACAACCAGTCGCAGAAGAGCACAAGCAGTTTCCAAGTCCACTTCACCACCGGAGCCCTTGACGCATGACGAGGTGATTCAGGAATTCCAGTATGTCGGAATGAGCATGTACGGCAATTGGTACCGCTTGAACCCACCAGGCACGAAAGTGGAAGTGTCGCAGGACATGATCGTCGGCCGTTGCTATGAGCCTGATTCAATGGCACTTCTATTCGGGCGCATTTCCTTTGGATTGGACGTCCACGGTGTCCTCGTCGCACGCGAATATTCCCGGCGAGCGGATGAGCGTATCCCCAAAGGCAAACGCTGGTTCTGGGGTGATTTCAGGACCCAAACCCTCGCCATAGACACCCTAAATGGACAAGACGTCGGCCACTACAGCGAGTCTCGGGACGTGGGGATGTGGAGGGCCAATCTCAAGGTCATCGACGGCAAAGCCTCGGTGGGTGATCTCAGCGATGTAGGACGATTACTGACGAAGCCAAAGTCGACTTTCCACGAGCTGCATAAGACAAGCACACTTGTCAGCAGCGGTCTTGATACCGTGGATGTGAGCAATCCTGTTAGCTCTGCAGAAGATCATGAACAGAAATATGAGCCTGAAGAGTCCGAATCCGAGGAGGATGACTTCTCCATTCCCCTCCCCTACATCCGTGGAGGAACCGAGGAGACGGAACTGGGAGACTACGTCCCTGAGAATGAGCGGAAGACCAAGAAGGCAAAGACTAAAAAGTGATGGTGAATTCTTTTCGCCACTTATACCTATTATGGTATTCACTTGCAATATTATGATAGACAAAGGCATGGGATTATTAGGTACAATATGGCATACATAAAGGCGTTATGAACTGGGTGTTTTTTAAACTTACCTATGTAATTGGATTATCATGGAATATTTAATCACTACACTCAACTCACATTACATGTCTACTTTTAAACACATCATACAATCCAACCAAGCCAATCCAAAAGGAAAAGGAGCAATTAATAAGTCCTCCCCACAACCTCCCTCGCAAAATCCGCAAAGGACTTTCCCATCTCCACCTCCTCCCCCAAATTCGGCTGCGTAAAAACAGCTAGTGTATTCCGCGCAATTCTCGCGGAACTCGTCGTCTTAGCACCCTTCACGAAATGCGGAACAGCGCGGAACTTGCCTCGCGTGATGAGCTGGAGCGCTTCCCCGGTCTGGAATGCAAGACAGTCCTTGGGGATGTTGACCTTGACGATTTGGCCGGTTCGAGAGCGAATGTAGAGGCCAGCTGCTGGGTCGGGAGATTGGGGCAGTTCAGGGAGGGGGAGGTGTGTTGTTCCTTTTTCGAGGGAGGCATTGGGAGGCGTTATGGCTTCGTCGATGAACATTGCTGATGTAAGGCCTGTGAGGCAGCCGTGGTCGAGGTGGGTTGCGCACCAGTCGTCGTCTTCATCGTCCTTCCCCGTCTCCTTATCCTGTTCCTGTTCTTGCTTTTGTGTGTTGTTGTCTATTGCAGGGAAGTAATGAAGCAATCGAGCCTTAGTGGTTAGGCTAGTCTTCACGACGTGCTCCAGGTATCCTTCCTTGTAGCCGTCGATATTCGCCAGTGCGTATCGATCGCATGCTCTTGCAACCAGAGCCGCGGTGTCGATGATCAGAGTGCAGAGTTCTTCCAGACCCTTCCGGAAGGTCGGGAGACGCTCTGTTGATGGCCAGACATTTGGCGCCGTGTACTCTGAGAAACCCGGGAATCCATCCGCGGGAGCACCTTGCAGCTTTGGATCCTGGTAGAAGGCGCAATTCACATAGTACGAGCCCTTGAGAGTGTCGAAGTGTCCGGATCGTAATGTTTCTTTTCCGCAGGACCAGCCGACTAGGTATTTTGCCTGGGGGGATGAGAGAGATTCTGTATGAATCATCAATTAGCTTTTTATTATTATTATTATTGGAAGGATATTATTATAACTAATAAGCAGCAAATTACCTAGTTCGTCGTCAGACAGCGCTGCCAGATACGAAGCGTTCGAAAGCACCTGGGACCGGAGTGCCTGGAACTTTGGATCCAGATCCTTTACAACGATGATCCCCAGCGAAGATGGACCGAAAGCCTCAGTGAGCGTCTCGAAGGAAACAGAGCCTAGAAATGAATCAGTCTGATTCAGCCTCGCGTGTCAAGACTCGATCCCTGCAGTACTTCTACTCACCGTCGATAAGCTCCCGAAGGCTGACTGTGACTGCCTGAGCCTGCTCTACACCGTCCAAACCCATTTCTCAAAGGATCCTAGCAATTCAGATTGAATGAAGGGAGAATTGTCAGAGGAATAACTTCAAATCAGGGGTTACAATCTGAAGTTGCAACAACGCTTTCCCCTCCCCCACCTGTTCGGCAAGCAGCGAGACGCTTATCAGCGGCTTCGCGTATCTCTCTTTCTCTTTTTTTTCTCTCTTTTCGGCATGTGCATGTACAGGTCGACTAGCCTCGTATTCGAAAGCCTGGCGTGATGCATCGAGGCTGAACTGCGGGACAAGTGATCCCCTATTTAAACACTCAAAATGAGCAGCCAAGCTCTTATTCTGTTCATTCCACTGCTTGCACATGTCTAATCCAAAAACATATCCCCAAAAGATACAAACGAACAAGAGACACCCACCATCCATCCTCCATAACAGAAAACGAAGCCAAAGACCCCTGCATTGACCTGTGGCCATCCCTCATCAATGGCAACAAGCCTTGGGTCCTATTCGAACACGGCACCTGTTTGATCATATCCGAACCAGAGGCTGATCTGGCTGCACAAGCGCGTCAGATTATGGCCGCATCAGGACCCGTGCATGCCGGCAGCTCCTTTGAAGATTTCACAATCTACCCGTTGGATGAGCCCTTTGAGGGGTGGCTTGTCGGAGGCCATCATCCGGGGATGTACAATTATGTTTCGCCGCAGGATTCGAGGGTTGGAACTGGTTCTGCGGATATTTTGGTTGGTATTTGTGGAAGGGAGAATAGGAATGCAAATGCGCATTCTGTGAAGGCTGTACATATGGAGGATACAAGGGTTGTGGATTCATGAGGGATGAAAGTTTTTGAATATCATTTCTATGATTTTATTAGCATCTCTATGTATAGTAGCAAGTCAGAAGGACATGAACAAGGGCACTAACCACCTGAACTATTCCATTGTATCACTCAATTTTTCACGGGAGCTGAAACGACTGGTATGATGGCCTGTTCTTGGTAGGCAGTATCTCAAGATAGGAAATAGGGGAAAGAAGGGTCCTATCTATGGATTCATAGCGCCCCTGGCACAGGTTTTCATCTTCATCTTCCTGGTTGTTGTCATCATTAATAACAATGATAGGCAGTACATTCACATCCTGGCCCTGACTTGGATTGTCCTCAGTAGTCATTATGTCAGCATCAATGTCCCGATCTAGATTTTCTTCTTCAATGAACTGAGCTCGTGCATTTATATCATAATCAATATCATCTGGGAACAGTAAAGAGCCCTGGCGGCACCTAATCTGGTGTTGACTGCCTCCCCAAAGAGGCTGGTCACCATCATCTCTGGATGTTGTCCATAGGGACACTGAACAATGAGGGGTTTCATCATGAAACAGCAAGGAGTGCTGATGGGCTTTCCTGCTATTTGGCTGGTACTCTCTGGAAGGGAGCATTTTCGTACTAGATACACGAAGGATTCCTTGGGAGGAAGAAGAGAGACAACGGCATGCCAGCAACAAACAGAACAAATGTAGCAAAAGAGACAGACAGAACAAATGATGCAAATAGGGCAAGCAGAGTTTCCATATGCCTGGGCGTAGCCCATGATAGTAACAACCAAGCTTGGTTCGGCTTTGACAATGACTGGATGCAAGAGCAGGAGACCTAGGCCCTTTACCTCAACCACAAATGATCAAAAAGTTATATTGCCTTGGTGACTGCATTGTGCCTCTAAACGTGGGTCATTGCAGTGATCCAGCTGTTTTTGCTGCACACAGTATCTTTAGTCAGGTCTTTGATGAAGGATAGTACTGTAGGTCCTCTATTGGAATGGATTGGTCTGATGATAGTTAGTTAGGCGAAGGAAGGTCGAGACAGGCCTGTAACAGAGCTGTTGATCCCCCCCAGGACCCTGAATTCTAATTGGACTGTCGTACAGTAATGATGCGCCTGTCTGTCCAGGGGAGAGATGATTTTTTTGGTAGAGTTTCTTCACCTGGTATGCCAGACGGATAAGTAAGTGGAGATAGTCCTGCCGATTTTTCTGGAATGGCTTCCTGCAGTCCATCCGGTGCCGTTTCTGTGTTTACATTTACTGCATGCGAGGCCAACTCCGCTTGCCGGTCCTGGGTGCCCTCTCTAGGTGGGAGCAACTAATACGCGTTTTCCATTCTGCTTGCTGGAGCATGTGTTCCTTCACCTTGGCCTTTGTGCCCTCCACTCCGTTGCGGCCCTTCCTGACGGATGAGAAAAGCAGGGCATCTCCCGGCATTGGAGAAGCTGGAATGAATATTAGGACAATTCCGTAGGGGAAAAAAAAGAAAACTCCAATGCCAAGAATTGTTATTAATTAATTCTCACTGCCCTGATTTCTGATTACCGGACTCCGACGTATGCATTTCGCCGAAACAGGAAATGCCATTAATATAATCAGCCCTTGTGTCTACTGCTGTACACGTCGAATAACAAGCTCTGTTCCCTCCTTGAACGGCCGGGACTCATCAATCTCAATCACAAACCCCAATTTATTCCAGACCTCTGCCAGTTTCTCATTTAGCAACTCCAAGTTCTCGGTTCCATGAAGTCGCCTGCGAGCTTTGAACGTTCCAAACCCTCCACCTCCCCCAAACGCTGAAAAGAACTCCACGCCCATTTTTTTGATGCGCCTGTCTGCATTTGAACCCAATATTGCACGCTGCAACCCATGAATTATATTCCAGTAAAGATACGGCCCGATTTTATGGACATATATCTTGGGATGTATAAGCCGAAGCCTTTGAAAGTACCCACGGCGGAACGCTATACTGAGCTTCCGTGGAAGCCTCCATCCCCAGAACCACATGTCACAAGCCCCTCCTAAATACTTTGCATAGTAATCATTAGGCATTGGAAGTAATATCTCCCTTAGGTTCTTGAAACTGGGTAGAAGAGCAGCAAGATCAGTGACACTGGAAAAATTCCAATCATTGTACCCCAAGGTGAGTATCTTGTTGGTAAAGCCGATGGTTCTGATCATGTTGTAAGAATCTGGTCCAAGATGCTTAAGGAATTCCAGTGCACTCAAGCTGTCCATGCTCAGAATAAATGGATTCTTCTTGTACAAACACTCCTGAGCAAGTGCATAGATAGAGTGGCAGACTTGGGCCAGAGCAGGCGTTATCTTGGTTATAATACTGAATTCCCTTCTTTTTATTTCTGTTCTTTTTAACTGGTATCTGATGGAAGGTCCGTCATCAGAATGAAATGAAACTTCCTCATCATCGGAATGAAATGAAGCTTCCTCATCATCGGAATGAAACAAAAATTCCTCATTATCAGAATGGAACAAAACTTCCTTGTTGTTAGAATAATAACCCTTGCAGGTAATCTGCATTCCTCCAGGAGGACACAGTACATATTCATAGATCATAAGCTGGATTTCAGTAGGGAGGTCCAAAAGACTTGTGTGAGGTATTGCAGGGGTCATGGTGTCTGCAGACTTTGGGGCTTTCTGTATAGACCGATTAGTCAAGGGAAGAAGATGATGAATACTGGTCTACTAGAGCATTGGCCATGTTTATATATGTCCCCTCCCCACCTTGGCTGGCCTTTCCTTAGACTTGAGCGGCTTTGTCCTTAACTCACTTTCTCTCTTCCGGATGGGCTATTCCTTGATTTCTTTTTTTTATTGCCGAGTCCAGCTATGTTAGGTAATCTGTCTGAAACAATGATAATGCAGAGCTCAAAGAGCCGGTCATGCCAGATCCGTCCTGGGTTAGGGCTAGGGGAGGATTGTTTCAGAACCACGATTGTACTTTGGGCTTTGTACACCCATAATTAAAGACTATCTCGATAGACTCTGCTACACCGTCCATCTGGCCATGAGTTAATGAGCGTCATGGGCTACGCCCAGGCATGTTGCAAACTCAGGGTCAACGCCTGAGTACCCTATCTGCCCAAAGAAATACCTGCAGATTGCGCCCCATCTCATACCAAAGAATAATCCGGTGCTCAGTCATTCTATCATAAGCCATCTGGGCCTACAACCTAACAATATATCTGTTTCAGAAGATTTAGACATCACTGGTTTGATTGACTGATTACACTGCACCGTTCTCCCACTCTTTCTACAATGTGGAGGTCTGAACAGCATTCAACACTATGACGATGTTGTCTCGGAATCACCATAAAACCCTAAGTTGCCAGAAAATTTCAATTAACTTGACACAAGAGACCCAACTCAAACAAGCCGATCTTCTATGCAGATGCCAGCTTCATTATTTCTACGTCAGGGAAATAGAAAAGTGTCTCTCGAGCAGTATAAAGAGGCAAAGCAGCGGGAGAAAGAAACTGATGTTTGACGCTCTTCAGGCTGCTGGGTCGGATGGGTCGGATGAGGAGAGGGCAACCGTAAAGAAGAATTGGATTTTTGATGATATTAAGGAGTATTTGTAAGTGTCAATGGCACATGAAACTCAGGCGCAGCCCATTATCATATTTCAGGTAATTTTCTCATTGTCTTTGTCCACTTGAGGGCATTCTGCTAGTGTATAAAGACATCATAGGAGCCAAGGGATAATCGAGAATGGACATAAAGGAAGTAAGAACAAAGGCAAAATTGAGGATACATATATAAGCATGATCAATCCTCACATAGAGTTTTTTTTTCATTATTATCATCTCCAGCTTCTTTTGCATTGTACTGTGCTGGTTGAACTGTTCAGTTTGTATTAACTTGAAGAATAAACATAACATGGCTCCTCAACAAGTGAGCCTACTACACCTCCCAACTGAGATCCAACTAATTATCTACCAGTATGTTCTATGTCTTCCTGAAAGCATGGTAATAACCTGCACATGCTTTGATGGTAGGAACAGGAGACTGCATGATTGTCGGGAGCCTGAAGTGAGAACTAGGGTACTAAGCACTACACCTGTGACAACATCTCTTACCCAGGTTTGCCATTCCATCTACTTGCTCGCCATGGAGTGTTTGTACAAGAAGAAAACATTTATTCTTGACACAAGCTGCTTGGATGCACTTCACTTTCTCAAGTGCCTCAACCCACATGCCCGCAACATGATCAAAAACATCTACCTGACTAACATGGTATCAACAAATTATAGACAGAACTGGGTCGCTATAGCCAGAGATCTGACTAAATTACTATCCCACATGTCAAGTCTACGTGAGATAGCAGTTTCCATGCCTGATGATCGCTTGGCAGGGCCTAAGTCATCATCATATACCCCAGTCATACATGTATGGGGATGGTATGTCCAGATTGGACTGTGTAAAGCACTCTTTGCAGGACACTTTGATAAGATTCGTTTTGTGCATCCTAGGGTATATTCCCATAAGGTAGGTCCGTATGGTTATTGGAATGTAAAGACTTACTTGCGAGGTGCAGTGTTGAACCCGTATGTTACTGGGGGTAGGTATTGTTTGAATGAGCATCTGCAGGCACCAGATGAGGAGATTTGGAGAGACTGCGGGTTTGTCTTTGAGCTTGACAAGCCACGACCATGGGAGGAGGGATCGGTGCTTGTTCTTCAGCCTGTACGGGGTTGATTGAAGGTATCTTGCTTAACATTTCTGATAGTGGACAGAACAGATCATAATTTGAAAGACTGATTTAGCCAGTCTTAATACTGCAGCACAGCATTCCATTGGACTCATTTTAGCAAGAAACCCCACAGCAGAATGATCCACGGCAGAGTTTTGACGCTGCCTACCATGTATCTATTTCCAGTGTGGCTTGTCTGTAGCCTGTATATAATAATAGTAGTAGGGGAATTCCCAGATGGCTGTCTCAGTCATATTCTGTCTGGTCTGCGACATGGCAGGTAGTTCCTACCCAAACCCGCAAATGTGGGTGGGATCTAGGATTTTTATGAGACAAATTATCCTATCCAATTGGCAAGATGGCCGAGCGGTCCAAGGCGTGCGGTTAAGGTCCGCATCTCGAAAGGGGCGTGGGTTCGAATCCCACTCTTGTCATGTGTTTTTTTTGCTCGCTGCGAAGTTACCCCCAGAAAATTGGCTGCTTTTACAAAGGAGTTTGGGGTTATGCTTGGCCAACTAGTGAGGCTAGGTGGTTTTCGAAGAAGAATCAAGCATACTTATCGTTCTACTTTTCGTTTTCAAGTCCGCTTCACCAGTATCGTCGCTATCGTATAGTGCAGAGCTCAGCTCCATTTCCATTGTCTTCTTCCTTTGTTATTTTGTTTTCTTACTAGTAAGTTGCTTCACACCGCGTTGTACTGATGTCAGGGTGCAGGTTCAGAAGAGATATCGATTGGATTGGACACAGGTACAGGCAGAACAGGGTCCACCGTGATAACACACATGACATACACTTGAGTCATGCCCTAAAAAGCCGTCAATGCTAAGACCGCCACAGAAGGAACCACGGGAGCTTCAGCAACTCTGCCTGGTGAGTCCTTTGGCAGATGGCAAGGTCCTTGTCTCTGTATGTCTTGAAGGGACAGCCACAATCCCAGATGTTACATAATGAGTTACTGTCTTCGACTCCATCCCACTGTCTGTTTACATTACCTATTGCTGTGTGGAGCATGGTGAAATCAATGAAGCCTTTGACCTTGTTGCTTATGCTATTCACATGATATCTTGAATAATAATAAATATTACTAGTTACTGACTGGGTAAGCTGCAATCCCAGTGTTCGGTGTTTGTCTATCTTATTACTGCCTGCTATAGTGTTGCGGTGCCTATCCTGTCCTGTTCTCCCTGATATATATATGAGAGAGCAGTGTAGAGCCTCTGGCTCGATATCCTAGTCTTTTGCTGGTGCAGCGGTCAAGCCTCCGAATGCTCCTGGAGGTCGCACTATGACATATAGCTGTTGCTTTATCCACTAGTTGCTTCGTTATCTTTAATCCCCCTGTTCTGTCTGGATCACTTTCTGCGCGTCACACATTTTTTTTTAAAGTACTTTGCGGTAAGGCCGGTAGCCACGGTATGAGACGGCGATGGTCGATATCTCTGTTCCAGAACTGGTATTATGTGTCCGTTTCAGAGCTTTAGATAGGAATGGTAGTCGATCTGGGAGGGAAGATGGTTTCTTTAGGTTTCAGTTTCCTTTTTTTTTTTTTCTCATTCATACATTTATTTCTTTTTTGTCTGGGGACAGTATTGAAGTGGAAAGCACTTACTTAACCCTTGAAAGTAGACAATAACCATGTGAGACTTCATTTCAGAAGACTTCGTTGAATCACTATCCTTATCCCTCTTCCAACGACTAGTAAGCAAGGAAACCCTCACACCATCACTCGCCGTAATATTATCTCTCTTCCAAACAATAGGCCAGCAAGCACGTCCGTAGTCATTGACTTTCTCTGACCTCGAAAGGGCAGGATACTTGGCATGTAAATAATCTTATTTTGAAAGAGAACCAGCATGATGCATTTGCGGGTCTATAATGTTATCACCAGGCCCAGGAAGACGGTGGGGGAAGAAGAAGTCCTGGTGATGAGCATGAGCTTATGGACAACATGCATTGTTGTCCTTGGATGTAAGGCCTAGGAAGAGGGCGCGTTTATGTATGCCACTTGCTTCGTGAGGGAAGGGTGTAAGCGGTCTGTTGATTAAGGAACGGGGGCCTCTTGATCTCATTCACTCATTCATTTGCTTTTCTTTGATAGGAGTTCACTTGTTCAGCTTGTTCAGTTGTGAAGAGAAGCCATGAGAACCTGGATGTGGTTGTGCAGGGACCTCCGATGCGGGGAGGATATCGGCTCATCAGTGGCTACTGGGAATATCGTTGAATGTTGAATGCAAGCTGATATAGTATGATGCTATGAAAATCATGGATATCCGAATATATTGTTACAACTGCTTGAATGACGTGTAGTTACGCCAAAAGGAAAAGAAACTGTACATGTGTTTCACACTATTTGGAAGAACCATCCCCATCCATATCATACTTCTTGCTAAGAGCCACCTCATGAAGTCCTGGAGTCACAGCCCGAAGATTTCCAAACGGCAAGACATCATTAATCCTCTTCATGCCCGTGAAAAGCATGCAAAGACGATCAATCCCGCAACCCCAGCCCCCGGTCGGTGGCAGGCCCCATTCCAGGGCACTGAGATAGCTCTCATCAACCTCACCAGATTCATTTTCATTCTCATTTTCTGAACGGTTCTCTCGCGCTTGTTCCTCAAACTTGCGTCTTTGTTCGAATGGGGAGTTTTCCTCCTCGTATGTGTTTACCATTTCGTGGCCTTCGATGAATAGTTCGCCGCGCGCAGCGACACGTTGCTTGTTTGTGGGATGGATGAATGTCTTCGAGAGAGGTGAGAGACACTCGGGCGGGTTGATGATGAATGTTGGGTCTACGCATTGCGGTTCGAGATAGACGGAGCACAGTTCGTCCATGAGACGTGCGAGAGTCGGGTTATCGGGGAGAGGGAGGGAAAGGTCATTGAAGATTTGCTGCACCTGAACTTGAGCATCTGCGGATGTGAGATCTGGAAGCCTGCGCCCTATCTTTTCCTCAATGCCCGTTGTGAAGTCGATTCGGCGGAAAGGAGCAGTGAAGTTAACTGTCGTGGGCTCTAGGACCCCTGCCTCGTTTAGTTGACTAATATGCTCTGCAATGCCGGTAAACAAGCTTTCAGTCATGGACATGAGGTCTTCCAGGTTGGCATAAGCGTGGTAGAATTCGCAAGTTGTAAATTCGGGATTATGCGTTCTATCAAGTCCTGCAAGACATTAGTTTGAATTTCCTCTAAATTAATCCATTCTTCTACGTACCTTCGTTCCGAAAAGACGGTCCTATCTCAAACACTTTATCAAAGCCACCCACGACGAACCGCTTGAGCCAGAGCTCTGGGGCAATCCTCAACGACAACTGACGCTCAGGAAACTCGGTTGCAGAAGTATAGAAAGGACGGGCAATAGCTCCGCCGGCAGTCGAGGCGAGAACAGGCGTACTAACTTCCATGAAGGATCGGTTAAGGAGAAATTGGCGGATGTATTGGATGATAGCCGACCGAGCTCTGGTGACATGGAAGAGTTTGTTCTGGTTAAGAAATTGAACAACCCGGGAGTGAGGAGAGGTTTCAGGATCCTCTCGATCGAGAGGGATATCGTGTAAACAGGGAGACAGCAGTTGAGGCAATTCCGTCGCTTCAAGACTAAGCTCTCCTCGCTGCGTCCGATGGGGTTTACCTGCTACGGCTATGCAGATATATTGTTCAGCTTTTTATGTTCGGCATACGAGACGGCTGAAGGAAAAGTACATACAGAAAGCGTCTCCTCGCCGGAAAATACGTTGAGATTCCTTGAATTCAGCTGGAGTAACTCCAGCAATTCGGTGCTGGTTGCACAGAATCTGTACCTTATGGCCATCTTGAAAGAGGTCGAAGAATCGTAACTTGCTCCCGCTCTGTCTAGAGGAACGTATCCTACCTACTCATCTAAGTACAGAGACACGGGGCGCCAGGCCAGCCAAAAAGAACACCCGAGAACCTACCATAGAGAACGACAATGCCATCTACTGTCTCATTATTAGCCAGGTGATTGTACCGAGAAAGAAACTCCTTGCAGCTTATCCTGCGATTATCTGTTCTAAGACGAGGATAGGGCTCAGGATGAGCTTCTTTAATTTTCTGCACCCGCTCCTTGAAGGCATTTTCGGGTGACGCCTCTGTGCTGCCGTTTCTCTTGCTTATGGAAAGACACCCAGGGCAGTTCGCAACCCGAGAATATCTCAATTGCAGCAGAGAATAACGTGCAGTATCATGACAGGTCGTACAGCCTATACTAAGCAGTCTTCTCGTTAGCGAAAGGTGAATTGGACAATTGACGCTATACACCACACAATAACAGATATTCGCATGAAGTCAGAGATACAGTAGTCCAGTTGCGATCATTGCTTGCTCAAAAGACCAAGCAGTCGTCCGCAGCGGTTCTGATAAATGGGCTGTTTCTCATCATTGCAAATTGCAAAGGAACGGATATGATGGAAAGAGGAAGGGGAATGCAATTCTTACCTGGTTCGAAATGCCCCAAGACCCGATTGAGGGGTCCCTCTAAGGCGGGTCAGCAGCATTGGCAAGAGTCGACATCGACAGATGTCGTGGATACCATCGCAAGCAGCGGTACAAGGAGCGAAAGAAAAAGAGCAAAACAGTCAGAAATTCACGAAAAATATTCCCGCGGTCATGTGCAGTCACGAGATTTACAGCCTTAATTCATTCCTGAGGCAGCAAAGTCACTCCGAGCTCTCCCAAACTCCGATCTCAAAGCAAAAGATCAGAAACCTAACTCCGGAGGAAGCATCAACACTAGCTGTCAAATAACCAGCTTTTTTTTACTATATTCGTGAGTGGATCTCAATTCTGATTTCAGTATGCCATTGCTCCAGTGGTGTGGCCATAAAACACATTTGGCTAACATCAAATTCAGCTACCCAGGCCAATACTCCCATAGTCCTCCGTAACAACCAAAAGGCAAAATGTCCTTCCTCTTTGGCGGTCCCCCCAAAATGTCCAGCGCGGAGAAAATCGCCGCTGCAGAAACTGAAGTCGAAATGGTCTCTGACATGTTCAACCGGTGAGTACTTCTACCGGCCTGTCTTCGCTTTCACCAAGAACAGAAAATACAGGAAAGAGGAGAAGAGAGAGATATTTATGTACACATACCGGATACTGGCTAACATAACAATTTTCACTTGACCTCCCCCAGTCTATCCGAATCCTGCACCAAGAAATGCATCCCGACGGATTACAGAGAAAGCGACCTGAACAAGGGCGAATCAGTCTGTCTGGATCGCTGCGTCGCCAAGTTCTTCGAGGTCAATATCAAAGTCAGCGAGAAGATGCAGGGTGAGGCTGCTGCCAACAGACAAGCTGGGGGGTTGGGATTCGGTGCATAGAGGGGGTTAGTTTCTGAGTACCAAAGGTGGCTGGCCGTCCGTCCCATTTGGTTGACTGGGTCGAGGAAACAACCAGACAAGAATGCTTTGCTCGTTCCTTGGGTGGGTGGAAAACATTGTTTTGTGTATCTTGAAGATACTTCTTTTTCTTTTTATCTTTCTGTTTTGGGGGCCTTAAGCGTGCCTTGACCTGTATTAGTTCGTCTTTTTCTTTCTAAATACACAGAACGCTTTCTTACATGGTCGATGGATGGCATGAAAGGCTCCCAGGGAGAGTTGATTTCAGAGAGGACTGCTTGTTTTGCAGGTGACTGGCCATATCTGTGCTTGGTCTATCTGGTTATTAAAGGGGAGAAGGGATTAAGAATCTTCTTGAACTATGTACACTAGAAGAAAATATACAGATTGCAAGTGAGTCGGAAAAGAGACGATCGTATATCACATCGCTTCATGGCCTGTAAGGCTGGAAACAAATCTCCCAATCCAGGAAAACCAGGATGAGCTCTTAGCTACCTCCCCTTGGTCAACTAACGCTTGGACTCTTGTCTCTATCATCACAACATGTTCTTCGAATTCTTCAAGCCCATCCTCAAAGTCCTTGATTTTGGATTCGAGAGCGTCAACTTCGTAGTCAAGTTTAGCCCCTAATAGCTCGACCTTTTTAATCTGGTCATTGAAACAGGAATGCTCCTCCTCTAACAGGTCGCTCGATATTTGCTTCATTCTCTCATACTCCTTGAGCCGATCTAGGTAGTACGTGCCAAGCTTCCCTTGGCGATCGTACAATATTCGCATGATTTCCTCAACGGATTCAACCTGTCTCTCGACCCAGGGAACAATAGTCTGGTTTAGCTCCACAATCTGACGACTGACATCTTGCGCGTCTGAAGCTAGGATGTCTTCTTCGAGTATTGCCTCTTCCAATCCAGCATTAGCTTTCTCTTGGGGAGCCTGGAATCCCTCCCAGCCAATAATAACGTCTTCGACATTGCTGAATGATAGATGACGAGGCCAGTAGTCATCTCGCTGCCGCCAATTATATAGTCTGCCGAGTTCTATACAGCTCTGTGGCCGACGCAGAGAGACAGCTGCCTGTTCTGGCATTGGCTCTTCCTCATTTGAAGGCTCGTTTGATACTGTCCCGTATAAGTCTAAGTCGTACCCTTCATCGTCCGATCGTGCACCCTGCATTGATTCCTCTGGTGGCAGATCCTCATCATCTCCGGAGGAAGCAGTCTCAATGTTTATCTCCGGTGGAACTTTCCTGTCAGATTCCGGAGGCAGAGTGGCAGCCGGTTCGTCATCGCCATGAATCTGTCCCTGGGAAGTAACGATGCCAGGTTCTGCTTCATCCCTGTCGGTCTCGCTATCCTCTGGAATATCAGCGGAAGGCACTTTGGCATGCTTGTGGCTATGCGAGCGGCGACCTTGTAATCCTACCGCATCCCTGAACCTGTCGAATCCTGCCCGCGCATCTGAGACTCTACCGCTGACCTTTTTTCGTGTAATCCTGCTTATGACATGGTCTTTGTCTTCTTGGCCAGATGACGAGTCAAACCCATTCCACGAGTGCTCTGGTCCTTGAAGGAAACGGTCCGCGCCATGAAGTTCATTTGATCGTCTCTTACGGCTCGTCCAGATATAACCACCCTGGTCATCCCTCGTAAACATCATATCTGAAGCGCCGCGGACATTTGTGAACCCGTTATCATGACTGGATTTGCGCGGCTTTCCTCTCCAGAGCCACTTGGCTTTTTCACCGGTCACGAGACTCGCGAAATTGTCCATGTCGAGTGTCTCAATGTCAGCAATACCACCCTTTCCCCGTCCTCCCACCATGCCCATGACCATCTCACCCCCTTTACCGCCCAACTCTGCCACCGTCGTTCTCACAGCACCGGCCCATTTGTCCGAGCTCGCTGCTTTCGCAGTCACCCGGTGCAGCTTTTCGAGAGTCTGCCGATCCAGTCGACGCGTTCGTTTCAGTTTCTCTGACTTTTGAAAGCTTCCAATGCCCCTTTTAAGGTTGACAATGTCAAAAGCATCCTTGCCCACGGGAGCACCATAAGCGTGCAGTCTATTCCGCGCACCCAGCAGCGTGCCTAGCAATGCAGCCACTGCAGTCGGGCCGACAACGCCGTTGTCCAGGTCGATATCATAGAGATCCATCCCAATATCGGCCCACCAGTCAGTTATCGCAGCTTCTGTTACATCGCATAGCAGGCCATCCACGTATTCAGGCGCCAATTTGTCAAACATCATCAATGCCGTCTGGCATAGCTTTATAAGCGCGGTGACAGCATTATATAAAGGAACTCTCTCGCTCGTCCGATAGAGTTGATGGAATTTGGCTTCAGTAGCAGCGGGCGGATACTGTAACTTCAAGCCGGCCCGACCAGCGCACCCCAGCCTTTTCAAATTTTCATTGACGATAAAATCCTCCCGGTGTTTATTGACATCACCATCAGGCACCGAGATGACGGTCAAGGAGGAGGGAAAACCACCCAAATCTGTAACCATAAGACTACCCAAAGGTGTCTCGATCTTCCGAGCATGGTATTGCAACACGGCCTTGAAGTACAGCTGCAAACGAGGAGACCAAGTCGACTCATCCGTCGGAATACTGAGAACGCCAACCACGACGGTATGCAACGGATCTCCGGTATATGTGGTGATGACGAAAGTCGGATGAATTCTCGAGCAGGTCCATTGTTCTACAATGTACACCTCGTAGCCTTTCAGCGCCAGACGTCGATGTAGCACGACGGTAGAAGGGTCCTCTTCCAGATATCGGAACGCGACAGGGTCTGTGAAAACAAATTTGTGGTGTTTGGGGTGAGGCGACTGGATATCAAGTCCACCTGCTTGGGTGGCGACGCTTTCTTTGTTGCGGGCTGTTTTGACGTACTCACCCGCATTCGACTGCAAGACGAAGGGGGGGGGGATAGCAGAAAACATGATCGGCTAGGATTCCAGGCTTCTTAGAATCAAAACAGAGAGTAAACATTAAACTAAATTGATCCATGTAGACAGCATTACCCTTCTGGGGTCTTCCTGAAGCCACGAGATGGGAGACCCGTGACATATCCGGGGAGTGATGAATCTTAATCGGATGGAAAGCATAAACCAAACAGATCAAGCCAAGTTATACATCTCGAAGCGTGATACTCAGTCTGATAAAGGGATGTGTTGATAGTGGCGGCACGGGTACAAGTGTACATAGTGGTAGGACAGGAGAGGTTCCTGCAGGCGCGGCTTTGAGATCTTCGACGTGTGCCAAGACTTGCGGCGAACTCTCGTATCACTTCTTCATATTGGCTTATCTACTTGCACATTTTCTATCTGGTCTCTCAACTAGCAGACTCCATATGATATTCTCTAACTTCGTGCTCGTATATATTCTACTCTGAACCATCGGTAGGCCTCTTCTCTACAGACTACCACAAGGGTAGAACAGCAATGAAAAGACCGATGCTCCAAGCCCGTGATGGGCCTTGACTCCGAACAAGCAGTTGGAGTCGGCAGTTTATTTTCAAAAATTCCCAGCCGATCCTAGGACCAACTGGAGCGGTCAACTAGGTAGTTTTCAACTAGCAAAAACACGGTCTCGGATGTCTCCTCACTGACACGTGTAATGCCCGTGCACCAGGATGGGGAAAAAAAAGGAAAAAAAGAAAAATAGGGGAGGCGGGGGGAACTGCCGCCTTTTATATCTTTCTTCGTGACTGTGCCAAGACGCTAGCCACGCGCTAGCATAAGCGAGCTTGTATTTCAAAATGGGTCCATATAATATCGCATCTTATTGGATAGAGACGAACACAGCGGGGTTGACCATATCACGTGCAACGTGTTACGATACACGTCACGTGTGTCATTTGCATCATGCGCCGATGCTTGGTCTCCTGCTCCTGCGGATGGTCGTCTCTGCAAAGCTCTGGCAGCAGCCGGTTACTACTCTCAGGACTCACTACTCTGTTTTACTACTAGTACTGTTTATCTCTCAAAGTTTCTGCTCAAGCCGTCTCTGATTCTCCCTGGTGGAGGGACTGCAATCCCTACCAACTGGCTCCGTGCTCCACATGGCTATCGCCATACCCCGTCTTGCTAACCTACATTCACCTCCGCATTAGCCCTTGACACAGCCCTAGTCATAATGGACCATGTCAAGAAGGAGCATGAACGACTATGGAAGAAGCTTACGACTTCTCAGAATATCAAGAATGTGCAATCCACAATAGACTTACTCCAGTCAGCTCGGGATAGCATAGCTGCCGGTTGGTTCATCCCGAAAGTGCGTTGTCCCAACTTGCTAACTGCCTCGATTCCGACTCAGATCCCAGCCAAGCATCTATGACTTTAGCCAAGCTCCAAAATCCCGTTAAATCATCCTTCGATGTCATTAACGATAGTCTCAAGGAGACCCACAGTGGTCTCAACAAGTATTCTAAGGCACTAGATAAGGTGGGCTGCTATATCGTTATAACCTGGAACACCACTCGCAGGAATCTCCTTCTGACACTACCATCAGTTGTTTAAAGATAGGCCGCTTCCCAGTACGGAACATGACGCCCTTTCGTCTCAACCATATCTTATCAACCGGGCCATTGCTATGCATCTTTTGCGAGAAGGACAGTTTTCAGTCGCAGCAACCTTCCTTTCCGAAATAGCGGAGAAGAAAAACTCGCGACTACCAGCGGATTCAGAATCCGACTCCGCAGATGATGTGACAATGTTGTTAGATAACGAAGGCGTGCCCTCAGACGAGATCCGGAAACATTTTGCCACGATGTATTACATACTCCATGAACTGGAGGAGAATAACAATTTGATTCCTGCAATCGAATGGTCGAGAGAGAACAGGGAGGCATTGGAATTAAGAGGAAGTAATCTCGAGTTTCAACTTTGCCAGTTACAGTATGTATGGCTTTTCTGCGGTGGACAAGACCAACAGGGGCCTACTTTGGCTAGTCGGCAGGCAGCCTTAGCATATGCCAGGCGTGAATTCCATGTATTCATGCCAAGATATATGGAGGAAATCAAGCAGTTATCGGGAGCGATGGCTTTTTGGCCCAACCTGGCCCATTCACCATACAGAAACAAATTCAACAATCCATCCGCTTGGAGTGATGTTGCACAAACCTTTACTCGGGAATTCTGTTCGCTTCTGGGACTTTCTGCAGATTCGCCATTGTATATTGCTGCTACCGCTGGTGCGATTGCTCTTCCGACCTTACTCAAGCTGCAGACAATCATGAAAGCGAAACGAACCGAATGGACTTCTGAAAACGAACTACCTGTGAGTCATATCTTTCTATTCGCGGCCAGCGCAAAAACAAGAGACAACCCTTACTGATACGTGCACCATCTAGGTTGAGATTCCCTTGCCGCCTTCGTATCTCTTCCATTCCATATTTGTCTGCCCTGTTTCGAAGGAGCAGGCTACTGATAAGAACCCTCCGATGATGATGCCCTGCGGGCATGTCATTGCAGAGGAATCGCTGAAGCGACTCAGTAAGGGTAGCAGGTTTAAATGTCCCTACTGTCCCCACGAAAGTCATCCTCGAGAAGCAAGAAAGGTGTTCCTCTAAACACAGCGAGATTGATCCCCTATAGGCAAGAGATAAATTGGGCGTTAGTGACGGTAACATGAGCAGAGGCGAATTAGGTTCATTATGGTGTCTTGGGAGGTTTTCGGCGTACTTGTGACGAGTCAATCTTTTTGTCCATGGGTTATTATCATTTAGATGTTATTCCGCTTCGTTCTGCATTTAATGGCACAGTAATCTCTTTGCATCTATGCTGGCTTTACCACGCTGCGTTCGAGGAATCTAACCCGATGCTTGTGGCGCTAGGTCAGATGCATGCACTGCTGCAGGCTTCAGATGCCGCGAATCTGAGCGGACACTTCTCCGGCTGCAGTTGACGAGTCAAGTCCACGATAGTTTGCGTTCTCAGCCCCGCCGTGCAATAGAATTGTCATCATGCGTTTTGTTTCCCCGCCTCCTTACCATCCCGAGTAAGTGATCTCTTTGTGTTATGCATTAACCAGTGCGTTTGACGTCTTCGACTTGAGAACTACGGGTTATTCTCTCACATTGCACTGGCCCAGACTAAATACGACCTACATGCAGGTACGGAGTTCGTGTTTATTGAGTGGATGCAGCCCTGCATGGCGTCGTTTCGGGCGACAGACACGCGCAAATCAAACAGTTTTCAAAATTCAGGCAGCCTCCTCATTTTAGTTTTATTGTTCTTGTTATTATTATCACTTTTAATTTTGCTGGAAACGCCGAGAGGTTTGCTGCCAGCAATCCCGTGACCACGCGCCGATTTGGCGATGAGCAAAAGCCACTTTACGCGTCCGTCGCTGCAGCCTCTCTCATACGCGTTGGCTATGCAGGATATCAAAGCAAACTTCGGGCTCGATGTCGATTATTCCCTTTCTGAACTCAAATTAGACAAGGTTAGCTGTGTTTGCAGGCTTCTCCTCGCTCTCCGGCCCGTCTACGTCTCGATTATTGAGATGGCCTTACCCCTGGTCGCCACTGGAGGGAGATTAAGACGCTACTGCTGTCTCATATGCAGACTGGCTTTTGAGTTTTAACCATAGCGTCTCCCTTCCCTTCCGTACGGCCGTCTTCTTCTCCATTTTCTTCCTTTCTCCTCTCGCCTGCTGTCTTTTCGATATATTTCGTCCAGCAGGCGATTGAAACATGTCCTCAATAAAGCCTTCGTCGCAGGCTCATTCTGGGAGCTTTCCCTCCAAATACAGAGTCGGGAAAGGAGGTTCCCGGACTAGGCGATCATTTCGAAGGAATCCGACCAGTCCCAGGCATTCAGAGACTCATCAGAAACCAGTTAATCCCCCTGATGCGAAGTGAGTGCCCCCAGCTCCCCTCTTCGATCTGGAATCATAAATTATATTGAATATCTCCCTGATGTATTGACCCCTCCTTTTATCTTCTAGCTCTCTGACTTCGGCTGTCGTTACCATTCGTGTTGGTACGGATAAACGGCTCTTTGCAGCCCACGAGAGTGTTCTCTGTGTCTCACCCTTCTTCGCCGCCTATTGTCGTAGCCAGTGTCCTGGACGAAGTTGCAAGCGAATTGACCTACCCGAGGAGCAACCGGAGGTCTTCTCTTCGGTTCTTGAGTACCTATACCGGGGCGATTACTATCCGAAACTGCTTCGCGATGAATACAGCGATACCTGGGAGTTAGAGGATGCCCGGGTGGACAGTGACGGACAGAGCAAAGGGGCAGCTATCTTTCTCCATGCTGCTGGAGCAGTTATCCTGAAAGATACGGCGGTCTAGTAAGTTTGTCTCAATATGATATGTATTCTCCCCTTCCGTCTTGCGACTAATCGTCTGGGGAAAAATAATAGTTGTTCAGCAGAGAAGTACCGTTTACCCGGTTTGAAGCGCGTGGCCCTTCGAAAGCAGGGGCTTCACTCTGGCATTCAATGCAGTACCATTCTCACAAGTGCTCGCTTTGCCTACGCCAACACCCCTGATACCGATTCAAAGCTTCGTGCTCACTACCTCGCTCTGATTATCCGGAGCAGATCCACCTTCAAACACAGTGGCACCATGCAAATGGAAATGGAGCAGGGAGGGAAGCTATTCTTTGACCTCTTCGTCGCCATGTGTAATCATATGGTTCGCTTTCATTTATTCCATCTTCTGTTGTATCGGTTTATTGACTTCTTATAGGATGACATCGCCGCCTCCAAACCCAAATCCTTCCTCCCCGCCATTCCATAAGGGAGAAACAATCAGCGGACTACTGGAACTTGCCCGCTCTATCCAGAGGATTCCTCCAAAGAATCCCAGGGTGCTCATCCCTTCTTGATTTTTTTTTTTTTTTTTTTTTTTTTTTTTGGATCTAGTCTATCGGATCCTTGGTTTCTTATTGTGTTCCTCGCCTTCTTTTTTGTATACTTTTATTTTATTCTATCACCCTCGACCATTCAATGTACCGTATACCCGCTAATGTCAGCACATGCTCGTTGCTTTATTTATTCCTTTCTTCGCACGCCAATAGCTGCTATGTATGTTTATGCTTACGTTTATGGTTTATGTCTTGGTTCTCTTTTTGGTCTGCTAATGTAGTAATGAAGTCTAGTTAAATGTTCAGGATGAAAAACTGTTTCACGTGAGAGATTCGTCATCTCGTATATTTAACGTATTCCACGGGCAAGCGGGCGGGCGGCGCGTTTTGTCGGCAACTATCAAATATTCAACCACCCCATCCTTCAACACATTATATCTTCACCATTTCAATTTAAAATGCCTGCATCTCGAGAACCTGATAATCTGATGGCTATATCTGCATATAAATAAAAAAAGATTAAATTTAAAAGGCAAGCTGCCAAGGTTTTTGGTGTATCTGAAACGAAAGCCACGCTCAGAAACGCGCCCAAATAATCATATATTATCAGCCATTCAAGAAGAAGTTCCTGTTAAGAAGCTCCTAAATGCAGAAAAATGAGGCTTTTCAATTAGCCCAGAATTCCTACGTCAAATGGCTCAAATACTACTCCAAAAACAGAGCTCTACCTCCCCTCCAAATATAGGAGTCAACTGGGCATCTACCTTTGTTAAACGCCACCCACAACTACGTACACGGTTTAATCGGCGAATCTCATACCAGCGGGCTAAGCAGGAGGATCCAAAGATTATAAAACAACGGCTTAATATGGTATTGGAGGCTATTCAAGAACATAGTATCCATGAAGATGATATCTGGAATTTTGATGAGACTGGCTTTGCCATGGGTCTTTATACAACATCTAAGGTTATTACTGCAGCTGAACGCAGTGAGAGACCACATACAGTTGTCCAGGGAAATCGAGAATGGGTCACAATTATTGAATGTGTGGGATCAAATGGGTGTTTTATTCCTCCAGTGGTGATACTGAAAGGCACGGAGCATCAAGCTTCCTGGTATTAAGAATCAGCTCTCTCTCAAGATTGGAGAATAGCAACAAGCCAGAATGGCTGTTCCACTGATATAATAGGCCTACACTGGCTTAAAGAGGTGTTTGAACCATATTCTAAACACTATTCAGTTGGTTCAAAGCGGCTACTTATTCTTGATGGACATAGTAGCCATTTGACTGCAGAATTTGATGAATTCTGTAAGGAGCATGCTATTATTTGTCTTTGTATGCCTCCTCATTCATCCCATCTTCTCTAACCACTTGATGTTGGTATCTTTGGGCCATTAAAACGTGCATATGGGAAGCTCATTGAGGGAATAATGGTAGTTGGCAACAACCATATTGACAAGGACGATTTCTTATCCCTTTATCCATCTGCTCGTAAGAAAGTCTTTACTAAAGAGAATATCTATAGTGGCTTTGCTAGAGCAGGGCTTAAACCATTAAATAAAGAGAGGGTTCTTTTAAAAATCACCTTTCAATTGCATACACCAACACCAACACCACCATTATCTCATGATACTGAGGGCTCAATATCTTCAACATTTCAAACACCTCAGACTATTCGCCAGCTTGATCATAAGATGCGCCACCTACAGAGAAGCCTTAATAAGAAGAGACAGCTATCTAGCAGCCCAGTATCTCATCTTCAACATCTTGAGAAGGCTGCACAGGTGGCAATGAATATGAATTTACTTATCCACCAGGAAATCAAGGTTCTACGGGCAGAGAATGGGCGGAAGAAGAAGGAAGCATGCAGGCATGCTAGTTTAGGCCAAGATACCATGCTATCTATACAGCAAGGCCAGGAGCGTATTCAACAGCTTGATAGTATGGTTGGAGCACAAGTTGAAGCAGACATTCAACAGCAACACCAGTAAGCTCCACCACGCTGTAGTGGCTGTGGGACTATTGGACATACCATACGTGGTGCTCTAATAAATGGAGAGTTACTAGCTAGTCTTAATTAATCAATGTTTTCAATCTTTTAAGCAGGTGGTGGTTGAATATGTTGAATATTTGATGGTTGCCGAGAAAACGCGCCCGTGGAATATGTTACTTTGGTCTCCACATAAATTACTACTTCCCAGTAGGTCTCATACTTTATCAGGACCTCGAAGCCTGTGCTAAATTGGGATATTTTCATTCATAATCTACTATCAAATGTCTTCTGGAGCGAGTTACAATAAATTCTAATTGCTAATTCCTATTTCCTTTCTTTTCTAGTGTATCCCGTCCCGTCTACCCCATAGTCAACTTCGAGGCATATTCCACTTGGCAAGGTAACTCTTTGTCATATCCAGAGTCCACCTAGGGCCTTTATAAACTGCTTTTTGTAACAATTAGCTTGCTGCGTAGTACAGATTTCTTGTTCAACGGCAGAGCTCTATCTTTTAAATGAAGAGTGACTGTTACTGCATAGGGTTGATAGTAGGGTGTGTGTATGCTAGAGAATTTGGCTAAGCGGGTAAAAGCCGTTGCATGGGTGTAACTGTAACAGGTTAACTGCCCAGATTCCCCATGCCCACACAATCAACGGCATCATCAGGGCTCCAGGCCCAGAGCAAAGAGCATCAGGCAAAGCTAAACAGGTTTATACTCCTGTTCCTGGAAAAGCACCACCCTTACTGAGGACAACCATGCCCCATTCACGAGCGATATAGCCTTTCATAAGACCCTAAGAAGATAGAACATTAGCAAGTTGACCGCCTCGACCAGACAGTGAAGCGATGACTAGACATATGTGCGGCTCACTTTGTATATTAGGTTGGAGAGTAAGCACTCGACCTCATCAACGTCGATTCGAGATCTATCATCGGCCTGGTTGCCTATTCTAAGAGCTGCTGCAAACTCGGCGACGGGAACACGTGTCCGTCGGATTGCAGGCTGGCCATCTTTGGGTTCTTCAAATCCGCCCGCTATGAAGACTTTTCGGAAGAGATTGCGCAAGGCAATATCGCGTCCTCGTTCAAGTGGCAGATAAATCCGTCTCTTGACGAATTCATCCTCACCGGCTGACATGGCTGCATCGAAACCAACAAGGTCCCCTTGTCTAATGCAATTACACAGGGGGCGGAATAGTCGCTCCAACTTGGGAAACGGAGCAAGAAGCTCTCTGCTGGGTAAGGTATGCGTCATGACAAGATGGCACGGAATGAGATAAGTCAGAATCAACCTTTATCGCTGGTCAGCTGTGCTCCTCAACTGTATAGAGTGGCAACTCACTCTTTGTTTTTCAAGGCGTTCTTATGACACATATTCCACGCATACGCTAGGTGCTCTTCCGCCTGCCGACAATGAAGCAGTTAGCCTCGTCCAACAGCTGAAATTTCGAGGAATTCGATATACCTCTGCATAATTCTCGTCTAAGAAATAAATAACCCCAACATAGTATTGGAAGGTGACTATGTGCGACTTGGGAAAAACGTCCAAATCTGGAAGGTCTGCCGAAGAAGCATCGAGGGCGCGAAGAACATTTTTTGAGAGACCAACAGCATTGATCTAAGAATGCAGTTAGGTATCTGCACGAGTCAAGCGGGGATGTTTGATCACACCTTGAAATATGTTTTGAATAGAAGATTCGTCGTGTTGTAAAGGCCCCATTTTCGTGACTCCTCAATCGGTGCCCTGTCCCATATACTCAGTAACTAGCAAAATCCAAGTGTAGTCTGCCGTCATACCTGTCATTGAGACATAAAGTAAACATCCGGTTAATGATTCGAGCAGCCTCCTCTTGTTTAGGGTTGTCCGAATCCGCAACCAAATAATCCTGGAAGCGGTTACCGAAGGAGGCTGAGCCCTGAGTAGCAAGCTCCGTGTCTGCTTTGGTCGCGAATATTCTCAAATACTTCCCGACAACATACAGACACGGTAGCGTCCACGCCTGAAGTGAACCAGTGGAATAACCCCGAATAAGGGTATTTGCAACGTCTTTCCACGCTTCGAATGTTGCATCCCAACTGCCACGCTGTGGTGAACTATCGACCTTGAGGATCTCTCCCGCGGCTTTCCAGAAAGCGGAAAATATATCAACCCAAGTATTCTGCTCCTGCTTCGGCAATTTCAAGTTACGCGCCTGGAAAAGTGAGTACCGGATATCCGATGGGACGCTGGAAGCATCAGAGGCATAGTAGAAGGAACGTAGTCGGTCGGGGTAGTCTGGAGGCGAGATGGGAGTGAGAGAAGCTGCCAGGAGAGGGCCCGACCCGATCGTCTGGCCTTTGTTGAAGTCGGCGAAGATGGATGCCATAATCAGTTGTTCACAGGATAGGAGGACATTTGATCAGGGTCAAATCCACACCCATGAACTTTAGTTGCTGAGCATCCACGGAATCAATGTGTATCAGAGCATTATTAGCCACCACCTATTCCTGGCTGGCAGCGCTTCGGACACTGCGTCGACACTTACAAAGGCCGAAAGTGAAGCTCAACCTGTGGGGAAACAGCCCGCGATGTGTGGCGGTGTCGCTGTCGCTGCTGTGGCTTAATATCCGAAAGAGGCCTAGCGCGAGGCCGAGCCTCCACTCGCTTAGGTCGAGGGCAAGACAAGCCAAGCCCTAAGACCCAAAAACAAGTTCACAAACCTTGAATATTGGTCACTGTCCAACGGCACACCTTTCTCGACTCAACCACGACAGCGACGACAACAGTAAGTTCTTGACGCCGAAACATTTTCCCCCTGGAGAAGTTGCTAACCTTCACTTTCACCTTTCTAGATGGGTGAGTGATATTTTTCTATTTCCCCTTATCCCTACCTGATCCGGCTGCGGTGCTTTTGTGCGGAACTTCTTTTTTCGAGCGACACAACCTCGAGACGGACTGTATATATGGTATTGGAGTGAACATTATTTTGGAGGAAATGAATCCGAGCGAAATTTAACGGGAATGGAAAATTTGGATTACCGACTGGGAGTGTTGGGGGGTTGGAGGACGATACGATTTTCGAGCGCCCATCCGTCTTCGATCACACCGTTTCAGCCGACGAACGAAATGATTCAACCGCAATATCACCGATAATGCAATTCGAATAGCAGCTGACTGAATAAAATAGGGCGTCTCAACGAGTACCAGGTTATCGGGCGTCACCTGCCCACCGAGGCCAACCCCACGCCCAAGCTGTACCGCATGCGCATCTTCGCGCCCAACACCGTTGTGGCCAAGTCGCGGTTCTGGTACTTCCTCACCCAGCTCAGGAAGGTCAAGAAGGCCAATGGCGAGATCGTTAGCCTGAACGTGGTATGTTTTATTTTCCCAGGGCATAAAGAAAAAAACAGGATGGCAGTTCTGGGCTAATGCACTGCGTTTCATCACTAGATCAATGAGAAGCGCCCTCTCAAGGTCAAGAACTTCGGTATCTGGCTCCGCTATGACTCTCGCTCCGGCACCCACAACATGTACAAGGAGTTCCGCGAGATGAGCCGGGCCGAGGCCGTTGAGTCCCTCTACCAGGACATGGCTGCTCGTCACCGTGCCCGTTTCGGCTCTATCCACGTATGTTTGATATTCTGTGTTCAGAAAAAAAGCCAAGGATTGACCGTCTGACCATCCAACTACAGATCCTCAAGGTCGTTGAAATCGACAGCGCAGACTCTATCCGCCGTCCTTACATCAAGCAACTCCTTTCCAAGAACCTCAAATTCCCTCTTCCCCACCGCGCCGCCAAGAACAAGAGGATCTACGCCTACTCGAGGCCTTCTACCTTTGCATAAATGTGAAGTTCTGGGTTTCGGGAAATGGGGTGTGCAGTTGAATGACAATGTGATGGCCATAGCATGCACGATGGACATGGATCGCGCGGAGAATAAGGCGTGTGTCTACTGCCCAGCTAATGGGAAAAATGGGTTTGATGTCATTTTAGTAGTCCTCTGCAGCAACCACTTAAATTTTTTAAAAACAAGGGTTTGTTCTGTTGTTCTGATTTGACGGTTCTTGAGTCAGCTTCAATCTCATGTAGCTACACGGCAGAGCATAGCGTAGACATGTCTATTGTCCTTGAAGCAGCCTTAGTAAGAGCGGAATTGGAGCGTGTCTCGGAGATAACCAGATTGCGTCATGTCCAGCGGAGTTCGGGGACGAAAACGATAATTATTTATTATTAACCCGGAATAATAATCTCATCCTGTCCTACCGAACACCTCTCTCCTCTTCCACTCCTCTCCTCTCCCTAGCAGAATCCACCATTCTCTAGGCCGCTCAATTGTCATCCATCATGTTCGCTCGTCAAGCTTTCCGATGTGCACAGCCTCTCAGACAGGTAAGGACACCTTTGCCTTGGCTTTCTTTGTTGTCCCTTGCGGTGCTAAAGATTGTGAGCTGACAATAGCTCCCAGAGCTTACGCACTTACTCTACGGATGCACCAAAGGCCAAGAAGTCTCTGGCCCCTATCTATGCCACTGTCGGTGCTGTTGGTCTTGCTGTCGGCCTGTACCGCTACAACTCCGCGGCATCGACAGAGCCGAAGGAGCGTGCCAAGGTCTTCACGGGTGGTGATCAAGGATTCATTAGCTTGAAGTTGGCCGCCGTTGAGGATTTGAGCCAGGACACGAAGAAGTTCCGCTTTGAATTCCCAGACAAGGAAGCTGTAGCTGGCTTGCCTGTCACCTGTAAGTAGTCTGGGTTTTATTTACCATGCCAATTGCGTGTTCTAATTTGGTTTATTGCTATCTAGCTGCCTTGTTGACAAAGTTCAAGCCGTCTGAGTCGGAAAAGGCTGTCCTCCGCCCATACACCCCTGTGAACGATGAAGGTATAAAGCGTCGACATTTTTATACGTAGGATCATGCTGACAATCTCTCCAGATGAACCTGGCCATCTCGACCTTGTGGTCAAGAAATACAACAAGGGCCCCATGTCCACCCACATTCACAACCTGAACGTTGGCGATGAACTCCAGTTCAAGGGTCCTCTGCCTAAGTACCCCTGGGAAGCCAACAAGCATAAGCACATCTCTCTGATCGCGGGCGGTACTGGAATTACTCCTATGTATCAGCTTATCCGTGCGATCTTCAAGAACCCCGATGACCAGACCAAGGTTACTCTTGTCTTTGGTAACGTCACGAAGGATGACATCCTTCTGAAGAAGGAATTCGACGAGCTGGAGAACACCTACCCTCGGCGCTTCAAGGCATTCTATCTCCTCGACAACCCTCCCAAGGACTGGACTGGTGGAAAGGGCTACATCACCAAGGACCTTCTGAAGACTGTCCTTCCTGAGCCCAAGGAGGAAAACATCAAGATCTTCGTTTGCGGACCGCCTGGCCTCTACACTGCCCTCAGCGGAAACAAGGTCAGCCCGAAGGACCAGGGTGAGCTGAGCGGTGCTCTGAAGGAATTGGGCTACGACAAGGACCAGGTGTACAAGTTTTAATTGGCTTAGTGATACTGTTTGTTCGCTGCCTCCAAAACCCAATACTTGCAAGAACATAAATGTCATGCTCATTTGGTAGTTAAGAGGATAGACTGAGCCAGGCCGTATATACATTCAAAATCTAATATTCTTGTCTGTATCCTTTCTCGAATCCAGATAACATTCAAATCCCGCGTCCCATAATACTGGTAATTCCATCCGAACCTCGTGAACGTGAGACCGTGACCATCGAAACCCCAACTCCCCCCCCCAAGGCTCAAAAACAAATGACGTCCCACACTACTCGACAAGATACCCTTGACCCTTAATTCCCCGTCACCACCACAACACCAACGACAACGCCGAGAATGACAACAGCGTAGATAAGAAGACACAAAGCGGCAAAAGTCAAGTTCTTCCTCTTATGTTCATTGCGGCCGTTCTCCGCCTGGCGTGCGTATTCAGGGTCCACCTCCAGCTGCTGCCTCTCTCTCGAGACTATGCTGGGGACAGGGACAGGGTCAGTGTCAGCAGCTGGAGCCAAAGTTTCAGCACGAGCCTGAGTAGGAGTCTGGGCAGAAGCAGGTGCCGGGACCTGAACAGGTGCAGGAACCAAGCCGTCATCTCTACGCCCATGACGAAGACGATCATTGATGTTGACGATGTAAGGGCTAGACCTCAATGCGCAGGGGGAGGAAGGAGTCCAGACTGGCTGCGGCTCCATGATTGTCTCGGGGAAAAGGGCTCTATACGTCGGGAGACCGTTGTTTTCGTCGTCGTCGTCGTCGTCGTCGCCATCGTCGCTTTCGTTGTGGCGGTAGTTTGGGAGGAACTCGTTGGTAGAGTCGGAGTCGTAGTCGTCGTCACGGGTTTGCCAGTTCCAGGTGTAGGTAGCATTGGTATTGTTGGTGGACATTGTAGGGTTTTCTTTGGAAGAATATATCGAGGTAATAGTGGGTGCTCAATGATGAGTTAGGGTAAAGAGAACGAATGATGCGTGGAGACGCGACACTGGCCAAGATTGACAGATTTATGACGCTGGACACGCGACATGAAGAGAGGGAGAGAAGGGGGATGAGGATAAGAGGAAGCAAGTAACCATGAAGAGGTGTATTCACTCATTGCTAAATGTTGAGTATTCACTGGATTCAAGATGACCTTATACATAGACACTATCTCTAGATATAGGAACTGGTGTGCTTGGAGGACATATAGATGAGAATGAATAAACAGTTGGTAAATCTGGAGGAACAAGAAACAGGAAAGGTCTAATAGGTAATGATTTATTTTGTTTATTATATCTTCTGTTCCCAGAGTATAGTATAGTATAGCGTATATCTAGGGCATCTTGGAAGGCTTTGTCCAGGGCTGTGTACACTGTACAGTGTGGTGTATACAAGGGGTTTGTCTACATTATTCCCAACTGTCTAACTAATGATCTCACATATTATGGCTTTTGGAAGGGCAGTATATTTGATTTAAGTGTGGTACTTTATCTACTTCCTATGTTTATACAGTATACCCTACCAGATATATACGCTCATGTCCACAGCCTGGAGTGACCCTTGGCTATTGAATTAGGACAGTTGCTATTATATTTGCAGCTAGCCACATGTAAATACATGCAAGCATCGTCTTGCATCTGAGCTGAGTCTCCATGAGTAGTTGTCGTGGAATGCTGAACTGGGAGTCTTCTGCTGTCTGGTGTGCTGGACAGTGGAGTCGCTAAAGCCGCCAACAAACAGCGCCGGCGCCCCCTGCAAAACACCATCTCTCCCGCTTCTGCCGCCCGCTGAAATCTCTTCTTCTTCTCCCTCCAGCAGCCAACTAACTTCTAAGCTTCATCCTTATTATTATCATTCCCATCACCATTGTCCCCTGTCGTGGTCATGTCGCCCCCTAAGGAGGACTCCAAGGCCGGCGACGCCACCATCACCGTCAACATTGACGAGTTCACCAGGACCCGCGACAGTGTAAGTCATCCATCCTCCCCAACAATTTGTTTTTGCTCTTCGCGCGCATTCTGCCTAGTAAACAATCCTTATTTTCTTCGATTCCCTGCACATTAATACTCTTTCATTTGGATCCTATATCAATTTATCTCTAATCTGGTCTTCTTTCTTTTTTTCCCCTTCACTTTATTTTTCTTACGACTGCGACATCCCCAGCCCACCCACCACTAACCCCCCCTAGGTGATCATCAGTCTCGCGCAACTCCAGTCTGCCGTCTCCGACCTGTCGCGCGCCTACATCAACCACACCAACACCGTCCTGAACCCTGGCTCGGCTGGCATTGACACCGGCATCACAAGCGGCATTACCAGCGCCCTTCTTGAAAATGGTCTGCTGGGCCGTCTCGCCAGTCCCGGTGTGAACCCGGAAATTGGCGACAAGAAGAGAAAGAAGAGACGCGCTCATGATCCCAATGCGCCCAAACGCGCTCTGACCCCGTACTTCCTCTTCATGAAGAGCAACCGTGCCCGCATTGCAGAGGAATTGGGCTCTTCTGCCACCGCTGGCGAGGTCAATGATGAAGGTCTCAAAAGGTGGCATAATATGCCAGCCGATGAGAAGGAGGTACGCGCGCGCTCTCTCTCTCTCTCTCCTCACTTTCAAAGAGTACACTGACAATGAAATAGCACTGGAGATCAATCTACCAAGACAACCTCGCTACCTATCGAAAGAAAATGGAGGCCTACAAGGCTGGTCTCCCTGTCCCCGAAGACGAGAACGAGGGAAAAACAGCCAGCCCACCAGAACAGGCCGCCGCGACCCATGAATCCGAAGACATGTCCAGCTCATCCGAGGAGGAAGAGGAAGACAAGGAGTCCTCCCCAGAACCAGTCAAGGAGCCTACTCCCCCCCCTCCCTCTCGCAAGCGCCGTCGCAGCGAAGCCAAGACGCCCAAGCAGGCTCCTTCTCCCGTCTTGACCAGGAAGGAATCCCCTAAGAAGGAATCTCCCGAGAAGAAGAAGCGCGATACTGCCGCCAAGGAAAAGGAGGCCCCTAAGGAAAAGGAGAAGCCCAAGCCGAAGGAGCCAGAGGTCGGCACTCCAGCCCGGAAAGGTGCTAATGGCGAGAGACGGACTAGGAAGAAGCGTAAGAGCGAGGTCACCGAAGCTTGAATGACGAAGAGCAAATAGATGCAGGCATTTGCTTCATGGCGGGGTCGGTTATTGTCTGTTGTTTTTGGTTCTCAGTAGGTTTGTAGCTCAATGGATCGTCTGTCTTGCTTTTGTTTTGTTAGCTATGGCATATGCAGGTACAAAATTTACAGAATGCAACTTTTCAACTCATCAATTATGCAGTAATAGCAATGGCAATAATATACATGCACCCGTAACACAATCCCTCCATCCATGCAATATCATATACATAATACACCAACCAAGCAGTAGAAAACATTCCAAACATACACATATCCAGAAATAAACAAGGAAATAAATAAACAAAATCAAACAACAACATCCGGCCACGTAAGATCCCAAATATCACCAGCCGCACAAATCCCCAACTCAGCCATCTGCCCCAGCGCATCCCGACACCACTCGAGCATCTCCCTATTTCTGGCAGCAGCAACAAAAACAGAAGCAGCAGTAGAAGTAGGGACAGCGGCAGAGGAAGCACCAAGCCTCCCCTGACACCGACTGAAGAACGCCTTTGCCATCCATATCGGGAAGAGGATGATGTAGGCACCCAGCACTTTCATGCTTGGATCTGTGCAGTAGCGGAATGAACGGCAGATGGAGGTTGCGTAGTAGTGGGCTTGGGAGAGGGATGGCGATAGCTGGTCTTGGTAGTCGTCTGTGCCGATGTCCGGTTCGGATTCGCTTGTGTATGGGTGTGCACATGCATACGCGAGAAGTGGCGATAAAGGAGATGGATATTCATATTGATATTGATACTGGTCTTGATATTGTCCTGGTAGGAGTATGCGGGTGTGGACTGGGGTGGTGAGATTGTACAGATCATCGAGGATCTGGTGGAGGAGGAGCATAGCGAGCCAGAAGTATATATGGATCTGCGCGGCGGAAAGAGAGACGAATGTAAATGCGTTTTTGTCTTGCATTGGGTTTGTTGGAGGAGGAGAAGAAGAAGAAGAAGACCATGACGATGACGAAGGTGAAGGGGAAGAAGAAAATGAAGCAGACGAAGAACCCGGAGAAGACGATGTTGTATCCTCATCCGTCCACGGTAGCGGTTGTCCGCATCGATCCTGCACCGCAGCATACCAGACTTGCAGTCTATCTCGCAGAAACAGACACTGCTGCAGCAACTTCTGGCAGGTCTCTTGATTTCGAAGCTTTGGGTTTTTCTGCAGGTCCGAGTATTCCAGCAGAGCTGTGGCTTCAACGAGCAAGGCGCCTAGGTCATCAAAAGCGCAGTATGTGTCGTTTCTGAGGCGTGGATGGGGGAGAGACGCTGCTTTGCGGTTGATGATGGCTTCTCTGATCTATTTCATCCCCGTTAAGATCGGAGCTGACATCTTGAATCGGGGAGAATACTCACCGAGGATAGCAGGAGAATGACGATAGAAGCGCCTCGTGCATGTATCCTGGGGGACATTGCTGAAGCATCGCTGCATGAGGGCTTTGGATCCACGGACGTGCGTTCCCCAGCCCTGCAGACGAGTCATGGAAGGCTGAAAGAGCTGCGAAGAGGTCAGCGGCAGTATAAGCAGAGAAACGCAGACAACTCACCTCATAGACCTGCAGAACCGCAATGGCATACAAGACACTATCGCTAGGCTGCTCAGCATGCTGAATATGAATCCGCAGATCCTGCATGGCAGCCCCATACATCGATCCTCCATACTGTTGCAGAGACGCATCCTTCCTTACAATGCCAACGAAGACAGAACAGAGCGCGACAATAGCCTGATCTAGAATGCATGTTCGTCCCAACTGATCCGGCAATTCGAGGATCATATTGGCCTTGACCATCTGCGAATGCTCCGGGGACGGAGACATATAGGCATTCATGAAGAACGCGAGAAGCTGAGCCCGGTATTCCGGAGCCATATCGATGGAGGACGAGACAGGACACGGCATGGAGGCAAGAATTCGAATTCCATCACCGGCGCGACGTCGTGACTGAGGGGCACGACTGCGGTTGCTGCCACGATGGGTTCCTTGAGGGGGAGGATCCAGGACGGATCGCCACGACCTCCGCAGGTTCATGGAGGAGGTGTGCACAAAGTGCCGTTCCTTGTCGTAGCCGGCGCAGACACGGCCTGTCCGGATGCATCTGTCGCATTGCGGTTTTCCGAGATCACACTGGAGAGATTGATGCTGAGTGAGCTTCTGTCCTTATTCTACTCAACTGCTGAGAAGACAGTTTACTGATTCCATACCTTGACCTTTCGCTTGCGACACGTATAACAGCCTTGAGATTGCCAGGGAATGCCACCCATGCTGTCAAGTCTCTTTGCATTGAGGGGTGAACACTGAACACTGAATAGTATTTTATCAATCAACAACAACAATCAGCCCACCGACGGCGAAAGGGGTCAATTTGAATTCGACTGTTGAGACAAGCCCTTCTCCGGAGTACGGAGCTTTTTAAAGCCCCGTTTATATTATTACGGCGTGCATCTCCGTCTTACAGGCATGGGCGGTTCTGCAATATGCAGAGTTAATAGTTAGAGTCACAACCGGCTAACGGCTAACGGAGACAGCGAACACGCTGGAGAGAGATAAATATTTAAGGTTTCTGTGGAGTAGATGCATCTCTCTGCTGTTACTGGGGGATATTTAAAGACCCGGTAGACTCAGCCACCCCTTAAGGCCAATGTCGATGCCGCTTGGGGTAAGGCTGCGGCGGATCTATGCCGCTAGGTCATTATTGACCAGTCCATGACTCCATCGAGGTCGATTGATCGTCCTCCTCACGGTGCCGCTGGCCCGGGACAATCTACCTACTACCAGATGAGGCATTCGGGAGCGTCCGTTCCTAATCAAGCGTGGCTCAGGGACATTGGAATTGGATGATCTCCGTCTCGACGCTGTTGTCTGGACCCTTTACACGCTGACGGCACAGATAGAGTGAGGCTTGACTCGCACGAATGTCAACTTATCAAGTGGACTGTTGTTCTGCAGACTATAGCTATAGCTTTGCAGGTCCTTCTGAGGCCTGCTCCTCTTTGGCCCCTTTCAATTCAAAAGGACCATCCGGATCCTGACGGACTCTCAGCTGACGGGGTACTCAAAAGGGATCTTCACAGATTTACACTCACTTGGGATTAGACTCAAAGTGAGTCCACCCTTCTGGGTACATTGACAGACGGTTCGGTGAAACAACGGGAACAAGGATGGACATCATGCAACCAAAAATGGGGGAGAGATGCGTTGCAACTTTGCGCCCTGCAACTGCAGAATGCAGCTTATTCGTCCGTGAAATTAAATCTCCTCTCTCCTACACTCTCATTCTCCTTCCTTCCCGCGCTGTCGGCGAGGTGAAGAATTAGCTAAGAACCCCCTAATGAATGCTTGGCTTGACGGGAAAACAGTCGTCGAAAGAAATTCTTATCTCCGATGATTGACAGTGGAAAAAAAGAGGGAAAGAAAGGGAGACTGACTCCTGGGAAAGACCTTTCTGACATTGTCGGACGTGTTCCGTTGACTGCTCATCTCTCCAAGTCTCAGCGCTATCTGAAACCGAAACTCTCGCCGTTGGAACATCTCCCACCTGCAGACTTTCAGATATAGTTATTTCCATTTGCGTCGATTGCCAGACAACGTATGTTCCTGGATGAAACCATCCCATCTGCTGCCTGCAACACCGAATCTAGGCTCGCAGGCCCGGCCGAGAACCGTGCGTTTTGCCTTTTTGCCCCGTGCGGGTTGGGTGAAAATGCCTGATGCAGCCTATTCCAAAGAAGGTACCCTATTTCCCAAGGAGGTACTCCGGATGAGGTTGGATGTCCAATATGGATTATGGAGATGTAACCTTGAGGCTTGCGCCCGTCCGGATATGCACCTCAGGGACCCCGGCTATGCCGGATTCGATATGCATCGTATATTAAAATTTCCCAACGCGTTTTTCTCCCCGTCGGATGGTACGTTGGCTATTAGCCCGAACAGGGTCTACGAACCTAAACCATGCTCTTTAGAGGCTGCGGGGGGTTCTGCCATCTGGGCGTGTTGCCGAAAGGGAAAATGCACAGATAGAGTTGGACTAGATGCGGTATAAATGAACTGCTCCGATGCTGTCTAAGTAAGGGGTCAATGAGATCTCTTTTTGCTTTTTCTTTTTACTTTTGTCCCTGCTACCCTGAGTACTCTGCATTGAGCACTGTCCATTGAAGCAGCGCACAGACGCTGTACGAATCTACCGACTACCCTTAACAGTGGACACTGGGATGGACTGGACGCAAGGAAATGACACGATGATCGACATGGGTCTTTGGAATATTCTGCATCAGTAGGATGGACTCCGTATATTAATCAAATGCGAATGGGATGCGTATACCATCGTATTAGTATGGGACTGTAGATCAAGTAACCCACAGCGAATACTAAACACACGTGTATGCTCGAATAATAATCATAATACAGTAAATCATTATCCATAGCAATAGTAGTAGTAGTAGTAGTAGTAGTAGTAGTAATAATAATAATACTAATTCTAGAATCGACATAGTGCATATGTGAACTATCATATACTATTGCATACGGTCGAAGTCTATAATGCGGCCTTTGCCCAAGACCAAGACCGCAGTGCATATCCATATGTAATAAAAAGTATCCCCGCAACGGATGGAGATCTTTCTTTCTGGCCCTTGTGATTATTCCAGTATTCTCTGAGCAGAGCATTGCCCGGAATAATATCAATCATAACAGGTACACTGTGCTGAGTGTTGAAATGCAACAAGTAGTCCCCCTCGGACGGAAGCCCGAATTTCCTGCATTTCCCCCAGAATTGCAATGTAAATTCCCACTTCTCTCGGGGGTTATGCCGATCTGATAAAACTACTAACAGTACCAAGTTAACTAACTAGCTAGTTAATCAGTGAGGGGGAGGGATTATTCCGAGTCATGATTTTTTTCTCTTGCCTCTTACCAGGTGCTGCAAGGAGGATAAGATTGTAACGACAGAATGACAGAAACAGAAACAGAAAAGCAGCCAGCGCAGGATGAATCTGCCCTCAATGAACCACAAAATAACGCACAGGCAGACGTCTGCTGTCGAGAAGGAGGATACGGATGGGTCTGTGTGATGTGCACGTTTCTGATCAACGCTCACACATGGGGGATCAATAGTGTATGTATTGCATTATACCCTGCAATTATACTGCGAGTTCCAAGCTCAAACCAAATGATGCAGGCCTACGGCGTATTCCTAGCCTACTACCTCTCCAACGACGTCTTCCCCAACATGACGGCCCTGCAGTACGCCTTCGTCGGCGGCCTGAGCATCTCCTGCGCCATGCTCATCTCCCCCGTAGTAACATACCTGTCGCACCATTTCTCTCGCCGACTGGTCCTGAACATCGGCGCCGTGCTCGTGAGCGTCTCCCTGATCACGACCTCCTTCGTGAAGCGCAACTGGCAACTCTTCCTCTCGCAGGGTATCTGCTTCGGCTTCGGTATGGGATTCAGCTTCGTCGGCTCTGTCGGCGTCGTCTCGCACTGGTTCGAGACGAAAAGAAGTCTCGTCAATGGTATCACCTCCGCAGGTTCGGGGACAGGTGGGCTCATTTACTCGCTTGCTGCGGGGAAGATGATTCCCCGTCTGGGCTTTCCGTGGGCGATGCGCGCGCTGGGTATTATTTGCTTCGCGGTGAATCTGCCTTGTAGTAATCTTCTCCGCTTACCGCCCGAGTATGATGCGAGCAGGGTGAACCAGCCCGCTCTCCGGCTCTCGCTGCTTCGCAGACCGGAATACCTCATCTATCTCCTCTGGGGTCTTCTGAGTACGCTGGGCTACACAGTTCTCTTGTTCAGTATGTCCAGCTACGCTGTCGCCATGGGTCTCACGCAGTGGAAGGCAAGTATAGCCGGCGCCTTGTTGAATCTGGGCCAGGCCTTTGGTCGGCCGGCCGTGGGCCTGTTAAGCGACAAGCTCGGCCGGCTGGAAGTCACCTTTGTCGCGACTCTTCTAGACGGGCTCTTCTGTCTGGTTATCTGGGTCTTCGTCAACTCGATCGGCGTGATTTATTTCTTCGCGATCCTGGTCGGTCTGGTTGCTGGGACGCTGTGGGCGGCTGCTGCGCCCCTTGGTGCTGAGGTGGTTGGTTTGGCTGATCTTCCTAGTGCTTTGGGGATATTCTGGTTCGTGCTTGTTCCGCCGACGGCTGTCGCTGAGCCCATTGCCTTGCAGCTTCGGGATGGTCTTGGACATTCCAAGCCGTATCTTCGAGTTCAGCTTCTCGCTGGCTTTGTGTATTTGGGTGCTGCTCTGTGTGTGATTCCTTTGAGGATTCTTTTGTCTCGACGCCGGGCTGCCCTGAAAAGGGGAGTTGTTGGTTCGTAGTTTCATATAGATGATGAATATCATTTTCAGTCATTACCTCTTAAAATGGCTATTGTAATGTCAATATTGATTACATTCTCTTAATTGTATGAGAAAGGAATCAAAGCTCCATCTCTTGCTCTGTATGGTTATTTCCCGCAGACACAGGTGACACGAATGACCATGCCTCATAGCTATCTGCCCGTGCGGCAAGGTAGGCTGCTCTGCGAGTCCGTATTGAGTTGGAGATGGCTGAAGCAGCATATGTTGATGGTCCGTCGGTTTCATGTTCGTAATGTTCATCCTGCTGCTGAGAATCGAACGCAGAGTCAGATATGGAAAGCGTGGCAGTGCTACTCGTGCTGGATTGCTCATGTTCTATATCATCCATGTCTCCGTCTGTTTTCACGTTCGTTTCCGTATTGTCCATGTCTGTAGATTGGTAGTTGTCGCAACTGGTGTAAGGGGACTTCCCCTCCGCAGTAACTGGATCATTTTCTCTTTCATCCTCCCAAGACGAGGGCAGAGATCCGACGCTCAAGAGTGAGTTCTCGTTTAATTTCTGCTCATTCCTCAAGTATTCCCGCGCGCGGCATATAACACTGCGCTTGACACTCTCCTTCCCAATACCTAGCTTGGGGATCTCGAGTGGTTCATTAAATAACTTAGATGTATTCGACTCACGGTCTTGCTTCTTCAAATGTGAGTGAGGAATGGAAGACTGAACAGTATACTGGACTGCTGTAATTGGCTCTGTGGGGGCTAATGTTGTTGTTGTTGATGCTAACCTTTGAAGACGCGGTGCGACGCTTCTTGCTGTAAGATGATGTTCATTTCCGGTTTCATCTTCTTCAGCTATCGAGACGGATATACAGCTCTTGTTAATGTTGCTGGAGAAGCTCTCTGAGGTTCTCTTTATTCCAGTATCGTTTCTCTGACGTTTGGGCATGCTATTGTGTATACTTTCCCCGGAATCATCTGATATGCTGCTAATCTGCTGACTAGATTCCAATGCAAATTCATCATCATAGCGAGCCCTTTTTCTTGGAGGAAGCGGTTTGTCATTCGATAATACTTCCCGCATATAAGAATCGTGGCTGAATTCGTTTCCAGAGCAAAGATGACCAAAAAGTCGCCGTATAGATACCTCTTCGCTCCAGGTCAGAGGATCGACCGTGCAGGGGTATATGTCCCTTGGGCTGAAGGTGCCCACAAACTCGCAGAGTTCTGTGTATGAAGAGTGACGGGAATATGGAAAATGCTGTTGTGAAGAGTCAGATGGAGAAGAACTATTACTCCATAGGGATGTGCACATACTATTGTGTTGGGAAGATCTTGCCTAACGTTCCCTTGTGCTATTGACATCTCTTGAGAGCCACTAGAGTGCGAATAACCGAGAATTTCCACAAGTTTCTTGAGTGAAATTTCGTCATTATCATTCATGCCATGAGCATCCAGCGGAAGCGTCTTGTTTTTTGACCTGAAGGCCGCAAAAAGTGCTTCCCTAGTTCGCAACAGAGCTTCGCTGTCCAGAATGTGCTCAAGACACAGCTTCACCAGCTCATCAAGAGTGGGCTTGTCCGGAAGCTCAAGCTCATGGATTTGACAGAGATCACCGGTGCCACCATCGGTTCTTAGGTCTTTCAGCTCCAAGCCATCATCCATGCGATTCACAATCGGGACGATATAGACCATTCTTTTGGTTTTCACCCCATAGCATGGCTTTCCTGGCTCACAGCTGTGAATACGGGAATTCTCATCATCACTAAGACATCCTGGAACAAATCTGTTTCCAAGATTAAACCCGCAGAGGGAGGGTGCCTCATTCGCACCGCTGTTATTGAGAAGACGTACGGAAAGTGCTCTATAAAGTCCCATTTGATACCGATCAACATGGACCTAGATTCTGTTAACAAGTTGGGATTGGTTGTGAATTAAATATTGGGGATTACCTTCATATTCAGAGCGGCAGATAATGCTACCCAAACTTCTTCGTAGCCAAAAGTCCATGCTCGAAAGTAAAAAAGCGTATCATCTGGATAGTCTTCTACTTTCTTTAAAAGCTCGGCAATCCCTTCTGCTTTAGACGGAAACGTACGGTAAATGTTAGATGCGCGGGCAAATGTGGTGTCGAGATATAATTTGTCAAGCCGTTTACTGCCCAGAGCGTATGGAATAAGAACCGGATGTCGGACGAGGCTACTCACCCACCAAGTTTCAGCTAAGCACACCTTCATCAGCAAAACAAGGTTCACCACCAGGAAAAATGGCCAGCTGAACGTGGTACCATGCGTATACTCACCACGGATATCACCAGTATAGAGAACTGCCTTTCCATTGCCCTCTATGAGAAACATTACAGCACCCGGGCAATGATTTGCATCCAAGAGAGTCACGCGGATGCGCAGCCGCGGAGTCAGTTCGATTTCCGTGGGAGTGTCCAATGGGACTGGTCTCTAATCTGATCTCAGTCGACACGACAAGTAAGTCCGGAGAACAAGCTAACTAACCAGAAGTTTAGATAGATGCTTATAGTGTAGTCTGCGAGACTCCAATATGCCTTTGCTGAAGTTCATGCGATGAGGGTACTTTTCGATTTTTAAGAGCAACTGACAGGAGATGCATCAGTCATAGGATAAAGCGTATATACCTTGCGTTGGAACAAATATGCCAGATTTCCTGTCTTTTGGCTGCAAACAAGAAAAGGATGGAGCAAATAGGAAGGTAGAAAAGGTTAAGACTATAGTGCATACTTCTTTGGTTGCAGCTGAGCAGTAAATGAAGGGAGCCCGAAAGGACTCGAGGCCTTGAAGATGGTCGCTGTGAACATGGCTGAGAAAGCATGCCAGTGGCGGCGGTCTTTCTGGAGATTTACGGAAGTAGTCGACTATTCTCCTTGTTCAGTATGCACATAAGAAGCAAAAGGGAGCTTCCCGAGCCTACTCACTTCGTATAAAAGGAAATTCTATGGGTGTAATTATCAACTATGCGTGTTTGTAAACATCGATGCAAGAGAAAAAACAACATACCTTCAATTATTCCATCGAAAGTCGACATCTGCCCAGTGGTTGAGGAGGTTGAAGATGAAGACTATGGGTGAAAGAGGAGCGAGGCATACTTCAATGCTGCAAACTAGTACTAAACGGGACAGGAGTTTGTTTTGTTTGCTTCAACATCTAGATCGGACTAGCGTGAGGCTGGTGCCCCACAGCTATAGTTAATTAATTAGCTAGTTACATTATTTATGCGGTGCTCACAATTTCAAAAGGACAAACTCAAATGTTTTCTTCGATGGAATTGCCATGGATCTACCCAATCAAAAATGTACCACTGTTGAATGCAGCTGGCAGTGGCAAATAGTGCCGGCCAAGTGGCTTGCAGAACTGTGGGTAATAGTACATATTGGATGTTGTTGGCCGCCTCGTCATTAGGTAGTAATCCATCCATGATCCATAGATAATATTAGTTATAGTAGTATGTATTAGCCAGGCCTCGACACATAGTTCCGATCGAGGGAAGGATGTGACAGCATTTTTGATCTGCCGCAGCCATTTCAGGTATTGAAATGCTCGCCCTGGGTATGCGAGTGCATACGGATACATGGAGTGTGTGCTGGCCGGTTTGGAAGCGTGGCCATCTGCAGAGCAGCAACTGCTGGCCGAGTCCCACCAGCGGCAGTCCATAAAGAGGAGCCCAGCCATCAGAGAATGATAACACTCTCGATATACTTTTTCGTCCTTGATTTCGATTCCCCTCCGTCTGTTGTTCCTGAGGCAGCAAGAGCGGACCCCCGATCGCCTGCAACGAAGGCTGGTACCTGATGCTCTGCGTTTGCTCCCATTTGTCCATGCAGCCGCGAAATCAAGATCGGGTTTCTAAATAAATCACTTCGACTACCGTCAACAACCCAACAGACCAAGAATCGAGGGCTGTGTTCTGAAATCCGCTCACATCCCCGTTATCCGGCGTTTCATACGAGCCTTCTCTCTGGGCAGGTCAGGTCAGGTGCTTAAATCGTGATCCTGCTTCCTTCGTCTCCCCGGTCTCTGCTGCGCCCAGCTATTTACTGCCTGGCACTGAACAGTCAACAGCAACAAATAGAAATCTAAATAAAGTCTATTTTCCGTTGACCTCCAGACAACAAAGAAAGTGCAGGTGGCAGCTGCCGACAGGGGTGCGCGTATGGTCTGCTGAAAGGGACTGGCTCCTTTCTGAGCTCGCATCCTGTTACTCTGCGCTGGACTCTGTTAAATTCATTGCCTTTCTCTTGCAGCTGGATTTATCGTCACTGCCATTCCTTTTCTTTCACGGCACTTTCCCTCTAGCCATTTTCAAGTTGTTTCGATTGGAGACCGGTCTCCTGTGGTCCTGTGCGACCTCCCCTACAGTCACTTCTTCATTTCCTTCTGTTCTTGAACATAGACGTACTGGTATTTCAGTTATTTCCTCTGTCGTATCAACCATCCGATAGGAATATTTCCTACCTGGTCAGTTCTGTCTTGAGAAGAAATCGCGTATTCCCCTCCCATCTTGCAAGAGTCGAGACAGAAGCCGGGATTCTGGACGCTCATTATGCACAAACCATCCATCGCTCAGCTTGTCTACAATGCGACCTTTCCCCGACCTCGTCCTAACGATCCAACCTCGTTCCCGGCGCACATTGCTAGGCATCTGGTACCGGAGGTACGGATCGAAACATCGACATTCTATGGCTCGCTAGATTGCATTGAAGCCCAGTATCCCGGGCTCGACTACACTTATGAACCGCATCGGATGAGGCTGAGCCGTTTCCCCTGGCACCGCAAGCTTTTCAAAGTTTTTGACGAGTTGGGTTTAACTAGCTCAGAGATCTCATCTCTGTGCCGCTGGGAAGGCACGAAATCAGCGCGCGAGCGATACGAAAAGGAAGAAGGCGTCAAAGTTCGCGACACAACAGCCGATAGCATACCCCTTGCTTCGCCGACCCCACCTCCTTCCATTGAAGTACATTTCGTCGATGACGATGACGATGCGGAGGACAGCTCATCGGAGTCCGAAATCGAGCTTAGTGGGAGAGATATCCTCAACGTTGCGACTACTAACGGTGGCGTTGGATTTTACCCAGGACGAGACTCAGAAGAAGCGGACTCAAGTGATGAGGAAATAGAGAGCTACGGCGTCGAGTTGAATAACCGCCTTATGGCCGCAAGTGCCGCGCGGGAGCAAGGAGCAAATGTGCCTCTGGATAATGCTTGGGAGCAGTGGTTTAAGGAGATGGCCGAACGACGAGGCTACTCGGACATGATGGATGCGATTCGGACCGGCCAGCCGTTTGACATTTTGTCCAGCAATCCAACCTTATCTTCATCTACCTCCTCTTCTTCCTCCTCTCCTCTGCGGTATGCGGCAACCACAGGTCTCTTGTTGACTTCGGCATCAATTGCCAACCTCTCGGCTCCCGCAACCTCCGCTGTTCGAGAGCGCCCTAGCCATCCTCCCAGTACAGCCCGATAGTATTTGGTCAAATCCAGAAATCGAAATATACCTGGAAATTCTTTTTTCTTCTTCTTCTTCTTCTTCTTCTTCTTCTTTATGGCAATGCCTTCCGTTCACTGCTTACCTCGAATCTCGTTGTTTTAGCCATCTTTGAAAATTATCTTATCATGTTCTCATCTGCATTCCGGCCATAATCAATCCTGCTAACAATCATGGAGGTTACATGCTCTTTCCCTTTTCCTTTTCAGATAGACATCTCGTGTGGTTTTCTTTTGCCCAGACATCTTTCTCCCTACCGTACGCCCTTATGAATACCCCTGTTTCGGAAATAAGATGGAGCTTTGCGTTGTTGCATCGCATTTCTGAAGGATATTTGCACCTACCCCTGTTCCCCTTTTAAAGCAGGCGTTCAGCATTAGTGTCACTACAAGAGCTCTTTGCGGGCTTTCTTTTACCAATGTATTTGCAGGAAGTTGCGGAATCGAATCTAAACAGAGTAGTAATATGTTACTCTTGATCATGAATGATCTTATAAGGTCTGACATGGCATAGTGTCTCTCGCCATTATCCGTTTGCTACATCGCATTCCCAGGATGCATGATAAACCAAATTATATCTGTTCTCTTTTTCGTTTCTCCCTTTTGTGAATGGTCATAACAATTGTACGGCTTTCATCTGATGTCACTGTAGTTAATGCCGAGAACAAGGTTTATCTGCAAAGCTCCGTTTTATCTCCCCACCATTTTTCAACACTGTGAGACGCGAATTGAGAGTACCGTCACTCTTGGATGCAACATACAGCAATGGTTTGACCCGTTTATTTACCTTCTTGCCCTTCGAAATATGCATTGGAGGATTTCGCTGTTCCCCATAGCCCGTGTTGAATCGACATGACGAGACATCCCAGCTACCTGCGATAGGCCTCCACCAGCTCGCTATGATCAAAGCCATCTTCTACAGCAAATTCGACACCCAAGAGGGTAAGCAGAAATACTGCTACCCGTCATGATCCCCTCTAATCTAACTCGAGTTCCTTGCTAACCAGGAGTACCACGGTTGTAACAGGTCCCAAAGTCGTCCACCAAGTACCCGACGGTGCCATCGTCCCCTCCACCACAGCCCCCTCGCAAGAACCATTCTTCAGGTTCTCTGATATCTCATTCTTTGTGATCCCGCGCCAGGAGCTATGCGGGAACCTGATCCAGGCGTGTACAAACGGATTCCGCATCCTCGGCTACCCGATCTGCATGAAGTCGCCGCAGTATAACCGCAACGAATTTATTTTCAATTTCTGTATCGTACTATCTGAGGATGAGGAATTTAATACATATAAGAGTGTGGTACAGAAACTGGCAGATCTCATGCATGGCCTGGAGGAACAGAGTGGTTTCTTGTCGCGGGATCACTCGAGAAGCGGCGAGGGGAAGGTGTATAGCCTGTGTGAGACTTTGATGGAGGATTTGAATAATTATTGCGAGTGCATGATTCCAATTGGTAAGGTTTTCCCTTCTCCTCATAAACGAGATTACTGACATTATCCTACAGATGAATTGAATACTTTGAACATCAAGTTGTTTCCAATTTATCCAAACCCTCCTCTTGTCAAGGCATGGCAGGTCCCTCTTTTCACCGTCCGATATCAGGCCTTTATGGATGAAAATTGGGATCTGACATTGCAAAGGGTAACAAGTCCTCCTTCGATCCTGTTTGATGGGACAACGAATTCTGATGTTTTTTATGCCCCTTTTAGATAGTACCCCATATTAATGGTGTCAACAGTATCAAGATAATCTCCATTCTTGCAGATACTGATTTCTCTCTCACCTGTCGCGCCATCCGCCACCTGCTTTACTATGGCTGCCTGTTTCTTCTGGATATCTTCTCCTTTTCCGCTATCTATGCGCCAACTTCGCAGTTCAGCTCCACAATTGCATCCGATGATGCCATGCAACAAGAATGTGCACGATATATCAATACGCGCTTTGCCCCACTCTCAATAAACGTTACCCCGTCCCCGGTAAGTGTAGGGGGTCTGTTATCAAGCCCTCACAGTGAGATTCATCCAAATCTATGGCGTGCAGGCGGTTATTCCACTGCTTCTGTCACGATCTGGCCGCTAGTTGGCAGCAACGGAGAGAGCAGCAGCGGTAGCAGCAAAGCTGTAACTGAAGGTATGGACAGGGAGGGCCATTTACCCCAAGTCGTCGATGGTGTCGGCATTGTGGAACTCTACGCCAGCTTAAGACAAGGCCAAAGCATCAAACAATGGTACATGAAACATTCCGAGCAATTGGCCAATATTGATATCCGCCGCTTCATAACTTTCGGCATTATCAAGGGCTTTTTATACCGTGTGCACAAGTACGCATTCGAAACAGGCCAACCAGCTCCAGCAGCGCAAATGGAGCCGCGGGCTGGAAGTACACATGCGAACGCGAGCACAACCGGAAAGCAGTCAGACATATCATCGAGCAGGAATGGCACTTCCTTCTCCTCAAGCGCGAGAGATGGCAACAATAACAATACCCATAGCCCCACGGACAATTCCCCTCCCCTCCAGACGGGCCGACACGGTGATATATCAGAAAAATCGGCATCCTACCGGAGCACCTATGTCCACGACTACGGTCCCAGCCACGGTCATAGTTACGAGGATGAAGACGAAGAAGTCGTCGACAACAAAACACTCTCCAAGTACCTCGACGGCATGCATTGTTTTGACCAGATTTGCACGGAGCTAGAGATGAGTGAGAAGGAGCTCACCGCTAGGTTGAAGAGGTATCCATATGAGGTTCTGATCATTCATCGATGATGATATTCGGTATCAGTACGGTTGGCACATCATGGATATTGTTACTATTCAGGCAATGGAGAGAAGGAATGTTTGGATACTTTTGCATTCCCCATATTGATATCTGATGCACATTTTTAGCAATGTATACTTTATCTAGCTAATAATGCCTGGGAATAAGGATAGTGTTTTCTTTGACTTTCTCATCTACTTCCAGCAAATAAGTGTGACCGAGCCCATTCATTCACTTGTTACCATTCACCGCTCCCTTTATCATTCCCCACTTTCTATGAGTATCACATCTCCTAACTCCACCATATACATCTACTTAAACAACCACATCTTGGAAACTTGTCTCCTCCAAAACATTTAACTGGAACTTTCCCGTTAATGTCAACTTGTACTTAATATTAATAGTCTCAGGTATCAACGGATCGGTCATTCAGAACATCAGGTTAATTGATTATATCAAACGGTTTCTTTTCAGGGAACGCAAGCCCAATCCTAAACGCCTCGCTTCAAAGAAACCAGCCCAGCCCATATCCATCCTTCTATCAACGCCAAACAGGAGGGGCATTCCAAACAGGCACTCGATCATGTTCCATAATGCCGAAAGGAGCTTGCAAAGTTGAAAAGAAAAACGCTCGCTATACAGGAACGTACACGGGACTTGGTGAATGAAATTGGTATGCCGTGTCTGAAAAAAATAAAAAATAAATAAATAAAAAGTTAAGATGAAAACAAGCATATCCTTCATTCTTGCTCCTCGTCCCACCCGTCAAGCTCGGCCTTCTCATACTCAGCCATGAGTGATGGTTCGAAAACTGTCTCTCCCGCCCTGGGAACAGCGGTCTTGGAATCCTTGAAAACAGGACCGATGCAGTCACGCCAGCGCTTGCGGCGGTCCATGAGAGTCCTAGCAACGTCCCCGATAGCAGGGCGACTAACTCCTGCTGCACTGACGATGTGGCTACCACCACCAGCTCCTCCTGGACGGTGTTTGGCTTGAGAGCCCTTCTTACTCTTGCCCAGGGTCCGAGTCCTTTTGAGATAGGCCTGTTGGACCTGAGAGTCGAGATCGTCATGAATAGTGGTGTATTCTTGGTACGCTAGACGTTCCCGGGCAATCTCAAGCAGCCTCGCTTTCCGAGCGCTGTTGATAATCATCTGCTTCTTCAGTTCGCTCTGCAGCAGGCGCAACCGCTGCGCTATATCGTCGTCGTAATGCGCATCGTAATCCGGGTTATCGTCCGGGCCAAAGAAGCCCACATGGCGGAGTTCCGCTTTCAAGCGTTCATCGAGCTGGGCATGGTCGAGCTTTGCGGCTGGCACTTTGAAGCCGCTCGGCGACGCATCAGGAAAAGATGTTGCAGGGGGTATGGGTTTGTTTTCCGATTCGCCGGTCGGTTGGTCAATATCCATTGAATCTCCATTTGAAACGCCATTGGCTACTGAGGTATCTACGTTGGATGTAGTGTTTGTAGAATTTTCGTCCGGAGGAGCGCGGTGCCCGTACCGCAGTAAGGAGTACAAACGGCTAACCAGAGGGCCGATGGAGATCTTATCGGTTTCCGCAACTTCGTCAGTCAATTGTTCGATGTTCCCGCGACCCTGGTTCAATGGAAGACCATCTTGATCTCCAGTCTGCCTGCTAGTGCTTAGTGCTCCATCCTCTTCAGCCCAAATCTCTGTATAATGTTTGTTCCCCCTTCTGGGCATAATAAATGGAGTAGTCCGATCACCCTATATCTTATCAGTGAGAAGGCTATGCATAGAGGGGACCTAGACAAAAGCAGACCTTTTCTTTCAAGAATGCAATATCTTCTTCAGTCAATGGACGGACGAAAGGGTCAATGTATGTGAGGAAGGTATTGGCGCTGACTTGGTTCGTGGGTTTGGCATTGCTGAAATCCTTATCCGGAGGAGTACCAGCCATCAGATGGCGCAAATCACTAGAAGGGAATCGAGCAACGGAGTATATTTCCTTCTTTTCATCGTCTGACATCTCAGGCGTAACTTCGCGAATGTGGTAGATAGTCGGATCATCGAACCTCAGTGGGTCTGGTCCGAATACTTGAAACTGTGGAACTGCGGATGCCGGTTCGGGCTGATGTGAGTCGGTGCTTTCACTCGACGGTGACGCAGCAGCGCCAGGAACATCGCCAACCGCTGCGGAAGCCAGTGACCGTGGTGATAACGAAGGATCCTCTGACGCCCGCTTCTTAATCTTCTTCGACGCCGGAGACGCAGCTGATAGAGGGGGGTCAGTAACATATTCTCAAGGGGGCCAAAGAGGCCGTGAAGAAGGGAAATAGAGAGAGGAAGAGCAACTAACCCCCTTCGACCTTCGTTTCCGCGCCATCTTGCCGGGCCAGTTCGTGGGAACCATGACTCAACGGGCGTTCCTCCTTCAAACTACCACGCTCCCGTCGTTTCTTCCATTTGCCTCCTTTATGAACCCGGCTGGTTTCTTCGTCATCTTCCGCTTCCCTTTTCAATCTCATGCGCTCCCCCGAATCATGGTCTTCTGCCACCTCTTTGCGCCTCTGGGACAGCTCCCGTATCCCTGCATTACAGGCATCTCCGCGTTCTTCAGCCAGCTGACTAAGTGTTTTCAGTTGTTCCATCAAAGACGCCAGAGACTTCGAATCAGGAATCGGCCCGAGACCACCCGTACGGTCCAAAATCTCCGAGTACTGTATGGTGGACGGCAGAAGCAGCTTGGATACGTCATTTTCGAGATATCTCGGAGAGGGAACAGATAGAGAGACCGCAGGCGTAGTACCGAACTCGGAGTTAGGTGTTGTATTCCGGCTTCGAGGCTGTCGGGCATCGCGACCCTTGCCTTTGCCCTTATGCGCCGGTGGCATCTTGGATGGTGAAGGTGAGGTGTGTTCGCGCACGGTTCGCAGGAGCGGGAGGGTGGATACAATGGGCGAGGGTGGACAGTGAACGCAACCTTAACAAGGTCTGAGAGCAACTTAATATCAAAGCGTAGAATTTCAAATAGCTCCAGCGCTACAGCACATGCTTATCGTATTCGAGAGACGAATTGGGGTTGAATCAACCAGGGATCGTGCTAAGCAAGGGGCTCATGGACGGAGCAGCGTAACTGAGGCACAGCATCCACCACTGCGCACGAGATCCCGCGAAAGTGGATCAAAGATGCAGATAATGAATAAGAAATGCAGTCTTCGTGACACTGACTGAGCTGTTGCGAGTTGCAGATGAGAGTCGCGACGACGAGATGAGGCCGAGTCAGATCACGTGTAATGATTTTATGTCACGTGATTATATTACCGTAATGACTGTATTGAAACCGAGGTCATGTGGTAGTTATGCACATGGATTATTATTAGATAATAATTCTTGGTCATTATATTATGCATTCCGCACGTACTTTTGCCCATTGGAGCACAGCATACAGTAACATTATCAGCACTCTCTGTACAATAATATACATTCAATTCTCATCATTATTAATTGTCAGCAGGCATTATCTAACTAGTTGTCCTCCAAAGTATATTATATTGATGCTATCCGTGCAAAACCCGTTGCTGACGCGTCTCGAAAGGCTTGGTTGGTCTGAGGCTGCTCTTCTCTTGCGCGATGAAAGGCTTGAAGATACATATATGCCTAAGCCTCGCAGATTTCACTGCTGGAAATTGGCATGTCTTTCCAGTGCGCAGCACTCTTCAATGACCTCACGAGATATCCCAGACTCGGTGTCTTCCTCCACCCGTTATCTACCCCGCAAACGTCATTGAAGCCATATTATATATCCAGCTCTGCCGGAAGCCATCACATACTACTATATGTACATCCTTGTGCTATCACATTGTTTCAATCCGGTTATACCAACAAGTGCCGCCGCTCCCAGCAAACATCCTCCGTCTCTGACCACTACTCGCCTACGTCTTCTCTGTCCTCCCCACTGCCCTTCCCTGTCACTGCCCTGTCACTCTGCTATCCATCTGGAAGTTGCACGATAGCGGCAGCTTGTCTTGGCTGCTGCTTATAGGCTTGGGTTTATCTGGAATGATTCCTTACCCGGCTCATTGCTATATTCTTTCCCCTTTGCTTTCTCGTTTCAGATGCGGCTAGGCGGGAGGCTGGCTGTTGGAGCTTGCCATCTATGCCCCCCAAGCGAAGGAAAAAAAGAAAAGGGTGTCAAACGAAAGGGACTTGATGAAGTAAGGCTATATAATGCCTCCTTGCTGTTTACGTGCTAGATCGCCGAACACGGCGATCCTGTCCGCTGGTCCAAGAGCAACTGCAATTACCAATAGCTCACTCGCCGTCAACGTAAGAATACTATCCGTCTTTTCTGCGTCTTCCTGATTCCAGTATCCTTGAAGAAGAGGAACTCACAAACTACGCTATCACACAGGGCAGTTTTGGGTTCGATTTATTTCTCGATGGCAATGTCCAAACCCTGTCTAGCAACCATGCTCCTCAAAACCTCATTTCTGGACTTCTTTTCGTCCCAAGTCTTCCAGCAGATGACCCGTGCAATAACATGACAGCGCCCTTCATAACCACAAATGTCACTCGCCAGAAGGACGTCTCTGGTTTGGAATTTCACACTCTCGGTCTAGCACCATGGGTGTCATCCAGCTGTACACTGTCATTCCTATCCTCCGCGCAGAGAGCCAAGATTGGGGCTCTCATCTTCTACCGGCCTGATAGCGATAGCATGGGACTACCTCCGCCTGCAGGGGACCCAAACCCAACCTGGAACCTGGGCGATCAGGGAAAATGGAGATCCCAAAATCAATACCCGGTTCTTGCGATTCCCGGCCCGGCTGGCGTCACGCTGATGCGCCAACTTTCCTTGTTCTCCGGGAATTCCGCCGGATCTCCCTCATCCGCTGTTAGGATGTTCACCGTGATCAATCTGGGTGAGAAAGGCATGTTTTGTGCATTCATCCGAATAATTACCCCAGGGTCCTGTATTCGCTAACATCCGATTCCAGCAAGTGTCAAGAGTAGCAATAACGCCAAATCAAGCAGTAACAATAATGATAATGACAATGGCATGCACACACTCTGGCCGTTCACATTCATCATTATTGGAATCCTCGTCGCCCTCGGCATCGTATTTCTCATTGTCCATCGGATCCTCCAAAGAAGACACAGGGATAGTATCACCCAAGAAATAACACTAGGGCAAACACCAGGCATCGGACCAGCTCTTCCACGACAATTCCGCACTCGATCTAGGGTCCCGAGAGACATGCTCAATAAGATCCCGCAGTACACGTACCCTGATCTCACAGTTCCGCCGAAAGTCGCAGGCGCGACGGCTACTGAGACATCGTCTTATGTTGAGAAAGAAGCATCACCACCATCGATAGGGCAATCTGGCCCCAACGACAATGACAGCAAACAACCTCCTGAATCTAGTCGATTGGATTATTGCGAGGTCAGGAAACCGGAAGCTGTAGCTGTAGCTACCACGACAGCCGTTGCTGCTGCCAGTGAAGAATCTCTTCAGCAGGTTAAGGACTATCAGCACCGACTTGCTATAAGTCAATCGCAGACAACCTGTGTTATCTGTCTCGATGACTTTGTACCGAGACTGTCGACCATCCGTGAACTTCCATGCGAGCACATATTTCATTCCAGCTGCATTGACCCTTTTCTCACGCAGAGCAATAGTTTTTGCCCTCTGTGCAAGAGGGACGTGCTGGCCTCGATTTCTGAGAATGGTAATAAAACCGGTGTTCATGGTAGTAGATACTCAAGTTTTATTCCTATATAATTGGATTGCATAGATTTCATTTCCTGCCTTGCAATCTTTCTTTTTGGGTTGTTTTTGGCGCAGCATGACTTCTATCATATGCATCTACTTAGCAGCACATGTATGATTTCAGGAGTTCGATTTGTCTGTTTTCTGTTTATTACCGGCATTTATCTTAATACCCGCATGATACCCATTTATGAGATGAACCGAATTTCCCCTTTTGTTTTTGTTTCTTGTCCGTGTCAACCGCCAATTGCCCGAACGGCTGGTCTATCTTCAAAATTGACATTCAGCTGTGAGTGCTTGATTGATGTGTATGATATCGTACCCTCCTTTAATGGCTGGCTTTTCATATCATAGCCATGTCCATCCATTTCCGTCCATTTCCGTCCTATATTGCAGACATAGAACCAGACGAGCCGGTTATAACCATCCAGGTAAATTGTGAGTTCATGGCTGCTTGCTCCGACGATTCGACTAGCAGTACCACCCGCAAAAAAGGGCCGCAGAAGCAGCGGTTTAGAGGAGGTACATAGCCTTCCGTCAGGATAGAGCTGCTTAACAGGTTCTCATGAACCCGATATCGCATATCTTCGCGTCTCGGATGGGGAGAGAAGAACACCTTTCTCTCAGAGATTGACAAATGAAACAGCTGCAACCTTTATCCTCTACAGACGTAATGTTAGCAATCAAAAGCACACGTAAGAAAGAAAGAGGGGAAAAAATTACCAAGCAAACTTATCATGCTTCCCTCGAACCCTAACATCCAACAACTCCTCATGATAATTGCCCTCCCTCCTCGCCTTCTTCAACCTCCTGACCTCATGATCCTCCAGCCGCCTCCCCACAGCCTCCTCAAGCTCCTTTCGGCTAATCTTTTCCCTAGCCTTGATCTCCTTGGAGATCTTAATGCGCGGCTTAAACCGCGCCTGCATGCGGATTCGTAGAGTCGTCTCGAACGATAGACTGGTTGCATCGCCTCGGATTTCAACTGAACCCGTGCCCGACGAGGTTTTGGACGATGGGGACTCTTTCTCCCGCACGCAGAGGAAGTTGTCCTTTTCCCCGCCGCAGATCTGTAGGGAGAATGTACCAGGGATGTCTGGGGAGGGGATGACAAGGAAAGATTCAAAGTGTGATATTGCTGATGCTGTTGCGGAGAGGATGCCGTAATTGTCGCAGCTGAGATATCTTTACATCGGGTTAATACCTAACAATGACAACGACAATGGCAACGACAGCCGCAAGAGGCAAACAGGGAACAGGGAAGACGAAAGGAACAAACCTTCCATGATGCCCCTTAAAACTAATCCCCTCGCTCCCCGCAACCCTCGTCGCAATCCACACCTGCCGAACATCATGCGGTTCCGCCGTGGCCGGATCCCCCTCGATGAGATTCTCAAGCGGACTAGCGAAGACCTTCCCGTTCGCGTCGCATGCGATGCAGGTCGGTTTCTCTGATGCGAGCACGAAGATGATCGGTCCTGCGATGTCAGAGGGCGCGTCGGCTGATACCCATGTTTGGTCTTCGGGGGGTTCGTCGATTTCTTTCTCGGCTGCGTCTGCTGTTGGCGCGGATTGTTTGAGGATCTTTGTTTTTGTGCTGGTGCCGGTGTCGAGGTCGCGGTGTTTGCGCTTTTTGGGCCTGTCCCCTTTGAATGTTAGCGGTTTTACCATGGTTGGGTCTATGATATCTGGATTGGGAGTTATTTTGTGGTAGGTTGTTACTTTTGATGCTATTTGGTTGTTGATGTCAGTGTTGAGATCAGTCTTTGACACGTGACTGGGTATAGGGCCCCGCGTACAGGCCAAGGCCAATATTTCATTATCAATGAATGGATTCAGTTCGATGTAGCTGCTTGGGTTTAAGAAATCATCATGACTGCCTGAGGACCCCATAATAATTTACTCTGAAGACTATGAAGTAAAGGAGTAAGTATAATGCTAGGTTCCTAGCATCGGCAGTAATATCATCAGGATAACCAGTCCACCCCTGAGTACAGCCTAACTAGACGAACGAATATACTCGGTATCGATTGATGAACCCCTGATACTCTATTCATTGTATTGCGCTGACCAGATTTCTACTATACACAATCTCATGATCCGAGGTATCAAAATCGTTCAATCAATCAATCGAAACTCTGTATGCAGACATGCCCACGACACGACACGCCATCCGCAAATCATAACACCTTCAACTCATATACGCCAAAAAAAAGTCTTGGTTCTCTTAAGAAAGAGTAAAGAAAAAAAAAAGACAAGGGTACGAAAGTGTGTTTAGGGGGGTGGAAATTCTCCGAGATTTTCACCGAGGATCTAGAAGGTAATAGCAGCTTTGATGGCGGATTTATTCCTGAGTGCTTCCAGACATTGGTCCCACTCTTCGATCGTGAAGACCTTGTTTACGATGCCGTTGACCTTGACCTTTCCCGAGTCGAGGTAACTAATGGCAGCGGGGAACTTGTAGACCTCGGAGAAGCTACCGATGATGGTGATTTCGTCGCCAACTGAAAAGGATTAGTTTCTGCAGGGAGAAGGCGAAGTAAAACCAGCAGAACAGGTAATCTTACAGATCTTGCTAGGCGGCCATGAAACGCGGGCACTGTTGGCATACACGCCATACACGACAAGTTTACCGCCGCGACGGACGTAGTTGATGGCGTCCTCGAGGATCTTGGCACTGCCAGTAGCCTCGACGACAATGTCGAAGCCATACGGGTTCTCCTCATGGATTTGGGCGAACTGGGCAGCTGGATCGGTGCGGGAGAGTTCAATGTACTCGTCGCCTGCGTCGAGAGACCTGGCCAAATCCATCTTCAGACCTGCCGGGGCAGCAACCACAACGTGGCATCCACCGTTAAGGCGGAGCATCTGAGCAAGGATCTTGAAAATAGTCAGCCAGGTTAGACCAGGAGAAAGAAAGAAAGAAAGAAAAACTCACCAGACCAGTAGGGCCAGCACCGAAAAGGAGGACGGAAGAGCCCATCTTGGGAGCAATCTTGTCAAGACCGTGAGCAGCGCAGGACGCGGGTTCTAAAAGGGTAGCGTCGACATCGGACAGATTCTTGATCTTGAATACCCTGCCAGCTATTCGACGGAGTTAGAAGAGTAAACCCGCTAGAAACCACTACTACAGTTTCCTTGAAGGTACTTACCAGGGTAGGCACAGTACTCGGCGAATCCGCCATTCATGGTGACACCGTGTGCCTGGAAATGCTCACAGAGCAGCTCCTCGCCACGACGGCAGTAGAAGCACTCTCCACAAAGCTCAGAGTTGTCGGCGACGACACGATCCCCGACCTTGAAGCCCTTGACCTTGGGACCGACGGCAGCAACGACACCGACGGTTTCATGGCCTTGAAAGGTTAGAATAATCTGCCATGTCATGAAAGGAAAGACAATTTCAACATACCAGGCACCAGAGGAAACTAGACCGACATTATTAGCCTATTTAGCCGGATGGTTAATGTGGATGAATTGCTCAGCATACCTTGGCAAGGAACTCCCCTTCATGGATATGAAGATCAGTACCGCAGACACCGCAGGCCTTGACCTTGATCTACATGGATGGATTAGTAAGAGTCCGATTGTCCACGGCGGAACTATTGACACCATACCAGAACATCATTGTCGCGAATACTAGGCAAAGGGATTTCGACAAGGCCATAGACCTCCGGCTTCTCATATCTGATGGGGTACCTAGCGTCAGAAATAGTGCCAATTGCACAAGATGGACAGAGAGGGACGGGCATACCGGAGAGCCTTCATAGTAGCAGGCAGAGGAGGAGTAACAGGCAGATCAGACGTAACGCTAGCCATGGCCATGGTGTTTGTCGATTTGGTTGATATGACGAGGACAATATCTATGTATAATCTAATCGTTCAACAGAGGGAGGGAAACGTGGACGGACAAAGGAAGTAGGCTAGAAGGAAGGGACTTCTATAGAAGATATAGAGAGAGGGAAAGAGAGAAACGGGTTGTAAAGAAGAAGCGCAAGTTATAAGAAGGCTTGTTGTTCCCAAAGAGCGAGATGACGACACGGGCAAGACAAAGAAAGAAGCAGAAGACTTCCGAAGAGACGGTATCTAACAGTTCCACCGGCTATATATATTATTATCATATACATGGGAAAGTATATATAGCTGGAGATAATGGATCGGTGGGGGAGAAACAGCCTAGCAAGGGCAGTCCGCACGGCCAGAATTGATGCTATAATGAAACGGAGTATGTACTCTGTAATAATAATAATAATAACAACAACAATAACAGTACCAATGCCTGAGCTCAGGAGGCTGCTCTGCATCATGTTACATTGAAAGTTTGCAGGTACATCCATATACATAGACACAGACATAGACATGACCCTGCAGATGTGATGTCTCTCTTCACCGGCATCAATTCTGAGTATAAAGGAGTATCCACAGAGAGTATATCCCCCGGAGTCAAGTATACGAGAATGCTTTGTTCTCCAAGACTCCAACACATGCTCTCCACACTCCATACCGTGGATATCAACAGACTCCGACTTGACTCTCGTAGACAAGAATCAGGATATCGGCATATGCAACCCCCCTGTGCGTAGTGTGCACCGGCACATACCTACATATGCACACCACGGACAACGCGCATATAGCATACACCCAGGATCCTTCCGCCTGTTTCTTGCCTCTCGGAATCATACCGGGTCAAGGCTAAGCGCTAGTTGCATCTGGCATTGCTGGTTGGATCGATCTGGGATGGGATGAACAGGAGACAATACAATAATTACAGGAAGTGACTGTGCACTAGAGAGTATACAGAATCGGAGTCTTGTTTCGTTTCGTCTCACTATTTCCTACTATTATTTCCTGATGCCCGAGAAACTCGAAGTTACCAGAATAGCCCCATGTCCTAAGAATGGCCCGGACCGCTCCTCTCCGTGGGGTTGATTCTGGAACTTTCAAGTACAACAACCATCATACGTACCACGGCTGAGCGCATGGCAATGAATATCAGGGGAAACAATCCCACGGAGGATGCTTATTATGGTACCTACCAACTGTCCTTGCTCGTGGCCGCGAACTCAATCCATGTCATACCACTCACTCGGAATGAGGCTTCTTCGGGCTGCTCAGGGAGTCAGGGAGCGCGCATGTATCTACCTACCAATGTAAGCGAGGCTACCCACAAGACACTCTTCCGGGCATCGGGACAGACCGTGCCGTAATTATTATTATTATGGTTGAGTATCATCACTGTCATTAAAGATGCAAGGAAGCTTCCAGCATCGATAAGGCTGCCATCGTCACCGCCATCCCGAATAGGAACAAAGATTAAGGCACCCATTTATTTTCTTATTTTCTGGTCTTAGTCTACCCTGCACTGCTTCATAGACATCTACACGTAATCCCCGTTTCAACAGCCTCGTCTTACACCTGCCCAATAACATCTATTTCAGCCCAAACCCCTCGCTGTTAACCACCGCCCCCCACAGAATCCGCTCCAACTTCTCTCGCGTCCTGTATCGGTACAGTGCTAGCGTGTTGAAGCATGTCCGCGCAGTGGGATACCGATTCGTGTCCCCCCCCAGGCACACCAGTCGGATCGTCAGGTTAGTTTCCCCCATGGCTGGGATCCGATCGCTGCCTGTGATGAATGACAGTACCTTTCGCTGTGCCTGCGGTTTGATGTTCCCGAAGAACTCCCAGAACCATCTCACCACCGGCTCCGACTCGGGATGCGGCACCCCCCAGTTGTCGTATGTTGCCACCGCTCGTAACGTCGCGACGTCCAGAGGTTCGTCCGATCCCCGCACCAGGAGCTCGATCTCCTCGGGCCGGAAGAGCGACAATGCGTTGCCGCCACACACCGTGAAGAAGCCGCGCTTGAACGGCTCGAACTGTCGCGCCACCGCAGTATCCAGCTGATAGTGCACATACAGATCTACAAACTCGCGTCGGTTGGAATTCGTCACCGGTCGCTTCTCGCCGCCAGGGCAGAGAGGAACCTCGACCACTTCACCGTATCGGTCAACCGGTACCACAAAGTTGTAGCAGAACGTCTCCTTGACGTCTCCCTCGAATTCGAGTAATGCTCGCAGACCCTTCGCCAGGGCAGGTCGGTATTCTGCAAGATCGTCCAACCTACTTTTGAAGTTTGACCGAGTAGCTGATATCTGCGGTCCATTGCTCGGCGGCGCAGCAGCCAGAAGCTTCTTGAACGCAAACGGTGGAAGTGCCACATCAAGGATGGTAGAGTTGTAAATCGCTAATCCAAGCAAGACGCCCACCAAGAAGAACTGCTCAGACGACTCAAAACAATAAGGGTTGAAATAGCAGTACTGAGAATCTTCATCATAGAGAAAGAGTCCTGTAACATAGTGAGCATGAGTAAAGAGATCTTCTCACGATAAAAAAAAAGGCGTACCATGAAGAGGATCAAAGACCTCTCTGACTAGGAGGAGGAACCATTCCTTGCGAAGGCCACCAGCATCGACGCCCTCTTCACCTACAAATTCAATTCGTAGGCCTTTCTTAATCTCTTCCTCTCCAGTCCCTACTACTTCACTGACACCCTGGAGGCTGTCTTCAACCAGGCACTCTCGCCGGACCCTCAACACCAGATACTGACTCACAGCCTTATGGCTTAATATACTGTCAAAAAAGGCCTCACGCGCTTTCCCTTCCATCTGACGCCGCGCATCGTATTCCAGGATACGGATCTTAGCCCAGATACTCAGGAAGAACGGGTACTGGCAAAAAGCAAACTTTGGCGACTTCGATTCCCACGTTTCAAAGTCCGCCACGAGATCCGAATAGTCGAGAAGAGTGTTATAGAACACATTTATAGGTATTAAATGACCATGGCGATTGCCTACACCGGGCGGCCCGTGATTTGTTCTCTCGTCGTTCGGATATCCATCTCGTCGTTTAGAGATGTTGGAGTTATTTGCTGTAAAGAAAATGGACATCACTCGCGCCGCAGCACGAATCTGCCAGTCATCCCCGTACATGAGAGGGCTGTCACCCCTGTCACCTGCCGGTTTGCTGGAACTTCTGGCGTTGAGGGCAGCGTGCAGCCCTGCTGGGGTGTTGCCAGAGGCACTAGCAAAGCTGGGGATTAGACTATCATCTGTCGGAGGAACTTCAGAGCGTTTTCGCCCATGTTGGCGAGTCAATCGGTAGGTGACGAATCCACCGATCAGATTGACTATTCTTTCAAAGTGGTCTACAGAGAAACGGGAAACCCATGATATGAGGTATTGATGGCAAACATCGGGCAGATTGGCCAGCAAGCCAAAAATCCGCTTGAGAATACTCGAGGGATAACTGGGATCTCCATGCCGTGGCCCTGTGGCCATCGGTGGTCCTTTGCGAGAAGGCGACTTGCCATCACGGGGTATTGGCCGACGTATATCCTTTGAGTCTGACGGTCTTCTTTCGCTCCTTCTCGAAGTGGCGTTCAACTTGGATGAATAGAGCATGGGATTCTCCAGCAATATAAGGAGAAATCTGGTATCATCGGGTTTCGTGAGCGGCCGCCGCGGTCGCTTTAGAAGGTTTTCTGTAGCTTTAAGCAGCGTCCGCCGTAAATGCAGGCGTGCTTCGGTCATCTCTCTTTCGATCGTAGACATATCGATCGAGTACCATCTGCTGCATTTTGTGGACTCTTCTTCGTCGGCGGGATCAACTGGCCTCATCGCCATCCATTGCTCAGCCCACGATGTCCCCGAGGCCAAGATTAACTGGTACCATTGTGCAACTTCAGTCCAATTTATCCGAGGGTTCCTGGATGACACTGCTCTAGACATGCTGGAAGATCTGTCTTTCGGGTGCAGACGATTATGACCACTGGAATAGGTCCAATCGTTCATCCACCACGAAGAATTCTCCCCGAGGTCCCCAAGGAGAAGAACTTTTGGATCGGGTTCAAAGATGGGAACTGTCCGCGAGGAATCAGGCGCAGCAGGGCTTGGTTCACGTTTCATCTTCGGCGGACGTTCCTCGCTGGCCCTTCGCACAGGCGGCGGCACGGTTGTAAAAGAGTTATTTAAGCAGTCGCAGCCTTTAAATGAAGACATTAAATATTCCTCTAGTTCGTTAAATATCAAAGGGTGGCTATAATGTTCCATGTCCTCGCGATCCCGCGAGGGCCGCCCAATCTCCCCAGGCAGCTGGTCATCTTTCAACGAGCTCAGGACATCTGAATGTGATCGATTTCTCGTTTGAATATTTTTTTCTTCCGCGTATCCAGACGGTGTGAGAAAGGGATTTCGGTGCTCTCCATCCGACCCACCGGCCGGCCGGCCGGCCGATGGAGTGCGATTGCGAGGGCGCACGGCTGAATTGGGCGACAGATGCCTGGAGGCATGTGCTCGTGGTTGAGAAAGATGATCCTGGTTGATATCGCGAGGCCTACCCTCCCTAGCCCCCTCGCTGAGAGTCGACTTCGGTTCGCCCAAGAGTTTCTGTAGATATCTGGAGACGCAATCCTCCATGATTGCCTTGGTCCGTTCAACGGTCAATGGAGCCGCTAAAAAAATTGCGAGTCAGTAAAAAAATACAAGAATCGGGATACAGGTATGGGGGCACCTTTTCTCTGAACGTTCGCCGGGGGCGGCGCTTTACCCTTGGCGGACTTATCAGAACCTATATAGTCTTTCGATTCCCTTGGGAGCTCGAGATCATTAACGGCCAAGCAAGATGTGCACCGAAAAACCTTGAGATGTCGAGGCCATCGCACGGTTGAGTTGCAAGTCATGCATCTTCCAGCGACGAATTCATCCTCGGGCACCGCACGCACGGGTTCCTTTCGCGGACTGCTGGAGAGACGCCCAGGCGCATAGCCGACTCCAAAATCATCGTCATCATCGTCCGAATCGAGGATGTCATGTTTGGAAATCGATTTGTTCCGTCTCTTACCGAATCCGCCGAAAGGAGATGGGAATGGATGGCTAAGCGAACGGGAATGGCCCCGACGGAAGGGGGACTTTGGGGGGAAGTTTAGGCTGCTCATCGATGGCACGACTGGAGCATCTGGGACCGAAATCGGTGCGCTCCTGTCCGGATGCAAGGCGACCGTTGTCACTGAAGGGATTAATACCTGAGCTCAATTTTGGAGGAAGGTTGATTACGAGTCGAAGGCGGCGGATCGACGGTCCTGCATCAGTGACAGTAGATCAGTATCATGGTTCCATCGTGGGGATCACACAGGTTAATAAACCGATGACCATGATGTGAAGACGACCAGCAACGCAAGGAGATCCACTGTCATCCTCCCAGTGCAGGTAGGTACCTGGCAGACGTACCGTGTATACGAGTAAGTCCAAGAACACGTTCGAAACCTGATGAATGAGACAGATCGGCAGGGGAAAGGATCTAGTATCGGCGTACTGGTGTTCAACTAGGCTAGGCGGCTCAATGAACCGGTCATATTATTCATTAAGGGCATTGCAGGATATCTGGATGGCGGGGAAGTCGCAAGCAGGAGAGAAAGAAAGAGGGAGAGGAGATGCCATCGGCGATGCCTGATGTCGGCGGGACCATGGTCGACGCGGATCACGAGCTGCGAAGCGCTCCAACAGTCGCAACTGCTGCTGGACCAAGACATTGAACCGGAATTAGCAACAGAATAAATGAAACCCTTGAGCTAGTTACGATTCGCTACGCCAGGCCCCGTACAAGCAGGCGCATGCGCGATGCTTACATTACAGGGTCTAAAAAGATCACTAATACCTAGTGTTTAACTAAGACCTCGTATTGCCGGTCTATTCTTAGTACCACAAGCTTACTCGTTCGTTCTATAGGTTGCAAAATCCGGCAACGCCATCAGAAAGTAGTCATTACTTCGTTAACCAGAATAGGCGAGCGGAAACTTTTGCTAGCATCGGATCTGATAGACCTGTAGTTGCATTAGACTCGCACCAGAAGACTCCAGTGACAGTGTCATTGCGAGACTTTTTAAAATAAACACATCCATGAAAGAGAATCGCCGCATGCAACAAAAAACCCCGCTAAAACCCTCAGTACCCTTAACGGTATCTCCAGTAGCTCTGGGTGTTGTGGACCTTCCAGGTATGGCGTCTGCCGGAGCGGGTGTTGTTGTAGCGATGGCCGCGGTTGATACCACGAGACTTCTTGCCGGTGGCAGTGAGGCCACGAGATTCGCGGTGCTAATCGTGAAAGAATGCATGTCAGTATATTGTCCAATTGCTCAGCAGCAGTCCGAGAATGAAAACGAACCTTGTGGACGGCATTGCAGATCCAGTTGATGCGAGGATCGCGGCGGATAGCCTTGTGCTGGGGGTCGACGAGGATAACCTCGAAGTACTTGTAGGTCGAGTCCTGGTTGATCCAGTAGGAGTTCAGGACACGCAAGTTGGCGCAGCGACGGCCAACACGCTCCTCAGCGGTAGCCCGGAGAGCACGCTGGTACTTGAGCTGGTTGACACCCATGTTGGTGGGTTTGCCTATTACACGACTTAGCAATTGCATTCTTTACCCTCCTGTCCCTCAGGGAAGGGGGAAGGAAATCCATACCATAGGTGGCACCCTTGGGAACAGGCCTCTTGCGACCACCGCGTCTTACGCGAACGCGGTAGATAACATAGCCCTGCTTGGCCTTGTAGCCGAGACGACGAGCCTTGTCGGGGCGGGAAGGACGGGAAGCGCGGTGAATAGCATTCAGCTGACGGAGCTATATTGATGCACTCTCAGCAAAGTTCAACGAGTGTATAGCAAGACACACAAAAAAATCATCTGCGATTCATGATTCTTTTATGTGTGCCACAGAAACAGACCGTCCGCCGGCGAAAAAAAGGAATTTTTCAAAGCCGCCCAGCAACACCCCGAACATTTCACATTTCAAGGTATCCTATGGCAAAGCTCACGAGCCATCCGACGGAATGTCAAAGAATCGAGTAATTTAAGGGGGGGATTCTCACCTCCCAGCATCGGACACGCAGCAGGAAGCGGATCACGTCGGACTGCTTCTTCTTTTGGAGCTCTTCCACGTACTTGAGGGCACCCATCTGGAACCAGGGAATGTCAGTTTGGAACGATGAAATAAGAATGAAGGAATTGACAGTTGTCGCAACTGTATCGGGAAGATATCGAGTCCAAACGTACCTTGTCGGCGTCAGCTGGTCGTCGTTGGTTGTTGTCGTCGCTGCTGAAAAGTTCGAAGAGAAGTCCACTAAGAGATTCAAGGTTGTGTGTGGGACGCTAGCAATTAGCCGAGTCCCGTGCATGGGCCGGATGTCTGAGGCACTAAGGCAGACACAACCTTTCGTATCCGTAGAGCACAACTCTATCAATTCAATGTTTCGAATTAATTAAGCATATCCTGCATAGAGATACAGAAATAATTAATGCTGGATTAAAAATGCAGTCAAACGATCCCACAGGTCCGCTCCGACAACTTCATCAGCAGTCAATACAAGAGACAAGCCCTGACAGCCTGCATTGAAGAACAAGATAGTCATAAAACATATCCCCAAAGCCCCGGTCTTATCTTCAATCCTTCTCGTCCGGAAGGGCTTTGACAAGTCCCTTCATTGCTTTCTCAACTTGACAAGCTACCTTCCCCCATCCGTACACTTCGCGCTTCCCATGCTCCTTCTCCACAGCCTGACGACCCATCGTCAACACTTGCTGAAGACGGACGTCGTTCTCAATTATTGATTCACCCTTGCCTCCTTCGCCTTCGATAGAACTGGGCAGATGAGAGAGCTTCTGATCCTTAGTACTGTCATGACTGCCCAAATATTTTTCCTGTTTCTGTTTCTGCTTGTTTTTCTTCACATCCTTCTTTTTCCTTTTCTCTCTCTCGTCGTTCAGAAGTTGTTCTATTTCCGCCGCTGTTGCCACTTTGGCCGCAGAGATAATCCTCATCGCCTCCCTCTGCTCCTGCTCCCAGGCGGCATTGGGTGTGTCAGGGACTTGCAGCTTCTTAGTCTGTTTCAGGTACTTCTTGCAGTCTTTCAGCATAGCCTGTGTGCTATCAAGAAGTGCTTTGGAGGCGATGTAAAGAGGATGTTTATCAGCCGTGATGTCTAACCGCAGACGTTCATCATCAGGGTTACCAAGAACGAAGGGAGCTGTCTCAGAAGTACCAGTCCCAGTTGGAGCAAGAGCTGCAGTAAGAAGCTCGGCGAATTGTGCTTCGAACTCCTCTTCTTCAGCTTTCCTGTTGTGGATCGAGCTCAGCTTCCGCACCGTGAAAATAGCTGGAACAGAGTAAAGGAAACTTGCATTTCTCGATCAAACTCCTCCACGATCCCAAGGAGGCGTTGTTCCTCGTCCTTCACTGTCTTCTCAAAAGCCTTGGCCAGCTCCTCCTCTTTCTCCGTAGACTCGATAAGGTTCTGCAGTGCTTTCAGGGTCTCTCTATGATTTACACGGGAGGTAAGCATTCATCTCGTCTGAAATAATGCCTTAAAGACGACATACTGCAGGAGAGGGAAAGCATAGGATATACGTACCTTGCATCCCCAGTCTTCCTCACCGGACTCTCCCATGGCTGAGAATCAGATCCATCCTTAGAATCCCCGATGCCATCTTCAACGTTTTCATTCACACAGACAAGAAAATCAGTGTCAACATCGGCATTGGTATCGGTATCACCTTGCCATGCTGGCGGTGTATTCTTTCTCTGCCTCTTGGTCCTTGGAGCCTGAGCGGCTACAGGTCCCATCAGAAGAAAGAAGATTAGAACATGCCAGAACGAGAGGACATACGATATAAAATGATAAATGACAAATAACCACACGTGAATAATCATGTATGGCCTGGTAAGAAGGAAGAAGAGGAGCTCACCAGCGCGTTTCCTTGGGCGACCGCGAGGCATTTCTGGACTTCCAGAAGAGGTGTAGACAGACGTATACCGGGGTAGAGAAGGAAATAAAGAGAAGGAATCCGAAGCCTCTCTACCTACTCTGTAAATGACTGCGCGATAAGTGTCGAATACGATTACTGGAGAGACCTGGAAAGAAGTGAAGACGAGATACCAGAATGAGTCTGGTTGATGAGCTCCCAATCTCCCTGCCACCGCTCTAGCCTACCATATATACATATATATAGCAAAAGCAAGACTCTCATCCTAAATACTTTCCCCCAAAAACAATTAAACAGAACAATCAAAGACGAGAAGCTCTCTTCTTCGCCCACGCAGCCTCTTGCCGAATAGACAAATCCGTCAGAATCTCCTCACTCCCACCACCAACAACCATCATCCTCAGATCGCGACTGATCTGCTCAACCCTGGATCCTACACCACCACACTGATACCCAGCACCACCGAAAATCTGCTGTGCCTCTCTGTTCGCGAGTTCCAGGAGTCGCCCACCCTGGACCTTGGCAAGGGCAATCCGCGCAGACAGGTCATCAATGGCACCATTGTTCACCTTGACATGGTAAGCAAGCTGCTCGATCCAGGCCCAGTGACCCTCGACATATCGCGCAATCGTTGCCAGCTTCGCTCGGATGATTTGATGGGATATCAGCGGTTTGCCGAATGTTTGGCGGTCTAAGGCGTATTCGTATGCGTCTTTCAGACAGATCCGAGAGTGGCAATTGGCTATTACGGCGATAAGTAGTCTTCCAGAATTTAGTTCTCTCTCTCTCTCTCTCTCTCTCTCTGCAAAAAGGACTGAAGGGGAGGTTCAACAACATACTAGTCATAAGAGTTGGAAACCCTTGATTCTCCTTCCCAATCAAGTTTTCCACTGGCACCTTTACATTCTCCAACGCCACCCATTGACTATTCGACGCGTTCTGCCCGCTGTTCTTGATCTTCCGCATCGTAAGACCGGGAGAATTGGTCTCTATGACAAGCACAGAGACCCCCCCTGCGCCAGGTCCACCCGTCCGCACCGCAGTAGTCATATGCGTAGCTCTCGCAGCGCCGGTAATCCATTTCTAGATGAATGAGTTTCTTTCTTTCCTTTTTGGTTTCATTGTAATAGGATGCAAAAACAGAAGACACACCTTATTCCCATTAACAATATAGAATTTGCCCGTCGGATCCTTGACGGCAGTTGTCCTGAGATTCGCCAGATCCGATCCCCCAGTGGGTTCAGTAGCCCCGAGGCAAAAGCTCAGCTCCCCCGTAAGAATACCGGGGAGCCATTTCTGTTTCTGTTCCTCCGTGCCAAAGTGGATGATTGGCGGTGCACCAATGACACTCGAACCACCTAGGGCACCGCCCACACCTCCGTGGATCTTGGCTAGCTCATAATTCAGGACGATGAAGTGGAATATATCCCATTCTATATAGATGCAGTGAGTCAGCCAGGCAATCAATAACTTGAAGTGCATGCGTCGTACACAGGGGGGGGAAAGAAAGAAGAGTACCCTCGTAAGGAATATTACACGGCAAAGGCACCCCATTCCGATAATTAGGCGGCAAATCCTAAAAGACCAGTCCGGCCTTGATGAATTTCAAAGTAGCCTCAGGCGGCACGGCTCCCTCTTCCTCCCATTGCTCTGCGTACGGTTCGATGTTTTTCTCGACGTACTCGCGGACGTATTTTCTCAGCGCTCGATGGCTGTCGTTGTAATATGGTGATGCTAGGGAATTATACCATGCTGGCTCTGCGAAGGGGGTGTCGCTGCCGAATGGCTCGACGACGCCGCGGCTTTGCGCGAAGGTGCGTGTCATTTCTTTTTGCTATAGGGTGGATTCCAGGTCTGAGTGTACGGATATGCTGTAGGAGATTTCAGGGATATGAGGATAGAGTCTAGCTTTAATAAGTGATGCAGTAGCTATTATACGAGGCATGCCATCTGTGGTCTGAGAGTCCATTTCCGGGCAAGTAGAGCGAACCCTAAATAATTCCGGGAAGACGCCTCGGTTTCTGACTGTTCCACAACTAAGATATAACTCCCCAGTTTATAATGAGACTTCTCAAACAGAATTCTATATCATGCATTAATCTAGAAGTTGCATAGAGGGGCTATCTTTTTCTGCATGCCAGCCACCAACAGAACTTGAACTTGCAATCCATCCTGTTATTAACAAAGAAAGATAGTTATCATCCATATAAGCATAAATCAAAACTTGCTCTTCTTCTCAATATTACTCTGCAGATAGCCAAATATCCCAAATTGAGGAAGTCACCTCTAGCATGATCCAGTTCAACCTCAAAAAAAGAATGGGTACCGTTCAAAAAACAATAACCACCAGCTATTTGTCAGAAGAAGGCGCCTGAGTACTGACCTGACCTGACCTCCCAAGCCACACGTCACCCTAGGCTCTCAATCTAGAAAGACCCTTCTTCCGTCCTGCTGAGGATATCCTGGCAATGGTTGCCGATTTCCATGGCCCAGGTGCCATCTAATTATGTATGGAAACCTACGATGTTAACGCAGTGCCGCTAAAGGGCTGGCAGAGGTGTTGAGTGTTTGTTGAATACGGGTACGGTGATTACTGTAGGATATCCGGGAATGTGAAGGTGTATTACATTGAGGCTGAATGAATCTGGAGATAATGAAAGAAGGTGTTTGGACCTAGACACGATGTGTCTGTTATGTATATGTGGCTGGATATATGCCCGGTTACTTGCTATAGATAATGAACATGAACCTTGATGCCAAATTTAATTTATCTTCCGGAGATGAGAACACAACTGTAAAACAAATCCTCCCTGTACCTGTATCCGTACCATTCCACTACTAAAAGAATGCATTTTGTCCGTTTATCGTATCAAACACATCGAAATCAAAGTTAACAACCCTTTTTCGCTCTTTTATTTTGAGTAACACCAGCTCTGCCGGTGTCAATCTTGGTTATTCACACAATATGTAATCCACAGATAAATGGAGAGAATGACAACAGAATTGATGAAGAGAAAAAAAAAAAATAACGACGCAAATTATAGTCAGAGCTGGGGATGAACAAGAGAAAAGAACCCAATTTAATAATTAAATGTGTTGTGCTGAGAAGTCTATAAGTATCTTGGATGATTGTGAAGAGACCATGGATTCCCGCGATAACCACCAAACATTCTAACCTGTATAAACCGGAAGAGCTGAAAAGAACTCGAAAAAAAGACACTCAAACAGATAAAGAAGTGGAGAACGCAAACGCGTACAGAGACGAGATCAGAAACAGAAGGGACGAAACAAATGGACAGTCCAGGAATTAAAAAAGATCGTCAAAGCAGTCTAAAACATCTGAGCTTTTCGTGTATCGTAACAGGAGTATATTGCATAAAATATGCACTGGCCAAATCGACATGAGCTGCATTTAAGAGCCCAGCGATAAACCTTGGAATCTGTTCACCCAGTCACCTTGGCCTGGAAGAACGCGCGATGAGCCAGGAATACCGGCATCTAAATAGGCCGGGTCGAACCTGCCGTAAAGGTTGGGAGAGTAAGGCGCAAACGGATCGGACTGGGGCTGAGGCGAGGAAGCAAATCCGATCAGTCCCAAGTCAGGGTGGCGCGATGTCTGCCCGAATGGCTGGTACGAATCAGCGAAGACGCCGCGAACCGAGCCCAGTGGGCTAGCAACCCCGTCCCTGCCGGGATCCATAGCATCCCGACCGCCACCATATGCTCTATTGTCATGGTGGCGACGGTCGGCTTGCACATCTTGACCGTACATGCCGCTCGAAGGCTGAATGCCAGCAGTTGGTGGAGTAATAAAAGAAGCAGGGTTGATAGCAGACATCCAAATTCTCGTCTTATAGATTTTGAAGAGGTCAGTCACCAGGGAATTGAAATTGATATATGAATCCGCGAAATAGTAAAAGGTAAGTTTCTTCCAGTCCCTATTGGAGGAGTTAGCTGCAAAGTTGTTAAACCGATGATTGGGAGCCGCTTACATTTGAAACTCAGCATCGAGAATCTCCATGTTGAGACGATGCTCAGCCACCTTCTGCTGGCAGACACGTTTGGCTTTTGCCTCGTTGCCTTCTTTGTCGCGTAACGTGAGAATTTCATGCGGTTGAGCAAGTCTCTTGATAAGTTTGGGCTTGACATCTCCAGCAGAATCCTGTGGCCCGTGAGAACCGTGCGGACCCATACCACCAACAGCGCTTCTGTTGTTCAAGCCGGAAACCGCACCAGGTGAATTCACGGCATTGAAAGCTCCAGTTTGGGCTTGTCGGGAAAACATCATAAGCCATTTGTAGTGTTCTTCGGCATATTGCTGCTTCAGTTCTCGAGCCTTTTGCAGGGAAACATTCGCATGCGCGATGGTCCCGAGGTCGGTACCGCGATCCGCTTCAACAATGACTAAATCTCCAGGCTTAACTTGCAGACCGGTGTCTTCTTGGGTATAGAAGACATCGGCACGGTGGCACTTGAAGGTCACAATGTACAAGAGTTGGTTGGAATGAGGGTGCACGAGACTGGGTTGATGGGCATAGGAACTGGGCACCGCGTACGCCTGATAAAGCGCCGTGGATGTCCCCGACGTAGCATCGGCAGTACTAAGGCCCTGCTCACGAAGCGCAAAGTAGGGTTCTGCAAGTTGGCAGGCTCGTAAATACTCTGATCTAGTCATGGATAGTACACGATAATGGTCATACTCACCATTTGACAACGTGCCCTCACCGATATAGCCTTCTTCCGGATCTCCCAAGCTGGTTCGAGTGTTCGCCAGAATTTGTGTGTCACCAGTAGAGCTGATGGAGGAGTGGCGAATGGGTATATGAGCAAACGAATGTCGTCGACTTTGAGGAATGTTGGTAATGCCGCCGAAACCCAGTGACGTTTGCCAGTGCGCCTTTTTGACATTCTCCAATGTACGATTCTCTAGCGAAGCGAATGTCGGAAACTGCTTCTCTGCACTGGCCGAGTGTTCAGAGAACCTCCTTCTTGCGTTGCTTCGAATATTGCTATAACCAGGGATATCGCCTACTTCGTCCAGTTCCTCCACAGCAAGAGTGGATTCCTCAGGCACGCTCCCCTGTATGCGATGCAGATTATGAACTCCTGAAAAACCACTGGCAGCTGACGCAGATGACATGGTGCGGTCTCTCGATCTGCCATCCACCTGGCCAGCGGCTCGACGTAACAAGGCATTTTCCCTCGAAAGGTGCTCGATAGTTCGAGCCTGATTCATGGAATAGCTAATACTGCCTTCAGAACTGTGGTTGCTGGTGTCGTCATCATCGTCCTCACGGACACGGCCGAGCATGGCGGGGTCGTAACCTAGCTCCCCACGCATATTGGGACGAGAGGGACGATGATGCAACGCAGAGAACTGGCCACCATTCCTTGCGCGCGCCCCAGAATGAGGTGCACTGGCCTTGCCAGTCACCAAGTTAAAGATCTCCGGGTCCAATTGGCCCACGGAATACGATTGGGAACGGTATGTCTTCGGGGTTGGATGAAGCGGGATGGAGAATGGAATGGTGGAGTCTCCCGCGGCAGCGCGCGCCGTCGGACTCAGTAGCTCGTCCGCGGGGTTATTTGAAGTAGATGGGTTAGACAAAGTCGGAGAAGGCACTAGCTCCGAAAGTCGTGGAGGTGGTTCCTTTCGGGACTCGGTATTCCAGATACCAGTACCCCACGTGAACGGAGCACCAGTAGCGTTGTTCCAAGTGGCAGAACCGTTTAAGCCGGGGCTTGTATTCGTCGGCCAGTTCGACTGATCTGGCCCGGAGCTTGCAGGGGACAGAGGACCTCCGGCGGGCAATGAAGCCTTTCTCGGGAAATTGGCGGGGACTTCATTAAGCCATGATGTACGACGGGCCTGTTTAGGAGCAGGAGCAATGGTCTGCGACAGTTGCAATTGCTCAGCATCGTCGTCTGAAGAAGCCAAGGCTTCCGAATCAGGAGTAGAGCGTCGAACACCAGGATGGCCCTTTTCAAGCATGACGGATGCTTTATTTGCCGTTGCTGGTGGAGTGGCAGGGTTGGATGTCTGAGCGGGCTTGCTCTGCGGTGCAGGCATGGTAAATGAAATCGAGGTAAGTGCTCTAATAGATGGTGTGATCGAATTTCAACTGCTTGTCTCAAAATATGACAGAATATGTCAAATTGACAACGCGCCTGACGATGAAATGCAGAATATAATGGAGAGTGACGTTGATTCGAGCTTCTGGATGACCCAAGATAAGAGATATGAGAGGTCAATTCTGAAATATCAAGCACACTATGTTCTTTTAATCATGCAAAGCCTGGCCGTAAGTCAGATTCTCTGCCCTGTTATGTAGATGAATGGGGAACACAATCGTCTACGTTGAGTAAACAACCATGGGTCGGAGATTCTAGAAAGAACAGGGCAAAACAGATAGCATGTGGTAAGGGAATGGTACGAAGAGAAAGGACAAGGAGGGCAGAAAGCGAGAGGACAGAGGTATTCAAAGAGCTAGCATGATACTTTCAATCAACAACGGCCGTTGAGGAATGTCAAGAAACTGGCATCTTGTATCATATGCTCAGTGGCAAACGTTCCGGGGCCGGGAGGTACATCAGACATGCGATTAAGAGCACTGTGGCAAAATGGTAAATTGAACGGAGATTGCTATCGGAGAAAAGGAACCCTGCGGGGAAGGGAATGTAATGGCCAAACTGGGGATATCAAGGCCGGATGAAAGTGATGAACGCGCATAACCACACTCAACAGGATTCACCACAAACGGTTTTACCAGGATGCATCAAAGGACATGTCGAGGAGAAGGAAAAGACACCAGACGAACCTATTATAAAGAATAGACGACGTCGCCGAAGGAATGATGATCAACGTCTGCGAACTGTTGGGAGGAAAAAGTAGTCCCAAAGGAAATCAATAATTGAAAACAGAACGCAGATGAATTTCGTAATCGCGCCTATTGTTCTTCTTCGTCAGAATGACCCAGCGCTCCTGAAGCTACAAAACCGGACAAACTCACCAGTCTAGGGAACCTCTATCATCTATCCAAACCCGAAATGAAAGAAAGGGGGGAGGGGAAAAAAATAAAGAAACCGATTCTTCGAAGAAGCAACCAGGCTTCTGGGTTTAAAGATAACAGCGGAAGACAGTATGCCGGGAGGTGATGATGCGCGATGATTGACGCTCGATCAGTCGACCTTGTTTTCCTTCCAGCAATGCGAAGAACGACTTTTTTGTGTTGAAACCCAATCCAGTCGCACAATCGACGGTAAGAATGCTTCGTAGACGTGTTCCAACCGCGATGGGAAGGGTTTATATGAAGCGTGCAACTCGGGAGATCAATCGATGTATATTAGACTCGGCGTCGGTAGCGTGACCACGGATGACGTTGTAAGCAAGCTGGTGCCAGATGACAAAGGGCAGCTCAGTCACGAACAACGCATCTTGAGGAAGATCTAGAAACGGAGAGAAAAAGAGGCAGAAGGGAGAGAGGCAGCAGTCCGGGCGGATGATGCCAGCGCAAAGGAAGGGAACAAAGAGGCGATGATGACGGAGAGGAAGGATGGAAGAAAGAAGCTCTTGTGAAGGAGGAGAGGGTGGAGCAACACGCGGGATTCCGTACAGAACACGAGGAAAAGCCTGGAGAAGCAACGGTTGGCAGATCGTTGGCTGTATCCACCACGCAGGCAGGCCGTTTCCGCGAACAACTGACAGTCTGACAGGAACTTTAAGATGGATATTAGAATCTCGAAGACCAGGACAGGAGGTTGTACAGGAGTCAAGGCTGCGTATTAGTATTACAGTGCACGCTGCACACTGTACAGGCAGTTCCCAGGGAGGTGGAGAAGAGACGAGCCACGGATCGCGACTGGGAGGAGTGGCGCAAGGCTAATTTTTTTAAAAAAAAAAAAAAAAAAAAAAAAAAAAAAAAAAAACGAAAATCAAGTCAAAAGGTAGCATGATGGAGGGATAATAATTACTTTCCTATTACCACAATAGTGCAAGGTTCCCCAAGCCTTACTACCACTCGTACAAAAGACAGGGGAACCGTGCCCGGCCGACATGGCAATGGCTGGCGACAGGGATGGAGCAGCACGAAAACGATACAAATGGACAGGCCCATCATTATTGACGTCCGGGCGGGTCTGCATCCCCTTCCCTTCACAAAGTTCACATTGTCCGGGGATGTGACTGGGCCGGCCTGTCCTCGACTCCATCTCCATGATCATGCTACGCCGCCTCATCGTTGTTAGTACACGTGAGGTTCTGCCGTCCTAGACCGCCCTCGCTACCTATCTCACGGCACAGGCAGGCCTACCTAGTAATACGACCATACATGCGCCTATCCATTAGGTTATGAGCCCGTTTTAGCTCTACGATATTGAGCTTAAAAAAGCCTTTCAGATAGGCTAAATTGTGACCTCTCATTGGTCAAACCAGAAATCGAGCGCTTCTAAGCGACTCTGAACACCAGGACCGCCAACAATCGGCCCCTGAACCCCAGGATCCTTCGATCGATCCCATCCAAAATGGTGGTGCCTCGAACGCCCCCTACCACCGCTAGACGTCACCGTCGTCAGCCAGAATCCACAGATCCTTCATCAGATATAGGCTCCTCCGCCTCCTCAGTAATCTCTGAAGAAATGGACACCCCAACTGCCCCTAGAGCTCAAAGCTCTACTACAGCCAACACCATGGCATCCACACCAGACATCACAGCTCTGTTCCAGCAGATGCAGGAACAAATGCAGGAACAAATGCAGAAGCAGATGGACCAGTTCATGACTCGTTTTAATGCCCTTGAACACCATCAATCCCAATCCTCCACTCCTACAGTCCGGCATAACGCTACTCCCTACAATCATATTCAAAATAATACGGCTATTCCAGCCTCAAATCCAGTACAAAAAGATCCTTTTGATCATGTACAAGCTCAAGTTAAAGCGCTCCTACCAGACCGATGCCGAATCACACTGTCTCATGATAATTACGACCTCTGGAGTTCAGCCATTCAAAGAGAAGCCAATGTCCTGAACGCTAGTACAGTCTTGCATCAGGATATACCTCCAGTAGGATACTCAGCTTATGATGCTGAAGTATGGCATTGCAAAGCCACTGTCATGAGAGCCCGAATGCTTCATGCTATGACTGCCCAAGCCATTGACAAATTGGGCAACACATATGACCTATCAGCCCATGGTTTATGGGACCGAACTGCTACCTTTTTCGGACGTTCTACTGGTGAAGAACGAATGCTTCTCATAAAAGAGCTCAAGGAGCTCTATATAAAAGACAATGACTACCTATCCTACCAATCTGCGTTTACTAGGATAGTAGACCGCCTTCATGCTATAAAAGAAGCATCATTTGACAACCTTATTCACGACCTATTTTTTATAGGCCTCCGCGAATGGAACAAAGCATTCATTAAGAGTAAACTTGATGAAATATACTCAACTGGACAAGGCCCTGTCATCAATCTGGACCTAACTACCATTCAAGCTCAACTCTCTATCCGTATGGGCACCCAAGCCCGTGAATCCCGCTCCCAACACGGAGGACGACGAGAGAATCTATCCGGACGAAGCTATTCCAAACAAGCATCTAACCCCATTGCTAGCTCTTCCGCCTCAAGTTCCAACACTAAATATAAACCTCAGGACCAGGACTCACGCAAACCAAAGACCCGTTGTGATTGGTGTGGTCATTTCCACCCAATGCCTTGCCTCTACAAGAACCCTGAGAAAGCCTCTGAGCATTGGCGCCGAGCCAATAAAAATACTATTGAAGCTATTCGTGCTTTACACACTGCTAAAGAATCTTCCACTGCTTCATTCTCTGAAGCAGAAACCAATGAACTGGTACCATGGACTTCTTCAGCTGCAAAAACAGCCATTGCTAAATCAGCCCAATCTCTCCAAGCTTCATGGTATCTTGATAGCTGTGCTTCATTCCATGTTACACCCCATCAAGCTTTCTTCACGTCCTATAAAACATTGAGAAAGGAGGACCTTACTCCAGCGGATTATATTGAAGATGCTCAAGGGAAGATTTCCAAACCTCATGGTATTGGCACCGTCGTCATTGATATTGGAACCGGATCCTTGATCCTTAGGGATGTACGACATGTTCCATCCTTCAATTCCAACTTAATCTCCATGGGAATGCTTCTCAAACAAGGTTTTCGTATCGAATTCCCTTCCAGCTCTCAAGTAGCACAAATCACAACCTCTTCTGGTGCAGAATTTGAAGCCATTTTGAATACCAACAATGTATTCATCCTATCAGATTGCATTTCTCCCGACGAGAGCTCCTATGCCTTTGTCACCACCCGGTCTGGCAAAGAGGCCAACCGACCAGGGGACCCTCCCAGAAAGAAACCTACAACATCCCCAAAGACTAAGAGCTCCAAAACAGCTCTACCAATTATGACATGGCATCGCCGTCTATGCCATTTAAACCAGCAGGATCTTTTACGCCTTGCCGCAGATCCTACATCAGACATTGAAATCAAAGGTTCCAAAGAACTACCACTTTGTGAAGCCTGCATCCAGGGCAAGCAAACTCGCCAATACAGCAAAACACCAAGATCCCGTATGACTGCACCACTAGCCCGAGTCCACATAGACCTTGCTGGTGGCGGCCGAACACTAGATATAGAGAAGCTAGATATGCCTCTACCTTCACGTACAGGAGCCAAATATGTGATGCTTATTACTGATGACGCTACACGTTACCGTTGGGTCCACTACCTAACTGAAAGATCTGCTGCAATTGATGCATTTCGGGGTTGGCTACAACAGATGAAGAATCACCATTTCCCTGCCCCAGCCTATATTGTCTCTGACAATGAATTCTGTTCAGCTGAATGGCAGAAAACCTACCGTCAGGAAGGCATTGAATGGCAACCAAGTTCTCCATATTCCCCTTGGCAAAACGGTGTCAGTGAGCGCAGCATACGCATACTCTTTGACCGTGCCCGGACATTAATGCTTGACGCTCCCCATATACCACAGCGATTTTGGGTTGATGCTTTAAAATATGCATCAGATATAACAAACCGCCTCCCAACATCCACAGTCCTATTCAATTCACCTATCCCTGGGGGGGTCAATACCAACACCAAAATCAGCCCAAGCCCATATAAATCGCCTCTGGCTGCCTGGACCAACTCACCAACTAGTATCAACAAATACCGACGTTGGGGCTGCCCTGTCTGGGTTCATCGACATGGCTCAGATAAGCCTATAAACAAGTTCGATTCCCATTCTAAATGCTGCTTCATGATCGGCCAAATCAGTAGCCAACAATACAGAGTGTGGGACCCTAAAACAGACGCCATTTTTTCAACCAATGACACTATATTTGATGAAGAATATGAGGATCCCACAACTACACCTCCACAAGCTACTGTTCCTGAAGATCCAAGTACTCCTAATAAAGAAGATACAAACCAACCCGTTGAAGATGAAGACCAGGAAATATGGCTTCGACCCGCCAAAGGCATGTCCCTAGCCTATCTCACCGCTTCAACCACTCCTTCATCTGAAGATGACACGCCTACTTCCTATAAGCAGGCTATATCTCATCCTGATGCCACCAAGTGGCAAGCAGCCATGCAAAAAGAAGTCAACCAACTCAAAGAAAAAGGCTGCTGGCAACTTATCCGCCGCTCTGACCTACCACCAGGGACCAAGGTCATCCCTGGCCGGTGGGTATACAAAAAGAAAGAAATCCCTGGTACCCCTATTACAAGGGACTACCAAGCTAAAGCTCGCTGGGTGATCCGTGGAAATCTACTTGACAAGGACTTCATGGAATCATACGCCCCAGTGGTAGATGAAAATACCACTAGAACCCTTACAGCACTGGCCACTCTACTTGGCTGGCATACTCGAAAGGCAGATGCCATCCTTGCTTTCCTAAATGGAAAAATGCCCACAGATAAACGTGTCTTTATGACCCAAGTTCAGGGATTCAAAGAAGGCTCTGGAGACCTGGTTTGTGAACTCCGCCAGTCCCTCTATGGACTAATCCCATCTGCCCGTATCTGGTATGATACACTAAATGCTTTCTTACGACAAATTGGCTTCAAAAGCTCCGAATACGACTCTGGTCTCTGGATCCATACCACCCAGACCCAACTCTATGTGACTACCCATGTGGATGACTTCAAAGTCTATGCTAAGCATGAGAACGATGCCACTTGGTTTATGGAGTCTCTTTCTGCTAAATTTGACATAAAAGAAGTTGGAAACTCTACCAAATACCTTGGCATGGCCACCTCTCAATCCAAGACCACATATACTCTCTCCCAGGCCAATTATGCTGAAGACGTGGTTGCCTCTTTTGGCCAAGCACAAGCACACCCTGTTGGGATCCCCATGGATCCTAGTTTAATAATTGATGATGACCCAGACCCTACAGTGAACATCAAAGAATATCAACGTGGTGTAGGCTGCCTTACTTGGCTAGCCACCAAAACCCGACCTGATCTTAGCCGGACAGTTGGCGTACTATCCCAATATCACGCCAAACCTACCCAAAAGGCATGGCGTGCCCTTATACACGCTATACGCTACCTTAAAGGCTCCATTAACCGACAAATTACCTACCATAAGGCCACGGAACCCATTACATCTGACCTCCTCATGCCCAGATGTTATACTGATTCTGATTGGGGTGGTCAACTGACAGGCAATCGCCGGTCAGTATCTGGATATATATTTCTGCTTGCCGGGGCCCCAATTGCCTGGAAAAGCCGCAAGCAAACGTCCGTTGCACTTAGCTCCAACGAAGCTGAGTATATGGCTCTAAGTGAAGCCAGCCGAGATGCCCTTTGGCTCCGGAACCTCATCAACGAGCTCAACGTGCTCCCTACTGAATGCCCGCCAATTACTCTCTATATCGATAATCAAGGTGCACACGCCATGGCTGAAGCTGAGCTCACCACCAAGAGATCCAAACACATCGATATACGTTACCATTACGTTCGGGAGAAGATCCAAGACGGTATTGTTAAACTCCAGGCCTGCCCTACCAAAGAACAAGCAGCAGACGGCCTGACCAAACCTCTCCGAACTGAACAATTTGATCATTTCCTACAACTCACTGGCATAAGCTAAGCCGCGTATATCTCCCCCATTTTGGATATATTTTCTATTTTGATATACGGCATTCGATTGGCTAAAGCAGAACCTTCATTCCTCTGTTTATTTTTGCATATATTCACTCATTTGAAGGCCCGAATAGAGGCCGATTTCTGTATTTAGATTGATTCCATAGTTTGTAGGCTGCTCGTGCGTGGGGGGGTGTTAGTACACGTGAGGTTCTGCCGTCCTAGACCGCCCTCGCTACCTATCTCACGGCACAGGCAGGCCTACCTAGTAATACGACCATACATGCGCCTATCCATTAATCGTACGGCATCCGCGCGGGGCCTAGAGGCTAGAGCCTTTTTAGTTTTTTGCCTTGGGATCCAGTCCAACTAGAAAAATTAATGGGACAACGACCGAAAGAACCCGAGGGAGCGTGCCTCGAGAGGCGTCACCCATCGCGTTCTGGCAAGCTGGCAGCTCTGGCTTGAGCCTTGGATAATGGGCAAGTCTGTCTTACATTTTGCCTGCCTGCCACACAGATAATGATCGTCTTGCTAGTACCGATTATTTGCGGGGTAAAACAATCCCAAGACTAATAATAATAACAGGGACGTACCAAGTATCGTCCATGCATGCACTCTTCCGGATGTACATGCAGGCCTTGCACTTTCATCATCTTCCATCGTCTCACGTGCTCCGGAAGCCGTCTTCTTCACTTCCTCGAGTCATGGGTTTAGTAATTTAGCTAATAGGCGATCGTAGAGAGAAATGCCGCTCTAAGTTCTAACGCTGCAATGACTGTACGCGAGGATCATCCAGCCCACATCCCAGTTGCTCTCAACTCTGCACTCAACTCTGCATCATCCGTCGCGTCGGCAACGCAAGGGAGTTGGCATTTCCATGGTAGAATGTGGGGAAGCAGACGACAGCAGACGATGTCATCATCCTGGACCGTGCCACTGTTCTGAGTTCTCACGGCAGAGACCATGCCAGGACAAAACTCGACTGAAGAACAGAAACAACCACATCTGCGGTATTATTTATTATTTATTCTGCCCTTTTATATTAGTATACTACAGGCATCTTACGGCATGCATACGCGAATCGGGCCACTCCGAGCCGGACCTCCATCCTCTTCCAGCTCTGCTTTCTCTCCTCTCCCTTTCCTTTCCCCTCCTTGCTCTACCAGTCGGAATGGAATGGCCACAAATCCCTTAAGCGAAGACAATGCTGAAGCCAACTGAATGTAACGACGAAGATTCAGTATCGCACTTATGCAGCAGGATTGGTTTACTCTGTACTTACATACAATATACAGCTGGAGTACCTAACCTACCTAGATAGTTATTAATCAGAATCAGACATAAGCTGTGCTAATACCCCACAATTTCTTTAACTCCTAAAGTTTTCTCTGCTAGTCCGGGGGCGTTGGGCTTGTGATTAATTACTGCCTAATTACTCGGCCTGGATTTTGTTTTTGTTTACATGACATTCGATACGCAGACATGCTTCCAGTCAGCGAGCGACATATGGATAGCCTGTCAGAAGCACTGTTCCTTCCAAGGTTTTGTGGAGATCGTTTATTACTAACTTTGGACTGCTTGGAAGAGTGTTGGAGCTCTGATGGAGTTATTATTATGAAACGCAACGGTAAGGGAACATTCTGGCCATCAGTTAAATGTATTCTATGTGGTATATGCAATTACAGTATAACGTCACAAGATCTAAAAAACGAGCGCCTCTGAATCTACATGCAATTCTCTCTACTGGCAGACCAGGCCATAAGCGTCGAGAAATAGGATTCTTCAAGCCACAGTATCCAACGTTCCCTTTCCACCCGTCGATGCAGTAGCCTGTGCCCCCTTCTGCTCGCGCAGCTTCTGTTCGAACTTGGCAAATTCATGCATGGATATCTCTTCCTCTGGATCCATCACCTGTTCGACAGCCTTTACCTCTTCAATCTGCGTAGAAAAAAATCAGTTTGAAATTTCCAACGCTCAAGTCGCATGGAAGGGTGGACTTACATAATGCATCAGCATCGACTCGATGCCATTCTTCAGCGTGACCGTGCTCGAATCGCAGGTGCGGCAAGCACCGCGCAACTTCAAAAGTACGGTTCCGTTTTCGAATCCACGGAACTCAATATCCCCCCCGTCTTCCTGGATGGCAGGTCGGATCCGCGTTTCCAAAAGCTCCTTGATCATCCCGATAACTTCATCGTCCTCTTCGTTATACCCCAATGACTCCTCCCCTCCACCTTCCTGTGCATGTTCTCCTGATGTTTTCGCCACAGAATTCACGATAGTCTCGCCACTAGTCACCGCCTCTGTAATCAGACTGAATATCTCCGGTTTGATATGAACCCAGTTTGCATCGCTCACTTTAGTCACGGTAATAAAATCAGGGCCGTAAAACACCGATGAGACACCTTCAACATTGAGCAACTTCGCCGCCAGAGGAGATGGATGGGGTGGCGCGAGAGTGGATCGCGGAGAGAGATATTCGATAAAAGTAGTAGGGAAATCTTCGGGAAGAATACGATGATTAGGGATGAATTTCAACGCCTTTCTCCGAGTATGTTCATGTTAGAAGACTACCCGGTCAATGCAGCCAAAAAGTCTTGGGAAACACTTACATCAGGATTCGGTGTGTTTTCGGTCTGGATAAATATTGTCCTTTTGGTCACCGGGGATGGGCCATTCACCGCATTTTGAGTTGCAGGCTGCTGGTATGGTCGCAAAGTTGGCCGGCGACGCGTTGATGATGCTGTGAGAACAGGTAGTTGGGCTGAATTGTAAAAAGTCCTGCGAGATCTGAATGCAACAACGGTTCCGGAAGCGGATTCAACTGCCGGCAATCTGGAGTTGAAGAGCGCTCGGCTGAGCATGGCTCTTGTGGAAGGGTGCAATGACAATGACATTGTGAGAATGAATTTTCTGTTCTACCTATGTCAGAACTGGCTGTATTTCAGGTTCCGTAGGTCTGGATATGGTGAAATGAAACTTGGAAATAAATTGGCCAGGCCCCGGATTATCTGGAAAACGCTTGACGCAATGCGGTCACGTGCCTATGATGCAAAACTGGTCGATGACAAATCCATATGGGGCAGTATTGTGGCAGAGCCAATCATATTATTGTGATTACATAAATAAAAATATACATTCTGATTGGATCATTGCTCTTTGGAAGCTCCAGTGGGTCCGGGGCATTTGAGCTTTTTCTTTTTCGTTACATGGTAGTACCCCGTAGAATCACTTTGATTCAGTGCTCTCTCATGAAGAAGGCGCCATATTTAAACACACGGAACTATTCTGGCACAGTTCTGGGATTCCGAAGCCTCAGCTGGCTGACGACAATCATGCAAAACGCCGTCTAACCACTCTTTCTAACCTCCCAAACCCTTCTTTAATTGCACGGAAATGACCAACATATGCGAGGTCTGTTCTTCGGAACCCTCAAAATACCGTTGCCCTGCGTGTGGGCTTATGAGGTGGGTAACCTCTCCTTCCCACGTAAGCAGAATATGTATAAATACTCATCTATCATCACCAGTTGTTCGCTCGCCTGCACGCAGACCCACAAGATATACTGCGCACCGAAATCTCTCACGCCATCTTCATCGACAGACGCATCCCATGTGGTCAACGGTAGTAATGGCCAATCTCCTAAAAACGATGTGAACGGACATACACTTGGCGAAAAGGGAAAGGGGAGGCAAGAAGGCATTCTCAATCCGGAGACGCTAGCAACGTCCAAGGAGCTCCAAGAACTATTCGGCCAGTATCCTCAGCTTCGTTCTCAGCTCCGGGATATTTACAAAGTCACACTCGAAGAGGCGTGGGTCGAAACGCAAGTTCAAACTGGCGGACATCGTCCTTTTGGTAGGGGAAGAGGAGGATCGCGCCGGTCGAATAGAGGGTCCTGGACACTCGAGAAAGGCTTCAGGCGCGGCTTGGGAAGGGTGCGAAATTTGAGGGAACGGTGTGAGGAAGGTCTGGAGACTGGAAGGGACGCTGAGGGTTTCATGCGGTTTATGGGTCTAGTCAATGGTGAAAGCCAGCACTAGCTGCTATTGCACACGGTTCAGTTTGGGTTGCGATGCAAATCCGGAAGTGTCTGAAAATAGACAGGAAAAAGGATGTTAGAGTCTCAGTATGAAGGGAGGCCTATACTCAGGCCATCATTTGCCAGATGAGGACTACTCTCCATTGCGTGTCTTTCTTTGCATTTGATCTCATACACGATAGTGTACATCAGATAGATGGATCAGCAATGACAATTCCTACGTGAAAGGTCGAGTTGGCAGGTTGCAATACAACCTACCTTATTCAAATGAGTACAATTAATTTGAATGCTGACGGGTCCTGAGAAACATGCACAGCACGATGTAGTGCATCTGTCGTCGAGATACAGATGATAGACAACTCTTCCCAGTTCAGCGATCTGTCCATTGAAGCGTATGAATCCACCAAAGGAGAAATGACTCGTCGAACAGCCTGGACATTTGCGATCTGCATCAATGTGAGCGGCGCGCGGGAAGCCGTGGACTAGCGAATCCTAGAAGCTATCGCCAGTTGTGAGCTGCGATTGGATTCTTTTAGCGACGCGGTAGGAGAAGTCCGTGATGCTGTCCAACACCATGCTCTGTCTGGAACGGTGGACGCCCATTGGCATCTCTGACAGCAACACAGGCACAGCTGATGGTGGCTCTCGAGTCTCAGCTGTGTGAAGCTGCGGTGAAGCTCAACTAATGATGACTCCAGCACACATCACAGACTGCTGGGCAATATATGTATGCATGCAGCCATGGCAAATGAGCGTCATCCAACCGCGAGGCTGGGTCGGCCTGCTCCCTGAGAATGTCTGGATATTATTGATTGTTTCGTACAGCCAGCGACCTGTGGTGATTCGCATGCTGTGGTACTCTATATTATTGGCGATCGCGATAGACGAACCGGCACATAAAGTCAGATGAATAATAATAAGAGACGGAGATCCGCCCAGAAACGATATATTCGCCGGTGTTTCCTTCTCTTCTCCATATTTATCATATTCAAGCGGAGTCATCTTGCTTTTGCCTCACTTGATTGAATTCTTCAGAGATCGAAGCTCTTTGCTGTTGTTACTATTATTACGCTGCGGGTGAGGCAGAATCAGCTACAATTGCCCCATACTCCCCTGCTAACCCCGTGTCTCTTGCTTCCACAGGTCTCCTTCGCCTCCCTATCTCTGAGTTTTGCGAGGATTCCTGGCCTTTCTAAGTGATTCCTTTCCGTGGCCCTGTTTTCGATTACCGCTCACTTCCCGTTTCAAACAACAATGGATGAGCTGCTGTCACTCGTGAAGTAACCGGAGCCTGTGCAGTTGCACCCTGCTTGCTCTAACACTTACTTCCACGCGATAAACAAGACGCCAATTTTCCTCACTCGATAAAGCTGCTCCTGAGCTTTCCACCGTTCTCAAGGGCCTCAACTCTCGAGCGACCAAGCGCACATTATGCCCACCCAAGCCCCACAACGACCAGGCCTCCAAGGCCGCGCTGCCTCCGCACCGGCTGGGGCTCTATTCAAAGCAGTCAATTCGAAGTCGAGAACAGACATGGGAGACAAGGAAGGTCAATTCGTCACGGGAAAAGACGTTGCAAAGAATAGCAGTGAGGTATGTTCTCGCGTCGCAGTGGGAGACATGTGCGGGGATGAGAAGTAGATCAAGTCCTTGTTGACTAACTAACCCTCTATTCTTTGATGCAGATGCCCTCGGTCTTCGATTCCTCGCCCGTGACAATTGCCGTGGTTGGAGGCGACAAAGTCGGCAAATCCACATTTATCAGACGAGCCTTGGAAATGAGATCTGTTCCCTCCTCGCGGGCGACCACCAAGAAGATGGCCATGGACAATTCGGTGTATACCGTTCGATTGCTGGAAATTCATTCGAAAGATGTCGAGTCGGGTAACCAGGGAATTATCGTCTGGCCGTCATTAGCAGATGATCAAGACTCCACGACAGTACATGGAGCTGTTGTCCTCCATGATTTCACTCAGCCCGCAGTCCTGTCTGAGACTTCCCGTCTACTGGGTGAGTTCGTCTTTTATCTTCCTTGGTCTTGTGATGCAAGCCCATCCACAGTTTTTCCTGGACGGAGAGGGGAGACCCCTTGCTGGTTCAACAGCCATGAATCTCCTTGAACTTCGAGCCTTCAACTGTCTCGACCAATTGCTGATTTGTGCCATCTTCATCTGATAGACGCTCTAGCAGTGTCTACGCTACCACATCTTTCAGTTGCCTCGAAGTGCGACATTGATAGCCGAACCGGCGAATCCAATACTATCCTTGGATCCCATGAAATCGTCCGAACCTCGCAAAATTCCTCACAATCTCCAAAGACGTGCATCGCATTCGTATTGCATTCTATAATTGCAAACAGGCAGGGTAAGTTGCATTGTGTAATTTCATTTGCCCGCGCTATCCCCATATCCTCCCTTTCCTGGGCACAATCATACTCCCCTGTGTGGCTGCTATGTATATGCGGTTTACAAACTAGCGCCTTTTTTGATTTTTCGAATGCACGCGTGAAATGGAGCAATGCTAAACCGCGGCCCCCTTATCAAAGGGGGCGATCGTTTGCGTGTCACGCTAGAACTCGGGCGCGGCTATATTAGCGCGTTCAGTTCGCCTGTCATAGCGATCAACACACCTCGGCATTGAACTCCTTTGCAGGAGACAATGAATTTGATGCTTCTGTCTTCCCTTCTAGTTAAACCTATCCACGCGTCAATATCATACTAGTCCCGGCTGTTTCTTTGGACGGTAAAGTTGACCAAACTTCAGCAGGCATATCGGGAGTTCGCTCTCCAGGAAATTCCGCAGCATCACGCAGTGGGCATCACGCCCGCGCAAATTCGGAAGCCCTCCAAACCACATTCAACAGGGCCGCTGGCGGAGAGATAGCTACCTTTAATCGAAAAGTCGATGGGAACGGTGAAAGCCGCAATCCCAACGACCCCTCAAACAGCTCCAACCTGGCTCCATCTCTGGAACAGATTCCCAGATATGATCCGAGTAATTCTAACGCATCGCGGCCGCAAACCCCTCGCTCCCGCGATGGGCTGAATCAGGACCAACAGCCCCCGTCGGAAGGCGCCTCTCCGGATAGAGACCGCAATCGGCAGCATCGGCTTCATACCGCATGGCGTCGTAGTGCAGGTTCCGATATGCTCAGCAGCTTTTTGGATATAGAAGATGACACAAACGAGTCGAAGGATCCACAAGCGAGCTCAAATGGTAACAAGGATAAATCGACGGGAAGTGCCTCGGGTGAAAATAATGACAAGGGACTTACGTTTGACGAGCTCGTCGATCGCCTCGTTGCGCAACCGATGTCGAAGCAAGAGTCGAAATTTGTGTCTGTCTTCTTGTGCCTCTACCGTAAATTTGCAGCACCGGCAACCCTCCTCAATGCACTAATCAGTCGATTCGAAAATAACGAAAAAGAGAACCTCGATCAGCTTACTCTTGTTGCCGCTCAGATGCGACTCCTCAATGTGTTAGCTCAATGGACATCCGAGTACCCGGGGGATTTTGCGTACCCAAAGACCCGTCAACGGATAGCCGACTTCGTTGCTGTTTTGGAAAAAAACCCTTTCTACATGTTTGCAGCTAAAGAGATCGGATCATACGTTGAGACCACCGTTGACGATGACGATGTTGGATGGCCATTTCGAGATGGCGATAATCAGGTTGCAGAGGACTTACCCGGCCTTGAATCATTCTTGGACGACTCAACCTGCAGCACGCCGCCAGCCTTCCTGTCCGGGATCTTAATGCACGACGGCAATACAGGTGAAGAGACAGTTAGCGAGGAAGAGGATACCCTATACAGTCTGAAGGTATCAGAATTAAGCGAGGGGTCCCCAGAAGCATCCAAGGCTTCAAGCGTCGGTCAATCTAACACCACCTTGCATCAATCGTTGACCAGTCTGAGCCTCGAGTCTTCCCAGAAAGGAGTACAGCAACTTGATCTTCGGCCGAAATTCTCATTAAGTAAGGTCCAGTGGCGGCAATTTATGGATATTCCAGATGAAGATTTTGCCCGCGAGCTGACCCGGATCGACTGGGTTATGTACAATTCATTTGGTCCTCGAGACCTTGTTCGGCATGTCGGCATGTCAGGTCCTGAAAGAGAGAAGGTCAAAAGCCTACACAATGTCAGTCGGATGATCAAGCAGTTCAATCACCTGGCCTCTTTCGTGGCCAGTATGATTCTCCTCCGGGACAAACCGAAACACCGAGCGAGGGCATTGGAAAGGTTCATGAGCATTGCTCAAGTAAGCTGACTAGACTAACCCTCGGTCTTATTCATCCAGAGGAACTCTTTTAAACTAATATACTTTTTTCATATAGAAACTACGCCGCCAAAACAACTATAATTCCCTCGGTGCCGTGATCGCTGGTGTAAACGGCACGCCAGTCCATCGGTTAACGCAGACCAAGGAACTCATACCGCCATTGGTACAGAAAGACTTTATGAGGCTGGTCATCCTCATGAGTACACAAAAGAGCCATTTCGCATACCGTCTGGCTTGGGAGAATTCACCGTCTGAGAAGATTCCTTTTCTCCCTCTCCATCGTCGCGATCTGGTATCCGCAGAAGAAGGCAACAAGACCTTCCTCGATGAGAACAAGACTCGAATCAACTGGAGCAAATTCGAGGTTATGGGCGAAGTGGTTCTTGGAATCCAGCGCAGCCAAAAAACACTTTATCCTCACATGAATAAATGTGAAGATGCACTGCAATTGATCCTGGAAACTCAACTTTCGGGTAATGAAGAGGTCAGTATTACATACTCCCTGTTTTGCTTTGGATTTTTTTTACTTGGTGTTATGCAAGGAAGACGGATCTGATTGCTTTTACTTTTAAATCAGGATTTATACGCACGGAGCATACAAGTCGAACCAGCCGCTGGCGGTGACACGACAACACGCAGGAAATTCGGCAACTGGATAAGTCGTAACGTCCTTCCAATATGAGATGACTTGCATAAAATCGTGAAAAGAAGAATCGTTCCCCTCCCCTCTCCTTTTCCCTTTCTTTTTGTTTATATTTTGATAAATCATACATAATGAAAGGCCAAGGATGAAAGAGAGGGAGGGAAAAAAAGGAAAGAGGGAATAACAAACAGCACTCCCCAACCATTGTCATGACTTGATGTATCTGAAGAAAAATATTTTTGTTCTAAAGCGAGGACCTGTGAATTCCCCTGTATGTTAGTCCTGCCGCTTTTGGCATGATCGCTCCTGTACACCGTATCATAATCACCACCGCTCGCTCCTCCTTGAACCTGTCAACTATAAGATTCCATCCTCTTGCTGTTTCAACCTGTCCTCCATTCCAACTCTCTTTCACACCCCAATATTCTGCACTCACACGTGTGATAAGCCTCCGCGGTTTCACATCTCGGCATATCGTCCTCAACGCACCATTTCCTTTTTCATAACCCGCCATTTCCCGTATTTTGGCGGGGAATGCGGCGGTGCCCTGTTTTGTCGTATCCACTTTCCATTTTCTGTTCCCCATTGCCGTTTCCCTTGTTGACCTGCGGTCGAACCGCATCTGTCTCCTACTGCATTAATTGCCTAATGCATCTGCTCTTACCAGATATTTCGCCGGCTTCTACGTGACAGAAGATTCGCCTTTCTGCTCAGTCTGCTAAGGCATCCATCTACTCTTCTTACGACTGCCCTCATCCAGAGAAACGAAGAGAGGCTGATGCTGGTGATCCCTAGCAGCCTCGAAATTGTTGACACCTTGCGCTCGACCTGCAGCCCTTGGCGCTGTCGCCCGCCCTGTCTTAATTCTCACGGCCTAATCGCGTCGATCTCGTGTGCCGTGTATCCGGCTGGACTGCCCATATGAGGAGGAAATCTAGCCTGGGAGAAACAAATCCAATGGCGTAAATGCCTCACCAATGGTTTCGTATTAAGGCTTGGTCCAGCTGTCCTGGATCTCCAAAGTTGATACTTGGGATCCAAAGTGGGTGTTGGTTTAGCATCTGCTGTTGGCTAGATCATCTTCGGCTTTATTGACCTTTGGGCGTTCTAAATATCTCAAGTCTGGCAAGGATCAACTATCAGTTGAGCCAGTAATCTTTCCCTTTCTTTGGACATCGCAATAATCACGATTCTTCCGCCTCGTGATCCCAACGATATGGCTACGACCTCTTCTGTTTTGGTTTCGAACTCAGAAAGAATGATCAACGTCCGGATGCAGTAACAAATCCGTCATGTTAGCACTGTACATGGGACCTATACCAGCTGTCTGGGGACGCTATAATTTCGTCTTCTGCACTGACCCTAAGTGCCACTGAAATCCTGCGGACCGACACCTCTTGCCATGTGTTATGAACGTGACGGGATCAAAGCACTTCCTCTGATATTCCAACGTTGTGCGTATGAGCTTGACACTGCAAAGAACCAGCATCGTGCGAACCGGTCACGCTGGCTCTATCGACTGTCGCCCAGAGCTGGTTAGAGGCTGACCCTTCAGTTCATGGGAAGAGCCTCCAGATCAATGCTATTTTGGCTGTAAAAACATTATTCTGACCAGGAAAATGTTCTTCCATGTCAAGCAGGATTAGTTAAGAAACCAAGAATCTTCATGCGGTAACCGGTATCATAGTGGATAGTGTTATAAAAGATGAATATGCAAATCCGGGTTACTGTGTTAAATGAGGCTTATGTGTTGATTTGGTTTGCCGGGGCGGTTCCACAATCCATCTTGAGACACCGATTTCCTATACTCGACAACAAATTCCTTGATCCTTTTATCAGATATCTTAACGTTCTAGAATTAGACATCCTCAACGTGCAGTCATGTTCTATGCGGTGACGAATGACGACACACGGCCAATCTAGTTACTTGCCTTTCAATTCTCTGAGAATGGATAATACATACGGGGTCAAATCGAGCACAAGAGAACATGAAGGAGTGGGAGCCTGCCTTGCTTCTCAAAAACACGGTAGCAAGCGACAACCGCAGTGATCTATATACGACATTCTGGGCCCAGGATAGGGACAGCATCATCCATAGACATGTCACGCTCTTTGCTGTTAGACAAGCAACAGTGACAGCCACGAATCTGAACATCTGTCCTAACGGACTGTGCCAATAGTCAAACTTAAATATGGCCTCCATGGCATATAACTACGATTTACTAACTGGATAGCTGTGTGTAATACAGTTCACCAATGGGTATATGTGTACCAAGTGGAGGGACACACCAAGGAAGGACTCAATATATAATAACACCGACAGAGTGGACAGAGAAGGGGAATCAGAAAAGGCCAACAAATGGATTCCGGTCCCTTTGAAAGAAAGCGGCCGATTGAATTTATATTTCTGAGATCAGAGTCCTGGTGGCCAGTCAGATAAAATAGACACTCATCTACTCTTATAGTTCGGCTGGAGACGTTTCCCCACTCTGGTCTACGATCGGCTTAGCGTCTTGGCATACACTGTGGGATACCAGACGACTTCCCTATTGGTCATGTTAATTTTATTTCATACTATACCATATAAGGTATGGTTTCATTCTGGCAGCCCATACTCTTTAATCTAATCGTCCTCTCCTTATTCCATCCTCTCCATGTGTCTTAAAAGAATATCTAAGAACAACATATTTCGCAGCCTTCGCTCTCAAAATGGATTTTGACCATCTTGCTGAACAGCAGTCGGATCGTATCTTCAAAGTATGGTTGCAAAACTTGATCAGAAATTCCCCAGAGGAGTTGGCTGGTAAACTTGCTGCCAAACACCGGCAGGGCACACCGGTCTCTGCGTCACAGCCGTTCAACAGTGCCTTCAATATTGTTATCGAGTTACTTACAAGACGGCTATCGCGTTATCGTTCAGTTTGCCGCTCTTGGTCGGGTTACCCTCCGCAATGAGAAGGTTGAGAATGAGGTGTCACAATGGATTACCTTGCTCAGCATACGACGATACCTGTTCCCAGGGTATTAGGCCACGGAAAATGTGCAATCGGTCCCTATATTGTCATGACGTTCGTTGAAGGAAATCCATTATCTGAATACCTACGGGACCCAAAGCAAGAAATGACTTGTCTGAATCCCCAGATTCCTATGTCCCTTTTGAAGAAGGCCTATTCCGGTATGGCAGAGATCATGCTTGAACTGTCAAAATTGACCTTTCCTTATATTGGCGCGCTAGAGCGGGACGATGCAGGCACATGGGGTATACAGAAGAGACCTCTCACTTTCAACATGAATCGACTTACCCAATTCTCCAATATTCCGCCTGGAGTGTTTGCAAAAAAACGCTTCACCAATGCAGCCGACTATTTTGAAGAACTCGCAAAACAACATCTCTACCACCTTTCCGTTTCAACGGAATGACGCAGTTATTGATGCAGCCTATTGCCGCAAGAAATATGTGGCTCGCTGTCTTTCCATCAAGATTGCACGAGAAGTATCCCAAAAACATTGCAAGGGGCCTTTCAGACTCTTTGCGATGATTTTCGTCCGGAGAATATATTTGTGCACCCCACCCAACCTGTTGTCACCGGAGTAATCGATTGGGAATTTACATACGCTGCGCCCGTCGAGTTTTCGTATGTTGCACCATGGTGGTTATTACTGGAGCGCCCAGAGGAATGGGACCTTGGCAGCTTTTTGGCGCGATATATCCCCAAACTTCGGGTCTTTCTTGAGGTTCTTCGGGATACTGAGAATAAAAGGATCCAGAATCGTTCATTGACCGCATCGCAGCGTCTGTCAGACTGAATGGAAGCCTCGGTGAAAAATGGATTGTTTTGGATGTGTATTGCCTTGAGACATAGCTCTATGTTTGATGAGATCTACTGGTCCTTCATAGATCCAATGCACCATGGGTCTTTCACTTCAATTGAGGATCGCTTATGTCTCTTGAGTGAAGAAGAGCGAATGAATATCGACAATTTTATTCAGAAAAAAATGCAGCAGGCAAGCGAGAGAAACCTGACTAACAACTTCAGCCTTGATGAACTTGTTGATCTCTTTGGATCTTGATCCTGCTTGGCGATCTGATAGCTTATGTCTGCCAAACAGAACAGTACATCACTCTTCCATCCTTTCCCCAATTAATTCTTTCTCTTCCGAAGACTTGCCTTCGCCGCCTGGGACATAAGCTCCTTCTCGACGGCGGACAAGTTGTCAATCGCGTCCTTCGTCTCCATCGCATCCTTGAGGGCTTTTTTTAGCTATTCACCCTGTTCCGCAGAAGGTACAGCTCCCTTTGCTACTCCGATAGGAATTTCGCCGCTCGATGCTCTTTTAACAAAGTCGGGTGCGTCATCAGCGGGGACATGGTTCTGATAATAACTGAGGATAATGCGAAGCTATCTCGAGCTCTCGCAGCTCCAGAGCTGTTGTCTTGGCCGCTCATGACTCCAAAGGAGGTTCTGTTGCAATAGACAGTGAGCTTTATCGACAGTGGGACAGTTCTTTCCACTACGGGGGCAACGTGTGAGGGACTGACGCTCCCTTTCGCTCCCTAATTCGTCGACTGTCAGTCACTATGCAGCCCAGCCAACTAATACTAACCTAGGACTCGGAAGTTCTCTTATAAGGAGAACTGTCGGCTGCTAATTCTAGTGGTGTTCTTGCGTTAGCATCGCCAAATAGCTAGCCAACCAACGTGATGTAGCTGAAGATGGGAAAGCGATACGCCGTCATCCCCGGAAACGGCAGAGATAAGGGTCCCAGCCGAAGAGGAGTGATCAATAGTTAAGCACAGACAGATGTCCATCACCAGTGGGGGAACAAAAGGCCAACCTAGGAAACAGGACAATAAATCTCCACTTCAGAGAATGCCCCACCTCAAAAAGATCGTAATCCACAACCTCATTTCTGTTATTGCCATTAAGAGTAGGAGCAAAGGAGTCTTTTCAGGGGGGTTAGAACGGGTATTCTGCGTCCCAGGATTGTTGGCTGGTCAATTCCCGGAACCCAGACTGGTTCCGAACATAGCCCTGAACTTGAATGGTCGTCCTATTAACTTATGAAGTACTGAAGTGCATTATTTGTTTTTGGGAGGATGGAGGGGGGGCTAGTACAGTCCTTGGACTCACATTTCATCGAGTTGCCAGTCACTCTGATCATCTTATACGATAAGACCTTTTCATTGAATCATAAAGTCGTTGGCAGCCTCCTGTGAGAGTCGCCCATAAATATAATTCTAAATTAGAAAGTATTACGTCGTAGCTCAACATAGGTAAGATTCCGCGTGAAAACATTAGCAAAGAACTTTCTAGAAGGAGCCAGTAGACTGATTCATGAATAGTGATGATTTGCCAAGCCTAATGCTAGGCGCTTCTCGTTGGAAATTTCCAACGAGAAGCTGAAGGTGGGATAACCGGTGTTATTAAGCAAGTTTTCTGATGCGATCTATGTATTCAAGGATACAAACAGCAATTTCCTTCTCAACCACAATGAGTGCTGCCTTGCAGGCCCCCGAGCGACCATCAAAACGGCTCCCAACTATGGAAACAACCCTAAACACTGCAGATGAGCTGGAGAGGCTCCTTCAAAAAGATGGATTTGCGATTTACCGCTGCACATATCGAAATAACTCCGTCTGGGAGAAGTTCATGACTTACTTTCTCTACCATATTAAACATTTCCCTTGAGTCCTATAATAGTCTAGATTTAGATGGCTTTGCTCCAACACTCTGTAGATCCCTCTTTTAATGGTGTGAAACCACTGTTCTCCGTGACCATTTTAAATAATGGCCGCAGCTGCATCACAGCAAGAGCAGGGTATCTCATCTGACAAGGTATGTTTTGCATGGTCAGGCCGGTATCGATTCTTTATTATAGTGGACCGGGGTGCCTTGGAATCAGTCTTGAACCTACCAGATCAGAGGAGCGGGATGGGGATGAATTATTTGCACATGGGGGACTTCCACCAGAGCATGATACTCTGGAGGGATGTACTCCGGAAGATGTTGGCTGGATGAAAGTGCTCTATAATGAGGTGGAGACGTTGGGGTTTGTGAACATGCATGATAATTTGGCATTACCACCGTCCTCCAGTGATTCAGAACTTGTAATGGTTTGATATCTAGGGAGAGAGGGAAAAAAATAACATTAAAACCACATGATCCCGGCCACCAAGCCTATTATGATGGCCATGTAACTGCCTCGTATGTCATCCGGATTGCCGTAGTTGTTTTCATCGCCATTCGTCCGCTCGGAGATCATTAGGTGGTGGTGTTTCTCCGAAGATAGAGTTGATATGTTGTTGAAGGACCGCGGAGCAATAGAAGGGTAAAGGGATCTAGTATTATCATTATTATTATTGTTGTTGTTGTTGTTATCATCATTACGGCCATCACCGTCGTTCGATTGTCGAGAGGCATTATTCGATTGCGAGTCGGAATCAGGGCCGACCTTGGCCTGACTTTTCAATTCCGTTTGGGATGAGGGATACCCGGCGCGTGGAAATACCGATTCCTTCCTGGAACGGGACCCGGTAATTGGAAAGGGAAACGATAACGATAACCCTCTTACTCGACGGTACAGAAGCATCCCGGTTTGACAGGCCTGCTGCCATGCTTCACTGAGACGGGTAGATACCCCAGTTTGTCTTGCACCTGTGCTTGTCGTCCCTCGTTCTGGTGGCTTCGTCAGAAACCCATTAACGTGCGATTCTTCGCTAAATCCATCGTTATTATTATTAAAGGAGGTTGTTGTGTGAGAGGGGGCCGCGAAGAGGCGAGAGGGAGTAGTAGTAGCGGCTTCCATTGACGCAGTCCTTGAAAAAGAAGAAGAGAATTGGGAATCGTCGAGCCTTCGGACGAGGAACGTTTTCAACGCCCGAACCCCCTTCATGAGTGCCGTAGTTGTCTTGGGGTAAGTATGTGATGTATCATTTTGCTTTTCGTTAGAAGCCGGCGCGAGGCCAAACGAGGATCTGGAAAGCGTATCTGTCACAGCTATCGGCGGACGAGTATTCACATTCGAACCTTCCAACGGCGATACACGATTCGGATTCGGACCAGGATCGTAAAAGGGACCAATTATTGACCATCGCCTGTTGGATAAGACACGAACCGCCGCCCGTGATCTTGGGATAGCTTCGACCGATTCATCTTCGACAAGGGAGAATTCTGCATCGGAGGAACCTTCCATTAGCACCATGTCCAATTTTTTGATGGTTAAGGAGGAAAAAACAAAGGAAGAGAAATTTCCCACATACGTCGAACCCGATCGCGATAATAGCCAACATCACCCGGTTTTGGATTATGGAAATCCCACTGCCTCTGAAAGGACGGCACGACGCTGAACAACGAGAAGAAGATGACGAGCGCGAGGAAGGGGATCGTTACGCCGGAGATGTGCAGTCCGGACCGCATTGTCCACGCTTCTACGAGCGTTGCCAACGCGGTTCCAGACAGGACGTGCTGCTGCGGAACTGACGGGACAGTTGACGACGACGACTGGCAATGCTCGACGGGCGGAAAGGGAGGAGAACGTTTGGCAGTGGGAGGACACGCAGCGACAACGACGGCAACATCCGTGCCATGGGAGACAGTGATTCTGGGGAAGCCGTAGTCGTAGGCCTGTAGATGGTAAATTGTAAGGAGTAATAATAAATAGATGCGGGCTGTTTTAGCGTTGTTCGTGCTTTTAATTTGAGAGTTTCGCACTCTTTCTCGAATCAAGCAACGAGATCAAAATGACGAAATAATTATATATTAAGCTTCTGCGGAGGCGGCCACAGCCGTTGCAGTCTCTCTTGCCCAAGAAAAGAAGAACAAGGAATAGCAAGTCAAGGGTGGTTGAAGGTGGAAACACAATATGAATACCGACAACGGTGAAGACTGAAGAGGGAAGAAGTGGCGCAGCAACAGCAGTATCACCAGGCAACGATTCTTCTATTCAAAGAACGCCGAAGTTGAAGATCTTCAGATCAGCATAAGCGACAGGAAGAAACACGCGTGTTTGCGAATCTCAGTGGATAACGTCGACGGTGAGGGTCAAACGCTAATGTACCACTCAGCCTGCAAGCAGTCTTATTCGGATGCTTAGAGTTTGATGTACACATGCTTTCTATCCATTCTATCAATTGCAAGTTTTACACATTCCCTGCCCACCATCATACACACTCGGATTATGTACAACCGTTATACAGGTAAAAAGTATGTGACCACATGGATGCCAAGCCCAGCTGCCTGCAAAGAATGGAACAGAACTCGCAGAGTAAATCCAATATGCGCAAGGGGGTATATTCAGCGTAAGCTCATCCATCATGCTTGTAACTTGTATATAGTGCCATCATTATCATATGGGATTCACCATCTTGGGACTCGGTACGGCAGGGACGCTGCCGCTTGTCGCCGGTCCTGACATCCCGACGGGCGACTTTTTCTCCACGGTGCTCTTCGCGGGAAGCATAGGTGGGGTCGCAGCAGCTGTCATTTCAGACTGTTTAGCTGACGGACTTGGACCGCTGCCGTTAATCGATCCATCACTGCCAACCGCACTGCTCTGGCCGGCACTGTTCTCCCTTTCTCCTCGCTTGATCATTTTGCCCAGAATGCGTACAATCTCGGCTGCGTCCTCGAAGCTCTCATCATCCATACCTTCCTGTGCATTGTATACGTCTGCAATGGCTTGCTTTGCCACGCGCCGGCTAGCACCCGGGTCGTGGAGACAGTCATGGAGATATGCAGCGTACTCGAGCTTGACGGAGAGACGGATCGGATGCGAACCGGGAAGCAACTTGTCGGCTAAGGCTGCGGAATGGTTGAAGCACGCGGTGGCGGTAGTGGTATAGTCTATCGCAGGAAGCAGAAACGAAGATGCTGGCTTTGGCGGTTGGACCGGTGCCAGGCCCGGTGGATGGCGCGAGGCGCTCTGCGCCGGCAAAGAGGTCTCTCTAGTTTCTCTAGGCGTCGACGTCTCCTCGGGTTTCGAAGACTTGGATCCCTTCTCTTTTAAAGAAGCTTTGGGGCCTGCATTCCCATCGCCTTCCTGTAAGGAGACATTACCGGGGATGCTGACGATTCCTGGAGAATGAATGGCAGGCTGGTTGTGGAAAAGGACAAAAATGTGGTAAAACGAGGCCCTCAGTTTGTACGCCAAAACCTTGAGCTCCACATATCTTTCCACCATCGGAAGCACATACTGCTCCAGTATCAAAAGACCTTCACGAGACAGCCATATTATGTGGTGGTACAACTGGAGAGACTTTGTTTCGCGGGTAGGATCTAGTCGTCGGAGTCTTCGCGCGCGCAGGAGCTTCCCCGACAACATGACAGAGAGACCCAGGACCCTGTATAGCATCGCAGAGAGAAAGGGGTCATCATAATTGATGGTAGCGGCAAAATTGCCAAGGACCTTGAGGTCAACTTCCGAGGAGGCCATCCACAACACCAGAGAGCCAGTATCTATGATACGGGGGGGGATAAGTAAGTCATCCATATTCGTAGAGCTGTCCATGGAGGAAACAAAATACGATTCACGGGAACTCCAAACAAGATCGCGTCGGGCGAGCACAGAAGGGTTGGAAGTAGAGCAAAGGAACGAGGAAAGGCCAGTGTATATATAATTATGTTGAGCAATTGATGAAGCAGAACAAACACCGTGACCAGTTGGCTTACCTCACACAAACGGAGACCAAGGCCGATTGCAATATCTCGAGACAAGCGTTGTCAAATGCTGCAACTTCCCATCTCAAACCGAGCGCCTAGGTTTCAGAATTGGTTGACGAATGGAATAACGACCGACACAGACAGTTATTGGTGACACCACCAGAGCTAGGGTTTCGGATTCTGAACACCCTTTTCACTCCTTTCCTTCGGTCTTCCTGTGGTACTTTTCGATAGCAAACGGCCCTTGAAGAGTAATGCACCTATCAAAGTTGACGGATCAAAAGAGCCGAGCTGAGTGGTGAACAACGTCCACAGAATAAGCGACAGAGAGAAGATGAATATTAGCAATGATGGAAAGAGCGAGGCGAAACCGTGACTGCAAGAAACGAAAGTAGTATATAGTCTCGAAGCATCATCGATGATCGTATGCCAGTTGGATATGCGGTAAGGCGTAAATCTGCCTCTTGCCAGCTCACCGCTGGGCTGCAACGTCAATCAGTCAAATTGCCAGCCAGTCGTTTTGGAGACTCCCCAGTAAGCGGAAGCGAAAATAAATAGATAGAAAGAAAGAAAGAAAGAAAGAAAAAGACAGACTGGGGAAGAGAAGGAGAGAAAGAAAAAGAAGAGAGAAGAAAAAAAAAAAAAAAAAAAAACGCATTTGCCTGTCTGGAACAATGGCTCAAGGAAATGCTCTAACGAACCCCTTACTGCTGTAAACTTAGGAGTAAGTCGTGATCTCTATCAGCAGCCAGCCACAAGGCGATGTACTGCTAGTAGTATGTAGTACCGACACCAGCGCGGTGCTAAGACACTGCCGTGCGCATCAGATAGATATCATACAGCGTCCTACAGCTGTGCAGCGTACATTTCTCGGTTCATTCCAGGCCAAAACTAGGGAGTAAATCGGGCGTCCAATGGAGCCGTACAGCGTATCTGTGCGGCCTAAAAGAAGAGTAATAAGCAGGTTGGAAAGCCCATAGGCAAATGTTGAGCCGTCCTGCAGGTGCGGGCCGTATACTTTTCTTACTGACGTGTCCAGGCCGGAAACGCTTCCAAGGGATCCCATGGGGTAATTCGAGGTCGCGGTGCATTTAGAACCGCTGGAAATAATCCTGGAGAGAACAAGAGATAGAATGACATTGATAGAGATGGTGTTCCCCATGCAGTTGCTGTTTTCCAGCAGAGATGTCCCTATAACGTATTTCACTAGCAAGCCGCCACCACAAACGAGCCGCCAATTCCGCTCAAACTCCTGTCCATGGGCTAAATACTAAAGGCTTTATCAACCAAACAATCGTATTTCTATATAAAAATCAATTACTAAGTGGTTTAGGACATCTAACTCTAGTATGTCCCTGAACATGACAATTAGAACACTGCGGTGGCGCCTGTACATGTGGCCCAACTGAAGAAAGCGTTGGATCTATAAGGATAGTATCCTGAGCTTCCTGAACCTCATTCTTGCGCTGAAATTGCTCTAGGCCCTCCTGGAGAGATGAGCCCCCTGCAATAGCTAGCTGTATTAGATTTCTTCCACTTTTGGCCTTCCCATTCATTATTAGCGCGATGTTTGCGTATTTCTTCCTTCACAAGAACAAGCTCATTAAGAGTCAATTCATGACCTTTAATAATCTTGTCTAATCGCGCTCCTAGCAAAGGTAAAGGATTTTGAGTGTATTCCCTAAGCAGTTTCCTTGCTGCAAATGCTTGCTTCTCCAGCTGTCTAGTAGTATAGGGTGTTTTAGGCACTGAATTGGTTGACTGACTGCCTGGTGGTGTAGGGAGTCTTTAGTCAGACATCCAACTTGCTAGGCATCTATCTGAATTAAATAGGACTAGACTAGTAGCTGTAAAGCTACTCTGGATAATCTCTGCTGTAAAAGCACTTTTGTTGTCAGGGCCCTTGCCATGTAGACCAGGACGAGCACGTGAGCTTCCTTACTTGGATTAGCGTGGCGCGTGGATAGGAGTACGTCGTCCAGCTTCACGTAGATCTCTTCCTTTTTTCCTTCCTCTTCATGCTTGAAGTTCTCGTCGATAGCTGCCTAGATAGCTGAATAGCATCCTATTCATCGTCTAGTTGAGTTCCGTGACATTTGTGAGCTTTTGGAAAGATATCTAAGAAATCAAGCTTATCAATATGGCTGATACCTAAGCACATTTTCTGCTGCACTAACTCACCATACATGCTTTTTAGAGACTGAAAACAGCCTACATCTAAAGGCTGGAGGTTGTTGGAAGAATGTGCAGGCATGCAGATAGGAATAATATTATTCTCACTGTATATCTAATTGAATTGAGGTATGAGATAGCTGCTATGGCTGTCTATAACTAGGAGGCAGTATTTCCCAGTTGTACAGCTAGTAGTAGTAGGAATAAAGAGATTTTTAAGTTAGTAAAGGCCTATCTTATTAGTAGTCCATCTATTAGGACTAACTTCAATCCTGCTATCCAATGGGTGTGCTGGGGGCACTGCGAAATCACCGATCTCCCATATTTCCTATCGTAGAACGCGTGGCTCTACGGCGTTATATATAATTCCTTTTCTTAAAATATCTAGTACATGCGACCATAGGGTGTGGAAAACAGGGCTTCCCGTCCGCTCAGCCGTACTTAAGCCACACGCCGGCCGGTTAGTAGTTGGGTGGGTGACCACCAGCGAATCCCGGCTGTTGCATGTTTTATTTTTTTATTGTTATTTCATCCACAGGACCTACCTAGTATTACATCAAGGTGTGCCGGGGGCACTGCGAAATCCCGGTTCTCCCATATTTCCTATCGTAGAACGCCGTAGAGTCGCGGTCTCCGACATACTAATGTATGGTGGAGCCCGCGGCCGGAGAGGACTTAATGGAGGGTTTCCTCCCAGATAGTTACGAGAAATTGAGCATTCTTTTGGTTTCTAGGTTGCTTCGCTGGTATCGTCATCATCGTATAGAACGGAGCGAGGCTCCTTCGTCGTTGTGTTTCTTCTTTTATTATATCGTTTCCTTATTAGATCGTTCAGTGTGTCCATCCCTGAGATCCCTCGATCACAACCCGGCTCCTGTCGCAGGGAACAACGCACGTACGCCCCCCTTTACATGGGAGTATTGGATCTTGATACCAGCCCTCTATATAGACCTTCCCTTTAAAGATAGTGCATGGAGGAAGCGCCCAACCAGTAGAGTTGATACACTCAATCAAAGTAACCCATTCCTGATTGCCTGGCTGTATGAGACATGCTTTTCCATAATAATTAGCTTTAGTAGTCACTCAGGCAGTAGCTACTAGGCCCATAGTGAAGCCAGTCTCATCAAAATTGTAGATATCCTCTAATGTAAAAGGTTCCCATAAAAATAAATACCCCAAGAATGATAGGTAAAAGACCAGAAAATTGCCTGCTTAATACAGCCACAAGAATAACCAGAACAACCGTTATACATGCAATCCCAACCCAAATATAGATATGAATATGAGCATGCAAAGAATGGGTAGCCGGAAAGAAAGTCATTGATCCAGCTGGTCATCAATCTCGTTCGCGTCTAAAAATCCCACAAAGGCTCGTTCCAGAAATTTTATCCACACCCTGTTCTTCTTCTTCTTCTTCTTCTTCTTCTTCTTGTTCTTCCTGCCCCCCTTCTTCTGTTCATGTACATCGTTATCGTCGTCATCACCATTATGTATATCATCATCCAGTCTGCGATTCCCCTCCAATGACTGATCCCGCTCAGTCGAAGGAGAATCGGAATAATCACAAAAAGAGGATGATAACGAGCCCATATTTTTCGTTTCGGGGTCTTCTTTCGCAATCCAGGATGCAAGTCTGAAGAAATTTCGCACTGTGAGATCCTGCAGTCTGTAGACGTCGTCCACTTTCGTGTCGTACTCGACTTCAAATTCGAGAGGATAGTGGGCATTATCATGTCCATAACCTTTCTCATTTGCTGACAACTCTCCTAGGTTGGCTATCTTGTCATTTATCTTGGTTATATTCGCATAATATTGAGTATAGCTGAGCCACGTTAAGGGCTGGTTGGAGTATGCCGGACCTGGAGGAGCCGTCGACGATGGTGGACGTGGCACTTTAAACCGGGGCTTCTTTTTCTTGTTGTCCTTGTTCTTCTTCTTTTTGTCGGCTTCTTCTCCCAGGGACGGTTTGCGTTCTATATATGACTCGGTGTTGGAATCTTCAACCTGCCGGGAATGCAATTCGCGGCTCCATTTAAGATCAACTAAAGTATCAGCCCGGATAGCTGAGCTCTGTAGGCCTGTAATGTTGTACTCGACTACCCGCAGCGTTGGGTAGAAATTTGGGACAACGCTAGGGGCTACAAGCGACACACTATATCGCTCGGCCCAAGGCCCGCCGATCTTCTTCAAAAATCGCCTTTTTTTCTTCGACTTTTGAGCATCTGGTGAATGGTTGCCATCATCTGTAGTAGGATCCGTGGCAGACCAGTCGCCAACAGAGTCATCGTCAAACAGGGGATCGCACGGCGGAGATGGTAACTTGGACCATTGCTCTCTAAGGCTGGCTAGATAGGTCGATTGAGACCTGGCTGAAAGCTCTTTGGATGATTGCTCATCGTCATCGGAGAATGCGTTATCCAGATCCAAATCCGCAATTTTGATCTTGTGGCTGTCCTGCATCATGAAGTGGTCGATATTCATGTGACCATAGAGACTTCCAACAATAATATCACGATACTGATACTTCCACAAGGCATACTTCTGCCAGCAAGACTCTTCCCAATTACGCTTGGAACCCGATCTAGCTGGAGGAACATGACCTATTAGGATGGCCTTCATCTTGCGCTCGCGCAGAAGTTGGAGCTGTACACGCAGCCAGTCCATCTGTTCGTAGCCCGGTTCCGACGGCGATTCACACCCGTCGACGGCATGGTTCGAGTCATAAAAGTACATTGTGTTCAGGCTGATGACCACCAGTTTGCCGGGAATAACCTCCGAAGTAAACCATCCACCCTGGATGAATGTGTGACGTTGTTCTTCGGGTATGAACTTCTTCCAGATGTCGAGGAACTTCTTTGTCCATTCGTTGGGACCAGCTTTGAGAATGTTATGCGGCATAATATCATTGTTCCCAATCGTAGGGACAACGGGAATCGAGGGACTGCGACGGCGCTGCTTGTCGAACACATCCACAAATTTTCCGGCAACAAACTCGTTAAGCGACGCGATCTCCGCCACGGTGCGGGGGATCTTTTCGTCGTTGTCATGACGCGCAGAATCGCCAGTCCAGACCACGAAGTCGATGTTATCTCTCAAGTTCTCGTCTACCCATCGGAAGGTTTCGTTGATTAGGGAAAATGGCGCATCACAGTCTGACCCTGCCAATCCATAATACCCCGACGGTCCCTTCCCTCGGTGACATGCACTGTCCGTCGTCGATCCTAATTTGTAATGCGAATCTGGGTGAAGATCTGTTCCGGTTAGAAAGCGGAAGAGCTGCGAAAATGGTACCTAAATATGGCGGGTGCGCCATACCTGTTATATGCAAGAAACGGCCGGTTAAACCACTGAAGTGAGATTCTATGTGGTCTCCGACATTGTGGAGGTTCGGTTTGGATTCAAGAAAGTCATTATTGCCCAATGGCCGTTGCTCCTTTACAGGAACGGCGAAGGCGCCGGTGATGGGAAGCAAAAGGCCGCGGAGAAACCAGAGCCACAGCATGAGTGCTTTGAGCGTGCAGGACCTCCCGACAAGGCGGGAGATGGATCTATTTTATTAGTCAAATGCCGACCATGAAGGCGAAGAAGACAATGATGATGTACAAGGCCCGAGAAGACACAGAACACAGTGGGCGAAACAAACGAGAGAAAAGACGAATTGAAGGACCCTGCTGGACACGCAACGTCATTACTCACCAAATTTTCCAGACTATTTATGACTCGGCACGCGTCCCCGCCCAATCAGAAGAACGGGATTCCCCTTGCAACGGCAGCAGATTCCGTGGGCGAATTCCCGCCTTGGACGAGTGGAAGGACGATGGTGCAGAGGAGAGAGTCGACATCTGGGCATCTTCTCTGGGTCTTTTGTAGGAGTAGTAAGGGGTGATTGATGCACACGACACAACCCTTTCGGGTAATCGGACAAGCAGCGAGAGAAAGCGAGCAACAGACCCACGTGGGCTATTTAACATTTCTTGCGCGCGGACTTGGACATCAAGCCGAGTACCTGGGTAGTAGACAGCGCAGTGAGGCTGGTGAGGCTGTCCAACGGTCAGAAATAGATGGATTAGATGAGATCCCATGATAGTGCGCTTTAGACTCACCCCGTCAGCTGGACTGGAGGCTTTTCTCTATGCGGTAGTTAATAGCCTCGACCTCAACATCTGGTTCTGCAGCACCAGACAAGGCGCGTAGTCTCGTATCGAACCAGATCAACTGGGGATCCGGTGTAGAGAATGAGTCCAACAACGGTGGTAGAAATGGTGGGGCCGGCCTGCTGGGATTGTGTGACAGATATGATGAGATGATGCTGCACTCCTCAGTCACCCCTCAACAACGGTTATGAATCAACCTGAACCGACTCTTTGTATTCTTTCCTCTCAGACTCTTACCACTGTCGTACAGACAGATCACGATCGTCAGCTGCTGTGTCTAACTAGTAACAACAACAAACCATAACCATGTCTGGATTCCCCTCTCTGCAGCCGGCCTTTACTGTCCAGGTGGGGTTCCTCAAGCACCTGTTCCCAGCAGCCATATCAGCACGATCCAAAACTGACCGCCCCCTTCCATTGTGCAGGTCGCCATCGATGCTCCCTTCGCGGTTGGTACGTGATTTACTAAGAGCACCAAGGACATCTCACATTGTAGAGTCAACTGAACTGACTGCGTCATGTACCAACTCAAGGCAGTGCTTCCCGGGGCACAAGCTTGCAGGTTGTCGTACGTCTCCCTCTCCATAACGGAGAATTATCCCCTTATGGTTTCAGGAGTAGAAACCATTTACTGAGCAAGAGTATATAGCCTATGACCGGGGGCACTCTCAAGACCGCTCCTGGCTATTCCCTTAACATCGACTCGGAATTCGTGGGAGTCGGCAACGACTATATCAAAGCAGATGGAGATGGCGAGCACGTCCGCTTGAATGCTCATGGGGTTCTCAAGTAAGTCACCTTCGACTGAAAGTCCTTCCTGATCATCGAGACTGACATACGACCACCACCTTAGGACCCATGACGGAGCGGTATGTTCTTCCCCATCATCTCCAAAATAGAGGAGCATGACCGCAGCTAACAGATCATCCCCCACACGCATATAGCTGCTCTACCTTAGCTACACTGGTGTTGTCGCTCTGGGACCGGCTGAAAAGGCCGTCTTTAGCGGCACTGCCGAAAATGGTGCAACTGCCTATGGCAATTCCTGTATGTGAACCGATCCAAGATGAATGAAAACATGAAGAATACTCTGCTGACGGCAATACTGCAGTCACCCATTTCGTCTTCGAGGTAAGAACCGTGCAAGAAAATCGCTTTCCTAGTTAACATGGTCGCATTTCTAACGCAATGAAAATGCAGACTGGCGATCAACGATACAAGGCGCTCGAGAATAGCGTCTTCGTTGGGCAGGGGCACTTCATCACTGAGAAGGGCAAGCCGACTATTGTTGAGTACACGGTTAGCCAGGTCATCAAGGGTTGATATGTCTCATTTCAAAGATTGGCTAGCTTAAATATACATATATCAAAGAAAGCAAAGCACCACTGCTCATTGCAAGAAACACAGTACGATTACTTAAAAGAACCATGCAACTCTTAATTAAAGGCACATAAATCATACTCATGTTAAAGCCTACCCCAACAACGGCCTTCTCTCCCCATCATTCTCACCACTCCCACCCCTCCCCCCCACCGTCGATAATCCACAAAAACAAGCCAACCAGGATAATAAACTCCAGGTCTCACAGAATCCGGATATCCCCTCCTTATCCTACTCCTCCGTACACATATCCCAATCCCAACAATCAACCAGATCACACCAATAGCCGCCAACGTCCCGGCAATGGAAACCAGAGCCGTGAAGAATGTAATCGTGCTAACCTGGCATCCGAAGGGGTGTGACCGGAGTTCCCAGATCTCTTTGGATCCGAGGGGACAGACTTGCGGCGAGGTTATTGGTGCGAGGATAGGGAATCTGGATGGATTGGGGACGCAGGTTGAGGACTGGTTTCGGTTGGTTGGTTAGTTCGTGTGCTTGACTTGGGTCGAATGATAATAAGAGGAAAAAGGAAGCTTTGATTATATAGAAGAATACTTAAACATACAATCGGACACCAACTACATGGCTCGGTGCCTTCCATGCATTCCCCGCATGACTGTCTCCGCCAGCACGTTCGCAAGAGGGGATCGTCCATACCAGGTATTCCCTCGAGGGAGGAAGTAATATTATCATTGTTCATTTTGATGGTTTTTGATCCTGTTGTCTATAGTATCGATGATATGAGACTGTAAATCAGATACGCCGTAGGTAACGCTTAAGTATGTACCTAGGTGGTAGGTTTTGCCCCGCCCTCGTAGTAGATACAGCGTGTTCAGCTGTACGATATTCTGCTCGGAATATTTTAATGTGGAACTATTAATTAGCTAGATGTCTCGCATGTGATAATGTTGAGGTTGGTAATGGATGTCTTGATATTTCGGGTGAAATGGGAATCAGGTTCGATTTGACATAAGGCTACTTATACTTAGTGCCTAGGCATCTTTCTGCTTACGATCTATCTATTATTATTGTTGCCATGCAACCGTATGGAAGTAGAAATTTTGTCAATAATCATCAACTAGTTCACATAATACATCCCTCTGGAACAAGAGTTTCCATTATCTCGCGCCAGAACGCAAATGCAAGAAAGAAATGTAACTTATGCAACGAACTGTAGTCATTCATTGTTGGAAGCGTAAGGCCAGGCATTAGCAGCCTCGAAAAGAAAAATGGAGATTAGACAACTCGCTTGACCTGTGCATTTCCCAAATTATCAGTTTGGTTCGAATAGTCAGATTTGCTAACAGAATACGGACCTCGAAGAATCTCTTCAGCCACCAGACTTGGAAAATACCCTCCCCGATAAGCACGGCCAGTTGGAAGATACTCCACCATTTCACCCTAGCGTTGGTGCTCTCTGCGGTGTTCCTGTGTACGCGTTCCCGGACAATGATGTACGATTGCTCATCCTTGACTTGAGCCAAGGCCTCCGAAAGTCGACGAACTGGTACGCGAACGTGCGGTCAGCCTACACGAAAGCCCCCAAAGCAAAGCCACGCGTCAATAATATGCCTCCATACCTTCTGTTTCCAAAGGATCCTGCGACAATTCCGATTCCGGAACGTACATGATGCCGTGAACGTTGAAAGAGACCTCCTTGGTGCTCGATGTCCAACCTTCGTTGCTGAAGCAGTAAACGTATTTCCCGTCCGTATGTGCGACAAAGGAATAATCTTCTGTGGAAGTGGCTTGCTTATAATACTGGCGATTTCTGAGGGGATCTTCGACCTAAAGGAGGAAGTAAGAGTTAGCGTTCAATTACCAGAACGGCGTCTTCAGTTTCCAGGAAGTGCAAAAAGGTTATACCCAAAAATCAATCTCCAAGTTCCCACTACCTCCGAACTCTCTGTCGCCAACCTGGAAAGAGACAGTCATCTTGTCGTCGCGATGCAGCGTTTCATGGAAGCATTCTCGCGAATGTGCTTTGAGCTGGATGTTGTGAGCCACGGCGGTCGTCATCCATCCCAGTGCGGTGACCAGCAAGGCTGGTGTAAAGAATCGCATATTGCAGGATTTCTTTGCTGCAGCCGCACCCGAAGGATACTTTGGGTTGAGTTGACAAAAACAGGCTGAAGGAAAGGGAGCTGGGGGTTTAGACTGGGCAAGCTGATCGTCAAACCAACAACGGTGTCCGGACTCCTTTTGCGGAAATCATAGGCGCTCGGACCATCTAAATATGACCTTCAGAGATGCTTAGGGCTCTATTTCAAGATATATCAGCTTCTATCATATATCTTTCCAGAATTGCTAATAAACGTACAGTTAATTCGAGTCTAAAGTCTGCAGAATCATAGTACGTCATGACTATCTGCATTAACACGCCATTAATGTGCCATATGGGGATTGTCCATGGCTGTTACAAGGAACTTTGAACTTATCGTGCAGCAGACTAATATCCCTTTGCACACCTATTCATGATTGATCTGTAAGATGTAATCATCCCTATAGCGGCCCTAGTTATGCTCGAAGGGTCCTGGATACTCAAAGAGATGTTGCCATTCCATCACCATACTATCTACAACCCCTGCCCCAATCTCTAGGTTCATCAAGGACTTTTCAACTGAGCTGTTTTTCTCATTAGGACAGTCGAAAGAACCAAATCTAAAAGTAGTAATCATGCGAACTTTTTGGATAGGTAATAGATATTATAAGATCAAATATTCGGATATCCTACCTGGAGAAAGACGCCTCGCAAAACGAAGTTCACGTCTACTGGCTTACAGGTGATATCTTCTTGCATCAATCCTAGCTTATCTAGGATCCTTCTTACCAATATCTAAGTTTCAGCGAGCTGATGACATATTCTTTACGGCGTGTGAAGAAGTCCTCAAGGGTGATATCCCACTAGTGCTATTTGAGAGTACGCGATCTGCCCATGAGTGTACTCCCTAAAAGCTGCTCATTTAGAATCGATCTACTACTAGACCAATTTCCGAGAATATAAGCATGATGATGGATAGCTTCACGTTGGCTCTTCACAGCTAGCGGAAATCGATCTTCCTGGCCCGACGATGATGACAGGCTCCTTGGCGATTGCTCTCTTACTATATGTCATGGAATTGGGTCTCTATAATCATGGACATGAACTGATCCCAGAACTAGAGGAGTGCTGGGAGGATATTGAGAACGACGAGCATAGAATCGTGAGGTCCGGCGAACGCCATGTGTTCTCCGTTGCAAGAAATGTAAAGAAAATACTCTGTTCTTCCGTACTCAGGTATCATATATCCAACTATCCGTTACAATAGACCGAAGAGGGACAAATTCGCAGTCCCCCGAAAGTCACCACAGTCTCCTTCATGGGCGAGGAATGATCTCTGGATGATGTAATTCTCATCCACAGAATTGCCGATAGTTGGAATGAGAAATGGAAGGGCATTAGCGATCGATTCCATCGCCAGACTGGCCGTCGCAAACTAGCGAGCAGGTGAAGGACCTTTCCATTTATTACTTTCCGGGTAGTCTTCTGCTCCTGCTATTGATTCCATGTAGGTTGGAAAGCGGCCCGCCGGAGGATATGTCTATGGGATGCATTCGTGCGCTTTCTCTGCGTATCCTTTTCATTTTGTTATTCTTTTCTAAGTGTGCGCGTGTTGGACCATTGGAACTTATTTGCGAGGCTTGGCATGACTGTCTCCCGAAACGAGGGTTTCTGGTCATTATGCCATATTCCATATTGCTTTAATGAGGGATATCATAGTTCTTATTACTACAGGAAAACACAATTGCTCGGGTTGTCTCATGAGAGTATGATCCAAGAATAGCACTTTTAATTTTAATAGGGCCTGTAAATTGGACAGTCGAGACTCGGTACTCCGTAAGTGGAGGGCCCCTTTCCTTTCCGCCCCCCCGAGTCCTGTCGCAATAATAGAACAGACAAATAGCACCCCTGGCATACTTTCAGGCTTCTAGCTTGCGGGAAGTACGGAGTTACGGCAGATGATTAATTCGTGGCCGAAAATAGATCTTAGATTTCGGGAAGTTTGCGTTAACCCAATCGGACTTAGTGGCGGTCGAGGCATCGTCCCTGAAGCCTCCTGATTCACGACGCCGACTTCTGTTTCTTCTCCACATTGCTTCGCACGACTCATTTGCAACATACTTTCCTTGCCACTCTCTTTTCCTGCTCCTGTGCAGTGTCATTCTTTAACTCTACATATTCTATATACTTTCTTTTGTTGATATATATCTTACCGGTTTGTTCCTTCATTCATTCTCTTTTTTTCAACATCTCGAGCCTCAATCCAAAGGTTGTTTCGACAAGGCTCGACACCATGAAGATGCACCTGTCCAACGTCCTCCCCTTTTTGCTGGCGGCTGCACCGGCTGCCGTCTCTGCCCGGGGTACCCTGGGGTTCTCGTTGGGTGACAAGAACCCAGACGGGACCTGCAAGTCAACCAGCGACTACGAGGCCGACTTTGACGTCTTGAAGCCGCTTTCCACCCTTGTGCGGACATACTCTGCCAGCGAATGCTATACGGCGCAGAACATCATCCCAGCGGCAAAGGCCAAGGGCTTCAAGGTCGTTTTAGCTGTCTGGTATGTTGAATAGCACTTTTTTTTCAGCATTTTCATTATTTTGTTCCCGAATATTCTTAAAGAGGGCGGTGGTATGTGTCCTGACACGTCTACTTTTTTTTTAGGCCGGATACGGATGAATCGTTCAACAAGGATATCGATGCCCTCAAGGCTAGCGTTCCTGGAAACGAAGATGTCATTGAGGCCATCACTGTCGGCTCCGAAGCTCTCTACCGTGGCAACCTTAACGGCGAGCAGCTTCTCAGCAAGATCCAGCAGACCCAGAAGATCTTCCCCAAAGTCACCATTGGAACCGCAGACAGCTGGAACAAGTTCGCGGACGGTACTGCCGACCCGATCATCCAGGGAGGTGTTACGTACCTGTAAGCAATACAAATTGCCTGAGCCCTTTAGGAATCCCTATGGTCTGAAGGTTACTAACATACAAAAAAAGGCTCGCAAACGGATTTGCCTACTGGCAGGGCAAGGCTGTCGACGATTCTTATTCCACCTACTTTGACGATATGGCCCAGACTATTGCTCATGTTCAGCAAATCGCTGGTGACAACGCCGCCAATATTCGTGTTATCAACGGCGAAACTGGATGGCCCACTGGTAAGATAAATTGAAAGCCGGAGGACTGGCTGCTTTTGCGAATGCGTGCTGACCATTCTCTCTAGATGGTGGCACTGACTACTCTGTTGCCAAGGCTGGCACTGCGAATGCAGAGAAGTACTACCAGAATGGTGTTTGCGGTCTGCTTGCTTGGGGCGTCGACGTCTTCTATTTCGAGGCTTTCGACGAGGCGTGGAAGCCCAACAGCGTTGGTGACAACGGCCAAGCCATGGATGAGAAGCACTGGGGTATGTTCACGGCAGACCGCCAGCCCAAGTTCAACATGACCTGCCCAAATTAAACCTGAGCAAATGCTCCTCTCGCTGTGAGAATGTGGACTGTGGAGGGAGGGCTCCACGGGCTCTGTGCCTATCCCCCACTCTGTATAATATAACTCACTTTTGCTTTCCGGGCTACGTGTAGTCAGAGACAATTGGTGATTGTTGTGAGCTGCCTGGCATATATAGCGTATATATAGAGAACAGAACACGGAGTATATTTCCCACCATACTTAACGATTGTGCCGTGTACTGTATGGCCCCGGTATAGCCGTGCCCACCTGTCGGGACTGCCTCCAATAGCAGCTGGCAAGGTGCAGTAATGGTACGATACGGGACGGCCACGGGCCATGGGGGCGGGTGTGTTTTAGCGGGCTACCCCTGAACTTGAACCATTCTTTGCTTCCCAACGGTCTCCCACGCGCGTCCGTCGAGTAATCAATCGACTGCAGCTCGCGTCTCTCAATAATCAAACTGACGGCGGAGTTCCTGGCGTCGTCGCGCGTCCACGGCTTTTGGCTGCAGAGGACCATGCCTTGGCACTAGTAGGCCGTAGCAGGCTAGAGACAAACTATCATCCCCATGTATCATAAACGGCCTCGAGCTAGCAGCCTATTGCCAAACACAGTCGGCCTCCGTGACATGGACAAGTCACGTCTCCTTCAGGATCGTCTTCACCTCGCCATCCACTTTTCTCTTCCCTTCTCTCTTTCTCTTCATCCCTGTCGGCCACGGCTGTGTGTACGCCATGGTCCAAGTCTCCGCACACCTAAGGCACCTGTGATGTCCGCTATTATTTTATGATCTTAGCGTTTTCCCCTTTCCTTTCCCCACCGCTTCGAAATCTTAATACCGTTCGACAGAAAAAATAAAAAAGTGAAAAAATTAAGAAAAAAAAAGGAAGAAAATAATAAAGCAAAAGGTGTTCTTTAGTGTCGATGCCGCTGCAACCGACTTCTTCTTTACTCTTCTTTCTCCAGTCCCCTGGCTTTCTTTGCCGATTATTTTAGTTTATTTAATATTATCCCGCCAGACGGTTCCGGGTCCCAGTGGTTTCATTTCCATGATTCAATATTTTGGACGATAAGGGGCGCGGCAAGCCAGTGCTTGCTGCAGCAGTCATCACGGAAAGTATGTTGTCTTGTATCTGATTCAATTCAATACTGCTCCTCCCTCCACCTATCTCATCCTCTCTGGTCATTGTCCTTCCGCTCGTTCTATCTTCCCTCCGTTAATCAGGTTGCAATGCTTCTCCAGATCTAGACCGGTTCGCGTCTTCACACCTTCCGGCGTCATCGCCATCGTTCCATTCCACAGTCCCACAAGATAACCCTGACGATCTCCATCTGACAGCACCGTTGATCTCGCATCCGACTTCGCCAGGAGCGTCGAGTCTCGCGGCTTCTGGATCGCCTGGCCGACAGCGTCCTCCGCGGCAACCCAACTCAACTCGGTCCTCGTCCCCGGAGAACAGGAAGCCGGAGAGTTCTTACTACACCACCGCCTGGGGCTCTCCGTACGCTGTGGACAGTCCGCGGAGGCTCTCATGGTCACATAGCGAATACGCTAGTTTCGATCCTGATTCTAGAAGCAGCTCGCCGGATTCAACACGAAGCAATTTCTCCCGTCGAGCTGAAACGGATAACGATTTCCTAAAACCCTACGTTCCCAGGAAGAGCTCTGCTCGGCACTCGCAAAGCCGTGGAACCAGTCGTTCGCCCAGGCACGACTTGGGTAGTAGAAGAGGAGGAAAGACTATCAAAGATTTCACAAAGGATTGGATCAATCAATTCCTCTCAGGTCAGCCAAGGACTGAGCGAAGCAACTGGTTGAGTGACGACTCTGGTAGTGACTCTCAATCGTTCCTGGCGTCCGAAGATTACTTCGACGAAGACCCGTCGGACGGTTGGCTTGGTCTGGAAGGAAGCAGCCGTAACGAGGATCTTCTCAGAACACCCAAGTCATCGGACTTCATTGGCCGGTCAAAGAGGCCGGGTCTGGGTGAGAAGAGGGCTGGTCTTCGACGGACCAAGCACGAGAGGACGGATACCATCAGACAAGAAGATATCTGGGGATTCGCATACGACAGAGACTCACAGTTCTTCAAGATGTCCGATGTAAATAATGGTCGGCCTGATGGCGAGAAGCCGCTGCCCCCGGTACCACAGGAACCTTCGGCATCCTCCACGGGGTCATCAAATCCTAAAACCGAAAACCCCGCCACAGAGCCGTTACCCCCGCGGCCCAAGAAGAAAATGCTATGGCGTGGAAAAGCATGTATTATTGCACTCCCGCGAGATGATAAAAGAGGGTCTGAAGCGTCTGGGTATCGTCTCTTGACCGCTGAAGACGTAGAGCGACGCCTAAAAGAGTGGGAAGACGAAGGCTTTGACGTTCGCGGTTTCAGCGTCGGTGCCCCAGAGGATCCTACCGCGGTAGGGGATCTGGGCGGCTTAAGTCGCCCCCCTTATCCCGACCCTGCTGAGTCTCAGGAAGAGTGGAAGGCCGGGAGGTACGGAGTCAGCTTCCCAAACAGAGCGGAATGGGATGCTTATGTCAACTACCTCCAAGAAGAGAAGTTACGCGCCCTGGGAGTGTCCTTAGGGGACGAAGACGAACAGTTACCTTCAGTTTCACCAGTTTCAGCTGCTATGAGCCAGGTTGCTCCTCCGTTCCCTGGCCTCGTCGCATCACCGCCTATTCCGACAGCGTCTGCTGGGAGTAACCCGCTCGGTGTAGCCAATCCGTTTTCCCCTGTCTTTAGCCAGTCAGCCAACGTAAGTACTGGTATAGCGTCTTTAGCTTCTCCGGTCTCTCAGCTGAGTGTGCAGTCACCATTCTTTGGGGTTGATCAGAATGTTCTGGGAGGATACCCCATTCAGTTCCAACCTACACCACCAGCACAGGGCCCTCTCACCCCTCAACTGTTTAATACGCGCCAAGGTGTCATATCAACGCTTCCTGGAAATCTTCCAAACCTGACATCAATTTTGCCCCCGGTCTCGCCGTTGAATAATGGTGTATTCCAATCAATTCCACCGAAGGATTCTATGGATGGCCGCTTTGTCCACGACTTCCAGGGCGAGGATTCTGACATGCGTTCTCCGCCTCCTAATTTTAACCAGGTCGAAATTCATACACCGCCGGGCAACTTCCGTGTGTCTAACGTTGAGATTGCCCATCCAACACCCCGTGGTCATGATCATAATCTGAGCGAGACATTGCAGAAAGGACTAGATGAAGCTGAGCAGCCTGATTATCACCTAGAGGAGTCAATAGAGCGGCAATTGGATGAAGAAGAACATAACCATTTTGGTCGATCTGGGCTATCGAGCTCTCGATGGGCTGTGTCTGGAGATCATCCAATTCAGAACAACTTCCAGCAGAATGATCCGTCATTTTCTTCCCACCCGTCTCACGACTATTACAACGGAAATTATGGTGAGGACTATGGTCAAGAGGGGTCTGATTTCGATACCAACCCCAGTCTGGCTGGGACACCTCAGAGACAACAGCAGCCTTTGCCTTGGCATCAAGCCAAGCCAAGCGCTGGGTTGTTTGGTAGTGGACATCAGACGCATCATTCCGTAACATCAACCTTCAATGTGGAAGCAAAGGAGTTTGCGCCCGTTTCGGTACCCTTCCAAGGGAATGTCTTTCAGCCTTCGGGGCCTGGAAAACCTATATTCACGTTCAACTCCGGTCCGACATTCGATCCAGCAGCAGCCCCTAAGCATGCGGCCGCTTTCAGTGATCAGAACAAGGCGTATCCAGGCGGATACAAATTTTCTACCGTCAACTTCAATGCCGACGCTCCTGTCTTTAATCCAAATGCCAGTGTGAATTCGACAGGTGCCGTTGAGGGACCTGCAAACGGCGGAAACAAGATTTTCGCGGATATTGATTGGGCTCAAATAACGAAGCCGGCTAAAAAATCCAAAGCGATTCCTATTGTGCGGCCTGATGACAGCGAACATGAAAGCAAGCAAAAGGAGACAGACAGAGATAATAATGACAACTATCGATCTGCCCCCACGGATCGTCACAAGCGCGTTCGCCGTAGTAACGAGGGGAATGACATGGACAAGGACGCTAAGCTTGACAGGCCTGTTCATGCTCTCACCGAAACGAGCAATGTTCCAGTGGCTCCATCATCGAATAGTATGCCACACTCATCAGCTGATGGCAAGGAGAATAAGGCCCCCGGTGGAGATAACAAGCGTGCAGCAGAGGGACCACCTTCGGGTGTTGATGAGAAGCAAATTGAGCGGATTGGAACTCCTGCAAGCGAAGCTACGACATGGATATCCGAAGGACACAAGAACGAAAAGGAGGATGCTGCAGTTAATGCTGCAGCTGCGGATTCATCTGGGCAACCCGGAGAGCAGAGTGAAAATCCCGAATCGGCTGCTACGAACAAAGATGAACCGTCCAAGCCAGCTACTCAGGAATCCAAAGACGCAGCAAAGAGCTCTTCTGTATTATCACCATCGGCAAGGCCGTTCGAATTTAAGCCTGCCGTGCCAGAATTTATCCCTCCAGCGGCAGAGCCACCAAGTGTAACCGCCGAAGCGAGCGTTCACGAGCAAATCCCAACCTCTATCAAGGATGAACCCGAGGTGGAGACGAAAGTTCCTACGTCACCTACTGTCGCTCCCCCGTCGGACGACAATACAGTGGAGGAATCACTTGATGAGAGAGAGCTTAACGCGATTATGGACCAGTTAAATGGAGACTCTGATATTGGTGTTGAGAGGCAGGAGAGCCCTAGTTTCATGGATAATGTAGCGGAATCCATTGAAAGTCGTTCAGCAGGTCAATACCTTGTCCCGGACAACCGAAGCAATGCTCCCAGTCCGAGTCCAAGGCGTTTGCAGGATCCTCGTATGGTGACAATACCTAAGTTTGGATCATACTTTGATCCTCGGGCCCCGATCAGTTTGTCTCCTCAGAGAACTCTCGCTAATGGAATTCATTCTTCCGTGCAACATCTAATCAATGAGAACGATCACATAAGCGACTGGGGAGATATGATCTCTTCCAGCGAAGATGAGAAATTTGCGGTCAAGAGCCAGTTCTTCGGCCGTCGTGTCAATGATCTTGACGGAGGAGCCCTAGAAGAGCGGTTGATTTCCCTTGAACGCACCCTTGGCATTATTCAGCAGTCAATGGCGTCCATGATTTCCAAGTCTGCGAACCGAAGGGCTTACAGGGGATTTTCTCCTGATTTCGACAGCAGCGATGCCGACGCTGACGATGAGGATGAAGGTGAGGAAGGAGACAGTACATTCCCCAGGACAAGGGCGACATTCGATAAAAGAGATCGAAGGTTCGATAAGTTGAGGAGTATAGTGATGGAAGCAATGGCGACTTACGCGCCTCGCGAGGAAGCAGAACTTGCACAGCTCCGTGAAAGTATCTCCGGGTTGAAGGAGCTAACCCTGCATAAGTTGGCACAGGATCCTACCGCTAATCTTAAAGAAATTATGCAAGAGGTTGTTGCCAATCAACTGGATCTTCGAAAATCCGAGGCGGAGGAAGTCGGTGCTGAAAGCCTTATGCTTCAAATAGACGGCCTGAAGACGATGTTGAGGCTCGCAGATGAGCGAGCCGATGAGGAATACAACCGGCGCAGGGAGTCCCAGGAGGTCGTGGCTGAGTTGAAGAGACTTCTGAAGCTTGCCGAAGAAGAGGCTACTCGCCACAGTGAAGCTGCCGAAGCCGCCGAGACTCGGCTACTTCAATTCAAGGAAGAAAAGATCCCTTACTTTGAAAAGCTTCAATTTCAGGCCGACTCGCTTACCAATGAGCGTGAGACGCTCCAGCTTACCTTGGCTGAACTTTCGTCCAAGAACATCGTTCTTGAGGGTACCTTGGACGAGTACCGGGTTTCAAGTGAGAACTACAAGCGGGAAAGTGAGACCATGAAGCAGCAAAATAAGGATCTCCTCAAGACTATCGAGCACTTGAAGACACGGATTGATGATAGCCTGAATGGTAGACAGAACTTACGCGAGAAGTTTGATCGTCTCCAGAACGACATGGCTACTGTTGTTCGCGACGTAGCTCGGGACCAAGCGGCATGGAGAAAGCGAGAAGAAGAGCAAATTGCTCGTTACGACGGACTGCGCGCTACATATGAGAGAGAGGTGAGGCTACGTGAGAAGCTGGAGTATGATGTCAACGAACTTGAGAAGCAGGAGAGGGAAGCAACCAAACTGAAGTTCATCTTCGGGCAATCCCAGCAAGAGAATGAAAGGTTGGAGGAGCTAGTCACAAACCTGCGGCTCGAGAATCATGAATTGGAAATTAAAGCGGCTCGCTTTGAACGCGAGTTCAACGAGGCCCGGGAGAGCAGCCGCATGGAGATCCAACGCACCCGGACTTCATTCGAATCCGACCTCGAGGCCGCCAATAGCCAAGTCAACATCATCCGTGCTGAGCTGGAAGCCGAGATCGCCCGTCTCCAGGCCCAGTTGGATAATGTCAAGTTGGATGCCGATACCTCACGGGAACGGTACGAAATGCTGCTAGAGGAAGCCAACGAGTCCAAGGCCAATGATCTCGCTGCTGCTGCCGAGACCAGGACTATTGAGCTTAGGGAACAGAGCAAGCTACACGAACGTGTCCTGAGAGATCTGCAGGAAGAACATGCACGCGCAATGCGCAATGTTACTGAAGACCACCAGCGGTCAGAGACCCTCTTGGCGGAACGGTTGGCATTATCGGACGAGAAAGTTGTGCATCTTCAGGACCGCATCCATCACCTTGAAGATAAGCTCGAGATTGCGAACACCGCGGCTCGTGCAGCTGCGCAAGCAGCTCAAGAAGCCAAAGCGGGAATTGCTTCCAGCTCTCCGGTTCCGGAGTCGACTTCTCCATCCATGCCATACAGAAAGAACTCCATGGTTCCCGACAAGATCTCTCCTCAGGCCTTACGTGAGTCGATTCTCGTACTTCAGGACCAACTGCAACATCGTGAAACCCGTATAGAGGAGCTCGAGCAGGAGCTCGCTGCTGTTGACAAGGAGGCGCCAAACAAGCTCAGGGAGAAGGACACGGAAATTACGTGGTTACGTGAGCTCCTTGGCGTTCGTATTGATGACCTGCAGGATATCATCAACACTATTTCGAAGCCGTCATTTGACCCGAACGCCGTGCGTGACGCTGCTATTCGTTTGAAGGCCAATCTGCAGATGCAGCAGCAAGAGAAGGAACGATCATTGTTTGGTGGTCCAAGCTTACCATCGATCTCGTCTATCGCTAGTCTGACGGCGTCGCCACGTTCTCTGCCACTAGCTGCAGCCGCAGCTTGGGGTAACTGGCGGAAAGCCAGAGAGAAAACGGACTCGAATCAATCTGATCAGACGCCATCCAAGCCCAGTAGCACAGCGAGTGCTTTCCTCTCGGGGCTACTCACTCCCCCAGGGTCCAATATCCGACAGCTGTCCAGAACCAAGAATAACGGTAATGATGATGCAACAGCACCCGGGTCATCGACAACGGAATTACAGCTGCCGTATTCGGAAGGTCGACGTCCACTTAAAGCGTATGCGCCGACACCGATGAGACCACTGTCATCTTTGCATGCTCGTCAGACAAACAATTCTATTGATGAGAGTAACGGCTCCCCTTCAGCACTGGAGCCACCGACCACCCCTCCCCTGCTTCGGAAGTCGAGCTATGATCACGATGCAGATCCTACGAGCTACGACGATGGAATCTTTGGAGAGGACTCACTGACTGGCTGTCAAGGTGGAAAGACGGTGTTTGATGATGAATTAACAGCCATGTCCCCTAAGGGGACAGTGGATGATGATGGCCCTGGTCATCGAGAATCTGAACCGTTTGAACCACGGGCTTCTTAGTTGTCCCTATTTCCTTTGCACTTTTTCCTTCCTCCATTTTTTTTTCTTTTGCTTTGACTGATATTATTTTGCAAGATACCTCCGAGATTTTAAATCCCGTGGTGAATCGGGATAAGTTGAGATTCTATATATCGAGTTCATTGAGTTATTGATTGTTGATGGATTGGCTGTTTATATTCCACTTTGTGTTCATCACTTTATTTTACCTACATATATTTCTTTGATCAATACATCAGTGATACCACCTACTTTGACTGCATGCATTGAATTTTTTTTCCCCCTTTTTTTTCTTGAAACATACATGTCTCGAACAGAGCGTGTATGTGGACTGTACAATTTCTTCTTTCTATTATTACATTATTTGACATTTAATTTATCTAGTGAGTTCTTCTGTCTAATGCTTTTATGATTGATCTATAGATTGAGCTTTTCCTTCGTCCTGAATAATAATGGACAGCAGCAGGACAATGACAAATTGAAGAACCACCAGTACAGTATTACTCTGTAGCTGGTTACAAATTCTACATGTTATTATTCTACCTCTATAATTTAAGAGGGAAATGGCCAAGATGAAGCCCAACGTTGAATATTTCTAATTATACAGTAAATAATGAAATCCTATATATATATAGTACGATGCATGGATAAGTATGGTATGAAAGACAGCCGGAACTTTTGAAGGAACTCCGCGATAGAAAGTAAAGCAAAAGGAAATCTTTCTCATAAATCGTATCCCATCCTGGATCATCATTATAATAGGTAAGGAATAATAAAAAAGCAAAAATATCCGAGTCTGTCTCTCTCTATGAGAAGGGAGAATGCATCGTGTGATGAACGATGAAAAAAAAAGAAACATTAAAACAATAAGAGGTATCCCGAAAGTCTAATGAAGAAAAGAAGAAAAAAGAAAGTTTAAACCAAATGCCAATTCAAAATATCATATGCCGTAGTAGCAGTGATGGTGTACCCTACCCTCGCGACACCGGTGAAGGGATCCCGCTGACACTTCTCAGCTGCGTCCCTCGTGACACGGAGGTGGTCAACATCGACATTGGTAATGTCCAACAGAAACGACCAGGGTTGGATAGTGCTCGATCCATTGAAGGCATCTTTGGAGGATTGCTGTTGCCGTTGTTGTTGTGAATGCTCATACTGGACGGGAGTCCAATTCTCCAAACTGTAGACGTACAACGCTCCACCCGAAGCGAATTTGTAGGAATGACCCGCGCCGGATTCGTAGACGACCAATAATTTCCCGTCGTCTGAGACGGAGAGAATGGGGACTGGCGTCGTTGCGGAGGGAAGGTTGATGGGGTCCCATCTATCCTTTGCTAGTTCGAGGTTGTGAGAGACGACACTTGCATCTTTGGCGGCGAGGGGCATTGATTGGCGGTTCCAGTTTGGCTGGTAGGAAGTGCTACCACCATTCACCAGCGTACTGTTATTGTCACCATCGGATTGAGGAAGTCGGGTCGGGAAAAGCCGTTTGATGGTAACATTGCGCTGGTCCGAGTCTGGGACAAAGCCAATGCAGTACCCGTGTACCTCCGAGGTTTTGAGGGCGGCGGCGAAGAACCGGCCTGGTTCGTTGTTGTCGGTATGTGTCCTGCAGGAGAAAGTGGAGGGAAGGAGTATGAGGCCCCTGAAGGCGGTCTTGTTATCGCGTTCTAGGAATGAGGCTGCCAGGGCTGCTGAGTCGAGAAAGACCCGGTTGTGGTTTGCTTTCCAGTAATCGAGCTTTGAGCCGTTTGTCGTTTGTTGTGCTTGTGCAGGGTCACCGAGGTACCGCACACGGGTTGGACGATGGGCGTTGGATTCATTTTCGATTTCCACGCGAAGGAGGGTATCGTCCTCCGCGAATTCCAGTGACTTGATCACGCCGTCGGTTTCGACGTAACCCTGGGACGGTGGGGTTGAGAAGACAGTCACTGTGGAGCCCAGAACGTGCTGCACAGGGGTAAGGTTTCCCTTATCATTAAGGTCGTAGATCTGAATCGACTTGCCCAGTCCGATGGCGATCACGTCCCCAGCTCTCGACATGGCCAGGTGATATTTCGCATAGCGTTCGCTGATGGCGAAGAACCCCACCCCACCCTCAGCTAATGTCCGGAATACAGTGGACCAGAGTGGGTACAAGGAGCGGCCAAATGCAAGTTCAAAGGTGCCGTTCTCCTTCATATCGTAGACATTGACCCGGGAGCCCTTCAGGACCACCAGTTTCTTGCCGTCACTGGACAGCTCAAAGGATGTGGAAGGGCTGCACTCGGAAGGGAAATTCCGTCTCGTGATCGTCTTGACGATGTGATCCCTCTTCCCTAACAGATGCAAGTGCGCAACCTGGTTAAAAAGATTATTCCAATCGTCTTCGGTCATCAGATGGATCGGTGGCAGAGGGAATGGGGCATGGTCCAGTGCGTTCCGGAGCATATAGGCTGTAGAGGCGGCATGTAGCCAGGTGCTGCACGCGAGGCGCGCCGAGAAGTATGTGTCTGGGTTGGTGAAAGAAAGAATTGACTGGACAATTTCCGTTGGAAGAAGATTTGCAACAGCCATCTTGGATATTCGGGCTTCCACCCAGGCCGAAAGAGGAAAGGTGTGATGGGAAGCTATAGAGTTATATAGTCAGTATATGGCTCGCAACTACCGAGTGGTATATTCAGTATATCCAATATATATCCAAAGAAGATTAGCGTACCCTTGGAGTATAATAGTCACAGCAGACCAGCTGGGTGGCAAAGACGAGCGAGATTGGGGTCGTCAATTGGGGAGTATCGGAGTCTGAGGAGGTAGTGGAGCAATTGTTGTGGGCAACGCAGCTGTATTAAGAAGTACCGTGACACCACCTTGGATCAAGAGGGTGGTCGGGCAGCTGAGGTAATCAGTGAGTCAGGACAAGGTCACAAGGAGTGTTCTTTCGAGTGTATGACCATGTAGGAAGATATAAATATAGCCGGTCTGAAAACAGTCCATGCGCCAGGACAACGGTCTATATCAGTTTCCTTTTTCTTCACCGACAGATCGGGAGAGAATGGCCGAGAGGCCATCCCTTTTATTTTATCAGTCATATTGGCCACGATGGGCCACGATGAGCCACGACTTTTCGTGGTTCTGATCTGGGATCATGTCATGGGCGGATGGATGGATGAATCATGGATGCCCACTCGCGCGTCGGGTTCGGGACAGTCAGGGAGAAGCCGGGTCAGATGCGGTTCATCAAAAAAAGGACTTCTCCGATAGCAAAGGCAGTTGGCATTGCCGACCGTCTAGACTCGCTGGAAAGCAGCAGCGAAACGGTCGGGGATGGGCACAATTGGGTGACCAGCGGGCCGGTGGCATGATGATGCAGTTGCAGTGTCGGCGATAGATCGGGAAACCTAAAATTAGGTCAAGGTTATCGATCGGGTTTGTTTCCGCCTTTTTCCTTTTCTTTTTTCATTTGGTCTCTTTTCACAGCAAGAATAATTACTGGACGGAGACGGGAGTATCCGCGTCCAAAAAAGCCGCAGGGAGAGCCGGGGGAAAGCTGGAAATATCTCGGGACCCGCAAAATTCAAGGCAAAGAAAGGCAAAAGCGACGAAAACATTTCGGTCTGAAGGAAAATTATAATGCTTGAAGTGCAATTAGACTTCCCGTCGTTTAGCTGTCGATCAACCCACTCCGGTCCGCATTTTCTGTGATACACGACATGGGAAGCACTCCCTCAAGGACTGGCATGGTCTCAAAACCATGAACCCTGGCGTTCCCTTGCTCTCTGCAATGTCCACGTCTGGAACGCTGCAGCATGGACTATGCCACATGATCAGCCAGGATGGTTAGTGAAGCTTTCTCTTATTGCGTTGATGAGCTTTAGATTTCACAAGTCTCAACACACAAAGCGTACGGGCCTGAATACGTGGCAATGCTTGCATCCACAGGTCAGCGGGGACTTGAGCAGAAAATATTCTTCACTGCGCTGATGCTTGATGCTGATGTGGAGGGAAACGAAGGATAGACTGATCTAGGTCAATGGCAATATGGTATGAATACCATGAGTGTCCACATTAGATGAATTTGGTGCCTGGAGATGTTCGACCGATAGCCAGCCAATTAATCCGATCCTGTGCCCTCTACATCGAGCATGATAGGAGGCTCTGGCAGTTGTGGCTGGAAGGAATCCTCAGTTTCCAGCTTGGTTTGTATGGGGCTTTCTCTTGTGGGTTGGCTTGTTGGTTGACATTCCGGCGTGCGGCCGACCTGGTGATGGGTGACATGGTTAAACTGGCCATGTCAACATTTAGAGATCGCTAGAATTCCTCTTGACACTGAATTGGATAATTAGCAGGTATCGCCCTCAGTCAGCGGACTGCGAACCTGCAGGAACTGCCAATTGCAACATCCTCGCAGCAACAGTTGTCCCAATGGCTTTTCACGCCTTTCCACGATTTCCAAATGATGGATTGATTCTCTGTAGGAGTTATACTTTCATGGTATAACCTTATGTACATATAGCATCGCCGATCGCTATCTATTATTCCAATAGTCCAGTCGCCAGAGCAATATTCCATCAACCCTGAAAAACTCCAGAAAGAACAGAGCATAGACAACTCATCTTTTCGCCCCAAAAAAATCTCCAAGTAGCTAACCTCCGTGACAACTAAGCGTTAGATAGTGTACATGAGAAAGAAGATGGAGTCGAGGGACACGCCGCAGCATCCACCGAAGACGGGGCGTCCACATGAGATGCAGCGGAGACAGTAGATATACGCGATACGTGAATAAGAGATAGGTCGGGGATCTTCCCATTCCGCCATTCCTCCTCAGTCCGAAGTGGAGTGGCCGAGACTGATCTCGCGGGTTGGGACTGGCCAGTGCTGGGCGGGCTTCAATCTGCCAGTATGGAGTTTCCCGATGCTGGAGAGGACGCGCACACTTGGCCCTCTCGTCAAAACTGTTAAATTTGATGCGTGTGGGGAGCTGTCTCTAGATAAGAATAGCCTTCTCGCGCAGATAAAGATCCTTGAGGAGCCTGAGCTGGTTCACAGCTGTGGTCTGGCGGGGTAAGCCGTTTGGTATGTCGACAATAAGCCTCCTCATCAGTGCAAGACCGATGTGTCCGAAAAACCCGACAACCCGCTCAGCGCTGGAACGTAGCACCGCAGAGAGAAGAATCACGTGCGTCTCTGGCATCTCGTTGAGTGGGATAGAGGAGATTTTGTGCATCGAGTGCCAGAATATCGTGTTGGGAAAAGGGTTTTGGCGCGCCGTCTTCCCGAAATTGCGCAGAGTAATGGCCGCAAACCCGGCGCCCAGAGCCGTCATACGGTCACCATGCTCCTGTTCTGAGATAAACGGGCCGCCAGGCTCTGCCAGTCGCCAGCCCACAGCACGCTTCCCCGCTTCAGTTTTCTCGTCCCCGTATAGTCCCCACAAGGCTGGACAGAGGAAGCGGTACTTGGCCCAGAGAATGTCACTCATGGGAATACCTTTATAGATAAACGGTTCGGCAGAAAATATCTGAGCAGCTACAATGCCAACGGGTTCTGCATGGTTCTGATTCACGGATGCTTCGGTTAAGAGAGAGGCAATCAAGCATTTGGAGAATATGTTGAAGCAGTAAATCATCAGTGCCGGTACCTTGTTATCATCGGAGTTGGCAATATGGTCTGGTGGGAAGGCAATGAATTGACGGATGTCGACCGATGGCTGCCCGGGGAAAGCTGCTGCTTTCTCCATGGTAGCTTTGATCTCTTGAACCTACAGACCTCCGTTAGTGCTTGCGCCCCTTGCCCGCATTCAAAGAATCGCACATGCCTGGCCCCTGTTTGCTTCCCTCCCCTCCCGAATCTGCCCGACACACTTGGTAATTGTACGGCGCATATCACCCATAGTCTGCTTCAGTGTGGCGTTCGATTTGCCTTCGTTCCGCAGGTATTCCCTGAACTTCTTTAGGTGTTGGTGTAACTCCAGATAGCGTTGGTGCACTTTAGCTTCCTGATCTGTTTGACCCTTGGCCCCGATTTCTTTCTGCTTTTCCGCCCGAGCTTGTTCCGCAGCTTGAGCCTCACGTCGTGCAGCTTCTTGCTCTGCTTTCTGGCGTTCTGCCTCGCGTTGTCGCTTCTCTGTCTCCAAGCGCTCGCGATCCTTCCGCTCCTGTTCTTCCTGCGCAGCCTTTTTGGCCCTCTCTGCCTCTTCTGCGGCTTTCCTCTGGGCTTCTTCCTTGGCTCTTCGCTCCGCTTCCAATCGTGCGGCTTTCTCCTGTTCGCGCCGTAGCTTTTCGGCCTTTTCGCGTTCAATCCGTTCCCTTTCTTTCCGAGCCTCTTCCTCCTTCTGAAGACGTTCGATTTCCGCCTGCCGCAGGTGTTCCCTCAATGTCTCCTCTGCCTCCTCTCGCACCTTGTCGTGCCGCGCTGCAACCTTGTCCAGGGCAGCATAGTGTCTGGCTCCAACCTCGCGGTCAATTTGGTCGAGTTTTTCGTAGAAATTTCGTCGCTCGTAGGCCTTGACTTGCTTCAATTCGAATGTGTGGATCCGCACCTGTTCCAGCTCTCTGGCCAGATCCAAGACAAGTTGGCGTGACGGGCTGTCGAGAGAGGAATGATAGTCTTGCATTTTGCCTCTACAAGGTCTGCCAGAGAGATCAATTGGCGAGGAATATGAGGATGATGAGGTGTAAAGAAGGAGTGGAGAAAGAGAAGCAGAAGATTTAGATATAAACCAGGGATCCCAACGGCCGAGCGAGTTCCTGATTTATAGCATAGTGAATGACGTAGAAAGGGAACTTGTCTTTACGGAAGGCAGACCATAGCGGACGTCTCCATAAGGGCAAGATAATGGTATAAAGAGTCAATAGCGGCGGAGTGAGAGCGCGTTCAGCGTTGAGAGTATTATATTAAATTACAACGCGAAGTGAAGCAGCAATTCGCGGATGCTCAAACGGGTTTAGCGCACAGCCGTGCGGGCGCCGTTTGTTCCGGCGGTTCGCTTGGGGAAAGCTACGGATCTTTGCATCATCGCCGGCGTCATCCATCTGGACAGCAACGCAGCGCTGGAGGCCTTCGTGCAGGTTGCACTGGGGCATGCAGGGTCCTGTGTGTGTGTCTATGGACACGAGAAGAGTAGAGGTGGTGGCTGTCAGTGGTGGTGGCCAGATTGTCCAATGTTACTTTGCTACATGTGTTGTGTCTGAATGTCTTACTATATGCCATTCTGCTATGGAGAACAGAGGGCCACTATTGCCGTATAGTAATTTCCTTCTCATCCTCCGTATGGGAGTAATACCAGCTCTAGCTATGGGATATTACGGGGTCCTATTTCTGGTATTTTCCCAATTATGGGTTCTACCTCTAATGCGGTCTGGCAACCTGCTGGAGACAGCCTGCAGAAGCATCAACATCAACTCCCCACGGCTTCACCCTCGCTGGACAGGCGCTCTGGGGGATGCAAAGCTTCGTAGAAGTAAAATGGCCGGCTCCGTCGTCTTCTCGACGTCGTTCATTTGCAGCTGCAGCCACAAGCAGCTCTCCGCTGGTAATGCTCATGGCATGACTGCCGGCTTCACCATTATTATTGGTGTTGTCCGCGAAACTCTTCTAGTCTTCCCTCCCCACTCGTCGTCGTGCTGCCTCTTCCTCTCCTTTCCTCTCTCTTCCTTTTCTCCTCTCTCTCTCTCTTTCTCTCTCTTCCTCTTCCCTCGCTTCTTCCCATCGCCGTCCTCTGCTTCCATCTCTCTTTTCCCTCTTTCCATCTCCATCTTCTCCCTCCTATCACCTCCCCCTCCTCCATCCCCCCTTTCTTTCCTTCGCGTCACGCTTGTATCGTGCCCATCGTTCCTTCTGAATCCACCGGATAAAGGATCCCATACTTGCCTATTCTTATATATCCGTCGTTCTCTCGTGGACAGAAGGGCTTCGAGTACTTCATCCCCCTCCTCGTGGAGTCGCTCAGCTTCTTTCTCAGCTCCTTCCTTTGACCTCGTCTCCCTTCTCGTCTATCACTTGAGACCAGTTTCCTTCCCTCCTTCTTTGAAAAAGGAAAAGGGAAATCAATCCTATAAACGGACAGACAAGGCTATTTTAAATATAAAAAAAAGGAAAAAAATAAAAAGAAAAAGTGTGAGGGAGAGGCTTCTACGTTCCCTGAAGGTAAAGAAGAAAAAGAAACACAGACAAAAACATCACCCTGCGTGTGTTTTGTTGTTGTGTGTACTTCTTGTCGACAGCTTTCATCGGCATATTCGGTCTCTCGACCACCAAAACGCCCCCTATCGATCGAGCTTCAGCTCCCTCTCCTTCCGTACTCCGTCCCTGTGCGAATCATCCCTGCAATAACAACCACACTGGATCTAACTGGTACTTGCGATTTACATTGTGTCGTTCTTAACTCGCCTCGGTTCCTTCCGTCCTTTGCAAACGGCCGTTCCACCCAGGTTCTGTCGTCGTCGTTTGCCATTGCCTTGCCTAGGTGCCTACTGACTTCCTACGCTCGCCACCATCATTCTCAGAGTTGTTCGGGAGATCGGACTATCGTTTGAATGTAAGAATAATATCCTGGCGGAGAATCCCCGGCCGCATTTACTACATTTGGCCTGCCCCCCTAAATACCTCACCTTCCGTTCTGTCATCGTTGTTGCTGTCACGAGCAACGCTACCTTCTTCCCTTTTTCGCTTCACGCTTCTATTTCTCTTCACTGCTTGCCATCCACCTCTCATTGATCTGCCATCATACTGATAACAATTTCCCTCTTACGTCTCTTCTAGTTCCACTATCGTCTCTCGGACCTCAGTACTAATAGCATTTCCCCTTCCGGCGTCAATCCGTCCCGATTAGCGATCATCCACCTTCCATTAACACTCACCCCTGATTGCTAGGGCCGTTTCTTCGTTCTCTCGGTAGTTATATACTCTTGAGTTAGTCAGTTCGTTTCTTCGTTTGGATCATGGATCAGCAGGGCCAACCCGGGGTGCCAGGCCCCGCTGGCCGCAAACTCCATATAGCTCACAGGAGAAGTCCGTCTGAGCTCACTCCTCTAATGAGTACGCTTATCCCCCATTTCATTGGACCTTCCCTCCCCGGAAACTAAGCACTTACTGACTCATTGAAAAGTGGAACAATTGGCTATCCAACAACAGATTGAGCTGCTCCAGCAGCAGCAGCAGCAAATTGCAGCGACTCATCAACAGTACGTCAACATGGGTCTGCTTCAGCCACAACAACTCGGCCAGGTACCGTCGCTTTCTGCAGTACAAGGTGGTGCATCCATATCGGGCGTCTCGCATCAAATCAACGCCTTCCAGTTCCCCCAATTGGCTCAGCAGCAACTTGGAATTCCAGCAGCCTCCCAGAGCCAACATTCCCATCGACGCAACCAAACCGCCCTTCCCGGCCTTGGTTTGGGCGGCCCGCCTCCCGCCCCATCATCCGGGGCCTCAGGGTATTCCGACTACGGCCAACAGCCCCAGAAGAACAACGAGAATGGTAACCATGGTCGCGTTCGAGGTCCTCCTGGCGGTGGTCATCAGCGCCGCCACTCCCTGGCTCTCCCGGAGGCGAAGAAGGCTGCGGAGCTAGCCCAGCAGAAGAGAACCGCTTCTGGTTTCCAGTTTCCTGCCCCGGCTGCCGGTGCTGACAAGCAAACGACTTCTTCCGATGATAAAACTAGTTCAAGTTCTCCGCAACCACCGCAAGGACTCGGTCTCCAACGGGCTGGTAACATTCGCATGGGTTCCCATGGTCGCAGTCAATCCATGGCAGTCGGTGGCAATCGTGGTTCTCTATCCGGCCGTGGTCTAGGCGGCTTTCAGTTCCCTCAAACGAACGATGGGAGTCAGCCGGATAGCCAAAGGCGTGGCGGTCTTGGCCATAGTCGAAGTGCCTCTCGCAACTTCGACAGCAACTGGCGCCAGCCCAACAACCAAAATCAGGGCCAAGACCAACAGAAGAGCGGCTTTGGTGGCGGCTTTCAGCCTGGTCACCGTGCCAGGGCTTCGATCAACCAGTCAATCAGCTCAATTGGCTCTTTCCAGTATCCGGGACAGCCCCAGCTTATCCAGCTACCCCAAGGACAAGTCGTCATGGCTCCACCCCAGATGTTTGGTGGTCAACAGCTCAACCCCCTGCAACTCGCCCAGCTTCAGGCGATGCAGCAAAACGGACAATTAACCGGTCAAGGCCTCGGTCTCCAAGCCAGCCAGCATGCCCCGCCGCAGTTGTCTGTTCAACAGCAGCAAGCGCAGCAGCAGCAGCAGCGGAAGACCCTCTTTACTCCTTACCTCCCTCAGGCAAATCTTCCAGCCCTCCTGAGCAATGGACAGCTTGTTGCAGGCATCCTCAGAGTGAACAAGAAGAATCGCTCTAATGCTTACGTCACAACTCCCGATCTCGATGCCGATATCTTCATCTGTGGTAGCAAAGATAGAAACCGAGCCCTCGAAGGTGACTATGTCGCTGTTGAGCTATTGGACGTGGATGAGGTTTGGGCACAGAAGAGAGACAAGGAAGAGAAAAAGAAGCGGAAGGACGTCACCGATGCACGTGCTGAGAAACTCTCACGATCTGATTCTGGTGCCAACGGAGATCGGCAGGATATTGGGCCTGATAATAACATCCGACGCCGTGGTAGCCTTCGGCAACGCCCCACGCAAAAGAAGAATGATGATGTCGAAGTTGAGGGCCAAAGCCTTTTGCTGGTTGAAGAAGATGAAATCAGCGACGAGCAAAAGCCTCTGTATGCTGGCCATGTGGTGGCAGTGATCGAACGTGTGGCCGGACAGATGTTCTCTGGGACCCTGGGCCTCCTTCGCCCCAGCAGTCAAGCAACAAAGGAGAAGCAGGAGGCAGAACGCCTCGCCAGGGATGGGAACAGTGGCCGTCCTTACGCAGAGCGTCAACAAGACAAACCCAAAATCGTTTGGTTCAAGCCTACCGATAAACGTGTCCCGCTCATCGCCATCCCCACTGAGCAGGCTCCCAGGGACTTCGTTGAGAAACATCAGGAGTACGCTAACCGAATTTTTGTTGCTTGCATCAAGAGATGGCCTATCACTTCTCTTCATCCTTTCGGAACCCTTGTGGAGCAGCTTGGTGAGATGGGCGATCCGAAGGTTGAGACAGACGCTTTGCTCAGAGACAACAACTTTGGAGCTGACGAGTTCTCCGATGCTGTTCTCAAGAGCGTTGGCTGGGAAGGGTGGTCTCTCTCGACTGAGAGCGAGGCCCTTATCGCCTCACGCCGTGATTTCCGTGGAGAAACAACGTTTACCATCGATCCTACTGGGACAAAGGACTTCGACCATGCCTTCCACATCAAGAGTCTCTCTGATGGCAAGGTAGAAGTCGGTGTCCATGTAACTGATATTGCTCATTTCGTCAAAGCCAACTCCTTGGTTGATCGGGAGGCTAAGAAGCGGGGAACTGCTGTCTACCTCACTGATCGAGTTGTAAGTATGCTGCCATCTAGGGTCTCCAGTGAACTCTGTTCTCTGCTTCCGGGCGAAGACCGTTTCACCGTCAGCGTCGTATTCAAAGTCGATTCTACTTCCGGTGTGGTCGATGATGACGTTTGGATTGGGAAAAGTATCATCAAGAGCACTGGAAAACTTACTTACGATGATGTCGATTCTATAATTACTGGTGGACAGTCGGGTGTCTCCATAACAGGGATCACCGCAGACGATATTCTGGCTCTGAAGGTTAGTTACATTATTTGTTTTTATATCGCTCCCAGGCTCTCTAGTTCGCCTACTGATATGTCCTCTTTACTACAAGACGATTACTGGCAAATTCCGTGATGCAAGGTTCGGCAACCGCGTTTCAAACATCCCATCCCTTCGCCTCCTGCATTTGCTTGATGATGAAAATGTCCCTGTTGTTCGGAACATTTTCGACTCATCACCTGCCCATGAACTCGTGGAGGAGCTGTGTCATAAAGCGAATGCCTTTGTTGCCCGGCAGTTGTTTTCGGCAATTCCTGAAAAGGCTTTCCTCCGTCGCCAGGCGTCACCGAATCCTCGCCGCTTGCAGACGTTCATTGAGCGGATGAACAGACTTGGTTATGACATTGATCCTACTAGCAGTGGAAGTCTACAGAGCAGTCTCTCTAAGGTCACTGATACCGACCTGCGCAAGGTGAATATCCATCACCCTATATTTCTGGTTGTCTCTAGTGTCTAATCAACGATGTAGGGAATGGAGACACTTCTCATGAAGGCAATGCAATGTGCGAAGTACTATGTGGCCAGCACTGTGCCAGATGAGCAGCGCCACCATTATACCCTGAACTTGCCATTATATACCCATTTCACAAACCCGTCCCGGCGCTACGCCGATATTATCGTGCACCGTCAGCTCGATGCCATCCTCTCGGACTGGGCTGTCTCTTTCTCAGATGACGTAGAGTCATTGAGTAAGACGGCAGAACTTTGCAACAACAAGAAAGACTCGGCCCGTAATGCGCAAGAGCAGAGTGTTCATATTGAAGCGTGCCGCAACATGGACAGGAAACGGCAGGAAGTTGGTGGAGATCTTATCAGCGATGGCATTGTCCTGTGTGTCTACGAGTCTGCCTTTGACGTCCTTATTCCTGAATATGGCTTTGAGAAGCGTGTCCACTGCGATCAGTTGCCACTGAAGAAGGCCGAGTTCCGCAAGGATACTCGTGTTCTTGAATTGTACTGGGAGAAGGGCATCCCGTCGTCAGCCTATATTCCCGAGGATGAGCGTCCTAAGTCTGTTAATTCACGTGCGGCTCAAGCTGCTGCTGCTGCGCGCGAAGCAGAGGCTGCTAAGGAGCGTGCTAGGGAAAGAGAAGAGGCTATGCGGAAGCAGACTGAGACTGGAACGATGTCTGCTGACGATGTTGATGCTCTTTTCGATGACGATGACGACATGTCCGAGCTCACAGAAATGGCTGCCGGCGTCTCATTGAACTCCCCCGCCGATCGCTCCACGCAGAGCATGCCGCCTTCTCCAACTCGCAACGGCCTGCTCCAGCAAGCTCCTCATCGCACGCGGTCCGACCCTAAGATTGCAAGCAGCGCGAATGATGTTCCTGAGACCAGCTTGACGGATAAGGAGAGATACCTGAAGTTATTCAAACTCAGGGAAGAGGACGGGGAGTTTATCCAGGATGTCACAGAGATGACACGGGTTCCAATTATTCTCAAGACTGATTTGACCAAGAGTCCGCCGTATGTAAACCTCCGACCTTATATTTTGTTAACTAGCATCGCTGACCACCTCTTTTACTAGATGCCTCACGATTCGCTCTGTGAACCCCTACGCTTTATAGAGCCGGGATGTACCATTTCCACTATATTATGTTTATACGGCCTAGCCTAAAGGTTGGGAAATGCGATTATCACGGCAACCTTCCAGATCCACTATAATGCTGTCGACTACTTCTAGTCCGCTGAGATCTGCAATTACAGACCTCCCCGCTTTTTCTATTTTCCCCCCATGCATCATTGCTTAAACCAGCCAGTGGTCTTTCCCTCGGCTTTGGGGGTTTTATCGTATATCAGGATTTATCTTCCCCCTGTATCATTTTGACACCCAACTTAGATGTCGTTTTGACCGAAATCACATATCAATCTGACAGGGTGGTACTATGTGAAGAGTGCTTGCGCAAGGAATGCAACCCGAGACCTCTATAGCCGACTATCGAAGTCGTCGGCGGAAGTTGATGTGGGTTTCGGCGCGAGTCTGGATCGAAATTGGGCTATGATGGGTCTACTAAAACTCGTTATTGTTTTTAGATACTTGCATGTCTTATTGAGCGCATTTGGATGACTATGCAGTTTCTACGGTAATTGAAAGGTCTTGTTAGTATTGGAATACCCAAATTTGTATGTTGTATTTGATCGGGGAGCATTCCTGCGGATGTTCCATGAAAGTTATCGGCTTCGAAGGGCAAGGGAGACTGAAAGAAAAAGCCTTTAGATATGCAATAGCATTAAATTACCCATGCTGTCTAACTCTAGCCCATGCCCTGCAGTGACTCCATCTCCCAGGATCCCAATATCGCTGCTACTCAGTAGCTTAGCTAGTTGCCAATGTCCCAACCCTTTTATATAATAAACGCCCTAACCGTTGCATAATTCGAAGTATCCTTCCTTGCACTCCCCCCCCAACAAACAACAAATGAAATGGATGTATGGATGAATGGATTAAGCAGAAAACGCTAAAGGAAATTATGAATGTTGTGAGTGAGTCCCCCAAAAAAGAAGTGAAAGCCTCTGAATGCAAACAAAAAGGATGGAAAGGATGGATCTCTAATCCCAATTCAATTAAAGAGGGATTATAATCTCCGAATCCCGATTCTGGGTTTTGTTCTCTTGGAATTTGCAGATGAAGTCGAGGAAGTAGAGAAAGCAGTCATAGAAGGCATCATCATCTTTCGGGAAGCGCTTATCAGTTTCGAATTCGAGCTCGACGACGATACCCTAGAGCTGGAGGGAAGAGCAGCGGATATTGGGATTGAAGAATCAGAACCAGAACCAGTTGATGAAAGAGAAATGTCGTGACCGGATTGACTTCTTAACACCGGTATAGGCATATTCATTGGGTGATTATAACCCTTGGATGTGGACGAGCTATTCCTCCTCCCGTTACTATTACCGCGGGTGGACCAGTAATGCAGCGATGAATGAGTATCGGAAAGGGGGGTATCTTCGTAAATGCCGATGTCAGCTCCGGCTCGACTAGAGGAAGCGATTGTAGCTGTGTGGTGGCTGCTAAAGAGCATAGAATTGGTGAGTTTCGGGGACTTCCGCTGGGGTAATAAGATAGGGTCCCGAGCGGTCGTAGGATCTGCATTAGTATTTGCCGCAATGTTTTTCTCGGAAGCGGTCATTCCTTGCTGGTCGGTGTTGTCGGTGTCGAGCATGGGGATGTCGGAGTCTGTTGGGAATGGCATCTCCAGAACAGATAGGGGGCGTTTGCCGTGGGGATATTTGCGGGGACTGAGTGATGCGAATTTTACGGGCGACGGTGACAACGATGGATTATTTTCTTTGGAGGCGCCAGACATGTTTTCATTCTCATCATTGATCTCCTCCTCGCTGTCGGAAAGTTCTGTGATCGTGTTGTGGTCATGGCCGTGGTGCTCTTGCTGCATGTGCCCGTCATGCTGTGATTGGGACTGCGAGTCGGCACGGCCTTTATTGTTACTTCGGCTTGCTTTCATGGTCAATGAGGAGACCCGTGTTTCCGTTCGTGACCGGACAGAGCGGGAGTCTGCGATTTCCTGTTCTTTGACAACTGTCCCAGCGTCCTCTCCTCTGAGTTTTGCTTCCATAACTGCGTCCTTCAGTTCTGTCGGAACGGGGGCGTGGATGGATGTCATTAGTCTGGCTTGACGAGCAAAAGCGTCATAATCTTCTTGAAGCATCGCACCAGCCGCGGAATTTAAGGCAGAATCGGGATTGGGGTAGATAAGGAGGCAAGATATAGTCTGTAATCGAACAAGAAAATCCCCAACTATTAGCTCCTGTCATACATTCGACTTGGTAGGTGATGTTTCAACCAGATATGGGACCAATCAGAATGACAGAAGTAACAACTTACAACCAACACATCCCTCAATGTCAAGCTAGGTTTCCAATCTCGTTTTAACGTATCAACACAGACGGCTCCGGTTAGCTCTTCCACATTGGGGTGCCATATTCTCGTCTTAAATGACGCCTTGGGCGGACTCTTTGGGTAATCCTCCGGCATTTTCAGCTGAAGCCGCCATAGCCCTTGCGAGTATGGAGTACCTTGAGGTCCGGTTAGGAGGATAGCGAGTTGAGTCAGATCATCTGCCGATGTCTCATCGGCAGGAAAGAGATAATTCGGCGGGAGTTCCGAGTTATGTAGCGCAGCATGGTCCGCCGCGAGGCGTCGTAGACTTGAAACCTGAATACAATCAGAAAGCCGTTAGTGGCGTATATGATATCGAAAACACCGGTCTTGGTCATAAGCAAAGCTTACCATGATTTATAGGTCAAATCGGACCTAGAGGAATCCCGTTGCAGCAAATAAGGAATTAGAGAAGCCGTTGAGCTCTCAAAAATGCCACCGTTCAACTTGTACCGTGCAGCGCTGTATGTGAACTCTGTTTTTCACCCGCAATTGAGGCAAGCTTCTCGCATTAAAAGCTTCCGCGGAGGCTGCGAATAGATCAAAGATGCAGAAAGTGTTCTAGAAGACTTGGACTTGAGGAATCCCTGTGCGTGGTTCCTCAGGATTCCCTTGTTTTGATGATGTGACGGCACGGTGATGGTCTGCAGTCACAGCAACGCGAGAACTGCCTCAACACGTGACTCTCGCGCGTCCTTTTCGCGTTTCTACTTCGACAGCTCATTATTACAGTAAAATCCCGATATAAGCAACTAATTTAGCAAGGCCCTTCAGTTGCTTATATCGGGTAATTTCTTATACTAGAATTCACAGAAATATATATATTGACGTACTCCATATAATTGCCCCAAGTCAGCCAAAATAACCCCGTATACTGTGACGGCCCGTCCCATAGCCTGGGCTGTTCAACCACCTGTGATGTTAGATCACGTGATATTCTGCTGCTCAGATCCGTCCTCGCTTGCCTGGGGCCCATATTCGTCACGTGTATATCACGTGATACCAATGAAGGTGTATCGTTGGTTGGTAACTAGCTAGATAGGCCTACGTGGTGAAAAGGGTCAGCGAGGGCGGACCTATGCGGCAGAATCCCACGTGATCAAACAGATAGCGCTTTTTTACATACTGCATGCGCGCGTCTATCAGTACTTCTTTCTCTTTTCTTCTCTCATGTCTTGTATTCGTTGAAATTAGTACTGAATAGCATATATTGCATTTCCTACATCTATTCGTAGTATTGGCCATCACACCGGCTGGCTATGATGCCTATGTTAACCACTTGCAGATGGTGGATGGCATGAAGAGCCACCAAGACGCCTTAAGGCATTACCAGAAATATAAGGCGAAGTTAGTAGCGAACAAGGATATGCGAACTTCGCAGGGACCCAATCCTGACAAGAATGGAGGAAGAGTTGGCACTCCAACTCAGGACGCGGATGGGACAACCGCCCAAATGATTATCAACATAACCAAACTGGGGAGAATCAGGACGGGCACCGAGATAAGAAAACAAAAAAGGGAGAATAGCACCAGCAAGTTTGGGCCGTTGACATGGCGGTATTTAACATGATTTTCGGATACCCATGGCTCAGGGAGACCAACCCAGTTCCAGACTGGAGGTTGAGAACATGGGCATACCAGGAAGCCACCACAGTGGAAAGCCTCTCTGCAAAGTAGATGGAACGCGAACTTAGCATCAAGCACAGAGTCGCATATTTGATGATCCTGCATAAGACAGATGATGTTGATAATGCCTTTTGAGGGTGTTATCTTAGCAGGGTCCGCTAAAACAGCGGCCACCAGTGGCGACGCCAACCCCTTGGCACTACTTGATGAATCCCAAGATGTATTTGGTGAGAAAGAAACTGGTGTACTACCCCCTCATGCAGCGCATGACCATGTCATTAAGCTGGAGACAATTCTGCGATGCTTCTATTCACCAAAAACAATACTTCATGGATTATGCATATAAATCATAAGTAACCGTGAACTCCTGGTCGTCTTGGAAACGAGAAAAAGAGAAGAAAGAAAACATGGCCCAACCCACTCCACTCAATCAATGCTGTTGCTCATAATGAAACAAGCTATTACAGATATATAATGACGACATGTTGACGATTATTGCTGGTACCGAACGAACAAAACGCCAATCTCTCCATACAGTTCGTATGTGGGACCTCTATCGCCGGAGATCGGCAATATCCTAACGGTAGACGAACCCGCAATAAAGTTGCTGCTTACAAAAGAACAGCGACAGCAGCAGCAGCAGCACCAGCCAGACCGATAATTGGTCCTGCAGTGGCGATGGGAGCAGCTCCCTTTGACGATGAGGTGCTGGCAGAAGAAGAGTCAGCGCTGGAGCTTGCGGATGAGCCAGACGTGGTTGCAGCTGCGGTCGTCCCAGAAGATGCTGATTCGGTGGAGGTCGTCGTTCCCGTGGATGTCGTTCCAGAAGCGGTTGAGCTGGAAGCTGTGGGGCTAACGGCGTGAGAACTTCCGAGAGAGGCGGACGACGCGGCCCCGCTGGACGGGGATGCCACAAGGGATAAGGTGGAGGGAACGCCAGAGGTGGTGGATGGGTTGTAAGGCGTCACTACGGCAGAGCTCAAGCCTGCGGGGATCGAAGCAGCGGGTTCCTGTGAGGTCTGCGCGGCTTCTTGAGAAGTTGCGGCCACGGGCTGACCGGTGACAACGCCCAGGGAGTTGGTTGCCGTTAGGTAAGATGTACCAGGATACTCCTAAAGAAAGGGGACTGTAAGTATACATCTCTGGGTTAATTTAACTTGAATGGACAGGCTAGCATCCTTACCACAGATACCTCTGTTGCCGAAGGTACCGCTTGAGAAGATTCCTGAGCAAGTGCAAGTGCCAAGAAGGCAGCGATGAGGATGAAAGAGCGCATCTTGATGTGACCGGTCGTTTACTGATCAAGTAATGAAAGATATGCTGTGAAGAAGAAAGTGGAAGCAACGGAAGCGAATGGCAATGTCGAGTATGACCCGGCTCTATCGTTTATGGGGTTAGATGATTATTACTTCGGATGAGGGAGGCCAGAATGAAGCACAAGTGTGCGAGGGCAGCCATGGGTATATTTATATCCATTCCAACTGCAGGTCCCTCACGCAATCGACCCTGGTACGCTGTACATTTTTCTGACAGCATATTCAACGCGCGTCCATCATCTACAGGCCAACCAGCAATGGAACAGAATTAGGTCCCTTTTGCCACGATAGGCTGCGAGCGGTTCCCAGCTGCGTCTCCGCAGTCCGGACCGACCAACTGGCGCAAAAAAAAAAAAAAAAGAAAAAGAGCATGAGAACATGTTTAGAAGAGCAATTGTATACAAAATTAGAAGTGCCATGTCCACGGGAGCATCTGGAATACGTGTTAGTACACGTGAGGTTCTGCCGTCCTAGACCGCCCTCGCTACCTATCTCACGGCACAGGCAGGCCTACCTAGTAATACGACCATACATGCGCCTATCCATTAATACGTATCACGTCTATGATTGGGCTCAATCCGCCACTGATGCATCCCCTGTCCCGGCCGAATTAGAAAACAAGAATGTATGCGAAGAAAATAAAATCCAGCCAAGCTGAATAAACTGAGGATCATTCCTGGTAGATGCAGCCATGATACATTACTCTGATTTGTTTTCGATGCTAGTGATGATCCCGATCAGCATTCAGGGCAAGCAAGGCACGGAAATAGCAAGTTAGTATAAATACGCTGGATTATGCATGTTCATGCGACTAACCGCCTGGTGACTCGAGACGGCTGGTTGAGACATTCTGTTTTATTTATTCTTGGAAAAGGGCTTGGTAGTCTAGATCCATGTCCACGTATGCTCGTCCAATCCTCCTTCCGCAGAGTCGCAGACTGTTGCTGTGCATACATATTTATATGCGTAGATATAAAAATAGCCCGGCTGCCGTTAAAACATTACCAACCATAGCCATCTGAACATGATTTCTTAGTAACATTGGATATCTATTATTGACAGTGATGACGGTTCATTAATATTGCATATGTGTACAGAGTTCCTGGCTGATGTACTGCATATTTTGATGTCCGGGGATTCCGACTATGGCTGATGCTGATCAGTGTTTACATTCAACGAGAAGTGAGTATGTATTTTGAGCCCGGATGGCTTCCAAACTCCATCATCAAGTTAATTAACTGAAAAAAAAAAAAAAAAAAAAAAAAAAAAAAAAAAAAAAAAAAACCACACAAGGACAGTCGAGACTCAAGTTCACATCAAAGCAAGATCTGATGAAATGAAGACGGCTTCAAAGTTGACTATTAATTAAAGACCGTATTAATGCAGTATCAACACAGTTCCATAATATCATCACTCCAGCCGCAGCCCTTCATTTTATATATATATTATTATTATTTCCAACCAAGTCGACCACTCACTTCGTCTCCACGACCTCCTGTCCACGAATCCAGTCCGCAAATTCCTTTCGTTTAGCCTTGAAAACAAGCGCCCAGTTAGCCTCCTCAACCCAAGTAAATAAATAAACATTCTAATTTCAAACAAGCACACAAAAAAACTCACCCTAATATCCCAAAATCCATACCGCTCCTCCAGATAGAGATACGGATTCCTCGCACCGCCCTCCTTTTCGATCTCCCCAGCCCACACGCTCCAGCTGACCGGCTTCAGTTTTTCGGCCCCGAGAACGAGTCCGACCGAGACGACGAGTAGGGAGACGAGCGCTTCAACGACAATATCAAGGGGAAGGGCTGAAGATGAGTTTGTGGATGTGGTTGAGGCCAGGCGGACGTTGCTGTACAGGGTCGTGTGTTCGTGGGCGGAATAGGTGCTGTAATTTTTTTTTCATATAAGTAAATAGATTCATATAATCATAGTTTTATTATCTCAATTCAATTTCAATCAGGGGAAATTGAAAAACGACTCACGCATGAGCGAGAAGGACGAGTCCGAAGACTGTGATGATGCGGGATATGAAGCCCATGGCAGTCACGCAGAAGAAATACTAATGCTGAATAGTTTGACTTTGCGTAGATGATAGAGTCCCCTATTTTTGTTTCTTTTTCGATTCTTTTATTATGTCGACTCAGTCGCTGGGCGAAAGAATGGGAGTATCGAGTGTAGCTGGTTGACTGCAGTATTAATGCCACTACGGGTGCCCATAGACCCACTTTGCGCAAGGTAGGATCCTGAGGTTCATTGTTTGCTATAGCGAATATTGATAACTATATTAGACTACTTTTATCGAATGGCTTTAGAAGATTTCTATAATAGTTTTCGTTCTTTTTTTGTTTCTTAATTTTCATAATGACGACCGGTATGTACGACCCGGCTGAAATCTAGCTGATTCGTAACACTAAGATTTCATAGAAAAAAACGTCAAAAAACCGTCATCACTTCTCTCATAAATTACCATCAAATCACAGCTTCTGCATAGCGGCCTGCAAAAAGTAAGTTAGCATACCGCTTGGTTACAAAATGTAGATGTTAAGACTTACAATATCGGTGGACTGGACATGGTCCTCGTCCTCCTCAATACGCTGTTGGAGTTCGTCAAGAGAAACCTTCTCATCCTCAATGACAAGGTTGATCTGGAGCTTCTTGATACCGAATCCAACAGCAACGAACTTGGAGGCACCCCAGACAAGGCCCTCCTGCTCGATAGCACGGACGTTGGCCTCCAATTCCTGAAGATTGGTCTCATCATCTGTGGTGGAATGGGTTAGCGACAAATATGAAGTTGCCCTCTAGAACGGTTAACTACATACCCCATGGCTTAACTTCCAGGGTCACGAGAGACTTGGCAGCAGCCTTAGGCTTGCCCTCCTTCTTCTTCTTGTATGCGGCAAGGTTTGCCTCACGCTGCTTGACGACCTCGGGATCTTCCTCCTCAGAGTCGCTGCCGAAGAGGTCCATGTCATCGTCATCCTCAGCGGGTTTGTCCTTGGGGTTGGTGGGGAGCTCAGTGCTCTCAGGACCGTAGGCAGTGAAAGCCTTGGATGGGTCACCAGGGAGGCTGGAGAACTCTGGCTCGAAAGAGGCAATGTGCTTGTACCAGCGAGCAACATGCGGGTATTTTTCGGCGTCAGGGGCGCCAGAGAAGGCCTTGAAAGTTACAACATCGGCCTGAGAAGGAGCATGTCTTGTGACAAATTAGCTCTCTTGGAAACCTTGAAAACCGAAATCCTCAAGAGGACAGCAAGTGCATGTAATAAATAGAAGGGGATCAGAAACGCGATTTCTCGCAATTGTGTGTAGTCACGCAGCGGTGTCTTAAGCCGCCTCATAAACACGGACCAATTTTATTTTCATCATCGAAGATAGAAGGGGAGTAGTAGGAAAGGGGAGGCTTTATTCTTACCCGACAACATAGCTCCTGGTGGCCAGGTAGTGGTTGGCAACTGAGGGGCAAGGTCAGCTACCATCACTTTGGAAAATGGGAAAAGGAAAAAAAAAAGTAAGAGTACGAGAACATACGCGTAAGGCCAGCCTCAGAGACGAAATCGGTGAAACCCATTGTGAATGTGAATTAATTAGTGGTATGAAGGACAGTGGGAGAAAGCAAGGGGAAGAGAGAGGGGAGGATGCAGGTTTTTTTTGCTGGCGGAAAGGAGAGTGCGCTTTCGGGCGCCAACCCGAAAAGAAGAAAACGCCCCGCCATGGGGCTCAACACGTGACCAGACCAGCGGCAAAGCTTTCTGGCAAGTTTCGAGAGCTTCCGCCACTCACCACGGACGAGCACCCGCACGTCCGGCCACTGTGGAGCCTTCGAGAAGTGTCGCGATGCTGCCGGAACTGAACATATAATGCAGTCATGCGTCATTGATATATAGGCCGTCTCCCCCGAGGCCATTCAGTCTGTATTTGGAGGCTGCTGCTTTCTTGTAACTATCGACGACCATGGCGTCAAGATCATTACTCAATCGAACTCGGCTACTCCGGGCACCGAGCTTACCATCATCAAGCCGACTACTCTCCCCTACCAAAATATTACGATTCCCAGCGCATTCGCCAGCAATTCCTGCGCTGACCGCTGGATTCCGAGCCGTCCCAGTCCGCAACTATGCAAACGGCCGACCTCACCCTCCAGGCGGCACTCACCGCATGAACCTGGGAGGAGAACCTGAGAAGTCGGCGTTGGAACAATACGGCATCGATCTCACTGCTCGAGCTAAGGCTGGAAAACTCGACCCAGTTATCGGAAGAGACTCCGAAATCCATCGAACAATCCAGGTGCTGTCGAGGCGAACGAAGAACAATCCTGTTCTTATCGGTGCTGCGGGTACTGGTAAGACAGCTATTTTGGAGGGACTGGCACAGAGGATTGTGCAGGGAGACGTCCCCGAGAGCATCAAAAACAAGCGTGTCATCGCCTTAGACCTCGGTTCACTTATTGCAGGTGCAAAATTCAGAGGTGATTTCGAAGAGCGTTTGAAAGCCGTTCTCAAAGAGGTCGAGGATGCTCAAGGCGGCATCATTCTCTTTGTCGACGAGCTTCATACTCTTCTCGGCCTGGGAAAGGCTGAGGGGAGCATCGATGCTAGCAACCTCCTGAAGCCTGCCCTGTCTAGAGGCGAGCTGCAATGTTGTGGTGCTACGACTCTCAATGAGTACAGACTGATCGAGAAGGATGTCGCCCTTGCCCGACGGTTCCAACCCATTCAAGTCGGTGAGCCGTCAGTTCCCTCCACGATCTCAATCCTACGTGGTATCAAGGAGAAGTACGAAGTCCATCATGGTGTTAGAATTACGGATGCGGCTCTTGTCGCTGCTGCAACATACAGCAATCGTTATATTACAGACCGTTTTCTTCCCGACAAAGCCATTGACCTGGTGGATGAGGCAGCATCAGCACTCCGGTTGCAACAGGAGTCGAAACCCGATGTTATTCGCGAACTAGACCGCGATATTACGACCATCCAAATTGAGCTCGAATCTCTCCGCAAAGAGACAGACATTGCAAGCCGTGAACGCCGCGAAAAACTCGAAGAGACGTTAAAGGGCAAATGGGAGGAATCTAAAAAACTAACCGAAGTTTGGGAGAAGGAGAAGTCAGAAATCGAAGCTCTTAAACGGACGAAAGAGGAATTGGAGCGTGCGCGGTTTGAGCTTGCACGAGCGCAGCGAGAGGGGAATTTCGCTAAGGCTGGAGAATTGAGGTACTCCACGATCCCTACCCTCGAGGGCAAATTACCAAAAGAAGGGGAAGAACAGGGTGATCGCCAAGGCTTGATCCATGATTCTGTCACAGCTGATGACATTGCTAATGTCGTCTCCCGCACGACCGGCATTCCAGTTAATAAGCTTATGGCCGGTGAAGTGGAGAAGTTAATCCACATGGAGGAGACGTTGCGACAGTCTGTCCGTGGACAGGATGAGGCGCTCTCCGCGGTTGCAAATGCGGTACGGATGCAAAGAGCTGGTCTTAGTGGCGAAAACCGGCCCTTGGCGTCGTTCATGTTCCTTGGACCTACTGGTGTTGGAAAAACAGAGCTTTGCAAGAGAATGGCAGAGTTCCTATTTTCTACCGAGACTGCTGTCGTGAGATTTGACATGAGTGAATTCCAAGAGAAGCACACGATTAGCCGTCTAATTGGTTCCCCTGCGGGTTATGTTGGATATGACGATGCTGGCCAGCTCACTGAGGCTGTGAGACGCAAGCCGTATGCTGTTCTCTTGTTTGATGAATTCGAGAAAGCACATCGTGATATCTCTGCCCTATTACTTCAAGTTCTCGACGAAGGTTTCCTTACAGATGCTCAGGGACACAAAGTCGACTTCCGGAATACCCTTATTGTCCTGACGTCCAATCTCGGAGCCGATATCCTTGTGGGCGAAGACCCGTTGCACAAGATTAGTGACTCGGGGTCCGGAGAGCTGTCCGCGGACGTCAAGAGCGCGGTCATGGACGTGGTGCAAGGCGCGTATCCTCCGGAATTTCTCAATCGGATCGACGAGTTCATCATCTTCAAAAGACTTTCTCGGGAAGCTCTCAGGGATATTGTCGACATCAGACTCAGGGAGCTTCAATCGAGGCTGGATGATCGTCGGATGACTCTGAAGGTAGATGATGAGATCAAGGGTTGGCTCTGCGAGAGGGGCTATGACCCGAAGTATGGTGCTCGACCACTCAACCGTTTAATCGCGAAGGAGATTGGAAACAGACTGGCTGATAAGATCATCCGTGGAGAAATCACTTCCGGGCAATCTATCCACGTCTGTTTCAATGCAGACAAGACTGGACTTGAAGTTTCAGCGGAGGCATAAGGCTGTCTAGGCAGCTAGTGAATGGTGTTTAATATTGCATATCTTTTGGGTATATCGGGCTTGGAGTTTATGGGGTGTGGGGTATGGGGGCATGTTATTCTGTAAACTGGGGTCTCAATCTTGCATATGAATCTCCTCTCATGTATACATATAGATGCCACTATACAGACTTTCTATGAGACTTTCCTCTTCTGGAAGCCACCACTTTAAGAAAGCACTCAGGGTGATGCTCAGTGCGTATTTTTCATCATGGGTGTCAGGTGAGTAACGTAATCGGTAAGTGAGCTGTGCACCTCTGTATCCCATACCTTTCAAGACTCCAATATCTTGACCACCAGTAGATGTAGAATGGCATAATTTCGATTTGCGGACGCGCTGCCGTTTTTGGCTCCGTCCCCGTTTCAGGTTTGGCCGCCCACTCCAGTAAAGCGTCCCCATTTTGCGGTTTAGCCGGATCCAGATTGAGTTTGGCGTTCAACGCTAGCCGTCCTGGGATCTGCCGTCCCGCACCGCCCATCGGTCGGTCTAACTGGGCAGAACCCACGTGATCTCTAACATCTACACTATTCTGACTAATGTAGGCTAAACCTAACTAGGAATGAGCTGAACCATGAACGGGCCACGACGATCCAGCAGCATATCCACCACCTTCTCATGGCCTCCAGAAGAGGCAGCCTGGAGGGCATTGCCATAATGTCCGCCTGGCTAGAATGAGGAGCTTAAGTCTGGGTGCCCAGCCTTGGGAGAACCTATTCGATCCATCACTGCAAGAAATACCCAGAAAACGTCCCCCGGTAGAGAGCAGAGATCAAATGCTGCAGATGCATTATTGAACATGGTTAGTAAATAATCGTGTTAATATGGGGAAAATTGAGAACCGAGAAGGAAATCCTGGGCCAGAAGATGTTGGGGGAGATTCTCTCCTCGAGCGTGGAGACGATCATGCCCCAGTACAAAGGTAGAAAAAGGAACAGACCTCACTCCTACCCTCCACAGCCCTTCATGCATCGTCTTACATTTTCTTCCTGACTGCGATGTATACCGCGATGTATACGGCACTGGTACTGTTTGTCTGGATCTGACTTGTGACTTGTGTCTTGACTTTTTGTCCGATCACTACTGGCTCCTGGACTAAGGAGTCAATGAATACCCATCCCGGAACTTTTGCTACGAATGAAGATTGGTGCAAGACCGCGCGAGTCATCCCATCCATAGTCAGCATCCTGACGATTTCCCTTATGTCGGCCGTGTGCTCGAGTGCCGCCGTGATATTTGCCCAGCCCATCGTGAAAAGGCCGGGCCACTTTAGCACGCGACAGGTTGTCACTCTGGCTGAAGGATGAGACGACGGTATGAGTCCTACGATGGGGACAGCGAGTTCTGGGGGAAGGAGGACTCTTCAGGAGAGACTGGCAGAGATGAGGATGAGGGTGGAACGCACATCCTAAGCATTTTATAACAAAATGACATTTTAGAAACATGATGAAGCTCATGTTGACTCAAGCTACTAACTGCATGCTCAATCTGCAAAAGAAGCAAGACAACAATGCCGGTAGAAGATCCGGTACATATGTACATTGAAGCCACCCTAAACGCCTAGGCGAACATATACCCAAGTGATCCAGGGAGATGGAAGAAGACAAAGCTCAGAGTTTGACACTCTTGACCAGATTCTTTTTGATACCAGTAAGCTCACCACCGTATCCACCGCGACCTTCACCACCCTTATAGACTGCCCGCATGCTAGGCAGTTTCTTCATCTTCTCGTCGTACTTCTTCCTCTTCTTCACACGAGGGTTACGAGAATCCTTACTCCGCTTAGGCGTGAGACCCTTGTTCTTCTCGATCTGGTACGTGATAGCTCTCTTGCCATCCGGTCCGATTTCTTCCTGTATCTCAACATGTCCCCCTTCCCGGGCGGCCGCTTCATATGCTTCTCTGCGGGCCTTCTTCTCATCCTTCCGCTTTCTGGAGCGCGCGGCGACCATATCATAATAATCGTCCGAATCAGAGCCGGCTTTCCCGTTGTCACCCCTCAGCTCACCAGCGGTTCGGTGGTCCTCCTCGTCGCTGTCTCCGCCCAATTCTTCTGACTTGTCGGGTCTCTGCTTACCTCGCTTCTCTGCTTCGGCGTTCAGTCGGGCTTGGCGATCCCTCAAGCGTTCACGATATGGTATATCAGCATCTCCACCAGCATCCCTGCCAGCAGCGCTGCGTTTATTGGCCTTTTGAGCCAGCTGAGAAGTATAGAAGCGGAGAGATCGTTTCTGTTTCGCCTTCTCCTCTGCCTCCCGAACAGTGAGATCCTCGTCACCGAAGTCGGAATCGTCTGCATCCCTGGCCGATGTATTATTTGCCTTTTGTACTTTCCGTTTCCTCCCAGACTCTGCCACCAGATTCGACAGATCTTCCAGGCCTGCTTCGGTCTCACGGAGTCTCTCTGCCCTCCGAGCTTCTGCTTCTCGCTGTTCTGCTTCGGCGGCGCGCTGGGCTTTGGTCTTCTTCTTCTTCTTCTTCTTCTTCTTCTTCTTTTGCTCGGATTCTTTGGGTTCCTGGATCTTGTTGGCTCGCTTATCATTCTTCGATGGTGTCAAATTGGCTTCCCGGGTGTTGTCCTTCTCGCTCTTCTTCGCCGTGTCATCGACGCTGGAAATTTCGGGAATGTCAATATCCTTAACCTTGTTCCACAATTTCCTAAACTTGACAAGTGATGACATAACAGGATGCCCGCGTAGTTGAGCAGGAGGCATGGGAAGGGGTTTATCCTGGGAATCTTGGGACGGCGAAGATAAGAGCATGAAGTACATGCTGATCGCACCAAGATAGGCTGAAAGGGCACGGAATTTCATGACGGCAGTAGGTGCTGGGCCTGAAAGGTCTTCCTTGTCCATGCGAGACTCAGCAGCCTTAGCAGCATGAACCAGGTCCTGATAGGTGGGTTGAAGGTCGATAAAATCATTAGATAAAGGCTCGACCTCCGGATATCTCGATCTCAATACTTTCAGCTTTTCATCCTTGCTCATATCTTCTGGGATTTCCATCTGAGGCAAGACTTCAGTGACAACCCCAGTTTCGGCCTCTTCATCCTCTTGTCTTTTTCCAGATTCCATCCATTCGGTTTCGTCGAAGCCGAAATCCTCCTCTTCCATAGCCTCCAGATGCTTTTGCTGAAGCCGCTTGGCTTCAGCCTCCTCTTCCAAGGCATCGACTTCTGTCTCGATTTGATCGGCATTATAGAGGTCCTTTCTTGAAGTGCCCCAAGCGGCAATGCCCTCATCCTCCTCTTCCTCCTCGTCGCCAGCTTCGGAAGTAGGGCTAGAATCACGGCGCACACTTCTGGACTTCTTTGGTATTTCGCCCAAATCATTCTCATAAGCATCGTCGACTTCGACATCATCTTCATCGTCGTCGACTAAATCATCTTCGTCTATCGACTCGTAGCCAAGGATTTCCTCGTCAGAAGGCAGTAAGTCCTCATCTAAAGAAACAATATCAGAGACCCAGTCACATTTCTGTACGACATGCTTAGCCAACCTTGCTGTGCCAATTTCCGTTGCCTCTTGGCTTCTGGGCCTTCATCTAGCAGAATCTGGTCCCGACCGGCCTGGAATTCGTCCTCCGAGTCTGCGAAGGTCTCCTCAATGTCGAATTTTGAGCGGTCGAAATCCGAATTCTTATTAACAGGTCCACCCGTAGCGGAGGAGCCCGCGGCCTTTCTTTTCCTGCCCATGATCGATTAGGATGACGCCCTGAAAAATGCCGGTGAAGTCTGACCGGAGCGATCTTGATAGAACTTCAGATAAATTTTTGGATTCGCCCTCACCGCCTTCATGGCCCTAAACCAAAAGCGGGGTGTTTGCATGTTTGGACGGATATATAAAATACCGCTAGTAATATCAGTATTCCATACATACGCATCTGTACAGCTGAGTTCTGATCGGGACTTTCCATCAATGGACAATTATATCAACAGCATCGACTAAACTAGGCAGGCTCAACTGTCCCTCCTGGGCTCTTCATCTCTTTCCCTTATCTCTCCCCCGGTTCTTCCTCTCTCTCTCCCCACCCTTTATGACTTACTCGACTGCAACGCTGGGAATCTCAGCGCTCATCTGCTCCGTTGTCGCGTATACATTAGCCAAAATGTTCGGCTTCGGCTTTCGCAACGAATTCGTCGTTGATGGCAAGGTATAGATTCATTGTCCCTCCTATGTAATGGTTTGCTGACTTTCTCTCTTCAATATTTTCATAGACTGTTGTCGTCACCGGTGGCTCTGAGGGCATGGGCAAAGCTGTCGCTTGCCAACTTGCCGAAAAAGGAGCACACGTCGTCGTGGTAGCTCGCACAGTCAAGAAGCTCGAGAATGCTGTCGAGGACATGAAGGCAAGTAGTCTTGCATACCCTCCACATACTCAAGTCATAAGTACTGACAGGCATCCTCCAGGCCGCCGCAAAAGATCCTTCTACGCAAAGATTCTACCACATCAGTGCAGACCTAACTAATCCCGTCGAATGCGAGAGAGTGATCAACGAAACTGTTTCATGGAATAATGGACAGCCCCCCGATGTTGTGTGGTGCTGTGCGGGAAACAGCAAACCGGGTTTCTTTATCGACACGCCAATTCAAACACTGAGAGACCAGATGGATGCTGTTTATTGGACTGCCGCGTACACTGCCCATGCAGTGCTAAGGAAGTGGCTTGCCCCGGTTCCTGCCAGCGATGAGTCGAGGTCGAGGTCGCCTCGAAGGCACCTCATTTTTACCTCTTCCACTCTAGCATTCGTCCCTATAGCCGGCTATGGACCATATGCACCTGCCAAGGCTGCAATGCGTGGCTTGTCAGATATTCTGAACCAGGAGATCGAGATGTATAACGGTGCACGATCCAGAACAAAGATCCCTGCTCCAGCAGCCGATGTCAAAATTCATACAGTCTTCCCAATGGGAATTTTGAGCCCTGGATTTGAGAACGAACAGAAGATCAAACCCGGACTGACGAAGCAACTCGAAGAGGCTGATAGGCCTCAAACCCCGGAGGAGGTTGCCCGTATTTCGATCAAAGCCTTGGAACGAGGCGACTATCTCATAACAACAATGATGCTTGGCCAATTGATGAAGGGTACCGCTCTCGGCCCGAGTCCGAGAAACCATATCATCCTCGATACCTTGACGGGCTGGCTCAGCGGGCTGGTTATCCTCGGAGTGACTCCAGATCTGAAGAGGAAGGCATGGAATTGGGGCGTGAAGAATGGTATTGCCAATCCAAGCTCTCAGTGAACCTAACCAAGTCTCTTCCGGGTCTACGTTTATGCCCTCCTATATACCCCTTGATGTCGCCATGATGGTGCTTTGACTTGCATATGATTAGTGATTGTTTTACATCCTCGTATTCGTTCTTATTTGTACCAACCCAAGTTGACGTTGGCATTCTTAGTGTTAACAGTCCCTGGCCTGTTTTCTAGTGAAAGTCATTGACTTCAAATAGTATGTATTATTATTAAATGGACGGCTTTCATTTCTAGCATACCTTGGTTTATGCCTTGTACTCTAAGAGAAGCTCTCCTTGTATGCCAGTAAGATTGACCAAGTATAGAGATCTCCAGCCCTTCGTTTCACACTAAATCGGTCCTCCATGTTATGATCGTGGTTTTGATCCTCAGGGACGGATAAGGCTCCTTCTGACACCGTCCTTCATAACCACAAGCAAGACGAACCCACTTTGGACTGGATCGGTATATATATCGAACTGTAATTAGCGGAAGTCATGGCCGATGCGCAGAAACCTTGTAATGTTCCAGATATTGTTTGCAAGATGCATGGTTGTCGCGACATATATAAATGTCGACTTCCCCCGCTTCAAGATAAGTGCGCAGCGCTACTCGTATATCTATGACTTCATCTAGAATCTTCATCTGTTCCTAGGCTCTCAAGTGCCATATAAGCCGTTCGTCATCCCTCAAGCCTTACGACGGAGTATTCCGGTTCTAATCTAAGAACAAGAGAGGCGATGTCCAGCCGTTCCCCCTGTTATAAAGAAGCACCAGGATGGCCGAATACGATGTGGATGTGGAGAAAACCATACGGGGAGCACTTCGTGCAGCATCAATCGACTGGACATTCACCCTTTTCCCAAGGGATACGGAGCATCGAGAAACGAGAATTCGGGATGGGTTGATGGATCTATTTGCCCAACCCCCGCCATGTCTATTACTATCCAGACACGATGATGCAGATGCACGCAAGTTTGCTTAATACTTCAACAGGCCACTTTTTGCAACCTAATTTCTTCCTGTCACCTCCCTAAAGATCTTCCATCTTCCACTTCCCACATTTTTCAGCTTTTAATTCTCAGAACGCGATGGATGCCATCTTCGCCCTCCCACTCGCCATCTCCACACTTTCTTCTTTCGGCGCAAGTGTGAACCTTATCGCTTTCTACGTGATCTGGGCGACATTGGTCTTCTCCTCCAACCCGGTGCGCATCGAACTAGTCGGGACTGCAGCCGTGCGCCTTCTATTCTACGTGTTTCCCTCCTTGCTATTCTTCCTATTTGACATTTTGATTCCTTCTCTTGCCGTGGTCCTAAAGGCGCATGGCGAAAAGGGACTACCGGGTGGTAAGAAACGGGGCAGGATTCGATTGAAGGAAATCAAGGTTGCAGGATGGGCGCTGCTCAACATTGTCTTGAGCATTGCCGCGCAGGCTGGTATTGAATATTTTCGGATTCGAGTGTTGGGATGGCGGAGGGCACTTAGGGTTCAGGTAAAATTGCCTATGCCATGGGAGATTGTGACGGATTTGGCCAGGGTGCTTTTAAGTAGGGAGGTGAGTAGTCTTTTTTCCTTTTTCTATTATACCCCTGGAATTATTATAATGAGTTACGGTCATCCAATGAATTCTTTGTTTGAAATCCCCTTTGTGCAATTGTATGGTTAAAGAAAGAAATTGAATTGACGAGCACGGTTTCTTTTCTATCATAGGTTCTATCGTATATCCTCCACCGTTTTGGTTGCCATTCACGGAGATCCATACCCTTCATTGCCTCGTCTCATCAGACTTGGTACCATGCTCTTCATGCTCCGTTTCCTCTAACGGCTCACTACGACCATCCTATCGCCTACCTCCTAACTAGATTCGTCCCGACCTACTTCCCTGCCATGTTCTTCCGTATACACCTCCTCACCTTCTTCCTCTACCTCGCCCTGATATCCATTGAGGAGACATTCGCCTACTCCGGATACGTATTGAGACCCGCAAGCTTCTTCCTGGGCGGTGTTGCTCGCAGAGCGGATAGACATGTGCTATGTCAGGGCAAGGGCAACTTCGGACCATGGGGACTACTGGACCGGATTTGCGGGTCTAATGCTGTAATGGAGGAAGAAGATGAAGAGAAGGACAAGGAGAGGGAAAAGGATACAGTGAAGGGAAATGAGAAAGAGAAGTCGACAGAGATAATAGGGCAAGAAAACAACATCACGAATCATCATAATAATGAGGGCGAAAATGATGAAGTTATCGAAATTGATATCGATGAAATCGCGAAGATGATCGAAGCACCGAAACGGAGGTCCAGGACTAGTTCGAGGAAAAGTGGCACGACGCCTGTGAAGAGAAGGCTCAAAAGGGGAAGAAGAAGTCATGATGGATATGACCATGGTGACTACAATTGGCGTCCTCGTCATGATTAATGTGATGGTTTTGTGTCTGCGCAGTGGACGAATATTTCAGAAAAATCTATGAAGTTTGGAGTTAGATTAGAACCTGTTCGTGCTTGACAACGTCGGAATGGGTCATTTTGCACATCAAGATAAGTTCACTGGCTCATTATTTGAACTTGCTCATATTTGGCTGCTGGCTGGCTGGTATTATTTTTTTATCTTAAAAAAAAAAACATTCTGGGGGATTTCTGCTTCCTAATGTCTTTGGTTGCAAATGGGTCAATGTTGAAGGGTCCGTTCATGAAAACAAGTAAACTCGGGAGGGAAGTAATTCCTTGTCTCTTTTTCTTTTCTTTTTTTAGGATTCCGAATTTGATACCCGTACTTCCTAAGGCGAATAAAGAACAAAAATAGCGGAACTTCGTGATCGCAAAAAAAGGTTACAGGATTTCATGAGCTGCTCCTCCCGCGCCGCAAATGCTTTTCCCCATAGACAGGACGAAGTATTCCGTTAATTTTTATCCCTTATCGGGGGACGCGCGTTATTTGCATGCTAGCCACCCCCTCATGAATGTCTCCACAGAAAAAAAAACACTCTCAACTACCGGACCCGCGGCTGCCTCGTCACGCATCTACCACTTCATCTCGTGGGGCTTGTCGCCGTTCCGGAGGCTGAAGGTGGTGGCGAGGTAGCTGCCAAGGAAGTTCTCCTTCTTGACGCTTGCCAAGATGGTCTGGTCGATGGCCTTCTGGTCATTGGCGCGGTCACTGGCAACCTTCTTCTTCTGTTTTAACGGTTCCAATATTAGCATCCCATTTCCCCATGGTATTCTTCCATTCTCACGAGAACAAGATAAACGTACCTCAGCCTTCTCTCCCTGCTGGAAGAAAGCCTCCTCGCTCTTCTTCTCCTGGCTCTTCTCCTTGGTGAAGTATTCCGGAGCAGAGGCCTTCTCCAGAGCCTTCTGGTCAACACCGCTGATGTCAACACGCTTGCTGGTGGCGATCACGTAGCGGGCGTTAACTCGTCGGAGAGGAACGCCATTGATCTTGAAGGGACCGGTGACGAGAAGGACACCCTGGCCGAGGTGCTTGAGGAGGATAACACGCTTGCCGCGGAAACGTCCGGCGAGGAGGATCAGAATAGCACCGGGCTGGAGACTTTCCCGGAGCTTGGTAGGACGGATGGCCTTGCGGACCTGTAACAGAGCAAAAATGATATCAAGTTAGAACTTATGTCCAAACATGCACATAAAATTCCCGCATTCAAATGTAGTTCTCTTCCCCCCGAATCTGCAATTCCATTATCGAACTCAACGTTCCATCCACGCCGGCCCTTGTTCGAACCAAATGAAATAACCTGGCTCCTTGACCGGCGCATTTGTCGCATTGTCCCATAACGAAACTGCAAATTCTTTTCCTTTTTTCTTCACAGGGTGTACTGACTTTCTTGGGCTGCGGCTCGTCATCCACGGGGTACCATTTCTGGGCTTTCTGGACCGGGTGCGGAACGGTCCTCTGGCCCTTTCCAAACTGCTTCGTCTGGCCAACTGTAGAGTCCGACATATTGGCTCCTAGGGACGAAGAAAGGAATGTAGGAGGGAGGGGGTGTGTTGTCGACGGCGGGAGGTTGTAGGATTGAGCGAGTCTTGACTACTTGCGGCCCAGCGCGGGAACGGAGTGAGGTTTGTGGGTGCGCAAGCCCTATAAATTAACCGAATGCCGCTAGGGCCGATTGGGAGCACCTGATACGGCATACTGATAGCAGTGCTCGGGCGGACCGCAGAGACCACAGGCGTAGGACAAGCTCTCCCCATCAAAACAGGCGAGTTGACGTTGACGTCTCCATTCAGCAAGGCTCACTGCACGATCTTGTTGGTTTCTGTCTGCAACGAGGTCTGCTACAAAAAGAATCTTTTACTACCTATTGTCAAATACTTTCCCACAACACTCTTCGCCATGTCCATAATCCCCATCCTCACTTTCAAAGCGGGTATCTGCGACTTGGATGTACGTGCAACCTCCACGTCTCGTTGAGGATATGACACGGCTTGAATCTGGTTCTTTTCATCTAATACTAACCAAGTATATGCCTCTAGACCTCCAACTCTCCTTTCCAAGTTAAGCCGAAGTCAACCCCAGGCTACATCTATCTTTACTCTGAAGATGAATTGGTCCACTTCTGTTGGCGTCCACGCTCGGCACCGCTTTCAGAACCCGAGCTGGATCTGGTGATGGTCCCTTCTGATGGCAGCTTTGTGCCGTACAAACCAGCTGGCAAGGAAGCACCTACAAACGGGCGGATTTACGTGCTGAAGTTCTCGTCAAGCTCCCAACGCTATCTCTTTTGGCTGCAATCCAAGTCACAACACGAAAGAGGAAACCCGAGCTGGTTCAGTCCTAGAGATCTCAAGCTTGGGGAGATTGTCAATGCACTACTTCAAGGAGAGGATGTTGACGTTGAAGATGAAATCGCCAATCTTCCTAGAGGTCATGGTGGTGGCGAGGATGACGACGAGACCATGGAGGATATCGAAGGCACACATCATGACCCAAACCACAATCATGGAGGCAGTGGTGGAGCAGGTTTTGATGCGACAGGAGGGGACATTAGGGAAGAGGGCGAAGAGTCGAGGGAGGGTGGTGCCGATGGCGGAAGAGCGTAGGTGCATATTTCTGAATCATAGGAAAATTGGTGACTCTCCCTGTTATTCATCCCTTTCGGGGATATGTGTTACCAGGCGTGTCTCATTTACCCGTTTGCCTGTGTTTAGAAAAAGTTACCCTTCGAAGCTCTGTTACCTTTCCAAGACTTGAAATCCACCGGCTAATTAGATCCTTTCTCCAGAGCAACTGCAGCTTCAGATCCGTCCTCGGTTGTGCAAGGCTTTCTGAGGTCTCTCCAAGGAAACCAAGATTTGGCTCAGGGTCCCGATAGGACTTTCACTACTTTGCAGGATCTCCTCCCTCCTTCGTCAACGCTTCCGTACATTGAATCCGCAGACACAGAAACCGTGGACAACCTTCTAAACTTCCTACCATCCTCTCTTCTACTACTGGCACAGGATATTGGAGACGTGTCTAATGCCGAGCCAGAACTCGCGGAAGCGATCAAGCAATCTCTCGACCTCTCGCAAAAGAAAGATATTCTCCGCCGCGTCCTTCACTCGCCTCAGTTTTCACAGAGTCTTGCCAGTTTGACTGTTGCTCTGAGGGAGGGTGGCTTGCCTAGTATTAGTGAAGCTCTCGAAATTCCGGTGGAAAATGGAGGCTTTATGCGCAGGGGAGGTGTGCCGCTTGGGGATGGTGATGCTGTCGATGCTTTTCTCTCCGGCGTTCGGGATCATGTAAAAGAAAGACGCTCGAAGCAAGGGCATGGTGGCATGGAAACAGATTGACCCTTGCCATTGTTTCCTTCACAGCCTGCATGTCTGTGTCTATATGTTTCTTTTAAGTTTCGAATAAATAATCAATGATACCTATCTTACAGAGTAGGCTGTTTCACATTGCATGGCTATTTTTGGAAGCCTTTAGCGTTATGTACAGGTGGTGTCTACAGTACAGAGATACCTTAGAAGCTCTCTACATAGACAGTATTACAGTCCCTCATTTATGAAGAGTATAGTGTGCGTACTTAAAGGGAATTAGTAGGGTCTTGGTCTCTCATTCCATTGGTCTTCGATTACCGTTGAATGCGCCGCGCCCGGGGAGAGTATATACTAGAAACGCAGGGGTACGGTGCAGGAGCCTGGAGGTAAAGGCCCGATAAATGTATACTGATATTTCCTGTGGATTATGACGCGTACGTACTCCATTCGGATATCATATTGGCCATTCTTATTCAGTATTATTTCCATTTGGTGGGATGTGGTAATGCACATACATATGGTGGGTGCAGAATACTGTAGTAGCCCGATCACCTGAGAAGATGTGAAAAGTGGCAGACTCCTGCTGGGAGACATAGTCACTGCTAAGTACGATGGTAAGGGGAACGTAGCGGTCACTTCCTACAATGCTAAGCACAAGTGATCTTGTCCGACAGCTGGTTGGCATCCTGATCCTTTAGGCTGTGATGTTCGCGGCCTTAACGCAGTCCACAAACGGGCGTCATTATTCTATATAAAATGGCACTTTTTAAGAGCTTAATATCTCAACAACAAGGCATCTAGGGGCCATAGAACCTGAGATACAGGATAATTAAGTGCTATGTTTATATAAATTATGTAGAGAGTTCTCTATACTACGTATTTATTGAGGTAATATAAATTACAGATGTGTTTTTTGGTATTTTTGGTTATTCTAATGTTTGAAGCCAATATACATATACATATATTTAAAAAATTATAAAAAATTGGAGGCATCCTTTTAGAGCCACTTTACACATTTGTCCTATTTGTATGCTTCTACGTCCACTAGTGATGACAATATTAAGCTCTTAAAAAGTGCCATTTTATATAGAATAGAGGTGCGACGCTTGTGGATTACGTTACAGAAATTCACATTGAGTATTTCCCCTAGTTCAGCCCAGTGGTCCTTGGCATGGTCTGTGGTGCTTATGAACAGCTGGATCAACGCTGCTATAAATGGTTATTATTGCGACCATTACTAGGTGACTTCCACGCCTTGACATTGCGACAAGCAACTGTTTAATGCCTTTCTTAACTGTGCTAGCTGCTTGGTTATAGCAGCCGACTCATCACGTCCAGCGTCCTTTACAACTTCCTCTATCTACGCGTTGGCGGTTCCCCAGTCTAGACTTCGCCATCACGACTCTCCAGACTCCGACTTGTTTCAATCCCTTCAATCCTCGCGTTCCTCATCGCGAGAGCAGTATAATTCCCCGTTTTTCTCCTTTGATCCGTTCCTTTTTGATCTTCGAGATCGATAGCATTGAAACTCCGAAGCATAAACCGCCGTCTGCGATGTATGGGGTCAGCCGATAACCTCCAGTTCAGCCTACGATGGCGTCAAACGACCGCGGCCGCGACAATGAGAAGGACAATGCTCCCACGAGTCCGATACCCCTGCAAGACCTATCCAGGCCGCCGAATACAGATGATGTCGAGGACCGTGGAAGAGGACGCCCAAGCGGCATGAGGAGGAGCCTCCTGCCTGCGTTGAGAAATTATCAGAGGATCGCAGAAGTCTCGTCTCCGGAAACTTCTGCAGCGGAAAGAAACCCGTTCTCTACTCCATACGCCTCCGATCGCGAACATAACGCGCCCTTCCTGGATGATCCGGCTGGATTTGCGCAGGCTATGTCATCTGTCGGGCTCAGTTTTGAGGGAGCACAACATACTACCACGCCATCAGCCGCACGCCCTTCCTACGAATATTCCGATACGGAACTAGACAATGTGCCCTTAAGTCCCTACGCGACCTTCGATCATGACCGTTATATCTCTCCCGCCATCACAAACGAGGATACCACCCACTTGACCGACCAGACATACCTCCAACCTATAAGTGGATCGTCGACCGCAGCCGATAAGGGCAGAACCGTTCGTTTTGAAGACGATGGCTACTCGATTGGTTCGCGACTGGGCGATGATCTTCCGCACCTGGAGGCAGGGTCGGGCGGCCGAAAACGTGGCGGCAGTGCGAGCGCAGGGGACCGATCTCGTTCATTGTCCCCATCGTCTCCCAGTTCCGCAATGCATAGGGCGAGCTCAATGGTGAAGTTAATGTCTCAACGTGTTGTCAACCTGACAAATGAACCCGAAGTGATAGAGCATTCGATTCAAAAAGAAGAGTCTTTGAAAAGTTCTCGACTAGAAGGGCCTCCTGAGCTTCCTGCGATGACAGATCATGCCCACGACGCGCCATTCCGGGGAAGTTTATTTAATGCACAGGCCTCTAGGGAAAAGAAGCAACGACTGGGTAGTTCATGGAGATATCGTAACAACCCTTTGAAGGGGAGGACCCTCGGCATATTTGGACCGAATAACCCCATCCGAACTCGCCTCTGTGATATCCTAGTCCATCCGCTCACGGAACCCTTGATTCTGTTGTTGATTATCCTACAGACAGTCTTATTGACAATTGAATCATCTTCCTCCAAGTTCACATGGAACAATCCAAGCTCTAAGCGTTGGGGCTCATCTTACATGGATTACTGCTTCCTCGCCATTTTCATCATCTACTCTCTAGAGACAATTTCTAGAATAGTGGTTTCAGGATTCGTATTCAATCCTGCCGAGTACAGCACCTTGGATCGATCGCTAGGCTGGAAACAAGCAGTATTGCAGAGAAGCAGGAATATCGTCCAACCGCATCGGGAGGCCTCGACAAAGAAGACAACTGTTTTAGCCGAGCCACAGGTTTCAATCCTACGGACGTTTACAGGCTTGAATCAACTAGAGGAACAGGCGGTTGATGATCGCCAGCGGCAACGTATTAGACTAGCTCGTCGTGCGTTCTTGCGACATTCTTTCAATCGCCTCGATTTTGTGGCCGTCGTATCTTTCTGGGTCTATTTCTGCCTTTCGTTGAAAGGGGTCGAAGTTCATCGTCTTTTTCGGATGCTGAGTTGCCTTCGGATTCTACGCCTCCTTTCGGTGACCAATGGTACTTCGGTGGGTTAAGCATACTGTTATATCTTTTTCTATACTCGCTGGCTGACCAACTACAGGTGATCCTTCAGAGTCTTAAGAAGGCAGCACCCTTGCTAGTTCATGTCGCGTTCCTTATTTCCTTCTTCTGGCTTATCTTTGCTATCATAGGGAACCAGAGCTTCAAGTCGAGTCTGCGCAGGACTTGCGTTTGGATCGATCCTTTGGGACAGAATAACTTTACTCAAAATGGACCTGACTCTTTCCAGTTTTGTGGTGGCTATTACACAGACGACTGGGAGAAGGTTGGCTGGGTCAGGGAGGATGATCCCTCCCATCCCCATACACCAAAAGGCTATATATGCCCTCCCGGGTCTATATGCGTGCAAGGATCAAACCCTTTCAATGGAACGGTAAGCTTCGACGATATTCTACATTCTATAGAACTTGTTTTTGTCATCATGTCCTCGAACACCTTCACGGACTTAATGTACTATACGACTGACAGCGATTTCCTTCCGGCCGCGCTGTTTTTCGCCTTTGGCATTGTTATTTTGAGCTTGTGGCTGGTGAACCTGTTAGTTGCGGTTATCACCCACTCTTTCCAGGTGATTCGAGAAGAAAGCAAGCGAAGTGCCTTTGCTGTACAGAAGATCGATGAAGTGGACAGAGAAAACTTGGCAGCGCGCAAGGTCAGCCAACTCAAACACATTTACGACAAGACGTCATGGTTCTGGGTCTGCGTTATTCTCTTCGACTTGATTGTGATGGCCTTGAGAAGTGCATCTATGGGAAAGAGACGAGCGGACTTTATCGACGACACCGAGATTGTCGTCACCTTGGTTCTGCTTGTGGAGATCATCCTCCGCTTCGCATCCGACTGGCGTGTGTTCCATAGGAATTTCCGCAACTGGGTTGATCTTGGTCTTGCGATCGTTACGTGCATTATCCAAATACCTCCTATTAAGAACTCCGGCCGCCCGTATTCCATACTGACGCTTTTCCAAATACTCCGTGTATATCGAGTCATTCTGTGGATGCCGATGACAAGAGACCTCATCATGATTGTTTTCCGCAATACCGTTGGTCTGCTAAACCTTATAATGTTTGTGTTCTTGATCACATTCCTTGCGGCCATATTTGCGACCCAACTTTTCCGCGGACAGATACCTCCAGAAGACTCATCCGGAAATAATATCGCAACCACATTTTCCAATATCTATAATTCGTTTTTGGGGATGTATCAGATCCTGTCAAGTGAGAACTGGACCGACATTATGTACAGTACGACAACGTACACAGCGCGCTTCGGAACTGCTTGGATCTCCGCGGCGTTTTTCATTTTGTGGTTCATTGTGGCCAATTTTGTCGTCTTGAATATGTTCATTGCTGTCATTCAGGAGAGTTTTGACGTGTCAGAAGATGAGAAACGGCTGCACCAAGTTAGATCATTCCTGGAGCAAAAGCATGCCGGCGGGCCTTCGCAAGCGAATATGTCGCTTGCGGCAATGCTTAAGTGGGGCCGTGATCCCAGTCGTTTCAGAGATCCTCTTGATCATGGACCGGCAGCCTTGGAATTGCTTCTGAAGGATGCTGTTGTCCGAGAGTTTCTTGATGAGCGGGAGACCCCATTAAGTGCTCGGAGAAGAGAAAGCATGCCGCAAGATGGAACACCTGAAGAACAAGTTCAACCGGGCTTTCTTTCCCGCATTTGGACTAGCATCGCCAATGCTATCGTTCGGAGGGAACCGAATCCATTCTATGCAAAGCTCAAATTCTCGCGTGGTTACGAAGAGCTGGATCCGAAAGACATGGCGCAGCAGGTTGTCTCGGCTGCCGAGGAGAGAAAGAGAGCACAGCGGGAATATCTCATGAAGCATCCTAACTATAACAAGTCCTTGTTTATATTTGCTCCAGATAATCCCATACGCCATTTCTGTCAGCGCATTGTCGGACCGGGGCGCGGGGACCAGCGCGTGCAGGGGGTGGAACCATACAAGACCGTATGGATTGCGTTCTCTATTTTCATCTATGCAGCTATTGTTGCCATGGTTCTGCTCGCATGTATAACCACTCCGATTTATCAGTGGAAAAACTTTCATTCGAACTCGAACAGGAACTGGTTCATATATACCGACCTAGGCTTCTCAGTCCTCTTCACAGTTGAGGCTGTCATCAAAGTCATTGCGGACGGGTTTTTTTGGACCCCTAACGCCTACCTTCGCAGTTCATGGGGCTTCATAGATGGAGTCGTCTTGGTTACGCTGTGGATCAACGTTATCACCTCACTCTCTGAAGATTGGCGTGTTTCTAGGGTGATTGGTGCCTTCAAAGCCCTGAGAGCGCTGCGATTGTTAAATGTCAGCGACAGTGCAAGGAACACTTTCCATTCCGTGGTTATTGTGGGCGGGTGGAATGTCATCTCCGTAAGTCTAACCTGCCCTATCTTTTATGTTTTTTGGGGCTGACCAAGAATGCTCTCCGTAGGCCGCTGCGGTTTCCATGAGTTTACTCATTCCTTTCGCCATTTACGCCGTGAACTTGTTTAGCGGACAACTGGTACAGTGTAACGATGGCAATATAAACGGGAGTTTGAATTCATGCATAGACGAATATGCTAGTTCTCCCTACAACTGGGACGTTCTTGCACCGCGCGCGGCGTCTAATCCCTTCTACGATTTTGACAACTTCGGCCAGTCCCTCTTCATATTATTCCAGATTGTTTCTCAGGAAGGTTGGATTGATGTCCAGCAGAGTGTAATGAGCATTACTGGAGTAGGTATGCAGCCGCAGAACTCAGCTTCGAATTCAAATGGCCTGTTCTTTGTCATATTCAACTTGCTCGGTGCCGTCTTTGTCTTGACACTTTTTGTGTCTGTGTTCATGCGGAATTACACAGAGCAAACAGGTGTCGCCTTCCTCACGGCTGAACAGCGCTCTTGGCTTGAATTGCGGAAACATCTCAGGCAAGTTTCTCCATCCAAAAGATCGGTTGACAGCGACAGCCCGCAGTGGAGGAAGTGGTGCTATCGTGTGGCTGTCAAGAAACACGGTCGATGGGCAAAGTTTGTGACTGTAACCCTCTTGCTTGACCTGCTACTCCTAATTTTGGAATTCTATCCTGAAAAGCCGGTATGGGAAAAAGTACGGGGTAGGTTCGCTTTCTATTTATTTAATCCAGGCAAGGAGAGAGATGCTGGGGACTCCAACTGACTGAGTCGCTACCAGAGGCGTTTTTTTTCTTCTTCACTTTAATCTACATGACAAATGTCATTATTCGGATAACTGGGCTGGGTTGGCACCGATTCAGGAGGAGCTCATGGGATCTATACTCGCTGGTGTCTGTACCCGGTACTCTTACGACGACAATCCTCAGTTTCGTGATGCCACATAACCAAGTTCTCGTGGAGCTGAACAAACTTTTCCTTGTTTCCATCACGCTTCTACTCATTCCTCGAAATAATCAGCTCGACCAGCTTTTTAAGACGGCAGCTGCAAGTTTCACTGCGATCGGAAATCTGATTGCCACATGGTTTGTCCTGTTTCTAGCGTTTGCCATCGCGATGAACCAAATCTTCGGTCTTACTAAATTCGGCACCAACGAAAATAGCAACATTAACTTTAGAGACGTGCCCAGGGCCCTTATATTACTCTTCCGCACTAGCTGCGGCGAGGGGTGGAATCAGCTCATGGAAGATTTCGCTACCATGGTCCCACCATACTGCACACAGACTGAGGACCATTACCAGGATGACTGCGGAAGTGCGGCGTGGGCGCGGACTCTCTTCATTGCGTGGAATATCATCAGCATGTACATCTTTGTTTCGCTGTTCGTTTCCCTTATTTTCGAGAGCTTTTCGTATGTCTATCAGAGAAGCAGCGGGCTTTACGCAATAAGCCGGGAAGAAATCAGGCGTTTCAAGCAAGCGTGGGCCATATTTGATCCACATGGAACTGGATTTATTACGAAGCAACAGTTCCCTAGGTTGCTGGGGGTAAGCGGGAAGAACTGGAGCCCTTTCACATTCAGTGGTACTGATGACTGATAAAACGTCGTCGATAGGAACTGACTGGTGTTTTTGCAATGCGCATCTATGAGGGAGATTTTATGGTACAGCGTATCCTGGAGAAGTGTCAGGTCGATGTTCGGGACTCGATGCCCTCTGATGGACGAGTGGTGGAAGGCGTGGATCTGGATCACTTGTCTGCAATCGTGCAACGGATACCGGTCGAGGACATCCGGAAGCGGCGACAGCGGCTGAACAATTTTTACGAAGAGATTCTCGTGTCTGCGGATCCTGTGCGTGGTATATCGTTCCATACGTGCCTTATGGTCCTTGCGCATCACAATGTCATCAACGACAGCAAGAGTCTGAGACTTGAAGAGTACTTGCGTCGCCGTGCGCGATTGCAGCGGGTGGACGAAGCCGTTCGTCGAAACACGGTGATCGGTTTTTTCGACACCCTGTACTGGTCTCGCAGATTCCGGCAGCGGATCAATGAACGGCGGTCAGCTCGGATGGAAGCGGTGCCGCAGTTCGAGGTCCCGGAGATCTTGGTAGATTACCAGGATAGTGACAATGAGAACGGTGCGAACGACGATAATAAGAGCAACCCAGAGCAGGTGGTAATGGGATCCGCTGATATTGCATCCGCGAGCCGTGATGGGGAGACGTCGCCGATGCTATCCCCGACAACGCGCAGTCGCGCAAACACCGGCACGTCGCAACACCGCGGTATACCACTCCGGATTAACACCAGTATGGGCGGCCAGGCATCAGCAACCAGCTCACCGACGGAATGGTCGGCCATCAGCCCGTCACTATCGCGCCGCGTGGACATGGAAGCTATGTACGACCGGCCAGACGAATCGGATGCATTGCAGAGACGCACAGCGGACCATTCGCGGCAGAACAGCGCGATGAGCGTGCAGGATGTCATGGACTCGTTGGACAACTCTGCGTGGGGCGAGAGCATCCGACGCAGCTTTACACAGCGTCGGCCTCGAGGAGAATGAACCTACGACACTTGTCATAGATGCGGATGATGACTATAGGGGGATTGGCTATTTTGATTATTTCCGGGTGTTTTCTTTCTTTCCTTGCATAGCAGTGGCGTGGGCATGTATATATTTTCGCTACCATCTGGATAGATGTTTTACGGGCTGGTCTGTCATGTGCGGCAATTGAATTTATGAGTAGCATGTTTCCAGCAATAAATAACCTGAGAAAGACGGCTGTACCATGGGCGGATGGAAGGTTCCATGGAACGCATCCCAGCACCGCTGCATCCTGGTGCATAGACTGGATGATAAGATCATCAGCCCGGATGTCATGGAAGAGTGGAAGAGGCATGATTGGAGGTGTTTCCCTCTTACGTACTATTCTTCTTTTATTTAATATTATTATTATCAGAAGCAGAGTCATCAGTCACACTATTAATCTTAATAAAATCATGTGCTGTGAGGATGATGTTGATGCAGCCCTCTCCACCATCACCACCATCTTCATCCTCATCTTCATCATCATTGATTGAATCCTTCAGTATTTAGGCACCTTCTGCAACGCGCTATTATGACGATTCTTGCCTCTTCCGTCTCCTTTCTTTGTACCTATCACTCTGCCCATCAGCCCTCTCGGCTCTGATAAAGTCTGTCTCGGCGCGGCCGCTGCTTGCTTCCCGTTTCTTTCTGACTCCTCGTTTCGTGTCTTGCCCATTGCTGTCCTTTGTCTCTCGTCATCCTCTCGCTCTCTTTTTGCCTTCTTCCCTTGCCTCTCCTTATTTTCGCGATTTTTTCCAAGGCATTCGTTTTGTCTTTCCCCATATCTTTGCCTCCTTGAACAGGCGCCCTTGGCTTCTGATTCTTGGTTTCGTGCTGTCTCCTTGCGTCGTGTCGTGTCGTGTTATCTATCATTTATTATTATATTTTTTTTTCATCCCCATATTGCCCAGGCAGGACTTGGAATGTTCCCTTACACTCTTCTAATACTCCAGTGAGGTTATTACCCCAGCTGCATTTGCGTACCTGCAGTCTCTCGTGATCCGAATCCGACCGACAACTGTGCAGAGACATACCAACGACGACGACGACGTCCATCAGTCACACTCGAAGCACGACAGTTCTCCTCTTTAAACTGGAACGGTCCCATCTCGCGACCTAGAAACCATCAAAAATGCGACGCAACAATCTTAATGTGCCACCGCCGCTATCCCCATCCGCCTTCGACATTCCGGTTGGCACTGAGGTGCCCTTTCCACCCCAATCCCGCGGTCGGACAGCAAACAACGATTTCTCCCACCCCTATCCATACCCTTACTCCTGCTCATCGTCAGCGAGCCCACTGAGCTCGGCTGCCACCAGTCCCGCCTCCTCGCCTACCTCTCCTTTCCGAAGAATATACCGGGGACTGTCGTCCTCGCGTTCCGATGGAGATGCGACCCGCAGTCGAAGTCAGAGCCCCTTCAGCTTACACTCAGTTCTCCGTGCGCGGCCGTCGCTGATTCTTCTTCGTCGGCGCCCCTCCTCGGTCGACATTGCGTTGAGCGAAGAGCGCTATCGGTGCGATGAAGACTCGGTAGAAAGACAAGGCCTCGAACTCTTGGAACCAAGGCCAGTTGATCCGGTGGATATTCCCATGGATTTGAATTCCCATATATCGGGGAGCAACAGTATCAAAGCAGCGCTGTCGTCTGGTTCATCTTCTCCCACTCGTCAGACGCAATCGCAGTCGCAATCACAACCACGATTCGTGATGGGCGGCATAGTTGAAGTAATGGAGGGTCAGGCATGAGACGAACCGCAGTACGGTGCCAAATTCTTGGGACCCTCGAGAAGAAGTTAAAGTGATCATTCTACCCTCTTTCAGGAAGTCATGTTCGTTGGCTTCTGGTATCTGCGAGTCTGCGATAAGCTCGCTGATGTCTTCCTCATCGTGTCCTCCACGCGGAATCCGTGTTGGATCGAGTTCCGCTTCACGTCACCTCTTACGAAACCTTTACGCGCAACACACGCCGAGTCTCATACTAACCGTTTACCTTTATTACCTTTTTCTTCTTTTTCTTCCGGGCAATAACTACTTTTAATTTCACCGTTTCCTCAGGCCAACGCTAACTACTTGCCATACTTGTTTTAATCATGCATATTGATGCACTGTCGATCGCTTTGTTGGGCATGGATAGGAAACCATGGATGGGTTTGGATGGAACATATGTGTGGATGGATAGGAATGTCTTTTAATTCTCTCTCTTTTCTCCATTCTGCCATTCTTTTTGATCATTTCTTTTATCATCTATTCAATGGTGTTTGGAGTCTAAGAATATCGTGCTGTTTTTCTTCTTTTTTTCTGCATGTGGTTTGTATTGAAGCTGTGCTGTACTTACTGACAGGTACATACTTGCAATGGCATAATCAGCCATGTTAGAGTGGCCACGATGTCGTCCATAGTACAAACTACTAGTACAACAATCCAGCCACCTTTTTTTATAAGATAACGTATCTCATCTGCGTCGGTTAATTTACTGAACAAGAATCCCAAGAACCGCAAATTCCCAATTGAGCCATGATCGAGTACCTAATAATGTGCCTAAGTACCTAGGTAGGTAACTAATGTACCTAGGAACTGCTAGTTTCCCCGCTGCTTCGGCCCGGCCCATCACATGTACCAAACTTCACGATTTCAGAATCCACGGGTCAAGCCTACCGCATGACGACCTTTGGATCTCGAGACATCGCCAGTCGAGTCCGATGCCACTAGATAATGTCAGTCCGCAATATTCACCAACAGCGGGTAAAAAAGAAAAAACCCAACCTTTCCACATGAAATAGGATCATAAAGAGGTGGATGCTCATCATCAACACACGTCGGGACGACAGCGCAGGTAGAGTCAGGATTGAACCCAAAAAAGAACGGCATTGAGTACCGGGAAGTTTTCTGTCGATTATATACCCGGTGCACCGTCGACTTGAACCTATTATTCGACAGCCGCGACAAGAAATCGGCGATATTGACCACTATCGTGCCGGGGATAGGGTGCGCATTCAACCACTCGCCCGACGCGCTCAGCACCTGCAGCCCACCCGACATATCCTGCCACAAGAGCGTGAAGCACTGTATGTCCGTGTGGGAACCAATTCCCACATCGAAATCGGTGACTTTGTCCGCGTCGGGTGTACCGGGGTAATGAATGTAGAGCCCGTCCGCGCCGGGATGGGTTGTGATGTCGTCGAAGTAAGTCTCCGGTAGGTCCAGGGCCAGCGCGAAGATTTGGACCAGCTTCCGTGCAAGCTCCAGACGACGCTGCCAGAAGGCGATGGTAACGTCGCGGAAGCCCTGGAGATGGCTCACGTTTTCCCAGATGGAGTCGTGCAGGGCGTAGTAGCTCGTGTCACTTCCTGTCATTTCTGGGTTCCCCCTTGGGTCGAGTCGGGGGTCATACTCTATGCCAAATGTCTCTTTCCGATCTGTAGTTGGTTTCTTGTGAGCAACGGATTGGATTCTTCATTTTCTTTTTTCCATCGACGATACTTGATCAGACCTGCCTTTTGATTCCGTCCTGTTAGCCTGGGCCCACCCGACCCCGGAATATCCAACCGTATGGTCATATTTTTGAGAAGAGAGCTTTTCTTTCTGGCTCGCGGGTTGGTCAAAGAAGCGTTTGGCTTGGGAGAGGGCATCCTGGATGAGTTCCTCTGATATGCCATGGTTCTTGATATAGAAGAATCCCGTGTTCTCGGCTGCTGCTCGAATCTTAGCTGCAAGACCCTTCCGGGCTTCAAGATTACCATTGATCGGGCCCAGATCGATTACAGGGATCTCATCCTCTGTCGCCGGACGGGGTGGTGCCGTAGATACCTGGCGAAATGTCGGGCCCTGCGCACTGCGTAGTTCAATATGCGTGTATGTCTGCGTTTGAGTCTCGGTTGACGACATGGTGCGATTTGGGAGCTGGTAGTTCTCCTGAGCTGAGCTGAGCTGAGCCCGGTCGATGCAAGCGCTTATATAGACTGATCTTGTTGGTTTCGCTGCTTTCACTCTATCTGCACGGAGTTCACATGGAATCTCATCAAGGCATCTCTCATGGAGCCTCGACACAGTCGGTAACCGTCGGTAACCATTATCTCCAGCACAAAATGCGAAGGATAGGTTAGCTACTCAAGGTGATAACGACGGTAACCGTCGGACACATCCATACACGGAAGTGTAGATAAAAGACAGCGGCCTTGAGTAAGTGAGGATGAAAAGCTCCGACGATCACCGTCGGCAAACCAAAAGAAGGGAAATTCAAAGCGACGAGCTCTCGCATTCTTGATACGAAACATCGAGCATATCATCAGCTCCTTGATAAGACAAAGGTCTACGCTTTTGAGACCGAGCATGTCGCCAGCCATGGACATGGATCAAAAATGGTGTGTAGGACCCCGTCATCATATAAAGGGTAGCACAGGTCAAACCTCTCCCTTTCCACACCTCATTGCGGCTTCATATATAAAAGAAAAAGAAAGAAAAAATGGCCAAGCGGCTTGCTGCCCGGTTGAACGAGCGACTGCTAGTGAAGAACTACGACCGAGACGGCAACCCACGACCAGTCGAGTATCTGGACAATGACCACCTGAGGCCGATTCCCGTCCAAGACCGCCGCTGGACGCAGCTCACCTACACATTCTTCTGGTTCTCAGCCACCGCAAACGTCAGCAATCTGTATGGCGCGTCGACGGGCATGACCATGGGCCTGGCCATGTGGGAAGCCGTCGCCTGCTCCTTTGGCGGACAGATCATGGCTGGATTGCTCATGGCCCTCAACGGACGAGGCGGCGCGATGTACCGGATTCCATTCCCTGTTCTGTGTCGTGCTAGTTTCGGTCCATGGGGTGCACTGTGGCCTACGTTCAATCGGGCTGTGATGTCGATTGTGTGGAATGGCGTTAATACGGTCCAGGGAGCGCAGTGTTTATAGTAGGAATACAAGGTGAGCATTTCTTAGAATATGCAGATACTGACATCTTTCACAGTGTAGTTCTGTATGCAATCTTCCCTTCGTTTGCAAATATACCAGACAAAATGGGTCCTAAGTCTGCGTTGAATTCGGGGGGTATGATTTGCTTCTTCGTTTACTGGTAAGCCAGCAGTTTAACTTCTCGATACTGTGTGGGGTCCAATCTCACGCAGTACAGGGTCATAAACTGCGCATTCCTCCTAATCCCCGTCCCCAAAATGCGAGTCCTGGTCTACATCAAAGTAGCCGTGTATTACGTCGCTGCTTTCGCCATGCTGGGCTGGACAGTCTCGCTGGCTGGAGGCTCGGTCAAAACACCCAGGACATCCACTCCGATTAATGGCCCCGAGAAGTCTTGGGTTATCGTCAAATTTCTCTTCCTGGGTCTGGCGAGCTGTGGGACGTTTATCTCCAATGCCGCTGATCTTCAGCGCTATGCTCGGAAGCCGAATGATGTGATCCTTGGTCAGGTCATTAGCTTTCCTCTTTCTAATCTGCTGGTCGCTATTTTGGGGAATGTTATTGCTTCTGCGAGTCAGAGGGTTTTTGGGGAAGTGGGTTTTCTTCTTCTTTTCTTTTTCAAGTGGTTATGGCTGATCCATTTTGACAGCTCATCTGGAATCCGTTGACATTCTTGGAGAGATTGATGGAGGGAGATCGATATACATCTGCAAATCGTGCTGGATGCGCCTTTATTGGCCTTGGTTTTGTCTACGCCAGTGTCTTCTCGGCCATTTTTGAGAATTCTATTTCGTACGTTTAAGCCTTGAGGTTAATGTAAGGGGCATGTTTTGACCCCTTAACAGAGCCGGAAACGACATTGCAGCCCTATGCCCGCGTTATATCACCATCAAACGGGGCTTCTTCATCTGCGCAGGTGAGTCTACGCATACAACGGGGTGAAAATATCCAGGTTGCACCAAGATAATAATAATAATCCCTTACAGCATTCACCTACGCCATCTGCCCCTGGTACCTCCTCGCAACAGCCTCCGTCTTCATCAACTTCCTCTCATCCTACCAAATCTTCCTCTCTGCAATCGCCGGCATCCTAATCTGCGACTACTACCTCCTCCGCCGCGGCCACCTACACGTCCCATCCCTCTACTCCAGCAGCAAGGAAAGCCTCTACCACTTCCTGCACGGATGGAACCTGCGCGCCTTCGTGGCGTATCTGATCTCCATCGCGCCCAGCTTCTACGGGTTTCTGAACCAGCTTGGCGTCAAGGCTCCCTTGTCCATACAGAGGTTCTACTACGTTGCTTATCCGACCAGTTTGCTTATTGCTTTTGGCGTGTATTGTGGGTCTAGTTTGGTCTTTCCGGTCAAGGGGATGACGACGGAGCGTGGGTGGAAGGAGCCGGAGGATTATGTTGGAGAACGGGATGAAGGTCAAATTACCATTGAGGGTGTTGCTGTTGATGTTCATGATCCTGGGATGAAAAAGGGGGGTGAGAATGTTATCAGCAAAGCTGTATGATTGTTTTTTGGTTTTATGCTTTACGGATACGCTGCTTTTATCATTGATATCATCTACATCTTGAACAATAACAGAACCCCTGGAACCCCTAATCAATTAAATGGAAACATAGCATCAACAAGAAAATGCCTCGTCCAGTCCGGCGCAGACGCATCACCACCACCACCAGCAAGCTGCTGCTCATCAACCTCAACAGAACAATGCATCGCGTCCAACGCCCTCTTCCGCATAACATTCGTTGCCCACTGAAAAACCGGCTCAACGAGCCTCTCCTCCTGAGCGGGACAACAAAGCACCCGTTCCATCAACCGAAACGTCCCCTGGATATCGGGTAGATAGACTCCGTATTCGACCAGCGTGACGCCTGCGTACGCGCGGAGAAGGGTGTTGTAGGTCTGGTGGACGTATGATGGTGCGCGGTCGGGATGCATCATTTGTTCTAGGATTTGGTGGGAGTGGTAGATGGCCTGGTTTATTAGTCGTAGTATGATGATGTTGTTGGTGGTGTCTGCTGATGAGGCTCGATGCGCTAGATCCCAGCGGGCTAGGATAAGGCTGGTTGATGAATAGGCGAGTTTGAGATCGGGCATGTTATCTATTAATGTTGCCTGTCAGAATCAGAGCTAGAAATGAGAGGTAGGTAGTTGAGGGGGGGAACCCTTGTTATGCTTCTTTGCCCACGCTTCGATGGATTCCCACGTCCTCTCCATCGAAGTGCTATCATCCTCTTTCTGGACTACAGTTTTGTACAGCAGGATATACAACTGCAGTTCCGCCGTGGAGGTCTCTTCCAAACTATCCACTTCCGTTTCAGCACGCTGCATTAGTGAAACGAGACGCTCCATGAGGCTGATGTCAATGACGAGTGGTTGTCCAGTTCCGATGGAGTACCTGATGGTTATCATCAGTATGCTTTGGATCATTCCAGTGATTTATAAAAACCAACTTTATATGCAACACACAAGGCTAACGTCCACGTCCTCAGGCCCTCCTGAACCTGAACGTGAACCGGCAAATCCCCAGCACAATCTATGTGATTGATGCTTCGAAAATCAAGAACAAGCAATAAATGCAACAGTGCAGAACCGCTCAAAAACCAATTATCCACGTATCGACCGCGAAAGTCTTGCGCAACGTTCCACACGCAGAATACCAGCATGGTGTGGATAGTCGAAAGCTCTATTGGCGTGTTCAACATTGTTCGGCCCAGGTTATCTCTGACGGATCTGTATAGAGACGAATGTAGTGCTGAGCCTCGCAGGACAGACGTGGTCTGGATACCCGCCAGTAAACATGCGGCGAAGAGGAGGGGATGGTGTCTCTTTAGGGATTGGAAGTTCGGTTTGAAGAATTGGAGGGGGGCTGCCATTTGGACGAATCTGGATGTTATTATTCGATTAAAAGGAAAGCCCCGACAAGCTGAAAGAGCTGAAAAGTAGGCCTACCCCTGAAACAAAATGACTCCCAGTCCATCAGGATCTATCCCATTGCCCAACAGTTCATCCAGAATATCACCCCCGCTATCAGCACCATATGCCACACCAGTGATCATACTGTTGAGCTGCCGCACGACCTGAATGGGAGCAATCTGCGCGGCTGCCCCGGTTCCAGCGCGTGGAAACCCATCATTATCAACGTCTGTCGTGAGGTGAAAACCAGCACCCTGCTCAGGCTGGCAACGGCCAGGCGAGTCTGGTGCCTGGTGATCTTCCTGTGATTCATCGACCTTCTCAGCTACAGGTGCACTGCAGGATGAAGAGGAGAAGTCTTTGGAGCGCAGGAGCGCAGCAATCTCAGCCAGGGAGCTCTCGATTCGAGCAAGTCTGTTTCATCTTTACCATGTCAGCTCTCTTATTTTTCGAATCAAATGCATTATTTACGAGAAATGGGCATCGGCATTTGCCTTTCATGACATGAACAGCACTCTTGCTTTGCAGCGGGCTGCTTTTCCGCGTCCAGAGCCTTATTGTTATTAGAACTAGATGCTGGCTGTGCTATCATTTTCTGTTTAACACTCGATGCAAAAGGGAGTGTACATTCCAGTCTGTAGATGATGAGCCGGGTGTCTCGATCGAGGTCATGGCATGACACATCCATGATGGTCCTACCTTAGATTCTGACACCGGAGACACTGTCTGCACCCCGGGATGACTTCGCATCTTGTCTTTAATCGCCGACAGGTCTGGCAGGACATGGCCCGCCTCTTGCTTGGGGGCATGATGGATGCTTCACTCGAGGCTTGAAGTTGAGTAGGTATGATCAAGATTTCAGAGACGACGAATTGACGGAGAACTCCGATGAGGAATTTATCTATTATAATACTATCTATCTTGGCTAGATTGCTGGGAGTTAACACATCCCCGCTAACTCCAAGCAACCGTGGAGGCGCCAGATTTACTGATATCCAGGACGATGTCCAGTAAGAAGAGGATCTCTCCGATATGATAAGCTAGGATCTATATGTCGGACGTGAAGGGTATCAGTTAGTAAATACAAGAGCCAGATTGTCAGGGGAAGAACGATTATATCGCTGCTATAGCTAGAGCAACGATACTGTTCTATAAAGCTATATATAAAGCTACACATGAAGCTACATATGATGCTGTATATCTTGTCCTATACATTCGTGAACCCCCTATTTCAGTAGGTCCTCCACCGGAGAGGGTTATCTTTTATCAGGTCACGTAGCAGGATACTGACAGCAATACGGTGTACAAAATATGAGTTTCCCCTAACGTTTAACCAACGTTTAACCACGCTTCTGATTTCTCCTTCGGACATCACGCATTTGCCCTGAGTCGCGCACCTATCTTTTGATATATGTTTTGAACGTGATATATTCTATTCAATGCTTATTAACATTTTTCATTCGAGATGAGCTCCTTAATCCCTTGCTCAGCGTGTAGCTGGAGTGTCGAACGCCAAAAGCAAAGCATTGTAGCTATGAAAGTTATGTCAAACTGTTCTATGAAAGCAGGCGACTGAGGCGTCTGGTCACTGGGCTCAAGCTTGATTCTGAAAGATCGAGGTGCTAGCCTTCCGACCTTCCAAGCATCAAACATTCAATTTGTGCAGGAAAAGACATCTATCCCTGTTCCCACAGATGCCGAATCTTGGGACGAAGGCGATCACAATCTTATTTTGATGAAGCGCATTCCTGACGAACCCCTCAGCAAAGCTTGGCTAAAGCTCTCTACATTTGACAAAGAGAACATAGCAAGGCAGACTGCTGAGTATCTGCTACAACTTCGCAAACTCCAGTCCGATAAAATGCAAGCTCTTGGTGGCCGTCCGATTTACTCCAACTTCCTATTTCAGGATAGAGAAGTTGAGCTTCCTCACGGTCCTCTGGCATCTGAGGACGAACTTTGGACAGACATGGAGCGTGGTTTGAGAGAAACTGTGCCCAAGGCTGCACGCATGCGTCCTCGAAAATGTATGCCACCGGCCGCGCCATATACCTTTACACACGGTGGCCTCACAAATGTCAATATCATGGTTGAAAACGGCTGCCTTACTGGCATTATTGATTGGGAGATGTCCCGGGTACTTCCCAGTGTGGTGGGAGTACGTTTGTACCTCGGTTCCTGAGAGGGAAGAGGATAGGGAGTGGAAGACTTTGTTAAGAAACAATATGCCTGACCATGGTGCTGCTCGTGAATTCTGGCTAGATTATTATTATCTTTGCAGGGATCCAAAGCATGAAAGAGCCACGAAATTCCTCGAAGAAACAAAAAGCGAGACCCTGTAGAAAGGGTGTGATATTTCCATGCTAGTATATCTTTTTGGGGCGCTTAAGTTAAACAGACCACCAATACGAGTCAGCAATTACGTAGGGCCATGGTCTCAACGATGATACTGACGCTGTAAAAGAAGACCATATCTATCATGGTATTACCTCTACAATCTACGTAAACAAATGAGTAACAGGATAGCTTGAAAGAATTTAAATGTTTCTCAATGCATGCTACCACGGTACCTTATAGAGCCAACCAGCCTGTGTCTGGCAACTTCAACTGACGCAACGGTAAGCTATCCTCATGGAGGATAGAGAAGAGGGTGTTTCCCTGCCCTGTGCCGGATAAGCTTGAACATCAGGGTCTGGGTCGGTAGGAAGCGTACCAGGTCAGGCCGTGCCTCTACTCCAGTCCTTGGCGTTAGGCTTCTTTCATGGCTTTAGGCAGTTGAGCACCACAGGATTCGCCTTCGTCCTTCCATGTAGGGTTGTTGTGACAACACTTGGGACACTGCATGATTGATGGATGGCACTCTGAACGGGAATGGCAGTACAATATCGCGAGGCAGGAGGAAAGATCCTGAAGGTCAAGACTGCAGCAAGCTTCTGGTAATTTAGCTGACTGAATACTGTTGGATCACGTGGGATTCTGCCGCATAGGTCCGCCCTCGCTGACCCTTTTCACCACGTAGGCCTATCTAGCTGGTAACCAACCAACGATACACCTCCATTAGGTTATGAGCCCGTTTCTTGCTCGGAAATATGAGCTATTTTTAGGCCCGTATAAGTGGTCAATTTAAGCCCTCTGATTGGCTGAATCAAAATTCCATACCCCAGATCCCAAAAACTCCAGGATCCCAGATACGGTCCGAACCTGAGCATGTCAGGAGAACCTACTACGCCTCCCGCTACTGCTATACGACGATCACGTCGCGAAATCCCCAAAACGAGTCTTCAAATATAGACAAGACCTCTTCGTCGGTTGTCTCTGAAGAGATAGAGACCCCAACGCCTTCCGGAGCCAATTTGAGCTCTACCAATACCGCCAACATGGCTTCCACAAACGAACATACCCCTGATCTTGCTGATATGATGCGACAAATGCTTGCTCGCCAGGACCAGATGGAACGACAAATGCTTGCTCACCAGGACCAGATGGAACGACAAATGCTTGCTCGCCAGAACCAGATGGAACAAGATATGCGAGACCGTGAAGCTAGAATGGAGCTAAAACTGGCCTCTATTATCCAGTCCAATACTCCACAAGCTTCCTTGCCTTCAAATACAACCCAAGATACTACACCAATAGATGTCCAACCGCCTCCGCGTGATGCCTCAGACATAAATATCAGCAATGCTATTGCCCTTGTCCAAGCTGATATTGATGCGTTCCTGCCTGACCGATGTCATGTCATCCTGACACTGGATAATTACGATGCATGGAGCTCTGCCATACAAAAAGAAGCTGGTATTCTCAATGCTATTACGACTCTCCACCAGGACTCTCCTCCTGCTGGATCATCTCCAATCAATGCTGCAATTTGGCACAGAAAAGCCACTGTCATGAGAGCCCGTATGCTCAATGCCATGACAACTGCTGCCTCTGATAAACTAGGCACCGTATATGACCTCTCCGCCCATGGCCTTTGGGACCGAGCCGCCACACTTTTTGGCAAATCCACCAGTGAAGAGCGAATGGCTCTTATCATGGAGCTCAAAGAGCTCTATATAAAGGATAATGACTATCTCACCTACCAGTCATCTTTCAATCGAATCTTCGACCGCCTGCACGCTATTGGAGAAGAATCTTTTGAAAATCTCAAACATGACCTCTTCTTTATAGGTCTCCGGGACTGGAACCGCGCCTTTATCAAGAGTAAGCTGAATGATGTCTACTCTACTGGTCGTGCTCCGGTTACCAACCTGGATCTTAATGCCATCCAGGCCCAATTACCTACTCAAACCAGCACTAAATTCCGTGATACTCGTTCTCAAGACCGGTCAAACCAACAGAAAGAGAACTCCCAGAACTGCAGTCATTCAAAACAAGCATCTGGAGCCAAATATATAATTCCCCAACGTTCCAGCAATCAAGATAGATCTCGTCATACACGTATGGACTGTGATCACTGTGGAAATCACCATGGACCTATATGTTATTTTAAAAATCCTGAGAAAGCACCAGAGAATAGACGCAAGTTCTATACTACTGTGGCTAATGCTCTTCGTGCTCAGCAATAATCTGAAGCAAATCCACAATCAAACTAGGATCATCCTGCTTCACAGGAACTTGTCTTGCATAAGAAACTCTCTAATGCCAAATCTGCTATTGTGAAGTCTGCAAAGGCTCTCTCATCTTCCAATCAACAGTTTGTTGATAGCTGTGCTTCTTTCCATTCTACACCTAACTGTTCACTTTTTGTAACCTACAAGGCCCTACAGAAGCACAATCTGGTGGAGACAGATTATATGGAAGGTGCCCAAGGCCATATCTCTATGCCTCAAGGCATCAGCACCGTGATTATAGATATTGGTTATGGATCTCTGATCCTAAGAGACGTCCACCATGTTCCTTCCTTTACTTCCAACCTTATTTCAGAAGGCATGCTTGTACAACAAGGTTTTAGGCTTCAATATACACTGGATTGTGAAGCCAAGCTGATTATCACACTATCTGGAGCTAAATTCCAAGCTCAATTGTTCAAAAACAATGTTTACCTCCTTGAAGACTGCCTGTCTCCTGGAGAAAAAGAAAATTCCTATGCCTTTGTCACCACCCAGTCTGGCAAAGAAGCTAACTGCCCAGAAGAGCCACCTGCAAAGGCTCCTACAATTAAGACACCAGCTGAAGCTCCTACTCCAAAAGAGACCCTAGTTCTAGGGAAGCCGCGAATTACTAAGATATCCCTACCTATCATGGCCTGGCACCGACGCCTATGCCATCTCAATCAAGCCGATCTCCTCCGCCTCACCCGAGATCCCGAGTCTTGCATCGAAATCAAAGGCTCTAAAGAACTCCCATTTTGTGAAGTCTGTGCACAGGCTAGACAGACATGCTATTATAGCAAGATCCCTAGATCCGGAGTTACCAAACCCCTCGCCTGAGTCCATCTAGATATCGCCGGCGGTGGACAAACTCTTGATTTTGACAACCCTAATGATGCTGTCCCTTGCCAAATTGGGGCGAAATATGTCTTGCTTATTACTGACAATGCGACACATTATTGATGGATTCTCTTCCTTGAGACAAAAAGTGCAGCCATTACCGCCTTCAAGAACTGGCTTCTAAATATGAAGAACCATGGCTTCACTGTCCCTGCCTACCTAGTCTCTGATAATGAATTCCGCTCCACTGAATGGATGGAAACCTACCGCTAGGAAGGCATAGAATGGCAACCAAGCTCACTATATCCACCATGGCAAAATGCCGTTAGTGAATGCAGCATCCAGGTCCTTTTTGAATGGGCCTGAGCTCTGATGCTTGATGCCCCATATATACCAGAACACGTTTTTGGGTAGATGCTCTCCAATATGCCACAGATCTTACAAATTGGCTCCCTACATCTATCATCTTATACAATTCCCAAATTCCTGGGGGTGAGGGGGGGGTGAATATCAACAAGGACATATACCCCAGCCCTTACCGTGCTCCGTTGACAGCGTGGACCAATTCATCTATTTCCTCACTTCCCAGATATCGCCGTTGGGGGTGTCCAGCCTGGGTCCATCAGCATAGACCAGATAAACCTGGAAATAAGCTTGATTCGCGTTCTCACTGCTGTTTCCTCATTGGCCAAATTAGTAGCCATCAATATTGTGTTTGGGACCCTAAAACTGACACCGTTTTTGTCACCAATGATGTTATATTTGATGAGGAATACAAAGATCCTACAACTACCACTCTCAAAGGTCCCAGCACCCTGACCGAAGAAAATACAACTTAATTAGTTGAAGGTGAACCTCTCAATGATCAAGATATATGGCTCCAACCTACCAGAGGCATGTCTCTAGCTTACTTTGCCACTTCAACCATTCCTTCATCTGAAAACGACATGTCTACTTATAAGCAGGCCATATCCCATCCCAATTCTGCTAAATAGCAAGCTGTCATGAAAAGAAGTCAACCAACTTAAAGAGAAAGGCTGCTGGCAACTCATTTGCTGTTCTGACCTACCACCAAGGGCCAAGGTCATCCCTGGCCGGTGGGTATACAAAAAGAAAGAAATCCCGGCATACCTATCTCAGAGGATTATCAGGCTAAAGCCCACTGGGTCATCCGTGGCAATCTACTTGATAAAGACTTCATGGAGTCCTACGCACCAGTGGTAAATGAAAATACTACCAGAACCCTCACAGCACTGGCCACCCTGCTTGGTTGGCATACCCAAAAAGCTGATGCCACCCTTGCTTTCCTAAATGGGAAAATGCCCATAGATAAATGTGTCTTTATGACCCAAGTTCAGGGATTCAAAGAAGGTTCTGGAGATCTTATTTGTGAACTCCTTCAATCCCTCTATGGATTGGTCCCATCTGCCTGCATCTGGTATGATGCTCTGGGTGCTTTTCTATGCCAAATCAGCTTCAAATGTTCTGACTCTATGTGACCACCCATGTGGATGACTTCAAAGTCTATGCTAAACATGAAAATGATGCCATCTGGCTTATGGAGACTCTCTCCGCCAAATTTGACATAAAAGAAGTTGGAAACTCTACCAAATACCTTGGCATGACCATCTCCCAGTCTGAGACCTCATCTTCTTTATCTTAAGCTGACTACGCCAAAGATGTTGTTGCCTCTTTTGGTCAAGCCTAAGCACATCCTGTTAGGATTCCAATGGATCCTAGCCTAATAATTGATGATGAACCAGACCCTACAGTCAACACCAAAGAATATCAATGTGGTGTAGGCTGCCTTACCTGGCTAGCCACCAAAACCCAGCCAGATCTTAGCCAGACGGTTGGCATACTATCCCAATATAACGCCAAACCCACCCAAAAAGCATGGCGTGCCCTTATACACGCCATAGGCTACCTTAAAGGTTCTATCAACCGGCAAATTACCTACCATAAACCCACGGAGCCCATTACATCTGACCTCCTCATGCCAAAATGCTATACTGACTCTGATTGGGGTGGTCAACTGACAGGCAACCGCTGGTCAGTTTCTGGATACATCTTTCTGCTTGCTGGAGCCCCAATTGCCTGGAAAAGCCGCAAGCAAACATCCGTTGCCCTTAGCTTCAACAAAGCTGAGTATATGGCTTTAAGTGAAGCCAGTCGTGATGCCCTTTGGCTCCGGAATCTTATCACGAGCTTAATGTGCTCCCAACTGAATGCCCACCAATATCTCTTCATATCGATAATCAAGGTGCTCACGCCCTCGCTGACCCTTTTCACCACGTAGGCCTATCTAGCTAGTAACAAACAATATATACCTCCATTAGTACCTGATCCCAAGTCAGAAAGATCCACCGAATTTACTGTGTTATACACACTTGATATTGACACTCTTTAGCTTGCCAAGTCTCTCCAACTCTATTTATCAGTAAACTGATTCACAGATAGCATAATCAGAATCCCAACATACAGCTTCAGCCCCTCCTGGTTGCGTGAATTTTTCCACAGTGGCTTACCATTTCTCTGGTAGTTTCCGACCTGTCAAATCCTGAACATCTGAGGAGAGTTCAGACTGAGGTGCTAAAGAGTTGAGACATTCTGTACTTGTTTTATACGGAGGACCTAGGCTCAGGGCGGAAGAGTAGTATGGACAAAAACAGTGTTGAATTCTTTGAATACTGAGAAACAGAAGGAATTGGAATGAGAAGATGTGCAAATTGTTTGGTCAATCACTTCATTTCTGAGTGAATGACACCATATTTATACATGCGACTTCCTCTATTCAAGCTACCATTTTCCATCCTAAGACCTGAATCAGCTGTCTGCCCCAGTTTAATATTTGCACTTATAGCCCTCTATTAGTACAATATGCCATTTCCCTAATTACCAAGCTCTAATCACCTCCAGACTTAGATTTTTGGCCAGAAACGCCATTAAAAGAACCGTCCTGCCCATTCTTTCCCAAACTCACCATACATATTCAACAAGGGGTATTCGAAGCTGTAATTGTCGCTATGCACGGTATGCACCTGTAATACATACTGATGGGATGCTAATGGAAGAAAAATCGCAACATAAACCTCTGCTAGATCCCCAACTCCCATGCTGATGGTAATCGTACAAGACAGAAACATTTGAACTGAATGAATGGACAGGTTCCATCTATTTCATCCCCTTTCTCTGAGTAGGCCAGAGCTGACCCCGGCAGTTCTTTTCGCCACAGAGACACTTGACTGCGCTGGGATCAACTTTTTTGCTTCCTTCCCAGGTAGGATTGTAGTCGAATGTGAATTCCGTCATCGGTGGAATATCTCTCAGAGAGAAGAAGGCAAGGTCGAAGAGCCGACTATCGCCGTGGTTCCATGAGACAGGGAACATCTTGCAGTTGGGATTACATGAATGATTGATGAACCGGGTTGGTGACCCGAATTTCTGTCCGTCAACCACGTAGGTGTTTTCATCATCGACCAGGAAGTCAAGACTGAACAGGTATGAATGCTTATTCTGCGAGATGGCTAGGTCTTCACGTAGATCAGCCGACTCCTCGGTGATCACCTCCCCCAGATAGCAATCGATGAATTGTCCTGCCCGGATTCGGTCTGGAGAGCGCAGTCCTATATGGGAAACCCACTTTATAAGTACTTAAACACACTCTCCTAGGGAAACCGCAGCTTACCGAAACCTCTGTTGCCAGTGTGGAATATCTCCAACCGAACCGTCCTACCACGCTGCACCACGCGATTCCAGCAGTTTTCATCACATCCACACCGAGACGTGCACTCGAAGATCATTGAGGTCCGTTTAAGGAAGTTGGGAGTCAAAACCCACAGTTCAGGATCATCCTCAGCCCTTTGGTACGGAATGATCAGGTCATCAGAGTCCACTTCCTGCGACAGACATCCGCAGCGTGTGGGATTGCACACATCACCGCAAGCACAGCCTGCATTAAAGGACTCATCGACTTGATGGACATTTTTGTGCAGTTTATCTTGATTGATGAACTCAACGTCGGAAGCAAAACCTTCTAGGAGCTTGCCATCACCAGCAGCAAGAGACACTCTTGGACCCTTGATTAGAGAGAGCTTCCTTTTCAAGGAACTACGTAGCTGGAGATCGAAGTTCCACGAGCCATTTGGTGGGTTACGCGTCAATATCGCGCCGGGATTCCCAATACTGAGGGGAACATCTTTGCGATTAACCCTCTTAGCTCGCGGATGCGCGGCCCTGGCTGCTCTTCTTTCGATGTCATCTGTCGGGTAGTATTTGGTAGATAGACCAGTGATCGGCGATGTGGTGCGACTGAATCCGTCAGTAACACATCTTATTCATTTAAGAAAGCAGGGATCAGGTACCTCAGGCTGCTCTTTGTCCAGCCTGCTTTTTCAATTTCATGTTTTAGCCTACGCGACGGCGATGGGATGACAACACTGACTGCCTTGGAGACGTTATGTAGTGGTGGCGGGCTGGATGTGTGGACTGCCGGGGTGGACGCGCTGGGGCGGGAGATGGTGAGATTATTTGGAGTAGACCCCAAAGACAATTCATCTGGGCTGCTTTCTGGTTTTCTCTTGAGAGGCACTGAGGATGCCAGGGACCATCTGGGGTAGGGAAAGAGGCTCTTTGTTCTCTGGGGCTGCTTTGTTTGTTTACAGTTAGCAGAGGGCTAAGAACACAAGCAGGCAGAAAAGTGAGAAGAATCAGAAGAAGCAGCCAAAAACAAACACAAATCCATGACATAAAACACAAAGTTAAACTATCTTTATCTGACAGCTAAACAGACATGGCAGTCTGAGTCTCAAACATGTGGCAAGTGGCACGTGCTTGGTGAAACCCCAAAGGGACCAAAGCAACCACCACAGCCTCCCTGAAGAGCATGATGCTGCTTCTGTCTATCACTCAGATTGACAACACTGTGATGCCTAATAATATCTGGTCTTTTCCTAGGAGACTGCCTGTCTATACTCTGATGTCCAGGACCATGAGTCCAAGTGTAGGACCCCCAGGTCCTGGCCCACCAAGCCTCAGGCACAGCATGGACTCACCTGTTCAGAATCAGAGTCTTGTGTCAAGTCAATGACCATATTGAATAGAGATGTCCAGGCAGATTTTCTGGTAAAAAAGAGCTTTGTTCTGCAGGGAGGGGGTAGTTGTTGACAGAGGAAGACAGGAGAGGTGATGGAGTGATGTCTGAACTAAGTTAGCCCAACTCAAAACTGAAGAATTGATTTCCACAGTCTGGGTGGGGAATCGACCATATCCTCTCTTGTGATTGGCCCATCCATAGCATTTGATTAATAATCCAATAGTCAGCAAATACATATTTATATCACGTGCCCCAATAGTAGGTGTCCCAATGATGCTTTGAGCATTCACTAATGCTGGCCTTGTTTCTCATTCACTTTCTTTCTAGCCTTACTTTCATCTCAAAAACTTGCTATTGCAGGTTATTTAATATTTCATTCCACTCAAGCTGATATTTCCAGGTGGCAGCAGCTCTCAGAAGTGCGAAATTGCAACCAAAAAAAGGGGGTGGAAAAAGCGGCCCGATTCAAAGCTAATTTCCCCCCTTCAAAATTGCGAACTTGGCTCTATTTCTATGCTACCTCCAGCACGGAGCACATCGCACTTCACCCTAAAAGATTTGGCAATTGTTGAGATAAATATTTTCAATTACTGTCTCAGGGATCTTCCTGATATATTTTGAGCGAAATCACAGCCTTCTTGCGCGTGGTGTGTTGGCCAAACGTGTTGTTAGCTGACGTGTTTCTTGTCTGTGTGTTATGTCACGTGCCCACATATATATATATAATGGAGGTATATCGTTGGTTGTTAGCTAGATAGGCCTACGTGGTGGAAAGGGGCAGCGAGGGCGGACCTATGCGGCAGAATCCCACGTGATCCAACAATATATGTTGGCGAGGTCCTAGATAGGGGAATATGCTTCTTGTTCCTCACGACGAGTACGCATTGTGCGTCTCGCTACTGGCTATCTACTCTATCTGACTAAGCCGCTCTAAACTGAAAGAGGAAAGGAGCTGAACCTCCTGGGCCACGCCACCAACAATATATTAGCCCCTAAGGGGTTCTGCCATCTCATACCGCCCTAGTCTAGGTCGCCCACATTTGGTAGTGTAAGCACCAGGTGCAGCCGTGCCCCAGTGCAGTGTCTCACAGGGTTCCTCAGTGCGTACTTGGAGCAGGGTCTGGTCTTTTTGGCCTTGTGGGGAAGTGTAGGTGATCCCTTACAATTAGTTAGATAGTTCGCCCCTAGCTAGCATTCTAATAGACAAGCATATCCTCCAACAATATATGCCCCGAACCGAGATGCTGTCTACTTCCTGAGAGAAACCTCCATGAAGATATCACCCCTGAGCAGGCAAGCTGTACATTCCCTCCTGTCCTCTGGATGGGGAAATGTACCGTTGCCTAGCTTTGGTGGCATGACAATGATCCGACGTCCTGTTTACAGACTGGACTGCTTTGCTCCATGCCATCATGGGTGGTGCATTTTCACTGCAGATGATCTGAATACTGGCCGGATCACCACACTAGAGTTCAAAGCGCAATAGACGGATTCGCGGATCCTTCTGTTGATGGGCCTACACTACAGCATATATATGTGTTCTGAACCCCTTTTTGTTGCTGGAATAGCAGTTGGTACATTTGTGCCAGTCTCATCCTATGTAGATATTGATATTGTCATATTGAGTAGTGGTTCCAGCCAATTTATCCAGGAACTCGCCGTGCGTACTCCCCATCAGATGAACAACATCTATGGCTGCTGCCAAGTAGGTGTCCTGGCTTCACCAGTGTATTCTATATATAGACTTGCTTACAGCGAGATCCATGTCCTGCACCCTACACATAAAAGACCAGTTGGGTCGAGTAATCAATTGTGGAATTGGGTCGATCAATATATAATCAGATTTACCTTTGAAGTTCGAAGTTCCACAAAACACATATAGATGAGGGTGTTCGTATCAGTCAAGTATGTTGCTTGGCCCAAGGTATTGCTAAGGAAATGCTATTTATGCAAGTTAGTAGTAAGTGGTAAGTACATACTCGACATGAGATGAAATCAATAGTGTATGTAGTCAACCATTTCCATGAACAGAACTGAGAATAAATACTATGTGGTTTGGCAATGATAACATCAGACAAAGGTTAACACAAGGGAGACGGCATAGTCCTGTAAATAATAGGCAGTACTGAACACGCCAACTGCATAACTACACAAGGTAGATGAAACAAAATGAACATGGAAAGAAAGGAACAAAAAAGGGAAGGCAAAAAAATAGCTGATAGGCTATAATCACAATGCATCCTTGTTCAGTTCTAATATACACATGCAACATGACAGAAAATATCATTAACCTGCACAATGAGCCTGCTCAGTAATATTCAAATTCAAGACATCAAAGAGGAGAAGAAATGACGTGGAAAGGGATGATTTGATGCTCTTGGTGTCATCAAATTAGGAACTTGACCAATATATGTTCTGCACAATCTGTGTCACGCAAAGGGTGCCCCATTATTTAAAGCCTCAGGGCATCCAAGATCTTCTTTGCCATTTCACGATATTGCCACATGCCTCCTGATACTTTCTTGAACTGAATACCATGCAACGAGAACAGTGGCACTTTCACAATGAGTATCTCAAACCGGAGCACGAGGTTTTGTCCAGTATCCCCCTCGACGCGCGTCGTCGTCTCTCCCACAACACGCTCCCCAGCCGTATTATTATCGCGCCGCGCAACGTATTCGTCCGACTCTTCTGAGTTCGTGACGAAACTTCGATCGGGCGGGCCCTGTGCTCTGCGCTGAGATCTTGGTCGTGACTCGTCTCGTCCATCATCATTGTTGAGGAGTCCGCCAAAACTAATGCGACGGCGATTGCTAGTAGAATTGCCTTGTCGATCGGAACTGTGAGATTCTCCATCTGCGCCTCGGTTGAGAGTGATACTGGGAGCATGCCGACAGCTGAAACCGCCTTTTATCTCAACATAATCAACAGAAAGCATATTCAAAACACGAATGATATCAGCGCGTATAACGGGTAGCGGCTTGGTGCTTGTTGTGGAAACGCTGAAAAGACCCTTGAGATACACCGGTTTGGACAGATCTTCCCCATCGTTGGCACTTTCCAGTGCAGTACCTGCGCCGGATATATCTGCATCGGTCTCCTCTGGTACGTTGGCCTCCCTTGCGGCTTCTCGTCTTGCGCGTCGAGCTTGGATGCTCTCACGGCGCGCATGGCCGAGTGACATTGCCCTTGTGGCATGAGTACGGACAGCTGGCTTCGGTTCCTGTGCAGTGGCCTGGTCTCCAGACCTCCCTTTCTGCACACTTACGCCCGAGTTATCAGATCCATTAGCTTGGTAAAGCTGACCGGAAGGTGTATCCAACGCTTCAGTATCGACCCTGCGCACGGCCCTTCGGGCTCGGTAATCGGCGGAATTAACGCTGGTTGATCTGCCCAGGATTTTGTTAGATCGGGAAGCCTCCTGGGCTGCCCCAGGGGCCTTAAGGAGGTCTGGGCCTGAAGGACTTTCAGAAGTAGGTTCTGCACGCCTGGCTCTCCTCATACTGAATCCCCTGTGAAGTGGTGTTGCCGAATCGGCCGGAGGCTGGACACTCAGTGACGGCGTCTGATGGTGATGGAATTTTTCACGTTCGGAATCACGGCCACGATCCTTCGCCCTGCGCGTGCTGAACCGTCTCAAAAGACCGACAGCCGTGCTTTCTTTCTTTACGGGAGTCTCCGAGGGGGTTGGTGCCTGGCCACTTTGCGGCGCGAGATTGAGGTTCTTCAGACCATCCGTGATGTCCTCATCCCCATGTGTCCTCGCGCGAGGACGAGATCTTCGTCCGACATCCTTCTCGCCAGGTAGCTGGTATTGGTTGGTATGGGCAGCCTCAGGAGCTGGCAGATCTGGCATTTTGAGCGTAACATCGCCCGTGCTATGGATACCAAGAGCTCCTGGTTTGCTCTCGGCTTTTTCTCTCTCGAGCTTCTCTTTGGCTAAATAGTAAACGGATATTAATGGACTATACGCATTTAGAGGGTCGTTTCCCAATTGGATAGCGTCAGAAGAAGGTGTTGAGAGGGTGTCTCTACTCGCGGAGTTTCTCCGCTTGTAGAAGTCGAACACTCCACGTTTCTTTTCGGTGTGGTTCTGAGTAGGTTGCTCCCGGTAAGAGGTCCTAACAGCATGCTGGTACTCCTCGGACGTAATTATCTTGGTAAGCTGCGCCGTAATATAATCAGGAGGACCGAAATCAAAGCCGGTCATTTTCTCGATAACTTCAGCATCTAATGGGAGCTGCAACGGTTCGCGGACAGGGAGGTAGTTCTCAACAGGACCATTGTAGCCCTTGTTCATCCATGGATGATTGATAACTTCCGCTAGAGTTGCGCGCTGATGGGGGTCTGTTACTAGCATGCGGGAGATGATATGCCGGCATTCTGAAAATAGACCATGTTAGCAACCAAAGGAACGCCGGTAGTACGATGTTAACTTTTAGGAACTAACCTGCAGTAAGCCCTTGCGGATACTCGACGACTCCCTTCTTTATCTTCGCATGCAATTGGGGCATGCTCTGGTCGTCAAAGGGTACTTTACCACAGACCAGCACGTACAGAACAACACCAAAACTCCAAATGTCAACCTCCGGGCCGGTATACTGTCTTGCCTGCAGCAGCTCCGGAGCGGCGAAGTAGAGACTGCCGCAGAATGTTTTGAGGAGACTCCTTGGAGAGAATAGGTTGCTCAGGCCAAAGTCGATGATTTTGATATCACCTGTCTTGCTGATTAATATATTCTCAATCTTCAAATCGCGATGAACAATGCTGTTGCGATGGCAGTAATCCAGCGCACTAGCTATCTGGCGGGCAAACTTCCGGGCCTGTTTCTCCTTCAGCTTAACGTGAGAGATGATGTAGTCAAGCATCTGGCCACCGTTGACATATTCGAAAACCATATACCAATGGTAGGTGGTGCGTACCACATCCCGCATCCCGCAGATATATGGATGATCTACCAGACTGACAATGGCGGCTTCGCGGGCAGTCCGGATTTCTTTTGAGCGATCGGCTCTTTCGGCATCTCGGCCACCACGATGCTCTTCGGTTGACTGTCTTGGTATAATTTTGATAGCCGCCTATAATAAGGATTGTTAATACGGGGTTACTTTTAGGCAGCATCGATATTATGGATTATGGGGGGGTTCGAATAAAACATGCTCACCTGCTCCCCAGTTTCCATGTTCTTTGCAAGCTTGACCTTGCCCATGCTACCAGCACCTATGGTCTTCCCAAGAGCCCACTGCCCTGATGGAGTAGTGATTGTCGTCCGGCGCTTAGGTTGCATGGAGGCAGATGAATGTAGATGAGTATGAGGAGGGCCTGAGGCAGCCTCAGTCGGTGTGGATGCCATGTCGACTCCCTCCCGTTTGTAACTGTTCGTTGAGGGGGTTCTATGGTGTCTTTTTGAAAGATCAGTCCGGTATGATACGCGCTCTTGGGAGTGCTCCCTGGATGGCTCACGACGTGATGAGCCAGGGCGTGATCCTTTTGACGCGTCAGGGTCCCAGCGTGCTACGTTGTCGGGCGCGGGCGCAGCGGGATTCGGCGGAGGACGGCGATCATAGGACTGGGAGCGTGAATGAGGTTGTTGTTGACTCTGCGAATATTGATGATGAGGCCGTGCCTGGGACGACGTCGTAGGCCTCACCGCCACACTCCGGGTTCTGTGAGGAAAATCCGACGGAGCGGGTTGATGCGAGTGATACCGGGAGGATGTGGAATGGCTGCGGACAACCGTCGACGATCCAGGAGAGTATGGGACGGCTGTGGACATCACGACCGTCGAATCCACCGATGTCCTGTCAATCCAAGCCTCTTTGAAGCGGGCACGGTGCCCTAGTGGGAAACAGAGTTGCGTCGGGAGAGGGGCGGGGAAGCGTTCGTGGAGGCCGACCAGCACTAGCTTGTCGCAGGACGGAGAGGTGTTCAAAGGAAGCAGCAGCCAGGAGTGCGGGAAGATGCAGTGTAGGGGGGGTTCAAACGCATTCTAGAGACGCCTCGAAGGGAGATCGTGAAAGACAGGGATGAAAAGAGCGCTATGGCGATGGATGCCAGGGGACGGACGGCCTGGGAAGCGGATGGATGGGAGAAGTTGGGGGGGGGAAGAAGGTAGAATGTAAGACTCTAGGAGAGGCAGACGTACAGTGCTTAGGTAGGCAATAATAGTCATCACAGGTATAATGGCATTCGCCAACCATCCAGTGTTCCCACGCAAATAAGAAAATGCTCTGAGCAAGATCCCTGCTTCTTCCTCCCTTCCGCATCTATTGATGTTACTATTGTCTAGGTCGCAGGCTATTCATGCAGGTAACCTAACCCCTTGGGCATAGCACTCTCCACTATTATTTCCAGCGAGTCTGCTCCGATCCTGACTGGTAGCCGGCTCTTCCAGGACGGAGTCTTAATTAAACATTCTCCAGGCCGGATCATGTCTTGGTTCTTGTTATTATTAGTATTATCATCCATCATTGTTATTTTTGTCTCGTCTCTAAACCATAACCTAATAATAATAATAATATGGAGCCTGTTCCGGACATCACGTGATTATATGGCTGACATAAGCACGTGCCATCGTCAGTGCAGATGACCGTCATGATTCTTCTCTTTCACTTGCCTTTGCGTTGCTTTACGAACCCGCGCAGTCCCGACTGACCTGGTCACCATGGCAGGCAAGAGGGCTCGGGCAGCCTTTGAGGAAGATCTGAGATGGCAGCAATCTCCATACGCCCTTTACGGAACGCCTCTTCCGCCACTGGACGAGAGCGCCCGTGATGACGGGTCCTACGTACCAATCTGGAAACAGGAGGTGACAGATGACCGGGGAAGGAAGCGCTTTCATGGTGCCTTCACCGGTGGATTTAGCGCCGGGTGAGCTCACGATTCGTGGAGAGCTCTGGATAGAGGACTAAATGAAGATGGTCTCCGTCTCTAGGTATTTCAACACGGTCGGGTCGAAGGAGGGATGGACCCCTAGCACCTTCGTTTCCTCGCGCCAGAACCGGGCAAAGGATGTGAAACAACGGTTCCAGCAGCGACCGGAAGATTTTATGGACGAGGAGGACTTACGGGAAGCGGAGGAGTCGAGGATACTACATACTGCAGATACATTTACGGGATTTGGGGGCACTGAAGTCGACCAAACGAGACATGCTGGGCTCGTGGATCTTTTGAAGACCAGTGGTGAGACCATGGGGGTCAAGCTCTTGAAGAAGATGGGATGGAGAGAGGGACAGGGTATTGGCCCTAAAGTACGTCGAAGGGCAAACCTTGGCGATGACATGACTTCAGGCGGTAATGGGGCGGAAGAGATGTATCTTTTTGCGCCCGAAAACCCGCCAATGGTTGCTTTTGTCCACAAGACGGACCAGAAGGGACTTGGATACGAGGGTGAGGCACGCCTCGAGAGGGCCGGCAGGGGTGATATGAATGACTCTGATGAAGAGGGCTCGGACTCTTTCTTCGGACGACGATTGGCCCAGAGCAAGTCAAAACCGCAAAAAGCAAAGGGACCCAGCCGGGGCGGGTTTGGCGTGGGTGTGCTGAATGATACCGGGTCCGACGATGAAGATCCGTATTCGTTGGGACCGCAGATTTCATATAACCGGACCATCGGCGGCGACAAGAAAAAGAAGAAAAAGATGAACACAACAGATGTAGCCAAGCCAGCAGTAGGATTGTCCAACTCTATGCTGACCTCCAGGCCAGTTTTCATATCCAAGAAGACTGCCGCTGCTCGGAGCTCTGCAGGGTTTAGGAAATGTCACGATGGCCGTCTGCCCCTAGACGGGTTTGTTCTTGCCGAGGGCATATCTAGCCTGTCGATTTCTCAGGGCAAAACTTACTCGCCCCCAGAAGTGCCCGAAGGTTGGACGTCCCGCAAAGCGCCCTTGAAAGAAAGAGACGTATCCAACTACGTTTCCACCAAAGAAGCCGCCAGAATCTCCTCCCTTGATCCTACGTCCAGAGCTGCTTTGTTGGGAGAGGCCCAATTACCTGGAAAATCGATATTTGATTGGATGACACCAGAGGGCAGGGAGAAGATTGCTCGACTAACTGGCAAAACAAACTTGCCTCCGGCTCTGGGGGAGAAAGCCCCAAAAGGTCATGAGCTGTCCGACGCGCAAAGGCGAAAGGACCTGTGGGATCTCGTCCCGAAATTGGATAAGGCAGTTGCAGTCCAAGCTCTAACTAGAGCTGTGGGCGGCTGGATGCCGTACTCAGAAGACGAAGCGAAAAGATCACGATATCGAACTTTCCTGGAGGTGCGAGCCGGGCTTCGAGACAGCCTTCCGGATCGTGCCCCGAGTTCAACTACAGACGAGTGGGTTATGGAACTAGAAGAGTTTTCCCGGGCCGCGGAAGTCTTTAAACCCATTTCGGGGATAATGGCTTCTCGGTTTACCTCCGCGTCTTCGGGGCCAAAGCCAACATCTGATGCCCCCAATCCATCTGCCCCATCTGAACCTCTGCTTATGAAACCTACCGAAAAGCCTGAGGATCCGGCCGTAGCCGCCGCCAAAATCGGCATGTTTGGGCCTATGACCAGGAGTACGCTGTCCTTCTACCCTTCTCGCCTGCTCTGCAAACGGTTTAATGTGAAGCCACCTGCGCATGTGCAATCTGACCCAATGGAGCGTCCGGAACGCCCGTCCGACGCTTCTGTTGGGGGACGCTTCCAGTCTGCGGGATACCAGGCTCCCACGGGGACGAAAGAACTAGTCTCGAAGGATGTCATGGATCAGCTCATCGCCGAATCTGGCGGTGGTGGTGCCTCGGCTAAGGAGGGAGAACCAGCAGCGTTAGAGAGTAGAGCGCAGATTGTGGTGGAGCCAGAACGCAATGCAGCACTGGAAGCTGAGCGACCGGGGGAGGCTGTATTCAAAGCTATTTTTGGGAGTGACGATGAGGAAGAGGAGATGATCTGAACAGTTGTCTGGGCCAACCTTGTTTACGGACCACGGCTTACATGGTAGGCTGTGTAGGACAGCGCTGTACATGCGCAGTCAAATTCGATCTTATCACTGCCATTCTTAGGTGGCACAGCGATTTGGCAGCCGTCAAGGTAGCAGTGCTAATTGCAGTTGCACCAGGAGAGAAGTGTCCTACGATGTGCCCTGGTACCTTTTTGTTTTTGCTGACTGGCGCAGCTAGTCAGACAGACTGTTTCACGGCAGAAGCCCCTTGTCGAGATCTCATTAGGCTCTAGAGTAATATGAGGAAAATACTATTGACTTGCCTTCACCGGAGCATCTGTAGATACTGGACAAGAGTCCACACGTCCTCTGTTCCTGACACATCATAGGAGCCCTTAGCATCAGACAGATAATATGACAGAACACAACGCACGCTGGTAGAGCTGTGTCACCAGCCACCACGACGCCAAAGAGCAGGGGACGGAGAGCTCTTGAGAAAGAGAGCGTAAGAGTGATAATGATGATGATGATGATGACGACAATGAGGGCCGTTAAGCTTTGTTTGGAACGTCGTCACCCCTCGCTGTCCTTGGCGAACTCAACGGCATTTCATGTCGCTGATCCTTGTTTCTCCTCACGTCAAAAGTCCCAAGCCGCCCTCTTGCATCTAGTCTCCCTGCTCGTCGAGAGAGCGCAGGAGAGTTGATCAGTCTGCCTGGTCCGCTCTGCTCTTTCGACGGGATTCACCGGATTCGCCCATCGCTGTATGCTCTGAGCGCACTAAGGTCATGCAATGATCCCTGAATCCTCAAGGCCTTCTTCGCTGTCTTCGCTGTCTTAAGAGTCAAGACACTACGCACAGCCTGGCGTTGCATCCGGACGGCGTTGGCCGCAGCACTACTGCGCCTACGCACGCTGTCACTGGGTTTTCATCCTGGTGGGAGTAGTAGAATCCTGTCCGAGCCGGTTCCTCCAGACTCCGTATTTGCTCCGATTATTCTCTCAGTCGCTTGGACCACATCCTCTATTTGTATTGTTATTTTCTATTATTCGCCATCGTTATCTCCCGAATGCTTGCTGCTGCTTCTACCTATCGTACTCCCTGCTTCTTCATTCTTCACGTTGGGGTTCCTTGATTTTTAAGTCCCGCGAAAAACGCTTCTATGAGAGCGTCACGTATGCGGGTGCAAGATGGTATTTCCTCTTCCCTTCCATTTATATCTAATTGCCTTCTCTGTCTCTATCAACATTCATCCACTGACCTGCTTCTCGCCTAGGGTTGTTGCTTATCCTCGTCATCGCGTGACACCGGCGATCCCCAGTATGCGACAGGAGTCACAGAAGAGAATCGCCCACACGCCTCATCTCGAGTTTTGCGCTCCGCCCCCAATGCGATCGTCTCAGACCGTCCCTCTGCCTCGCTTGCCGAGGATACCCCACGACGTCGCGGGACCCGTTCTGCTAGCCGCCGTCGGACGCGGGCGAGTAACCTTCCTCTAAGTGAACATTTTAACGAACCTATCCGTCCCCACGTCTGGTACAGCAAGCGGCGTACATGGACGCGCACTCAATTGAATCAGGAGCGCAGGGAATTCTTCGAGACCAGGGTAACCGGTCGATCCGAGGTTTGGGCTGCGCTGGCTGCTGCCATCTCGTTGATGCGGAGCGGCGACCTCACCACCGCCCAGAGCATTATCGATGCCGCAGGGGTAACAGTACCCACGGGTGACCTTTGCGAAGGCTGCTATGACCAACAGGGTGCTCTCTATCGGTTACCGCAATGCATCGTAAGCGACCCGGAGAATATGATCGAAGGTAGTTCCATGGATGAATCAGCAAACAACGATCTTGACGGCGATGCCATGTCTGCTGGAAAATTTGCGGCCGATGAGGCGTCCGGGGATGAGCTTATCTCCGACGAAGCCGAGCGACGCAGAGAAGAGAAAGGGAAGACGAGCGAACGGGATCTGATCAAAGTCCGGTCACGACTGAGTGATGGTCGCTGCTCGGACATTGTCATTACCGTTGGCAAGAATCAGAGTGTCGGGTTCATTGCCCGTAAGATACAACAAGAGGCAGGGGTACGTCATAACCTTCATTTGGGAGTGTTTCTCTCTGATTTCTGATTTCTCCTGAATTATAGATATCCAGTCCTCAACGAGTTAGGATCGCATATCTGGGCAAGATCCTCAAGGAACATGATTCCTTGCCGGACCAAGGGTGGAAGAATGGCCATGTCGTCAACGCCATGGTTGTCACCCGTGGCTCCATATCCTGACAACAAAACTTCTTCGTCGAATATCTCTGTGATGTCTACGACCCTGAAGGCACTCTTAATACGCAAGGATCTTAATCTGCCCCAGCAAGCATTCCTGGGTGCTGTTCCCTCCGTCATTCCTCTCATTATCCACTCCTAATCGTCTAACTTCAACCTCCTACAGCAAGACGCCTAGTGCCACGGCTCATGTGACTCTGATCTAATAATTCCTGGTCTCCTTCTCCTTACTGCATAATACCCCCTTGTTTTAACCTTGCGCGATTATCAATTTCTAACCATTTCAAGCCTGTTCGTATTTGACCTCTTGTCTCTGCATTTAGCGTCTGGCACCCAATATTTGATATTTATCCGGAGTTTAGCAAAGAGAGATCTTCTGTTTTCCCCCCCCTTTCGTTCATTACTTAATCCTTTCTTTCACTCTCTTCTTTGCTCTTGTCAAATCTGCCATGCTGCATACAGTACGGCACTTGCATGACCTAGATGCAATGTAATGTCATAGAAGAGGCGTCCGACTCTGTGAGTAAATCATCAGCATTTAACATGGAGTAATCTGTTTAAAAATTTTAAGAATTCCATATGTTTCTTTTCCTGAGATATAGTAGTCTTTCTGTTGAATGTTCCTGTCTGGCGGATCTAGATAGATTAGCCTCATCAATCAAACAAACAATTCAAACACATACCCGCAGCAAAAAAAAAAAGTTATCGACTCGAGGTTTCATCATTTAATAATACTGTCTTTTTAATTCAATTAAACAGGCTTACCAATTGGTAAATATTATTTCAGCAGAATAATTCAAGTATCTTGGAATCTGCGCACCCCGGTCCGAGCAGTTCATCAGCGAGAAAGAAAAGAGAGAACACCGTGCTCGCTTGCGACAACATCGTCCACCAGATAGAGAAACACAACATCGAATATCCTCTACACTGTCCAGGGTAGTCTCGCGCGATGACAGATTTACAAAAGACTCCCTTTGTACGGGAGCTAGCTTCAAGTGGTGAGTTCAGCCGTTCCGGATTCTTGTCAAGATCTCAGAATCCATACCATATACAAGCCAAGCTGCTACTGACACCGAATGAATAAAACACAGATCGCAAAACTCGCGACAAAGCTCTAGCATCCTTAACTCTTTTCCTCCGCTCAAGAACCGACCTGTCTCTTCTCGAACTGCTCAAACTATGGAAGGGGCTTTTTTTCTGTACGTCAAAAGACACCGGGAATAATCACAATCTATGATTTGCTACTCTACCAATGGGGCATTCATCCTGACGAACTCGACTTGATTTGTCTAGGTTTCTACCACTCCGATCGCCCCTTAACCCAACAAGCTCTCGCCCAGTCCCTGTCGTACTCGCTCGTCCCGACACTACCCCGGTCCTCGGTGCAGCGCTTTCTCCGCGCATTCTGGATTACTATCGGGCGGGAATTCCATGCTATCGATCGACTCCGTCTGGACAAGTATCTGCATCTAATCCGTTGCTATGTGGGGGTTGGATTTGAGGTATTTCTGAAAGATGGCGTGCGTGTGTCGGACGAACAGCAGGGACAGGGGAAGAAGAGGAAGAGAGAACAAGAAGAAGAGTCGCGTACATCAGAGAAGGGCAAGGGCAAGAAGAATAAAAAGAGAAAGGCAAAACAGGAAAGTCAACCAACAACCGAACAATCCATGGAGAACGAGGACGACAAAAACGAAACCGAAAACAAGTCCAAATGGTCGGTTCTCTCCTCCTACCTCTCCATTCTCGAAGAGGGACCCTTATGCCCCCGCAATTTCGACCCGGATCAACAACAAAAGCATGACGGGTCCGATTCCTCCTTCCCCATGCCGCACGGACCGGATGGTCTTCGATACCACATTATGGACATTTGGATCGACGAAATAGAGAAAGTCCTCGAGTTCGACGCCGAGGATGACAATGAGGATAGAAATGCAGAGGGGAAAAGAAAAGTCAAGGGTGATGTGCCCATGGACCTTCTATTGCGGCCGATAGAGAAGCTTCGGACGGAAAGTCCACATAAGCCCGTTCGGACCAGGGCGGCTGAGACGCTTGATGACGACCGGTTGGTCGAATGGGGGTTCAGAAGTAGGAAGAGCGACAGCGAGGGTGAGGACGGAAGCGATGAGGAATGGGGTGGGTTCGATTGATTTGAGTGATGTTAAAAAATAAAAGCGAGCTTTTGTGATATATGGGGTTAGCTAGTTCTGCTATTACCTGGGTATTAGCATCCATGTCTGTCATCATTTGGTCCCAAGATGATTAATTGGGAGCTTCCATTTGGCTTCGTGTTCTGGTCGGTGCGGCTGGTGCAGCTGGTATGGCTTGTTCAGTTTGTGGAGCAGTCATCATTTGGTCTAGAGATATTGTTTGAATTTGGCCAGTAGTCATATTCTCTAGTGTTTGAGTCGGTCTTCTAAGCTGGTAATCTGGTTGGATTTAGGCGTCTTAGGGATGGGAACAATCTGATGAAATCCCACCATTGTGGTTGGTCCTGCACCCCCCTCCCCTTTGGGTCTTTTGGTTTCAAAGCTTGCGGTGGGAGAGGGTGGATATCATCGCCTTCATCAATTTGAATATCATGGCTCCCATGTCTTATGAAGGTGGCCGTTTTCTCCTTCATATCCAACTAGGTGGCCAACCATGGCTTGCGATCCCATTTCCTCTGCTTGAACTTCCGTATGTGGTAGAGTTGCTTTAGCATTTGGGAGCTTAGCTTCTTCGCATTAGTTGTATCAGTGGCTTTGATTGGTTTGGGCCCATCATTCATTTGATGGATGATTGCCTGGTCCAGTATCTGCTAGCCATGGTTTTGATATAGTGTTCTGTTTTGGCTTCGGTGGTGGTTGTTGTATAGCTTGGCTAAGGAAATCAAGGATTTTTCTGCATCCTCTTCTGTACCTAGGGGATGGGAAATAGCACCATATATGAGGTCTTAGGGCCCAATCTGGTGGACATTTATCTGGATTTAAATAGTAGCAGTCTGGACAGCCATGAAATAAGGCATTGCAGTATCCACATCAGATTTTATGTCTGGTAAGTGTTTTTGTGCATTGTTCAACTGCCCCTTCGGCATGGTTTTTGCCTTTTGGTGTGAATCCTCTTTATTCAGGCTCTTCTTTTTTGTTTGAATCCTTATTGGCAAGTTCGGTGGCAGCATATTGAGGCTCTGTATCACGAGCTCTTCAATGGTGTCATTGCATAGTTGGAAGAATTTATCTTGGGTATATTCACCAGTGCCTCCTTTTGGTAATTGTAGTTCACTGGGAGTGGCCCAGTTTGGGAGTTCTTCGGCCGTTTGATAAAGTAGCAGTAAGGCTGCTTCGTACCATTGCAATTGGCATTCCAATTCAGTTGCATACAATAATATTATTTCTCAGTGTATTTGTGTATTGCTCTAGAGAGCCGGGTTCGGATTGTTCATATGAATTGTGTTAGACCTGCGCTATTGTTTCAGCCCTGCTGGGTTCCATCTCAAACCCCTAAGTGTTGATGATATAGCCCAGAAAATCCATACTATCCGTATGGAACGCGCGTTTGCTCAATTTAGCATATAGCTTAAAACGACGCAGCCTTTCCAAGACTGCGCGTACATGCCCAACGTGCTCCTCGTCCTGACTGTAGATCAGGATACCATCAAGGTAGACAGTACAAGACAACACAACATGAGTCAAGCAGGTCACTAAGCGCACGGTTAATGTACGCTTAGAAGGTGGCAGGCGCATTGGCCAAGCCAAATGGCATCACAAGATATTCAAAATGCCCATAGCGTGTTCTAAACGCCGTTTTTCACTCGTCCCTCTTGCGTATGCAAATACGATGGCATGCGTCCCGGAGGTCTAGTTGCGTGAAAAGCACCTCCAAGTCGATCTAGCATTTCACTTGGGAGTGGGAGTGGGTATTTGCTTTGACAGTGATGGCGTTCAGCCCCTGGTAGTCCACCCAGAGCCTTAAACCCCCATCCTTTTTGGAACAAAAAGGATTGGTGTGCCCGCAGGACTTTGTGAGGGATTGATCCAACCCTTCTCTAGGTATGCCTCTAAATATTCCCAGAGTGCAGCTAACTGCAGCTCTGATAATGGATCGATAGGCCGCAAGGGAAGCGCAGTTCTCGCATGGCATCGCCCCATGTATCTTCGTTTGAGATTGTGGTATGAGTCTCCCCGTGGTGCAATGCCGACATGCCCACGCCGGCGGCCATGAAGGTCAACAGACGGCCGGTGTCCTCGACCATCCACGCCTTCAGCGCGCGCGAGATCGAGGCCCGCTGCAGGAAGGCTTGCAGCCAGAACGAGGCATTGGCGACGTGCAGGATGAAGAGGTGGACGCGGAACTCGTGCGGTGGGTGCATGGCCGCTCTCGTCACGTAGATACTCGTGTTGATGACCTCGGCAGCGGCACGCTCCAGGTCCTCGCCGGGGTGGACCTGGTACCGGCCTGAGATAGCGGCCAGGTTCTTGCCGGTGCGACCCCAGGCTCGGTCGTGCCATGGCTCCTCTGTGGGGGACTTAAACTCCTTGTCCAAGTCCCAGCTCTCACCCTATGTGCATGACCGAGTGCACCCAGCCATGGGCAGAGACGGGGGTAGACCGAGCGGGCGAACTCGTTGTCTCCGACGAGATATTTTTTGCAGGACCTCGTCAACTCCGAGGCGCTCAATCTCGCTCTCGAAGAAGACAATGAGATCCCGGTAGCACTCCCTCCTTACCTAGCGTCTTCTTGAGGTTCTCCAGGTTGGACAGGCTCGTCGCTGGTGAAGATGTCGTAGTCCCGGCTCGACTGCAGAGCACGCACAGCCGCGTTGGCGCTCTCGGCCGTCAGCTCACTGGCATGTATGAAGCCAGGCGTGGATTTCGGGTCTAGCGTGACTCTGGCCTCAGGCATGTTGGCTCTGGCTCTGGCTCCCCAGATTGTGATAACAAAGAGACGGACTGCTTCTACAATTGGAATTCCATACCAGGCCGTATGATAGGTTCCAGCGCCGTATTCGTACTTATAAGGCACTAGAATACAATCCTTCCTACGGCAGCCAATCGAAAAAATGCCATTTACCCCGGATGACTAACCACCCTAGCTCTATCGCATTATCCTAATTAGGAAAAGCCTGCTTATAATGTGCATGGACGGCGATTTCAAGTCTCCACTAAAAAAAGTTACCGTTTTATCTTGTTTTGTGGGTCGATCTATCCGTTCGGAGATACTCGGAATTAAGAAATCCCCACGGCACTGTAAAACTCGGACATAAGCAATTAATTTAGACCACCTTCTTTGGGCTGGGCAACGTCCTCGTCTTCATCTCCATAACCAACTACATCATCGATACATACAGCCTCTTCGCCGCCACGGCAGCGGCTACCAACTCCATCATTCGCGCCCTATTCGGGTTCGCCCCTCGCACTGCATCTGCATCTGCAGCGCCTGCTTCGCGGCACCGACCGTGTCGTAGTCCACGAAGAAGGCGGGTGGGAGATCAAGACCCAGCTCATTTCTGATCGTGGTCAGGACCGTGATGGCCATGAGGCTCTCAACGCCGAGATCTCTGAAGATGGTATCCTCTGTCATGTCCTCGGGGCCGACGCCGACTTCAGCCGCTATGATGGCGAGGAGGTCATAGATCAACGATGTGTCTTGGATGGCATCCGAGTCCGGTGTGACCGAGATTGCTTTGACCGTGTCTCCTCTTTAACAAAGAGTGAGATAAAGCTGTGGGACTCGGTGGCGTGGGAATCAACGACAGGGGCAAGGGTATCGTTTCGAGATGGCGCATGCATAGTGATAGTGGTAGCACTACGAGCAGCCGGCTTGGCAACCCCGAGAACATGATCCGCTCCCGACATGGGTCCGTGGACATGTCGTCCTCATCGGCGACGCCGCCCACCCTATGCTGCCGTTGAGCGGCCAGGGTGCCACACAGGCGATGGAGGGCAGGGCCGCCTTGGGGTTTCTCATGAAGGACCGGAAGGATATCAAGCTCGAAAGCGTGCTTTCTTTGTCCGAAGCAATTCGCAAGAACCGGGCCTCCCGCGTGAAGATTTTATCCAGTGCCAGGGTCGAGAGAGAAAGCCAAGTTGCGGAGAGACTTGTGCCATATTTGGACGAGATAGCACCCAAAGCCCCAATGTCACTTGCTGAATGAGTGCAGTACGATTTCAGGTATGATGCCCTGGTAAACCCTGATGATCCTGCTGTTGACAGACTCAATGACACTGTTGGGCTTTCCTTCTAGCTATAATATGTACACCACTTGTGAAAAAGTCCTTAAATGATGATTACATGGACAAGAACAGTGAAGCCATGCACGGCTACTTGGTGTCCAGCATTCTGCCAGAAAATGATGGTTGTCTGTTGTATATAGCCTTTGTGGTATGTATTTATTGTAGTGAAAGCGCCATGGCTGCTGTAGTAAAATGTGCTGCCACAGCCACCATGGTCAATATAATATGTCTGTGCCTATACGGACTTTTATTCTGTCATCACAGAGACTTTCCCCTTCTGGATGTCATCAAATTCATGAGGATACTCAGGTGTAATTGTTTGAATATAGAATTCATTTTGGTACTAGGTACACGAAGAATTCCTTGAGAGAAGGAAGAGAGACAACGGCATGCCAGCAGCAAACAGAACAATTGATGCAAAAGGAGCAGACAGAACAAAAGGAGCAAATGAGGCAGGTAGAGTACTCGGGCGTTGGCCCTGGGTTTGCAATATGCCTGAGCGTAGCCCAGGGCGCCTGTGCCAGTCAATCAAGCATGGCATTGCCTGTTGTTGAATAGGCGTGCTAACCTGCCCTGCATGGCATCGAATGGTAGTCTATAATTAATTGTAGTCATGCGATTAATCAAATATTAATTAGTCGTTTCTAGCCCTGTTATCTCTCCAAGCGAAGCAAGAATCACCACCCTTGTGGTAGTATTTTACACAAGCTAAAATATAGAAAGCGCGTCCTGTAGCAGGCGAGAAGCAAGGAAGCGATTTAAACGTCCTGGGGAGCCTCACAAACAGCACTGATTTCTGGGAAATCATTATGCGCACCAGGGAGAAGATTCTCGTGTGCCTCGTAGAAATCCGTTTGCTCACACTCAAGTACCAATTTGTTTGCTGGGATGTTTAACTTCTTGAAATACGCGTTCAATTGCGTTGAAACGTTGGAAGCATCGACGTAGCTGGGTCGCGTAGATTTCATCGTCGGAGCTCAATCCATGTGGAAGCCAAAATCCGAAAATATCATTCATCGGTTCTGGCAAACCATTTAAGCCCAGCTTTCCCTCGCGGTCGTGGGGATTTTGAGAAATCCCAGCCATTGGATGCATCTCCTTGAACATCTGTAAGCTGTGCGGGATGATTTCACCGAGAAATCCGCTTGCGCGGATGGTGTCGAAGAGTTTGGGGAGATCAGCTCCACTTCTGGCAATGATGGTTGCAAGCCTAATGAATACAGTCAGTGGTCAGACCCAAAAACCTAGAAGCTGGACATACCAGTCAACATCGGCATCCCATTCACTGGATTGCTCTGCAATCTTGCCTTGGAATATCATATCCGAATCACGGTCAACAAATGAGAAGCACCAGAGCAATGAGGCAACAAGGCCTGTATCTGGAGAACTCGACATCAGATAAATTGGCACGGTCAGGCTTTTTGGGTGAAGGAATCCTCTATTGACTAGAAGCTCATACACATCCCAGATTGCTGATTGCCGGCGAGCCCTCCAATATAAGTTGCGCAGGATGCCTCGCCAATTTGGCTCTCTCACATACAACTCATTGTAGATGCCAAGATCTGTGGGGAAACCACGTCTAGTGTCACACAGGGAGACTTCACTGTCGATAACAACTGGCTGATGGGGAGACGAGAGTATTGGGGTCTGCAAAATCTTGGTCAAGGCTCTGGCGGATATCCATATCCATTGCGGGCCATTCGATTCGACGACGAGCGGCTACGCGAGGGCCATAGACAACATCTACTTTGTCCCGAAAAATGAGATCATCTAGGACTGTGAGTGGATCCACATCGTCGCTGGCATAGAATTGAGGCTCAACGACCTTGCCGCCAGGTGTCATGTTTCTCACCAGCTGATCTCTCATAAAGGCCTCATGGTCCTTGATGCGCCAAGTGATACGGCGGCGAGGAACGCCGGGAAGGTTCATTTTGGCTAGAGATTGAACAAACGCAGCTGAGAAACGACCATTTCTTATTCTGTTGCTTATGCTGCGAGTCGTTGAATAGCCTTGTTCGTTCGAAGCAGCGGCAACAGCAAAGTACCGGTTCTTCTGGCTTGATGTTTTGGTAGCGTCAATGAAACAGTCTGAGTAGCACGCCCCTGAGATTGCGTTAACTTGAACACCTTCCTTGAACCTAGAAAGGAGATCCCTGAAGACATATGGGTGAATGTGGCGATCTCCAATGCAAAATTCGCCCTTTTTTGTTTCCCTGGCCTTCCAGGATAATGTTCACAATGTCCCCAGCTTCAGCTTGTCTTTGCTTCTGGTGGATCCAATCTTCAACTCGTTGAAGAATTTCGTGCTGTGCAACTTGAGTCCACCAGTGATTACAGCTGACGAATGCATGCCTTGAGTACGTGTATAGGGCCTTTCCAACTCCAGGACCAAACTTTCCAAATTTGATCACATCGATTGCTGGTGTGCTTTCGTTTCGCAACCAAGTAGTGATCTTGAAGAGGAAAGCACGAGAAGAAGTTTCCTCCGACGCCACGTTCTTTCAGGATCATGCAGAATCCCATGAAATCTGAGAATATGTGCCCGTCTTTTTTGTCTGTCGCTCCACGAACATGACGTTCAGTCCTTGTAGTGATGACTACCCCTCTGTTTCAATCCTCCGCCCATGGGAAGAAACGCCGTCGCATGCCCCCACCCCTGGTTATTACGGTCGTGAACGCACGCCATCCGTGTTTAGCATTTCATCGGACCATGTACTTGAGGGGCGTTCTTCCCCCTCGTACCAACATCCATCCAATCAACTAGGTTTCCTTCAAGATGATGAACCAGAAAACGGAAGAACAAACAACCGACGATCCCCAAGCTCCCTTGTCTACGTAATCGAATGGAAGGTGACTCTGAATAACCGCCTATTGAAGAGAGATACGGAACAAGACTTAGTTTTCAAAGCCCCATTCATACTGGGGAAAGATAAAGGAAGATGCTGAAAAGGCCGTCCGCCGGAAAATCAAGCGCCACCAGCGGTTCAGGCCAGACGATACTGAGATCATCGTATCTGAGAATGACCGCAGTCAAAATGATCTGATTAAAACTTTCGACAGCACTGACATTGATTGGACAGTCATAGAAAAGCAGCTCCTAATGTGGGGTAGACTTTCACGTATGCCTGGTAAAAGGGTGCGCTATATAGTAGACAGTGACGATTATCCATCGAAAAAATCGGATAAAAGAGGCCCAACATCAGTGACGAAAGGAATGCTTACTGAGAGAGACGCTCGAATTGACGCAGAGGGCGTGTCAGGGCAACACACAGTCTGGAGGGATGTGTACAAGAAATGCGTTGTCCAGGCCCACCCTGTCGCCATGATTGTTTATTACGATCCCTAACGCACAATAAAACCATGGCCCGCAGACAGCGTATCGTCGTCTCTCGCGGTCCTCCCAGTATTGCTGGCAAGATCCTATGGGGAAGAAACATTACAAATTAAAAACACATCATCTGAAGAGCCTGGTCAAGTTCGTCGAAAGTGGAGGCGAATTAGAGACCCACGAGGACGTTCCAGAAGGTATTCGTCAACAGTTATACGGCGAGGAGGAACAACGCCTTGAGAAACAGAAAAAAGGGGCCCAAAACGCACAGGGTGGAACAATATGGCCGCCAATCAACATTAATGTCCTCCCGTCACAGTCATCTCATCCCTCACAGATGAGCAGTAACGCGTCTCCGAGTGTCAGTTGTGGGCCTATTGATATACCGGGGCCGCTTGACACAGCGATCGATGAGTACACGGCTTGGCAAAAATCCCGTGTGAGTCGTGATTCTTTCAAGGAACAGATGGACATAGCCCGCAATGTGGCATTGGAGAACTGTCTGGATCTGAGACAGATCCATAAGGATCAGGACTCGAGGTTTTTCATCAGCCAAGGCGTGAAAGTTGGTGCTGCTCGCCGATTTGTTAGTGAGATCAAGAGCTGGCTTGAAGAACGTGGGAAAAGCAGAGACTCAGAAGATTGTCTGGATTAATGTTCATATGACGCCACTTGTACCGTATAGAAGTCGTTGGCTTTGCTTCTTCTGATTACATGATTGCTCAACCGCCTTTCCAGGAATGTCAAGCTGCACAGGAGATAGATTCGTTGGAATCATTCTTTAGGGAAAGTGACTAGTTCATCGGAATGGCAGCGGAACGACTCCAACAAAATAGAAAAGAGCAGTGAAGAATGAAGGAAGATCTGATCCTGATGACTTGGGTGTCAATTGGATGGAAACAAATGTTGAATGGGCGTTGGGAGTGACTGGGCTTTTAACCATGGCAGCTAGGTGCCAGCTAGCCCTCAGCTGGTGCGGTGCTGAGGAGGCCATTTTCAGCGCCATTGTGAAACTTGATAGGAAGCAAATAGTGTCGCGGACAATGAAAGCCACGATGCTGCCTGAGGATTGTATTGGTGGTGCGTGGCCAAAAACGGCAGCATAATAGCAAAACGAAATTCTATGCGAGGATAAAAAGTACATATGTATACATCATTTGTAGGAGTCAATAGGGCCATTGGCTGAAAGCGGCACTCATCAAATTAACTTATTAGCTGTCTCCTTAAAGAATACTTCTGTTTACTAATATCATAATTCCAATAATTAATCAATAGTCCTGACTCCTGGTATGATTCTAACGCTAGCCGGTAGACAAAAGGAATGAGCAGGCTGATAATAACGTCTCCAAGCATAGCATTACAGAAACCCAAAAAGAGGAGTAGGTCCAAAAATAAAAAAAAGTCTTTAAAAGATTGTGTTCGAGGTTCCGGATGTCTGTCTGGACAAGAGGGTATCATGATCCAAGCCAAGGGGGCAAAGACAAGGAATTAAAGAATAATAGTGTACATGAGAAAGGTAAAAATAAAATAAAACAAAAGCGCCCATTTACCTACAATTCACAAGTATAATAAGAATATTACTTCGGACCAGAGGCTTCATAGATATAGCCGGATTTGGACAGCACCGTCCCTAGACCCTGATGCACTTCGACCTGGAATGGCTCGAACGGGATCCTTTCACCATCGACACTGATATAGCCTTCTTTCTCTCGGGGCGTGAGACGATACGCGGACGCCTTGCAGACCTTAACGTCCGGCATGCCGAAGAAACCACCATCGGATATCTGGTCCATCATCTTCAGTGTGGTGGTGCGTGGGATGGTGCCGTCAACGGTCACAATGTCTATCAATCCATCATTTGGCACAGCGGCTGGGAAGAAGTTGGTATCCTTTGACACGATGGCCATATTTCCGGCATAGAAGTTACCTAGCGTCTCGGATGGGATGATCTCCCAGTCTTCGGGGAGCTTGTCCTTGACCGTGCCGTATTTGAGAGGGGGCAAGCCCTGAGATTGCTGTCCCGATGCCTCCTCGTCATCTGGGACTTCACGTCTGGTGGGATCTTTAATTGTGTATGCGGCATAGTGGTGTTTGATGGCGTTCTTGCTTCCAATTTCAACCTTCACCGCGAGATCGCAAGGCCATACTGTCTTGTGCAGGAGACGGACTAAGAACCCGAATGTGAAGCGGTGCGCGCCCATCCAGCGGTATTTCTCCGTGCCCAGGTCACACTCGGCTACGATGCCGAAGGCTTGAGACAGAAATGACAGCGTACGAGTGTTCCCTTGCGTAATCGAGACAAGGTCTAGAGGTGTGTGTATGCCTTTGACAATTGTCAGGGCAGTTACGGAGACGCTTCCCGTTCCAGAAAGGTTCCACGCCATGGCGTTGCCAGAACCACAGGGTATCATGGCTACGGCAATTTTGGATAGGGCATGTTGAGCATCGAATCTTTTACCCAGTCCGTTGAACACTTCGTATGGTAGCCCATCCCCGGAGCAGCAGACAATAGCATCGTACGCGTTGATGTCGATCTGCTCCGCAATCTCCGTCGCATGGCCACGATGCGTTGTGTGCTGGACATCGACATGACATCGGGCCGCAGCAAAGATCGGAGCGGCATGTTTCTTGTACAAATTCGCAGCATTACCTTTACCGCCGAACGGATTGATCAGGACCTTGAGCCTCTTGTGCTTCCGCGCATCTCCATATGCAAGGTCGAGTAGCCTCTTCGTCCACGCTTCCACAATCTCTTTTTCCTCCCCGTGAATAGGATATCGGATCGAAGTGACGGAGATATCATTACTGGACGAATGTTTCGCGAACTTGATTGTCAGACCGTCTGCGGAGAGCTGCGCATCGAGGATGTTGTATAGAGCAATGGCATGGGTGACCTTCGTTTCTAAGCCAGAAGAGGCAGAAAGAGCAAAAAAGCGCCGACAAGTTAGACTCGAGTTCTCATCTCCAAAGCCAAGGGCCAACAAACTGCAAAGACATCAAAAGAATTGGGCCGCGTTATTACTCTGTATTGGTAGTTTACAACAACCACGATCCTTTGACTTGGCAGCAGCACGCTCATCTGGTTCCAGAGACGATCAGTGACTTCACATTTCTACGATCGCAAACCTTCTTTCTCCATCTGTTTTCCATCAAAGCCGACACTCACTCACCGACGACAAGAAGCGACTCGCTTCCTAGGTTCAATGACAGGGTCTGTCCGACCACCAGAGTCCTCTCTTCTCGCAGCAATTGCGTCTCCTGTGCTTCCGTGATCCAGGGGGGATGGGAAGCGCTAGATGTGCGCGTGTGGTCGGCAGTGGAACTCATGCTGCGAAGCAGAAAAGGAGCATTCTAAGACTGAAAGGTAATGAAGAGAATGCAGGGGGAGAGCGGAAATAGGAACCGGTAATGCTGAGATACGGAGCAGGAGATGCAGGAGATGCACTCCGTGCTAGCTACGGAACAGGTAATCCTGCCGCGGAACCCGGTTCCATGACGCATTATGAGGACGTCAATCCTTTTCTACTGAGTACATTTGGCTTTAATACTGATATATTATAGCTTATACAGATTGATAATAGTATCTACTCATGACAAACGCTCGCGGAAAGTACCTTTCCATTCATACACCCTCTTTTTGCCCAGTGACATCAAACGAGAACAAAAACCGAGGCAACAAGATCATGCATCAGAAGAGAAGAGAAGAAAATAAGAGAATAATATACTGGAATATTACTTAAATAGACTCGCAATCCCAATTCGATTTACGCAGCTGAAGCTTTGAGGCCCTTGAGGGAGCCCAAGCTTAAAGCCAGACCTTGAGACCGGCTTCTTATCCGTACAAACCCAGTAATTGGTCCATCCTCGCCTTCTTTTTCGATACTCAGATTCGCAAGAGCGTCCTCGCCTAATAGTCACTCTAGTTAGCAATCCATTTCTGATTCCGTAGAAACCAGGAAAAGTAGATATCATACCAAATACGCTTCGGGCATACAGATTGGCACTCAAGAACCGGCAGTCGCCCTGGAGCGATGCCTCGGGAGTCAGGCAGGCCATGTTGGTGCTCTCCATAAGCTGTTTGAGGAACTCGCGGAGGCTCTTAGCCTTCGAATTAATGTTGATCTTGTTTTCCCATTCGAATTCCGTCCACATCGTCCGGAACTGCGTCTCGCTGCAGTGGGCAGGCTGGATGTAATCCATGATATCTGCATGAATGTCATCAAGGATGACAACGTGGGATTCCGTGGAACTGGGTCCATCGTAAACGATGTTGCCAAAGATAACTCCAGTGTCCGTCGAAGACACCTTGATTGTGGCCTGCACATTCAAGAAATCATGAGGGCCCAAGTTGTGTGTTGTCGGCCGCTCGACAACCTTCAGGTCTCCCAGGGTTGCAAATTCAACAGACAAGTTCTGTAAGGTCTCCTCGGTCTGGTTGACCAAGAGTACATCCAGGACGATATCAAACTGGTGAACCGTGACGTATGTTTCGGCGTAAACTGGATCAGAGAAGCCGGTAAGCTGCACCACCCTACTCAGCTTGGATGGCCCAGATTCCACGGTTGAATCGCCGCCAGTAGCCTTGGCAAGATCAAGCTCAATCTCTTCAGCACCCTCCCCGGCGTTTCTCTTGGAGAACTGTCTGATCGGAATCGCATCATCAACTTGCACGGCATTTTTGGCCTTCTCGTCAGCCTCCTTGGCAGCTCGCTTCTTGTCTTCAGCTTGCACCATAGCGCGGAATGCAGTGCGAGTGTCCTCGAGGAAGGTCATCTCAAGCTCTTTTCTCTGCGTAAACTCCGCAAGAGAACGCACGCAGGTCATGATTCGGTCGACCGAGTCTTCATCTATAGGGGCCTTGACAAACTGAGACTGACCAACTCGGATGATGGAAATCATGATAAGCATCGCTTCTGCGCGCAGAGCATTGGTCCGGGCAGTATCTTGAGAAAGCTCAGAGTGACGCATGACTAGCTTGGTTAACGTAGATGATAGGACAGTAGCCAGGTAGTAGTCACCATCCAGAATCAACTGACGAAGCGGTGGCTTCTGAGCAGCCTTAACCGCCTCAAGTTTGGCTGCAGCCGCAGACTGGCTTGTGAGAGCGCTTTCCGTTGCATAAGTGCCGTCAGCAAGAACTCTCCTGGATCCCGTTGGAGTCGCCGATTTCGCATGACCATTGACCTGTTCTTTAGGTGTCTCATTCTCGTCATTGGCTTCATCCAACAAGCGCTGCTCTGAGGCCAAGATCGGAATCTCTCCAAGACTGGACCTAATTCGCTTCCAGGCTTCACGGATATCATTCTCTTCCAAGGAATACTCTCCAACAACCCAAAGAACGCCACGGTAAACCTTTCCAGCACGCACCTCGCTCAGTGTCGAGACTAGGCGATCAACAATCGACGCCCGCAGGTTGGGGAACTTTTCGACTACCTCTTTTACAAAGGAGATTACGTCAACGGCAGAGTTATTATTGAAGTCAGCAATGAATTCCATCAGCAGGTCGACGACGCTGGCAGCAATCTCGGAGAACTTAATCGCGCAGTTATGTATGGATTGAATCAACAGTTGGCGGTATTCGCTGTTCTGTACATGCTGTTAGCTTCGAAGCCGGAAATGTCAAAAAAGGAAGCGGAGCTTAATTTACCTTTTCGTATTGTTCGTCCACGGTCTTAGATAGCTCTTTCTTGAGTAGCATGACGATCTCCTCGACGTTCTTGCTTGAGACCATCTCCAGTGCGATGCTGAGAGCCTTTCGTCGAACGTCAATGTCAGGGCTAGAAAGGACACGCAGAATCTCCATAGTGAGATCGTCCAAAACACCCTCATTGCGAATTCTCAGTTGGTCGATTCGATCCAGGACGATCAACTTGACATTGTTGTCAGCCTCCTTAATGCAAAGCTCGATCAATTTCCTGGCAGCGGCATTCACGGCGACGGGGTTGCTCGTCAGGGCGGTAAGGGAAGTAGCTGCTTCATAAACAACGGTGCTCGTGGGGGCATCGAGAAGGTCGAAAATCAATCGTAGATATTTAGCCTATACCGGTCAGTCAAACAGCAGCACGGCCTCCTTCTGGAAATTATTCACCTTATTTTGTGTGTTCTGCACAGCATCCTTCCTAATAAACTCTAACTCCGCCAGCTGCAGCAGTTCGTCTGCGTTTGGTATGCCGTCAAAAGTGGAAGTCAGATAATCCAGAGCCTTCTGGTGACTGACGGTCATAAGGGCAGCGAAAGCGTTGCGCTTGCAGGTGCTGTCATTTTCTGACTCAAGGAAGGTCTGAATAAGCTCCGGGGCATCTGGGATAAGTGACTCGGAGTGTTGATAAATAGAAGCAACTGCCCAAACAGCATTCTTCCGTACGTATGAGTGACGGTGTTCCAAGCACGAACGCGCGGACGAGAGAAGAGGTTCGATGAGCTCCGGTTCGCGGAGCTTGCAGAGGAATCGAAGAGTGTTGCCCCGAACATATTCGTTTGGATGCTGAAGGTCGTTTCGAATTCCATTGCTGTACACAGAAGACAATGTTACCAGAGTGCTCCCTCTGGACCAAACAACATAGGATCGGGGTCCTTACCACACAAGGATCATTTCTTGCTTGAGCTTTCCATTCGCATCGTGCTTGGGGCAAATTTCGTAGTAGAAATAGAGGAGTTTCTTCAGAGGCTTGCTCTTGGAGGGCATAACAAAGCGAATGATGTGCATCAATAGTTGAGACATGGGGTCTCCGTTGAGCATGATCGTTACGATCTTTCTCATCGTTTCCATCTTCGTTTCATCGTTGCCTTTCTCCAACTGCAATTTTAACTCCTGCAAGGACGGCTGGTCCGCAGTGTTGTCCATCTGGACCAGACTGTATGCGTTATCTAAAAACAGCGCCATGGTGACTTGTGGGGGTGAGCGAACGGCCGGGAACGAGGGTAAGGAGAATCTAGGAGTTTTGTCAGTATTGATTGGGGCAATTCGAGACGGCAGAAGGGAACAGCTTATATTTACCTATTGTATGGCCTTTAGAAGGGCTTAGAGAAACAAGAAACAGAAGTTAGAGACAAACGACTCCCCTCGCCAGCCAGACGTTCATCAATGCCGACGAGAACAGCCAACCTGTCTCTTTGCGCGACGGAGAGCAATCTGGTCTTAGACCAATCCGCACTAGTGCGGTCACGTGTATATCATCAACCTAATCCGAACCTGCCTCGAAGTTCTCTGATTTCTGCGAGAACAGTAAGCCAAGTTCACAGTATTGACCGTGAGAGTGTACTGTAGTCTTTTCGCACGTTCATTGTAGTCTGTAACGATGCAGCTCTTGGGATTCTCCTTCTATCTAGATGAAGTTGGTTATGTTGGCGTTGGAGCTCCCAGTAATTAAACTAGTTAGTTAACAGTGTATGCGATGATGACTAAGCCGTCTCGACTGTTTTTACCATTCAACAGCAACATTAATCGTCACCAACTCCAACAGAGACAAAACAACTATTTTGCCAGCTGCCCATATCATTGCGGCAGATATATTTTTGACAATAATGTCGGACCAAAACGAACCATTCTACCTTCGTTACTAGTAAGGCGTTATGCGTGGTTTGCCCAGGTTTCCCGGCTGCTGACAGCCCTGCAGCTCAGGACACTCTGGGCGGTTTGGGCATGAGTTCCTAGGTGAGTACTTTAGAAGAAAAAAAGTTTCCTATTTATTATCAAGGACCAGCTACTAATGGAGTAGAATTTGATTTTCGCACGCTCGGTGATGGTCGCAGCGCCGCCGTACGGTACGCGAACAATTCCAATTATCGCAATGATTCCCTCATCCGCAAAGAGAGTGAGTCGCACACGGATCTTGGTAACTTACAAGGGACAATATGTCATACTAAGGGATATTACAGTGTGCGTGAGTTCTTTGATGATCCAGGAGATTAAGCGTATCATCAAAGAAAGCGAAATTGTCAAGTAGGGAACCTTTGGAAGGGCTCGATAGATGCACTCGCTGATTTAGAAAACAGGGAGGACGATTCGAAATGGCCCCAGAAGAACAAGGATGGACGGCAAGAGTTGGAGATCCGGATAGGAAATGAACACATTTCTTTCGAGGTATGCTCTTCTACCCCATGTTCTACCATGGACGGCGTGCGAGCTAACATTCCCTGCGCTGTTGCAGACTGCGAAAATCGGTTCGCTCGTTGATGTGACCGAATCTGCAGACCCGGAAGGACTACGTGTGTTCTATTACCTCGTGCAGGATCTCAAGGCACTCGTGTTCTCTCTTATTTCTCTTCATTTTAAGGTATGCCTTTCCTTGCGACTCATGTGTCTCTCCAGGTCAGGCCTATATATCTGACCTACCAATCTTTCCATATAGATCAAGCCTATCTAAAAACGGTCCTCTCTGGCACGAATTGCGAAGGTGATAAATCAGTGCAGGCATTAGGCGTTCTCACGAGGATAATGGCTTTCTTTTTTACTTCATTGTTCAATAATATAATTGTCGGTATGGGCAAAATGGATGACTGCAAGGTTCGAGTCGCATGCCAGGACCTGCGATGATGATGCAATGGGTTCTGCTATCCTCCGTAGGGAGAAAAAGAGTGTAGAATTTTGAAGATTGTGCCCTTTTTCCAGTTGGATAATGTATGTCATATTCTGTGCTGGTGGTTGCACAGCAAAACGTCAATCTTAAGTTTTTTTCCCCTGTTCGCCTCCCCCGCGCGCTTCGCTCGCATGATCCATCCCGACAATTCTGGGTCTTCCAGAGCTGCCAGCAACCCTTCCATCCCCCGACACACCCCCTTTTGTCTCTTCCGTAGCTGTTTTACTCAGTTCTTGTCGTTCCTTTGTCCCTCTGAGTATATGTATCCTCCTGTACTTCCTCCGATCCGATGTCCTATCAATACCTAACTCGCCTCAATGCCGACTAACAACACCAACACACAGCCGACTGCCACACCAATCACCGAGGATCTCTCTGCCCACGCTACCTGTCCACCAGAAGTCGAAAGCATATCCTATCCTGCTTGGAGGAATTCTCCCCTGCATCGCGTTCTTCCTGGGAGTGGCCAACACGGTACAAATGCTATCTCGACTGCCGGCTCTCTAGAACACTCATCCCTAAGTCATCCGCACGATGGTGTCGGTCTCTCAAATACCATTGAATTCCGGGCAGAGTCAGCTCCAGATGCTTCCTTGAAGCAAATGGCCGGGTCCGATGAAGATACTGCGGCAGGGCGATTGAGTCCCGATAGCGAAAGGTCGTCGTGCTCCGGTAGCGAAGCGACACCAATCACTACACCTTCCACTTCGTCTCTGCTTAGCTATGAGTTCTCAAGCGTTCGGGTAAGCTGGAACTGCGGAAGATCGTATCAAAGTGTTCCATACAACTGACTTTCTTCAGCTTCTCCCGAATCACTCCTCCTCCTTCCTCCGTGCTGGTAGCAAATTCATCGGGACTCAGCAGTCGGATTGTCGGACATACAATGTCGATGTGGAGATCAAGCATGTGGACATGGCGGAGTCGTATCTCTGTGGCTATCTTCGCATCCAAGGTACACTATCATTTGATTTTGTTTTGCTCGTTTTTACTTGGATTCATGGGCGATGTATGACTAACTGCTCATGCGGCTACAGGTCTCACCGAGGACCACCCTACGTTGACCACCTTCTTTGAGGGAGAAATCATCGGAACCAAACACACTTTTCAGACTAGGCACGAGGCATGGGGGGCTACAGAGAAAACCGATATGCTCCATTGGGCACGGTTTCCGGCGTGGAAACCCCTAGCGAAACAGGCGAAGCGACCGGATTTTACCTATCGCAATTTTGCACAGCGCGAACACATTTTCATGAGATGGAAGGAGTATTTTCTAGTTCCGGACCATCGAGTGAGGACGATTGCCGGGGCAAGCTTTGAGGGGTTCTACTATATCTGTTTCAACCAGGTGAAGGGAACAGTAAGCGGGATATACTTTCACGCAAAGAGTGAAAAGTACGTATTGCCTGGCTGGTTGAACAGCGACATCCTCCCAAGCAGATATTTTCTAACCGGTGATAATGTGCAGGTTTCAGCAACTTGAGCTTAAACATGTCGAAAACCACGGCTGTACGCCGGCGGTTGAGTTTCGCTGATATCCCGCCTCTCGACCAAAGTCGAAGCTCGGCACCCCTCGCGCTTTGGAAGTTAAGGCTTCTCATTCTTACTTTTTATACCATAAGAGGCTCCGCTCTGGATTCTCGTCGATGAAAGGAATCTGGTTTACGTCCCCAACGCTCCTCACTTACCTCGACCGATCGATGCTCCCCGGTACTTTTTAATTATAGAATTGATATTTCTATCTATTTGAAAGCTACCTACCTTTGTTCTTTCAAATTTTTTCCACCTCTCATGTCTCATGACTGTTATTGTGAATGGGCGTTTCTTTGTTGGATGACATGCCTCATCTCATTCTGTTTGTTTCGGTATTGATATCAATGGGTCATCTTGTTCATACAGGCAGCATATGAAGGTCATTTCATTCTTGTTGGTACAACCAGTTTCACTCTTTAAAACACCCTTTGGTTACTTCTAGTACCTATCTCTGGTCTATTGGACTCTGGACTACCCACATTCCTGTATATTGTATGGCTTCCCAGATCTTAAGGGAAATTAGGTAGTTATTGACAAAACCAGTAGACCAAACTGACAAAACCTTCACGAACGCAATGGATATGTACAGACTCAAGACTTGGACACCCTCCTCTTCACATACTTCCAAATCTCCCTATTATTGGACTCTCCATCATCAGACTTGACCTGCACTATTGACTCCTTACAACCCCTATTCACCACGCTCCCAGCTGATCTAAGCGTCGACGTACTCGCACCATCATCATCATCAACAAACGTAGTCCCAGTAACCAGAGACATATTATCCATTTCTGTTTCTTTCACCTTTTCCACAGATGGCATCCGGCTGTCTTGTTTTTGTTTCGTTTCCGGCGTGGTCTCAGTGACGGAGCTGTCGTCTTGTGATGATCGGTGTTGTTGTTGCTTACGTCTAGCAGCGTCAGCGTCTTCCCACATGCGCATTCGGTATAACTCCTTGATATCGTCAGAGGTGAGACCGCTTCTTGTCTTGTGGGAGGCGCCTTCGGGGACGTTGATATCGGAGCATTCATGGTTCGTTCCTCTCCCCCGCCCATGCTTAGAGTATGAAATGCTGGATGGAAATATTTCCAACAAAGTTAGTCATATTATTCGAAGGTTGTCGGGAGTGAACTTGAATCAAGTGATAATATGTATAGATGGGGTTTAAACGGATGTTCGTTCATTTATCTTTAGCTGCGTACCTAGTATATATACAGTTTCCTATAGATCAGGACGGACAGAATGCCGTATCCCGAGCACTGCCTTGTTGATTCCCTTTCCCGAGTCTCAGTGGTGAATTTCGGAGAGGATAGATATGAGCCAATTAGCCCAGGCAGGATGAAAATCAGTGGGACTTGCTGCTCGAATAATAGCTATAGCTATAAGTCGGGAGCTGGAGAACATCCACGGCAAGCAATTCCGATTAATCAACCATGTCTCATGAAAATTCAATTCCGATCTATATCTTGAACATGAAACGCATGGAGAATTCAACTAGAAAAAAGACAGAAAGGGGTATCACATGCAACTTCGGCATTCCAAAGTCAATGAAGTGTAAGAGTATAGGACAACATTTGGGCGGGAATGCAGAATCTGTCCTGCTGGAGAAGAAATCAAGAAGAACGATAAAAATGCAGAAAAGAAACAGAACATATATGATAACCGTCCCTCGTAATAATTCCGTGCCAAAAACCAACAATCAGAACATACTAGTCGAGTTACGACTAGTCCCACTAGAGCTGCTTATAGAGCCATTAACATCACTAGGGGTAGTCGGTTCAAGCACGATTTGCTGCCTGATCGATACAATCCACTCATGCTGGAGGAGCTCCGCCGCGGTGGGCCGCTTGAAAGGATCGCACTCGAAACAGCGTCGTAGAAAGTCGATCCCCAGGTCGCTTAGTTGGTCGCGAGAGGGCAACTGTGGCACATGTCCTTGGGCTATGTTGTACATAATGGCCCATTCGTTGTCCAGGGTAGACCAAGGACGACGGCCAGTGGCCATCTCGAGTATCACGCAGCCTAATGACCAGATATCTACAGCCCCCTCACGGTTAACCAAATTGGATGAGTCACCACGAATAACCTCGGGGGACATGTACATGGGGGTTCCGGTCATAGTTTTCTGCGTGTTGCGCTGGCGTGCATCATTTTGGCTGAGATTGGCGTTGCCAAACGCATCGAGTGGGGCAGTTGTTTTGCCATGACGGGCGATGACCTTGGCCGCACCAAAGTCCACATATTTGACAATACCGTTGTGGTCAAGCAGAATGTTTTCGGGCTTGATGTCGCGGTGAACAATCCCAGCCTGGTGCAGGTATGCGAGCCCTTCCAGGAGTTGGAGAGCATAGACCATGATGACTGTTTCATCTTCGATACGCCCATGTTCCAGTAAGGCGGCGAGTGAACCACCAGCGCAGTATTCCATAAAGAGGTATACCTTGTCACGGTGCACTTCAATGCCATGGTAGGAGACAATGTTGGGATGGTCTAGCACCTCGAGAACTCCCATTTCGTCACGAATTTGCTGGGCAATCTTAGGAATGAGTTTCGGGTCCTGAAGACGGATCTCCTTGACTGCCATGAGAAGGTTGCTATCGAGGTTGATGGCCGCATAGACAGAACCAAAAGTACCTCCACCGATGAATTGGCCTTGCTGCCACCGCAGCGTCACATTGGTAGCTGATGATGAAAGCACAGTGAGGGACCTATCCGCCTCATTGGATCCTTCGAGGACCCTTCCTAACGCACGGCGCTTTGCCCTCTCTTCAATCCCGCTTTCTTCGATCACCGCCAAGTGGGCCAGCCGCTGCTCTCGAACAAGTTTGGCTGCTTCTCTATCAGTCAATGCCCTCCCAGCGCCGAAATTTCTCGCCCCCGCTCGCTCCTCCATCCGTCGCTTCTCTGCCTGCGCAGCGAGTGATGATCGGGCCCCCATGATATCAAAGTGGGAAATCAAAAGGGACATGCATCCAGCCACCTTCAGCCTTAAGCGACCGAACTGTGCATCATCCATAGAGAGAAGATGCCTGCTAGAGGTAATGGCCATGGAGAATTCGAGTGCAGCCACGGCCCACTTGAAGGTTTTCCGGTCAGCAGCATCGCAATCATCGCAGATGAAGGCAACCCAGTCTAGCGACAACTCCACAAGCCGGGCGCTGTTCATTGCGCGTCTGTTTGCATCCACATAAGTCGATGACCGCTTGCCAAACTCAGTTGCAAAGGCATAGCACGCCTGGATAAGGTCATGATTCTCGACCCTCTTCTGTTTGAGCTGGGATCTAACGGTTGCAACACTGTCCATGATTGTCATGGACAGTTTGAACGAGATCTTCTTGATTTTATTTAGTTCCGCGTTAACCCGGGGTAAGTTGGCACGCTGCTCAATAGCCATATCAAGTTCAGTCCCGGTTGACTGCACTAGTTCATGTCTGGCAGCCGCCAGCCGCTGTTGCGTGCCTTCCACGATGAGGCGAAGTTTGCCGGGTCGTACATCCGTAGGTAGCTCCAGCATGTCCAGCTCCATCTCTCTGCCATGCCATACAACTGGCCTCTCTGGACGTATTGCTAGTACATAGGATGTATGTGATGAGTCCTTCGTGGCATCCTCCTCACGGAAAGATGTTGCCAAGATTGCCTGAATATCTGCAGGACGATTCCATAGTGCGTGGTGTGCTAATAGGTACATGCCCTTTTGGCCCACAGGATTGTTCAATTTTACAAGAAAGTGATCCGAAATTAGCAATGCTTCGAAAAAATCGTGCACGATATCAGCTGTGATGTTGTACTCTGTGGCATTTTCGAACAGCTGACGCAGAAATCGAGAAAACCGATAGAGCTTTCTCTGGCGAATTCGCGTTGAATCAAGGACTGTCTTGAATCGTTTATCCATATCAGTCACGTCTTCATTCGCTCTCATAACCAATTCTCGGTCAAAATGAATCATGAGACGTTGGAGCGATTTGGCCGTCAAAGCACTGGAGCCTCGTTAGAAACCTAGATCTCTATAGCAAGTTATAATGCTCACCTAAATTGCTCTGCGACTTCAATGTCTCCTCCCTCAAGCTGACGACCAATTGTATTCGAAAACTCCCACTCCTGCTCTAATATCTCTGCCTCCTTGAACGTGTTCTTATTTGCGCTTAACTTCCAGTTCAGGAGCCTGAAATAATATCTCATGGCATCCAAAACAACAGTATCGAAGTTCTCATCTATGCAAGGAGGGAGATCCCAGCCCGGCTCTGGCCTTGAAACGGTGAGATAACGTTGTTTAATCTCCACCGCAACTCTCATCAATATCTGGAATTGTGAAATCATTTGATCGACAAGGATTGGCGACTGCTGGGTAGAATCCCTGATATTCCTCGCGTACGACAATCGCACGCGAATGATCTCTTGTATTAGACGGGAAGGAAAATTGATGAGTGTCAGAAGCTCCTCAATGTAAGGGGGCAGGTGCCTTTTGGCAAAGGCCTGTGCATTGTCGATCAGTGTGCATTTTGCTTTCTGGATTACTTCGCTTATTCCATTAAGCATATTGTGATTCCCCTGAAGAGTTTTAAGACCGTCCTCTTTCATAATCCGATCAAGGAAAGATGTATCGTCAGAAATATCGTTAGAAAAGCGCTGCGTCCTAGGCTTATTGAAATCGAGTTCGAGATTTCCAACCCAGCTCTGCAGAATCGCAAGTTCGGTATTTATTAGAGCCGTGGTGTTATGCCACGCAATGATCGCCTCGAAGCTTGAGCAGAATTCTTCTGAAGCAACGCGGGGATGGGTGGTTTCTAGCTCTTTTTGAGTGGCGTACAGCATCTCGAAGTTCTCAATCTTTTCCATAATGTCCTCGACCTGCTTAATTGGGGGTTTCCCTATCTCCTTTTCACCTTTAATTTCGAAACTGATGACCTCTTCGATTAGAGGACCAAGGCCAGCTCGTGCTTCCTCTATAAGTTTCCGCTGAAAGGCAATGCTCCTACCACATGTTTTCGCTCTGACGCCTAGCCAAATCTCATTGTTCAGGGCGGTGGATCTCTTCGACTCGGTGGCCCCAATCAACCGTTGCTTTTCCTGCTTGACGACATCTCCCTTCAACACTGAGGCTAGCATTGAATGCCATTCAAGTCTCTCTTGGTTCTTCGGGTTCTTAAGCTCTTCAATCGTAGGTTGGTTGTCATCAGCGAGAAATAATTGAATATCAGGGTCGTAAGGATCATCTTCAAGCTGTAATTCTGACGAAGGTGACGGTTCCTCTAGATCTAGATCTGACGCGTTTGTATTTGCGGGGCTGTCTAAATGGTGATACCATGCCAGTGGGTTCGCTCGGATGCGTTGAACGTAGGCCTTTTCCTGTGCTCGATACTGTGCATTCGGGTCACGTCTGGAGGAACGCTTTAGTGAGGATGATCGCCGCTGATGGCCCTGAATGCTTATATACTGCGGTGGGCGTCTCTGCGGTGCATAGGTGTTTGAAGGCGTCCTGGCAGGCCCGGAGGGGCGTTGCCCATCCAAAGCAGCCCCCTTATCGAGGCCTGAAGCAGCACCAAGACTGGAGCCACGAGGCCGCGTACCAGGGGTACTACCCCACGAGGGGAAACCGGAAGACGTAGGAGGGGAGGAGGCAACGGTTGCGGGAGTCGCAGGCTGGTTATCCAGGTTCTCATCGAAGCCCGAGCTAGAATCTCTCATTGCGTACGGCTGAACCATGAACTCATCGGAGGAACCAGAACCATCCGAATCATTGTTTGGGATAATATCTGGAAGTTCCATTGTCTGTATGAAATTCAGCACATCTGGATGCCGACTGCTTTGATTGCGGCCTCCGAGGGGTAAGACTTTCTTTCTGGGGAAGTCGGGGCGGGAGAGCTTCGCACTTCTGACCAGAGAACCTGTGGCGGTGCAGCCTGGCTTAACACTTAATCCAGCTCCGTTTGCTAAGGCCAGATCAATATCATGTCAACTGCGATTCTCTCTCCAAACAGCTGTTATTCGTTGTACTCCGACAATTCCGTTGATTTCATGAGAAGGGGGACTAGATTCTGCAGATGAAGGTTGCCGAACAATCTCGTTCCTCATCTACTAGTCGACGTCAACTACACGGCGGAATCACAATTTCCAAGCACACCTGAACAAAACTCCAGCGGTATCTAAGGTGACATCGGAAAGTTTTGGAGAACTTCCTTACTGGAGAATCCCTACATAGCTTCCAATCAGAATCATGTGTTGTATCCGCTCTTTGAGAGTAGGAAAAATCACCAAGTCGTCGCCAAACTGGGTGGCATACACCACACATCGCCTGGATTCCCTAAAGGCAGCGTATGTTTTATCCAATTGCCGCACTATATGTGCAGCTGTGCTGTCTCATGTATGCATTACTGGGAACCTTTTAATTGCTTCTATCATGTGAGATTTGCTACCATGAAGATCTACATCATACGGAGTGTCCATCCATAGGAGCCGGTGGGTGCTGTGCTACCATACCTGGCCCAGTTAAAAGGTATAATTCATGACACGCATCCTCAGCTGGCTGCTAGGAAGCAAACTGCTGTGTGGGATAATGAATTACTACCTTCCATTGCTAACAGGATTAGTATGGCCTGATTGAAGTATCCATAATTAGTACTTCCCCACGCTTCTTCGATATTCTGGAATACCTCCCTGTCCACTTTAATCGGCGTAGTGAGTTAGCGGATAGAATTAGGTTGACGCAAGATGCAGGGGAGGCCCTGCTTTGTTGAATTATTTAATATCAAACCTGACACAGACCCTCCAGTGGACAATTCCCAATTAATTCTCCTGAAACGACGATGTAACTTCATCTTATTTAGCGGAAGACCGTCAGGTGCTCCTTGTAACCAGTTCTTAAGATTATAATAGAATAAAATCAGTTGCACGATAGATCCGTAGCTATGTACAAACGAACCATCCTCGGGAAATGAGCTAATATCACCGATTTGACCGGTGAGTAGTACGTGCTACAGGACATCTAAGATTAGAAAGAAGACGAGGATAGTCTGGATAGCAGGCTGCAAGGATCATGATACCACAGCGAATACGGAGCACCAAAAGCAATAATAATTGCGGTTGGAATGGAAATAATACAGACTCCAGAGTGAACGAGACAAGAAGAAGCAAGGCGTGCGCGCCAAGATCTGAGACAGCGGCTGTGCCCAATGGCTCCTCCGACGCTTATCTTTTGCTGTCTGGCATCAGAGCAATATTAGTACACTTCCAGTGGTTCGTAAACGAAGCCAATGGACTCTTGATGGCACAAGGGGGGCTATTCGTGGTCGTTCCAGAAGAACTTTCAAAGGCACTCTATCTGGTTTTTGCGAGGTGATAGAAACGTATAAACGATTCAAGCAGCTATGATAATCTGATATTGCTGGATAGATTAATTAATACTACCGAGTAATAATAATGATACCTAACTTGGCCGTCAAGATAAGCAGGAACTGTATTCCTTCGAGAGAGATAAAGGAATGGCGGCTGGCTATTGGCTGGTGGGGGAGCAAGATAAGGCTAGCAGGGAGTTCTCGTCCGTGGATATAACCGTTAATTATACGTACGTCCGGATAGATAATAACAATCCAGCAGGAGAAATGTTTCTTTTTCCATTCCAGAAGGTGATCTGAAGTGATTCTGGGACATAAATATTGGGACGATCCTCGAGTTCCACAGCGGTGATCTATGCAAAGAAGAGTTGAAGAACTATTGATATTAGATCGACAGTATATTGTTGCAATTATTGCTAATTTAGTTAACTATCTACAATTATTAGATTATCTGTTTTAAGAAGAGTGACTTTTGGGAATTTAGGTATGGCTGAACCGGGGAACCGTCTAACCGTAACAAGACTAGCGCGGTGTCGCCTATCTCCAGCCAATGGCTGCATAATCCAACTGCATATCCAGAGCTGCAGATACTGCTAAAATGAGCGTGTTATCAGTTGGCATCAGTCACAAAATCGGCCATCGTCTGTCATCGATTCTGTTCCTATCATGGCGGCTGCCTCCAGACGCTCCTATTCGACGCCGCACTGCAATCCCGAACGTAGTTAGTCGATGCCCCGTCACGCCCACCATACGCCATGTTTGCATCGCGATCAGCATCAGAATAAATTGAATAAGAATATTAAACGAAGGCCAAGACGCTTGATCCTGCGTTCCATGTTAGCGTTCCGGACGTGGTGGAGAGCAGTGGACCCCAGTGTTATTCGACTATGATACTCTGCCCAGGCGCTGTCACAATGCATCTACTTATTTAACTTGTCCAGTTCCTCCTGTCATCTTCTCTCTTTCTTCCCCGTCAGAATTTTTTGATACTCCGTCCTTCCCTTGCTAGGACGGTGTTCTTTTATCTATATCGAAATATACTACCCCTAGATCCACTGTCTCCAACACGTCTACTGGGGCTGATACACAACACCCTTCCCTTGACTCCACGACTCCCTGTTTTAGCCTCTCCATCAGTACGGAGGGTTGAGCGTAATGTCGTCATATCCTGTTCCTTATAATGGATCATCCTCGGGGACCGGGGGTGATTCTTTGACTGAAGATCTCAACATCTACTACAATGCTGGTGACATTGCATGGATGATTACATCAACAGCACTCGTGCTGCTGATGATTCCGGGTGTTGGGTATGCATTCAGACTTGAGAGAGCCCATAATGCTTTTGCTGACTGCAACCAGTCTCTTCTACTCTGGCCTCGCCCGTCGAAAGTCTGCCCTATCCCTGATCTGGCTTTCTATAATGTCCGTCGGTGTGGTATCGTTCCAATGGTTCTTCTGGGGTTATTCGCTCGCTTTCTCCCATACCGCTGGGAAATATATTGGTGATCTGCAAAACTTTGGTTTGAAGGGTGTCCTGGGGGCTCCTTCTGTTGGAAGCACCAAGATTCCGGATCTTCTTTTCTGTGTCTACCAGGGCATGTTTGCTGCTATTACGTGAGTGCTATCCGTGGGACTGGAAGACCTAACAGCATTAACTGACACTTTTGCCCAGCGTCGCTATCGCTTCCGGTGGCCTCGCTGAGCGTGGCCGCATGCTTCCCTGCATCGTTTTCATGTTTATCTGGACGACCATCATCTACGATCCTCTTGCCTGTTGGACCTGGAACCCCCATGGCTGGGTCTTTGTTCTAGGCGGCTTGGACTTTGCTGGTGGTACACCCGTCCACATTTCCTCTGGATGTGCCGCATTGGCCTACTCCCTGATGCTTGGGAAGCGTCGGGGTCACGGAACTCACGAGCTTAATTATCGTCCGCACGACGTTACCCACATCGTCATCGGTACCGTCTTCCTCTGGGTTGGATGGTTCGGGTTCAATGCTGGCTCGGCCCTAGGCGCTAACCTTCGAGCCGTTATGGCTGCTGTTGTTACCAACTTGGCCGCAAGTGTTGGTGGTGTGACATGGTGTCTGCTCGACTACAGATTGGAGAGGAAATGGTCCACGGTTGGCTTCTGTTCCGGTGTGCTCGCTGGTCTCGTGGCCATTACTCCAGGTTCGGGTTTTGTGACTCCATGGGCTTCTTTCATTTATGGTGTCGTGGGAGCTGTAGCTTGCAACTATGCTACCAAGCTCAAGTACATTCTCAGAGTCGATGATGCATTGGATATCTTCGCCATCCACACCATTGGTGGTATAATCGGTGATCTGTTGACTGCCCTTTTTGCTGCGTAAGTTTAGGATCCTGTTTTCATACAGCGTGAACCCTGACTAACCTGAGGCAAAGTGACTACATTGCCCATCTGGACGGAATCACGGAGATTGATGGTGGTTGGTTGAACCACCACTACATCCAACTTGGATACCAACTTGCCGACTGTGTCTCTGGCTTTGCCTACTCATTTTTTGGGTCCTGCATAATCCTATTCCTCATCAATCTGGTCCCGGGTCTCAGCCTCCGTGCTTCAGAAGAAGCCGAAATCTTGGGTATCGATGATGCCGAGATTGGCGAGTTTGCTGTAAGTTCCCTTCTCCCACGCAATTCTTACTCTCTTGTCAACCTGTCTGACATCTCTCCTTTTTCTAGTACGACTACGTTGAAGTTACTCGCGAGGTTGTGAACGGCGTTGAGACGGACGGCATCTCTAAGCGCAGTATGTCCCCTGCGGGACCGAGCACTCTTCCTGAGGCGAAGGTTTAGAGTGACTAAATGAGATACGATCCGACACTACCTTACCATCTCTGATACTTTTATCAACGGCACAATACAGGTTTTATTGAGGTTACAAAGTAGCGTTGGCACCGTTGGGATACATTACTTTCTTCTCTTCTTATTTCCTTTGTCAACATTTTTCTCTTTTTTTTTTTTTTCTTTTTTTCTTGGTATTATATTCTATTCCTGTGCCGGAGGGTTGGTTATTTTGCTCTTTAAGAGTGCCCTTGGTGTTTTATCTTTTTTTTTTTTTTTTTTTTTTTTTTGTGGAGTCAGATACCCGATACCCTAGATATTTTCTAAATATTACTGTATTTAATATCATTTGAAGTAAAGATATAGCAACTTGTGGAGATTCTGGAGTATCGGATACAACGACCATATTTTCTCTCCATGTATATCTGTTTCCCAAGTTGCGTTGTAGTTATTAACAAGTGCCATGTGAAGGTCGAATACGTTATGACGCCATTGTTGCGAGGACCCTTTTTAGAAGGGCAACAAATAGACACTCAACGGTACAAAGGCGAATAGATAGCTGAAATACAGAAAGAGACCATCTTATTTCAAAAACATGCACATAATTCCGCAATGTTTCACTTCGTCGGTGTTATATTGCTGCTGGTAGGCCTACTGTACATTGATGATGGATGGCAATTAATCAAGAGGTAGATTGGAAGTGTTCAAGTCCATGCTTCCAGAATCCATCCTTGAACCCTTTGGAAGCTCTCCGAACGACAACGCCCAAGACCCCGCAAGATAGTCAACATACAAAACGGACTATTTCACATTCCTACATCTCATCGAAAGCAGAAAAAAGAAACTATTATATCTAATCTACTTAATCCTTTAATACATCGCCTACTTTGAATTGTCAAGTTCCCCCGTCCATTTCGCGCTCATGGCATCGGAAATCCCTGACGACACCAGCACAACCGCACCCGCAGCAGAAGAATCCTCCCTAAACCGTTTCCCACGAGATCCTTCTGAATTCGACAGTGACCCCCGGATTTCATTTTCGAAGCTTGATAATAAGTTTATCTTGGAGACGGAGGATGGGCAGGAATACGAATATGATACCGCGTTGAAGAGGTGGATTCTTTCAGTGCGTGTCACCGTGTCGTGCTAGCAGCTTGCCTTTCTTTTTACTGGTTTTGAGGAATAATCTGACCGGGTGTTTGTCTTTACATAGGTCGATGATGATTTACTGCAGCAACAGCAGGAAGCGTATAAAGTTGCCGGTGTAGATGAGCAGGAGGAAAGCAAACAGCAGCTGAAGAGGAAGCGGAAGTCCAAGGTGAGTTCTTTCGGTTTTTCAGTACCGTCAAAACCATCGATGCGCGTTCTACTTGGTCTTCGATGTTCAAGAACTTATAGGCAAATCTCTCATGCAGGATATTGCACAAAAACCCAAGAAGCCTCGAGTCAACACTGCGGTTTTCGTCACCTCCATTCCTCTCGATGCTACGTTCGACGAGATCCGAGACGTCTTCTCCAAATGCGGCGTCATCGCCGAGGAGATAGATAGCGGTCGACCGCGGATCAAGATGTACACGGACGAGAAGGGTCTGTTCAAGGGCGAGGCCCTCGTCGTGTACTTCCGGCCGGAATCTGTCAACCTTGCCATACAGATGTTAGACGAGTCCAACTTCAGAATAGGAGTCATAGGGCCACATGGACCTATGAGGGTTCAACCAGCAGATTTCTCCTTCAAAAGTCAACAAGAGGCGCCGGCGCAGATCACCGCAAGGGAGAAACAAAGGATCATTCGGAGGACACAGAAGTTAAACAAGTATACAATGGCTTCCTTCTCCATCTCTTTAGTTTTATGTCATGCAGGGGTGGAATAGTCTAACACGGGCCCTTGTAGTAAGCTGGCCGACTGGGATGATACAGATCCATCCTCGTTACCGGAGACGAACTCGAGATTTGAGAAGGTCGTAATACTAAAGCATATGTTTACTCTGGCGGAGCTGGAGGTAAGCGTTCACCGTCTTCTGAACATCAGATCGAACCTGCTGACGAATTACTTCTTAGGAGGACCCAGCTGCGATTCTTGATATTAAGGAAGATATCCGCGATGAATGTTCGAAGTTGGGAGAAGTCACAAACGTTGTGCTATATGACAAAGAATCTGAAGGGGTCGTGAGCGTACGATTTACAGATCCGGAAGCTGCAAGGCAGTGTGTGAGGGTATGCCTCATCTCTCTTTGCGTCCATTGAATTAGATTTGGCTCTGTCCATTTATTTATGTTAATCTACTCTGCTAGGTTATGGACGGTCGTTACTTCGCCGGCACCCGAGTAGAAGCCTACATCTTCGACGGCAGCGAGCGATTCAAAAAGAGCAACGAAAAGCGAGCGGCTCTTGAGGATATGGCCGAGCGAGGCATTGAGGCCGAAGACCAGGAGGAGAGGGATCGACTGGACGAGTTTGGGACCTGGCTGGAAAGCTCTCATGTTGTGGAAAATGCAGCAAAATAAGCCCTGGAGCTTTCTTGGAATTGACTAGTCATGGTAGACGACCATCCGTAGAAGTCACTGAAGCGGGGAGCTGGAGTTGGGCATCAAGCTTGGGGTGTTGTACAATGGCGATTCAAGACCATTTGTCCTATGCATCCACGGATCTCGTAGTTGTCTACTCTACTTAGCTCCTTTTATGGTCTGACCCAGCGGAAAGTTGTCCCTGCGCGGGAAGAACCGTTTCCTGGCCCGTGCTGCTGTTGTTGTTCTCCAAACCCGCACAAAACGACGCCGCCCAACGCCTCCTCACCGCTCTTGCTCCGTCCCATCCCAACTCTCTTTCCCCCTTCTTTTCCCTCACCCCTAACCTTGACTGTTCCTCTCGTCCTCTCTCCAACCGCTGCACAGCTCCATTCCCTTATTTATCCCTTCTCTCATCACCGTTATTCATCCAATCTAGTCAATTCTCTTCCACAATGCGTGAGATCGTACGTCTTCCCGTTCCCCTTCCCCTCGCTTCTGACCACGGCACGCGTCTTGTTTTTCTCCAGCCTGGAACCCCTGAAATCAAACAAACCCCACTCGTTCAGACAACGCAGAATTGCTAACTTGTTTCTTTTTACTCGATACAGGTTCATCTTCAGACCGGCCAGTGTGTAAGTTTCGAATTTACCTGATTTATTCGACGTTTTTGGGGGCGGGATTTCCTGTCATAGGAGGGGATTGTTATTTTCGTTCTTTTTTTTGGTCTACGCGGAGACTAAATATTGAGGTTTGGCGAGTAGGGTAACCAAATTGGTGCTGCCTTCTGGTATGTTATTCAGGCGATTGAACGATATGGAAGAACGCGTAGACCCCATTCCTGGTGGATGAGGTTCCAGCTGTTCTTTTGTTTTCTGGGTCCGAGTTTTTGCTGACTTGTTCTTTTATAGGCAGAACATCTCTGGTGAGCACGGCCTTGATGGCTCCGGTGTGTAAGTAGAAACCTTTTCCATCTATCTCAAGGCATTGTACAGGGTGTGAGGGGAAAAGGGGCATCAATGTCTAATGTGATAACAGCTACCATGGTACTTCCGACCTTCAGTTGGAGCGTATCAACGTTTACTTCAACGAGGTTCGTCCTGTGGTGGATTCCTATTCCAAGTAGAGCACCTTTCTGATAATTTCGATTAGGCCAGTGGTCAGAAGTACGTTCCTCGTGCCGTCCTGGTCGACCTCGAGCCCGGTACCATGGATGCCGTCCGTGCTGGTCCCTTCGGTGAACTTTTCCGCCCCGACAACTTCATCTTCGGCCAGTCCGGTGCTGGTAACAACTGGGCCAAGGGTCACTACACTGAGGGTGCCGAATTGGTTGACCAGGTTGTCGATGTCGTTCGTCGCGAGGCTGAGGGCTGTGACTCCCTCCAGGGTTTCCAGATCACCCACTCCCTTGGTGGTGGTACCGGTGCCGGTATGGGTACCCTCCTCATCTCCAAGATCCGTGAGGAATTCCCCGACCGTATGATGGCCACATTCTCCGTTGTCCCGTCCCCCAAGGTCTCCGACACCGTTGTCGAGCCCTACAACGCTACCCTCTCTGTTCACCAGCTGGTCGAGCACTCCGACGAGACCTTCTGTATCGACAATGAGGTATGAATGAGAAAGGTTGCAGAAAATGTTAGTGGTCGATGGGCTGACCTTTTTCCAGGCTCTGTACGATATCTGCATGCGTACCCTCAAGCTGTCCAACCCCTCGTACGGCGACCTCAACCACCTGGTCTCCGCTGTCATGTCCGGTGTCAGCACTAGTCTTCGTTTCCCTGGTCAGCTCAACTCCGATCTCCGCAAGTTGGCCGTCAACATGGTTCCCTTCCCTCGTCTCCACTTCTTCATGGTTGGCTTCGCTCCGTTGACCAGCCGTGGTGCTCACTCTTTCCGCGCTGTGAGCGTTCCTGAGTTGACCCAGCAGATGTTCGACCCTAAGAACATGATGGCCGCTTCCGATTTCCGTAACGGCCGTTATCTCACTTGCTCCGCCATCTTGTATGTTACCAGGTTGCTCTCTGTGTGTTATTCCCGCATCAACGCTAACTTTCTTTTTCTACAGCCGTGGTAAGGTCTCCATGAAGGAAGTTGAGGACCAGATGCGCAACATCCAGAACAAGAACCAGAGCTACTTCGTTGAGTGGATTCCCAACAATGTCCAGACCGCGCTCTGCTCCATTCCCCCACGTGGCCTCAAGATGTCCGCCACCTTCGTTGGCAACTCCACCTCTATCCAGGAGCTCTTCAAGCGTGTCGGTGACCAGTTCGCTGCTATGTTCCGTCGCAAGGCTTTCTTGCATTGGTACACTGGCGAGGGTATGGACGAGATGGAATTCACTGAAGCTGAGAGCAACATGAACGACCTTGTCTCCGAATACCAGCAATACCAGGATGCGTCCATCTCCGAGGGCGAGGAGGAGTAGTAAGTTTTCACCTGTTTATCTGTTTGCCTGTGGTCACTCACTAACAATTTCTGTAGCGCTGAGGAGGAGGTTCTCGAAGAGCAGGAGTAAACTGTGGTACAAACCTTGACTTGAATTCAGATGTGCTCGTCTAATACCCTTGATAATCCTCTAGGACTTTGGTCTGTTATGCAGGTCTTGGTCTACTAATTTGTTTGAGCGTTAACTTATTTTGTAATTCCATGGTGCCCAGTCTTCAGTGAGTCTGAAGTTGAATTGAATAACACATGGTTTAAAAGTAACTTTTGCATGATCTCTGGCTGAAGATGCCTTGCCGCGGCCTTGGTTATCGTAATTCTGCTGTAAATCATAGGAGGAAGCGTATGGTCAGTTGATATTGGTCTCCCGCAGACTGGACGATGCATGCTCACCGGAGATACAATGTGAGTTGCATGATATTCTGTGCAACTGGGTTCATTGTCTATTGCCATAACACAGGCATTGAATTGCTGAATTTCTCTAACAGGTTGCGCATGGAGCGTGAGGCTCCTTCAGCCGGGACACCATCCGTATTAATTAGTTGCAAGCTGCGTTTCAACATTACAACATTACATCAGAGCCTCGCCCATGGCATACACTGGCTCCTTGGCTAGCCAGAATAACTATTGTTTGCTTTTGCTAAGGTTGCATTTTTCTCAGACGATGCTCGTGCCCGCCTGTACTATGACCCACGACGTATATACCCGGAAACGGCAACAAAATGACTTCGGGTAACCGGAGTATATACTGCACGCGTCTATGAGATAGCTATTCAGGTATTTCGTGCAAGGGAAAGCGTGGTACGAGAGATCAGTCTCGGGCTTAACAGTATCACAGTATCACTTATCCATGATGATGTGCTTTTGGTGGCGCCATTGGCAGCAACAGCGACAGCATTGACATTGACTATTGACGGCGGCAGTGTATGTACATACTACATGCACGTCTTGTCTTCTCGGTCAAAGTACCTGCGAATCAAACAGATGATCTGTTGATTACTGTTCACCACGCTGGTTCGTTCCGAGCCTGGGATCTTCGTTTAAGCAAAGCAATATGTGTATGGGATTGGATGAGAGACCTGGTGACACGCTCCCTTTTCATCGATCCCCTCCCTCTCCCTTCATTTATTGTCCCGAAAGAATTGTCCAGGATGCGTGCATTTCCCTGTAAATAAAGAGAGCAGTGCCTAGGATCCATTTTTGCGTCCGCTATGCACTTTGGCAGTTGTATGGGGTTTTCAGCGCACCCATCAATCTCCCATCCCATCCATATACCATTTCCATACAGCGGTCGTTCGTCATTATCATTGATACTTGAGGATAATGGGATCTGACATCGAAAAAGCCCGTAAGGGACGGGAACACTCCCACTTCGAACCGCGGGCAAACCACTCGTCGGCATTCTCGTCGGGCAGAATGTTTATCCGTGAAGACGAAGTCAAAGAGGAAGGTGATGAATCGACGATCAACTCACACATGCTGAATCAATGCACGAATACCCATTTGCATTTACAGACGCATTTGGCGAACGCGCATGCCAAACCTCAGAGCAAATTTAACCTCATATTAGATCTTCGCCGTCGAATCACGAAATGTATTCGGATCATCAGATCCTGGGAGGAGACTAGAGGTATTGATCCAATACCGCTTAATGAGCGTCGGGGGGTTGGAAATCAGAACAATGGCAATGGCGATGGTAATCGCCCTGGCCATGGCAACGATGGCGGCAGCAACAACAGCAGCAACGGTGATGATGGCATGAACATCCCCTTCCAGATGATGCTGCTCTGGTTCAGCATGACACTTGCAACGAATAATATCATCATCGGTTCACTTGGGACGTTGGTATTTCAGTTGGGATTTGCAGAGGCTGCATTGTGTGCGGTTTTTGGGACCATCTTGGGTGGGATTGGGGTTGGATATATGAGTATTTGGGGACCCAAGAGTGGAAGTCGGACTTTGGTGATTCGTTTCCCCCTTCTTTTTCTTTTTCCTCTTTCTTTATTTCCTTGTGTCATTGCACAAGGACGTGGGTTCAAACCAGAAGGTTGATATCCGCTAACTGCTGATCAGATCGTGACACGGTTTTTCATGGGATACTACCCCAGCAAGATCTGTGCTTTGCTCAATATTCTCACTAATCTGGGGTATTCGATGCTAAATTGCATTCTAGGAGGTCAGCTTCTTTCCAAGGTCTCTGGGGGGAATGTCTCTGTTGTCATTGGGATTATACTTGTTGCTGTTGCAAGTTGGATCCTTGCTACTTTTGGAATACGATTGTTCCAGTTTTATGAGCGGTATGTGCTATACACCATACACAGCAAGAAAGAAAGTAGAGATTATACAGAGTACATGCTGACGATGATAGATACTCCTGGCTCCCTCAATTGATAGTCCTGAGCATCATAACGGGGTCATCCGTCTCCCTCTTCAACTTCAACAAGCCCCTCCCTCGCCCCCAGCCACCAGGAACCCTGAATGCAAGATGCCTAACGTTCTTCTCCCTCTGCCTGTCCGCCAGTCTCGCCTGGGCCCCCATCGCCGCCGACTACTATGTCTACTACCCACCCAGCATCAGCACATGGAAGACCTTTCTCATGACCCTCCTGGGCCAAACACAAGCCATGATCGCCACGCTAACTCTAGGCATCGGCCTGGGAACAGTGATCTCCTCCAACGAATCCTGGAAACTACACTACGACTCCACGCCGGGCTCACTCCTGATGGCCGCCTACAACAGTCTAGGTGGTGTGGTAGGCAAATTCTGCGCCATCCTCAACGTCGTCGGCGTGATATCCAACAACGCCCCGGGGGCATACTCGATGGGATTGAATTTCCAGATGCTCGGCCGTCGGTGGGATCGGGTTCCTCGGAGCGTGTTTGCGTTCGGTACTACGGTCGCTTATACGGCTTGTGCGTTGGGGGGGAGGGGTGTGCTGTATGAGGTTTTTAAGAACTTTTTGCCCTTGATTGGGTATTGGGTTGTTGTGTGGATTGTCGTCGTTGTGGAGGAGGATGTGCTGTTTCGGCGTCCTTGGTCGTGCCGATATCGACTTCGATTTCGATCTGGTGGAGATGGACATTGGCACTTTCAGCAAGACAGAAATAATGTACAGCATGATAACCGCGACTACGACTATGACTGGTCTTCCTGGAACCAGAAAGACAAACTCCCTGTCGGAGTCGCTGCGACTCTAGCCTTTCTCGCTGGCTGGGTCGGTGCTATTGTTGGGATGGTGTGTCCTTTATATTTATCATTTCTATATATCCTATTTTTCTGTATCTGACTGCATATTGACGTAACAGGACCAAATCTACTACGCCGGTCCCATTGCCCGCTCCATCCCCGGAGGCTGCGATCTGGGCATCTGGTTCAGTGCGGGTTTCACGGCTGTTACTTTTCCGCCGCTGCGAGCCCTGGAACTGATGCTTATTGGGAGGTAGAGATTGTACTTTTACCTATCTATTTACTAGGTTGTTGGTTTCCTGGAGATACTCTGTAAGTTCCTAGCTAGTCAATAGTTCAAAAGATATCTTCGCGGAGCTACTAATCCGTTCCATTCCATTATTCCGCTCAGATTTAAGGCATTATTCAAAGGCCATATTTTCCACTCCACAGTGCCATAGTCATACAAATTTAATAATATAATAATTCCATTATTTGCCTCGATGATAACTCGATGAGGCAAATGTCTATTCTGGTCGTACTGATAATAAAATGGGTTCAAGTGTCAGTACTTTACCAAAAACAGTTAGTTCCCGCTGCAATCATATTAAACCAATCACAAACCATCTTTCCATTCAGAATCTTCCTATATATTTTACTATTAGGATTAACATAGTGCCTTCGGGCATTTGGTCAATTTGAAACGATACAGAGAAGATTAGCATGGCCCCTGCACTAAGGATGACACGCTCAATCAAAGAGAAGCTACCAGTTTTTTTTTCTTTCCTTCCGAAGGCATATTTGAGATGCGAGCGTCTTGGGGCCAAGAGTGGTTTGGTTGGTGTCCCCGGGTTCGAATCCGGGGTGCTTTCTTTTTTTTTTTTTTTTTTTTTGGCCTTCGTAGCGGAGAAACGATTACTGCACCCCTCTACATTACACACTACAATTATAGTATGGGTCATGCGAACTACACGTTCTTAGCTGACGAAGTGGGTTTTGGTCCTCCTTTGAGTCACAATTGGTAGGATCCCCTTTTCTAGTGGGCAATGCAGACACTAGGCCCATAGCAAAGTTAATCTTATTAAAGTTATAGATATCCTCCTGTATAATCCCATATTGTATTATAGTAATTTACACATGATTAAACCACTTCTTGATGATTTTAGGATCTTCACATTTTGCTTGTTGATAATTATAGCATCAAGGATAGCATGTTTTCATTTTATTATACTATTTAATGAAACTAGAGACCTAATTCTTTCCAATTAATTAGATAGGTGTTATACCACACTCTGCAAGAAGAATATTGGCCATTTCTTATATTTAAGATGGTTGGGGGCCTCCTCCACGTTGATCTAGCAATAGAATCTATCATACAAGTGATTCCTCTTTATTTTGAGTCAATTTATGGCCATTGGCGCGTGTTTCTGCACGTGAAGTGATTCTATTAAGTCATTGCTGGAGGGTTGTACAAGGGATATTATAAACGCGTACCGCGTTATGAATATTACAAATTTCCTGCTTTTCTAAAGCAGAAATAACAAGTAAGATCTTTTCCCTCTTTCTCGGCTGAATTTCTTGAATTTTGACGCACTTTTGGAGGCATGGTTGGTAGTTGAATTAGTTGAAGCAGTAAAACGCGTAGAAATTTGATGAGGTGGCCCGCTCGACCGGGAAATACGTTATGAGATCTGAACTCCAAATCTTGTCTCATTTCAATGTAAGTTAGGTATAGGCTAGGGGTAATAAGTTTGCAGAATCTGAGTTTTGGGCCAGAAATTTTTACAAAGGAGAAAGCTCGCCATTCTTCGCGCCGGCCTGTTCCTCTCAATCTCTAGCCACCCAAAATATACAATGAAGACAAATGCTTCCATGTGAAACTAGAACAATGAAGTGCACTTGTTTCCTTCCCCTCCACTTAAAATAAGGCAAAACAAATGGTCAAAAATCCTCTACGCCCTATTAAGCATACCACCAAAAGCATGGCTAATTTCCCAAACAAAGGATGGATATAATTCAGACAAATAAAACGGGAGGCAGAAACACCAGTGGGTAGGAAACGCTGGGCGCCATGCCGAGGGGGTGTTGTTAAAAAAAAGGCTTTTCCGTGAGCATCTAACGCGTATATCCGTTGGTTCGTAAATGGTGATAATTGCTGATTAGATGTTGAATAATATTCAGAAACGTATCTTGAACAAGGCTTGGTCAGCAACCACTATGTCTGACTCTGATGGCTTGACCTAGACCGCCGCGACAACGATCTCCTTGAATTATTTGAGGGCGTGAGGTCAGGTGGTGCATGCTCGAAGAATGGAATAAGATCGGGATTCTGGCTGGGGGGGACTTTCGAGGATGCCGAATAATCCCCAATAACCTTATCATCAGGAGCTGTGTCGGGGTGTACCTCAATACCCTCTTGGTTGTCGAGTCCACCATGGGGGCCATTCCCGGCGAACCTGATCGAATCCGTTTCTCCATGTTGCCGTTCAATAGGCGACCATCCGGCTATACTTCCAGCCACAACACCAGCCATGGCTGCTGCAGGTCCAAATGCCGAACTTGAGCGCGAGTGCGTGCGCCGCCTTGATCGCGATTCTCTCGACCGTGAGTCTGGCGATGGAGGAGGCTGAGAGCTTCCTGCAGAATCATCGCCAACAGGAGTAGCAGGAACAGAGTTGTCACGCGACCGAGAGCCGCTGCGTGATCGGGGCAGGAATTCCTGCGGGTGCTGAAGTTTGTGCTTCAAATGCCTCAGTCTACCACCTCGTACCGTCTTGATAAAGGTCAACTGATCCCGAATCTCTTCCAACGCAGGGTTCCACAGGTACTTCGTATCCTCGTCGGAAACAATAAGCTCTGGGCCCTTCTTCCGGTTCCAGAACGTCGGGATGAGTTTTCGAATAAATTCGTCTGGAACCAAACGAATAACGATAGCCACGGGGATCGAAATCACTCCAAGAACAAGTCCAACTGCCCACTGCGCTCCATTCAGACGAGTCACCGAAAAGGCTTGCCCTCCGACGAAGATGATCAAGATCTGTCCACCGACTATGATACACTGAATGCCGAGGAAATACCTGTTTTTAAGCATTCCCTCAAAAATATTGAGACCATTGTCGATACGGCGGCAGCTAGAAGAGTATTAGCGAAATGTCTCTCCATAGGTAGGATTCACCCAACTTACTTGTACTGATTGAAAATCTGCATCCAAACAAAAGTGTTAAACACAACAGTCCGAAGTATCCTGTCGGTTTTATAGTGGAAGATGCTCATTCCGGCAAAGTTCAAGACGAATGTCACGACCAATTGATAAATACACTGGCCAATGATCATTTTCCACATGGTCAAGGTGATAAGAGGAGCCGACTTTGGCTCGGGTCTTCGATCGAGGACGGTGTGAGTAGGAGTATCGGTTGCTGCAAGACGAGTATACATTAGAAGAGAATAAGACAACACAGACGAGGAATGCAATGATCAGAAACATCTTTAGGTGTTGAACCATACCTAACGCAAGCGCAGCAAATGTGTCCATGATCAGGTTGACCCACAGAAGCTGCACGGCGGTAAGAACTGAGTTCTCATCGCCGCTCGCAACTGCAGAGACGAAAGTAAGAATAACTGCAGTAATGTTGACAGTGATTTGGAACTTGAAGAAAACGGCAGATCGTTAGTTTCCCTCCATAATCTTGATTTTGGAAAACAGCCGTCCCAACTAACCTGGAGAAACTTCTTAACAGCATCATTCACAGTCCTTCCCCAGGCCATTGCCTTGACAATGGAAGTAAAGTTATCATCCATCAGAATGATATCTGAAGCTTCCTTTGCCACTTCTGTTCCCGTTATACCCATGGAGAATCCAACGTCAGCTGTCTTCAGAGCTTGTGCGTCGTTGGTTCCGTCGCCAGTAACAGCAACCGTCTCTCCCAGTTTTCTCAGTTGTGAGACAAGAATTTTCTTATCGTCGGGACTGGATCGTGCTACAACTTGCAATCTTGGGATGATCTGGTTCATCTGTTGAGGACTCAACCGCCGGAACTTCGGTCCCTCGATGGCAATACCCCCAGGAGTGAAGATTCCACATTCCTGTGCAATAGCCTTTGCGGTATTGATGTTGTCTCCAGTCACCATGCGCACAAAAACGCCTGCTCGTTGACACTGATGTACCGCATCGGCCACGCCTTCACGTAGGGGATCCTGAATTCCAACAATTCCAAGTGATACCATGTCCTTGAATATTGCATCGAAAACCACCACAGAGCGATCATCTTCTTGCGTAGGTGCTCCGCGAGGAGGCCATTGATCAAAGTCCCGATACACGAGACCGATTGTTCTTAATGAGCGCGTGGCATAAGTATTTGTGAGGTTTTCAAGAGTCGAACGTTCCTTTTCCGATAGGGGTAAATCAGCCAGTTCTTTCGTAGCGTCATTTATGATTCGGGTACATTTGCCTAGCAGAATTTCTGAGGCTCCCTTGACTAGCATCCGATATTTGCCATTGTCCAGTTTGATAACGACAGCCATGCATTTTCGGCCAGAATCGAATGGGACCATCTGTGCGACCCTGGCATTGGACCTTGCCTCACTGACAGATCCCATACCGAGGTAATTCCGAGCAAAGGAAAGCAGGGCGGTTTCCGTCTTAGACCCGATGAACGTGAACACCCCTTCCTGCTCTCCTTCAAACGCGGTGGAATTCAGAACGATGGACTGAAGTAATAGCTCCTTGACAGATGGTGAAATGCGAGCCGCGAAGTCTGCCGGAGAAGCACCACCGGTGCTGGAATCCGTATTGTTTTCAGTTCCGACGCCGTTCTGAGTCGCAGTATTTGACTTATCTCCGAACCTGGTCGCCACACCAAGCGCACCCGCGACAGCAGTCATCTTATTCTCTGTAAGTGTGCCCGTCTTGTCTGAACAGATGGTCGTGGCGTTACCCATAGTCTCACAAGCGCGTAAGAGTCGCACAAGGTTATTATCCTTGAGCATTCTCGTGGTCGCGAAGGCAAGCGCCAGCGTCACAGCTAATGGCAATCCCTCTGGGACAGCCACCACAATGATAGTGACAGAGACGATAAAAATCTGGAGGAAAGCTTGACCCTTCTCGGATGAGCCGTGTTTGTCATGCAGGGTCGCAAGGAATTTAATGAAGAGCACCACAAACAGCAACAGGCCGGAAGCGAGACCAAGCTTGGCGATGTATTCCGCAAGTATGTTCAACTTGAACTGCAGCGGCGTGGTTTGGCCCTCGTCATGCAACGACATCATTGTTTTCCCGTAACTTGAGTGCATGCCGACGGCAGTGACGAGAAACGTTCCGACCCCCTCGGAAACTTTGGCACCTGAAATAATAAATGGATCTTTCTTGGAGAGATCCTCATGCTGCTCTATGGCCCGGTACACTTCCTCAGCAGGAGTCTTGCGCAATACGTCCGATTCGCCGGTGGCGGAGGATTCGTCGCACTTGACGTTGTGCCCCTTAATGAAGATACCGTCGACAGGAACCATGTCTCCAGGCTCGAGATGCATAACATCTCCTACAAGAACGTCAAAGATGGAGATTTCTTCTGTCCTCCCGGATCGGATTACTTTCACTAGGCGGTCTTCCTTCTTCTTGTTCAGCTTCACAAATTGGCGTTCCTTCTGCCAATCGTTCGCGGCTCCCACAACCACAACGATTAGGATGGCCACAATAATGGCGACACCTTCGACCCACTGAACACGGGCCTCGCCGTCTGTCGCGGAGACGGATTGGTAGATACCCAAAGCAAGGGATATAATTGCTGCGATGGTAAGCAGGATCAGAACCTTATCATTGTACGCAATCCATGCCAACTCCCAGATAGTCTTGATTTTCTTCTCGGGAAGCTTATTGATTCCAAAGACTCGTTTACGGTCAGCAAAAGCACCATCGTGCTGACTGGAGGATCCAGAAGGGCCAGACGGTGGCAGGTCTTCAGAAACACCTTTGGGGAGTGATTGGGGATGACTTGGAGAGATAGCATCTTCAAAGGTTATAGCACCATCCAAGGGGCCCTCGTCAAGGCTAAGACCAGAATGTACGTCAGTCCTCAGCCCCTTCTCTAACCCGCGTAAACCGCCCAGTGCGTGGAATGCACCCAGACTCTTCGGATCCAAGAGTTTGTTCAGCTGACCGGGCGAGAAGGCGAACTTGTTATTTTCGACCTGGAAATCCTCTTCCCTCCCTGGATCCGGCTTGAGGGCATCCTCGTCGCTAATGACATTGGTGAGGGCAGAGGAGGAGTTCTTCTTGCCCGTATCCGTGGAGGGACTGGAGTTATGAGACGAAGTAGGAACGTACGTGTCTCCCTCATAGCTACTGCCGCTGTGAGTGGAGGACTCCGACTCTAAGGAATTTCCGCGAGATCGTGTCTGGGGAACGGAGAGGAAATTCGAGTGAGATTCCGGCTGTTTCGAGGTAGGCGATGACACATTGTGAGGCGAGGTCGGCCTGCTCTCTCTGTCAGAGCCAAACGAACGGAGGGAAGGAGTACGGATATCTGACGGAGAAGCATTGTTACTACTGTTCAACAGCGTGCTACTATCTGTTGCTTCAGCAGTGTCCGTGAGCACACTCAATGAAGGCCGCGGTGGCGTAGGGAAAACCTGGACTGGAGGTTGAGAGGAGTCCGGAGCAGAGTTAACAGCAGATGTGTCGATGGTGATGGTTGGAGCTCGTTCCCGACGCAGGGGAGCCTTGGCCTTATCAGAACCGTCTCCATTCGGTCGTGAATCTGACATGATGAAAACGGACTCTGGAGGCCAACCGATTTAGGATGTCAACTAGGGAAGCAGGAACGCGAACTAAGGAATGGACTTCAGCGGACGAAAACGACCATGACCGGATGATGATGATGATGCTGCTGACACGCTTTCTGACGATGAGTGAGATATCAGATATAAGCTTATTGAAACGAGAACTTTTGCCAATATTCCATGAAACGCCGCGATATGTCACGATATCCTAGGAGAAAGGGAGACAGAGACGTGCAGATAGCTTCAACTTGCCTGTATCGTTAGCGAGAAGCCATGGGAGAGACTTCGGACATATAGAATTGGAAGCATCAACAGCGTACCAGACGAAGACCCACGAGCCAAGGTTAAAGTTTGCAAAACGTCGTGAGAGCTAGAGAGAAGAGAAATAACGTAGTATTTCGAGTATGAGATAGTAGTGTTGCAGCGCCGTGCTGGGTCGGTCTCCTTAATCCGATGGCAGACTGGCTACCACTTGCTGGAAGAATCGGTCTCTCGGGTGATAGCAAGCATGCAACATTTCCTTCTGGGACGATGTGACTTGATTTCGAGGGGGATCAGAGATTGATGGACAGGTAGGGGCTTAGGATGATGAGGTCGATCGTCCAGGCGATAAGTTGGAACAGAAGAGCTAGCTCCACTGACAGGTCGTCTGCACCCGGACGGCATGGTAATTCTCATGTCATCGTACATTACCGCTAGGTCGTAAGGGGACTAAATCCGTAATAAAGTCCGTAACTTTACCGCAACGCAGACCCTGCGCTCGGGGAAGGGCCAATAGAAAGCTAATATCACACGGTAAATGGATCCGCCCCATCAGATGCACCAGATGGTCCAGACCCGTGTGTAAATACATTACCACAATACATCAGCGCAAGTCTACCTGCAGGCACAGGTACCTGCAGTCACCTAATATTTGCATGCAATTGCAGGTACCTTGATCTCACCCCCAGAGAATAAATACAAATAGTATATCCAGCAATAGAGAGGTCTCTCTAGACACAGTGCAAACAGCAAATCCTGGCCATCATCGAAACATGATACATGCTCAATTCCCCACTGCGGAAACAAATAAAGGAGAGATTAACGTTGCTCGTAGTTTCCTTCCGTCCAACCAGAGCGGCAGTCTTGAATCCTTGGCATTTTGCACTGCCTCATTATTCACTTGATTGAGATGCAAGTTCTGTCCGGACTGCCATATTCCCCCTTTTTCTTCCCTTTTCACGGACTGAAGGCAAGGCGAGAGGCAATGATACGGTGTAGTAATGATTCATCAAATCCACACGGGATGCTGGACCCTTGCCACGATAGACAGTGGATTCCGTACAAAGTACAGACGGAGTACGGAGTACATACATTAGGGTACATGCTACGTACATATAAGTACAAATAGTACCTTGACGATGTGGGCTCCCGTCACGCTTGACAAGTGTCTTGCATCTGTTTCTTTCGTTATTTGGATTCCAGCATGCCCAACTATGGAGCATCTTCCTTCAGAATCACCCACCCAACACGGCTTGAGTCCGGATTACCTATGGGTGGCGATGATATTAAGCTCGGGTGGCTCCAGCACAATCAAGAACCTAAGGTCTACCTCTATATACTATTGCAGATACTAGCATTACAGAGTAACAGTAGTACGTAGTAATAATAAGTTCAATAATTACTCGAGTCTGCGAACTTCCGAATACGTTGTATCAAGTCCGTGACAACCAGGAAATCGGACAGATAACCCTCTTGGCGCCGGGGCTGTGTAGAAGCTCCATTATCCAACTACCATACAGACGCGGGAGACATTATTGCCTCATTGCATGTCCTGACATGATTATTATTTCGATGCCCGTGGCTCGTGTTCATTTGTTGGGAGCTCCCTGTTTTTCGTCCCGAGTCCGTGCAGTCAGCACTGGGTAGACTACAGAGTCCTATTGCCGCGTTGAGTGAGCAAAAGCAGGAAGCAAGGGGCAAGATGAAAAGCACTCTACGGACAAACACTGGGATGTCATAGATGACGATTAGATTTGCCTTCTTTTCCAACTCCGAATGTTGCTCTAAACCTAAGAACAAAAGACACCATCCATGCCCATCCCAACAACCAGTGTCTCGACATGAAATTATTTCTTTTCCTTTTCAAATAAAGGCCTCTTTTTTTTTTTTTTTTTTTTTTTTTTTTTTTCACAGAACCAGGGTCATCCTTAGCTTGGATTGGGTGCTGTACAAACTGCCCAGGAAAGACGCCCGGTCTCAATGGGTCTTCGTTTCAAATAGCTCGCCGGTTTCGTCTTCATCAACGTGAACATCCCAAATCTCCAGCGACTCCCCATTGGGAAACCTCTTCTTGTTTTTCGCCTTCGTGTTGACAATCGCCTTGCTAGACAAGGCCAGAGAGTCCACCAACTCGGCCATTCGCCGCGCAGCCACGAAGATCCGCGTCAGCTCTTCGTTGTCTGCCACGTCCTTGGCGAGATCCATGCATTTCACTAAGAAATCGCTCGAAAGCGTGTGGGCGCAGTAATACAGTGCGCTATGGTAGTCGAGGATGAGTTCAGGCACATAGGTGACCCTAATGTACTCTAGTTCTTCCTCTTCAGAGCCTGCAGGGATGTGGACAACGCATCAATATCTCAATCCCAACCAATCAAGCAAACAAAACGAGATTTGGGCATGACTTACTATCCTCCGACGGAGGCAGCCATCCTTCCCCTAGCACACCATTCATCATATGCTCCGAGAGATCATCCATAGCCTCTTGCAGCTTTTTCTTAAGCTCCCTCACCGCGACGGAGTCCCGCCTGCGCCTGCCACTACATTCTCTGTTAGTTGCACAGCGTACTTTTGACAGATAATAAAAGGGTAAAGGAAGACGTACTTATCATATTCTTCCCAAGCAATCGTAAACCCCTCCACCGCATCTAGTCCAAGAGTCAATTGCTCCAAGTCACGCATAGGCTGAGACTGTTGGGCCATGAGACCCGGGCCGCGCTCAGTCGGCGCTCCACTTGAAGGACTGGCGATTTCGGCTGGATTTTCCCCTACAACACTCTCACCAGCAGCAGGAAATTCTACAACATCGAATCCAAACGCTTCCAATGAGATATCAGTTACGCTCATGCGCCTGCATAACTCCCGAGCCGCAGCCAGATTGCCAGCAACTGTTTGTGAAAGGTCAGCTGGAGAATTCGATTATATACTATCAAAAGGGGAGTAGAGATAGACATACCATAAAATCTCCGATACAATAGTTTACCACGTTGGCATATCTTGGACCATTGACCATCAATGTATCGAAGCCACTCAAAACTGCGGATCATTTGCTCGTCTTCAAGGGATATAAATGTCCCGATTAGGTCCTTCTTTGGCGGTGCCAATTCTCGAATTCCATCCTTCCTCGTAACAACCTTGGGGTAAGTTTTGATAGTCCTTGGGTGTTCTACCGTAGGAACGTTCGCACACACCCATTGCCACTGGCTATCGAGGACAGCTTCAATATTGATGTTGTGCTTTTGAATGAGCCTGACCTGTCTCCTTCTCTCTTTCGAAGGCACAATGTCGATCAGAATTTGACCGAGGACAAGCGTGGCCGTATCTGCTGGGAGAAGAGAGGCATATGACGGGATAGTATCATAAAGTCCTGCGTCCTCGAGATTGGCAATATACCCAATGATGCTCACCGATGCGGTTTCGACAAATTGACTATCCGAACGAGAGTAGCCCAGGAAATTAGAAGCGACATAAATGTGGGTTGCAATCCTCAAGGCATCTTTATCCTGAGCAACAATGAGCATCGAATCGTCGACTTCCCCGGGCGATAGGTCTGGCATGTATGTACACTGTTCAGGGCCGATCTTAGCAGCTTTGGAAACTGCCTTCGCTAAAGAATGGAAAAAGTCATCGTAACTCTTGCTCAGAATGGCGCCTTGGATTGTGCGATAGGGATTGCGTGCCTCGACTCCAATCCGCTGGCCACTCTTTACATATTGCAGGAACTTTTGCAAGGCGGCATACCCAGGAGGATCCGGGTTATAGACGACGGGAGAGTTAGACACCAGGTTCAGCTTCCGCTGAAACTGCTTGCAGAAGCCTTGGTAGCGGGAGAGAACAACACTGTTCAAATGAACATAAAGATAATCGTCCCAGCTTCGACAGACTTTAAAAGCAGGCTCGGTCTCGCCGCAAAGCAATGCATATACGGCGCGTTCACACTCTTCCGTGGTAGGGTCCCGAGCCAGAGCCGAGCAAGCAGCTCGCCAGGAATCTTGTGATCGAAAGTTCATCATACGCGTCATTCCATCATCGACAGGCGTCTTTCCAGTGGCAGAGCTAGGGTCAACGCTCGAACCGCATAAGCTAACAGCTCGCCAGTTTTCCAAGCGCGCTTGTGCCCACTCCCGAATAGCCGTCCAGCTCTCTCCTTGTCTTATCATCTTCCAGCACATCAGCCAGGTAGCCCTCTCATGGAATTGATCTTGCTTCTGTAAGCCCAATTTCTGTCTGACGATGGCATCCGGGTCCAACTGCGTAATCAAAGGCTCCTGCTTCTCGGATGTCAAAAGGGAAAGTGCAACTCCTGGATCTTTTGGCTCAAGGGGTCGAGGCCAAGCCCGCAGTCGCTTCTGACCCTTAATGATCTCTTTGGTATATAGCCACCCATGTGCCCAGAGTCCCTGTCCTCTCTCGGCCTGGGTCTCTAGTTCCGATATCAGCGTGTCGACATCCTGACTGGAGGTTTTTGCTGTTTGTTCCAACCACTTCATGGCAATCACACATTCCAGGGCATAATGGTCCGCATCAATAAATTGCTCCCAAATTTCGCGGTCTGAAGAGTACCGGTGTAGTTTCTGGAAACAGGTCTCTTGTGTGTGCTTAGCATGGGTTCGAGCGTGAGGGCCGTCAATGCTAATCAAATTTGACAGTAATCGCCAAGTATCGGCCTCCAGCTGCAAGCGCTTCATATCCTCCAGTGTCTTGGAATCGCGGACGGTGTCAGATGGCTCGAGTGAATTGCTTCGACTAGTACTCCAACCGGCCCTAGCCCGCTTTAAAGTCTGTTCTTTTGCAACGTCCTGGATCGCATCCTTAGCTAGGGAATGGTAGCTGCTTATAAGATGATAAGCAGCCTGAAAGCGACCAAAATCATCGGGACGGTTTCCTTTGTGTTTGAATCGGTCGAGTTTCTCTGCAAACTCTTCGATTTGGCGCGTCACGCGGTTCGCAGTACGGCGAAGTGGGTGCAGAGCTTGCTTCGCGCCGACCGACGTAAATAGTTCAGGTGTAGCTGCCTCTGCGTTTTTATTTAAGAGCAGTCGATCAGTTTGCAGTCCATGAAGTCCATTTGGCCTATTGGCAACTGTGGGACAAACCTTGATCACTTTCACCAAAGTCCGAGCTGGCTATCCCCAGCGCAGATCCAGTGCCGTTGACCCTTCCCGAATGTCCGTTTAAGGATGGCTCGTTATCATCCTCAGTTTCTTCTTCACTTTCTTCTTCCTCTTCATCTTCGTCATCTACGTCTTCTTCACCTTCATGCTCATCCTCATCCATGTTGTCTTCACCATCTTCGATGGATTCTCCATCTACCTCGTCTTCATTGTCGTCATCGTTGATCTCAATGATTTCTGGATCGTTCGAGGTCGGTCGCAGAGCACCCTAGGGAAGGAGTCAAGATCAGCATGCGCACCATTAAAAGAAATAATGAAACGGACGTTTGTATATGTAAAACCCGGATCACCCATTTCCGAGTCCACAGGTCGATTGAAAGGCGCCATTTGCGTTAGAGAAGTGGAAAGCAGAGAGCTCTGCTGTCGCGAGTTCTCGCTGTGTTTTTGTAAACCTAAGATCCCCAGTCCCTGGAGTTACGCGGTGTTAGCTCGCAAGCAGGCTAGTCCCGATGAGGACTAGTGTCTGGTGAGCAGCATAAAATTTCTCTCCCGCTTTTTTGCTCTTCTCTCTTTTTCTTCTTCTCTTCTTCATCAAATGTCTTATAGGCAATCATTAGAGTCTCGGAACGAACTTTTTCAATGTTCGCTCAGGTCCTGGAAGGACCTCTAGCGTGCTCAAGATTGTCTTAGAACAATCTGGCAGTTCTCATAATACTAGCTCTTATTTGAATGAGGGTTCAGACTGCAAGGGAATTGTCACATCGCCTCATTGCTAATTTACATGATAGATGCGTGAATCGTATAGTTATTTACAGCACAGTATAATATAGTGTACACACCATGGCCTATCGAATTTTCAACTGGCCAGACCGCGTTGCCTCATCTTCACCTTAAGTAGGCTGGGTTTGGGACAGCTCGGAGTCTTCGCATCTTCTCCCTGTTCCTTGTAAAAAGCATTACAACACTCATACAGCGCATTTATCTGAGACTGGCACTTCTCTTCTTTGTACGAGTTCTTGGTCAAGCAGGCTGCATTGTGTCAGACTGTCAGTAAGGCGCTGGAGAGCTTCCAAAGCTGGGATTGGCTCCGTTTACCTTGAATGGCGCACTGCTCGACGTGTCAGCTACGTGTAGAGATATATGACGGGGCCTACGGAAGATAGAAGATAGAAAAAACCATACAGCTCGTGGATGACAAGGGGGGTCATGGTTCACATCACTTTTGAGATTTCCCTGAAGATGGTTCAACGGGCTTTATCCTTTTCCTACTATGGGTTCTGGATAGACATCTTACCATGACGCAATGGCTGGTGTACTACTGCGGAATTTCTTCAAGCAATGAGGGCGTAAGCAATAATTGACAACGGGGCAAGTTTTTGCCTGATGCTCTGAGCAGAGTCGACTGAAACAAAGGCAAGAGAAAGCAGATACAGGAAAAGTCCGCTTCGTTCTGACGCAGCAGGCAACCGGGCAAACTGAATCAGTCGCTGAGAACGCGTCGCAAAAACAGATTCTCCGCTGCTTCTCTTCACTTTACAACCTCGCCGTAATCCGAACATTGCTCTACTCATCTTCTTGCATACACATTGCTGTTATTTCACTTCCAGCAAGCCTGTAAGTACGCTCTCCCCAATACTGTCAGCTTCTCGTGGCTTTTCGACTTGGCTGAAATATTATTGCAGTCAAGGCACAATCTCTCCCACCTTGATCACCGCGCAACTTGCTCCTCTTCCCTTTGCGCCTCCACCGCGCTGATCCTCAAGAAAACTCTCTATAAGACGACATCATGGCTGAAGGAACTCCTTCTGGAGGCGAAGGTGCCCCGGCCCCCCCACCTGCCACGGAGCACTTGAACATCAAAGTCACCGATAACAACAACGAGGTGTTCTTCAAGATCAAGCGCACAACTCAGCTGAAGAAGCTTATGGATGCGTTCTGCGATCGCCAGGGCAAGCAGCTGTCAACTGTCCGTTTCCTCTTCGATGGTACTAGAGTTCGTCCCGAAGACACACCGGAGACTGTACGTTTACCTTTTTTTAAAAAAAAAATCTCGCTATTTCTTTGAGACCTATAGGGTACTTTACTTATATTTGGAACATATAGCTCGATATGGCGGATGGTGACACACTCGAAGTTCATCAAGAGCAGATCGGCGGTTGTTGAGATCCAATGCATTTACACTAGCAGTTCTTGGGGGATGAGTTGACGTCTTCACGAATGAACATGATCGAGCAGAATTCGATTCTATAATTAACTATTTCTCTTCCATTTCTATTGCTAAATGCGATTTACACTGGGTGTTAAACGATTCTTGCGCTGGGAGACTCTTGTCTTTTAGCGGAATAAAACTGGTTTTCTGTCTTTGCGTATTCACATTCTTGTCCTGGATAGATCTGAGAGATTTGGCCTGCAGTATATGCTTTGTATTTTCTCGGTGTCAGTCGCTGGGCCATCGCTGTATGCCTGGCACCCATCATATTCTTGTCTCGCCATTAACAACACACTTTTTTGCCCGAGACAGGGAATCAAGAACCTTCAAACCATATCCAACAATACACCTGATTATAATATAAATATAAGATTATTATAAAGAAAAGAAAGCAGGAGAACGGGAAAAGGCTAGGTAACTACCATGTCACTAGTCGTCCCAAATAGCAGCCTTCGCCCTTTCCTCCTCCTCCCTAGCTTTAGCCGCCTTCTCCCTCTCCTCATTACGCCGCTTGATTTCTTGTTCCTTCACAGCCCGGTCATAGGCCCGCTGCTCTTCCGTCCTCTTCGGTGCCCTAATCCCCAAAGCCCCAGCAATCAACCTACCTGCCACGGCGGTCTGCTTCTCCGGCCTGCGATCCGCTGCAATGCGACCAGCTGGAGACGGTCTGATGGTATTCATATTTGTATTCGACCCGCCATATGATGAGTACGGGGCCGCATTTAGACCGACCCAGGGCGCCGAGAACTGCTGAGGCGAGCTGGGTGTTGGTGGGGGTTCTCGGATTCCATCCCTCGCGGCGATGGGTGATATCGGCGTGCTATCATTATCGCTGTAATTATTATATTTGTTGTTTATTGTTATCTTATTCCTGTTGCTGTTGTTGCCACTGCTGGCTGCATTGTTGTTTTTCTCCTTGCTGTCCTCCTCGGAAAGCGAGTCTGCCTCGTCTTCCCAGGAATCTGCGACGGGGCTGCTGCTCTTGGCCTTCTCGGATTTCTGTTTAGGGGGTGGGCTTGTTGGTGTTTGCAATTTCGGGATGTCCTTGATGGGATTCTTTTTCTTCTTTTCCGTTTCCTTGAGGGACAGGTCTTGCAGAGACGATTCAAGCTCTGGTTCTGGTGATACAGTACCTGCGCATAACTTAGCATTTCGTCATAGGAAGAAGGGGGGTGGGGTGTTCGGAACTTGATGCTCAGAAGTTCAGAACAAATATGTAGCTAAACGGACCTTTGGGTTTCACTGCTAGATTGTTTGCCATTCCAATTGTGTTTCGAGTTAATACGTGCGACAGATGATGATTTCTTGCTGTGTTGTTAATCTGCTATTGCTAGTAGGAGATCAGCAAACCCCGCCTGTCCATCATTGCCCGTGACTTCCGGCGGAACGTCTCGTCCGACGAGCTGCAGCAGAATATTACTCTATATTATTCCACCAGTTTCAGACGCTCGATTGACTAATAATAAGTTATAACAGTGAAGATCTACAGAATATGGAATGGAGTACGAGTCCATCGGCATTATCTCCGTTGTCCCCGGCCTCAGTAAATCATGACTGCTATTTACCTAGGTACAACGGCAAGACAACGTCTCCGCAGGAAGAGCATTGTCAGTCAAGAAACTATATTATATTGCATTCATACAAATTTGCCAAAAACAATCCACAAGTTACCCCAATTCTTCAGTCGAAGAGAACAATAGACCTCCATATATGAAGCCAAGATGACCGCATTCCGTCCCTTTTCAAACCGAGTCTCGAGGGTTCCAATCCCACGATCTTCCCTGCAGCGGAGGAGTCAATTCTCCACTTCGCTGAGGAATTCAAGCTACGCAGATACTCTTCCTAATCTCAAGATTGGAGCCCACACGAGGGTTTTGTTTCAAGGTTTCACAGGTGAGGAACGTTCCCTCACCACCCTGGAAGAAATGAGTAAACAATAGTGATATTCGTCATTAGGTAGACAGGTAGGCGGCAGATCAATTTCGCCAGATCCAATTGTCCGCAGCTAACTCTTGGTCCAAGGCAACTGCAAATGCAAAAGAGTCATTAGAATGGGGAACCAAGATCGTAGGAGGCGTGAAGCCTGGAGTGGAAGGCGAGCATCTTGGGCTCCCGATATTCCCATCAGTGCGCATTGTATGTGGATTAACCACCGTTGTGCGGAGTACTCCGTATTGATAATCGATCGATCTATTGACGGGCTCTAGGCTCAGGAGATAGCAAAACCAGATGCGTCTGCAATCTACGTGCCTGGAAATCAAACGGCCAAGGCCATTGAAGAAGCTATAGAAGCTGAGATACCCCTTGTCGTTGCCGTGGCAGAACATGTTCCCGTCCACGATATGCTGCGGGTTAGAGATCTTGAAATAATTGTTACATGTTAAGAAAGATGTCTAATATTGTCATACAGATTCATTCCATTCTCCAGGCACAGTCCAAGACCAGGCTAGTAGGAGCGAACTGTCCGGGAATCATCTCTGCGATAGGAAAATGCCGGATAGGGTTCCAGCCTTTGCCCTGCTTTTCTCCCGGGAATATAGGGATCATCGCAAAGTCGGGAACCTTGAGCTATGAGACGGTGGCATCTACAACGCGAGCTGGCTTGGGTCAGAGTCTTTGCATTAGCATGGGTGGAGATATGTTGGCCGGAACGAATTTCGTGGATGCCCTGAAAATCTTTGAAAATGATCCGGACACAGGGGGTATTATACTAGTTGGCGAAGTTGGTGGAACAGCTGAGTTGGACGCTGCCGAATGGATTGCGGATTACAATAGACGATGTGCGAATCCAAAACCCATTATGGCTCTCGTCGCCGGTATGCAAGCTCCCCGTGGGCGTGTTATGGGCCACGCCGGTGCCTGGGCAGCGCCAGGAGAACCAGATGCAAGAAAGAAGTACAAGGCACTTGAGAGTGCTGGTGCTGTGATGGTTCATCATCCGGAGAACTTTGGGGAGAAGATGAAGGGTCTGTTGAGCAAAAACACGAGCCGGTTTGGCACGACGGTGAGTTCTGGGATGCCTTCTACAGGGATTTAGAATGCGTACTGAAACTGTGTCTGTTGGGTAGAGTACCTCCACTCCGTTGAGCCACAGACGAGGCTTCCATACAAGGAGACAGCTTTCTCCTACCAGCTACCATAGGAGGCTTAGTTTGACCCAAGTCCGTACACTCTACGTCACCCAATTCCAAGCACTCGACATGCTCAAGGAAAAATCAATACCCGTTAACGAGATGACTGCGTCCCCAGACGACATTTCCATATCCGTCACAATAGATCGTACCGCATTATCTCCATGCGTCATTGCCTCACCATCACCCAATCCCGACGAGGGCAGCTATGCCCGCAAGTTTCCGTTCGACTACGCAAGTGCAAGTGTTAAGGAAGCCCCATTTATCAATGCCATAGTCTCTCATCTTCATCTTTCGGGGACATCGCAAGCACATGCGGCCCTAGCTTCACTAATCGACAGCGTATGGCAAATCTTCAAGGAAAAGGAAGCCTTCTTACTAGAGACAAGAGTCAATGTTTCCCCAGAGGGCAAGTTGGAAGTGCGTGGAGCACGATTCGGCTTTGACGATGCCGCGTTCAGGAGTTCTGGACGACACGGAGACGTGCATCGACTCAGGGATAAAGCGGAGGAAGTCTGGGAGGAGGTAGAAGCCGAAAAGGACGGGATTGTTTATGTGAAGTATGATGCCGTTCTTATAATCAGCATAGAAAGACATGCTAAGAGTACCACAGACTTGCAGGCGGAGGCAGTATCGGAACCCTGGGTAAGTCATGGCTACCAAGTTGTCTGGGAAATAGATCGACTGACTGTGGCTGTTAAGTAAACGGAGCCGGTCTCGCGATGAACACAGTCGACGCTCTCACTCTCCACGGCGGCCACTGCGCCAATTTCCTCGACACAGGCGGCAAGGCAACCAGTGAAACCGTGAAGTCATCGTTCCGCATCATTTCCTCGGACGCCCGCGTGAAGGCGATCTTCGTGAATATCTTCGGGGGGCTGACGCGGTGCGATATGATCGCGGAGGGTATTATCATGGCATTCCGCGATCTAGGAATGGAAGTTCCTGTGGTTGTGCGGTTGCGGGGGACGAACGAAGAGATTGGACAGAAGATGGTGAGTCTGGTTAGGTGGTTCTTTTGGCATATTACTGGGCTAAGCTGTTTCTCTAGATTGCGGACAGTGGACTTCGTCTCCATGCATTTGACAGCTTTGAGAATGCGGCGAAGAAGGTTGTCAGTCTTGCAGGCGGCGCATAGACATATACACTATAGAAGACAAGAACCTTTAGATGTATAGAAAGCATTGCATGAAATCAATTATAGGGCTGGAATAAACTCCAACCTCCGACATCGCAGCAAGTAGAACTTGAAGCCAAGCAATTGCGCCATCGCAAGTGGATATTCAAGTAGATGGAATATTAAATATTTTCTTAAAGAGAAGCCTAAGTATACATTTTTTAGAGAATCGTCTTGACCAGATCCCTGATCATTCGTATTCATACCCCTGACATCCAAGCCTGCCGCGCAATTGTCGTTCTCACGGGAAATATCTCAACCGCGGGGTTTGTGTTGCTCTGCCCCGCTCTTCTGCAAACTTCGAGTTCAATTGAATTGACCGTATTCACTCAGTATATCCAAGATTTCACTTCCTCTTGATACCCTTTTTATTCTTCATAGTCCAGCGATTACATAGACATCCAAGCAAGGCAAAATGGCAACGTAAGTCCCAACCCCCAGAACCCCCCCAAACTCCCCAAAACCACAGAAAAGATGAAACTAACAAGAAACCAATGAAAAAGAAACATAACCTACCACGCCAGCGCCCTAACCCACACAGAACGCACAACCCTCTTAAACCAACAAGGCCTAACAGTCTGGCTAACCGGCCTCTCCGCCTCCGGAAAATCCACCATAGCCGTCGAACTAGAACACCAACTCCTCCGCGACCGCTCCGTCTACGCTTACAGGCTCGACGGTGACAATGTTCGCTTCGGACTAAACAAAGACCTCGGCTTCAGCGAGAAGGACCGCAACGAGAACATCCGACGGATCTCGGAGGTCGCGAAGTTATTCGCCGACAGCGGCTGCGTGGCCATCACGTCGTTTATCTCGCCGTATCGCGCGGATAGAGATACGGCGAGGGCGCTGCATGAGGTTCCTACTCATGGTGAGAAAGAGGGATTGCCGTTTGTGGAGGTTTTTGTGGATGTGCCCGTTGAGGTTGCTGAACAGCGGGATCCGAAGGGGTTGTATAAGAAGGCTAGGGAGGGCGTTATTAAGGAATTTACGGGGATTAGTGCGCCGTATGAGGAGCCTGTGAAGCCGGAGGTGCATATTCGGAGTCATGAGGTTTCGGTGCAGGAGGCCGTGAAGATGATTATTGATTATTTGGACCAGAAGGGATATTTGCCTAAGAAGGAGTAATTGCTGTTTTCTGCTTTTGTTTTCTGTTGAGGCTGTTCATAGAGTTGTAATGCATTGTTGATATATGAATATCCATCAGTAAAGAAGTCTAGATGCAACAATCAATTGACAGAACCAGAAACAACACACGCTGCAACAGCAAAAGCAATTAAACAAGGCAAATATATACCACAAACAAAATTCAACGTGCAAGCGAATGCTAGCTGAACTGGATTTCGTAATAGACATATGGCGTGTACTCCGCCCCAGCCCCTTCGCCGCTCATGGCTATTTCACCCGGGTCATCCCTCTTGACCCGGCCCTTCTTGTCACGCCCAAAGGCATTCCCCGCGAGATATGAATATTTCTCGTCGAGAGCCCGTTTTGCCTTGTCTGCTTGTTTGGATCCAGGTGTCTGTAGCTGTTAGTAAGGGGACAAACAATGGATAGGGTTCAAGAAATGAGAAAAGGGATACCTACCCGGACAAGAGCGCAGACAAAGTCCAAAGGAAGACCGTATCTCAATACAGTCTCAACAAACACCCGGAGCACCAGCACATGGATCCAGACCATGACAGCCTCGCTCCAGCCTGTACGGCCCAATCGTAGCGTTTCTCCCCACAGCTTTCTCTCATTCCCACCGACACGCTCAACCTCTTTCCGCTCCTCCTCTTTGCCTCCCTCGACATATTTGAAGTCCCGAGGCACCCATTTCTGTTCGCGACATTTGTGAACGAACTCTGGGCTGTGCTTCTTGAACGTAGTCACCGCGTATAGTGTGAACTCATCGTCCGAGGCCACAAGATTCGCAGATCGTGGAACCACCATCGGAGAGATAGTCTCGTACGTCTTCAGGAATTCTTTTACCTGCTGCGCAGGGATGGCGACGAGATGGGTCTCGATGTATTCGGAGTCTTGGACGAGGACGCGGGGGTCGACAATGGACGTAAGCGACTTCGTAGAAAGATTGCCTCTGTATAAATTAGTTTAATCCATTCTCCGCATTCAGACAACGGGAGGGCTCACGTCTGTTTCCGTTTGAGCGTCGCCAGTGTATTCTTAGCCTGGTTGTATTGAGAGTATTTCGACCGAACATCATTATCAATACTCGCTGCTTCCTATCATAAAAAAAAACGTCAGCATGAATGAGCAAGAAATGCAGAAATGAATAATACCCACCTTTTCCAAAAGATCAATCAATTCCCCCAAAGACCTATCCGCGCGATACTTGACCTTATTCCACGAAAACGTCCTTAAATACTGATCGACAGGCTCTATACCCCCCAGGAAGGTCAGGCTGGCACAAAGAAGAAGGTGAAGTAATATCTCCCAAAGAGGAAGAAGAAAACCACATACTATCATTAACATTCTTCATCTTCTCAACCTGCTCCTGATCCCCCTCAAGAACACTATTCAATGCATCGCTAATCTTTGCCACGACCCCCTGACACGACGACTCAAGTTTCGCCAACTCATCCGCCTGCTGCACCAAGGCGTCCAGCGTCCCGATCTTGAACTCGGGGATGGGAAACGAGCTCACGGTGCCGTTATCCGGGGTAATGATCGTGGAGACTGCGTCGAGGGCGTCGTCCTTATTGCTGGATGGTGTGATGGAGGTCGGGAGGGAGATGAGAAGGTATTTTGTTGTTTTGGACATGGTTCAATCGATGGCGGGGGTTGGTGTGAACGATGAATGGGCAAGACAAGACAGGGAAAGGAAGGGGGTGTAATTGGGGCAATGCTTCGGCAGATATTTAGAGGGAGATGAGATTTTATGGCGCTCCTGAAGAAGTAGACATGAGGGTTTGGGGGAATTTGGTGGTGAGTCGCAAGGAGGGAGCTTGTTTATGCTTGCTGGAGCTGGAGCTGGACCTGGAGGTCGACCGGCGACGCTTCTCGGAGTGTGAGGGCGAAGGCGGTCGGCGGATTACTTGGATCAGATACTCCGGAGCTGCAGATGAGCGGCACGTCTACTGCATCCTACGTATTCAGCCCATTCAGCAGCATTGACACAGAGTATTTTTCCTCAATTAGAAGAACTGTGTATATACGTAACGGTGGCTCCCCCTGGATTCTCCGTTGCAGGAAGCAGCAGTCTTCAGGGATCAGCTTCAGTATGACCTTTCTCCACATCGACCATGATATTGACACATTGTCTATAGAATAATAACAAGTCCTCCCTATAGTTATAGAGTAATGTCTAGGGCGTTGTCAAACCCAAAAAGAAAGAAATCTCTATCCTCCTTAGCGCCAGGCTAGAAAGCAGAAACGTATATAACAAAATCTCCACCCAGATAACAACCGGGAGAAAGTCTACATTAACTCAGGCTTGTAGAGCTTGGACAATGTCTTGAAAGAGTAAACAAAAAAGTCAGCTCACATTTATTTCTCGATCCAAGAATGGGATACAGGGACAAAAACTCACTGCTGCTTGCTTCGGCTCAATAAACAATGCCTTCGCCTCAACAAGCACGACAGGCTCCATCCCCTCCTCAGGAAGAGTCTCAATGCGACCCTCAACCCAGGCCTTACGGCCCTCAACCTTGACAGTTTCTGCCCTCAGGACAAAATAGGACTCAGCCATAGCTGGTCGTCGGTAATCGATATTCAAGTTTGCCGTGACGGCAGCCTTATTCGGCAGAGCAGGGAAGCAACATCTCGCCAAACCCTCATCCAGAAGGGTGGCCAGTAGACCTCCGTGCACGATACCAGGGTGTCCGCACACGTCGGAGCCAAGGTAGAAGATCGAGACTAGGCTCTTCCCACCCGTCTCATGGAACATCAGAGGCGGGACAACAATCCTCCCCGGACCGGCTAGTGTGCCGGATGTCAAGGTCCGCGGGCGGAGTCCTGCCGGAACCGCCAAATGCTGGCGGGTTTCAGTGAAGTCGGGGTTCTCACGCAGAGAGGTGGCTATGGGATGGCTGTAGATGAAATTTTCCACTTCCAAAACGTGCTCATCTGTTCCGTTGGGAACAATAATGGCTTCCTCATTGACAGATGTTGGGGCAGCCATGATTCGGGAGATGGTCCGTTGTGTTTGGAAAAGAAGGCCAGCGGCGAAAGCGATAATCGCAATCAATGACGCTCCTACGAATCGGCGGAGACGAGACGGAGAAGCCTTAGCTTTAGGATCTTGTGCTTCTGCTATGCGATTGTCAGTTCAGTTTCCGACGCGGGGTTCTTCAATTCGAACAGAAGCAAAGACAAAGATGATGACAACAATGATGATGAAAGATGAAGAGATGCGGGAATAGGACGAACCTACTTGATGACCCAGGCAAATCCGTTGAACGCAGCACTAAAGCGGAATTAAACAACCTCGGCTTGAAGGGACTGCGACAGATCTGAGATCCAGGAGGTTGTTTTGTAAGCGCCCACGGCACTGGTCTGGGTGAGACCAGGATTCTAGGCTGGAGGCGGAGAGCGCGATACATAGCGATAAATAATGCACGTAGATGTACAGTACTTACTTAGTACCTGGGTCCTCTCTGTGATGTACCTGATAATAATGTATGCCCCAACAGATTGGAAGAACAAATCAATTGGATTCGTATTTTGGATGGAAGCGGTTTCTCCGTCGGCGGCGGTTCGGTCCTCCGTGTGTATTATTACCTCGGCTTGGGGCGGTGCCGAAAACGGAAATGTTGAAATTTTGGGTTATGTAAGTGTTGTGACGGATTAGTTATAACCTAATCGGACACAGAGTGGTCCAGCTTTGTATTCCATATAAAATGGCTCTTTTAAGACCCTGATATCTTCACCACCAATATAGTAAGATCCAACATGTAGATTGACTGTAGAAGGGTATGTTCTATTTTTCAAGATTTTTAAATATTTTTTTCTAGCTTTAAACACTAGAATAACTAAAAATATGTCACGGTGCGATCTCTGGGAGCATTCAGAAGCTTAACAGCTGCACTAAGCCGAAGACTAGAATGTAGAACCAGTGGCTCTACACTGCTCTCTCATATATATCAGGCAGGACAAGACAGGCGCCGTAACAAAATACACCTGTAATTTATATTACCTAGAGAAATACTGAGTTTACAAGTCTCTTCTGTTTAATATATATAAGTGCAGTATCAAGTTATCTTGTATCTAAAATTTCATGCCTGCTGGATGCTTTGTTGAGATACTAAGGCCTGAAGATGGGCCATTTTATATGGGGATACGAAACTGAGCCACTCGGCGTCCGATTATGTTAATGTGTAATAATTACATAATGTTTCTACCTTCTCACTGGAGTGGATCATTGCGGCTCGGCGGACCGTTCCGTGCCAAGAATGAGTTTTAAGCGGGTTCTGAATGATTTTCTCCAGATAATACTAGTACGAAATACATGATAGCAAGAGGGCTTACAGATCTGACCTGTCAGTTTCTCTAATCCATCGAAGAATCAATATTGCAGTAATAATATAATCATATCAATTCCGCTAGACACTAACAGTGTTCAATTTGAAAGAAAACCGAATGGCAATGACTTCATGCTTTTGAAGATCATACCTGCTATTCAACCAACTGTACTGGTGTTGAGAGCCAGCCATGAAACCGAGAACTTCAAAGGGTAGTTATAAAGATACAAGCGCCAAATTGACTGGAATGGAAAACAAGATAAAATTTTTTTTAAAAAAAGACAACTCAAACGTCGATGAAAGAATGAAAAAAAAAAAAAAAAAAAATCATGCTTTGGGTCTATAGAATTTGCTCTCGACCCATGGCATTCCAACCACTGTGGCCTTGCGCACTTTATTCCTTACCAGGACTCCAACCTCGGTGCCTTTCTTGTGCATACCCTGCTTGATATAACCCATGGCAATGTTGGCTCCGCCCAATGATGGACTGGGGAGACCCGAGGTGACGACTCCGATTTGAGTCTTCTGATCATCACTTAGGCCGACGATGATGGCGCCCTCACGGGCTGGAGGCCCCTTTTCAACGGTAAAACCGACACGGCGCTGTGAGAGGGTCTTCGATGGGGAGGCAAGTTGTGGGAGGATGATGTCTGCCCCGTTGAAGGTCGCAGTCGACGGATCGCGTCGATCCTTTCCTACAACCCAGCCCAGTGAGGCGACGGGAGGGGTCTGGGAGGTTGAGATATCATGACCATAAAGACACATGCCTGCTTCGAGGCGGAGGGAATCCCGGGCCGCGAGACCTGCGAGACGGACCTCGTCCGGTTTGGAAAGGAGGAGCTCAGCGACTCGAACGGGGAGGGACGGGGCATTTTCGGTTGGAATGGAAATTTCAAAGCCATCCTCGCCCGTGTAACCTGTGCGGGATATCAAGAGACGGTGCGGTGTGCGAGATCCATCAAGAAGTCGTAGATAGAGGGAGCGACTCTGGCCAAAGTACAATGTACTCAAGTCCGTCTCCGTTGTAGGTTCACCTTCAGTGTAGATGAACGATTGAAGAACAGATGCAGCCAGGGGACCCTGGAGGGCGACTAGAGCCCTGTCCTCCAAAATATCCCACTTGACGCTGTCCGCACCATGGGCACTCCTGTACCTCTCGATTTCATTCTGCAAGAAAGCCAAGTCTTCCTCTCGCCGGCCAGCGTTGGTGACAAAATAAAAGGAATCCGGACCTTGTTTGGTGATAACCGTATCATCCACGATTCCACCCGTTCCTTCTTCTAGCAGACAAGACAGCGTAGACTGGTTGATGGGCAATTTATCGAGAGAAGACGGGGTCACCTTCATCAACAGATCCAATGCACCCGGCCCGCTCAGGCGATGCTGAACCCTATTGACAGTAAAACAATTAATACACTGCAAAGGACTAAGGAATAGGTAAGTAGTTATACTTACATATGGCTCACATCAAACAAACTAGCCTTCTCCCTCGTCCAGTGATGGCTCTCAAGATGACTGAGATCCTTGTACTGCAAGGGCATCGAGAACCCGGCAAAGGGAACCATCTTGGCTCCATTGGCGACATGAAAATCGTACAACTGGGTTTTCTTTATCCCCGAAGCTGACGATGCATACCGCACAGTGCGTGGTGAAGGGATATCAGCTCTCGCTGGGATCCGGGAAAGTGGTTGACCGGCAGGATAGCGGATTCCGGTACAAGAGCTGAGCTGCCGCTGGAATATGGAAGCGCCATTGGCAGCGACGTGAGTGCGGTAGCAATATGTCGACTTAGACCCCAAAAGGGCAGTTCCTCTTCTAAAGGGACGCATGATTTCCGAGATTTGAATTCTTCAGGGATTGGTCGAGGAACAGAAAAATAATAAATGTCGAGGACAGGAAGAAGAACCGGAATACTATTGCGTAGGCGGGGATTGATAACGGGAAAGTCATGTGGTGATAGGAATCGGACAGAGACTCGGAAAACCCATTGATCCGACATACGACGCTATAGAATCATGGATACGAGGAAGATAAAGCTTCAATTAGAAGTCTTGTTTCTTCTAGAATCATAAAAACCCACTCCTAGCTGTACATCAATAAAGTTGAAGGACACATTCATATAGTATAGATCTGTAAGCAGCGAATTTCTATTCTTTCACCAATCCGAACCCCGAACTCCCAGGGATCGGGCCATTTGGTGAAGATGCAAGAGAAGCAACTCATGACAGCGTAACTGGTTAGGGGAGGGGGAGTCCAAGTTATACAAAAAGAAAAAGACACGACCCGCGTGTGACGAGCTTGCCATCCATATCATTACAATCCGTTATTGGCACATGAAAATGGTTTCCCGAAAGACCCCGCTTCATAGCTTAAGACGACACTGTCAATGGAGGCCTAGGACAATAGGTTCTGGTCAGCAGCTGTACGGGACGGCAGATGGGAATGACGGAAATAAGTCGCAACTTACATAGGTACCCGGACCCAAAAAGAAAAATCCAATGCCGATAATGATGATGTTAACCAAGAAACCTAGCCAGCCCCGGATGCCGCGATTCTTATAGAAACCAGGGCCGTACTCATCATTCCTCATGCGAAGGTAAGCAACACCCCAGAAAATGAAGCCAAAGAAGGAATCGAACAGAGAGCTCATGATGGAGAGCAAATCGGAAAAGAATGGAATGACTTCGGCGATGATGAAGGCCAGGACCCATAGAATAAATAGGATGCCGGCCCAGGAGGCCCACCCGACAACTGTGTGATTGCTTTTGTGTCGTGTGCCTTCGAAAAGGCGGAAGAAGACAAAGCGAGCGGATACAGATGCATACAGGACGCCGAGGAAAATCAGGGTAGGAACCATAAAGGAGAAGGATATCTTCTTGAGCACCTCATTGCCTATCGACCCGAAGGCGGGAGCAGTCATATACTGATTTCCAGTATAGGCGTAGATGATGGAGCCCACCAGGCTAAACAGAATGATTTCGGCGATGGTCACCGCCGTCACGGCTTTCCAGAAGTCCCTGGGTTCTTTCATCTCCGCAATGAAGCTTGGGAGAGTGATCTGGCCAATGAAGGTGTAGCTAATGTTCAAAAAGGCATTGAGCCCCGAGACAAAGGTTGTCCCAGCTACCGGAATTGCGGTAATAATGGGATCTCCCAACTTCTCAGTGTAGCCAGCAGGATGAGAGCCGATACCTGTGAAGATCATGGCCAGCAACACTGACACAAAGGTAAATAATGCAGAAAATGTGGCGGCCTGGGATAGAGAGCTGAACGTGCGCGGCAGCGAACAGACCCATGAAGTAATGGCCGTGACTACACTGAACACGATAGTACACCTGGAGTGGCCTGTCATGGTGTTGAGATACTCGGCACCCACCAAGCAATGCAAGCCCTGGATGTAAAACGTGAGAAGGTGATTCTGAGAGGTGTGGATTCAAGTGGTTGGGTTTCTTTTTACCTGGATGAATGTATTGTTTATCAGGAACATGGCAGCGGTCAGATACCAAGCCACCTTAGAGTTCCAGAATAGGAACTGGCCAATATCACAGACATCGCGGACATCGGGGTGTTTCAAGCAGAATTGCCTAGGAATGATGAGCGGTTGTCGGGTCTGAAAGCAATTGGACGACATACCAAACGATGAGCGATGTATAGAGCACAAAAAGGGCCACGGTCACGGTCAAGATCAGGCAGGGAACAAGACCGAGAACAGAATAAGACCAGGGAAACGACATCATGGCCAGACAGATGTATTCGGAGAAAAGTAGGGCAGCAGTCTGTCGATCATCCGTCAGCGGATCCACGCCGGAGAAAGGGCCGGAAACATATTAAAAAAGAGCAGAACAGTTGAACGATAGTAACAGTTAAGAACAGCACAATAAACAATACCTTCTGCCAACTACATGTCCGATACTTGATGGAATTACCGGCCTCGAGTTCGATCTGCTTGCCGACGACTTCGAGATCGGAATCAGACTGGGCCACGGGATGGGCCTGGTGTTCCAGATCGACATCCTTCAGCTGGGAGCAGTCGTGGCTATCTGCGATGGAGGGGGGCAGATGGACGCCGGGTTGGAGGGAGGCGTCTTTGGACTTGAAGGTTCCCGCCATTTGATTTCGCGGACGATCCGCTGACGAAGGAGAAGGGTAGGACGGAAGGAGAAGGGGATACTGGAGACCTTGGGATGCATGTAATGGTTTGGGGGTTTGTTACGGGCGACGTCGATGAAAGAAAAAGGGCAAACCCAGGGTTGATCAACAGAAGAAATGGAAGAAAACAGAGAGAAAAGATGAAAATTCAAAAAGGAGACGAACAATGGGTCAGGTGAATAGGGCTGTGTACTGTCTGCAGTTTTCACAGTTATGCAGCAGTGTCCATTGGATGCCGGACATACAATGTACGTAACGGCAGAGCGGAAAATAATAATATAAAATGCTGGATCCATTCGGCAGGGAAAAAGGGATAAAGTTTCTGTTGTAGCTCCTTCCGGCTGGTCAGAAATGGCGTGCTGGGCAGCGCAAATCTCGCCAGCGCTGTCGCGATAGGCGCCGCCATCGCGCGCTGTAATAAGCTCCCATCAAGCATCCTTGAGTCCCTATACCCCTACTAGAATGTTCATGGAATCCGCAGTGGGGAGCGGATGTTGATGTTGACGTATGCATGTACAGCATCCATCCATGATAGATGGAGTACGGATACCCCGTATCAGTATCATTATCATCAATTATCATGCAGAGATAATGATAACTTTCACTCCATGCGCTAAGTCAGATAGGGCAACATTGTTCCAATTCCTTGCCCAGAAAGGTAAGCCACATACCGTATTGAGCTAAGATCATGACGCACGTTGCCTGTAGTGCTTACTGTAACTAATGCTACCATCGTTACTAATCGGGAACTACCGTAGCATGCCCTATATTGCCACATACCACCTCATAGCTATACAACCAAGATTGATTTCCAAGGTTCTGAGACTTTTTCCATCAATCCCAACCCACAAGCTTCTACATAGAACTTGGAATAGAACAACTTAACCGTACTAGGAACATATATGTAACAATGAATGCTATATGCATCCTACCTACTAGGTAGTTAGGAACTATCCCTTCACAGCCCATCATCCTCTCCCGCCAGCAATGCCGCATAATCATCCGCGGAAGCAAACATAGGTAGATGCTTGAGCTTGCGTCTCTTCTTCCGTCCCGACTGGTCTTCATCGTCCTTGGGGAGTTCCACTCCACCATCCATATCCATATCAATATCCAGAGGAACTTCCTCGTCACTATCGACGAATGCCTCTTCGTCTGAAACGTCCATATCGAAAACGTCATCCTCATCCGATTCAGCCTGGGCTGCTCTCTTGGATTTAGACTTGGATTCCGATGCCGGCGGCTGTTTGGCTTCGGCTTCATTCTCTTCCTCTTCCTCTTCCTCTCCCTCCTCGGAAAAGCCTTCCAGCTCCTCATCGGATTCGTCATTGAAAATAACGCCCTCGTCGTCGCCTCCTTCCTCATCAAATGCCGACTCGAGGTCGTCCATGTCGAGATCATCATCGCTGTCCTCATCCGCTTCCAGTTCCGGTCGGGATTCGACAAGCGCTTTCCAGATCTCAGATTCATCATCCTCGCCCACTTCTTCATCCCTGTCCACAGGATCCTTCTCGGACTTCTTCGTCTTCTTCTCCTTTCCTGCCGTATCTTTTCCGACCCGACTGAAGTATTCGTGGAAGAAGGCATCCTCCACCGCAACTTCATCTGACTTCTTCCTCCAGAACTCCTCCGTATTCACTGGTGCCTGCTGTCCGCCCTTACCAGTTGCTACTAGCCGATCGCTCGTGTCACCGCCCGCAAGAGGCTGCATGAGCGAAGCTCCTCTCACGGGAGCAGATGCCTTAGGTGCTCGGTAGACGAAGCGGTCTAGGAAGTGCGTGAGAGTGTGCAATGTCATGTCTGGCTTGCCGCTCATCGTCTCATGCTGGAGAAGACGAGTCGCGTTCACGGATACTGATGGATGGAAATGAGACTGGTAGGGTAGCTATAGTCAGGTAGTTAGTGTTTATGTTCTGGAAAAGATTTCCTACGAAGAGACAAGAATTTGAACTTACTAATTCCCAAAGACACGTCTTGTCCGCGTTACTATGTTCGGGATCCCTCTTGCGAGGATCATAGCCGTTGGAAGGTTTTCGAGGCTTCGTCTGGGACACTTCAGTTTGCTCTTGCCTTTCGTCATCCTCGTCAGGAACGTCCTTAAAGACCTCTTCGTCACTATCATCATCCTCGGGTTGATCGAACAACGATTGCAGACCAGAAAATGTCTTCTCCAACTCGCGGATCAGGTAAAAGATACCGCAAATGAAGGATGGTTGATGCAGGCCAAGAATTTGGACGATACGTTTGACAAATGCCTTGACACGGCGTACATTCAAATCGTTCTTCAATGCTTTGTAAAGAAGATTGAGATAGAGCGCCTGTTTAGACGATGTCGCAACGCGCGGGTCAAGAAGCGACTCATACAGAGTCCGATAAAAGCGATCAGCAGCGACTTGATGCGACGAAGTGAGCTGCTGGATCAACAACAGTGCTTGGATGCTGGTGTTGAAATTAGAAGAGTGCGTAATGCGGAATAACGTATCGATATGCTTCGATAGACTAGACGACAAAGTTAGTCGCAATTGACATCATTGAATAGAATATAGGGGAAAACACACCGTTCGCTGTCAGAGTTCGTAAAGGGGTAGGCCCGATTAACGCCTGTCAAAACTCCCGATATGAGCTTGTCACGCATCTCTTCTTCCGGACTCTGGCCTTTTGCCGAATCTTTTGTCGCTTGGTTTTTTCTGCCTTTAGCAAATTTACCATGCTTCTTGTTGCCCGCTCCAGCTTTCTCATCCTTGGCCGGCTTAAGGAGAATAACAAAGAGCGAAAAGTAGATATCAAGCAACTGCACAGCGATCTTCTCTTCCTTGAGGCTCAGAATTGTCTGGTTTAGAGTGATGATAGCGTAATATTTGGCGTGCTGGCTTTGACCAGGCCGGAAAAGCAGCTCCTCGACCGCAGAGATTATAGTCGGTTTCATCAACGGATGCGCTTGCTCAAGCTGCAGGAGCAGATAAGAAGCCCGCGAAGCGATCTTCTTGCTCCTGTCACCAAGTTTGTTCACAAGGAGCCGTAGAAGGTTCGCTTCTTGTTCAGGCTTTTCTTTGAGCAGCTCGTAGACGTAGCTCACTGCTCTGGACCGGGAAAACTCTATCTCATCATTGCACCAGACCTCTAGGATCTTGAGAACCTCGAAGTACTGGTCCTTGAGGAAGTGTTCGAAAGCCCAGACGATGAGATGAGCCTTTTGTAAACCACCAGGAAGCGGATCTCTCTCCGACCATTTGCTGCTAACTCCTTGGAACGCAGCCACAAGAGACGGTTGATTCGTGAAAGACCTCAGCCTACGGTCACTGGGGAGAATGGTTCCTTGTGAGAACATATCCTTGAGGGATCTCAGAACCTCAACTGCTTGCGCCCGACTCCGCTTTTTTCCAAGACCGATGAGTATTTCCAACGATTTTGTGTTGTGTAATGGCGATTCTTGCACGGCAAGAGTCAATGCGGAAATTTTGTCACTAAGTGTTCCAGACGACATGACGGTGGAGTAGAATTTCTGGGCAGAAGAGGATGAGGCTTGCTGTGCCTCTGAGTACATTTTATTTTCCGTTTCCAACAGCGAGATAGCTAGCTGATGAACACGATCTACTAGATAGCGCGGTAGTGTACTCCCTGGCTTGGAAGAAGATGAGATTGGTGAAAGAGGATTCGAGTTCCAATCTGGTCTTGGACGAACTGCCTGCTTCCATAGTCAGTTCAGTTGCTTTCATCCCCAGTGTTCCTTGACTTGGGTGTCTAAAAGCATCATGGAAACCCATATATCCAGGTGTATACTAACAAGTTTTAAATATTCCTTAGGAAGAACGGGTTCGGGTGTGGATTCTTTCGCTGCTTTCTTTTTCTGAGCCGGCTCGTTGGCAGCCTTCGGAGCTGCCACAGATGGGACCTCTTCCTCCACGTCCGAGATGTTATCTTCTGTACTTCCACCAGCCTCGCTGCTATATTCGGCGCTTTCATCTTCGTCTTCGGCGTTATCTTCATCGTCGTTCTCATCTTCATCTTCCACATCGTCAGGAACAACATGACCAGCAGCCTCCAGAATCTTCGCTAGTTCATTCCGCAGCGAAGTTTCATCAGTCTTGTTCTTCGATTTGACCGAAGCATCTGTTGCAGCCTCCACTTCAGATTCGGAATCGACATTCGCAAGAAGATCGAAATCCTCTTCAGTACCGCCAAGCGCCAGAATTTCCCGACGTAGGTCATCATCTTCATTCCCATCTTTCGATGTCGATTGGCCCTTTCTGTCATTGTTTTTGTCTTCCCTAGCGATCACCTCGCCGTTGCGGTCTCGTTTTTTTCCCTTCGTAGAATCCTCTTTCGATCCCGGCTTCTTGCTATCTTCATTTTTCTTCTTTGAAGGATCCTTGTCGGCATCTTTCTTGGACTTATTGTTATTATTCAATTTCCGTTGTTTCGATTCGTTTTCGCTCTTCAATCTCTGTTCGATTTTCTGTCTGAGACCCGCAAAGGCACTCTCGTCCAACTTGGGCAAGGCATCGGCGCCGCCAGTATTATTGGACTCGTTATTAAGAGAAACTCCTCCGTTTGGAATATCGGTGTTTGCTCTAGAAGAGCGTTTCCCTTTATTTTTAGCCATGATTTACCTGGCTGGATCGATGAAAACGTTCGAAATCTCCAATATCTCATTTTATTTTCATCTTCCTTTTTTTTTCTGCCTCATTATCGCAGACCGCCGGAAAATAATTTTGCAAAACCCCGATATGTAGACGCTCGGGCCAAGTCGAATGCTTCGAATGTCCGAACCGGACAGCTGCAATTGCTCCTTCATGAATATTGCACTTTCTCGACTGCATTGGTATTGCAGATCTGATTTTCACCTGGGTTTGTTATTGTGAAATATAAATAACACATGGTTTGGATGATTCGTCCTGCTCTGGGACGTCTCCCGGGTGTAAATCCAGCATACGTTGGACTACTCCGGTGCCGCAACGCCCAAAGATGTGGAATTCATGTGTGTCAATTTCTCAGGGCTCTTGGTTCATGTTGATGAACAGTGCTGATAATAGAATTGGCAGATTGATAGTAGAAGTCGAGTGTCCAACTTCTGGATACCGACTGGGGGAATCTCCAAGAAAACGGCTGATGGGGAAAAGGGTATTTGGATTCCTGTAATTGATGGTTAGACAGGGATAGTTAATTGATTCCATTTAGAGGATGCGAATGATCTTTTGGTTCGAGCCGGATTTCTTCGCCAGGTTGTTTTCCTTAATTTTGCAAATGGTTAGGACCGGTGCTAACTCGGTATTCTAGGCTTACTCCGGGGTCTTTCATATGCTTCCTCTCGGATTGCGTGTGCAAGAGAAGCTGGAGGGCCTTATTGATAAACATATGCGTTCACTCGGTATGCGGCTGTTTTGGGTTCGCATCATCGGCAAGTCTGACCATTTATAGGCGCATCAAAAGTTTCACTGTCTTCCTTGTCCTCTGAAGAACTTTGGGAACAGTCAGGTAGACTAAAGGAAGGCTCAGAAGTAAGGGTCCATACTCTCTTCCTAAGGGAGGGCGTCCATATTGATGTAATCCCTGCAGGTCTTCAGGTTCCAAGATAGAAAAGAATCTCGCTTTCTCCTTGCCCCTACTCACGAAGAGGAGATCACAACGCTAGTAGGGAGTCTCGTGAAATCCTACAAGGACCTGCCTCTGCGGGTCTATCAGATGAGTGGGTTAATTAATACAAAAAAGGTACCTATAAACTGATACTGACGCTCGAGGGTAGCGAGGAAATATCGAGATGAGCCAAGGCCACGACAAGGACTTCTCCGTGGACGGGAGTTCATTATGAAAGATCTTTATACTTTTGATTATAATGTGCAAGACGCTCTGAAGACATATAGCTCAGTGAGAAATGCCTACACACGACTTTTCAACGAACTGAAAATTCCTTACTTGGTGGCAGCGGCAGATTCGGGAAATATGGGCGGGAATCTCAGTCATGAATTCCATTTCCCGAGCTTAAAGGGAGAAGATACAGTCGTCAGCTGTTCCAATTGTGATCATGTGTACAATGAGGAACTAGCAGATGGCAAGTCACACAGTTCAGACTCGCAACAAGCTGCTAAGGAGGAGTCCGGGTTCGACACAGGCGATGCCAACTCGGAGAAAACGCCGGCTATTTCAAGGGGCCTATGGATGGCTATTTCCAAAGATAAGAAAACTTTAGTACGAGGGTGGTATCCGAAATACTTAATGCAGGATGGATACGAAGAACCAGCCGAAAGGGAGGTAAACTCTCATGCAGTCAAATCCATAACCACGGCAGCGGGCATCGACATTGACCTCAGCGTCGAGAATCCCTTGGAACAGTGGGCAGAGCAACTGAAACTGAAAGACACTTCTGCTCAACGTCCGGCGGTGTTAGATCTATACGACTCCACCGTACGAGTGTACAAACGGCCACCGCTGAGTGATTTACTGCATGAACTCAATTGTCCTACTGCTGATGTTGATTACTCGATGCTCGACCGCTTCCCTGATACAACTCACGGGTTGAATCTGCTCAAGGTCCATGATGGTGACAAATGCTCTAAATGCGGCCAGGGCTCTGTGAAAACTCATACCGCTGTTGAACTCGGACATACTTTCCACCTCGGCACCCGATACAGTGAAGTACTCCAAGCTACAGTTATGGTCGACGGTGCAACAACAAAACCCAGTGGCTCAAAACCCAGCGATCAGGCAGTGCCGATGCAGATGGGCTGTCATGGTATAGGCGTCTCACGTATGATATCAGCCGTAGCCGATAAACTTGCGGACTCACGAGGTCTCAACTGGCCAAGAGCCATGGCTCCTTACGAAGTCATTGTGGTCCCCGCAAAGGGGCTGGAGGTGGAAGCCGAAAAGGTGTACGATATTCTCGCATCGAACCCGACTGCTCAGATTGATGCCATCCTCGATGATCGCGACAAGCAAATGGGGTGGAAGCTGGGTGACGCCGACCTCATCGGGTACCCTATTATCGTCGTTGTCGGGAAAGGATGGAGAAAGCAACAAACATTGGAGGTCCAGTGTCGCCGCCTAGGAAACCTACGAGAGGATGTGTCTCTGGAGAAACTGCCCTCCTTCGTCCTGTCATTGCTGGATCAGCTCTGAGCCTCTTGCAATGGCTGTGTCGGGGTTTCTGGATACTGATGGCTAAGAATCAAACCATCTGTACAGTATCTTAAAGAAAGTTGTATATTAGCTGTGTACTATACCCAGATCAAAATCACTGTCATGTCTTGAATAATATATTAACCAATTTCGATCTAGTTATGGATATCGATGATGCTGTGGGGTTATACACGGGACGTGTCAATAACCACTAATATCTCCACGCACATCTAGCATCATCAAACCAGATGCGACAATTATCACCGCAACACTCGCAGCAGTCCCTGCAGAGTCATATCGTCGCAAACCCCGTTGGAGAGTCTACCATCTGCATAGATTCGCAGGTCAACTTTATATTACCTTAAACAACACCAATAAAGAAAAATAACGAAAGGCGATTCTGGAAACATGCCACCTCAGCCCACCTCAAGCTCGACAGGCGGAGCTACCCCAGGTAAGAAAAAAGAAAGGAAGACAAAAAGACATCCCACCAAACCAAAACAAGGACACCAAATATGCCCGAATCAATGAACCAAGATAAAAAATTTATTGATCCATAATTGACGAGAATGCAGTAAACATCAACACCCTCCCGATCCCCCACCTCCGAACCCTCCAGAGCCGTCTAACGACCGAACTCGAACACCTAACCTCCTCCCACGCAAAGCTACGGGCAGCGCAGACAAAATTCCGGGATTGCATCCGTTCGATCAATGAAGGGGTGGTCGGGTCCGGGGGGAAGGGGGCTCAAGATGGGAAGGGGAACGAGATCCTCGTGCCATTGACGAGTTCATTGTACGTCAAGGGACAGCTTGTGGATAGGGAGAAGGTGTTAGTTGATGTTGGGACTGGGTTTTATGTTGAGAAGGTATGAATCATACTCCCACTTCTTTACTCCCACGCCGTTTTGAACTTCTCTTTTTTTCTTGGTGGAATGGATGAAGATGTTGACTAGTTCTTTTTTTTCTTTCACAGACAGCGGCCAAGGCCATCGAATTCTACGATGACAAGGTTAAGGGTCTAGATTCTAACTTGCTGGATTTGGAGAAGATTGTGCAAGGTAAAAGCACGCAGTTGAGGGCTGTAGAAGAAGGTTGGTTTCTCGTTTCTTCTGTGTACAGTGGTGGTTTATTCCCAGCTAACTAACGTCTTTTCCAGTTTTGAGGCAAAAGGTCCTCAGCGGAGAAGCTATGGCTGCCCCTGCTGCGGCTGCCGGAGCTGGATAGGAACAGCGAGAATGCACGGCTATTATCGTGGTTGCTATTTAAGTGAATTAAAAAGAAGGGGAAAAAAGATATTCGTTTGATACAGCCGAACTACGGTGTATATGCTTTGAAAATCACTCAGAGTGGCAGATATCATAGAGGCTCTCCGTTGAGGCCCTTGAAAGGGAAAATAAATCCGCTTATACTCCGTAAGGTCGTAAAACATAATCATGCGGAACAGCAGCTTCTTTTCATACAGGACGTCGAAACGGATGCGCCTCAGTGTTTAGAACATACTTATCCAAACTCACAACATCGGGCTCCGAGAAAATCAAGTAGAAGTATTTCAGGGTCTCAGCAAACCAGAATGACTCCATCCTGTCTTGCTTCGGTGGGTTGTCAACTGTGCAGTCGTGAAGACCAGCATGGGCTATGTCTGTGATGGTATGCTTAATGATCGTATTGAACATGTTCCATGCCTTCTCCACGAGCATCGTATCGCCGGTGATACGGTACAGGATGAAAATAGATTCAATTGCCTCCGGTCTGAGAAATGCATTAGTCCTTAACTGCATATTACACGTATCTACGAAGATGTGAGGGAGGCAGAGCTAAAAATGCATGCATCAGCTTACCTCAATATGTACCGTGCGTCATCGATTTTCGAGACGCCCGGGGTCAAATTTCTTGATATAATCTTATCCTGGGTAGAGCTGCTGCCAATCGGAAAGTCTTTTTCTACCTCACGATGCCATCTGCTTTCGTCCCAAAGACACTGGATCTGGTCATCGCAGGCAATGGTGTGCATGATCTCAGGCATGATTCCTAATAGCCATGCTCATAGCCCCAAATGCAGCCTTCGACCAACTTGCGCGCCACTGTCAGGTCATCGGGGCTATTGAACGCCTTAGCCCCAATGGCAACCATCCCACCTGCAAAGCAGCTCAGGTGTTGTACTTTCGCTTCTAGCTTCAGTTGTGACAACGGAATCTGGCCATCTGATGAGATGTCGCCTGGGAACAGAAGATTTTCGCTACCTGGAGCCATGGGGCGGAAGAATATATGAGCTTTCATGGCAGTGAGTGCCTTCTGATAGAGTTTCCGGTACTGTTGAGAGGCTCCTTCTAAGAGAATGTATTGCTATCTTACAGTCAGCCGAGTCACTACAACAAACAAAGCAGTTTGCTGCATTCAACTCACTTTTGGAAGATACTCATAGAGTGAATCAGCCATTCCACCAATGGTGAAACTGGTGAAGGCATGGAAATTCATTGTCTTCGCATCAACGATAATCGGCCATAAACCTGGGACTTTTGTCTGATCCTGCTGGGCATCAAACACGTCCACGATACGCTGAACTGCATCAAAGTAGCGACTATCTTTTGTCAGCTGGCTCAGACGTGTGAATTCCAGAGTGAGCGAGCCAATTTCGGCGACGAGCACATTATTCCCAGCCTCCTGTGGAGCTCCATGTGCAGCAGCATTGATCTTCCATCGCGTGACAGGCATTCGATTCGGAGTGTCAAAAGCGGCATAAAGCATCGAGCCAACCTCGACTGCTTTCTGAAGCAGAACATGGTATTTCTGGTTGCTGATATCATAGGCTCCAAGGAATCCTCCCAGAAATCGAATTGTGGTTTCGAACACATTAATCTCATCCAGGGAGCATTTGGTAAAGTCAAGCTTCTCAACAGCCTTGATGGCTTCTTCGAATTCATCATAGAGTCCCATGATCCATAGAGTATCTGATATAATCATTAGCGCGTTAAAAGTTCACAAATCCATGAGACCTGAAAAGAATTCTTACCCAGTGCATCAACGAGGGTTGCAGCCCAACCACCAAAGGGATTTTGAGCATGACCAGAGAGTGGCGCAACCTCGTCACTCATCCATGCATACTTTTTATAACCCTCCCAGGCATGTGTGAAGTTCCCCTTGACTGCCTGGAGCCGTGTCATCTGTAAATCGCGAGCGGCACTCTCCTCTGGAGGAAAGCGATGCTGTATCGGCGCAATGCTACCTGGGACAACTGAAGGAACTGGTAGAGGCAATTGAACTGGATATCGCTGCGGAATTTGGTCCCAAAAGAACTCTTTATCTTGAGTGGAGGGTTGCTGCGTATAGGAGAGGTTGTCCGCAGATTGAGGTCCTGGGAAGTCTCCATAGAGATAGAAAAAGATAGCAAGCCCACACAGAACGAAAAATGGCGACAGGATGCGCATACGCCTTGTGTAAAGCATGCTGGAATTTGTCTTGCTGGAGGAGAGACCATCCACCTGGATCACGATATAAGCATAGATCGCAGTCAACGGAGTTTTGTCTCACCAGGAGGCTACGTTTGGTTAAGGTAAGATAGAGATCTAAAGTCAGTACTAATCCAAGTATAGAAACAAGTCATGGACGACGTTCTGCGATCTATTAATTGCATGAAGGTGTGATTAAAGTTGCAGGAGAACTGCCCTATGAAAACGAATTTCTAAGCGCTCCCCTGTCACTGCAACTGTACAGCGCATAACAACAGCCCCTTTTACTATGATATTAAAAAGAAGCTGTACTGCAGGCGCGTATTTGCTGTCCTGATAGTGGCCATATGTCCATGCTTCAAAGACTATGGCTCTACAAGTCTTGAAATAGACCACAAGTGTGGAATATAGATAGCACCCTTTATTGTCACTGATGATGAGAAATAGATGTGACCTGTATTCAGGAACAGTGATACATTTTCACACCATTGAGAGTTCACCCAAGTCTTGATCGCATCTGAAAACATGAAGAGAAAAGATATGGGGTGGGGGGAAGTAAAATGTCAGATAATGAATAATGTAGAAAGCAAATTGTACTTAGCAATCCTTCTCCCACACAAAAAGAAAACAGGGGCAACCTTTCAAAGGCAGATGATAAATGACTTCTCGAGAACCGTGTCAAGGGCGATTTGTCTCGTTCCAAGTAGGAAGACTTCGCAGCGTCGCCATCAGAATAACGTACCCAGATCGCCGTCCAGAAGTCTCTTCAGCTGTTTCTTGTCTTGATCAGTCCGGCTTGACTCGGTCGATGAAGCATGGCTTCTAGCAGCCTTTGATTTTACAGAGGAAGTCTCAACCTCAATGGCAGCATCACCTGGAACCATCTGGGGAGAAGACGTCTGTTCAGGACCGAGTAGCTCCGCAACTTTCCTAACCAGGTCAATGAATTCCCAGAAACCAGCGCAGCCGTCGTTAGAGGCCTTTCCGCCCTTGGGAGGGAAAAATGTATCAAACTGGGGACTCCACTGCGCTGATCGTCCAACTGGCAGATTGGCTTGATCACCCAGCAAGTTATCCCAGTCGGGGTTGAAGATAGATGCGCCCCAGGAAGTAGAGGGAGTTTCCGATATTCTTCCCGTATACACCACTGGGCCTCCTTGCCGGAATTTCTCCAAGCCTGTGCGGCTGTATTCGTCATAGCGAGCAAGCTCGAAGATATACTTTGTTCCTCTCAGACGGTATCGGAGGGCTGATTTTTCCACGAACCTGGACACAGGAGCTGAATCCGGGAAAGTCACTTTCCTTTGTGCTTTTCCCGAAACAGCAGCGAGTTCGCTAGCACGTCTGAATCTGATGGAATGCGAAAATGATCTCAGTGCAGCGTCAATGGACGATGCTTCCTGAAAGTCCAAAGATTTGATTTCTATCTGCCAGTCGGATCTGACGGGTTTTTCTGTCAGCGTTATTTCTCTTGAATCAAGAAAGGGACAAGAACATGATACCTTTGAAAGTCGACCGTTGAAACTTGAAGAGGAGGCCTTTCGTCATATGTGTGACCATTCTTGCGAGGTTTGAGCCAACGGCGCTGGGCTATCTCATACTCTTGTGCTCCGGGGCGTCTTTCAAACTCCGCTTCGAGACGGAGAAGAGCATTGTTCGAGCCCAAGAATTCGAAGTTCACTGAGTATGCGGGCTCAACCTTCTCCAATGTCTGGAATATACTTTCAAACGGCCTCAGTATGTGAGAAGCTTTAAAGCATCTAGAGAGCAGTTCATCCTGTCTCGGCTTCAGTCTGTTCAGTGATATTAATAGCCTGTTTTCAATAAAAAGAGATAACAATTGAGAGGAATACCGCACCCTGGCACCAGATGTCCCCTCGTATCCTCATGAAGCAACATTTCCCTGAACTCTTCAAAAGAGTACGTCGGTTTGTTATCCTTTGGGACCCGATAGTGGTCGAGCACAAATGTGCCGAAATTGACGCGCATGCGTAAATGTCCGCGGACGAACATGATCCCTCGTAAGGACTTGTCGATGGCATTGAGAATACGGGAGTTGTTTCTTGAATCTATCAAGGTAGCCCTACTGCACCAGTGTGCCAACTCAGCATGCCCTGGTGGATCTCCATAAAGGAAGGGCTTCGCAATGCGAGCATTGTTCTTAACTATAACGTCATTTCTTATAAAACTTGGCCCAGGGAGTTCAACAACATAAGCCTTAGATCTGACACTGCTGTTGGCAATGGTCTCAGACCACTTTGTTCTGAGACAGTGCACGATCTGTCGTATAGTATCGTAATTGTTTCCAACGACACAAATGTAATCGTTCTGACCTCTTGGGACGAAAACAGGGTAACCAAATCGTACCCGTAGCATATCGAGCGCTTCGAGCTGAGGACCGAGGGACTCTTCCATCGACGGTCCTTCCTTTGGCCAGAGGAACAGCAGCTACATATGAGATGGATTAGTTTTTTGATAGTAGAACAAGGCGACAAGACAGTGTGAACATATTGATATTACCTTTTCCGCGAAACTTGATGGAGCGTCTGGCTCTCTTCTAAGTTGCTGCAGTATGGCCTCGTGTCTTTCTTCCAATTCAACGGTTGCATCTTTCTTCTCAGAATGGGCCCGAATCTTTGTCCATTTTGTTTTCTTTTTGCTAGCTTGGGTAAAGTTGCATTTCGCAATAAGCCTTAGGAGCAAATCTTTGGCAGCTGCAACTTGAGATGGCTCTCCCCATAAACGAATCACCTATCTGATTGTCAATAAATCAAGATATTTCTTAGATTCCGCTGACCACCTACTCTGTCTGTATAAGAAGGCGGGTTCACGTAGGCCCCTGTTTTCTGAGAGATATCTTCGAACGCTTCGCGCCGACCTTTGGTAACGTGAGACTTCCCATTCATGGCTATTGCCCTTGCCGCCCCGAAGAATCTGTATAGAAACTTGAGCTTTTGAACCTTAGACTGTTTATTCCGAATCTACTTACTCATATTTGAAGGCACCAAAGGGAGCAGGGAGTTTCACCATCCCTGATTTGGTTTAATAAACATATCAGTTGATATAGAGATGGCAGTACTCACCAGTTGGCTCTAGTCCCGCTCTCCAACTCGATTTGGCGGGAGAATCACTGAACAGTCGACGGGGATTGCGTGAATCTGATGTGTAAAGCTGGCCTCGCGAGCCTCGAGAAGCACCTTTGCCTCGCAAGCTGTTAGTAGCGTCGGGAGCTTTGGTGGCTGACGGAACATTCCGGGTGGTAATGGGCACTTTGGTTTGCGCTTGAGACCTGGTCTTCTGCTGTGGTGCTGGCTCATTTCTCGCAATATTCCGTGCCAATTCAGTGTTCTGAGGAACAGTCTGCGATGCTAACTGTTTACGGGCCTGTAACGGGTTTCGACCGTAGCCGGGAAGCTGCCATTCTGTTTGTATATTAGACATATTTCTTACAAGAAATCAAGAAAGGGGTAAGAGGAATAAAAATGACTGCATATATTTGGATCACCTACCTTGGGCACCAGACGTTTCGTGGCTGTCCTTAGTTAGTGTTGGATACAGGGAAAGGTCAGAAGCTGGGGCTTACTGACTCCATTTTTCGCCTTGGTAGTATGCCGATAGATTGAAAATGAAGAAAAGAGGGAAGAGGATGCAAAGGAGGTAGAAGGAAGAGAAGAGAGAAATAAAGAGAGGATGATGTTCTCGGATAGTGAGAACAGCAAAGAGCAAACGTTGCAAAGCCCAAGGAGACAGAGAGTTCCAGCTATAAATACTTCAAGATTGTTGTTCCATCCAAATTTGGCATGTGGTAAAAGAAATAGAATAGATAATTCACGTTTGCAAGTTAATTATGATCAATGAATGAGGGCTATGTACAAAACCATTCGATGATTTGTAGGGGACTGGCAAGAATATGCAATTGCATTCACAACCCAGCTAAGTGAGGAAAATTACCACTTATGAAGGCTTCCAGTATCAAAACAGCTGTGAATAGATCATAAATATTATTTTTATTTTATTTTTGTTTATTTATTTATTTATTTTTTTGCAAGAATGAAGGAAGCTTGGAAGATTCCACGTTGGAAGCAAGCTGTTTGTATACTCCTCTGCTGGCTGCTGATTGGCGAATGGCCTATATTATGCGCTAACCTAAAGCGGCTAAAATGCAAACGCGTGTTTCGGCGCGTCTTTCGCTGCGATTTTCACCTCTCCCCGTTAGTCTCTCTGTGCCAGTGACTCCAACCCGTGGGTTTATTGCACTATTAGCAGCTAAAAGAGCCATGGCTGTTGCAGAGGACAAGCCCAGCCCTAGAAATGACAGGCTTAACGCCCGCCAACGTGCTCAGCAATGGATGACCAAAGGTGGACTGGTCCGAGATGATTCCGACGACGAGCTTGGAGAAGAGGATCATCCATGGGAATGGGTCTACGAGAACAATGCAGAATCCCTGGGGCAAAGAGAACTGAATTTGAATGGTGTGGATGAGGAGGCGAGTCCTCGGAAACGTCCATCTCGCACTGCTTCTAGACGACGGCGAAGGATCATCGGCGCACGAATGGGAAGTTTCGAATGCAGACTCGGCCAGGTTGTGCTATTGAAATCTCCGGAGCCCGGGAAAGACTGGGTTGGTATTATCACTGAGTTTTTGGAGGAGCCAGACGAGGACGAAGAGGAGATGGTCAAATCTGCCAACATCATGTGGCTTGCCTCTCCGGACGAGTTCATGTCAACAAAGAACAAAAGGAGACCGGATGCTCTTCCAAAAGAGCAGTATCTGACAGTGGATTTTAACGTGAACCCGCTGACTTCGATCAACGGTAGAGCGACTGTGATGTCCAAGGATGCCTTCTACGCAAAGTATCCAAATGGGGCACCCCCCAAGGGAAAGGATGCATTGGCAGAATACAATAAATGCGTTGTCTGCCGAAGAGGTGTCAATCAATTACAGGGAAGATATACAGAAGAGTTTATCTGGGAAGACGTGTATCGAGAGGATAAGATTTTTGATCTGATAGACATGATCAAGGATGGATTAAGAGCGGCCAAGAAACGCAAAGCAGACGACAGTGATGTGAGAATCCGTGTAGCAACTTACTTTCTAGTGACTTGATCTAACTGAACATATCTAGTATATTGATACGAAAGCTGAAGATGACGATGCGCAGCCGAGTACGCCGAGGAAAAAGCACAAGGCATCGATGGCTGTAACTCCGCAATCACGGCGCCGAAAGGCTCTTACAACACCAACTAGTAAGAGGTATGTGCAGTGTCGTTGGGTATCGGTCATAATAGATGCTCATATACTTTCTGCATAGAATTTTTGTCAAGAAGCCTCTGGAATTCACGCCTCTCGGTACTCGCGTGCTGTCACCTTCGCACTTTGCTTCTCCCTACCGTCAAGCACGTACTCTCCTACATGTCTCGGCTGTTCCTGCCTCTCTTCCTTGTCGAAAGAATGAGTTCGACACAGTCTACAGCCACCTCAGTGCAGCCATAAGTGAGGGGACAGGAACGTGTATTTACATCTCCGGCACCCCAGGAACAGGCAAAACAGCCACTGTGCGTGAAGTTGTCGCACAGCTGAATGCAGCTGTGCTCGCCGAAGAGATGGACGATTTCATCTTCGTCGAAATCAACGGGATGAAAGTCACAGATCCACACCAATCATATTCGTTGCTCTGGGAAGCTTTGAAAGGCGATCGTGTGTCCCCTTCCCATGCCCTTGACCTTCTCGAAAGAGAATTTTCCCACCCATCTCCTCGTCGTGTACCTTGCGTCGTTCTCATGGACGAACTTGACCAATTGGTCACAAGAAATCAATCAGTCATGTATAATTTCTTCAACTGGCCTGCATTACGGTACTCCCGCCTCATTGTCCTTGCTGTCGCGAATACCATGGACCTCCCGGAACGAACGCTGAGCAACAAAATCTCCTCCCGTCTTGGTCTTACCCGTATCACATTCCCGGGCTATAAGCATACGGATCTAATGGAGATCATAAGCTCCCGTTTATCCAACGTCCCGGGGAACATCGTCGACCCGGACGCCATTCAATTTGCCAGCCGCAAAGTCGCAGCTGTCAGTGGAGATGCTCGTCGTGCTCTTGACATCTGCCGTCGAGCAGTTGAGATCGCAGAACAGGCCAATGAAGCTGCTATGGCAGCAGACTCAATAAATTATGCAGAAGATACAGAATCCCTCCCACCGACCCCGAGCAAGAAGCAAGCAAGGCACGCCAGGCATGGCGTCCCCAAAAGGGAGCATGGCCATCTTTCAGGACCGACTGAGGACGATTCTGAGTCGAATCACCAGAAACCAAAATCAACCAGAGTAACAATAGCAACAATCAAACAAGCCATCCAAGAAGCGACCTCTACCCCTCTCCAACAATCCCTCCGTTGCCTTCCATTATCAGCAAAGCTCTTTCTGGCTGCCTTCTTATCCCGAATCCGCCGAACAGGTATCTCCGAGTCTACCTTCGGCGACATCCTAGACGAGGCGAAACGAATCGCCGACGCTACAGTCGCGGTTACGGGCGCAGCTGCCGCCGGCGTGAAGGACTTTTTGCTTGGAAACAGCAACAGCAATGATGAAGGTAACAATGGCACCGGAGCCCGCGTCAGAGCGCTAGGCTTTGCAGCTATGGAACTTATGAACTCGGGCGTGGTTGCGCTGGAAAATGGGATCGGGCTAAGGGGGCATTTGACAGGGGGTTGTGGGAGAGGCGACAGAAGCAGTCGGGTTAGGTTGAGGGTTGCGACAGAGGATGTTCGGGCTGCGTTCCGGGATGATGCAGAGGCCAAGGCGTTTGGATTAGGGGTTGAGATATGAAGTTGCTATCTGTCCAGTTGGGTCAGATCAGATCACGTCATGCCAGACCGAAGCCGAAGCTGAGGCTGCGTTCTGGAATGAACGAATGACATGGATGCATTGGGTTGGTGTACGCGTGGCTTTCATGCTTTTTGAGCAGTTGTTGCATTTGGTCTCTATACATCATGTCTCCTGATACCCTTCATTTTATTTACGTCTGAATGTCGATTTGTTATATACAGCAATAGATGTAGTTGGATATAACCAACATCCCAACTATGTGCTGGCCGTACCCCCAATTCAAATAATATACTCCTTAAAAGTAGTTCTAATAAAAGGAAAATAGGGACCTTTTTTTTGGAAAATTAAAACCCATAAAATGAAAGGAAACAAAGAGACCTCGACGCTAAAGACCCTCAACTCCATATAGCGTATACATACAGTTATGGAAATAACAAAGTTCAAACCTATTGTGATTTCCGGGGTATGAAATAGTAAAATAAAATAGACGTGAATATTCCGAACATGATCAATATCTCTGCCTACCAAGAGTCGGAGCCCAAGTGACCGGATGCGTCTCGGGAGTAGCCTGTTCATCCGGTTTCCAAACCTTAATGGTCTTGTCTGCTTCTCCCGTGAGCAAGCGAAGACCTGTCTGATCGAAAGTCGCAGCCATGATACCGGCCTCGGCGTCCAATGAACCAGGCTGAGCGGTAGTCTCCATATTCTGGAAGCGGTAGCCGGTTTTCCAATCCCAGAAGCACATGGAGCCGTTGTCGCCGCCGGAGAAGAGAACGTTGTCCTCATTGACAGCAAGGGAGTTAATGACGGCATTGTGGCCTTCAAAATTCTGCATGAAGGCTCCCTCGGGACATTTCCATTGTTTGATGCTTCCAGTGCTGGCGCTTGCGAAGGTAAACTCGCGGGGATGAATGGCGATGTTTCGGACTCCCTTTTTATGGTGGGTTAATACGCCCATTGTCTTTCCGGCTGCTAGGTCCCAGAGGCGAACCGTTGAGTCCAAGGAACCGCTAATAATCTGCGGATCAGCTTCCTGGCATTTAACATCGGCAACCGTGCCCTTGTGGCCGGTGAGGACGTGGATGTTGCTTCGAGTTCGCATATCCCACACTCTCACTACGCCATCACGACCACCCGTCACCAGAAGGTCGAGTCGGGGGTGCAGAGCAAGAGTGTAAACACCACTGAGATGGCCATGATAGTGACGGATGACCTTGTTTGTTTCCAAATCCCAGCACTTGACCATCTTGTCCTCACCGCAGGAGAAGAGGTAGGGGTGGCGAGGTGAGACAGCAAGTCCTCTGACGGTAGAGATGTGACCGGTGAGAGTCAAACGCAGAGCTCCTGTCGCGAGATTCCAGATCTTGATAGTTCTGTCACCAGCACCGCTGGCAAACCATTCATTGTTCGGTTCGACGGCCAAACTGCGTACCCATCCCAGATGTCCAGATATCACTCTCATTAACTTCCACGGAGGATGCCAGTCCGGTCTCTGTTGTCGCGTTGCTGATGGTCGTTGTATGAGGCTCTTGGGACGATCTTCCCCCGGGACCAGAGGAGCTCTCTTTACAAGAGCTGAAGAGGAACCACTCTGATCAACGGGGGCGCTTGCTTGCGTTTGCGTTTTTAGGCGCTTTGAGCGCCCAGCTGCTGCCTTTGCCTGCTTCTCAGCTAGCGCTGGCGGAAGCTGTTGCACATCTTGGTATTCTGCTTTCCGTCTGTAGGAGATACCAATCGATCCGTCGATCAATGTCGACGGGGCTACCATGAGATAGTCGGTGCCGAACAGTTCTGCGGTCCTCTTCGCAGACTTGCGTACGGCCTCGTCTGCCGATGTATGGGGTGGAAAGATGTCCATGGTCCGTTAGCAACGTGCAGGCGCGAATAGAAGGGGTTCGTTTTAGAGAGAATGCTGCTAGGATTGCGCGGGCGAAATGCACGTGTAAAAACCCTGCACAGGGTTTTGAGGTTTCCGCGTAGAGTAGACTGGCGGGGGAATTCAGCGCATCGGTATGAATTGAAAGATACCCTTCACTTGGTCTTGTGGAGATCGCAGGTAAAAACTGATGCGAAAAACACAATGGAGATATGCGCGTGTTTGAAGAATTGGGAGTTTCTCCAGAGCTGCTTCGGCGGAGGTCGAGCTGTTGATGCCTGAGGCTTCAAGAGCTTGTTACCGCCATTACACAAATTACATACATAACTAACTAGTTAGTTACAATAGTTACATCATGACATTATTATCTCCCACGATCATCACTATCATCATCCTCCTATACAGAATCAGCCATGGATCCAGATCACCAGGCAAAGTTCGCCCTACACGAGGCTGCGAGAGAAGGCAAAAGTACGTCTGCAATTGATCCCTTACTGAACTTATCTTTCTAACCTGCCGTCTTTCAGCTCCAACGGCCGAGTCCCTCCTCAATGTGAGTATCGGAGAACTAATTTACCCCGCATGGGATCATCCTCGTCCATATATACGAGATATCAGAACATTTGTCGCAAGAAGCTCTGGAATGGAAGACGGTATTGCAATATAGATTGCTTACTTTTACTACTTTTCAAAAGGCAAATCCCAAACTAGCCCTCCTCGAAGATGACGATGGACGTCTCCCGATCCACTGGGCCGTGGCGTACAATCATCTACCTATCGTCGGGTTATTAGTATCTAACAAAAATTTCGACCCGGATGTACAGGTTAGTTTTACGGCATTTTGGTGCATACTGGGGATAATGTCGCTATTACTATCCGTGCGAGATAAGCTCGAGCAGAAGGAGCCCATGTTTACGAGACTTCCAGGATGCATCGGGTTGGACCCCTCTTATGATTGCAGCCAGTCTGAAGGATGCCCAAGGAGACGCCATAATTGAACTGTTAATACGGAAGGGAGCCGATGTCAACATGAAAAGCGTCACTGGTCAGGTATGTTCGTATAGAGAAATCAGCTCCTTGATATTAACCGGGGGCTAACATGTAGCGCTTTAGAATGCCCTCCACTTTGCAACGTCAAAATCCAACATTTCGACCGTCCGTATGCTCATCGTCAATAAATGCAGCGCCCGGGTGAAAGATAAACGCGGTCAGCTCCCCCTCCACCGCGCCGCAGCTGTCGGATCTATTCCCATCATAAAGATCCTCCTCGAAGAAGGCAAGAGTCCTGTCAATGCTACGGATATGGATGGCTTGACGGCTCTGCACCATGCCATTTCCGAGGGCCATGGAGATGCAGCGATTCTGTTGCTCAAGGCTGGTGCGGAGCCGGATAAGAGGGATTCAACTGGCAATTTAGCTATTGATTTGGCGCCAGACAAGAAAGTAACTATTGATATTCCCTCCCCTCTTTTTCTTCATGCGGTCGATGGTAATGCTAATCATTGTTCTTATTGCGTGCCCGACAGGTTCGCCAATATATCCTGCAAACAGCGGAGAAGGAAGGAATTGAACTTCCTTGAAGAAGATTGATTTAGTGAAAAGAAAATAATGTATCCTTGCAATAGTGGCGTTGGAATCATACACATCTTAAACGGTTCTTGGTGCAAGGAACGGGGAAAACGCTTGGAGAGAGATACAAAATTCGGATACCCAGGGCGTTGAACAGGAAAAAGGCCTGTATCAAAATTATTGCAAAGGCTATATCCTTATATGACCTAATAAGTTACAAAAAAAAAAACGTATTGAAAACATCACGCTATATGTCACATAAGAAAAGAAGTTAAAACAAATCTAAGATACGAGATGGGAATCTCCCCTCCTCCCAGCACTCAAAACCAGAATGAAGAGAAAGTGTTTTTCTCACTTCATGGTGCTGTCCACCAATTCTCGATATATCTTCTTAAGATCAGCAATATCAGCACGGAGTTCCTCTACCTGCTCGCTCTTCTCTCCGAGCATCTCAAGAGTAGTCTGGTATCGCTGGTCCAACTCAGAGATATGTTTCTCTAGCTCTTGCACGCGAATGTCCGAATTTCTCTTCTCCTCCACTTCCCGCATGAGATCCACGACCTGTTGTCTGGCTTCATCTCGTTGTCCGGCCACACGGGCTAGTTCATCCTTGAATGCCGCCCGTTCACTTTCTAGTCGACGAACGGCTGCGCTCATGCGTTCTACCAACTGCACTGATGGGCCAGCGCCGGCGGTAGACTCGGATATGATATCATTTATTCCCCGAGAATGATGCGTCTGGGCAGCGCCGTAGGCGGATGGGGTGACGGAAAAGAACTCATCGGGCTCAAAAGTCACCGACGGCGTCTCTACGACTGTAGGGCTGGACAACATGTTGTTACTGGTGTTGGTGAGTATTTGGGGAGGTATCGGAAGCGCTGATTGCGATGCTGAGGATGTAGGATATGAATTCTGCCGCGGAGGAGGCGAGCCTATGGAATCAAGACCGGGTACGAGAGGCAACATGGAAGAACGGCGGCTCGTAGATCGATAGTCGGATAGAGGTGCTGTTGCATCGAGATTTGCCGATGGCCGGCGGTTGTATGCAATGGCAGACTCCCTGCGTTGCCGGTGCAGGGAGTTGGGTGATGGAAGCAGGTTCATCTGCTCATTCCATTTCGCTCGTTCGTCCTCTAGTCTCTGCGCCCATGTGTCGCAGACCTTCTTCTGATCAACGAGGTCTTTCTGAAGCTGGGATAGTTCGTCCGTAGCCTTCTTGAGCCTTTGTTCCATCTTCAGTAGCTCTTGCTTGCCTTCTTCAACCCTGTTTGCGAGGTCTTGTTGGGTCTCTTGGGCATTTTCGAGCTCCTCTACTGCCTTCTTTGCCTTGAGGTTCTAACCGAAACAGATGATTAGTACAATTTCTTTTACAAAAATTCTATTCCCAGATTGACAATTCTCTTACCGCTTCTCGGATCTTCCGTCGCATGTCTGCTTCTTGACGCGTGAGGTCGTCTCGTTCTCTCTCCACACTTGCCAATCGGGCAAGTAATGATCCTTCAAGTGTCTGCCAATTTTCGCTGGCGACGACGTACTGGGTCTGCAGGGTCTCAATCTGCCGTAAAAGCTTCGCCTGTGTGTCACCGGTTGTCCCTGAAGACGCCTCTTCTGCTCGTGATCGGAGACTCTCCATTTTGCTTTCAAGGACAGATTGTTCGCCTTTCAATTCGACCTCTAAAATTCTGGTCCTTTCCTTTTCTTGCTCGACATTTTCCCGGAGGCCATTGATCTGTCTTTTGAATTTTTCTTCAGCTATGTCGCGTTCTATCTTAAAGTTCGTCAATTCCTTTTCTAACTCTGCTACTCGACGCTTTTCCTGTTCCAAGGCCTCTGAATGCGCCTTGGCCTCGGCACTCTCAGCGCGGGCGACAGCCCTGGATAGCTGTGCCCTCATCTCTTGCACTGTTTGGCTTAGTACATCTCGCTCTGCCGTGACAGATTCGAGATCTCTGGCGGCTTTTGTTTTTGAGGCTAACGAATCATTGGCCTTTTTCTCGGACGTCTCAGCACGCCGGGCGCGAGCCTCAGAGTTAGCCAAGTCGCCTTCGAGCTTTTCTATCTTTTTCTTTGTTTCCTCCTGAGCCTTGGCTTGTTCGATGAGCTGTTGGCGAAGCTTTTTAATTACAGTTCTGTGGTCAAGTTCGCTTTTGGACAGATTTTGACCCTCCTCAAGTAATAATGCAATTTTCTCATCTTTTTCACGGAGCTGTTTCTCAACGCTCTTTGGACCTGCCGTGGCTGCTGCATCCTTTGCAGATTCGGCCGCCTCTCGTGCGAGATATTTCAGCTTGGATTGCAATGCATCGATCCGCTCGATATATCCATGAATCTCCTCCTGCCAGCGTAATTCTGCTGCCTCATGTTCGGCTTTTAACTGCGCAATTTCCGCCTTATCTTTGTCAACTTCCACGGGTTCAAGTGTATCAGAAGTCTGGTCCGTAATAATCTGGGGGGCTTCTCCTGGTGCATCCGACACTTTTGGTCCAACACCCGTAGGCTCCTCAGGAGTTTCAGTCCCTTGAGCAATGACTTTGCCCTCAGTTTTAACGACTTCCTTGGGAGTGGTGTCTTCCGTTTCTGAGCGAGGAGTCTCCTTTGAATTCCGAGATGAGATAACAGAATCGTGGCTTATCCTAGGAGCAACCGGCGTTGTCGAGAGGGCATCGCCATGACCAGCAGAGTTTCTAACTGAATTCTTCATATTTTCCAAAGGTTCAGAGCTAGTTTCGACTTCCACACTAGATCGCGCCTCGACACTCGGTACTGGGCTGGCGGTCCGCGAAGACACTCGACTTGCGGAAGACTGGGCGGCGAGATGCGCCGGAGTATTCGATCTCACAATAGCCCGAGCTAACCGTTCCTGTAGCCTGTCATTCTTTCGCGCAGAAGATGAGCTGCGTGAAAGAGCTGGGGATGCGTCAGCACAAAATACAGTGCAGGCGATGGACTATCCAAGAGGGGCTACATACATTCGGTTGTCTGCCTTTCATCCTGTTTCGCCTTCGTGGCTGCGTTCTTCGATGGCGCTTCATCTGGGTCTGCCAGAATGAGGTCCAGCCTAGACTCTACCCCAGCCACTGCCTGTTGGAAAAATGATCCGACGGCCCATTTAGGCCTTGTGGCCTGTGAATTTTGGGTCATGGCAGGTGGACTAAGACCTGCGCAATTTTGTAGCTACTAACGAGCAGCAAGGGGGGGTTCTAAACTTCCATGGGAGGCAGCTGTCGTAATGTAGATGAGGTTCAACGATTGTTAACCGTCAGTGGCTGTTGCGAGAGGGACAACCACAGAAGCCAAAGTTACCTCGAGAATGCTGATTTATAAACGAAAGACTGGAAGATCAAGTGTCGAAGAAGAAAGGAGAGTCCACGTTGCAGACAGGAAACAAGGTCAGCGCCATCGGGAAACGGAGTTTGATGAGATGCGGCAGAGAGATGATGCAGTCGCAGTTTAGCGTCGGAACACTTTCTCCATCGCAACTCAGCTGCAGCTCATCATCTCCAACCACAGTCCCCCTGTATCACCTTCGTCTTTTCCAAGCAGCTCCAGGCAGGCATTGTCTTTCTCCTCATACACGTGTCGACGATGTCGCTGGAGCCGCCGACTTACCTTGGTTCCCTACAGAACAACATTCGTGCGCGCCCAATTCCATGGGAGGGCGCCGTGCGGGCTGGCAACATCACGGATGACCAGCTTAAGAAGATCAAAGCAGTAGACAAGGTCCGCAAGGATGCACGACGCCAAACAATCGAAGGGGATCTGAAGGGCTATGTTACTTTGCTTTCCGGGGGTAGCGATGGCAAGAGTGTCTTGGACTCAGCCTCCAGGAGGACTGATATCCTGCAGTACATCCTCGTGTTGGCTAATGATTTGATCAATGGTATGGACCAAGTATAGCAAGCGTTGCAGAATTAGATCTAATAGACCTTGGTCGCAGATGTCCCGTCTCTTGCATCTTCACTTATCGCGCATCCAGATCCATACAGGCCATTCCTACCGCTCCTCCGTCATTCCACGAATGCTGAAGATCCCATCCCGCTTCTCACATCTACCTTCTTGACGACTCTTGTATCTACTAGTCTTGTCTCTTCCACGAAGCCCGCTGCAAGAGATGAGGAAGCTCTTCCCGAGCTATACGGCTATCTTTCCACTCTAACCAAGAACCAGGATAGTGGATTACAAGATATCGGTGTACAGGATTTCTCTGCTTTACTTCGAACAAAGAGGTCGAGGGAAATTTTCTGGAGCCATAGGAAGGAGACCGTTGAGCCTTTAATTGCGATTCTCCGTTCTGCTGCTGGGGTGAAAGAGGGCGGGTCCAGCTCCACGACCCTAGTTGGATCAAACAGTATCCGCAACATCGAGCCTGGGGTTACCGGCGGAGTTGGACTTCAGCTTCTGTACCGCATCCTACTCGTTCTTTGGCAGTTAAGTTTCGAAGGCAGCTTGGTCGGAGAAGATCTTCAAGAGTAAGCTCTGCTTCACAATCCATCCTCTGACCTATACAGCTCACAGGGAACCAGGGACTATGAGATCGTTCAGCTTTATACTCAGCTTTTACGGTTATCGCCAAAGGAGAAGACAACCAGGTTGCTACTCGCAACTCTGGGCAATCTTTTCTCCTCTAATCGGACGACGTTGCTTCCCGTAGCGGTCTTCGTCCGCCTACCTGCTCTTCTCACCAACCTCTCCGGTCGTCACCTAACGGATCCCGACCTCCTGGAAGACCTTAGCTCCCTTTCCACAATGCTGGATGAGTACACCAAGACGCAAACGACGTTCGATCAGTACGCTGCTGAAGTACAGTCAGGCCATCTCCGCTGGTCACCGCCTCATCGGAACCCTGCTTTCTGGAAAGAGAACGCGCGTCGCATCCTGGATGAGGCCAACGGCGCACTTCCGAAGAAACTGGCCGAAATCCTGTCAAAGAGATGGGACAACGACAAACAGGTCCTTGCCATTGGGTGTCATGACTTAGGGAACCTTGTGAAGGAAGTCCCTGAGAGACGGCAACAACTTGAGAAACTGGGCCTGAAGACCAGGGTCATGGAGTTAATGGCAGATAGCGACGAGAGTGTGCGATGGGAAAGCTTAAGAGCTGTCGGGGAGTGGCTTCGATACACCTTTGAATGATGAACTGGCTGTTATGGTATCTGAACAGTGGGTGATAATAAAGTATTGAGCTTTCTAGAACTACCTTATCCTGGCGATTATGTCCAGCACAATTTGAACTTCATCAATGGATTCCCTATAGACTGTCCTATATAGATACAGCATTTACTCAAAGCGGAAGTGAATCTTCGATCCATACTATGAATCTCTAGGATAATAATCAAGGGCAAACGCAAACACCATTGGAGGACCCAGAAATAGTGGGAGCGCTTATCTCTCGGATTCTCTCCGCTTCATTCTTCACAGAAACACTTCGTATTCCGAACGAAATCTCGGCCAACAGTTTTAAAATAAAAGAAAGTAAAAAGTCATTTTGAGAAAGCCTTCACATTGTTACTTTTTGGGTCCTCTCTCTCTCCTTTTTTTTTACACAAAGTTGCAAGACAGGAAGAATAATATCTTCGCCCGACCATCTTCCTTATCTACGACCCGAGTCAAATCAAATGTCGCGATCGTTCACGGGTTGCAAAAGATGTAAGTCACGACGCCAGAAATGTGACGAGTCGAAGCCGGTTTGTGGTCGATGCAAAGCTGCAAGGGTGCCATGTCGGTATGCAATGGAGCTGCAATGGGGAGGTCGGACGTTTTCGCGGTCGCGGTTTGGCGCATGTATGGGCGATGGAGGCATGCAGAAGCTAGGTTGGTATTAACTACTTTTTTCCCTGGTGTGGGAAAAGTGCTCTTATCTGACTGTGAGAACTATAGAGTACTCTCCGGGTGAATTCATCTATACTCTCCCAAATTCCACATCCCCCAGCGAACACTTGATGCAGACGCAAAGCGCGACGTTGACACTGGCTCAGCCTGTCGGTCCCTTCACCTGGTTGTCATCCGAGCAGAGAGCGTTGCTACATCACTTCGCCACGTATGCTTCGAAGATCACATCGTGCCATTCGGGGATGCAGAGGGAAATATGCAGTATGCTCATTCCCATGGCGTTGCAGACGCCATCATTGCTGTACGCCACTGCGGCTCTTTCCGCAATCCATCTGCAGGCCTTGAACAACCGGTCCGAGAGTGCCAAGTCAGCGCCCGATATCGCAAGATTGATGGCTTCCAGTCTGGAACATCTTCGAAAAGAGCTTCAAGACGCGAGCGCCAACAACTCCGATGCAATTTTGGCAACAGCGCGGACGCTTTGTCTTGCGGAGATTCATTCGGGCGCCATCCAGCCCAATTCATGGAGGGCTCATATCGAAGGAGCGAAGGCATTGATGGTGGCCACAGATGATAGCTCGCGATCATCAGAGTCATTCCGCAGGTATCTACGTCGGTGGTATAGATCGATTGTCTCTCTCACGGCACTGACAGCTAACGGGCCCCCAATCGGAGATTCTGAAGACAGTATGCTTGCGAAATCTAGTGGGGAAGACTATCTCGATGACTATTGGGGATTTACACTCGGTCTTTCCGATATCTTTAGGGGAATTGGAGCGGTAGCCTGGCGGAGACAGCAAATTCTGATAAATCATGGTCAAGAAAATAGCCATGAGACGAAAGAAGAACTCCATGTCCAGCAGCAGGCGATGATGCTGGAGGCATCTTTGAGGCGCTTGATGGGTCATAACGCTGCCTCGCAACCCAAGTTCTACCCTGGGGTGGCCGAAAAGCTGTCGGGAGAGTGCATTCGAGAGTTTGTGCTCTGCAACGAAGCATTCCAGCATAGTGCACTCATCCAGATCCGCCGTCGCTTACGGAGAATCCCCACGACAGCCCCGGCGGTGCAGCGATCAGTCCAGAGGATCTTGGAATGCATATGCCAGATCACACCGTCTGCGGGTCTCAGTCCGTGGGCGATGCTTACAACGCCGTTGTTTATCGCGGGATGCGAAGCGCAAGGAGCGGATAGAGATACAGTGAAGCGACTACTGCTCCTGCTGCACGATACAATCCGGGTCCCCAACGTGCTCCAGTCATTGAAGTTCCTCGAGCAGTACTGGATAGAGCGGAGCCGTATGAATGAGGCAGACTGGAACCATTATCTAGGTAAGTCGTATTGCGCATTCTATTTCGAGGCTACAGGCTATGTGTTTGTCGTCTTACCTGAAGCTAATTATAATTCTTTCCCTGGTGGATAGACCGATTGCAGGTCGACTTCATTCCGTACTGAATTGAACAAGTAACCAGGACGAAAGGTATCATGAGTTACGCATTATTGTTTACGAGCATTGCAATGTCAGGGGTCATTGAAGGGATGTTTTCAAAAGGGTTATTTGATATCCATGGAATGGACTATTGCCGTCCATGTGCATAGACAAGGCGTATCTATTTAATTTTCTTCTCATGTTCAATAATGGTGCTATCTATTACTGTCTCCGCGCATACTAAGAATAGAAGCTGTAGCACAGTCCACGGCCAGCTATTTATGGAGGATGCGCGATGAGGCGTGCGACCATTGAAATTGACAACCTAACCTTGAGGTCGAGCCTTGCCTTGGCCTAAATGAAGAGAATACCAGGACTATTGAGAATTGATTACAGCCATCCGTACGCAGGATTACAGATGCAGCTTGAAGTTTGAACTTTGAACTTCTATTTGGACGCTTTGCTTTCCGCATGCCCAGACTGGACCTCGTCTGGGAATGGCAATGTGTCTTCTGATCCTGTATATGAAGTGGGAACCTTTCGAAGCAGGCAGTCCTGATGTTCATTCTCATGAATGATCAAGGAAAGCGGATGCAATATGCCTCTTGACCTTTTGTAAAGTATGTCTTCCTGCATAATAAGCGCTGGAATACGTACTGCGTATGCTCAAGCCTCCAGCCACACGGCATGCAGTGGGTTGGAGAGTATTATTAAGAAATGTATAAGACTGAACTCTTGCCAGCATACGGTAAATGAATGCCGAATTCAATGTTATTATTATCCTATGCCCCTGACTGTAGATGAGCTGAACCACGGTCTTGTCTACCTAATATATGGTACTTTAGCATAAAAAATACCCCCTGAATGCCACGCAATGCACAGGGCTTGATTTGACAGACGGCCGTGTGCGCGCCAAACTCCAATTTAGCTGCATGCCAGCAATGGCACAGTGACTGCAGCCGCCGTTGCAAGATCATCGACGACAATGCTACATGATCCTGTCGATGCTCTCCAGATGGCTTGGTTGATCGCTGCGGGTTGGCCAATGGGCCAGACCAGCATCGGCAATAATCTCAATCTGCCTGCTTAATATATCCTCAGAGTAATCGGGCTCCACTGCCGCGTCTTCATGGCGCTTCTGGACGTCTGGACTGTGCCGGTGTCCTGTCAATCTTCGCCTGTTTCTGGAATGCATCCTCGCTCTCCCCTTTTTTTTTTTTTCGTTCCCTGGCTTTCTCCCTCCCCCTGGTGTCTATCTATCTATTGAATTCTACTACGCTGCACCGTTCCTCTGCCTGTCCCGTGCTCCACGATCTCCGGAATGGAACGCCCTGTCCTCGCTGCCGTTGCCTGAATCCTACGCTTCCCGTCCTCCTCGTCGTCCGATGCATGCTGATACGAATTCTCCGCCAGCTCCTGGCGGTTCGCCTCCCCGTGCACGTCTGTCTTTAATATCTTATCGTCTCGACGATCGTCGCTCTTCGATTCTCTCGGATCACTCCCTAGACTTGGTCGCTTCTCCGCTCGATGCTGCGCTACCACCGCCTCCTGCCCATCCTCACTCTCCCCGTCCATCTCCGCCTCCAAGTGCCACCGCTACGTCTCCAACCATCCCGACTACACCGTCGTCCTCCTTCACTACCATATTCTCTCTGCGCAGGGAAGGTCCGTCGGGTGATGCCGCTCCTATAGACTCCCCCGGCCTCTCTTCGACGTTTCCGGTCTCTTCTGAAAGGAACGAGTCTGCGAACCCATCCATCCCCGTCATCAAAGGGCCATCCTCCACCTCGCACGCGCCTTACCCTCATCCGTCCTTGCATGACGACGACGAAGACGAAGACGGCGAGTATATATCGTTTGTACCGAGGGACTTGGATAAGTATGTGTGTGCTTGCATCTTTTTTCTTTCTTTCTGTCTTCCCATTCCTTTCCTTTCTTTGCCTGATTCCTGGAGACTGATCGGTTGTCCGTGCCGTCTCTTGTAGATACCCTAGAGGCCAGACACCCAGGCTACCCTTCCCAGCCGAGACCGCCAACGGATCCTTAATCCATAACGACGACCGTGATTCCTATCATCTCTACCCGTTCACGAATGGAAGTGGCTCCCTACACTCGCGTCTGGTCAGCGAGCCTTCCGTACCTCTGGTTGGTTCCCCGCCGGTGAAGCACCAACGTGCGAATACTATGGCAGTACACCCCTCTCAGAACCGGCCTCCTTCTCTCAAAATCAGATCGAACAACCGAAGGATCTCTGCCTCTTCAACAGACGGGAAACCAGTCAAGGCGCCAGGCAGAAAAATCTCGTCATTCTTTGGTTGGAGGACCGCCTCTCCCACGGGATCGGACTCTTCCAGCACCGACCTCTTCGACGCCGACTATCCACGGTTGTCTTCACCCTTGCCCTCCATGCCACATTCTCCCATGTCCACCAAGCCAACAACCACTCCCATTGACGTTTCCAAGGCCAATGGCATCTTCCACCCCTCTCTGGGCGCCCAGCTCAGCTCCTCCAGCTCTCAGACCCCCGGTTACTCGACCAGGATTAACGAACTCGAAAAAGAGCTTCGGGATGTCAGCTCCGAATTGGCCAGCTCCATTCGACGAGAAATGGAGCTGGAAGATCTGGTGGACAGGCTGCAGTCAGAGATGCCGTCGGATGACTATCCGCGCACCAGTGACTATTTCTCCGACTCTGGTGCCAGTTCCATCCGGTACTCGAGCAGCCGAATCGAAGAATTAGAGAAGACGAGGCGCGCAGCGGAACAGGAGCGGGCTCGACTAAAAGTGGAGCTTTCACAAAGGCTGCAGGAGGAAATATCCCAACGGACGGCATCCGAGTCCCATGTGCATATCCTAGAAGCTCAAGTACAGCAGGTAAGTGTATCTATCTCCCTCTAGTGATACCATTAACTTCTTTTTTTGTTTGTTTGGTCTGACCTGAACACTATTAGCTCCGCCGTGAGAGAGTCGATCTGTCCGATCTCGCGTCTAAGAACAGAGAGCTAGAGATCGCGTTGGAGGATACCCGAAGGAAACTCGCAGAGGAGAGGCAGGTGAAAGACAACTTCGAGGATCTCCTTACCGCTGTGAGGGTAGAAATAGAGCAGCTTCGAAACGAGCGAGATCACCTGCGGGATGTCGTGGTCCCTCAGTTGCAGAGCCAGAACAACACCATGGCGCCTGCATCCGACCACTTCGAAATCGACCAATTGCTAGGGGAAATTGCGGCGTTGAAAGTCGAAAATGCTTCTCTAGCCCAGTTACAGGGCGGTTCCCTGGCTCGAATGCCCTCGAAGAAAGCAACTAGCCTAGCGCACTCTGGCTCCCTTTCAAGGTCCAATTCGGTGGCTAAAAGAGATCGCGAGAGTCGAGAATCACTTGCTGAGAGAGTCAAAGATATAGAGGAACAGCGTGACGCCCTTCACCAGACGTTGAAGAGTCTACTTTTCCGACATGCTTATGAAGCTCGAGAACATGAAAGACGCGTCAAAGCGCTGGAATTGGAGCTTGAACATGCCACACAACCAGGGTCTCGAGGCAAGCTAGGGTATGAAAGAGAGGTTTATAACTTGCGTGATGAGATCAATCGTCTTAGACAGCGAGCCGAAGACGCCCTGGTTCAGAAATGGCAATGTGAAAAGGGATTAGCGGGCCTCAAAATGGACCTCGACCGTGCAGAACAGCAAACGACTTCCTTGCGAATGCTCCTCCAGGAACATGATATTGATGTTCCCGAAGAAATCACCGCTAGTCGTGAAGTTCTCGCTGAGGTCCAGGCCACTTCATCGTCGCTGGAATTTGCTTACGAAGAGCTCCAAGCAGATAGGCAATACGCCGAAGCCAAGTTCTCCGAGTCGCCGGATGAATATTCCGCCGAGTTGATGGCCTCAGTTGACAGAACGCAAAACCTGTCAAATTATGTGCGACAACAACTGAAGGCCAATGAGTCCCTTCGCGGCCGTCTGGCTCATGCTATCGGCCAAGGCGAGGAGGAACAGCAAATCTCAGCAAGCCGCATTAACGAGTTGCAGAACCGACTCAAGGAACTAGAGGATCAACTACTTGCGGCGCAGCAGCACTCCGAGGAAGAGGTGGCCAAGCATGAAGATGAAGTCAACAGGCTCAAGGAGACTCATCACCGACAGATTTTGCGCCTAAAGAATGGATCCAGGACTCCCGTCTTGCTTTCGCCCCAGCTACCCAATTCCCCCTTCTTCGCCCGCTCCCCCCGTCTAGATAGGACCACCAGCGGCGACGGAATTCCGCTCAATGAAGCGGTTCAAACGGAGAATCTCGAGAGAATGGTCAAGGAGCTTGAGAAGGCCCTTCGCAACGCAGACTTGGAAATGGAGGAGGTAATTAGCCGAATGAATCGGGCACAAATTGACGTGGCGGAACTACAATCCGATAGGTTCGTTGATATTGACTTTCGTTTTTTTTTTTTTTTTTTTTTTTTTTTTCCGACTCGAGGTCTGCTAGTTACTGACAAATTGGAACAGAGACGATGCACTCCGTCAGACTCGGAAACTCCAGGCTGAGATCCTTGCTGAACGACAAGCGTTCAAGGCCCTGATGGGTTAGTGGCCTGCTCATACTTACTGCATAGCCCGAGAACCACCCGAGCACGATATCCCGCTTCCACGATTGCTTGTATTTTTTAGCCAAATTTTGTTTCTTTTGGCTTGATTAATTTCTTCTTCTCGTCTTCCCTCGCGGATGCGTTATTTGAGCGGTTTCATGTATCATTGAGCTTGGTGTTGGGGTGTTGGGTTGAAATTGGGGGCCATTGTCTGGGCTCCTCCCCCCTTTATATAATTTTTGGGCCTGTACATATTTATATCCCTTCGGTATTATTGCTGGCGACGTCGATCTCTTAGCCAGTGGTGGGTTCTGCGGCGATGTTAGCATTGTGTGGCTGTGCGTACGCACAACGTTTTGTTTTTCTTTTGCAAATGGCGGCATAGACTGGATTGACGAGATCAACCTAGACGCTGCGAGAAGCTTGTATATTATATTACTTTGGACGCATTACTATTATCAATGTTACTAAATGTTATGTGTCCACGCAGCTCGATCAGTGTCATCTAGAGCCGCTGAGCTTTTGGATATTCCGACTCTTGGCGAATATGCTAGGTATGAGACAATCGCAGGATCGACAGAGACTGGAGAACTCGAGAACAGGGAAGGCCATGAGCCATCAGCCACCAGCCTTGACCTGCACCCAAAACAGATACGCGCCGTTATGGAGAAGACAGATTTATGTATGGGAACCGCCCTTCTTGCTGATGCCCTTCATCGCCAATCGGAGAAAGGCGGCCCTCCTTGGTTTTGAGCCTTTGCGCTGTAGTATGATGCAAGCAGTGTTTCATGTTTGAAGTTCCTACCGTGAGGCACACCATTGGGGGTGTGATGTTCGTATGGCGTTTAGAGAGGGGGAAATCAGTTCGTTGAATTCAGTGGCTACATAAAGACGCAAGGCTTTGTCGGGGACCTGACGCCTCTTTGTTTTCTTTTCTTTTCTTTTCTCTTTGTTTTGTTTTAAATTATCTATTCTATTCTTGAGTTTCTTAAGAGCTGGCTCTTTTAATACTGAGTTTATTTCTCTGCCTATTTGGTTGCGTTGCGCATTTCATCTTTCTTTTCTTCACCATTAAAGCAGTGCATTCTTCCTTCATAATAGTACTTGGTTACTAACATTATTGAGCCTTGAATGATATTCTATTCGTCCATCCATCATCTACCTACCTACACTGAAAGAAATGAAGTCCCAACTCCCTCTGACCGTCCTATTCCTCATCTTCATTGCCGTTCACTCCACCCTTGGTACAGCCATAGACCGATCTGGATCGGGAAGTCCAAATCAACGTTACAGCAAAGAGCAAGACCAGAAGCAATTGTTGAATCACGTTTCTTCCCTGAACAAAGACGAAGACACCGAGAGCAAAGACAAGACAAGGACAGGACCTGCAGCGGCTTATTCTTCTTCTTCCTCTCCTATAAAGTTCACGGGGGAAAGGATCCCGGGTGGTTCGGGGTTCCATTTCTGTGACTCTCGGGAGGAGCGGGAGGGCGATGTTTTCGAGATTGAGGAGGTTGGAATTAGTTCCAAGCCTGAGGTGTATGTCTTCCATGTTTCCGCTACATTTCTCTGCTCTGCATTGCCCATGCTGATGCCGACTGCATGCAGAAACTCAATCGTCTTCTTCAACATGTCCGGTACATTTCACGATAACGTGTCGCCCAACTCGACCATCAACGTGACGACGATCATCAACGGGCGTCGCACGTCGAGGGTTGTCGATTTCTGTTCGTTTGCGCAGACGGTTGAGCAGAGGAGTCCGGGAACTTCTTCTTCATTTTCCTTTTCATCTTCGCGGTCACATTCTTCTTCCTTGAGCTTAGCTGCTGGTCAGGGTCAGGGTGGGAGTGAGAATCAGAATCATATCCATGCTTGTCCTCCCCATCGAGGATGGGGTGTTATCAGGCGTGGAGATAGTGTATTTGTGGATCCTGAGGTATGTATTTCTGTCCTTTCTGTTATATATATCATTGTTGATCCTGAAGATTGTTGTTCATTTCACTGATTCTGTTAGGGCGTGTGGTCCTTTTTCCTGGATGCGTATGTCCCTGATGGGAGGAGATTGTTCTGTATTGTGGCCAATGTTGAGATGGACTGAATGAGCTGTCGATGTTTCTATGACCTTTTATACATATCAGACTCAAGCGTTCAGCAGTGTATATATTATGAATGGCTATATTTGTAACAGTCATCTATGAAACAGCTGAACCTGACACCTAACCCAATTCGGTTAGCTCAGCCACCAGCTATTTGTCTAGTTTGCATCGCTGATACCATCTGTCTCAACGCGTTGATAATTAATTAGCACACGGTGTATGAAGGCATCCTCACCTGCTGCCATCCAGCTAAGCATCAACGGCAGCAAACGGTCTTTGTGGTCCTTACAGCAGAGGAGGGCCTCCTTCTTTGTACCGTGACGGTCATATATACTCTGTCAAACCTCATTTTGCTTTTCATCCTTTCTGTTTACCTTCCTATTTATCAACCGACCAGGAGAGCTGCTGAATACAAGTACCGCCACCTCATTTGGAGGATTGCCTGTTTCTCGAAGGGCAAAAACCACCTTTCAAGCAAATAAAACTTATCAAGTTATAGATTCAAGAGGGGTCTATTATGGAATTCCCCACCGGCTTCATTCCTGGTAAGAAATGAATGCTATCGACCTTCACTTTTGAAGATAAAAAAGCACATAGCTAACCCGTCTTATCAAATAATCCAGAGCAAATAATAACCCTCCTCAAAAACCCAACAATCCAAAACCTAACCTCAACCTCAACCACCCTCCTAACAAACCTCTCCACCTTCCATTCAACCTGCCTAACCCCCTACATAATCGGCCCGCTTACCTCCCTCGCAACCTCCTACTCCACCGCCTCAATGCCGGACCTCGTCTCTCTCCTCCTCCTAGCGATTTTGTTACTGGTTTCTTTGAAGATCCTCGACTACGCGCATCGCGTCATTGTATTCTGGGTCTCGCTTGTGCTGAGGCTGGTGTTTTGGGGCGCTGTCCTTGCTGTTGCGTGGTATGTTTATCGGACTGGGTGGGATAAGGCTTTGAGGGATTTTGGGTGGCTGTGGGGGGTTGTTGAGGGGTTTGCGGAGGGGGTTCTCGAGGGGGATGGGGTTGAGAAGGTGACTCGTAGGTGACGTTGTGTTATATGTATGCTGTGGATCGAGTCTGTTGGATTGGGCATTTTACCTGGCATGTTTGTTTGGGGTTTTTTCTTTGGTGTTTGGGTTGGTAGCTTGGTTCGAGATGCATATTGCAGTTCTGATTATGACACTATGACTATGAATAGCGCATCTGCAAGATAGAAGAGAAATGGCGCTTTGATTGACTACTGGAGCAGAAGCAGTGTTTAATTACCCCATAAAGACATGGGACAGCAGCAGGTTATCTGTATCCTTAGAAAACGTATCGTTCTTATTGTATTGTGCTCCATTTTTATCGCCTGCTGATAGTGATAACTACCTAGTATTTAGGTTGTATTGTTAAAAACAACCCAGGAAGTTCATAGGCTTAACGCCTCCTCCTAACTTCATCGGTACAGTACAACAATCCATGTCGTCGGAATAGACCAATTGACAATTACCGTCCCCGAAAACTCCATGGAAATCCAGAATGGCCCTTTTATGCGCAGCCTCAGTGGACAATTCCTGGCCGCCAAACCCTATAGATTGGATCTAGGACGGTATATGCAGGGCAGCATATTTCCTTCCAGGTGCAAATGACACATGCCACTTCTTCCCACGGGATCGTTACTTGTCTTTCAGCGTTTTCGCCAGCGAAGCAACCATTCTTCACCATTCATCGTAGCGACCCTGGGAGACATAATGTTCCTATCTGTCGATAGATTCTGCCCAAGCACTAGGGAAACTCGACGGGCGTGTATAAACTGAGTATGTCGTAAAGTAAACGAAAACGATGACTGAAGTCTCAGCCTGTCGCATCACTAATCTGCGTCCTCCCAGTTCACGTCCTGTTCGTCATGTGGCTCTCTCGGTTCCTGCGCCTCGTGGAACTGAATGGCATCGTCAATATGACTGAGAACAGCCGCAACACTGTCTTCATCCTGAACATCCAGCTGCAAGAAGGACACCATGCTGAAATCATCGATAAGCTGCGCAACAGCCCGATTCAGCCGCTTGAAGGAGTTCCCACTCAGAACGGCACCCCTAGACGAGGGATCAGTCGCTGTAGTTTCATCTTCTATCTCTTCATCGTCCTGCAATGACTGCACATCGACATTCGCGAATCTCCTGAATTCCTTCCTCGACATAATCTCCCTGGCCTGATCCATCTTACTCAGAATATTGATGTGCGGCATCTCCATCATCAACATAGCGGACATGGCGCTCAGAGTCCCCGCGAAGAACTTAGCTTTATCCACCACAAACGTGCTCTCGAGAAGATATGCCGCGCAGAGATTTATATTCAACGGACCCGCGCGGGACAGGAACTGCACTAATGACGGAATGAGGGGAATATGCGTGTACAGTTCGATCTGGCCCGGCATGTCGAAGATGATCAGATATTCCTCGCTCAAGGGATCGAGCGCTTGCGTCAGGAAGTCGAGATTTTGTAGCAGGAATTCAAAGCAGTAGATCAAGCCGCCGTTTGGTCCTAGTTCGAGCTCCTCCATGACGTCCTCTAAAGTGATGAGTTCGCGGATGTCCAGATCCGGCTCGTAGCTGAAGGTTTCTGCCGCTGGGTCGAGGTTCACGTAGAAGCAGCTTCTGCGTGTGTTCTGGAGCTGCTGGATGATGGCGTTGCAGAAGGTTGTCTTGCCCGCGCCCGCAGGGCCCATGACTAGGACTCCGAACTTCGACATGTCTATATTTTCTATGTGGTGTTGGTTCCTCCGACGGACAGAAAGAGCAGAGCGTACCTAGGTATCCAGGTGAATCGGCTAAGCTGCATACAGCAGCATCTCGTATCGATCTCGGTGTCAGTGGAATTTTGCGCTATTCTGCCGCGTCTCACCGCCACTCGTGAAATTGCGCAATCTGCGGGCACATAAACCGTTTCTCCCCGCTCCAAAAAAGCCTCGATTTTCTCCCGTCCCCTCCTCCTCTCTCTCCTTTCTTCATCCCCGATCATCGCCTGGAGTCTGCCCATATCCCCGCCCATCTCTGTCGCTGTCCTCCTCTGTTCCTTTCTTTTTCTCTGTTCTTTTCTTCCAGAAGATTATCTCTCCTTCTCACAGCACAATGGGCAGCACTGCTTCGGACAAGTTCCTGTTCACCTCCGAGTCCGTTGGTGAGGGTCACCCTGATAAGATCGCGTATGTTGGCTTCCTCCCTTCTCTCTATCTCGTGTGATGACAATTCCTCCTAATTTGTCCTCTTTTGCATGCAGCGATCAGGTCTCGGATGCTATCCTCGATGCCTGCCTTGCAGAGGATCCCCTCTCCAAGGTACTCTATTCCCCTTGTGGACACATCGACGGATGTAGAAATTAACAATGTGCTTTTTGAACAGGTTGCTTGTGAGACTGCTACCAAGACTGGTATGTTCTGTCTCTTTCTTTTAAAACCCAATATATTAACTTCATTCCTTGCAGGTATGATCATGGTCTTTGGTGAAATCACCACCAAGGCCAGACTGGACTACCAGAAGGTTATCCGTGATGCCATCAAGGAGATTGGCTACGATGCCTCTGAGAAGGGATTTGACTACAAGACCTGCAACGTTCTCGTTGCTATCGAGCAGCAGTCCCCCGATATCGCTCAGGGTTTGCACTACGAGGAGGCTCTCGAGAAGCTCGGTGCCGGTGACCAGGGTATCATGTTCGGCTATGCTACCGACGAGACCCCTGAGCTCCTCCCATTGACCATCCTTCTCTCTCACAAGCTGAACAAGGCCATGACTGATGCCCGTAAGAACGGTTCCATTCCTTGGCTCCGCCCCGACACCAAGACCCAAGTCACCATCGAGTATGCTCATGATGGTGGTGCCGTCAAGCCTCTGCGTGTGGACACCGTCGTCATTTCTGCCCAGCACAGTGACGATATCTCTACCGAGGCCATTCGCGAGGAACTCAAGGAGAAGATTATCAAGAAGGTCATCCCCGCCGAGCTTCTGGACGATCGCACCGTCTACCACTTGCAGCCGTCTGGCCGCTTCGTCATCGGCGGTCCTCAGGGTGACGCCGGCCTTACTGGCCGTAAGATCATTGTCGACACCTACGGTGGCTGGGGTGCCCATGGTGGTGGTGCTTTCTCCGGCAAGGATTACTCCAAGGTCGACCGCTCCGCCGCCTATGTTGCTCGCTGGATTGCCAAGTCCTTGGTTCACGCCAAGCTTGCTCGTCGTGTTCTCGTTCAGCTCTCCTACGCCATTGGTGTCGCCGAGCCTCTATCGATCTTCGTTGAGACCTACGGCACATCCGACAAGAGCTCTGCCGAGCTCGTCGAGATTATCAGGAAGAACTTCGACCTCCGCCCGGGTGTCATCGTGACCGAGCTTGATCTTGCCAAGCCGATCTACTTCCAGACGGCCAAGAACGGTCACTTCACCAACCAGAACTTCTCTTGGGAGAAGCCCAAGGCCCTCAAATTCTAGATGACTCCACCTCCACTGTCGTCAAGAACTCCAGGGTTATTATCTTTGTGTTGAATATTTCCTTGTTTCGATATCTTGTTTCACGAATGTGATGAATTTGCTTTGTTTTCAACAACTCAAAGCATGGGCATAGACATAAAAAGCGTTTGGATGTTTGTTTCATTTATGCATGGTCGCCTTGAGAGATGGGCTCGGCGAGAATAAATTCAACATGATACCATTTTACATCGGACGGGATGGGGTGCTCGGCGTTTCATGGAGCGGAAGTCTTCAACACGGATGTCCCTTCCAGCTTTCGAAAGAGATTTTTCTGTGGATTTTGTGCATCTTTGCTCACTGACAGCCTTGCGTGAGTGTACACCCTTTTGCGGATGTCTACGATATCCTCTGCAGAAACTGGAAGGGGAAAAATGCCCGGACCGGCTTGAAAGGTGCTCTACTCTTTTCAATGCGGCATGGGCTCGCTAATCTAAACATTAGCAATATAGAATAATGAGCATATAATTTCTTATGTGTCATGGTTGCAGAGCGTCTACATCTTGTCGCTCCCAGTAGTGTTGATGTAATTGTACCAGAACAAGATAGGAGACATTGGCGCGGCCAGCATGCGGCGATCTACCTGTCTAAACAGTAATGATTAATAATTTACACGTAGTTATTTATCCATGACTTTTGCTGAGCGAGCTTGGGCTGTTGCAAGGGCAACATTGACGATGTTGACTGTCCGTGATCCAGCATTTGCGCGACGCGTGATAACGGACTGATTTTCCGCGCGCGTCGGGAATCTAGGGAGCCACTACGCCAACTACTCACGTTAGTACATACAACAACCTACTAACGCACAGGAATTGCTCTTGTTCATGACGAGAATACCCAGTTACAGAATGCCCACTGATTAATTAATACACCGTGTTCATGGCCTCTCGTGGATCTCCCGGCGTCCTTGGGACCATCAGCTCAGACGCTTTGAACAAGCTACACAACTCCTCTCACCCAGGCTCGAAGAGACGCAAAATCGATCACGATGGCACCGGAGGCTTAACTATCAAATCCTTTAGAATTCGGGTATGTTAGGAGTTACAGCTATAATTCCACTTTTCGCGTCAGTTGAACTGACTGAGAATTCTATTTTTTTTTTCTCTCTTTTCAGCCCCATGCAGCAGCTCCGTCCGACAAACCCGTTATTTTAGATCCAATTACTCTCTTCCCTCGTTCGCGTTTGCCGCTTTCTTGGCTAGATATTTCTTCCGCTCCCTTCTCTTCCGTACCGCAGATCCAGCATGGCAGTGCTCTGTTCGTATCGGATATACCCGCGCTAGAGGAATGTATGCAGGGTCACACTCTGGAACCCGTTGTACTCATTACGCGTGCGGTCTCTGACGGTGGTGGGTTGTACGCTGTTGAAAGAGTCAAGAGGAAATTATATGCTCTGACCATACTTGGACGGGGGGTTGACGAGGGCGACATCTTTGTTGCGATTAAGGGATGGAGAGCACCGTCAGTGGCAGAGCCGGCGATCGAGTGCGAGTCTCTTAGTTGCGCAAGTGAAGGAACTAGTTGGTGGGAGACAGCGCGGATTGACGAGCCTGTTGCTGACTCGAAACTATCCTTGAAGCGGAGTGCATTTGACGACGTTTCTATTGTCTTCAGCGGTGGATCCAATGATGAACGGGTCAATGTGACGGGTTGCCATTCATCGCCTCCTGATAGCACCGGCTTCTCAGCGACTGGAGTCGTAGCTACCATCATGGAGAGAAGCTCTAGCGCCGACCTTGGAGCCCCTGTTGTCTCTCGAGAGCAGAGCGATCCTCTTGTGCCGTCAGCTGATGCTGGTAGTGAAAATGTGGACACTCCGCAGTCGGCACAGGAATTGTTGGACAGTCTGAGAGAACAGTACTTGCAGGCCCTTTATATTTCGAAGGTACGCTATTCCTGAGGAAGCGATGCCATTTTTTGGCTTTATTTCCTTCAATGCTGACCGGTGGGAACAAAAGACGTCTGTCGCGTATTTTGCTAAAGGTCCTCTGGCACGCTGCCGCGCAGCTTTTCAGCCGTCTGAGCCGGAGGATTCTAAGAAGCCGTCCGACCTCGTAGCGTTCTATAGGGAGGCTATTTTGACGACGAAGAAGATGGACCTGAAATACCGGGAAACCCTCCCGTCCACTATCCGCAACGTCGTGCTGAGCGTTTCTGACGATGAAGCTAACTCTCACCGGAAGAGGCATAAGAATAAAAAGAAGAAATTAGGAAAGAATGGTCTATATCCCGAGGAAGAGGAGTTCATCCAAAAGTGGTGGAAAGATAGGAACCTCACCGAGCAAGCTACGGTGCAGACCAATCGAGAAGCAGAGACGAAAAAGCATGTGGCTGACCTGCGGCTACGAGAGACGCAACTACAGATACTTCTCATTTTAGAGGCAATAGCCCTCGAGTCCAATTCCTCGGATGAATCGAAAGAGGAAGCAGGTGACAAGACAGTGAAAGCATCGAAACCGAAGAAGATGCAGGATCTGAATGTCTTGCTCGAGCTCCATCTTGATCGGATGTGTATATGGCACGCTGTCAGCTTTGAGGAAACGGTGGTTACGGATTCGTTCAAGCTGCACGATAACAACCATTTGGCAGGGAAGAAGGTCGAAAGTGATGCTGTTCGAGACTTCTGTACCGAAGTCATTATCCCATTCTACGGCCCTCGTCTTCCAGAGAAGTGCAAGCTGATCACACGCAAATTCGGTGTTTCGTCATCACAATCTTCCAAGTCGTCCAATTCGAAGAATGCTTCCCGGCCCGAGCCTGGGTCACTTGTCAAGCGACAAGCACCATCCCAGCAACAACAACAACAGCAGCAGCAGCAGCAGCAACACCCAGAACCTCAAAAGTCCCGTCGTACATTGCAGCGGGTGTTGACAGATGAAAAGGTTGCATCTCGAAAAAGGCGGCATCCGTCCTTGACCCGCTCCAGTACGGAGCCAACACAGTGGGATGCTAAGAGAGAATCTATGGAGCCATTGTTACCTGTTCTGGGTACAAGTGTTCGTGGCGGAATTCAAAAGCCCAAGCGTGTTGATAACCGTGAAGTCGACCTCAACGCCGCAGCGAAGCAGCACGAGGCCAAACTAAAGAAGATGCAGATACTGGTTGATCAGAAGAAAGAACTCGACGCGGCTATCAATGCCTTAAGGAGACCTAACCGGGAGCTTGTCGCTAGAGACATTGCTGACGCAGCTGATAAACGGTTGTCTGGAGGTGGTAGTTCGCGGAAACCCAAGAACCCTGTTCGAAATCCCTTCGGTCATGGGGTGCAGGTCATGGCCACTCCCAAGGGGTCTAGAAAGAAGGATGTCTCGATGGCTGTGGGGGTGCCTTTCCTCCCCAGTCTTGCTCGGAAATCATCGTCATCCTTGCCGTCTGCAAAGGTGAATGAGCCCAGTTCGCCGTTTGGGAGCGAAGTGCAAGTCGTCCCTGGTTCTACCGTCCGTCCTGGTGCGTCCTCATCTGGTCTCGCTTCCGGTCCTATTCTCGGTTCGGATATGAGTCAGGGCGACAATGCTGGCGTAGGCGCTATTCAGGAGACCCCATGTCGACGCCCTCCGCCACGGCCCGTTGGCCGTAGTCGTGCCCCCGTGAAGGAGGAGGGCCTGAACGCCCACTGCTTCTCTGGATATGGCCAGTCGGGCAACAACCATTTCAGAGTGCCCAATCTTCCTGCTCCACATCGGTCCAATCCCGAGACTGAGACTGAGAATGACAATGAGATGGCCCCATCTACGCCGATACCCGTCCGTCGCGTAGGAACGCGGAAGCCAAGTTTCCAGCATGGCCTATCAGGCTTATTGCGCGAAGAGAGTCATGCGGATAGATGGTCTACGGTAAAGATCCAAGAGACACCACCGTCGAAACAGAGTGTAAATGGCATAGCTGGTGCGATCACTGCGGCCAAGCATGGGGACGATATTGCGCCTCCCTGTCTTCACCATTCTCCACCGGCGATATTTTGCACACCAGTGAAGCACACAGCCAAACCGGCGATCTCCCCAGCGATGGCAAAGCCAGAGACACCAGAGAAATCGATCTATGAGCAGCTGGGATGGGATGCAGAGGACGATCTGTAACCGGGCTAACTACATTTCTCGTAGCGAGCTCGGATCTACATGGCTGCTTACTGTTCACGTGGGTTTTCTGCAGGCCGATAGCTGACCCCCACTGTCTCTTGGCGAGCACTACGCATATGCTTTTATCCTAGAGCACTCGTACGCTTTGCTTTGCTTTGTGTCTATCAAACTCAAATTTATCATGTCTCATTCTGCGCCCGATAAGACTGCATCGGTCTGCGGGAGGACATCCGGACGGACGATTAAGGCATAACTTGGACCGCAAGGCCGATGCACAGACAGCATCAACAAAGAGAAAGCCTGCTTTCTATGTCATCATCGGACAAAACTCCGTGGCAGAGGAGGGCGACGTCTTTTGCCCAGAGATTTACCGCGATGGCAGATCAGCCACGGCCTTTAACAGGAGCCGGTAGCGACAGTGGTGGACGAAGAACAGGGGTTCTCGGCATTTGAATACCTCGGAGGTGCATTTAGAGAGGTGTTTAGACATAACCTTTTCAGGACGACTGCAGCATGACGGCATGAATGTATATACGATGAAAGGTAAATGGGTCGGTGGAGTTTGAGCTTACTGTATATTTTCACTGTCATGAGGCGGCATTGGATGAATTCTTGCAGCTGAATAGCACCATATCTTTGGCACTGTGGCATATATCACTATCCCACAGCGGCTCAACATGAACTTAATTGTCTTATCTCGTAGATGGACATTGTATACTCCTGGATGCAGTTTGAAGCGTCTTACGGACTTAAGAATCCCTTGGCTACCCAAACTCTGGAACAAGCGGTGTAGATAGAAGAGCAACAGAGTATATATTAGGCATTAAGTTGTAGACGATGGACCATCTTGGCTCCGGCCAAGAAGCGGTCTGAACTTATACAATAACCTTGAATATAACCAGTTTAAAATAAGGTAAAAGAAAAGAAACGAAACCGAATTCTCAATTGAAACACAATTCAGCCAATTATTCCGATCTTCTGTGTTTGAAGTGTCCAAATGGCAGTGGATGCGTATATTATATTCTTCCTTGATAGAAAGGAACATCGACGGGCTACTACTTAGTGCATATTATTCCAAATAACGAAACTCTGGGTCTTTGAGTTGATTTTTGCTGTTATTGATTTATGGATTTGCCTCTGGACTACTATTGATCAACGTTGGATGATGATAATATATATTATACACGGTGCTATGAGTTGCTGGAGGATCTCAGGTCCATTTCTCGTCCGGACTTGCTAATAGTAATAATTCCCGGAATAATAGTAAAATAATGATAACGACAATAACGATAACAATACCAATGGACAGATAGCTTCGTATGTTCTTATAGTTCCGTGGCTGCGGGGTTGACGCAGACGCGGATGGACACAGACTTAAGATAGATGCGCAATACGATAATAATAACAGCAGACGAGCAGCATCGACATCATCATCACTAATTCCATAGTACATGCTGAAAGTACGCGCGTAGACAGAAAGCGTCATTGGAACACCCGCTGATTTTAAATATGCAAGTCATGGATAGACATACATGTAGTAGCTCGAAATAGGCCTCAAATGACCTGCTTCTGCCTCGAAACTCTATGCCTGGTCATCTGCGCGTGTCGTATCATGTATGGATTCTTTTTCACACTCATCCCCTCCTCTCGGGCTTGCGATGGAAGGACAATAATGCGGAGACGGTACTACCGTGTCTTACGTTGCTCGAGGAGAGGTTTAACTGTAGATATTGATAATCAATATCAACGAGAGAGATAGATATCTTGCCATATCGACGATCATACGAAGCACCGGCATCTGACCTCGAATGACCCCGACACTATTGTAATCCATGTTCATATTCTTGTCCATATACTTTATCCCCGCTACGGGGATAACGGATGTACTGGCGCACGGAACTCTCAAAGACACAAGGAATCGGGGCAAGATTGTTACAAATTGCGTATCATCATTTTCCCTCATTTACTCCGTATCTTCATTGTATACTCCGCAGTAGTCGCCGTCAGCTAGAAGAAGTAGCTTTCGGAGACCCTGCGTTGGTGACTCGGATGGACACTGTCTTATGGACATGGCAGACGATCATCCGCGATCCCTGTCATTGTTCGAGCGTAGCATATTTGCTTATTTGACGACTGCTATTATTATGACTATGACTATAGTAGCCTGAGTCGACTGAAAGAAATCCTTTGGCATCGCGACAAATAGAGTTTCCGCAGTGCAGGTCGCGAAAGAAGTCATCGGACACATGCCAGGATTCATGCAGCATGCAATCACCCGGTCGATGTGATTTGCCTCCTAGCCGGACGAAGCAGATAGTATGAGAAGGCATTATTCGCAGCTTGTCGATGCCGGCCAATCAGTCCTGGGTGGCGTCTGGCTTGGCTGTTGAAGGAGGCTGCTGCGCCCTGCAATAAAGTAGGGACATCGCCAGCTTCTGAGATGAATCTGGCTGTTTGGCTGGTTAGATGTTGTTGTATGACCATTACCATTGTCGTTGTTGTTGTTGTTGTGCGTGCGGCACTCCGGAGTCAGTATTCTGCCAGCCTCACGTGTGGCGGTGTCTCGCTCTTACAACATCCTTCAACATCAAACAACAACCTTCATCAAAACCCATCCTCTCCCTTCCATCCGCGCTCCATCCAACCATCGCTTCTCGCCGTCTTGGCCGCTTCTTTCATCATCCCTGGTCCCATCTCATCCATCCAGCCATCCGTCTTCTCCGCCCCCGCCAATTCCCGCCGTCCCAGCCCTCCCCATCCACGTCCACGCGTCTTGCGCCGCGCTCGCCCACTTAGCGTCGTCGTCTTGCTTTACCCTGTCTGTCATCTCTGTCCCGACCGATTAGGCTGTATGCGAATGCGAACTCCGCGTGTAATCACCATTTGTCTCGATAGCCACGCTTCCTCTCGTCGCAGCAAGAAGCAGTTCCTCCAGCTTCTCCTCATCTCCATTCTCCACCCACCTCGCTAGTCCATTGTTTTTATTTTTTAATTTTTTTTTTTTTCTCCCGCTTTTCGCGAAACGCGCCATCGGCTACCATCGCCGTCGGACGGCTTTCCATCTTGAAAAACTTCTCTTCCCCCGCCGTCCTTCCTCTTTCCTCTACTTCCCGCGCCATGTATGGCTCTTCCAACTCTGCCTCTGCCACGGCGAATAATGACATCGGAGACGATCTCGCCGACGGCTTGGGAACCATCAATCCCGCCGCGTTGAATAACGATGTTAACCATAGTAACAACGGTATGTCACTCGCTTCTTTTTATTTTCCAGAATTCGCTTCGCAATTGCGATCAAATCGTTCCAAGCTGACATATACAGTTGCTTCCGTGCTCCCGTCACCATCGCTAACGGCAACAACAAATAATACAAATCCACGCGGTGTTAAGCGTAGTCGGTCCCCAGAGCATCCTGACGATGCGCAAACGGATGGTCACGATGGCGTGTGTGAGTGAAATTCCATCTGCATTGTCAACTGCTTGCTCTAACCTTGTTTACTCTAACAGCGGACGACCATGGTCGTCGGAAACGCGGGCGCCCTCCCAAGATCCATCGACCCACCGCCTCTGAATCGTCGACATCCGGTGTGGTGCCTGCTAACATCCAGACCCCGCGGATGCAGTCGCAATCATTCCCCCCGCAGAGCATCGTATCGCCGCCGCTGACATCGCCTCCGGAGAAGACAACACCGACGAAGACATTGATTAAGGCCCTTCCGACCGTCAGGGATCACACCACCGACCAACTCAACGAAGGCGGTGACGAGTACATCCCGAAGGAGTTCGATGAGGCTGGAGAGAAGAAGGTCGACGCGATGGGCTATCTGCAAGGTGGCCGCGAGTACAAATGCCGGACTTTCCGGGTGCCCCTTCGCGGAGATAAGCTCTTCATGCTGGCTACCGAGTGCGCTCGCGTACTCGGATACCGCGACTCATATCTCCTTTTCAACAAGAATAGGTCGCTTCATAAGATCATCGCGTCGCAAATCGAGAAGGATGATCTGATCCAGCAAGATATCCTTCCGTACTCGTACCGATCGCGCCAGATCGCTATTGTCACCGCCAGGTCGATGTTTCGCCAGTTCGGCAGCAGGGTTATCGTCAACGGACGGCGCGTGCGTGATGACTATTGGGAAAGCAAGGCGCGCAAGCAAGGCTTCACCGAGGAAGACCTGGCAGGCGAGAAACGACCAGGTGCTGCCAAGGCCAGAGATGCGGCCGCTGCCGCGGAAGCCGCGAACGCCAGTCTGTTGCCGACTTTCGCCCATGGCGATGTCATCTACAGCAACGATTCCCTGGAGGCTATGCCCAATCTGCCCTTGGGAGCCGCGTCGTCCATGTCTCTGTCTTCGCTGGCCTTGAATAACCTTGCGACGACAACAGATGATCCGCGTCTGAAAGAGTATACGAGTCTACCGCGCTCACGGCACGAGATGACCGGCCAGCCGTATCAGGATAGGTCACAGCCCAGCAGTGCCGCAGAGATCATGAATCAGGCATCGCACACTGCCGATTTTAACAAGATCCTGAGCTCGCAGCGCAGCCTCCGTCAAAAGGGATTGGAAGATTTCTACATGAGACAACGGGAGGCTTCCGCCTCCGCTGCTTCGTCGGAGGAACAGCAACGCCAACTGCAGTCACAACAGTCACAGCCGCCGCCAACGGCTATCGCACAGCAGCGCCAGTCGCAACACTTTGACTCAAGCGTGTCGACGGCCCAACCGCTGCAGTCTCAGGTTGTGTCTGCGGGAATGGTCAATTCGGAGAATATGATTCCGCAACAGCCGTCGATGATGACCAGCCAGGGCGGCTTCTCTCAACCAGGGCTTCCGCAAACAGCATCGCCCATTCGAGGAATGCCTGTTGGGATGCGGCCCGACCTGATGCAGCGGTCAGCCCTATCGACGGGAACCCCTCAAACGCCTCCCTACGGGTATCCGCCCCAGCCGCAGCAGCTATGGGGCCAACCGCCACCGCAACCGCAACCGTCTGCGCCCCATGCTGTCGGGATGTCGCCGTATGCAGCACAGGTTCATGCACCACCGCAACAAGGCCCCTCTCTTGTCCACCAGAGCCAGCAGCCTCCTCATCCCTCTCAATCTCCGCGCAATCAACCCCGGACTGCGATCCCCCCCCACCTGCAACAGTCTTTCCCGTTACCCCATCAAGTGAGTCAGCAACAGCAAATGGCGTCAATGGGATTTCCCGCCACTGCGACCGCATACCCTGCAATGGTTGCAAACCGGGCCATGTACCCCTCGGCGCAAGCATCTGGAGGCCAACCATTCATAGCTGGAAATACCCCGCAGTCGGCACTTGCGGGAATCGCGGGTATGAATGCCGGCGGTATTTCAGGCTGGCCGTCCAATCCCGGAGCGCCAATGCAACCTGGAAATCCCGCGCAAGGACAGTCTGGAAGTCCCTTGGGGGGATGGTCTGGTTACTAGTCAGAACATGGATTTCGGCGTTTCGAGTGCTCTTGGATTTGCCGGCATTTTTTGGTGTTGGGTGTCTAGAATCGACACTGGTTTCTCTATCTGGACTTGGCATCATGTTTGCTCTCTTCTATCTCTACACTTAGTGCTTGTTTTCTGTCACCATGATTTATTCTCTTCTTGTGTTATTCTTTTTTTTAGCCGGGGATGATAATGATCCTTCTGGGCAAATATTTTTTTGACTATACCCTGTTATACCCTGCTTGTTCATGCTGCTCCGTTCAATTCTCTGCGCTGAATGCGAACAAGGTTGTATACTTTTCGATAGATGGGAATGGGATGATGTTGAATGCTGAACGTTGATGTTTGCTGTTTATGGCCGTTGGCCTGGATGTCGTCACTTTATATACCCAGTACTTTTTGGTATTCTTACTTGCATTAATGATCAATAGCCATGGTTATGTATTCGTTGATGTCTATTGAGCGTAGTCCCTGTAGTAATAGGGTGATCTACTCTGTACAATGGAAGACAAACAGAATAGTACTCCATTCTGTACAAGATCTTAATATGATAATGTTATTTCCTATTATTAGACTGTTCCAATCAGCAATGTACTCAAGAGCGTACGATACAAATGTGAACCGGACTAGAAAAGAAGAAATGCAACGAGAAGAGAAGAGACAATTCCTTCCTCAGACAGCAGTTGGACATGAAATTCAAACAATCCACCTCGTCCCCACATAGAGACTCGGAAAAATATGAATAGTGACTGAATGTCTCATCATAGGAAAGAAAGATCTTTTCTCTGGATCGAGTATCGAGTACGGATGTACTCCATACTCCGTATCGTAGAGGATAATGATAGCAGCAGCAATATCGATATAAGGTTAAAATATGAAACAATACGATATAATATGACATTGTATACCTTGCCTAGGACCCACCCCCCTTTCCTTTCTCGCTCTTGATAGATAGATAGATGACGAGGTGAATATTTGGAATAGGTATAGCCATGTGATGTGATCTATCATAACCATAAAATCTCCGTATAGATGGATAGATAGTTTCGTGTACAACTGACTGTATGCTCATTGCTATGTCTCAGCTGGACTTGGGTGTTGGGCGAACTGGCTATCTTTGTTGTCATTGTTAGTGTTGGGTCAGGTACATAATCATATTCCGTTGAATCCAGAGAGGATGCCCTTTGTATAGAAAAAGGAGATATCAAGGATCACGACAGTAGAGTGAAGTGGATGATGAGATGAGGCGGAGGAATATATACCCGAGTTGAACACGTGACCGAATAGTACCGTTTTGTAGTTTCAGTACCTACTTCTGTGGTACCGTGATACCGTACTCAGAACAGTTCCTGAATACGCTCAATTCCAACAACCTAAAATATCTCATTGATAAACATTACTCGTACTAGATATTATTTATTGTATTACACAATAGCTTCATGCCAGACAATCAGTCCCATCACTCAATTCTTTTTGATCGCAACTTCAGCCAATGATCAATCCTGAATTATCCTTTCACAAAGCCAAGACAAATAAACAAGCAAAATCCTCCATCGCGGACTCCCAAGCAACTCGAAATAATTATTTCCCAGACACGTAAAATCCGAAATCCCAGGATGTATCGCTCTAGAATGCCAACGGGCTAAAAGGCCAAAACATATATGAAATCAAGATGCGCACCGAAAACAAAAAACAACATTTACTCCTGCCCAAAGAAGCGCTGACTACCTTCGTTTTCACAGTTCAAAAATCGCTTGGCGTTTGCTGGTTGAATGTATTATAGCATTTCGATTTCTGTGACCTAAGTTCCTGGCTTGGAAACCGATTGTCCCCTTGCTGCCCCGGGAATTCCTGAATGTAGAATCCAGTGACATTTTTGATATCAGTTGAAGCTGGCACCGAAGCGCCCTTGACCGAGTATTCCAGATTTGGCGATCCCGAAAACGATACATTTTCGCCGTTCGGACGGCTTTGGTCAACGGTTGATTTGTACGTAACGGATGTGACGTTGGATTGGGACAGATGAACGGGATTCTGGAATGAGGCGTCTTCCGGAGCCGTCTCTGGCCAGTTGCCCATTGCCAGATTGGTTATGTAGTCTGGAAAATTGGTATAATGAGCGGGCGCAGACATTGGGGGGGCAAGGTTTTGGTATGCAAATGGCGCAACCGTGGTCATGGGTAGGGGCGTTGAGGGGGGCGATGCAAGATTCGCCTGAGAGGGCGCTGTGGCAGAATAGAAGTCGTCGCCCGCTTGGGTAGTCGACATGTAGAAAGTTCCATCCGAGGGAGTTGTCGGCATGAAACTATGGAAATCATCCGGGGTCAGGGGTGTCGTTGGTGCCAAGGTATTGGCTGACACAGACGGCCGAAGTCTCTTTGACATCTCGACTTTAGCCGAGTTCAACGCACCGGTCTCTGCAAAAGTGGGCAGGTTGAAGGGTGACCGTGGAGTCGCAGAAGCCTTTCGAACACCAGCATACCGTGAATTCAGAGATTGAGCCGACTTGGTGTGTCTCACAGCCTGGCTGGGGCCAAAGCTTGAGATTCTGGCCGTAGGGGATATGGAAGCCGGCGCGACTCGCGGATTGTTCGATCCACAAGTCCCAATTGCAGCAGGCCTTGGCCGTTTTCTCCGAGCCGCAAGATCGATCTTCTTATTGGGAACCTTCCAGGAACCTGCGGCGTCCACTCTCTGCGATAGCTGGGGCAGACCATATGACTTTGTGTTATCAATGCCGACGCCTTCCAGAGAATCAACGAGCTCATCCGAAGAGTCTCGCCTTGGCAGAGGGTCTGCGGGATGCTGAATGGAAGGGGCATAGGACATGGCGTTGTGCGTGGGTTCAGTGGTGTTGACCCCATGATTGCCAGAAACTGGACGGCTGGCCCATTCCTCCCCTGGCTGCTGCGTGAAGGACATCCTCATGTAGGCATCCCCACCACTGCGGCTTCGGTACGGAAGATTTTCTAATTGCGAGATAGCCAGCGATTCAGTAGACGAAGGAAATGACGTCGTGTTTAAGTTGGTATACGCGAAAGATTGCTCGGGGCTCTGTGACGGGGTCCACGCAACAGAGGATCTTGCAATACTCTCCCATTCTGCAAAGGACCGTTCACAGTCGCTGGCCCTGAGCCCCGAAGTAGACGACTGTACCCGCGCGCCAGTGTCCTCTGATCCTTGAGAAGGGTTGGCCTTGATTGAGACGGTGGAGTTCACCGACTGTTGGGAGGATGCCGGCATGCGTTCCTGACCTGGTTTATTACCTGAGAACTTGTGGTTGCCGATTTGTGACGAAGACGAAGTCGAAGAGGAAGAGGAAGAGGAGCTTTGGGGAGACAACTTTGCAGGATTGACGGACACAGAAACTGTAGATGACGGTTTAGGGGTAGAAGTCTCCTGATCCGTGCCCCGTTTTGGCGTTGTGGAATCCTGGGTCTGTTCTGTTGGATTGCTGGCGGACCCAGACTTGTTTGACTCAGCCTCCTCAGCCTCCGCTTTGGCCTTTTGCATCCTGGCAAACTCCTCCTGTCGTTTCTGCTGTTTGGCCTTGGCTCGTCGGTTCTGGAACCAATTCTACATAGGCCATTAGCTTATCAGAGTAACCAAATTATCAAACAAAAAAGAAATATATAACTGACAGCAACTCGTGGAAGGCTCAGGTTAGTCTGAGCGGCCAATTGTCGCTTGACATTGCTATTGGGCTTGGGATGAGCCTGGAATTGAGCCTCCAGGGTCTCCACCTGCTCCTTGGTCAACCGCGGGCGGGACATATTCTCCGCGTACTCCTCGTAGTCCATGATGGGGTGTGCATAAAAGTCGACGGGGTCGAAGGGTTGATACGGGAACAGGTAACCATCGGGGGTCTGTAGCATTGTCGGGTGCGGCATAGCAGGATCCAAGGCGATGGACGACGGGTCCATCGGTACGGCCGAATGGCCGGGAAAGGTGTAGGGATGCTGGAGGTAGTTCATTGTCGCGGGAGAAGGGAAGGAGGTCGACTCGACAGCGATGGAGAAACGGGTGACACGAAGAAGAGAGACACACCCCTGCGAGTTTGCTGCACGGCGGGAGGGCAGCTGTAGCGATAACCCCTCAGATCATGGGGGAGGAAAGTGCTATGATCGGACGATAGTCATAAATATAAATATATGAGATGATAAGAGACACGGACAAGCCGATGGAACAGGAACTGGAAAAGTTGACTGATTGACAAAGGGAAGAAGAAAGAAAAGAACAGATAGGAAAGGGAAAGGGAGCGAGGGAAAAGGGAGCGAGGCAGCTGGAGGACGGGGATCCGCGGGCCAGAGGAGAGGGAGTGACAGAAAGCACACCGATAGATAGTGTGCCTGTGCTTGGCAATAAGAGAATGACAGCAGCTGGAGTGGGCAAGCAGCAGCAGCAGAAAAGAAAGGATAGACTGGGTCAATTAGTCAGAGGAAAGTAGAGAGACTAAAGGTAAATAAAGAGTGGATGGAAAGCAGCAGATCCGAACGAGGGAAGAGATGAAGGAAGAAGAAGCCGCGCCGGGAAACGGGACTGACAGACAACGACGATGGGCTGACAGGATGCGCGGACGAGCGAGAGAAGCGCAGCTCTTGGGCCAGCTGCAGAGAGAGGCCGCGCTGGTTGGCCTGCCGTTCTCGGAACTGGAGTAAGGACCCGCCAGAGTGGGCTCGGCGCCGGCCTAGCGTACCATACCCGTACATACGGTACGTATACCGTACCAATACAATATGCGGTAAGTACCGTATGTACAGTATGAGTACTCCGTACCCCTGAGGCCGCGGTCCGCTGCCGAACGTCTCCGTTGCTGCAGCCAAGGCATGTATATACCTGTACATGTGCAGCTGTATGTCCGTGATGGCATCGTGACAAGCAGGGTGACTCTCAACTCTGCAGAGCGTATGCTATACGCCATATGCAATACGCATAACTAATAAATTGCCGACACAACAACCGCGTCGTGTCCTCTTTCAAATTTCCATCCTCTACAACTTCAAGTCAACACATGACTAAGTTCCTGCATTAGCTCTGTGTCTATGCTTCAAACATGGCCAGTACAGAGTTTCTGCACAGACATGGCTATCTATGACTCTGAAATCTCCTGTAGAGCCAAGATATTACAGAAACCCTTCCCTCTCACTCCCCGCATATTCCCAATTTGGCTAGTCTGGGAGTTTGTCTGGACGGGTTTACAGTTCCGCGCTCTTTCCCTACTGACTCCGAGTACGGCGCTGCATTATTATCATTGTTATTTTGCTCTCTCACCTGCAGGACAGATAGATCACTTTCTGATCGCAAATTGATTGCATTGACCACCCTGGCTGTCACCTGCTTCAGCCTTCACGTCTAACAAATGCCTCTATTTTTGATCCAATTTGATCTTCATGATGTGCATAAGGGGTATCCCGGCCTTCTTTCGTCAGTGGCCACATGGCTGGGTCCGGAGGATTCTGTCTAACTGCCTGTCTGCCTGACGGTGTCTGGATTGATCGCCACATGTCGTTTCACAGCATTGTTTCACAGTAAAACATCCAGACACGTATGGGATATGAATTAGTAATGGTAAGTATGGAGCACACATCCTCGCTTCGAGTCTGGAAAATAATTAAATAATTACTGGGGAGGAAGGTCGCATCTGACCTGCTTCACAGTGTGGCTCATCATTTTGCCTGTTGTAGTGTATAGGGTACTCTGTACAGCTCAGCCCTACTTCAGATAATGATGTAAGCTCACTCTTCGCTGCGTAACCCGGAGGTCCCCTATCTTATCTGTACCCGATGGTATTTCAGAAACACCGCCCAGTATTCCGTTTGTACGTCAAGCTCTGCATGAAGTTAAGAGCTCAGTCTCGTGTAGTATTAGACTTCATCATACGTGTTCTGCAGTATGAAACAAAACAAACTCAGGGAATCACAAGGATATATCATATCCACATACTGTACCCATGCTCGGCAATTACGAATTAGGCAGGTGGCCAACAACCCGTACAGCAAAAGACACCGAATTATTATTAGTAGTAGTATTATTAGCTGCACTAGGTACGTGCACAGTATCCTTGTAAGTGGATGTATTGGAGTGGATACTTCTGCTGTACAACGTGAGTATCCATGTATGTACATGGATGCTGGTATTATAAATCATCAAGCCCAGTACATTGTAGTATACCAGTACTACTAAGTAACTACCTCCACTGACATAAGAGTTACCCTGCATCCGGAGGGATTAGGAATACATCCGCTGCAGGAAGTTTCCGATGGTCCACACGGAGTACTTTTAGTACCTGGTACTGTTCAGTACATTGCTGTACGGTATGGTAAGTTACCTAGGTACAGACCAGCTGACTAATATTACATGGCATGGCACTAAAAGAAGCTCAAAAATTGAGCAATTCTTAAAGCATTTACTGCATTTGTCTCAAGTCATGAGATTGATTGTTCTTAGACTGTGACTTTAGATCTTCCATTAACCTACTATGGCAAGGGTCTGTCTATGTAACTTTACGGGTATCTGTGCAACGAGCAGTTTCATCGGGGACTGCCATGCAGAATCGATCTATCAGAACTTAAGACGCGACACGACGCGTGGTCATTCTGTTTACCATAGTGCCATTACTTGTAGGAACAACGGTGGACCTAGTATCCAGATAGATTTAGATTGTACTGTTCTTATCTGCTTTGTTTTCTAGTGATTCTCTTGTTTTAAGATTGAATTGATTACATAAATCAATTAACGCTCAAGCCACCTACGGCAATCTCCATTAACTCCATGGCTGTGCTGTGGCTTTTCTAACTGTCCATGTTACATCCATGTTACATTCTTTTCTTGTATACATAGGTATACATAGGTGCACTACGAGTATATAGCCACAACACAAGATAACAATCCCATCCATCCTTCATTATTATTGTTGTTGAAACCTCATGCCCAGTGTCCACTACTATTGCTATCAAAAAAGTACGAACAAACTCTACCTCACGGAGAGCCGGACCGGAGTATCATAGATTAATATGAATAATCATGAAGGATTCATCCACTTTGGCATGCTCCAACTTCCCCGGGTGTTCCTCGGGGGTGTCTCGGGTTCCTATGGCTGCATGCATATGCAGGACTTTGAGACTTTTACAATTAAGCTATCGTTCCTTCCTTCCTTTCTTCTTTACATGCCATTACTATATTAATGTTATCATGACAGAAAAGGACTCTTATGACTTCTGTGTGTACAGCGCTACTCCCTGAAAGACTCCACCAGATTTTTAGTGGCTGATTTAGTTAATCCTGGCCCTGACCGCCTTTAGTGCCAGGGGTATTGTTTAGATCACCGAATCTAGTTACGTGTCTTAAACCTATGTAGATTTTATTTCACCTTCGAAGGGCTCTAGAGTATATAGGCCTGCTTAAAAGAGCATGTTTGTCACGGAACTCAACTAGACGATGAATAGGATGCTATTCAGCTATCTAGGCAGCTATCGACGAGAACTTCAAGCATGGAGAGGAAGGAAAAAAGGAAGAGATCTACGTGAAGCTGGACGACGTACTCCTATCCACGCGCCACGCTAATCCAAGTAAGGAAGCTCACGTGCTCGTCCTGGTCTACATGGCAAGGGCCCTGACAATGTTGTCTGGTATGAAATTGCCCTCTTTATACCCCTATATATGTATATATTTCATACAAATATATATACTCGTTTCGAGGCCTGTAGTTAAGTGAGAAAATGTTAGATCATGTGAATATATGCTGGTTCTGACCGCCCTCGCTTGCCCCTTTTTCCCTCACGAGCCTGCCTAAAGCATAGACAAGCCTCTCTCAGAAAATTATATGGCATAACGTGACCTACATGACATGTGACCTTGGGGCCCTAACTGTTAGTACACGTGAGGTACTGCCGTCCTAGACCGCCCTCGCTACCTATCTCACGGCACAGGCAGGCCTACCTAGTAATATGACCATACATGCGCCTATCCATTACTAACAGAGCTAGTGAAGAGATCCTCTTTACTTTCTTGAGCACCATCAAAAAGGAAAAGGATGGATTTTTGGGGGATCAATTGCAGAGAATCAGAAAGGACCATGGCTTTTCTGGGAGACGGATTTGGGGCTCCATTAACTAAGATTAAATCCTGATTTGATTCGTATGCAAGATAGAGCCCCAGGTCATGCTGCTAAGGAGGCTATCAAATAAGGAAAGACAGATTATTGTGGTTGAATAGCCTTCTTATTCTCCAGACGTTATTGGCATAGTGTGTTGTATAGCCATATAGCACGCTTATAGTACAATCAAAGAAATCTAAGTAGTATACAGGTTCGTCTGTACCACAGTTGGAATAAGGCTTTCAGTCCAGTGGTACAGGTTAATTGATTAGGAGTAACCGATTAAAGGACGACAGTAGGAGCACCACCGACCAGGGTGACACCACCGATCCAGCCCCAGACAAGGACCTCAAAGCCGAACGGGACAACAACGCCCGCTGCACCACCCAGGAGGGCGGCAAGAGCAGCACGCACCTCAACGGCCAGGGAAGCCAGGCTCTCGCCCGCCAGGAGAGCACCCAGGGCAGCGCGGATCTCGACACTGAGGGCGGCGGCGGCAGAGCTGGCCAGGAAGGCCTTGATGGCAAAGACATCAACGGCAGTGAGGGCGAGGGCGGTCTTCTCGGCAGCGGCAGCAAAGGACAGCCACAGGAGGACAGCAGACTTGAGTTCGGCGGTAAGAGCGCAGAAGGGGGCCTGCAGCCAGGCGATGAGGGCGAGGCGGGCCTCGACGCTGAGAGCGGTAGCGAGCTCTCCTGCAGCGGCGAGTTTGAGGGAAGCGAGAATGCCGGCATCGACGCCCAGGACGAGGTTGGTCTTGAGGAAGGCAGCGAGGGAAGCCTGGACGCTGGCGACCAGGGCACCGGCAGCGGTGACTTCGGCGATGATGAGTTCACCAGCGGCGACGATCTTGGCGGCCTCGACTTGCAGAGCATCGACGACGGCAACCTCGGCGGCAACAACACCGTGGATCCAAGCAATGACGGCCGCCTTCAGAGAGGCCTCGAGCGTGCAGGCCTCGGCAGTAACCCAGGCGAGCAGGGCAGCCTTGACTTCGGCATCGAGGGTGGCAACAACGCCACCGGCGGCGGCGACAGCGAGAGCTGCCTTGACCTGGAGGTCCAGAGCAGCAGCGGAGGAGGAGGTAATGAAGGACAGCAGGGCAGCCTGGGCACTGGCGGCGAGGGCGACCTCACCCTGGATGAAGTGGTCGATGGCGACTATACCGTTCACAGTGGCGACGAGGCTGGCCTCGGCAGCGATCTGGGCGAGGAAGGGAGTGTAGAGAGCCAGGCCCGCAATAACGTCGACGGAGAGGATGGCAGCCTCGGTAGCCTCGCACCAGGCGATCAAGGCCGCATGGATGCTGGCATCAAAGATGTGTACACCGGCACTAAGGAGCCAGGCCTTGATCTCCTCGCGCACAGCAACGCCGACAACGGTGGCCTCGGCGCCCAAGACAGCGACCTCCAAGCCAGCACAGCCGTTGGCACTCAGACCGGCGAAGGAGGAAACGCTGATCTTCTCAGAAACGAACCCAGTGACGACAGCGGAGACATCCACATCGGCTCCAGCGCTGATGGTCAGGCCACGGCGGTTGAGGTCGGTGGGGAGGCCCAGAGCATAACCGGCCAGGGAGGCCAAGAGGAGCCAGCCAGTACGCATTTTTGGGTATGTGAAATGAATATAGCAAAGAAAAAAGCAAGAAAAAAGAGTGGCAGAGATCGACGGACTGGCAAAGGAATGACAAGCCCAAAGCAAGAGGGCAGACAGATAGGGTTAGAACGAAGGACGCAGGGCAATAAAAAAAAAAAAGAGAGAGAGAGACGAGACGACGAAAGAAAGCAAGCAAGAGAGAAGCCTCATTTATACTCAAACCTGTCCTGCGTAGATCCAGAGCAGCAACGCATCTCTCCAGGAAAAATACCTCGGCGGATGGCTACCTGAGAGAAAAGTCAATAATGGCGCCTGCGCTATTGGCTACTATTTGCTGTAATTCCAGGCAAATACCCAGTACGAGAGCCTCACAAATGCCTGTTCATTTAATTTGGGCCTTCAGGCTGGATCCTCGTGGCCGAGACTCAACCGGGGCCACTGACCCTGCAGTGAGAGCCCGGAATAGAACCATTTGAGGCTGACACGAGAACCAGAACAGGACGATCATCGGCCCAGCGGGGATTTGCAGGAGGCGGATTGGTCTTCTTGCGGCGAGAGCTCTGTTGATCCTGATTCCTCTGGGTCTGAGTCGTCGAGGTCAAGGATGCAGGTACAGAGATTTCAAACAGGAACGAACCGGGTGTACCTGCATATCGTGAAGCAACGAGTCAGCACTGCAGCGACAAACAGTGAAGTCGCCAAGAAGCGGAGCGTGACAGTTGTGCCACATTGTGATCATTGTATTATTATTAGGTCAATCCACTGCAGCCTCCAGCTCCCGAGATTTCTTCTTTTTCTTCTTTCTCTTTCGTGCGTGACTCTAATGGTTTTAATGAGTGTATTGAGAGATTTGTTGAGCTCTGGGGCCCAGGAACAGCAGCTAGCTAACTAAGCGTATTAGGATCACGTGACCTCTAAGCCAACAGACTCTTCGCGTTGAAGCATTTTTTGGAGAGTTGTCGTTTGAAGAGTCTGTCGTGGGATCTGTACGTGTTTGTTACCACGATTACTATATAGTAACTGTAGGTACCAAATAGCATCAACTCATCGGAAATGAATTGCGCATCTCAATGGAACTGTGGCGATGTCTCACTCGGAAGACTGTAGTGGCAATGTAATAATGCTAATAATAGCAGAGCAATTCATGCATCCCCGGGTGTTCATGTCTGCTGGGTATAATGGACAGAACACGAGCGGCCATGTGCTCTGAATATTACGGAGTACGGAGTACTAGGGAAATGATATATAGGATAGACATGAAAGGGCCCGGACTCGTATTAACTAACCCCACCAAAACCTTAAGGAATTGAGGAATCGAGATCTGCATGTGCTTTCAATAAAGTTTCGGCTTTCCTTCTTCCTCTTCTCTCCGGTGAAGTTCCTGCCATACGGCGTCAGGTTTGGCGGTTCGCTGCGAGAGCACAGCATCGTACGGATGAATAAACCACTGATGAAAAAGCCACCTCGAGCAGTGTCTCGGCTAGCCAGCTCGCGTTGATACCGTGGCTTCGTTCCGAGCCTCTGAGTCTCTTCCCCTGCAGCATCCTGCATCTCAACGAGATCAACAGGGTCGGGGATCGGCGTTTGCCACATGGCAGTGGATACAGGGCTTCTTCGAATGTCGTATGCTGTCGAAAGAACGGGGTACGAAGCAAGATAAGCGCATTGTTGCTGTTGTTTCTCTCTCTTTCACTCTTAATCGAATATTTTATCTTTTGACGAGTTGTTGAGTGCAATTGTGGCTACAATACTGACCACTTCCTAGCCGTTGATAGATGCAGCGTATACTGACGTTCCAAGGTTTCATCATATAATATATTCTCGTATCATGGAATTCTAGACATCTAAGATGCATCTAGACATCTGATCGGCAGGCATAAGTCATCAAGATGTTGTACACATGTTCATCCGATAGGGGTATATACGCGCCTCACAAAGAAGAACCTTGGCTTGATACAAGGAGTGGAAAAGAATCAAGAATAGGTTGAGTATGGGTAAACCAAAGCCTCAACTAAACGTAAGGCTTCTCGGCTTCAGTATGACTGACGCGACGTTCATGGCTGCGCGCTCTGTCGGCTTCGAGGACCTGGGCAAACTTGCTCCATTCACGGATTTGCGGTCCCTTCCAGTAGAAGACGTAAATGGGAATTGCGACCAACAATGCCAGACAACCCAGCAGCGTACTGGCCCACTGAAGATGGAATCTTCCTCCGATGTTCTGGTACATGGGTGTCGAGTACATCGCCGAAATGCCTGCGAGCAGATCACGCGAGAAACCGTTACCGCCGGTGGCCGAAGCAGAGTATGGGCCGTACGCAGCGACCATGTAATCAATCGTGGCCATGTAGATGTCGTAGTTCGCTATGGCGATGAGGGTAGAAAAGATCATAGGCGCGATCCATGGCGTGTATTGCGGTCCCATTGATGTCCAAGCAAAGCCGAAAAGACCGATCGTCTCAAGAGGAGCAATAAAGAGCAACAACAGGAGACGCCGTTCGGCAAGACGAGATGCAGTGCCATGGCGTTTGCGAACCTGCCTCTGCCGCCAGACGTCCGGGATAACCAAGAAGTAGCCAATGAGGTATCCAATGAGGATGGGGATGAAAGCCAGTCCGGTCGTCAGGTCATCGAAGCCCCATTGCTTAAACACCAGTGGGAAGGACTCGGTGAAAATGAAGATTAGAGCATCGGAGAATCCTGAAAATAGAGAAAGACAAAGCACGATCGGTTCACGAAGGAACATCTCGAAGGGCCGACGCCAAATGTGCAGGATTTCCTTGAGGCTAAAGCGAGACTCTTTCACTTCGCCCGGTCCGTAGATATTGGGGTCCTCGCCGGTCTTTCGCCGGCGTTGTGCTTCACGGTCGAGCAGGATGGTGGCTCGAGTCTCCGGCACGAGGAAGAAGTGCAATATCTGCGTGACACCCCCGAAGATAAGCTGGATCCAAAAGTTCCATTCCCAAGACAACCATTGTCCAATGAAACCCCCAAAGACGGGCCCAATGGTCGTGCCACCGACGGAAGAGAGCACGACGAACGCGACAGCGAACCCCTGGTCGTCTGGCTCCCACATATCAGCGGTCATACCGAGTGTGACGGAACCACCTGCAGAGCTCAAGCCACCAAGCGCTCGACCGACGATCAAAGAGCCAAAGTTCGGCGCCAGGGCACACGGAAGCTGCCAAATGTTGACCAGGAACAAACTGAGCTGCATGATAGGCCACCGGCCAAACTCCTCACTCCACGGTGCCCATAACTCACAACCAAAGGCATATGTGACCAAGAAAATCATCTGGCCCACACGACCTGCCTGCTCACTTACACCAAAATGTTCAGATATCTTCGTCACGGAGCTCGCATAGACACTGCTGTTGAAATTCATAGACATCTGCACAACGAAGATCACGCTGATGATGGTCCATTTCTTCCATCGGGGAAAAGAGAACCCCAACTTATCATAAGCTTCGTACTCGCTAATCACACGTTTCCCATCCTTGGGAGGCGGAGACTGATTATCAGAGCCTATGGTGCTATCGGATAAAGCACCAGCGTGTTCGGCATGAGAAGAAGTCGGGCCGGCATTAGATCGACGATTGAGCTGGTAAGGCTGCTCGGGCTTTTGGTCCTTCTTCTCCTGGTACTCGTCAGGAGATATAGGATGTTTGTCATTGGTGGCCATCCTGGAACACCTCGAGAATCGACAGGGATAAGCAGCGACGTGGTTCGCCCAGAAGGACAGTGAAGGAGATCAAGAAGAGACGATATAGGTAGGCAATGTCGATATCATACCAACCGGGACAAATGTGATCAATGGAGAAGTCACTCACAGATAGGAACGTTCTGTCAACCTCTCGTCATTTGCCACGGTCTGCTGGATTCAATTGCAAACGAAACAGTGTCGAGATCGACCTGAAGCACCCTTTATATGTCCTTCTGGTTGGAATTGAATCCATTCATTATTCGCAAAAGGCTCACCGTGTGGAGCGGGACGATTTACGGCCATCCTTTCCCCATTCTACGCCCATGCTCTCGCTCGAGGAAGATGCATGATGATCACTAGGAAGAATTGGCCCTGTGGAGCCCCTTCGGTTGGTATGCATGCCATCGTCGAGTCGGGAACGAGCACAGTGCCGAGAAGGATTGGCAACTTGGAGGTGGCGATGATCGGTCCCATTCAGCGGACGGGGTGCCAGACGTCGCAACAAGGTTTCATAGGAGTCCACAACTGACGCCATCCCCAGGACCCGGGCTCGGCGTCCAGGGAGGATGGGACGGAGTATATGGGGTTTCTCGGGCGAGTTGAGTGGCCAGCGGTTGTGATCGTCGGGTAAAACACAGCCCTTATAAACGTCAGATGAAGTCCTCATAAGGGGAACAATGCAGCATGCAACAGAGCAAGCGAAGTGTCGTTGGTTGTCGGCCGTCATGATGTGCGATTAGTGATCTGCGAGTATGTGCCAAGGCCCGGCAGTCATCTAACGCCTGTTGGCTGCCACGCTGAACTTCACACCCTGGATGATATCATGGCCTTGCCGTCATTTCTTGGGAACCGCCATGGGGTAACCCACGACCCTTGGATTATTATCTCCAGGAACAAAAATGCCCGGAGGTTTTTTCCTGTGGGTAACACGGCGCACAGCACCCCGTTCGTACAGCTTATCGTGCGAGTTTCTCTCTTCCAAATCACGATTTTCCTTGCTGGCTGTAGAGCGCACACCGTATCCCTTGTTTAGTGAAATCTGCTAATCAAAGTCTCTCCGGCCGTCAGATATCATACCGTTTATTGGCCGTGACCGGTTTTCTATGACTGCATCCAAATTCTATCGATCCACGGTCAATGTGCGAACAGACCCCACTTGTCATTGAAGAGAACGGCATCATCTTCTTTAGATTAAAACCTCTCGGAACACACCGAGAGTGGCCTGGTCTCGTCCTAGGGATTATTAGCCCGAAACTTGTTTGAAGGATTAATAGTCTAACCCGAGACACCACCCCTAGTGAAAAGAAAACAGGTATATGCGAATTGTAGACATACTGCGTGGTGTAAATCTATCTATGCTCATTAATAAGACATCCTAGCAGTCAGATGGGTAGTTGAATAGCGAACAGTAAACGCCAGGAGCGGTACTCTTTGGTTTGGCGGCCTTATCACCGCAGTCAATATGCAATTACGCCGAACTTATCCACCCTGGATGGCCCGTAGTAACCCCGGGAAGCTGTGGAATATTTTATTACACTGGATCATCAAGTGCTACAACGACGACAGAGTAGTCGCCAGTAGGTAGCCTGGTGGGCCATCGACGTCAATGTCAAGAATGACGCTTATCTCGGTACGTCGTATCCGATCAACATCTTGATCTTAATGACTCGTTGATAATCGAGGTGATGTGACATTGCAGCGCACAATGTGACATATCCTCATTGTTTCGGAGCAATGTGAGCCCAGCATGTAGAGCGCAAACTCCAAGGGCCACGCAACACTGCATTGAGGAAGATCCCCCAGGCCCAAGGCCATCACCATTCCCGTGTTGTGCATAGACATTGAACACAACAGAGTATGTACTATGTAGCGAGTCTTCGATCAGACAACAGTGGGGTGCTAGAGATCCTTCTGTTCAGTAATAATCAATAACCATTAACCATGGGGAGGATAATATATTCATATTCATTCAGTCACGGAATATCGATGCCGATGACATACATGGCCGGCTCACGGCTCCCTCATGGGAGGACCAAGCCCGTTACTCCCCGAGCCTACATCATCGTAATTGGCTTCACGATCAGCCTTCGAAATCTCGGCACCTTGGAGTATTTGCAGTGGTCAATGTATCCCGTCCGGGGCCATATAGCGCACCCTTCGGCCCGGTTTCTCTCGGGGAACGATGCCCAAGGAGGCATCTCACCGTCGCGCCGAGAGGCGGACGACTGTCAGCCGAATCTCGTGCCAGTGAGGCTTTGCTTCTCATGTAAAGGCTTCCCTTCGATTCTTCGGAATTCTTGAAACATTGCTGTTATCAACTTTCTTATCCCTGCCGGCCTGTGGGGTTTGACTATACTCACCTAGGTCGGATATAATCCGAGTTCCCTTCTCTAGAGGCCTGTATGCAATAAAGAATAAATAGTTCTCAGGTACGGATTGCGGATGATTGTCCTCTTTGACAAGATGGATGTACTTGGGGAGGTTGAGGCGGCAGATTCAAGTTTGCTTCTAGTGCTTTTCTCTAGTCGCCTCACGTGCAAGCGCGTAGTTGTACATATCAGGCATTATTCTTCATGTCTTGTTCTCTCATATCTACCTGATGTTTGTATGTCTAATCTATGTCTATCCTGGACACTTGCATGCATCCTTTCTATGCAATATCCACACAAACCCGCCCGACTATTGAAATGCATCCCGAATCTCAATCTGCACCTTTCCGTCAACGACACCCTTAACTGATACGCTCCGTAGGTCCTCCACCACCCAATCCGCCCCAGCACCCCGAATTTTCTCAATAGAATGCGTCGTGGCTAGAGCAATCACCTTGAATCCGGCCGCTTTCCCGGCCCGAATTCCAGCCGGTGCATCTTCGAGGACCACTATAGATGTGGAATCTCCGAGTCCGACCCTCGACCGGCCTAGCAGGTAGCACTGTGGATCTGGCTTTCCTTGCTTCACATCTTCTGCGACTACCAGCGCATGGGGGCGGGCAAGCTTGAGGACATGAAGCCAGCCTTCAATTAGCGCGCGGGTTCCGGATGTTACAACGCCCCAGCGAGCTCCAGAATTTTCCAGTGATACGAGCAACTCTGCAGCACCCGGAATTTCCCTGGCGTCTGAACCAAATTCTATGGGAATGCGGCCCTCAACGTAGCTGACATCTATCGTTGGATATTCCGGAGTCAGGCCATGCAGACATAAGTAAGCTCATACAAGGGAGGCCTCTCCTAAAAGAACGCAAACTCACATTCCCAATTGGCCTTATTCGGATCATAAATTTTTAACACGTCAATACTCCTCCGACCATGAGAGGTAGCTAGGATAGTGTTCGGATCTACACCAAGCTCTTGGCCGATTCTTCGAGAAGAGTTAGAACCGGGTTTCCAATGTTCTTTTCCCCAAAAATGTAACACTAGTAACTAAATCCACGGACAGAAGACCAACTTGTGCCAATGTTTCACAATTGCTGGATCCACAAATCAGCACCCTGGATATGTAAGAGGAAAAGGAGGGAAAACAAGTAAAATTCTTCAATTCTTCAACCCACCTGCCGTAGAATCAACAATAGTTCCGTCGAAATCAGACAAGACGCCATCGAAAGTGAAGACCTGTGGAAGTGCAGAAAACGACCCCTCGACAGCTGGAGACATGGTGGTAGAAGGCGATTAGACAAAAAATCAACGGATCTGAGATGAGTTTAGGTGTTGGATACGGAGTAAATCGAAAAAAAGAGAGTCCCTCAGAACCCAGCAGCAACAGCAACGCTTTTAACAAGCACTTCTCTGCCACGCAACGAGTTGATGCGGTCTTCAAGCATGCCACTCTCCCACCACCTGATACCATACCGGTAATTGTTAGTACACGTGAGGTTCTGCCGTCCTAGACCGCCCTCGCTACCTATCTCACGGCACAGGCAGGCCTACCTAGTAATACGACCATACATGCGCCTATCCATTAGGTTATGAGCCCGTTTTAGCTCTACGATATTGAGCTTAAAAAAAGCCTTTCAGATAGGCTAAATTGTGACCTCTCATTGGTCAAACCAGAAATCGAGCGCTTCTAAGCGACTCTGAACACCAGGACCGCCAACAATCGGCCCCTGAACCCCAGGATCCTTCGATCGATCCCATCCAAAATGGTGGTGCCTCGAACGCCCCCTACCACCGCTAGACGTCACCGTCGTCAGCCAGAATCCACAGATCCTTCATCAGATATAGGCTCCTCCGCCTCCTCAGTAATCTCTGAAGAAATGGACACCCCAACTGCCCCTAGAGCTCAAAGCTCTACTACAGCCAACACCATGGCATCCACACCAGACATCACAGCTCTGTTCCAGCAGATGCAGGAACAAATGCAGGAACAAATGCAGAAGCAGATGGACCAGTTCATGACTCGTTTTAACGCCCTTGAACACCATCAATCCCAATCCTCCACTCCTACAGTCCGGCATAACGCTACTCCCTACAATCATATTCAAAATAATACGGCTATTCCAGCCTCAAATCCAGTACAAAAAGATCCTTTTGATCATGTACAAGCTCAAGTTAAAGCGCTCCTACCAGACCGATGCCGAATCACACTGTCTCATGATAATTACGACCTCTGGAGTTCAGCCATTCAAAGAGAAGCCAATGTCCTGAACGCTAGTACAGTCTTGCATCAGGATATACCTCCAGTAGGATACTCAGCTTATGATGCTGAAGTATGGCATTGCAAAGCCACTGTCATGAGAGCCCGAATGCTTCATGCTATGACTGCCCAAGCCATTGACAAATTGGGCAACACATATGACCTATCAGCCCATGGTTTATGGGACCGAACTGCTACCTTTTTCGGACGTTCTACTGGTGAAGAACGAATGCTTCTCATAAAAGAGCTCAAGGAGCTCTATATAAAAGACAATGACTACCTATCCTACCAATCTGCGTTTACTAGGATAGTAGACCGCCTTCATGCTATAAAAGAAGCATCATTTGACAACCTTATTCACGACCTATTTTTTATAGGCCTCCGCGAATGGAACAAAGCATTCATTAAGAGTAAACTTGATGAAGTATACTCAACTGGACAAGGCCCTGTCATCAATCTGGACCTACCTACCATTCAAGCTCAACTCTCTATCCGTATGGGCACCCAAGCCCGTGAATCCCGCTCCCAACACGGAGGACGACGAGAGAATCTATCCGGACGAAGCTATTCCAAACAAGCATCTAACCCCATTGCTAGCTCTTCCGCCTCAAGTTCCAACACTAAATATAAACCTCAGGACCAGGACTCACGCAAACCAAAGACCCGTTGTGATTGGTGTGGTCATTTCCACCCAATGCCTTGCCTCTACAAGAACCCTGAGAAAGCCTCTGAGCATTGGCGCCGAGCCAATAAAAATACTATTGAAGCTATTCGTGCTTTACACACTGCTAAAGAATCTTCCACTGCTTCATTCTCTGAAGCAGAAACCAATGAACTGGTACCATGGACTTCTTCAGCTGCAAAAACAGCCATTGCTAAATCAGCCCAATCTCTCCAAGCTTCATGGTATCTTGATAGCTGTGCTTCATTCCATGTTACACCCCATCAAGCTTTCTTCACGTCCTATAAAACATTGAGAAAGGAGGACCTTACTCCAGCGGATTATATTGAAGATGCTCAAGGGAAGATTTCCAAACCTCATGGTATTGGCACCGTCGTCATTGATATTGGAACCGGATCCTTGATCCTTAGGGATGTACGACATGTTCCATCCTTCAATTCCAACTTAATCTCCATGGGAATGCTTCTCAAACAAGGTTTTCGTATCGAATTCCCTTCCAGCTCTCAAGTAGCACAAATCACAACCTCTTCTGGTGCAGAATTTGAAGCCATTTTGAATACCAACAATGTATTCATCCTATCAGATTGCATTTCTCCCGACGAGAGCTCCTATGCCTTTGTCACCACCCGGTCTGGCAAAGAGGCCAACCGACCAGGGGACCCTCCCAGAAAGAAACCTACAACATCCCCAAAGACTAAGAGCTCCAAAACAGCTCTACCAATTATGACATGGCATCGCCGTCTATGCCATTTAAACCAGCAGGATCTTTTACGCCTTGCCGCAGATCCTACATCAGACATTGAAATCAAAGGTTCCAAAGAACTACCACTTTGTGAAGCCTGCATCCAGGGCAAGCAAACTCGCCAATACAGCAAAACACCAAGATCCCGTATGACTGCACCACTAGCCCGAGTCCACATAGACCTTGCTGGTGGCGGCCGAACACTAGATATAGAGAAGCTAGATATGCCTCTACCTTCACGTACAGGAGCCAAATATGTGATGCTTATTACTGATGACGCTACACGTTACCGTTGGGTCCACTACCTAACTGAAAGATCTGCTGCAATTGATGCATTTCGGGGTTGGCTACAACAGATGAAGAATCACCATTTCCCTGCCCCAGCCTATATTGTCTCTGACAATGAATTCTGTTCAGCTGAATGGCAGAAAACCTACCGTCAGGAAGGCATCGAATGGCAACCAAGTTCTCCATATTCCCCTTGGCAAAACGGTGTCAGTGAGCGCAGCATACGCATACTCTTTGACCGTGCTCGGACATTAATGCTTGACGCTCCCCATATACCACAGCGATTTTGGGTTGATGCTTTAAAATATGCATCAGATATAACAAACCGCCTCCCAACATCCACAGTCCTATTCAATTCACCTATCCCTGGGGGTCAATACCAACACCAAAATCAGCCCAAGCCCATATAAATCGCCTCTGGCTGCCTGGACCAACTCACCAACTAGTATCAACAAATACCGACGTTGGGGCTGCCCTGTCTGGGTTCATCGACATGGCTCAGATAAGCCTATAAACAAGTTCGATTCCCATTCTAAATGCTGCTTCATGATCGGCCAAATCAGTAGCCAACAATATAGAGTGTGGGACCCTAAAACAGACGCCATTTTTTTCAACCAATGACACTATATTTGATGAAGAATATGAGGATCCCACAACTACACCTCCACAAGCTACTGTTCCTGAAGATCCAAGTACTCCTAATAAAGAAGATACAAACCAACCTGTTGAAGATGAAGACCAGGAAATATGGCTTCGACCCGCCAAAGGCATGTCCCTAGCCTATCTCACCACTTCAACTACTCCTTTGTCTGAAGATGACACGCCTACTTCCTATAAGCAGGCTATATCTCATCCTGATGCCACCAAGTGGCAAGCAGCCATGCAAAAAGAAGTCAACCAACTCAAAGAAAAAGGCTGCTGGCAACTTATCCGCCGCTCTGACCTACCACCAGGGACCAAGGTCATCCCTGGCCGGTGGGTATACAAAAAGAAAGAAATCCCTGGTACCCCTATTACAAGGGACTACCAAGTTAAAGCTCGCTGGGTGATCCGTGGAAATCTACTTGACAAGGACTTCATGGAACCATACGCCCCAGTGGTAGATGAAAATACCACTAGAACCCTTACGGCACTGGCCACTCTACTTGGCTGGCATACTCGAAAGGCAGATGCCATCCTTGCTTTCCTAAATGGAAAAATGCCCACAGATAAACGTGTCTTTATGACCCAAGTTCAGGGATTCAAAGAAGGCTCTGGAGACCTGGTTTGTGAACTCCGCCAGTCCCTCTATGGACTGATCCCATCTGCCCGTATCTGGTATGATACACTAAATGCTTTCTTACGACAAATCGGCTTCAAAAGCTCCGAATACGACTCTGGTCTCTGGATCCATACCACCCGGACCCAACTCTATGTGACTACCCATGTGGATGACTTCAAAGTCTATGCTAAGCATGAGAATGATGCCACTTGGTTTATGGAGTCTCTTTCTGCTAAATTTGACATAAAAGAAGTTGGAAACTCTACCAAATACCTTGGCATGGCCACCTCTCAATCCAAGACCACATATACTCTCTCCCAGGCCAATTATGCTGAAGACGTTGTTGCCTCTTTTGGCCAAGCACAAGCACACCCTGTTGGGATCCCCATGGATCCTAGTTTAATAATTGATGATGACCCAGACCCTACAGTGAACATCAAAGAATATCAACGTGGTGTAGGCTGCCTTACTTGGCTAGCCACCAAAACCCGACCTGATCTTAGCCGGACAGTTGGCGTACTATCCCAATATCACGCCAAACCTACCCAAAAGGCATGGCGTGCCCTTATACACGCTATACGCTACCTTAAAGGCTCCATTAACCGACAAATCACCTACCATAAGGCCACGGAACCCATTACATCTGACCTCCTCATGCCCAGATGTTATACTGATTCTGATTGGGGTGGTCAACTGACAGGCAATCGCCGGTCAGTATCTGGATATATATTTCTGCTTGCCGGGGCCCCAATTGCCTGGAAAAGCCGCAAGCAAACGTCCGTTGCACTTAGCTCCAACGAAGCTGAGTATATGGCTCTAAGTGAAGCCAGCCGAGATGCCCTTTGGCTCCGGAACCTCATCAATGAGCTCAACGTACTCCCTACTGAATGCCCGCCAATTACTCTCCATATCGATAATCAAGGTGCACACGCCATGGCTGAAGCTGAGCTCACCACCAAGAGATCCAAACACATCGATATACGTTACCATTACGTTCGGGAGAAGATCCAAGACGGTATTGTTAAACTCCAGGCCTGCCCTACCAAAGAACAAGCAGCAGACGGCCTGACCAAACCTCTCCGAACTGAACAATTTGACCATTTCCTACAACTCACTGGCATAAGCTAAGCCGCGTATATCTCCCCCATTTTGGATATATTTTCTATTTTGATATACGGCATTCGATTGGCTAAAGCAGAACCTTCATTCCTCTGTTTATTTTTGCATATATTCACTCATTTGAAGGCCCGAATAGAGGCCGATTTCTGTATTTAGATTGATTCCATAGTTTGTAGGCTGCTCGTGCGTGGGGGGGTGTTAGTACACGTGAGGTTCTGCCGTCCTAGACCGCCCTCGCTACCTATCTCACGGCACAGGCAGGCCTACCTAGTAATACGACCATACATGCGCCTATCCATTAGTAATTTCTAATCATCACGTGCTGCCACGCAGTAGATGTTGGATCACGTGGGATTCTGCCGCATAGGTCCGCCCTCGCTGACCCTTTTCACCACGTAGGCCTATCTAGCTAGTAACCAAACAAACAATACACCTCCATTAGTAGAAGACTCCACTTGTTTCTACCATGATGCCTCTACGAACAATAAGTTTTCGGTCGGATATTTAATCCAGCTCACTCTGATTTCATGAGAGAACACAAAGAATCCATCGAGATATATACGGTTGAAATGGTATTCAGTGCCCCAGGCAGTTCTTGCAATCTAGCTCTGAAGGCAAACCAGACACCAGGTACCCGACCTAGGTACAGCACCGTAGTTGGGAGTATTTACATCCAGCGAGTTGAAGACACCGGAAATCGAATGAAAAAGAGCAAGGCAACCTTGGTGTATTTATCTCCCTGTCTTCTTGGGTTCTTGTACTATAAGGGATGATGTTGCATCCATGCAATGATATATATTATCAATTGAAAATTGAAAAGATATCGCTCCTCAGATACACAGGGAGTATGAGCATAATTGTAAATTAGGGTTCCAGCTGCTCCTAGTCATAATGATTTGGCCCAGCTAATACATCGCTGGGATATTCTATCTTTCCCTTGGATCATCCATCTAGTACAGAGCACGGATTCCGGAGAGCGTAAAATGTGAAATGATCTCACGAATCAAGGGGGAAGAGTCGGATCGTACAGAACTCAGGGAGCCTTCCTGGAACGTCTATTATCCGCTCCGCATACAATATCCATTTCAAGAGCTGTGTACACCCATTTCAAAATGCATTTGCCATTATGAACATTAGTCATCCATCTCCCGGAGATCGGCATTACAGAATGTCCGCTTATCTTAGCACAGTAGATTCTTGGCATCTGTTCCAGTTGGTAAAAATTCTGTGTCTGGTCTGGGAGTGCTTGCTGCTTACCAGTTTCCTTTTTTATAAGGGGTTAGTTGTATCCGTAGCTGGTACAGAGATCTTTGCTATATATTCAAGATGGTCAAATTAGGTATGTTATTTTTGATTTTCTGTTTCCCCTCGATTCCATCTCCACGAAGGTATCTGACGGTGTTGCGAAACTTTTTTAACAGGCAAGACGTCCAAGAGAAAGCCTACTCGGCTACGGCATAAAATTGAGAAAGCTGCTGCATCAAAACGGAGAAAGGATAAGAAGCTAGCCAAGAAGGTAGATCTTTCATGAAAAAAATTTTTTTTTGTGAATATCGAACCTAATTCTTGTCAAATTCTAGAATCCCGAATGGCGCTCCAAGGTGAAGAAGGATCCTGGCATCCCCAACCTTTTCCCCTTCAAAGACAAGCTTCTTCATGAGATTGAAGAAAAGAGGAGGTTGAAGGCGGAAGAGCAACAGCGTATTCGGGAGGAAGCCCGCGCTCGCCGTAATGCGCAGACCCAGGAATCCGGGGGGGTTATGGGCCAGATTGATGACAATGAATTACTCGACGATGACATGGATGAAGCCGGCGATGAGTCTAACCCAATGGCTGCACTGTTAGCTTCAGCTAAAGCAAGAGCTGCGCAGTATGAGGACGAACACGGAGAGGATGACGATGACGAGATGGATGATGATGATGAAGACGACGACGATGATGTGGATGAAATGGAGGAGGACGACAAGGATGGAGGGGCAGCCCTTGATGTATCTGATATTCCTACGATAGCCACGCAGTCTAACAGCAAGGAGAACTCGAGACGGGCATTCGATAAGGTGTTCAAGCAGGTTGTGGAGGCAGCGGATGTCGTACTCTATGTGCTCGATGCGCGAGATCCAGAAGGCACCAGATCCAAAGAAGTGGAGCGAGAGATCATGGCTGCGGATGGCGGCTCGAAGAGGCTTATACTCATCCTTAACAAGATCGACCTTGTTCCACCGCCAGTACTTAAGGGATGGCTTGTGCATCTACGACGGTACTTCCCCACGCTTCCATTGAAGGCATCCAACGGTGCACCCAACGCGCACACCTTCGACCACAAGCAGTTGACTGTTAAGGGCACTTCCGAGACACTCTTCCGGGCGCTCAAGTCCTACGCACACAGCAAGAATCTGAAACGATCAATCTCCGTCGGCATCATCGGCTACCCCAACGTCGGCAAGTCATCCGTCATCAATGCACTCACTGCTCGGCTTAACAGGGGATCAAGCCACGCTTGCCCCACAGGCGCAGAAGCCGGTGTGACAACCAGTCTGAGGGAGGTGAAGCTTGACAGCAAGCTCAAGCTCATTGACTCTCCCGGAATCGTCTTCCCAAGTGCAAGCGAGAGGAGCGGGGGAAAGAAATCCAAGAAACACGACGAGCAGGCTCGCCTTATCCTCCTCAACGCCGTACCTCCGAAACAGATCGAGGATCCGTTACCAGCGGTCCATCTTCTGTTCAAGCGACTATCCGCCTCGGAGAACCTAATTTCGAAGATGCTCGATGTTTATGGTATAACGACTCTCTTCCCGTCCAATGGCGACAAGGCAACCGACTTCCTCATCCAGGTTGCGCGGAAGCGCGGCCGTCTGGGTAAGGGTGGTGTACCGAACCTCAACAGCGCCGCGATGACTGTGATTACCGACTGGCGAGATGGTAGAATCCAAGGCTGGGTCGATGCACCAGTCCTCCCAGCTGTCACGCTGTCAGATAATAAAGCATCTGCGGACGCAGGACCTGCCGTTGATACGAAGCAGATCGTCACCGAGTGGGCGAAGGAGTTCAAGATCGAGGGGTTATGGGGGGATGGAGAGGATGATCAGGAGATGGCTGAGTAGTGTTCATCTCTGGTGAGACTTGTACATTTCTTTTCTGTTCTCGTCTGATAGATACCAAAAGTAAGGCGTTTTGATCTGGTTGTCATTGGGGCGAGTCATTATCAATGAATATGGATCAGCACGAAGTACTATAAACCTGGGGTTTTTGATGTATCTCAATAGAGTGCTCTCGTACAACCCTTCCAGTCATCAATACTATCATGTAGGCGTATCATCTATAATCCAATAGTGCTTGCATCGACTTTTCTCTCAACTACCTGGCCCACTATCATCATCACTGCCATCATCGCTACTATCATCAGCTCCATCAGGATCCATCACGCTCTTCGTACTCCTCTTTCTACTCCGCGAGTCGGCATCGAGATCCTCAACCCGGTCAACATCAGCATCCATATCGAGATCGTGTCCATCTCCCTCTTCTTCCTCTTCCTCATCCCCTTCTTCGTCATCATCATCTTCTTCCTCTTCCTCGTCCTCATCCACATCATCATCCTGAGCTCCTTGCGTCTCGTCATCATCATCAGCATCACCCCCTACTTCAGTATCCTCAATATCCTCAGCCCGTTTAACCCTCTTCGCATCATGGACTGTCTCTTCTTCCTCTTCTACCTCCGCCTCTTCTTGCGCGTTTGCCATTGTGCTCGTCGTCCCGGTCCTATTAGCTGCAGCATCTGCAGCGTCTTTCTTCCCCTTTCTCTTCCCAGCCTTGAGATCCGTATGGGCTTGTAATTCCTTCTCAAGTCGAGGACGGAACGAATCGAATTCTATCTCTGAAAGTGCGGTAAGGACGTCTGATGGCGCTACCATTCGTTTCAGGGTTGCTTCGTTGGCACTGTAGATATTTCCGAATGGGTTACTTAGTCATACTTCATTCGCAAAGCAGGATTATTGAGGGGGTATATGCATGCATACTGAGACGAGAGATAACTGACGAACACCGTTGCTGCTTTCTGGATTGCTAGCACCGCATCTTTCTGTATCGATGTATTCGGGGGCAGAACAGACTTTGCGAGTCGGAGCGTCAAGGAGCGCGGGAGGAGGTAATCCTGTATTTATTTAACCATCACATTAGTATGATGGTTCTTTCTATAACTTATGTAGTTGTGATGTTCTCTTTGAATATATTCGCATGTGATCTATATTGTATACGCGACAATAGCAGAAGTGAGATAGAAAATATAAACCTACCTCAACACTAACGCCCCCTTCTGCCCGCGCCTTAAGCTGCTGTTCTGTTGCAGTCTGAGTTTGCGTCTGTGGAGTCTCGTCTGATTCCGCGGAAGTCGATTTTCGCGGCGGCATTATGGGTGGTCTTTTTTGTAAATAAAAAAAAGGACCGCTTTGGGTTATAATGTAAGACTAGAAGAAAAGAGGGGAAAGAAAAGAGGAAATAGAGTTACACTGGCGTCTTTGGATAATAGTGATTGCGACGCGGCGGTTCGAGGGTCGCGTCAGGACTCGATAAGATAGGCGGCGTACAATGCATATGCCACTATATAGGATTTTTATACTACCATCAGGGAAGCTTTTCCCCTTCTGGATGCCACCACCTTCTGAGGGTACTGGTCTGTTCACCTCCTCTATTTTGTGCAGGTAGCTCGACGATAGTGACAGATTAACCGCTTTCAAATTACTCATGCCTATCAATTTGCCCATGAGAAAAATGACACAAGCAAAAAGCCGATGGGGATCAAATGATCCTCATGTGGCAAATCCTCCAAGCAAGAGAGTTACCCAGTAGAAAAAGAAATGAAGTTTTGATTTTGTAGCGAATCCTACGCTTGGTCAGGGGAATTGACACAGAATAAAGAGAACTAAGTAGTTAACTTGACTGAGCGAGCGAACTCATTGACTTAGTTGGGGGACAAAACAATGATAGATACATGCGACTTATAACTAGGCAAGCCCCTGACTAATGGAATATCATTATTCCATACCGAGCATCCTAACCATATTCATATCAGATTTCAACAAAGCTATAAGTAAAAGAGGACTTCCCGTGTACATGCGATGCTCCGTGTAAAGGGAACTGGGTCATGATCGAGGGATTCGGAGCGTCAAGGTAGTGTTGGTGCTTTGATACAATAACAAAAACAACAAAAACAAAAGGAAACAACAGAGATAGACTCCAAACAATATGATAATGATACTATTGAAGTGAACTTGAAAATGAAATGGTTGTTTGTGTTAGAGGTCACGTGCGTTCTGCCATATTAGACCGCCCTCGCTTGGCCTGACACACTAAAATAGCTAGACCAACCTAGATAGATACAATACAAGCAAGTGGATCCAACATTATATACTGGGGTCAAATGACCACTCACATGTCCCACACGTGACGCAGCTGGGCCGTCACAATAGTTTGCCCGACTCTGGGCCTCCCTAGCTAGAACAACCAACTCAGCGAGTTCGACCTACATCGACAACTAGCATACATGTGAGCTCAAGCCCTGACACAGGTTCTGCCCAATATGTGATGTGAGAGATAAGCTGACACAACTGATCGCATGGGCAACACCCAATGCATGATGTGGTTGAGACCTAGACCCTCAGAGCTGGGTGCATTTTATTGAGGCTATATATTACCGGTCAGCACTCACCCCATGCTCAGGGAGCAGCCTGAGTGGCTCTCTGTTATTCAAATGTACTCAGTGAGCAGGGGGTGGACAAAAATGAAAAGGGAAGGCCCTCAACGTTGGTAGAACAAAAAGGGCGTATGCCTACCTCGCTGTACATACATCCTACACAGCTCTGTCTTGGACAGTTGAAATAGTTCAAAGAGTCCATAATTAATTAATCAGTTATTCGAATGTAAAAGGATTCCACTGACAAAGATAATGAAGGCCATGAAAGAATGCCAGGACACAAACCTGGTTAGATGCAGCCCATGCATGTATGATCAACAACCTGGACAAAGGAACCTCCTATTCAATCTCCAATGCACCTAAGAGTATCAACGTTACAGGGTATAAAAAAAAGATATTCACATTACTAGAGCACATTAAACGCCTGACCTAAGTGGTGACATGAATGTTCATAGGCGAAGGCCCTTATTTCTGTCAATAAGCACCATCAATGATGGCTAGACCAAGGACAAGCCAAAAAGAGAGCAACCACAAGAGCAGTATCCTCCCCATACGTTCGCGGATTCGGGATCTACAGAACAGCGGGACATGGGATATCCCACATCGACCCCTTCCAAATATAACCATGGCCGACAAATAGACGAAAACATGTGGGATTCAATTTTGACAGCAAGAACGTCTCCTGCGGCTTCAAGAGTCCAAATAAAAACGCCCGAAACGCCGCCAATGCAAGGTATAGTCTATCATCGGTATCTCTGGGTCATGAAAAGGGGCGGAAAGAAAGAAAGAGGAAGGAAGAGGAACAATCAGGAGTAGATCGAAACGGAAAGAAAGAAATTGAAAATACCAGATGAGACTCGGTTGCCAAGCACTTCAAGCAGCGGGCTGATGAAGCAGATTCTTCATCCCATTAGGAACCGATTCGGAACATATTGTCTCAGTTTGATCCCCAGGTTCACCACATGATGAATTACGCCCCTTAGCGACCAAGTTTGGAAATGTAGGTCCATTATTGCGCGCAGCACCGGGCGGAAGCGGGTGCATAGGGTCCTTGTCCACCTTTCCGGTCTTCTCAGAGCTGCCCGTAACCTTCGTAGCCTTCGTGACTTTGCTGAACGATGTGATCTTCGAGTTGCTGGCCGTTTCTCCTTTCTTACCCGACCTCTTCTGGGTTGTGGGCTTCTTGCGTGATGTCTTCTCGGGCTCCTTCTTCGTCTTGCTTTCTTTGAGCAATTCACGGATACTCCGTCCTCGGCTGGCGGGATTCGGACAGGCCCCGTCAGAAGATGCGGTTTGGTTGCGGCGCGGCGCCAATGAGTCCTCGTCGGTGCTGGAAGGAGTGAGAAATCCAGTGATCGTCTTTTGTTTCTTTTTCGGTGTCTGAATAACGACGGATAACGAACCCTGTTCCTTCTTGACGCGTTCCACCTCTTCTGGTTGGCAGACGTCGAATACTTCTTCGGAATTATCATCCCATCTTCTCAAATTAACTAGGCGCGCAACTTCTTCGCAGTCTCCTTTGACTACAAGGTCCCAGCAATCTTCAAATTCTCTGCCGGAAGGCGGTTCGTTATTGATCCATATCGTTGTTCCGTTTCGCCGACTGCGAATCACCTTGCATAGGTTCCGCACGAGGCAGCGCACGCCGGGAATCTTCATACTGGTGCCGACCACAATCAGCACATCTGGGCGGGAACGAACGTCGGCATTCATAACAGAGGCGATCGCTTCCTCATCCGGATTATGTTCGTTGTAGAGGACAATGCGCGGCCGCATCTTACCCACACCATGACTGCGTTGGCCGGTAGTCGCACGGACGGCATCCGTCTCTGAGCAGGCTGGACAAAGGGGAGCGTCGGGTCCGTTGAACAGCTGTCCTTGAAAATCGGCCATATGACAACATTTCTGACACACCATCTTCTCCAGACTTCCATGCAGCTGAATCGTACGCGGCCATGGCGCCTTGACGTTTAGAGGCACTTGAGTTGCTAGTGGCGGCATAGATGTCTCGATGCCGTCGATGTTTTGTGTGTACAGACGCATAAGACGGTTCTCCTGTCCAAGACGTGCAAGCATGTGGTGGAAAGCGGTGGGAGTAGTTCTGGTAGCCTCTTCGGCAAGCGAACGAACCATTTCATGGAAGGAAGCGGTTAAAGCCTCATCCTGATAGACCGCAGCATCAAAAAGGAGCTTTCCAGAGGCTTTGAGGTTGTGTTTTTTCTGTAGAGATTTAAACAGGCCATCTGCAGAGCGAAAATCGGGGACTATCATGCCATTAGAAATTTTATTTTATTTTTTCTTGGAGCAAACAGGGAACGGAGGGGTCGCTAGGAAGAGAGATGGAAGAGCAGAGCCATTGACGCGGCGGAGAAAACACGTACTGCCAGCAGATGTAGAAATACCAGCTCCAGCAATGACGACAATTTTTCGGTGTTGACGGATTGTCTTTCGCAGCAAGTCAATCTGCTCCTGTTGCTCGGAATATGAGAGCGTAGCAGTGTCAGATAGATCGAGACGCTGAGTCCTGCGTTCTCTTGGAGCAACGCGCCTCCTTTTGCTGGCGGGCGGCCTGTCAGCTTGGCTGTCAGTCGCACCGGGAAGCTCAGATGTGGGTGGTGAGAGATAAAACTCAAAACCCGGAGGCGGGCTAGGGGATGCTGGAGCTGAGCTGAGTTCTGAAGCATCCGAGTCATCGTCCAGGAAATAATGGTTGGCGAGGTCTTCTGGAGATGGAGTTGTTGCCATTGCCACGGCCATTGTTAATGCTGATGAGGTTGTTGTTGACGTGGTGGGTTGACGTTGTTGACGTTGTCGAGGTGGCTGCAAAAGAGAAGAAATAGGACGGAAAGGCAGAGAGAACGGATCGCTGCCCTTTTATAGAGAAAAGGATGACGGCAGAACCCGGGAAAGAACCATTGAAATGAAAGATAGAAGAGTGAATGTCCAGGAAGTTCTTTGTCGCCAACAGGGATGGAGAACCCGGGTAGGGGAAAGGAAGAAAGAGACGCAGGGAGGAGACGGGGCAGAAGGCGAAATGAGGTCAGGGCGCGCGTCTATCGTGTAGAGGCTCTAGCGCTTCGGAACCAGCAGAAAAGGGAGGGAGAGGGAACCAGATGAAAGCTCTTTTTCCTATGTTTGTTATTGTTGTTGAGACCCACGGGGAACTGCGCGGGAAGAAGCGAAGACCGACGAGCAGCTACGAGAGCGAGGGAGCTGGTGAAAACCCTGAAGAGCTGTCGTAACTTGTAAGGAGCCGAGAGACGGCGGCAGTCCATCGATGATGTGTCAGGAATGACCGCAGAAAACAATATATCTTGTTTCTACTGTACTACTACCTAGGGGTTCGGATTACCGCGAGCAATCCGGAAACGGCGCCAAGAGTCCTGTAGAGCGTGTGCTGGACGGAGGGAGAGGCCTGTGTTTAATATCTCATGCATTCTTTCTTGCTCCAAATGGGGGTTCACGGGCAATCTTAAGCCATCCAAACAGAAAAATCTGGATGAACGAGAAGTCTCTTCTCAAAGCTGGAATCAAACAGTCGATGCGACGCCGCATGTTGATTGGTCCGATTCAAAATGCCGCGTTGCACGGGACTACCACCGCGCTTAAGTCACATGATACTTATGTAATTCAATATCACATGACCTTAACTACATATGATGATTAATCGCATCACCTCGAGTCCAGAAGAGAGAACAGAAGGCCTTCGCTTATCGTCCATTTGAAGTTCTGTCTTCGACAGGGACTGCCTCTCTTCACGGCTCAATTATTTTTATTTTCATGCCTCGATGCAGTAGTAGTTACTAACGGCCGAGATAAATCGGGTGCCATGCTTACTCATCCATGGAAACAATGAACAACCACTGATCTCGGTTGAATTCGAATTCTACTATTAGTATCTGCTATTCGCATTCCATGTCTCGGGTCCTTTATACCTGGGATATTATTTCCTGCTTCCGTGGGATTGTTAAAAAAGAATGCCCTTAATCATGGAGGACAGTATCAACGTCGACGACCTCTTCGGGGAGCCCTCCTCCCTGGATTTGGGCCTCCCATCTCCCGTCTCCACAAAGGGCCTGGCGAAACGTTTGGACGAGATGCGACTATCAGGATGCTGCCAGTATGTTGTGATATTTTTCTATTCTGTTTTTCTTTTAGCCTTTTTTAAAACCTTTTATTTGACATTGTCCATGTAGGAAGATTGCCTGGTCGAGACAGGGATGCATTGCATACGTCTCCCAAGATGGCCTCCGAGTCAACATCCGCCATTTGCGCTGTCAACCATCGGTTGGAAAGTGGGTGCTCAGTGATGAGACGTCATCTCTTCCCGTCACAGAGGCCCATGGGGGCCTTCCCTTGGTCCACCTTCTGTGGAATGAGACCGGGTCCGAGTTGGCAGTTCTTGACTCGTCCGGTCGGTTGTCCATATACACTATCACTACTGCACTAAACCAGATTGCTGGCCAACGTCAGGCAACCTTTGATCCGGACGATGATGGCAATCAGGTTGTGGGTATTATGTGGCTGAATGCTCAACGTTCTGTAAGTGTCACCGCTGCCATCCTTCCGAGTAAAGCTTACGCCAATCCCTCAGGTCCATGCATTTCACCAAGCCGCCAAGCGGAATGGACGCTGGGTCTATTCGCCTTTTCGCCGTCGTCCTGTTGGCCCTTTTCACCCAGCAAATAAACCATCCTTGATCTGTGTGACTAGATCCGGTCATATCCGGTTGGTGTACCAGAACCCAGATAATAAATGGGCTGAAATCTCAGCCGAGTTGAAGAATACCGGTTATTCGGATAAGCTTCTTACACATGCGGCTATTGTAGCTACCCCAGGTGGTCATTTACCCCGTCCGCGAACTCGTAAAATGTTTTTTATAAGTTGTGGCTGATGTCTTATAGCCAGTATCATTATCGCTACCCACTCCCTATGCCGCAGGATCTGTCTTTATCGTGTTCTCATTACCTGGGATCCTGCACACTGGGATCCAAGCCAGAACAAACCGGGACTTCCACCCCAGCCCTTCCCCGTCCCGAGCTTTCGTTTTGTCCATTGCAAGGTTGAAATGCCTTGTGACGTTTTGAGCACCAATCACAATGTGGGAGAGAATACAGACGGTTTCCAGCCCTACCTTTATAACCTCACTCGACTAGAGATTATTCCCGGGCCTCTGGAAATACCGGCAGGCTCAGCGGCCGGCCCGTGGATTGTCGCGGTTTTCTCCAGCCCTCTCCATGCCGTCCCAGATGAACCAGGGCAGCAAGGGCCAGCCAGTGTTATCGTGCGATGGCAACTCGATACTGCTCCCCAAGCTCTTCACCCAAAATTTGACGAAGTGGTCTCCAAAAGGAATACTAACATTCAAGCTAAGGTATCTCTAGAAACTGAAGTTTACTTCGCCCTTTAGAAACATGGCTGACAACCGCGCATTTTAGCCGAAACTTGAGTTACGCCGGCTGGAAGACATTTATCTTGACCGACATGTCGTGTCTATAGACTGTATCGAATATGGCAATACTGTTGCCGTAACACACGAGGACAGTTCTATCGCGTTCTACGACCAAAAGACCATGACACTCCTAAGTGGATTGCAAGATACAAATACGGTGACCAGCTTGGCCCAAGCAGGGTTCCATTATCCCCTTGAATCTTCAAGTGCGTTGATACTTTTGCCCTTGCCATTCCGACTCTAACAGGAAACTGACCGTTGGTAAAACTAGCACTTTACGTCGGCTTCTCGCCTAATGCATGTGTCGCCACTGTGCTCGACAGAGACTGGCAGATGCAGCTGAGATTCATGGAGCACTCCTTTGGGGCGGAAGATGGCCGCTACGACGAAAGTATGTATTGAACCACCATATGGCAACGGATAAGTCTCTAATTCAGGATTAAGACAAATTATCTGCAGCCCTGGCTTCTTTGGCATTGACTTTTTGCCGCGGGTGTGGAAGTGATGTCAATACGGATGACATTTTGGTGATCGCTTTGCGTCAACTTTCTCCTGGTCTGTTGCCAATCCCAGATTGTTGCCCAATTGGTATTATTTGACTTCTGACAATGACTTCAGAAGCTGAAACCACATTTGTCAATGAGATATACCGTGCTCTGCCAATTAACTGCAACTTCACGGAGGAGCAGGACAAGCTTATGAACCATGCGTACATTCCACGGTGTCTCAGTCTACAGGCTGCTTTGGGATTCAAATCTAGGTATAAGCCGCGCAGTCTCACGTCTGCTATACCGTGGGCTATTCTTAATCTCCGACATGCATCTATGCTTTTTGCTTTCTTCTTTCAGTACAATCGAGGCGCCGCACCTGAGCCTCACGATCCCGGTAGGTACCCTATGGTCCGAAGTTTCTTGATTGGTGCAGCTAATGGCATATGCAAGATGTACTACGGATGGTCTTTGGAAACACTAAATGGGCATTGGAATTTTTACACTATATCCTAAATGGGCTTTTCGACCTCGCAGACGATCTAGAAAACACTTTCAACAACCCAGAAGTCTTTGCTCAAAGCGGTAAGTAAATCAGAAGTGTCCTTTTCTGTGGCCAACGATCAAAACTGATTCAAATCCTCTGAACAGTAAAATCCACAGCCTCCTTGCCCCTCGTCATTGTCCTTTCTAGCATGTCTCGTGCATTCTTGCGCTTCATCTGCCGCGGTCTCCGGGGCATCTACGCAGGCTACGCCACAACCACTACATTGTCAGGAGACGCTCGTGTCTACTATGCAGAAGTCTGCCAGACCCTAGACTCTTCGCCCGTCCGCATTGACGTATACGAGAAATTCCTAGCTGGCGTGGACTCAGCAGTGCGGCACGCCTACCAAGCGGCGGCTTTCGGCGAAGCCGAACGTCCAGGTCCCGAGAAGGACCTCCTCGTTCACGCCCGTATCCAACCGGTCTTCATACCAGCTGTTGCTGCCATTCTGCGACAGACAATTCCCGCATTGAAGCCGGAGATAGATCGCATGGCTATCTACCTGGGCGACTATGGCTGGCTCGGGTTCGGCGACGACCCGCGCACGGAAGTATACCGACGGACGCGGGACGTGGACGTTCTGAAGAAAGTTCCCCTGCGGAGAGCCATCACACCGGCTGGACATGGGAATGAAAGTGCAAACGGTGAACCCGCCAGGTATCATCATAACAACGCTCCTGCATCTCAAATGGTCCGGAGAAGACGCTGTGTCCGTTGTTGTGAGGTTACAGGGGATACGTCCTTTCCGCGCACTCTTCTCGCTTTCCGGATGGTGTTGAAACTTGGTCTTCTACGCTCCTGTCTTTGCGGTGGAATGTTAACTATTGAACCTGGTACTGGGGAAAACACCGGTAACCAGGCCCAAAGTCAGATAGGTAATGGTCATGCCCAGCCGTCATCAACTCATCAGCATAGCAATCCATCGCGAACTCCAGCCATGGTTAATGTGTGATGACCTGAGTCACTGTTGGTGCACTTTGGTTTAATTATTATTTCTTGGATCTATCATTGGTATGGGTTTCGAATTTTAATTTTCGGATGTGAAAAGATAGTTTGGTAGTTTCATCGAGAAAAGGATTTTAGGCTATTTGCCTATTTTTCACATATAGATCTTTCGTTCCTATATACTTTTGTTAATATTTGGCAATTGACATGATTGAGGAAGCATCCACAACTTTACCTTGTCCATGACTCCCGTTGGACCAAAAATATATATATATATATATTAAAAGATTCGCCCACTGAATAGTATCCCGTACGGAGCAAGATAAACCATATATGACAGCCTACGGGATCCAGCAGTCTCACCCGAGTACTTCTTGTCTCGAAGATATTATTCCGGGCCCCTTTTGAAGATTTCATGGTGTTCTGATCTAAGTTACCTACCTCCCTGTCCGCGTTACTTTGCCTCTCTCCCCTATAACAAACATTGTGCACCGTCCACTAACTCTACGCGTCCAAGTCCTCACCCTGATGACCTAATGGTTGATGTAAGATTCGTCAAAGCCGCAATCGGTATGTCAGGAATTGGTGGTTGAGTCGGTCCAGGGGGAAGAAGATTGCTTTGGGTGTGAGAAGGTTGATGAGTTTTAGGGTGCTGAAGGGGAGACGACAGAGACGGTGGCAGGGACAGAAACTCAAGGACGGTAGCAATGGATCACTGATACCCAAAGAACCGAGAACTACGATGACTAGGAGCCTTTCTCTGATATACCATTACTACTGAAACGGCGTCGAAGAGAGAAATTGTCGTTTCCGAAATCCATCGTAGAGGGCTCATCATTCCAAGTTCAATTTGCATCATTTAAGATACAAAAATATGAAAACAAAATTCTCTTTCTTTGAATGTCTGAGAAACCGAACATGAAATGTCTTTTTTGGAAGATGAAAAAAAGGAAAACCGTAAACCGACCCTCAAGGTTCAGGTCAACCACTTCGTTATTTGTTTGTTTATTAGAAAACTCGACCCGCAAACTCCAGATCCAGGCACGGTCTTTTCATTTCTGTCTCCGATTTAAGCCTATAGAATTAATCATGCGATCAGTTAATTTGTTTTTTTTTCCCTTAGTAATAAATCCCGTCGGACAAAAACACCCTATCCCACAAAAGAAACAATAATCTCCTCCCATGCGATATCGGTCCTTCATACCTTGATAGCATACTTCCTCTGGGGGAAGTGGATCTGCTTCTTCCTCTGCCTCTCAGTGACGGCTGTGGCCTCGTGCTTGGTGAGTCGTCGGCGGAGAGCGCGAGTGAGCTTGGGACGGAGGTCAAGAGGGAGGTACGGCTTGTTCTTGTAGAACAGACGGAGCTGGGCGCGCTGGTTGGCGTTGATGACGGTGAGAACGCGAGCGATCGACTTGCGGACGTCGTGACTGAAACAGAGAAGACAAAGAATATCAGTATTTTCAGTTCCCTTCTCGTAGATTTTGTTGTCCCTGTCTTATCACCCGCAAACAACAAAAAGCAATTGTCCTAGTCGATTCCATTTCGCTTAATTTTCATTTTCCTCTTCTCCTCCCTCCTCTTGATCTTTCGGGCTTTTTTCGCATTTCGTGTCGCAGGTAGAGTGGGCTATGAAAGGGAATTTTGAACGCACATTCTCTGAAGCTTGGACGAAGCACCACCAGCAATCTTCTGGACGCGGAGCTGGCTCAGCTCGGTCTTCAGTTCCTCCAACTGCTTGGTGAGCTCATCCTTGCTCTTTCCCCAGAGCTGACCGGCCTTGACCTTGGATGTCGACTAGAGATAGAACGAATTCCGTCAGCGGTTACTTTCTCCTGGAGAAAAAGAGAAGAACAAAATTTCGACAACACAATCAATTCTTGGGATTCTGCCAAACATACCATGGTGGGCGGCTTCGAAGCGTGTCGTGCGGGTTGTCGACGATGAGGATTGAAGATGAACCGGTCAAATTGATGTTTCGTTGTGGGACTAGGGTTATTTTTGTGTGCTGGCGCTAAGCGGGCAGGGCGTTCACGTGACGCTGCTGGCCTCCGTTGTTTTGGGAACTCCTAACTTCTAAGTCAGCATCCCAAGTAATGATGCAGCGATCTGGCGGCTATCCGTCGTCCTCGTTGCACAGGCTATTTATGTTTTCGTCTCTGTCAGGCTCCTTCTATTCTTGCAGATAATTTTTATCCAGGCCCTCCAGGGACCATATTGATTTGCTTCATTGAACTGCCATCATGGCCACCTCAACGGGGACCGGATGGGCTCAGCTCCGGCAGCAAGCCCGTTCTCTCGAAACTCAGGTATATATACGTAGCGACAAAAGTATTTAGATGCATGGAATTGCTAATTAAATGATCGCCGTTTCATCCAGACTGAGAATATCTTTCATACCTACTCGCAATATGCATCCATGTCCAAGTTGCCCCCGAAGCCTTCGGAGGAGGAACAACGGGTCGAGTCGCAGTTGAGAGACCTCCTCGAAAAGGTATGGACATCGGACCGGTTTATATATCCCTGGAACTCACGAAGTGACTCTGACGTTCTCATTAATAGCGCCAAGCACTCATCTCACAACTCACCCGTCTCCTCGACTCCGAAGCCACCCTTACAGCCTCAGCCCTGAAACAGAACAACCTCTCCCGCCACCGTGAAGTCCTCCAGGATCATCGACGAGAACTCCAGCGTCTAAAATCCGCTATCGCAGAGACACGGGACCGCACAAACCTGCTCACGAATGTCCGTTCGGACATCGATGCGTACCGCGCCTCCAACCCCGCAGCAGCGGAGGCGAATTACATGCTCGAGGAACGTGGTCGGATTGACGAAAGTCACAACATGATCGACGGCGTCTTGAGCCAGGCGTATGCAATTAATGAGAATTTCGGACTGCAGCGTGAAACTCTTTCCAGGATTAATAGGCGGATTGTGGGCGCCGCCAATAAGATACCCGGAGTCAACGTCTTGATTGGGAAGATTGGGACGAAGAAGCGGCGGGATTCAATTATCCTGGGCAGTTTTATTGGGTTTTGCTTTTTGATGTTACTTTTCTTCCGGTGATGAGGTTGTTCATTCTTTAATTCCCCCATTTCGTTTCTCGTTCCATGTCATGCGGGCTGCTCTTCTTTGGGAATCAGGGACGGCGTTAAGAGGGACTACCAGTCATCTTCATTACCGGTTTCTTTTTTTAATTATAATGCCAGCCTTGGTCGTTGGCGCTTTTGAAAATGCTCATTATACATAATTGCGCTATACTTATACTGTACATAAGAAGAGAAAAAGATACTATACATGCCGCATCAGGGTCTCACAGCGACTCTGGGTTTCAGAGGCATCGACTCATCCGATCTCCTCTCCTGCCACTGTTCAGCTGGGATCTCAGACTCCAGGCTTATTCTCCTTTCCTCGATCAGTTTCCGGACACCGTTATTCAACGCCGCCAACTCCACCTCCTCTGCAGGCCCACTACCGGCCCATCTGATGCGGCAGTTCTCGTCCAGTAGATAGACATATCCAACTTTACTATTCATCATCCCAATAGCCTCCTTCAACCCATCCGTCAGACCCTTGCGGACGAGGAAATACCTCTGATGCTGCTCCTCGGGCAACTTCCCCCTCATCCGCCACATGAACATGCGCACCAACCACGCCTTGACCCTATTCTCCTCTAGATTGATATCTACTTTCTGAACGAGCCGGTTCTGGACCTGACTCCCGCTCTTCATCGCCTCGTATAGACCCGGGTTCTGCTTCGGTCCGGTGAACGTAGCGACCTGCGCCTCGGCCCAGACACTGGAAAATAGGCTCACGATCGATACCTTTCCTCGGAGGATCGAGGTCGTATTCTGAGGTAGCTTGGGTGATGCCAGCGTGATTCCGTACATGTTAGGGAAGAAAAGGGCCTTGTCCCGTTTGAAGAGTCGTGGGTTCGATTTAAACGTCTTTCCTTCGTGATACTTCAGGTTGGACCATTCTCGAAAATATGGTTTCGCGACTTGTCGAGTCCTGTGGGTAGTCCGTGAAAGTGATTAGAATAGAAAAGTATCAAATACTTGACTTTCTGTCTTGTCTCTTGAAACTAGGTAGGGCTAGCTATTCAAGGGCCGAGGGGACTCCATACAATTCTTTCCTCCTCTCCAAGTGTCTACTATAATCGACAAAGTCATCTCGTCGCTGTCGAAGTGTTCGTGTGTCAATTCCTGTATTCTGCCCTTCCTGCGGCGGAATGACTAGACCAATCGGCCGATTTAAAAGTGGTGGCACGAAGTCTTTGTCGCCTGGCTGGCTCGGTGTAGGCTGCGGGTTCTGTTTAAACTGTATTTTGCTATTTGCTGGCGATGTCGGTGCTGAGGATGAAGGCTGCTTCGCGGAGCTTTTCTTTCCATCAATGCTGCTTTTGCTGGCGCAGTAGTGGCGCCGAGATGGATAGAGCACTGGTAGAGATGTGGCATTGCGGAATTGGCAACTGAGAGAGCGACCACTCTGGGTGAGCGATGACTCCGGTAAGGAGTAGAGTATTAGGTGTTTCCACATATTGAACTTGATTCCCTGCAGTTGATCGTAAATGCCGGTCGAGACTGCAAAGGAAAGCCGACTTCGCGATTATATCCAGTTCACGTGCCCTTGAGACCATGGCGGTAAAAAAAAAACGCCAAGAGTTATATTTATGTATTTATGTAACGAAACTTACCAATATCCACGGCATGTTTAGTATGCACACAACCTTATGCCACCCCTCGGATCCTAGAGCAAACTACGCTCATGCTTACTATCACCAGAGCATCCATGGATCCAAGTTCATGAAGGCAGCATCGGTGTCCTCATCCGCTGCCTCCCTTCCACCAATTTTGTCCCGCTCCTTCTTGGCCTCTATCTTAAGTTGTCCAGCCTTGGTGCTGTCTCCCATTTTGTCCTCCACCATGGCAAGGAACCACGATGACCGTGCAAGATGGCCTTGCATCTCAGGTGCTCCTCGACTCATCTCAGTGACACTGCGCAAAAGTTCTGCAGTCCGTACATTTCCACCTTCAGCCTCCAACATTCGGGCAACTATGAATGTTGAGTCAGCCACCCGAGGCCCTTTGTCTCCATAAAGACCCTTGCGGATGGAAATCGCTCTAGATGCAAGCTTCTGGGCTTCTTGCTTCAGACCTTGGGCATGCTTAATTCTGGACAGAAGAGCAATGTCTCCACTGTGTTCGGGGTATTTTGACCGAGCAACCTGTTCTTTAGTCAAATTCTGCAGCTTCCAGCAGTGCTGCAGTGTGGCAAGTGCTTTTCTCGGTTGCCCTGCTCGGAGGTACGACATCGCATATATCGCTTGCGTTCTGCCCATTAAAAGTGAATTGTTCATGTTATAGATCTCCACCGCTCTCGAAAGATATGCGAAGGCATTATCAACGTTTCCTTGCTCCGTATAGCTGCAGGCAATGGAGTCGTATATGTCAGCCACCGAGGGTGAATTTGGCTCTTCAACCGCTTCTCTCACGCGAAGTGCCCGGTGGTACGCAGACAATGCAGCCTTTGGCTGTGCCATATCAAGTGCGATGTGGCCCAGCAAGCGGTACGCCTGCGCATAGTTCTCGATGGAAGGGTTAATCTCTAGCTGGAGGCCGAATTCAAAAAATGAGCGTGCAGCCATGGGCTGCTCTTTCTCCCAGAGGTATCTTATGAGGGTGTGTTAGCGTATGTATTTTCATACATAACGGTTCCATTCAACAGAAGGGATCATACTCACTTCCCAACGCGGAAGACCAGTTGGGCGAAAAGCTCCGGGCTGGTAACCTTAAGTGAGTGCAGCAGAACCAATTTCATGAGCCAGCTGACGTGTGGAAGAATCGCGCTGCATGTAACCCGTGAAGCCCAGTCATGACCTTGTTGATACAACCTCTCATTCCAGGTATTAGGAAAGCCGTAAGATAACAATCTAATCGCATAGTTGAGGAAGACTGCTTGTTTGTGCATAGTCAATCGTGAGAATACAGTGAATTGGATGAGGTGGTGGATCGATATGGCTTTATGAGTTGATAACCGGCTCACCAGTGATGACTTAGTAAGACCGCTCACGGCGTCCCTAAAACTATTAACGGTAAGGGGATATTCATCTCACACAGGTGTTGCTTTCTCGAATTCATCAAACAGAAACTGCAGATCAGGATCACAATACCAGCTCCCTTGTTTGAGAGTATTGATTCAAGAATAAGGTCGGGGTCAAAGAACGTGAGAAGGTTCAGCAAGGTCTTTGATTCAGTAGAGAGACGCGCGAACGAAGTCTCCCAAACCGTACGCGGCGTATGTTCATACTGGGCTGGTGCCCCAGTTTTTGCAAATATCTTGTTCGCTGATTTCAAATATACCGGTAGAAGCTCCTTATAGAAACAACCGCGGTTATTCATATATTCGCTTATTTGGACCATGGCGAGTGGATTTGTTCAAGGAGATCATGATGTTCAACGTTGTCGAATACAAGAAAGGTTTTCCCCGATGTGTTCAGCCAGTCATTTACATTCTGTGTTGATTGGTAACCATCTTCACGGCCTCGTACATTCGGTAAGCCAAGTTTCGCTGCAAACTTTGACAAGGCCTGAGTCATCTTAATTTGATTTTTGACCTGTATCCATATAATAACATCGTACAGATCCATGGCATTGTTGGCATAGTGCAAGGCAAGTTGTGTTTTTCCAACGCCGCCTAGGCCATAAATTGCCGTGACTTTCAGGCGTTCGGAATTATCATTAGGATGAAGGTTCCTTTTCAGAATATCCGTTTCGGCCGATCTACCAAAAAATCTGATATTAAGACCGCATGGTATCATATAGCACGGAAGATTCATTTATTTCGTTGATAGAGCTGCAATTAGTTCATTTCCTTGACCGTGTCCGGTGGTTTGGTCTCCCGGGAGAGACGTATCATGTCGACCTTTGTGTCGAAAATCCCGAAGTAATAGTGAAGATTCGATATGGCCTTTGAGAAATTGCTGCTGAACCTTGTCCATGCGTGATGGGTCTTATCCACTTTGGGATTATTTCGGAAAAAAACAATCGACTGTGCACAGAAAACTATAACTTCAGTATACATGCTAATGAGAGTGTACCTCCAAAATAAGTCTGATAGAACCCCATATCACGGCAGCCGCCCGGCCATCCATTCCCAGAGCCGGTGTGATGACGGCAGTAAAATCATTGAGACTGAGGAGTGCCGGCTCAAGTCTTCGCCAGTTCGCAGACAATTGGGAGTCGGCAGGCACAAGGGACTGGGCTTATCGAATTAGGTCCCCTTGGCTATCAATGTTCCCAAGATCTCTATCAACTGATGAGCCTCGTATGCCCCCTCTTCTCAGCTCTGCATAATATTTGTCGATGGCCGTCTGCCATATCGGACTAATATGATGTTCACTGCGAGGGCTGTCCCGTGAAGGTCGAGGGAGGCTGGTTGAGTCCACAAATGATGAAAGTCTGTCTGTAGAGCCCATCTTCTGTCATATAATGTCGAGTTGGAGAGAGATTTGACTTGGAAGTCGAAAACTTTGTACATAGATGGCTATATATATGTATGTGAGACAAGGGCGCTTAACTGCCTGACGGGCCAAACGCCGTTGGAGACTTGTCAGGTACATGTGAAACGCTTCTCAGAATACCCCTGTTTCGAACTGGAAGAGAACAGTATGAACACATTGGGCGCTTGCTGAAAATGTAGAGGAGGTATAACTGTACAACGAAAAGGGAGATGTAGTCCAGCATGGAGTAGTAAAGTACAGCGTAGGTTAACCAAGTGGGTCAGGTGACGAAGCTTCTGACTTTCCAACTTTCTACAAAGCCAATTCCATCTTCTGTTCCATACTATGGACACATTACATTCAGCTCAATGCTTAGCAGGATGCTGATTCCGCCAATAATTGATACCAGCCAGAATGTCCAAAACTGTAATGTGTCCCGCCGGTCTCGAATAAGACCCGCAATTGAATTGGGCCTTGCACCTTTAAGTTCCTTGGCGATTAGTTCAATCTTCTTAGACAATACCGGAGTCCCGAGCTGTGAAATAGACCGGCCGGTCTATCGGAATCAACGTCGAAATGTGCGGTGACTGTTTTGTGGTGCATATCAGGGGAAGCAAAGAATCGACCTGGCAGCCGTTCTTCTCTGGTGGCTTGAAGGTTTGACGGAAAAGTTTCCGCGACTTGCCTGATTGATCAGAAAGAAGACGATAGGATAGAAGGACCTCTCGAAGGATTTATGATATGTCGTCTTTATTAGCTCGGGGATCTGCGCTATATTCCTCGATGCTTGCAAATGCATAAACCATGCCGCCAGACAGAAGCATTTTCAGGCAAAATGATGGGTAGCTGAAGAGAGACAAGGTCCTGGTTCACTTGTCGTAGTCAAGGTGCAGTGCCAAAGAATCCACCCATCTAATGTGAACACGCAGTAAAACGTGGAGGAGGTACGCATTGGTCTCTGCGGGGTGCAGTGGCAACCAAGATGGAGCTGTTTTGCTGTTCTCAATCGCAAATTTCGCGGTTGTGGATGGTCGAGCTGGCAGGAGGTTGCCGAACGCTTTCATTAGCACTGACAAAGGGCGATTGGATAGGCTGGTCGGAATCTTGGTGGATAGCCAGTTCTCGAACCGAGCAGACATTAAAAGCGGCCTGGTACAGCATGGACTGCCAACCGAGGACAGCGAATATAAGGAGCTTCTGAGCATCCAAGAACTTGTCTGCACTATCGAGAATTCCGATTTCTTGCAAGCGAGCCACAATTTCGTCAATGAAGACTCCTTCAATTTCCTGTGCAACGCACTCAATCGCAGTGAAAAGTCGATCTAAACAAGATTTTGTGAGAAGTGAATTGCTTCCGACACGAAGCTCCCTGATGCAGTAAGGGATATCTTTGAGCTGTTGGGAGAGCCAAGCGTCGTACCAGCTCATGTCAATAATGGAGCTGATGACGCTGACCCTCCTTTTCGTTGAATTCTTTCGCTCCTTGGCCAGGTTACTAGGAGTGGTGAAGATTCTTATTGCTTTATTCGAGACATTGATTCTGACGTTTGTCCTCCTGCGGGAATGTCAACGAACCTGGGTTTAAACTAATGGGAATCGTAGGGTATAATACTGACGAGCTTGAGGAAGTTCTGTACCAATGAGTTAGATGCGTATGTATCTCGATTAACCTTGCTGCTGAGGCCTCAGTAGTTACTGTAGCATAAGCGCCCACCAGATCCCCTGTCTTGTCGACCATCCGTGGATGCTGCTGTTGGCAAACAAGGCGCAGTCTGGATCAAGATTCTCTTAATATGGTAACTTTCAGCCTTTCAATTCTGATTCACAGATACGCCTGGGCGCTTAGGCATTTAGGCGCATCGACTTCCAGCCTCATAACTTATCCTTCCTGTTTCTGTTTCACCTTTCTTTGCATCCTCTCAGTAAGGTGGGCTGCTGCAGGGGATGCATATGCGCCCGGAATGCTTGGGCGGCTAAAACAGCATCGGCCCAACTTGCAACCCATTAGTATTCCCAGCATTTCCCCCTGCATGAGGGACAATGGTGGCCATCCCTTACGAGGTTCGCTTCAACTGTCTCTAATGACAAGGAGTTTCGTCTGGGGATGTACGGTAGGGTATAGGGCTCCATGTGGCCGTGGCCATAATTACATTGGGATGTGTATATAAGGGATAACTTACCACTACAACGAATAAATCGATCTCATCCTGGAAAGCGTTCCATGGAAGAGGGGGTACTGCCTAGGCACCGCATTCATATCTTTTTCTCTTCTCTTTCTAAAACTTAGCCTCGATGACGACGATTACGGGTAATAGGCTTCTCAAGTTAACGTGCGAGTCACCAGTTACACGGTACCACCCATGGCTCGAGACAAGGCGCTTCTCCTTGAGACGTCTCGAGCAAAAATAGAAAATGGCTTCAAATAACAGCTACAGAAACAGCATGGATACCATTCAGCACAAGGATAAGATTGACAAATATGAAAAGATCCTCTTTTTCAAAGAACTTGATGGACTTGATTGCCTGAGTGACAGCGAGAGCGAAAATGGTCAACGGAGTAAAGATGATGATGATGATGGTGGTCTTGTCCCTGGAGCCTCCATCGAGGGAAAAGTCTTTGGTCAAAGTGCTGGTCTTTGCGTTTCGGGGACAGTATCATCTCTGAGAGGTGGTCTCTCACAGCGAGATCCGGTTTCGAAATCTATATCGTCTACACCGCGTAGCGGAGCCGTCGATTCCGGACAAAGACCTAGATCAGGATCGAGGTCGGACACGGATTCTAACGCTGGCAGTTTGACATCTTCTCCTTTGGCTACTTCTGAAAGAGGTTCCTCTTCTAAGCCGAACGCTGCTAAAAGAGCTCCCACGAGCACCAGACCTCCTGTTTCTGAGAACATGAAAACTACGGACCATCGTCTTGCTTCGAAGAGAAAGCGGGAGTATGCTCCTAGAACTGTCCCTGAGGATCAGCAAATCTTCAAAGGACTGCTATTTTGTTAGTGTTTTCGCTGGGACTTCAATTATAAACCAATGGTTTGGATTGTCTGCTGACAATTCATGGCCCAGTCTTTTTCCCGAATAACGATATATCCCCCTTGAGACGTTTGCGGATTCAGCGAGCCCAGGAGCATGGTGCTGTTTGGACCAAAACTTGGGAAGTGAATGTTACACATGTGATTGTTGATAAAGGGTTGGTTTTCAAGGACATCCTAACGTTTCTTAAGCTCGATTCTTTTCCGGTTAGTGGATTTTGTGTATCCTCTTACCATTCATCTAGCTAACTGCTATATAAGTCCAGTGTGGCTGTAGTGGACGAATGCTATCCTTCAGAGTGCATCAAGTTCCGCTCAGTACTAAGCCCGACACACACTCGGTTTCGCGTAAATGGGGCGCAGGAATCTCCTCCACCGATCGATGAATCCTCTGTCAAGTCTCTTCAAGTGAAGCCACCCAGGAGAAAAGCAAATTCTCCTACTCCACAACCTCTCAGCGAAAGCGAACCCAGTTCAGGTCCCAATCTGCCAGTGCCTGAGCTGCCACATGAGGGAACAAGCGGGATTCATCTTTTGCGGCAGCGTGATATCTTGGATGACATTATAGACGAAGCGAAAGCTGTGAAAGACTTGGTAAGGGGTACTAGCACCACCTGCACGTACAAATGTGTTGACCAAATGGAATAGCCTCTGGACCCGTTGGATTCTTTTGCCAGTGAAAGTTCCCCCAATGAGGCTGACACTGACTCTGCCGAGGAATCAGAACCTGAGGCCGTTGAGCGGAAACGGAGAAGGACAGTACGAAAAAGAAGCGCGAAGGAAAATTGGCAACAGAAATTCGCTTGCATGCAAAAATACGACCAATCTTCAGGTTCAGAGAACCCGAACATGCGGACTATTGAAATCCTTCAGCAGATGCTTGATTACTATACGCGAACATCTGACCACTGGCGGGTCATCGCCTATCGTAAAGCGATCAGCGCTCTTCGGAAGCAGCCAAAGAATATCGTCAGCAGGTCTCAAGCCCTTTCCATCCCAGGCATAGGAGAGCGTCTCGCGGACAAGATCGAGGAAATAGTATGGACCAATAGGCTCCGTCGTCTTGAAAACGCAAGCTGCACGCGTGAGGATAGAGCCCTGCAGGAATTCCTTGGAGTTTACGGCGTGGGTATCTCCCAGGCATCCAAATGGGTGGCACAGGGACATAGGTCACTGGAAGATCTACGTACCAAGCTGTCCTTGACGAAAAATCAGAAGATCGGACTGGAGCATTACCATGATTTTGCTCAACGGATTTCACGAGAGGAAGTTGCAGCACATGGGGAAATAGTCCGGAAGGCAGTTCAGAAGGTCGACCCAGACATGCAAGTTATCATCAGCGGATTGTATCGCCGCGGAGCATCCGACTGTGGGGATATTGACGTGCTAATTACAAAGCCCGATGCGAAAATTGACACCATACGCACGATCATGATGGATACAGTCGTGCCTAAACTATTCAAACAGGGATTCCTGCAGGCCAGTCTTGCGTCAACATCTCGGGGAGACGGATCCAAATGGCACGGAGCGTCTACATTACCTGGCAGCAAAGTCTGGCGGCGGATTGATCTTCTGTATGTCCCTGGTAGCGAGATTGGGGCAGCATTAATCTACTTCACGGGGAACGACATCTTCAACCGCAGCATGCGACTGCTGGCGAGTAAGAAAGGAATGTGTCTGAACCAGTGCGGGCTGTACACGGATGTGCTGCGGGGAGAGCAGCGAGTGAAGCTGGCCCGTGGGCGGCTGGTCGAGGGACGCGATGAGAAGCGGATCTTTGAGATTCTGGGGGTACCATGGCGGCCTCCGGAGCATCGGATATGCTGAGTGCTATACTTTCCCACATTACGAATACAGATACAGTTTCTTTCATGCATTGGGAGTCCAGCCGCCAAGTTCTGGCTCTAGACCAGCATGTTATGCGATGCAATGGGTCCAGGGGCTGGGGGTGGTGGGCGTGAGGTTGCCATCAGACTGTTGTTGCCCTGAACCGGTCCCAGTATACCACCAGCGATGTATTGCAGGCATCAGCATCAGCATTTTATTACATCTATGATTACCATTATTAGCATATATTTCACTTTTCCCCACCCAAGCGGTTAGGTTGGGCCGAAGGGATTGACCTGAAGGATTGTTGTTGCATAAGTGCGCCGCTCCGCAGCTGGATCAGCACCACTCAATGGAAGTATGACAGCCTGATGGACAAGTCAGCGCCTTGTCTGGGATATTATGGCTTGTTCTACGGGATGGCCCGTATTGGCGGCATTCAGCAAAGCAATCTATGTAATGCAACTGGAAATGATTATCATTGCGCGGTGGCACTGCTGAAATGCAAATGCACATTGTATGTTGCTATGATTACCAGAACTTCTCTATAAATGGATCAGGATTTCTTGCACTTCAGCATTCAGCCAGTTCTAAACATGTACGAGAAACCCTACCTTTTGTATTACGCATTCTCACTCCACTCCAGGACGAGCGTATGTCCAACATCTTCCTGATTACAGGAAGATATTTGGCATAAGACTTTGATGTTTTAAAAGAGACAGAAGTCATATTTCCTTCTTTCATTGTTCTTAGGACTTCAATCAATCAAGTTCCATTTTTAATCTTCTTTGTCCCCCCTTGTCATCAACTTCTCGAGATCTAAACCTCACATTCCATCCTAATCACAACGGAGAACACCGATACTTACGACGAAATCGTTCGGAAATTCTGCAACCTCCTCTGGGGGGTAGATGACCTTGAGCAGGCCGTTCAAAACGCTCTCAGATATGACATCCCGGAGATGGAGCAGTAAGGCATCACATCTGCCAAAGGGTTTCTCGGATTCGCCAACTGGCTCGTCACCGGCTGGGTCCCGATCTCAAAAAACCAACGGCCGCGACGTCGAGCGTCAACGAGGCCTCTCTGACGGCCTTTTGGAACTCATCTGTCTACAGGGTCTTCGAAGTCGAGATTACCAATGGAGGGTTTCAATGTTTCAATAATTTCTTCTATCGCAGGCTCAGGCACCCGCTAAAGTTTGCAGGTGCTGGCAATGAGTGACTTTGCCGGCGCCTGTCCAATCACCGACAAGTCGGAAGTTGTGCTGAAGAATCTGCATGGAAGGTTACCGATCTCCTGGATGACAAGGAGGGCCAATTGACGGACACCTTCAAGGGCGGGGTCTGGATGCACTGCTTCCTCAATATATTCGACCATCACCGACAGCATACTCCGGTGCCCGGCAGGGTCCTCGAGGCCAAGGCCACATCCAGGGCGCAGCCTATCTGGAGGTAGTGATCAAAACAGACGAAGAGTCCAGTCATAACTTCCTGGAACCCGTCCGCCGCATCTGTGACCCGCACCAGGTCCAGGATCGACTAGAATCGGATGTTCATACTGTCGACGCACCGGATGCCTCGGGGTATCAATTCCTGCAGACGCGCGGGCTTATCCTCATTGACAATCCAATTTGGGGAAAATGGTGATTTTACCAATTACCATGGCACAGATACATCTGTCAAGGTCAATGATCCCAAAGGGAAAGGAAGCACGGAAGGGGGATGAGATTTCGCACTTTGAGTTTGGTGGTAGTGATTGCGTGCTGTTGTTTGAGGCGAAGGCGAGGGTATCAAAGTTCCCCAACTCCAAGTCGCAGACACATTTTTTCTATGGAGATAGGTTGGCCACGGCTCACTATAGCGAGTGATGGGCCTCCTTTTCCCCTTCTGCTTGGATGGGAGACTCTTAGTGTATCCATTCAAAACCCCCTGAGACCTTAACTTCCCACCCCGGTAAACTCTAGCAATGTCTATTATGACGTTCTCGAGTGCTTTCAACTCAGATAATTAGGTCTGTGCTAATTTCTCGTACCTGATGTATCAATTGAGGTCTGTTCTTGCTGGTATGCCATTTACAGTATAGTAATACCAATTGTATCATATGCGGAACTGTGGCTTCACGTGGTTTTTTCACTCACTTAGCTTACTTTGGCCACCTTTAGCACTACGTAAGTAAATCCTGGACTTCAACCTGACCATCAACCACTACGGATCAGGAATTACTAGGAGGAATAATAATAATAACTATTAGTATATTATACCTAACATCAGCAGTTAGGGCTTGTAATGGCGGTGAGCAGAAAAGGAAGCGAGCGGTGAAAGAGGCGGCTAGGGCGGAGAGAGTCCCGTGGGCGGCAGCCGCCACACCGCCCATCCAAATCCGGACTAATCCGTGTATTTTGCCGCCGCCTGCCCGTCCGCCCTTTTCCCTCTCTCTCTCTCTCTGCCTCGCGCTGCCAGGTATCCTTTGCTGCTCCATTCCTTGACATCCATCTCGCTGTTCTTCTTTTTTGAATCGGTTTCCCATCTGTTCCATCCGAGTTTCCCATTGATCCGCTGTATTTGACCCGTTGTCCAGTCGTCGTGGAGTGATTCTCCCGTTCTTCTTTACGTGCCGGAGTGGGCTGGCAGAAAGAGCTTTTTTTGCCATTACCTCTCCATAGCCTCATAGCTGTATGTCCCCGAGACACTGTGATAGTGTCAGCTTTGTTTGGCTTGCATGAGGGGGAAGTTAAATTTTAAAAAAGAGAAAAATGAAAATGGAGAAGAAAGACCTTTGTATCTGACATCTAATGCTCATTATTGCCCATTCTAGTTCCTGTGCAATTTGTCCACATCGTATTTTTCTTGGTCATCAATACATTACACAATCGGCCCGCCCGCATCAATCAACTCCTGTTTTGCAAGAAACGCGATTGCAAACCTCCCCCCACTCCCCCTTCACACACCCATACTATGGGTCGAAAGCCGAATCAACTCATCCTCGAGTTCTTCATTCGAGGCCAGAAGCTCGAAGACGCCAGCAACCGATATCAGCACACCTGCAAGGCCTGCGGTGAGAAGTTCCCGAAGGGTCGCATCGACAGCTTGACCAACCACCTGGTCAAGAAATGCCAGGCCATTCCTCTCCGTGACCGACAGCGCGTTCTCTTGCGACTTCATGAGCTTCCTGACCTGGCCGACGGAGAACAGAAAGACCCGAACCTGGCTGCCGCGAACAAGGGGAAACCGGGCCAGCTGACCTTTAGCGCGAGACAGAATTTCGACGGTCTCAACGTGTTGGCGGAAGCTTCGAGGCAGGTTGGTGCCTCTGACCATACAAAACGTCGTCCTGCATATTCTCAGTCCATGACTGTGGAGGGCAAGCCTGTTATCGTTGACCCTGCGCTAGAAGCTGAAGGGTTCCAGGGTCATGTTCTCAAATCAGAGCATATCGATGAGAGCGCTGCAAACACTACCGGTGAGATTTCCCTTTTATTTTTGCTGTCATACCCTGAGGCTCTAATGCTAATTACGGGTCTCTTGCCATTAGGAACTCCGCAACCTGCAAACAGTCCAGCCTTTTCTTCTCTTCCAAATAACGCACAGGGCGATAACCCACCGGTTTCCCCTTCGCTGAGGGATGTAGCATTATCGCCGGATTCTGCCTCTAATGCTCGCCAGTCGCAACTGTCGATGATCGCTGCTTCGGCCAGCGAAATGGTTCCACAAGGACTTTCCACGGAAAACGACCCTATGGCAGACGGTCTTCCTAGGATCGGGGGAGTCTGGAACCAGTCCCTGTCCAGTCACGAACAACTGCTTTTTGAGAGTTTGCAGGAGCATGACCCGTCGTTGACGGCTGCGACGCAGACGCAACGCGCTGCAAGTTTCCCGCGTCCTATCGCAATGAATCCGAACACCCAGGCAAAAGGATTTGTGAACGAGTTTGGCAATTCAACTAAACCGACAAAACCAAAGGTTCGAGGAAGATTTTCCGCAGCTAGACGTAGGGAGGTGCAGGAGGTGAGGAAGCGAGGGGCGTGTATTCGATGTCGAATGCTTAAAAAACCGGTAGGATCATGTCTTTTACAAGAAAGATAAAAATTGTACTGACTATCACCTAGTGTTCTGGCGATAGCCCCTGCACAACTTGTGCCAGTGTCGAGAGTGCGCGTCTTTGGAAGCACCCATGCATTCGTACGCGCATTGCTGATGAATTCGAGCTCTACAATGCCAGTAAGGATTAGCTATTTAGTTCTCTGTACCCTGAAGTTCTAACTAACGGCTGTAGACCTGCATGCTACCCTCGCCTATCATGATGTCAATAACATCAGAAGCCAAGTCAAGTTTGAGCACTACGCTGGCCGCATCGAGGTCACACACTTCGAGGATAGTATGGTATTCATGACCTTCAGTGGTCTCCAGGGCCACAAAGCGTCTGTCTCTGCGTTGGATCCCCAGCTCCAAGGACTGGGAGACGATCCGCACTTCCAAGGACCTCTGCACGAAATTTACCTGCTGGACAGCGATGCCGATGATCTTGCTGGAAAATTGGAGATGTATATTAAAAAGACGGCTCCATTATTTTATGAGCGGGAGACATCACCAATCATGAAGCCCACATTGATCCAAGCAGCTGAGCTGAGCCAGTTGAAAAAGGTTTGTGTCTTGCTTGATCTCTCTCTCTTTTCAACCATTTAATGTTAACCTGTTCTACCTAGGATGTTTTGCTGGAACGCGTTTTGGAGTTGTGGGTTGCTACTCATATTCTTGCCGACTCGGAGCTGCGCTGGAAGACATATGCCAATCCTACTCTCCCACCTACATCAATGCATTCGCTGGCACAGCCGTCGGATGATGGACGCATACCGATTGACGAGGTTACGGATGCGGAATCCTACGCCCTCTTGTGCAGCCAGCTACGGGCAGCAGCAGAGAAACGCGCGTCGCAGCTTAGCAAAACGGTAATGAATGATCTCGAGCGACGTCTGCTTCAACGACAGCAGAGTGGCTGGTTTGAGACCTTTTTGGTAGCCATCATTCTACTGAACTGCGTGGAGAGGACCTGCTGGTTATTCCGCTCTTGGGATAATGAGGACTTTGCGCAGCGCGTAAGTGTCTACCTTGTGGACTTTTTTTACTCTCTGACAATGTTACTAACTCTCATAGTGGCCTCTTGATAAACGCCCTCCTTACTACGCAAACCAAGGGGACCGATTTTCGGACATTCTTCACATGCTGCTCAAGATGCGCAGTTTGCCTCCCAAGGCTAGTCCCCGACCAGATACTGGGATATTGAAGGCCATAGATGGCAGTGATGAGAATGCGGCGAGATGGTTTGATACTCTTCAGGTTACTTGTAAGTCTTTGGATCCATATATTTCTGCCTGTCATGCATAGATTTTGTCTGACTCGTAACTAGCTGAATTCCTCCAACTCCGGCAATCCGCAGTATTCGACCCCAGCGACTCCCGATCGTTGGATCTGCGGTACGGAGCGAAATTGATCCAGCCAGCAAATACTTATACCTGAGTCTATTCTAGCCACTAGATATCTGTTTCTCAGCGAGAAGGGGAGAGAAAAAAAAGAAAGAAAAGAAAAGGTGACAAAAAAAGAAGATCAGACTGGGATTCTGCTGTATTCTATCTTAATAGGGTGTGTATCGACATGTATGATTCTTGCTCCCACCAAAACTTCAATCCGTAATGAGATGGTTGATCGGGACTGGAGAGGGTGTATTCTCTACCGTGTGGCAGTTAGGTTATTCGGTTTCAGGTTGTGCTTGAATAATTATAACTTGAATCATTATACCTCTAGATCCATAATGGGTGTAGCTATACTTCCTGTGTACTAGATACTATATTTTATGGATTTCAGTGAGCATAGATGTTGACGTTGTATGCACAGTGCATCTACAGACTTTCCCTTCTGGATGCGGTCTCACTTGGGTTCTGTCATCTGGCTGACCGCCTGCTGCTTTCGGGTTAGCAGCTCGCCTGTTCAAGCGAGGATATCTCCCACTAACGAGTCCTCGATACAATCCTTTTCCTTTTCCTTTCCCATGTTTGATATCTTCGTTTAGTAGTCATCTCTAGATAGTCAATAGAGTTGTCCTTTCATCTTTGTTCATCCAAACTGGACCGTGACACAGCCATAGGGACCCAAGCAACGCCTCATCATGTGACCTTCATCGGGGAAACTGCAACAAGCAATGGAGCTAGGGAACACAGACGCGTCGAATGAGATCATGTGATAGAAGCGGGAGTGCTTGCCAGCCGACTATTCGGGCTCCCGCTACACAGGCGGCCCTAGGGAAAGCTCTAATACGACATCGGGAACTTCCCATGTGTTACCTGTACCGGACATACCGGCTATGGACCTGCGAATGCGCAGACAGAGGTGTGAACTTCGCAACCTCAAGGGCAAAAGCATCCGCGGGCTGGTATATACCATTGTGGAATTGGCATCGCCAACCACTGATACATCACAATTGCCAGTTGATATATACTAAACCCCAATGGGAAATATTTATATTACTAATACAGAAATAAAGTTTACTTAATTAGTTAGTTAAACCCAATTGGAACTCAAACCACATTAATGGTTCTGTCAAGCTGGTATGGACTGCCGTACCCTGCAAGATATAGGGCTATTCAGTGTTAGTTTCGTGCCAAGGCAAGGCAGCCAGAACCAACATATCCGATTCAACGCCCGACATTAAATGCCGTAGAATCAACCCGTTTGACATTGTATCCTGTGATCTATGCGATCTGTTTAGAGGGGGATTGAAGAGGAAGGGGAGACAAAAAATGAAAGGAGGTGGAAGTCCTCTGAACAAGTCTGAGTCAACTATCTTGAAAGACTAGAGTCGACGATGTGAACGTGAAATGAGACCGCTTCAGGCAGGATTGAAGGAAAGGATGGTTGGACCACATATATAGCGCAAGCTCTTAGATACTAGGTTCAGCGGTTCTGGATTGCAACTGTATCTATAATATGATAGCTCAGTAGGTGCAGACAGCACTTATGCAAACAACACTGTCTGACAGCCTTGGTATGACAATGCCATGGTGTTTATTACCAGGCTGTATACATTATATGATTGAGAAGGGGATTCATTAGCATATTACTCCATTAGACATAAGAGGTTCAGGTCTAAGCTGTTGAGCAGAGGACTGCGCGGTTCGTATGTTTCAGTGCATCCTTTGGTATGCATGAGCATTGCTCTCAGGCCCAGGACTGCTTCAAGGTTTGACATGTAATTCTCCAGACCATCCTTTGTCAGCATCAGTTGTTTCAATAGTTAAGGCTAGTTATTATCAGCAGAAAAGGGTCTCCACTAGGTAACTAGTCTATGTGTTCATAGAGTTCCAAGCAAAGCTTGACTTACTAACTGGTCTTCTGCTCAGGCAGGAACTCAAGATCCCTTGAGCTGGGTGCATTTTATTGAGGCTATACATTACCGGTCAGCACTCACCCCCTGCTCATCACCTACTTCGGGCGTGCTTAGTTCTACTCAGTGAGCAGGGGGTAAGCACCAATATGGAAAGGGAAGAACTTTAACGTTGGTAGAAAAAAAAGTACGTATGTATAGCCCTACGGACTTCTGAGAATATGTATTGATACCCCCTTAAGAAATCAATTAGTAACCCTAGACAGGTGAAGACAGTACATAGTAAGCCCAGCAAGGCCACGCTAGTCTTTTTCTTTTCTTAAAGAGATTCACCGAGACTCGTTATTCACTCCCATACTATGATAGACTTCCCCCTTTCCTCTCCAGAGAGGTCCTTTCCCTTCCCAATCCCACATCTCACTCATTATCACAGTCTCCCACTATCCGTTTTTAAAGACAAAATCATAATGGTCCACCATGTTTGCAGCAGATCAACCATCAACCTTCCTTCAATATTTTCTTGTTGAAGGAGAGAAAAGAAAAAGCAAGTCAAAAGGACAGCAGAGACATCTGGATACTCGTATGCTCCATTCTCTAAAAGAGCGATGTACACAAGACCAGAGGTCTGTTTGTCTTCATCGTCGTCAGTTTCTTTCTTATATTTTCAATTCCAGAAGCTTTAATTAAGCAACCAAATGCCAAAACTTCCCTGTCTCAGTCCTGTCGCTGGTACTGTCGTTCAAATAGAGCTCGCTAATATCCTCGTCGCGAACCACGTAAAACTGCACGTCAAGCGGCGACCTATGCATGGCACAGGCACTATCATTATTGTCACAGTTGTCATGAGAAGCTTTGCTCGCAGACATGTCTTTTGTGGCGGTGAGTTTTGGTTGGTCGTGGATGTCGGTTACGCAAGAGGAGGATGTGCTCCGTGGGGCCGTGTAAGATTCGTTCTGTTGTTGAGTCCACTCGTATGAGGGTGTACGAGAGTTGTTGGTTTCCTTACTGGCTGTGTTGTTGGTGGTCTTTGTGTGGGATTCCTATCTCAGAATGCAAACGGGTCAGTCTCAGTGTCAGGCTTAGATTTGGGTTCGAAAATCGTTGACCCAAGGGTTTAACTCACCTTGGACCCGGTAATATTATCGGTGTTACCAATGGTGTCTGATTTCAGCCACTTGAACTTCGAAGCAAGTGCTGTATACTGCTCCCTCGTGTACTTGGTTGTTGCGAGAATGTGGTTCCCTTCATCATAGTCGCTGGTCTTTGACGACTCACTACAGGTACTCTCACTCGGAAGAGGATAGAGATAGGCGTACGGTCCGGTGATTTTGTTGTTGTGCGAGGCAACTTCTCCAGCTATCTGCTCGTTCCGCTTATTCAACCACGAGCGCCTATTTTTGATGAAAGTGTCCCATTCAGAAGCAGCAAATGCCTGGCGACCTTTTTGGTTGCTCTCACTGTGAGGAAAGACAGTGGGCACCTGATGAGTGCTTGCATTTTTGACGGCTTCAAGGGCAGATCGAAACGGTTCCTCAAGGTTATTTGGAGCCTGAGAAGTGCCAGTCATCTCCTCTGCGTGGCTAGTATTGTTTGCAGAGGCGGATGCGGACTTCTCTTCCCACTTTTCACGATTGTCGGAGACGGAGGAACCGTGAGAGTCCTTTCTGGTATGGACAGTGCGTTTTTCCTTGGGGGCGGGATTTTCGAGAATGACATAGAGCCAATCGAGGTCTGGAGTCATCCAACTGGTCCAGTAGCGGCTAATATAAAATGAGTTAGTGGGCAGTTCAGGTCAAAAAAAAGTACACATGGAGGAGCTAAAAGAAAACAGAAAACAAGAGAGCAGGAAACACTCACAATCCATGGTAAGAAGGGTCTTCTGTCACAAGCTTTGTGACCTTGGCCAACACCAGAGGCAAAGGCACGGCACCCTTCGGGGGCTGATTGTGCATCCTGGTCATTGCAAGTATCCATGAATCATTCGAGATTGGCAACCCAGGATGGTTGATTAGTTTATATTCCTCCGGTTGCCTCCTGAAAATAAGGAGGCTCTTCTCAGTGCTCTGAGAACGAGCCTCGTAATTCCAGGGAGTGACAGGATGTAGGCTTTTGCCCCCAGGCACAATAAGTTCAGGAGTGAAGGATCCAAAATTAGGAGGGATGGTATTGGACTGGTTGGATAGCTGTTAGCATGTATTTAATTGTTTTTGCTGGTCAAACTTACACTCATTTTGAGAAGTTGATGTTGATCAAGACACGATGTGGGCCAACAGAGGGTTTCAGGTTGGGCAGTAAACAGTTGTCGTATCAAAGTATGAACAGAATGTTGTTGAATGCTTAAGAAAAGAAGAGGATTGAAAGAGAGGTGGTGGTAAAGAGAAGAAAGAAAGAGAGACAAACGAAGATAGTTGACAATTTTTATACCTTTGTAGAAAGCAATGTGGCGAGATCAAGAAGGAATTGACCATGAATCCCTTCATAAATGATGGCAATAATATCAATAAGATGGAGATATCCATAAAAGAGAAAGAAATTCAATATTGCAGTGAATGATTCCAAAAAGAACACTAATCATGCAGCATGCACACGTGCCCAGCACAACAGTCATGGGAAATTCCGGAAAGAAAAAGGTTTAAGTGGGAAGAAGAATACTTGACAAAGTACAACAACAAAAAGATAATATTCACATCTAGTCCTGGGTCATCATCTTCTGGCCAAAAGGTGTTTCCCCTGTACCTGTGGGCACTGTCCCAGTTTGCATCTGTTGAACAGGCTGGACCTGCTCCAATACAACAGCATAGAACTTCCCTTCTTCAGAAGAGTCATGGTATCTACCTGCGGATAGGATTGCCCTGTCATCAATGTTAGGAGGACAATCGCATAATGCATATCCAAAAATACCACTCCGGGGAGAATGAAAAAAGAGAACTCACCAACCCCTATATCTAGGGTGGTTAAATATGTCTGTAAAAGCCTTCACAATCCTCAATGGCAGCTCCAAGATCGATGGTAGCTCTGGCCCTGAGCCGCAGATGGGCAGGCCCTGGCGGTTGACGGGGATGTAGACGAGTTCGGACATGTTCTGGGGGTTTCGCGTCTCCTGGAAAACGAGGAGACGGCGGGATGGAGTTGGCATATTCCTGTGATTCCTTTTCTTTTTAACCCTTGTCCTCTATGTGATGTTTATTCTTTCTTCTGTGCAGGCAAATGGAAAATGTGCCTGTTCAATGGAGTCGTTTCCCCTCGTATTATTTATCAGATAAGATTATTTGCCGGAAGAGGGGCAGCTCGGGGGTGTGTCGACTTTCAACAAGGCAATTCCACTGTTACTGCGAACAAGGGAGATGGGAGACAGGCAGGCACTGAGTATCCTGAGGATAAGAGGGCAAACAAATATGGCTGCTTGATCAAGAACGCGAAGAATCGCGTTTTCTTTGAAGGTTGATGGCTTCCCGATGCGGTTAGCTTGCCCGCTTTGGGTGATTCTTCTTTGACTTCAAATATACTTGTTTATTATTTCCTCTGGATCATCAATTGCACAAATGCTGTTATAGTTGGTGCTACATGGATATAAATGCTGAAAGAGGATTCTTCTTCCACCGGCTTTGGACTGTGTTTATGCAGGATTTTGGATTGGTGAACTTGAGGAAACTCGAAGTAAGAACATCTTTAAACCAAACTGAGATGAAATGATAATTAAAAAGAAGAAGGATGGCATCAATGGATATAACAAAGTATATCAAGAAATCAAGAATATTTGAAACAAAGGAATAGCACTCGAAAAACACCAGGGTATCACACACAAGTGCCCAGTCCGACTGGAACAGAGAGACAAGAAAGCCCCCGGGTATAAAACTCCAATAATAACAAACAAACAAGAAGCAAAAAATACATGGTATAGAAGTAATTAGATCCGATTAAATCAAGAGCAAGAATTGCCCATAATAAGTAGTGCACTAAGCATCAAGTTCTCCGTCAAGCACCCTCCGTGCAGCATCGAGTCTTCTCCTCAAGACTCGTGCCATCTTCTGGTCATATTTCGGGGTTGTCGTGATGGTCTGGAGATCCATACAGACCTTTCCAAGACTGTTGAAGAGTTGTTCCAGAAGTTTCGTGTCGTCGTTGTTGATTCCTGCCGTCCCACTCGCAATTGAGCCGGAAGCAGATCCTGTACTAGAGTTGGTTTTCGATGCGGCCTTCACAGTTGAGACGAGGGAGGAGACGAGGGATGTAGAGGCAGATCCGATGGCTGGTGATGACCGCGGAGTGGCGCTCCTCAAGTCGCTCTGGATGTTTCGATTATCGTTATTACTGCCTTGCTGCTGAATCCCCAGTTCTGGAACTATGTGAGCTCATGACGTTCGCACATGATAGGGGTTGATGTAGAGCCTACCGTCGTTGAATTTTTTGTCCCAATATAAGACACTTTCAATGTCGTCATCGTTGTCACCCTCAATTGCCGTGGTGAAAGTCGCAACTGTAGATGTCGATGCTGCACTGTTTGCCCGTGCCCGTCCGGCATCCTGAACAGCAGATGCTGAATGGTCGTGAATCGGTCTCGTGGTCGCCGCTGAAGAAGTAGAACTGCCGCTCGAGCTACGCAACTTGCTGGCACGGGAGTAGTTTCCCAAAGCGCTATGAAGGATGAAGTGCTCATAATCAAACGCATCCTCACGCTCTTCATGTGGCCGCGAATCAGCACTCTGGGGGATTGGAGGAAACGGCTCCATTGCGTCAACGAAGCCACCGTCGAAGTCTTCATTCAAGATCTCATCCAGGGCTTCGCTGTCAGCCTCAGAGTTCGTCGATCCGTCTTCATCGTGGTATAGGTCCTCTTCCGCGTCCTCGTAGTGGCTCTCAACGGCCGAGGCTCTGCCGTCGGTATAGTGCGCTGAGTTTTCGGAATAGGCTTGTTCTGGCAAATCCCCGACAGTTGGACTGTCAGCCTTTTCTGGGGCAACTTTCTTAGCTTCGTATACCCTCCCATACTCTTCATCAGGCACCTCGTTGATACGTTCCGAAGTCAATCCTGATTTCGCGGTAATAAAGGATGGGCTTCTGCTCCCATCCCTACGTTCCAGCGAGCTAGGATACCACTGTTCTACCGCGGTGAAAGGACTAGGTGCCCGAAGGGACTGAAAACTGCGCCGCCGAATATTGTCCTCCTGAGTCTTTACCTTTAGACTTGAAATTTTGATATGCAAACCTTTCATCTGGTCTTGGAGATCGCGTACTTGAAGCTGGGATTGCGCACGTGTCAGAGGGCCATGAGAAGGATGAACTACGTTGAAATCCTCCATGCTAGAAATAGTTGTCTTCCTTTCGTCTGGTTCTGGTGAGACTACAAGAGGGGGCGTACTGCCTTGCGACACAGGCTGTCGCTCATTTTCCCAATTACGCCCCTGGGTTCCTGATGCGGCCGTTCGCCAGGCGAGATATGGTCTGGTCGGCTCGTAGCGAAATGATCGTTCATCATTGCGGAAACTGGACGTATCTGAGCCCATGGCACTGACAGAGCGCGAGAGCTGTTCTGACTCGGGTGACAAGTGCGGGGGCAGGGTCGTTTCGCTCTGGACTCTCGAGTGACGATTATTGCTTGTATCCTGAGAGTAGCTAGCGTTGCTGTACGTCGGACGGGGGCGAAGCGAAGAGACTTTGCGATCGGCACGTGAAATTGACCTATACAAGCCACCGACTGGTTGGTGAAATCCTAAGGAGGAAGAGGTGCCCGATGGGGTAGGCGACGGAGATATCGAAGGTGACAATCGTATCGAAGAGCGAGCCCGGTTGAGATTGCCTTCCATGAGCTACTTAAAAGTCAGTGCCAAACCCTTCTGTATATAATTAGCACGTAGCTTTCATTGCATACCGTGAGTCTCCTCTTTGCGTTCTCGAGAATCCTCTCCGCCTCACTGCTCAGAATCGCAGATGGAAATTCTTCAGCACGGGAGGTAGCGTGGCCATTCTGCTGCGCAAGCTCGCCAGACCCGCTCACGGTGGAATCAGAGGAGCTGCTCCAATCTGCTGTGTCACCACCATCGGGCTGCGGTCCCCCCAGCGGCATAGGTGAATACAGGACATCTTCTTCCCCAATATCCGATAACCGACGGCCTGCTTCCGGCAGTGACCAGGATGAGGGATGGCGCTGAAAATCCGGTTGCTGCAATCGATTGGACAATGGAGCCCCTATTCCAACGCTGGTGTCGTTCCCCGCATCACTCAGCTCATTTGGAAGATACTGTCGCAGACGGTTTCCATAGAACGCCTGCATATTGGATAGAGATGGCAGCTGAAACGGAGGAGAGGGGGTCGAGGATTCGCGTTCGTTCTCGTCTTCGGGTAGTATCATATCTGGGTTCGTCAGAGTCGGGGACGGTGGGATCGGGATCAGTCCCTGCTGTTGATGTTGATGCTGAGCGTCATCGCCGGCCACCGTGTCGTCCAACGCGCTCTGAGTTCGAGGGCCAGCAGCGGACATGGAGGGCGATCGCAGTAGGCAGACAGAAGTATATAGGAAGGCAACGAATCGTGTGTGACTGCAACAAAGCGAGTATCACAGAAGTGCCAACAAGCAAACAAACCAGCGCGCATCCGACAGGGTGATTATAACAGCTCGATCGCAGCGGGGAGGGGAATGATGAATAGCTAACAGGTCATGGCTGATTTGGCAAGTGTTGGAACCAGCTGTCAACTGCGCTGCCAGTAGTCCGTGAATCCGACGAAAGAAAGACGAGAAGATGGAGCGGCGGCCCTGAACTTGGAGAGATGGGGACTGGGCTAGAAAATGGAGCAGGTTATTATGCTTTCTCGCCCTGGCCGTTGTTATTATTATTATTTTAGTGCGGGAAGTTTTTTTCATTCATTTTATACACTCCGTAATTACGGTTTATTTGGGCGTTTCTGGGCCTGAACTATTGCCGAAAAGGGAAGTGATATGTAACGGTCCATGTTTCATTGAACTCTGAGTCGAAGGGAAGAGACTCAAAGAAACTGGTTTTCCAGGAGGTATTCCACATCTGTAGCAGTCTGCAGATTGGTAGCGTAGTAGATCGGACATGCATTGCATATGCAGCATACACCATATGATACACAGGCAAATGAGAGAATATATTAATTAATACAGAGTAAACTCAGTAAGGTTCCAGAGAATTTCCCCTGAAGGCACAAGGCAGATCACCCGCAATTGTAATTGCAACGTTCCCGCGGTGTCACGTTGTAGTCATGTGACTACCGCGTCCACTCTCAGCTGTAGGTAAAGTCGTCCGTACGCAGACTCAAATCCAGTTCTCTAGTTTTGAATGCAGAGGGCTATATACAGCACTGCATACGCTCTAAAACGCCAGAAAGAAATAACATGCAACTGACAGGTATCCGGACAACTATCCCCCACGACAAAATTACCTGACCTTCTCAAGCAGCAGCTTAGCACCACTACTCGTTGGGCCGGATTTCTTCTTCCCGTCGCTGTCAGAGCTGGTAGCTGCCTTCTCTAAGGCCTTCTTATTCTTCTTCAGAGTCTTGAGTAGCTCATCTCGCCGCTCAAACTCATCCGATTCCACAAGGGCGACTACCACAAACGTGTTGGACCCCGTCGCCCAGGCCATGATCTCGTCCGCGATCTGGTCGTACAGTAGCGAATGAAAGTTTAGTGGTGGCTGCACCTTCTCCACTGATTTAGTCGAGCTGTTGAACCGACCACCTTGCACAAGGGACTTGAGCATGCGTCCAACAAATGGGGAATCCCTGATGTCGGCCTTGGACTTGGCTGCAATGGCGACGGCAGAAAGAGCCTTTTGTTTGTCGCCACCAGCGCCAAATAGCACTTCTGACATGAACTGGCATCCAAAGCTGGTTTCCATCAGCGTCTCGGCCGAGGCAGCTATGAAATCCAGTAGTGTTGGAGAGGCGGCTTTGATGAGCTCCTGACGGCGGACTTCAGGGTCCTTCTTAGACGTCTCCTTTCGGATCTCTCGAATCTCTTTCAAAACTTCGTTGTCGGTATCCGTTAGGAGCCATTTCACTTTGTCCCCAGCGAAAAGGAACAAGATTGGAATGCGCGCTGTCAGGTCGGTGACTTGGTAAAGAAGCTCCACATTGCGTTCCGCTTCTGAGGATGTTTGGTTCAAAAGTTCCGGGAAGATCAATTTGGAGGTGAGTTTTGTGTCATCTACTACCTCGTAGGCCGCCAGCAGGACCATGTGTGCGTGAAGATCGCCAGCCATCATCTTGATGGTGTCTCTGTAGAATCGGAGAAGCAACTTCCGGTCCTTGGCATTGGAATATGCCAGACTCAAGCACATTAAGCGGGATCCGGACTTGGTGAAGGCCAGGTTCTTTGTCAGATCTCCTTCCTCATCGCCCTTGAGTAGTTCTATAAACTCCGTAGCCTCAGAGCTGCCCGGTTTTGTGTTGAGAAAGTATTGCAGCATAGCGTCGTGGAGTATCGTGAACCCAGTCGTCTTCTTCTGTACGAGCTGATTGATGAGCTCATACAAGAACTGCATTATGGGCGCCCTTTTCTCCGGATGTTGAGACAAAATCTTGGACAAATCTGCTGACGGTTCCGCGCCATTTTCATCCTTGAAGATTACGAATTCCGGTCCATACCATTCCCTCAAAAGGTTAGCTTTCTGCTCCTTCGTTGCAACTGTCCGATAAATATCATCAAGGATCCACGACGCCTCGGGGTGTCTGATAAGCCGCTTGACACGTCCGTAAAATTCTGGAATGATCATATCCCGTATCTCAATGTCCCCATGCACAATCAATTTTCCAACCAGGAACTTCGCGTACCGGCTCTGCGCCAGCTCACTGTAGCTGCCCTGCAGCTCCTGTGCGATTTGCTTCCGCTGCCCGACGTTCGCGTACTTCAGAGCCGTCTGGATGACACGGACAGAATCATGTTTGAAGACAAAATCTTTGGTACGCCCAGTGATGATCTGGAAAAGCTCCGTAATGAGCTTCTTTCTTTCCTCCAGAGGGACGTGCGACTTGCGGCGCAAGCGTTCCCATAGCTGTTTGGAACGGGCGATAATGTCAAAGTTAGGCTTGGCGGCTTTTCGCTCCTGCAAGAGGGCTTTCTGTTTCGCATGTGCTTCACGGGAGTTGTTGTTATTGCCACTATCTGTATAGGGAAAGCAAGGTTAGCATCACGCAGATAGAGAAATAAAACTTGCGGATAGATTGTGCGCACCATTCGCATTCCCAGTTGCCTTCTCTGGGCCATCCTTCTTTGCGCCTTCGGATTCCTCCTGGGAATCATCACTATCATCACCATCACCCTCCTCGTTCCCATCCTCCATATCAACATCCTCACCGCGCTCGTTCGAGCCCAATTCCGAAGCTGAATCGGAGACATCATCGATGTCGAACTCCTCTTCAGATTCCTCCTGTACCTTCTTATTTTTCTTCTTCTCTTTGTCCTTCGTCTTGTCCGACTTCCCCGATTTAGATTTCAATTTCGATTTCAAGTCTGACTTCGATTTCGACTTTGCCACATTTTCCGTGGCGGACTTCTTCTTAGACCCATCCTTCTTCACTTTTGTCCTCTTCCCATTGCGCTCGTCACTGGTATCAACGGGACGTTTTATACCCACCATTGTTCGTTTTTTCGTGAGTTAGTGGTGTTTTAACTAGACCGTGGATTTTGATGTATTCTGTACTAGGCAAATTTTTAAAATCCTGATCCGTTAGATTGTCCGGGAAAAAGGGAATGAAGAAAAAATTAAACGGTTTAGGTCTAGATGGGTTTTTGGATGATTTTTTTATCGGGTAAGTTTTTTTTATTCCGTCGACGGGATAGTGTTTGTTGGGTTTGCACTGATATTGATATTCTGATAAGATTGCCTGGGTCGATCCATGGAAGTATGGTGTGAGCGTAGGTAACAATTAATACAATAAAAATATGACAAGTTTTAAAAAGGAAAGAATTGGTTCCAGCTGCCTAGTAGGCTACAATGAAAATCCTGTTCTCCTGCAAGTACAATGTATGTATAGTCTATCGAGGCAGATGGCAGCACTTATCATCAGCAAGTTCATCAAATTATGTTCGTGATAGTGATAGCTATTACAGGTTTACTTCTAGCAACTGGATACATGAAGGGAGGAGAAACATAAAATTAGTCAAGTGCGGCAGCCATGAACAAAACACTCGGCAAGAAAAAGCCGTGACAGCAAGCTGTTACCACAGAGGAGATCCAAAAGAATTATCTGACCCAACCCATGATCAAGCACAGCCAGAACGCCCCTTACCCCATCCCCAGAAGAATAAGCATTGGTAGGCATACAACATGCATAATGCACACTACCATGTCATTAGTATTAGTCTATGCTGCTTCAGACTCTGTAACGGCAGGCTGTGATTTTATAGAGCCCAATTCCGATGCGCCGCCGCTCTGGCCCCGTTTCCTGCCGGGGATGTGGAAACCAAGATGCGAGGATGAAGGTCTAGAGTTATTCGGGGACTGCGAGTCATTCGACGAAGAGAAATCGCCCAACCGGGAAAATATGCCCTTCTTCTTCGGCTTGACATCGTCATTGAGCCCCACGTCCACGAAGCATTCTTCCTCCGTTGACTCGGGACAGGGCTTTTCAAAGCTTCTACCTCTCGCTGCAGGTGAAGACGGTACATGGGAGAAACGGGAGTCGAGCGAAGTTCGAGAAGGCATCGTATCAGTGTAGCTTATAGGGGAGCGGGCGGAAATGTCCTTTACGAATTTAATGGTTAGTCTCTCGCGCAGTAACCTGCGAAATGTAAATGTTCATATAGAGACTCACGAATGACCGACGATACGAATCAAATGATTCACGAGATATGGAGAACGGCTCGTTTTCGTCGACTAGATTACGGTGGTGATGGTTCGACGACCTTGTTGACCAAAATCCGTCCTTCTCTGTTGGGGATGGCTACATCAATGAAAGCCTTTAGCATGCATTCACCATTGCGCAATTTATCAGAAGGACGGGCTCAAATACAGGAAGATAAACACCGTCACCATTAACGACTGCGGTCGATCATGAAGTCAGTGCAATGGATTCTCAACCATGAAGAACTTGGCACTGAGTAGCATACCGCTCAATTTATACTCATTGGTACTACTGTCATTGCTTTTCCTGATGCTCAAGGGACCGGGACGGCCATCTGTGGAGGTGCGACTCTTCTCGTCCGCGCGATCGTCCGCGCCAGTTGGCGGGGCGGGTTTCCGACCCAAGAGGTTACGAAAGGGAGCCATGCTATAGGAGGATGTCGAGAAAGAAAAGAGTGAAGGATGATGCTGACAAGCTCCGGGACGTCACACGAAAGGAATCATAAGAACATGAAGATGCGGGAGGGATTGTTCGTCTGGCAATAGTCAATTATTGGGTCAAGAAGGCAATTCCAGGCGGGAGATCTCACATGATCGGAGGTCGGGAATCAATCCAGTTTTGGCTGCTCAGCCCACGCGTCACCAAGGACCCAAGACGCAACGTAGTGCCTAGGCGCTGGTACTCTGCCCTGTATGACTGCGTATTCTCGATAGATAAGGACCGCTGTTGTTGGATTAAAAAAATTTGGCTTATCGGGGAACTTTGGGGTATTATTGTACTGAATCTATACAACGAATGGTACGCAAATAACTTGTTGCATTCTGTCCGCATGGACTTGTCGCAGGGAATCCACAGTAATACTCCGTACTCCGTGGGTCTCCGGAGTTGCACTCCACAAATCTTGTTGTTGCCTGGTTAAGATCTGCTGGCAAGCCTAGGGATCAATTTGAATAGCCTTTTAAATATTAACGAGGAAGTAGTGCTAATCTGTTGCGGATAGTTTAAGGGGAGAGCAACTGTAGCCATTGACCCTGCGCGGCTATGCCAGCGGGTTGGTGTCTGGTTCGAATCCCGGGGTCGTCGCTGTACTCATGCGAGTAATCCATGATGCTACGGGGCGCTAAGCAATGGAAGTGACCCTTGAGGGAAGCAATTCTGCAGAGACACTTCCACCCTGGGATGGCGGCACCAGATTACACCACCCGTCTACAGGCGATTTGGCTGTTAGGTTGTGCAACCCTTTTTTTTAGTTTGTATTTTATTTCTTATTATGTTATTTTCATAATACTGCTACAAAGTAGAAATAAAATGTATCAAGCTACCCGTCAAAAAGGCTTGCCAGGGACAACACGGTCTGCCTGTTCGGCTTCCCATGGCTGTCTCCCATGCTGCGCAATGATGTTATCGTAGACGAGCACATCGCCCCTTCGCCATTTGTGGGGGATACGGATCTCATCTGTGATCTTGGCCAGACGCTCAAGAAATATTTCCGGGATAGGCGTGCCATCTCCATAGAGCTGCTGCGTGACGTTCTTCCTGCCGCCCTGGCTGTACTTAAAGTACCCTGCCAGTCTGGTGAAGAGGGTGTGAAGATTCGTGTTGGGTTGTGTGTGGATGGCCGGAAGCCGGTGCGTCAGGACGAGAGTCTTGCCGTCGTCCGTCCATTCCCAAGTCGTATACGTATGTCTCCCGTAACGGGAAATCTGGGCTTCAATTTTCCTCCTCCTTGTCGGTTCGTCGTCACCGTCCTGGATCTCCTTCCAAACGCCTGACGGAGCGTTGAGCCGCCTGCATACTGCCTATCAACTTTGTACGTGACTTTGCTGAGGATCCCCTTTTCAGCGAGGTCGTTGATAAACTCGGGAATCTCCTACTGGGCACGATAGAACAGCTCGAGTGACGACGAGATGGGCGTCTCGCCACCCTTTACAGGTACCCGATGGCCATAGAAGAAGATGTACTCCGGCGCATGCGGTACCTGCGGCGACTCGCTGTGACTATAAATGAGCACCTCCTTTGGCGACTCGTTAGCTGGAGCTACATTGGGAGCAAGCGGTTTCCTGTCAACGACAATTCCGATGATCTCGTGAGGTTTATACCCAAATGCGTGGCTAATTCGCTGAAGTCCTCGGCGTTATGGATTGGCAGACCCCGGAAGAGCAGCGTTCCATGACGAGCAAGTAGTTTGGTGAGAACCCCCCCTTCTTGTGCCTGCAGATATTTCACAGCCTCGACTGCTGTGCCGAGGTCAACCCCATCGGTATTGTCATCACGGCCAGCGATAGAAGGACGTAATGCTAGCGGGGTAACGGTGTCCGTGGGATGAGGAACTCCCAGCACACGCTGGTTGCTTGATGCAAGGTCGAAAGGCTTAAAGGTGAGCGACGGCAACGGATCGCCGTTGAGTTTGAGGAGATGCGCGCAGAGAGGCTCGACAGAAGTCGCCATGGCAGAGCAGAAATAACGATACAGAGTGCATTCCTATATGAATACCAATCGAGCCATATTATTCTGACAGCTGCGCACAGGTATAAAATACTACTGCTGTTTACTGCTGTTCTTGCGGGGACTGTACCGTTCCCCGGATGTTCTCATCCCTTCCAATAATCGCGGAAGCAACAGGCAATAGGTTTCTGGTGATAAGCCCTTGGCCTCACTCTCTTGCTGCCAACATGTCTCTATCACCCGCTGCTGCAAAGGGAGAGATAGCCATCGGCAAGGAAGAGCTTGGGGAAAGCTCACCTAGGTCGTCCTCGACGAGAAACAGTCCTGCCACACCGCGCAGTCGGCCTGTTGTCTTCCGCGGCACACTCTTCCAGATCCTTCTTGTCGGCTTTTGCACCTTCTGTGCACCCGGAATATGGAGTGCCATGAATGGCCTTGGAGTCGGTGGCTCGCAGAGCCCGGGTCAATGCCGCTAATGCCTTGTTGTATGCATTCATGACCGTGACATGTTTTGCCGGTCCCTAGCTGACTAACATCATCGGACTCCGGTTGACGTTGGCGCTCGGCTTCATTGGATATCCTCTCTATGCTGCTGGGCTATATGTTAACAACCGCTTTGACACAACATGGTTTGTGTACTTTGGCACCGTGGCATGTGGCATCAGTGCCGGCTTCTTCTGGAGCGTCGAGGGCGCCATAGCCACAGGTTACCCAGGACAGCATAAACGAGGTCGTTACATCGCTGCGTGGTTTACTTTCCGGAACTTGGCAACATCATAGGGGGTGCAGTCTCCCTCGGCATCAACCATAAGCCAACCATCGTGGGCAAGTTGGATATCAGACGTATCTCGCCTTCATTGCTATCCAATGTTTCGGGCTCTTCATCGGCTTGTTTCTCTCAAACCCTGGCAAAATGCAGCGCGACGATGGAACTTCCATCAGCATTCCGAAGGGGGTTGACTGGCGTACCGAAGCCAAACAAATGGGGAAATTGGCGACAAGCAAGCCCATTCTCCTGCTGGCACCACTCTTTTGGTACTTTGGCTGGTGCCAGGCGTACCCGGGCACATATCTGGCGACATATTTCACAGTGCGCTCGCGTGCGCTAGGAAGTTTCCTGTCAGCCATTGTGGGTACATTAGCTCCCTGGCCGGCTGGCTTACTCATCGACATTCCATGGACAAAGAGTCGGCAGACACGAGCTGTAACCACATTTATCATCGTTTCCCTGCTTAACAGCACAACCTGGATCTGGGCGGTCATCCTTCAGAATCACTGCCGTCATACGAAACCCGTGCTGGACTGGGCTGACTAAAGCGCATTCAGCCCTGGATTTGGCGTGTATTTGTTCGAGCGCATTAGCATGGGCATCGTCGAAAACTATATCTACTGGTGTATCGGCAATCTTTCTGATTCACCCGGTTACCAGATTCGCTATAGCTCGCTGCTTCGGGGCATTGAAACGGCCGGTGTTGCCGTATCGTTTGGTGTGCAGGCCGTCCAACAGCTCTAATCGCAACCGCGAGTCTCAATTTCGGCTTCTGGTTCGTTGCATTACCCTTCAGCTACCATGCCACACTGCAGGTAGTTCGCAAGTTCAACCAAATATACGAGGAGAGCAAAGTAGTGAGAGGGGGCCAAGAGACTAGCCAGATAGATAGTCGACGGTAAGCTCGTCTGTTTTTTGAGGTGACTATTGGGGAAAGAGCAATGCATAAGAATAAGGTGAAGGAGGGAGAGGCGCGCTTTCCCTGCCGCTCGGTTTAGTGATTTGAATTGACTATGTTCTGCTTCATCTCTCCATGTCAGTTTCAGCTGTTCCGCACTGCAGGCGAGGCCACTGTCTTTACTCTTCTCATGCGTCGCCTGCCATCTATTCTTTTCTCAAATATAGAACTGGATCGACCGCATCACTACATAAGGTATCAATATACTCTACTGAAACATACGCTTCTTCTTGCATCCTTGCCATGCGGCTTTGATAAACCTTACCCTTCCTGTCCATATTGGCCATCCATTGAACGTACCTCCTTGAACCCGTTCCTCTGGTTCACTTGCTGTTCCAGGGATCATACAAAGAAAACGTGCCAAGCGGATCATCATGGCTTTCTGGGTGGACTGGGCGCTATGGCAGAAGATGATCCTAGTAAGCGTCGGTATTAGATGAATACGACGGGGAGGATGCTAGCTAACATCGCACGATAGGTCCTTGCATGTCTTACAGTAACTAGCCCCCCCTCCCTGTACGAGTATGCGAAGGACAGTTTCTGACAGTCGAGAAAAGGTCATCGTTCTCACATCGGCTTTCTCTGCTCTCATGTATAACAGACGAAGGACTAAAAGGATCGCAGAGGCCGAAGCAGAGTGGGAAGTAGAACAGAATTGGCTGAGCAGGACTGGAACAAACGATATACCATTCGGCGCTCTGGCGCTCCAAAAGGGGATCGACATTGAAGGCATCTGGATTTCTAACGACAATACGCCATATCCAAGTCCATGCCGATCAGCTACACCCGTGGAAAGCCGGCCCCAAAGCATCGTTTCATCACGAATGACATTAGAAAATGAGATGAGGATGAGCGATATCCGTCAACACGGCCAGACATGTCCGCCAGCATCTAATGTGGATGTCCCCAGATCTCCTTATGTTTCGAGAGTCATAAGTGAACCATCTGCTGGCAAATACCGACCTCAAAACAATCAGGTCAATTTACCCCGTAATTTCAGCCGTCTTAGTCGCCATCCGGTTTTGAGGCGTGACGATGTCGAAGTCGCGCATGGCTCTGGTTTACATAAAACCCCTAGCAACCCTGGCTTTCATAGATCGTCAGATTTGGGGAGGGGACACGAAAATATACAAAGGCCAAAACCAGCCCGAGGTAAATAGGCATCTATATTCAAGAAAACTGCTTTAAAGAGACCGTCAGTGCTGATAATAATATCTCTTTAGCAACTTCACACCGGAAATGCCAGCGCTCATCAGAAGAATTCAGGCGGATAATGAGCGAGATATTTGAAGAGAACTTTCAATTAGACGCTAGCGAGTCACTTCAACTTAACATTATCTCTCCAAGACATTATTTCTAAGGGGTGAAAAGAAGCTCAATCCTCTCTGTTCACGATCCCTGTATTGCTCGTTCATCGTGGATATTTTTGTCACTCATGAGCAAAACAAACAATGGAAAAAAGAGAGGACGTTGACTAGTAAGGATCAGACTTACTCGAGGAGCTTTAGCACGCCTACTGGTTGTGTTGTTGGATGGGAGCTTTGTTGGACATCAGTACATAGCATGGTTAGAACGCAGGAGTAGCGATGTTTCTAAATAATCACATGATTTCGTGACGGTCCGGACGCGTCGCTTTCTTCAGGCTGCCATTCTGGTAAAGAGACAACAAGCCAACTTGCCGCAGCAACAGAGCAAAAGCGCCCTTAGCTCGAGTATAAAAGCTAGTCACAAGATATAGCCAAGGAATACATTTCTTGTGAAACTGAAGCTGGCTTAGCTTATTGTGAAGGTCCAACGATCGAGTTCCTAAGACGCGTCTCGTCGCGTTCAGCTGCTTTCACGCTTCAGCGATTGCAGTACGAGTGAGAAAGGCGACCAGTCCTTCAGGTGCAGGGGCTTTTTTTTATTTATTATTTTATTTACTTTCTTTTAAAGATGACAGCCGATATGGGTTCTCAGAACGAATATGACGATAATGGTCTCCCAGGTCCAGGGGCGCCCACCCCTCTCTCTGCTTTGGAGGTGAGTAGGACACAGGGTTTAGTTTTCATCTTCCGAAAGATGAAACCATTCTATAAGAGTACTAAATGGCCATTTTTCTGATACTCCACATGTAGGGTGTCTCTGGGTTAACTACTAGAGATATCAAATTGTTTGTCGACGCGGGGTTTAACACCGTCGAGTCTATTGCATACACGTACGTCTTCTTGCTTTAGCCCACGATTGTTTCACAATATACTGACGGCTTGTTGCCTTTTTAAATTCCTTGTGTAGGCCGAAGCGTGTCTTGGAACAGATCAAGGGTATCTCTGAGCAAAAAGCTACTAAAATATTGGTTGAAGGTGAGGTGTTCTCTTAATTAGAAGATCGAATGCGATACATTAACATATTGTGTCTACTTTGTAGCTTCAAAACTGGTCCCAATGGGATTTACGACGGCTACGGAAATGCACGCCCGACGAAGTGAGCTCATCTCAATCACAACCGGATCTAAGCAGTTGGACACTTTACTCGGAGGGGGGATAGAAACCGGTTCGATCACGGAGATATTTGGAGAGTTCAGGACGGGAAAGAGTCAAATATGTCACACCCTGGCGGTAACTTGCCAGTTACCATTCGACATGGGAGGAGGAGAGGGGAAGTGTCTGTATATCGACACGGAGGGAACCTTCCGGCCAGTGCGCTTACTGGCTGTTGCGCAAAGGTACGGGCTCGTTGGCGAAGAGGTTCTAGATAACGTCGCCTACGCTCGAGCCTATAACTCCGACCATCAACTTCAGCTCCTGAATCAGGCTTCCCAGATGATGTGCGAGACACGGTTCTCGCTTCTCATCGTCGACTCCGCCACATCTCTTTACCGGACAGATTTCAATGGCCGTGGAGAGCTGTCATCCAGGCAAACCCACCTCGCTAAGTTTATGCGTACCCTCCAGCGTCTGGCAGACGAGTTCGGCATCGCCGTTGTCATCACCAACCAAGTCGTGGCTCAAGTGGATGGCGGACCGAGCGCTATGTTTAACCCTGACCCCAAGAAGCCCATTGGGGGCAACATTATTGCCCACGCTAGCACCACTAGATTAAGTCTGAAGAAAGGACGGGGGGAGACGAGAGTGTGCAAGATTTATGACAGCCCGTGTCTCCCGGAAAGCGATTGCTTGTTCGCGATTAATGAAGACGGAATTGGCGATCCCAGTCCTAAGGACATGGATAATGAGTAAACAGGTGATACAACCGTTTCCGTTTTCGAGTTTGTCATGAGTATGGATTTCGACGATTCTTTATGGGCTTCGTCCTGGTCATATCTTTATTTCTTAGCATAGCATAGCATTTAGGTATTTTTCTTAACTGACGACGCGAATTAGTGATTAATTGTTTTTTTTTTTCCTGCAGCGCAGACTTGTAATGCCAGTTAGAAACCGAAAGAACGCCGATGAGATACTAAAGAAATAAAAGGACAAGCAGTAGAAAGGCATGAAGTCAAGGAAAATGTAACATTTCAAGGACTGTTGGTGAATGCGCGTTGGTTGTTTGGCATGGCCGTGCCAAGACACGTTTTTCCAGCAGCTTGAAGAGCTTCAGCTTTCCGCTCTCTCAAGACAAGTTCACCAATTTCCCTCGCGAAATCCCTCACGACGTCGACAGACTATGGAGCCCTGAAGTGGCGATTATTGCGAGACAGAATATTTGTCCGTATTCACCAGCCAATTCACCATGGCTCGAATCTACAAGGAAACCAGGCTCGACCTGCGTCCTTACTCGCCTGACACCGTCGTCAGTATCCAGATTCCGACGCAAGAGAGCAACGGCAACGGTAGCGCACAGCGTCGAGCTCGATTCTCTCATTTATCATTGTTCCTTGGCAACGATGAACCGATCGCACGAGACGAGGAAGAGTTTTCGAAGCGTTACCTAGCCACTCAAGGGTCCGTCTACTTTCGCAAGCGAAAAGCCTACCCCCGAACGTTTCTGTGGAGGGTCGTCAATGACAATAAGGTCTTGGAAATCCATTGCGTGGATCTGGTGAAGGGTGGAACTGAGCAATTCGAATATGATATGACACTTCGCTTTGAGTTTCAGGAGGGCATTCTCCCTTCGATGGTTGCTTTGGCAGATTTGGAGGACCATGAGGTGTTGAATGTCTTCGTGATCACAGCCTCAAAGCAGCTATATACGTTGGCGCTGCTCCCTGAATTTTTCAGGAGGTCGGCTGCTATCGATGAGAATGTTTCTGAGTGGTGCAAGTCTTGTGTTCCTGCGCCTTTGGCTTTTTCGTATCCCCATCGTCTTCATGCGAGCAGCCCCCTGGAGTTATTTATTTCGCTGGATAATGGATCATTGTTGCGGTTGACGAGAAGATCTGGTGATGATGGTAATGCTATTTTCTCTTTGTTCATTTTCCTTGGTGTGATTTCATATTCTGTGCAAGGTTTCTGGTGCTGTTACTGACAGACTTCATTTCTTCAAGGCTCGTATTGGTCCCCTCTTACACTTGACGAGAGATCCTGGGGTTCGTCGATTCGTGGTCTACTAAAATGGCATGCACAACCATCGATCAAATACCAGGGGCGTAGTCTCGACCCCAACACTGCAGTTGCCGTCGCTACCACCTCCGATCAAACGCATCTAATCGCGGTCTGCTTGAATCACACACTCAAGATATGGAATCTTAGTTCAAACAGATTGGTCGCTACAAAGGATCTTTTAGATCGACAGGTACAACAGCATGAGTCGGCATTATACACCTTGAACGCCTCTGAGTCGTCATTTATCCGTGTATTCAACGCGGAGCGGGCAATTGATGGCGGATACCGCTATTATGTTATTACCTTTTCGCCTTTCGATGATGGTCGCTTTAAATTCTGGGCTGTAAAAGGTGGATTGACGTCTGACTTAATAATCGAGGATCTGTTCCCTGATGCGCCTCTGAGACCTATGGACCCTGATCCATCTGGTAATGTATTCTGGACCATTATCGATTTCCAGCTTAAATCAGCTGAAGAGGGGAAACATATGGAATTATGGGTCCTATGGAGGAACAAGAATATCTATCAGTTGTATAGCTTACACTTTGACTTCCAGTCGTTGGTGACTGATTGGTCTTCAAACTGGGTGTCGACGGCATGGGAAATACAGAGAGAGGAAATACCGCCGTCTATGGTCCTTTCCGATGTTGTGGATCCAACAGAGAAGTGGCTGAAGTTTTTCTTTTATCCTGGGAGGTTTCCACCAGAAGTTTTGGAGACGGCTTTGGTCATCTACCAAGAAGCTCTTCGCCCACTATCTTCGCCGAACGTCTCTAAGAAGAGCGCTTCCTTGCAAGAGCGCCTCTGCTCAACTATCACATCTACAGTCGCACTGCGTAAATATGCGGAAGAGGAAATGGACTTTGCACGGTATCGGACTGATGCAGACTCCAAATGGCGAACCTTTTGGCAGATTGCCGACGATCTTAACAAACGAAGGTTTGAGCCGTTTTCCCTCTCCTACGACACTTACTACGATCTCCCATGGTTGCTCCTGTCAGATAGTTGCGCTGTCATCCGGGAGTGCAGTTCCACGGAGCTACTCTTACACAACACGGATTCCGAGCTTCGCGAGGGAATGACCAACATAATGGATCGCTGGAGACATAGGAATCTTAGTTCAGAGGTCAGCGACTTATTTGAACAGGCATCCTTTTTGATGAAGATCGCATCCAGTTTCAGGGCTGCATTCCCGGCCGAGCTTGAGTCCGCATGTCAAGCTGCTTTGGAAGTGGAGATCTTCACAGAGCCCCTGTTTTCAGTACCAGACCGAATAGCAGCTTTCCAGGAACGATGCAATTTTGTAGACTTTGTCAGCGACAAGGAATTTGATAGCTTGGTTGCGGCTCTGAATGAGCGGATGAATGTCTATAGTCTTCCGGGCGAAGTTTTTTACACGATCATCGAGACAATCCCTCTCGGGTTCCCTGGGAAAGATTCGGATCTTCTTTCTACGCATTTCGGGACCAAGGCTACAGTGAACGGTGCCCAAGAGACCATCTCACACACGCATCAGGTTCTCTTTAATCTGCTCGTGCTCTCTGTATTCCTAGATGGCGAGGTGAAGCAAGAAGAAGACTCCACCTTTGACTTGGCAAACTTGTTCTCCACGCTCATCGAGATGTTGAGGGAATATGAAGTGATGCTCTGGCTCTGTTCCAATGTGCGCAGATGTCCTGACAGGTTTCATAACCCCCCTGCTGATACCCTTTCCACCCCATTCTCCATGGATGGTGATTCCGGTTTGAAGAACAAGAAGATTGCAAGGATGGTCACAATTCTCGAGGACCTGTTTGCCACGCACATCAAACCGCGGCAAGCTATCAATATGCCCCAAAGCTATGCATTAACTCTGGGGATTCGGGATGTCCTATCCTGGGTGACACGGCAGGGAGAAGTGGCATTGCCGAACGCCTTGGTCTTCATACAGTGTGATTTGTTGGCAAAGGGAAATACTGACTTGGCATGGGATTTCCTGAGATTTCAGATAAGCACATCTTGGGCGACCTACGTCAAAGGACGCGTGTATGTGGCCATGTCCGAATTCGATACTGCAGCGATCTATTTCCGGAAAGCTGCCTATCTTTTGTCGTGCGGCAAGCCTCTCGGCAACCTCCATGAGATGTCCTCAACACTGTTGGATATTGTCTCTGTGGATTCCTTTTACAACGGCCTCCCTAAATACTTCCAGCATATCCTCTCTATTTTTGAGGAGACGCGTTCATTCTCCCACGTGGCAGACTTTGCCAGCCTTGCGCTGCAGGCGCTTGAAAGTGAACACAAGAGTGAGGAAGACGCTGAGTATGTTAGTTTACGAAATGACCTCCTCTCCCGCCTATTCTATGCATCTCTGAAGACGGCCCAATTCGATCAGGCCTACTCTGCCCTTTCGAGATACAAGGACCGTGCGTTGCAGAAATCTTCTCTGAGTTCACTGGTGGCGAGCGTCCTCGTTGCTTCTGGACCGGGAACCGCTGGGCTCAACCAACTTCTCCTCTTCCCGACTTCGCTGGTACCCAACATTTCTTCTTACATCGACGAGACTCTTGTGTCGCTCGCCAGGAAACAGACATCGTTCACGTCTTTTCTGGAAGAAGAATCAACATTTGACAACAGTAATAGGAGATGGATAACGGATAGCAACAATTCGCCGGATTATTGCAGAATCCTGCAAGCTTACCGTGTCTTGCAGAATGATTACCGTGGGGCGGCGGAGGTCGCATATCGCAATGTTCAGCGTCTGAGGAAAGCCAGAGATAATCCATCACCATATCTCCTTGTCGGAAATAAGAAACATACCGATCCTCAACGGGCATTACAAAGTTCGAACCAGAACCAGGTAGTAGAAGAGGATGATCCCGAAAGCAAGGAAATCCGGCACGAGCTCCTAGCGCTGATCAATCTTCTTGCGTGCGTTGATAAGAGCGAGGCATACATCCTTGTCGAAAAGGACGATGCCACCGACAGCAGTGAGGATCTCTTCCAGTCGCAGAACGAACGTCGCATAAGCACCACGCACGCTGATGAAGACGGGAACGTCTTCATGGACGATGCCGCTGACAACAGTCATAAACCATCAACATTCGGATTGTTCTCAAACGGTAATACTAATCGCAGAGGTTCCTCCGCAACGGCGAGAAGAGATAGCAAACCTTCATTCTCTTTCCTTCCCGGCGGCAGCACTGGCAGTGGTGGTGCTGACACTGCTGCTCGTCTTTCTCTTTCCTTTCACCCTCGGGATAATACAACCACACGGCGTGTCATTGTCACTCTTGACCATCTTCGACGTGAATACCAATCCGAGCTGGATCGGGTCAGCCGGATCGAGCGCGGTGATTGGGAATTTGGCTTCGGTGATGACGAAGGAGAAGACGAGGGGCTTAATGATGAGACCATGGTGATTTCTTAATTATGTTATGTCTTTCTCTTTCCCCCCATCTTTTTCAAATAAATTTTTCTGTTTTTCTCCGGGATTTTGTCTGTATTTGCGAGCATCTTTGAATTGAACTTGAAAAAAATGGTGGTACGTGCATTTTTCTGAACATTCATTCATTCATTATAACGTGTGTGCTACGGTACGGATGGGACTTACTTGCAAGGGGGGAATGAATATATCTGTCTGTATTTGAGATCCACTTTGTGCTTATTGTAGCTACTGGCATTGGCATTAGAATCGGGAAGCTTTTCTCTTGCCCACATTGGGATGGTATCGAGTATCTAGGTGGTAAAGTAATTAATTAGTGTGCTGTGTCAAGTAACCATAGTTATCCCATCAGTATGTCAGCCTTCAACCCGAAACAATCAATAACATGCTCTGTTGCCTGCGATATCTGATAGGAATAAGAGGAGATTTATAGTAGGCAGGATTGTTCATATTTGCGGGAAAATGATATCTTAATTACGATATTAATGATAGGACTATATATAGATAAGCTTGGATATACGCCAGGTATATGCTAAATAACACAGGGCAAGGACAAAGAACCGCAAAAAGCGTGATGGTGGTATCTTGAAACATCGGGGACTGCTGTACTAAAATGCATTTAGTCCGTCTCGAGAGAAACAACGAAGGGTGTATAACGGGGAGAGTAAACAGCATTGCATCGAAGATCGAAGAGACGAGGTCTTATCACGAGTCTCTTACGGGAAAGACTCTTTGCGTGGTATGGTGCTCTGTAGTCTTTTTCTGACATTCACATGCTTTCTCTGCTGATGTCTTTTTCTTTTTCTTTTTCAAAAGAAAAGCCATAAAACTTATTCGACAGAGGCTCGGGACCACTTTCCTCTCGCCCTGATCCGTGGGCCAAACACATAAAACAGATATGGAATAGGAATCAGTCCCACGGCCACAAAACCGAGTACACTCGACGCCCAATCCACGCCTATTCCGTGAAACATGTAGGTCGCGAATAACGGGAAGGAGCCAGCAAACATACTTCGCAAGAATGTATTAGCTGCGACAGCGCTGGCTGAAACCTTCTGGAACGTGTCGACAAGGTAGTTCAGCGCAGCTTGGAAGATAGTGAAGAAGCCAAAACCCATGCAGGAGGCGCCGACGACCGGGCCCATCCAGTGGATGTGACGAGGACTAGTCCAGCCGAAGATGAATAAGCCACCTGCAAAGAAGATGGAGCCAAGCATCATTGGTGGAAGGCGGGCTTCAGGGACAGGACGGTTGTTGTTCGCCTTGAAGCGTGTGAGATAAAATCGTTGGTTGAAGATATTGATGAAGCCACCGGCAAGGATCCCCACGAGTAAGGCCAAGAAGGGCAGATTTTCAACCAGCAGATTCCAGCCTCGGACTTCTCCGAACTCGATGGGAAAAGAAGCAAGACTGAGATATAGGATGCCGTAGACGAAAGACGCATATAGAGCCATCAGGAAACAAATGGGAGTGAACAATAGCTCAAAAGGGCGAATGAGATACTTGTTGGCCAGCTCCTTCAGGGTAACATCCCATTCTTCATGGCGTGCATGAAGTGCCCAGTTACCAGTCTCGAAACGAAGTCTTCGCGCCTTATAGACCAAGAGTGTGGCGGGGTGGCTTTCATCGAGAAATATCACATCCATTGTGAGGAAAAAAGACATCATAATGCCGGTTATCTAGGACAAGATATTCGAGTCAGCTAGTGCAAATGGTATTGTTAGAAAGGGAAATCGAGGAACCAACGTATTCGTTCCACCTCCACCCAAGATAGCTCTGAGAGATAGCACCGCCGACAATTGGTCCCAGCACTGGTCCTCCAACCACGGCGAATGCATATCCAACCATCGCTACACCCCGATGTTCTGCAGTCCAGATATCACTCAGGACGCCGCCGGTATTGGTGACAGGGGCTGAGCCGAAAAATCCTGTGAAAAATCGTGTGATCATGACCGTTTGTACATCCTTGGCCGTTGCTGTACCAAACGTGAATACTGCAGCTAGGAAATACGGTATTAAGACTGCCGTCTTGCGCCCATAGACCTCAGATAGTGGTGCCCAGACCAATGGACCCAGTCCCATTCCAAACAAGAGCAGTGCTGTACCAAGAGTGGCAACTTCTTTACCGACACTAAATCGTAAGTGTATCCCATTAATCCCAGGCGAGTAGCTGGAGGAGTTTGTCAGTTACTAATTCAGAGATGGCAATAGCTGACAATCGTGGTATCGTACACGGAGCTAGCCCAAGTTGTGCCTGTAGTTTCAATTCGTCAGCGGCATGAGCAACTAGGTACTCTACCTGAATCCGGGGAATCCCACGTACCCATAGTTGTCAGTCCATACATGACGGTTGTAATCGCCTTCTTCTTAAATCCCCAGTTCAAGGGCATGTAAGGATCATCCGGCCCATCAAACCCAACAATGACGTCTTCGGCGGTTTTCGTGTGCGACAGCGGATGCGTGAAACGTGCAGTCTGGCCAGGTTCACGACTTCGAACCCTCGAGATGATTGACTGCGCATGTTGTTCGAATGCAGAGCGACCCGACGCAACTGTCGATAGCTTCTCAAAGTCGCCTTCTCCAGGGGCGCGCGTCTCCTCGTAGCACCATTCCCGGTCGACGGTCGGCGTAGGTCGCACATCCTCGCTGGTCGGCGCCGAAGTGAGCGATTCGCGGTCAGTCATGACTTTATTAGGGCGGCATCCAACCGAACCTGGAGCATTTATGTGCAATTCAAGGAGCACCTGGCTGGAAGCTGGAGTGGGTATTTCCCCAACACTTTATGTACGACTGCCGTCACAACTAGAGAATTTATAGGTGGAGAGATTCAGAAAGTGAGAAAAATGAAAAAAAAAAAAAATATAAAAATAAAAAGAATAAATAGAAAAAATAGAAACAAAATAATAAAACAGCAATCATCAGCGACAACGTCACTGAAATCGCAAAGCCGTATGATAGGGCAGGGACAGCAAAAGGTCCCAACCCAATAGACGTCTCGCCACAAAATCAAGCATTGGCAAAGCCGTCTTATCCGACACGAACAGCGAGATCGGCAATTGGAATCGCTGATAGAGTGGGATTTCGGATTTCACTGTGACAACTCCGATGCCCGCCATGTCTGTGTTTGTCCTGCTCCGAGGGCGTCGTGCCTTGAGAAGCTCAGGAGGTATCTGGAACCGGACGATGTCCGCGCGTATGTGGACCTTGGACGGATCGCCACGGCCAGTAGATCATGATGGGTTGATAATGGTTTCATTAGTAGCGTTATCTGCGAGCTGCAGAGACGGATGGGCATCGCTATGAGATGGGAGAGGATTGCAGTTCTGCAGAGATCTTCGTGAGGACCTCATTTTTCGGCCCAAATGTTAGTACACGTGAGGTTCTGCCGTCCTAGACCGCCCTCGCTACCTATCTCACGGCACAGGCAGGCCTACCTAGTAATACGACCATACATGCGCCTATCCATTAGGTTATGAGCCCGTTTTAGCTCTACGATATTGAGCTTAAAAAAAGCCTTTCAGATAGGCTAAATTGTGACCTCTCATTGGTCAAACCAGAAATCGAGCGCTTCTAAGCGACTCTGAACACCAGGACCGCCAACAATCGGCCCCTGAACCCCAGGATCCTTCGATCGATCCCATCCAAAATGGTGGTGCCTCGAACGCCCCCTACCACCGCTAGACGTCACCGTCGTCAGCCAGAATCCACAGATCCTTCATCAGATATAGGCTCCTCCGCCTCCTCAGTAATCTCTGAAGAAATGGACACCCCAACTGCCCCTAGAGCTCAAAGCTCTACTACAGCCAACACCATGGCATCCACACCAGACATCACAGCTCTGTTCCAGCAGATGCAGGAACAAATGCAGGAACAAATGCAGAAGCAGATGGACCAGTTCATGACTCGTTTTAACGCCCTTGAACACCATCAATCCCAATCCTCCACTCCTACAGTCCGGCATAACGCTACTCCCTACAATCATATTCAAAATAATACGGCTATTCCAGCCTCAAATCCAGTACAAAAAGATCCTTTTGATCATGTACAAGCTCAAGTTAAAGCGCTCCTACCAGACCGATGCCGAATCACACTGTCTCATGATAATTACGACCTCTGGAGTTCAGCCATTCAAAGAGAAGCCAATGTCCTGAACGCTAGTACAGTCTTGCATCAGGATATACCTCCAGTAGGATACTCAGCTTATGATGCTGAAGTATGGCATTGCAAAGCCACTGTCATGAGAGCCCGAATGCTTCATGCTATGACTGCCCAAGCCATTGACAAATTGGGCAACACATATGACCTATCAGCCCATGGTTTATGGGACCGAACTGCTACCTTTTTCGGACGTTCTACTGGTGAAGAACGAATGCTTCTCATAAAAGAGCTCAAGGAGCTCTATATAAAAGACAATGACTACCTATCCTACCAATCTGCGTTTACTAGGATAGTAGACCGCCTTCATGCTATAAAAGAAGCATCATTTGACAACCTTATTCACGACCTATTTTTTATAGGCCTCCGCGAATGGAACAAAGCATTCATTAAGAGTAAACTTGATGAAGTATACTCAACTGGACAAGGCCCTGTCATCAATCTGGACCTACCTACCATTCAAGCTCAACTCTCTATCCGTATGGGCACCCAAGCCCGTGAATCCCGCTCCCAACACGGAGGACGACGAGAGAATCTATCCGGACGAAGCTATTCCAAACAAGCATCTAACCCCATTGCTAGCTCTTCCGCCTCAAGTTCCAACACTAAATATAAACCTCAGGACCAGGACTCACGCAAACCAAAGACCCGTTGTGATTGGTGTGGTCATTTCCACCCAATGCCTTGCCTCTACAAGAACCCTGAGAAAGCCTCTGAGCATTGGCGCCGAGCCAATAAAAATACTATTGAAGCTATTCGTGCTTTACACACTGCTAAAGAATCTTCCACTGCTTCATTCTCTGAAGCAGAAACCAATGAACTGGTACCATGGACTTCTTCAGCTGCAAAAACAGCCATTGCTAAATCAGCCCAATCTCTCCAAGCTTCATGGTATCTTGATAGCTGTGCTTCATTCCATGTTACACCCCATCAAGCTTTCTTCACGTCCTATAAAACATTGAGAAAGGAGGACCTTACTCCAGCGGATTATATTGAAGATGCTCAAGGGAAGATTTCCAAACCTCATGGTATTGGCACCGTCGTCATTGATATTGGAACCGGATCCTTGATCCTTAGGGATGTACGACATGTTCCATCCTTCAATTCCAACTTAATCTCCATGGGAATGCTTCTCAAACAAGGTTTTCGTATCGAATTCCCTTCCAGCTCTCAAGTAGCACAAATCACAACCTCTTCTGGTGCAGAATTTGAAGCCATTTTGAATACCAACAATGTATTCATCCTATCAGATTGCATTTCTCCCGACGAGAGCTCCTATGCCTTTGTCACCACCCGGTCTGGCAAAGAGGCCAACCGACCAGGGGACCCTCCCAGAAAGAAACCTACAACATCCCCAAAGACTAAGAGCTCCAAAACAGCTCTACCAATTATGACATGGCATCGCCGTCTATGCCATTTAAACCAGCAGGATCTTTTACGCCTTGCCGCAGATCCTACATCAGACATTGAAATCAAAGGTTCCAAAGAACTACCACTTTGTGAAGCCTGCATCCAGGGCAAGCAAACTCGCCAATACAGCAAAACACCAAGATCCCGTATGACTGCACCACTAGCCCGAGTCCACATAGACCTTGCTGGTGGCGGCCGAACACTAGATATAGAGAAGCTAGATATGCCTCTACCTTCACGTACAGGAGCCAAATATGTGATGCTTATTACTGATGACGCTACACGTTACCGTTGGGTCCACTACCTAACTGAAAGATCTGCTGCAATTGATGCATTTCGGGGTTGGCTACAACAGATGAAGAATCACCATTTCCCTGCCCCAGCCTATATTGTCTCTGACAATGAATTCTGTTCAGCTGAATGGCAGAAAACCTACCGTCAGGAAGGCATCGAATGGCAACCAAGTTCTCCATATTCCCCTTGGCAAAACGGTGTCAGTGAGCGCAGCATACGCATACTCTTTGACCGTGCTCGGACATTAATGCTTGACGCTCCCCATATACCACAGCGATTTTGGGTTGATGCTTTAAAATATGCATCAGATATAACAAACCGCCTCCCAACATCCACAGTCCTATTCAATTCACCTATCCCTGGGGGGGTCAATACCAACACCAAAATCAGCCCAAGCCCATATAAATCGCCTCTGGCTGCCTGGACCAACTCACCAACTAGTATCAACAAATACCGACGTTGGGGCTGCCCTGTCTGGGTTCATCGACATGGCTCAGATAAGCCTATAAACAAGTTCGATTCCCATTCTAAATGCTGCTTCATGATCGGCCAAATCAGTAGCCAACAATATAGAGTGTGGGACCCTAAAACAGACGCCATTTTTTTCAACCAATGACACTATATTTGATGAAGAATATGAGGATCCCACAACTACACCTCCACAAGCTACTGTTCCTGAAGATCCAAGTACTCCTAATAAAGAAGATACAAACCAACCTGTTGAAGATGAAGACCAGGAAATATGGCTTCGACCCGCCAAAGGCATGTCCCTAGCCTATCTCACCACTTCAACTACTCCTTTGTCTGAAGATGACACGCCTACTTCCTATAAGCAGGCTATATCTCATCCTGATGCCACCAAGTGGCAAGCAGCCATGCAAAAAGAAGTCAACCAACTCAAAGAAAAAGGCTGCTGGCAACTTATCCGCCGCTCTGACCTACCACCAGGGACCAAGGTCATCCCTGGCCGGTGGGTATACAAAAAGAAAGAAATCCCTGGTACCCCTATTACAAGGGACTACCAAGTTAAAGCTCGCTGGGTGATCCGTGGAAATCTACTTGACAAGGACTTCATGGAACCATACGCCCCAGTGGTAGATGAAAATACCACTAGAACCCTTACGGCACTGGCCACTCTACTTGGCTGGCATACTCGAAAGGCAGATGCCATCCTTGCTTTCCTAAATGGAAAAATGCCCACAGATAAACGTGTCTTTATGACCCAAGTTCAGGGATTCAAAGAAGGCTCTGGAGACCTGGTTTGTGAACTCCGCCAGTCCCTCTATGGACTGATCCCATCTGCCCGTATCTGGTATGATACACTAAATGCTTTCTTACGACAAATCGGCTTCAAAAGCTCCGAATACGACTCTGGTCTCTGGATCCATACCACCCGGACCCAACTCTATGTGACTACCCATGTGGATGACTTCAAAGTCTATGCTAAGCATGAGAATGATGCCACTTGGTTTATGGAGTCTCTTTCTGCTAAATTTGACATAAAAGAAGTTGGAAACTCTACCAAATACCTTGGCATGGCCACCTCTCAATCCAAGACCACATATACTCTCTCCCAGGCCAATTATGCTGAAGACGTTGTTGCCTCTTTTGGCCAAGCACAAGCACACCCTGTTGGGATCCCCATGGATCCTAGTTTAATAATTGATGATGACCCAGACCCTACAGTGAACATCAAAGAATATCAACGTGGTGTAGGCTGCCTTACTTGGCTAGCCACCAAAACCCGACCTGATCTTAGCCGGACAGTTGGCGTACTATCCCAATATCACGCCAAACCTACCCAAAAGGCATGGCGTGCCCTTATACACGCTATACGCTACCTTAAAGGCTCCATTAACCGACAAATCACCTACCATAAGGCCACGGAACCCATTACATCTGACCTCCTCATGCCCAGATGTTATACTGATTCTGATTGGGGTGGTCAACTGACAGGCAATCGCCGGTCAGTATCTGGATATATATTTCTGCTTGCCGGGGCCCCAATTGCCTGGAAAAGCCGCAAGCAAACGTCCGTTGCACTTAGCTCCAACGAAGCTGAGTATATGGCTCTAAGTGAAGCCAGCCGAGATGCCCTTTGGCTCCGGAACCTCATCAATGAGCTCAACGTACTCCCTACTGAATGCCCGCCAATTACTCTCCATATCGATAATCAAGGTGCACACGCCATGGCTGAAGCTGAGCTCACCACCAAGAGATCCAAACACATCGATATACGTTACCATTACGTTCGGGAGAAGATCCAAGACGGTATTGTTAAACTCCAGGCCTGCCCTACCAAAGAACAAGCAGCAGACGGCCTGACCAAACCTCTCCGAACTGAACAATTTGACCATTTCCTACAACTCACTGGCATAAGCTAAGCCGCGTATATCTCCCCCATTTTGGATATATTTTCTATTTTGATATACGGCATTCGATTGGCTAAAGCAGAACCTTCATTCCTCTGTTTATTTTTGCATATATTCACTCATTTGAAGGCCCGAATAGAGGCCGATTTCTGTATTTAGATTGATTCCATAGTTTGTAGGCTGCTCGTGCGTGGGGGGGTGTTAGTACACGTGAGGTTCTGCCGTCCTAGACCGCCCTCGCTACCTATCTCACGGCACAGGCAGGCCTACCTAGTAATACGACCATACATGCGCCTATCCATTACCAAAAGGGTAGCAGTCAGGTGACCCCAAATATTCGTCACCAAGGTTATAGTTGCTGTGCTTTTCAATAGCAGAGACACAGCAGAGACACGGCAGAAGTGATCTTCAAAACAGAATAATAGATTCTTTCTTTTGTCTATCAGTGCATGAACTACCTACTCTAGATTGGATGTTTCCTCTGCATGACCGAATCATCTGGTCCATAGTTATACAACATGTGCACCGTAACAACGAAGACCACAAAAACCAAACCGACGTCTAGATCTAGCTGTATAAATGAGTCGTCTAGATTGACTCATAGGACAATAGAGTGGGCGGTCTCCCACTTCTGCACCGCTTCCACAGCGGCAGTCACTTTGAGCCCAACACGCGTGTCAAGCTCGTAGCTCTCCCACTTGGCTGCCTTATCGAGATGCTCTTTGCATTCGCGCACTTTTTGCAACTCACGGTCCTTGTCAGGAACACTAGATATTGCTTCATCCGCTGCTGAAGTCAACGAGGACTCTGCAGGGCCGTGCGCAGCAACGTAGGCCGGACGCTCCATCCAAAGATTAGCCGCCATCTCAAAGTGGGCGACAGGAAGGACCCAGTCGTCCCTCAGATTAACCTTGAACATGGCCTTGTCCTGGTTGAGGACCCGGGTAATGAGGATCTTCTCCGCCTCCTGGTGTCTGCGCATAGCTCGTAGAACGGCGGCGCGAAGCAGATCCAAAATAACCTGCTCCTCCGGTGCCTGGCGGGTCAGATTCCTATTGGCATTCTCTTCGGACCAGGCGATCTTGGACAGCGATTCTTCCAGTTGGCTTCTCGTCATGCGGCTATGTCCATTCCAAAAGAAGATCATCTCTTCGATGGGATCGACACCAATTGAGTCCACTAGAGAAACCTTCCATTCCTTGGCACGGGCTTCCCACTTTGCGATCTTCCGCGTCACGAACATGTCGAATGGCAACTGCCTTGCCATGAAGCGTTTTCGTCCCGCCAAAGTCGGTGCCGTGCGGAAGTACTCAGTGGCCTTTTCAGCATGCTTCTTGGCAACTGACGGATCAGATTTGGCATTTGTGCGGTACAAGACCACATGACAGGCTCCAGCGATGTAATAGTATAGAGAGCGAGACCAGGAATTGATTCCTGCACACTTCACCTAGCTGTTAGTTCCTTCATGCGGGAAGCCAGGGGAGCATTGATACATGACTATCCATCAGAGAACTCTTACCTCAATGAATGACTCCGAACAGAGTTCATATTTATGGAGATACATCGCATTCAGACTCCGTTCAAATACCCGTAGCGCCTCAACTTGCTTTAGTGGACTTCGGGCGCCGCGACACAGAAGATCCAGAGCAGCTTCCAGGTTCTTGTTAGCTCCGCACATTCTGGACTCCTCCAGAAGCCAAAGCTGACTGTTGGGATATCGCGTTCTCATTGTGACTAGGAGAGCTGCCAGCCTCTCCTGTGGGTAGCCCTCTATATCCCCGTCAGCGCCTGCCGACCTATCAGGCATGATATCGCAATATCGGACAAAGCCGTTATAGTAGCCCAACAGTGCAAGTGCAGAGATTGCACCAATCAAATTGGGAAACTTGCTAGCCTGCCACAGCATCCGCAGACCCCTTTGTTTATCCCCTCGAAAACCAATTACGGAAAGCAATCTGCTGAAAGCCGGAGGGACCATGGAAATTATCAGCAGTATAATACCAAAACAGAAATTGGATCCAGAGTGAACAAAAGCATCAATCTGGTTACTAAAGATCTCGGAATCCGGGTCGAGATTGATCGCGCTATTGTTAGTTGGTGTGTCGGCAGCGGTCTGCGCGGGTGCTTCAGAACTAGCCTGTGTCTCAGAGATTGCTAAAGAGGACAATGTCCGACTTATCTCCACGCCTCCATCGGCGAACCTTTCGGTGATTGATCCTGTGGTTGCCATCCTTGTTGCGGTGACTGTATATGTAGACGCATCCCTTTGCTTCCTTAGCGCAGCCCCATCCGTAGGCCTCCCATCTTCAGACTCCAGTGTACGTTCCAACTTTTGCACGAATTTCTCTTCCATGTTAAGAATAGACTCAAGGGTTACATACGCTTTTCTCAGCCTATAGAAACCTCTGATACTCTCCGTGAGACTTTCATTCAAGACGCCAATAACAGCACCCATGAGCTGAGCCATGGCTTGACATAGCGCAAATTCGGAGCCAGGGGCATATATCTGTGACTGAAACGCATTAGGTGCGTTCGCATTGTGATGAGCTCTGTGCTGGTCGTTGGCGCAGCTGGTTTCGGCTTCGTTAAGGCGGTCCGCCGCTGATCGAATATTAGGCATATGTCAAGTATTAAGACCAACAGGAAGGACAAGCACACGGACCTTGACGCATAATATCTTGTTCAAACCCTAATGTTGCACGAACGAACGCAACGACGCCCTTTCCCAGCTATACGCGCAAAACGGGAACATAAGCAAAGAAACTCCTCCAAAAGAAAAGGGTAAAATATTCAATAGGTGGACGTTGGCAATTTTAGCCAAACCGAGTTTCTCATATATCCCTCCTCTTGTCGAGGCATGAGGAAATCGTGCACATACCTTGTGGAAAGATGAAACGCCCTTGTCAAGACCGGCTTCGGCACCATCAACATCGTCATTGAGGATCAATGTCGCCGCTGAATCAAAAGAGGACATCAGCCATGTGCACGTTCAGGTTTATTTCAGAGTACTTCTCGATCTCCACCCACCTCTCAGTGCGTCATCAACTGCCAACGAACAACAGAACATATAGTTAGTCTATTATATTCTGCCAAGAAAAAAAAACCAGCACTCAGGGTGCGAGTACTCACGATCCTGCAACTCCGATAGGGAATTAAGAGACTGTGTCGAGGTATTATGGCTGGGCTTTTTGCCATACAGCCATGACCCCACCTTGAGCATATTGGAAAATGTACTACTCCGTATATAACAAAGAGTAGCAGAAGCGGGCGAAGGAAGACGGAAAAGAAAGGGAATTAAATGAAGACAAGCGTAAAAACGTCAATTTTGCACGTCAGTTCAAGGCCGCAGAGATCCGGACCTCGAATAAAGATAGTACTGCCGCCGATGGGGTGGGGAGGATGCAAGTCTCTCCCATTAGATATGGGACACGGGCATGAGGAATCCCAAGAACCATAGGCGGCCCCTTGCAGAAGCGAACGAAAGGATTAGAGAGTAGTAATAATTAGCCAGGGAGAGAAGGGAGAGATAATAATAACGGAGAATGGGAGGATATATTGCGGCTGAGGGCACGCGATGCCCTATGTCCGTCAGATGTGGCCAGCTGCAGCCTTGTTTCGATCGTTTCCACCTGTCTGGTCTGCCTGGGAGCCCTTCTCCGACTGCACCGAGAATGCTGGGAGAATCGAGTGCTTCATTGGCCTAAAGGGAAAAGAAGACGGGGCTGAGTTCTGTTAACTTTAAGCTTTCCTGCGTCAGTGGCCGCCAAGACGATCCCGAGCTCTATCTCGTTCCATCGCCGACCTTCTGCTCTCCTGCTCTCCACAAGCTCCATCCCACCCACTACCTCCTCTTCTCTTCTCTTTCACGGCTGGACAAATATCTATTTATTGTACTATCCGCCTTTTCCAAGTTCATCTCGTCCTGTCGATATACAATACCAATTATCCATCTCAACACCCCCCACCATGTCGAACACAACGCAATCCCAGTCCGAGCCATCACAACATCCCGAACAGATCCCCGCTGTGCTGGAGGAAGACGATGAATTCGAAGATTTTCCCGTTGAGGGTAGGTTCATCCCTTTTCTCTTTTTCCCTGTCGCTGGGTGCACACATCTGCTGCATTCCCACACCTTTTGTCCTGACGGTAAGAGCCAACCTAACCGTGTCTATTTCTCTTTAGACTGGCCACAAGAGGAAGCCGAACAAGCAGCGAACGGAAACACTGTCCATTTGTGGGAAGAAAGCTGGGACGATGATGATGCCGCCGAGGACTTTTCGAAGCAGTTAAAGTACGTTTTGCATTTGCTGCCCCCACAGCATACTTATCCTTTATATCACAAATTATCTACACTATACTACGTCCAAGTCACAAGTGATACTAACAGATGTGATATTCCTGAGCAGAGAGGAACTCAAAAAGGTCGAAGTGGCGCACTAGTTTATCCCTCAAGTTCAACTCCGAGAAGATAGCATGGCGTGCACACGAGCGAGGACTTTCCCCTTTTTTGGACGTTTCTCTTTTCCCTCTCTTAATATTTTAAGTTAGCCTCTATTTCCATTTGATACGAATTCGAATTCATTCGTCACGGACAGAACAAAAACGGACACAAGCGACTGATATACGCTTGAAATAGAAACAATGAACTGGCGAGTAATAAATAATATGCATGAAACCCATGAGCCACGCAATGTTCGATGATACTGCTGTTGTCTGTAATGGCCACTGTCAGAGAAACGGCCAGAGAAGAGAAGGGGATACAATAAGAACTACAAGGTCTGATAAATCAAAGACTTGAATGAATTTTAGAAAAACTACCAAATGTCTAGACTGGGTTCTTTTTATTACAATTATCCATAGTCACGTTGTGTTTACAGGTAGGTGTTATGGATGTTATTCTTGGAGCTCACTTGCATAGGTAGAGGCAAAAAGGAAGTGAAATGAGAATAGGATGATATAATAAGATATGTCTAAGGAAGGCGACATGGAGTATCCAAGAACCCGTGCGATATGAATAATTGACCATAAGAGAATACACTGTCATCGAAGCAGAGGAGATAGCTACACTATATAATCTGCAGCCTTGTGATAAAATCCCGAGAATGATCCAACTTATATATTAACATCGCATTCATTACATTCATGCATAGCTATATCCTCAAAGGCACAGACCCAGTCCGCTCTAACCATTTTTAAATGAAATTTATAGCCCAAAACATTAAAAAAAAGCCCTTGTCAAGCCTGTTACCCTGGTTTTGTTTCGCTTCATTCATTTGCTGGAGAGAGCGGCAACACCAGGCAATTCCTTGCCCTCCAGGAGCTCCAAGGAAGCACCACCACCCGTAGAGACGTGGCTCAGCTTGTCCTCAGCGCCGTACTTGGCGGCGACGGTGGCAGTGTCACCACCGCCGACGATGACGATGCTACCGGACTGCGCGGCCTTGACGACAGCGTCGAGAGTCTTCTTGGTACCGTTGGAGAAAGGCTCGAGCTCGAAGACACCAGGGGGACCGTTCCAGAGGATGGTCTTGGATTCAGCAATAGTCTTTTCGTAGAGCTCAACACTCTTCTCGCCGACGTCCAGACCCATGTAGCCATCGGGAATGCCCTCGGCATCGGTGGCATGGCCGACCGTAGCGTCAGCCGCGAACTTGTCGGCGGTGACGTAGTCGACAGGGAGGACGATCTTGACGTTGTTCTTCTTGGCCTTCTCGACGACCTCACCGACGATCTTGCTGCCGGGCTCGTCGAAGAGGGAGTTTCCAATCTTCACGTTCTCAAGGGTCTTTTTGAAGGTGAAAGCCATACCTCCGGTGATGATGAGGCTGTCCACCTTAGAAATCAGGTTGTCGATGAGCAGGATCTTATCGGAGACCTTGGCACCACCCAGGATGGCCAGGAATGGCCGCTGGGGGTGCTCAAGAGCCTTGGCGAAGTAATCGAGTTCCTTCTTGACCAGGAAACCAGCAGCCTTCTGGGGAAGTTCAACACCGACCATGGAGCTGTGCGCACGGTGGGCAGTTCCGAATGCATCGTCTGAAAAGAGGAAAACAATGTCAGCCACTAGCGAGACCATAAGACGGTGGGGGCCTTACTGATATAGACATCACCGAGAGCAGTCAGTCCCTTGCGGAACTCAGCGACCTTCTCCTTATCGGCTTTGACCTTGTTGCCCTGGTCATCCTTGGCGCTGCCCTCCTCCTCAATGTGGAAACGCAAGTTCTCAAGGAGAATGACCTGGCCGCCGGAGGCCTTGTTGACAACCTCCTCAACCTGAGGACCAACACATTCCTCAACGAAGGTGACAGGCTTGCCAAGAAGCTTCTCAAGCTCAGGAACGACAGGCTTCAGGCTGTACTTGGGGTTTACCTTGCCATTGGGACGGCCAAGGTGGGACATGAGGATGACGGCCTTTGCACCACCGTCGATGGCATACTTGATGGTGGGCAGAGCACCGACGATACGCTGAGGGTTGGTGACCTTCTTTTCGGCATCGAGGGGGACGTTGAAATCGACCTGTGAATGCGTCAGTGATGTGGAAGAGGGCCGGCAGGCAGAGGGCTCCGTACCCGAATGAGGACACGCTTGCCCTTGAGGTCAACGTCGGTGATAGAAAGCTTGTTGGAAAGAGACATGGTGTAAGAAGCAGGGGGTATTCTTCTGTAGAGCAAGAAACTGCTGATAGTGGGATGGCTTGAATGTTGAGTTGATGAGAGAAGCAGAAAAGCAATTGACGGCGGGGGAGGGGCAGGATGAAGGGAAAAGGACGGCAAGAGTGTTTCGTACCTCGGATAGAACAGAGATCAACCGGGAACTGTGAGGAAGAAAAAGGACAAGAGCAGATAGAGACCAGGCAGCGGGACTCGGGAGGCTAAATAGACCCAGGGACAGCGGGGTAGCAGACAGGAAGACGCAGAATGCCAAATTCTAATGAAGGATATCATGTTGTTGGTGGGGCTTCGGTGAGAGTTGACGGATTCGATGACGCACACTTGTCTCCTGTCCATATTATCATCTTATTCCTCTGGATGGAGATTCTGGAGGAATATTCTCCTGTTGAGCATCCAGGAGGCGATACGGTCAACATCCTTAGTTTCAATTTCTCCATCGGGCTGATGCGGGTCTGATGTCAGTCTGTCTGCGGGATGACTCGGGCATCGTAAGATGATGTGCCATGACTGCATATGCTGCTATCACCATCAGGATTGCCAGTTCACCATGTTCCTATCGCACTGACCTGCGTGCAGATGTATCAATCAGATCATATGTCGCCATCATCATCATATGCTCTATCTCTCTTTGCTGTTTGGGTCTTCCAGCATTGCAAGGTACCCGTCGGCAACGGGAACCCTTCTATTTCAGTAATTAATTGGGCCCTGCTATTATCCATCCCTTTTCGATATCGCCGGTCTGGATCTCCCAAGGCACATAGGCAGCTAGCATTTCCCATATCGAGAAATGGAGTAGTCTCTAGAGAAGCATAGATGCTGTGAGGACATTGAGATCATGGCCACAGTGGATTAAATCTCCCGCAACTGGTGAGCATGTGTGGATCATGCAACATGCAGCCTTTTTCTGTACACCGTAGAATATTATACTGACAATAATGCCATAACTACCAAAATAACTCCAGTCACGGCCTGTGGCGCCCAAAAAGAAAACAAGCAGTCAGTAAATGCAGCAAATACGAAAAGGTTTACTGTCCTCCAGCGCCGCACAATCCCAATCCAACGTCCCCTAGTTTGACTCCTCAGCAGAGTTGGTGAGAGAGAGATATGCGGTCCAAGCAATCCCAACCGTCGAAACAAACGGCTGCAGACCGGTTACAAGTCAGCGTATTAAATTCTCAGAAGAGCGGAATAAAACAAACAGGGCGAAACATACAATTTGGAACTGAAGGGGAACTACGCGGAAGTTCAAAATTTGGACCGCAGGCCAAAGCACAAAGTTGGCCCTGAGCGTCGGCAAGTACACGTCTTGGAACTTGCGGAACAACATCCTCCTGTCTCCCCCCTCAGCGACAGTCATGAATGTGAAAAAGCAAACCAGGCCTATGAGTTGTTAGCATCATGTGCTGTAAGTTGGAGATTTACAATAGTAGAAAGAGAGATAAGAAGAATGAACCCACCAAAAGGCGCGAACATCAACTGGTCTACAGCCACCCTCTTCAGTGCAGGAATAGTAGGGCTGTTCTTAGTGAGTGGGAACGTCCTCGACAGAAATTTAAACCACTGGAATTGAACAGGTGCCATGAAAAATCCGTACGACATAAATCGAGTAAGGCGCTCGAAATCGAAAGCAGGCGGTCTATCGCTTGCATATCCCAACTCCCCCAACGCCGGCGGCCTCTCCTTATCCAACTCATGAATCTCTATTGAAAAGAAATCGTCTGAAGTACTCCGTGATCTCTTGTGTCTTTGGGTTTTGAATGCTGTGATCAGCTGTGCAACGGTATCTGCTACTCCACCAAGCACCTAGAGAGCACCATCCAAGGTCAGTTTGGACATTCTCGTCTCGAGATGGATGCAATGAGCACTGGGAGCGGCTTCTGTAGGCTTACAGCGTTGGTGACCATCGTAGTCAATACTGCGCATGACGGTAAGGTTAGCCATCTCCTTGACCTAACAGCTAGACCCAATTCATACTGCGGAGCCTTACCTGGTCTATCCGCATAATACGAGTTGAACTTGGAAGCAAGCCGCATAGTAACCGCCATCTCGACTAGAAAGACTATGGTGTGCAGCAAAGGCTATATGAGAGTAGTCAGCATGGGAAATGAGATCATAGCAATGATAGACAGTCTTCAAGAGATGATATAATTCATTTCACCACGTACCAGACGGCCGTAGATGTATCTACTATTCAGTCCGTCCAAGACCCTCCGTCTCGTTGCAGAAAACATGATGAGAGTGGGAGCGACAGAAGCTTTTTGTGTGTGTGCGCTAAGAACCAGCGATAGAAATGGATCGAAGGCAAGACCTTCCCCGTTGGTGGTGCGCGACAGTATGACGCAAAGAGTCTAAGGAGGCGATTGATAAGATGAATCGACAAATCTGAAGTAGCCACCTCTCATGGATTCTGGCAGCTTGTATACCCTAGAGCTCGACGACTTTTGAAGGAAAATTGGGAGAAGAGCGTGGTGATAATAATGAATCCGGACAGGAGTGAGTGCTATTAAGCTCCAGCGGCTGCAGCTGCATAATACTAGCTGGCTGCCTGATACCGTGACCGCGTCGATTACGCCACGCTTCCGATTAGTCGCTTTATACTGCTCGCATTGTATATCTGTATCATACTGGATATTCTTTCTACGGAAGATAGTGGCTTCTCTACCAATTCCCTTCGTTATATTCCGTGGTAGTCTTGCTGTTAGTGTTGGTATTTCCGACGGTGATAGCTTCATATGTACAATGACGACGGACAATCTTCTACACTACGCCGTAAGCAACCTCAAAGCCCTGTGCCCTTTCCATCAAAGGCCAAAATGTCTGGAAGATCCCTGATATCCGTTGGTTCGTTTGTATGCAGATCCACTATGCGGACGGCTTCCAAGTGAAGCGCACCAATGGCCAAGGGAAGCAGTTTGAACTCGGTCGAGTGGCATGTACCAGGTAGAAGCGGCCTAGGGGGGACTCGATAAGCTTAGGAAGAACGCAAAGGCGCATAGAAAGTACTCACCCAATTCTAATATCTGTGGTCAAACATATCAACTCCGCATCCTGACCAGCCACACTCTTCTGTTTTGCATGGATAATATTCTCATCTGTCACGGCCTCAGCCACAGGCTCTCCCATTAGAGATGAGGTAGACGGCCGAGTTGCATGACCGCATGGGTCCACTAGCTTTCTCCGGGGAATCGCAATCATGGCGAGTTTTCGGGCGATTGGAGAACGATTGACAATGAAAATGCCCCAAGAGAATGGCTTGCCAACCTCGACATGGGCAGGTCCAGAGAACGATATTGTCACCCCCATGTCTGCGACCGAGTATGCTCGTTCTCTTAAGGAGCTTCGGCGGAGTGAAGGCGCACTGACCACACCGTTTGACTGGTTTAGGCTCATCGAGAGGCTTGCCGGCCGATTATTTCGTTGCAAGGCCTGGCTGGGTCCCCCAAAGGTTGGATTGAGAATCACCGAGAAATCAACTGTCGTTCTCCATTGCATTGAAATGTTGGGATGACAATCCTCGGACAGAAGTATGGTTGCGCCCAGCGAAATATCTAACGTGCTCGACATCACCGTTGTTGAGGGATTTGGATCTGGTTCGTATTCGGGCACCAGCTTATACACCAAGCTGATATCGTCCCTTGGACGACAGATTATGGGCGGAGAGAGCCCCGGGACGTCTGACAGGGTTTCGATGGACCCATCAGAAAGCGCAAGTTCCGCTTTATCCAATATTACATCGCTATTTAAAAAGGGGCTGACTTCAAAATCCAGACTGGCGACGGTCGTCGGCTTCCCGGTGTAGGTTTTGAGTCGCGTGTAGCGGATTCTGGCACTGGCTGCAGGAACAATTCGGATTGGATTGCTTGTGCGCTGTTGTATATTATCTATCGGTTCCTCCACATATGTCGCTGGCACAACCCGTAAAAGTCTTGAAGCTGGAAGAAATGGTTCTGTTTTGTTCAAAGCACTGTCCGCCGACAGGGGTTGCAACACATTCGTAGAAGCAGGAATGAGCGGCGGAAGGTAGCCATCGTCCCGATTTTGATGCGCTCGTCTTTCCGTAGGGTTCAGACTCGCCGAAGCAATGAATAGGACAGAGGGATGTTGTATACGAACGCGAGGACGTCCTAAGAGAGTCCAGTTAGCAGGCGATCACAACCAAAAATAACAAAGGCAGACGCACTGAGAAAGGTTTCGATGTTCCATATTACATATACATGATTTCCACTTTCCTCATCTCCTTCAAATGCATTCACCACTACTAAAGGCTCCTCCTTTCCATCTACAATTCCTGAGAATACTAGATCTTTTGTAGGCGGGTGGTTTTCGGTGGCCGACTCCGCAGGATCAATGGCGAAAGCATCGAGTCGAATCTCCAGACGTTGGATATGATGTTGGAGAGCATCCACTGAGCAATTTGAGAGTCTCAGGACTATATGAGCCTGGAGAAATTCATCTATGCGACTGTATATGAGTAAGAGACAGAGTTCGGCCAGGATGACAACTTTTCACGTACCAAAAAACAACAGAGATCGCTGAGGTATCGACGAGAGCACGGCGGACAAATCATCTGCGCCTCCTTCCAAAGCAGAAGCCAGCGCAGCTTCGATGTCTATATTCGAAGCCTGCGGAATAACGGTGTCTATCACAGCATGTCGTAGGAACTCCCTAGGGATGTCGAGAGCAGGCATTGCGGGAGACACAGTCACATGCTCGCCTAGACAAAGATAGAAGAGACGTATTCATAAACGGATAAATTGAAGCCAAAAAGTGGGATTGTTAATAATAATAATACTCGTCCTGTGGCCAAAACCAGCGATGTTGAATGTTCCGTATATTGTTTAAAGCTGGCCGCAGCGATACTAATGCGCAGGGACCCTTTGCAAACATTACAAACATCATCCAGCGCAAGACATCTCCAACTTGCTATGGTTTTCTCCGAACAGACAACTTGCGCGCTTCTGGAACACATCATATCTTTCCTTGGGCACGTCGGCACCCAGGAAAATGAATCCAATGAACGGCATGCCTGGTGTGCCTTCTCTCTGGCAGGAGGCTAGGAATTCAGACGGAAGAGTCTACTATTACAATGTGCAGACGAAAGCGACTCAATGGGCCAAGCCCCCAGAGCTCATGACGCCCGTGGAAGTATGTATACATTCTGATTAAACGTATATTCCCTTTTCATTTGGGCCTTTACTAATATCTTTTTGCTTTGTTTTATGCAGCGGGCTTTGGCAAACCAGCCCTGGAAGGAGTACACTGCTGAGGGTGGGAGAAAATACTGGTATAATATGGAGACAAAGCAGAGCACTTGGGAAATGCCTGATGTTTACAAAACTGCTCTTGCACAGACTCAGGCTCCTTCAGCGCCACCCATTGCGTAAGTACTCCGATTTTTCTGTTCAAGGGACATGGTTTTCTGACAGATTTGCAGGGGCCCGACTTTCGTTGCCGGCGGAGTTAGCTCGTTTCCCTCCTACTCGCATCATCGCGACCGCGAAGACCATGACCGGGCATGGGGCGACCGAAGAGGTGGCTTTGGTCCCCTGGACACAAATGGAATTCCAGCTGCGCAGGCTCTGGGCGTTGGGCAAGTGGACCCGGAGTATGGTTCGGTTGAGGAAGCGGAAAGTGCGTTCATGAAGATGCTCAAACGTCATAACGTTCAGCCAGACTGGTCTTGGGAACAGGCAATGCGCGAAACGATTAAGGATCCTCAGTATCGTGCTCTGAAAGACCCGAAGGACCGCAAAGCAGCCTTTGAGAAGTACGCGGTCGAGGTTCGCATGCAGGAAAAGGACCGAGCGAAAGAAAGATTCGCTAAGCTTAGAGCAGATTTCAACACAATGTTGAGGCGTCATCCTGAAATCAAGCATTATAGTCGCTGGAAGACCATTCGACCCATCATTGAAGGCGAGACTACATTCAGATCTACGAATGATGAAAACGAGAGGCGACAGCTCTTTGAGGAATACATCATTGAACTTAGGAAGGCTCATGCTGAAGAACAGGCCGCTACACGCAAAGCTGCGATGGACGAACTGGCCGCCGTTTTGAAGTCTTTGAATTTGGAGCCGTACACTCGCTGGTCTGAAGCAGAAGCCGTCATTCAATCAAATGACAGGATTCAAAGCGATGATAAGTTCAAATCTCTGAGCAAATCTGATATTCTTACCGCTTTTGAGAACCACATCAAGTCCCTTGAGCGAGCATTCAATGACGCGCGTCAGCAGCACAAGGCGGCCAAGGCAAGAAAAGAGCGTCACAATCGCGAGCAGTTTATCGAGCTGTTGAAGGAGCTCAGGTCCCAGGGCAAAGTTAAAGCTGGTAGCAAATGGATGAATATGTACCCACTGATCAAAGAAGATCCTCGATATCTGGCTATGCTTGGTCAGTCAGGATCTACACCATTGGATCTTTTCTGGGATATGGTAGAGGAAGAAGAACGCTCATTGCGCGGTCCACGCAATGATGTGCTGGACGTACTCGATGTGAGTAATGGTATTGAGCGTCGTCGCATTAAAGTCATTAACACTCTGGTGTCACAGGATAAACGCTATGACATTACGCCCAAGACGACATTCGAGGAATTTAACTCTATTATGCTCACTGACCGCCGAACAGCTAACATTGATGCGGAAATTCTCCATCTCATCTTTCAACGCATCCAAGAAAAGGCCGTCCGCCGATCGGAAGAAGAGAAACATGCGGCGGATCGTCATCAACGACGCGCTGTCGATGCATTGCGTTCTCGCATCAAGCATCTAGAGCCACCAGTCCGGGTTACTGATACGTGGGACCAAGTTCGTCCCAGGGTGGAGAAGTACGAGGAGTACAAGGCCATCGAATCCGACGATCTTCGCCAGGCAGCTTTTGATAAGGTTATTCGCCGCCTGCGAGAAAAGGAAGAGGATGCGGCAAGAGAGCGCGAACTGCGAGACCGGTCGCGCAGTCGCCGACGTGACCACTACTACGATCGTGATCGTGAGCGTGAGCGTGGAGTATCACGTAGAGGCGAGCGGAGGGCTCTATCCTCCCGTCTTAGCCGTACGCCTGAACCCGACGCATACGAAGCCGACCGCCGCAAAGCGCAAGCGGATCGCGAGAGATCTTATAGAAGAGCTGGTGGTCTTTCTCCGATTCGCGAGCGACGGGATGACCGTGATCGTGATCGGGACAGGGACCGAGACCGTTATCGTGAGCGTCGGGATCGCGATCGACCCTCTCGACCTCTCAGCCATTATGATTATGAACGTCGAGAGCGCGAGGAGGAGCGTGAAAGGCTCTACCGCACTCGTGCGGACCCACGTGGCAGTAGAGACGAGCTGGACTACGGTGCTGATACCCGGAGCACAGTGAGCGCCTCCGACCGTAGACGCAGACGCGATAGCGACGCAGAGAGCGTCAACGGTCGCTCCGCCAAGCGCCACAGGCGCGAGAGCTCTGAAAGGGATCGCAGTAGAGGCTCACGGAGAGATAGGGATAGGGATATCGAAGCGGAAGTGAGGAAAGAGGAAAAAGCCGTCCATTCTGGCAGTGAGGAGGGAGAGATTGAAGAGGACTAATATTCTCTGTTTCCTGTTCTTCTTCTTTCCCTGTCCTTTTTTGAATGATGGCAGCACTGTATGTAGCAGAGATGGTGCTATCTATGACTAGTTAAATGGAAAAGACTGAATGTATTCAATTGTCGACTAGATGATCATAGGGTATCACAGTCCATACATATATATATCATAGCAAGTCGACGACGCTGGAGAGAGTGGTCTATTCTATCCTCAAATACATAATAATCTATATTGTTAAGTTGTTCTAAAACACTACGACCATCAGGGCTATGGAGTTATTAATTTCATGGAATCAAATAAGCCATTGAGAAATGCATTACAATGTTACATACGGACGCAGGTTGGAAATAACAAATTCAAAGACACTTTTCAACAATTTATAGCAGATAGCACTCATATGCAGTCAGAAGACCTACCTAACTCATCTATGTCGTAACGTCGTCGATATCTCTTCTGCATCGAAACAAATTGCAAACTCCGGTGAGCAGCAGGAACCGGCTGAAAAGATGACCGAGTTAAGCCTCGATTACCCTACGATATAATGTAATGTAATGCCGCGCCCGAAATCTCACAGGCGATTGAGTCTGAGTGGAGAGAACTTAGCCAACAAAGGCACAGTTGGCGTGTCAAGAGATACGACGATAGATGGCCGACAACTTCAAGATGCAAAGCAACGTTGATTTGGGCCAGGTCAAAAACCACTGGCCTTGATCGGGATGATTGTCATCATCATCGTCATCTGAAGCATTACCCTCATCTTCAAGAAGGCAGACGCCACTACCGTGCCTCCTAGCCCTGCGGACGCTAGGAGAGTCTCTCACCCAAACGACCTTCCCCCTGCCTCGACGCCGGTTTCGTCGTTGGTCAGAGTCGCGGCCATCACGCCTGTGATGATAGCGGCGGTGCTTGTGAGGGACGCCCTCTTCAGTTTTCTTCTTCCAAGAAGTACTGCAAACATGAAAATTAGTACCATTGAGATCAACTGACGAATAGTAACCACTTCAAGGAACAAAGAGCAGCCTTCCTTCACAGCAGGTGAACTTACGTAGTTTCCACTGAGCTTCTGTTCCTTATCCATCTGGCTCTGGTACTTATTGATACGAGGGCGATAGCTGTTCGGGTCACGACGGAAAGTTACATCCAAGCTCTTGAGGAATCTGTTGCAACCGGTAAGAAGAGACTCGGGGGAATTGGCATGTGCATCTACAGATGGTTTGCCACCGAACACAATCACCCGATCCGCAAGGTAGGTAGCCATGATGAAATCGTGCTCGACAATAAAGGCAGTCTTCTTAGCGTGCATGATGAAACGTTTGATGACCCGAGCAGCCACAATACGCTGTTCAGAGTCAAGGTAAGCACTGGGCTCGTCAATCAAGTAAATATCAGCTGGAATGCCAAGCGCCAGGACGATAGCAACACGTTGTAATTCACCACCAGACAGGTTCTGAACTTCCTGGTCGATGAAGTCATCGATCTTGAGGGGCTTGTAGACATCGGTCTGGAACTGGGGCGACAAGAAAGCAGCCTTAATACGCTTGAAGAACAGCTGACGCACAGTACCCTGGAACTTGGGAGTGATCTTCTGAGGCTTCATACTGATATTCATGCGGGGAACGGAGATGCTCCCATCGGGCTTCTCGGCACCAGCAAGCATCCTACAGAAAGTGGTCTTGCCAGTTCCATTCTCACCCATCATAACGATGATTTCAGAATCAGTGAACTGTCCGGAATCAATGCTGAGATGGAAGTTGCCAAGTGTTTTTTCCATACTCGGGTAACTGAAGGCGCGCGCCTTATCGGCGATCAAATCATCTCCAGCTTCGGCGAGACGGAAAGTAAGAGACTCCTCTCTAAAGCGCAGGTTCTCCGTCGGGATGTGGCCATCCAGGAAGATATTTATGCCTTCGCGAACCGAAGAGGGAAGCGTGACCACACCATAAACCGCAGGCTTGCCATAGAGCACACAGATGAAATCAGAAAGGTAGTCAAGCACAGACAAATCGTGCTCAACAACAATAACATAATCATCGGGGCGCAAAAGTTCCCGAATCGTACGGGCGGCAGCCAAACGCTGCTTAACATCGAGGTAGGAAGATGGTTCATCGAACATGTAACTATGTCATGTCAGACTTGAAACCGACGTTCATTTTGCAGGGATATACACAGTGTCAGAGGAAATGGGGGGAAAACGAGGTTCTCATACACATCAGCTTTTTGAACGCAGACCAGACCGATCGCGAATCGCTGGAGTTCTCCTCCAGAAAGAAAATCAAGGTCGCGGTCAGCAACCCGCCTGAGTTCTGTGATGACGATTAGTTGATGTAGAGCTACTTATAAATGTAGCTTTGCGTACCGAGAACGTCCATAATGTGCTCCAAGTTATCCATCTGAGCTCGAGCTTTAACGAGATCGCCAACTTTCCTCACATTGCCTTTCACGGCCTTAGGAATCTGGTCAACATATTGAGGCTTGACAACAGCCTTCAGGTTGTCTTCCAGGACTTTCGTGAAGTAGTCTACAAAATGTCAGAACCCAGCTATGCCCTGGATGGTCTAGGTAGTGAAAACATACTCTGCAACTCGGAACCACGGAAGTATCTCAAAATTTCCTCCCAGTCAGGTGGGTTGTCATATCGGCCGAGATTAGGCTTCAGCTTTCCACTGAGGATTTTCAACGCAGTACTCTTGCCAATACCGTTGGTTCCAACAAGACCCAGGACCTGTCCAGGACGGGGCATAGGTAACCGGTGAAGTTTGAAGCTGTTGGCTGAGTAACGGTGTGTAACCTCAGTCTCCAAATTGGTAGGCAGGTTGATGATGTGGATGGCGCCAAAAGGGCATTTCTTAGGACAGATACCACAACCGATGCAAAGACTTTCGGATATGAAGGCTATCTTGGAGTTTGGGGTGACCTCGATACAGAGCTTGCCTGTGCGAACGACAGGGCAAGACTTCTTGCATTCTTGACGACATTTCTGCATACATGAGTATCATCCTGCCATGTCCAATGCGAGGTTAATGCGCACCTTTGGTTTGCACTAATGTCGAGCAGTCTCATGTTAGCAAGCATCGCACGACTGTAGCAGAAGAAATGCCATCGACGTCAATCAACCTACCTTGTCACTATTGACAATAGCAATTCTAGACACCCAAAGTCAGCAATGAGTCCGAGCCTTGTAGGAACCACACAGGCATACCTCGTGAGCTTGTCAGACATTTTGACTCGAGGCTTGATTTAGTGAACCTGTCCTGGAGCAAGAGAGGTGTGCAATAGAACGATATGAAGTAGAACAAGCACACAAAGAGATGCTAGGGAAAGAAAAACTTTGCAGCGGTGTCTACTGTGGGCAACAGACGAACCACCACAACTGTATCGAAACAGAATGCAGAAGGCAGACACCTGCGTGCAGTAGAACTGACTAGTGAGCGGCCAGAGCAGGAAAAGTGCCTTGAAAGCTTTTTTGAAGAGGAGGGGCTCTCCAGCGTCTGTCAGGCACTGTTGTGCGGCACATGCCTTGGCGCCTGAGGCATAAACAACAAAGCATTTTTCACGCAGCGCTGATTGGATGGCTCTCGCGGGACTACGGAATGGCGGCAATTCTATTTTCCCGAACGAGCTGAGCACGTGAGATAGTGGGGTGGCAGCCCATGTGACTCGGTAGCGGGTCGCATCCGTCAGGTGACGCTGTAGGCGCTAATCCCTTTACGGGCTCGCTTGCGGACACACTAAGCCGCAAGAAGTAAGGCCCATTCACTGTTGCTCGCCTGACGGATCAGGCTGTGAAGGACCAGCCCTTCACCGCGACTCGTCCATCTCCCGCCGGCCAACTCTCTTCCCTCCTCCCTCATCATATTATTCTCGAACACGCTTTTCGCCCGTCCTCTATCCCCCCTCCAACACCTCCTTCCCTCCCACCCCTTCTTCCTCTCTTTCATCATTCTATCTCCAATCATCTCCTCTCCGGGGTCACCAGGCTATGGACTGTGAGTTTTTTTTTCCCTTGATTTTTCCTTTTTCAGGGCCTGATTAGGCCTCTGCACACCCGGCCGGGGTACTGCTACTCCACGTTCTCGACCCACCTTATCCAAGAATTCCTCTAGACACTCTTGACTAGATCGTGTCTTGGACTTCTCTAGGCCTTGATCTAACGGAGAATCTCTCCTCGGGTCTGGTATAGCGACTGGTTCTCGTGCAGTTCCCCTTGTCCTGCTTCCATCACTTCCCATCATCGTCTCCATCAAAACGTCATCAAAATCATCTCCATGCATCAAAGCCCCATCTCCTACCCCATTCTACAGTCCATTTAGCCCAATATAGCTTTATTCTGAGTCGCCTATGCCTGATTGACACGCCGATCTGCTTCTTGTGTCCCTTCCTGCTGGAATTGAGCTCCAATGCTGACTCTTCCTCGTCATTAGCCTCTAGCATGGTGATCCCATCTGCTCCCGAGTCGTCTACCATGTCGGCTCTACCAAATGGCTATTCCACATCCCCAGCTTTCGATGCTGCAATCGCAAAAGACCAGCTATCCGCGAGCGACAGTCCTGTAGGAACTATCGAACATGCCGCCGTCTTCGAGTCATCGTCTTCCGAAGCAGATGCCGCAGATGAATCCTACAATGCCGGATCGCATAATGCCGATGATGACTCCGAGGGCTCTGGGACAGGTGACAGTGATGATGCCAGTAGATCCATCAGCGTTACAAACTACTCACCTCCACGAGCCATCCGAGGAACTAAACGTAAATCGCCGGGGGTGGATGAGACCGAATACATGAGACAGAACCCAGACCTCTACGGACTCCGTCGAAGTACGCGTGCTCGTACCACGCGTCAAATGGTTCAATCGCCTTCGGATTCCGAGTCGGATGTTGCACCCCGGACGAAGCGAAGACACCCTGCTGCCTCTCTCCAATCCTCCAAGAGACCGTCCCGCTCTGTGACCTTATCCTCCTACTCATCCGATTCTGACAGTGACGAATATGGACCGAGTCGTGCTAGGATGAGCAAAACAAAGCGTCGCCGTCAAGCCCATGCCGCTCTCAACAACGTACCAGCTCACGCTGAAGTCCGTTTCTCTACGCGAAACGCCTCGAAGGTCTCGAATTACAACGAAGACGCAGACGACTCCATGTTTGAGGATGATCAAGATGACTTGATTGAAAACTATTGGACCAATACAGTAGATGATAACCGCCCTGCTGTTGAAGTCGTTCTCAATCATCGTCTAAAGCAAGGGGTGAATCCAAAATACCCGGATGTTGATCGTAACGATTATGAGTTTTATATCAAGTGGCAGGAAAAGTCTTACTACCATGCAACCTGGGAGACTGCTGAGAGTCTTGCAAACTGTCGTAGTACGCGCCGTCTGGATAACTACGTCCGAAAGGTCCTCTGGGAAGAACTGCGCTTGAATCATGACGATGACGCCCCACCCGAGGAACGAGAAAAGTGGAATTTGGATCGTGAGAGAGACGTAGAGGCCATTGAGGACTACAAGAAAGTGGAACGTGTCATAAGCATGCGTGATACAGACGAAGGGACTGAATATCTCGTGAAGTGGAAGCGCCTTCCTTATGACGGATGTACATGGGAAGATGAAGACCTCATCAGTAGCATTGCACAGCACGAGATTGACCGATACCTGGACCGCTCCTCTCACCCCCCCATCTCCGACAGGTCGGAATCGAATCCCGCTACCAGGAAGCCATTTGAGACCATCAAGAGCACACCGAGCTTTCTACAGAACGGCGAGCTGAAGGAATTCCAGGTGAAGGGCTTGAATTTCATGGCTTTCAATTGGGTCCGAAATCGCAACGTCGTCCTCGCTGATGAGATGGGGTTAGGTAAAACTGTGCAGACCGTTGCCTTCATCAACTGGTTACGACATGTAAGGCGTCAACAGGGACCCTTTGTGGTCGTCGTTCCTCTGTCAACCATGCCATCTTGGGCGGAAACGTTTGACAACTGGACCCCAGACTTGAACTACGTGGTGTACAGCGGCTCTCAAGGCTCTCGTAAGGTCATCTGTGAGCATGAACTCATGATCGACGGGAACTTCAAGCGTCCTAAATTCAACGTGCTTCTTACGACGTATGAGTATGTGTTGATGGACTCTTCTTTTCTAAGCCAATTCAAGTGGCAGTTTCTGGCCGTCGATGAAGCGCATCGGCTTAAGAATCGTGATTCCCAGCTCTATATAAAGCTGCTAGAATTCAAGTCACCCGCTCGACTTCTCATCACCGGCACCCCTATTCAGAACAACCTTGCTGAGCTATCTGCGCTATTAGACTTTTTGAATCCTGGTGTGGTTGATGTTGATGTCGACATGGACCTTAATGCGGAAGCGGCGTCTCAGAAACTTGCCGAGTTGACGCAAGCCATCCAGCCGTTTATGCTGCGACGTACGAAATCAAAGGTAGAGACTGATCTGCCACCGAAGACTGAAAAGATTATTCGGGTGGAATTATCAGATATCCAACTTGAGTATTACAAAAATATTCTCACGAAGAACTATGCCGCCTTGAATGATGGTGCCAGAGGCCAGAAGCAATCACTGCTGAACATTATGATGGAGCTTAAAAAAGCTAGTAATCACCCTTTCATGTTCCCTAACGCTGAGGCTAGAATTCTAGAAGGAAGCGTTCGCCGGGAGGATGTCATGCGGGCCTTGATCACGAGCAGTGGTAAGATGATGCTGCTTGATCAGCTTCTGGCAAAATTGAGGCGTGACGGCCACCGAGTCTTGATATTCAGTCAGATGGTTAAGATGCTTGATATTTTGGGCGACTACATGGAATTCCGTGGATATTCTTATCAACGGCTTGATGGAACTATTGCCGCAGCATCTCGTCGTCTTGCTATCGATCACTTTAATGCCCCTGACAGCAGCGACTTCGCCTTTATACTCTCCACAAGAGCAGGTGGTCTTGGAATCAACCTGATGACGGCCGACACTGTCGTCTTATTCGACTCCGACTGGAACCCTCAAGCTGATTTGCAAGCTATGGCAAGAGCACACCGAATTGGGCAGACTAAGCCTGTTAGTGTGTACCGTCTTGTCTCAAAGGACACGGTCGAAGAGGAAGTCATCGAAAGAGCCCGCAACAAACTCCTCCTTGAGTTTATCACGATCCAGCGTGGCGTGACTGATAAGGAAGCTTCAGAGATTCAAAGCAAAATGGCTCGGGGAGGTATCTCTGTTGGAGAGCCCAACTCTACTGAAGATATTTCTCGCATTCTCAAGCGTCGTGGCCAGAAGATGTTTGAGCAAAGTGGAAACCAAGAGAAGCTTGAACAACTAGACATTGATTCTATCCTGGAGAATGCAGAATTGCACCAGACTGAGCAAGCTGAAGGCATCCAAGCTGATGGCGGCGAGGAGTTTCTCAAAGCATTTGACTTTGTCGATATCAAAGTCGACGACCTGAGTTGGGATGATATAATCCCCAAAGAGCAACTGGAAGAAATAAAGGCGGAGGAGAAGCGAAAGGCCGACGAGCGTTACCTTGCTGAGGTAATTGAACAGAACAAACCTCGCAAACGTAACGCACCTAGCGATGAGCGGGATTCGCGTGAAGAACGGAAGGCAAAAAGACTTGCTAGAGCGCAGGTTGGTATCGACGATGGTGACGAATCTGATTCCAAACAAGCATTGGATCCGAAGCGGCCACTCGTCGAAAAAGAATACCGACATCTTCTTCGAGCATTTCTAAGGTATGGAGACATCGACGATCGTGAAGAAGATGTTTTACGAGAAGCTCGCTTGGTTGGCCGCGACAAGGAGACTGTTAAAGCCGCTCTTCGCGAGATCACGGATAAGGCTGCGTCCCTCGTCAGAGAAGACATTATTAAAATGGAAGCTCTAGAGCAAGCGGGGAAGCTGCCGACGAAGAAAGAGAAGAAGGCAGTCCTGTTTGATCTTCACGGCGTCAAGAGGCTTAACGCATACACCATTGTCGAGCGCCCTGTTGAGATGCGGATGCTTAAGGAGGTGACGTCTTCTCTCTCAGACTTCAGAAATTTTCGTGTCCCAGAAGCAACAAAGGCGGCTGACTACAGTTGCCCTTGGGGGGCGCGAGAAGACGGGATGCTCTGCGTCGGTATTTCTCGTCACGGCTATGGTGCTTGGGCGCAGATACGTGACGACCCCGATCTTGCCCTCGGCGACAAATTCTTCCTGGAGGAACATCGTGTAGAGAGAAAGACTGAGCGCCTGAATGGCGAAGACAAGTCCACAAAATCTCCTGGCGCTGTCCATTTGGTTCGCCGTGCTGATTATCTCTTGTCTGTCTTGAAGGACAAGTCTAGCAATGGTGCAAGTGTCACGGCTAAGAGGGCAGTTGAGAATCACCACCGCAACAATAGAAAGAATTCTCGTGCTCGGGCTGGCAGCGTGTCTGCGTCGCCTGCGCCTTCGAGTTCCCGAAAAGGTCATCGTGAAGTGGACCGAACCCGGCAGCGCTCACATACTCATGGGGCTCGAGACAGTATGGAGCGAGGCCATGTTTCTAGCCACGATGGTCGCCCGAGATCTTTGTATGATCATGATAAACCCCGCCATCGGGTGTCAGACGCTTCGAACGAAGAAGGTCGTCGCCGCAAGGTCAGCGAAAATGGCGCATCTAACCGCGAGGATATGGCTCGGCGACTCTTCAAGCCAATCCGAGAAGAGCTTAAGCGGGTGTCGACTGTCACTAAAGAAAACTATCCAAATAAAACTGAACGAGCATTGGCTCTGAGAAATCTACTTCATAAGATTGGAGATTTCATTCGAGGCACCTTAAAGGGCGAGGGTTCTATGCATTCTCTTGAAGTTCGTCTGTGGTATGTTTTGATGCATCTTGATGGCATATTTTTATCCCTATTTACTTAAAGAACAGGCATTATGTCGCAATAAATTACTGGCCCAATAAGGAAGCTGGCGGTACGAAACTACAGGAAATGTACCAGAAACTTCAGGCTGCCCAAAGCCAGACACCTCCAAAGCCAGTTTCGAATGGAAAGTGACCTCGCAAACGCCCTGAGAGCTGATTCCCTATCCTCGACTTATCTGTGTCTTGGGAGGATCATCTATCTATTCGCAACAACCTCTACATATGCTTCATACCTTCACGATCTGGTGGGCGTATGGTTACATTATGTTAACCAGCTTTGGCTTATGGTTGAGGATCTTTCTTATTTTCTTGCCATTTCTTCTTTCCCCCTGATCCCCGAGATAAGCATTCATCATTCATCGTTGGGCAGCATGGCGACGGCGTATGGCTTGATTGTCGATAATCTTGAAAGCGATTGAGCACGAGCTGATATCATACGGAAATGTGCATGACTTTTTGGCTTCTCTGTCTTTTTTTCTTCCTGTCTTGTTTTATTATGCGTGGATCCCCTAGGGCGATAAGCCATGCGATCTGATCTGCTCATGTTGTTCGGGGGAACTTCCAGAGAATGACCCTGGGATCATTCGTATATTTTGGGAGGCCTCCTGTTGTCCCTTTTTGTTCCATTTCTCCTCCAATATTCTGCCTGTTCCTTCTTCGTGATGGGACCGTGCATGGTTGCCATAGTTGTTACTTCTGTCTTGTTTTTTTAGCCTTCTTGCTAATGGTCCGCCGGTTGTGCATGGTGCCATTACTTTTTTTTTTATTTTCATTCTTGTTTCTAAAATGAATACATGAGCGAGAAGGAAGTTCCAGGCTCTGCTGCTTTGGGGTGCCTAGCTGTTCCATCTCTTTGTCTCCAATTTCAACCACGTTCCGAACGGATTGGCCCGGAAAATATACATCAGCATCGGAGTTACATTGACGATTTCTCAGTTTTCTGTTCTTCGTCAGGGTTTTGGAAAAAGGGATCAATCAGGGAACGGAGAACATTGGCGTCAGGTCAGGTCTGTACGATTTATGGGACGGGACATGTTGATACTGGGAAGATGGGTAATATCTAACTGGACAGAAGGGTTCAGGAACAGAAAATGATAAAAAATAATGTTCTAATGAAATATACTTTTCAGGATTCCGCATATTATTATTCATCCTTTTCCTGCTTTGATACTTTGTTGCCATCCACGACATAGAAACATTGAACTAGGTTAACTGATTCTTGTAACTGTATAACTGCATCTAGTATAACAGGATGAACCGCATGATTTCTGTCAAGAGACTGAGGTATACATGCAAGCCAGGAAGTGGCAGGGTCCGATTAGAGGAGTAAATACAGTAATCAGTGCTGTTGACTACAACTGAAAGGGGATAAGTAGAAATTAATCAAGGCTGGATCTATTGTTATGACAGATAAAAATAAAACAAGAACATCGCTGAAACTGTACAGGATCAATTGATTGGTTGGTTGTACATAAAACGAAGAGAATACAAGTATGGCTTCAAGTCGTAACAGACAACATGAAAGCATTGAGATCCCAACTCCGAGTAAAACAAAGCCGAAGAAAGAAACAAAGAGAATACAACGTCATCTTATTAATTAGATATCCCAAGAAGACTTACCGATCATGCCGAAATACCCTCAGAAAGCGCGAGCTTCGCGTCCTCTCCTTCTCGTTGCTGTTGCTCGGTCGATTCTCCCAGGTCGGTATTCACAACCGGGGCATGGGCATTCTTTTCCGCGTTTGGTTCACTAGTCCCGACCATTGCACTGAATAACCTCAACTCGGCATCCATCACGTCATCAAATATAGCCTCCTTTTTCCGCCAGGCTTGTTGCCTTTTCGGACGGATATGTTCCCATTCAGCGCGAAGTTGCACACTCTCCTGTTCCGCCCAGTGGATCTGCCGCCGGAGAAGACGGTAGAGATCGTATGGACGGAGGGAGAGTTCGTGCGCATCGAAGCCTAGCTCGGGGCCGAACTCAGACAGGTCGAAATCCTCAAGAGCAGTCAAATCAGACGCCAGGTCACTTGGTGGTGGGGGTGGTTGCTGTGATTGTTGTTCTGTGTCCGACGAATCCTTGGAGGGCTGTGAGAGTTTCAATTTAATGCGTTGGGTCTTGCCCGAGGCCGCGGAGCCTGCGGCTAGTTTTGGGATGGGGTCGGAGGGTCGGAGGGCTTCTGTTTCGTGGACTGTTCGCATGTGCTTTGCCAGGGCGTCAGAGCGGGTGAAGCTGCGATCGCATTCTTTGCACGCTAGTGGTCAGCTTTCATTTCGTTGTTGACGGGGTGGTGGTTACTTAAAATAAAAACTCACCTGGAAGAGTACAGTAAAAGGGCTTCTCCCTCGTATGACTCCTCATGTGCGCCCTTAGAGCATACCCACTGGCATGCGTCTGGCCCTTCCGCGAACAATCAACCCATTCACAGAGATACTTCTTCTGCCTGCCTCCGACGTGCTCGTTGCGAATGTGCTCAACTAGATCATCCATATTCCCCATGTCGCCTGCGTCGCATCCTTCCCACCGACACACTGTAACCTGATCTGTACCCTGACCGCTGTAATCGTCATCCTGGCTGGCGCCCAGCAAGGCCAGTGTGCTGGGGGAGTTGGGGATTTCGCCCGATGTATCGGATGAGATGGTGCTTGAGGGAGAAGTCGGGAGAATATCATCCTGTACAGATGAAAGGGGTGTCTGGCAGTCCCAGGAGGCAACTCCGGTACGTCGTCGCTTTGACGGGGGCATGTTTGTGTTGGGTGTTGATGGGGACTGTCTTTGGGGGTCGTACTTGATGTCTTCGCGGGAGGAGTCGTCGTCTTCGAGGTTGATTGATGAGAGGGGTGAGCCTGGAGAGTCGGCCATCGTGGAAGGTTCGGTGGGGAGCAAATGAAAAGGACGGACTTGGGATGTCGAGTGAATGCGATTCAGGGGATAGAGAGTAGACAATAGAGAGTACTCACCTTGTTGCTGTCGTTGTCGAGTCCGAGCATGTCTAGCACGTGACCGTCTGGACGACGAGCTTAATTTCGCTCAAGCTTCTTTTCTTCCGCACAACAACTGCATTTTTGATCGATGCCAGCACAACGATGCTGTATATTCTATTATGTTCTCCTATTATATATCTGCTAATCACCCTTCTGTGAACTTATTGACTTACTAACACAGTGAGCTTGTCACAATGTCACAACAGGGTGAGTCTCGAAACAATCATTCCCATCCCTGCATAAAACAGAACACCAGGATGAATCAAACAAGAATTCTGCAATTCAGACAGTCTCCTTCCTATGTCGTGAGATTGCATGTCGACTCTTCTACACTTGATCTGATTTCTAATTTTCACCTCAACACATCCACAACTCCGCGGTTCAATTCACAAACTGACGCTGATTATAAATTAACAGAACCAATAACAATGCTATAAATCAGCACAGTACAATCAATACCTACTCCCCACAATCTCATTCCTCTTCAAAATCTCATCGATCTCCTCCATCTCCTCATCAGACAAAATAGGAACCCCCTCCGTATTCTGCACGATCTTCTCGGGCGTCGTCCCACCCGGGATGGGGATGATAGTAGGCAAGCCCGGCCTACCACTCAAACTCCTCAGCCAACCCAGCGCGAGCTGAACGGGAGCAACGCCCTTGCGCGCAGCGAACTTGTTCAGCTCGTTGACCCGTTTGAGGTTCTGCTCGATCGCTCCGTCTTGATACTTGGGTAGGATCTTCCGGAAGTCTCCATCGGGGATGTCAGAGACACGGGTGAATGCGCCGGCGAGCACGCCTCGACCAAGGGGCGAGTATGCCACGATGGGGATGCCGAGTTCGGTGCAGGTTGCGGCGATACCGTTGTGGAGGATGTCCGTTGCGAAGAGGGAGAATTCGACTTCTACGGCTGCAATGGGGTGGATTTTGTGTCTGTAGATGGTTAGATAGAGGTAAAATAGCAATAATAAAGAGAATGATACGTACGCCCTCCGAATAGTCTCCGCATCAACTTCACTCAACCCAATTCCCCCAATCTTCCCCTCTCTCACCAACGCCCTCAAAACACCCATCTGCTCCTCAACAGTGAAATTAGGATCAAGCCGTGCCGGCTCAAAAATATCAATCTGCTTCGTCCCCGCAAGGACAGCAAGACAATCCTCTACACTCCGCCGAAGGTTCGTCTCAGAGCCATCCGGCGTTAATGTACCGGGTTTGATTCCGCCCTTGACGGATAGGACGATCTTCTCGGCCACATTCTCGTCCGAACCCGAACGGCTCTGGCTTTCGAAGTACTCCCGTAGCAAGTGGAGGGAGTGTCTGGTAGGCGAGCCGTAGAGTTCGCCTGCGTTCCAGAAGGTGGCGCCTTGGGACAGGGCTGTGTCGAGGGCTGCGAAGGATTGTTCTTTTGTTGGAGGGGTTGGATTCCAGGTTAATCCTGTTAGAACACTTAGTATATATATATTTACATGGATTGAATGGAGCGGGGGGAGAGGGGGACGTACTCATCATCCCGTAGCCGGTATGGCCGATTTCTTTGCCTACGAGGGAAGGCATTCTGATGTTAATTCTTGAAGGGGATATTGTAGTTTAAGAGTAGTGGTAATGCATAGAGATAATGGACGGGTACTTGCGCTTATTTATACTTTTTTCTATCCACTCAATTTTATTTATTTTTTTTTTTTCGGTGATAATAATATGTCCGTTTCTGTCTCTATTTCAAATGCATGAGCTCAATCCAATTCTTATGATGCAAGACATACTGTATACTGTCGATGACTCGAGCAATACTAAGTGAGATACATTTATTCCCAATGATTTGGATAAGGCCGCGGAGACCGATTAAGTCCGACGGAAATACACCTTATCCATGGACTCTAGTATGCATGCATATGAAACCCAAACAATAATAAAAGCATTCAACTAAGTTCTGACACTCATTAAGTCATAAAACAATTAACCTCCATCGGTCCAATTTATCGTCATCCAACAAATCATAACATCGTTAGGCTTATAATCGTCCAGAAGATTGTCATAAAACCATCATGACCGAACATACACTGAATAAAAACAACGACAAAAAGGAAAGGCCATCAACAATAATAAACATAATCAGTACCTACCGCCATCAGAGTAATCGTCATAATCATCATCACGTCGCGAACGGTGACGACGACTGCGACTCCGCCTATCACTACCGCCGAGATCCAACTTGGCCAGACCATCGCTAACATAGTCTGATAAGCTCTTGCTACGTGTATGCGAATCCCGCTTTCGCGGAGGACTCTCGTAGCTATCGTCCGAATAGCTATAGCTATCGCTGCTGTAGCTGGGGCTTCGATCGCGGCCGCGAGTCTTGCTTCCGCCGTGGTGGCGAGACCGAGACCGTGGCCGTGAACGAGAACGAGAATGGGATTTATCAAAGATCCCCTTGCCAGCTGCAGCGAGAAGACCAGCCGCGGCAGCCTCTTTGAACCCGCTACCAGAGCTACGGCGGGATTTGGATTTGGATCCGTGACGAGACCGGGACCGGGATCGGGAACGAGGTCCATTGACGAGTCTGTTGGCCGCCAGTCCGGCGATGGTGGACTCGATCAGGTGTCGCGTGTCGTGTTTGCTGGAGTGACGGTCCAGAAAGCCGTCTGTGCCGCCCGCCGTCAGAGCAGCGGTTAGGATGCGTTTGCCCTTTTCGCCGGCCCAGTCGCCTGGTTCGTCGCGGAGACGGAAAGCTTCTACTGCTCCTGCGGCTACAGCTGCCTTGACTGCTTGAGCGATCCGGTCTTCGCTGCTCCTTTCGTGGTGGCTTCTACTATGAGTTAGCTAGCTATCTCAATTCCATGGTGAAAACAAAATGTAGCCACTCTGTACTGACCTATGACGTCTCCGACTCCTAGATGACGAGCGAGAATGTCTCGATCGATCCCCTGTAATTGTCAGCGACATCCCTCCTAGCTCCTAGATAACTATCCAGAGAGAAAGAGAGAGAGAGAACTCACGTCTAGACCGCCGATGCCGCCCTCGCGATACGAGCCATCCCCATAATATGCCGACCGATCACCTACAGAATGAGACCGACGCACCGACGCCCTCGACTGTCGCGGACTATGGTGGTAATCATAGTCGTCAGCCGGGTAGTAGTCGCGTCTGGACGACTCGATGGCGGACTCGGTCTCCTCAGGACGACGAACGACGCTGGTCGGGTAGCCTGAGCTGTAGGAGTCGGCGTATGAACGGGGGTGGCTGTAGTAGTAGTCGTTGCGGGACATCCTGGATAGTTTGTCGGAGAAGACTGATGAGGATAGAGAGAGATGAAAGGAGTGCGGAAGAATATGTAGGGACGATGGAGGGTTGATGTCACTGTAGTTAGCAGATGTGGCGATGTCAGCGGGGTAATCTGATAGTGTAGTAAGAATTATGAGAAGTACTTGGTGCTTAATATTCTGCAGCATTACATTTAATATATATTCTTAGATTAGTTAGAATGCTGATGCTTTTGTACCCGTCTGTTCTCCCAGTTCCATGGATATATATATCCGTATTATCCCATTCAGTACCGCAGACGAAGTCCCAACGGTTCCAAGATCCGTTTTCCACAGAAATCGAATAAGCTCAGCTTCCATCCAGTGGTGAAACCGTCAAGTAAACTTTGTGTGACGCCTAAAGCAAGCCTACAACTGAAGCTACAATATTCGATGACAAGGTGTACCAGAGTATCTCGATATATCGAGTATCTTGAGATTTCCTTCTAGTTAGAGGTAAAAATGCTGGATCCAACTGCACTTGGCCAATTTCCAGGCAGTCGGACGCCCGCTAATGTACAGAAGAAAATCGAAGAAATAGTAAAAGAAATGCCAAAAGAGCATAACAGAAGGGGAAATCAATCTTCCAGCCAGTGGCCTCAATTAGAAAAAAAAAAAAAAAACCCAAAAAAAAAAAAGAGAAGAAGAAAAAAGACTGAAGCGAAAGTAGAAAGTTATCGGGAATATCCAAAAGAAAATAAGAAAAGAACAAAAACGAATGAACGACAATCGACCTCATAAGAAAACAAAGACGATCGCTGTCATAATAATGCACAGATAGACCCGCTGTCCGCTTGTTTTTTTGTTTTTGCTGGATTGTGGCGCGCTTACATTCAAGCACTGGGAAGTTTCTATCCAAGTAGCAACAATGGAAGAAGAGTAAGAAGAGGAAACATAACAGCCAAGAGACCACTGCACAGCAGTAATCCTCAGCATTTCTTCGCTCAGTCCAGGTATCACCCAACACCCGAGATGTGAATCAGGAAATGAAATCAAAAAAAAGGGGGAAAGGGTCCAAAAAAGAAAAAGAAAAGAATCAAGGACCCCATTGAAATTCTCGTTTCAACATTACTTAAATCGATACCCATGGTGGTTCTCTCGTGTCGTTGTCGAAAGAATCCCCGTGACGCTGTGAAAGGAACTTCTGTCCGTTTGGGGCTGGCCCGTCGGACGGTCGTGGTCGTAGGATGATGGCCCAGGTCTCCGTGTCCAGATTCCCGAGTCATCTTCCTTCTCCACCGGCACTGACATCTCCTCGGAATGGGTGCGGTGGGTGCGGATGTGTTGTTTCATGTTATCCTTCCTCGTAAACGCCTTGTTGCAGATGGGACAGTGGACGCTCTTCTCGCCTGTGTGTTTCTTGCCATGTCGTGCCGCATGCCCGGACGTTGTGAACGTGGCCGAGCAGCTGTGGGAGACCGCGTACGGACAGGGGTACTTGTTCTTTCTGCTTCCTCTGGACGCAGAGAGGTCCTTGGACCCGGAAAGAGAGGACTGTGGGGAAGGAGGATCATTCGGATAGGCTACAGGAAGGCGGCTCTGGGACGGAGGGAATGCAGGCGGATAGGAGTGTTCTTGGCGGCCATAATGCTGGTAGGAGGACATGGGATTGCCGGGGATGTAGTCATAGGAGCAATCTGACAGGACCGGCGAGGTGGGCAGAGAGGTTCCAGCCGGCGAAGCGGAGTCGTAGGGATGCCTCGACAGTCTAGGTGAATCCACCTGTGAATCCACGTAGACAGGGTAGCGGTAGGCTAGATCAGGAACTGGCTGTTGCGGCTGTTGTTGATGTTGTTGTGGCGGTAGTAGAGACTGAAACTGTTGGTGCTGTTGCGGATGATGATATTGGGCATGCTGCCTGGGCACCGTCAAGGCCGATGGCACGGCAAACGAAGGATTGTCATCATTGTTCAGGATGGACACAATACTGGTCCTGCACCTAGCCATTTTTCTACTGAACGAGGTAAGCTAGAAGGAAGAAACAGGTTAGTTTGAGTCAATGACTGTATGACTAGTTCTGGAGACTTGGGAAAGGGAAGGTGAGAAGCAAGAGAACAATAACTAAAATATCATAAAGCAAATGCCAGCCCCAGAACCCAACGCAACGTACTGAGCACCCTTCAACGAAGTTTGTCCCTTACGTCGTGTAACCAGCGTCAGGACGTGCAAACCTAACAGCAGCCCGACGACTCGGGAATCTTGCCCTACTATCCTTGGTTGGATTGGAGATTGAGGCAGGGATGTCCCAGATGTTCCAAGGGCAGGGATAAAATAGAGAGAAAGAAAAAAAAAAGATAGATCAAGTGCATACTCACGGGATATGAAGGGTTCGAATAGATCGAGAATGACAGAGATGGGGTATTCTTCGTCTCTTCTTTCTTTCTCTTTATTTTTTTCTTTTATTATTATTTTTTTTTTTTTTTCGTTTTCTTGCCAGAGACAGGGATCAAGGACTTGGTCCCAGAGAAGAATCAGGATGAATTGCAAACCGGTCCGATTGATTCTTGCAAGGGACAAAGGGATCAAACAACTACACACTCTCCGGCCAAACAAAAGGGGGGTGGGGTTGGAATGTTGACACTGCAGCTACAATCTCCAGAGACTGTGCTCAGCAGGACAGGAACTGTCGATAAAGAAGCGAAGATGGGGTGACAAAAAAGGAGCCACAGCGAGAAGACACCGGTGGCAGGAGAAGGGTAATCGAAAGACCGATGCTTTCGAGGACGGGGATCCCGGGGGTCGTCAGACAAGATGGGCGAAGAGGAGAAAGGGGGGGGAGAGAAAAAAAAAAGAAAAGAAAAGAAACAAGGAGATACGAGCGAAGGGACTGGGAAGAAGAGAGGAGAGGAGGAGAGGAGAAGGAGAAGAAAGGAAGAAGATAAAAGGGAAGCAAATGTACCAGTTCTGGGCCCCAGGGACTTAGGAGGATTGACACGGGGAGGATCAGATACTTCTTGCTATTTTAGCTATCCAGGGTAATTTTACTATGAGCTAGGATCCGTTCTAATTATTTATTAAAAAGAAATAAAAGAAATTAAAATTATGGGCATATTTTATATATAGAAGTGCGAATCAATAGCAGGGAGCGGATGTTTAAATGAGCTCAAGCTCCATTGGCATTTAGGCTCTGGAGGGACCGGCTACTAGCCCTACTGAAGTAATTAGTTAATGTATAATTATAGTATGATAATTTGGCCGTTTAATCTCGGGTACTTGTACTTAGTAGGTACATACTAGGGTACCTGGTTACCGAGTATGTACTGTATGTACTATACTGTATGGTACAGTCCCTAATGTAAAGAAATAAACTAACCCCAAACGGCAATAGGTGCAGGCCTGAGCACCGCCCGAACCACTTGCAACGTGGCACCTCCGGTGGCGGTGACGGTACCTAGGTAATTTCCATAGTACTCAGTCAGTATACTAGGTAGCTATTAGTTGTTAGGAAAATAGGCAGTTATTTAGTAATAAATAATAAATAATATTAGTACCTTCATAGGAGCGTCCAGATATTACAATTTGCAACACTGAAGCCAGCTTCTAGAAGGCCCACTGTTCCCGCTGTCGACTTCCCGGCCGTTTCCCAAAATAGCCTTTTCCCTTCTGGACCACTGCCTAGGTCCACGGTACTTCTAGTATTACAGCATACTAGTAGTAGTATGTATGACTACGGACTTACCCACCCACACCTCGAAACGGTAAATGGACAGCCAGTCGGGTCTGCCCCTAGTCAATAGGCATTAATAGTGCCTCCAGCCGAACGGTTAACATGCCGTGTTCTTTTGTTTTTCTTCTCTCTTTTTTATTTTTTTTCCTTTTCAAACTCCACTGTGGGACTGTCGGGACGCGGTCAGGAGTGTTGAATTATCTATCTTCTATCTTCATCGATCATATCACATGCAATTGAATAGTCATACTGTGTGCATGCTACAGTGTACAGAAACCGACAGGAAGAAATAGATGTCATGAGGTCGAAGGATGCTGCAATGCAGGTCATTCATTCATGCATGGGGCTGTTTCAAATCGCATAATACATCATATCATCCTGCATTGTACATAGCCATACTAGTAGTAACTATATACACAAAATAATCCCCGTGAAGACAAGACCCTGTGTCAAATTCAATCCCTAAAGTCCGAGTCCTAATTCCCCGTCCCGGACCCAACCATCCTGCAGCTGGTGCGAACTGACATCGCATGCATATTGGTTTGGGAAGCGATCGGCTGGCTTCTGCCCTGGAAAAGTTAACGGTCGACAGGTCCGCATGTGCATTGGACCCTCGTCCCCTTTTCTTTTTCTTTCCTAGTTGTCTTCACGCTCAGCCTCGCCCCCACCGTCGTTCGCTGATTATTACTGGGCTTGAATGACTCGACCTCATAATGTGAAGTACTGTATCCATTATTATTATTATGATGGCATATTACCGCGAGCTTCCCAAACATTTACCCAGACGCTTTTGAATAAGCTGTCAGAATGCCAACTCCATCGCACACCTTGCAATAATACACAGCAAAAAAAAAAAAAAAAAAAGGCAATAATACGCCCAATCCAGAAAGAGAGAGTGCCAGGAAACAAACAGAAAAAGTGCAGTGGCCAAGATCCACGCTGAAAACCTTCCAAAACGGAATTTTTTAACGATAGTAACAAAGAGAGACAGACGGCCAGGATAAAAGTAATAGTCATGTACACTCAAAACCAGCCCAAGTGTAACTTTGCTCTCGACAGGGTCTGTCGCAGGCGACGGCCCCACAAGGTAATCGAAAGCTCCTTCGCCCCCATTAAAGAGGCCCTAGACTCTTTTGCCTTGTAGTCAGACTGCAATGCTTTCCCGAACTCTGTCCGGTCGCGTTACAAGAGATAGATCAACTGTTTTCGAGTAGCAAAAGACGCATAAGGAGAACCTAAAAGAATTGGTTGTACTATGCAGTTCGCTGCTCCCCGAATCATAATTTCGCGGCTTGGCATACCTGCATAAATGGGATGGATTATTTGCAAAGATTTTCTTATTTTTCCAATTTTCGGCCCCCTCCAAGCCAGGAAGGATTTCCACTCATGGCATCATCGTCCTGCGTTGAGATCAAGCCAACTCAAATCCGAATTGACATTGCCACCTATTACGCCCGGCAACTGATCTGGTATCAATACACTGGATTTTCGCGCCAGCGCATTCGTCGCACCCGTTTGCCTTGGTTGCCCACCGGATGCGCTTGCGCCTGTCGATGGCAGATCCGTCCCACTCCGGCTGTACATACTGCTTGGCGGCCGGCCAAACCAGCTCCCGGTCCCTAATGTGTCCCGGTTTCCGTGAGCACTTGCCAGGATGTCATCCGGCACAAAATCATCCTTTTCATAATAGTCTTCTTCCGAGCTCATGGACTCTGCGCTAGAGATCCGCGCGGACTGACTTTCGAAAATGACTAGTCCACGGCTATTCCCGTCGATCCCTGCATGCTCCGTTGTCGGGCTGCCGCTAGCCACCTTACGCAACGGCTTCGGCTGCTCAAGGAACCCGAAATCCAGCGGTGTGACCGAAGGCCACGCGCTGCCTCTGTAATCCGACTTTGTGATAATAGAAGCAGTAGGCGAGTCTGAATTCTGAAGTGTCGCCAGGTTCGTGGTTGCATTGCCTTCAAAGTATTTGCTCCAACTCACGTCCGTCGTCCTATCCCCCGGCCGACCGGACGATTCGACGCCCAATGATTTTTCCAAATTATTGGAATTTGCATCGCCCGCCTGGTCGGATTCTACGGTAATCAATGGGCTACTCTTCATCGGAGTGGTATTAGCGGCTGGCGGTCGGAGAGACTTTTCGTTGCCGATTTTCCCGGAAAATATCCCAAGCGAGTCCACTGAAGACGCCGCTACAGGAACCGGGCTGCGAGCCATAGGATAGGCTGCCTCGGCAAGGGGCTCGATTCCTCGATCTTGGAAACTCAGTCGGTCATCGTTCTCGCGACCACGCTTTAAATCCGCTTTTTTGCGCCGGTATCTAAGGAACAGCAGTATTGCCAATAACAGGATTGCAAATCCGATGAGGCTGCCAAGGACTGCGCCAATAATCGTGCCGACATTTGTATGAGAGCCGCCGGCCGTACTCTCGGTAGAGGGAGTAGAGGTAGTTGTAGGTTGAGCGGTGGGGGTGGAAGTGGTCTGAAGAGGGATTTGCGACAGAGATTCGTCCCCATAAAACAGCTTTGTCGCGTTTATCCAGCCGTTAGACGTTTGGTTGAAGATAACCAACGGGTCAGCATCGTCTCCGCCAGAGATGACGACCAAGTTGCTACTCTCGTCCTGGGCCAGCGAGTAGTCCAGCCTGGTAGTAGTTGGGGCCAGCGTATCATTGTAGGCTGGATACGAGTCAGAAGTAGTGCTTCTTTTCCTCCTTCTCAAGGATAAAGCTTGCACTATTCTATTGGAAGATGTACCATCGGGACCTAACAAAGGTACACTGCTAACTGTGTTAGGTGACACTTCCATGTTAAATGACTGGAGGACCTTGCTCCCGTCGGTTCTGCTCAATATCGTATAACCGGTTCCACTGGAAAGTGTTTTTGAAAGAGTTAACCCAGAATCTTGCCATCCACGAGCCTGGGCGAAAAGGAAAATGTTACTCGACGTCGAACCGCCCATCAATGCCGCCTCCTCGTCGTTCCAAGGCAAGAGGACAGGTGATGATGCGGGGGACACCCCTTGGCCTTCGAAGGACGAAATATTGTACGGGGGCGCAGTGAAAATAGAAAATGTCTGGGAAGAGCTGGTTGTACTGTCCTCCTGAGAGCCTGCATACACCAGGATGGATGAGGAGGACTTCAAAAAGGCGACGCCATGGTGAGTGCGATTTTGCGTGATTGGCGTAGTTAGGCTGATGGTCTCCCATCGCCGGTCATCGAAGGTGTATCTCTGGACACCCGAATAGTCAGACGAACCACCGGTTCCTCCGACGACATACAGTGCCTCGCGATTGCTGTCGCCATCGACTCCTCCCTTCACACATGCAGCACCAGATACAGACTCCCCCATAGTTAGCTTACTCCATGTCCCATTGAGCTGGAGTGGTAGTGACGCAAAGCCATTGGCTGAGTAGACGTAAAGAGTGTTTTCATGAATTGCAGAACAGTGACCCTCAAGTTTCACAGGGGGCTTAGGGACGACCATTTTCGGAGAAAAAACGAGAGAGGGAGAGAAAGAGAGAGAAGGGATCTTCAAGGAGGCCAGCCGAAGAATGTAATGATAACCTGCCGCGGTCTACCTTGAACGAACGAACGAGTAGACAAGGAACGGGAAATGCGAATGAATGCGAGCGAAAGAAGACTGCCGGAGTACTACTATTTCATCATTGGATAGGAGAGGACTGAAGGTTTATTCTCAGCGCGAGATATGAGTCGACGAGGGTGGCTAGGATATGACCCAAGATGCACTCCTGCGCAACATGCGAGTGCCAAATGGTGATAGGGTAGGGAATGAGTCGATGTCGGATCAGGGGTGAAGGCAAATAACAACTCGATCTCAAACCAGCAGAGAGCGTCGGAGAGAAGGGCACGACACTGTCAACAAAACCGGCAAAGAAAAAGCATAAAGAAAAGGCACAAAGAGAACGAATTGCGCCGAACAAGAAACGTCCACAAGACAGCCAGCTTTCTCGGGAGAAGGTAAAGAAAGGAGGGACGGGAGGGAATAATCACCAGGAGAATCGAGTTCAGGAGAGGCCAGGGACTGCCAGGCGGATGCGTAGTGCCGGATAATCATCAGGTTGCAGCTGGTTGATTGGAAGCTGAAACAACGGTCAGCCTAGGCCGGCAAATTATATGGACGTGCCTGTCCCACACTCACCCGTTGAGACAAGATTCAGGGACATACGAGAGTGCAGAGGAAGAATTTTCCGCAGGACAGTGTGCTCAGCAGCTTATCTCACTCCGTTGATGTTGATGCTGATGACCAGACAGTGAGACGCGGCTCGAGGCGATGAAAGGTGTCAAGAGAGACAGAGGGAAGAGAGAGAGAGAAAGAAAGACAAAAGAAGAGATTCTGGAGGGGCATCTATCTGAAATCCCGCCATTCCCAAAACGGACTACCCTCCAGCAGGGATCTATCCATCACATCCATAATAATAATATTCAACGATCCGTCATGACAGGTCAACAGCATTAGACAATGGAATTGTGACTGATGGAATTGTGACTGGGAAACGCCTGTCTCATCCGTTGATTCCGTTGTCTCCTGTGTTCCCTCTCAACAATCAATAGCGAATGGAGCATTCTCCCTCATCAGTATAGTTTGATGGGGAAGAGTCCACAATGCCGTTGACCTGACCTCTGCTATGCAGCTTCACATCGATGGCGAGTCATGCTGGAAGATCGAGTCGGCTTGCTTCCGCCGTTCCTTCAGTTAATATTTCAGCGTTGCTGCTGTTCCTTGGTTGTACAGAAAACCTAGAAGGACTGGATGCGTCAACCAGAAGATACTCAAATAAGACCATCCATCCGGTATATGTATGCATCGCATACGTTCAAGCCGGCCTAACACTCCGTAGACTATGAGTCTTGAGAAGCTATTTGTATTCATGCGTTTTTAAGTTTTCAATTTTAAATTGGGAATATTAATAGCAATAAAAGAAAGTCGTTGCGTCAGCATTACGCTTGCAGTACCAGACATTATGGCTTCTCTCTTAAAAATGGGGTTTTTACCATACAACATAACCAATAGAAGCAAGGATATCAGATTGCGGATAATATAAAATACATCGTCTGTAAAAGGGATGAAAGGTGTCAAGAATACTGCTATGTCTGGCTTGGCGCCTGTTGCTGCTTCCACTGGTGCGCTTTCTGGAGCAGTTTCGACAGGTTCGCCGCGGCTCTGTCGTCCGCGGGGAAGACATAGTCCATGTATTCCTCGTACCGGTCGTCCTCGAGCTTGCGTCTCTTCTTGACCCTGCGCGGCATCTGCTTTTCGATCTTCTCGATATCTTCGACAGACCCGTGAGTGTGTTCGAATGACCGCCATGCATTCAACAGTTCCACACGCTGCAGACTTGTCAGAAAAGGTATGCCACAGAGAACAGGAAATCTGGAAGTTGCTTACCTCCTCCTTGAGTTCTTTCTCCTTGAAGACCTTGTGTGCACGTTCGAAGACGTTGCGGGCGCGGCGTTTTGCCTCCTCACTTACTGGCCGTTCTTCTTCCGTCTCCTCCTCCTCTTCCTCCGGAACGTTGATTTCGAAACGCGCGTAATTGATCCATACCTTGACATGGTCCGTCTTCTGCAGGAGACGCTCATACAGTTGCCGGACGCGGTTGTACTGTTCCTCGTATTCCTCAAAGTCAATGTAAGCCTTCCACACAAGCTCCGGCATATCTAACGACGGCTGGTCAATTCCAAGCTCGTATATGGCTCTGGCACGATCTGCATCGTCCAATCCACGTTCCAGCTCAGCGTATTTTATCCAAGACTGGCTATTCGCAGGATTCCACTCGATTTGCTTCTCATACAATGTCCTGCATCTCACGAACTCAAACAGTTGTCGCTCAAGATCAATGTATCCTCGAAAGAGCTTATCCTTCGGACACATGCCGATAGCCTGGCCTAGCGTCTTCCGGGCAGCTTGAAGGTCCATCTGCCTGATATCGAACTGAGCTTTCATGAGCCAAATCTTGGCAAAAGTGAACTTCTTATGTGGGATGAGCTTCAGACACTCTTGGTATATTTGTCGCGCACGCTCAATATCCTTATTCTCCATTTCTTCCCAGAGGGCATAGAATATCCAAAGATAGATGTATCGTCTCCAGTGTCGTTTCTCCTGGGACGGGGGTATCTGTGCAATCGCCCGTTCGTAGACATCTCGGACTCGTTCCGGATCGCCGGTCGACTCCTCCAATCTCGCAAGATCGAACCAGATGTCATAGTTCCTGGCATTTTCCTTGAGTTGTTCTTCGTATTGAACTCTCCGCTTGGAAAGGACCACGTCTTCTACGCCTTCCCGGTCGCCAAACTGTTTCTCAAATGTCGTATATGCTCTGTGTAGAACCATCGACTTCGACCGAGGGAGACGGTCCAGCGCGTACTTGTAGATAGCCCTCGCACGCTCGTACTCCTTGAGTTTCGCCTCGAACTTGGCATAAGCGACGAAGAGCTTCTCATCCATGAAGTCCTCGCCCAATGTCTCAATAGCAGCGCCATAAACCTCTCGGACCAAATCACTTGTCCCGTATTCCTCTTCGAATCGAGCCCATTTTATCCAATTCCTCGGCTCAGGGTGAACTATAGTAAAGCGCTGGAAAATAGCCCGTGCCCTCTCAAATTCACCATATCTCTTCTCAAGCTTGATATATGCGCTCCAGGCACCTTCATCAGGTTCCCAGGACATCCAACGCTCAAATACCTGGCGAGTTCCAGGGATGTTCCCCAGAGTCTCCTCCATGTAGACATACTTGTACCAAAGCTTATCCACACGGGGAAGAATCGTCACGGCACGGTCTAGAAGATTTCGGGCGTGGTTTATGTTCCTGTTCCTCATCTCTGACTCGATGTAGCGAATCCACAGCACCACGGACGTAGGGGCGACATCCAGCGCGCGTTCGAAGATAGACCGTGCTCGTCGAAATTCCTTCTGTTCAAGTTCCCACGCTGCATAGCGCATCCAGTTGTTCATATTAATCCTGTTTCGACGCACATAATCTTCGAACTCTTTTCTCTTGCGACCTTGGTACTCGTGCAACTCCTCAAGATCAGCGAAGCGCTGGGTGGGCGCCTGCAACGCAGGCTCCTGCCGGTCAACAGCCTCGCGAAGTAGCTGCTCCGCTGAGATCTGTATGGGGGCAGGAGCCTTGTTTTTAACTCTGGGGGGTCCTCGAGACTCCATCGTTGTAATGTCTATCTATCGGTTGAAAAGTTGTCGAAAACAAAGGTGGTCGGGGGGGTTTCACCCGAAAGGGATCGACAGCCTCGGTAGATGGTGTGAAATAGGAGGAGAGAAAATCATCAAAAGCAAGAATAAAGATGAGGTTCGACATGCGCGCGTCGAAAGCCCAGGGAGAACTGCGACGCACCTAAATCCAGCGACATAGCAAACGGAACTGCACTTTGGGTTCTTGACGCCACCCGGGATTTATTGATGAATGACTAATCAACCTACCTCACATAACTAGTTAGTTATCAAGATCGTCGGGTGGCTCTACAGCTTCCTCTCCCAACCTTCTTCCTGCATCGTTCGTCACACATTTCGACTGTTTCTCTGGCCCTAACGATAACATGTCGAACGCAGAGGAACTTTTGAGGGATTTTGAGGAGGACTTGGAGGATGTGGAGGGGCTTCAGGAGACGGAAGAACAAGAGAAAGAACATGAGGAGATGGAAATAGAGGAGCCTACAGGCCCAAAAGTTTCTAACGAGTTTGAAATTTCGGTCTCTACAGCCGATGAACTGACACACCTACACAAAGCTCTGCGTGACCACTATTCAATCAGATTCCCAGAGTTGGAAACACTCGTCACCAATCCGATCGACTACGCGAAGACCGTTGCGATTCTCAAAAATGGGCCCCTCGATAACATCAAAGCTCTATCATCCTCTGCCGACAATATGGTTGGGACACCGTTGAAATCTGTCCTGGATGGACCGTCACTTATTGTTGTGGCCCTGGAAGGGACAACAACCAGAGGACGCGAGATGACCGAATCAGAGCTGAAGAATGTGCTTGATACTTGCGAGAGAATCCTTAAGCTTGACCGCGAGCGCACGGAGCTTACCCAGAGCATCCAATCTCGCATGAACCAGATTGCTCCTAACCTAACGGCTTTAATCGGACCAGAAACGGCTGCGCAATTTCTCAACCAGACCGGGGGACTGCGCGAGCTTGCAAAGATCCCTGCTTGCAACCTGGCTGCCCAAGGCTCGAAGAGACGAGAAGGATTAGGGTTTGCTACAAATATAGGCATTAGATCACAAGGTTTCCTTTATAATTCGCCGATTATACAAGGCATCCCGAATGATTTGAAGAAGCAAGCCATCCGTATAGTTGCATCCAAGATGGTACTTGCCACCCGAGCTGATGTATCGGGATACTGCCCCGACGGCTCATTGGGGAAGGAATTGGAACAGCAATGTTTCCAGCGCTTGGAGAAACTGACTGAGCCGCCACCAAACACAGGAGTTCGTGCATTACCTGCTCCAGACGACAAACCATCCCGAAAGAGAGGCGGCCGACGGGCTAGGAAGGCTAAGGAAGCCATTGCCATGACCGAACTGCGGAAAGCCCAGAATAGAGTGGCATTTGGCAAGGAAGAACAAGAAGTTGGCTTCGGAACAGGCGAAGGCACCGTTGGACTGGGCACGCTGGGTCAGCAGACGGATGGGCGAATCCGAGCGACGCAGATCGACCAGCGAACTAGGGCTAAACTCAGCAAGTCAAACAAGGGATGGGGTACGGCTACCCCTGTCAGCGGCATTGCGTCTTCTCTCCGAACATTTGGCCAAGGAGGAGGCGCCGGGACGGCGAGCGTCCTACAAGCAAAAGGCCTTCGGACGTCGGGTGTGGGGCCTTCTTTGGCAGGCACAGCAGGGACGGCCAGTACTATTGCATTCACTCCAGTTCAAGGCCTGGAACTGGTCGATCCTAAGGTGCAGGCGGAGATGAACCGGAAGCGCAAGGCCGAAGAGGACAGATGGTTCAGGTCAGGTACCTTTACTCAAGTTGGGAATCAGAATCAGGGTAGCGGCGCCGCTTCTGCGCAGGGTCAAAATGGGGGATTCAAGGTGCCAGCTTTACCACCGAAGAAGAAAGTCGACACCGGTGAGGGCAAGATGGCACCGCCCTCAGTCCCATTGAAGCGTTAAATCAAGAATCTGGGTCTCGATTACTTCGTGTTCCTTAATCTTCGAGCATTCACAAGGAGTTTTATTTATTCTTTTTAAAGGATCCTTCTCGCTTTGTTCTGTCTTTTTTCATCCGGTTCAGGAATCGGGGGAACTTGCATGATACCATTTTATACGCGATGTATGATAGATATGAAAGAAGATTAGCTGATCTCACAGACAACTTTTACTAAAAAAGGATTAATAATGGTTTTCCTCCATTCATAGAATATGGCCTCCAAATGATATCCAGGGTGGATACAGAGTACATTGGTTCGTAGTGCATCGTTCCATATTCCGCTTTTGCCCAAATATGCGAGGCTCCGAGTCATCATTCTGGTTAAGACGACAGTCTATATACAGATGGCTATGTATCTATATTCATAAGCCAAAGTAGACACCTACCGCAACATGTAGCAGTTTTCCAACAAGACAATAACAGGACCGCTATCAAAGAAACAAAGAAGACAGGAGAAACGACCGGATCACGCCATACTCCAAACCTGGTATATGGTATACAAGCAATGCGAGATGAACAGGCTTCAAGAAACACCTAAGAAAACGAAGAGAAGCAAAGCAGATGTGTATGTAGGAGACCCACTACTACTCCCATCTCCTCGCCTGAGCAGCAGCCTCAGACTCCCTGGCGGCCCTCTCAGAACGACTAGCATCTCGCAGTGCCTGCACGTCAGTCTGTGCTTTCTGCGCCGCCAGTTTGGAACCTAGTTTCCCTTTCTGAGCAGAACCAACGGCCTCGGCTCGTTTCTATATGCGCAGTAGAAAAAAAAATCAGTTAGCAAGTGTAAGGGAAGATAAATAAATCAGTTCCAAACGACAATGACGTCAACCTACCTGCGCAGCTTCAGCAGCTCTCCTACGAGCATCACTTGCATCTTCCGACGGAGGCTCCGCACCCCCCAAGGTCCTCCCGGGAGTTTTGAAGTTGGACTTTGCTTTGGACTTCGCGGGGAGCGGGGCACGCGGGGCAGATGATCGGTCGGCCGTTCTTGTTCCTGCATGAGCGCCTTGAGAAGATGCTCCCACAACGCGTCCAGGTTGAGGCGGTCCTCCCGATTCATCGACGGACCGGGAGCAGATGCCTCCCATTCTGGTGGACGAGATGACTTGTTGAATTGGTGTGGAGAGAAATGGGGCAAGGTGGTAGATAGTAGTAGATGTAATAGTTATAGCAGTGACGGAACAACTCCGGTACCACCCCAAGGGCCGCCTTGAGGGCGAAGGAAAAAATGATAGTACTCTCCTTTTAGTTTCTGGGGATGAGGATCAGTCTAGTTTGTTGGTTTCCCGTTGGTATTGACAGATTGAGCAGCGAGATCTGATCTATCGCGAATGCAGGCTGCAAAGGAAGAGTGACAGTCGGAGACGGCTGGAGCACGGGACAACACGTGATCCGTTGGTGCCTTAGCAAAGCTACTAGGTGTAGTAGCATCTGCTGTCTGTGGTTGCAGGTCAGTGACAGCTACTCCTTAATAATTATCATTATCCAATATTTATTTCCAGTGCTGGCCATCAAATTTCATGGAAAATAACAATCATGAGACAGTGGAGGAGCCACAGACAGCAACATGCAGCATGCTGCTCTGCCAGATTAGGGCTTCAGACCGGCCATCCAGGGCCAGACACTTCACGTGATGCGGGAGCCTTTACCATTTCCAGCGCGTCACCGTCATCAACGCTCCTCTTGATCCTCCTCGACCCTTGCGGTGCTCCCTCTGTTGCTGTTTGAACCGTGAGCAAGCAGTGACAGTAGAGCCAGTATGCGTTGTCTGACAAATTCCGGGGCGCGATTCGCCCATGACTGCTGAGAGCGATGACGCCGGCTAACCCGCAAGGTCCCCAGTGCAGCCCATCAGTGCTTTTCTGCTGCAACCCTGGCTCGAGGGGTCCCCAAGGCGTGCAACTCGCTGGCGTCGAGGCTCTCCCTCTCTCCTTTTTCTGTCTCTCTCTCAGTTTTCTCTCGAGTCTTTTACCCTCCGTCAGCTCCAAAGGTCCTCACTGCCCCTCGTCCGATCACCTGTCTATTGTGCGCTCTCTTTTGCCTGTTCTCTCGGCTATCTGTAAGTCACCTTCCGGGTCCAAGCGATTGGCATCGACATACTTTGCCGCTTGTGATTATGATCCCTGTCCTTCATCATTGATCGAGCGGTGTTCTGTCTTGCGCTGGGGATTGGCTGTCTTTCCCCCCTCTATTTCCCCACCGGAAACTGTTCGAAGCAGAATTGGCTGACAGGAAGCAAAAGCCCTGACCAGGATATCCAGCTTTCAATTTTCCCCACGCTCTCTCTCTCCCTTTTCTCCTTTACAGGTCTCTCAACTGTGGTTTCCTCTTGTTTCGAGTTTCAATTTGATACTGCCTCTTTAACGAAGACGAACGATCGTCAGTCCCGTTCCTCTGCCACCTGCCGCTATCTACCCTCCAAGTCATCGGTCTGGCTTCATCCTATGTCCGCTCAGTCGAAAGACGACGATTTTTGCCTAGAATGCCACTGGGAGTCATTCCACCTGGATGGTGGGAACTTGGGAGATTCGTCGGATAATACCAACAAGCAACCCCAGTGGCCGTGTTCAGGCGACGAGCACCACACCTCGTTATTTGCGCAGTGCGATATAGACGAGGCATGTTGCGACGTTGATGACTGCTCGTTCAATTGTTCCTCCGTCTGCGATGGCTTTGTTGACTGCGATGAGTCGACCATCTGCTCTGTGCAGCTCTGCGAGAACAAGGATTGCGAAAACACCGGCCCTGCCTGCTTCGATAACCACTGTTTCGGCAGCGATCCTAGCGTTGGTTGCGGTCTTGGGTCCTTGTTAGGGCTGCAGACTCCGATTACCTTGCCAAGCAACAGCTTACTGCCGACCGCGGTAGCTGACCATGACCAGACCGGCCAATCAGGGAAGGTTTCGGCTAGAGAGCATACTGCTTCTGGCGCAGTTGATCTTCATTCTCCTAATGGCTCCTTCATGCCATGTTCGACATCGGCAACTCAATGCGCGCATCACAATTTCTCTCACCATGGGTGCCATGGCTTGACCAACTTCCCGACCCAGAATCATGTTAAGCTAGAAGATGCCTTCCAAATGCTGGGGCCATGCCCAGACCTCTCCAACTGTCATGGTTTTCATGAGCAAGGGGGCAGCCAACATGAGGAACATCTGGGCAGGTCCAACGGAAACCCCTGTGCACTTCCTCCTGCTTGCTTTCATCATTCCGGAAATTATCACTTGACTAATATGATCAAGAATCGTATCAACTCGGTGCCCGGTAACCAAAACAGTGCACTTCTGAGAGGAGCCTGCCGTTCACATCACCACTGCCACCACCATTCCCACTTGCATTCACATCCATATTCTCCATTCTCTCGCCAATCACGGTCGAGTGTGAGCTCTCACTTTCTCTCTAGTCCTGGCGAGACTCCTCCGCCGTTAGAAGGTGGAAGCTCCTCATTGTTGACGAGCCCGGAGTTTCCCCCGGAGAAATTTGAGCCGCACGTCTGCAAATGGACCACGATGCTCCAGGGAGTCAAAAGGACCTGTGGGGCGGTGTTCTCAGACGAGGGCTCTCTTCAAGAACATCTCGTTTCCAAGCACATGACGGCAATTGACGGGGCTAAGGGCCACGGGTATTACTGCTGCTGGGAGGACTGCCATCGTCCAGATGACCCGTTCTCACAAAAGTCGAAGCTTCAGGGACACTTCTTGACCCATAGCAATTGTAAGTACTGCATTCATGGTCTTCCGACGGGAGTGTAGGAAGCTGAGCTGTTTTATTTATTTTTTTTTCCGTACCAGATAAAAATTTTAAATGCTATATCTGTGGGAAACAGTTCGCTAGACAGGCGACGCTGGATAGACATGCACGGAGTCATCGAGGAGAAAAGCCGTACAAGTGCCAGGTTTGCGGGAAAGCATTCACTGACAGCAGCGAGCTAAGTATGCTTTGTCGGGGTTTTGTCTGGTGCATGTGGGCAGTAACTAATGAGGATCAGAAACGCATACTCGGACTCATACTGGCGAGAAGCCATTCAAGTGCAATTATCCGGGGTGCAATTTCGAAACAGGCGATGTAGGTCGACCTGAAATGCAAATAGTCATTTTGGACCGGTAAGCTGATTGTGATATCTAGTCGTCCAACATGTCCAGTCACAAATTGAGTATGTTGCCTGCCCTTCTATTGTTCCCTTTGCCCGAGCTAATAGAACCGCAGCACACGGGGAACGAAAACACAAATGTACATTCCCGGGATGTGACAAGAGTTTTACTCGACCCGGTATGTTTCTGGCTTTTTTTGTCTGTCTGTCTGTGTCTGTTTGTTTTTTGAGCTGCAAACTAATTTTCGATGCTACAGATCAATTAAAACGCCACATGAAGACGACACACAAGTTGGCCAGTACACCATTTCCCTCACCTCTTCCCGATCAATTCACACTATCCCCTTTTACCGGCATATCGTAATACCCGGAGATGCGTTCTCCTGGTTTGGTTCTCTTTCAAATACAACGGAATGTATGATACAATAGTATACGACACGGACATTGGAAAGACAACACGGAGCCAGGCGTCAACGGTCAAGACATATATAATCGACGAATATCTATGGTGCTGCTGTAATGAATCTTTTGACAACGGCGTTCAGTGGAGGGCACAAAAGCAACAACCCAAATGTGACGTGATATGACGTGTCTGTGTAGACATCTGTACAGTATGACTTGAAGATATAAGGTGTTATGGAGTACTGGGATAAAATTTCATTACTAAGTAACTGTCAGCTTCCATACATTCATTTATTCCTTTTAACCATTTAAACCTCCCCCTCCCCCCAATAAGGCAAATAAGGCAAATATTAATCAGTACTAGCCCTCTCCTCCAAAGCCTCAACAGCAGCCTCCAACTCTCGAACCCTCTGCTCCACTCTCCTCCTCACCTCAGCCCTAACTTCAACCGGAATCTTGGTAGGATCAAAATTCGTTTCAACATCCACATACCTCCCCGCCAACTCAGCACTCTCCTCATCCGGATCAGCCTCCTGATACTTCTGCCCCTGCTGTCCCTTCGCCGACGCATCATGCACGGCTCCCTGTCCATGAACATGCAATCTAGACTGATCCTCAACGAAACCGCGATCCTCGCCGTGCCGAATTGGTTTCGCCTGTTCCTGCTGCTCTTCGTTGAAGGTCGGTGAAGATAACTCCGGGCTTGTGTAGAGGGTGTAGATTGAGATTAGCTGGTTTAGGGCGTCTCGTGCGGATTCCCGATCCGAGGCGGCGTAGATTGTTGAGGAGTCGGTTGAGTCTGTTGCTATTTCGAATTCGTCTTTTGCGGTTAGGTAGCTGATTTCGTGTTTGTTAGCTTTCTTTCTTTTCTTTGCTCCGCCCTGCGCTTTATTACAGTATGTGAAAGGACGTACAGTTCTTCCAATTCCTCAACTAAGAGGTCCGCTTCTCTTTTCCCGCTCGCGGCTGCTGAATCGGCATAGCTCCTTTTAGGGTATTCCAGGGATGGGAATGTTCGTGGAATTGTAGTATTATTATTATTAATATGGGCTCTGGGTAAATATGACACAGCCCTAATCAAACTGCACCCAGAAGGTAAACTTGAACGCGTCTTCCTGTGTACATATCTGTATCCCCTAAAGAGAGCTGGGGTGGCTCTAGGGGTGTGGAAGAGCGTATCCGTTGCTCCGGGTATGATTCGGGACAGAGACATCTTCAGAGTAGATGTAGACCGAAATCCTGCTGGAAGGAGATGTGGTCAATTGCGAAGAGATAAAGCAGTAGCTAGAAGGGTAAAGAAAAGGTAAGCATCAAGACTAGACAGGAGTTCAACGTTCAACGTTTTAACGTCCGAGGATGATCTGATCATGACAATGACGTCGCCGGATATCTAATCTTCACGTGATTCTCTTCTTACACGCTGTCGAGTATTCAAACAGTCTATTATGATGTTCTATGCTAGGACAAACCTACATACCCATCCTCATCCCTCCATTCGCACAGATAACACTCCCTGTACACCACCCAGACTCCTCGGCGCAGAGCATCCCCACAACCCCAGCAATCTCATGCGTGAATGCCGGACGTCTCCCCCCCATCTTCTCCCTGATCAGCTGTGCCATCTCCTCTCCTAGCAGCGGCACATCCTCTTCTCGCAATTTGCTCAGCGGTGTACTATCCTGATACCCCTGCATCTGAGTCCAGAACTCCTCGCCTGTTTGGATGTACATGTCCCCGATCACAGGGCCCGGGTTGACAGCATTGACTGTGGCTTTGTCTGTTAATTCGCGCGCCCACGTGCGCGTCATAGCCTCCAGCGCGGCCTTGGTGCCGCCGTACACGGTCTGGCCTGTGAATCCCATCGAGGACGATACAGAGGAGATGTTGACGATGCGACCGGTCCGGTCGGTGGGGAGATAAGACGCGCAGGCCTGTGTTAGGAGTAATGGTGCCAAGACATTGATGACATAGTGCCACTCGAAGTAGTCTCGGGTAATAGGACCGGCATTGCTGTCGTTCAGTTGTCTGTCCTTGGAAACTCCGGCGTTGTTGACCAGAATGTCGATTTGGAACCTGCCCGACCCGCGGTCTGTAAAGTGTTCTTTGGCCTGGGAGAGGATCTTGGAGACGGCCTCTTCTGGATTAGATAGATTGGCTTGTACACTGATGCAGCGGATTGAGTGCTCCTTGGCTATGTCTGCGCACATTTGCTCTATTCGGGCCTGGCTGGACGGTGAAGTATAGCCCAGAAGAAGGGAGCAGCCCTTGCCAGCGAGATTGCGCACGATCGCTTCTCCGATCCCTGGAAGATGATTCGGTTAGGGAATGAAGCACTCATACTAAGTGATGGGAAGTTGACGTACCGCGCGATCCGCCGGTGACGATGCCAAACTTCCCCTCGAGAGGACGCGATGGCGACATTTTCATGCGAATAATTTCACCAATATTTCGGTTCCAGTCAAGGCGTCTCCTCTTTTCTTTTATAAGGACAACGCGCGATTTCTGCTCTCCAATTCGGATAATATCAGCGACGCTCTCCACATACCAGACCGGCTAATTTCCTGTTTCGGGGGTTTCCCGGTGGCATCACGATGACAATTTACCCGTTCGCAGTGTCGAGAAGGCACAGATGAACAATGATAATGCGGTTCTCTTCCTATTATTATTGCCGTGCAGTATAGCAATTGCTATCTGACATGAGACGCCTTTTCTTCGACCAGTCCAACCAGTAACTCTGCTACCAACACTGCAAACCCGTCTTCATTGATGGCTTGCTCAGCGCGAATCACTTGGATCCTACTCCCCGCCAATTCTTCCTCCAATGTCGAAAACAGAACCGCATCGGCTTCCGGATCATAGAACGGCTGGCCGGGTGTGTCCATCATACTAACCCCGCCGGTGGGCAGCACTACTCGGACCATCTCCGGGCGTGATGCCAGTAGGAGCTTCTGGGCGATAAACCTGGCGATCTGTCTACATTCATCCGGCGTAGTCCTCATCAATGTCACCGACGGGTTGTGCTCGTAGAGTAATCTACCATGATCTTTGCCACTGCTTTTTCCGCTGAACTTTACCGGAACCGAGTCTGGCGGTCCGAAATTAACCATGTCACACGCTCCCACGCTGATGACTTGAGGGATTCCCGATTTTGCAGCTGCTTCTAATCGGTCCGGACTGGCTGCCAACATGCCTCCGACGATGGCGTCCGCAATTTCCGTGGTGGTGATGTCGAGCACAGCATCGAGTTGGTGCTCTGAAATCAGTCGCTCCATGGCCCTCCCTCCGGATCCTGTTGCATGGAAGATGTACACTTCATACCCGTGGGTTTGTCCCAGATAGTCTCGGATTCTATCCACGCAGGGCGTTGTCACGCCAAACATGGTCACTCCGACCCGCTTCTTGGGCAGGAGAGGAGTGGCTGAACCGGTTCCAGGCGTAGACGTGTAGACAGTCGTAGCAGCAGCCGTTTTCTCTGCAAAAGTCGCAGCCATACAAGCAATCGCGGCAGCAGCATTAGACAGAACGCGATTCAAGATGGAATTCGTCCCCACAATGTCCACCACGCTGTACATCATGGTGATGTCCGTCTCCTCGACGTACGGCTTGACATTTCCACTGGCCATCGTCGAGACCATCAGCTTCGGGAATCCGATGGGCAGAGCCTGGCGCATCACGCCCGTCGAGAGCGCCGTCCCACTCGATCCCCCTATGCCGATGATGCCGTGGATGGCTCCAGATTGATACAAGCTCTTGACCAGCGAGGCTGCACATGAGATGATCCTTTTGATATATTCTGCCCTGGGAAGTGTGGACAGATCAACGATACCGTCAAATCGCCCTAGCAGCTCTCGATTCGTGATGTCGATGTTCTTGTGTGCAACCGTCGGCGTCCTGCCTACATCCGCGACGAGCACAGAGCAGAGACCGTGACTGAGGATCTGGTCGCGGGTCAAGAGCGTTTCTTCGAGTTTGGTATCGCATGTTCCTAGAAGGATAACGGTGGCACTGGGAGACATTATATGATATAGTGCATATAAGTACTACGTGGGTTGTTGGAATAGTAATCTCAAGGAACTCTCGTCGACGACCTCGGACGATACCCGACTGACGTCGTCTTCTGCCGATCCCTGCTGCGTCTTCCACGCTTCTGATTTCTTCTTCCCTTCTCATATCAACATAACTTCTGTCCATAATAAGATTATCAAACCAACGAACACCAAAATGCCCCCTCCAACCGACCGCAAACAGATTCTCGAAGCACTCCGCAAGGTGATAGACAGCGGGTCTGCCATCGTCGGTGCAGGGGCCGGTAAGTCATGAGAACTCCATAGACCACTCCCCAACAGACGCAAATAATGATTGATAAATAAAAAGGAATCGGTCTCTCCGCCAAGTCTGTCGAAAATGGCGGCTGCGACCTCATAATCATCTACAACTCAGGCCGATTCCGAATGGCTGGCCATGGCTCCCTGGCTGGATTGATGCCGTATTCAGATGCGAATCAAGTCGTGCTTGAAATGGTATACCCCCTATATACTCCTTACATCCATGTTTATCAGTAATATATACTAACGGGGAAAAGGCAAACGAAATCCTCCCAATAGTAACAAAAACCCCCGTCCTAGCCGGCGTCTGCGGCACAGATCCCTTCCGCTCCATGCCCCAATTTCTATCCCACCTGAAAAGAATCGGGTTCTCAGGCGTCCAGAATTTCCCAACGGTCGGCTTGATTGATGGGACATTTCGGCAGAATCTCGAAGAGACTAATATGGGGTATGATAAGGAGGTGGAGATGATTCGGATCGCGCATGAGCTGGGGTTCCTGACGACGCCTTACGTGTTTAATGTTGAGGAGGCTGAGAAGATGGCCAAGGCCGGTGCGGATGTCGTTGTTGCGCATATGGGGCTTACAACGTCTGGGACTATTGGGGCCAGGACCGCCTTGTCCTTGCAGGATTGTGTGGGTGTCGTGCAGGGTATTCGGGATGCCGCTGTTAAGGTCAATCCGGACATTATTGTGCTTTGTCATGGGGGTCCTATTGCGGCGCCGGAGGATGCGGAGTTCATTCTCAGTCGGACGAAGGGGGTTCATGGCTTCTTTGGAGCGAGCAGTATGGAGAGGTTGCCTGTCGAGGTGGCCATCAAGGAAAATGCCGAGGCTTTTAAGCGGTTAAAAATCACCAAGGCCTAATACAGAAGGTGGAAGGAAATTGAGGAAATGAAGGAAATGAAGACAACCAAACATATCACAACGCAAAATCATTCATTGCATTGCAAATAATCACTACTATTCAGTGTATATTGGTCATCTGGCGATGCCTCTACCATCCAAACTGGGAAAGGAGCCAAGAGTCACAAGATATAGTATAAATAAAAGGAAATAATAACCTCAAACAACCGTCCATAGCAGTGTTGAATGCAAAATATCCCAGGACCCGCGCCCGTGACAACCAAACAGAACACACTATCCTTGAAAATCCCTGTGTATGCCACTTTTATCTTGCCGTTGAAGGTCAAATACTTTTGAGTTCAAAGTTGATGAAGAACCCTGTATGTGATCGTAACATCGTTATCATGTTGAAAGTCTATCTGTCAAGATGACACAAAAAGAAACATTAAGAAGTTTAGTAGCGGTAGCTAGATGAAAAGTTAGCTGGCTGGTTCCGAACGGAAGAAACGAGAACAGGGTCAACGTACATTTCGCTCTTGAAAGGACCGTTGACATCCAAGCCCAGGTACTCAGCCTGAACAGGGGTGAGCTTGGAGAGCTTGGCATTGACGTGCTCGAGGTGGAGCAGAGCGACCTGCTCGTCGAGAACCTTGGGAAGAACATATACACCAACAGGCTTCTTGCCAGAAGCACCGAATTCAATGTACTTCTTGCCGAACTCCTCATCTTCGGCCTTGAACAGGGCAATCTGAGCAAGCACCTGGTTGGAGAAGGAGCAGGACATGACAAAGGAGGAGTGGCCAGTGGCGCAGCCAAGGTTGACCAGACGGCCCTCAGCCAAAAGGATGATGTGACGACCGTTGTGCATCAGGTAGCGGTCAACCTGGGGCTTGATGTTCTGAACGGACTTAGCGTTGGCCTTGAGCCAAGCAACATCAATTTCAACGTCGAAGTGGCCGATGTCTTGGAACTAATCAGCTACATGAATCCCAGCAAAACGAGATACAAGGAGACTTACTGCAAACGATAGCATCATTTCGCATGGCCTCGAAGTGTCTGCCGACCAGAATATCACGGCAACCAGTGGTGGTGACAAAGATCTGGCCAAGAGAAGCGGCCTCATCCATGGTGGTGACCTGGTAACCCTGAACAGCAGCCTGGAGGGCGTTGATGGGGTCAATTTCAGTGACGAAAACGCGGGCACCCATGCTGTGCAGGGCCTGAGCGCAACCCTTTCCGACATCACCGTAGCCGGCAACAACGGCGATCTTTCCAGCGATCATGACATCGGTAGCACGCTTGATACCGTCAATGAGAGACTCACGGCAACCGTACAGGTTGTCGAATTTGGACTTGGTGACGGAGTCATTGACGTTGATGGCAGGGACGAGCAACTTGCCATCCTTGAGCATTTTGTACAGGTGGTGAACACCAGTGGTAGTCTCCTCAGAGAGACCGTAGCAGCCCTTGAGCATCTCAGGGTACTTGCTGTGGACAAGAGAGGTCAAATCACCACCGTCATCAAGGATAAGGTTGAGCTGCTTTCCATCCTTGAAAGCGCGGAGCTGTTGCTCCAAGCACCAGTTGTACTCCTCTTCGGTCTCGCCCTTCCAGGCAAAGCTAAGTATTGTCAGATAAAAGTTGAATGAAATAGCAATTAACATAAGATTCGCAGCTTACACAGGGACACCGGCAGCGGCAATAGCAGCGGCAGCATGATCTTGGGTGGAGAAGATGTTGCAGCTGGACCAGGTGACTTCGGCTCCGAGAGCAGTCAGGGTTTCGATAAGGACAGCAGTCTGGATAGCTATAAAAATCTGTCAGAGCCTCATTCTGCCATAAAGACATAGAAATGACACGTACTCATGTGGAGACAACCCGCAATGCGAGCACCCTTCAGGGGCTGATCAGCAGCATACTTGCGGCGAATGGCCATGAGACCAGGCATCTCAATCTCGGAGAGTTCAATCTCGCGGCGCCCGAAGGCAGCCAGGGACTATGGCAAGGGCAATTGGGTCAGCAAACAATGTGGGATTGTAGAGCCGGGAGGAGCCACGTACGATGTCTGCGACCTTAAACTTGTGGGCGGGGGCAGCCATGGCGAAAGTGTCCGATTGAAGAGGGAAAGATTAATGGAGAAGAAGAAGGATGCAGTAAACTGTGAGGAAGTCAGCCACTTATTCATAGAAATCTGGGTAAAACGGACACTTACAAGTAGGAGTGAGGTGGGAGGGGAGAACAGGAAGGAGGGGAGAAAAGAGGGAGAAGAATCTATCCAAGGGAAAACGACGACAGCGGGGAACGCCGTTGCCCTCTGACTTTGCGGCCCGACTCTGCCTCCGCATCTCCCACGTGATGCACTCAGGGCTCAGCCCGGCTATTACCGGATTGGGTCATGTCAAAGACCACCGCGCTTCAGCACATGGATAGGAGCACAGAGAAGGAAAGACATAAGTAAGCGTTCATTCAAAATTCCCAAGTCTCCAGGGCTATAATATAGACTGCTTCGACAATTCTAAAAACTGCACGCGCAATGCCCCGAGACTAGACTAAACTCCCCGAGAGGAACGCAAAAAAGGGTATAACTGAAAACGCCCGAAAAGCCAAAGATGGCAACGATGAGAATGCCAAAAAGTGACAAAATGAAAAACATAGTGTGGAATATCGTTGTTGAGAGACTAGTCTCGAGCTCATTCGTCTTCATCCACCCAATCGCTAAATGACCACGACTTAACACCGTCATCGACGACCAACTTCAAAGCCTTAAATACAATCTTCTCATACATGACTGGGGCAGCAGCGCGCGCCTTTTGATGCCATGGACCAGTACCTCCTAGTCGGGCATCGGTCCTACCACGCCATAAACCTGCGGTAAAATATGTCAATCAGCATTGTACTGAATACCAGTCAAACTGGCTTTCTGGCTCTCACTTACAAGTCGCTAGATTCTCTCGGTTGCTGTTTTTAGTTCCAAACCAATACTTCAGCAGTCCGCCACTGGCAGTGGCCTCCCGGTGGGAATGTACATCCAACTCATGAAGGCGCTCTGAGTCTGCATCGGGAAGGAGAATGGATCGAAAAACAACCACGAAGAAATGCTGCTTGCTCCATAAATACTGTTCCGCATCGGATAGCTCCTTCAAAAATTCAAAGATGTCCTGCCAATTAAATGACTCCGTATATGAAGCTGTCGCGTAGTCATCGCGAATCGGTTTAAATATGGCCAGAGCCTTTGCAAAAAGCCGATTCGGCGTATCCAATGTTGTTAGATCCAGAATATGACGCAGATCATCGTAGGGAGAAACGATGAGCTTGCTGTCTGACTTGGAAATAGAGCCAGGCCTTTGGTTGAATTGCAATTGGGGTGATGCCGCCGTGTGGAATTCGAGTGCATCGGCGTCCGTAGTTACCAGACTATGATGGAGGAGAGATGGCGAATCCGACTTCTTTCCAACCGACAGAGGCGCCTCTGGAGCTGCCATGGTTGTAACCGAAGGATCCCCTATTTCCAGTGCCATTTGAAATTGAGTCGAGAAAAGGATGATCGAGGCCTGAAGATACCAGCAGAGCACAGCGGCGAACTGGCCAGCTTTATGAAGCAGGTGAAATGAGAGGATCCAGAGAGGCAGACTATGTGGGAAAGTCTTTGTCCCCTTCTTCCCTGGCCCAGATTTATATTCTGCTCACTGTGGTATCAACACTGTGTGGCATTCTGGCGGCAAAAGCACGCAATAGGGACATTCCGTGCAATCGCCGAAACAAAGGCCCGCCGGATTCGAGACAAATGTAATGCACATTTCCCATTTCCCATAGTTTCACGGATGCCACGTCAATAGCCTGGACATAAAAATGATGATGGGATTGTTAGTAGTGGTGGAAAGAGTGGTTAGAAACGAGTCAACTACCTACGGAGACAGGCTTACGTGCTCTTCGCCTTCTGTCGACAATCAGCCCACACAAAGTAAACGGCCAAGAGAAACAAGCTAGAGAAAAAAAGTATGATTTCCTAGAATGTGGCTATCTCACACATTTTGAATTCCCTAAGCAGAGAAATAGCCCACATTGAGACGACGCTACGGTTCAATTAAGCAGAACACTCAGTTGCAGGACATAATTCCACTCAATTCGGCTTAATTAATATCGAGAATGATAGTAAGGGTGCCTTATAAGCTATAACTACCTAGACAACATTGTATCGTCCACCCACCGGAGCTCTTGCATCGCTATCAGCAGCAGCAAGGGTTCCCTCCTTCAACAACCGCATCAGCTCGCGCATGGCATCTGTAACAGCAAGCTCGGTTTCTCCCTCAACAAGAATATACAACTTAGGATTGTCTGACGGTCCAGGCTCCTTGCCTTGTGGGTAGAAGCTTCCTTTGGTCGTGATGGACGTGCCGGTCGCTTCGAGGATTTTGGCGACGTTCGTACGGTTGGTGACGGCCCATCGGGCTTTCTCTGTTGAAGTAATTAGCAAGTTGTCCTCAATGAAAATAACGAAACGTCAGGAAACAGAGCAGAGGATGACTTACGAGGAAAATCGTTGATCTCAAGAGTAGCATGGAAAGCCCCCGCATCAGGTCCACGGTTATCAATGGGCACTCCCGTTCTCATTACGCCAGCGCGGCTCAGACGCGCGTGGATATCTGCAACTGCAGAGCCGACCTTGTCCAGAGGATTCTTGCCAGGGGCCTCCCTCTCCGTCTTGTGCACTGTGATCTTACCGTCAAGATCAATGCCCTTTGGAATACCCGGCGTCGGGGTGGCCGCCTGGACAGAAGATACAGCCTTGGCGAACTTATCCTCCTTTTCGGTAGCTTTCTTTTCATCTTTCTCCTCCTCTTCTTCACCTTCCTCTCCCGTCTTGTACGTGCGTCGTTCGCGCATACGTGCCGTCTCTCGTTCTTGATCCAGGCGCTCCAGACCCTTTCCGCCAAAGCCAGAGGCACTGGCCTTCTCCTTACCAGCCCTGACTTTCTCCAAAAATGAATCTACCATTTTTTGCACAGGTTCTGGCACAGGTTGCCCACTCTGTTTTAACGCCTTGGCGATATCAACGGAATAACGTTCTTGATCTGGGGTTAGGAAAGTCACTGCTGTTCCCGTATTTCCCGCACGTCCAGTTCGACCGGAACGATGCACATAGTCTTCAAGGTGGTTCGGGGCATCGTAGTTTACAACCAGCTTCAGTTGTTTCACATCTAGACCACGTGCAGCAACAGAAGTGGCAATCAAGACCGGGAAGATACCGGCTTTGAAATCTTCAATGGTAGAATCACGATCAATTTGATCCTTGCCTCCGTGTATGGACATGCACGGATAGCCCTTGCGCATCAGCTCGCGAAGAAGGCTGTCTGCAGATTCTTGGCGTTCCACGAAGATCAGCACTCGAGAATCCTCGTTCTTTTCGTCCGAGTACAAGTTTCCCAGCAACTCCAGGAGTCGTACAAATTTCGTATCTTCATTGCGCACTTCTACAACCTGGGTGATCTCCGGTGCGACAACACTTTTACCGCCAACGACTATCTCGATAGGTTTGGTCAAGGTCTTGCGAGCCAGGGCTTCCATGTTACGCGGGAACGTTGCCGAGAAAAGTACGGTTTGGCGATCTGGTCGTATGTTACTCATGATTTTCATAACTTGGGGCTCAAAGCCCATGTCGAACATCCGGTCTGCTTCATCAAGAACAACATAAGTAACCCTCCGCAAGTTGGTGACTCGGCCCGCATTTGCTGCCAGGAGATCAATCATGCGCCCTGGAGTACAGACAACGATTTCAGCGCCACGCTTCAAGTCTGCAATCTGGTCTTTGATTGGAGCGCCGCCGTATGCACAGACAGCACGGAGATTCAGCGCCTTCAAAAACGGCTTACAGTCTTTGTGAATCTGCGTAGCCAATTCGCGGGTAGGTGTCATAATGAGGGCAACTGGGCCCTCCATCGATTCCAACGGCCGTTGGTCTTTAATATGCCGAAACATAGGAATCAAGAAAGCGATGGTCTTTCCCGAGCCCGTCTTCGCAACACCTATTACATCACGGCCGGACATGATCGAAGGAATGGCCTGGGCTTGAATCGAAGTAGTACTCTCATAGCCAAGTTTGCGAATTACATCCAGTGTTTGCACACCAAGACCGCAGTGGGACCACTTCTGGACGGGCTTCGGAACATCGACACCACGCACTTTGATTCCATCGAGTTCTAAACGTAAACTTGCAGCTTCTTCTTCTGACATCTCCGCCAAGTCTATAGGCTCGGAATAGAACTTCTTTCGGAAGGGTTCGTAGTTTACCTTGGCATGATCAACTGCAGGGATATCCTTCTTCTTTCGAGTCTTGTTCGCAATAGCAAGGAAGTCATCCGCGTCACCATCACCAACAGCGGTGACGTCGACATCGTTCTCATCTCCAAAGATCGGCTCCGGCTGTCGTCGCTTTGACTTGGAAAATGTGGCCCCAACACTCTTCTTGGGCGGCTCGGATGCCGCCAGTCCAGACATGAAGGCATCTAAAGGATCGATCTCCTCTTCACCCTGAGGTTCAGTTCCCGTCATCTGGACATCGCCATTCGGTTCATTCGCGTGGGCCCCATTTTGAATGTCACCGTGCAGATGTGAGTTCAAAGTTTGATTCTGAAGGCGCTCTTCTCGCCGTTCTGCGGCGGCACGTGCAGCGGCAGCATTCTCCTCTTCAGTCCCACCATCTTGCATATCAACATCGCCATCATCTTCTTCTCCTTCTGCTGCCACATCCGCTGCACCATTAGCATCTTTGGAATCCTCAAGTGGGGGGGTTGGCAGTTTTTCCAATTTTTTCCGTGTTGATTCCTCTTCACCGAAGCCTAGAGTTCGGGTGGCGGACGACTTCTCGGCATCTGCTATGGGCTTCGCACCTAGCCCAAAACCACCAACGTTGCCTTTCACTTTTAAGGGGGCAGCTAATCATATAATATCGTCAGTAAACTCGGCTCAGTACAAATAAGTCTTGGAAGACATGGATTAGCTTACCAGAAGAAGCACTGGTCGAGGCTGGCGGTTTGTTAGCCTGAATACCAGTATTCGTGGAAGAGAAGGTAGCGGATGTTTTGACCGTGTGTGGAACAGCAACATCCGTCCCTAGAACAGAGGGTGCAGCTGCTGTGGAGGCTGTTGCATTCTTCGCAATTGCCTTCGGGTCAAATTTTCCCGCATAGGATATAGGTGTCGCGCCCTCAATATTTGCGACGGGGGTCTGAGGAGAAACGGCGGCTGGCTTCAATCCAGACTTGCGGTCAATCTCATTTAGTATACTCCGCGCGCCGCCGGTTGCTGCAAGTTCGCGCTGTTTACGTTCCCGTTCGGCAGCTTGTTTCTGTTTCCAAGCTTCGAGCTTAGCAAGTCTTTCCGCTCTCTTCTCTTCTTCGGTCTGAGCCGCTGGAAGAGCTGGTGCAGACGGTTTCGGGCTCTGTAATGACATGTTAATCAGGACACTGCAAAGAAGGGGAGTAATAAATTCAAGACACTTACATCTCGAGCTCGGTTGGTTGAATCTCGGCTTGAGGCACGGCTCCGGCTGTCCTCACGTCTAGACTTGTGCTTCAAGTCAGCAGAATCATCTGTCCGCCTGCGAGCCCGATCGCGGGAATCATCTCGCCTGCTTCGATATTCCCTCTCACGGCTTCTCCGACGATAGCCTCGATCATCATCTCTATCTCTAGACCGACGTCGGTCTCGAGAACGATCTCGCCGGTTTGGTCTGTAGCTCTCTTCGTCACGATAATCGTCGCGTCTGTCTAACGAGCGGTCACGCCTTCGATATGAGTCGCGGTCTCGATCACGTTCACGGTCACGGTATCTCCTCTGGGGCGAAATGTATTAGGCGGGTTCAACAATACTGTGGGGAGCAAAAAGATAATACCAGTGGACTGACTTACCTCCGGACTGCGAGATCTTCGATAACGCCTTCCATCGTCTCTCCTGCTCTTCTCATACCGGTCCTCATCTCTGCGGCTTCGTCTAGATGAAGAATATGTGCTGCCTACAGGTGATGGTGAGCGAGTATCCCCGTGGCGAGCCATTGTTGCAGGCCAACGATGAGTGAGTATTACTGAGACCCTGACAATTCGAGTGCGTAGATAATATGGTAGGATAAATTATTACCCTTCTTCCATTGACACAGGAGATGTAGCAGATAGTACAGTCCGTATACTAGATAGTTTAGTGGCGACGTCGGTCTTTGACACTGCGGCAAGATTGAGTTTCCTGCAACTGAGGTTCTCTCATTTGAAGGTTTGAAGAAGCGCAACGAAGGCAAATATAATCACGTGATCAACTACTATACTGATCACGTGATCAACTACTATACTGATCACGTGAAACGCCTTTCCCTTCTAGGCTACTCCTAAACAAGGCCATGGACACGACGAGTCAAGCCGAAAGCTTCAGTAGCCGGCCTGTTCATTCAAGTGCACAACCTTGCGGTACAGCATTTGGCAGAGCTGTTCCCATCATACGGCATTTGCGCCTACTTCGATCAACGATGCCTCTCAATTTCGTTCGAGGTGGGAGTTCCATCTTCCGACATCTCCAGTCTCGCACCGGCCGCGTTCCCGTTATCACGAGCTATGCCAGAAACGTCTACTTAGTTGCCAACAATCGCTTTGCAAACCTGAGTGCTGGGAACGGTCATTCTCGAAGCATTCTATTTGGCAGTTTAAGAAATTCTTACGCGACCGCCGCTGGCCGTCCGAAAGCCCACACCGGGAAGGCAAAGGCGAAGAAAACCCCCGCCTCAGGCGATGCCAAGAAAGCAAGCAAACCCAGAAAGAAGCGCGAATTGACACCAGAGCAGGAGGAGAAACGAAAGGAGAATGAGCGGAAGGCAGAGATTAGACGCTTGAAGACTCTTGTCCTTGTCCCTCCAAAGAAAGGACCAACCAATGCCTATACCGTGGCTATCCAGGATAAGCTGCCTGAGAAGATACGGACCTACGGAACCCTTTCAGAAGCCTTTAAAGCAGCCTCTCGAGAAGCAAAAGCACTGTCATCATATGAGCAGCAGGTTCGATGCCCTTTGGCTTTCCAAGTGTATCATTCATGCGAAGACTGACTATGACAATCTAGAAATACACTGCTGTTGCGGATGAAAATGCTGCCAAGTACGCAGCCAAGTACGAGGAGTTTATCAAATCGCACACCCCTCTTCAAATTAAAGAGGCCAATGCAGCAAGGCGTAAACTTGCGAAACTCAAGGGCACAAAAGCCCGTATCCTCCATGATGAACGACAGGTGAAGACACCTCGTAATGCCTTTACTTTCTTCTTGACGGAGAAGGGTGCTGTAAAAGAGAAATTCGCCTCTCTGGCAGAAGAATGGAAGAGCGCTTCCGATACGGAGAAAGAGGTACGTCTGAAAGCTTAGCTTGTGCCTTATTTATTATCTCTCGGTGATTCAGTGATTTTCTGACGATTCAACTTTAGAAATACATAAAACTTCAAGAGGAGGACAAGCAGCGTTACATCAGAGAATATAAAGAAGCATACGGTGTAGAACCAGGGCTAGCCAAGCGGGAACATTCCGAGTAGGTAACCGCGCAAAGAACCTTTTAAGGGAAATATATCTTATGGGCCTTCCTGGAGAGGCTGTCTTCTGAATGGATTGCTTTTGCTTACTTGATGTACTGGGACAGGGTTGCGTGACTTCCTTAACCTTTCTTTTGTATGTGAAGAATGGACCTTTTGCAAATTTCGACGGTGTCGGATCATGTATTTTTAGTGTCTCAATGGGTCTATTCCCAATTCTACATACGATGTGATGTGTCTTTGCCCTTTGTTAGTCTCCAGGAATTGGAAAATAGCAACGGAGTCTTTCGGGGCGCATTAAATAAAATATGATACCCCATCACGCTGATGCAGCAGCATTGAACTTGGCAGATTGCAAGAGAAAAAAGTCACCGAGTTTCTTGCTTGTATGAAACCTACTGTAAAATCCCTGTAAGGGACCATTCTAATACAGTGAAAATCACAAATGCACTGCAGTTCATTCAAAATAATTACAGCTTATGCTATCTTCAATTTGCTTATGTTCCAGAAATGCTGATGGCTATCACACATTCTTTTGGCTATCTTAGTTGGGTACTATTGAAGTGAAATAAACAAAAAAAAAAAAAAAAAATATCACACGGCAGGGCTAGAGAGATTGAATGACTTGATGTATTTGAACCATGGAAGAACCATGGAATAGATGGATTAAGCTGTTCTGTGGGGTAAGTGGGTCTTTCTCCACATTCTTGGATGCTTGGTGCTGTACAGGGTACTACTCTTCGGGTTGATTTCCGTGTTGAATGTACAGATCTATTGTTTATCTCTTTATACCAGTCTATATATTTGATATATAGTATCTCTGATCCGAACAAGCATTCTATCCAAGGAACTGCCTTACTACTTCCACGCTGGTTGGTTGTCAGTAGAGCGGCCATTTACTGCTGAAATCGGATTACTTACGTCGCAAACGTGCCTGCAGATACAGGCATCGCCCTCAACAGCGCAGGTCCCAGACCGTAGAAAAGTCCGCGAATGCCACCTTTGACCCAGGTTTGACGGAATGCATCTCTCATGGTGGCGTATTGTTTCTCTTGGCTGAATCCATCGCTCTGCATCTTGCTCTTGATAACGTCTAGCGGGTGGCTTAACAGCCACAGTGTCTCGCCAGCTAGACCACCGCATAGGGCGATCATCCAGTTCGGAAGCTCATTTCGTTTCTTCTGCATCCTCTGCATGGCCTGCTTCACGAGATATTCGTATGTAGCGAACCAAACACCGTATCCGTGGAACTCTCTTAGTAGTGTAACTACTTGTCCCTGGTACAACCCGAAAATCCCAGCGTACCGGATGATTTTTCGAGTACAATCCCAGGGACCTACGTAGATCCGAGCTGCGCCATGAGGCTGCGTCTGAAGCCGGATACGGATGTGTTCCACAGGGCCCGATACGATACTGTTTGTCACTCCTGCCGCGCCACCTGCGAGATAGAATTGGGTTAAAGACAATGTCGGATCAACGCCTGGCTTGGTTTTTTGATTGTAAGATTCGATGAGTTGTCGGAACCCATGGAATGCGCCAAATTGAATGCTGACCTATGTATGCAGGCTGTGAGAAAGAAGGACCTGATCAAAGAAAACAGGAATTATCAGAACTTACGCATGCACCAATTCCTAGCAATGGAACGAGTGATCCCTGTCCAAGATTATGAGCATCACGAGTTCGTTAAAATAGAAGGTACATGCAAAAACATACCTTGTAGAACGCCAGCGGCCCTTCTCGAGCCCATATGTCGCGTGCAGCCAGCAAAGCATTACCCCCACCCTGAGTCTGGAGACGAACCTTGACAAGATCTATGGGGACCCCCGCATTAGAAGGATATAATTCCCGCGAGAAAGGCAAAATATTACATACCGAAGGGCTGTCCTAGACTGGGTATCAGTTGATACAGGTGCATTTCCTCTGTTAACAGGTTTCGTACCGATTAAGACCTGCGCGACTCCACCTGCTGCCCCTGATAAGAGATCTTTGGCATTGTCCTGCAAGCTATCTGATGCAGATGGAGCTAGTGCATCTATTTCGTTGCTGTAGGAAGACATTTTGTGGCCAGGAAGTAAGTATATGTGACGGACAAGTTAGGGTGGTAGTCGGGGGAGGAACTTAACTTCTGTCTCAGGCCCTATTTCCTCTTCTACACCCTGCAGACATGAAACAGGGACTGCAGCGAGAAAGACGAGAGGTCTCTAGATGATAGCAGCATAGCAGTTAGTGCTATCGGATCTGGAACCGAAAGTCACCTCTCGGCTCCACAGCCGAGAGAACTCGTCTATGTAGATAATCTTGCACTATACCAGCTTGGAAGATTTTTCTCTTTTGTAAATTTGGTGTAGAATTAAGTCAGATACTAAACTGCCTCTGCGATCCCTTCTAGGAGTGTGGCTAGCTAGCTACAGTGATAAACATGAAGACTAGGCCTCCCGTATAAACATCATACCTACATCGACCGGGCTGCATGGATGCCGGATCAATGGCCCGAAAGTGCTTGGTCCTTATTAATACAAAGGAATCTTCAGGAGTCCAGAGAATAGTCTTCCTATTTAGGTTAGGAGTGGCCCACTCCATCCAGCAGACATTGCCATCGTTATCCTCTCTACAGCGCCACCTACATGGCTTGCGCATTAGAGTAACTCCAGATATCAGGCATGTCTATGCTTCAGGATTGTTCGAGGCAGCTTGAGGAGAGACCTGTGATATTCAACTGGTGAAGATAAGCATGACAGCTCGTATTTCTCTCGGAATTCTTTTTAATTGGCGTCCTGGATTCTTATGGATTTGTTGGAACGACATATCATATACACTTCCTCGCTGTCATCGATGTCGCCCCACATGCCTTTTATCAAGTTTAGAGGGTGAGCAGCATGCGTCGTCGGCCATGTCCCGAAAAGTAAAACGTTTGAAGATATGCCTATGCCCGCATGGTGTCAATGGCAGATAGCAGAAAGTCAACTGTGATAGGGTCTTCCCCGAACATGATAAGACGATCGATACTTAAAGGAACTCTAGCCGCCGGGTCCTTCTATTGAGGAAGAGAGAGAGAGAGAAGATATATTGTTCTATCACACAGGAGCCCATGGCTGACCAAAAGCTGGAGAAAGGCAGCGGCCAGCAGGAGGTTAACGAGGTGTCGGAGGGCCAAATGAGTACGTTCACGGCAGCAGAAGAGCGAAGACTCCTACAGAAAATAGACTGCGTTATTTTGCCGATGGTGAGTTGATATTTCTAAGATCAAATAAATCCAAGTCGAAAACATTCGCTGACCGTTTTCATATAGATATGTTTTGTCTTTTTCTTCCAGTGTAGGGAATGCCATTTCGAATCTTCCCCCCTCTACTCTGGCTCTTCGAATGAATATCTGCTTATTCCTCGCCGTCCTTTAGATCTGGACAAACAGAGTTTGAGCTATGCTTCGGTATTCGGGCTGATAGAAGACCTCCATCTAACTCAAAGCGAGTACTCGTGGTGCTCGTCCATCTTCTACTTCGGTTTGCATTTTCTCTCCACAGACTTTGGTATATTATCCCCAACTCATATTGTGTATCTGTACACAGGACAGCTGGTTTCTGAGTACCCTTTTATGTACTTGATGAGCAGGCTCCCACTGGCAAAGTTCGTCGGAGCTACCATGTAAGTATTTACACCCCTCCTCCAATCCAACATGGTGAAATGTTGCTTACACGGCCAAGTATCCTTTGGGGAGGAGTCTGCATGTGTCTGGCAGCCCCAAAAAACTTTGCTGGCTTTGCTGCTGTTCGATTCCTTCTCGGTTTCACTGAAGGTGCCGTGTCTCCTGCATTTGTGACTATCACCAGCATCTGGTATAGGAAAAAGGAACATCCTCTGCGTGTCGGGTATGTCTGTATTTATTTTATTCCTGCATAGTTATTACCGCAATCTAATCGATATTTGACAGCGCATGGGTTACAATGAACGGCCTAGCTCAAGTTGTTGGCAGTCTCCTGATGTATGGGGTTGGCAAGAACTCGTCTCTGGCATTGGCACCATGGCGTGTGCTTTTCTTGATTACCGGGGCTCTGACTTCAGCTTGTGGGATTGCCTTTTATATTTTTATGCCTTCCGGTCCTGATGATGCATGGTTCCTCGGTGAAAGAGACAAACAGGTTCTTATTGAGAGAATGGCTCTGGACAGAGAGGGCGGCGATAAAACCAGTTTCTCCTTTCCACAGTTGATGGAGGCTCTTCTGGATGTAAGGGCGTGGTTTGTTTTTACCTTTGGTATTCTTACTACCATGAATTCTCCGGTTCTGACGGTACGTCGTTCATTCTTCTGACCGTGTTGGAGTTATCTCTTAACCCTCAACCCCAGTTCGCCTCGCTCATCATTAAGAACCTCCACTACGACAAATTCCAAACCATGCTCTTCACGGCTCCCTCGGGGGCAGTACAAATCGGCTTTATTTGGATAGGTATAGTGGGATGCTTCTTGCTGCCGAAGAACAGATCCCTTGTAATCTTGCTTTTGTGTATCCCGCCTCTCGTTGGGAACTGTCTGCTTCTCAAACTCCCTTTATCTGCCGGATGGGGAATGATCGTGGCCTCATGGCTGGTAAGTCTTTGTCATGTAATAGCCTATATCCATGGTACATGGGAATAACAAACTGCTCCAGGCATCCTGTATTTCAGACATCATGGCCATTTTGCTCAGTCTTTTCGCCTCCAATGTAAAAGGGAATACAAAACGAGCCATTGTGAACACGTTCTATTTCATCGGATACTGTGTGGGTTGCATTGGAGGACCACAGCTATGGAAGTCTAATACAGCTCCTCGCTTCTTCCAAGGTGTCGAGACGGCTATTATCACCTGGTGTCTTCTTATTCTGGCCGTATGTCTCTACTGGCTTCTGTGTGCGTTTGAGAATAAGCGAAGGGACAAATTGGAGGTGACTGGATCGGTGCGAGTGTATGAAAAGGGCCAAGATGTCACGGACAAGGAAGACTTGCTTTTCAGATACAGTTGTTAGCAGGCAGGCACTTGTGCTTACAGATGCATTGCAACTCCAAGGCATTATGAGAACTTTTGGTTCCTGGTCAGCACATACACTACAACGGACACTGCATGATAAACGGACCTGTACATAATGGAACAGAAGTAGCTGTAGGGTTGTTAATAGGGTTTGACCTAGTAAATGAGTAAAACCACAGCTCCCACTCCAGCATGGAATGACAGCCATGAGCTCAGAAGTAACTGTTGCCTTGAACTATCGTAGTATCTACGTCTACTCAGGACCAAGCGGGACGAGATGTCGAACACGCCCCTGTCGGTGACATGCCGAGCTGATAGATAAGCGACTTCGGAACCCCCGATCAATTCGATAGCATTTATCGTTTTAAAGAGAGAAGGTAAGCATCGGTTTGAGTATGCTGAGCTCTTTTCTGAACCTGTTGCTCGGCTTCTATAGGATTTATCGTGGTCGAAGCTGCGCGCCACGAGAGGCAAATTGCTCTTTATCCTGACCAAAGGACAATACTACGTAGAAGCCATGGATCGATGGTATCTACAATAGCAGAAGCAAGGACGAAACCTCCTACATAGTCCTACCTTTCATATCTGCGGATGGACTGGACGCTCCACGAGATGGAGCAGGATTGTTTGACGGCTGCATGCACCCCAGTGTCGCGCATGCGGCATTTACATTTGATATGCAGACGGACTGGAACTTGGGTCTTGCGGTGTGACCTATTCAAGCTTCCACAACCCGACAATGTCACTGGGTGTGGATTACTCCGACGGGGCTGGATTGTAGCTAATCAGTAATGCGAGTATACACTGTATGCTGCTCTGTAGTATGTTGTGTACTCTGAGCGCTGACGTCGCTAGATCGGTCTGCAACGCACGGCGGGGTTGGCATTAATTAGCGATGGCTGACGGACCGGCGGTGTAGTGCAGACGTGGAGAAGAGCGTTGGGCCGTCGAATGCCGCTGGGCAGTGGGAAAATAGAGTTCATGATGCATCATCGGATTGTGATGTTGATGTCGATGTTGAACAGGATGGTGTTGTTGATGTTGTTGCTGGAGATGATACATTGCAGCAAATGGACAACACGGATGAATGCCCCTGCATGGCCAGGAGTATCCATCCTTTTTCCGTTTAATTTATTAATAAGTACTGTACTCCGTACGGATGATCCATTCAATTGCAACGGGCCTCCCAGCCACCCTGGCGTAAAAGTAGATGACTGGCTGCAGAGATGCATCACTAGCACGCCCGATCTCAGTTTCTCAGGCCTTGAGCAGGATTCCCTGGATTTATCCTGGTTCGTACAGCTGGGATCAAAGGAGAAGCACTGAAAATTTTACTGATGACATCTGAAGAAAAAAAAAATATAATAGTTAAAGAAAAAAATCCATCGCGACATTATAATTCTCACCTCCAACTGACTCTCGTTGCCCCTCGACAACTGCTTCTGGGATTAATTGCCTTGATGGATTTTGTTTAATCAGTACTTGTCTGTGCTGATCGATTCTCCTTTTTTTTTTCTTTTTTTTTTTTTTTAAAAAAAAAGAAGTTATATCTGTTGTGCTTCAAGGGACCTCTGCGACTCGTCACGTTCCACGCGGTGTCACCAATTCCTGCACTCTACCACGCGCGTTGACTTTACAGTGGCTGTTATTTCGATTTCGGTATTCTCCTATTTATCTTCTTTCCTCCTGGGCTACGCGATACATACAGCCTGACTGGTTATGTCCAGTCGGCGACCCCAATCCTCTCCCTATCCAATGCCTCTAAAAGATCGACCCCATCAACAATCGTTCCGTTTTCGCGTCGTTGAGAGCATTCAATATGGAGGTCATGCGCTTCATCAGTTCCGATGGGTTCGCCCGGCTCCTGCATGATCGTTCGGCTTTCGCAAGGACTCTGCATACCCGGGATGATGGATGCGACAAGATTCGGTACCTGTCTGGGAACCGGTATACTACTGCGAAAAGGCAGACCAATTCGTCCTATAATGATGCTCGTGGGATTGGCGACAAAAGAGACGATTTAGGGATCCAAGAGCAGAGATGTGCTGACACGGTACGCGTCACATTCGTCCAGCTCCTAGCTTGTTTGAAGTTATTTCCCTTCGTTTTTCTCTCTTTCGCATTCTCTTCTAGTTTTCTATATCTCGGGTGCGATTAAAGGGTCGCGACGATTAAACCAAACCCGGGTGATGTTTAATCTTCGCTTCAATTCGCATTTTGTTCGACATTCTGCTAACCCCAACCCCAGAGACGAACCATGGATTACTATCTGGGCTTTTGCCCCACAACTCTACATGGAACACCAGTAATTGACGAATTCTTGAATGCTGCAATTTCTCAACTCCCTCCTCCACCATCGTACAGCGAGGCAGTCGACGATCTGCCACCCGAATACCCCCTCCTCCCCCCGTTAGCGCACTCAAAGGATCCGATTGAAGGTCAATTGGCGCCAGCGAAAACCACGAGGAAGACACGGGCCAAATCATCAGTTGCGCTACCCGTGGAGCCAGTGCTTGACATCTCCATAGATCTGGAAACACCCTCCGGAATTAGAGAACACAAAGGCAAGAAGAAGAAGACCAAGGCGACACAACAGGCCCAGAAACAGTCGAATGATTCAGACAACGGCGGTGACAAGCAAGGTCAAGGATCAGACAAAGGCGCAAACGGCGGTAATGCTGGGAATGGGGAGGGCGGTGCCGGAGACGGGAATAATGACGGAGGCGCAGGAGGTGGAGGTGACGATGGTGGAGATGGTGGAGATGGTGGAGATGGCGAGGACTGGGGTGATTGGAATGCCATAGGGAACAAGAAGAAGGACAAGAAGAAAAAGAAGCAGCAGGAAGAAGAGGAAGAGGCTCGCGCAAAGGAAGAGGAGGAGAGACTAGTAAAAGAAAAGGAAGAGGAAGAACAGAAGAAGAAAGCCGCCGAAGAAGCTGAAGCAGTGACAACGAACAACGACCTTAGTTGGGCTGATAATGCCGGAAATAACGACGATGATGCATGGGGTGGGTTTACCGTTACCAGCAAAAAGAAGAAAAAGAAAGCCAAGGTACCTATTCTGGGGCATATAACTTGGGACTCCTTCTGACGCTTGTACAGGGCGGCGCTGACCCAGCTGCAGCGATTACTACAACTGCTGAGACGACTACAAACAATAACAACAGCGCATTTCAGGACGTCAGCTTAGACGACAGTCCTCCCCAGTTGGATCTGAGTTTCAACCCTCCTGAAACAAAAAAGGATACCGGGTCTACTGGCTTTGGTTTTGGCGTCTGGGGCAAGAGTTGGGCCTCAGGTAACAAATGGGGATTCGGTTCCTTCGGCGGCTCCGACGAGGGTGCAAAGAACAATGATGATGCCGCCGCGGACGACAGTAACAATCCTTGGTCAACATCTGGTGCTGGTAAGAAGGATAAAAAGAAAACGAATGGGATTGACCTGGGCGATCTCGGTGCAGATGCGAACGATGATGCCGACACAGTTCCCACTAACGGAACTACGACCGAGAAGAACGACATGGACTGGGCTAGTTTTGCGTCGGTCGGCAAGACAAAGAAAAAGAACAAGAAAAATGCGCTTCTTGCGGACGATCCCCCGAAAGAACCTGAACTCAACGTTGACCCTGGCACGAAGGATGAGATTGCCAATGGGGAAGGACCGAAAGAACCGGAGTCGTCGATGGCGGATGATATTTGGTCGGCCATACCATCTAAGAAGGAGAAGAAGAAAAGGGGCAAACAAGCCCTCGACGAACTCCTCTCGGCTGAACCTGAACCTACACCAAAGCCAGGACCAGAACCGGCACCTGCAGCCGACCCCCCTGCCGATCCTTGGGCTGGACTCTCCAAAAAGGAACTGCGCAAGGCAAAGAAAGCAGCTCAGGCTAAAAACCAAGAGCCCGATCCAGAACCCGATCCAGAACCGGAACCGTCCCCGCCAGCTAAAGAAGAGGTTGCTGAGAAAGTGAAAGAAGAGAACGCCTGGACCGCCGTTAATTTATCAAACGACATCCATGAAGATGGGAAGGTTGCCGATGCCGCTGTCAATGAGAATAATGACGATGCGTCCTTGGGCACTTCTAAAAAGAAGAAGAAAGATTCGTTTCTGTCAGCTGCCGACGACCTTGCTGAGGATCTTACTCCTGCCGACTCTGGTGAGAACGGTTGGCTGAGTAGCTGGCTCCAACCTGGTAAAAAAGGCAAAAAGAACAAAAAGAGCCAGCCTGTCGAGGATACGCCTCCGCCCCCGCCTCCTGAGCCAGAGCCTGAACCTGAACCAGAGCAGGGAGCTGAGGATGAATGGTCTGGTTGGGATGTTCCTAGGAAGGATAAAAAAAAGAAGAAAGCCGTCGACACAGCCCTGCTAGAGGAAGATTTTCCTGCAATACATGATGCAGACGAAAGCAACCATGATCCAGACAGTTCGATGGCTTCACCTAAAGATAAAAAGGGGAAGAAAGACCAACTCGTTGAACCCGAGCCTGAACCTGAACCTCAACCAGAGCCAACCCAGGAGCCTGCAGTAGTGGAACAACCTGCCGAGCCAGAACAAAAGCCGCCGGCTCTACCAGATAATCCCCTCTACAACAACTGGGTTAATCTTTCGTCTAAGGATAGAAAGAAACGGGAGAAGACACTCAAAAAGAAGGGCCTTCCTATACCGGACCGCAACGGAGTGTTACCGACTGAGGCCGCTGTGGAAAGCATCCCTGAAGCAACCGCAGAGCAAACTGAACATACATCGCGACTTATTCCAGGGCGGGAATCTGAACCGGAGGCAGAGGTCGTCCAAGAAGAGCCAGTAGAACCCGCTCCCGAACCTCCAGTTGAACTCGTTACTGAAGAAAATGGCGAATACAATGATGACAGCTGGGGGATTTGGAACCCTTTCAAGGAAAAGAAAAAGACTAAACGGGGCAAGGTCGTAGAGGAACTTGATATCCCATTGCCTCCACCTGCACCAACACCTCCCCCGGCCTTTTATGAACCTCGTCATGCTCCGATGGACGATGTAGATCCAGAGTTGGCATGGGATGCCTTTGGCAACACAGCGAATATAAAAAGCACTAAGAAATCGTCTTCGAAATCAAAATCTTCAAGCAAACAGAAAGATTTCGAAGAGAAAAAACCAGACTCAGTGCCAGAAGAGCCTCCGGCAAAGGCTGCGAGGGGCTTCTGGGCGACTTTCGGAGCGGCTTCGACGGCTAAGCCTAAGACCACGAAGTCGAAGACAGAGGAGAAACCGAAGGCCTCTGCCAACGATATGGAGAACGCACAGACCGATGACATCCTCATTGACGTGGGTGACGACGCCGCCAAAGAGGCAGAGCCACCCGTTCCTCCAGCTGAGGAGGAACCTATTCGAACGAAGTCTAAGACATCCGGAAAGCTCTCGGTGGGCGAACGCATTAGGCCTCTCGAAGAGGCTACAAAGGAAAGAGAAAAAGAAAAAGTACCGAACAAAGCAAAGGAGATCATTTCAGAGGAACCAGCTCCATCAAAGGAGTCAAAGTCGACAAGCAAGAATTCCCTGAAGAAGGAGCCCAGTGCGGAGACTCAGCCTATACCTATTGAAGAGGATAGACCCTCTCGAGACGCGCTACCGGGGAGCTTCCCAGATGCGCTTGATGATATTCTGGAACCAGAACCGGAGTCTCCTCCGAAGCAAGAGCCAGAACCACCTGCTCCTGAACCAGTGAAGTCATCCAAAAAGTCGAAAAAGAGTTCTAAAAAATCCCCATCGACGGCCAAGGTACCGGAACCTATGCCAGAGGCTGAAGCGCCTCCTGAACCCACTCTGGAGCCCGTCGAATCCCTAGAGGACAGTGAGGATGCCTCTAAGGAGGCCACTACTGCTCCTGAGGAAGCGCCACCTTCCGAAGAACTCGAACCTCCTACGCAGCCTGATGAGGCCAAGGATGAAAATGATGCTGGGGCATCTGAGGGAAATCCGCAGGACGAATCACCTCGTGCGGATGCTCCGTCGACACCACCAAAACCTGCGATGCCTGAACCTGAAAAGTCTGTGAAAAAGGAGCGTACTCGCCAGCGCACCCCAGTTCATGCCTCTTGGGGCTTGTTAGGAGCCGCTGTTCCATCGAAAAAGACACTGAAGAAAGAAGTTAAACCAAAAGATGCTGCTGCTGCTACCAAAACAAGAGATTCGGGGCCAAAGGACGGCAAGTCATCTGGCTCTGACAAGGATTCCAGGGAAGCAAGGCCATCAGCACCGGCCCGTGGAATAAGCTTCAACAATTTCATATTTGGTGTGCAGCCACCTCCGAAGACAAAGTCACCCCCAAAAACAGAGGCGCCTGTCACTAAGCCCAAGCCCATCTCGAGGCGTCCGTCGGTTGATGAGGACGAGATCGATACACCTTCTAAACCACCCGGCAAAAAGCCTGCTACGTCTAATAAGGTCCCCATGTTACTCGGCGTGAATGGGGCGAATGGGACGAAGTCGCATTCGCGAAGGAGAACAACTGGTAAGATTTTCTCCTCGGAAATTCTTCTTTTTTCATCTAACGATTTGATCTCAAGGTCCTGTCGATCCTTACGTTATTGACAGCGAGGATGACTTCGCGGCGGATCGCGATGGACCAGAAACCCAGGCTTTCAGAGAAGATGCCAGGGGATCCAGAGACTCCAGACGAAGATCCCGAAGAAAGGTAGGACGATGTGTACCAGTCCCATTGGTTTGCTGCGATCTCTCTGTGATACTGATGGTCCGTGTTCCTTGTCAGTCGAAACCCAAATATTACGACGATGCAGATATACCTCGCCATGTTCCAAGAGCATACTACTCGGGTGCCGATAACTATATAGACATGCCTTTAAGACGACCATCTATCAAGCGATCCAACACCGTACCGAAGCGGCCGGAATCCGGTGGTTTAATGGGCCTTTTTGGGTCTTTCCGAAAGGCCACACGTCCAGAGGTTACAGAGACACGTGGATATTATCATGATGAGGATCGGAGGTACATGACAGACCCTGAACGAGAGGAAGCTCGAGACAGACACAGAAGACGAAGGTCAAGACCGGATCCCGAAGCCGAAGGCTACGTTACGGATGGTGGCCCCGTTGGGGCTTATCAAACGGACGCGGAAGATGAAGAAGCCAGAAGAGCTTCAAGGAGAGCACGGCGTGCTTCTCGACATGTCACTCCCGAGTCAAATCGAGAGGATGAGTTTAGAGATGCTGAAGAAAGACGAAGACAAAGAAGAAGGGAAAGGGCTCTAGCGCAAGAGGAGTATGAACGAGAGGAAAGGCGCCGAGCAGAGAGGAGGGCTCGTCGGGTTGCTCGCGAGGAGCGTCGTGCTAGAGAAGAAGAAGCACGAGAAGCAGCAGCGCGAGCGGAAGCCGTCAGGGAGGCAGAGCGACGCGAGCGCATGCGCAAACGAGAACGAGAACGAGAACGTGAGCGTGAGCGCAGACGAATCAGGGAGGAAGAACAACGTGAGCTCTCCAGACACGCATCGACGAAATCGAGACGACGTTCCGTCCGGGTCGACAGGGACAGGGACAGGTACGAGCGCGACTACATGCCTGATGATTATTATGGCCGTCGCCATTCTCACCGTCCCGGCGATGAACGGGCGAGGTCGCAACGTCGGAGATCGCACGTTCCAGACAACACGGGAGGAGTACCACCCATGGCTGCAGGCCGTGCAGACAAGATCTCATCATGGGTATATTCCCAAGCCGATGATCCCCCGGAACCGCCCCCGGTTGTTGGGACGGTGGTTGATGATCCGCTATCCACAACAACGCCCCACACGCACTCTCTTTCCTCGGACGAGGAAGCCAGACGGCGAATACGCCGTCATGCTCGTCGACGATCCAAGTATCCCGGTATGACGGATGAGGAGATCGAAGAGGTGCGCTCGCGACAGCGTGCAGCGCGCAGAGCGGAACGCGACGGTGTCAAGACCAGCTCTGGAAGCGGAGACTACGAAAGAGAAGAGCGTGGCCGTTCCTCGAGAATATTTGATTTACCACCGGTGGCTAATTGGTTTAAGAAGTTGACTGGATAGGTTTTTTTTTGGTTATTTTCTTTATACTTTGGCGTTTATCATATTCCCATGCTCTACGAGGACTACAGTACATTTGGAAAACAGTACATAGAAACCTTACCCCCTTGGCTGGTACCAGTCAGCCTTAAGGTTAACGACGAAATGATTTGGAGAAGATGCACAAATGATGATGATTCAATGATTCATGAGTTAGATACTCCAATAGTAGACTGACTATTCATAGTGGCATCTTGTACACAGTACATAGCCTGCAGATCCCAGTTCCCCCTTTTGATTCAAGGACAGTGTATACCAATAGATTCAAGATGTTCTCCATAGGACTGAGAACTAAATCACTGCATCTCATAAGAAGGCACTTGAGCCCTCAGGAACCACAGTATGTATGCATGCACGCACTTAGACTACATATAGCAATATCACATCAGCACAATATTCCAAAAACACAGACAAAGACAAAATGTATAGCAAGAGAAGAGAACTCACAAACACAAACCCCCTTCCCAAAATCACAAGTAGCACAGTACCCATAACATTCATTTTGTGCTGTACATGGCTTGCCACATTTATGATGCCAGAAGAGGTGTGGGATGAACTTGCCGATATCCTCCGATATTGGCGTTGCTGTAGGAGGGGGGTCGATGGCTTCTTCGGCTTCAAGGATGTTGGCGTTGATATTTGTTCCCGTCTCTGTCTCTGTGGGGAGGTTTTGGAGGCTGAATACTGTGGAGAGGAAGAGGGTTGTTGAGAGGGTGAGGAGCTTCATCGTGGTTTTTCCTTTTCTCTCTTCTTTGCTTAAGTTAGGGTTGGATTTTGGTTTGCGTGAAGGAACAATAGAGAGAGATATTTATAATATATGGTATACATCTATCATTATTCCAATTCTCTATAAGTTCAGAGTTCCTGTCTATATTGGGAGAGAATCTTTTTTTGGTCTCGTTTCATCTCTCTGAAGCTAGCGGGTTAGTCCGTTCAATGCCCATTGACATGCTTATTCCTATTCAGGTCGCTTAGGGAATGCCAAGGGCATACCATTTCCGCATCTGTAAATTATCCAAGTGTCCTAAATCCCTGTCTCGCCCCGCTCATGCTCGTGGTTCTTTGTGTCTTTCCCGTTCCGTCGGTCCTCCAGGTAGAATCGCATGCCTTCGTACATGGTCAGGTACAGGCTCAGCGAGATGGCCGTCCAGCCAGCTCGAACAGCGCCACCGCGAAAGAGACCTCGCGTGCCTTCTTTGTGATAGATTTCCTTGCCGACAGCCCAGCTGCCCCGGTGTTTCTGTTTCTTTTCCTTTTCATTACGGTTGTCATCGTCTCTCTGCTGCCCGTCGCTAGCTGCCAGCATCATCCTGGTCTTGACGACATCAATCGGAGTCGTAATAGTCGATACAATCGTTCCTGACATCCCTGCTGAAATCCCCGTGAACACAGCCCTCTCCACCAGCGGATTCGTATTCTCCGCATCAGAAACATTCGTGTGCATCGCCTGTGCCCTGCGCTGTCGTCTGCACTCAATAAGCCTCTCCCGTGTTGACTCGAAGATCGGATAAGTCAACCCCGTAAACGGCAGGTTTCGTCCAACTAACGCCGTGTACCCGCTCCACAGCCGCCAGGGTTTCTCGCGGAACTGTGATATAGCTTGGATGGTGGCGTTCCTACCTACACGGTCCTTATTCCTATTATCCTTCATCTTGTTTGCGTGGCCCTTATCTTTGTTGAGGTGCTCTTTGGATTGGACGACCTGCGCATTCTGTTTAATTACCTCTGCTGGCGTGAGCATGAAGCAGGCGACCATCTCAGCAGACGAGGATGCAATACTGTGTATAATCGGCTGAGGCAGCGTGTGAGTAAAAGGGAGCCTATTCTTTTCCGGATGCGGGCATGTTGTGGGAGCGTTGGTAAGTGTGTATTTTATTGCTTCGTATGTGGTGAAGAAGGCTCCTGCTATAATATTTTCACAATCAACCAAAAATCTCATCAGTTCAGATTCAACCATGCATCCCGGAAAGAAGCAAGAACTAGAAATAGAAAGACAGTCCATACAAGAAGGTATCGTCGCAAACACCACACTCCATACTCCTTGATAGACCCCTCGAAACAGCAAATGGCGTTTCACCCTCCCCGTCTTGGAATCCTTGTATATCTGTTCATATTTGGGTGACTGGATGCGTGTCTTGACCGTGTCAAATGGGTAGACCAGGAAGTCAACGAAAACCGCTGCAAAAGCTCCAGCCTGTCATGCACGTTAGCAGAGGTTTGTGTAGTAGCGTAGGTCTCTTGACTAGACATGGCACATCCACGTACAATCCAGATATCAAAGTTACTATTATTCATAGATGAAGCCGATAGAACAGGACTGTAACAGGTATATAGACACTTAAATAAGAGCAAGGACAGGCAGTGCAAGGGACAGCGAGACTTGTCCAGGGCGATTCTTCTCATCCTGACAGATCTTATCTAATCTCGACAAATCTTTACGTCATCGACGCTCTATCATGTGATTCTGTAAACCCTGCCCTAGTTCCGGGTTTCTATTCAGAAGGCATGAGCAACAGGCATCAACAGCCGCCAGCACAAAAAAGTAGAAATCAATAGACAAATTTATTTTCCCTCCCTACGCCGTAAAGGTCATGATATGCATGCAAAGAATCATTTCCCCAAAGACAAGTGCGCTAGTCCGTTCATTTGGCCGTCTCGCCGGGCAACAGGTTGCCCTTCACCGCAAACATCTTACCAGTCGTAGCTGAGACAAAGCTGTCGATCTGGCGTGAGTACTGCTCAACCTGGCGGCTGTTCAACATGCTCTCCAGTCGGCTGGGCTCCTGAGGGAGCTTGAATAGACGCTGCCATTCGTCCTCGGGCAACAGTGGCTGCTTGAGAGCAGCACGGCTGGCATTCTCCTGCTTCCGCTTAGACATCCAGGCATTGATCTTGTTCTGCTCTCTCGCCAGCGAGCGCTGGTAGTACTGGAAGTTGTTGGTCTCGGTGTGGTGAGTCTCGATGCTGTCGAGGAGGAGATCGCAGTTCTTCTCGAGGAACGGATCGATGCTGAGCGACAGGTTGTCCAGGTTGGGGGTAGGAGGGACCGACTTGGTAAGTTGTCCCTTTTCAAGCGCAGCCAAGGACGATGGGATTTCGATGGGAACCGAGATGTTAGGGCTTTGGTATTGATGGATGAACGAGGTGATCAGGTGAGAGTTGTGGATTTCGACGGGAAGTTCGACGAAAATGTCCTGGTATCTCAAGTTTGATTTTTGTAGCCTGTAACACGAGTAAGTAAGAATAGCCGCCTTTTTGAGCTAGAGATATACAAACGTACTCTTCAGTAGTGAACTTGTTCTCCCTGAAAGCAGTCATGAACTTAGGCGAGAGCCGGAAAGCCCTCAAACTGAGACTCCCCTGCGCACTGCGACTAACATCGTGCACAAGTGCAACCGTCCTCTCATTCATTTCCTTCTGATAGAAGAACTGGTTCTCGATGACGTTCAAGTTGATGAAATTGCCCATGTTGGCACTCGTGTACCAACCCACGTTGTTCGCATCGATGTTCACTTCGCGAAGCATCCTGACCATCTCAGCCTGGTAGACAGTGTTCGCCTTGGCGCGAGGAGCGGCGGCGGCAGGGTTCGGGGCGGCTCCGTCAAAATGCGAGTCCGCCGGCACTTCGACCACAGGGAAGGGGAAGCAGTTTGTGATTTCCAGGGTGCCACCGACATCCATGCCGACGATCGAACCGGTCGCTGTTGTCGGGAAGGCCTGAGCTGAGTGCTTGATAATTTTCATGACGACCTAGAATCCAGAAAATGATAATGAGCGTCTGTTCTTTTTTTTTAAGGGAGCAGGAAGAGGTCGCCATACCAAGGCCTCGACCTTGATGGCCGTGAGGGGCACTTCTTTCCTGTTGAGAGATCCGTTAGCAATATGATATGGTAGAAAAATTCTGGAGCAAGAGGAACACCTACTCGGCCATATTGGATGTAATAGCCCCGGTGTCAATGCGCAGAGGATTGGAATCAGGACGTCGAGCTGGTTCTGTGCCGTTGATTATCGCGGTTTGTGTGTCTTTGGCCTTGGTGAACATTTTCCCACCGCCTAGTGCCCGAAGCGGACTAGCGCACCAAGACTGTCGTCCACGGCCCAAATGGGAACTGATCCACGTTCTCTAGATGGCTGTCAGCGCTGTGCTTCAGTTCAACATTCCAACGCTCTCAGCAAGATAATCTAGTCATAATGGCTGACGTTCCTCTGACAAAAGAGATTTTCCACTATGCACAGGAACATGTCCTCCAATCCGTCTCCGTAACGACATGGCCATCTGCCAGCGATGCTGGCTACTGGGTGATGTACATACATCCATAACTCAACTTGATCTTCAAAAAAACACATAAAAGAGAAAGAAAAGAAGGAAAACGTCGCATATAACTAACCCGCGCGAATATGTCCTGTTAAATAGCTACATCCACGGAGGCGCCTGGCGCGACCCAACCGAGACATCCTCCGCCTTTGACCTAGCATCATCCATCCTCCTCGCCAACCCAGAAACAACTCGAACACCCAGTGAAGGCAAAGGGACACTGGCATCCATAAAAGGTCTTGCGTCCATTTCGTACCGGCTCAGTGCACACCCGAACTTCCCCCAAGACCGTACAAGCACACCCGTCAACGAGTTCAGATATGCCAAACATCCCGATCACGTTAGCGACGTGGCAGCGGCTGTGTCGTTCTTGCAGCAGAAGTACAGGTTCAGAGAGAGGTATATACTCGTTGGACATAGTTGTGGGGCAACAATGGCGTTTCAGTGCGTGATGTCTGGTGTGGCTAAGGGACTTGTTGCTGCGGGTCAACCTACAGCTATACTGGGTGTGGCGGGTATATATGATCTTAGCCTATTGAGGGATAAACATAGTCATATTTTGGCGTATCAGGATTTCATTGAGGGTGCGTTTGGGAAGGATGAGATGGGTGTCTGGGATGCTGTGTCGCCGGCTCGTGTGAAGGGAGAGGATGGGGTTGAAACGGGGTGGGAGGGTGGAAGGCTTGCTGTTCTGGCTAGATCTGTGGATGATGAATTGGTGGATTCTAGTCAGGTCGAGGCCATGGGAGAGACGCTGGCGTATTGGGAAAAGGCTGGTTCCCAGGGCAAAAGGAAGGTCGTCGTACTTCCGCTCCACGGTACTCATGATGATGCCTGGAAAAAGGGCGAGGAACTGGCCAGGGCTATCACCGTTGCACTGCGAGAGTTGCAGACAATGGGACTAGGCTGGTCGCCTTGATGGCACGTTACATCTGCCACGAGGTACGGATGGTAATGAACCTGTACATACATGATACATCGCTTTACTTTATTCCACCATGATATCGACTGGGTTCAGAATTGGTGAGGCAAAAAGACCTGCTTTACCATATCATTGCAAACGTGAAAAGATATCCCATTTGGTGGTACCAATGGAACAGATCGGAAGCTTTCAACCCATAAATTAAAATACATTCACACATTAATAGGGAAAAAAAAAAAAAAAAAAGAGAGAAACCCGCCATCTTCCAGCTCGCAAACGCCGAACACTGCGCCGTGATGAATTTCGGATTCGAGGCCCTCCCAAACAGAACAGGGGGAAACAAGGAAAACCGTTTTGGTACGCCGAGTTAATTCGGTGAGATCATAAAACATAAAGAAGAAGAAAAACCATGCAATCTAGCAAGCCATCAGGGCGAAATAATCTCGAAGATCCGCTGATACCTCGCAAACCATTCAGCTCCTAATTGCCTAGGTCCATGCGAGTGGAGGGACCCTCGCCTGCGACTTCAGCCCGAGCTTCGGGCTGCTTAGCAGGGATGCCGTCATCTTCCTCGTCCGTTTCGAATTCATCGTCCTCACCCTCGCTTTCCTCGGCAAACTTCGCTTCAAGGCCAGCCGACTTTAGGCGTTCCTGCATTTCCTCACGGAAGCGATCCTGCCAACGAGCAAGAGCAGCAGCCGCGTGGATGCGGAATCCGAAGACACGAGGCTCGTAACGACGAAGGCTCTTCTCCGGAACGAGGGTAGGATACACCTGGAAGAGAATGTTGTGGAATGAAGTGCCAAAGTAAGCACCGTCAATGGACGAATGGCGAGAAGACTTGGGGTTATAGGTGTCCTCGCACTTGGGGCAGTAGAGCTTGACGGTGTCGACATGAGCAACGTCAGACGGGCCCATGGGAAGGAGTGGATGAGCGTCACAGTAGACACGGGGACATTTTCCAAAATCACCCTTTTTGTACTTCTCGACCTGTGGATACGTGAGTATGGGGAAACTGGATGAATATTTCTTTGTACGGCTTACCATCTTAGCTAGGCCGCGGGTAGTCACGATATATCTAGCGTGAATAAGTCCGTAAAGGTGACGAGCCGATTTCTCAATCTGTTCGCGTAGCTCATCATCCGCATCGAGATCGAAAACGTCGGTGATGAGATCAAGCGCATACTGGTAATAGGGAACTTCGGCATTCAGACCAGTGAGGTTGAAGCGATCGGTAAGATACTCTTCGTCGATTTCGCAGAAATATTCGTTTCCACGAGAGGAGATGAACTGCGTCGAGAATCGTTTAGTCAGTCTAAGCTGCGGGAGAGGGATCTCATAATGTCTTTGGTGACTGAGAGCTTGGAAATAAACCTCCTCGGATGACGAAAGCTCGCTCACGGGAGCACCTGGCCCAGGAGAGGTCTGACTTTCGCTTTCGACCTCAGAGGAAGCATGTGCCTCAGATAACTTGGTCTCTGGTGATGGGGACGCATTCCCTTCAGAGAGCGCGTACGGCTCAAAGGAAGAGTCCCTATCAGAGTCCAGCTTCTCTTCTGCGGAGGAGCTCTCCATGGCACGTAGCAGTAAAAGAAACGAGGGACAGAAGGTACACGGCGTCTGCGTTGTAAAAGAAAGCAAAAGAAAAGAGAGAGGAGAAGGTATCCAGGCTGATAATGGGTGATCCAGGACAGTCACCTCGCTTGCTCTGGCAGACCGCACTCCTTCCTCCAACTGCCATTGCACTTGGGGTTCCAGAGAAGCCACAGCAACTCATTCCACTTTCCCCACAGAAAGGGCAAAGAAATTCGATTTTGGGAAAGATATAGAAAAAAAAAAAAAAGATAACTCAGAACTTACCCAATCTCTCCAGTAACTGGTGTAGTCACTATCGGTCTCGCTGTTGAAGTCCTCCATCATGTCCAAACTTGTTCTATCCTATCTCTTGTCTATCGTCTTCTAGATAACTCCCTTAAAGTTATGCGACAGGACAGTATCCCCAGTCTGTAGCAAATCCCTAGGGAATTGAGTTTAGGCAGAGGAAAAGGCCTCCCACGTAACCCCACCAGGCTACGCGGCCAAAGATGGCTTCTCTAAGAGCACCTTCCTCTGGATTTTAAAGGATAAAAGAAGAGGAAGCAAATATGCAATGGTGAAGAGAGGATGAGCAGGAGATGCCAGATGCTAGGGAGAAAGTGCAACACGCGCACGTAGAGTCCGATGCCATCAGAGGGAGATACTTTTTGGTTAGCGCGGGGTTGGCGGTGAGGGAAAGGCCAGCTATTTTCACACCGCCTTTATTGATGTGAATGGTTTGCATTCTATTGCATTCTACAAAACTGGTATATACTAGGCAGTATGGTCTCTAGATAGCTGGATGAGTTCTATGCTGTGGCCTTTATGTGCTAATCCTGCCAGTATTACAGGCTGATATGCCAAGGCTCTTGTGAAGAACAGCCCTTTTGTATACTTGTCCACTACTTAGTAGTAGTGGTATGACATCAGGGCATCCATATTTGTGTGAGAAACGCTGGATCAAGTAACCCTCATCAAGATACGAAACTCTATGGGTCTATTCTAAAGCCTAACTGGGATAGCCGTAGGCAGATGATTTCATCTGCTAGAGCCACAGGGATAATTATCCAAATGTAAATGTATCTTCATTGAACTAAATACAACATGAGTGGGGTGTCAATCTGTAGCTAGTCAGAGATGAAAAAGAGTATCCATGTAGATGACTCACTGGCATCTGGATCTCTGTCTTATCGCATCGTAAAATCAAATCGCTTCAAAGCTCAATAGTATGTCCCTGTCATGGTTAAGGGGAAGTGGGAAGAAAAATTAAAAAGGCAGCATAAAATTTAACAAAGGAAAGATGGCTGTCAAGCCTGTGTGTCAAGAGAAAGAATAATATCAACGCAAGCGCGCAGCCTCGTCACATTCTGCTAAAAACCTGTACACTCCTTGGGTTCCATCATAGTCGGAATTACTGTCGGGAATGCCAGCACTCGACAGCTCCGGGAAGAAAGCACGATCTCCAAGTTCGCTGATGTTGATACTCGAGTATCCTGACGACAATGTGACCCAAGGGTTGTCCCCAAATAACTCACGGTCGACGAAACTCGGCGCATCAGCGGAGTCGGGAAGACAGCATGACGATTGCTTTGTTTGGTCCTCTGAAGACATCATCGCACGCCAATCCACTTCTTCCGGATTCCGAGGGTGCAATACTTCTTCCAGGGAGAAACATTCCGCCTCGGGTGAAGCCGCGACGCTGGGAGCGAAGGGGAACAGGAGGGCAAGATCCGCACCAATACGGCCTTCGAAGTCCTCATCCTGGGAGATTCGTCCGCGCTCGACTCCGACCTCGTCACACAGTCGTTCAACAGTTTCCGAATCACATCCTGGGAATCGTACTCGGATGGTCGACCTGTCTTGTAGGATGATGGGTAGGTCACCCAGCGTTGCCAGGCGCTTTAGATCGTTGAGAACAGCGGCGAGATCCTTCAGAGCACGGGCGAAGTCGACAGAAAGCAAGTCCATTAGTCCTTCCGAGTTAAGGGTCTTGACTTCACAGGCGTTAGCTGAGGCAGGCTTCAGACCGCCCAAGGGTCCGAAAGCAGTGATGGTCGGCGAGATTTGAAAATCAATAGAGGAGCCGGGCGCCGTCCGAGGAAGCCCCTCCAGCTGACGCTCTGCCTCGCTCTGTAGACGGCTTACGGCCTTGTACCGCTTGTTCCCCGTCTTGGGGTCAATTCCATCGAATCGAACTTTACTCCCGGAGAGGAAAAACGCCCGCATGCCAGCAGAAACATTATTGATGACCTGCGCGGGTGCAGCAGCACCGTGGGAAAAATATCTCGCTCCTCCGATACGTCCGGCGCCAACGGCATAGCCGCCTACGGTTCTGCATAGCGTGCCGCCGGTTAGACAGGGACGCAGTGTCGACGCAAAGGGGGCGCGGTTCGTAAGACGGCTGATGTTGGAAGCAACGCGCGATGGGGCTCTGTGGACAGCGCGATCACGGTACAATCCAGACCGGAATGTTTGGACGAAGGTGCGTGTAGAGAAATGACGGCTGCGAGTCTGTCGAATGGCCGCGGCTCGACTGATGGGCTGGCGTGGCAAGAGTCGTGCATATGCTGGCTGAAGTGAGAACGAGACCTTTGAGCCTGGCACTGCTAGTTTCACTTTCGCGGTCTTAATGGCTTTCGCACAGGCAAACCTGGGGGAAATGGCACGGTCAGGGACAACTGTACGGGATGACGTCCTTAAGCAATTCAAGGGGAGGGGCTTACTTGGCAGCTCGCCACAGCTTAGGCAGGAGTAGATGCCCCTGGGAAGGCGCCATGCTGATGACTTTGGGAGCGGGAAGCCGATTTGGCCTTCAATGGATAAGAAGATGATGAAGGAGAGTTGAAGATGACAATATATCTGGATGCCTGATGCCGGGGGACACGAACGACTCCGCACTTCCGTGGCGGTGCCTTTCCTCGATGTTCCGAGCGGCGAAATGCTGACAGTTCAGAGAAGCCAATAACCGACCCCGAAGGTTACCGTAGGGGTCAGTTAGTTAGATTACTCCGGTTAATGGACTCGAATGAGATGGAGCCTTCGTGAAGGACGGGATCATTCTACATCTATCTGTATTCCCATTGCTTTTATGTACATACAGTATGCTCAAAGAAAATCAGTCATTCTACTCGTCGTCCCCGAAGAAGACCCGGATCGGCAGCCAGCTGTCGCCGCAGACCTTGAAGCGGTCCTTGAGATCATCCAGCTCCTTGATCTCGTCTTCCGTCAACTCCCACCCATCCAACTCGAAGTTGCCATCGATACGTGCCGGGTTGACCGACTTGGGGATGACACTGCGGCCCTTCTGAATACCCCACAGGAGCAGGACTTGTTGGGGAGTCTTGCCCTTCTTCTCAGCCAGCTTCAGAAGGATCGGGTCCTTGTAGAGAGGGGAGTTGGTGGATCCCAGGCAGGAGTAGCTCGTAGAGTGGATGCCCTTCGATGTGTTGTATGCGACCAGCTTGGGAGAGGGGTTGTTCGGATGGAGCTCGATCTGGTTGACAGCGGGAACGATCTTGCAGCTGGGGTCGTTGAGAAGTTTCTCGAGGTTCTTGATTCCGAAGTTGGAAACGCCAATGTTCTTCACCTTGCCAGTGGCCGGGAGCTTTTGCATCTCTTGCCTATGACCAGTGTCAGTAATCTCCAGCCAAATCATATTCGAACCGCGCGGGGATGGCGAGCAGTGCGCACCATGTCTTGATGAAATCCCAGTCAGGGAGGTGTTTAGTGAGGTCATTGGGGTCGGTGGAGGAGGGCCAGTGCATCAGATACAGGTCGACATAGTCAACTCCCAGGCTCTTGAGGGAGCTATCGATGCCTTCAGCAACCCGGTGGTGCCAGGTGTTGTCGAGCTTGGTGGTGATCCAGATCTCACTGCGAGGAACACCAGATTCCTTGATGCCTTCACCAACTTCGGCTTCATTGCCATATGCGAGAGCACTAAGTGGGTTATCTGTCAATTAAACCCGTCCCCTGGAGGGGGAAATCCCAAAGCGTCCCTGGTTACTCACGTATCGATATGGCGATAGCCCTTGAGAAGAGCGTGCTTCACAGCCTCACGGACCTCGTTTGGCTTGGGATGCCATGTACCCAAACCAAGGGCGGGGATCTTGTCGCCAGTGTTGAGGGTAAAGACTTTCCTGCATGGTAGGCGTTCATTTAGCGTGATTCCTTTCCTCGAGTTCCAGTTTATTGCACATGTACGTACTTGGTGTGCTCCAGGTTCGACATCTTGGGCGAGCTTCGAGAGAAATGACGGGCGATGGCGGACACTCTCTCAATGGGGGACATGGGAAATGTCTACTGGGATTACTTCTGACTCGAAGAGAGAGAATTGGTAGCAGACAAGCGCCATCTTTATAGCTCCCTTCTTATCTCCTGCGACTAACACATCAGTCTAAATTACTCTCTTGAATCCCGGAGATATTCCGGACGATAAGGGCAGGTCCATCCGCGACGGTGTTCGCAGACGCGGGGCAGTGGACTCCATGGTGAGCCACGGTGTAGAATTTAGTGCTGGAAGGCAAGGCTGTGGTAATAATAATGATAGGTGCTCGCTAAAGGTTGCCTTGCATCCTTCACTTTCGCATCATCGAGGGGTAGCTCTCCTGCGGGGCATTCGCAGATGCTATTATTTAACTTGGTAACCGACCCCTACGGTAACCGTCGGGGTCGCGCATACATACAGTCTCGCAGTTAGGTAACAAAAATGTCAATTCAAAGGTCCAAATGTAACCATGTACTTCTCGTCCCTGCGATGTCACTATGGGTGCTAACCGACCCCTACGGTAACCTTCGGGGTCGCGCGTATTGCGCGACCCTGACAACCACCCGAGCACCCCAGCCACCCGAGCACCAATTTTAGACCCCCCTTCTAGCTTCAATATCTCAACGAATTCTATAGTATTTAACTTCAAAATATATTTAAACTAAAGCTCTACTCTTCAGCTTGGGCCCTAGCATGTCGTTGCCTTCGTATAATAATTCCTCGTCGAATGCATACATCCAGCAGCTCTGGTAGGCAACGCTTATACTTAGTCCTCCACCTCTTTATTTCAGCCTGCTCATTAATATTCGCAGTATTTCGATTTATAGCTTCAAGCTCTGAGCTTGATACTATGCCTCCCTTGCGAATCCTGCGCCTAGAGGCCTGTGATCGAGCTGCGCGGTCCCTAGCAGCTTTAATATACCGGTCAAGCTCAGCTTCGATAGCAGCTGAATATGATGCTAGCATACTACCACCACGAATAAGCAGCTCTAGGCCCTCATTAAATTGATCCTTGTTGATATCATGAATCTCCCATATCCTATCACCAATCTCCCTAAATCGTTCAGCTTTTTTTTGGCGTACTGCCCCAGGAATCAACATCATTGGTATTGGTGGATGAAGAGGATGGACGATGTGGTTGAGGCATTTGATTGAGTACAATTGATGGATTGAATGGTATGATGCCAGTCTTTTGGAATCCATGCCGAATAGTACGCTTTTTGAATGTCTTCTTGCGAATTGCCCCTAAGGCATGAAGGAATTCAACCTTAGTAAATTTACTGCATCCTGAGTAGGTTGCATCTGCAACTGCTTCTGAATGCCAGTGCTTATATGCATGAAAAACACCAACATCCAATGGCTGCAAGAAATGACTTGTATGTGGAGGTAAGAAGAAGGTGATGATATTGGTCTTCTCACAGAATTCAACAAATTCATGTGTTAGATGGGAGCCGTATCCATCACATATAAGAAGGGTATATTGACCCTTCCTATATCTTTTAGTATGCCGATAGAATGACTGAATCCATTGGAAGGCAATTGTATCAGTCATATAACCATTTTCTGATACTCCAATTGAATAGTCTTGTTGAATATCAGCAGCTTCAAACCAATTTGTAAGTATACAGCTACCACTCATGAGAATAAGTGGTGGGCAGGTCCAGCCATCTGCATTGACTGCTTCAACCACAGTAACATATTCACGGTTTGAATTCATCCCAATATGAGGCTTATTAATATTGAAGTCCCTGGTAATAATCCATTGATCACGACCAACACCGATATTGAAGCCAGTCTCATCAAAATTGTAGATATCCTCCTTTAATATCCCATGGTTCTGGATGGTCTGATGGAGCTTCTGAAACCACTCCTGAATAACCTCACGATCCTCTGCACGCTTGCGGTCAAGCTCTATAGCTCTAGAGCGACGTCTTTTATATTCAGGATGCCTTCCTAGCCATCGGTTTAACCATTTCTCGCTGACAGTAGGTGGAGGGGTGTCTAGGCTGGTATGGGTTGATTTCAGAATAGAATTGGCACTTGATTGGATCATTTGTGCAAGTGGCTTTATATTTAATTGCTCTAGAGTATCAACATAGTGACACAGAGCCTTTTCTTGCTCTTCTGATAATCTGGTGTTGGTTGGTGGTCGTTCACATAGATTGGACCGTCCCTTCCACCTTGCGGAGAGGGTTTGCCGTTTAACTCCATATTCACGTGCAGTTTTGGCGATATTTGGGGGATTTTGTGTGCTTAACGCGTCAATAGCTTTGAGCATTCGATCTTCATAATTTTTATTGAATTTGGGCATGGTGGTGGTGGTTGAATTATATGATAAAGTTGATGGGTTGGAATTCTACGAAGTTCTAAAATCGGTGCTCGGGTGGCTGGGGTGCTCGGGTGGTTGTCAGGGTCGCGCAATACGCGCGACCCCGAAGGTTACCGTAGGGGTCGGTTAGCGCATATCAATATTAAATATGCTACTGTCATGTATAATATTAAGAATGAATTTGCCGATAGGATAACGTAATCGGTAAGCGAACCGGCCACGTAAACGAACCGGCCACATCTCCCAAAAATAACTCTATATATTGATTTCAAATCCCAATTTCAAATCCACATACAAAATGTATACAAAAATCTAACTAGCATTACGATTAGGACATCTGTTAATTCGATGCCCAATAACTCCACAACCACTACACTGAAATTGGCGTCGTACAATTGTTTGAGAGGCTGGGAGCTCCGGCTCGGCCGGAGCAGTAGTAACAGCTTGAGATGCTTCAACCTGACCTTGTACGAGCGCTTGAGCTTCTTCTCTAGTAATCCCTTGCTCAGTAGATATCTGTTTCTTAGATCTTTGGCGTTTTTGCTTCTCTTTTTCATTCGCAGCTCGAAAATCATGGCTTTCTTTCCGTACGAGTAACAGATCATTCATTGTGATTTCATAGGCTTTTGACATCCGCGTAATTACTTGATCAATCACTTGATTTGGATTTCCTGTACATTCACTTATACGTCTCTTTAATGTAGTTGACTGGCGTAGGAATTGACGTATATTTTGAGGTGTCTGTAAACAGGATGATTGTGTATTGCTGGATCGACTTGGAGGGGGGGTTGGCGTTTTCAATTGAATATTAAGTTGTTGAATAACTCGATCCGGATTGAAAGGCACTAATCCAGTGGCTGTGAAGCTATTCCGGATAGTTTGAGCTTTATAGGCCATCGTACGAGCCTGTGGAAATGCTGTTAAAAAGTCAATTTTGTCAATATGGTTGAAGCCAAGCCTCATTCGCTGCTCAACAAGCTGCCCATAATGCCGTTTTAAAACAGCAAAACAGCCAACATCAAGAGGCTGTACGAGATGTGAAGAATGAGCTGGCATACAGACTGGAATAATACTATTCTCAGTACATGTACGGTCAAATTCTGGTGTTAAATGGCTTCCATGGCCATCAAGAATCAACATAGCATATGTTCCCAATGTATGAGCACGAACAAGAGGAATAAAATGGGTTTTAAGCCATTCTAATCCTATTTGATCTGTAGTCCAGCCATTTTCACTAATATTGATTCTCCAATCATCTGGGAGCTCATCAAACCAGCCTAATCGTACATTTTTTTGGCTTTGAAGATAATGTACGAAGGCAGGGCCCATCCAGTTGAATTTGTTGCTTCAATTGCAGTCACCCATTCTCGATTTCCAGGTTGTAAAAGCTTTGGCCGAGTGTATCGATCGCTTCCAGTAATAACCTTTGCAGTTGCGCAGAGTCCCATAGCAAAGCCAGTCTCATCAAAATTGTAGATATCTTCTGGTAGGATTCCGTACGTAGATATAGTAGTTTGTACGCGGTCAAAATATTCTTGAATAATCTTCGGATCTTCACATTTCGCACGTTCATAATTGTATCTTCGTGAGAACTTCGAACTGATCTCTGGGCGACGTTTAACAAGATTATATACCCATTTTTCTCCAACCCGTTGATCTCCAGATTGTGAGAGAAGATAATTGGCCATTTCTCGTACGAGAGAGTGCCGGGGGGTAATCCACGTCGATCTAAATCGAGCACCCATTTGACAAGCGATTCCTCCTCAAATTGAGCTAATTTATGGTTGTTGGCGCGTATTAGCTGTCGATATTGTCTTCCCTTTAATCGATCCTGAAGAGTTGTACGAGGGATTGTATAGATTCGTGCAGCTTCACGAATACTGCGAATTTTTCCATTTTTCAAGTCGGAAATAGCTAATTCAATCTTTCCCTCTATTTGGGCTATTTGTAATGGATCTTTTTTGCGAATTTGTGGCATTTTGACGCGTTGAAATATAGTAAATCAATATATAGAGTTATTTTTGGGAGATGTGGCCGGTTCGTTTACGTGGCCGGTTCGCTTACCGATTACGTTATTGCCGCTGTGTTGATTATATAATCTGCAGGTACAGCTGCAGTCCAGCCAATGCAATGCAGCAGTGAACACGCCGCCTTATTCTACCCGTTTTATCTGAAAACGGAAGTTCGATACGTCCGCCCAGAGTCAATGCTCCCTCACTACGGAATATTACTATTATCTTAGCTATTATCCGCCATTGTTTGCCGCCAGCTTGAGCTTGCTCATCACTGTCTCTTCCAGGCACTAAGCAGCAGCTGTGGATCCTCGCACTGTCCCACCATGTCTTCCGGTTTCGTGTCTGCTGGGACCAACGAAGAGCCCATAGAACGCGACAATGAATGGCACAGAGTACAGCAGGAACTGGAGGAAGAACGAAGACAGAAAGCTGAATATGGTCGTCAAGAGGGTGGGAAGAGTCTGTATGAGGTCCTGCAGCAGAATAAGAGTAAGTAACGCCAAGTTTCCGTTGGCCACCACAACAAGAGATTTCCCGTCGTGTTTCAATTAGAATCATGCATGACGTCTCCTAACGAATGCTACTCAGCCCATATCAGGTAATCCAAGGCGTTGAGCTAACATGTTAGGTTGATCTTTGTTGTACGGAGTAGTGGCAAAACAGGAAGCCTTTGAAGAGAAAATCCGATTAAAGAACCAATTTCGCGCCCTGGATGAGGATGAGGTCGAGTTTCTTGATTCTCTTCTGGAGTCGACCCGCGCCCAGGAGGCTACTATCAAGAAGGAAACCGCCGAACAGCTTGAGGTTTTCCGTCGACAACGAGAACAGGCTGAAAGAGCAGCGTTAGAAGGGACAACAGCCGAGAACGGACCGTCTGCGGAGGAGGAGGATTGGAAAATCCCTGCACGCAAGAGGCGCCGTGAGAAGAATAAAGAACTCCTTCTTCCAGGCAAGAAACGCAAGTCTTCTGCTGGGGAAAGCCTCGGCGGCAATTCATCTCAGAAGCTACAGGAGGCTAGTCCTAGTACAAAGGCTCCTGGCGGTAGCGACAAGGTCGAGGTAACCCCTCGCTCTCTTCCATCAGAAGCAGTAAATGTTCAAAAACAACCGGATACTACCGTCGCTGAGGCCGCTGCAGGTGCTGGCAAGAAAGACTACGTGTATAAAGCCACTCCACAGACAAAGCCCGCAGCAAAGCCCCCATCCTTGTCTCTCGGGCTAGCTGGCTACAGTTCAGATTCAGAGTAACCATTGTCTCGCTTCGTTTTCACTTGAGCTATTAAAGTAGCCGAATGGCTTTAATTACAGCTGGCTTGCATGGTACGTCATAAAAGTTCACGGAATTCATAACTCGTTACAAGGGCATAGGTAGCTCTCTAGTCTCAGACAAACCAGAATTCCAGCTCCACTGGCTTAATAAAAGCCAATATCCTTAACCATATTATTCTCATCCAAGTTGACGTTCAGTCTGCCATTCAAGGTTTCTGTAAGAGCTATTCCGAGAGTAGAACGGGGGAAAGGGAAATCGAGGACCAGAGCCAGACATACCGGTCTTCTATAAAGTCCATAGTAATTACCTGTCCAGGCTTGACGACTCGACAGCCCTTGGGGAGATCCTTCCGGGTGAAGGACTGTATATAATACACGGACGCATGGGTCAACTTTTGAAAGCGCTAGACCACATACAAATGCCAATAGCGAGGAGAGGGGGAGAGGGCAGACTTACATTTACGTCTGTTGCTGCTTCTTCAGACTCTATGAATCTCTTGCCCTTAAGCTTGTCGAGCCATTCGGACCTCTTGTTAACGGGAAAGTTGACTCCTGGGACGACAAGAGGCATGGTTGTTAGCGATCACGGTAATGGACTCGGCGATACGACGACTGGTCTTGGACCTTGTAGGTGTATAACGAGATGCTTGTGTGAAATCTTGAGTGAAATGCTGATTATAAACTGGGCTTTCATAAGGAATTATATAACTATCATGTATCAGCCGCAGGCAGCCATAAATAATGATGTCATTTGTTTAACACTCGGTTTTCGACGGTGATTCTCTTCTCCTACACAACACTGGCATCTATTGATGTTTCTGATAATATTCATGGCATAGTCCTTCCATCAGATACCCATCCTCGCATTCTCCATCTTGACGCTTGGTAATAGTAGCATCATGACCATGCCCCTTGCATGGCGCTTTCCACGTCTGCGCAATTCAACCGCTCCCAGGAAGGAGAAGGAGATGTCTACTTCCTGGGAAGCCTCCATCTGGCCGGATTAAGGAATTCTGAGAAGCTTCTCTTCATCTCCTCGGGTCTTTGCTGATCTCTGGTGTTTAGAAGTCTTATGCCTCCCTGCTTGATCCTACACTGGACAGGGTTGTTGACATCCAAATCCACTACTAATTCTGTTTTCGAACCCATCGAGTATTCCTCATTCAATGCAAGGCCTCTTCGTTCTCCTCATAGGGATATTGTCCGTCGTAGCGGCGTCTCCAAAGTTCCCCTCAACGCCAATTCAAAATCCTTCAGCGCTGTCGCCGTCATCTTCCTCAGGCATATGGAAAAGAGGCGGGTTGTCCGCAATACAGAGCTACCTTATCACAGCACAATTGAGCCTGGTGGAAAGAGGGGGAAATGTGTATGATGCTCTCACTGGCTTATTGCTGGACAAGCGACTTGGACCAGAGAATCACGATGAAGTTCAGAAGAAAGAAGATCATAATATCGATGGCGGCCACCACGGCGCGAGCCAGACAAGCGATGCCACGGAAATAAGCCATGAAACGGACAGTATGACCATGATCACTGGCCAGGTAACTTCAACAAATTCCTCAACCTTTGCCGAAGCAAGCTCCAATTCCAGTACCTCCGGTGTCCCAGCGGCTACTTCGACTAGCCCTGCTTCCACGGACGACGAGACAGATGTACCACATTTACCACATTGGAGTTATGAGAAGAGTTCCATTGCCGCAGCTTCCTTCCTAATAGTTGTTTTCGCTGCCGCAATGACTTTTCTTGCGACTGTTTATTTCAGAAAGATACGGAGACACTGCATTCGTCGCAGACGGAAGCGGCGGGAGGATTCTTCTGCTATTCCTCTGGTGGATAAAGGAGCACTATCATCAGATAGAGAAGCTGGAACATTTACCGGGGTGTACCCGCCACCTGTCTCATTTGTCGCTGAAAACTCGGATGATGGAAATTTAGCGACTCTAGAGTACCAAGGAGATGATGTTGTCCCCTTCGAGGGAACCTTCGAGGGAATTGGGAAAGTGGAAATTGAGACACGCATTTCGGCTGATGAAAGCAATGCCACCGAGACGAACATGGCTGTCTCAGAGCAAAGAACTGCTCCTGAAAGGAATGATTTTCACCGTGCATCAATCGATTTGGGAAGTGCTCATACGTTCGCTCAGCACCATGCCGACCAGGTCGGGGAGAGTCAGCCCAGCATAGGCAGGTCATCAGATGCAGCCGAGTTTCCAGCGCTTGGTCTGTTAGAATGGGTAAATTCGGCTTTCCCAAAGACTAATTAATATCTGGATTCCTTTCTTCTTGTGGGAATAATGGTCGGATCATCCTTAAGGAAAAGGCATCCATGGAATGGATCATGTTAACATTGTTACTAGGCAGCATCTCTGTAGATGATCAGAGGGAGACTAAGGGTAATCATATGAGAATCATGTTTACTCTACTCTGCTCATTGAGATGGCATTAGATAATATATAATACAAGCAAAGAAAAAGGAGAAAAATAAATACCGGATCACCGTGCTCAACGGCCTTGACGCGGTCCCAATCAGTTCCATTCAGTTTCAGATCTCACACTCCTCCAACACCGTTCAAGTCTTTTCCCCCGCTCCCTTTCTCTGACTAATGTCTCCTTCACAAAATTCCGAATAGCTTCCCTGCCCGTCTTCTCTCTCCACGTCGTCCAGCCCGCAAGTTCACCGACGACGACATCTTTATTCCATGTGATTTCACGAGCGAGACGGGAAGACTGGATTTCCGAGTCGTGAATCTTCTGCTCGAGCTCCCGTACAGACTTCTGCCGGGATTCTTCCAGGCCGGGGAAAGTAAGGTTGAACTTCCGGGGCAAGGAGGAGGACAGAAGGGAAGACCGGTGCCGAGAGAGGTTCCTATTCGTTGAGCTCAGACTGGATATAAGAGTTGTAGGTCTTGAGAGGGAGGTGAGGACGGCAGAAGTTGTGCTATCGATGGATGACAAGGACCCGATGAATTGCAGGAGAGGGGAGGAATCTGATGAGGAGGCTGAGAGGCAAGCGGCGTAGCGATTGAGGGCGTTTATGTGGGATTTCGGGAGGGCACTGACAGTTACGGAGTCCTGGAAGGTCGAGAAGACAGAGGCGCAGAGACTTACGGCTTCTGCTACGTCTGCAGTGGCGTTTTGCAGGGCATGGCCTCGTCGGATAAGCGAGCGGGTGCTAGCGTGAGCAGGACGAACCATGTCCTGGGCGTGGGAGATAAATTGTTCAATGTCCCGCATTCCCTCTGGAGTAATAGGTTCATATTCATCTGCAATGGACTCCGAGAGAGATATGGCCTTTCGTTGAGATCTATCCGCTAACATATCGGGTTGCAGCTCCGGTACGAGGAAGAACTCCCACAGCATCTCATGCGTGGCAAATGTAGGGTGTGTAAGTAGGATCTTGAGAAACCGGTCTAGTTTTTCTTGCATGTTGTGAAGCACGGAACGTGATGGTTTGGAGTGGATCTGGAATGGGTTGCGGAAATCGGAGAGAGATGGCATGTACGACGCTGGATGTTCGATGGAGAGCCATTTGGCCAGGTTCTCGAAATCAGACAGGGTGCGACGGCATGTCGTGACTGTGTACGTTGTCCGCCCAGATCTGGATGAGGCAGAGTCGGAAGTCAGACTGGGTGCACCCGATTTAAGGACAAAGCGCACCGTAGCGTCCTCGACGAAGAAGGATCGCACGACGGTTGTGATGCGACCGGATGGGTCGCTATATACCGATTGGGGTGTGGAAAGAAGGATCAGGTCATCAATGCGGTTTCGAACTTCATCGTCTTTCGCCAGCTCGACAGCCGTTAAACCGCGGGCCTCTTTGAGATGGACGTCAACTCTTGGATCCATAAACAGCAGCCGTACTAGATCCACACGTCCATATTTGCTCGCCATCATCAATGGTGTGAATCTTTTGTCGTTTGTTGCATTTGGATCGCAATCGCACTCTCGTAGAATCTGAACTGTGATTTCAGGTTCACTGACAATATGCAACAGTGTGTTGCCCTTAGAGTCCACATGGTCCTCAAGCCGAAGAGGTTTACCATCCCCCTGAGCCTCCTGAGCCGTCGTCAAGGCTTCTTTTAGCATCGCTTTGTAGTCAGGATGGTCGTACGATCTGCAGAGGGCAAAGAGTGGTGTTTGTCCGTGCTTGTCCCGTTGCCGCCAGGGCAGTAATCTCCCGAGTCTAGACATAAGAGACGGCATGCTGAAAAGATAATGGCCAACTGTGCGTCCGTGGATGTCCGACTTTGTCAGATACGAGGCAATCGTGGTCTCATCGGCTGTGTTCAAGAGGAGGTCAAGAAGGATATCCACTATCTCCGTGTGAGTGAGCTGGACCGCAGCACTAAGGAGCGTTGTCCCGTCCATATTGGTGTCCTCAAGGATGTCCTCTAACGAGTAATATTCTTCCAAGCTCAAAAGATACCGTAAAGCCTGTGGCTGACGACTCTCAACCGCCATCATGGGAATGGAGTCGCCTGCAGGATCTTGTGTCTTTGCCAACGTCTCAAGAGAGCTATCTCCCTCAATTGCACTTGTCGTTGATCCAATCGTAGTAGTCCGTGAAAGAATTGAGACACCCGATGAAACGGCTGACGATTCTGATAGGCTGCGGACATTCATAGACACCTTCTTCTTTGCAGGGCGGCCAACATCTTTAGGAGAATCAGTGTCCCACGTCTGAAAGGGAAATACGTGCGCCAGTCGTGGTGTCCCAGGCGGAGATTCAATCGCCGACTCGTCATTCACGTCCACTGGCATACGGTATAAGGATGAAAACCTGCACGAGGGCCCATCTTGCCGTTCATTGTCTGTGTTGAAGAAAACAGATTTCCCAGGTAGCTCGAAAGGAGCATCTTCTGACGAATCTTGATCAAGATGAGGTTCTAGAATTGCCTTAATTCCAGAAACTTGACCCAATTTCGTAGCGGTCCACAAGCGCTTGTTACGGGAACTAGCTTTTCTAAGACCTGCCGAGTCCGTCACTAAGTAGGTGAGGACTGCTTCGAAGGTGCTCAGGGCGTAGCCCATTTCGCCACTATCAACATCGTCGATGTAAATAAAATGCTGCATATACAGGAGTCTGGCCTGCAGGTGTCTGATCTGAGATCTGATGACCACAATCAAAAGTAATGAGACTAGAATATCGGCGTTAATAGTCACAGTGTCGAACCGCTTCTCGGATGCCAGCATATCGCCTTGATTGTAATTTCCAGGGGAAGAAATCACTTTCACAGTCTCGAGCAGTGTATTCAACATGTCCTGGGGACAACGGGCCTCCGACATTTTTCTGAATTCATCTACTCCTTTTCCTAGTCGCTGCAGTAATTCTCTTTTGCCATCATGCCCGCCTTCAACCACGATTCCAACTTGTGAGACGTCAACATTTTCCATGTGACGAATTCTGGAGTCCAACTCTGCATCTTCCTCTTGGCGAAAACTGCACAGACGAGGAAAGAGAAGTGATGAGTGCACTTGTTCAGCAACGTAGCGCTCAATAAGTCGCTCAACCAAAGGCCCCGTAAGATCTGTCGACGCACCAAGAAGGGAAAGCTGCTGTTTATCTACTAAGCGAAAAAGATCAATCGCGGCCGTAACGGCGGTCTCGAGGCTACGGCGCATCAAATCTTCGTCATCTTCAAAATATTCCTCGGAGTTGAATGGCAGTCGGCCGTTTTCTTGGGGAGACTGACTGTCCACTGAAGCCTTGTCGTCCGTTGTGTATTCGCTATGAGGGGTTTCATTTTCATTCTCCACAAACAGGGATGGAGAAAACGAGGGTGGAGGAGGTAATGGTTTTCCCAGCTCTTTACCAAATTCCCGGAACAACCTCTCCAACCCGGGCTGCATTTGCTTCGCAATCATCGGGAAGTTGGATAATAGTTCACCGAAAGTTCTGATTTCCTTTTTAGGTGGCGACAAGATCTGCTCTCCAGTTCTCTCGATGGCATCCTTCCTCGACATGGTTCCGGGGATCATAGCGGGAACGATCTTTGCGGGCTCGAACGATCCGATAAGGGGTCGGGAGATATAGTAGATGAGCCATGACTGAGATTCATGGCCTGAGGAATAATAGAGGACATCTGACAGAAGTTGGGTTTGGCTTAGGGATTTGAAGCCTAGACACGCTGTTCAGCGGATGTAAAGATGCGAGTCGAGCGTGCTCTCGTCCCCACCTTTATTGCTGTAGACCGAGTTCTCCTTAATTATCACGGTTCTTCCATTCACAGTAGTCAACTGTTTTGCCTTTCCCCTGCTATCACGGACATTTGTCTCGTCTTTTCCAGCGGATCCGGTTGAGGGCGGAATACGCAAGACATGGCTTCCAAGAAATTCTTCAGAAGTAACCAAATCAGAATAGTGGAGGTTCGTTTCTCGATCGCGGGACCAGATTAGGGATTCAGTGGTAGGGACCAGTAGAACCTGAAGGTACAGGGTCAGTAAATACTTGCTGGAATGGCCCAGATCGCAACGTACATGATTCTCGATCGGTATGCATTGCCCTGGAACGGTGCTTCGAAAGAAGGCACGGAGGAATGGATTTAGAGGGTGCATCCAAACGGTTCTGGACGGCCCAGAAAAAAGATCAGACAATCATCAAGCCGTCCGTGCCAGTTAGTCTCTTAAGGAACCCTGCGCTGCTCAGTCGTCGCAGGGATGGAGACACTGCGGCGCATGCGATCGCCCACGGGGTAGGAAGAACTCAACGATCCAAGATGCCAGCGACTCAAAACTCGAAAACACACAGAGGTTGATGATGATATACTGAAAAACTGGGAGAGAAAAATGCGACAAAATGGATGAAGAAATAGAGTTAGAAGCACCAACTCTGGACAACTTCTGTCAGTTGGAGATGGAGTCTGGAGCTCCCTCGACCCGCTATTCCCGTTCGGGCAATTCTGCCATCATTTACTTTGTATCGAGGCGATTTCGGGTTTGAGAGTACAACCACGTCAAGATTAAATAAAGAGTGAGAAGAAGCTCAGATTATTTGTATCTACAGTAATTGGTACACATATTGCCAGTAAAAGGGCCGGATTGAAAAGAGGAAAGGCTTAGCGAAAATATCCTGTATACATATGTGACCTGAACACTAGTGTACAACAATGGAGAACAAGACCCGGAACAGTTCCCCTCCATATAGCAATCCTATTTAAGTCCAAGGTAATTTTTGAAATAGATGGCTGCATCGAACAACTTTCTGTCTGCGGGTTAACCTTGCACAGCCTTGGGGAACCCAGCACCGTAGCGGCGGCAAGTGAGCCATCATCCCCCGCCAAAGCAAAGCCCTCGTCGCAATAAACACCATGAACTCGAATATTAATGGGTGTAAGAGGCTAAATCAACCCAGTCTGCGGACCTTCCTGCTTCTGGTACCACCGAATTTGATTCTTGTCGAGTCTGTCACTCTGCAGACTAAGCCCCGGATATTCTTCCCCTCATTGCCCAATAGCACCTTGGTAAAAGCCTCACGCCCAGGTCCAAACCCACGGTACACAAGTTCCAACCGTTGAATGTCCAAGAGCCAACCCTTCTCTTGAATCTGTGCAAACACGTGCGATGCCAATTGGTATGCCGGGTCGTAGCCAGACCGACCACCTTTGCGGAAACCCAGACGTCCACAGCCCATCGACAACATGGGGTTTCCATTTGGTCGCGTGAGGGTCAAAAGGGTGTTATGTTTGTGTGAGTAGACATGGAGATGGTGTGGCGGACCCTTGTCCGAGTAAGGGCTCCTAATCATCTCCGCTTCCAGACTCTCGGCCATTCGAAAGTAATCTCGGCTCACAGACGGCGACCTTGGCTTTTCCTCCTGCATCGTCTTGGTCACCTCAGAGAGGGGTGATGAAGCCTCCTTTGCGGTTTGGCGGGGGTTCGTGCTGAGAAGTTCCTTCTCCATCTCACGAGTCGTAGAGCGGACATTTTTGGATGAGGAGAGCCGTCGTGTGGCTTGAAAAGATGGAATTCGAAAGTAGAATTGCCGGGAAGCGGATGGTAGGAATGTCCTCGCTGCTGAGTTCAAAAACTGAGGGTTCATCTTTGCTGCGGGCGTCCGGAGGAGCGCCAGCTCAGGCCAAAGAGTAAGTAGTCAATGACGATGGCGCAATGGGGAATTCAGTTTGACAAGGACATGGAAAATGATTCAGAGAAGGACCTGTTATCCGATGTAAGAAAAGAAAGCGATGGGGGAAGACAGCAAAAAGTCCCGGAGAAGTAGAAGCTTTCATGGAGCCGACGCCCGGAGTTTTGCGGTCTTGGCGCTTTTTCTCTTTTTCTACTTGAACTCTGCCGGTTTCTTTAACACCACCACAGCTGTCGCCGCTGCTCCTACTCTCGGGTAGGCTTGCTTTTTGCCTCGTTAGCTCTTTTTTATTTCTTCATATTTACTGTCTTCCTATATTTTTTTTTGCTGGTCTCCGTCTTTCAGCTTATGCTTTGAACATGATCTCGGCAACTAGAGTCGTTCCGCCTGCCACCGTGCGGACAGCAGTCTTGCAGTCACATATGCCCCGGGCAGTGACTGGATATAGCGGCGCTGCTGTGCATCGGCAGCTTGTTGCTCAGAACTTTTCATTCTCGACTTCGTACGCGTCAGCACTCACAACCCCAGCGAACCGCAAGACCACATTTCTTCAACCTGTGAATCTCCCCGTGTCTCAACTCACCTCCCCATGGACGGCCCTTCCTGTGGCCAGGTCATTCCATGCAGCCGCATCGCGATATCAACAACAGCAAACGGGAAAGGAGAGTGGCAAAGAAGAGAGTCACAAGGAAGAGTCCAAGGACGAGGGAAAGAGAGAGGCTCCCCCACCGCCGCCACCCCATGGAGATAAGACTCCATGGCAGGTTTTTAGAGACACCCTTCAAGCGGAATTTAAAGCATCAAAGGAGTGGAATGAATCGACGAAAGCCCTTGCTTCGTCAGCGCATCAGTTCACTGAAAACGAGTCTATTAAACGGGCCCGTGCTGCCTATGAAGCTGCCTCTGGTGCTGCAAGCTCGGGAACATCTTCTGCGTTTAAGACAACCGGTAAAGCTATCGGAAAAGGTGCTGCGTGGACATGGAATACCCCAGTTGTTAAGGGTGTCCGCAAAGGACTGGTTGCCACCGGAAGTGGTATTGAGAAGATAACACGACCCGTGAGGGAGACAGAGGCATACAAGACGGCTGTGGGCGGTGTGAAGAATGCAATTGATGATGGCAGCAGCTCCCGTTACGGCGGATGGCTTGAAAAGGAAGAGAGGCGGAAACAAAGGCAGCTCCGAGAACAGATGGAGGCGCAGTCAGGGCGCTCGAACAAGGTGGAACAAATGGTTGAGGACCCAAAGTAAGCATCTTCTTCCGAGCACTTGGTGCCATCTTTTGCCTTTGTCAAAACTAATTCCTTGCTTTTTTTCTAGTGCGGGAACCAACCTTACCCTCCACAAAGATTCCGCATGGAAGGAGTCGTGGCGTGAATTCCGTGACTCAAACCCAATGATGCAGAAGCTTTTCACGTTGAAGGAGACCTACAACGAATCAGAGAACCCTCTTATTAGTACAGCACGCAGTATTTCGGACCGAGTCGCTGGGTTCTTCGCTGAAAATGAAACTGCCAGGGTTATTAAAAAAATCAAGGAAATGGACCCGAACTTCCAAATGGAATCTTTCTTGCGAGAAATGCGCGAATATATGCTACCTGAAGTGCTCGACGCATATGTAAAAGGAGACATTGAGACACTGAAACTGTGGCTATCAGACGCTCAGTTCCATGTCTACGAGGCTCTTTCCAAGCAGTATACCACCGCCGGTCTGAAGTCAGATGGCCGCATTCTGGACATCCGCGGTGTTGATGTTTCCCACGCCCGCATGCTCGAACCAGGTGACATTCCAGTGTTTGTTGTCACCTGCCGCACACAAGAGGTCCACGTATACAGAAATGTGAAGACAAACGAGCTCGCAGCTGGTATGGAGGACAAGGTTCAATTAGTTACATATGCTATTGGTCTTACCAGGATCCCTGAAGATGTCAACAACCCAGAGACCAGAGGATGGAGATTGATCGAGCTGCAGAAAGCTGCTCGGGATTACATCTAAAGCCAGAAAGACAGGTCTTTCCAGGTAACTCACATTGCTGCTCCCTCCCGCGCCAAATTTGTACGACCTGTCCTATCTAGCAGTGGTCCTTTTGTTTCCTGGATCTCATTCTAACTTCACTTCTCGATTGTCTTATCTTTCGACTGTACTATATCAGTTGTTTCATGTTAGAACAGGCGGAACGGGTTCATCTTGTTATGTCTTTTATAGTGACGTTGAAATTTGTGTCACTGGCTAATCGGATACCTGTCTTTTTTTGTGTGTGTGTATTTCATCCTCGGTTCGCCCTCCCATGGTTGCTTGTGGTCAGTCTGCTATTCCATGGCGAAAATGTCTTACAAAAAGAACTAAGTCCTCCCAATATAGAAAGGGACTTTTTTGTCAACGGTTGTATTTGGATTGGTCCTATTGATCTTTGGCCGCCTCGCGTTGTCCGGCGTCTTGAACGGTGTATATGGTTTTCTTCTTGTTGCCTTTTCAGATTCTCTAGCACAAAATTCTCCAATCTCCCCTCATCACTGATTGACTGGCATCTGAGCGCATATCCAGCTTTTTTTTACCTATAATTATACTATTTTAGGTTTAAACCTCATGTCGGTCGGTTAAAAGGGGTTCACTGAATCGCGTCCCTGAAATTTCAGTAGTGAGTCAACCTCCTTTCAAAGATTCAAGGCACAAGATTCCACTAGTCTTCTCTCTCGTGGTTGTGCTCTATCAAACGCAATGGATGATGATGCATCAGTGCACACTGCAATGCCACTGGACAATAGTGGCCGCGGCCCACTCCAAGTTCCTGGTTTCCAAGGCATCCCTGTTCATTATGAGCTCAATTCCGAGGACTGCTTTGCTCACGGTGAGCGGAAGTGGCGGCAGGCTCCTGCCGTGACGGCTCGTGAGCTTGCCATGGTGGTGATGAACAAACTGGTGGATAAGCCCGAGTGGTATGTTGACATTTTCAACGACCAGGTTGTGGCCAAGTGGCGAGAAGAGGCCTTTGAAATGATATCACTTATGAGTGAAAAGGCGTGGAGCTGGATTTGGATGAGCTGGATAATAGCTGTCTACTTCCGCGAGAAACAATATGTTTGTGTGCTAGACACTGGCTCTTGTGTTTGTAAATCCGAGACGCTTGCTCTGCAATCGCTTGCCGCTTCATTCAGATCTACAGCTACACCCATACTCGACCAACAACAGAATAAGGATTGGCAGCTTGGATCTGACAACCAGGTGTTAAAACCCTGTCGATCTGTCATCATTCCCTTTGGTTTATGGGAGAAGCCTAGTTTTGGCAGACGGGGCCAAGTTGACCTGCAAGCCATGTTTAGCTCCAACAGAGATGCTATAGTCGTGCCGAAACATTTCGGTAGACGTATTGACTCACTGGAAATCTAGAGGCATATTGACCAAAATCGGATTTAAGCATGGGGTTTCTGTCGATCTCTAATTACCAGTGCCTTCCCTGCGATGTGGAAGTTCTCAAGGACAGCGGTACAGAAGTGCATCTCACCTCGTACATTAATAACTTGCATCCTCATAAACAATTCCACTAAAATATTGAGAAACTCATCTCCCTGTCAATCAAACTGTGGAATGATTGTCTGGTTCAAGGGCAGCGCGGTGTGAGCGATAATTGGAATCAAGGACACCCAGCTGTCCCATACCACTGCGAATCATCACATACGGTATTGAGTGGGAGAATGAACTTTCCCATGGGGCTTAGTTTTTAATGTCCCCCATAGATGGAGGAAAAGGATGTACCGCGAAGTGCAAGAAGTATTACAGAGCAGCACAAGAGCAAACTGACGAGGGCAAGGAAAAGCAACTCTGGGCCGCAGCAACGACTGGAAAGTTTACGCGATGTTGCAGATAAGGAAAACATGGAAATGCCTCGACCGGACTCGGACTTATGGCGAAGGGCTAAGGGATATTTTGAACTGCCGGAGAATGGATCAACCGGCCCAGTTGCGACCCTAGAAGACTGGATGGGCGGCCCCTTCAGGACAGTGGTCCCAGGCTATAAGCCCTATAAGACCAATCTACAGGATACATTCCGGAAGCAGGGTTTGCAAGCCATTGTCAAGATCGATAGCATTCGAGCTCACACCAGATAGCCCAACCTATTCCAGCGGTAGCTGGCAGCTCCTAGGCCAGTTGAATGAGCACATCGTGGCCGTGGCAGTGTTCCCATAGAACGTTCAAAAACGTAACGGAACCCCGGATTTCTTTCCTCTATGCACGACTGCTTATACAGACAGATATGCAGGGGAACGGTTTACTGGGAGAGTACTGATATACGGAACAGACCGGTACATCGATATGGCAAATCTAGTGGACAGAAATCGACGCGCTTGCGGCAATCCTTGGATTCCCGGGTCTACGCCTCAGGGACTACTACGGGACGTCCGGGCTTTCCAGGGCACAGGCTCTATCGCTACATCGCAGAGCCACTTGATCGCTTTCCCAACCGCCATGGAGCACCGCATCGAGGCGCTCGAGCTGGCTGATCTAGTATCCCCGGGCGTTATCGTGCAGTGAAGTTGTACTTGTCGACCCACACTACTGTGTATGTTCAACGCGCAACGTGCCGCCGCAGCAGCATTACTGGTGGAACAAAAATACACATATAGTCACCTTTTATATAACTCCATACCTTCTCATGGATATAAAGTGGCTTCTTGAATTCGAGGTTTCTTTCTTTATCCAAGTGTACTAGGATCCAGCTTGTTATCATTGTGATTCTGTTGGGTACCAAGATTATTATAAGAAAACGAGGAAGAGGAAACAAACGGTCACCTATTGTAAATTGGAAGACGCATTGCTAGATTTTCAGGAAAAAAATTTTTTGATCCTCAAAGACAACCTGACTGATTCTTATCACCTTCCTTGCCCACCAGCGCCGCCACCCATTAGATTCCGAGCCCTATTGATCACAACATCATTAGCTCTCTTAAGCATAAAAATGGGGGAATTTTAGTGTGAACGTTGATACTCACATCTCAGCAATATTGGGATCGTTCATCAAGGCAGACATATCAGGCATACCGCCACCTCTGCCGAAGCTGTCGGCCATCTGTCTCAGTTGCGGATTGTTCATGATGTTGTTCATCATGTCAGGGTTGCTCATTAAGTTCCGAGCCACATTTGCGAACATGGGGTTATTCATAATGGAACCGAGGTCGGGCATGCCACCCCCTCCAGCACCTCCTTGACCACCGCCCAGTATGTTCGCTAAGGAAGACAAGTCCGGCAGTCCACCAGGGCCGCCAGCACCGCGGGGAGCTTCAGCAGGGGCTCCAGACTCAGCCAACTTTGCCTTGGACGTCTCGAGACCTCTCTTCATCGCGTCACTACCACCGCTACCCTCTGCCTCAATACCATTTTCGTAAGCTTCCACTGCTCCCTTGTAGTCTCCCAAGTCGAACCTAGCAAGACCCAAACGGCTCCATGCCTTGGAGTACTTGGGGTCCACACGGACGGCAAGCTCGGCATCTTCGGCTGCCTTGCTGTGTTGCCCAGATGCCGAGTAGGCAGCGGCTCGGTTGGAAAGGTAGATGGGGTTTTCGGGAGCAATCGACAAGGCTTGGGTATAGAGTTCGATGGCGGTTGGGTATTCCTTGCGACCCATAGCGGCATTTCCGGAGGACTTGAGCTTATCGGACTCGGGAGTGGGAGCGCCAGGTTTACGCTCGGGTTCTGCTGTTTTCTTTTCCTGCGGTGCTTCAGCAGGAGCAGACGCTGTCGAGCCTGCAGACTTGCCCCGCAGTTTCTCGTACACGCTGTAAATGCTGGCCAGAGACTGTCCGCCAACAGCATCCTTCACGGCAGTTTCGTCGTTCGGGTCGACCTTGAAGGTATCTGCAATACAGGACTGGGCAATTTCGATAGACTCCGCATCATCAGCTGTCAGGGTGCCATCTTTTAAGCTGGCGCCCAGGAAGTCAATGATGGCCAGAGCTAGGCGCTTTTTGGATTCTGTGGGGGCCTAGAGAAGAGATGAGCAGATGTCAGTCAGGGAATAACGCTGGATCCTGGGCGCGGATGCAATTCTCACCATGATAGCGACTGCAGACGGATAGAGTGAAAAGGAGGTGTCTGAAGTGTGAAGCAGGCAGAGATCCTCGGGGGATCCTTGGTATGCCACCTAACAGAATAATAAACCCTATGCGGGGAGTCCAGATGCTTCTACGCATGTGACTTGCCCCGTGCTTCGCCAAGCTGCATCTCTCTGTCTCTCTTCTCTCTTCTCCATCCCTGCTCTCTTCAAGTCGAATCACTATGGTCGGTGTCTCTGGGATCGCTACTGTCCCGCTTCCGACGGCCTAGCTACTTTGCGTGTCCGAAGATGACTCGACGTGAGCTCCCTACCCAGCTCTCTGTGACCATCGTACCCGTGTCGAGCCATGTACTGGCCCAATGGAGTCCCCCGGGTCTATGCGGTCAATGGCCCTGGAATTCCCCTCGCCTCGTCCGATGAAGATACCGAAACCGACTATGAGGGTTCTCAAGAACAACGGAACTTGGTAAATGACGACCACGACTGCGAGCGGCCGCCCAGCAAGGAAAATGGACAGTGGGCACAGGAGCCCATCAGTGGCCTCTGTGCCTCAAGAAGCGGGCATATGTTCGCAACCATGACCGAGTCTTCCATAGCGATCTGGCAAACTAGAGTATGTCGCCTTGACCCGGATCAAGTGCAATTATTGACCTGATTGCTAGCCCACCGCAGTTGTGGCTGCCATTGCTCGATCCGCATCCTCTTTGAAGACCTATGGATCCAATACGGCTCTCCTCATACACCCAGACTCAACAATCCTTGCTGTCCAATCATCCAACGGGTATCTCCTCACATACACGATCTCCTCTGATCCTACGAGTCGTGTCTACCAACACCATTTTGACCCGTCTTTGCCTCGCCGTCAGCAGCTCGCCCGTTTCTCGATCGGGGAGGACACCACAGGAATCCGGGACGTCACCATCCAGTTTAGAATGGCTATCAAGATTGAATCTGGTATTGTCAAGGCCCTTGCTCTTGACAACGAGCTTATTGTCGCTACTGTGAAACCGGCTGCTATTCAGTGCATCCGCTGGACACCTGATGCGAGCGGAACGCAAACTACATCGGAACTCCTAAGTCGCATCCTAGGAGTGTCGAGGAAGATGTCCGTTGTGGATATGGTCCACGATCGTGCGATGAATCTTCTGATATGGATCACAAGCAGTGGACACGCATATGCAGTGCAACGAGTTTCGGAGAGGGCACGTGATGAAGAAACCACCAAAAAGCTTTTTCATGGCTATTGTTTTCATGAACCAAAGGATGATTCCCAGAAGGCAGTGAAGGCCGCGGTAAATGCGCGGTTTTCGCTACTGACTGTGTGCTGTGCCCAGGGAGATATTCTGGTGTATACAGCAAAGGACTACGTTGGAAATATCCCGCTCTCGCATAAGCTCCAGCTCCCCGCGTCCATGGTCACTACTGGCCAATTGACGTTCATGAGTTATTCTCCAGACGGTTATTGTCTATTCTCCGGTTATGATAACGGCTGGACGACTTGGAGTGTCTTTGGTAAGCCGGGAGGGAATAGCTTCTCGGCCGATCCCTCTCTTACCGCGGCTAATGCTGAAGATTGGCTGACGGGAGTCTCAAGCGGCTGCTGGATAGGCGGGGGCTCTGATATTATACTTTCAAAGCAGAATGACCGTCGCTTGTGGGTATTAGAGACTGCGCGCAGTGCCTTGACAGGCTGTTTCTCATCGGCGAATCTTGCGAGAGGCTTGTTACAAACTGACACAGAGATTATTCTGTATCGCGGGCACGATTTACCGGACCTTATTACCATCTCAGGCAAGGATTCTTTGTGGCATCATGCCCAGTATCCCCCATCGTACCTACATGCACAGTGGCCTATCCGGTCTTCCATTGTCTCTCAAGATGGGAGATACGTTGCCATTGCAGGTAGACGAGGACTTGCACACTACAGCGTTAATAGCGGACGATGGAAGGAATTTGATGATCCAAAAATGGAAGACTCGTTTGCCGTGCGTGGGGGCATGTGTTGGTACGGACATATTTTGATTGCTGCGGTTGAAAGCAATGGTTCATACGAGGTAATCCCTTTGATGTCTTTCTTTTTTTTTCTTTTCTTTTCTTTTTCTATTGAGGTTATTAGGAAGCTAACTTTGCACAAGCTACGTTTGTACTCGCGGGAATCACCTCTGAGTAATCATTCCATCATGCATATCGAATACCTTCCCTCGCCTGTAGTCTTCATAGGACCCTCTGGTGAAGATTCTCTTCTCGTCTACACCTATGATAACGTACTGTATCATTATATCATAAACTCGATGCAGCCGAGAGTGACGCTTGTTCCAGTGGGCCAGATAGCTTTTAACGGCATCGTAAGGGCTCCTACCAGAGTTCGGGCCATAAGTTGGGTTTTGCCTGAGGATCAGCTGAGTAAGTGGGTCATTCTACAATACGCAATGTCTGTCTCTGACAACAAACAGGGAGTGGGGACCCTTCCCAAGACGTGAAAGTAGCGTCGGTCCTTCTTTTAGTTGATGGGAATTTGGTTCTGTTGCAGCCGTCTGTCTCCGATACTGGAGAATTGAAATATGATATGCGGATAGTTTCACATGATGTCGAGTATTATATTCTGATGCGTGACCAACTGTCTTTCAATTTTTCGCCCCCTGCCGATGAATCCCTCCCGCCGAGTCCCCCAGCTGAGGTGGCACTTGGCCTGTCACATAATAATCCGTCGTTGAGAGATTCTCTTTGGATATTCTGCGGGAAGGATCTCCTAGTTTGGAGCGATGTGCACGACGTGCTGCGTGGGGAGGAAACCCCAGATCCACTTCAGATCCCTTTAGATTTCTACCCTCTCTCAGTGCTCCTAAATAAGGGGATTGCTCTCGGGGTTGAGTCGGAGATGATACAGCGACGAGACGTCACCTTTACTACTCTGAAGTTCGCTATTCGGGTACGAAATGGCCCTCTAGGTTCTCTGGAGAGATGCTAATGCGAATTGCAGACTCATTTATTTCTTCCATACTTCCTACGACACAATCTTGAACATCTTGACATGCCGGCAGCCCTCTCACTCTGTCACCATTACTCAAATCTTTCATACTTCCCACATGCTCTTGAGGTTTTGTTGCACCACGTCCTTGATGACGAGGTCGAGAACGAAAGCAGGGACAACAAATTGAATATCCCGTCGGAAGAACGTAAGCCGTTGCTTCCGTCCGTGATATCTTTTCTGCAGGCCACGCTTCCAGGCGACGTGTATCTTGACACCATCGTTCAGTGCACACGAAAGACCGAACTCCGTTCGTGGCGCACTCTTTTCAGCTATTTACCTCCGCCCAAGGAACTCTTTGAGCAAGCGTTGAGATTCAATTCTCTGAAAACAGCTGTCGGCTACCTTCTTGTCTTGCAGGCATTTGATGAAGAGGAAGGCCACGACGCTCGAATGGAGAGCTACGTAGTTCGCTTGTTTACGCTGGCGTCTCGAAAAGGGGATTGGGAGCTCTGCGCAGAATTAGCGAGGTTCCTCATTGCCCTGGATACATCGGGTGATATGTTGCGACGGACTGTTTCCCGAATGGGGTTGAAGAATGGAGGGATTCCCCCGGCTGCGGTCAACTCTCACGACTCAGGGTCCGATAACACCAATGGCTTAGGGCTCACTGTCCCGAGCCGAACTGGGTCAGGATCCTGGTCATCTTTGTCTCCAACTTCAAGCCGTGTAGATCGCGATGATGCGTCAGCCAGCAGTGGTGGAAATGAAGAAGACAGCGTGAATAGTGGTAGGTTCAGTGATTGTACTTCTATCTCACCAGGTGGATAGTTGCTGCAGATATTGTCTAGGCATGTATATGTATATATAACCAGGCGTCTTTGTGTGTTCTTCAGGGATAATCCTATTGTGTACAATGAATGGTTGGTTCTATCAGCGTGACTGCAGTCGACTCAACGGCAACTCAATGGATAAACAGGGTAGAAAAGCTACTTGAAGTAGTTATTTTAATGTCTCTTCTGTACCTAGCATTTTTAATATTTACTTGGCATGAGTTTGCATGGTAGATGAATATGAATAATTATCACATTGAGCCCAGGAGAATATCAGCACGTGTAATGCAAGCCCTAGCCCTTCCCCGCGTCGACCGAAAGAAGCCAAAGGCGCAGTTCTTTGGAGCGTCTCAAGAAGCTCCGAGCTGCTCTCAACCATCGTTATATCTCTGAAGCTTCCAGTGCCACCAGTTTCTGTTGAGCTCTCTGATTCCCGACAAGGGGACGTCAAGTCACAATGTTCAAGAAAGAGTCAGTATAATCCATTTCAAATGATTCTGTCCCATTGAAATCCGCCTATCGGAGATGGACGCCCCGCGCATTGCTTGCTTGCTATACGGAATGGGACGGGGATACCATTTAGAATGGGAATAATAATACTTGAAAATCAATAAGGCGATTAGAGGCAAATACATTCGTCTATTGAAGAATGTGTCTGATTGAAATATTCCATCTGAACTCAACTAACACCATCCTGTGACAGCATCCCACCATCAGGCAAATCAAAAGTCAAATCCTCCGTCCAACGGACCCTCCGCCAGAAATTCGTCGAGACATATCCCGGTTTCGAGCCGTATATCGATGAGATACTTCCAAAGAAGTCACAGTTGGATGTTGTGAAGCTGTTTGTCTCCTACCCCTTATGTTCCAGGTCCTACGTATCTACTCAATATCACAAAGAAACAAAGAAAATACTAATACATTATAATAAAAAAAGACCAGATAAATCAACCCTCTACACCGTCGACTCCCAACCTCTCTTCGTCCAACCATCCAACCCCGCCATCCCAGTCCCTCTAATCCCGCACTTGAAGCTCGTTCACGCCTTCCCCTCTGCACTGCCTACCGTCCAGATCGACAGGGGTGCTATCCGGTTCGTTCTCTCCGGTGCGGCGCTGATGGCGCCCGGTCTCACCTCTCCCGGTGGGTGGTTGCCAGATGCAGAGCATAAATTGGAGAAGGACCAGCTGGTCGCTGTTAAGGCGGAGGGGAAGGAGGAGGTTTGTTTAGTAGGGGTTTTGAAGATGGACACGGAAGAGATTAAAAGTAAGGCTAAGGGGGTGGTGATCGATGAAGGACATTATTTGGGGGATGGGTTGTGGAAGATGAGGGTTTCGGATTAATTAAGATTGTTGTTTTGTTGCTTTTTTCTCCTTTGGATGGTTTATATGAAAATGAGATGAAATCTTTATGATAGATTATGGTGGACATATATTATTCTCAATTGCAAGCATCCGTTGGAAATGCGAGCTTACATTGAACGATACGCTTGATTCGTAATATAGAACATATCTCATTCATTGACCACATTACTTTCGACATCAATAACGACTACCTTCAAAGACATTACACTAGTGCTTTGCAGCTCCTGCCTTGATCAACAGAATATCACCGTCTTCTACCACGTAGTCCTTGCCCTTGGTCATAACTTTCCCTGCAGCCTTGACGGCTGATTCGTCCCCGTATTCTTTGAGGGTGTTGTAGTTGTAAACGATGGCCTGAATAAAGGTCTTCTCGAAGTCTATAATCAAACAAGTCAGCCGGATCCATGGGAGTACCATTATGTTCTCGAAGGATATCAACGTACCAGTGTGGATAACACCAGCTGCTGCGGGTGCCTTGATACCCTTCCGGATAGTCCATTGCCGGACTTCATCGGGACCAGTAGTGAAAAAGCTGGCCAAGTTCAATACTTGGCGCATGGTAACAATAATCTTGGGCAGGGCAGACTTGGTGTTCAGCTTCTTGCACTCCTCCTCTGCAACGGCGTCATCACCGAAATGGGTCAGACGCTCCTCGAAGGAAACGGAAACGGGGATGATAGGATCACCAGGTGAATTGGTCTTGATCCATTCAGCAACTTTGGGAAGGTGCTTGTTCTTCTGGCGAATGTAATCCCTCTCGCTAAGGTTAACCAGGTACACGACTGGCTTAGCGGTAAGGAGGAAAAGAGGGTTAATAACCTCGACCTAGTGCAGCCCAGTTTGGTTAGTATAACTGAATCTCCCAAGGCAGTACGAGAACGAAAAAAAAATCCTGGATTAATGTTGAAAATTCAGTAGGGACGTGATCTCAATATGACCTCAACGTGAGATTAAAACGAGGCCATTCGACGAGCTGGGTATTGAGTCGAGCAAAGCTCTTATTCATCATGCAAACAAGCAGGCGTGGAAGAGAAACAAGGAAAAGTGCATGCATACCTCCTTGGGGTTCCAGTCACCATGTCGGACATCATGACCATCCTGCAACCACTGCAGAATCTTGGCAACAGTTGCCTCTTCTTCCCTCAACTTCTTCATCTCCAAGGTCTGACCCCCACGACGTGTTTGCTTCTGGAGATTTTCCAGAGATTTCGTCACGAACTCAATATCCTTGATACGTAACTCCTCGTTGATGATGGTCAGATCCCGAACAGGGTCTACGTCACCCTCAACGTGGATGATCTCGGCATCGTCAAAGCATCGGACAACTTGAAAGATAGCATCGACAGCGCGGATATGAGAAAGGAAAGCATTGCCCAGACCTGCACCAGTGGAGGCACCACGGGTCAGACCGGCAATATCGTATACCGTCAGATTAGCAGGAACCTGAGACTTAGGCTTGTAATGTTCGCAAAGCCAGTCAAAGCGTGCGTCGGGCACGATGACACGAGCTTCTTCGGGGTCGATTGTGGCATAAGGGAAGTTTGCAGGGTTACCGAGAGTGGACTTGGTAATGGCCTGAAACAGTGTCGATTTACCGACATTCGCAAGACCGACCTAAAGTGAAGTTAGAAGAATAAAAAAAAAATTCAAGAGTAAAAGACGGAAAGGGTCATGCTCACATACGATGCCACTCTTCAAGTTATTCCCAGGACGGCCCAGAAGGACCTTCTCTTGCACGACGTTCTTCTTGGGAGGCATTTTCTTATTCTTTTTCTTCTTGCTAGAGTAGGCTCGAGAGAATGAAAAATAAGAAGTAGCCGGAAGGGTGGCTGTTGAGATGCTAGGAGTAACCTGTTTACTGCAGTGAACAAGTCTCAGAGCAAACGCAGGGCCAGCTGCAGATAATTGTAAACGGAAGAGAGAAAGAGAAGAAGCAGGAGGGCGTAGGGGAGACGTGGTTACGGTTGCCCACCTGGATGTGGGAGAGAGGAGCAGGGAAAAAGAGGACGAAGGAGGGGCACGAAGAAAAGGAGAAGGAAAAGGGAAAAGAGGGGCAGGATAGATGCTGCAGGAGAGCACCAGTAATAATAGGAGGTAAGATGCTTGATGACGGAGATGGATTTGATTCTCGTGAGAAACGAGTTCTGTTTTTTTCTCCCGCTTCGAGAAGTTTGTGCTTGCCTTTCACGTGATACTATACAGCCCTACATAATTCCCCTTCCAGACCCTCCCGCAAACCCTAGACCGTATTCGTAGATCCATATGCTGTAGGTTGGATCATAAAAATGGCAGTAAATCAAAGGCTGTCCCAGGTACACTTCCGCAGAATTGACCGTAGTACCCGTAGTAAGTATCATATAGAAAGGTTTAACAAGGCCAAATGGAAACAATGCGCCTTCGAACGCCGTCCTGCCAACATCAAGGAGGGCCTTGCAAACGCCAGATACATCACAGGGAAACAAGAACATTGCAAAGCCAGTCGCTGTCTATGTTTCCATGGCATCGCCCGGTCCCGACTCATCGTCGACAACTCCTAACAACTTAGCGTAAGGAACAGTCACCCGTTGCAAGTCGCGGTATTTGCCTGTTGGGAAAGGAGAAAGGAACGTCAGCAGTTGGTCTGGAAGGTTGTCTCCGCCTATTATAGGCGCGTATAAAGTTGGAAGAGTACAGCACACTTACCGAGTGCTAAAATGACCTCTTTCAATAACACCTCCCGCGGCCATCCGCACAGAGTCTCCGAGCTATCCCACCAGCTTCTTCCCTCTTTCTCATTCGGCTGCAGTTTGCGTATGTTCCCTGTCTCACTATCTTCCTCAAAGAGACCTCCAAGAAGCCCCTTCAGCAGCTCCTCGACTTTCATCTTGAGCCCCTCGGCCCCGATGCGCTTCGCATACATGGACAGATATAGCCGAAACTCCTCTTTTGCGCCGAGGGAAAGCGCTGCGGCTAGTCGGTTCTCTAGATGAGCAATAGATACGCTGGATTCGAAGCCCTCGTATCCCTCGCTAGATAAGAGAGCCTTGATCAGTCGCTGCAGGAAATATGCGCGGCCACGGAGCAAGGTTTCGTTGGTCGTATTCCGTTCCAAGAACGGGATGATACCGGCCGAAACAACCGCTTTGGCTTCTGTATCTCCTCGTTGTGCGCTTGAAGATTGAAGATTGCCCACGGGAGCATCTGTGGTGTTCCAGTACTGGCTGCCAACAGCCCACCAGCTTTCTGAGATCCGCTGCCACGTATACAGTGCCTGCGAGTATGAGTATCCTTCTCCATTGGAGAGACTCACTACAATCCTGCCCTCTGAATTGATACGCGCGTTCGTGATGGCCGGTGCTGCCGTGGGGTGCGCACCAAGTGTGTGGATGGCTGCATCCAAAACAGGTTGAAGGGAGACAGGCGGGTGTGGTGATGAAAGATGCTCGACATTCCAAACATAACACATCCCAACGGCAGATATACAAAGAATCCATGGGCCGTTGCACTCGAGTATCACCGGTTGTGCCTCCAGCACCAGCGCACTGACAAGACGGCGACCCGCTGGCGTCCAGATATAGACTGATCCGTCTTCGCAGGCGGCCGCCCACAGCTTCTGATTCCCAGTCGCGAGGAGTACGCTTCTGGGAAGAAAATCTTGCCATAATGGCTGCTCGCCTCGAAACAGGGCCAGACGTGCCGGCTCCCGGTCAATGGCTCTTCCGGTTAAGCTAGCTGGAGACGGATTTCGTGCCTCAAAGACAAGGTCAGCCGTCGTCTTACTCGAGTCTCCGGACGAACTGGGAGCTTCGGTGGGATTTCCACTGGAATCAACGGCGCGTACAATGTGACTACGGACTTTGGGCACCGCCAGTCGAAGTTGGCTAACCGCCATGCAGGGGTTTGTGACAGCAGGCCGGATGTATTCGGGCGTTGGTTGTTGCCCAGTAACCGAAGGCTGTGTTTGCGCTGGGAGAAGACCATCTGGCGCGTTGGAGAGAATAGGTGTCGCCCCGTTTCTACTTGCTAACGACACGCGTTTCTCTATTTGGCCATCCTCATCATCCTCGAGCTGAGCAAGTTTCCGCTTGTTGCCAAGAAGTAATGAGGAAAGTCCTCCCTTTGGTAGCCCATCAAATGGCTTCGAGAGATCAACAATCGACTGTGGAGCATCCGTTTTGACCTGATTTCTGATAGAGGATATCAGTCGGGCTTGTGGTAAAGACGACTCAGCACCGCCTGCTCCCGAAACGAGAAGCGGCGCAATGCGCTTCTTGCCCTCCTTTGTGTACGTCGGGCGCTGCTTTAACCGCTCCAGCTTCGCCTGGTACGGGTCGGGTTTCTCCGGTTCTGGTACCGCTGCTGGTGTCACTGTGGCTCCATTCGTTGGAGCCTTTGAGGCATCAGGACCGGGAGATGGACCGGGAGCAGGTGTTGTACCGTTGGACGCCAGAGACACAGAAGTTCCATTGGCCATACCTTCGGCAGTAACATGTCCATCTCCCATAAGAGCACCCATTCTGCCTTGTACGCCCTTGAGTTCCCCAGCCTTGCTCTTCTCCTCGAGCAAAAGCCCATCTGTAGTCTCTGCAATTCCCGCGCCTTTCCTATTCACGCCAAACTTTTTGAGTGATTTCTCATTTTCTTCCAACGACATGGGGTAACCGAGTTCCCCTTCTTCAAACTTAACCGCGAGGATCGTGCCATCCAATGCGGTTGCAAAAAGGCAGGTTCCCTCAGGGTTCCAGGCAAGATCCGAAATAGACTTGACGGCCAGATCCTGTGCAACCACAATGGGTCGAGGATTGGACGTAATCCAGATGCTGAGTGACTTGTCCCCTCCAGCACATGCAATAACAGTCACAGAGGCAGCCGGGGTTTGGTTATCTATAGTCTGGTTGCCGACAGGCTGCCGGGAATAGAGTCGCGGTGAAAATGCACAGACCTCAACAGGGGCTTCATGCCCGATAAGGTTGATGTCAGCGTCCCAAGAGCCACGGTTGATGATGGCCACTGAACTGACAGGACCGTTTACTGCGTTGGCAGCAGCAATATGGTTGCCGTCGGGGGACCAGGAGCACCGGCGAAAATAGGCTGTTAATGGAGAATTATTAAAGGGCGCTGATATGGTACGTTCAAGGACAAAGTTGTTGATCTGGTCATGGGCCGTTGAATTGGGAGATGGAGGAGTGAAGCGGAAGATTCGAACGGTGCGATCGTCGCTTGCCGTAGCGAAGTATTTGTTGGCCGGGTCGAAAGTGATCCCCTTGACATGACTCTGGTGAATCGATATGGTCTTCAGCTTTTCGAACGTGTGCCCTGACCAAACAACGGCCTTTGAATCGAGACCGACAGAAACCAGGACTGAAGAATCGTACGACCAGCCCAAGTCCTGCACGTCATTGTCGTGGCCGATCAATCTTCGAATCGTACGCCAATTCTCGACAGGTGGCGCCTCATTCGTTCCTGGATGAGATCACGCTCAACAATCAGTAAAAATGTCCAGTTCGCCGACAATTCTCCCCCTAATAAAAAAGAACCCTACCAAACGTCGAAGCATGTGAGGGAGGGTTAGCCTCCAGTGTGTATATACAGACGATCTTATCATCCGCCCCCGATGCCAAGTATTTCCCATTAGGCGAGAAGCGAACGGTATGGATGGTACCCGAGTGGTTGCTCATTGACGCGAGCTGCTTTGGCTTATTGGCATATTCCGGGTTAAGGGCATTGTAAATGGACTCCGTAGACCAGATTCGGACGTATCCATCTAAATTTTTGAAACGAGAAGAGATGGTTCAGTAAATGTGTTTTTTTTTTCCCCTTTTCTTTTCGAAAAGGAAGAACCGCAAAACTTCCAAAGCATTTGCATTGTTTCCACTCACCTCCAGCCGCGGTAACCAACCTTTTCCCGTCAGGAGAAACATCACAGCTGTAAACTTCGAAATCCTTTCTCTCGCCTACAATTTTGGGGGATCGGATGCATTGTTAGCCAAACTGGTGGCCTTCCTAGACAAATTTGCGCACCAAGTTGGTTGGGTCATCGGTACCTCCATGTATCAGCCAGACTGGCTTGATGATATGCATCGCGAAGACTTCAGACTGATATTTCGATGCCTGTACTTCCTCCTCTGGAGGGCGAACGCGGGCGGATAATCGCTGGAAATCAGATTTCGCGTGGGAGCAGTCAAGGAACGAAGAATCTTAGACAGCTGATTTGGGACATCGCAGGACAGGACTGGCAGCAATCAAGCTCGAGGGGAGATCAGAGGTAGCATGGAAGAAGAAAGAAGATAGCATTCGCGGGTAGAGTAATGTACACGAGCTCAGGCAATGGAGATGGAAGTATCGTCGAGATGGAAAACGCGAATGGAAGACCCTCAACTTCGCATTTCAAGAAAGTCGCGATCTCCAGGTTTCGGCGGATGGTCCGAGCTTTGGAAGGCCAAGGATCAAAGTCTAATATCATTCTACCGATTAACCAGTATAAATGGAATGGTTGATGCATGGATGAAGGACTACACCCATGAGCCTCACCATGCAATACACAAATACATTTATTTTGCCCGCTTCTGATCTCTATGTATGTACACACAGCGCCCAAAGAAGATTTCACCGATGTTTTCATGCAAGACACATGTTGGGTCCCTGAAGGGCCGTATTCGCTCTGCCTGACCATTTAAATACAGACGCACAAAAGACAAGGACAATCGTAGTTGCAAATGCGAAGTGAACATGACCTGGAGACTAGAGACAGCATATCATACAGATGGTCTCAGGAGAAGGAAATGGAGGGAAAACGCTAAGTGCAAACAACTCCTATGTCCTCTGCTGTCTAGTCTGGTCAAAACCACCCAGCACACTCTCTGTCACCTCATTTTTGCCTGTTTCTGCAGGGATATCAGACATTTTCTCATCTTCTGGCTCTGCATCGGATTCATCCGCTGTCTCAGTTACAGCTGGATGCTCAACCCCGAGTGTCTTGGCCGCAATGGACCGCGCCTGGCCCTCACTGATCTTCCCGTAAACAGCCATAGCGTTTGCAACCATCCCGGCCAGATCACCGACGTTGCCAGGCACAACAACCGCTGTACTCTCTCGCGCCAATTTGGAGAAGGCTTCAACATACTTTTCAGCAACGGCAAGGCTGAGAGCACTATGGGCATTCTCCTGGCCTCTCTCGATCGCTTTTGCAACAGCATCAATCCCCCTTGCGGTGGCCTCTGCCTTTAGCTTAATAGCCTCCGCCTCACCAGCGGCACGATTGATTTGCTCAGCCCGCATGGCTTCCGATGCAAGAATTACCGACTGCTTCCGACCCTCCGCAATGTTGATCGCGCTTTGCCGATGACCTTCCGAGTCAAGGATCTCCGCACGCTTTGAGCGCTCTGCGGTCACTTGACGGTGCATGGCAGCAACAACACCCTCAGGAGCATGGATATCTCGAATCTCATATCTTAGGCAGACGACACCCCAATCCTGGGCTGCTTCGTTGATGGCCTGTGTGATGTTTGTGTTGAGAGTTGCACGTTCCTTGAGAACATGGTCGAGGGTGAGCTGGCCAATCTCGGATCGCATAGTCGTTTGTGCAAGTTGGGAGATTGCGTATTCTGCATCTTCGACTCCGTAGCTAGAAGGGAAGAAAAGACAGTCAGCTCGGGCAGTCTAGGTGACAGAACAAAGGATGCAGTGAGAATACAGCTCCAAAAAGGGTGAATATATTCTCACCTGGCCTTATAAGCATCGAAAACCCTTGTATAAAGTACGCCATCTAGCTCCAACGTAACATTGTCCGCCGTAATAGCATTCTGCGACGGGATCTCAATCGCGCTCTCTTTCAAGTGCTTCACGTACGCGATCCGATCTATAAATGGTATGAGAATGGCTAAGCCCGGTTCAAGTATTCGATGGAATTTGCCCATGCGCTCCACGATCCAAGCCGTCTGCTGAGGCACGAACCGGATGATCGTGTTTGCAGGCAGGGAAGGGCGAGAAGCGAAGTATGAAGTCGGCGAGCCAGAGCCTGACGAGGAGGAGGAAAAGTTCATGAATGATGGCTCTGGTGCGAGAGATCGCGAGGTAGTCGAGACATGTCGGATGCGGTTTAGGGTGTTGGTTGTCGCGATGCTGGGGAGAGGTAGAAGTTGGTGACGTTGGGTGCGCAGGAGCAATTTTGTAGCATGGCTGGCAGAGGGAGGGGCGCGAAGAAGCCTTGATGAATTCCTGGAAGCTACCTCCATTGTGAATCCAAGAAGGAACAGATGGATTGTTTGTACAGAGAGAGGAGAAACTTGTTGGGAGGAAAGATGAGACGAAAGGCGGACGTCGGCATCTGGTCGGTATCACAGCCGATCGGCGCCTCAGGCAGAAAAGCAACTACAGACTTGGAAGCAATAATAATATACGTACCAGACTCCAATCTTGTCCATTGATTTACGTACACCGTACATAAGTAAAGCAAAAAAGATAAAAGAAATAAAAAAGAATCCGATTACACCAAATATGCACACGGTAATAACACACAGAATCACAGTTTAAGTATTTTTTATGCCAAAAATAGCCCGCGCAGGGTCAGAAAGAGAACAGAAAACAGTGGAAATGAACAGCGCGCTTCAGAACACTTTGACCAACATGTCCACGATAAAGAGAGAAAAAAAAAAAAAATAATCATAATAATAAATGGCCCATCAGACATATCTGATAAGGCTCTATCTAAAAATAGGGAAAAAGAAGCCAAGGCAGATTCGTTTCACCCGGTAATTCCTCGTACATAACAGTCCATAAAATATGGCGAAGGGAAGGATCTTGTCCGCCTGCAAATCAGCGGCGACATGTCTGAATCGAGACTTTTCCTTTTCTTTATGACTTTTTTTTTTCTTTCTCTGGTTGTTTCATGTTTATGCTCGCTAAGACCAGGCGCGGGAAGAAACTGACGGCCTTGATTTCGAAAATATTCAAATCGAACAGAAAAATTTTATGGTCGTGGGAAACGATTTTGGCCCGGTGCACCGAGAAAGGAAGCATCAAAATCTTGTGGTGATACTTCTCAGTAAACCACGTCCGGACTCCAGGAACTTTTTAGGAAAAACCTCCCATGGCTGAAGCGAAACGGAAGAAAGAGACTCGACGCTCCGAAAGTGCATACACCACAATCCGCTTCTGAGAGATTGTCGATTCCACAACCCAGTAAAGGCGGATGCAAAACGGCGACGAAATAAATGCAAGTCATGATAAATAGCAGCTGAACAGTGGACGAAATGAAGACATTGAAAAAAAGGGAAAAACAGAAAGAAAACTCAAAACAAAATCACTTTTCCAGCTCGGCTCTCAGACCAGCATCGAGGACACTATCAATCCTTTCGCGATTCTTCCGGCTGAGAGAACCATCCCTCCAAGCTGAACGAAGAGTATGTAATGCGAGGCTTCGACCGTGATTACTGGATTGTTTCCTAACGAGGTCAACCAGGTCTTGAGCGGCTTCACCAGGGATAAGGCGATCGCCACACAAAGAAGAACCGTAAAACTCAATAAGCCTGTTGAACCCATTGTAGTTATTTCGTGCAGAAAGGTCGTCAAGCGCTAGACACCTAAATTCATTGTACATTTGTTCGTTGAAATTTGAAACCAAGAAATGCGACCAGAATTGGTAGAGAACTTCCATATCACAGTCGCCATCTTGGATCAACGTTAAATCTCTCTTTGCAAGAGCTCGTTTTCGAAAATCACTGTAATATTCATGGACAAAATCAGGTTGTAGGGTTTCATGCGGGATATCTCGGTCATGCAACCAGAAAATCGGTATATGACAGCCAGTCCCAGCGGTTCCATCAGCCATCTTAGAATCGATCGAACTGCGACATTGCTCTCTTACATCAAAACTGTGTTGCGGATCAGCCGGTGACTATCAACCCGGAAACGCGGGCGTAAACCTACCTTCCGGAACAGACCGACATCCTAGTAGGACAGAGAATGGGTTTCTCCGAAGATACCGCTAATCCGCCCGCTGTGTTCAAAACGTCAATAAATCTGTTGGAGGAAAAGGGGGGTGAACAATAGAGGCTGGGTAGTTGAGGCTGGCTGGAATTGCCCGGCCTACGCACCACAAATACCAACTTCTTAATCAGGTCATCAGGGAAGGGAGGGTTATTAATAGGAGTCCCTACATTTTCATCCTCATTCTGAGACGGAACAGGCTTGGAGGGCAAAAACTCCGGGGCAGCCGACGACAGCGGTGATCCCGAAGCGCGAGACCCGCTCGTGCCATTGGGCTGGGACTTGCTAGGTACATGCGAAACTGATCCGTTGGCACCCGCATAAGCAGCTGGTTCTCCATCAATCTGGTTCAGCGGCACAATGTTCTCATCTAGCTTCGTCGGCGGAGGGGGTCCTTCATTCTGGGCCGAGGGGTCACGTTGCTCGAGAGGAAGCACCCACTGTTCCCACCTCTCTCTCGGCCTAAGTCTATCGATTCCATCGCCGCCTACTAGGTGTTCAACATTCCGAAGTTGACGGGAGACATGACGAAGAAGCTCGAAATCTTCGGTTAAAGATTTCATCCGCTTGAACCCAGCAACAAAGCTCAAAGCAACGAATCCTTGGGAGTCCATGTGTTTGCGGAGGAACAGGTCTTTACAGAGGTTGTCCACCGAGAAGTAGTATTCACTGGCACCTGTCAGCTCTGATAATTGCTATTTCCCCAATGTGCAAATGAAACTTACAGCTGCATCGAAATCATGCTCATGAGAGAAAACGGCTCCATATACTGTTGGTAAGGCACTGCGCTCATCGGAGCTGCTGGCATGAAAGGATAGCCATACATGGCATTAACATCTGGAGGGAAAGGATAGACACCATATACGGCAGCAGGCGTTGTAGGCACGGAGGGGGACCTCAAGGATAACCCGTGACTTCGTTGTGTGCCATTCGAAGGCCCGTAGTGCGATCGGCGATCACCGAAACCATATTGTTTCTGAGGAACGAAAGACTGGTGCGGCATGTGTGTATTGGAGAATTGCGAGTTGTGGTGGACAGGATAGGTCGAATGACTTCCACGACCCCTGTGGCTGCCTCTACCTCTCTCGGAACGCGGCTCACCACGTTCCCTTTGGTGGTCCCTGTCTTTATGGAAATCTTTGCCATGGGTATCCGCTTGGGAATAATCACGGTTCTGGAAATCTGCCGACTGAGAGGTATTTCCAAGGCGACGTTCTTGGCTCAAGCCAGTGCGCGGCGAGTCGCCAGAGAGATGAGAGTTGCCTTTACCATGGTCAGTGCCTTTCTGGGAGGTGGAGTCATGGTTCCTTGGGAAAGGTTTGTGATGTCGCGAGAAGGCTTCACCACCATTAAGATGGCGGCCAACCGCCACAGCGTTCGTGTCCTCGTTGCCCTTAGCTCGGGCTTCACCACGGCCGCGATCCGCTGCTTGAGACACTTTACGCGACTCGGATTGGGATGCGGCATCGGCACTGTTCGATCGCCGGGACTGACCAGTAACGGTGTTTGCCCGTACGCCATTTGGTTCATTCCTTCCCCTGTCAGCCGAGGGAGCGTGCTTTGCGGTAGACCCATGGGCTATTTGTCCAGAAGCAGTCTTGTCACCAGCTCCACCACGACCGCCATCTCTGCCACCCCGAGTAGCTCTCGGGCCTCTGCGAGCAGCGGATGGCAGAGGGGTGTTGAAGACGGCAGACGGCACGTAATGAACAGGGGTCCATTTCTCCTTCCCATGCGGCCTAATGACGGGGCTCTTCTCCGGTTTCTCGGTCTTTTCCGTCTTTTCTTGGGCTTTTCTCTTCTCTTCGCCTTGCGCGACCTGCGGGGTAGGCCACAAGCTGGCATCTGCCACAGGTGGAATTGCCAAAACTGTGGATTTCGAGTCAGCTTGTACATGTCGCCTGCGATGAAATTGGGACTCTCTAGAGTCTGTGGCAATCTTCTTCTGAAGAATAACTGGAGAAAGGACTGCAGCCTGACACTCACCATCATCTCGACCCTTTCCTCCGTCAGTCTTCTTGCGATCTTTGGATCCCGCATTGCCACCATCGACGTCGGCTCCCTTCTTCTTAGAAGCTAACTTAGACTGATCTTGCTGGGCATCACCGGATGGGGAAGCCGCAGATGGTGTGGTCCTTGGTGTCTTCGAAGCAGAAGCAGCGGGTTTGAGAGCTGCCAAAGCCTTCGCCTTCGCATCTTGTGCCTCTTTCCGCTGTTTCCAGATGTTCACTGCAGGAATAGGGGCGGCCTTTAGCTCTTTAGGAGGGGCGTTCTTTTCAGCGACAGAACCAGTCTTCTCCTTGGCATCTTCTGTTCGACTGGCCGGCTTCTCAGTTCCCGAGGCCTGGGACTGCTTATCCCACGTCGACTCCGAAGTGCCATTAGGTATGGACGAGCTATCGTCATCCTTGATTGTGGAAGAGGTGCCGACGCTAGGGGAATATGACCCCGACACGGCAGATTTCATATTGGGATTTTGACTAGCAGACTCTGATTCCCTATCCACGTTGACAGCAGTCTTCTCCGCTTCGCGCGGTGCCTCAGTCTCAGAGGATAAGACCTCTGGTTTTGCCTCACGGCTAGCAGCCGGGTCCGGTTCATCTGTCGTCGATGCTGCCTTTGTTGGTTCTACCGAAGATGTCTTCGCTGATGGCTGTGTTGAAGACAAGCCCTTAGCAGCCTGGGCGTATGAAAATACAGGCATCTCGGATTTAGCGCTCACTGCGGCCATTGTACCCGGATTGGGATAACCTCAGAAAAATGGAGGGTATGATATAAACAAAACGTTCTGCCAGAGAACGAAGCCTGTTTTGGCAAGCCCCAAGGGGGTAAAAAGAGCCAAAAGATGAGCGCGCCGATTTAAGGCCAAACTGCTCCTGCACAAGGAGGGAAAATCAGATGGACCAACTTCCGCCCTTTTGTAACTCCACCAGATCTATGAGCCCCCGAGTAGGTCGTTCTTCGAATGTACGGGAGGCGCGGTGAGGAAGACGAAATTGGAAAGAGGGTCTTTAATTCTTCTGTGACGTTCGTAAACTAAGCACTTGGCGATGAAAAAAAAAATCGCTTAGTACCAAGTTTGCATCGATATAGCCGTCAAAATTTTTTTCTTTTTTTATTTCACTGAGTAGGATTCGACGTCGATACTTTCAAAGGTATCGCTCGAGCACGTTCGACAAGGTCTTCGTGACAAGGAAGATTCGACGTTTGATCGCAATAGCTCAGTTCCAAAATTATGAAGCACTCGGAACCACAATCTTCGGAGAGCTAGCTCACCGATGCAGGAAAACTAGCTGAGCTAAGAGAAGCGTCGCCGGGCAGTCTAACAGACGATGGACACAGGGACGGCGGTAGATGCCAAGCGAAAAACGCTTTATCCCGGTATTATCCGTCGTGGACGCAAGCGTTACTTCGGATTTGTGACGAGAGTAATGAACAACGGAGAGATGAAGTCGCGTTGTTTCCCAAAGGCGCGAGAAAAAAGGCAGCGATTGGAGGGGGGAAAGTATCAATCGAAATAACGATTCGTGCAGATTGAGAGCCGAGGAACGACCAGAGGATTTGATCGTTTAGTACAAACTCTTGCCCAGAGAGAAGCAAGCCCTGCAGGACCGAAAAAAAGCAAAAAAGGCGAAACTGCTAGGACCGTTGGGTTGGGAAGCAGGACGGCGTTGGGAAGAGATGGACGGAAGCAAAGTCAAACCTCAGGCAGAGAACGCACACACGCACAACACGTACGCCAGTGGATGGCGACCGAGATGGGGTGAGGGGACAGTTGGAGAAGGCGAGATGCAGGAACAGGGTTGAAGACGGAAGACGACAACGTCGGAGGGGTAGGAAGAGGAAGAGAAGATGAGGTGGTAGAAGAGAGGGACGGACAGTGGGAGGGGAGTCGAGAAAGTGAAAGTAAGAGCACCGAGTATTTTTGTGGAAAATAATCACGAAGCGTAATTTAAAAAAAAAAAAAAAAAGTCAGGCAGGAGGGCCATACCGGCTGGTATTGGTATTACCGGTCATCGTTACGCCTGCTACGGGAGACCGCGGATGTTCCTGCTCTCCGATACAGCAAGTAGCTAGATAGGCCTACGTGGTGAAAAGGGTCAGCGAGGGCGGACCTATGCGGCAGAATCCCACGTGATCCAACAGAGTAGACGCTGAGTAGACTCTGAGTAGACTCTGAGTAGACGCTGAGTACTTAGGTGAGTGCTCACCCATGATGTGAGATACTCACTGATCATCATCCTGAGTACCCTAATGAAGGTGATAGCATCCAGAAGGGGAAAGTCTCCCTGACGATAGTATAAAATCCTATATAGTGGCATATATTGAAAGATTCTTCCCAAGCCATCATTCTCCCTATAGTTAATGAGATAACCTACGAGATTCGCTTCACTTAAGCCGGGATAAATGCTACTAGCAGAGCAATATTGTACAGTCTCTAATTCAGAGACAGCTCAAAATAAAGAATCAACGCCCTTTGATAGGGATCGAGGCCTTTCCCCGAGTATAAAGGAAATCTGAAGACGCGGTATACGATTCGACAGCTCGCCGACAGCGTCAGTAAGTTAATTAGCTACCTAGGTAGCAGTAAACAATAATGATAACTAATCATGTTGCAGCTGTCCTCGTCCTCACATACGTCCACTGCTCCGTATAGCCGCTGTACCGCCGGCGTAGTCTGCGCGGTGGCATTCTCGGCAACCGGTTTGGGCAAGGCGTTACAGCGCCGCTTGGCTTGACGTGCATGCACTATCATATTATATGTGGTTTCATATCTATCTATACCTAGGTACGGAGTAGTTGGTAGAGATTTTGGTAGTCTGTAAGGATAATAATGATAATACAGGACTCCATGGCCAAGAGGATTCCCACTCAAAGAGTCCTCACAGATTTGGAACCTTACAGGAGGAAAGAATCTCACAGGAACAAGATGTACCCCCCCATCTTATATCGTTCCTGAGTAGGAGTTGTATGCATCAGAGTATGAAAGACTTGATCGCAATAGACGTAAATGAACGAGATACGACAAGGATTAGCCTGGAATCACCCTGCTAGATTGCTCTCCTGGGCTCTATTGAGGGCAGCATCTTACTAAGTTAGATTTATGTTCATGTCCTTCGTTTCATCATATCCTAGCAGCCACTGCCGCTTAGGTTCCTGAGTATGCATCGTGCCATCATCGTCACATCGAGTGATCGACAATCTCAGTTAGATCTGTGTATACATGAAGTATCCTCAAGAGTTAATGCAAGCAGTATACTCAGCTGCATAATTAGTAACCAACCAACAATACACCTCCATTAGGTTATGAGCCCGTTTCTTGCTCGGAAATATGAGCTATTTTAGGCCCGTATAAGTGGTCAATTTAAGCCCTCTGATTGGCTGAACCAAAATTCCATACCCCAGATTCCAAAAATTCCAGGATCCCAGATACGGTCCGAACCTGAGCATGTCAGGAGAACCTACTACGCCTCCCGCTACTGCTATACGACGATCACGTCGCCGAAATCTCCAAAACAGGTCCTCGAATATAGACGAGACCTCCTCATCAGTTGTCTCTGAAGAGATAGAGACCCCAACGCCTTCCGGAGCCAATCTGAGCTCTACCAATACCGCCAACATGGCTTCCACAAACGAACTTACCCCTGATCTTGCTGATATGATGCGACAAATGCTTGCTCGCCAGAATCAGATGGAACAAGATATGCGAGACCGTGAAGCTAGAATGGAGCTAAAACTGGCATCTATCATCCAGTCTAATACTCCACAAGCTTCCTTGCCTTCAAATACAACCCAAGATACTACACCAATGGATATCCAACCGCCTCTGCGTGATGCCTCAGACACAAATATCAGCAATGCTATTGCCCTTGTCCAAGCCGATGTCGATACGCTACTGCCTGACCGATGCCGTGTCATCTTGACACTGGATAATTACGATGCATGGAGCTCTGCCATACAAAAAGAAGCTGGTATTCTCAATGCTATTACAACTCTTCACCAGGACTCTCCTCCTGCTGGATCATCTCCACTTGATGCTGCAGTTTGGCACAGAAAAGCCATTGTCATGAGAGCCCGTATGCTCAATGCCATGACAACCCCTGCTTCCGATAAACTAGGCACCGTATATGACCTCTCTGCCCATGGTCTTTGGGACCGAGCTGCCACACTTTTTGGCAAATCCACCGGTGAAGAGCGAATGGCCCTTACCATGGAGCTCAAAGAGCTCTATATAAAGGATAACGATTATCTCACCTACCAGTCATCCTTTAATCGAATCTTTGACCGCCTACACGCTATTGGAGAAGAATCTCTTGAAAATCTCAAACATGACCTCTTCTTTATAGGTCTCCGGGACTGGAACCGCGCCTTTATCAAGAGTAAACTAGATGATGTCTACTCTACTGGCCGTGCTCCGGTTACCAACCTGGATCTTAAGGTTATCCAGACCCAATTATCTACTCGAACCGGCACTAAATTCCGTGATACTCATTCTCAAGACCGGTCAAACCAACAGAAAGAGAACTCCCAGAACCGCAGTTATTCAAAACAAGCATCTGGAACCAAATACACAATTCCTCAACGTTCCAATAACCAAGATAGATCTCGTCATACACTTATAGACTGTGATCACTGCGGAAATCGCCATGGACTTATATGCTATTTTAAACATCCTGAGAAAGCACCAGAGTATAGACGCAAGTTCTATACTACTATGGCTAATGCTCTCCGTGTTCAGCAACAATCTGAAGCAAACCCACAATCAAACCAGGATCACCCTGCTTCACAGGAACTTGTCTTGCATAAGAAACTCTCCAATGCCAAATCTGCCATTGTGAAGTCTGCAAAGACTCTCTCATTTTCCAATCAATGGTTTGTTGACAGCTGTGCCTCTTTCCATTCTACACCTGACCGTTCACTTTTTGCAACCTATAAGGCCTTGCAGAAGCATGATCTGGTGGAGACAGATTATATGGAAGGTGCTCAAGGCCATATCTCTATGCCTCAAGGCATTGGCACCGTGATTATAGATATTGGTTACGGATCTCTGATCCTAAGAGATGTCCGCCATGTTCCTTCCTTTACTTCCAACCTCATTTCAGAAGGCATGCTTGTACGACAAGGCTTTAGGCTTCAATATACACTAGATTGTGAAGTCAAGCTGATTACCACACCATCTGGAGCTGAATTCCAAGCCCGATTGTTCAAAAACAATGTTTACCTCCTTGAAGACTGTCTATCTCCTGGAGAAGAAGAAAATTCCTATGCCTTTGTCACCACCTGGTCTGGCAAAGAAGTTAACCGCCCAGAAGAGCCACCTGCAAAGGCTCCCACAATTAAGACACCAGCTGAGGCTCCTACTCCAAAAGAGACCCCGGTTCTAGGGAAGCCGCGAACTACTAAGATATCCCTACCTATCATGGCCTGGCACCGACGCCTATGCCATCTCAATCAAGCCGATCTCCTCCGCCTCGCCCGAGATCCTGAGTCTTGCATCGAAATCAAAGGCTCTAAAGAACTCCCATTTTGTGAAGTCTGTATACAGGCTAGACAGACACGCTATTATAGCAAGGTCCCTAGGTCCAGAGTTACCAAACCCCTTGCCCGAGTCCATCTAGATATCGCCGGCGGTGGACAAACTCTTGATTTTGACAACCCTAATGATGTTGTCACTGGCCGAATTGGGGCAAAATATGTCTTACTTATTACCGACGATGCCACACATTATCGATGGATCCTCTTCCTTGAGACAAAAAGTGCAGCCATTACCGCCTTCAAGAACTGGCTTCAAAATATGAAGAACCATGGCTTCACTGCTCCTGCCTACCTAGTCTCTGATAATGAATTCCGCTCCACTGAATGGATGGAAACCTACCGTCAGGAAGGCATAGAATGGCAACCAAGCTCGCCATATTCACCATGGCAAAATGCCGTTAGTGAACGTGGCATCCGGATCCTTTTGAACGGGCCCAAGCTATGATGCTTGATGCCCCATATATACCAGAACGCTTTTGGGTAGATGCTCTCCAATATGCCACAGATCTTACAAATCGGCTCCCTACATCTACCATCTTATACAATTCCCAAATTCCTGGGGGGGTGAATATCAACAAGGACATACACCCCAGCCCTTATCGCGCTCCGTTGGCAGCGTGGACTAATTCATCCATTTCTTCACTCCCCGGATATCGCCGTTGGGGGTGTCCAGCCTGGGTCCATCAGCATGGACCAGATAAACCTGGAAATAAGCTTGATTCACGTTCTCACTGCTGTTTCCTCATTGGCCAAATTAGTAGCCATCAATATCGTGTTTGGGACCCTAAAACTGACACCGTCTTTGTCACCAATGATGTTATATTTGATGAGGATTACAAAGATCCTACAACTACCACTCCCAAAGGTCCCAGCACCCCTACCGAAGAAAACCCAACTCAATTAGTTGAAGATGAACCTCTCAATGACCAAGATATATGGCTCCGACCTGCCAAAGGCATGTCCCTAGCTTACTTTGCCACTTCAACCATTCCTTCATCAGAAGACAACACGCCTACTTCTTATAAGCAGGCCATATCCCATCCTGATGCTGCTAAATGGCAAGCTGCCATGCAAAAGGAAGTCAACCAACTCAAAGAGAAAGGCTGCTGGCAACTCATTCGCCGTTCTGACCTACCACCAGGGGCCAAAGTCATCCCTGGCCGGTGGGTATACAAAAAGAAAGAAATCCCCGGCATACCTATCTCAGAGGATTATCAGGCTAAAGCCCGCTGGGTCATTCGTGGCAATCTACTTGATAAAGACTTCATGGAATCCTACGCACCAGTGGTAAATGAAAATACTACCAGAACCCTCACGGCACTGGCCACCCTGCTTGGCTGGCATACCCGAAAAGCTGATGCCACCCTTGCTTTCCTAAATGGGAAAATGCCCACGGACAAACGTGTCTTTATGACCCAAGTTCAGGGATTCAAAGAAGGTTCTGGAGATCTTGTCTGTGAACTCCTTCAATCCCTCTATGGATTGGTCCCATCTGCCCGCATCTGGTATGATACTCTGGGTGCTTTTCTACGCCAAATCAGCTTCAAATGCTCTGAATATGACTCTGGTCTATGGATCCACACTACCCGGACCCAACTCTATGTGACCACCCATGTGGATGACTTCAAAGTCTATGCTAAACATGAAAATGATGCCATCTGGTTTATGGAGACTCTCTCCGCCAAATTTGACATAAAAGAAGTTGGAAACTCTACCAAATACCTTGGCATGACCATCTCCCAGTCTGAGACTTCATCTTCTTTATCTCAAGCCGACTACACTGAAGATGTTGTTGCCTCTTTTGGTCAAGCCCAAGCACATCCTGTTAGGATTCCAATGGATCCTAGCCTAATAATTGATGATGAACCAGACCCTACAGTCAACACCAAAGAATATCAACGTGGTGTAGGCTGCCTTACCTGGCTAGCCACCAAAACCCGGCCAGATCTTAGCCAGACGGTTGGCATACTATCCCAATATAACGCCAAACCCACCCAAAAAGCATGGCGTGCCCTTATACACGCCATACGCTATCTTAAAGGCTCCATCAATCGGCAAATTACCTATCATAAACCCACGGAGTCCATTACATCTGACCTCCTCATGCCAAAATGTTATACCGACTCTGATTGGGGTGGCCAACTGACAGGCAACCGCCGGTCAGTTTCTGGATACATCTTTCTGCTTGCCGGAGCCCCAATTGCCTGGAAAAGCCGCAAGCAAACATCCGTTGCCCTTAGCTCCAACGAAGCTGAGTATATGGCTCTAAGCGAAGCCAGCCGTGATGCCCTCTGGCTCCGGAATCTCATCAACGAGCTTAATGTGCTCCCAACTGAATGCCCACCAATATCTCTTCATATCGATAATCAAGGTGCCCACGCCATGGCTGAAGCCGAGCTCACCACCAAGAGATCCAAACACATTGACATACGCTACCATTACGTTCGGGAGAAGGTCCGAGACGGCATTGTTAAACTTCAGACCTGCCCTACCAAAGAACAGGCAGCAGATGGCCTGACAAAACCTCTCCAAACTGAACGATTCAATCATTTCCTGGAACTCACCGGCATACATTAAGCGGCGCTTGTTCCCCCATTTTGGTTATACTTTCTATTCTGATTTACGGCTTCTGATTGGCCAAAGCGGAACCTCTCACTTCTCTGCTTAATTTTGCTTTTACTCTCTCATTTGGAGGCCTGAATAGAGGCCGATTTTTGTATTTAAATTCTTTAGATTAGTCTTTAGGCCAGCTCGTGCGTGGGGGGGTGTTGGATCACGTGGGATTCTGCCGCATAGGTCCGCCCTCGCTGACCCTTTTCACCACGTAGGCCTATCTAGCTAGTAACCAACCAACAATACACTTCCATTATCTAATGAGTGTATTTGAGTAGTTGGTTCAGCTCGGGAGTGGGAGCTAGCTAACTAAGCGTACTAGGAGCACGTGACATCTAAGTCAACAGATATACAACATCATATATGATGTGGATCAGGGGTGCGGCGTCTGGATACCAGATACTAAAAGGATACCGTAGGATTCGTAGGGATCGTGGTAAACGCTCTATACCGATATACTGCCGTCTCTAGTACATCTTGAAGCACTAATCGATGCGCCTTCTTGAGCTCTCGATCTCTCGCTCCCCTCTATACAACTTCCAGGATACATGTGTGGTGGCCTTTTCTCCCGGAATATATATACTCCGTAAACCGGGACCGGATTATTAGATATTCCACCTGTCCAAAATAGTATATCCTCATCAATATAGCTTCATAGAGAGCATCGTTGCCCTAGATAGCATCGATATAAGCATTCTTCCCTGACGATCTGGCTCCTGTATTTACCAGCTGATATCCTTCACGTCTGACAGATACAGAAGATGCATGCAGCCCTGGGGCTACTCTACAATGGAAAGACTGTAAGCTATTCCTCTCTCATCCCTCGTGGCCTCACGGTCCAAATCTCCCAGTACCCTCGGCCACTGTCTCTTCGAAACCTCTAATTGGCATCGCTCACCCTTCCATTTCATCCCAACAGTGAGTACAAAGTGAACACAGCCTAGAAGAGACGATGATTCAGGCGTAGTGCAAGTTGTGATAGAACGAGGATAAGCACTAGTAATTTTTATACTGTAATTACGGGATAGCTAGCATCTCTGCCCCTCTTCGCCCTGCTGCATGCTTCACAATAGCGAGGTTCAAGAAGTTCTACTGAACAGGGAAAAAACCAGCATAATAGTCCCTCTTCCCCAATGGCACCCCCTCTTTCCTCAAAATCCCATACGTAGTCGCAAGATGGAAGTAAATATTCGGCAAGGCAATGGTATGCGCATACGCAGCACCGCCAATTTCAATCGTCGCCTCAGGACCAACCTTCATAGTCCCAACAATATCGCCCTGTTGATTGACGACATTCTTGTCTGCCTCATTGAGCGTTTTCAACACCGTCTCAATGCGCTCGTGGCATTCGGAAAATGTCGTTGGCTTACCGGGAAACGTCACCGGCTCCCGAGCGGTTAGTCGTGCGACGAGGTTCTCGGAGAACTGCGTCGCGAGACGGACTTGGTCGGTCAATGGGTACATGTCCGTGTACAGACGGGCGTCGAGGAGGGCGTTTGCATTGGGGAGTTGCTCAGCTTGGCGGAGGATGTGGGAGAGGGTGTTGAGGATGGCTTGGACGACTGTGATAGTTCCGTCGTAGAGCGTGTTGCCCATTTTGGATTGAGATTGAGAAGATTTGGGTAAGTGAGAACAAAACTAACAGAAACAAGCAGATGGTAAAATTATCAGGGGTTTCGTCCCTAGACTTCTTGCTGACGCTTATATAATAGTCATCCAGGGTACGCTGGTAAAGCTGATACAATTATTTCCAGGAAGATTGAGGGATTCAGCCAGATATCCGTTTTCGGAAGATCCAAATTAGGGCTTGTAAGCCAACCGTGGACGGTTTGCCGGATGAGGCATAGAAGTTACAGATATGGCCGTTACGCGATGCTGTGAATAGACATGATAGTGAATAAAAAACATTATCCTATATTCAACGACCCGTGATGCGTATAAAGAACTAAATCCTCATACCCGTCCGAAATACCCTCTACTCGGAGAACCAAATCTCAACAGCTCACGCCAACCTCAGCCCTCAAAGCCCTCAAAGCCCTCAAAGCCCTCAAAGCCCTCAAAGCCCTCAAAAAGCCGCCAAAAAGCCACCAGAATGATCATGATCCATTTAGCCCTTCTCTCAAGCCTCATAGCCCTCGCAACCGCCGGAACATTGCAGTCCTGGGTTGACACCTACACTGACACGAACTGCAGCGGCTTCAGATACACGTACCACATCGACACCACGCCGACCTGCGGACGCATCGACGGCAAAGGCTTTGCAGAATCTTGGCTCGATCGAAGGCATTGGATACTGCAAGTTCTCGACGTATCAGTCGCATGATTGTACTGGGCTGCCAGCGAGGTTTGCGGTGCCGTTGGACGATTGTATTAATGTGGATTTTAATTCGTGGCTTATGGACTGCGGAGGGATTGATTTCTCTTTCTCTTTTCCCACTGTTCTTGGAGAAAGCATATTGAATGGAGGAAATCAGGGTTGAGAGGCCGGTGATGTGAGGATGTCCACTCTCCTTCCAAGGGACGTGGCAGGGGAAAGCTTTCGTGGCTATGACTTGCAGAAAAGAAATTGTTCATCGTGGAAAAGTTCCTACAAATTGCAAGGAACCCAGCCAAAAGCGTCTTTTGTCTGAAAAAAAAAAAAAAAAAAAAAAAAAAAAGCAACAGTGTAATATTGCATAGTACACTATTCTTAAGGGAGATTTCCACATACTCCGTACAGGGTCTATCCACATAGTAACAATAATAATGAATGGCCACGCCCAGTAACGACAAGGTGGGTGTATCAGAAGAGAGATAATCCTTCACACAAGCTAGATCGAATCCCGAATCTGCACATAGCGGAAATACCGATCCTTCGTCCACGCTCTGAACTTCTTCCCCCACAGAATCATCGGCACAGACAACATGATAATGGCAAAATCAAGCACCCCCAACGCAATAAACGTCGTCTTGACGCCCGTGTCCAGCCACGGCTCCACGCAGAACGTGAAAATACACGCCATCAGGTTGTTGATCACGGAAATGCACGCCATCCCCTCCAGAATAGTCAGACTGTAGCATTCCGCACAGTACGTCATGGATAGATCGCCCACGCAGCCCCAGCCGAATCCGATTAAGCCCAGGCCCACATACGGAGCCGGCCAGGACCACTCGTATGCAGTCCCGATACCGAAGACGAACATGCCCGCGGAGCTGATGCAGGCGCATGGGATCAGAAACCAGAGGCGCTGTTCTGCCTCGCGGACTCCGTTGTTGCGGTGCGCCATCCAGATAACGAATACGTCGGAGCAGTAGCCGCCGTACATGCAGCCCAGGAAGGCACCGATGATGCAGGGGACGTTCATAATGCCGTCTGCTGCATCTCCGTAGTTCCATGGTGATTCCACCCAGTAGTCTTCCTCTAGGGTTAAATAGAAACTCAGCCAGGCATCCTGTGCACCCCACTGTAATCCCGAGAAGACGACAGCCGGGAAGCTGAACAGGCGCAAGGTGTGAAACAGGCGGGACATGTATTGTTTGAATCCCGTGCCCTTCAGATTGGAGGCTGGGGTGATGATTGCGATGCGCTGCCAGTATGACTTTGGTTTATCCATGGCAAGAGAGCTACCCGCGCCCATCTCGATCGAGGCTGGAGAGACATCCTCTTTGGCATTCTTGTCGGATAAACCCGACTGCTCGCCAGCATTCTTCTCAGTGCGATATTCGTCGGGATTGATCATCGGTGTGGATTCATCAGATGGACGCTCAAATACCGTTTCTTCCAGGGTAAAAAGACAGATGAGGAACGTGGCCCCGTTGAAAATAACGGCCATCCACCCAATCCATCGCCATCCAAGGGGGCCGTCTGCTATGTAGGACGCGATCAAGGGACCCAGGTACGTGCCGATACTGGTTGCCAGGACGTAGACTCCAATGACGCTACCAAGCTGATGCTCGAAAAACAGATCCGAAAGCGACAGCTGCACGTTAGCCTCCGCACAAGCTTCCGAGGCCCCTATGAAAAGCTGATTCCAAATGGAGTCCTGTGTGTTCTGAACACGGGCAAACCAGACCGACCCTCCAGCTCCAAGAAGCATGCAGATCAGGTAAGAAATACGACGGCCATACAGCCAGGAACTTGGAGAGAGGAGATACGTCGTGACGCCAATCGAGGCAAACAAGATACCCGCGCCGGTATTTTCGGAGCCGTAGGTGATTCCGAGTTCTTCGTTTTGGCCCGTCGATGCACTGCCGGCATCATTTGCAGTGGCGGCTGTTAGACCGGCCATGAAACAGACCAGCATGGCATGCCAGTACTTGCGCGACCAGCTCCAGCGGAGCGGGTCATTTGGGGACTGGGTTGGAGTAGGATTGAGGACGATATTTCCATCATCCACGAGCGTCCAGGTTCCGGGAAGTTCTTCTTCCATCCTGACGATATTCAGCAAAACGAAAAGGTGAACTATGAAGAGAGCAGAGCAACAAGCGCTTGGTCGTTGGTCGCAGTAACACAGCGATTAAGGTCGTTCGGAATATACTCCGTGGATAGATGTATATAAGCGCAACAGACGCCTCAGCAAGCCATGATGGATGCAGTCGAGTAGTCGCAATCAATCTCTTTTCAAAGTAAAAATCCCCGAGAAGAGAAGGATACGCGATACTTCAATGAATACTCTTGTTGTTTTCTTTTGCTTTTTGCTTGCCCCTGCCCCTTGGCAGGAGCCTATCAGCAGGCAATCACAGCGTCTGAGGAAGGATATGTATGATCAACGAAGCAGAGACGAGACGAGGTCAGACAGGACGCACGAGTCGCATAAGTTCCACAAGAAACATGATTGAGCAACCAATGGACAAAGATAAAGTCAGAAGCGCATTCTGAGCGCAGACTCAAGAGAAGGAAAAAAATTTTTCGAAAAAAAGTGAGAATGGGAGAGGCGAGAGAAAAGGGAAAGAAGAAAAAAAATCGCGCGCTAGAACGGACCGTCCCTGCGTGGGTCGCGGGGAGAAGGTGATGCCCGACATAATTTTGATTTTTGCCCCCCTGAAATGGCAAAACGAAGCGAGCTGAGATATGCAGGTCGGCCTTGCCGACTGATCGTCTGCAACCGCAGAGATAAGAGTCTCCCGACGCGGTTTAATTGGTGTTTTCTCTGCGTGAGAATCGAATTGCTGCACGATTTATATCACGTGGTGCGATGTGCCCTGGGTCACGTGCACGTCATGATACCGACGTTGCATTCTAGAAACACGCTAATACGATACAGGCATAGCGCGATCGTATGGGAAGATCTGGATGAGTAAGCATTGCCCTTTTGGGCGTGTGGCAGCATCTGCGACACTTCATTTGTACTCTTACTCCGTACTCCAGCATCACTCTCACCACTATCGCTCAGTTGCACTCTGCGCTCTCGGCAATGGCAGTTAGTGGGGTCGGCCTATATGCCTGGAGGCTAGTCGGGCCCAGTCCCAGTACACTTAAATGGCACCCCACTCGTATTATAACGCTGTAACCCCTCAACACTGCATTCATTGCAACCAGGTGACACTGTGTAATCTGCCAGATACATGATCAGAATGCCGAAGCTCATCTGCATCATCGGCATCACCGGTAATCAAGGCGGCTCCGTCGCCCAACGCTTCCTACAAGACCCAGCTTATCAAGTATGCGGGCTCACTCGTAACCCGGCATCACCGGCCGCAAAACGACTCGCAGCACAGGGAGCCAGAATCCTACAGGCCAATCTAGACGATGTCGACAGCCTGGTTGACGCCTTGCAGGGCGCCAACCTGATCTTCAGCGTCACGAATTACTGGGAACCTTTCTTCCGGGAAGACTGCCGCGCGAAGGCTGCCGAAGCCGGCATCTCCTGTCGCCAGTACGCGTACCAGGTCGAGTATCAGCAGGGGAAGAACATTGCGGATGCTGTTGCAAGGGTGGTCGACGGGCTGGATGAGAATGGGTTTATTGCTTCGACGCTTAGCCATGCGCGGAAATCCAGTAATGGGGCTGTTACGGAGTTGTATCATTTTGATGCGAAGGCTGATATTTTCCCGGATTATGTGAGGGAGAAGTATCCGCTATTGGCGAGCAAGATGTCCTGTGTGCAGACTGGGTATTTTATGTCGAGTTACAAGTTCGTGCCGACGGCTTATTTTACCAAGGTTGGTCTTCGCTTACTCTTTGGTTTCTTGCGTAACTGACGCAATCCAGTTGCCTGACGATGGCGGGTTCGAAATGAGGTTTCCTACCGCGCCTGACAAACCAGTGCCTCACTTGGATGTCAACGCGGATATGGGAAACTTTGTGTACGCTGTGTCCAAAATGCCGCCGGGTAAGAGCTACATGGCCGAAGGGTCTACCTGTAGTTGGTCCGAGTATATGCGGTTGTGGTCCGACGCTACCAAGGTTCCCGGACGTTACAAACAAGTCAGCCTTGTGCAGATGATCGCGGCCGTTCCGGACAGGGAGTTTGGAAGGGAAGTTGGCGATATGTTTGTTTACTCTTCCGATCCGGGGTATGACGGGGGTGATACGACGCTTCTCAAGGCAGCCGATTTGCGAAAGGTGAGCTAGGTTTTTTTGCAGATAAAGACAAAGATTGTATTGCTAATCATATATGCATAGTTGGGAATTGACTGTCCGATGAGGAGTCTCGAGGACTTTATCCAGAATGAAGATTGGTCGTTGCTGCTATCATCATAAGAAACAAATGAAAGGGTGGACACAGGAGTCAGACTCATACGCTCTCTGATGTCTCTGGCTTCCGCCCGTATATAAACCGATATACCGTGTACAAATGCAAGGCTGGGTCGTTGAATTCCTTCCGTACCATGGCGAAGGAGACCTTTGCCTGTTCCATGGAATAGTGGAACACGCGCGTGTAGAGAGCCATCGAGTGCGCCTCGACCGACTCGTTCATATGCAGCCGCTCCAGGTTGCCCAGTTCCTTGAGCTTTGGGTCGCGAGCCCAGGGGCCCATTGGGGCCTAGAGTGTTAGAGCGGTTAGAGAGTGGTTAGAGATATATATGATGCCCGGTCAGTTCCCACTAACCTTGCAAATCTTTTCTTTGACGTCGAGAAATCCCGCATCGATCATCCACTGCTTCTGAAAACGGCCAACGTTCAGCGTCTTTCCGAGCTGCGTACTGGTCCTCTCCAGCACATCCAGCCAAGCCCTAGTCCAGGGCGCCTTCTCCAAGTCCGGATCATCATCGCTGAAGATCCAAGCATCATACTCATGAACCTCCAAATAACCACCCGGTTTCAGACTCTTGTATGCTTGTCCGTACATCTTGGGCCAATCGCTCACGCTTCCACAGAGCGACCGCCAGTGCACGTAGTCGAACTCCTCCCGCTCATCGAAATCCCACGGCTGCTCGAAATCGTCCACGTAGAACTTGACGTTAGGCGGCACGAAACTCGGCTGGATGGGAGACAGGTCCGTGCCGATGACCAGTGCTTCCGGGTGGTCATCCGCGAAGTCAATGGCCCAGATCCCGGTGCCGGTGCCGACGTCGAGGACCCGAAGCGGGTTCTCGATCGGAGCTAGGTACAATTCACCCCCGAGACAGAACAGGTAGATGTGGTGCTGGAGGTCGAGACGGTCCTGCTCCTCCTCGTCGTTGGGCAGGATGTACGCGCCGGCCTTGTAGGCGTGGTAGCGACGACCGTTCTCGAACTCGTAGGCCATTATCGAGGAGCGGAGGGAGTCGCTCGATGAGGCGACCGAGCCGCCATACAGGGAATCGGTGTCATCATCGTTCTCTTCCTGCTCGGCCTGGGCCTAACCTCTTGCACAAGGAGACATCAGCCAGTTAGCAACCGTCAGTGGAGGATCTGGCATGGCATCGCACATTATGGTCAATAGCAATTGCCGGCTCGTCCTGGGGGAGTGCCGGGTGAGGAGCTGGAGGAGCTGGAGGAGCTGGAGGAGCTGGAAGAGCTGGAGGAGATGCGGACGCAGCTGGTGAAGCCTCACCCTCAGCCATAACTGCAGAACAGGGATGGATGCAGCCTAGAGAAACTGATTTCAAATTTCACACCGACAGGGGGTCTGCGTATAACCGCCTCAGGGGTTCGCCCCTCCATAATTTTCCGCAGTCAATAACCGCTCAACCGACACGCTAGCTGTTAAGCCATGCGTCGCCGAAGTTTATCATAGCCCCGTGGGGACAGCCGTGAAGATTCACTTCTATACGTATACGGTGGGATTATTGTCTAGTACGAGTTCATGGTACAGACGAGCTCTCTCTCATCTCGACTCTTCTCTCCAGCAGTAAGATATGGAATACAGTCAAGGAAGTACAATCAACGACTCGGCAATCGGCATCGGGCCTGGTAAAAGTGAGGCTTGGTTAGGACCATTTAGCGGCCCAAGATCTGCATCGGGACATCAGTAGTAGGGGAAAGTCATAGACGAGGTGGTTGTTCACTGCAGTCTGGTTTGCCAGTGTCTAGGCAGAAAACTAGGACTGTGCAGGGTATATCTAATACTACATATATCTAATATCCATGCTCAACCCCCCTGACAATCTTTTGTGCTGGCAACCGATGCCCTACAATATCATCCGCATGCAAAAAACCCATACTCGACACCCGATGCTCAGCAGCCAGGATATCCCCCACAATCCCCGGCGCAACACGTCTCTTAACCAGTCTGGCCCTGGCGACCTCCCTATCCACATCAATATACCACCGTTCATCCATGAAAGCAACCGCAGACCGCCACGGCTCCACGGCTCCCGATCCAGCGCGAGATGCAGACTTGTTGAGCCCCCCTTTCTGCGAGAGTGGTCTTTCCCGAGCCTGGGATTCCGGAAATACCGATGAGGACTCGTGCATTGGCGTTTTTTCGCTGGAGGAGGGCTTCTCGTTTTCGATCAGTAACGGTATTCAGTATGTACGGAGTAAGACATCCAAAATGCAGATGGCCATAACGACATTAACGAGAAAGCAGGCAAAGCCGCATACAAAACCGACTGTGATAAGAATAAATAAATAAACGAAGCATATCACAGCAAACTCCAAGCCAAGCCGGTCGGGAAAACGCCCCAGCACGAACTCCCGTGCCCGAAAGAAGGTTCTGATGAAAGCCGGCCTATCATTGTGCTTCTGAGCCGTTTTCAGGCTGAGGCTCCTTTGCTTTCATCCTCCCTCGTGGGTATCATGGGTCTTCGGATGTGTCGGATTGGGCGTTGAGCCCTGCATAACAATCAGGGTTCTTCGAAGCCTGTTAAGTTCAACGGACAGGGTTGAGGCCGTAATTATGGCGGACGTGATATGCTATTCAGCTAGCTTCACTATGTCTGCCTACTTCACATGGCTTGTGGCTGACGCCTCACTTCATTTCTATACCGTCTCGTATGGGGCGTTCATCCTACACCTTGCCCGGGTGAAGGGCGTTGAAGAAAACCCAAATTTTCTCCTGCCCTCCTTCCCTGTGTAGTGTAGCTCGGCTTGATACATGACGACCTCAGGCTGCCATGGACTGGATGCACTATGCCACGAGGCTCTTATCCCGGCATTCGTTCTATCAAGACGAAGGTATTTGAATGCCCGAGATCTTCCCTCTTGCCACCCATTCTGCTGACTTCTCTTTTTCAGCTAGGCCAGTACTAGTAATCATTGCTTCATTTTCACGTTGCTATTTTCATACGTTAGCTCCAAGTGCTGCCGTTGTTCTCTAGTATCACCTTGGGCTCTATCAGCAATATGGCCGTGAGAAATTATCCTCCCACCCCACATCCAATCTATTTTCCCCCAGCCCATCCGGGAGCGGGTCCACCGGTCTTCCAGAGCCCCATTCCAACCCCGGGGGCCCCTCTAAGGAACGGCAAGCAGGCAGTGGAATACGACCGTACGGAGGAATCTCTGTCCGGTCGAATGGCCGGGCTCAGCTTTGATCACGCAGGATCAGCCAGAGACAGGAACGACATCCCTGCCAAGAAAAACGGAAAAGGTCTTCCTCGCCTCAGTCAGCACATATCATCTCCGTTTTATGAGGGCTGGACTTTCACTAAGGCCGATCCGGAGTTCCCTGGCCAGCAGAGAACCTGGAGACGAGCAAATAGATCGCACATGGGTCTTAGCCAAAGCCAGCTTTCGAAACTAGTCCAAAAGAAGGCTAAGAAGTCCAGTGTCTCGAAGCAATATGCCAGTCTTCCGAAATTCCTTCGAGCCCAGATCGATCGTCTGATTGATGATCGAAACAGGGAAGACGATGACCTGAGATTCGAGTGGCGTTGCGCTTATGCGCAAGGGAATGACAGACTTGTCTTGAACAAGAATGCGCGGTCTCCTGTTTCCGAAACTGTTTCCGCACACGTCGTTATCAAAAAGAGGCTGCGGGATGATGTCTCCGTTAGCTCCAACAGTTCCTCGTGCGAGGAATCTTCAACTAGTGAAATTGTGGATCTTGGATCTTCTCTGAAGGCCAAGCATAGACCCTTCAGCAACCACGACATGCATGAGGGACGAGTGAGTCCAGGGCCATCCAATGACATACCCAGAAACATCCAATGGGGCGCAGGAGTGGCTCCGAGAGGACCACACTCACATCCGGCGCCTGTCCAGCACCCTGTTCCTGTTAATCATCATCCAACCCTTCCTCCCCCTCCTCCTCACCCTCATCCTCCTCCTGCTGCTGCTGCTGGGCCAGAGAACGGTCCTGGGGGATATCCCCATTTGGGAGTTCCATTTCCACAAGCACCGCCGCCGCAAGCGCAGCCATTTCCAGGTTTACATGGTAGCATAGGTGCAGGTCCCGGTCAAGGAAATAATAACCAGTTCGGGCCACGCACCTTTCCAGCGAACGTCCAGGGGCCTGAATATCATCCTCCTCCAAGAACAAATCCAGCCGCGCCAACCTCCCCGTCATACGAGAAAACGAATCAACAAAAGCAATCCGCTCCGAAATTAGTCCCAAGACCTTGGTCACCGAAGCTGGCCACGCAAGCCAATCTCACATTGACGCCAGACAACAGTAACACAGAGAATGATGGGTTCAGTGCATTCGACCAAGAGTACAAGCCATCTGTTACAGACATGGGATCGATTGATGACGGACCATTTAAGGCCAAACGACGCCAACAGCGTGGAAGCCTTCACCACCCGCGGCAAGATTCACCAAAGCGACATCGGGCGCCTGTATATCGCCCGCACTATCGCCCATCACCTAGTAGTAAGACAAGAGACGAAGGGAGCAGACAAGGCGCACGTCCCCTCTCACACAGACAGTTGCGGGACGTCCAACCCAGGATCGTCCAGAGTGCATATCGCACTGGTTTCCGCAGCTCCACAAGTTCCATTGACATGGAGCCAGAGTATGCAGAAGAAAAAAAGCTGGAGAGACAGGTCATTGAGAGTCTGATTGAGAGTCAGAAAGAGCTGTTGGCTGAGCGGGTGAGATCCATTGAGCGGCGAGAGAAAGATCTTGCCTCACGGGCGCGCGAGATGGAGCGGATGGACAGGATGGAAAGACTGGAAGAAGCACGGTTGCTGGAGCGTCACCGATATCCTGGATTTGGATACTATCCCAGGGTGTATTAGTTGTCTGACCTGGCATGATCTGATGTTTTTATAATTATAATGGTTGTAGCATGAAAGGATGAAATGGTATGATGTTATCGATAAACAACTGCCCCGCCCGACTTCGCCCGGTGACGGTTTCGTTGTCCCTCTTCTTCTCTTCTCCTCTTCTCCTCTTCTCCTTTTCCTCTCTCTCTTTTCTCATCTCTTCCTGTCCTCATCCTCATCCTCATCCTAATCTTGTTCACCTCATCTTGCTTCCATCTTAAATATCTATCACCGCCATCATGCCTCGCAAATTCTTCGTCGGAGGAAACTTCAAGATGTACGCAACTCCCCCACCATCCTCGGCTACTCCGCGGTCCACTGACGGCTATTGTGCCTGTCTACAGGAATGGTGCTGTAGAAAGCATCACATCTATCATTAACAACCTCAACTCTGCCAAACTCGACCCCAGGACTGAGGTTGTCATTGCTCCTCCCGCCCTCTACCTCCTCCTCGCCCGCCAACTGGCCAACGACAACATTGCCATTTCCGCCCAGAATGTCTTCGACAAGCCCAATGGTGCTTTCACCGGTGAACTCAGTGTCTCACAACTCCAGGATGCCAAGGTTCAATGGGCTCTGGTTGGCCACAGCGAGCGGAGAACCATTCTGAAGGAGACGGATGAGGTATATATCCTAAGCTGCACGGACAGTATAAGCATGCTGACATCTTTTAGTTCGTTTCCAGCAAGACAAAGGCTGCTATTGACGGTGGTCTGAGTGTTATCCTCTGCATTGGTGAGAGCCTCGAGGTAATTCCCCTTTCCGTGCTCTTTATGTCAAGCCCAATCTCACATGCGATCACTCGATTTAGGAGCGTGAAGCTGGCAAGACTATCGATGTTGTCACCAAGCAGCTGAACGCCGTCGCTGCCAAGCTGTCCAAGGAGGATTGGGCCAAGGTCGTCATTGCCTACGAGCCCATCTGGTAAGAATAGCCGCATTGTTCATTCAGCAAAACCAAGCTTTCTGTCTAACAATAATTCCTCCTTCAGGGCAATTGGTACCGGCAAGGTCGCCACCACCCAGCAGGCGCAGGAAGTCCACGCTGCTATCCGCAAGTGGTTGGCCGAAGCCATATCCCCGGAGGTTTCCGAGGCCACTCGTGTCATCTACGGCGGTAGCGTCAGCGAGAAGAACTGCCGCGACTTGGCTAAGGAGCACGACGTTGATGGTTTCTTGGTCGGCGGTGCAAGCTTGAAGCCCGCATGTACGTTATCTCCTTTTCACTTCTGGGATGATTTTCGAGGTACTAATTTGGTCTGCAGTTGTCGATATCATCAACGCTCGCGAGTAAAAGGTTATATAGACATATTCTTCTGCCGAGCATATGCAATCTAGCAAGGCTGGCACTTTTATAGTTTTGCATGCTGCATTCATGGGGATACTACATGTCTGCACGAATGATGAATGTAGACTGGTCAGTTTATGAAAGGAAACAATGAAATAAAAGTCACATTACAAGAATTTAATGCAGTCTTCATCAGCTGCCCAATTGCTTTGCCTGTTGTCTCGCATTTCATACTTGCAGCTTGTTTTAATTGTGAAGCGAGTACCTGTGAACCCCCTGTTTCAGTTAGAATTGCCGTCTTGGGTATAGCGCCCACATAACGCATACTGTAACCACCACCGCTGCTGCGCCGACTATAAGAATCAACTTAATGAACTTAATGACTGTATTGAGTACTTTTTTGAGCCCAGGAGCTCAGGGGTGGCCGCTAGCTAACTAATAATGGAGGTATATCTTGTTGGTTACTAGCTAGATAGGCCTACGTGGTGAAAAGGGTCAGCGAGGGCGGACCTATGCGGCAGAATCCCACGTCATCCAACAACTAAGTGATGCATACTAACTACCACGATGTCAGAAAGGAGATCAATCACAAGGCCTACCCCCAAACACGAAGTATTATTAGGCCAGACCCATTGCAAAATTGACTTAGCCTGGTAGCAATATCCCATGGACAGATAAGTTTAGAAAGTGTAGGCTTCATGGATACCTCTCCACCGTTAAGCCTGCATGTTGAAAATGGCCTTCAGCGCTGTCTTTCCGTGCGCCAACTTCGTGGAGGCACCACTAAAGGAAGATATGGAACCCCTCCCTGAGAGTCCTGCGGGAGGTTGGCCACACCTTCTTTATATGGCACTTCAGCTCGGCAAAGAACTCTTCGATAGGGTTGAAGTCCAGGGAATACGGCAGCAAGTACAGGAGCTTGACCCCTGCATCAGCGCACAGCTGCTTGACTCGATCCAAATGGTGGAACAATGCATTATCCATAACAAGTACCGATTTCGGCTCTGGCCATCTCCCACAATGCTGCAGCAGTTGCTCAAGAAAGGATTCAAAAAATTTAGCATCCGTTGACCCTGTAAATATGCGGGATAATAAGATGCCGTCCTGTGTGTATGCCGGTAGTATCTGGTAGCGTTCGCCCTGGTGGAATTTAGATACTTGAACTGGCGTCACTCCTGAAGGAGACCAACCACTCCGTCGATATCCCACCCGCTTATCACACCCCGATTCGTCAACAAATACCAAATGGTAGGAACGGAACTCAGATAGTTTATGCTGGTAGAAATCCCGTAGTTCAGGATTCTGTTCCCTTGCTTTTTGCTGGGCCTTCTTCCTGGTCCATCCGGCACTGGCAAGGGCACGTTTGACACTGGACGGCGAAGGCAGAACACCAAATTCGTCCCATAAGTAGATGGCCATCTCTTCAACGTATAGGGTTTGTTTTTCTGGTGAGGTGATCAAGGAGGGCATCAAGCATCACGGGAGTAATGGTCGGCGGTCGGCCGACACGGACTGGGGGAGATCTTGCGCTGCCGAATAATCTCATCTTCCTGCGTATCCTAGTGGCGGAGCGTTCGCTACATTTTGCTGCCTGGGCAATTTGTGATATCGTAAGTGCTTTCTTGCTGCATATCATATGAAGAATCATGTTATGCTGCCAGGAATCGAGGTTCCTCGCCATTTTGTGGTGGGTTGTTTGAATGTTGATGGCTCCTGGCCTGGCAACGTCACGGCAGTTGGTGTTTATTTTTAGAATTGTAACAATACGGGAACGAAACAGATGACTCAAATACAGATTCGTTTCATTCAGAGGAGCTGGTATGCGAAACATAGGTTAAAATACATACTTGCCCTACATGGAATAGCGTATATTGGCATTTAGGGTTCGAAAAGCACTCGTTGTATATATAATATGGAATCCAGTTTCGGACTTCTCTGTACTCCTTGGGAATAGGCCGGGGAAGCAAGTCGTTCATAGTGATATACTTATATCACCTATTTCGAACCTGCCTTTCACCAAGAACCGAGTTCGTAAATAGGCAAGACTCTGGCCATCCTTCCCGCAAACAGGAGAACCACTAGCTGCCTTCATTTCTGAGCCCCTTTTATCACTAGCTAGAAGTCTGGGAAAAGCGAGTCCGGAAACGACTGCCTCTCTGTTCTTTGTTATCACACCTTAGAATACTAAGCGGAAGGAAAGTCGATGGACAGTGGCTCAGCCGGTCTGGGTCCGAGAAGTCCGATTTCAAGAGAGTCAGTCCCACTGCTTTTGAACTCGAGAAAGGAACCAAGGGCTGCAATCAATCCATTCTGGTCTATGGAAATGGCGGTTTGCTTTGCTAGAAGCTATAGCACAGCATAGAGAAACTGAAATTTCAGATGACCAGACTCCATCTTTATTGTATATGACAACTTTCATAAAGGAGGAATGCACGTTGTACTGTACATTCATGATGAGTATAACACAGAAACCCCAACACCCCTCCAATATGAAGCCGCACCAAGGCCTCCTCCACCCGCGGATTGCCCAGAGGTACTCGACGAAGAGCAGCCTGACGAGAACGAGCTAGGACCTAGCCCCACGCCTGCACTGACGAGGAGTTCCTTGACGCGTCCTTCCCAGAGCAACCGGACGTTCCATGATTGGTCAACTCGGATTTTGATGACGGATTCGCTTACGTCTTCGTCGTTCGGAGGTGAGCTTTTCGCTGCTGTTTCTGTCGGTATCTGAAATGCATCCGTGTCTGTAGCCACATCCATACGCATTTTTCGTCTAGCCCATTCGAGTCCGTCGTCATCTTCCTCTAGCCGTGGCTTCCTGGTCTGTCTCCATAGTTCGCAGCCAGCGACCATTTCACTTTCCCAACTGTACACGTTAAAACCGAATCGGGAGCTAAACGCCAAATTTGGAGAGGCGCGGACAGAGTATGTTGCTGACAGTGATCCCGTGAGGGGCGTTAATGTTAACGTCAAGGAGTAGGGGAAGGTGGAAATGGGGGCGTTATTGTTCGATGATGACGACGACGGTACCTCTGTAGCAGCTGGAAGAGTGCTAAATCGCAATCCCGTAGACATTCCTATTAGAGATGATAGAGGAGAGTAGTATGCTTCTGCACCCGCAGATAAGAGGGATAGTAACGGGGGTCTGTCTTTGGCAGTGGAAGTATCCTTTCTCGGGTCGGAGCCGAAATTCCACAACCCCCTCCACCCGAAGAGAGCATTATCCGTGCTAAACAGATATTCATTGCTGTATTTGCCTGTGTCGTGGGAGAGTTGCGTGAGAACGGCTGCTTGCGGTGCTGATTTCGACAGCGGCGGCCCCCGTGTCGAGCATACCGCGAGTGACCATTGCATGGTCGGAGAGATGCGGCGGAGGAACAATGCATTCAGGGTAGTTGGGGGAGGTAGGTGCAGGGTAGCATGTAGCAGTGTCGGTTTTTGGCCGTCATAATCATACTTCTGGACATTATTGCCGTCGAGTAAAGGGCCATGGGCGGGCGATACAGGGGCCTGTATTTGGCGATAACCGGGAGCGAGTTTGCGAAGGGGTATCAATGCACTTTTGCTAGGGGTGCTATTGAACGGAACCGTGCTGAAGAGATATGACACTGATCCGTCAATGAGGCCAACGGTGCCAAGAGTGTAGCTCGTCGCAAAGTGCGGAGTGGAAAGAGATGAGAGATGGACGCGCAGACGTTCTGGGGTTGAAAAGTCGAGGATTGCTACAACACTTATAAGTCTTAAGATAAAGCACAAGAAATAGAACCGTTTCTTCACATACACTGCGCTGTCGCTGTGAGGGACGAGTAGGAGTTATCTCGATTCCAGTTTGTAGCCTCGGCGAAGGCGAGCTGGATGTAGTCCATGAAGTCCAGCATGATTCGGGCAGAGGAGCAAATAGGGTGTCAGTTTAAGGCCGCCAGGAGTCATGCATCAATATGCAACTAGACAGGACAGCCATATCTAGACACGATGCCTGAATGCTTCTGAGGGAAATGGATGCCAGCCATGAACCGCGGGTTGTTTCTGTTTCTGGCGGAGATGAAGCTTATTTCTAAATCTGGACTAGTGTCATCGGATAAGATGTGCATCAACTTTCTTCCGTTTCCGTCCGTTATCAGAAAGAAAAAAAAGAAAAGAAAAAAAATAATTCAATTGAAGTCGTCAACACTGCCCATTAGAGAACAGACATAGGGAAAGGGGCAAAGGCTTTTTCGCTAGATTTATTATTGTGCTCGGTTATTTCCGCTTCCATTCCCATAATACAACCATGCCTCGATCAAAACGTGCGAGGATCGTCACCGAGACCAAGACCGCCAAAAAATCCCACAAGGAACAGACCAGACGCCTCTACGCAAATATCCGAGAATGCATCGAAAAATACGATTATCTGTTTGTCTTTGGTGTGGATAATATGCGCAATACATATTTGAAGGATGTGCGTACCGAGTTTGGAGATAGCCGGTCAGTTTCTTCCCCTCCTCTCATCTTCTAATAAGAATTACCGTCGCTGTAAGGTAGCATGTCGACTACGAACTTGGTAACTAACACCTAAAATAGCCTCTTCTTCGGAAAAACAAAAGTTATGGCAGTAGCTCTTGGCCAGAACCCCGAAACCGAGGCCGCAGAGAATTTGCATCTCCTACACCCTTACCTAACTGGTGCCGTTGGACTTCTCTTTACATCGCGTACGCCTGAATCCGTGATCAGCTACTTCGACTCGTTTCGGCCATTGGACTTTGCCCGTGCCGGGACGGTGAGTACCCGTGCGTTTTCCATTCCCAATGGTCTGGTGTACTCGCGTGCCGGCGAGATTCCTGCATCCGAGGACGAGCCTGTTAGTCATACCATTGAGCCTGCGTTGAGGAAGTTGGGTGTGCCTACGCGTTTGGTGAAGGGAAAGGTCATGCTGGAGTTGACGGAGGGGCAGGAAGGATATCCAGTTTGTCGAGAGGGTGAGGTATTGGATTCCAGGCAGACGACACTGTTGAAGATGTTCGGTGTCACTATGGCAGAGTTCCATGTTGCTCTGAAAGCATATTGGAATCGGAAAGATACTCAAGTTACCATTCTGGAGAAGAAAGAGGGCGAGATGGACGTTGATGGACAGTGAAAGCACAACAAAACAAAACAGGAGACGGCAAAAGCTTTTCTTTTTTTTTTTTTTTTTGTTTTCTCTCTTTTCATATTTCAAGAGTGGCTGGATGAGCCAGCTCAGATTATGGCTGTTCCACTTCAGTTATGTTCTGGACATATTGCGGCGTTTGGTACGGGCGTTTCTGCTTTGTCTTCATCTACCTGTTGGTCCTATATTCTGTTGATGAGCGTACGATGAACGCCACGCGTACTTGCGCCATCGATGACTATCATGAATGAGACCGTACTAGTTTTCAGAGACTATATACCTGGATTGTTTCCCCTGGAGCCGCCGCGCATGATTCCATTACCTTGGCTTATATGTCGCCATTAGGAGATCTGGCATTGCTCCATTGCTGTGAAAGACCTTACCTGATAGAATAATCTTACCTCAAAACCCATGTATGCTGTCCTTCCTATCGCCCTTCAACTATTTTGACTAAGATACATACTTACCCCAGAATGCCAGATCAGAAACGTATAAGACAGTAAATAAACGAAACCGCAACGAGAAATGAAAACATAAAGCAGACAGCATCGAAGAAAGAAAAAAAAATAAGAGAAAAAAAAAAAAGAGCATGGAATGATATGCTGGGGATCAGAGAGAAAATAACCGATTCATGCTTAACCTCAACCTGCTAGAAAGACTGTGCCGTATTTGCCCGGGAAATTTGGCAAGGGCGGAATGCCTAAAGCTCAGGGTGCGTCATTTCCCGGGGAGTTCAATAGGTGCTGAAAGAGCTGCCGAATCATGGGGACTGTTGTAAGTAGGAGAAAGCGCAATGCACCGTAAGATCTTAGGTCGACTATTTAACTGGCGAAATCTTACCCGTACCAAAAACAATAAACAGAGAGAAAAAGGTCGACTAATTAGGTACGTAGTATACCCACTAGCAGATGATGGCTGAGTATCTCAAGAAGGGGAGACGACGAAGACTATCCCACGCCAAGTGACATCTTTTTAGTACCTTCGCTTGGCACGATGGTCATCGTATCCATCGTCATCATGGTACCTCTTCCGTCCATAATCGTCTCGTTCGCCATGTCTGTCACGTTCCCGGTCACGGTCACGACCGCGCTCGCGGTATCGATCCTCCCTCTCGGCAGTCCTTTCACGGTCTCTGCGACGGTCGTATTCACGGTCACGGTCACGATCACGGTCATAGTCACGTCGGTCACGGAATGTATGGCCTTCCCTTGGTTTCACTGGTTCACGATTGCTGCCTGTTGGGCCACGAGCATCGCGTTCGTACTTCCCACCACCAGAGTAGGACCCACCAAAACCAGCATTGCGACCACCTCCAGGGCCAGATGGAGCATTTGGTGGCGGCTGTCCGCCATATCCGTTACGCCCACCTTGGTATCCAACACCTCGAGGTGGACCATATGACCGGTCACTACGGTAGCCTCCTCGAAATCCCCTACCACCATAACCACCCCGAAATCCACCGCCATAGCCGCCAGGTCCAGAAGGCGCATTAAATCCAGGTCCGATGGGACGTGACGGTAGTGCCTTGGTATACCCACGACCACCAAGTCCTCCTCCAAAGCGACGGGGCTTCCAGCCTTTGACGGTTCGACCGCGTTCCACATCAACCAGAACACGCCTATCCTTAATTCGTATACCATCTGTTTCTTTATAGGCGGCTGAAGAAAGGGGCGAACAAAAGCGTGTCAGTTTAAAAAGAATTATCTTGAGTCATTATACAACGCTGCGAATGCATTAGAATGACTTAATGGAGAAGAAGACAGATACCTTTCATATCTTTTTCACGCTCATAAACGATGAATGCATATCCCCTGTGGGGCTTCTTTGAATTTCCTGTAGTGTCTTTGACGATGCGAATCTAGGGATGGGTAAGCCACTGTCTGGGAGAAAGGAGTAGAGGTATTAAAAAGGCCCGAAGCCCAGGAACGAAAGGAGCCTGTACCCTCTCAACTGGCCCGAATCTCCCAAACTCGCGTTCGAGATCGGATTCCTTCACATCATAGCTGAGGCGAGCAACAAAAAGGGTCCTGAATGGATCACCCCGAGCTTGCGGATCATTATTGGGATCATCTGTTGCACACAAAGCGTTGTGTCAGCATCGAGCGCCTAGGGCATTACAAATTCACAAAATTGAGCTCTTTGGGGGGAAATAAAAAAGATAAAGAGAACGCGGGAACACGCCGTACAATTCTGTAGGGTTTCCGCCAATTGTTGTGGAAATCGTTCCTTCTTCTCTATCTTCTCGCGCCATTTGCGCTGTAACCAGCTCTCGCTAGGTTGGTATGGAACCTCTTCTGGGTATCTTTTGAAGTCATCTAGAAATTGTGCAACGCCAGAAATAGAACTTTTCTTGACATCATCGGGAGCACGATCAGTGGGAGGGAGATAACGAAGAGGCGGACGAGGCTGGAAGAGCGCAAGGAGTGGAGGGGGTAGCTTGTCCGTCATCTCGCGTCTGCACGAAGGAATTTACAAATAGCAAGAATACTATCTGCGAGATGCAGTCCTCAGCATTGGTGCAGGACAACGAAAACAAAGGGCAATAGAAAGAATGAATGGGTTGCTGAAAAACAAAGCCGAGTTGTCTCAATTACTGTTGCAGCTGTCCTCTTGCCGCACAACAGTTTCGCGTTCCCGAACTTGTCTTAGACGCGATAAACGCTGTTGCCGCCTGCCAGTAAATTCTGCTTATGTAATATACTTCGGATTCCTACCCGATCGAATGGTCCTCCGCAAGACTGGATAACCAAGATATTGGACATTACGGGCCATCTTTCTGTTCAGAAGTGCGTGCTCAACTATATCAGACTATGCCGGTGCAAGGGATCAGAACGGTTACCGCAGCCAGGGTATGCCCCCAATTTATTTGGCTTCCTCGGGGTCTTCTTTCAAATAAGCCGGTGAAACTGACAATGATCTGAAATGTTCCAGAATGGCGTGGGCGCATTTATCTTGCAATGCAAGCGCATTGATTTTCACTACTGCGACTGGGCGGGGAGTTCACGCGGCATGGTGTGAGTATTCCATTACATTCAGGAAGAGAAATGGGCATTGAAAGAGGCCTTCCCAGAATCAACTTTTGAAGCTGATTATATTTCATCCCTGCAGCGCTTTCTTAAAACATCACCTCCCTGCCTTCGCGAAAGCGAACCCTCAGATTGAAATCCGTGTTTCTCCGCGACCGAACAAGCATCCCGTCATTAAGGGGCATTATATAAATGGGCGAGAGAAGCCCATTTGCGTCCGAAACCTTGAACCAGAGCAGATCCTTCAGAAGACTAATCTGCTCAAGCAGGCAAGTGGGGAGAAATTGAAGAACACTAAGAAGCCGGTTTTGAGTATCAACGAGAGTGTCAGAGGTATTTGGTCTCCGTACCATGGGGATCTCAAGATGGTATAATCTGGTTTTTTATGTTGGGTTAGTGCTGGGTTGATGAAGCCTAGGACTGAGAGCGAGTTTTTCATTCATTTACGGTTTGCTGTTATGGGCTATTCTTTGGTGTTTTCTTTCCCTATATTTTTAACGCAGATGTTGTCACCAAAGCTTTTGTATTATATGCCGTGCTATATTCCAGCAATGTGGGAGTGCAAGGGGATAGATATACTTTAAAAATACATATGATGCTCGCAAATGCAAAATATAGAAGTTTCGCAATTAATCCATAACCCATAGGGAGACTAATAAATCCCCCCATAATATTGAAACGCCAGATTGGAATATGCTATGACAGGTGTTCCCCTGGGTATCAAAGCTGAGAAAAAGCAGTCAAAGACCAGAATTTCACCCTCCCTTACAGGCCGAACCATGAACACCCCTGCTATGCTAATATGATTCCGAATGCCTGTCGCAGCGTTGGTCTTGCCAAAACGTTCCCCAAGATCATAAATATATTTGGAACATTGCCTTGGGTGAGCTGACCAACTTCCCACAACCAGCAACTTGGCATTTAGCAAATGGTTTTGCTCTTGTCTGTGATGATGAGACAGCCTTTTTGGCTTTCGTTAGTGAACGATTTGTGGCACATTCACCGCAGTAGACCTTAATTGAGTCAGCCAACCCGCCGGGACTTTGACAGGGACGATACGTACATGGCCGCATTGCTTGGCCACCCAAATCTGTTTCTTGATCTCATCGCCTACTCCAAGTTCTGCATCACAATTTGGGCATACAACAACGTCATTATCTCGGGCATTTCTGGTGAAACCTTCGGGCGCAGGGCTTGGAGGCTTGTAGGAGGGGGGCCGCCTTGTAGAATCAAAGCCAGGCGTGATATCAGGAAATTCAAAAGTCAGATCGACGGCGAGATCAAGATCACTTCTCGGCCCATCAATCCAGAGGGTCTCGACTTCTTGGGGCGGCCGGTGTGGGAGGTTCCGGGCTCTCCGGGCAACTTCTTGCCTGATTGTCGCCTCACGATCCGGAAGAATCGGAACACGGAGTCGTAACATATTCAGAATATCTGTGTGACTGATAAAAGTAGGAGGCCTTCGGGGAAGGGGTGCTGGCCGAACTGTAGATCTCACGAATTCCACTTCTGGGCTTCTAGGCCCCCCCATGTACTGTACTTCAGGGCTGCTAGAGAGATTGATGGGGGCTTGAGTTTCTTCCTCTAAATCCACAACAACATCGTCCATTATGTTCCTTCCAAATCTTGGGGGTCTTGCCCGATGTGGAGTAGTAGCCCCAGAGTGTTGCGGATCATGGTGACGAGTACGTCGTGGTGGAGAGTCGGGTTCATTCGTTAAATCAATGACTTCCTCCTGCATCTGATGAGGTCTCGACATTATGGGCCGTCGAAAGTCGAACCCATCGCCAACATATCGTGGTGGCAATGGCGGGAGAGATAAGTGAGGATCGGAGTGAGGATTGGGACGACGGGAGGAGCTGGACGTTTCACCTCTTTCCCGCCAGGAAGGCTGACTATTACTGTAATCTGAGTCAGACAACTGACGATGAGAACGCTGTAGACATATCATTTGAACGGTCAGCCCGACGGAGGATATTTTCTTCTTTTTGTGCACATGTTAAGGAGACAGACGGCGCCCCCGCCCTTATTGTTCAGACGAGCTGTGGGGTAAGGACGCACCTTTCTTGACCTTGCCGCCAGAAACTGAATGGTGGAATCGTCATCCATGTTGGTAATCCTTGATGCAGGGGTAATATGGCAGCGAAGGGAATGAGAGGGAATCAGAGGTGGAAGAGAGGCCGAAGATAGGCGTGGCTCTGCGTCGGTGGAGGGCATGATTAGTCGTTCCAAGCTCTGGGTGGCACTCCTGTTCTGCAGCCCTGTCGGCTATGAGACAAGTGGCCAGGCCCTTCCCACGTCAATAGTAGGACGAGATAAGCCACTGACATAGAGCAGTTTCCCACGCGAATCCAAGGGAGCTGAGTAGATCTGGGTCTCTCCCTGACATCAGGAGATGCAGATAGAGATGGACATGGACATGGACTGCAAATGGGCGCTACGGATGAAGTCACGTGGTATCTAAGACAACTAAGCCGGCCTTGTTTGCTTGAAGAATCCAGAAACCTGAACAAAGATTGCTAAAAATTACACATGGTATGGAAAGGTATCACGCCTCATTATCCTCTTCATGACTTTGCTGCCAGCACTGTAACCACTCCGTCTGCATTCGCAGCTACTATGCTCTGAGCTGCTGCACCCCATGCCACTGAAACCGCAGGGACGGCACTCCTGAAGGGCTCCGACCATTGCTTTGATGATTTTGAATACTGCTGCACAGTGAGGCCGCTGGGACCGCCGGTCAGCAGGAATTGACCTGTGTAATCCCAGCTGATCGTGTCGATCTTATTGCCCGTATCCAGAACCTTGATTTCCGACGAGTGGCGCAGATCCCATATGGAGATGGAAGTAGAGTTCTCTACCACAGCAGCCAAGAAGGTTCCATTTTCGGAAAAGAAAAGACACTTGACTGGGCCGGACATAGCATAGTTTGCAGCCGCAACGCTGCTTCGCACCTCAAAGATTTTGATCTGTCCATCTGCGCCTCCAGCAGCAACCAGATGGCCGTCTGGATGGAATTTCACGGATAGTAGAGCTGGAAAAATTAGTATAGGATCCATATGGAAGACTGCGTGGAGAAAGCACTTACAAGCATCGCTGAAAACCTGGGTAGTCACCGAATTTGTTGTCAGATCATACAATACATAGCTTTTATCAACACCGGCAGAAGCGACGATGTCCCCGGTCGGGTGCACCGCCAAGGAAGTTACTTCACCAGCGTGTAAGTTAAAAGTCGCCAATTCAGTGCCATTCTCGAATACTTTCACTGCTCCAGTAGACGAAGCAATGACAGCCTTCTCGCCTGCCCAAATAGCCTCCGTGACAGGGCCGCCAATTTTTAAAGTCTCAAGGACACGTTTCTGGGGCAGAGAATAAACTCCAACCACCCCATCGACACCTCCAACTAATGCTAAATCGCCGGAGGAGTTCAAAGACAATGTGCGGGTGCCAGGGTAGAGAGGCTCGGAGGTTTCAGTTGGCTGGTATGTGGAAAGTATTTCGCTCGTAGCCCAGCCTTCAGGTATAGGGCGCTTACGACGGCCTTTGGAAAGTCTTTCCATCAGTCAGTAAGTAGTTTTCTTCTTCAGAGTGACCCTCGCATAGGCAACATACGATGCTTGTGTGCTATCAATCCTTGCCAAAACTGCCTCGGGCAAGCCGGTTGAATCAACTTGCATAGCTTCACCATCCCCTGATGTACGAGTGGTGCCCACCGACACTTTGGAAAGCGCATCGCGGGCCTCGTCCCGTTCTTTGGTGAGCCGTGCGATAACTCTGACGGCAGCATCATGCTGGTAGAGGGCTGAGCTGAGCTCCTGTCGCGTCTGCGCAAGTGCCTGCCGCAATGAAAATGTCTCCAGAGCCAGAGCATCCCACTCTTCCTGGAACACGCTAAGTAGAGAAGGAATCGACGTGAGCGTAGGAGGTCTGGGTCGAACAACGCGGTCGGTTTTCACTTCGACGAGATCTTCCGTGGAGAGGTCTTCTCCCGTCACAGGGTCCTTTCCATGCTCAGCAATATAAGCCTCGATAAGTCGTTTTTCAAAGATACGGCCTGTTTGAGAGTCAGAATCATCCACAAGCTTATGCCCTTGCGCTGATATTTGCATACCACTCTTGCGCGAGACAATGGGCACCTGCGGTGCTTCTCCCGAGACTAGAATCAATCAATCGTCAGTGGTTAATCCAGAGCAAAGTATGTAATTCAGAACCTACTAGCGCACAACATTGTATGGTGTCTGGCTTGGGGATGTGGAAGAGTCTCTTAAGAAACCTCTGGCTGGTTTGACGCGCAGAGCTTGGAGAAGCTTCCTACCTGGGTTTAGCGCGGATTGCAGGTCACCAGCTTGGCACTCGGCCTTCTCCAGCAATGTCTTCGTTGCTGTAGCTTTGCTCTGCGTCTTGCTGGATACACTGGAAGGATCAAAATGCGCTGCTTGAATACATGTTCCTTTTAAGACCTTACATGCTGAATCTGGACTCCTTAGGACAGGGGAATTGTCACACGTTAACCAGGAACTATTCGTGCATGACGCCCTCGTCCAAAGTGACCTGAATAGTTACTCTTAACTGCTTCTATTACCTGCTTTTCTGGAGTTCCTTGCCCCGTATTGGGCTACTGATCTGAAACTACAAGTGGACTGCCATCGAATTGTGCATCCAAACCATGTCGTTCAAGGCAAAGGACCTCACATACGGTACACTATTCACTTTTTGACTCTCTATCTTTGGGGTAGGCCCCTCTAATATGTGGCAAATAGATGCGAACGAACCATCGTTTTTACGAAAATTGAGAAGCCAGTATGGAGATACTTCTGGTCGTCTTCAGCGACCTGCCCAACTACCCCGAAAACTGAAGGAGCATGATGATGACGATGAACCCACATATGTCTATGAGGAGAGTAATGAAGTGCTCACGAAGGAACAATACAAAGAATTAATACGCGAGACAACAGACAAGAAGGATGAGGGTCAAATGCAGGACCAGGCGGACCAGGAAGAATCTGGACTTAAACCAAGACAAGACGCCAAGCCAAGTGCTGAAAGAGAAAAAGAAGCAAAGTCTTCCGCACCAAAACAAACCATAGCAGAGATAGGGGGCCCAAGGAAGCGGAAGCAAGCGAGGGTAATTGGAGATGAAAATACGGTTACTCCGGAGGACGTACAAGAGCCGTCGCAAGGTTCTCGAAAACCAAAGCAGACGAAGAAGAAGATTAAGCTGTCCTTCGATGAGGCGTGATGCTGACGGCTCCCATGGGAATTATGTATAATATGATCTATTTGTAACTATGGTCAGAATGACGGTGATTCTGAGGCCTTGGTCTATGGAGCATAGCGATTACCTATGTAGCTCCTCATATGGAGATAATTTCAATCTAGCTCTCAGGCAGAGTAATTAAGCAAATCCTTAGTCTCTGTTCTCTAATTCATTCTTCTAGAAATCACCTCCTGCAGTAGTTCTTTGCAGCGGTAATTGTCACAGTTGAGTGCCTTGTCTGGTTTTCCCGAAGGCCTTACTCCAGTATCAAATTTTTATTTAAAGCGCGGAACACGAAACTCAACGTCATCCCCATCCTCCACCACCCAAAGCGTTTATTTGATATCCTTTTGGATTCTGGCGCTGAAAGCGGGCCAATCTTCGAAATGCCTGTCGTTAACGTCGAAGATTTGGTCCGTCTCCAGCGGAAACCCGATGACATACGAAACGTAAGACTGCCCCTCCACATCCCACTTGTTCCTCGTGGGTTTTTTGCGATGAGCCAACGCTAACACTATCAACCAGATATGCATCCTGGCACACGTAGTAAGTTGCCAAAGACTGTCTATTTGTCTTTTTCTCACTAACTCCCTTCTAGGACCATGGCAAGACGTCCCTGACAGACAGTCTCATTGCCACAAATGGCATCATCTCTCCAAAGCTGGCGGGCAAGATCCGCTATCTGGATTCCCGTCCAGATGAACAGATCCGTGGCATTACGATGGAGTCATCGGCGATTTCGTTATATTTCTCCATGCTTCGGCGCCCAGCACCAAATGCCACTCCGGAACACAAGGAGTATCTGGTCAACTTGATTGACTCGCCGGGCCATATCGATTTCAGCAGCGAGGTATCGACGGCATCTCGTCTCTGTGATGGTGCGCTTGTCCTCGTAGATGCGGTAGAGGGTGTCTGCAGCCAGACAGTTACCGTCCTACGGCAGACGTGGGTGGAGCAGCTGAAGCCCATCCTGGTCATTAACAAAATGGATAGGCTGGTGTCTGAGTTGAAAATGAGCCCCCATGAGGCATATTCTCATTTGACTAGACTGTTGGAACAAGTGAATGCTGTTCTGGGTAGTTTTTATCAGGGGGAGCGCATGGAGGAAGACCTACATTGGCGTGAACGTATGGAGGAGCGGGCAAATGCATCAACTACTGCTGGGAACAAAACCGTTTCTAAGAAACAAGCGGATGATGCGGTATCTGAAGCGTCCGCTGCTACTGAGCAACTGAGTGCTGCTGAATTCGAGGAGCGAGACGATGAAGATATTTATTTTGCTCCTGAGAAAAATAACGTTATCTTCTGCAGTGCGGTAGATGGTTGGGCTTTCACGGTGCGGCAGTTTGCGGGGATTTATGAGAAGAAACTCGGAATGAAAAGGGCTGTCTTGGAAAAAGTCCTCTGGGGTGACTACTACCTTGATCCAAAGACAAAACGTGTGCTCGGGTCAAAGCATCTAAAGGGAAGAGCACTGAAACCAATGTTCGTCCAACTCGTTCTCGACAGCATCTGGGCAGCATACGAAGCTACGACCGGTGGAGGGAAAGGAAAAGGGTAACTGGCTAAAACCTAAACCCTCCTCTTCTTAACCATTTTTCCAAGTTACTGACCTTTTCATAGTGACCCCGTCTTATTGGAAAAGATCACAAAGTCTCTGAACATCACCATCCCTCCTTACATTCTGCGCGCAAGAGACCCCCGAAACATAATGACCACGTTATTTTCGATGTGGCTCCCCCTATCCACAGCTGTCCTGGTGTCCGTGGTTGAATATCTACCAAGTCCCCGAGCCGCTCAAGCCGAGCGCTTACCGAGAATGATTGAGGGATCACCAGGTTCCAATTTCGTTGATAAGAAAGTCAGAGATGCCATGGTTGACTTGAAGATGGGTCCAAACGACCCCGTCGTGGCATATGTGAGTAAGATGGTAGCTGTCCCAGAGAGTGAACTTACATCTAGTAAAAGCCGAGGAGGGGGCGGGAGTATGACGGCGGACGAAGCTAGAGAGATTGCAAGACGGAAGAGAGACGAAATTGCTAAACTACAAGCGGAAGCCAATGAGGGACAGTCCGATGATTTCTCTCGGGTCACATCGGCTTTCGAAAGAACATCCTTGATCACGGAGGTGGTTGATGCCCCTGAGGAGAAGGAAGATCCTGAACATCTTATTGGATTTGCGCGCCTATATTCAGGAACTCTGTCCGTTGGAGATTCAATATATGTCTTGCCACCAAAGTTCTCACCAGCACATCCCCACACGAGCCCCGAACCACAAAAGGTCACTGTTACGGACCTCTATCTCCTAATGGGAAGAAGTTTCGAGCCACTTAGCTCGATTCCAGCAGGCGTGGTCTTCGGCATCGGAGGTCTTGCAGGCCGAGTTCTCAAGACAGGTACACTATGCAGCCAACTGGAAGGAAGTGTCAATCTTGCAGGTGTTTCCTTGAATTCACCACCTATTGTGCGCGTTGCCCTTGAGCCGGTGAATCCCGCAGATCTGGGTAAGATGATTACTGGGCTACGGCTCCTCGAACAAAGCGACCCCTGTGCACAGTATGAGGTGCTTCCCAATGGCGAGCATGTCATACTAACCGCCGGCGAACTGCATCTGGAACGTTGTCTAAAGGACCTGCGAGAGCGCTTTGCGAAATGCGAAATCCACGCTGGTGAAACAATGGTACCGTATCGAGAAACCATCGTCAGTGCACCCGAAATGACACCTCTAAAGCAACCAGAACTTGGACGAGGAGGTATTCTTGCAGTTTCTCCATCAAAACAGCTGTCTATTCGCCTGCGTGTGGTTCCATTGCCTGCGATAGTAACTGAGTTTTTTAACAAGCACGTTGGAACCATTAAACGACTTCAGCAGGAAAAGCGTCTGGGGCCTGAAAATACATCCAACTCGGAGGAAGTAGAGAGCACGCAACAAGCAGAAGCTAGCGATGCTACCTCGGAATCCCGTGAGGCGAATGTTCTCCCGCTTAGGGAATTCAGGCATGAACTAGAGAAGCTTTTCGGAGAGGTCAAGGATGACCGGGATCTATGGACAAATGTCGTGGATCGAATAACAGCCTTCGGGCCGCGACGAGTAGGACCAAATATTCTCATTGATGCTACAACAGTAAACACCTGCGAGAAATTGTGAGTCAGCCTGCTTTTTGCCCTCCAGTTCCTTCAAAGTCCCCAATTTACCTACGTTGTCAAGAGTAGTGGTAATGATAATATACTAACGAACAACCAAAAATCAGCCTCCTTGAAGACCCCAAGCCGCAACCCAGCATCATCGCAGACAGTGACAACAAAGAAGCCCACATCGTCCGCGACTTCTGTGACAAGATCACGTATGCCTTTCAACTTGCAACCGGACAGGGACCACTATGTCTAGAGCCCATCCAGGGAATAGCCGTGTTTCTAGAAGAGCTATCCGTGAACACGAACGGCGAGGAGCTCGACCTTGGCCGACTTACAGGCGAAGCAATCCGATTAGTCCGCGATGGTATATCTCAGGGCTTCCTCGACTGGAGTCCTCGAATCATGCTTGCAATGTATAGTTGTGAGATTCAAGCATCAAGTACGTGATTGATTCTTAACCTTTTTTTCTTTCTATCCATCCATAGGTATGTTGCAACTAACTATGACCTTTTCAACTAAAAGCGGAGGTCCTTGGCCGCGTCTACGCCGTAATAACCCGCCGACGAGGCCGCATCCTCTCCGAAACCATGAAAGAAGGAACCCCCTTCTTCACCATCTTGTCGTTACTCCCCGTCGCGGAATCATTCGGTTTCGCCGAGGAAATCCGCAAGCGCACCTCTGGCGCCGCGCAGCCGCAGCTCATCTTCGCAGGGTTCGAAGCCCTCGATGAAGATCCGTTCTGGGTCCCCGCGACGGAGGAAGAACTGGAAGATCTGGGTGAGTTGGCGGATCGGGAGAATGTGGCGAAGAGATATGTTGATGCTGTGAGGACGAGGAAGGGGTTGATGGTTAAGGGGAGGAAGTTGGTTAAAGATGCGGAGAAGCAGAAGACTTTGAAGAAGTAGGTTGCATGCATTCTTCCATTTGACATGGCGCAGATGCTGGAATGGTAGTATATAGATGGAATGCATGTGGTATGGGTTATTTGTTGTTGGAGTATGTATATAAGTCGGATATGCATTGCAACATTGCATCGGGGGAAGAGAAAAGTGATCTGTGTCTTATGGATTGATTTGCTCTTAATCTACTCTACTACATACCAGAAAGAGGCTCGCATTCCATCCCTTTTAAGATATGTACCCTCATCAATGAAAAATTTCCAGATTTCACAGCAAAAGAAATAGGAAAGAGGACTATGAAAAAGGTTATGACAATGATATCCCTCCAGTGACAACCACAGACTGACATTGATGAAGTCAAGACCACGGATACTGAGGAGGTTGAACGGTAGATCTCGTAGTAGAAAGCTACAATGAAAGACAGCTGGAGAAAAAAAAAAGTGGATATGGATATGGCTTCTCATTAAGTCTTTTTTTTTCTCGAGAGGTTCCGAGTCTATTCGTAGTGCCCATCGGGTACCTCTAGACCTCTAGTGATGGTAACACGTTGATTCATCATTCGTAGATATGTCGAGTTTGTATCAATGCTTGACGTTGCGTCAAGTCAACCTGTCGTTGCAATGCTGCCGTCTGCATGAATTATGGAGAAATAGCCATTATTGCTAGCAGGATCGAGCGCAGTTGCAGGCAGGACCTTCTGGCTGACACTGCCGATGTGAATGAGCTGCTGCGAAATGAAGCTTCGCAATCCAAAGCAGCTCGCATTTCTGATATATCAGTGTGAGCCCCAAACTGCAGTGGGTATACGGTGGGGCATGACGCGAGTTATCATGAACATTTCCTTCCTTCACTGTTTTGGAAAGAAAGAATCAGATTCCTCAGAAGGGACGAGCCACCTTTCTCGACTCCCCAACCCCAGTCGCGGGATCCCTCATCTCCTTCCAGCTGACAGGAAACATCATGTTACCAGCCTCACTCCGTGCCATTACGACACCAAGATCATTCCGCGCCGTGGTAAGATAATAGAAGCTCTGGTCACCCAGCGAGATGACCGAACCGCGCACAATATCTCCGACGCGAAACATCTCATCCATGACAACGCGGTCTTTCTCAACGGCACGCACATCCTCTTTGCGAATGAGAGCTTGGAAACGCAGCTCGTCTGAGCTGCTGTGGTTCTCCACGTTCACTGCGGATGTGAGGATGGACTCGATGTCGTCGTTGTCTGAAGCGAGCTGCGAATCATCGAGCACGACTAGGATGGAAACGGTGGCTTGGCGTTTCTGGACACGTGTTACTCGTGCCAGGACGATAGAGTCAACCGCGGGGAGGGTGTTGTATCTTAGTTTTGATTTTGGGGGTGCAGGTTTGGTAGATGATGCTGCTGGTGTCGGTACCGGTTTGACTCCATTGGGAGATAAATTAGATGTTCCTTCACCAGGAGACGCATGGTTATATGTCCGAGAAACAGTGAGAACGGACTTTTGTTTGGCACCTGGCTGAGCAGGGTTTGCAACCACCGGGCCAGCAATTGAGGCGTATACGTGTGCGTTCAGGACGTGTGTGCCAGGACCAGCAGAGTAAGAAGAAGTCGGTCCCAGTCGCTGGCCTGGAACAGCCAGAGGCGGGAGACTGGTCGCCATTCCAAAGAATGACAGAGAGTCGAGTGTGGATGGCTGAGGGGTGAGGAAGTTGTTGAAGTAAATAGAATGAGAATTTTCGGAAGCTGTTATGTTTTTCTGTTGAGTGCAAACAACAGTGCAAACAGACGGAGTATAGTTTTCCCGGTATTGCCCTCAGATTCTCTCGGCCTCTGCAGATCCTCAATCGACAGTTGCGTACGACTACGCAGTACGGAGTAGCCCAAGGATCATGCCATCTCACAGCTCTCGGATGCTTCAAGGTATTACGTAGATACTGGTATTATGTCGTCTTCCTTTTCTACCTCATTCGTTGCGCACACAGGATATCGGGGATTGTTACCTAATGGGGATTAGTCCCTTTCCTGAATACAATCAGATAATGTTATCTCCGAGACAGAAGTATAGATATAAATATGGCCTCATTTTCATCACAGGAAATGCCCCTCGTTCAAACAGAAAATAGCTCGTCAGATTATCTACATTTAATATGACATCTACTGGGACCTATCAGCGTGTAAGTTTGCGCTGGGAAAATAGCCAATCCTTGGTCAACTCCAACTAATATGAGAACGTTCTACCAGGACGGCAAAGAAATCGAACTGCTGCCGTTCATCTTCCAGCATCCCTCACTCCCTTCCCTCCGTAACAAGCCCGAGGAGATCCTCTCCTTGATTGAAGAATTTGACCGAACGCACAAGAAACTAATTACCATCGGCCATGCCCGTGGAGAACTCATCAAGGGCGTGATCGCCGAGCGCAAGCCAGCCACCATGGTCGAATTCGGTGGATACGTCGGCTACTCCGCCATCAAATTCGGGGACGCCCTCAGAAAGGCCGGTGGGAAGAAATACTACAGCCTTGAAATCGACCCTATCTTTGCGGCTATTTCGAATCTACTCCTCGATCTGGCCGGGTTGCGGGATGTGGTTCAGATCCTGGTAGCGCCGGCGCAGGTTTCGCTGGCCAGACTCATCAAGGAGGGTTTGGTTAATGAGATTGAGATATTGTTTCTCGACCACTGGAAGGATAGGTATCTTCCTGATCTGCGGCTGGTGGAGAGTTTGGGTCTGCTCAAGCCTGAGCGGAGTATTCTCGTCGCGGACAATGTGCCTAGACTTGTCGAGTCGCCATATTTGACTTGGATTAAGGCCAGTCCGGAGGAGAAGAAGGAGATTCAGAAGGATTTGACCCCACCCAAGGCTGGGGAGTTGAGGAAACTGATCGAGGAGAAAGAAGAGAAGGAACTCGAGACCGAGTTGAGCGATGTTGCTGGGAATCCCGATATCGTGTATGAGACGGTCGTCCACGACTTCCAGAGTGGAGCAAGACTGGTGAGCTATGAATAGAGGCAGAATCTATGATGCATGCGCTAACACATGTTCCAGGATGGCGTTGCCATTACCAAGGTTGTGGGCTAGTTGGATTGCAGTGATGATTCATGCGTTCTTGATAACTAAGTGATGATCTATTCAAGGAGAGGCGAGCTCCATTAACGGAACTTCAAGTTGCTTACGCTTTCTGGTCACTATTAAGTCTTTTGGTTTCTCTACTTGCAATGGCTCTCAGTGACTAATCTGATACATTGCTGCAGTAATATGTGGTGAGGTCTAATGCAACACTTGTGTCTGCATATAATCAATGAACTAAGATCATAGTAATGATGGTTGTCACAGAGCTCGGCTAGATGGTAAATAGAATGCTATTCAACTATCCAGGTAGCTCTCGACGAGAACTTCAAGCATGAGGGGGGATGAAAAGAGGAAGAGATCTACGAAGCAGAGGGTGATACTAATAACAATACTATCGCAAGGGACTTGCCCGTCTTCATAGGGTCCTTATTGGAGATGAAGGAAGATGATCAGGCGCCATACTGTTATGATCATCGTGCAACCCCAAACTCCACAATGGAGACACCTCCTGTCTCTTAGTCCGCAAGTTGAGTCTTGAGCTGCCTCTGCCGACGCAGCTCCCAAAAGTCTTTTGCAAACTCGATCAACAGGCCCTTAGTAAGTACGACATCGCCTTCTATGCTTTCTGCCGCTTGGCGGCCAACGAACATATCAAAATCGAGATGGATCTCGTCTGTCGGAGTGGCGGCTTGCGTGTTACCAGCGACTCCTTTTCTGAATCCCTGGGGGAAAATCACGATCAACTCAACCACCTACAAGGACATGGCTTCTAGATGAGCAGGATGAGGCAGTGAAGGGCAGGAAAAAGCATCCGGATGATATTGGAACGCCCCCAACAGCAGAGATGATATATGGTTGCGCAAATTCTATACTACAGTGAGACAACCCATGCATGATCCTCCACCTAAACTTGGGAAGACCTGGGGCATATTGATTTATCAAACGCCTCCCTCTGAGTATAATGGGTCAAAAAAGACCCCTGAAGAGCCAAACTGGATATATGCAGAAGATATTGGAGTTATTTGGGACTTCTACTCAAAGCTGGAATCAGCCATGAAGATCAATAATATCCAACTCAAAAGCATCCACAATGCAGATGAAACTGGCTTTCAAATTGGCTAAGGGAAGAAGGAGAATGTTGTCTTAGCCTATCTAAACTGCCCAAAGAGACAGCCTAGCAAGTGTCACGGAACTCAACTGCAAACCACATGGCGCCCAGGTGTCAGGGACCTCGTGGTGTGGATCAGGGGTGCGGCGCCCGGATATCAGATACTAAAAGGATACCGTAGGATTTGTAGGATTCGTGGTGGACGCTCTATATCGATGTACTGCCGTCTCTAAACCATTACAAGGGCAAAGCTGTTGAGAGGTCTGAGGCAGTGATTGACCCTGGTAAACTAGAAAAGAGCAGTGAAGAATGAAGGAAGAGCTGATCCTAATAACTTGGGTGTCAACTGGATGGAAACAAGGTTGAATGAGGGGTTGGGAGTGACTGAGCTTTTAACCATGGTGCTAGATAGGAATCAAGAGGTGTTGCAGACGATAAAAGGTACAGCCTGAGGGCGTGGGCGAAAAGTATGGGAGTGTTGCAGATAGTTGCTGAAAAGCCGCTATTTTTGGCGTCACATGTGCCCAATAACGGCCCGGAATAGCAAACGGAAATTATATGGTAGTAAAAAAATCCTGTATAGTGGCATAGATACATCCATCACCAGCAACAATAGTAAAACTATATCACCAATATCCCAGAGACCATTGTACCGGGGGAACCCCAGAGAGGTTTAGGCATTTCGCTTTTTTGTTCCTTCGGTGTTTCCCCGGGCTTGCGCACTGGGCGTCAGCACTGCTGACGATAAATAGAATGCTAGGCCCACGCAGGCAGATCTTTTTTCAAGATTCTACAACGGAATTCTCGGTGTTAGGTTCTTCTCAGGTCTTCGTATCGTGTGTGTGCAGCCTAGCTATCTCTACGCTCACTGCCTCCGGGACCGCTGTTACGAGCTCACTAGTCACTCCCATACACACCAAACATTAAAACATCCTAATGAAAATCATCCTAACAGGAACAACCGGCTTCATCGGCCAAGAAGTCCTCGCCCAATGCCTCTCCAACCCATCCATCACCTCCCTCGTCGCTCTCACCAGGCGCGACTCCCACTATCACTACCCCTCAACAGTCAGCAAACTGCACGTCCATCTCATGCAGGACGGTGATTTCCTGTCATACTCAGATCCAGAGCTTATAAAGGCTATCCAGGGTGCAGACGCTTGTATCTGGTCGCTAGGCATCGTCCCATCACAGGCGAAGAAGGATGAGGAGTTGAACCGGCGAGTTAGTGTCGATTATACCGTTGCTGCTGCGAAGGCTTTTCAGGAGGCGTTTGGTTTTTCGGAGGTGAATTCAGACGCAAACATGATCAACCCTGCTAGAAATAAACGATTCCGGTTTGTCTATGTGAGTGGGTTTTTGGCGGAACGGGATCAGTCTAAGTCCTTGTGGTTCGCCCAGGATCTTAGGCGGATACGGGTACGTTTTATTACTTCTCTCTCTATACATATTTGCTTCATTCTGATGAGATAAGGGGGAGTCTGAAAATGTCCTCATCGCCCATGGAAAAAGCCATCCTGGTGCCTTCGAGTACTACATCCTGCGTCCTGGGATGGTGTTGACTAAGAACAACACCTGGGTCGACGTGATTAGAGGTCTCGCACCCTCTGTCCGTGTGGATGTGATTGCTCGAGCAATGATCAAGGCCGCTGTTCATGGGGATCAGAAAAGGATGATTGAAAATGCGGATATTAGTCGGTTGGCAGGATGATACTCTGTTAGGATACAGTAATACATCATGAGTTTCAAGGCAGTAACTAATCCAGCCGTTAAATCAACAAGTAGTGTGTTGGGATCTCAATTATAAAGAGCAGTTGACGGCAAAGTAAACATTGCTGTAATACAATCCAGCTTCCGACTCCAGTCTGTAAACTCAAGTGAACCGTCGACTATCAAGAAAGTAGGTATCACTGAATTAAAAGTGTAAGGGAAAAATCTAACATGTACATGATTAGCATGAAGGACTATATGATAAAGCTCAAAGTCAACCAACAGCAATCCCAATAAAGAATCATAGCATGCACGCCAAATGCTCACTGGCAGAAATATAATATCAAACACGATGCCTGTTAACACCTAGCGGACTAAGAAGCAAATTGTTAAGGAGAATTAGTGACAGCACAAATGAAATGAGACGCACAGAGACTGATTAACTAGTAGGCTATAGAGACCGTGCTTAACCCTCCACGAGGGTCTGCTTCGGGGCCTTCCCAAGGAGTTCAAGACACCGCCGAGCTAGAGCAATAACTTCGCCTTCACCATCTTCCGTATCCTCCTCATCAGATTCAATGTTTTTGTCCGAAATCGTCGTGACCATTTGAACAATGTCGTCGGATTGAGCGATATAGCCAACCAGCTTCTTGTCCTCGGATTCTAGCAGCTGAAGAAGAGTCCATATGGCGATGTGCTGGAAGGTCGGGTCTCCGCTTGCGAGAAACCGATGGAGATAGCCGTGGATCCCTCCCTTGGGGTCCGCCCAATCACGCACGAAGATCGAGTAATCTCCGACTACTACCGTTAGCACCCCAGGCCTCTGAATCGCAAGGGGGGAAACCTAGGATTCTGCAGATTACATACCCTTGGATGATAGGTTTCCAAGCGCGGCGGCACTATTGCCTTGAACTTCAATACTCTCCGAGTCAGTTAGTGGAATTAGGACATCAAACACGCCGAGGTTGAGGAGATGCGGCTTCAGTTCGTCACTGAGAGCCAGTACAGCAATGGCAGCTGTCATTTCCGACTGCACACTGAGCGGAACGCGCAGGACAAGATCCTTGCACTTCTGAACCGCACCAGCTTGCAGAACGAGTTCCTTGTTGCGATCAGAGCTTGCTGCAAGGTTTCGCAGGGTCGAGATGGCGTGGCATTGTATCTCTTCGTTATCTGTTGAACCTAGAAGATCCACCAAGGGCTTGAGGAAGCCAGCATCAATTATGGGCGATTCATTCATCGGATGAATAGAAATGTTGCGAATACAGGCGACGGCGGAAAGAATAAGAGGAAGATAGGAGGATTGCAAGAGTCTCAAGAGAGGGGGGAGGCCCTTCGCGCGAACAATCTCAAGTTGGTATTTCTCATCGGATGCAAGATTGCGCAAAGCCAGGGCAGCCTGGCATTGGACCTTGGGAGTAGAAGAGTCCATGAGATGGACCAGAGACTGTACTAGTCGCGATTCAGTTTGCGCCAGTCTTTTGCGGTTTGCGGTATCGACGGCAATGTTGCTAAGGGCTGTCGTGCAGTAGTATTGTACATCGACATCACTAGAAGAGAGCAATTGAACCAGAACGGGAATAGCACCAGCATTGACGAGTTGTTGCCGGTTGTCAACTGCCCCAATTTATTAGATGGATATCAACCCATACGGACGGATTGAACTCCAACCCACCTGAATGTGTCATGTTCAAGAGTGCCCCCGTAGCATTGCGCTGAACACGCATGTCCTTGGACTTGGCCAGCCGGATCAGCGGCCCCAGAGCCCCGGAACGTGCAATCTTGGATTTGTTATCCTCATGTGTTGCGAGATTGGTGATGCACCCGACGGCATTGCATTGGACTTCGACATTAGGCGATGTCATCTGTCGGATGAGAGGAGATAGTCCGCCGAGCATGACAATCAACACCTTGTTGTCGGCTGCGACAGGTCAGCGTCCCGAATATGAAAAAAACGAAGCGAGACAACAAACCATTGACTGCAAGATTCCCCAACGCTGCACTGGCAGCGCGCTGTACCTCTATATCGGAGCTCTGTAGTAGAAATAGAATGGGCTCGAGAGTGTCTCGGTCGACCTCACGCACATCTGTACACCGGCAACAAAAGACGAGTCAGAGAGGCGATATGTAATATAAACAAGTCAATCTGAAGCAAGGAAGGCCAACCATGTTCGGTGATCTCAGCAAATGTCAAACTAGCACTTCGTTGAAGATCGACATTGTCAGAATACACCAAAGTGCTCAGGGCGCGAAGAGGTTCGCCAGAGAAGAAATCGGTTTCATTCCGCTGTGGTCAAACGCAAACAATTATTAGCCGGAGCGAAACGATCAAAATGGACCGGGAGCGTCCAGGAGAATTGAAAATCCACAAAGCAAAGCATCACACACATTTTCCAAGTATCCCAGCAAATCAGAAACAGCTTCCCTCTCATTGTCCGCCAACGTCGCCTCGTAAAAACCCTCCCTTGAGCGACCTCCAGGATTGAGCCAGGCTGGGAGATGGCACCAGCTGCCGACGGTCGACAGACAGGACAGACACGCGTCCGCGATTGAACCCATGCCGCTTAAACTGGAGTCCCGCAGGACCAGAGGAATGGCCCCGTTCGGGTAATTGCCGTCAAGGCGAAATCAAGTATTATATTGTTGTCCGTGCCGGAGGAAGGATCCCGCGAAAGGAAGTCAGGATTGGGGGGAGATAAGGAATGCTGCGGTCTCGCAGAGGAGAAATGGCGTGTGCAATATACGAATATTGAATATGCACACTGCAGGCACAGGATACTAGGGAGATATTGATTGACGATGGGCTGCGTGGACCAGGGTCAGGGTCGACAGCTGCATCCGCTAGTCCAGCTGGCGGGGAACACGGGGAATGTCGGGGTCGTTTGATAAAACCCAAGAGGGACAGCCCAAAAAGGCTTTGTCCTTGATAGTTAGAGGAAGAAAGGAGGGAACAGAGAGGGAAAAGAAGATGAACGGGCCTGAATGGAGATGGAGGTGGTTGGTGGTGATGGAGATAGACGGGCGAGGAAATGAAGCGGAAGTGGATGTTGGTGGGATCAATCACTAACGCGTCTCCAGCAGGTCTTAGCTCTGGACACCCATCAAGCAAAGCTTCATGCTGTGTGGCCGTAACTACATTTCTGGCAGAAACTACATTGTTCATGTCTTCTTTTTGACAATGCGATCTTATATCCAGACTGCCTGGAAGCTCCCAGCACTTGGGAGAATACAACCTCCTGGAGGATTCACATAGGCACCGCAGAGCAGCACTGCAACAAGTCTCCACAGAAGCTGCCAAGTCCCTTGCTCTGCAACCATTCAGAGATCCTACACTTCCACAGAGAGAGGCCAATTGATTGATCGATCGATTATTATTAAACATGTCTCTGCTGACCGCGAGAAAACCACTAACGTACGGAGCAGCGCGGATCTCTGTTACTACCTTCTCCCTGCCGATTCTCCGTCGCCCCCGATCGGCAAAGGATGACGATATCCAGGTGAAGACGGCAATGTCAAAACCGATGTTCGGTCCCAGAGCTCTGTGCCCGAATTGATTTCGTGTTTCTATGTTGTTGTCCGCTGGCAGCAAACCAGATTAACGTATCGAATCTACCGTATGCTGCTCCCGAGGTCTATACTGTACCATTTGTACAGCCCTGCATACATCATAACACCATAACACCCGCGAAGGTGAAGCAGGCCAATCGCTTACCACGCTTTCCTTTGCCGCCCCGGCTCGCCGACTGCCTTGCCACGGGAGCCATGTGAGTGAGCAGGTGGATCGGTCACTGGCGTCTCAGAGCTTATCAAGGTTGCAGGGCACGTCTGTGCCCATTCATCTCCCACCTCAGCCCGTTGCGGTGGTGAGAGTGTGGGGTGTTCACATCGCGCTTGTGTGGCGAGAGGAACAGACAGAGGCGCACCACCTTAAGGGACGAGCTGCTCGTCCATCGTGGCAATGGGATAACGAATACCCCCAAGTGCAAGGATGCCCCGTCTCCATACTATGGATTATAGTTTAAAATGCCGTCCGAAGGCACGGATAGCATCGCGTCCACGTCGGTTGGATGACATGCATGCATCCTGTCACTTGCCTGGTACAGTACGATAGCACACCGCGATTAGAGCGCTGTGCTGGATGGGCAAACTCTACATGAAGAATAAGGACATGTCAAGGATTCAAGCTCAGGGCTTCCACCATGGTTGGGCCGTCCGGATACCGGTTGAGCAAGGGGAGAGCCGAAGGGGGGCTGGGATGATTGATGAACGGGCTCTCAGAGACCATTATATTATTATTATTGGGTGCTTGCATTTCTCCGCAGCAGAGGATTCGGAGAAGATGGCGCCTATAAATATACAGATCGTAATAAAAGAGCATCGTGTTTATGCTCCGCCGTATTTACCACTCCAAGGGCCAATATTAAATATTCACGCAGTGGGTTCAGGAAGAGCACTCTCCTCCATGGCCTGATGACCGCGCGAAAATACATAACCTAGATTCTTATAGTCGCAACCTTCTGCAGTCTGGTTATTTCAACTGATTTGAAAATTTTTCCTTCTTATTCCCCTCTTCCCGCCCTTCGTCGCTCTGCTCGTATCCATGGCGCCCCTTTCGCAGACGCGCGCAGCTAATTGAGTCTGATCATTGACCAGCTGTTTCCCACTGGATTGGACTGGAACACAGAGCCGCAGAATCGGCATCATCCATCATCATCATATATTTTTCTTTCCATATCGTCTCCATCTCCATCCTCACTATCCCTACCGACAGCTGCAGCGTTCATCCTTGACCTGTCATGTCGGCCACAACCACCGCCTCCGCTTCCGCCTCCAACCTCACCTCCGATCCGTCTCGTCCAGGGCGTCTCCGGCGCCTTAGCCAGCTGCGAACCTACACTCACTTCCCCTCGCACTACTCCTCATCCTCGTCCAGCGGACACAACAACAACAGCAACAGCCGTTCTAACCGCAACAGCTTTGGCCATCGACTTCCCTGGTTTTCCCCCACGTCACAGGCCCATTCGCCCACCAGCTCCGATTATCCATCTCAGACGTCACCATTGGGCACCAGCGCTCCGTCTCCCGACGCTGACCAGCCGGCATTGGCACGGTATATCTCTGCGCCCTCTGGTAGCTCGGGCAATTACCAGGCTCTTGAGACAGTCGATTTACGCCCTCAGCCGCCCCCTTCCGAGTCTTCCAGGTCGAGTGATTCCGAGCGCAGATCGTCGGGTTTGATGGCACGATTGCGAGGCGGATCAACGCACCAGAATCGATTATCTCGGCCACCCGAGTCCAGAAACCCGGAAGCTACGAGTACAGCGGACATGAGGCCGACTGAGTCCCCTGTCGGTTCGCAGGATCGCTCTTCAGAAACACTGACCCGGAGGGCCACGACGGAAAGCCGGTCAACGCCTGTGAAACCAAACCGCAAGGCAACCATCCGATTCTACCCTTACCACGACCCCAGTGCGAATTCCAAGCCTTCCCTGCCCTTTGTCCCCATCACCCGCGTCTTACCCGCCGACAGCTGTCTGATCCGTGTTGGTCGATACTCGGAGCGGGATGGCATCCCGAATCCCAACCCGTCTGAGCCGTCGGATGCCCCCGTCGGCTTCAAATCGAAGGTAGTGAGTAGGAAACATTGCGAATTCCTATACCTCAACGGCCAGTGGCACATTAAGGACGTGGGCAGTTCGTCAGGTACCTTCCTGAACCACATGCGGCTGAGTCAACCCAATATGGTGTCCAGGTTGTATGCCATCAAGGATGGGGACATTGTGCAACTGGGAATCGATTTCCGAGGAGGAGAGGAGATGATATTCCGCTGTGTCCGGATACGCATCGAGTGTAATCGGTCATGGCAACAACAACCCAACGAGTTCAAGTATGCATTATCATTATTCTCTTAAAGCCCGAAGTCCGTTTAGACTTGGCACTGACCGATAATCTAGTAAAAATACAGAGAGTCTCATTAGAAATCTAGGCAAAGGTGGTGCCGCCGACTACGCTGGCTGTCGCGAGTGCTCAATCTGCTTAGGATCTGTTTTGGTTTGTCTCTCTTTGATCCTTCACAGGCAGTCTAAGGGTGTCGCTAACAGCAGTTTTACTCGCAGAGGCCTTATCAATGCTTGTTCATGGCGGCCTGCGCCCACGTTTGGCATTACAAGTGCATTAGTCGCCTAATCCACACCCCTGAATATCCCATGTTCCAATGCCCCAATTGTCGGGCGTATACCGATTTAAGTGCTGAGGTCGACGACTCCAATGATTATGAAGAAGAAGTACGGAAGGAACCCACATCTGAACCTGAACCTGAACCTGAGCGAGGGCCCTCCGAAGAGGCTCAATCCACACCCATGAATACTATCGACAATCGAGATGGCCATTCGACGAATGGTGCGCGAGTATCGGAAGAAGCGGAACTGGCTTTCACAGTTGGTAACCTAAACCTACACGATGGCAACATGTCAACCGCAGAATCGGAAGACAGCAGCAATTCTCAATCGCCGGCAATTCCAAGTAGTAATATCGCCCATAGTCCCAACATCGACATTCCTCGATCTAGGACGGTGTCTTCACCGCATAGCCAACGGCTACAGTCTGGTAGGGAGAGTTCGGAGGATAATTTCCTGACTCCAAGGAATGATTCTGGTCCCCTGGCCTTTGATGGTCGGGCAGGGGTGGGTCAGAGTCCATCAAGAACATAGCATCCACAGTTATCTTTCCCTTATCTGCATATGTATGTGATTGTCCACTTGGATCTTTTGGTGTTATATCTCGATGGGAAAATGTGGTCTATTGCTATTCTTGTTTTTGCCCTTGAGCAGCTTCAGGTCGTTCTACAGCGTATATCAGTGCATATTGTTCTATTCTTTTACTGGCATTTCTGAAACTGCTATCTCGTCCTGCAACAGGTAGATACGATTTGGCGTCCAACTTGCATACTTTCTGTTTGATCTTTAAGCTGTCTTGAACCGCTAATGCGAGCACGAGTGCGTCTAGCTCCTAGTGTGCCCTCTTCGTCTTGGGCTTTGCAGTCCTTCCACCATTTTTGCACTCCCTTGGCGTGCGCAGCTCATCTGTGGAGTCCTAGAGTAGACCAGACACTGTTAAAATGGCCCTACCTCCATTTTCATACACTGTATTATATCTAGGGCAACAATCTTCTATGTAACAGATAGAACACTGTGGCGAGATTATTACCCAGGTAGACATATCTCGTTAATTGAAGAATGCATAAATAGGCAGCTTTCCCCGCGGACCAAGTGGATCTTTTGCAGACAGACAACCTCCATCGTTATCAAACAGGACTATCGACATAGAACCTCTCTCTTCCCATCCACCGCGTTCAGCGGATTTAATCAGGTAGGATATTTGCAATATCTACGATATTTAGATATATATCTGGTATCTAGTATCTAGTTGTCTGCAGCTCAATATGAGGCTGAACTACAGCGAACCAACGACTCCAACCCTCAGCCGCCAGAATACCCTGAGACCAAATGGCGGCCATCATTACCGGAGGGATACGCATCCGCATCAGTTCTCTTCGCGGACAAAGCCTAGGAGGTTAGTATAGTTGCTGGTGTTTTGCTTGCTTGTATTGGATTGATTCTGACTGTTTATACATCTAGATGGCCGCTAGTCCTCCGCTTCATCAAGGGTGCAATCCACGGCGCGATTCTGGTACCGGTTTGCTTTCATGCTCTCTTTACCGCGCTGGTGGTGTGGTTGGATCGATATATTTTTGTTACAGTGGGATTGCCGAATAGTATTGTATGTTTCTTTGTTTCCTCCCTATCGTAGTATATGGTATTTACCTGGGTAGCTAAACAGGGCTAACGTGCATAGATCCCCTCCCTCTCAATAGTCGTCGGTCTAATGCTCGTCTTCCGCAACCAAACCTCCTATAACCGATTCTGGGATGGCCGCAATGGCATGAACACCATAACCACCTGCGTGCGCAATTTAGTCCGAATCATAACCACGAACGCCTACAGTACCAGCCGCCCCCTAACACCCGCCGAGAAAGAGGACATAGAACGCACGATAAGAATTCTAATGGCCATCCCGTTTGCGGTGAAGAACCATCTCCGTGCTGAATGGGGTGCCGCCTTTGCCTTTGCTATCGGGAATGATGTCGCGGAGAACGGCATGGCGGTGTACAATCCCGACTATGCGGGCCTTCTTCCTAGCGGGCTGGAGGGACATGAGGATGAGGGACTCGGGTTGCCATTTCAGTTGACTTTTTTCGTCGATGGGTTTATTAAACGCGGGGTGGAGAGGGGTTGGTTTCATGCGCCTGGTGCTTCGCAGATGCAGGCTTTGTTGAATACTTTGACCGATGCTTACGGGAAGATGGAGACTATAAGGTTGACTCCTATTCCCGTTGCGCATTTGTAGGTTCATTTTTTCTTTTGCCCTTGTTGTGGGGGTTACTCCCTCTCTCGTTTTATATCTATACTAACCATATATAGAATACACCAAAAACAGGTCTTGGCCCTCTACTGCTGCGCCCTCCCCTTCGCCATGGTCGATGACATGGCGTGGTGGACTGTCCCCATGGTCTCCCTAGTAACATTCACCCTGTACGGGATCGAGGGCATCGGCTCCCAACTTGAGGATCCGTTTGGCTACGACCGTAATGATATCAAAATGGACGCTATCGTCCGCGACACGAAGATGGAGATCGATGCCGTACTTTCTGAATGGCGTAAGGTCATGAAAGTTGCCCCCAGTCCTGATCCTGAGCCCGTCAGGACAACGACGGGAAGTACTGCGCTGGAGGAGGGGGTATATGTACCCCCTGACTTGTTTTTGAGGGGATCCGCGGTGGCTTCGTAGTGGATTAATTGGATTGTGGATACACACAGCGTTTGCGTTGGTTGTGTTGGGGTAGTTTGCCTTTCTTTTATATTGATATACATTCCTTTCAACAGATACCCGTGATGTTTGTTTGGTTATTTTCGGATTATCCTTATTACCATAGCATTATGTGGATATTTGTTTCGGTTGTTATTTCTTGTGTTCAAACTATATCAAAACCGCCCACATCAATTCAAATGATATGAACGCTGCAAATTCATTTACATGCGCTGATCTGATTCAAAATGCACCAGTGATGTCTGACGACAACCAAATTTGGTGATCTAGCCAGCTAGTTGGCGATAAATGTTTTCCTGGTTGGTGTTTCATGGACCTTTCTCCTGTTCTCATTGCTTTTATCCAAACGAACAGCGGTATTTCGGTCCAGTCATCAGGATGCACCTCATATAGTCATGTACCTGGTAAGTAATGAGTATGGACATGAACGACTGATGATGTAGTAACCTAACTGTAAAATTTAGGCCATATAGCGATACCGAACGCCATTATCATGACGACCTAGTTCTGTATATACCCACAACTTCTAAGCAATGCAATGGGCATGCAGCTATATCTGCCTCACACAGGAGCATCGACTTGGGAGAGGACATCGTCCAAGACCATCTCCGGAGTTAAATGTGACAAGACCTGAGCCACGGCTTTCAAATCACTGCCATACTGCAGGCTGCGGTCGTCCTCTGGACGGGCAAGGATGATGCGGTGGCAGAATACCTTCTTCGAGGCCAGAGCTATGATCGAGGGAGTGAGGTAGTCAATTCCGTGTAATTGAGCAAGAAGCCTAATTGGTAAGTTTCTATTCTAACTTGTAGAGGGAATAGCAAATTTTGCAACTAACTTTGCTAATTTGGAGAAGTGAATATTCGTTTTCGGGGATATTCCTCCCGCGACTGCCCGACTGAGTCTGAGGAATGAGATAATATCCTGTTGATATCGGACCACATCTGCATTTGCAGTGACTGTTTTACTGGTTTCTCCAAAAATTCTAAGGGCCTGGACAGGTTCAGTTTTATGTCATGTTGGATGCTTTAGCCAGTGAAATACCTGTTCATCGATTTGAGTGCCTTTCTTCGGCATGCGAGTGTCTGGCTTTCTGACAACGGATGATATTGATTCTTGTCCATCGGACAGCCAGTCATCAACATCTTCCAGGTGGGCATAGCCCATACTGGAATCATGAAAATGTGAAATGAAAAGATGGTCATTCTGGATTCGCGTAAGCTACAGTAGCGACGAGGATCAGACTCAAGCCAGGAGCTAACCAGGTGTTTATTCAACGGAGGCTGGAACTGTTCAGGCTTGCGGGTCACAAGCGGAAGAAAAAGGAAGCTTGTAGGGGCAGTCAAGACTGCATCTCGGGTGGTGAGCTGCTTCGAACGCAGTAACTGTTTGTGAAGAGTCAGCAGTTACATTCAGGATATCTTAAAATAGTCACTCTAACCTCAAGGATCCTGATTTGGATATCCTCGTTGACACGGTTGAAGTGTTTCGCGATAATCACGTTGACGACCTTCCTGCTGTCGAGGGAATGTCCATCATCGGTCCGTCCAACATGATCTCTTGATTTCTGAGTACTGTACGACGGGGACTACCAGATGGTATCTTATTAGTCGCCTGTACATAGAATGTGATAAAAAGCCCCTACGCGTTTAATTTTCATGGGCCCTGCCGGGCCATGATAGCTTCCGAGGCCATCAGCTGCAAGTATCTCTGAGCTGAAATCCGCCAACGTAGTGGAAGGAGAGCAATCGAGAATCGCATAAGAAAGACCAAATGTGTTTGATGATATCTATCAATTCAATGATCTTAGCATGCACGAGAAGCAATCAGGGCGTACACAGATGGAGAACGTACCAGAGCCAGTTCTTTGGCGACGTCATGAATGCTGTCTTTGGTCGTTTCCAGGAGACAATGCTCGTGAGCAGCGAGACAGAGCAGGACGGCGAGTTCCAAATCAGACAGCTGCAAAGCCGATTCATCAATGCTGAAACCGTCCATTGTCCTCTTCGACCGTGGAAGTACATAGAGGAGTGCAACGAGCAGCGTTGTTGTTCTGGGAGACCACGTGAGACGAATACGAAAACACCGATTTCCGCTTCCTCCGTTTCTCTTCGATCTGGCAGCTACCAAAAGCTGTTGAATGAGCATGAGTTAATTTCTTGAATAGGTATATTTTCCTGACAGTTCCTGTTTACTCTAGTTGAACTGGCAGCAGATACATATATGCACTTGATTACCTACAGCTCACCCGTTGCCACTTTTTGCTCACTGAGCATGTAACCTTAGTAAATATCGTTTATGTTCTCTAAATACGCACAAGTCAGACATTATCTGTATGATCATTATACCTGTTATTTGACTTAGCAGCACAGGACGGTGCCTCGACACTTAGATCATCAATCATCATAAGTACATCATCAATTTGGCCAGAAGTTTTCGCCGTACATCCTTTGCAGCCTGAAAGAAAGCAATCTAGAGACTGTCCTATCTCCCTCCGCCATTTCAAAACCGTCAGACACAAGGTAATTTCACTATGTGAACTAGAATTAGCCAGGCCACTTCTGTGCAGACTCAAGTGCCTTGTCTCTCATAATACCGGCAACAGCGCACCAACATCCAAGACAAGCAAAATGAACCGCCCAATCTGTCTCCCCTATATCCATCCTGTATAGCAGGAGATACTCCCAAATAACCCAAATCTCCGACGAAGAGGAGACATTGGTTAGACACTTAACCCATATTTGAAGGATTCTAAAACGGTGTCCGTTGAGAATGGGACTGAAGGCAAAGTATGCCAAGGGAATTGTGCATACCCATGCAGCAGGTATAGAGATCCATGTGCTCCCAGAATTCGTTCTACCACCATTGGCAGCCAGAATGATACCAGTTTCATATGCACCAATTTCTATAATCAACCCTGTCGCCTAAGGACATGGAAGCAATCCAGGATGCCCTTTCATGGATGGGCCTGCTTAATCAGGACCGCATCATGTGATCAGCGCCTTTGCTACTGCAGTTAACGTAATTCCCGGGTAGGTCGGCCAACCCCTCAAAATTTCAACGCATCTTCGACATGAAGATATTCAACCAGCAACCATGCCACGAAAAGCGTGTCCATTATCCCGGAACTTGGTGGAGCAGGAGGGTAGAATTCAACCGAGCCATTAAAGCTTTGAAAATAAATGAAATCTCAAGTATTTGTCGAACAGCAAAGGAAAGGCCTATATTGAAGGATGGTTTGAAGGTCTCTTACCACTAAATTGGAGGTTTGAAATGAGTTAAAATAATCGGACTACAGATGAGACAGGCCTTCAGTGGCTTTAAAAAGTCTTTATTCCTGTAACGGTCTCGAGGTAGTTTATTCAACTAGCTAGGCCACTCCACGAGTACATTAAATCTTGAAGAAAGGAAAGGAAAGAGGTGGTCTGTTTACCTAGGGATCTCGGGGGGAATAACATGGGTCCGTGCTCATGTGATGATAAATAGGGCGGTGAATAATGGCAGAATGAAGTTTGTAGACTGTGCTCACTGTTGATGCTGGCTGAGGCTATCTGTTGTGGAATATGCATGTAACTCAGGGAAGAAGGGCAGAATGAAGCTGTATCGACTACACGTACGTAGCCTACTAAGGAACGGATACCATTCTATCTTGTCTCTCTCTCTCGCTTACTCTTCTACACACAATCAGGGGCTCGGATTCTCAGGGGTTGGAGAGGGAGCCAAGCCGCCATACCACGTGACCTTTTCCATATCACTATCCGAAGCCCTATAACTATCGGGCCTAGCCCTCTATTCAGACGGCTCCCGTACAGACCAGGGCGCTGGGTATGGCTATGCAATATACTATGGCCCTATCCTGCTTACCCAGGGATTCGGCCCTGCTGGCGCGCGGACAGAGGTTTACGACGCAGAAATTATGGGTGCAGTAGAAGGGCTCCGTGCTGCAGTTAGCCAAGACTGCACCAAGTTCGCTACCCAAATCAACATCCTCCTTGATAATCTAGCCGCAGCCAGCCTGCTAGCAGATGGCAGGCCAGCCCCCCATAGACGAAGACTTACTGATACTTTCCACCAACTCTCCGCTCAGTGGGACAGCTTGCCTTCACTTTTATCTCTACCTCGCAAACCTGTAGGGGTCTGTTGGGTTCCAGGCCACTCTGGGGTCACAGGGAATGAGCTCGCAGATAAGCTGGCAAAGAAGGGAGCTTCATTAGCCAGTCCTGATATCCCCCCGTCTCCCTCATTCCTCAGACGGGAGGCAAAACAGCGGATCCGCGCAGATACTCACGCGGCATATTTTAGAGGCGCACCTCAGGCCTACCATGACCTGGGCATCAGACCTCATACAAAAAGCAGTCGTGACCAAGAACATAAGCTCCCCCGCTGGGTCCTGGGCAGGCTCATAGCCGCCCGTACAGGTCACGGGGATTTTGCAGCATATCATGAAAGATTTCAACATGCAGACTACCTGGCAACCTGCTCCTGCAAGCGACAGAAGTCCCCTGTCCATTTCTTCTTCTGCCCACCCACCAGGAAGCGCTGGAAGGATAGATGGAAATGCAAGAGAGGCAGCCCGTCAAGTACAATTGACTGGCTACTAGGTACAGCTGCTGGGGCAGAAGAGTTCAGCCGCATCGTGCAAGATTCATCCTTTTTCAAGGATATATGCCCAAACTGGGCCCGCACAAGCACTGAATAGTGCAACAGTCTACGCTTCTACCTGGACGAACGGGAAAGGCACCCCTGCTCGACTGAAGGTAGCCAAAGCAGGTTCCTCACCTTTAGAAGTCCAGGCCAGGGTAGCGCCTGGTGCTTCTTCCACTCTTTTCCAACACATAGTGTCAGCTTTGTTGCTTCAAGCATGTATTTATTTTAGTGAGTCTTTGCTTAGGTAGCACGTCCGGATGCCCCTTGGGAGGCCGCGGGTCACGTGTGCCACGTGATCCGCCGAGTGACGTTAAATAGTAATCAAATCAAATCAAATCAAATCAAATCAAATCAAATCAAATCAAATCAAATCAAATCAAATCAAATCAAATCAAATCAAATCAAATCAAATCAAATCAAATCAAATCAAATCAAATCAAATCAAATCAAATCAAATCAAATCAAATCAAATCAAATCAAATCAAATCAAATCGGGCCTAGCCCGTCACAATTCCTTCAACTACTAGTTAGAAAGTTGGTCAATATCAATTACTTATTCTTGATAGTAATGGCAGTCACCTTACACCTACATTTAATAAGGAATACAGAGACAATAATATCATTGCTATCTGCATATCTTTTTATTCTTTTTATCTTCCACAGCCTCTAGATGTTGGTGTCAGGGCCCTTGCCATGTAGACCAGGACGAGCACGTGAGTTTCCTTATTTGGATTAGCACGGTGCGTGGATAGGAATACGTCGTCCAGCTTCACGTAGATCTCTTCCTTTTTCCCTCCTCTCCATGCTTGAAGTTCTCGTCGATAGCTGCCTAGATAGTTGAATAGCATCCTATTCATCGTCTAGTTGAGTTCCGTGACAGTTGGTTGCTTTGGTCCCTTAAATAAAGCATGCATATGGAGTATTGGTTGAGGCAAGGATACGCCATGGTCCATGGTTTTCACCATATTAGCAAGCATGATTTCTTAAAGGCCTGTCTTACAGCTCACCAATCAGTCTTTATATATATTAATATTGAAAGTGGCTTTGCTGCAGCTGGTATACAGCCTTTTAGCCCTCAATGTATGCTAGAGAAATTGAATATCTTATTGGCAATACCTACTCCCTTTTCAAGCTATGGGGATATTTCTACTAGCTTATCAGTGTAAAGGGGAGCGTACGTGCATTGTTCCCTGCTACAGGAACCGGGTTGTGATCGAGGGATCTCGGGGATGGATATACCAAGACGATGCCGTTATACCACACGGCACTCGAACGATCTTAGCAAGAAAACGATATAACGATAAAAGGAAACACAACGACGGAGCCTCGCTCCGTTCTGTACGACGATGACGATACTAGCGAAGCAACCTAGAAACCAAAAGAATTCTCAATTTCTCGTAACTATCTGGGAAGAAACCCTCCATTAAGTACTCTCCGGCCGCGGGCTCCACCATACATTAGTATGTCAGAGACTGCGGCTCTACAGCATTCTAAGATAGGAAATATGGGAGATCCGGGATTTCGCAGTGCCCCCGGCACATCAGCACTAGCAACACCTCATACAGCCCATCAACTATATAAGATAGCTTCCTCAGTTAAGAAGATGTTTCAAAGACATTCCCAAAGTCCTTCCTCACCCTCAAAGAAAGACTTCAATGAGTTGATAAAGGGACATGAATTTATTATGCATCAAGCTTCCTTTATGTCAAAGGAATTGCATGATTCCTGGGCAGAATATGAGAAAGATAAACAGAAAAAGAGCCAATTAAAGTGACAGATGCTTCCTAATAATTAAATCTGTGTACAGGAAGCAAGATATCTAGTTGCATTAAGAAAGAAGCAAGAAAATGAGAAAGGGAGGGTCTCAAGTAGTTCTGCACCTCAAGCTTTGGAGGCACCAAAATGTGCTCCATCAAAGTGTTCTAACTGTAAAATTGTTGGCCATACTAGAGCCAGATGTCCTGCACGCTATTCTGAATAGTTTTAATGGAAATACACGTCTTTTGGTAGTTGGTGATAGCTTAAGTTTCTAAGCATGGTCAAAATCGGCGGAGTGGCCGACCTATCCGGGAATTACATTATTTTGTGACCGTCTTAAAACTTCACTTCATACAGGGTTTGCCCTGCAATACATCATTTCTAAGGAAAGCAGCGTTGCATCCGGATCTCCAATAAACATACTGGATTAGAGACCACTAATGTCAAAACAAATTCGGAACTAGGGTGCCTCTCTCCTCAATCCAATGCAAGATTGCCCGTCCATGCATATCCACAAGCATCCCCCAAGACATATGTCCCTCTACTGCGTCTTATTCACGTGTCCCTTTCTGTTCGGAAGATCCTTGGTCTTCCGTTCCATCTCTGCGAAGCTTGGACAGTCGTTATCAAGATCTCCCCTATCCGCCTTGACCTACACGATGACGAAATTGGAACAAAGTCAACGATCTATCTCTATTTGTCCTCTTCGATACCATTGTTTTTGAATCTACTTACGTCTGATTCGCTGTTCGAGGCTAACCCATCCCTCCATTTTGCTTTTCCCTCACGAGTAGCTTTCAATTGATCTTGTTTCTCGGCTTCGTAGTGGGACTCGAGATTTGGACGGTCTGAAGCAGACAGGATATGATTTCATCAGTTACACAACCCAGGGCAATATTGTGAAGGGATAGCCATACTTTTATCGCTTTCTTTCAGTGATAAAGCTGTCCGGGAAGAGTGGAAGGATGAGGCTGCCGTGATGGGCTGGATGTAGATGGATCGAAGTGCGATTCGGGATCCAGTAATGGATTCCCGGAGACGAGATGCGAGGAAAGACATGTTGAGGCGTTTGGAGATCCCTTCTGTAAAGCAGTCAGTTTGGGGCAATGATGCAAATCCTAGGGCAACGTACCTAACGATGTAGATAGACTAGCAGTATATATACCGGTGCTCTGTAGAGAGGGATAGCAAGTAAGAAGGAAGGCAGTATGGAAACACTCCGGGATTCTTCTGGTGAAATGCTAAAGGCAGGATGATAATGGTCTTCCTCTTCGTCTACCTTCATTATTATTCCTCCTTGTTGATCATCCAACTCTACTACGATGACGTCAAGAATACTCAATAAGTCGACCCCAACGGCATTACATGTATTAATAAAAGCCAGTTCCCGACCCGGAGAAATGGAAGCAACACGTATAGCCTTGAGCTTGAAGTTATGTATCAACTGTAATGTCAACTGTTGCTTCAGGAAACGGTCCTTGGAGCCTCGATGGAGGATCCTATACAGTACCAGCGCTGTCTGCTTGCAGCGTAGATTCAAGAAGACGTATCATATCGGTCACAGAAAGCTCCATAGCAGCCTTGTCTAGTTCTTTTAAAGTCTTTCGAAGACCTCTTTGTAGGCTTCAAATCTGCGCATGGCTTCCTCGTACTCATGTGAAACCCAACCGTCCTTACCCAAGATTTGCGCTCGTAAATCTTCGAATTCATTTTAACCGCAGCCCATGCGTCCGTCTTCTGTCGACTTTGCTCGATCTCTTCTTCCGAAAACGAAATCGGGCAAGATATCATCAAGCTTCTCCGTTCTGCTATCTGGCCCCATTTCTCGTATATCTGTATAAGAAGCTCCTCCAGAGGGCGATATGTGGAAGACGAAGATTTGACCCTAAAGAATCGGACCTTCCCCATGCTGTATTGACACGACATTGGCTTGATGGCCCTATAGAACCCTTTCATCGTACATTTCATGGGTTGAAACTCAGTCATGATGACAACCGTGCCGACGACAGATGCTTGTGCGCCCGACCCACGGCTGCATATGCGAGTTTTCAGTTCAAGACTAGCCCAAGATGGTTGCAGAGATGCCAAAGCTAGGAGACGAGCCTGGAGTATTCTATGCATTTGGACATTGGGAAGAGATTTGGGAGAATGAGGCAAGAGACGCGAGAGCTGCCTCACCTTAGCCTTGTTGTTTACAACTCATACGGCCGGTGCAGGAATGACCGGAAGCAATTCATATGCGAATACATGGTCCTTGACAGGTACATACATGGGCTCCATACCATCTCTTATTCGAGTGCCGAGCCCATATTGCGGAGATCACAATGGCAGCTGTTAATGCAAATGCAGGTCACATCGCGATTTCCGTACCGGATGCAGAAAAGGCCGTTGACTGGTACAGCAAAGTATTTGGTCTGCATGTACTGGTTCCATTGAGAACTCTGAAGTCAAAGCAAGAGATGGATGGCCAGGTCGACCGAAGTGAGAAACGTCGTTCTGCCATTTGCATCAGAGCTGATCTGATACTCTGGTAGTGTATGGTCAGGAATTGGACACATTCAAGCTGGCAATACTCGGTTCTAGAAATAGGGTCAGACTTCAAATATTCGAGTTCGTTACGCCGAGATACAACGGCCCTGAAGAGAGGCCTACCTATGACCGAATAGCTACACAAAGGGAGGCTTCTTTCACGCCTGTTTCACATTGCCCGAACACGAGAAGACGGCTGCAATTGCTGCGGAGGAAGGGGGCAGCAGAATTGGAGAAATGACACATCCCATATAGGGCGAGAGCGCTGTATATCTGCAAGACTCTGGGGAAATGTTGTGGAGCTCTTAACTTGTGGTTTCGAGCAGTTGTTTCTGACAGCTGCGATGAAAGGCGGCTTCTAGAGCCAAGGAGACGTTAGGGATAATGTGTATGAACACGAGCTAGCTCATCCTTCCAAATGATCATAGTTGAAGTTATTTATAGTCAAATTCAGTCAGAATAATGTTCGGCCATCTGTTTAACGATGGTGTCCAACTTCTGTACTTCTGAGAGCAATGGTCTCAAAATGTCCATATATACCAGAGACACCCCTCACCATTGTCGTAGTATTTCGAATAACTAGCAATGATAACACTTTGACAATCGATGAATGTGGGTATCAACTGTGTTGTCTTCCTCCGCAGGGACCAAGTTGGCCTTCTTTAAACCAAGCCTGTGTCACATGACATGCAGCGATGCTATCGAACTCCAGTCGATCCGTCCATACATCATCACCGTCAACAATGCGACCATGATACGGTCATCGATTCAGGCCTAAAGAAGCCCTGTATAGAAAGACAACTTACAGATGGCACCATCGAACCCGTTGGCTAATTGGGAGAGGGTAGGGGATAGATTCTACAGGAAGGTTCGCGTGTACGACGCCGTCTTCGACGACGACATCGAGTTAGAAAACTACATCGTCGCTGGTGCCCCTTACGGTGGCGCTCTTGGTATGGCTGGATCCTGAATTATATGTGGAATAATCTACTAATTGGTATCGATAGCACTGTATCGTGACCAAAGCAAGCCCTTTCTGTATAGGGACGCCCAGACTGCAAAGTCCAGCATTGACATTTACTCTTGTTCAGGAAATTTGATCAATCGGATTAACGTTAGCTCTCTAATCGACCCCACTGGAGGTATCATAGCTAACTGATGGCAGTGGGAACATGGTGTCATTCGGGGCCTTGGCTGGTCCGATAAGGAGGAATTGCTAGTTGTCACAGAAGAAGGCACTGTTCGCCGTTATTTCGGATTACATGGTGACTTCACGTCGTTCTCGTTGGGAAATGTAGACTTCTTCTCTCCTTCATTTCCATACGTATTGGGCTGACTTGTCGTTTCAGGGGGCCGAAGAATATGGAGTGACGGCGTGTCGATTTTGGACATCTGGCTTCGTTGCATTGCTTTCAAATAATCAGCTTGTTGCTGTTTCCAAGTATGATGAACCCAGGCCGAGGCTCCTAGCCCCTTCTCCTGAGGGACAGGTCTTTTCATGGTCCTTGATTCCCCCAGCTTATACGCTTTCTCGCTCCGTGGAAGTCCTCCTAGCTGTCGACAATACTATATATTTGATTGACCCTACAGAGACCGAGGACAAGTTGCTTCAGAACGGGCCCTTCAAGCATGTCAGCGTCTCTCCCACTGGGCGCTTCGTGGCACTTTTTACTGGTGATGGGAAGATGTGGGTGGTGAGCAGCGATTTTCAAAACAAGCTCAGTGAATTTGATTCGAAAGCTCGGACACCTCCGACCACCGTTGAATGGTGTGGTGACGATGCTGTTATTCTTGCATGGGAGGATGAGATACTCATTGTTGGTCCTAATGGGGCTGCTACCAGGTGAGTTCTCAGAAAAGCGTGCATATATTCCCGGAGTTGCTGAGTAGTGAAGATACTATTATGATGGCCGGGTTCATGTGCTTCCGGAGTTTGACGGTGTAAGGTTGATTACGAACGACACCTATGAGTTTCTACACAATGTTGCGAGTAAGTCATCCCTGCTTTTCCTGTCCCTCCAGTGACTGACCTGGCAAAAGACGTCACAGAAGAGATCTTTAAGCTTGGATCCACCTCACCAGCATCTGTCCTACTGGATTCAGTAGACCTATTAGAAAAGAAGTCCCCTAAGGCGGATGAAAATATCCAACGGATTCGTCCTAGTCTACCCGAGGCGGTCGATGCTTGTGTCCAGGCTGCCGGCCAGGAGTTTGATACCTATTGGCAGAAGCGGCTCCTGAAAGCAGCGTCATTCGGAAAATCAGTCCTGGAGCTTTATAATAGCGACGAGTTTGTCGAAATGACCGAAAAGCTTCGGGTGCTGAAAGCAGTGAGAGACTATAAAATTGGATTACCGATTTCTTACGAACAATATCTACGGCTTACCCCGGCAAGACTTGTCGAGCGGCTAACTAATCGATATGAGTATTTACTCGCGATTCGAATTTCGGATTACCTTCAAATCCCGGCCGATAATATATACGTCCACTGGGCAAGCCAGAAGGTCAGAGTCTCCGCTGCTGACGACGAAGCCGTCTGCAAACTCATCGTTCAAAGGCTGGATGGGAAACCGGGAATATCGTTTGAAGCAATTGCCCAGGCCGCGTACGACGAGGGACGAACACATTTAGCCACACAATTGCTAAATCACGAACCTCGGGCTGGGAAACAGATCCCGCTGTTGTTGGACATGGAGGAAGATGAAATCGCCCTTGACAAGGCCATTGAAAGTGGAGACGATGATCTGGTCTACTATGTGCTTCTACATCTGAAAAGCAAACTTCCCCTGGCGACCTTTTTCAGAACTATCAATAACCGCCCGATGGCTTCTGCTCTCGTGGAATCATTGGCGAAAGATGAGGACACGGAGCTACTGAAGGACCTATACTACCAGGACGACCGGCCTATTGAAGGTTCTGATGTTCTAATTTCGGAAGCTCTAGAAGAGACGGAGGTGCCGCGGAAGACTGAGAAGCTTAATCTGTCATCGCGCTTGCTGGCAGATTCGAAGGACGCCACAGCTGTCTCTCAACTGAAATTGATCTCTGAAGTGACGCAACTGTTAAAACTCCAGGAAAGCTTGGATAAGGACATCGCAGATCGGTCAGAGTTTGTAGGACTAAGTTTGAACGAAACGGTTTACCGGTTAATCAGATCTGGTTACGGGAAACGGGCGCAGAAACTGCAAAGTGAATTCAAGATGTCCGAGAAGACATTCTGGTGGCTAAGGTTGAGGGCCTTGGTCGCCAAAAGGGACTGGGGGGAACTGGAAGAGATAGGCAAGAACAAGAAGTCACCCATAGGATGGGAGGTATGTAAATCCCAATTCCGACATACATCCACAAATGGCTAGGAAGTCGCTCACAAAGAAATGATAAATAGCCTTTCTATAATGAAGTATTGGGCGCCGGAAACACAAAACTCGCCGCAATGTTTGTCCCGAAATGCACCGGCCAGCCTGTTGCCGACAGGATCCAGATGTGGGTGAAGTGCGGAATGATCGTGAAAGCCGGAGAAGAGGCTCTTAAGGCGAAAGACGTCAATACCCTTGAGCTCCTTCGGGCGAGGGCTACAGGATCAGCAATCGCCGACATTGATCGGATGATCAACCACCTGAGGCCGACCAAATAGCTTGCCAGGAACAACCCATCTCTCTTTATACCCGTAATAATCGCTTGTTTTCAAGTAATTTCATCCTCAACTTCAATGTCTGCATGTTGATTTACCGCGAGATTCTGAGCAGCCTGGTGTGAAGGAATTGGCCCTAGCACCACCGGCTTTTTATTTGACCCAGCTGCCATAGTATCATCGGCCATAGCATCCTCGACAGCTACATCATCGTCATGGTCGTCTTCATCTCCAGTGTTCATTTGAAGAGCTGCAAACATGCTACCCGATTTGCGGTTTAAATCATCCCAATCGACCTGTGCAGAAATGTTGTCAGAATTGATCCACGAGCGAAAGACCGCAGTAGAAGGCACGACAACTAAGACATGCAGACTCACCCTACGGGATTTAACTGTCTTTCCCCTGTTAACACTTTTGGCGATTTTAATTTCAAGCTGATCCATAACCATCTCTGCTCTTTCCATGCCTTTCTTCTGCCTTAGCTTTTGAGATCTTGACTTCGGTTTTGCCTTTGCTTGCTTCTTGGATACTCCTGCATTTGCGCGATCGGACAGGAGGGAAGGACGCTGGATTTCATTTTCCTCAACCCGGGGAGCAGAGGTTAAAGACTTGTCGAGGTCGAGACTTGGGGAGGCTGCCCGTCTGGCGGCGCGGGAATGCAGTGACTTGGCTGGAGGAAGACATTAATAACAGAAGAGGTTCTGCAATATACATAGAGGTACTTACATGTAGTTTTTAATTTCGGTGTCTTTGCCATGATGTCTGTAGGACGGTTGAAGAACAAACAAAAAAAAAAAATAGTGTGGAGATAATATTTGCTTTATCGATTGAAGTTTTTCCGGGCGGTGGCTCCGGCTCAAAACGCAGTTTTGTTCCAGCGCCCATTATCGATCACTTCCGACCTGTTCATCAATCCTCTCTCCTCCTCCATTCTTCTCTATCTTTGCTGGAAATACTGGGACTAGTTCATCTCTGCTTGATGTGCCAGACTACTCATGATAAACGGGATCTCGCCTCTCCGCGGTGGCCCTACACTCCTCTCCACCAGCCATGAACACCTACCCAGCGAGCGCCGATATCCCCGAATGGAGACCTTTGGTCGAAACACAAAGCAGAACGCGATATGACTCAGTCTCAGACTATCTTCAGAGCAATCAGACTATAGCATATGTCTTTCTGAGCATCATCCTGGTGCATTTCTTCCTGAACATATCCGGACATCTCCTTCCGTCTTTACCACGCGTCTTGTGGAACATTTCCGTCTACCTAACACCTTCACGAATCGTATTTGCACTGGACCCGAAGCGAGAGACGACACAGGAAAACCATACTGAAGGACAAACGCCACCGATGGATACTTTCCAGGCGAAAAGCAAGGCGATGCAGCGGATTTTGGGGCTTGAGGATAGAAATAATACGAATTCCTCTTCTCCCTCTTTTTCGTCTTTATTATCTCCCGCCAGGACGTTCTCAGGGATCGTTGGAAATGCGCTGTTGCGTGGAGGTTCCAGGGAAAATTTACCTCCAGGGCTGGGAAACTGGGATAATTCTTGCTATCAGAATAGTATTATCCAGGGTCTAGCTTCGCTGCGGTCTCTGGCAGCATATCTGGAGAGAAATATTAACGCTCTGACAGAGAGAGGATCATTTTCGACGCATCAAGCCCTAAAGGATATCATAGAGCGACTGAATAGTCCTGCGTGCTATGACCAGAAACTGTGGATACCAGCTGAGTTGAAGTCGATGAGCAGCTGGCAGCAGCAGGATGCGCAGGAATACTTCTCCAAAATTATAGAGCAGGTCGATCGCGAGATTCTGCAGGCAGCGAGGGGACGCACGGGAAATCTAGGATTGAAGGCTGCAGGACCGGAAGAGCACGTAATCGGAACGGTTTCAAATTTGAAATTGACAGATGAGACGCGTTCTCGAATCGTTGAAAATTCCTCGCTTCGAAATCCTCTGGAAGGTCTTCTTGCTCAGAGGGTCGGCTGCATGAGATGTGGATGGACAGAAGGGCTGTCTCTTATTCCGTTCAACTGCCTCACGGTCCCTCTGGTTGGAAATATAGCATGCAGTATACGAGACTGTTTGGATCAGTATATGGACCTGGAGTCCATTGAAGGCGTGGAGTGCACCAAATGCACCTTATTGCGTGCGCGGGAGCAGCTCCGGAATCTGCTGGAACAGATCAAAGAGGATAAGGATCTTTCGAACTCTCCGCAGTTGCCGGACGCCCCTAACACTCTAAGGGCATCCTTTGAGGGCCGATTAAAAGCCGTGGAAGAGGCGCTTGAGGAAGAGGACTTCGCCGACAAGACGTTATCGAACAAGTGTCACATCCCTTCGAAAAACCGCGTGTCAACGACAAAGTCGAGGCAGGCGGTGATCGCAAGGGCTCCTCAATGTCTTGCGATTCACATCAATCGCAGTCTGTTTGATGAGAACACAGGGATGCTAAGGAAGAATTATGCTGAACTCCGGTTCCCCACGACCATTGATCTCAGCGCATGGTGTCTGGGAACGAAGTGCAAAGCCGCGGCTGACGGAAGTACCGAAGAGTGGGACACCAATCCCCGGGCATCCATGCTGCCTCATGCCAGCGCAACCGCAGACGCAGGAAGTAGACAATACGAACTTCGGGCGCTGATCACGCATTACGGCAGACATGAAAACGGACATTATATTTGCTACCGGAAGTACCCATCAGATATCTTTCCAGCAGAAGTATCCGAGGCAGTGCTGGCAGCGGACGGTGAGAAGGAAAGATCCGAACGGTGGTTCCGACTGAGCGACGATGATGTCCACATGGTCAGCGAGCAACATGTCCTGTCTCAAGGAGGAGCTTTCATGTTACTCTATGAAGCGGTTGAACATCCTCCACTGCCAGCGAAGCCTATGGACATGAACAGCCCACGACTTGTGGATGTTGAGCGACGGAATCTGGCATCAAACTCCAGCTTCACCACAACGGATGACATGTCCATGGCATCCACAGATGCGTTGACACTCGATGACACCGACTTGGACACGTCACGAACCCCGAGTATATCGCCTCCGGCTCCGGACCGAGTCATCCCGTCCATTGAAGATATACAACATGGCACCTTTCCGAAACTGGGGGCTAGGTATGTTGTAAATGGCAGCAGGAGCAGTGACAAGGACGCCGATGGGATATCATCGTCGCCTTCCATTGTCACAGTCTAGATATCTGACCTTGACGGTTCTCGCAGTGATGTTGTGTTTTTGAGTCATCACTTTCACCGCCATTACAATGATACCCTTTTCCCCGCCGCATAAATGGATGTTATTCAACTTAATTAGCAGGCGTTATATTGTTTTTTGTTTTTGTGTATTTTTTTTTGGTTTCGAGATAATGCGGATCATCTGGGTTGTATAATATTGGGTCTAGGTTGGGACTTTTAGGCTTTGGATTATTACAGTGGATTGATTATGTGTCAGGAATAATGAACCGGGTTGATTGACCAAGGGATAGAACGGTTATGGCCATGCGAATGGATTTTAAACAGAAACTTTCATTTTTGTCCAAGTAAATGGTTGTATTCTTAGAAGGAAACGCTGCGCCATTCAGAACAAAACCTCACTGTCCAACTCCATGCCAGATACCCTCACCCCATCCAGAGAACACCAAAAGAGAAAAATAAATGGGCACCGTACGCAGTGCGCAAGTGACATGACACGACCAAAGCAATCAAAATCAAAAAACACCAGCCCGTTTCATAACCTCCCTAAACTCGTCCCTAGTAACGCCAGCGTGAATACCAGCGCCCCCATTCGCCTCAAGAATCATATTCTTCAACAGCTCTTCCCCGACATCATCCTCCTTGAGTTCCCTCGCGATGCTTCTAAGATGACCGAGTGTAATGGGTCCGCCAGAGCCACGGGTGAAGAGCTGAAAGGCGATGTCGATATTAGCCTCGATGGCGTCGTAATCCTCTACATCTTTCGCTGCGAGCTTGGCGGCCGCGACGGACAGGAACGGTGGGTAGGGGACGAAACCGGTCGAGGTCGGATCGACGGCGGAGAGGATGGAGGAGAGTTCGGATGAGTCTGTAGGGGGGAGGCCGAGGGCTCTATGCAACTTTTCATTAGCAATGTCTCATAGAGCGTGTATCATACAAGCTGGGGTAGAATAGAACCTACACGAGCGTCTTGCGAACATCCTCTCTCCGGATAACGCCTTCCTTTTCATCCTTGAACTCGCCATGCTGGTGCTTGATAGAGAAGAGATGGAATGCTTCTTTTATCTCGGTTTCTTCTTCGGCGGTGATGTTGTTTTCTTTCGCAAGTTTGGACTGGCGAGGTTTCCTCGGGGTTGTTGTCGCGCTGGTGCGCGATGAGGGGGCAGCACCACCGCGCCTCTTGGGGGGCTGGATTGAAATAGACAGAATAGTTAGTTCTAACTTATCAGGACAAGTTTCGTATTTGTGGTTGAGTTGGTTGTATAGGAGTTACTCACCATGTCAGTTGTTTAGAGAAGAAAGAGAGGGTGAGGAGAGCGATAGATGCTGATATGGTTGATAAAACGATAGAAGACTCTTGCACAACATGGAGATTGAACTGATGAAGATGGTTGTTATATATTCCTGCTTCTTTCTTTTGCCTTTACCCATCTGTTCCTGGGAGTCTCCATGACCTCAAGGCCTGTCCCTCTTGCTATCCATTAATTCAAAGTAAATTCCTTGCTTGGTTTATTCACGGTAGCTAGGTACTGGGATTTTGAGCATCAGCTAGATCAATGAGAGGATCTGACCTCTGTACAACAACAACAAAAATAAGAATAAAAATAAAAAAAAAGGGACACTGAAAAGAAAATCCCTTGATATCCCTTGATCTCTCCATGGACAAGCAAGCTACTACCACCAAATGCAGAGGTCTGTCTCGACGTCGCCCATCCCAACACACATCATGTCCTTGCATAAAGTGTCTGCCTACTCTTCAGGATGTGGTGATGAAGCACAACTGTGCTGAGGTCATTTTTAAGATATCCAAGCTATCCAGCCTCGGATCTTTCTCATAGCAGCATGAGGACACTGCCAGGCACTATGTCGTATACAGCTGTAGTGTCCCTGAGGACTATGCCAGCGGATCAAGCATGTGAAACTCATCGTATTTCCCGGAGTCTGCGCTGGATAAAGCTGTTCTATTCGGGATTTGGGGGTTGAAACTCGCAGAACCATGCTGCTCTCCTTCTTCTGCTACTCTTGATGTATTTAGTATCTAGGATGAGGCGTTTTCATATCTCTTGAACTCTTCGCGCTCTCTTATATCCAGCAGTAGCTCAACACACTCAACTGGCCCTCGACTACGAAAATATTGAAAAACTAAACAAGTCAAACAACGTCACTTTCTGAAATTGGCATTAATCCTTGCATAATAGAGGGCTCTGACAGGTAACAATACTATTATTTCCTCCTGCAGGCATGGAAGAGCAAAGAACCTGCTTACGTGATCCGACAATAGGCGACACCTTCGTCTTCTCGAGCATCAACCATCATCTCTTCGACTATCTCGCGGAAGAGATTCTCTAGAAATCCTTTTAACAGCTGGTGCTTTTGAATATTGCTGGATTCCTTGGTTGCATTGCACCGCACCCCTTTTCTTGCAAGTCCTTCGTCCCCAGCAAGCGGTAAGATGGACGTCGACTTGTACATCTACGACCTCTCAAAGGTGCAGATATCTCTCCCGTCATCCTCGGTTTGAGGATCAGCTGCTAACATGCCATAGGGTCTTGCGCGAATGGTATGTTTTGTCTTCTTTGTGTGATGGCAACCTTTCTGGAATCCCGTACTAAACGGTGACCCAGTATTCCGAGTCCTTGACCGGGATCAGGATTGATGCAATTTACCACACCTCCATCGTTCTCAATGGAGTTGAATATTACTTTGGACAGGGCATCCAGATGGCTGTCCCGGGAAGCACGCATCACGGCCAGCCCATGGAGGTTGTGCGTCTGGGCCGGACGGAGCTTCCGTTAGAGGTCGTGGAGGAGTATATCGCCTCGCTAGGCGAGGTTTATACCCCGGAGGTATGGAGTATTCATGATGTGTATGTGCTTTTGTTTTTGCTTATGCCAACTCCGCTGTAGTCGTACGATCTCTTCTTGCACAACTGCAACAATTTCACGCAAGATCTTGCTGTCTTCCTGGTCGGGAAGAGCATCCCTGAACATATCCGCAACTTGCCCCAGACTTTCCTCGGCACTCCACTGGGCCAGATGTTGAGGCCGCAGATTGAGGCGGCCCTGAGAGGTGTTGCTCAAGGTCCCCGTGCTGCAGCTGCACCGAGTGCAGCTACTAGAGAGTCCCCTGCCGCAGTACCTACAACGGCAGCACCGGCAACGACGAGCAAAGTCTCCGTCCAGATTGCCACTAATCTAAGCCAGCTCGAGTCTCAGCTTGCATCCGCCTCCAAGTCCTGCGCAGTCGTATTCTTCACCTCCTCAACATGTCCCCCCTGCAAGATGGTATACCCTACATACGACCAGCTGGCCGAGGAAGCAGGCGACAAGGGCGTCCTGATCAAATGCGACGTCAACGCCGCCTACGATGTGAGCATGAAATACAACGTGCGCGCTACACCAACCTTCATGACCTTCCTCAAGGGCGAGAAACTCGACGAATGGTCTGGCGCCAACCCAGCCCAGCTACAGGGAAACGTCCGTCTCCTGCTACAAATGGCACACCCACCGCATCCACATAGCAAGCTCCGACTCCCCAGCTTCCAACGGCACATATCGAAATACATCACGTACAAGAACATCCCTCCGCTGGATAAACTCGTGCAGAAACTGGGGTCTTCCGGCTCGGATCCCCGCCTCACCCCTATCATCGACTTTATCAAAAAAACCCGCACAACGACCACCGACCGTCCCGCAGATACACCGTTACCCTCCTCCCTGGCCCTCTTTGCCATCTATGTCCGCGAGACCTTCCCTTGCCTTGCAAGTGACACGCAGTTCGCCCTCGTCGACCTCGTCCGCGTCCTCTTCCTCGACCCCCGCGTGAGCGGCTACTTCGCCGAGTCGGAGATGCGGTCGCAGCACCAGACCATCCTCACCCTCCTCTCCCGCTCAGACACGGATGAAGAACTAGCGACGTGTCCGTATAACCTGCGCATCGTCATGTTGCATCTCACCTGTAACCTCTTCACATCCCCTCTGTACGCGGAACAGGTCATTGCGAACGACTCACTACGAACGACGTGCGTGCATCTTCTTACCTCGTCACTGCTGGATGCGGAACATGCTAGTCTGCGCGTTGTGGCTGCTTCGCTTGCGTACAATCTGGCGGTTTATAATCATAATATCCGATGTAAATCGGAATTCGCAGGAGAAAGCAGTGGTCGTAGCAACAGTGGTGGTGGCAGTGATGACCCGCTCCCCGAAGACGCACAAGTGGAACTCACGGCGTCGCTGATCGAGGCTATCTCGCGCGAAGAGACGAGCGGGGAGGCGCTGCGCGGACTTGTCTTTGCGCTGGGCTTGCTGGTGTACGGGGCTCCGGTGGAGGGGGCGGTGGTGGATCTGTGTCGGGCGATGGATGCGTGGGGGATTGTGAAGGAGAAGAAGGGGGTGGATGGGACAAGTCGGGAGTTGCTTCGGGAGGTGAAGGAGTTGCTTTCGGGCTGACATTACTGTACATTACTGCATGATAATCACATTGATACTATATGATACGATATGATAAGATGATCTAGAAGGATTCGATGATTAATAGAAGTCATGGAATAATTATTTATAGTGGTAAGACCGGCTTACAGGTAAGCAACAATGCAACGCTGCGACAGTGACAAAAAACAACAGGGGTATGACGCTAGAAAGAACATGAGACAAGAAAAAGAAAGTACACGACTGGGTATCCAACAAGGTAACAGTAACAGCGCTAGAACAGCGATGGAAACAATGACCGAAAGAGCAGACAGAAACAGGACAGGGCTCGCCATGATGCAACGATAACAAGACCAAGACAACAAACAAGCGATAAACACAACAAAACAGAAACAGAACTGACGGTAATGTCATGTAATGTAAGCGTATGTGCAAGCAAGGCTGAAGAATGACAACTCCACAGAATGCTGAATTGTTGGGATGAGGTGCGTTACACAACACCGTGCCATGCATGGCGCTGCATGAAGTGATGGGATGGATGCATCACAGCCGCATTTGCAGTTGCAGTTCGTTGCCTGCACTGTGAGTCATCACAGAAGCAAAGAAAACTGGCGGTGAGATGATGCCTGACAGCCTAATAGGAATAATAACAATACTAGCCCGGTGAAATGACAGCGGGTAGAGCGGATGGGGATGTGATATCAATCGTGTCATGGAATCCTATCCAGGAGGATACGATATCCGTTATCCACGGATCCGAGATAAGCCCCGCGGGGAGTGATGAAGTAATCGAAGAATCCATGGTCCGCACAGAATTGGATACTCTGTAGTACCCGCGCAAGGTTACGTCGGAGTCGATCGCCGACGGGAATGTTCTGGATTCCGTTTTCCCCCTTCTTCGGGGCCAAAAATACTAACCGTCTGACGCGCAGATGCGCGTTCCGTCGATTGTGGTATAAAGTAAGAAAATAAAATATCGGAAAGATGGACCAAGCCCATTCACCGCATATTCCACAAGAGGTAGGTCGGACGTCGCGGAACGAGAAGTAAATAAATAAATAAAAATAATAATTGCGGAATGTCGTAGACAGCGCCGGCGCTGAGGGTATGATGGAAGCCGAGAAAAAGCCGTACGCGGGGCAATCCGAAAATATTGCAAAATAATTGAAAAAAAAAAAAAAAAAAAAAAAAAGGTTAAGCACCAGACTTGCTCTTGGAGCTGGACGACGAAGAAGAAGCAGCGCGCCTCTTGACGTAGACGGTCTTGGACTTCCTCCGCTTGGACGCGGTCTCCTTCTCGCCCTGTGGTGGGCGCAGGTTCTGCTGCGCACGAGCGCGGGCCTGGAGCATCGCTCGGAAACGGGCTCGCGACTCTTCCTCCTCTGCTGCAGCACGGAGCATCTGGATCTGGATCTGTTGCTCAGTGGTCAAGGAGCCCAGATGTTTCTCCTCGGCGGGAGGCAGCTCGTCAAGGAGCGCTTCCGACGACAGGGGGGACTCGAGCGGCCACAGGTCCTCGTCAGAGATGTAGGAGCTGGCGGTGGAGCTGGCCGAGTCGGCGTTGAGGAGCGACGGGCGGTTGGGCCAGGAGGGGAATGCGCACGAGTTGCTCATGCCGAAGGAAGTGGAGAAGGAGCACTTGCGAGGGGTGATATCGAGGAGGTCGTCGTTGGGCGTTGGGGGAGGAGGAGAGGGCAGATACGATGGGGAGGAGGACATGGAAGAGCAGGTGCCGCTGCTGAAGCTGAATGTGAAGGGCATGTTGTAGTCGGGTATAGTCGAGTCTCCGGGTATGAGAATAGTCGAGAGACGAGACGATGGTGATGTAGGTATCGACGCAGATGTGACGGGGACACAGTGCTTATAGACGCGATCGGATATCGACCGGACTAGACCGGATGGGATGCGGCGTGGCGGTCTGCAAGCAAACAGGGATATATATAATGGCGGCTGCAGATGCAAGATATAGGATAGTATAATAATAACAATAATAATAATAATAATAATAATATGGCAAGTGATGCGGTCACCAAGCCGGCTGCAAACAACGAATGTGATACAGCGGGGGGAATGTGATGGGGACTAGAAGCATTATCAGCATGCGGTCAGGCAGGGTGATATCAGGCAGAAGACTGACATCTCATGCAGCCAAAACAGGGCGGCGACATACCTGGAGATAGCTCTGCCCAGTGTCTTGGGATGATGATGGGTGATGATGGATGGCACTGTGGTATTGTATTATTCTGGATGTATTGGATAAGATAAGATCGTTCGTATCGTATCGTATGGTACTGATCACATGTAATATACCGAGAATTGCCCCAAACAGACAGATAATACTATTATTATTATCATATGCGATGCAGTCCGTTCCGGGATATAAGTAGTATATTACCCGTCGATAAGCAGGATCCCACCAATCGATCCGACTCGTGCCCGTTGAGCCGGAAAGAGAAAAAGAAAGGAAAATTGGAATAAGAATAGTATATGAGAGGACACGCAAACAAAGCCAGCGAGCAACCAACAAAGCAAACAGGGATAACTGAGTCACAGCCTGCCTTTGTCCGGCTCCAGAATTCGCTGCTGCAGATGGTTGGGAGAGACAGCTCGCATGCCTTGATTTGTTGTCTTTGCCCAGAGAGGGTAATGATGAGGTGACAAGGGTAGTGGGGAGCAAGGACGGTGTTCGTAGTTTGGGGTGCAGAAGAAAGATGTCGACCGAGAGATCTGGGAGATAATGCAAGGTTATTATATATGTAGCGACGTCCCTTTTTTTTCACCTTCTTTATTATTTTTTACCCTCTTTATCACTCCCCTTCTTTATTGCCATGCTTAAAAAAGAGTGGGAGCGAGCCGAACGAACGCCGGGCAAAGGTCCAAACAGGCCTGGACTCGCCCAAACAATCCGCATCGGTGGGGCGTCCCAGCCTTTAGGTATCCATATTTGGACGCTTCCACCGACTTTTCCACCGCGTTGGATTTCTTTTCCCTGGAGTCCTGATTGCTGACCGCTACCCCGGATGAATCCTCCATCTCAACAAACAAGTAATCCCTGCTGATTCATGTTTGAGAATAAGCCATTTGCATCGATACAACACTGTAGTGGAACAACTCGGCCAACTCGCGGAGCATTCATTCCCCCGATATAGCCGTAACCCAGCGATAATCCTAATAAGAAAATAAAACAACGGGCCCGACGAAAAGGTACTCCCCCGGACCCAACTCCAGCCGGTCCGCCGGACCCGCTAATAGCTGCGCGATTTACTCCACTTGCAACCACCGGAACCGTTTCCCCATCCCTGAACCATACTTCTGGTAATAAAAGAATAATATCAAATAGATAAAATCAAATAAAAAAGTGGGCAGCTCGTGGCCTCGATCGTCGGCTATCGGAGTTGGGCCACGAGGGATTTTCCGTGCAGTCTAAATACGGAGTACTAGTCCGCAATTCCCCCTGCCGCGGTTTCATATAACATCAATGCTACCCAACGTGGATGGCTAGCTCTCTTACAATTTATCACACACTAGTATGTGATGAGTGCCGCAGAGTACTTTTGACAAACACTTCTCCAATTCACTATGCCTAGGTAGAATTTTCAGCTGTCGGGTCGATTTGCAGTTTTTCAAGGAGCTATACGACGATGATGGTGACTACAGAACAAGCCGAGTCCTAATATGTGCCGAGGTACAATAGGTGTCATACACGCAACAACAAAAACAACAACAATCTAGCTGAAGAGTGACAATCGCCACTCGTGGGATGGCAGTCTTGGATACAGCATGCTGGTCATGAGAACATCGAACAAACTCCCGGGATTTGAGAATGAACAAGTCAATAATAAATCTGCCTTGTCGTGGCTTTGCTTGCTTGCTTGCTTGCTTTGCCACGGCCAGGTTGTATCGAAGTAATACCTAGGCTGTACGGGGTACCACAGTCACAGACATCATCCTGCCTGTCCTCTAAACATGATATGAAATAGAGAAATGCACAGAGGAATCGAAAATCGAAAATAGTCGACATTTGATATTGCTTTCCACATGGAGATAATGTCAAGTGGATACTATATACCATGCAGGTACGCTGCATATGATCCCCCATCGAACCCATCGTGACGGTAAAGTGCGTGGCACAGATGCAGATGGACGCTTCTAGCGTCCGGCGACAATCCCGTTCCCCGTAAGAGATACCAATGCGATCGGCTGAATAATGTTTGCAAATACGGAATACTGCGACAGAGAATGTCTAAAAGGACTGCAATTTACCTGCGGCAGAAGCGCGCGATGCGCTGAAAGTGAGGCTTGGATGTCTACGAACATAAGTAACTGGATTGATCCGGGGCTGCCGCGGTCTGCGCTATTCATGTTCATCCCGCGGAAGTCGGTTGTAACCCCTGTTTTTTTTTTTTTTTTTTTTTTTTTCCTGAAGGTGTGATAATATCAGCCGAGGATAATTCCAAAACAAATACGGAGTAGTCTTACGACATCATATTATATTAGATATATTATATTAGAAATACTCTTTGCTTGTAACTACAGATATCTCATATCTCAACACATAGTATAAATGCATAAAAATGGCATAGCGACCTGCGCATGTACTTGATTTCCTGGACACATTAGAGGCCTTCCCTTGCTGCCTCTTGCCCGCTGAGGACAGAGCGAGTGGCAAGTAAGATGGTGCCTCAATAAAATGCACCAGCTCAAGGGTTCTGTAAGGCTGCGAACATAATCGCCTAGGAATCAGGCTGCCAGTTAGCAGCCCCAGGCACGTACTTGAGCTCAACCTTCAGCAATTAGTTCTAGTAAACAAGCCCCGACACAAACTTCAGTTGGGCTGTAATCCCAACCCATTTTCCACTTACAATCTATCTCCTTGACCATGGTGCGGACCCCAATGTCAGTCGCGTCGGTGACATGTGCACGCCCCTTGAAGCAGCTTCACCCCATTCTCGTCCAGAAATAGTTCAACTACTGCTCTGACCCGGTGCAGATCCGAAAATGAAGAATCCAAAGGGCTTGATACCAGGGAAACCGCAGAGAGAGAAGGACATATGGACTATGCGAAGCTTCTTGCTGATGCAGTGGAATGACGTGCAGTTTCCCTGACCATGCCTTGTCAGATCATATCTTTTTACATTCCTTTTTATAGGACTGTATCTTTTGCAACTATTCAGTAGACTATATTTATTAGGATTATATGACCCATCCCGGGGATGTTCCAGCGCTGCCTAGTAGTAGAAACTCTCAATCTAACAGTGTTGGGCCTCCTCCCCGGTGTTATTCTTTATCATCCTGTTTCATCCACCCAAACTTGGCTCGAACCTGCCACAGTGACATTCCGGGGAATGTGGATACGTGGATATGCATTTCGGCTCGCCATCCGGGGATCCGCATCCCAGAAAACAGGTTCAGGAGAGTTTTTGACGAGTATTGTTACACATAAACCGTGGTTCTCCACAAGGGTCTCATTCTCCGCATGGCTCATGCCATTGTCTCGCACAAGGATGGAAACCCAAAACCAGGATGAGTCTCGACTCTCCGATTCTCTTTCATACATACCATCTATTTCGCTGAGGCTACCATGCGCCATTCGTCAACGGGTGATGCAATACGATGGCTTCGATCTCTGGCGATTCAGATAATACGGAATTCCAGCTACAACAATCTCAAGTGGCTGGCTGTCACTGCAGCTAACCCCTGTCTCTTCCACGGCTGCAATGCTCATAGAATCGACCACAGCCTATGAATATACTCCGAGCAGAAAGCTGCTTCAATCCCTGGCTCCTTTGCAGCGCAGAAGATAGTGCCTCCGAGATAGCATGCAGATCCATATAATAACAACACCAGCGATACGGGCCACCTGCCAAAAAAGGATAAAGCCCCAGAGTCTTGAACTTTATCGGACATATAGTCAGCAATGACTAAGTGAGCATGTCCGCAGACTTTTCTACGGTATATTAAAGAGATCCGTATCCACCTGGGAATTCTATTCCGAGTCCGTCTGCCCTGTGAGGGCTTGAACTGCTGCCAGCATGACTGCTGCAACCCAGATTGGAGCCGATGAGATTCAGACGAATCCGCGGTATCTGCTCCGCCAGCCGCTTGCGCTGCAGTGGTTCGACAATGACCGGTTAGTGAAGAGATGCGACTGCGAACGCCAGGCGGGTAGGTGAACTCTTCGGCTCTATCAAAGGGATATTGTAGCTGAGCCTGCAGGCCGTTTTGAACTGTTCCTAGACTTGCTCTACGTCGCGATAGTTGCCAACTTTGCGGAAAACCTGGCAGAGGACGTGTCGGGGGTTCGCCTGGTGAAGTACATCGTCAGTTGGCTTTCATTTGGTTGCAGGTTTGCTACAAGCGTAGATGTTGATGTCTATTCTATCTATCTAGCTTATTCTGGCTCCATCATGGCACATCTGGAGTGATCTCCGCGAGTTGATGAATTCCTTTTACAATGATGATCTCCTGCAGCGCGTGCTCATTCTCTGGGTCATGGCTCTTCTCGTGGTCTACGGGAACAACGCGGTTCTCGTCGAGGAAGACCTTGGAGCCATGCAGGCCACGGTGGGAGCGTATATCGTCGCTCGCGCAACGACCAACTCGATGCATCTCTACTATTCGTTTTCAAGCTATCACCATCGCGCCCAACAGCGACTGTGGTTCGTGCTATCCGGGTTGGCCCTGTGCATATACATCCCACTGTTCGTCGACTCCTTGTCCTTTCGAAGCAAGATCGCCGTTGCTGCTGTGGCTGTCTGCGTCGAGGAACTGTGCTGGATATTCTGCTACTCTCCCCTGGCGAAGAGGTTACTCAAGGCCAGATACACGACCGCAGTCGATATCCCGCACGAGGTGGATCGCGTCGCCGCTTTCTACATCATCGTTCTCGGTGAATTCCTGTACCAGATTGTCGTCGGTTCGCCAGCAGCGGTCGGATTCAACATGAATCTCGTGCACGCCATTTGGACGCTCGTTATAGCCTTCTGTCTGAACTGGCTCTATCTTCACAATGATGGTTCTTTGCAAGGCGTCCATCCCTTGCGCCATGATATCTTCGCTGCCTTCTCATGGATCACACTTCACTTGCCCCTGATCGCTAGTTTGTTGGCTGGTGGCCATGTCGCGGCTGCTAGCACCAAGAAGAGCTCACTCGACACCGGGGAACGGTGGCTCTTATGTGGCAGTTTGGGCACTGGCATGTTTTGCCTTTATGGCATTGCCCTGCTTCATAAGAGTGAAGATCCTCCTCAGTTATTAGTTCTGGACAAGGTTTGTATAGTCCCTTTGATCGCTATATTGCAATGTCCAACTTGAAAATGCTAACATACGTAGCAATACCGCATTATCATGCGCCCCATAGTCGGTCTAATCATCGTTCTAATCCCCTTCGCCCACAGACTCAATCTCACCGATTTCCTGTCCATTATCATGTCGCTGATCGTATTCTGCCTGATCTGGGAAAATGTCACATCGCTGAGATGTGATGCGAAGATCTGGGAGAAGTGGGAGAATACCTGGCCGCCGGAGATGAGTGAAGTGGGCTAAAGCATTTGTGACTGGATTTTATGGAGCAGGTTTATTGTCATGAAGAATACGGACTTAATGAAGTTTTAATTCCATAGTAATCTACAGTATATGGGTGTATAATGATGACAATTCATCTGGATTGGCCCTGGTATAGGAGTCAATCAATCTACCGTCCAGAACTCGAGAATTACCTATATGAAGCAAGGACTACTACCACAGTAGGTCGTCATTATCCATATCTTTCAGCTCCGAAATCATCTCAGCCTGGTGACAAAAGCTACTAAAATTGGATTTCATTGAGGATTGTTCTCGTTGAAGAGAACTGGGACCCTTTTTTCGCATGAGGCAGATTTGGACGAAAAGGGCCGAGTAACGGTATCCACCTCATTTTTATTCCTCTTCGTAACTCGCAACTTGGCTGGTTCTGGGGTGGAAGAGCTGGGCTGCAGAGCACCCTTCAACATGACAACATAATGTTGGCGTTCAGTGGCATACCTTTCTATGTAGAATCTTCCGTTTTTGTATCCTTGCGGCGTATTGCCTGGGACTAACCAGAACTACATTCAGAACGGCGACAGATCAAGTAACAAGATGTATGTTAGAACATTACATCAACTATCCCTTCCAGCCTGCCCCAGGTTTTCAAACAATACCCAGGATATTCTTCTCATAGACAGTCGTAGTCTTGCCATGTTCTCGTTCTCAATCTAACAGGAAAACCTTTGGCGAACTCCCTATCGACAGCCTGTCTGAGCTCACCTCGTATCTCGGGTCGTCTTCACTGGCATAGACGTTGCGATGGGCCTGAACACCCGGCTCAGTCAGGACAGACTTGACAGTCCCGATACTCTGGGAGGTATGCGATTCACGACCTAATTGAGACGGGTTAGAATGAGTAGATGCTAGTCTCAGGGTTGAAGCACGCACCTCCGACGGGCTTGTAGATGACTGACTGGCCGGTCCTGTACAACGGCATGGTTGTTCGATGTGACTGCATTGTTAAAGCTGATTGAGGGATGCTGCCGTCGTTTTCCTGTTGTACAGAGTATAAGTGTTCAAATGATTTCCCGGTTGTCCATGCTCAACAGTCCAGGACACATGCTATTTATGCCTTTGTCTCCCCCCCATAACGAGGTCAGAAGTCATATAGATGTCAACGGTTTGTAGATCACCACGAGCAGAATGACGTGAAAAACCGGGTCCTTTCTGCTTAATGTGCTTGAAGTACACCGTTGTTGCCCTCTGCAATGAGCCATGTCATCAGGTCCACGGGATAAGCGACTGCGGGGTCGCTGCGAAGAACAGCACAGCAGGACTTACAAGTCCTGTTTTGTGAGATGTATGTTGCGTCTTCTTTGCGTACGTGGCTGGCCGTTCGAGTGGAGTTGCATGTACGGGATACGAGGCCTCTGGAAGATGTCGATTCCATGTAGACCCCGGATGCTGCACAATGCAGGTATCTTGGTGGAACTGGATGGATTGCTCTCATTACAGCATAGTAGGTTAAAGGAGTGGGAATGCAAATAGAAAGAAATATTCGACATGGTTGCGATATGCTGAGCATGCATAGCATGGAGTTATGATGCCTGAGGCAGCAGCTTTCACTCATACGAAAATACGAATACGACTCTTGACCTGTGTCTGTACACTGCAGCGCTACCTTTTAATGCACTCCCATGAAGATGTCTTAGCTTCCATGTCATCTCAAACCCCCATAGGGCTCTCTCTCTCTTCAGATGCAGCGACAATAACTAGATTTGACCCTCTGTGTGCGTCTCGCTGTACAACGAAATCATCGCCCGCCTTGCTCCCCATGCCCCTGCGTTCCATAACCACGTCGTGAACAATTTCTTCACTGCCTACGGAGATGTGGCAGATGATATCCCTGGAAGGCTTACAGAGCTGCTGGTTACATTCCTGGAAAAATCGATGTCGTGGTCTCTGATGACCCGGATTCACGGCAGGTGATGAATTTTGCTCCGCATCAGATGTGTTCTGGACATTGGTTGGCGGCATCGATGAAGAAGAGGGTGAGCATGAGGATGAGAATTGGGCGGTTCTTTATCCAGGTATCTCTCTTCTTTCGCCTCATCTCCCGATCCGGCTAATGGTGGTGTATAGCAACGGGGGAGGGAAAGGACATATATTTCGATCTAGACACGAATCTATGCACCTAGAACAGAGAGTTGATGCCATGGTCGCGTACTTGGTTTGTGTCTTGAGTTGAAAGAGCTCACTCTCCGATAATCTGACATGGCGTTTTCATAGGTATGCTCTTCAAAGAGCGCTGGAGCTGTGGTTTAGTCTCTACGAATCTGAAAAATTCCAACCAGCACCGGCATAGAGGCGATATATCCCTGCGGATCCGGCGCGAGATCTAGAGGTGTATCATCAACTCCTGTCAGCCATTCAGGCCCGGTCTCAGTCTCCAGGCGACATCATGATCAGCGACGAACTTGGTTTGATTTATGAAGGGACGCTGAACGAATTCTGCGTCTCTGGTTGGTTACGGGACTTTCTTCTCAATGCTTGACGACCCAGCTTTGCCTACATTGCCCCGGGTCTTAGATTTCCCTCGTCCAACTGGTTATGCGAAACCGTGGAGCAGGACCGTGGGAATGAGCGATACAACTTCGTCCGCAAAGAAGGCCGGGTTCTCCAGGTGATGGCTAGTCATGGCACCCAGGCTGGATAGAAGAAGGGTTCCAAACAACTTCCATCGCTTCCGTTGTTTGCGGGTCCCCAGCTGGGCCCTGACACTTCGGAAGACTTCGAGCGATGGGATGCGAAGTTCCTCGTCAATAGACTTGGCGGTCTATACAGCTGGCCAGATGTAATTTTGGAAGATACAGTGCGTCCGGGTTTGGCCTATGTCGTTGGCCATTATGCTGGGTTCGCGAAGGTAGCACTCGTCGGTTGACGGGTTCAAATCCTCTGGATAGGCGAGATGGCCTTGCTGGAAATGATCTGCTCTTTCGGCATGGACAGTGCCCGTTTCTGCCAGAACATATTCCTCGTCCTGTTTACGATCGTGGACAAATGGGGGCATTTCAAATGTTGGAGACTGGAGAGTGGACTGCTGGGCCAGATGGCGTTGAGGGTGGAATCGATGCCGTCAAGAATGCAGATACAAAGAACACGCTGCGGCTTATGACCTGGATGTCTGTTTTGATGTATAATAATAATTTATATATATCTTCATGAGTTATTGAAGTGTTGGTGAGTGTACAATGTACGGTACACCGTCACCGACATCGAGATAACTAATAATCCTCGGCTGTCAGCATGCGCCCATTAATACCAATCAAGCATCCGGCATTAAATTAACGATCAGCACTCGAAGGATGCGGTTGTGAACCTTTTCAAGCGAGACAATCCAAGAAAGCCCCTCCATCCATAAGCAGCGACATTGAACAAAGTCACCAGGAAGAAAGACCATGACCATCCGCTACGTCGCACCCAACATGCCGATCTTCAAGGTGCACACGTCTCTCCTTTTCGATCCCCATCGAAAGACATTCATCGACAACGTATCGCTGACCATCGACCGGGAATCCGGGCTGATTGTCGATGTGATCGAGCGACCAGGACCCGACGTGGAGCAACAACACGAGGAACCCGGAAGCGTCGACCTGCGCGGACTGGTCTGCTGTCCGGGCCTGGTGGACGCGCACACCCACATCTTTCTCCATCCATACTCGGAGACACCGTCTCTGAATCAGATGCGCGACGAGAGCCTGGTGGAGCGAGTCATCCGATCCACGAACCACTGTCGCGCTGCTCTCCTGGCAGGCTACACGACCTACAGGGACCTGGGGACCGAGGGCCTCCGCGATGCCGATGTGAACGTACGCGACGTCATCAACCGTGGTCTCGTACCGGGTCCGCGTCTGTTCGTCGCTACAGAGGCCCTTGCTTCATCGGGAGGCTACGAGATCCGACAGGAGAACCAGCTGGGAGGCACGGTGACGCCACGGATCGCTGATGTCGCGGATGGCATCTACGGTGTTCGTGCGGCCGTTAGGAGGCGAATCGGTGCCGGTTGTGACATCGTCAAGTTCTACGCGGACTATAGGAAGAGACAGTTGCGTTATCCGCCCGCCATGTGGCCCGGGGCCCCTGCCATCCAGTTCCCTCCCCCCGCGCGGGAGAGGAATCCCAATCTAACTCTGTTCTCCCAGGAGGAGATGGATGCCATTGTCGCCGAGGCCACGGATGCTGGGGCTCCGGTTGCTGCCCATGCCACTAGCTCGCGCGCCGTGACGATGGCGGCCAGCGCTGGAGTCACTACGATCGAGCATGGCAACTACGCGGGCGAAGAAGGATTACGCGCGATGAAGGCCGCTGGAACCATATTCGTTCCTACATTGGCTGCCATGGAAAAGTTGGCGCCGGCTGAATTGGATGCGTTTCTCCTGAACACTAAACGAGCCTGGGACATGGGGGTCAAGTTGGCCTGTGGGGGAGATACCGGCGCCTTCGCGCACGGAGACAATGTCAGAGAACTGGAACTCATGCTGAACGCAGGGATCCCGGTGGAAGAAGTGCTCGTGGCCGCAACGCTGCATGGTTGGGAGGCCTGCGGAGGCGACCTCTGCGGACGACGCTTTGGCTGGATAGGAAAGGGCGTCGCTGCAGACATCGTTGGACTCGACGCGGATCCAAGGACAGCCTCGAATGCCCTGCGCAAGATCAGCTTTGTCATGAAGGACGGACGAGTGTGGAAGCGCGACGGGGTGGCCGTTGGGATGACATGATGCTGGAATGCCAGTCTCTTCTTCCTTCCCGGCCCGGTTAGCAATGGCTGGAAGTTGAATCCGACGAGCTGCTGCAGTGTCATTAGTATTGGACTGGTATAATCCATAATAATCACTTATCGCACAACGCCATCAGAGTTGCGCCGCAGCGCGCCCCGTGCATATCTTCGGCAATCTCGGGCAGCGTCCTATCTGCAGCAATAATGTCGGATTGCCACCTCTTATCAGTCCCTCTCACCGTCGTTCCTGAGTCTGCAGAAGGTCCAAGCAGTCAGCCTTAGTTCTGGCACTCGCCACGCCCATCTGCCCGGTGTTTCATTGGCGATGCGTGGGTGGTGTTGCCCATCGGTTGCCCCCTAGGGCGCTGCAGCTAACTCCTGCTAGTCCCCACCGTTGCGAAGGTACGAGGTCTTATTATCTACTGTTTGATCTTGTCTTGACTAACATCCGATAAGAAATGCTTCATAAAGCCTGCGTGCAGACAATGTCGGCCGTCCACCAGCATCCCATCTTCTGCGCTCATCTCGGAGCACTCGTCCCCCATCCTGCCTGACAGGACGCGGCCCCTTATGGCTTCTATCAAGGAACAGCCGCTGGACAAATCTGTTCACCCCGTGGTCAACAGCGCCGACGAGGAGGTGCAAGGTGGCCAATATGTCGAAGTAGACACTGAGGATCCGAATGCCCAGTACGACTATGACTCGGAACGGTCTCCCTTCGCAGAGGGTTTGTGGTGTTTCCCTTCCGCGTGCGCTATCAGCCTTGCTTTCTTCTCTGGCTAACCGTTGCATCTGACAGTCCGTGCGGTCGTCCCTGAGACCGATGACCCAGGCATGCCCGTCAACACACTCCGCATGTGGCTGCTGGGACTGATCTTCACCATCTTCGGCTCTGGTGTCAATCAGTTCTTCTCTCTTCGATATCCCTCCGTGCACATCGTTTCCCTGGTCGCCGAACTGCTGGCATACCCATGCGGCGTGGCTCTTGCCAAGGCTCTCCCCGTGAAGACCATCAGTCTTGGACGACTGGGCAGCTTCTGCATCAATCCGGACCATGAGTTCAACATCAAGGAACACGGGCTGATCGTGATCATGAGCAACGTTTCCTTCGGCTTCGGTAGCGCTGATGCGACCAACATCATCCAAGCCAGCAGCAAGTACTTCTACAACTTCGGGTTGAAGGCCGGGTTCTCCGTGCTCTTCGTCATCTGCGCGCAGCTCTGCGGCTTTGGGTTTGCTGGGCTGTCTTCCACCTGGCTGGTGGAACCGGCCAATATCATCTGGCCGCAGGTGCTGTCCAACTGTGCTATGCTGGAAAGTCTGCATTCTCGGGCCAACAGAATCGCGAATGGATGGAAAATCACCCGTATCCGCTTCTTCCTCTACGTCTTTGCCGGTGCCTTCGTCTGGTACTGGTTCCCTGGGCTGATGTTCACGGCCCTGTCCTATTTCACCTGGCTCTGCTGGATTCTCCCGCACAACAAGATTGTCAACCACCTGTTCGGCATGCAGACCGGACTGGGTCTCAGCCCCATCACCTTCGACTGGAGCCAGGTGGCGTACAATACGAACCCGCTTCTCTCGCCTTCCTGGGCTGCTCTCAACGTGTTCGGTGGCTTTGCCATCTTTTTCTGGATCGTCATCCCTGCGATCTACTACACAAACACATGGTTCACTGCTTATCTCCCGCTGATGACGGCCGACGTCTATGACAACACCGGTGCCGTCTACAACACCAGCCGAGTCGTCGCCCCGGACCACACGCTAGACGTCGAGGCGTACCGGAACTACTCCCCTCCTTTCCTCGGAGCCTCCTTCGCCTTCGTCTACGGTCTCTCCTTCGCATCCATCACCTCTGTCCTCACGCACATCTACTTCTGGCACGGAACCGAAATCTGGAACTCCCTCAAGGGCCGCAGCAAACTCGACGTCCACGGCCGCCTCATGCGCTCCTACCGCAAAGTCCCCTGGTGGTGGTACGGCATCGTCGTCCTCATCATCACCGTCATCGCCATCGTCATCGTCGAAGTCTACCACACCAAACTCCCCGTCTGGGGCGTCATCATCGCCATCGTCATCCCAGCCATCTACATGGTCCCCTGCGGCATCGTCCAGGGCATCACTAATGTCGACGCGAACCAGCTCTCCGTCCTCGGCGAATTCCTCGGCGGCTACCTCTTTGAGGGCAAACCCCTCGCAAACATCATCTTCAAAACCCTCTCTACTGACGTCGTCGGCCAGGGCATCTACTTCGCCATGGACATGAAACTGGGTCACTACCTCAAGATCCCGCCCCGCACTCTTTTCATGGCTCAGGGCATCGCTACCATCCTCGGCGCCCTGACACAGGCCGGTGTCACTATCTGGATGCTCGGCCATATCAAGGATATCTGCTCCCCGGATCAATCGGATGGCTTCTCCTGCCCATCCGGGAGAACAGTCTACTCCGCCTCCGTCATCTGGGGTCTTGTCGGTCCCAGCCGTCTCTATTCCGTCGGAAAGATCTACTCGTCCCTCCTGCATTTCTTCTGGATCGGCGCCGTCATCCCAGCCGTCACCTACTACGTCTACAAGTACACGAAACAGAACTTCTGGAAGTACGTCAACTGGCCCCTCATATTTGTCGGTACGTACAACGTGCCCCCCGCCACGGGCATCAATTATTCCAGCTGGGCCTTGGTCAATTTCCTCTTCAATTCCTGGGTCAAGCGCAAGTTCTTCGACTGGTGGACTAAGTATAATTATGTCCTTGCTGCCGCGCTGGATACCGGTCTCGCGCTTAGTGGCATTATTATCTTCTTCTGCGTCTCGTATCCCGGTGCCGTCTTCCCAGATTGGTGGGGAAATACTGTCTATTTGAATACTGATGATGGCTTGGGCGTGCCGTACAAGGAAATGCCTGCTTCAGGGTACTTTGGGCCTCCTAATGGGACATGGACTTGATTTCTTTCTTTTTCTGTTTATCGTGTACCATTATCTTGAGAGCACATAAGTGTAATGAAATAGACCTCATACATTTCTCCTATCCATCTCTCTACCTCTCAGTTTTGTTTACCACCATCTACACCGCGCACATGAGGAATTTCGAGGTCTGACAGTTATGTATGCTTAATCGAATTGTCCTAAGAAATTTCAATCTTTCGAAATAAGACTAGAAACAATAATAAGGCTTCTGTAACTTCCGTTGACACGATTATTCATAGCCTGCTAATTAAATGCATACATTCTCCCTCAACGTTGCTCATCAAAAACCGAAGTAAACAGCATAAAACGGAAAAACAGAGAAGCAGGACAGCTTAGAAGGAGACAGCAAAAAGAAAAAAAGCCAAAGGCCCTGACCCGAAAAGACTAGTAACGAAGAGCAACGAACAGTTCAGCCACACCTAGAGGAATCTGTTCTAAAGAGACAAAAGTTGAATACCACCAGCACAGCTTGGAAAGTACAAGGAACGGTATGGCCGCTCGTTTACTGTATTCTTGTTAGCACGTGCAGGCCTCTAGACGGGAAATCAGGAAATAGAACTTACAGAAATCTCAGCCATTCCAAGATCCTCGCCACCGTTTGCAGGCTGCTGGACACCACCGTTGGGTTGGGCAGTGCCCTCTGCTGGCCCTGTATTTTCGTTGGCGAAATAATCAACCATGTCTGCATCCAGCTCCTCTGCAGTCTTTGGCTTGGGGCGGTTCGGGTTCCGACCCCGACGAGCACGGCGAGAACGTCCGCGACCAGCAGTAGCTGTCTTAGCGGCTGTAGCGGGCTTCGGTTGGGATTTGGCTTGGCTAATTTCAATGAGTCAAAAGTCTAAAAGTATATCATCGCGAACTTACGCAACGCGTTCGGTCAAAGGCTTAGGTGCTGGGACTTCCGGAGCGTGAGAAGCGTCCACAACAACTTCAATCTGGCAATATCGTTAGACATGATATCATGTATCGTTTGCCCAACAACTCTTACCTTCATAGGGCGTCCATCGACGAGAAGTCCATTCAGGTCCTTCGCGGCCTTGGCAGCTGTGCCAGGATTGCTGAAAACAATGGAAGCAATACCCCGGCTCGTACCATTCTGATTATAGGTAAGCATAACCCGCTTCACAGGGCCTGCAGATTTGGAAAAGTATTCCTATAGTACCAGGAAACATGATCAGTATTTCCGACAGACAAACGTGGTCATTTGAACCATATAATAATGTCGCAAGGCAGGATATCGAAACACGCGAATACAAATGGCCGGAAATCGACGGTGACGAGAGCATCAGCGAGCGCACAGCGGCGATTAGCAGTGAAGAAAAAAGAACCCGTAAATAAACGTCGAAGGAACAGCCGATACAGTCCACGAGTAGTCACATTGCAAGCGCATACGACAACTGCACCATATCTCTGCCCAACGGACACAACCCTTCAGAGATCCGCTATCAATATCCCGACTGCCAACCCACGAAAAAAAAGCCCGCAAAAGCCCAATGGATAGTGCCAGACATAAAACGAGAATAACATCCGACACCAATAGCACGTTCTAACGCATTCCACAGGAAGTTGAAGCCGACACAATGTGTCAGATTCCACGGCTGGCTCGCACCCGTTCAGTCCATAAGAAAGCGACATGCTATTCAGAGTGCCATACGCCAAGAAAATAGAATGAGGGAGCTCTCGATGTGGCGCGCTTTGCATCCATAGTGCCATAAGTGAAACACTTATCTTCAAACGCGGCCAGCATTATACTGCGTTTGCTGCTACACACTGATGCGCTCGCTGATGCCCCGAAATTTAATGTGCGGAAACGAAACAAGGTACGGCTTAGACCCGACGGAATCCAGATGGTGAATCGTAACACCATCGTTGGCACAGTCCGCGTGTGACTTCTGAGGAATGCTCAACTCAAGTAAAGTGCACTTTATTCGCCGGACAATGGCAGGGCTCAACCCCATTGGCATCGCAAGCAATTAAGGGATGCCACACGAAAATGCCACGAAGGAGCACTCTGCCTGTGCATGAAGCCGAACGACCACCACGATTATAAGGAAACGACGTGGCAAGAATCGGAATGCGAGTTGAAACCGTTTGCGCCTCGAAGGTCTCAAAAACAGACATGGCGATGGAAACCCAAGGCGAAGGCCTCTCGATCAACATACCTTGATATTGGCCTCATTCACATCGGCAGGCTATGAAAATTAGCAACATGAAACGTGGGTTGGTCTGTCGGGTGGGCAAAAGGAAAACTTACCAAGCCGCTTACAATGATCTTGCTCTCCTTTGGTGCCGATGAAGGTCCAGGTTGGGCACCCTTTCCGGCGGTTTTTGCAGGCTTCGTGCTCTTTTTCACCCCCCCAACTGGCGTAGAAGCAGTTCCAGCCTTGGAAATGGTGGAACGGCGGCCGGCGCCACGACGGGCAGTACGACGACGGCTAGAGAGGAGTTCATCGAGCGACTTGTCCAACTTGGCAGACATATTGTTGGAGATGATAAATAGAAAGTCAATGGATTGATAGCTGATGACCGTGGCAATGAGATTGTATCAGTCGTGTCGCGCCACGAATCGGGAGCGTTCAGACAGAAAAAGTTCGATCAAATAAGAGACGAAGCAGTAGTATCTGTCGAGGTAGTGATAGATAAGAGTAGTATGTGCCTAGTGGATGAAAGACGCGATGATGGAATGCGTGACGAGGAGGATGAAAAGGATAAGAAGGAGGAAGTCGAGCGGGAGAAGCTGAGGCTGATGGTTATTCGCGCTAACCATATTAGGACACGCGTCTTGGCATGGGGATTCAACTCGCTGAACATGTATTGTCTCTACTCACTGGAGCCATTCAGCTATTTGTTATTCAATGCTGATTCCATATACATGTTCAAATTAACATTTGTCATTACAAATTCAGAGAATGGAAGCCATGGCACTCCACTATACATGAAGCAGCTTGTAGCCTGGAATGCCCCTCAAGTCTATCACAGTCAAGACGCTTAACTACCTGAAGAATAGGAATAGATGGAAAACATCAAGATGCCGCAAAGAAGGCCTAACCAGAAAATGACAACGCTCGAACGCCTCCCGCTAAACTCCTTCGAAAGCCACACAATTAAAGTAGAGTCATCCTGGACCCATAACTATGCCGGAACGAACCGCTCCACAGAGAAACGGGATCCTTTGCTTAGCTCTTCAGGGCTTCCAGTCGTCCTCTCATCTGCTCGAGAGTTGCCTCCTGGTCTTCTAACTCCTCTTCAGCCGGCTCCTCCTCAAGCGGTTTCTCTGGCTTGACGCTCTCCACCTGGGAAAGCTTGCCATGTAGGACCTCTTGTAAAACTTTATCAACTTCCGCATCCGCCTCTTCTTCATCTTCCAAGATTTCATCGTTCGGGATTGCGTCGTCAACAATTTCTTCGATGATCCCGGCCCTTACTAACTCCACTGACAGCTGGCGCATTGTCGCTGAAAGCTCCGGTAGTCGTACCATTGTGTTCACATCTTTCATGATTCCAGTAGACTTCTTCAAACTGCCTTGAATTTTCCGAGTGGAGAAGGCTTCGTTCACTTGCATTTGTACGCTCTGGAGCTGCGCCCGACTAGTGTTTAGACGGGTATTCTGCCTTCGGATCCGTACGAGTTCACGTGCGAAGGTCTTGGCCTCATTTGCAGCCTGTTTGGCCTGGGATGGATTCCTCTCAGCCCTTCGTGAGGCATTGAGGATATACTGACGGGTCTTCCTATCCAGGTTCCTCAGCTGGGCGATATCGCGGTCTAACTGGCGGGTGTTCGCGCGAATGAGTTGGTTACATTTCCTCATCTATGTAACATAATCAAGAACGGTCAGTTGAAAGTTAACAGGACAAAACGTGCATCAGGAACGGGTAATGCATACTTGCGCCTGAGGATCAGGGCCAAAAAAGACTGCTTTGATGGTCTCCATGGCTAGCGATACGTAATCCCTTCTCTTGCTGTCAATGGTTCGTTTCACCTGATGTAGATAGCGAAAACAGCCCGGCGACCGAGTAATCGATTAAGTATTAGGAGCTAGCTCAGTTCAAGCGTTATCAAACAAGCACTTATGGAGGCACGATAATTCTGGAGCACATAGTCCCAGAGAAAGGCGGGGCTGACAGTGGCCAAGAAGTCCTCTCTGAGACTGTCCTATGCAGGCAGTACACAGTAGATAAGACACCTGCAGCTATACGCAGAGGAAAGCTTTGATAGCAACAAGGTACTTTTGGTGCACAATAATACTGCAGCTCTCAGCAGTGCGCCATTATTCTCCCTCAACTGCTGCTGCGTTTTCCTGCGCAGCAACTCATCACGTTGTCTCAAACCGCTTAGTCATCCACATTTCTAGGAGTTGCAGCCTGAGTATGCAAACAGGCCAAACACCGCCCGCCTGAGCCTTCCAGTACTTTCTATATATACATCAACTTCTAGGCCAGCTTCACTTCCTACTCAGATTCATACTGACCACAAGCTCTTGGACATCCATCATATTCTTCCGTTCGCCGACCTGCATTGAACTTACTACATCTTTCTTGTTTTAATCTGTTTTCACAATGACTCAGGTTACCCCAGAAGGTGTGTAGTGTTTCTGTTCCTCTCCACCCTTCCCCGCTTTGAAATCGTCGTTTTGCACAGATTTCTGGATGCATACCCCTTGCCATGTCTTTGCAATGCCTCCTGTCCGCTCATAACTTTGCGACTGGGACCGCAATGATTCATGTTCCATCCATTCCCGAGCTTTGCTAATTCGAATGGTCCAGTGACATGGGCTCAGCGCTCATCTTCTACTGATGCTGCCCGCAACTACCTCTACGTGAATCTCAAGACTCCCGATGTTGCCAAGTCTGATGCAGATCTCAACATCACTTCCTCCAATGTATCATTTACCGGAAAATCCAAGAAGGGTGTAACCTATCACGTATCGCTGGATCTGTACGATGAAATCGACCCAGAAAACTCCAAGGTGAACCATAGTGACCGGGAGGTGGAGCTGGTTTTGAGGAAGAAGCAGCTGAAGGAGGAATACTGGCCTCGTCTTCTGAAGACCGACAAGAAGGTTCACTTCTTGAAGACAGATTTCGACAAGGTATGTCTTTTTGTCTGCGAACTGGACTGCTACTGGACTGGAGTGACGTAAATTCTGACGGTCGTTTAGTGGGTCGATGAGGATGAGCAGGATGAGGCTGGTGAAGATGATTACGCAAATAATTTTGGCGGCTTTGGTGATGAGGGCGGCCTTGGCAACATCGATTTCTCCAAGCTTGGTGGTCTCAGCAACTTGGGCGGAGAGGCACAAGCTGGTGACGATGAGGATAAGGAGGTTAGTGATTCGAACTTGGTACCTTTGCAGTAATTGATGACTGACATTTACCTCGCAGGACGAGGAGATGCCTGAACTCGAGGATGCGGAAGCCAAGCTGACAGAATCGAAGCCCTAAAGCTGGAGGACCCTCAACCATCGAATCGTAAATCAGAGCTGGGCAATTAACTAAAAACAACAAAAAGAATACTTATTTTTTTCTTTGTTTTTGTTCCATAACCAGATCGGAATTATTCAGGCCGGAGAGCCTGGCGGAGTAGCATGGGCAAGGTCTTAATTTGATGTTTGGATTTGCTGGGCGGATGTTTCAACGTCGACCACGGTGTCTTGCAGGCCGTTCTCGTCATACTTGACGAGGGAATAGAGGACCTTTTGAGGATGGCGTTTCTGCTCGCGTTTTTCTCTTTAATACGCTAGTTGAAAGGAATTTACTTTGTGATGTTCTGAACGCAACTGCTTCTGTTATTTGTTCTCGGAATGAATGGACAAGAAGTCTGTCCAAGAATATAATAATATTGCAGGGAGTTTGCTACGAGCAGTGAGCAAAGAAAAAATTCCATCAAGAGATCTATGAGGAAACGAAGCGACGTCAGCAAAGCCTGAGAGTAAGTGAGTAATATTGAGTGAAGGGTTTTTGCGTTCCAAGGTTGCCTCACTGTAAGCAGCGCAAAACTCGATTGGCGGGGAGGAGAGGAGACCGCCACAGCGATTATTATTATTCTGATTCAGTTGTGTGGAGGTGAACTCTCTTCCGACAATTTCGATATCACCTCCCAGCTCGATAGTCTGTGCCTAGGGGCCATCCTCTGCAGGGCCTCGCCTTTCGTTTTCCATCTCTTTTGTTCTAGACGGTTTATTCGTTTTCTTCGTTAAGCCACCAGGGACGTTCCCCGATCTACTCTCGCCTGCGCGGGGCGTTTGTGTCCTCTTCGTTTTTCTTTCTTTAAGAAGATTGTAGTAAGAGATTCGCCATCATGCCTCCAAAAAAGCAGGAGCAGCCTAAGAAGAAGAAGACCACGGTTGAGGACAAGGTTGGTTTTCCTCTATTTCTGTCGCCAGAAATGGCATTACGTGAGAGACGGACCAGATGGCTGACATTGTCGTTTTAATTTACTTCTACAGACCTTTGGCATGAAAAATGTACGTTTACAAGATTAGACCACGAACTCGATATCTTTAATTTTACCCTTCTTTGGACGTGACGAGAATGAAAAATTGACCTTTCTAATAGAAAAAAGGTGGTGCTGCCAAGAAACAGATCGCCCAGTTACAAGCCCAGGCAGCGCACAACAAGAGTGCCGACGCGAAGCGAAAAGAAGCCGAAAAGAGTCGTCGCGAGGCTGAAAAGAAGGCCTCAGAGCAGGCAAAGAAGGAGGCTTTGGAGCTGTTCAAGCCTGTGCAGGTTCAGAAGGTGCCGTTTGGTGTCGACCCGAAGACGGTCGTCTGTATTTTCTACAAGCAGGGACACTGTGAAAAGGGGAAGAAGTGTAAATTCAGCCATGACTTGAGTGTGGAACGCAAGTCTGCCAAGAAGGATATCTACACCGATTCGCGAGACGCGAAGACGGAGGAAGATGAGAAGAAGGCTGATACTATGGACAACTGGGATGAGGAGAAGCTACGCAAGGTTGTCCTGAGCAAGCATGGTAACCCACGGACGACCACAGACAAGGTCTGCAAGTACTTCATCGAGGCTGTTGAAAACCAGAAGTATGGTTGGTTCTGGGTCTGTCCGAATGGAGGAGACAAGTGCATGTATAAGCACAGTTTGCCACCTGGGTATGCTTCTCTTCAGTTATACATTCTTTCTGAGTATTCATGGCTGACTTTGCTTTAACTAGCTTCGTTTTGAAGACTAAGGAACAGAAGGCCGCCGAGAAGGCCATGCTGGATAAGTCCCCGCTGAAGACCCTGACACTTGAAGACTGGCTGGAATCCGAGAGACATAAGCTGAAGGGACCATTGACGCCTGTCACACCAGAGACATTCGCCAAGTGGAAGACCGAGAGGCTGAGCAAGAAGGCTGCCGAGGAACAAGCACGACAGGCGAAGGAGGCCACCGGTCGTATGCTGTTCGAAAGCGGCAACTGGAGGGCAGAAGAGGACAGTAGCGATGAGGACGAGGAGGATGATGGAGCCTTCAATCTTGTAGCCCTGCGGAGGGAAACCGAAAGGTTACGGGAGAAGAAGGAAGAGGAGCGTCTGGCGAAACTTCACGGCATTGAAATTCCCGAGACGTCCAATGACGAAGCTATTGCACAAGAAGGCGCAGGCTGATTTTCCGGTCTCCTCCCACGGAATAGGTCCTAATTCAGGGCACCTTTAGAATCTCCCCCAACGAAGGAGTCTGCCTTTCCAGGCACTCTCCCTATTTGCTGGGGGGGTTAATCGGATGTGCAAATGGTATAACGTATAAACACATATGTTTCTGCCGTTTGTCTGGGGGCTCGTTGAGATGAACGCTCTTCTGGTTATTACCTTCGACGGTTATCCTACCCTTCCACCTTTGCGCAGGCATCGGGTTTTCTGCGAACAGGCTTCCTGTGGCTGTGTATAGGAAAAAAAAAAAAAGGGAGGCGGGATGGCTCGAGATGAAGAGTACACAAGATTGAGAGAGATCTGTGTCGATGAGGCATTGAGATAAGAACTGTTATGATTCTTTCCTTACGCGGGTTTGTTCTTTGGGAATAAACCGGAGCTGTCTGCTTCTTTCGTACGTCTGCGACTGCATCTGATTCGATTCGCTTGATCTATTCTCTGGTAAGCTGCCGTGTTTGCAGTAAGGGCTTGTCCTAGCCGTCATCGTATGAACGTAACCTCTTAATGGTTCCTATCTCGGAACCTCGGTGCTGCAAAATATCGCGCCTGGCCCCGTAATTCTAAGTTCCTACTTTGTTAAACAGAATAGTCTAGATATCCTCTGCTTTGAAAGCCGTTGAGTGTGCTCCTCTTTCGAGGGGGTTCTAGGCGTCCCCTCTAAGCGCGTAAATAGCTCCATGATAGATGAGCTGTTAAAGCTTAACACCATCTTTCTGAGGTATTATACCGAGGAAGACAATGAATAAGAAATAACCACGAATATGGCAGAAAAGGAAACAATTATTGTCAGAGTGTAATTTCTCAGAAGACAATTGAATCGCAGACGAACCGCTAACATCCACCACAGAGCGGGAGCCATCGGCCTCACAATCACGCCGGCCATCCAACAACGTCTCCTGCAATCAATCCTGTTAATCGTGGCCTGAATTTTCCCAACGATACCTCAATCAACTACGCCACTCCCTGGGGCGCACTACCGACCGGTCCCGGGCTCCTCGCCCCAGGTCATCAGGGAAGCGTCGCAAGCGCAGCGCGCGTACGTGCAGTTCAAGAAACTTGCCCTGCAGGACTCCGCTGTGGGCGTGCGGGTCATCAAGGGGATTAAACACCCCAAGTTCCCGCCGGAGGACTATTTGGATGCCGCTTGTGTGGATAATGTGTATTACGATTTAGGCGGGTTCTGCTGCCTCCCTCTGAGCTTCCTGAGGGGGGTTAAGCAGGAGGCTCGATATGAGACTGTTGTGATCAATTCGCCCGTTTACTGCGCATATTTGTTGAGGACGTTTGTACTCCAGGTGGTGAGGTGAGGGAGTATACTCTTGCCCATGTCATGGAGGCCTTTCAGATGGAGAATGTGAAGACAGTAGTAAACTGTTCAGGCTTGGGGTTCGGGGATCCCAAGTCTTATATTATCTAGTGTGAGTTTTCTTCCTCCCTTTCTACTTCTTATTTGTCTACTAGGTCTACTTCCTAATAACTGAATGTGAGCAGGCCAGACCCGTCTTGTCCGAAACTCCTGCTCAGCAACCATTACGTGCCAGAACGCTGATGGAAGCTGGTCCTTCTCCATCCCCCGTCCGCTGGAGGGGGAAATCATAGGCGGCACGAAATAGCTACATGACTGGGATCCTCTTCCTTCACCAGAAACGCGCAAGCAGCTACTCAGCAACGCGGCGAATTGGTTCCCCTTCAGGGATGGTGAGAAGGACTTCAATGTGGTTCGGGATATTGTCGGTCGCTGGCCAGCGAGGGAAGGCGGGATGAGGGTGTCGGATGATGCTGATAAGGAGAAGACTGTCTTTAATGCGTATGGGGCTGGAGAAAGAGGATTTGAACTGTCCTGGGGTGTTGCAGATGATGTGGCGGGGCTGATGCTCCAGCGGGGGATGCTGAAAGGATTCAGCGGCGATTGGGATTTTTTTTATATAGAGATGGAACGGCCCTTCATTTCTGAAGAACTGCAAAGGACTGCACGAAATCTATTCATTTGATAATGTGACGGAGTAATAAATAAGTCACTGAATCAACGTTCCCGTCCCGTGCTGTTCAAGTAGTAGTATTATCTACATCATCATCACCATCTCGGAGTTGGCGGCAGGTAATAATAACGTCCATGCTGATTCTGAGCTGGCGCTCACAATCACACCGATGGGTCGTGCAGCAACGGTCCCAGCGGGGTGTCAGCAAGTCAGCATCGCGCTCTACGCGCCGACTCGATCGAATTCGAGCCCGTCAGCGACGAGAACAGCGCTTCCGCCGCGTTATTGGACCTGGAAGGTGACGACCTGCAACATGAAGAAAGGTGCCTGCATGTCCGCAGCTCGAATCACCATGCACGAGCAGAATTCTTCTTCGATCTTGTCGCCGATCTCTTCATCCACCTTCATCACAGTGCATCCTTCGATGGATGCGCGTCGTACATGGCTCACTCGCTCTCCCCACGCCCGGGCTGCAGAAGCGCCCTGTATGCCCTCCAATGGAGCACCGGCGTCACCTCGACTCTGCAGCATTTCATGCCGTTTGGCCCTCTCATAAACACTTTGTCGTGTTTCGCGGTTTAGTCCTCAACGGCCGTTTAATTATTGCAGCTCTCCATCACCTCCGTTTCCTGCCTACTAGTTTCGTCAGTCACCTTCGTGCTAATCTATCCTGGCCTCTGTGTGCCATGCGTTTCTCGCCCCAACCTCCCTATATACGTCCGCTTTCTTTTTGCTTGATCTCTTCCTATTCCATATGGACAAAACTGCTGCAAGTTAAGGATTTCTTAGTGCTGCTGGTGGGTGCGCCGCTTCTTTTTTCCCCTGTCTTTGTTCTTTTATTTCCTTCCCTGCCCTTGCCCCCACCCTTCTTTAAAAACCTCTATTGTCCCGCCTATTGTAATGACTGTATTGTTGTTGCATTTGTCCTGTGCAGGCTGGTTGTTGATAAAGTGCTGACTCCAGCGTGTAGCAGATGTCTGTCATCTGTTGCACAGCAGTCTAGGTACACAAGGCTATAGCAACTGCATGCAGACTCAGATTCAATTGGGTCAGTAACAAACATTTTATTTTTGTCTTTCCTTTTTAACTCTCATACTCCCTGTTTTTCCATCTTGTATCATTCCTACCAGTGGGTATGTGGGGACTAGGATATCTATTCATCTACGCTAGGACTGTTCAACTTCAGAAGCGTCGAGGAATGACATCTTCCTGCCTTCCAACGGAATATTGTGTTTGAGGGCAGTAGATTTTGTTGCGACAGTCCTCTGGGTGCTTGATCTGAAAACCCCCAGACCGAAGTTGAAAAGCACCCTAGGACTATTGAGTTAACATAGAGCAGGGATTGCGCATACAGTCTGCTTGCCGTAAGAACGAAGAAAATGGCAGCCCTGCTGCCAGACCATGAATCGCGCTTCCAGCCCTGCGCATCAACGGCTTCCTTTTTCCTGTATGCCCGGGGGTCCGTGATCGTGTGTCTTCACCATGATACTCTGGCCGTTGAACGGCAATTCCAGTTCCATCAATATGACGTGCTCTATATTGCGGCGGATAATGTTAGCGAGAGAGGCGCAGGGAGGCTCGTAATGAGCTACGATGTTGAGCAGAATACAATCATATGGGATCTCTTCAGCGGAGCGGAGATTGCGAGATTCATATCATTCGACCAGCTATGCGTGGCGGCCTGGATGCGGAATGGGAATCTAGCGTTCGGTGAGCATGGAAATCCTGACCTTCAGTATTGCATTGTTCGAACTTTGTACGCTGATATTCTCTGATCTGCAGGAAATGCCAAGGGTGAAGTCATTCTCTTTGAGCCATCCACATCTGACCATATATCCACCTGTACCATAAATAACCGGATCACTGCTTTGGCTCCTTTTGCAGATTGCCAGACATATGCCATTGGGTGAGTGTGAAGCCATTGGGGGATATATCTAGTCAATCCGTGGATATTTGGTTCCAGTAGACTGACAGCTCGATCAGATATCGTAACGGATCCATCTTAATGGCCACGCTTCTTCCAACATTCACCATCATACATACCTTGAGTGTCTCCCAGGAACAATCTCCCATAGCCGGTTTGGCATGGCATGCCTCTTCGCCGAAGCAGAAGTTCGATATGCTTGCTGTTCAGTCTGCTAATGGGGAGTTGAAGGTATTGAGCGTGGCAAAGCCCCCCAGCAAAGAACTCCCAAGAACAATCAGGGTCTTGAAAAGGCCACATCCCGTCGACTCTTCTGCGGAGAAGTGGATATCCTGGTCCAGAAATGGAAAGGTTGTCCAATATCTAGATGGGTAAGTTTCGCTAGGGGAAGAAGATATGATATCCGGGGCAATTTCCTATATGCCATCGTCAACCAGCGCAGCTAAACTAATTTCACGATGACAGGAAAACATGGGCCTGGGATGTCAAAACAAAGAATACCACCTACGAAATTATCCCCACTGTAGATAACGTGTGCGGCATAGCAAATTATGGCCCGACATCTACACTCTTCACTCTTGGTCCCGAGAACACTGTTCAACAGTATGATGTGGAGAATCCTGCATTGGTAGCCAACGTGTTGTATTCTCCCGCTGAGTCTTTATCACGGTCTTCGAGTGCTTCAAGAGCTCAGGATGCAATGCAACCCAACCTGCAGCCTGAAATAGAAGAAGCCGACCAGACTTCTGTCACCGGGACGGCACCGTCCCGGATGAATGGGATAGATGGACTACGACAGGGTCAGAGCAGTCGCAATTCATCGAGAAGTCGTACAGCCTCTGTAAGCTCGAAGGAATCGCCAGACAGACATCGAATGAAACCACTCTCGCCCCCCAGCAAGTCTATAAAGAGCAGAACATCTTTCTCTTCCACTTCTGTTTCCCGGGGTGGGACTCCACTACATACAGGATCTTCTGTCGATTACGCATCGTCTTTCTCCCTGCACTCAATGAGAAGTCCACCGGTTGGGGTCCAGCCAAGGGATGACATCCACACCAGATACTGTGATAACTCACCCATCGATCTGTTTCCTTTCACGCGCGCTCGTCTTAGTAGTGTGCCCTACAGGCAGCACGGTCGCCTTGACGAGACGTCCCCGGATAATTGGCGTCGAGAGATGCTGAGTGTCGTCTTTGGCTGGGATTATGATATTAGAGCTCTGATAAAAGATGAACGTAAGTCTGTAGTGCCCTCTCACCCTCAAGTCGTAAACATCACATTGACACGCCACCAGAGAACCGGCATCCCGTTGGGAGCCAAGCTTGTATTCTATTAGCACAGTGGCTTGGGGAAGCTAGTACAGACCAGATGGTATCCCTAATTGGCTCTGGTCCGGTATGGGTTTCGGACTGGATGCTCCTAGCCTTCAGCCAAATGAGTGGTCAACAAGGTCAAAGAAATGGAATTGGAGAGGCATTCGTCCAAAAGTTGTTGGGGATGGGTGATGTACATGCTGCAGCTGCTATTTTACTCGGGCTTGAGGATCTGAATGATGCCATTGAGGTCTACGTGTCTCGAGGTCACTTCATGGAAGCTATTCTATTGACTTGTCTCCTAATGCCATCGGACTTGCAGCGTCAACAATATCTGGTTCGTCGATGGGGTGAGCATGTTGTTTCCAATTCTCAACAACAGCTTGCGATGCGCTGCTTTGTATGTGCTGATGTGGACCCTTGGGCTTCTCCAAATCCACACCAAACCTCATTCTCGCAGTTCTCGAGGACAGCACTTACGTCTCCGGAGCTTCTTTTTTCCAATACTCTAAGCTCTCCGCCTCCGGATTCCTCTGGCAACAGACTCCCGCCAAAAACGCCGTCTCTGAGACTTGTTACATCTTTTGATATGGAGAAAGACAAGAGGATGCTCAATGTCCCTGACCTAACAGCCGATGACAAAACACCCATTGCCCCCAGTATCAGACCTGCTGTTGAATCTGCTGTGGGCGAATCGGCTTTTTTACCCCGGCTTCAGAGCACATTCAAAGGACCTAACATGCAAAGTTTGAATCGTCTGATGCCCGCAAGATCAAAAACGCCTGGATATACCAGGAACCGACTGTCTGCGATAGGAGAAACCCCGATCGATGTGCATCCACCTGCCTTTCCGACCACCAGCCCTCTGCAGAAAACGACTACTGCGGCAGATGAACAAATGCAGGATAATGGGCCTCGGGAAGGGGACGAGCTTCTGCTACCATCTGTGCGGTATGACCCCGGGAAAGAAGCTACCGGCCACAGGAGTCCTCAAACCGCAATCCAGGCAAATCTGGACGAGATATCCAGTATCAAGGGGGCCCCACCTCCACGAGATGGTGTGTTTGACGTATTAAGGGAACGGCCAGCCAGTCAAAACAACCGCAGAAACCGAAACCGAGAGCCTGATAGATTACAGATTCAGTTACCATCCTCTGCCCCCACAACTTTCGCGCAGGTTGAATCAGAATTTAGTTCCAAACCTATGGACTCTGCCGCGAGCTCTAGCGGTTTCCAGTCTACTGCGACTGCAAGTACCACAGGCCGGAGCCTCGATCAATATATCAGTAGCTTGGAGGAGGCAAACTATCATGTGAAAAGGCAACAAGAACGCCGCGAGAGACGAAACAAGGCAGACTCGCCTGCTCAAGATTTACGAAGGATCGGTTCGCGGGATGTCTCGCAGGAAAGACGCGGCCGGACAGCCACAAAGTCACTCCTCCCCCCCGTGTCTATGTCGTCAGAAGCGGTGGCTCAATGCAGAGCTGTCGGCGAGAACCAGAATCATGATAGCACCACACAAACGAAAGTCCAGTATTCTAAGTTGGGGAGCGAAAGAAAGGCCAGGAAACCAGTCTCAAGATCTAGGACACCGTCGGGGCGCCGTCAGGCTCGTTCTTCGAGTCGAAATCCTGGCGGTCGTGATAGGAGCCGCACGGGGTGGAGTTCTCGCATGGACGACAGCGCGGTCATATCATCGTCGTCCTCCCAGCCAACATCTCCTCAAACCCTTTACTCTCCGAACCGTGTGAATGGTCTTGATAGTGCACTGCGGTTAGTTGTAGGCGACAGGGAACGTCTGCGAACGGAGCGCAGCAGAAGCCGTCTTCGCTCGGAAAGGGGCATAACTTCAAGAAGACGCCGTTCATCGTCCGCTGCCAGATGTGCGAGGTCTCACTCAAATAGCCGCCGAAGGCAAGAACCTGACAAAGACGGAGAGACCTGCCTTAATCAGAAGCGGCCAAGTGAGGAACCTCGGAAAGATCCAGCAGAGGAGGAATTAAGGAAAAGAAAGGAGCTTGCTGCTGCTGAGCTGGAGGCTAGGCGACTGTCGCTCGCGCACAACCCCTCTGCGCCGAAAATCCCTTTCCCAGGGCAACCTCTTCCTGCGAAGAGTACAGTGGACCAGCCTTCCCCGTTCGCTTTGAATTCGCGGACATATACACCCAAAGACACGGTCCCGAATAAACCAGCGCGGGATTACTCGAGCAGTCCCGACTCGGGCTCCTCACGATCTGGCGTGTCCATTGCGTTCCCATCGACTGCGCAAGCACCCCAGGATCTGAAACACAGTAATGACCGTGAAGAAGGATATACTGTTGAAGTCCACAACAATATCTCCGATCAAGCCATGTTTTTGGCAGATGCGAGATACTCGAACAAACCCGAGGACACCCCCCGGTCAATGTCCGTCCCTATCCCCGAGCTCCAAGGACGTTCAACGACGCTGTCCACGGATATCCCCGTGCATCCCAGATTCATTGCAAGCCTCCCCCAAAGTCGCTCGGCGGCAGCCCGGACGCAAAACACTGAGCAAAATAAGGACAATACCACCCATGACATTTCTTTTCCGGTAATAATTAGTATCGAAGAGACACCGGAATACGACAGCATCGACCTAGCAATAACTTCAGCACCCGTTTCTTCTACCGCGAAAAATTTCTCTCCTCCCCCTCCTCCTCTTCCTCCTATACTCCCAACTGCAAAATCTCTTAACGACACGTTCCCTCTGCAACATTCTCCTGCTGGCTTAAAACGTAACAGCAGCCCCTCTCCCCGGATTTCAGGTTCGTCTGGTATTATTGAGATCGCCATCAACGATTCCACAGAGAAAATAGGCAATATGCTGCCTCGTGCGATGACTGTTGCGCCGGTGGGTACGACGACAATGATCTCACCCGTCGAGGGAGGATCTTTTTACAATATGGCTCGTCGCCAGTCCCTCGGCAGTCGACAGAGCAGGAGTATCATTAATGAAGCTTTCTCGAGCAAGATCCGCAACTTCACGGGGCGACGGACGCAGAATAGTGGTCGTGGGGCGCTACAATCGCCAGCTAGCGATAGTCAGGTTTTTCCTTTTAAGTGAGAGTAAGATGTAAGATGTGTTGTGCTGTGTTGACTTGTATGGTTTTGTCTTTATGATGCTTGAAGTTACGATGATGTTATGATGTTATGATTCATGACTTGACTTTCTAATATTTTCCATGAGTAATACTGCAAAGATCATCTCATTGTACTGTAGTATTCTGCTATTCGAATTCAATAGTAAAATCCCTCTACTTTTTATATGTGTATTAGCATCTAGTATATTGATAATAGTTAAAGTCCACACTACCCAACAAATAACCCAACGAGATATAAAAACAGATACAAGGAAATTGAAATTAATTCAAACCGAAGCAGTCACCTTGGGATTCTTGCCATCATAACCGTTATTATCTGCATTACCATTGCCATTGCTATTTCCACTGGCCTCGGTATCGGCATCCTGCCCATCGACCTTGGACGCTGGTTCAGTGAATGTGCCGTAGACATCGATCTCATCCACCAACCCGACACGGGGAGGGGGGAAGATTTTCATGAGGACGTAGTAGAGGATGACGCCTTCGAAGAAGCCTGTTTTTTATCCTTCGTCAGTTCATGTATATACGGGTGGAGCAGATGGAGAGAACAAGGGAGGGAGAGGGTCTACCGAAAATATAATTCCCCCAGTAATACTGCATCCCGCCGAGACTAACGGTGATATGCCCATTCAGCGTGGCTATCATACCCGGCATAGCAGGCACAAAGCCTATAATCCAGGTGATGACAGCGCGCCAATTGAAGCCACTCGAGTACCAGTATGCGCCTTCTTTCGAGGGCGTGTAGAGGTTACTCAGCTCGATCCGCCCACGACGGAGCAGGTAGTAATCGCAGATCATGATACCGGTCAGCGGGGCCAGAAACACGGAGAACGAAGACATGGTCGCCATGAAGACGGAGGAGGTATTGTAGAAGAGCCACGGCTGGACGACCCATGAGAGCAGAGCGCAGATGATCGATCCACGACGGATATTGATCCATTTTGGGAACAGGCCGGACAAGTCCATTCCGGCCGAGTAGCCGTTTGAGGCGATATTCTGCGAGAACTGGCTGATTGCGAAGCCGAGGCCGCAGAAAAATGCGGCCGCGCGGGAGGTTGCGGAGAAGTCGACCGTGAGCCATTTGATGACGAGGTCGAGCGGGTTCCAGATGGGATCGCCGCCGTAGATGGTGACGGAGGCGGAAGCAGTTAGGAGGCCGAAGACTGGCACGATGATGCCGGGGATTAAGGGGGAGAAAAGGGATCCCGGGACTTGGATGCCCTGGCTGCGGACGAAACGGGTGAAGTCTGCTTGGTTGAGAATGCCAGCACAGAGACTGCCGACGGTCGAGGTGATACCATACACCCAGGCCCAGCCGTGAGACATGCCATCGGGGTGGGTGGTGGTACCCTGGTGCATGAGGGGGCCTGTGCCGCCTTTACTGCAGGCCCAGATGGTGATGCCGAGCATGACGAAGAAGGAGGCAACGTTGGAGACGACCATGGGGCCGCGGATGCGTTCTGGACGGATGAACTAGAGCCAGTCAGTATGTTTGTAGCTATTACTGCTGTTGATGGATATGAGCTCACCAGGAGCGGAAGAGAGATGACCTGGAAGATGGTGAACCCGGTGAGGTCGCGAGTGACCATGTGGGCGCTCTGAGGGAGAGTGTTGTGCATTGTGAGAAAAGAACGGCTCCAGCTGGCGAGGATGCAGGTGATGGCGAGTCCTCCCAGCCAAGCCTGCGATGCATACCAGACGACGGAGAGGACGATTCGGATCACGATGCCAATGTACGCGCCGACCATGCCGAGGGTGATTCTGTGGCTGTTAGATTCATTCCTTTTTTTTTTTTTTTTGACAACATACCTCTGCGAAACGGTGTACCCGATATGCCACCGGCCACCAATCCAGCCGTTGGCCAGCATCAGACCGGCGATGGCAGCATTGGATACGACGATGACTCCCAGTGTCTCTCCGACGGAGAGGCCTAGGGATAGGAGCGACGAAGCAGTCGTCCAGGTGGAGATGCACAGGCTGTATTCGTCAGCTCTCCATCCATAGAGCAAGATAGGCTATGACAAGGACTATCAAGACGATAAAGGAGAATAGAAAACGTACTTAGAGATGGACAAGAAGAACAGGTAATCGCTATATCCCCAGCGCCGGCGAGACGGGGGCAGGGGCAGGATGTCCGGGTTACTCCATTTGTTAGTGACAGCGCCGCTGTAGTTATCGTCCTTGATCTCGACGGCGCGAATGAGTCTCGCAGCATCTAGCTTCATCGTATGGACTGTTTCTCTTCTCTAGAGTGACAGTGGCACAGAGCATGTCTGGAAAGACCCGAACCGGAAGAACGGCGGTTTATTAGAATGCAAAAGTACATTATGACTGAGCGTATCTCGCCGATGATGACTGTTAATATTAGCTGTCAACTGCACAACAGCAGGTAAATTCAATACTAACCACATAGCAATTTACTACTGACGAGAATGGAATAAGCTCACTCCACTGCACAAGGCGAGGTTATCCCTGCTCTCCGGTTGAAGGAGTTAAGCGCTCCTGGAGATGCTTCTTCGGCCAAGCCGCGCCTTGATTCGCGTCGGACGTAAGAGATAATGCATTTCATATAGAGTCCTCCGTATGCGGAGATGATTCTGATCGGCCAAGAATTGCGTAGATTGAGTCAGAAATGATATTGGTAGCAGTAAACAGTTGATGGTTCTCATGGGCTTCACTATAGCCAACGTTGCCCTATGTCGTAGCTTCATCTGTCTATTAATCAACCTGCCGGAACTCCTCAATCACACTCCGCGGCCTCGTATATTTCAGCGTCGATGGATAACGATCCGGCATCCCAAAGCCAGCAGGGCCTCCGATTTCCAGGCCTCGTTCCGTCGTCCACAGGGGGTGTGGGCCGGCCGCCATCACGATGACCTTGAGGCCATATCTATCCACCATTGTATCAGCAATTGCAATGAATAATTTTTAAAATTATTTTTCTCACGGTCTTACCGGTATTCAGGCGTGCCGATTGCTTCGCCGGTGGAAATATCCAGCAAGAAAATCAGGTCCGGAACAATGGCAAGACACTCCTCGGATCCCTCCGCCGAAACAGCCTTCACGCGTAGGTTCTCATTGACGAACTCGACCACGATCTGTGGGACGCTGTCGGCTGGCCCCACATCCGTCTCACTGTCGTCCGGCGATAATTGTTGCAGTACCACTTTGCCCGTCGTGTGTGCCGTTGCCGTCAGGTTGTGCTCAACGCTGACGATTTTGCCCCGACAGATCACTCGCGCGCTGCCCTCGCCACCGAATTCCTGTATGACGTCCTGCGGCACATTAAACAGACGGCCCTGTTGTCGGGCTAGTGCGATCGTGCGTCCAAGTCGCCACGCCAGGGAATGCGAGTTTAGGATCCCAAAGTCACGCACTTCTTCCATCTGGAGAACGCGTCCGGTTGCGCCGGCTGCGGACCTAGAACGAGACTCTTATCAGCATAGGGCAGCTTTGAACATGGTGTATTGTAGCTAACTAACCCCATTTCTACACAGGCATCCCGGATCTTGGCTTCTACCGTCTGCAAATCCGGTTGATTTGCCGGGATGATCACATTACGCCCCGTCCCACTGGAGAGGGCAACGGGGAGGAGATCGTTCACGTCTGTTGTTTTGATGAAGCTCGTCATCTTTTCAAAATTAGGATATGCTCGTCCTGCATTATCATCCCGGTGTCAGTTCAAGGAAATGGCCATAAGCAGGGTTAGATATAAAGAGAAATACCCATCAAATCCCCGTCGACACACGGGATGTTGTAGTATTTAGGAGAACCCCAAATCAGCGGTTGAAGACCATTGCTGCCCCCGATCTCCACCGCGAAGATGCCCTCGTATGGCTTCCCAATCTCCTTCTCCATCGCCTGCAATGAGTGTAGAACAAGATTGCCTCCTGGTCGTTCGTTGGCAACTGCTGGAGATCCCACTCCGGCCACCGGGGCAAGAACTGCGTTCGCTTCGAGAAATGTAGAATTCACGATCACAGGCGCCTGTCCTTCCTCCACCAGGTTGACGAGCTGTAGATATGTTCCGTATGGCGAGCCTCCGCCGCCGCAGCCTAGGATGTAGCAACCCAGTGCTAGGAATTCCAGGTCCGTCTTGGATAAGAACCACCGGCCGGAGCTGTCCACAGTTGGACGATAACTGGCGATGTCGACGGTCGACTTCTCTCCTTCACGCAATACTGCCTCTCTCTCGTCAACGGCATTGGCTTCATCCTTACATGTCTCCTCCTCTGCATGTGCATGCTCTGGCTTTTCATTTTCGAAAGTAGAAAGGAACCTCGCATGATCCGCCGGACAAGCAACCTCAACGGACACATTCTTGGAGTTGGGCGTATATGGGACACCAGTGACCTCTTCCTTCGTGATCATTGCCTGCGAGATATCGCCTCCGCGCGACTGCGCATCGGCCAGTGCCTCCGCTTTGACCTGGGCCTTCACTGCTTCCACCGAAGCGAGGTCCGCCATCCGCTCTGCCCGGCCGCTGATGCGAGCAATGGCGGCTCCGACAGCATTGGCGACAGCGGCATACTCCGGACGGATGACCTGGCGAACCCCTTCAAGCTGGGCAGGACAAATCGGCGCTCCTCCGCCGACGAGGATGACGGTACAAGGATCAGCGGACGTCTTCACCCGGTCAATCAGACCTTCCAAGATTGCCTTGATCCGTGCAGTTGCTTTCTCAGTAGTCCCTGGTGCCAGATTCGGTACAGTCGTCCCAATGACTGCTCGGTCTGTCGCAACAGCCACGTCTGTCGCGGTTGGTACAGAACCACCGAAGCACAGCGCCTTCGTCGTGATCTCATAGCCAACACTGTCCGGACCGACTGAGACTTTGCTCTCATCCTCGCTGACGTGTACTTTGGAGCCTCCGCCCAGCGCAGCACTGTCTACCTGCAGCGCTTCAAGGTTGACTTTTACTCCGGCGATCTCGATATAAGAAGACGTCAATCGCGGGTACCCGTTGCGTAGGAGAAATCCCACATCGCTGGTAGTTCCCCCGATATCCACCACCACGGCGCCTTCGTTCCCCATAAACTGTCCAGCCAGGTAGGCCGCACCGCGGAGGGAGTTTGTCGGACCCGATGAAAACACACGGATGGGGAACTGGATCGCATCGGTGAAAGAAAGAAGGTGGCCCGTATTTGACGTCAGATACAGCGGACACTTGAGACCCAGATCAGCCAGGGCACGTCTGAATCCTCGGAGAGTCCGCCTGGCAAAGTTGACGATGGACGCATTTAGGATAGACGCATTCTCCCGGAACAGGATTCCACTGCCGGCAATCTCGTGGGAACAGATGATGTTAACATCCTCCCCTAGCAGTTCTCGCAAGATCCGACGCGCCTGGGACTCCTGTCCGAATTCCGTATCCATGGGCGATCCAACCCCGACAATGACCACATTCTCCAACTTCTTCGATCGGATTATCTCCGCCTGTTCGACCAGGGATGCCTCGTCGAGATCCATAATCAGGCTTCCGTCGATATTAACCCCGCCAGGAACGATGGCGATATGGCCCTGCATCAACCCCCGCAGGACGGGTGGCCAGTCCACGAACGAGGGCGTTTGGCTCGTAAACTCGTAACTCGCCAGACGGATCACGGCTACTTTCTCCAGACGCGAGGCATCGTGCTCCAGGATGGCGTTCAGGAAATGCGTCGTGCCGAGGGTCACCGCTGCGATTTTCCGTTCGTTGCCTGGCGCTTTCTGGAGGAGGCCATGTAACGTCTTCTGCAGTCCGAGAGTGACATTGGCTTCTGTCAGAGTCTTGTGCCAGGAGACAATCGCTTCTGAGCCGGTCTGCTTGGTGTCGAGGAGCACCGCGTCGGTGTTGGTGCCCCCGACATCAATGCCGATTACAAGCGAGGAATCTGTGAAGGACATTTTTTTCTGGCTGTTCTGTCAACGAGACCGTCTGGACCCTGGTAAATTATAGGAGGGTGGTGTTATATAGACAGGACCATGAAATAATATAAGAAAAATAAAAATAAAACAATGCTATCGATGCTATCTCGGAGGAACACCAATCGTCTCCGCAAATGCGGGAATCGTCAAACTTTAGATGATCTGATAGCATCGGCGGAGCTTTTTATGTCCTCCTATTTCATGCCATGCAGTATGTACACGTTGACTATGATACACCAATCTTACACAACTATTGTCCCCATTGCCCCCCGGTCCCCGAAGTATCCGATCTGTTCCTCTCCGCTTCAAGTAGTCTGTCAAAATCCGCCTGGGCCTGCTCCCGTTCCTGCTGTTTCCCGAATTCATAAGATGTCTGAGACCTGTCCGACGACGGTGATTGCGACGGGCCACGGAAATCTTCTTGCACGCTCCTCCGGGTTATACCATTTTGCTGCCTGATCCGTTCCCACGTACTGCCTTGAGGAGCGGAGGGGTTCGGTCGGGACCATATACCCTCATTTCTGTATTCTGGGGCTGTGGGACTGGCATCGTCATCATCGAAGAAATCAAGATTCTTGCTGCCCGTTGGAGACTCGATCGTTCCGTGATTGCCATAGACGTGGGGTTTACCGATTGTATCGGGCATGGCTCGCGGCTGATCTGGTGTTTTGCCCTGTGGGCTGAACTGCGTAGCATTGAAGGTATCCTCATCCGATGTGCCGTAACTGCCATCATCATGTTCACGACTCTCCGCGTACGCACCACCTTGAGGCTGCTGCTGCTCCCTCCTCTGCTGAATCTGACGATGCCTCTCTTGAACCATAGCGAGTTTCCGTTTCTGTACATCCTCGGGATTTTGACGTTTCAAGTCCTCCACGAAGCCGGATAATCGTGAATCCAGCAGAACATCTTTGGTCTCGCTGAACGCTGCAAAGCCAGAGGTCACGGTTGTCAGACCAACAGTCCACAGGAAGACCTTGACTCCAGACGAGGCGACCACGGCCAAAGCCACCTGAGGTTCAGCCCGAAGTAGGTTGGCCGCAGCCGCAGTCAGCGTCCGGATACCACCACTGCGCTCCGGGTCGAACTTGCGTAAGCTGTAGTACACATGAGCCAGACCCGCAGCGAGCCCCAGCGGCGTTCCTGCTTTCGAGTAATACAAGCTCCGGCTGGTCACTGTCGCAAACGCTTCCATCTCTGACTGCGTCGGGGGCCGATCCACCAGTACCTTAACCTTTTGTTCCTGTGCCTGCAGCCGTGCCGTGCAGCGTCGTAACCAGGGTGTCTTCCCGAAGAATCCAAAATACAGCGTAAACGGGTCCGGCCTGACAAAATTGTCCGCCATGATGCGGTATCTGTTCATCGCCAAGCTACCATCCTCCATGTCCATGTACTCTCTATTACCACCGAACGAATCGCCGTTGTAGGCGCCGGCCTGTGGGGATGCGTCGTCGAGGACCATTGCGACTCGGGAGGAGATCAAGGAGGAAGAAAGGGCTAAAGCAGTAGTAAACGATTATATGCAAGGGTCTTTCTATAGCGAATTCCCTCGATCGAGCCCATTGCAGCAATGAGCACTAATGGAACGCGAGGAAGAACGACGCAGGAAAGTGAGCGCCCGTTGACGTATGTGTGCTTAGTCATCTGCTTCATCCTCCGTTCTTCTTTTCTTTTTTCTTCTTTCCATCATAACCTGTTGATATTGATTGATTTCATATTGATTGATTTCATCTCATTCTGCATTAAGACAGAGATATACGATGGGAATTATTGCTTGCGTATGCCGAGTGCCCGCATGGCTTCCAGATGCCAGGTACCAGTTGTCTCGCATCAATCAACACTGCTCAACCCGGGTTTGAGATGGCCATTATCAGGCTTTTCTTACTGCAGAGCGATTTTATTATTCATACGTTCCTGCAATAACATGGATGCAACCTTGCTCCCCGAGGAGAACACTGGTTTTGCACCTCAGCTGCTGTCCGAGTCGGATACTCTACTCAGCAACGACAAGCAAGTCAGCCTCAAGTCATGAGACGGAATGCTGACGAGATGCTTCCGACGTGGAATACAACGCTCAGTGCCTTTTGTCTCCTGATCTAGCCTTCATTGGCCAAGTTTGTCCTCCGAAAGCCAACCCGAAGTGCCGAGGAGGCTGTACGCAGAGCACATCTGTCTGCTTACCGGTTATACATCCAAAAACTCCCTTGGCGGTTCATCTGAGCCCCGTTCCTCAACAGCAACCGTTAAGAATGGCCTTGTTTTTCATGAACATTGCCTTGTATCTTGGCAGCAGCGCCCTATTTGTACGGTTGCACACTGCCCTAATTGCTGGGCTCTCTGGTGTGGCTATTTTTTACCCCAACTAACCCACGTATCAAGGACTGCTCCTCTCTCTCGGCATTTTCATACGTTGTTCGGAACGAATAATGTCTGTCACGATGGCGGATGATACGGAGAAAATGTCTCAGAGAGTTCGCAAGCTGACGTCGTGACTGACCGCAGGACAACAAGAATAGATCAAGTTCACCAGAAGGATCAAGAATAGCGAAGCTCGGCGTAATATCATATCAAGTCATCAGACGAGGACGAGACATTTATGAAGAGCGAAGAAACAGATATAAACACGGCCAATTCCCCGTTGTTGGGATTAATCTCAACAGCAATCAAGTCCAGTGCAATTCAACCAAAAAGGAAAAGAACAAAAAAGCCGAAGCAAGACTCAAAAAGTTGTCTAAACAATTTCACATACGCTCGTCAAAATGAAGTTCACCGCCTCCATCGTGTCCGCCCTCCTCGGCGCCGCATCCATCGTCTCCGCCGCGCCGCTTGACTCCTCCAACACCCTCACCCGGCGCCAGACCGTCCCGGACGTGACTGTTCAGCTCGCCAATGACCAGTCCGGTGCCAACTGGGCGGCTACCTTTGCGGCCGATGGCTCTGTCCATTCTATCAACGCCCTCTACGGAGGCGCCATCTGGGCATCCAGCGCGCAGCTTGTCAACTTCCCTCAGAACATCGTCTGCTTCTTTTCTGATGCAAACTGGAACGTCTTCGCGGACCTCACCACGCAGAAGACCTATGTCGATTTGGATGGAAACCCTGATGTGGCCACTCCTATTTCCTTGGATGGTTCATTTGTGTACTGCCATGTGTGATTGTACCATAGGATGATGGTTGGTGACCGAGACCTTGAATCTGGGAGAGAGAAATTTGGAGTATTTATTCCTTTCATGGCAGTTTGTCCGTTCTTTGACTTGTTGAGTGTGATTGATAGTTACCACAATCTAGTTTATTTGGTTACTTCTGCCTTGACGTAGCTCATATCTTCTGCTCAACAGATGTACTTGGTTAAGTACAACCAACATAACATCATTCATAATACTCTCCCAACCAAAAACAATTACTTTCCTACAAGTAAACAGAAATCAATCACTCAACCTTCACAGAACTCACAACCTCAACATGCTGATCCCCCCCCTGCCGTCCATCCTGACTATTACTCTGACTCTGACCAGACACATCACCATGCCTCCGCATCTCCGCTTTAACCCTATCCGTAAACCCCGACTCAGCAAGATACCTCTCTAACCCCTCCTTCCCATGCTCATAAGCCGCCATCCCACTCCCAATAACACCCAGCGAATCCCGAAGAAACACCTCGTAAACAAAAGTCGCGAACAGACTCGCGGGGATGTTGACCAACACCGATATCCAGGGATAATGCCGGTAGGTCCAGGCTTTGCCGCCGAAGAAGACGGCAGCAACGATGCGGCAGCCTACGTCCTTCGCCATGTTCGCGGAGAGGGTTATCGGAGCGAATCCCCAGACCATTGCGGCGTAGCCTAGGCCGATTATAAAGGGGAGAGTCTGGGGGGAGATGAGGAAGTTTGCTGGGTCGATGGAAGCCCATATTACCATTGCCTTGGGTCGTTAGGTCTTGCTTTGGCTATATATAGGTGGTCAAGGACTTACAATGAAGCTATCGGCGAAGAATTCAATTCTATAGTGCGTCAGTACTAGAAGAGGAAGAAGAAGGATATAAGCTTACAAGAAAAGATATCCATGATTATGCTGCCCGTCAGCAGGGTACGAGGCGAATATAGCCGCCGGCCCTGTCGCAGACACCACAGCCTGAGACTGATGGTTTGCTTCCAGGAACTCCTTGACGAATGATATCTGCTGCCAGTACATGCCTGCGACGACAAAGGCTGCAATCATGGCCCCGAGAATCTGGGAGAAGATATCTGCGTTCGTTTCCTCGTCAGTGGTACGTTCTCGAGCGGGGATGAGGATACAATGAGGCCAATTGTACGTACAGAAGGGGGCCAATCTCCACGGGAATCCTTTCCTAAGCGTAACATGATCATCAGTATGTGCCATTAAATTGAATAGATGATCTGATCTGATTCAATGTGTGTGTGGTTCACCAAGTCGCGAAACAGATAGTAATGGCCGGGTTCAAATGTCCCCCTGATGTCGGTGCAGCGATGATAATAGCAAATATAATTCCCACAGCGAATGCCAGACCGATTTGGAAGAAGCTGCCAAATACAGCTGCGCCCAGTGGGTTTGTTGCATTGGTGAGGAGTGAGGCGACAGATGCAATGCCGGGGAAGCTGTGAATATTAGCAGTGATCTGGATACAACTATATGTATATATACAAACGGGAACCCACACGTAGAAAAACACGCCAATGGTCTCGGCCACGCAGGCCCTGATGAGTGGGGGACGCTTGTGCTCGAGTGCTAGCCTCCTACGAGAGATGGGTTGACTCCGGAGATTTCTGGTGATGTGATGCCTCAAGATCTCCGACAGGCCGACTTCGATATCTGGCTCTGTTTCCGTGCGATCCAGTCTGTCTGGGGATGTCATTTTGCAGAGGAAACAATGGGATAATCGTCCGAGCTTTATTTCACCGGGACGGTGAGAGCAGCAGAGCAAAACTGGTGAAGGAGGAGTAGGCTTATATATAATGTAATGCAGACATATCCACGTTCTACATACGGGCGCCATTCGTATTCAGGGATCACAGGGTGCTGTGTCTAAATTAAAAAAGCAAAATTTACACTCGATGATAGGTCGGAGACGGTGCACAAAAAGAGGGAGGTAGTGTTGAACATGAGAAGCCGGTGTTCCTTCTGAAGAAGGTATAAGGACCGAACGTGGCACGGCCAGGGTTCATGGATTGGTCTGGTTCAGAGGGGTTTCTGCAAGGAAAGCTTCCGACGAGCACTGTCGCGGTGCTCTCTCGGGAGTCTTCTCCGTGCCTGAAGGCTTCAGGGTTGCCGGATCAGGTTATCTACCCCACAATCCCCGGAAGATCCAGTAACATGGATTTGCGGGGATGCGGGGAAGACCAGAGAGAAATACAGTACCGAGGCTATGGTTGCCTCTTTTAGCTGAGACATGCGGGCGGTCTTCTGGACGATGTCGCCCAGATTCTTACGTGAATCCATAGCACAATAATGATAGTATCAGATACAATAAGAAATAGGCGTCGTCAAAGTATACTCTATACTATGCTACCATTTCTCGACATACGGCCGAATGTCAAGCTCAAACGCAAACGTTGTTCTTGGCTGGGTGTGCAGGAGCCAGTATGTGTCTGCAATCTATATTCCCATTAGCTTCTTTTGAACCTTTTTCGCATCGATAGATTGCACAGCAGAAAACTTACAGCATCCGGGCTCAGCTTCGCATCCGGATGTTCAAACTTCCACCCCTTCGTCCGGGGAATGTCAATCACCCCGTCGACAATCACGTGGGAAACATGCACTCCTTTGGGTCCAAATTCCCTGGCAAGCGACTGTGCCAGCGCTCTCAGAGCGAACTTGCCAGTTGCAAATGCTGAAAAGGTTGCCGAGCCTTTGATGCTGGCTGTGGCTCCGGTGAAGATCAATGTCGGGGGATACTCCAGCCCTGTTGCTTTCAATAGAAGAGGCAAAACAGCCTGCGCAAAGAGAAAACCTCCCTTTCTGTTCGTAATGTATTGTCATTTAGCTCCGAACGAGAGATAGATACAGAGTCACCTACCCTTGGCTCTCGAAACCTCTCGTGAACTCCTCTTCGGTCAGTTCCAGAAAAGGCTTCCTCACAAACCCACCACCGGGATTAAACACGGCAGCGGCCAGTTTCGCGTCCCTGAACTGCTCTGCGATCTGGCTGAAGGCGTTCTGCACGCTCTTCGAATCCGACAGGTCGGTGCTGATGCCCACGGCTTGTCCGCCGCTGGAGTTGATCTCCTGCACCAACGGGTTGAAGCTGGTTGGATTTCGAGCAAGAACTACGACGGGATACGTCTTGGCGAATCTCCTTGCTATCGATGCGCCCTGCAGATTGGATTGATCAGATCAACGCGCGATCTGTGTGGAGGTAGGGACTGGGGTACACTGAAGATATTAAAAATATTAAAACGTACCGTTCCAGGGCCCACTCCGGCGATGACTGCAAATGCCTTGGAAGCCATCTTCGGTTCTTCCAGCACGATTAAACAATCGCGTCGTGGTTCTGGCAGTGTTTGAGTGGAAAAGACTGACGCTTCTTATACACGCGGTGTGTTCAAATTCTGCTTAGAAATGCACTTGATTAGCAATCCGCAATGATATCATCCTCTCTGCAGCTCGCAACATCTGGTCTTCCGCGGGGATCAAGGCTTTACCTTTGATTCTCTATCTTGTCGGTTAGACATACATACGCGTGGGATTAGATTGACATTGCCCTGATCGGTAATGGCAGGGCGGAGGACTTGGACCAAGGAATGTCTTCCTCTTGAGGATGTCACTCCATACATAAGTCTGAATGTGAGTATCATTTCCCCACAAATAAAAATGCTCCCAAAAAAGTCAAACGGTCGCTTCCTGCGATAAACATGAGCATCTCGCTTTTAATCGCTTAAATGAACAGTCAGCTTCCATTTTGTCCCGACGGCGCAACAATCAGCGCAACCGGCACCGGCTAAAGCCATACCATCCATACATATAACTATGATAGAATGCTAGGGCGCTGCCCATAAATCGAAATCCAAGACGACTGATACTCTCATGATATCTGGTCAAATCCGATCCTGGCAACGCTGAGCTCCGGACAGACCTGCCATTCCCCAGACTCCGTGATGACTATATCATTGCTGAAACAAGAGCTTCTGTGCGCTCAATCCTACGGATATCCACCGTGTTAATCTGCCGGGGCTCCAGGAACAATCATGGATTATGGCTGGGCCGGTAGAGTTAAGGAAGTAGGCAAGAATACTTACCCGGTCGAAGCCTCCACGGGGGAAGAAGATCGTGTACTCCGTTTGATCAAAGTCTTGATATAAACCGGGATAGTGTTGACACCGTCTCTCAATCAACGTATAGCTTCTCTGATACCAGAACGCCAGAACCTAAGCCTCATTAACCCTCTTCCCAGCAAAGTCTAGAAAATAGAAAACCGGATAGTCACATCATAGAGGACCCTTGTTTAGGGTTACTCCTTCAACCTCCCGGAAGGCTCGGATCTGAGCCTACATAAACACGAATACTCGAGGGCTAAAATGTGAGCATAGCACTGCAACGATTGATAACTACATATTACTCTCTTGTTCAATGCTAAGGAATCCTGAAAAGTCTCCTGTTTACAAGATCGAGTTCAAAAAGACAGCCCAGGGCATGATCCCAATCAGAATGAACCAGAATCAGACACTGTATGTAACCCTGACCGGATCTCCGTAGGTGCTGACATGACAATTCTAGAATGATGTATCAAGTCTCACTGGATTATTGAAGCTTGGCAGGATCAACTAAGTAGCAAGCAGTAATACTGTCAGTGTCGTGGCTGTATCATTATCCGTCCCTGGATATGCAAGTCCTCCCGGAGATACGTGGCTCTAAACACCGCATGTTCCAGTGTTGATCCTTCATAATAATACAGAAATGCTCGTTGTAAACCGAAAATGCATGGCTATATGCCTTATTTCGAATGTAGTGCAACGTTATTCTCGGTCACTATGTATATAGCGCTGCATATGTTCGACCGGAAGTATTTCCGATGGAAGATAGACTTCAGTGCTGGCGACGTTCACTGGACAGGGAAACCTCTCAGTTGCACTCAATTATTGCAGACAACATCCTATATTAGGAATATCTCAATGCAGTAAATTCGTATGGCATTAATTAGATAGTAGAGATACGCATAGATTCATGCAGTCAGAGCCCTCAGCCTCGCCCTCTTGCACGCATGCATTTTGTTGCCCCCGTCCATTATGCATTTACACATCTCACGTAGCGAGACACGAAGAAAAAGAGAAAAATTTAAAAAAGCCAGTGTCGAGATTTGAGAAGCCGAGTAGTCAGGCTCTCAATATACCTCATTAAACACGGCCCCTAAGCCTTCTGTTCTCCCTCCGTGTTGGTTGGAACGACATCGTGCTCGATAAAATTCATCTCCTCTTCTTTGTCGTTCAACTTGTGGAAGAAGATCCAGACCAAGCAGCCGCAAATGAAACAGGCTACCGTGATACCGACGTACATCCACAGGATAGCCGGGTCGTACAGGACAGGCAAGAAGGCCTCATTGAGGGCCGATCCGAACGCGTTCGTGAGCAGGAAAAGGCTCTGCACGAACGACTTCAGACGGGGCGGAGCCTTGGTATATGCGTACTCGTATCCAGTCGCCGAAGCAAAAATCTCGGCAATGCCGATCATCACATACGCTGGGGTTTGAATAGCGATGTGAATGTCGTTGCCCTGGGCTTCACCATTTACAACGGAAGCATCGCAGAGAGGTTTCCCATAGCATGGAGGCCTGGTGTAGATAACATGCTGAATGATAGCAGCATACATCATTGCGAGTGACATGACGAAGAACCCAAAGGTGATGCGGCTGATTGGCTTGAAGCGGATACCCCTTTTTCGGAGGAAGGGATATAAGATCTGGTCTAGAATGGGCAAAAAGACAATGATGGCAATGGGGTCGAAGTTCTGCATAAGATCATTGGGGATACCATGGCCTGCCATCTGAAGCGCCTGACTGACGAAATTGTTGGAGAATTGGCCATAGCAGAGCCAGAAAATAGGGTAAATGAGGAAGACTTTGCAAGCAATCAAGGCTCTCTTCACTTCATCAACGAAAGTATCATCCCAATTGACCGCCGCTGAAGCTCCCGCTTCAGCTAACCACGAAGGCTTTGCGCCATCCATGTTGCGATAGCGGACCATCAGGCCAACGACTTTGAAAGCGTCCGTCACGATTGTGCCAGTAGGTGGCCGCTCAATATAAATCTTCCTACCGAGGATGAGGACTGTCGTTCCCACGATGAACATACACAGACACATCGTGAATGCAGAGTAGAATCCCACATCCCGTTCCATATCTGGTTGAAAAGGTCAGTTGTCTGCTGTTGAAAGGAGCAAAGTGCGGTAGCTTACAGGTTGTCGCAATCAACGAGAGAGCGCCAATATTGATAGACCAGTAGAACATCATGTAGATGTGCTGGATGGTGATGTAGGGGTCAATAATGACTCGTTCACCTTTCTTGGTCTGAGAGATTTCCATGGTTCTGCGAGTATATTGGTCTGCGATTAAAGGCGCTACATTGGCTTTGATACCACCGGTTCCAATGCCAGTGAGGATAATGGAGGTCACGTAACCTCCCTCACCGGCACCATGGCGCAAGGATGAAGGAATCGACGTGCAGACAAGGATCAACAGGCCGGCCATGTAAATGAAGGACGAGGCAAGAATTGTCTTGTATTTGCCTAGATACTGATCGGCAACGATACCACCAGCGACAGGGGTCACGTAACACCAGAATGTGTAGAATGTAGTCAAACCGGTGGCACCTGCATGGCCAAGCCCTAAACCACCGGGACCGAGACTACCATCGGGTGGCTTTTGGACATAGTTCTGGAAAATGCCCTGGCAGCCATAGTAGGTGAAACGCTCACAGAGTTCGATGATGGCAACAAGAAAGACGGCAAACGGCAATCTCTCGCCTACACGTCGAAGTGTCTGTTTCTCTCGTTCGTTGGGTTCGCCGCCAATGGGAGTATCGACATTATCATCACTAGCCGAGCCGTAGCCGGTAGGAAGGTGCACCGATTTCTCAATCACATCGCCCGTCTTATATTCTGCATCCGCGGGATTAGAGAAACCTATTGATGCATCCCTCGCCTCTTCGACTGCGGGGTGCACCCTGGAGGTGGAAATTCAAACAGATCAGCACTGTCGGATCAGAAAGATGACTGTGAAAAAAGGGGGACTAACTGGGCCGCTTCAGACTCATGATCAGCCATGATTGGCGCGAAAACTGGCCAACTTCAGGGACACACAGCACGGATGAAGCGAACAGATGGGTGTTCGAAGGAGCAGAACGCAGCGGGCAAGAGAAGCTGATATACCTCATTGTAGAGGCAAATGCTACCCAATCGACCAATATGCCAAGCCGCAGGGAATGTAACGTACACTTCGATTGTGATCATTGCTGATATTCTCTGGTCGCAGCAACGCATCTAACGATATCGTGCTAGAATGGCTTGATAGGCCTTGATTCCGGTTGCCAAGAAACACGGCATGACTCCACGCGCTTGGCAAACCTTGATTTCGGTGGAATCCCTCCAGCCAAAGAGCACTTGGCTGTTGTCCAGGCCTCTCTTATCTCCCGTCCATCCCATTAAATTCCGTACAATAATAGCCAGGGGATGTAGCCGGAGTCCGAAGTATGCGAACAGGGAGAGGATCTTACCGCCACCCGAAAGTTCCTTCGTTGGTAACGCCCCCTCACGCAAGACCAAGGATCACCTGAGATACTTGATTGCTCGCATCCGTCGTCCAGGCTCTAGCGAAGAAGCCTCTCTATCCTGTATGACCGGTTGTGGCGGTTGCGCCAAAGCCACATAAGGGCACATTGGTCCTTGTAGGGTTGCAGCGAAGGACGGATGTCTTGGTTTCCTTCAATGCCATATGACGCTTCACCGGGTGGTTCAACCGAAGTCATCAATAATTCCAGTGAATAATAACAGATTGATATGGTGGAGAGCCGATATTAACACGGGGATAGGGGTAGGATGATCCTGGATGCTACTCCGTACATCCATGTCTTCCTGCGTTAGCACATTAGAGATCAGTGCACTAATCACGGACATCCAGGAGGGCTCATACCGAGGGTATTACATAAACCGATATCTTACCACCTCATATTGATCTATTTATTGGTGGAAGGTTGAGATAGAATTCCTTCGAGAATGTTGCGAGAGTCTTGATCGTATATTGGCACTATCTTGTCGTTCTTGACCGCTGAGCTTATTCCCTATCACGCGTCCAGCTGGTTAGAACGCGGCATCCTGGACTCTGATCGACAGTTTCTGGATGCGAACTGTGACATGGATATAGACTCAGGTTAGAGAGTCTGTCCTCAATCCCAGTGCTTTAACAAGTACGTTGTAGCGAGCAAAGAAAACTATTAATGTAAAATGGTGTCCGGGCATGACGGCTCCGGAGTTGCTGCCCGAACCACAAGGCATACATATCTTATCGATAAGGCCGTTCACCGGCGATAATAATTTTTCCCCAGAAGAAGCAGCGGCTAAACATCGCATATGTCCTTTCCTTGAATACCCTCTGCGCCATGTCTGAAAATGCTGGAGAAGCTGCTCTACTCAGCGATCTATGCTCGATATGGTGAGTTCCGATTTTGACATTCATCCATCTTTCTTCTCTGCCTGCTGACGTACCCTGGAAACAGCCACATGAACCCCCCAAAGTATCGCTGCCCGCGCTGCTCAACCCGGACATGTTCCCTTCCTTGCTCGCGACGTCATAAGCTCTGGTCGCAGTGCTCCGGGGTACGCGATCCTGCTGCCTACGTACGCCGGAACGAGCTTGCCACCGAAGCTGCCTTCGATCGGGATTTCAATTTCATCACGAGCGTTGAGAGAGGCTTGGAACGTGCGGAGCGGGATGCGGAAAACCGGGGAATTCCCCTTGACTGCGAAATAAAGACCGACGAGGCAGATACGGGTATGAAGAGAAAGCGACCCAATAATTGGCTGGTCAAGGGCGAGGCTGGCTTCCTCCGGGGAGCAAAGACCGCAGGGGTTAGAGTCGTTAGAGCGCCGAGGGGGATGACGAGGAACAAGGAAAATACGTCCAAATGGAATCCAAAGTATGTGACTGTCCCAGAAATTACGATTTGCTTATCGATTTTGATGTCTCATTTCCAAAACAAAAAGACACAAGTGTTTGGCCTGGGCAGTGGAGTGGATTGATTCTCAAGGCGGCAAAATGATCCGAAATTCGATCGAGACAAGTAGCATTGCGGAAGCTTATGATCGCGCTAATCCTCGACCGCGGGAGGAGAGAATCACTCTTGGCCAGAAGCTACAACAGGGACCTAAGGATACAAAGCCAGAAGACCCCCAACTTCCTGAACAGACTACGTCAAATTCTGCCACGTCGCTTCCAAATGGTAAAGATCCATCTGAGACGCCCTCAAGGACAGAGGAAGCGCATTTGAACGAAAATGGCAATTCGACGACATCCATATCTCCTGATGCTGAAAGAGGGCAGGCCAGTATCGACGGTCTAACCATGGATAATGCAACAGCAGTCGTCAGTCCACATCGTGGTGTCTATTTCTATCTTCACAGGCCTCAGACTTCTACAAAACAGCCTGTTGTTGTCCCTCTACCGCCGAATATGAGTCTCACTGCTGCACTTCGAAACCGAACCGTTCTCGAGTTTCCTACCATTTACGTATTACCCGACTCCCCAGGAACATTACTTGCAGAGAAAGAAACCCCAAATTTTATATTAGAAGAGAAATATCTGGGTTCAGGTATTGCTGGCGAAGAGTTTATACCTGGACAGACAGCGAATGGTGCGGGAACTACTGAACAAGACAGTCATGGCGATCAGGACAGGGAATCCGAAAGCGGCCCTGAACAAGATCCAATAAACCTTGAGAATGTTGACGAGAGGAAGATTTTGGAAGTGCTGGAACAAGATTTATCCCAGAATGCCGCAGCGGGGGACACGGCATAGTGGGCTTCTGGCCTCATTGAAGTGTATAGTATGATTTTATAGTACAATAATGCTTGACGTTCTCGTATATAGTCATCCTTAGGTAGGAATAAGGATTCTTTATCTATCCGAACTGGACCGTTACACATCCCAAGACATAACATCCCAGACATAACCTGCGCCGGGCGCAGAAGTACATCAAGGAGTTTGTCATGACGTCGGGATAGTTACTGTACATGATGTTTTTTTTTTCTTGTAGACAGCAAAAGTGCCTGGGCTGTTTAAGCCTGACAGCATTAATCCAGTGGTGTATCCAATGTGATGAGACTTTTGTCTGATGCAATATGTTCATCAGTGCCTCAGTTCCTCACTTACAGATGACTAGTGACCGTTCAATTTTCCAACAGCACTCTTACTCTGGCTTTGCCAGATGAGCTAACTCCAGACATTCACTAGGTAAATTTCAGCTCTAGTTATGTCATGTCTCCGCCAAAAGAGGCTTAACATCCATTCATTTAGACAGCTCGAGTCAAGCATAGACAATAGGTTTAGTGCTTCCTTTCCTGCCTGTGCCTGAAAGATTTAATCGACTGTTCAGTGTGATTTCTTGAGTTGTTTCACAGTATTATACAAGAGGCTTTGTGCATACAATATGTGAACCTCATAAGCCAGCCTTGGTGACTTCTTGAAATCCCTTGTTGACTGGCCTCTAGGGGATAATAACACTGCTTCACGATTGCTGTACTGAGGCAATAAAATACTGGGATGAGACATAATATATGATTTACCTCACCACACTCAAATCATTCCAGGGTCCAAATAAGAAATTTATCACTGACATGCCAAAATATAAATATTGATGCTTTAGAGTTCATGTATGTGAATATCTCAGCCATAATTTTAAGACCTTACTGTTGTAAGGGCTGGATGGCAGTGATGGCGTGAAGAGGTAACTGATATATGGAGAATGCTAAGTGTGGTAGTAGTGGAGGAAACGTAGGGTCCTTCTTGTTTAAGAACTAATTGCTGACTTCGCGATGGTGTTGCGGAGTTCAGCTCCCTAAGTGCTAAGTATACCTGACATTGTGTGGCCTAAGGCTGCTGCTTTTGCGGCCTTACCAGCCGGCTCTGGTGCAGAATAGAGGAGCCCGGAGCCAAGACAAAGAGCGAGGAATGAACTTGAAGGGCCATGGTCCAGCTCAATTCAATAATGCATTACTCGCGCTCGTATCCCATACAGTGCCAATTATTGGGCCGTATCTCATAATCTGAAAAGTTAAGGTGAAAAAAAGGAAGCCAAAGCAAGTCGCAGATCCTAATCCCGAATCATCGTCGGAGACTGTCGAGCCTTGCTTGGAGGTCGTCATCATCTGTATGCCCACCACCAACGGCTTGTGCAATCCTTGACTCGCCGACGGCTGCCTTTTCTATTCCCGTTGGGGTTTCGCCCAGCTGTTTCGCACATGTTAGCGTTTGTGGACCTAACAGAGAACACCCCAATCTTGACATACCTCTTGGCTGAGGTTAACACCAATCTCATCAAGAACCTCCTTGACAATATCTTCACTTTCTTCCTCATCATCAATACCAGTAGCTTCATCGACGGCATCATCCATCATTTCCTGCCGCTCATCCATTATCTCATTTTCCCGCTCGAACTCCATCGCAATTCGTTGCAGAGCTGGAAGATTCATCTGTCGATTCATGCTACCCAAAAGCATCGTTGCGCCTTTCATCGATTGCATCATTTGCTCGTTACTTCGAACAGTCTGGATACGGAGGGAGATTGCTTGAAGTTGTGTTCTCATCTGGTAGAACTTCTGGATGTACCTGCCCACCAGCGGATGTCGTTAGAAAGGTCTGGGAAATGCATACAACTTTCTCATCCGTAGTTTCGTACAACACACCTTCTCGTCCTGACGAGATCTTTCGCTTGGATCTTACAGGCGCCGATTTGATTATTCTTGGCGCTCTTCTTGATGTCTTGTACCAACTTCTTCTCCTGGTTTTCCAGCTTGACCCGCTCTCTGTCTAATTCACGCTGCGTCCTCTCGAGCGCTCGCTGGTGTTTGCGCAGACGCTCAGCGGGCGTCAGACGCTTTCCGAAAGCCCACTCGACGATCTAAAGGAGCTTCGTTCAGTTTGGAGGTCTTGATAGCACTGGGTGAGGGGTAGCTCACATTCATGGTGGTCGAAGACAAACGCAGCGACCTATGGGGTTATTCGAACAGACAAGAGTCTTTCCTAGGTTTTCATTGACCTGACTGTTGGGGATTTGTCTTGTCCTCCCGTTGTCGCCCAGCAACCAGCCTGGAATCGATGATGTCTGCGATGGACTTGCGATGATAACGGCGGGTCACATGCTCCAGGAGCCAATCCGTTTGCGGAATAGTCAACGCGTGACGCCGTCATGAAATTTGCCGGCAAAAGAATCCCAACTCGCCGTCTGTATCCAAACTCCGCCCATGGAGGGTTCATCTTTCCCACCATCGTCCCAATTCCATTGAAAAAAAAAAACCCTTTCGTTCGGCCGTCATGAGTCAGGAGTATTTTGCCGGCCATGGCGCCTCTTCTGCCGGAGAAGGTTCGTCCAGGCGCCGTGACGAAGATCCGGTCTTTCCCAGACCACCGCCCGCGTATATGACTGTCGGCAATGGATCGGCTTCCGAAAATGCGACAGCTTTGATGGCCTCCCTAAACGATGATTCCGGCTACGGTGGAAGTATTGCAGGTGACAGTACAGCAGATGGTGATGTCCCTTGGCGCTCTGCTCTGATGCAGGATCGACCGACCCCGACGCACACGCCTTCGTTCCCCGGAGAATGGAATCCAGTCGCGGAACACGAGAGGCAGATCGTCGCAAGCCATGTCCACCAGCTAATGTATAACTCGAACCGAACTAAGCTGGCCCGCGCCATTTCCCGTACCGTTGAGACGCTGAAGGAGCTCCAGCAAATGAACAGTCAATGGCCGGCTCACTACCCTTCCGTTCAGAACAACTTAATTTCTAGTCCTGATCGACCATTGCTGCGTCATAGCCGGACTGATCTGGGAAGGGAATTCCCTCCACGCCCGGGACAACTCAAGCGCACGGCCACATCGTTAGGGGAGGAGAACGCGGCCGAATCAAGTGCATCTGCAGAGCGTCGCGGTTCGCCCGAACCTCGCTTGATTACGCCTCAGATTGCTCAAGAATTCTCCATATTGAAACTAGATCTGAAACTTGGTTCGATGTCTCAGGCTGAGCTTGTGCACTCTTTGGAGAAAACCTCAGTGGCTTCTCTTTTGGACGGAAAGATCAGCCAAAGCATCAAGCACCTACTCTTACTGCGGGACAGAATTGAGGATATCTCGAGCAAAGTCTTAGTGACAGGTGATTTGAATGCTGGTAAATCCACGTTCTGCAACGCTCTGCTGCGCCGAAAAATCTTACCCGAAGACCAGCAACCCTGCACTAGCATCTTCTGCGAAGTCCTTGATGCACGAGAAAACGGTGGACTTGAAGAAGTACATGCAGTACATAAGGATGCTGAATATAACCGCAACGATGAGAGTACGTATGATGTCTATCCTCTGCGTGAGCTAGAGGATATCGTCATCGATAATTCCAAGTACATGCAGTGCAAGGTTTATGTGAAGGATGTGCGGAGTATTGATGAATCTCTTCTCAATAACGGTGTGGTGGATATTGCCTTGATTGACGCTCCAGGTCTTAACTCCGATTCGCTGAAGACGACAGCTGTTTTTGCGCGGCAGGAGGAAATCGACGTGGTGGTTTTCGTCGTCTCTGCTGCAAATCACTTTACGCTTTCCGCGAAGGACTTTATTCAGAATGCCGCTCAAGAAAAGGCCTATATGTTCATTGTGGTTAACGGATTCGATCAGATTCGGGACAAACAGCGGTGTCAGCGGATGATCCTGGACCAGATTGGTAAACTTAGCCCTCGTACCTATAAGGAAGCCGGTGAACTTGTGCATTTCGTTTCCAGCAACGCTATACCTGTTTCGCCAGCGGGTCCTGTCAGTTTCTCTGGGTCTGGCAGCGGTGGAGGTTCTGACCCTTTTGGCGATGGTCCTGGGGGCGATGGTGATGACGATGGCGATCCTAACAAGGGTGTGGAGTCTGGTAATGACAAAGGAAAGGGAAAGGAAAGACAGAAAATTCAAGACTTCGAGAACTTGGAGGTCTCTCTGAGACGGTTTGTTCTAGAAAAACGCTCCCGCTCGAAACTAGCTCCCGCGAGAACTTATCTTATGAACTTGCTCTCGGATCTAAATGCGCTGGCCTACGTGAATCGTGATGTCGCCGAGGCTGAGCTGAAGCGTGTTACAGAAGAGCTAGCTGAGCTGGAACCGGCTTATCAGAACGGCAAAAAGAAGAAATTGCAACTAGGGGAAGAAGTTGAAAAACGTATTGATGATTCTTGCGCCGACGTTTATGGTTATACCCGGGTAACTTTGGCGGACACAATCGCGCAGGTCTCACAGGCAGATTTAGGTGTCGAATATCCTGGCGTATTCTCGGTATTCCAATATGCGGAAGATTTAAAATTGGCAATGCTCGAAGAAATCTCCAGCGCGGTTACAGTTTGCGAGGACTATGCTCGTGAGAAGACAGTACAGGGAGTTGGCTTTATTCAGAACCTGGGTCTTCTGCACGTTGGAGAAGACAAATTTGCTCCTCTCAATTTCAAGGCCAATATGATGTTCCGCCGTGGCCGTCGTCATACGCTCGCTCGGCAGGTCGACACACCAGTGGAGATCTGGGACTTCTTTGACATCGCTGGCCTCTGGGAACGACAAGAGAAAGTGGCAGGAACGGGCATGGCAATGACTCTCGTAACTGTCGTTGGTGGTAGAACTTTCGGCGGTGTGAGCTGGATTAACAACATACTCAGTGCTATTAAGTTCCTTGGGCCAGAGAATTTACGTCGCCTTCTCGTTCCTGGAGTTGCTGCTGCTGGTAAGGCTTAAATCAATCTAACCCGGAATTCAAATATGCTAATTAGGTTTTATAGCCCTTTTGACCGTGGCATATATGGTCTCTTCAATCCCAAAAACCCTCCCTTCACGACTCTCGCGTAAGCTCGCGGCTACCCTTGGAGAAATGGACTATGTGCACTCCAATGCAAACCGAATTTCATCGGAGGTTCGCCGTATTCTCCACATGCCATCCTCCCACTTGCAAAGTTGCCTCGAACAAGGCATTGAAGACCTCGCAAAACGCAAGAGCGAGGTCAGCAAGGTGAAAGGTGAAAGTGAAGTTGCCTTCAAGTACTTCGCAAATCTCCTCAGGGAGAGCGGCGAAAGTCGAAACACATTGCAACAGATCGACCTGGACGCTCCATTGCCAGGTGGAATTGCGGCTCACTGAATAGTATGACTGATCAGTCAATCTTCAATCTGTACAATAACGATCCTGTACGATTTTCTTTTGTTCTACCCGTCATCTCCTTTGTTAAGAAGATTTGACGAATTCTCTGTTTTATGGTTTACTTAAATATCCTCATATAGCCCAGACCTTCTTTTCCTCACCCCCGTTTCTTTTCTCTTTCTCTCCAGTCTCCATCTACTTCTCTATGCGCGTCAATACCCTCTGACGGCATTTATAAGTGCGATTTTCCTTTCTATCTATTTTCTACTGCTTATATGAGCTACCAACACTCACTCGAAACTATGAACATGGCCGCAGGACAAGATTTTGCTGCTTTTCCCTCTACTTCACACCCTTCAATGCCTTCTCGTGTCCCATTTTGTTTCGGTGAGGTGAAAAAGAAAGTTTTGTATTAATCTATTGTTCCTAATTCCTCATTAGGCTATTGACACATAGTTTTCTCTGTTATGTCAACTGTCTGCCTGTCGGAATATCTGGACTTCGAGTGACCGTATAATTCTCAATGGACAGCCTGGTAAAAGTGAATCGAGGGGTACATCTATTTGGAACAAGACACGCTACAATAATACCGATGAGCGGCAAAGTAGAGGGAAAGATCCAAGAAAAATCCTTCAAGCATTACAGTCGCAGCATAGGCTTCATCCAGAAAGGGATAAATGCGAAGGACGCCACAAGCAATGCGATATGCATTATATCGGACATAATACATGGCCATAGCTATTAGAAAATTAGAAAGAGAAAAATGGTATCCTTCACGCTGCACCCGAACAGATAACATCATCCTTCAACTACCTTCGCTGCGTGCCTTGTTCTCCTACCATTGCCCCATCCTGCATCTTCTAGCTCCTTGAGCTCACCTACTATGGCCCCTTCAGCAGGTGGTTTATTATTTATCCTGCCCGCAGACTGGAGGAACTCTTGTCTCATTGCCGCAGCATCTGGGTCTTCGTAATCAAGCTGTGTCATGGCAGGGGTCTGGTCTTCATCTTCCTCGTACGGAGGGTAAAGGGAAGCGTCCTCGGTAAACTCAAGTCTTGCACCACTGAGCAAGGATGTGAAACTTTGAAGGCCGTTCGCGCTATTTGCACGCGTGTTCGTGTTATTCCCATCTGTATTGACACTCTCGATGGCACTGCCGCATCCGTCTTCGTTGAGGGTGTCAATGGAGCTCGCTCGCGAGAAGATGGATTGATCAGTTGTGGAATTTGCTCTCCCAATAAGTGGCATTCGTTTTCTCCGGCCAGAGGTGTCATTCTTCTCTCCTGATTCGGCTAGGGAGCGCGCATTCGCGGCTCTCGCCTGTTTAAGGAGCCCATTTAGCGCAAGGCCAAAGGCGGATGTTACCCCTGAAGACATTGATTGGTTTGAGCCAGACCGTTTTCTAGGCGCAGTCTCTGACAGAGAAGACTCGTTTTGCTCTTTTGACGAAGACTGTGAATTGAACTTCGATGTAGTATCCCCTTTCTGTGTTCTATTGGAATCTCTGAGAAAGCCATCGCCCATCACAGGCTCGATTTGCCTTTTGGTCGTACTATGCTTCTCAGGATGTGGAGCTGCAGAAGGGTTCTGGGTTTTTGGTGGCAGGCTACTATCTTTATCCGTGTGTCTAGGGTTTCTATTTGTTAGTTCAACATCATGGGGCGGGCGTTCTTTCTTCGAAAGACAGTTTGATCCCGTTCGTATGGCTTCACTGTCCTGCGATGAAGCTCTCTGAACGATGTATGGCTCAAGTGGCTTCTTTAGGCCAACTCGGATTGAGTCCCAGAGCCAGTCTGCCGATACTACTGGAATCCGCCATTCACGTGTATGGCGTAGCTTCTCTTGATTCACAGATCGGGGGTCATTGCATATCAGAACAGATGCTTTCGGGGTCAGATACTCATCGTAAAGACCGCCTAAGACATTAGCCACTAGTTCATTCTATTAAAGAACAAAAAAACACACCCATTAAGGCAACGACTTTCGAAAGATGTAAAAGATCAATCCGCGCAAAGCCCGTGGAGCATATTCTCATCCCATGAAAACCTTGTCATCATCAATGTTAGAATTACTCTCTGAATAACAGAATAGAACAAAGAACTGACCTGGTAGAGGAAATTTTGAAAACGGAGTGCTCCCAACATGAAATTCTGGCGGAACCAAGGCTTTTGCATCCAGACACCGTTCCAGCCACATATCCGTTACGACCTCACATTCGAACGCCAAGTCATCTGTTGACGGGATTTCCGATCGAGGAGTCTTATAAGAAACGATAGTATACAGACCATACCCATTTTTTGGAATATCGGAACGAGAGAATTCATGTAAGGAGCCAACTAACTGGGCCCCATTGAATTGGAGGTGATGGCGCAGCACATTTACCTGGATGATAGAGTCAGTTCCGAAAAATCAAGCAATGGAGACACTACCAACCTGCTTCGCAGAGAACCCGTAAATGAAGAAATAGCAACTGTGAAGAAAGCCATCGGCATGACCAGCTGCTGCCTGAACAGTGGACTGCGCGGGAGGCTTCTGAGCGTCAGGAGAGGTGGTCTCACTAGCAAACGATTTCGTCTCTTGAACCACTAGCGGAGGTCGTGAAGTTTTTATAAAATCGTCCCTCTGTTGGCTATTTCTAGAACCTCTTGGCTCGGAATTTCCAGACCCTACAATATCGTTCCAGATACCTTCATTTTGACCACCCAATTTGTCGCTTGCAATCCTGCGCAACTTTCTTGGTCGTGGATTTAACAGACTGTCATGTTCTTGAACCTTGTATTTAACAGCCGGTACAAAGCGATTCCAGGCCCCGACACCCTGTTTTTCTGATGGCAGCGTTGGATGGTATAGAGCCTCTTCAAGCACCATTCCCCGCTTTATACTGTCGTTGAACCATTTAAGGGTGACAAGTATTATATTCCATTGCATTGCATATTTATACTTCTCCCCATTTGTGTTCTTCACAACGAGATGTGTAACACTTTTCGTTAGGTCCTTTTTGAATTCAGCACCATGTGCGACAGCTGTCTTCTCCATATGCTCTCGAAAGGACACTAAGGAATTCTCCATCAGCTGCTATTTTCTAGGAAAAATAGGGAGTCCTTCAACTCACTATCCTCGAATCCGGTTATGCAAATAGAGAGACCTTCAAAGACTGGAAGTTTATACCGCTCCTCTAGCGCTCGAATGTTTGTGTCTCCGCCCTGCATCCACGATTCCCGCACGGCTTGAACCCACTCCGGTCTGAGAACAGTCACATCTGGTCGCTCACGTGCGACGAATTTGTATTTAGGTGTGTTGATTTCTCCAACAAGCAAATGCGTGACGTCCGAGGTAAGGTCGTACTTATGGGTCGCTCCCATTTCACCAGCGATGGTGGCCAACTCGGTCTATTCATAGCGGCGCCGTATCAGTATCTTAAAATAAATTAGGCCTGGCTATGTAAATTATCGATCACAGTATACTGACCCTCTGTTCCGGTAGAATAGAGGTGAAGCAGAGGACCACACCCGCAAGGGGATGTTCCTTGTCTGCACAATTGTCAACCTCTACAGCGCACCCTTTACATTGTAGAACTTACTTGAAGACGCGTTCCCTGCCATCATTCATGGTCGAGATCAACAGCAGTCATGCACGCGACGTGAAAACACTGTTGGAGCTGCCGCAGTTATCGGAATAACGTCGACAGTTACCGCACGTGTCGAGGACACATGATATCACGTGATATTACACAGTCGATGCTTTCGACGCATTTCACAACAGGGCCAGGTATTTCTTTACTGCTTAGCAGATGGCAGTTTCTACGATTCAATTCGATCCGGTTTCATTGGGTTATATGCAGAGAGCAGTCGCCATGGGATCAGTTGCATGGTCCGGATCGACCAGTATCCAAAGGGGAGCTTGCATGTGAGCCTTATTCTGCATATTTAACCCGCAGACTATTGGAAAAGAGGTATACATTTCCAAACCCAAATCCTAACACCCTTCTGCTAACTGTCAAGAGCTGTGTTAGACCCTCTCGCATACACTGCACGGTATAATCGTGATTTGCTGAACTGTCGCCGTTTTTGGATACCCCCGTTTCGGGGTTTGACCTTGACGCGGCCCTTTGCGCCTCCTGTTCCGGTATATTGTCATCCATTTACGGTTTAGCCTGATCCGGATCTAGTTTAGCATTAATCTCTAGCCGTCCTGGGATCTGCCGTCCTGCACCGCCTTCCTGCCGACCTCCATCTATATAAATCCCCGGTACGTCGCTCCATGACCCTTTTCTCTTGTTTCCCATATTTCCCACCGTCTCTTCGAACACATGTCAGGCAGCATTCCCAGATCAGCTGACGCGGCCCCCTGCAGGCTGAAACCTCCTGCGTCCGTGGCACAGCCTCCCTTCTCCACTCATGAAATTGGATGGACCGGCGTTGGCGAGAGACATTGGACCTCAGACATAGGACACGGATCGCTTTGCTTCCCTGAGGTCTTTGAGCTGAAACACAGAAATATATGGCCCTCAAAGGGAAGCTTAGCATGCTCCCCTGCTTTGAAGTTGATGTAATTCGGCTTTGTCTCAACCTACGCCTCAGCTTTGTAGTGCTCTTTGATGGAGTCGATAAACTGGCCCCAGTTTTGTCTATCCACAACTCTTTTAGACAGAGGAGGAACCATATCGAAATTCCATGGCCGCAATGAATTTTGGGGGAAATAAGTTCGCCGGTATGATACTGTACCAGCATAAAAACAGCTCCTATGTGGCAGCAGCGGGGACCATGTCCCGCCCATCCCATTTCAAACTTGCAGTGCGCCACCTCATGCTTTGCCATGGGACATGGAAGGGTCTTGATGTGGTGACACCTCAGTGGTACAGGAATCAGCCAGCCTTAATGGAGCACAGCTGCATGGCAGGTACTTTTGCCTCTGGCCACTAGGGTCCGCGGCATCTTTCCCTGGGGAAAATTCCCTGCGGATTTGAACAGCTGCATGAATCATATGCTTTCTGCATGCAGGATACATCATCACGAAGTGCATGTGATATACCAAATGCAATATGTTCACGAGCGTCACTGCGGGAATGTGCACACAAAGAACAAGGATCTAGACGCAGATATCATATTTACCAGGGTTAAGGACGCTCGCCAGCAGTTTACCAATGACTTCTTGGATTTTCAACGCAATGATGCATTATACTGGGTGGTAGAGTTAGGTTCCGGTGTGATCCATCACAACTGGCCTGCTACAATGACTTCTGTGCATCAGTACAATGGCTATCAGGCTGGGGTGATGCCCAATTGTTGTAAAGACCTGGAAGTGGCTGTAGTCGTGACTTTCAACAGAGGGGGCGCCTAAATCCAGCCTCTTGCATCCAACGGGCCAAAACTCACCCTAAACGTGCTGTTGCTGCATCGTCCCACATTGAAGGAGGCGTAAACAAATCTCCATCCAATGTCTTGATGTTTCGTCTCCAACCAGCTTTATAGGCTTAAGAGAAAAACTGTGCCGTAGGCTGAAACACTTTATTCACAAGCACGGCGGCTGCATATCAGAATGATGGCATCTCATATCTGGATCCGTGTTCCTTTCTTCCTTTGTCCATTTAAACCATCAATGTCCCCAGCTGGGATGGACATGGACATCGGACACCAAACGAATTCGACCTACATTTGAAGACAAAGACATGTCTGTCTTGTGAATATGCATCCCCAGTATTTCCAATCTTGCCTTGGGATTCCTGTTCCACAGTCTATAAAGAATCTAGTCAATACGCCGCCAATGTGTCTTCCCAGCCGTGGAGATGAAGAAACTACCGAGATACTTCATAGTCTTGGTTCCAACTTCAATTCCAAAAATGACGAAGTCACTCAGGCGTGCAACCTGGCGGCTGGGTCTTCCGACATAGTGATCATCCTGGAACGGCCGCTCCATGCAAGAAAACACGGGTTTAATGTTTCCTTTGAGCAGTTTGTGCGAGGCTCTAGAACACTGTCAGCTGTGGATGAGCTTATTCGCTTTGCTACTCAAGGCGCTCGAAGTATATACAATGTGACCGTGCTAAACGCATTCTCTTATCAACCCGACAAATCTACAACCGAGCGAGACCAGGAATGCCATGAGGCTCTGGCATGTATTCTGCAACGGAAGAAACCCAAGGTCATACTACGATGCCATCGAGAACAGTACAGAGATGAGTGGTTGAGGTGTATTGAGCTACCAGGCGAAGAATATCGACTTGACCGCAAGGAAATCAACATTACTGAGGAGTATATAACAATCGTGCTGCAATCTTTTCATCCATCTTGCGCGATCAATAATGCTGACTATAGACCGGAATACCGGGCATTATTGATTTATCACTTTGTGGCCGCATGTATTACGCGGTAACGAACAAGAAGATTGGTTTCCGCTCGAGACTCACTGCACTTTGAACCAACCCACAATAGAGGAGCGATTTTCGAATCTCAGCACAGCAGACCGGAGCATAACTGGCGACATTCGAAAGTATAATGAGAAGGCCACGCTGTTGGCTACCCAGATGTCGGCGACGATTGTGAAGGCAGAGAGTCTCGGAAAAGACATATGCGCCCAAATGATTGATATACTTCAGAAACACAATGCTCTCATCCGGAGCCTTCTGGGTGAAACTTCAATGAGTGGTATTAAATATGCATTACGGATTCGAGCTCAACTAATTCGCTGTGAAATTTTCGCCTTGACAATCAGCAATGAAAGCCTGAGTGTAGAACGTGAAGATTTTCGGTGGCTCATACGTTCCCTCAAACAATTGGCAAGACTTATTTCATGTTTATGCACAGTTGAAGTCTTCTAAACTTTTCCTGTAGTCTAGAAGCCATATTTAAATTGCCAGAGAGAAGTAGTTATTGCATTTGTTGAGTAGCCCGAAAAAGTAAGTTCGGTCGCAGTCGCTGTTCATACGCTTCCCAGCGTCGTTGCTCATGTTCCCGGCGTTGTTTTTCATCTTCCAGACGCTGCTCCTCCACTTCTTTCAACCGGCGTTGTAATGTTGCAGTTTCATCTATTGTTAACTGGAAGAGTGAGAGTGCGGATCAATTTAAGTTCCAAGAGTGTTGTTGCCTCCCGCGTCAAAGACAGCAGTGTTCCTGCGAATGTACCTGGCCTCTCCCAGGAGCCATCCTCATCTTAGGAGCAATGACGGTTGTTTCAGGAGCACAAGATATTTTCCCGAAAACTGGAGATGCCTTCTCAGGAGATAGATGGCTCCTGAAACCCCGGTACCTGGTTCCTGAGAATGCACTAATCACGGTAGCTGGCGTACCAGGAACACTTGCTAAATCGCCTCCATTGTGCGCGTTATACTTACTGCGATGAAAGAGGGATATTTTCTGTTTCAGAGATTGCTAGTGCTTCCAGAGATTCCCATATTCTGACCTATGGCGTATCCTCTTTGGTAGAAGCCGGTTGCTGTCCTGGATCTCTGTAGATCTTTGCTCTGAGTCGAGAGAGTGAGCGAGGTGAATGTAGCAAGTGAATGGACGCCAGTCAATGAGCTCCCGGTGCTCCTCATACCACTTCTTCTCCCTCTCTTTGACCTCAGGGGCCAGAGGCTTCCGTATCGGTGATGGGTCTGGGTTCATCCACTGGTCCTTTGGCACCTTGGTCCCATCAACACCGCGATACCTGGCTTCCACATCCTTATTATAGGGAAACATATCAAGCATAACTTTGAGAAGTCGAGGAGGCAGGCCTATTGCATCAATCACTTCATTATCCAGGGTTGGGGAGCGCATAGCCTCATCAGTTCCGACATCGATGCAAACCAGAGGATCACGGTGGAGGGCGTCCCTGGCACGGCGCGGTTCTATTACATCTGGGTGCTCTTCAGGATTGGGGCGTAGTGGGTGAAGGTCTTCACCGAGGGTGTCATTTTGTTCGATTTCTTCCTTTGGTTTAATGCTCCGTCTTCTTTCCTGTCTCTCGAGTAGAATTGCAACCTGCAATGATCTGGGTTTAATGATTGAGCATTTGGGGCCAAACTCAACCCTTAGGGAAATAGGTCAACCAGATTATCTGTGTAATTGAGGTCCTGGTAAATCAAACCAATCTGGAGAGGACATATGTCTAGGCAGTAATGCTCGGTTAGTTAAAGGAGGGGTGAATGGATCTCCTCAGCAGGGACCAATCCCAAATCCTTGTTCCACCAGCGTAATCCATAATACTCTGCAATACACCCCCTCAGGCAGAAGCGAGCAAGTGACCCTGCCTAGACAATTCTGTGAGGCCTGCGTCGTCAACGGGGGCCGAGCAGGTCAGGCTACCAAGTCTAAACAGAACTCGAGAGCCATTTTCTTTATGCTATATTAAATGCGTTGTATGGCTGTGACTCATTAGAGCTATCCATAAGTGGCCTTGAAGCATATAACCCATTTCAATCGCAACAATCTGATATATGGTGTAAGGGTTTGAATACGACATTCATCGATGCAGTAGATACATGAAGAATGCCTTAAAAGAGAGAAGAAAGAAGGGAAAACATAGAGAGCAAAGATGAATATTGGAAACCCCTATCAGTACCTTGGGTACAGATTTAGGTTTTCATGGAAATGAAGAACATATGTAAGCAATTTCTTGTATAATATGTATCCATACCTCAGCTATGGATTGTAATTTTGATCACAAAGCCAGTCAGAATAGCCCTCCATTCACACAAGGGCACAAGCCCAAGAATACAACACATTGGACATAGCCCATGACATATTGAACCTTTCACATCCTCAAGATCTGACGTCCACCTTTTGTGCAGCTTGTTTGGACAGCTTAGGCAGATCTGACACCTCTGCTTTTGACTATTTGATGCAAACCCCTGCTCCTCCTGGTAAATATTCATCCAAAAAGTTACAATTTGAGCAGCCAAGGAATTGGCAAGCTTCGGGGCTCATGCAAAATTGGCCTTTGCAGTAATAGCTTCTGGTCTCTAGGAGAGATTCGACATCGCGCTTAGGGTTTCGAGACTGAGGTGCCGCACGATTTACAGCCGGTCGAAGCCAAGCAGGAGGGTTGAGCAGCTGATTCTCATCCACAACTTGAAGTCCATCAACACCATCAAATACAGAATGAAGATGATCCAGTTCCTTCTGCCATGACTCGGGAAGGTCCAAGAGCAGCTGCATAAGTTGGTCGTTGGACAAGCGAACATAGTCAATAACGGCATCGTTCCCATCATATGCTCGTGCTACTCCGTCGTCAGCGATGTGAGAATATCCCTCGGGGTCCTTTTTCAATTTGCGAATGGGCTCCCAAGCACTCCCTAACTGAGCATGTACATTGGGAGCCATGAGCAATGATACTGCTATCAGACCGATCATTGCAATTAAAAATGAATGCATTATTAAGAGATATGATTTTGTTTGAATTTGATTCTGTTCAAAAAAGTTCTTTGGTTGTGTTTGTGAGATTGACTTTGGTATAGGCTCCAAATAAGACAACCACACCTCACATATTAATCAAAGTATTTATACACGTATTGCCCATAACTAACTAACTAGTTAATTATCCGCCTACAAATGACTAATTAGTAGGAGCTTTGCTATGTCCTGTCTGTGTCACGGAACTCAACTAGACGATGAATAGGATGCTATTCAGCTATCTAGGCAGCTATCGACGAGAACTTCAAGCATGGAGAGGAAGGAAAAAGGAAGAGATCTACGTAAAGCTGGACGACGTACTCCTATCCACGCGCCACGCTAATCCAAGTAAGGAAGCTCACGTGCTCGTCCTGGTCTACATGGCAAGGGCCCTGACAGTCTGCTTGAGTCACAGCGGATAAGAAAAATACCGCAATGACTAGGGATTGACTGGATTTGCATGGCCCATCCTATTAGAATGGCATGAGATCCCAATTGAACAAGTTGCAGGATCTTTTTATTTAGATATTGTATGTAAGATGCAGCAGGGATATTGTATAAGTGCAGTTACCACAGCCAATGCTTGAATATCACTAATAACCTGAAAATCCTGCAATGAAATAACAGTGGGGCAGGCTCTTTATGGCCTAACCTGCAGCAGGTTGCCACCTCAATCACAGACTAGTCTACATGGTAGGGGCATGCCACTAATCCTAGGACTTCAAAGCATGAGTCAGAGGGCAGTGGAAGTATTGGTGCTCAGAAAGGTAATAGATATGTATAATGACTGTGCTGCAGCCCAAACTTGATAAATGCCCTGCAACTCCTACTGGGGTTGTAATATGGGTGGTCAGATGAGCCTTTTTTTCTGCGTTCTGGGTGGATGCGACAAAAGAGTCACAAGAGATGTAATGCTCTTATTTTGTGTAAACATCTCCTTTTCGTCTGGAATACTACTAACCCAAGGCTTCAAGGCCATCCCTTCCCATTGACGGCAAGTGCGGCGAGGGCCGGGTAAATTCTTTCCTTATTTGGATTGCGCCCCTAGAGGATGCCTCAATTTCCCCACATGGGATAGATCATGCATCTATTGTCACCTCCAACAGAGACAAGCAAGGGCATGGCAATGCATAAGCTAAACAAACCACACGCTCAGAATATGCATGAGACCCTTGGTGGTATGTTGATGGATGAGTGCAATGTCAGCCAGTCCACCTAAACATCCCGCAATCCTCCATCTCTTCCTGTAAGCAGTGATCATGGCATTATGACATTGTAGAGGAAGGTTCTGTTGGGCATGCCTTTTTCCAGATCGCCATCAGCTCTGATTTCCTCTGACCAGGGATAGGAATCTTTCTATCTAGAGGTTTTGCTAACTCCAACTGTGCCATGGATGATAACTGCCAGTTGTGCCGGAAGGAAATTAAGTCTGGACCAATAATTCCTCTCAGTCAACAGGGACTCCAGCAGCAGACATTAACTTCACCAGTGTTGGAATGAGAGATGACGTTTGTCAGGGCCCTTGCCATGTAGACCAGGACGAGCACGCGAGTTTCCTTATTTGGATTAGCGTGGCGCGTGGATAGGAATACGTCGTCCAGCTTCACGTAGATCTCTTCCCTTTTCCCTCCTCTCCATGCTTGAAGTTCTAGTCGACAGCTGCCTAGATAGCTGAATAGCATCCTATTCATCGTCTAGTTGAGTTCCGTGACAACGTTCACCCACATAGGTAGAAAATCATAGCATGCAGGTTAATGGCACAGCCAAATGGAGTACAATCCATGATTCTGAGCCGTGTCAGCTGTCTGGCTTAAGCGAATTGATAGACCCGCAGAATACCCTTTGTAGACTAGTACAGTATGTAGTCATGGTGAGGCTGGTGCCAATCAATTCAACGGTTTCTATCAGAATGTAGGTAGGGAAGGAAACAGGATCAAGAATATGGACAAGTGCTAATGAATAGCTAGGTTATGTCTACAAAGCGAACTAGGAGAGTATGGTGTACCCAATGATCTAATGCAAAATAGATATAGCACGCATTGCCAGTTATGGCTAATCTTTACCTGACTAGCAAAAGGTCTAAGAGCTTTCCAATACCATTTTGCCAAGTGATGAAAAGGATTGAACTTCTCTCTTGCTTCAATTCCTTGTTTAGCGCTCCTTCATACCATCAATGCCTTATTTTTGCCACATCAGTAGGTAGTAGGCTCCTAACAGCCTTTGGATTGCGATATTGACGCTATCTAGCATATGAGGGGTAGTAATTGCATGTACAGGTTCCTAATTGAAGCAGCGTAATGTGGTGTGTCCAACACATCACAAGGAAGGTATCTGTAGATATGTAAAGCGCTACATCATTGTCAAATGGCAGATCTTGGCAGGGGTCTGAGTTTCACAAGCGCGGAAGTACCCGTATGTGGGAATGGGAGTGAGCGGGAGCCAAAAAACAGAGGGAAACGGGAAGTCTCCGTGAATTTCCCAAAATAGGTATGATCGTCTTACCCCAGAGTTATAGCCAACAAATCATACATCAACGTGCAGAAGCTTAAGGTAACATCAGCTCACATATTTATACTTTACTATTGCAGATACTGTGCCGGGGGCACTGCGAAACCCCGGATCTCCCATATTTCCTATCTTAGAACGCCGTAGAACCGCGGACTCCGACATACTAATGTATGGTGGAGCCCGCGGCCGGAGAGTACTTAATGGAGGGTTCCCTCCCAGATAGTTACGAGAAATTGAGCATTCTTTTGGTTTCTAGGTTGCTTCACTAGTATCGTTATCATCGTATAGAGCGGAGCGAGGCTCCTTCGTCGTTGTGTTTCTTCTTTTATTATATCGTTTCATTACCAGATCGTTCAGTGTGTCCATCCCTGAGATCCCTCGATCACAACCCGGTTCCTGTCGCAGGGAACAACGCACGTACGCCCCCCTTTACAATACATGAACTGCTCAAGATTTATTCTAAGAGCCACTAGATTGAGGCCATGCAGTGGCTAGGTTACCCTTTTATGGCATGATTTAGCAGCAGCAGCAGCAGTCACTCGAGGGCATCGTGATGGGACCATCTACAGTAGTGGACTGGTCATGTGGTTTATTCTCACAGGAGAGGAGTGTCAAGGCCCAATAGTGAAGTACAATTTCCAATTGCTAGGTACACAAGGGAGTGTCAACACAAGTTGATCCAGAAGGCACAACTAATTGATAGTTATCTACAAGAAAATCCATTCCAATCTGTGTTCTCTGAGAGATCAGAATCCACTCCTTCCTCATGACATCAAGACCCATTCTCCCCTAACAAATCACATAGCAATGGCAAGTCAAACCACTAGTCCGCGATGCGCATGCTACAGAGCGTGTTAGTTATTCACCAGGTAAAGGATGAATTTGCTTACATCACTTACTGCCATCAATAACTGGAGACTTATTACTAGAACCACTTAATACTTGCAGCTAATACCTTCTTTGTGGCTGCAGTTATTGGGGCAGTTGCATTCATAGTCTGCAAGAGAAAAATTTCAATATATTGTGCAATCCCGCCTCAAGCTAGATAGTACAAACATGGCCTATCTGCTTAAGTCACAGCGAATAAGAAAAATACCGCAATGACTAGGGATTGACTGGATTTGCATGGCCCATCCTATTGGAATGGCATGAGATCCCAATTGAATAAGTTGCAGGATCTTTTCATTTAGATGTTGTATGTAAGATGCAGCAGGGATATTGTATAATGACTGTGCTGCAGCCCAAAATCTGACGCAATCATCTCCACTGTTAATGGGTCAGACAGGCAACAACTATAAGAAGGCCAAAGAATCTTTGGTTTTCATTTTATCTCCAGAATCTTCATCCATCACTCTCAAACATCATTTGAAAGTCAATAATTTTCATTTGGAAAATTTCTTCAATATGCGTTTCGCCCTACTTTCTGTTATAGCGCTCCTTGCTGCCAACCAGGTTTTTGGAGCTGCTGTTGTTGGAGCTGCTGTAGAGGTTCCACCCAGTGGAGACAGCATTGAAACTGCTACCTCCCCATGTCAGTTCTTTCTGATCAATACAGCAAAAAGACATAATATTAATATCTCATGCGGATTATGCTTGCAACTGTCCCAATAATTGTAGCCACAAGCGGGGCTCAAGTTGCAAGTACTGTAGTGGTCCTAGCAACAAGTCACCTGTTGTTGATGGCAGTAACTCATCACTACAATTATCACTTATTATTGAAGTTACTAACCATGATCACAGAATGCGAATATGAAGGCTCCATATTAAATTGCGTTGCTACCTAGATTGTGTCCATTGCAAGGAGACAGTGTGGATGAAAGAGCTAGTTGATGAAGTGTCTGCGGTAGTGCCTTGCAGTAGTGCTTCAGTACCTCAACTATTGTCACTCATTGAAAAATTTTGAACTCCTCAGGCAGCCTTTGAATACCAATATTTGTTCCATTGGCATTTAAATACCTTACAACTTGAGAGTGAATAGCTATATCGAAGTCAGCCGTAAGAAATTCATTTCTACCATTTGAAACCTCACTGAGGGATCCAGGAAGAAATGGCATCTGAATCTCCATGCTGTACTTTGGGCTGAATGTATGACGGTCCAAGATATGTCACAGATGTCCTCATACTATTTTCTCATTAGCTTTGGAGCCGTGCTGCTGGTGCTTAAGATGGAGGACCTTGCCTTGTCACTGGGTCCTGACCTATGACCAGCTGCTAGCCTTGCACGCGCGGTAGCTGTTTTTGTAACCAACAAAGGAACTTCTGAAAGGCAAATGCGGTACCTGGAGCCTATATATTCTCTGAGTTTTGCGTTGGTTGGCAAGTCCCCCCACATCCTAAGTAATCGATCTGCTGGGTCTGTCATTTGGGAGCATCATGTCTGCGCCCTTTCATTCTCTACTCACCTCGCCATTCCTCTATCCCCAAAGGATCTATCATCCTGGTGCCACTGTCTACAAGGAACGCTGATCATGACTCTACAGGCGGCCAAAGTAGTGCTCACTCAGCGCCTGACCGTTCGGAAATTCGTATTGTGATCGAACCATCTGCGGACTCTAGATTCGGCAGAGAACCAAGCTGTTCCTCTAACTCATCTTCTGCTTCAAGGCACCTAGACCTAGCTTGGTTGCCTCACTTCAGGCAAGCCAGTGGATTTATTCCCTTGCTGCACTCAACTTCGCGTTCAGTGAAGTGCCGGTGCTGGATTAGACGAATTGAGTGGCAAGTATTCAGGTATCTCCTGCTTTTTTGCATTGTAACATTCTTCATGATGCTGTGAGTTTTCATTAGGTAAGGCTATTTCAATTTCAATTAGCCTTGTTGCGCACCTTTGCCATCCAGAGGCGCTATTCAGTTCATTGTCCTCATCTCCAGCCTTATCTCCTACTTCCCAGATCGCTTCGACCAGGCCGTGGATAACTGGCGACATCCGGGCAAAATACAGGGATGATGTACTCAATTGGCCCACGGATATTTCATGCGACATATTCCCAGTAGGATGCCATTCGCACAACGATTATTGGCGCCGGGTTCCTTTATATTCTGCTCTGCAGGCAGGCTGAATCAGTCTGGAGGCGGACGTCTGGCATTTTGACGACGAGCTCTATGTCGGCCACAAAACCTCATCCCTGGCTCCTGAACGGACGCTGAGGAATATGTACATCAATCCGCTATGGAAGATCCTTGAGCGGCAGAACCCGCAGACGCGATTCCACCCATACATGAACTTTCCTCGGAATGGCGTCTTCGATACTGATCCTTCACAGACCCTTGTGCTTCTCATCGACTTCAAGACCGATGGCACGGCCACCTGGCCTTACGTATTTGAACAACTCGCTCCGTTGCGTGAGGGTGGCTACCTCACCCATTTCAATGGAACGGTTGTCGTCGATGGCCCGATCACGGTCGTCGGCAGTGGAAACGCTCCGTTCGACTCCATTGTATCAAATTCCACCTATCGAGACATCTTTTTCGACACATCTTTAGATGAACTAGCAGGTGATGGCCATGGAGGTGCCCGAAATCAGGGATCCACGCGGCCCAGAACTGTTTCGTACGACTCTACAAATAGCTATTACGCCTCCTCTCATTCACAAAATCGATTGGCGCCCCCTGGCGCTTTTGTCTCTCACCGAGTCAGATAGATCGCCTCCGAGCGCAAATCCAGGCTGCGCAGTCTGAGGAATCATATCTGGAGAATCCTCATCCAGGAAGGGGTCGATATCCTCAACGTCGATGACCTTGAGGGTGCCACTAGGAAGGAGTGGATTCCGCCGTTTGTGCCCTGGTAGTTGTGACAGTCTGAGGCCGTGACAGCGTGGAAAACAAGTACTATATAAGTGAGTGCAGTATCAGGTCTTACAACCTGATATCCTGGTCTTTTGCCGGTAGTGCAGTGGTTTAGTCCTTAGAATGCACCTAGGAGCTAGGACGTGACAACTATTAAAAGTCCAAATAAGGCAGGCACCAATTCCTCTCTCAACTGAGCACTCATCAGACCATATAACTCTTTTAAAATCCTCAGGTGAATAATTGGCATGTGTTCTACCCCAATTTAGCCTTTTTTCAGCATTTCCTGGCTGGGTTTCTGGTCTCTTACATTGCTTCCATTTGCGCATATGTAAGGTTCTGAATAGGCGGCGAACTGTATCAATGGAAGGATGGCTTTGAACAGCCTGAGAAAGTTCCCTCATTTTAATATGTGGATCTTCTTCAACAAGATTAAGAAGATGTTGCTTTTCCCCAGGAGAAATAATCTTTGGCCTGCCAGATCTTGGAAGAGTGATATGATTATGTCTTTGAGATTCTTTTGAAATGGTGTAGTGAATAGTTGAATAAGGAATATCTAGATATCTTGAGTAGATTTTGCAGTAGCTCCAGCCAATATCCTTAAGCTCACAAAGCCTAGCCTGCATATTAGGAGTCAATTCTTTTGAACGAGGCATATTGAATGAATGAGGTAGGATGGAAGAGGAATGAATTCAATAGCTTTGTTGGGCGTGTTATTTTGAACTAGTTATTTTGAACTAGGGATTGGCGTCATGTATTCCTAATTAGGAAGCGCTATTACTAGCGTGTTTTGAGGGTGATCAAATATTTTTGCTAGGTCACTGTATAATCAGTCTTATCAGTCTTATCGGTGATATCACGTGTGATACGCCCGTCGCGTCCGTCACGCTTTTGGTTCGCGGAAGTTTCAAAGTACACAAGACAGCCATTTCGGATGAGATTGTTTGATGGCAGTCGTTCTTTATAGTTGACTTTGACTTGCCCGTCGTTCCATCACTCCACCCTGGTCGTTTATGTATGCTTTTCTATACGGGCTGCGGAATTTGGCGCTGATTCGACAACCTTTGTCTTATGGTCGTGTCAAACCTCGAATTGCTCTCAGGTATTCGGTATCGTCTCGGCGTCGTCTAGCGGAGGCTCACAGTATCCCAATGTTCAAGAAGGCATTAAGGGACAATTCAGTTGCGTCCGCGAAACCGCTTCAGTCCAGTCTCTCGCGTACCAATGGAATTGTTCAACCAAAGCCAACGACAGAGACGGCGCCGTCTGCTGGCATGAAGCGGAAGATTGAAATGACCGGTGCTGGACAGTCAGCATTGGGGTCTTTGCATAGTGCCGTGTACTTCGACGAGGATGACTTTGACGACGATGATGACTTGGATTTCGAGGCGCCAGATCCATTTGTCCCTCCGGCGAAAGTCACGCCGTCGAACCCATCCACACAAGTATCTGTGGGTTATTCGAATTCCAGCGGAACCTCGACACGTACTGGTGCATTGGCTACAGTAGAGTCATCTACAAGCGATAAAGGGACTTTAGAGATAAAGTATCCAGAACTTCCGCCTGTTCCTGATGATGATATCCCCCCGTCAAGCAGTATACAGTATCCCTGGTCGTCTTCACCTCCATCCCACCTATTCCCGCCCGCACCTCCACCCACAAAACGGCGAACACTGCCGTGGCTCAATGACGAAAAGCAAGCAGAATCGGTTAAACACGTTAACCCCCCGTCGACTCCGGCACGTTCTAAAACTACTACTCTCCCTTGGAACAAAACCGCCAGTGCGGTCAAACAAGAGCAGAAAGAGCTCCGGCGACAAAACAAGAAATTCCAAGAAGGAGAACGAAACTCAAAACAACGCCAATCTCGCCCAAGACTTGCATCCTTGTTTCTCAGCGATGAGCAGCGAGCCGTCCTCGAGGCCGTTGTCGATCAGGGCAAAAGCATATTTTTCACAGGTTCTGCTGGAACTGGCAAGTCAGTTCTCATGAGGGAAATAATAAAGAAACTTCGCGATAAATACCGTAGAGAGCCAGACAGGGTCGCTGTTACGGCGTCTACAGGACTTGCTGCCTGTAATATAGAAGGCGTGACATTGCACAGCTTCGCCGGAATTGGCTTGGGGAAAGAGGCAGTTCCTGAGCTTGTTAAGAAGGTCATTCTGACCCCCCTACGAACAACCCTCCATAATATTGAATTCTAACTATTAGCAGATCAGGAAAAACCCCAAGGCCCGCAACCGTTGGCTGCGCACAAAGGTTCTTATTATCGATGAGGTTTCAATGGTAGACGGAGAGCTTTTTGACAAACTTGAAGAGATTGCACGGCGGATTAGGAACAATGGTCGGCCATTTGGAGGAATTCAGCTCGTTATTACCGGTGACTTCTTTCAGCTGCCTCCAGTGCCCGAGTCAAGTAATCGCGAGGCGAAATTCGCATTCTCTGCTGCCACCTGGAATACGTCGATCCAGCATACTATTCTCCTGACCCATGTTTTCCGGCAAAAGGACCCCGAATTTGCGGATATGTTGAATGAGATGAGACTTGGAAGGATCAGCCCCAGCACTATCGCGGCATTCCGGAAGCTTTCTCGGCCACTTGATTTCCATGACTCGCTTGAAGCCACTGAACTGTAAGATTCCTTTGAGATACACTCATTTTTCAGCGTTGACAATCAGCAGATTCCCCACTCGGAGGGAAGTAGACAGTGCGAACAGTGCACGAATGGCGAGGCTTTCGGGAGAAACCATGACCTTTCAAGCAGTGGATAGTGGAACGATCCAAGACGAAAAGATCAGGGAGAAGATGCTGTCCAACTGCATGGCACCTCCCGTCATTCATCTGAAGAAGGGTGCTCAAGTGATGCTAATCAAGAACATGGAGGATACGCTGGTGAACGGTTCAATCGGGCGAGTAGTCGCATTTATGGACGAAGCAACATTTGATATTTACCGAGATAATGACGGTGATTTTGCTGGCGAAGGTGCCAGCGATGACGAAAGGGCAAATCGCGCACGTAAGAAACTCAAATCACTCGCACATAAGGAGGGAGGGGTTACTGTTACGAAGAAATGGCCCTTGGTTTGTTTCATGCAACCTGATGGGACAGAACGACATTTGCTCTGCCAACCTGAGGCCTGGAAGATTGAGCTACCTAACGGCGAAGTGCAGGCCCAGCGTCAACAAGTACCGCTCATACTTGCCTGGGCTTTATCCATCCACAAGGCCCAAGGCCAAACCCTTCAGCGAGTGAAGGTAGACCTGGGTCGAACCTTTGAGAAAGGACAGGCTTATGTCGCGCTTAGTCGTGCAACCTCCCAGGCCGGCCTCCAAGTAACCCGATTCGATCCGAGCAAAGTGATGGTGCATCCCAAAGTTGTTGAATTCTATTCCCAGCTGGTCAACATCAATCAGGTCGTCAAGCCAAAAAATTCTAGCAACGCCCAGGGATCAGTGGCGACCGATATCCGGAGATATGGAGAAGATTTCGAAGATTTCGATGACGATGAGTTAGAATATATATCTGCTTATTGAGTACTGCGAGCATTGCAGCAGCTTGCTCTGTTTCAGTTTCTCTGTCCATATCTTTTTCATTTCTACTCACTCTCCTGTTATCTTTATGGCGCAGTACACAACAGCCTTACTGTTACTACTCTTTATTTTATTTTTACTTTTTAAGAATACCTAGTGAGGATAAAAACGGCAAATGGAGTCTATATATCAACGTGGTGCACTCGGTGCACCGTAGTAGATCGCTCCTGCTTATCGATAAGATACGCACTCACATGATCTTTTGCGTCGGAGAGACTTGACGGCAGCGAACAAAGCCCTTTGCGATACCACACGCATTGATGCTGTTTTTTCCATTATCCCTTTATCGATAGCTTATTTTGCACGTATGCTTTGCGAATGATAAGGCCCTTCTCCTGTGTTGGTTGAAGTTGTTTTCCCACCATGGCTTCTGAATTCATCGGCTACAATGTTTGTGTTACTCTCAAAGCACCTCCAAATGCCAGAATCCGCGGGGAGGTGGCCAATGTCATCGGCCAGCGTTTGACGCTCCGGAATGGTATGTGTTATTGGAGCTTCTGTCTCTGAGGGAAACTGATCATCTCTGATATCTTCTAGTAATGCTTATGTGGAGTGGTCATCACCTGCCTACCTACAGCATCGAAGGACCTGACATCGCGGATCTCTCCATTGAAACGCCAAGCAACAACGTCCCCCCTTCTCACAGCCAGTACCCAGTTCGAGAGAATCAGGCGACCTCTTCCACATCCGCTGGAACGGTTAAACCACAGCCTTTTGTGGATCCGGCCATATTGAGCTTCTCGAAACCATCTTTTGGTCAACCTGATGAACATGAGGGATCTTGTGGCTCTCGAGGCCAAGTTTCTACGGACAGTGTACTGGTCGCTGAGCCGATTCCTCCTGTTCCAGAGGATCCGATGAGGGAAGCGGTTGCTGTTACAGCGGCGCTGACAGAACCGTTCAGCAATCTGGAATTGAATGCGGGCCGCGCTTCGACTACCTTGGAGGAGGTTCATCCAGACGGTTCTATTCCCGCTCAAGATACGGCTGCGGTAGATTATCAAGCCCAGCCCAAACTTGTTGGGAAAAAGTCTCGTCGAGGCGGACGGAACAATGCTGGTACGGTGAACGGTCATGCCGTAACCGCAAGCACGAACCCCAAATCCAAAGGCTGGCGTCAGACTGCATTTGTTGAACCTTCTCATCCGGATGTCTCTCAGTTTTCTCCGGCCTACAAGGAACCCACTGCACATTTTAGTAATCGACGACATAAAAAGAAAAGCCGGGGAAAATATGCCGAGGATCCCAACGGCTGGGCTACTGAAGACGCAACAGATATTCAAGAAATGGGAGACTTTGATTTCCAAAGTAATTTATCAAAGTTCGATAAGAGGCGAATCTTCGAACAGTTCCGCAATGGCGACACCACTGCGGAGGAGGCGCGCCTAATTAGCTTTAACAGGAGAGCGAAACCTGGAACAAACGGTGGGAAAAACTTGCACTGGACCGAGAATGTCCTTGATAGTCCGCAGAACACTGAGGGTGAAGAGACGGAAGAAGAAGAAAATGATGCGAAGTTAAGCAGTGAATACTACTCCGGACGCGAAATGTCCCGGTCATCTACGCGGGTTCAAGGCTCCCGCAAAGGCAGCGGAGTTCTAGGACAGCCCCTGGTGCCTCATCAGATAAGCAGCGTTACACGTACACATCTGACTGCATCTCTGACTACAAGTCCTCGGTCAGGCAAGCCCTCTGTTTCAGCCTCACCGATGAGTGGCCCCATGGGCGTATCTGCCGCCTCTCTGAAACTGACGACCACAAACCGCAGCTGTCCGACTGTGAGCCCGCTACAAGCCCTTGAGGTTGAGCAACTGGCAGTTGCGGAGCTTGGCTTGACCGAGGACGTCATCACAGAAAATGCAGGAAGGGGTATCGCAGAAGCTGCTGTTTCCCTCCTCTCAGATGACTCTGCTGCTCCTACAATACTGATACTCACTGGCAACCATCGCACCGGAGCAAGAGCCGTCGCTGCTGCTCGCCATTTTCGTAATCGAGGTCATCGTGTGACTCTCTGTGTGCTGGGACAAGAACATGAGAACGAACTTCTGGAGAGCTGTCGCAAACAACTGGATATATTCCGGAAAATTGGAGGACGTGTGTTCAGATGGGAAGAGCTCCTGGCACGTCTCTCAACGTCTGACTTCAGCCCGGACTTGGTGGTGGACGCATTGTTCGGTATCCACATAGCCTTCGACGACCTGCGTAATGACGATCAGGCCGCTGCATTCGAAATGGTCTCTTGGATTAACCGGAGCAACGTCAGTGTTCTGTCGGTTGATGTGCCGTCGGGTCTCTCTGCTTCTAATGGTAAGTCTTGTCAGCGTACTCTGGTCCCTCTGTTACTGGAATACTGACTTTTTGAACCGGAATAGGCGAAGTGACAGTGGCGGAAGGCGGACGAGTGTGCGTCAATGCCAGATCAGTGGTCTGCCTAGGGGCTCCCAAAATTGGAGTCATCAATGCCCTTCTTTCCGGAGAAGGGACTGGTTGGCAACTTGTCGTCGCCGACATTGGGATCCCTCAGGTCGTTTGGAGGAAATACGGCACGCGTCGGCGGCACGGAGTCGACTTTGGGAATCGCTGGGTGGTACCACTGCGCTTTCAGCCCCCTCTAGCTTGAGTACGACAGGGCACTTCGAGGATGGGAATCTAACGGGGGAGAATCACTTCAGGCGTTTTGCGGGTGTTGGAAAATAGAAAATAGGCAAGATACGGGTTTCTTTACAACCCCTAGGATCTTTTCTTTTCTGCGCTATGAATGTCTTTGGTTTCTATAGCCTGTCGCAAAAAGCAGCTGCATTTTCTTGTACGAATATGAATCCCGATATATGTTATACAGTCCTGGCAAGACAAGCAGGGCGTATGAGATGCCTGGCATGCTGTATGTAATCTCCCAGTAAATAGTAGTACCTACAATATATTCTATATCAGTATCTACTTATCATCAATTATCATCCTATATGTTTCTAATTGTCGGTCCATAGAAATCTCATATGTTCACCTGAACAGCGCAACCATGGTTGAGACAATACAAATATTACGAGAATGTCACGAGAGCCTATCAGTAACCGTAATACAAGTACGGTAATTTGAACCACACACTAACCCGCATGAGGCTAGCGTGCCATGAAACGCCATGATGTAGATCGAGATAGCTTTCTGTAGGCATAATAACTCCGAAGGCAGAAATACTGAGCGACAGCCTCTGTTTCACAATGGGAAAAGGTAAGCATCTCTCGTCGAGTGTCTGAATGCGCGCAGTGAATTTTCAAAGCCCTGGGACTAATATGCATCTATTCACCTCGCAGGAACGGATAAGTTATATGTGAGTAGGATATCTGTTGTACCCATTACCTCATGAAGTTGTCCAGGCTAACCACGCCCGTCGAATTCTTAGATCACTCACTCCGAGTGGGCATCAGAAGACGCATACTCTGCCAGCGCCGGCGCTGGAGTTGGAAAGGCAAGGAGAGGCGGCGTCCACACCTCGTTTCGACGTCTCCCATTCAAATTCTGTTCCCTGTCGCTCCAGCCTTTCTCGCATCCCGTCTGCACCCCGTCGGGGACCATCTTCGACCTCACGAACATTCTCCCCTGGATTAAAAAACACGGCACTAACCCCGTCGACGGAGCGCCGCTGAAGAATTCGGATCTTATCAAGCTTAATCTCGCCAAAAATGACGCCGGCGAATATGTCGATCCCGTCACCTATAAGGTGCTGACGGATAACACGCACATTGTTGCGTTGCGCAACACGGGGAATGTCTTTGCGTGGGATACAATAGAGCGGTTGAATATCAAGGGGAAGATGTGGCGTGATCTGGTTACGGACGAGGAGTTTAGTCGCAAGGACATCATCACGCTGCAGGATCCGCAGAACGTCGAGGCGAGGAATCTCAGCTCGTTTAACTATTTGAAGGAGGGGGAGACAGGATTTACTGAGGAGCAGTTGCGGGATAGGAGTAATCCTGAAAACAACGTCAACATGAACGCGCTGGGCAGCTCGGCGAAGATCCTGAAGGCTAAAGAGGCTGTTGCTAAGGCTCGGGCTGAGCGGGCTGCTGCTGGTGCTGCGTCAAAGACGCCTTCCAACGTCGCTAGCATGGCAAATAGTGGGAAAGCTCTTGCACGGACGACGTCTGCTTCTATCTCTAGCCAGACAGGAAAGCCGACTCCGTTCAATGCGGCAAGGCATACAACGGGGCTGGCTGCAGCGTCGCTTACTAGTACGGGGTTAACGCCGCATACTTCTGCCGAGCTCGCGATTCTTTCAGATGAAGAATACATGTTGAAGCGGGGTCGAGTCAAGGAAAAGGGCTACGCGCGAATCTCGACCACGGCTGGGGATCTGAATCTGGAATTGTACCCGGAGTATGCACCCAAAGCTGTGTGGAACTTCTTCCAACTGGCTAAGAAGGGATATTACAACGACGTTACTTTCCATCGGAACATTAAAGGGTTTATGATCCAGGGCGGAGATCCAACAGGCACTGGCCGGGGAGGCCAGAGTGTCTGGGGCAAGTACTTTGCCGACGAATTCGAAGGACCATTGAAGCACGACGCGAGGGGTACTATTAGCATGGCAAACAAGGGGAAAAATACGAATAGCAGCCAATTGTGAGTTTGTATCTACCCTCTCTTTTCAGATATTGCCACGTTGTTAGGGTCTAACTTATCCCTCCTCTCTCTGTCTTCGCAGCTTCATTGCTTACCGCGCACTACCTCATCTCAACAACAAACATACCATTTTTGGACGTCTGATCGACGATCCCACTCCATCATCTACCACGCTGAATAAACTTGAAACACACCCTGTCGACCCAAACACCAATCGACCTGACCCTGAAATCCGCATCAAAGAAGTGACGATATTTGTGGATCCTTTTGAAGATTTTCTGGAGAAAAAACGCCGGGAAGACGCAACGGCAAGGGGCAAGACTGCAGGCGCAGAAGACGAGAAGGACACCGACTCTCGGCGAGCCGAGGACGACCACGTCACTTGGACAGGGAAGAGAGTTCGTGGTGCCGGCGCTACGGCAGCTGGGGGAAGCTCCGGGGCCGATGGAGTAGGCAAGTACTTGAAAGCCGCACTTGCAGAGCGTGCAGGCCAGGAGGAAGATGAGATTATCGAGTATGTGGACGAGGAGCCGGCACCAGAGCCCGCACGGAAGAAGGCTAGGGGGACGGGTGGATTCGGCGATTTCAGCTCCTGGTGACGGACTATGTTTTGTTCTTGGTCCTGCTTGCTTTTTCTCCTGCTTTCGCATGACTGGAAGAAGCTGGGTTTGTTGGGCTGCATTGCATTGACGACTCTCGATGCCTGTGGAACGGGCTGTTGTATATACCATACCACTACGCAGTTAACCTGGATTCTGGATAGGCATTTCAAATGCACGGTAGGGGCCTACTGGAGCCTATTCTGCATTGTAGGCAGCGAAACCTTGTAGACAAAGATGAGACGGACTTTGAAAATGCTCTGATAATCCCGCGTTGACGGAGGCTGTCGTCTTACGCGCTGCTGCTGTCTCGTTCTCATTCTCTCTTCCTTTCACTCTTCTTTTCTCTCCTTACTCGCTTCTTCCAGACACTGAATGCAGTCAATCGCTCCTCATCCTTTCTGTTCTGACCGGACGCTTTTTGGGTCTTCCAGTGGCGGTTCTCCCACACCAGGCATCGATCGGCCCCCTTCCCTGACTAAGAGATCTACATCCGAGACCTGATATTACTGTTACTACGTATACGTCGGCGTGAGAAGAGTTGCTCCCCTCGCATCACTTTGTCCGCAACTCGTCGCTCGAATCTGTCCTTCTGTCTTTCCACCACGCTCTCCATCGCCGGCAAATCTCCCAGGTTAGTCATTCTGTTCTCGGGTCCCTCTCCCGCATCTGTTTTGTATACCCACGGGTTTGTGTGCCTTATTCTGCCTTCTGGGTGAGTGGGGTTGACCAGAGAGAGGCGAGGGAGCATAGAACCGAGACATTGCTCTGCGGCGATACCTCATTGCGCTCTGTTTCTCCGTTTTGGCTCTATTTCCGTTCTGCACTGTCTGTCCTTTGTTCTGTTTCCTTCTGTTCCTTGCTTCTCCTTCTTTATAGCCTGGGGTCGCGTTCTGCCTGTACGCTGTACTACCTCGCTGTTTCGGAGCTTATTATGTGATCTCCGGTTGGATTGACTCCAGCAATGATGATGTCCGGTGGTATCGCGCTGGCCTGTACTTTGTCTCGTGCTTCAAAATGCTTCGTTTTACAGGTTTTCGGGTTTCGGAGGCAGACGTTGATATCCTCAGTCACTGACGCCCTCTGTGCTCAGCTTCATTCCACGGCCGTTCCCTACTTCTCGCGCCCTTAGATCCCTCGACGCCCCCCTCCAATCTCTCCCGTCGCAATCCCTCTTCGTTCCGGTACATTTACCCCCTCACTACACTATACTTTCAAAGCGCTTGTCAACAATCAAGCTGGCCGGAAATAAGCGGTTAAGTTTTTCAAGCCAGGGTGGGTTGCTGAACAGAATGTTCAGTGCCTCCTCCAGCCCACCAAAAGAGAAATCCGACCCGCTTCCATCTTCCAACACTGAAACGTCGTCGTCGGCCCCGCAAACCGAGACCGCAGACGCTGACCCCGTTCGCGAAAGGAAGTTCTCTTCAACCAGTCTCTTCGGCAGGAGGTCGAGCGAGGACCAGAGTTCCGGCGGCGAAAGGAAGCGCAGGAGTAGCACCGTCACCAAAGCGGCAACACTCTTTAACAACGCTAAGAACTCATTTAACATAAACAGAGACCCGCAGAGAGCGTCCCGGGTTCTGGAACCCCAGCTGGAAGGGCTTGAGACGATGGACCCTGCGTTGTCCGTCCCGCAAGGGTCATTGAACAACTCAGCCGGCGAGTCCTTACCCACTCCTCGCTCGTCGTTCCGCGTAGGTGTTGCGGAGGACAGAAATCGAAAATGGCGGAGGACCATGGAGGATACCCATTCCTACCTCTACAACTTCTTGGGAACTCCCTCTCCAGGCCTCAATCTCCAGACATCTTCTGTCAACGGAAAAGACTCTGTGGGCCCGCTTGATACATCTTCCGGGAATAACACTGACGTCGTCGAAACCGACAACGGGTACTTTGCAATCTTCGATGGGCATGCCGGTACCTTTGCTGCCGAATGGTGTGGCAAGAAATTACATCTTGTCCTTGAGGACATCATGCGAAAGAATCCCAATCTCCCAGTCCCAGAGCTACTGGATCAAACGTTCACCAGTGTTGACCAGCAATTGGAGAAACTACCCGTCAAAAACAGTGGATGCACAGCCGTCATCGCTCTTCTAAGATGGGAAGACAGAGTGCCGAACTCTCAGTCCGCGACTGGTTCAATCGCTCTTGCACCTGCTGCCGCAGCTGCTGCGGCCTCGAAAGACGGGGGGGATCCGGAATCCGGGGATGCACACGCCCAGACCCTTCCCAAACTACAACAGAAGGCTATTCGGCAGCGTGTTCTTTATACTGCCAACGTCGGCGATGCCCGCATCGTATTAAGTCGTAACGGCAAGGCACTCCGTTTGTCTTATGATCATAAAGGCAGCGACGAGAACGAAGGGAAGAGGATAGCCAATGCAGGAGGGCTAATTCTCAACAATCGAGTGAACGGAGTTCTAGCGGTGACCAGGGCCTTGGGGGATGCCTATTTAAAAGATCTTGTTACTGGCCATCCGTATACTACAGAGACGGTCGTCCAGCCTGCCGTTGATGAGTTTATAATCATGGCCTGTGACGGGGTACGTCTTCTCTCTCTCTCTCTCTCTTTCTGTTCCCTTTTGTTTGAAATAAAAAAGAAATCTAACATCCGAAACTGACGCATAAATATAGCTTTGGGACGTCTGCAGTGACCAAGAAGCGGTAGATCTTATTCGCAACGTACAAGATGCCCAGGAAGCCTCCAAGATCCTTGTTGATCATGCTCTCGCGCGTTTCAGCACCGATAATTTATCTTGCATGGTCATCCGATTTGACGGGGAGCGCCTGAAAGAAGTTATCGACCGAGTAGTCGAACCTCTCGGCGTGCATGGTGACCCATCTACAGACCTTACAAACGGCGTTAGTGAGGCCGACAAGATAGTTGAAGGCGCTAGGAAGAGCATGGTCAACGCAGGGATAATGGACAAACCCGAAACAGTCGAGGAGGCCCGCAAGAAGATAATACAAAAGATGGCCGAGGAGTCTGGCCCTGAGCTGGCCATTAACGATCAGAACAAACCCGAAGTCGACGATAAAACCACCACAGATAAATGACAGGAATGGCATCCGGCAGGATTTGAGTCGTTTCCGTTTCACATTAAACAAGATAGATAGAAAAATGATCTTTCCCCCCCTTTTTTTACTTTTTATGCTTTTTGAAATTGTGTTCGTTAGCTGGATGGGATAATGGAGTTTGTTTGTCTGATTTCTCTTGTCTTGTCTCATGTTTTGCTGATGTTGGCCATGATGCTTTGTCTTGTTACTGTGGAGGATTTTTGTCCTTGCCCTCTTGATTCAGATTTGAATTATTATCATTATCCTTCTCTTCACTCTCTCGCTCCGCCAATTCCCTGGTTATTCTGGGGCCTCATCTGGATTAACTGACGTTCTGTGTACTTTCTTTTTTCTTTTTTATGCTCTTTTCTCTTTTGCTTATAGCTTCATGTAAGTACTTGATGCGGTTCGCATGTTCCGTTCCATCATGTTCGGGACAAAAGTGAGGCTCTTCTGTTCCTCGTGAACTTGAATTGAAGGGTGGTTCGCCTTTTGAAGGCCTTTTCTCTTGCATGTCTGGGTATGAGGATGCTATTATCCACCTTGTTTAATTATATTATAGCAACGATATACAGACAACTTATCGTTAGCTTTATTTATTGCTCATTCTCGTGTCTATCCTTATTTTTTATGGATGCGAAAGCGCCGAAAATGTAATCTTGTTTAATAGAGTAGGTACTATAATACAATCTGTTGCTCCGGGGGCGATATCGAAACATGGCTCTTTTTCATCTTGTTTTTCTGTTCAGTTCACGGCCTCAGGATCTTTCTTCTCATCCTTCTCCTTCTCTTTCTCCTTGAATTCGTCATTCGCTAGCGTCTGCAGACCGTAAAGAAGATGTTTCTGTCCCGCCATGACATGGTCCCGGGCCAGTCTGAGTTCACCATGAGTGACTCGGTCCGGCCAGGACTCGGCGTACTCAGCATCGCGGATGTCGCCCCAAAGGACCTTGACCTGGTCACCTTCCAAGTGGTATTCACTGTTGGGGTCTTCCTTGGGTTCCTGGATCTTGAATTCGATCTGTTTGTTGGGAATGAACTCTGGGGCATTCAGTACTTCCTTCTCGAATTCACTAATCTGCGTCGCATTTCTCTCGGCCAGTTCCTGCTCCTTCTCTCGGGCCTCCCTACGACGCCTCCTTGCGGTGCGGGTAAGGTATCCTCGCTTGCCGTCCGCGAAGCCGTTCTTGATCTCCTCCTCCTGGATGGCGAGCACGGCAGCAATATCAGCAACACTGGTAGCCTTCTGATCCATGACGGCACGAGCACGCCACTCCTTGGGCATCAACTGGCCGACTTTTTCGGAGTATTTTTCGTCGAATTTCTTGGCATCATCGGGATCCCTCGGTCGCTTTCTATCCAGCAATTCCTTCGTGATGGTGATCATTTCCCGCGGCGGTGCCAGTTGGCGCTGCATGGAGAATTCGCGGAGGAGATGGTATGCGCGGAGGCCGACCTTGGAGTCGTTGAAGTGCACCGAGAAGTAGGGAACCCACATGTCCTTCCGGAGGGTTGCGGGGACGGTTTTCTTGCCGTGGAATATTAATTGGCGGAGGACGCTGTTTTTCTATCTTTTTTTTCAGCACGGGCGAAATCAGAAAGAGCAAAAGGTCTCTCCATGACTCACCTCTAGGTATCGAGTCAACGAGTATACCACCTGGTTCGTGCGGATATTGTGGTAGACGAAGATATTCTTGCCGTGCGTCAGGGCCTTCAAGGCCCTCCGTAACCTCACTCCCTCCTTTAACTGATATTGCTTGAAGGCATCGGAATTGGCCGCTCGAACGGCTCCCTGGATCACGGTTTCACTATCAATCGGCGGACGTCGAACGATATTCCAAGTCCCGAGCTTGGTTGGGTCCAGGATTTTCCGGACAACCTGAGTATTGGAGGCCATTGCGGCCGGGGACGGGCTCCTGTCTGTGCCTTTGTGTTCGTTCCGGAGTCCCTTTGCTGTCTGAGATGAATCAAACAGGAGAGAATGCCCCTAATGCGGTGCTGGAAGTGGTGTAGGCCAGGAACGGGAGGAAAGTTGAATTGGAAGCTCGGATCAATTTCTGACGGCGTTGGCTTTGTCCGATCCAGACAGGCTGATAGCAGCACGCCTCCCGTCCCGTCAGTAAATAGTAAATAACCCACCTGCATCATCCTGCCCAGCACACGACAATTGCTAGGCCTGTCTTCCTTCATCTGCTGACGGGGGTATGATGACTGCATGTCTAGACGGCGACAGCTAAGCTCTGCTGGCAATGTCGCTCTCCGACGTCGCCGCGGACCTCGATGCTGCTGGGTATCGCCGCGACAGACCATGGCTCCTTGCATCGGTAAGCCACCTACATATGACTGTCTTTTCTTCTGTGGACATCGTGCGGACACGGTGCTGATGCATCTCATACGATAGAACCGCAAGCTACGACATCTACACGGTGTATCGGTCCGCAACGTAGTCGTCGTCAACTCGAGCAGCAGCAGCAGCAGCAGCACACGACCGCGTGGTAAGACTATTGATGACGACGAAATCCCGAATACTCTACAGTCTCCGTCGAAGATTCTGTCGCTCAGTGAAAAGCATGCTGTGCATCATTCGCGGTCCTACACGGATCTCCCCAGGGTGAATGGTGGGAGCCACGAGAATCGGAAGCTTGAACGCCAGGGATCACGTCGCAGAAGAAGCACACTGCCTTGGAACGACCCTAACCCACACAGCAGACAGATTAAGCTGGAGGAAATCACAAAAAGTAGAATGGCAGACGCCTGGTTCTCTATCCATTGCGACGGTATCGAGTCTCCGGTCTATGTCAGCGAAGTCGTGGAGAAGTCCACGAACCCCAGCTTCCGATCCTTTGATGTGAATATGTGCGGGCCATTGGTATCCAGGCTGGACCATTTCACATTGAAGCTGTGGGCAAAAGCTGCTACGATGAACGAGTACGTGCTGTTGGTAGAGCTACAGCTATACCTGCAGTCGCTGCAGTTCCTGGGCAAATCGCTGGACAATTTTCATCACCCGTTACCGATAAATTGCATACTGTTTCATTTCTCAGATGGTGTGTACACCAATTTGACCGATCTCCCCCCGGTTTGGGCTCCGCCGTCTATCGAAGACCTGAAGTCCACGTCTCTTCGCGATGGTGCCCTGCCCACGTCGTCGTATGATGCGCTGATGCGTCTGGCGAATTTGGATGAGTGCGTTCAAGACGCCCTTGCGACGCGGGAGAGGTTGGAGTCGCAGATAAAGTCAATCCTTGAGAAAAACCGGCAAGCGCTAGACACTATCAGCTGTGTTTCTCGAGCACGGGATAAGCTGTCGCTCGCCAAACATGCCGTCATGGTCCAGAAGAAACAACTCCGTGCTACGGTCCGGCATAAAGAGGGGCTTTTGGCCAGCCTCCGGGCAAGGAAGGAAGCTATGGAACGTGGCCGTCTTACGCAGGAAAAGGCCCGTAGCCACCTCCCCGATGCGCGGTCGAAGCTGGCCTCAAGCGCAAAGCTGTTAGAGAAGGCCACGGAAGACTCCCGGGGTCAACTCCGGCGCATTTCTGAAGACCTGCTCGCCATCTACCCCATCGAGCCGATTCCCGGCAAGCCACTGGCCTTCACTATTACCGGCCTTGCTCTACCAAATTCTACGTTTACTGACATTGACCGTGACTCGGTTGCCGCCGCCGTTGGGTACACTGCACACTTGGTCTACTTGCTGTCGTTGTATCTATCCGTTCCCCTTCCATATCCCATTAGCCCTTATCTTTCGAATTCATCGATACAAGACCCCATTTCTCTTTCGTTGCCGCAGAGGACCTATCCTCTCTACCCGGTGAACGCCAGCTATAGATTCGAGTACGGCGTGTTCCTCCTCAACAAGGACATCGAGTTTCTGATGAGCAAGCAAGGACTTCGAATTCTTGACATCCGCCACACCCTTCCCAACTTGAAGTATCTTCTGTACGTCCTCACTGCAGGTTCGTCCGAAATTCCCGCCAGAAAGGCCGGTGGGATTCGCGGACTCTTTCCCGGTCGCCTGACGCCCGGCGTATCGCGACGCGGAAGCGAAGATAGCGTGGAATCGGTCTATTCCAGGAAAGTGGTAGGGTTCAATACCAAACCCAACGATGGTACCGCCACTGTGGACAAGGGGAAGAGGCCGGAAACTCCGTTGGATGCTACCAGTTACGCCCGGGCTCCCTCTTCGTCCCGCGTGGCTTGAGATAGACGGATTGGATTACCTTGGGAGCCAGCTGTACGATGGTTGTATGCTCTGGAAATTTTACTCATTCAGGATGGCGTTGTGGCGCCCACTATATCTTTGCATAACCGCAGAATACCTGATTAATGAAGGCCATGTTTCTTTTCTCTGATCTGGGCGTTGACGTTTCCACCGTACATGATTGGCTCTGGCCGTAAGCTATGGCCTGCAGATATCTCTGAGAGCGATAAAGATTGACAACAGCGTAGCATCGCCGGACCCCTGTGTCGCTGGGGGCATCATCTGCTTCCAGGAGCGCCGTAGGACCCTGATCGACAGGCGTGTTCTGTTCGTGAAGCAGGGCCGTTTGACGCGGCGCGGGAGACGTTCAGACGCTCTGAGCGACGAGTCCAGGCAGGATCCAGCAGCGCGATTCACGCTTCTACCCCGCATTGCAGCGTATTATTATCCTTTATCTTATATCATATCCATATTTATTATACCTCGAGGGCTTCTGGAAGACTGCCGTGGTCTTCGATCCATCCTGTGTGGACTGACTTCCCCCGACGCGTCAGCGAAAGAACGAGTAGAGCAATAAAGAACAGAAGGAAAAGCAAAAGAATTCACCGGAGCGATTATCGCTTGTCTTTTGTCTCTCTGCTATATTACTATCTTGCTACTTTTCTTTGCTCCTGAAGAAGATCGTACTAAACGGCGCGACGACCGCTTTCTGGCGGCCGTTTTCCTCGCTTTGCATCGGCTGCCGCTTATTATTACCCACACGCCGATCGAAGCCATCGTCGTCCTTCAGGCTATCATGGCCGCAAGTCACCATCACGACGGCTCTGCCTTTGCTTCGAACGGCCAAGAGCAGTATCGGCAACTGCAGCATCCCCCTTCTCCCAAACCCCAGCATCGCCGTGGCTATCAGGCCTGCGATCCCTGCCGAAAGCGAAAGGTCAAGTGTGACCTTGGGAGTAAGTTTATGCATCCTTTGGGTCTTTTTCTCTTTTCGGAATACAGATATCTACTCTATTTCTCTTCTCTATGTGGCTAATCGGGAGGAATTAGGTGTTGATAATCCCCGCCCTCCTCCATGTGTACGATGCCGTCGAGAAAGCAAGCGATGCGAATTCTCCGCGACGAGACGCAAGAGAAAACCATCCGGGGCAGGTGACGATGTGGCTGACGGTGTTCTTCGACGTGATAAGCGGATGATGGTTGGGGAGGTGGTGTCATCAAATGACTCCCCCAGCGATACCTCGTCGTATTCCCACCAGCAGGATCTGAGCGCGTTCGACGGCAGCACCAACAGCCACAACAGCAGCAGCAACAGGAATGATCAATATCCTTCCGGAGCCCTATCACGTCAGAAATGGCCCGAAGACTCGTCTACGACCGGTGACCAGTTACACAGCAATCAAAGATACACAGCTGGTGCACCGACATCATCTCAGGCCAAGGACGCAAGGAATCCTCCACTTCCAATGTACCCGGTTGGCGAGCGAAGGACGGGCATGGCGACCAGCTTCAACTTCAAAGGCGGGCAGCCGATGATGAACCGGACCGCTGTGGAATTGCTGTCGCCTGCGATAAGCAACAGCCATGATGCGCTTCATCTCTTGTCCGAAGCGGCCGGCAGGACAGAGGACTTGAATCGGCAAAGCCTCGAAAACCGCCATGCCGGTAGGCGATCGACTTCATCCTTCAACTCCCCTATTTCACCTCTGGCACACACTGCCACGCCCCGAAGCATTGGCGAGTCACTCTCCCGAGCCCCTAGATCGGGAACTGTGTCCGGGGGGAACTACTATCAGGATGGTGGATCGGGCTCGGTTGAGGCACAATTCCCGGATGCTCGTGCTCGAACGGGCAGCTCTTCCAGCTTCCAAGATCCCGTACATGCCGACGCCGTCAAAGTATGGTCCCGATTACGATTTGTTCGCGCCGGTTGGCTTACTGTGGAAGAAGCGATGGCTTATGTGGCATAGTAAGTGTGCCAAAACGTCCAGGTTCTACCTGTCTGTTCCATTCTTGTTCTTGTTCATTGATGGAAGCTAGCTACTACGAACACCTCGCGCCATTGAGTCCAATTGTCATCCCAGACTTCTCGCATCCGTCTACCCATCGTACCCTGTTGGCAGATGAGCCTGTCCTGGCTGTCACGATACTGACGACGGCGTCCAGGCATATGAAACCTAAAGGGGATGGAGCGTATACGCGTGCCTTCTACATTCATGACAGGCTTTGGTCCTACCTCCGAGGCATGGTTGAGCGCGTATTCTGGGGTCAGGAAAAGTTTGGAGGCAGCGGTGCGGGCATTAGCAGACCAAGGTCGCTCGATATTGTCGGGAAATTCAACTCGAAGGGGAGTCTGAGATCACTCGGCACTGTCGAGGCACTGCTAATCCTCACGGATTGGCATCCAAGGAATCTCCACTTCCCTCCTGGCGATGACGAAAATGCCCTCCTGGATATGGATGCTCACACCCTCGCCCATGATGGCGAGCACACGGGGAGCCGGTCTTCAAGCAGTACCGTGGAGGGGCGACTTGCATTCCAGAAATGGCTGGAACCTGCATGGCGCTCAGACCGGATGTCGTGGATGTTACTGAGCACGGCCCAGGCGCTGGCATTTGAGCTGGGTGTTTTCGATCAGAAGAACGACTTTCGCACAGCCAACGAATCCCCATCGGAGCAGAAGCGGAAACGTCGACTCCGTCGTCTGATCCTTGTATATGTGACACAGAGCAGTGGCCGGCTGGGCATTCCATCAATGCTCCCTTTGCCGCAGTGGGGGAACCACGATACGCTGACTCCCTTGGTGGATAAAAAAGACGACGATGATGCCACGGTTGATGCAATGCATGATTGTTGGATTGGAATCTCTAAAATCATGTATCAGAGTAACCAACTGTTATTTGCGTCGATGGATCAGACATCAGAGCTGATCAGGACTGGCCGTTATCGTGAACAGATTGACAGGTTCATCCCGTTCCTGAAGGACTTTCGAAGGAGCCTGGACAATATCGATTGTAAGTCCTTGTTTCTTTCTTTTCTTTTCTTTGTCTTTGTCGTGTTGACTGACTTATGAAAAGTGGCCGCTGCTATGCGGCATATATTGGTGATTGAATATGAGTATACTCGTAAGACAAAGCCTAGCCTTTCGCTAGACATGCAAACAAATTCTGACAGTTTTTCCAAGGGTTGTATATCAATTCTCTGGCACTTCAGGCCGTGGTCGACCGGTGGACGACTATGGCACACGAGGCGGCTACGGGGCAGACTCAGCAAGGGAAACCCAATACCGGTAGCGGCTGGTTTCGAACGTTGATGGAACTGTATCGGGTCAATGAGCCATACATACAGGAGGTAGTGGATGCATCGCGCCGGATTCTGACGACGGTGTTGGAAGGGCTGGTCCCAGGGGATCATCTACAGCACGCTCCCGTTCGAACATGTTTTAGAATCCTTTCCGGCATGATTTTCATCCTTAAGGTGGGGCGCTCATTTCCTGAGAGGCAGTTGCCGCTTGAGAGTGTTTTTTTTAAACATTTCATGCGCTGACTTTACCGTGTAGACCTTTACACTGGGCGCGAAGGAGGACGATGTGCGTGTTTCCTTAGATCTGCAGGACAGAACGGTCGAAGCGCTGCGGACTTGCGTGGTAGACGATGTCCATATTAGCCATACCATCGCTCGGTTATTAGAGCTACTTACGACCAGTATCCGCACGCGGTTCTTGCGGTTTGCTCCCCTGGACCGCGCAGGTGACGGCGATGGGACGTTGGGGCCGGAGTCCAGGAATCAGTCTCCGCAGGTAAACGACGGTGGCCGTCGTGAAGCTTCCAACCAGCAGTGGCCGCCGGCATCGAGCGCAACGCAGACAGCACACAACCTCACTAGCTACGTGGATGGGGTGAGAGATGCGACGACGGGCATGGGAACTGGCACTGGAACTGCGCGGGATCCGCTCGCCAGTATTCCTGCGCAGCCGATCAACTCAACTAATATCAACGTCTCTTTCATGCCGCCTCCCCCGTCGGTATACTACAACTACTCCGACCCCAACTCGACGCCTCCAGCGGGAGATCTCGAGGGATCCAACGTCGCAGCACAATCAGTGGCCGATCACGCCAGCGGCGGACTTCCAGATTGGTTTGCACTTCCGCTAGATCAGTTCTTTAATAGCTCGACGGCGGTGGTGGACCAGGGACTAGGTGGGACTGGGCCGATGGTGGGAGAATTCGACATGCTGGAGGTTCTGCTGAACGAGCAATATGACGGGACGGGAGATGTGGTGTGACTCGGGGAGTAACCATGGTCTGACCCAATATCTATGATGAAGGGACATGTGAAACCACTACTGTGTATGACTACTCTTGTTTCCTGTCTTTTTTTTTTTTTTTTTTTCCCTACTGAATACCCCGACCGTAAGCGCAGCAGATTGGCTCTGTCATTTCCTTCCTTTTTCTTCCTATCTACCCTGGTCCCCTTCAAACGTATGACTTGCAGCAACGGATGACTTCTAGAAGCATGTCTGCACAAAGGCAAAATGCCTCGAGGTCTGCGGACCGTGCCGGGCACACGATACAACCCTAAGCACAGAAAAAAGAGCCGATTGCACAAGTGAAACAGTAGGGGCTCTCGAAAGACACGGGCACAGTGTGGAGAAACAGAAACACACCGTGTGCAGCGTAGCGTAGGGCTGGATGCTACATCAGAAGAAGCAGAATCGAAGCAGCTCAGAAACATTGGCTGCGTCCACGCACCATCGTCGTCACGGACATGGAAGATAGGCATTCTGCAGGGAAGATCGCCTGCGGCCTCCGAGAGTTTAAGCTTCCTTGCGCCTCCGGTTTGCAGTTTCACCATCGATGGTCTTGCAGAGCAGGAATCGCGCTGGATGGCTCTCCGTGAAACACATGTAATATGTACTCGGAGGACCGCCGGGGAGAATGACGATGATGGAGATGAGGGGAGTTGGTTCCTCTTCTGCGTCCACACGGACTCCGGAAATGCTCAGCCAAGGTTGCATTAATACTTGGCGATGGTGATGCTCTGTCCAATCCACGCGGGAAAGCATCGACAAGAACGCGATCGCGGTCGCGGGCGCAGAGACCCATCGCCATCGACGATCACCAGCTAGGCTGGGCATTTGCCCTTCAGAAGTGTAAGTTGTCCTTGCAGATGACGATCACAGCGTCTATCCACTGCCAAACGGGCGTCTTTCGGCGATAACTGGCGGTGCACCGGGTGCTCCTGCATACTCCTGAGATCTCCCAATCACCCCATACTGTGCGATACTGAGGCTTGTGCCGAATGCTTGCTAATGCTTGCTCATCTCTTGTCCCATCAAGCAATCACCCACCCGCTGCTTGGCGCACCAGGGCCTGCGACAGGGCGTTGTTCAAGCACCATAGAGGCCTTCTCCATCGCCAGTCCGTCGGTCTTGAGCTTCTTGGACGAGGATCTGCATGGGGAACTTCCTGAGGGAGAGTGTCTCCTTTCTTGGACAGTTGCAGTGCGAATTTAGTGCAGCGTTGATGTTATCTCTGATGAAGGATCATCGCCGTGGGTGGACGACGACGGATGGAGTCGTTGTTAGACTGTCCAAACTTTGGGCTGCGCAGTCGACGAGCCCGAAAAACTACTTAAGTACTGCTATTGCTCGTCTTTTTTGTGCTTCCATTATCCCTTCGAATCATCCAATTCAGCCGGTCGGGTCGAAGTCCTTTGTTCCCTCCCTTGTCCTACTCAATCAAGCTCTCTTTTGTATATACAGGCTACGCTGTTCCCTCCCTTGTCCTACTCAATCAAGCTCTCTTTTGTATATACAGGCTACGCGCCGCTTCTTTTTCTTCTTCTTCTTCTTCTTCTCTCGGCTCTGACTTTACGGAGCTCGTCCATCGCCAATTGACTTGGTTCTACCGTCTACGTTCCTTTCATCCACGCGAAAATGGTCGTCTTCAGCAAGATCACCGCCGTTGCGGCCGGTTTCTCCACTCTGGCTGCGGCAATGCCCACGCTGAACCGTCCCAATGTCAAGTCGTTCAGTCTCAGCCAGTCTGCCATTCCTCGCCAGCAGAAGAATTTCAACTTTGCTGCGACCTACGCGAAGACTCTGGCCAAGTATGGCGGCCAGATCCCTGCGTCTCTCAAGGCTGCCGCCGAGAAAGGAAGTGTCAACACTTACCCTGAACCCCAGGACGCCGAGTACCTCACTGCTGTCGACGTCGGTGGCACTACCTTGAACCTGGACTTTGACACTGGCTCGGCTGATCTGTGAGTTGTTCTTCTTTTCCGTTCTGTCCGTGTATCAATACTTGCGCTGACGGCGATATCATCCAGCTGGGTCTTCTCTGCCGAGCTTCCCTCCAGCGAGCAGTCTGGCCATGCTATCTACAAGCCATCCGGCAATGCCACCAAAATGAGCGGATACTCGTGGAGTATCTCCTACGGTGATGGTAGCTCCGCCAGTGGTGATGTCTACAAGGACACCGTCACTGTCGCTGGCATTACGGCCCCCCGGCAGGCTGTTGAGGCTGCCAGCACGATCAGCTCGGAATTCACCCAGAACAAGAACAACGACGGTCTGTTGGGTCTGGCTTTCAGCTCCATCAACACCGGTGAGTTGTTCTTCGGTTCTCCTGTTCCTGTGTCTTCATATTAACGTGAAATTCCTCTCGCAGTCCAGCCTAAGGCCCAGACCACCTGGTTCGACACCGTCAAGGAGGATCTGGATTCCCCTCTTTTCGCAGTGGCTCTGAAGCACAATGCCCCCGGCACCTTTGACTTTGGCTACGTCGACAAGTCCAAGTACACTGGTTCTCTCACCTACGCCGACGTGGACAACTCCCAGGGCTTCTGGCAATTCACCGCCGATAGCTATTCTGTTGGCTCCCAGAGCGGCTCTGAGTCCATTGTTGGCATTGCTGGTATGTTGTGATTCCAACAACCAATATATTAGAAAGGATGGTTCTGACATGCTCCCACAAGACACTGGTACCACCCTCCTCCTCCTCCCCGACGATGTCGTCGAAGCCTACTACAAGCAGGTCGAGGGAGCCGAGAACGACTCCCAGGCTGGCGGCTACGTCTTCCCCTGCGACTCTCAACTCCCCAGCTTCACCGCGGTCATCAACGGCTACTCCGCCGTTGTCCCCGGCAGCCTGATCAACTACGCCTCGGCTGGCGACGGTTCGAACAACTGCCTCGGCGGCATTCAGTCCGACCAGGGCATCGGCCAGGCCATCTTCGGCGACATCTTCCTCAAGAGCCAGTACGTTGTGTTTGACGCTGATGGTCCCAGACTCGGATTTGCCCCTCAGGCATAAGTGTAAGGTGAGCGGATCGAGAAGGGGAAGCAAGAATGGGTTTATTTTTGTTTTCATCCTTTTCCTGACCTGTCATATCTCGGGGGTTGACCTCCTGTACTTACTACCATGTGTGCATCTTTTCTCTGTGCATGTTGTGTTCTTCTCTTCTTCCATCTCTACTTGATTGTCTTCAGACAGACATCTGATCATAGCGTCAATGTCGTATTTATTTTTGCTTCTTTCTAGCTTTTAGAATCTTACGGCCTCCGATCTCGTGTATTCTATGGGAAATGAGAGAAGGAATGTAACAATTGTCTCTATCCACTACCTAGCTATCTTAAGATGCCCATATGCATTGTAGAGTAATGAGACTGATGGAATGACGTGGTATCAGACTGGTCTTTTGCATGTAGTGTTTCAGCGATCAGTGGATATAATGATAGAGTTACGCCGAGGGATTAAGCTGCATGCCCAGAACAACTGGAGGATGGTGGTACATTGTGGCGCATTAGAGTTGCGGAGATTATAATGATGAACATTGCAGTAATTGCCTGCTACCTTCCTAGGTAGAGTACATACTGCTCTACGGTAGCAATCAATATCAATTTGTACTGAAAATAAATATCGATATCAATTCTGCGGATTGCCAGAAGTTGATGGTCTTGTATGGTAATGTAACGTAATATACTGTAATGTAATACAGTGTATGGTGCATTGTAACGTACTTACAGTACCGCCAGGCGTCAACTGGTAACCTTTTATATTGGTTTATATTGGTTTATATTTATTGCCTTCGATGGCGTTCTCGCAGTATTTATTACTTTTCGATATTATTATAGTATTCGCACGAGATTATGACTATATGACTATCTTCTAGCTGCCGTTATGTCTTCTCCCTAAGATTCCAAAAAGCAGTTGGGAACACCTGCGAGCCAGGACTTCACCTCACTCCTTCAGACGACTACGACTACGACTACGACTACAACTACAACCACAACTACGACTACAGAATACTACATTACTACGGAGTACACTCCCTTTATCTCTCTGCCTGTGGTCCCTTTGTCGCGTCTTTTGTCTCCTCTCCTTAGTGTTTCCTTGCTTGTATTATTATTTTGCCCGAGAATCACAGCCGATTTGATTTGTCTCTTTGCCCTTCCTGTCTGTCTATCTATCACTTTTCCTTCCCTTTCGCCCCTCGCAAACCAGTTGTTTTTTTGATCAGTAAGAAATTTCCGCCATCGCCTCGGAATGAAGGTGAGCTTCTGTCGATATGTGTTATTATTTCCTGCATAATTAACCCGCGTTGAAGGCCATCCGGCGCTCTCTCAAGGGGGAGAAAGACCACGCCTCCAGACCCCACCATATCTCGGTCACTCCCAAGTCGGCCATTGCCATTCTCCCGCCGAAAAAAGTAAGTTTCTTTTCTTTGCTCATCTCGCGTTCCATCTCCTTCATTGGTATTTATTATCATTATCCCCTCGTGCCCACCTTCGTTTCGTTACTGCATCCCCTTTGTCGACCCCCCTCTCTCCTGGATCCACTATCCTGGCGTCCCCTGTCTAGCCAACTACTAACCCCTGTCCGAACCACCCCTCGTAGGTCATCAAAGCCCTCTACGACTACCAACCCGATCCCGGAGACTTGCACGAGCTCGCCTTCAGCAAGGGCGACTTCTTCCACGTGGTCGCTAGGGAAAACGATTCGGATTGGTACGAAGCCTGCAACCCGCTCATTCCCAGCTGCAGGGGCCTGGTACCTGTGTCCTTCTTCGAGGTCCTCGGCAAGCACGAACGTGGCAGCAGCGGCGGCTCCATCGAATTAGGCCACATCAAAAAGGCCTCCCACGACTCGGGCTTTTCCGACTCCGCAACCAACACTACAAAGCACGCCGCGCAGGCCAGGATGTCGTCGCTCGGCAAATCCTCCGGCGCCATGGTGTACGGCGTCGTCCAGTACGATTTCAAGGCGGAACGCGCTGATGAATTGGAAGCGAAAGCCGGCGAGGCCATCATCGTTATCGCCCAGTCCAACCCGGAATGGTTCGTCGCAAAGCCCATCGGTCGCCTCGGTGGCCCCGGCCTCATTCCCGTGTCGTTCATCGAGCTCAAGGACATGCAGACCGGCCAGCCCGTGACGGACCCCCTAGAGGCGGTGCGCCGCGCCGGTGTGCCAAAGGTCGAGGAATGGAAGAAGATGACCGCCGAGTACAAGAACAGCAGTATCAGTTTGGGGAAGATCGACTCTTCCGCCAGCAGCGGCGTTCAGTCCATCACGTCCGGCGTCGACAAGATGTCTGTGCACAGTCGCCAGAGCACAAATACTCTGTCCGGTGTGAATGGCTACCACCAGCGTAATGCCAGCAAGGCAACCGTCACACACTCCATGCCTCCGCCGTCGCGGAGTGACGCCCAGTACCTTCCGGCGCCCGTTCAGGCCTACATCCCCCGCTACTGTTTCGACAATGACAAGTACTGGTATCTCGTCGAGGCAAAGATGGAGGATGGCCGCTGCTGGGAGCTGGCCAGATACTATCACGACTTTTATGATTTCCAGATCGCCCTCTTGACCCAATTCGAGGAGGAAGCCGGCAACAGAGGCAAACCGCGCACCTTGCCCTTTATGCCCGGGCCCGTGACGCATGTCACCGACTCCATCGCCAATGGCCGGCGAGTGACCTTGGACGAGTACATCAAGAAGATCTTGGCCATGCCTCCTCACATCTCGCGCTGTCAGTTGGTCCGTGCGCTCTTTGCGCCGCGCCCAGGAGACTTTGAAATCGACCCGGACATGTTTGGAGAAGATGCCCGGTACTCCGCAGGCTCCCATCACTCTTCCAGCAGTGCTTCTCGCCAGTCATCGCAGGTGTATACGAATGGCCCGGCTGATCACCAGTCACATCAGCGAATGCCACAGTCTGTATCCCTCACAAATGGAGGAGTACCTTCGCGGGCCGATCTGCAGATGCAGATGATGAACCGGCAGCCCAGCTCTCTCACTTCGCTCACCCAGGTGTCTACGACGTCGAGCACCGGGGCGATGAAGGTCAAGGTGTTTTTCCAGGATGATTTGATCGCCATCCGCGTTCCAAATGATATCAGCTTCCAGCAACTGCAGGACAAGCTTGTGGACCGACTAAAGATCAACGAGGACCTCATCGTGCAGTATAAGGACGAACACTCTGGCACATACCTCGACCTTCGCGATGACCGGGACCTTGACACTGCGGTCCAACGAAATTCCAAGTTGACTCTACATGTCAGCTTAGCCTGACATGGTGCTCATTACTCTTGATATGACACTGATCTAGCAGGTTTCTTTCTTTCTTCTTTTTTGGTATTTTATATGATCTTGATGAATCTAGTGCGCTGGCGTTACATGGATAATGATTTTTGGGGGGGCATCCAATGCCGGTGGTCCCTTTGAATGGTTCATGGATTGATGGATGCTAAGATCAGATGTTTTATGCGATCATGCTTTGCTCTTGTGTCTTTTCCTTGCCTTGTTTCAGTATTGCTGTGAAAAGTTGGTTCTTCTTGTCTTCATACCCTGATTGGCGTGTTCTTACAAAATGTACATATGTTTTTCTTCTCTGTGCATATACTGTACTTGATTCCAGTAAGCCTTTTGCTTGTAGTTGGATTGTTCCTGGATTCGGCCCGGGCTGTACCTTAGTCATCCCTCGGGGCCAGATCTGGGTTCCGATGAGGCGCCGAAAAGATCCTCGTTCTGTTGCCTCTGTTTTGCCTCTGTTGCCTCTTGCGCTGCTGCGTTTCTCTCTCGGCGACCCTGCCGGCGATTCGGTGCGTCTCTACACCTTTTCTCTCGCCGTCGGCACTGCATGCCCAGCCTGTGCGGAACAGCCTGTATCTTGCCATACTAGGAACAGCATCGCATCCTACCCAGACCTCGGCTACCTTGGTCCCTTCTTTCTGCCTTGCAACAAATCCTGTTGTCCGCACAGCGTACATAGTCTGTCAATGACACATCCATAATAATATAAATATAAGCATACAATAAGAATGAGCCGTGTTTCTTCCCGCGTCCGCCCTACGGACTGTTTACAGGGCGCTCTGCGGCCGAAGCGGGGAGCGGCACCGGCAGCAGCAGCAGCAGCAGCAGCACAAATACAAACACCTCCAGGACAGCTGTGCGCTGAGGAATGGAAAACACGTGCACATTTGCGTTCTGGGATTCCCTCTGTCTGTTATGCGAATCGGACTTGTTCGTCGCGGCATGCGATTCAGCTTCAGAGTCGGAATGGCGGGTTGGTCGGTTTGAGAAGGGGATTGGCGACGGTGGGCAATGGAGTGAACGAAGAAAATAGGAGCAGACTGGTGGATTCTGGGCCGGAGGATGGGCCTTTGAGGGAGTATAATGTGCGGGTTGAGCAGGGGAGATTGAAGGATGATCCGTATCAACGAGGTGGGTTTTCCTTTTCAAGAGGGTCAATCGAATAATGCTAATCGTAACAGCGATGATCCAACACCTCCAAGAACTCTATGAGACCCTAAAAACTTACAACCCTCCCAAAGTTGTCCGTCCTGACGTGGAATCGCTGGACCCCAAGTCCAAGTCGTCTTTCTTCAGCTCCCTGTTCAGTGGATTTACCAGCGGTGGCGCGGACGATGTGACTATCCCTCCGGACCTTCCTAAGGGTCTATACATGTATGGGGATGTGGGGTGCGGGAAGACGATGCTCATGGATCTGTTCTACGACACTTTGCCGTCACGTATTACGGCGAGGACGCGCATTCATTTTCACAATTTCATGCAGGATGTCCATAAGCGCATGCATAAGGTCAAGGTGCAGCATGGCAGTGATTTGGATGCGTTGCCGTTGGTGGCTGCTGATATTGCGCAGTCAGCGAGCGTGCTATGTTTCGATGAGTTTCAGTGTACTGATGTTGCGGATGCGATGATTCTGAGGAGGTGTGTTTACTTTGTTTGGTGTTATTGTTTTATCCGACGCATGCTAATTTTTAATTTTTAATATAGACTCCTCGAATTGCTCATGTCTCATGGCGTTGTCCTGGTGACAACTTCCAATCGCCATCCCGATGAACTGTACAAAAACGGCATCCAGCGACAGTCTTTCATTCCCTGCATCGAGCTCCTCAAGAAAGAGCTCCATGTTATCAACCTCAATTCGCCTACGGATTACCGCAAGATCCCCCGTCCGCCGTCCGGGGTGTATCATCACCCCTTGGGCCCTGAAGCGGACCAGCATGCTGAATGGTGGTTCGAGTATCTCGGCGATCCAATCAATGATCCTCCCCATCCTGCCATGCAGGAGGTCTGGGGGCGCAAGATCAAAGTACCCCTGGCGAGCGGTAGAGCGGCTCGTTTTAGCTTCAAGCAGTTGCTCGGTAGCGCGACGGGTGCAGCGGATTACCTCGAACTGGTCCGACATTATGACTCGTTCGTCGTTACTGATGTTCCAGAGATGGATATTCACCAGCGTGATCTGGTGCGGAGGTTCATTACCTTTTTGGATGCCGTATATGAAAGCAGGGTAAGAAATCCCGTCTTCATCTCTCCTTCAGTCTTAAAAAGTCTTGAATGCTAAGCGACATGGATTTCATGCAGGCCAAACTGGTCCTCACAAGCGCAGTCCCATTGAAGAACCTCTTCCTCCCGGCTGTCGAACCGGACACAGCCTCGACCAAAGACAACAAGGATGCAGCAAGTCTCCCGGATGATATGCGTACTCTCATTGATGATCTTGGCGTCGATATGAAGACCCTCAAAGAATCCTCCATGTTCAGCGGGGACGAAGAGCGGTTCGCCTTTGCGCGTGCCCTTTCCCGACTGTCGGAGATGGGCAGCAAAGAATGGGTTGAACGGGGCCTCGGAGCCAAGGATGCGGGAAAGGAAGTGAAAAATGGTCAGAGTCGATGGAGTGAAGGCAGTGCATAGGTTTGTTTGACATGGTTATTATCTGGCATTGCTACATATCTTCTGGTATACTTTCTATATATATACTCTTTGCTGATGAGATACCTAACCTGCACATAGACGATGTTTCTTGGCTTATCTCATGTTCTGGGCCGGCTTCCATCTATAGACGGGTTGCCTCTTTCTTTGTTTATTCTGTTCCATGTCTTGTTTGCCCAGTGTAACCCGTGCAATTTCTGTGTACACCGGACATATGGTATCTGTTTGTGCTGTACATTGTACGTCTGTACCTCCATGTCCATAAGACATATCCTTCAGGAAGTGAATCCTCGAATCCATGCCATATGCTTGGTATTCTCGCTTTGCCTGACCTGACAGTGCTACATTCTATCCATTCCTGTATGACAGATCAATGGGAGATGGAAATGTTTCTATTCTACTATCCCTCTTGCTTCCCCGCCCCCTCCTTTTCTTTTTTCTAGATAGTACGCAGGCTCTATCAAATTTCAACTATAAGGATCCGGATCTTGAGTTTCATGCTCCTTGCTCCATGCTCCATGTCATTCGGTGGTAACAACAAGGTAACAATGGCTCGCAGATTGGGCACTCTCTCCTCGTCGAGTAGATTGACTGTCGTTATTGGGATAGCGACGTGTTTCTTTTTAGTTGAGATTTCGGGTATTTCTTGTTCTCTTGCTCTTGGTTAATGAGTGCTAATCATCATGTATAGTGGGGTTCTATACGCATTCTCTAGCGTTGGTTGCTGATGCTTTTCATTATGTATAACCTCACTTCATCCTATCCATACACATTATTTGCTGATATGTCATAGTTGAATGATCTTCTTGGTTTTGTTGTTGCGCTGGTTGCTCTGAAGGTACGGATTCTGTCATGTCCTGTCCTGTCCGTCCTTAGAACAGAACACCGGCAGAGAGATGATTCAGCTATTGATAATGCTGAATTGACATCAATACCAGGCCTCAGAAAAAGATAAATCCCCCTCTTGCCTCTCATTCGGATGGCAAAGGGCCCGCCTGCTAGGCGCGTTCTTCAATGGGGCGCTTCTGCTGGCGTTGGCCGTTAGTGTGTTTTTGCAGTCTGTTGAGAGGTTTATTTCGTTGCATCGTTCGTCTTCTTTTTCTTTTCTTCTTGTCCTATATATACTCTGTATACCTAACATATATGTGTTGCTGACTGACCTAGGAGTCGAGAATCCGAAATTGATACTCATCCTCGGCGGAGTTGGGCTGGGGTTGAACTTGATTTCTGTTTGTTTCTTGAGGGGTACTATTATTTATTTTATTTATTTTTATCTCATATATTATTTTGGTTTCATTGTTTATCTCTTTAGCCATGTTTACGTGGTACCTGCATATTGCTGCATGTGATGCTGACAATGGAACGTTCTTATAAGAACATCACCACCATCATGACAATGACCATGAGTCCTCAATTACCTTGGAACTCCCTCAGAATGATTCCCAGAAAACGTCCAAGGTCAGTCACTAGTCCAGTCTATAATACAACATATACTAACAAGCAACCAGCACCATGACCACAAACACAAGCCCAAGCCCAAGCCCACGCCAGACCACCACGACCATGACTTAGGAACAATGGGCGTCCTGGTTCACATAATCAGCGACGCAGCGAACAATATTGGTGTCATGGCTGCTGCGTTGGTGATCTGGCTAGCTCACTATGAAGGTCGATTCTACGCAGATCCCGCAGCGAGCATGGGGATTGCGGTGATGATTCTAGTATCGGCGCTTCCGATCGGTAAGCATGTTTTTATTCCTGTATATACTCAGAGGCTAATGTGGATAGTATATCGTTCTGGTCTGATTCTACTAGAAAGTGTCCCTTCTGGCGTGGAATTGAGGGATGTGAAACATGACTTGGAGAAGGTATGTCTAGTATCTCCATTAAAGCATGAGACATCTATCCTAGCACTAATGTAATGTGTATAGATCCCCCAAATTCTCTCCACGCACAACCTCCATATCTGGAGTCTAAACCAGGAAAAAACCCTGGCAACCGTGCACGTCGTCCTCTCCCCATCCTCGATGCCCAACTTCCTCGACCTGGCTACTGTCGTGAACGAGTGTTTTCGCGCGTATGGGGTAGATGCTGTGACGGTGCAGCCGGAGGTCGTGTTGTCTGGCTCTGAATCGCGGATGGAGTTGGAGAGGTGCCGGTTTGACTGCTCCGGTAGTAGTGAGGGGCTATAACTATCTATCACAGTGGAGTATGCTGTATCCTATGATGCAATCTGCTCTATCAGGAAAGACTCGCGCCGTGTATAAGCACCTTATTGATGGAGTTAGAAGCGGAGATATATCTGCAATAAATAAGGAAGCTCGACACATCCTAATAACAAATAATTGCTGTTCGTTTCCTATCATTACTGTTCCGAGCTCATTCCGACTGCACGTCTATATTCCATTGGTATACACGCGTGCTTATATGTGCAATCCTTATCTATGCGAATGACGGAGAGTCCGCTCGGTACGAGTAGATGCTATCAATTTCTCTATCTCCGCTGTTATTATTAAGATCGGGCATTTTACGGAGTGGGTACTGAGGACATATATATATAGAGTTATAGACGGAGCCAGTTTGTTCTCGTTGCTTCAATTCAATTCTCCGCATACGTTATTATAGCTTTCCTAGTAGAACATCATAAGCAGCCATGACCAAAGAATCCTGGGAGCTCAAAGCAAAACACGCCAGGGATATCCTGCAAAAATCCATCCCCAAGCAATGGCTAGCACCGCCGGAGAAACTGCCACCGGCAGAACAGCTGGATGTTCATGATTTCCCCAGAACCAGCGGCTTGCTTTCTGAAAAGGAGCTGTCCATCACGGAGAAATCGGCTACCGCTCTTGTGGCTGATATGGGATCGGGATCGTTGACTGCGGAGGAGGTTGTCGTTGCGTTTCTCAAGAGGGCCATTTTGGGTCATCAGCTGGTTTGTTCTCCCGGTTCATTTTATGTGTCCATGCTGATTCGAGTCTTATGGGTAGTTGAATTTCGCAACCGAGTTTATGGCCGATAGAGCTATTTCTCGAGCGAAAAAGCTTGACGAGTATTTCAAGGAGACAGGGAAGCTGGTCGGGCCTTTGGTGAGTCGTACTTTGTATTGCATAGCGGATGTGAAGCTAATGATAATATGCTTAGCATGGCGTTCCGATCAGTGTCAAGGAACACGTTGGGATCAAAGGCCTTACGCATAATGCGGGTTTTGTGGCATGGTATGCTCAAAATGGAGACTATCCATCATCTGCCGATGGTTTGCTGACCAGAAGCCTTCCCCAGGGTTGACGAGGTTGCCACAGAGGATGCACTGCTGCTTCAGTATCTGGAGAAAGCCGGCGCCGTCTTTCATGTCCGGACAAATCAGCCACAATCTCTCATGGTGCGTTCACGCTTTTGCATACCCAACTGAGGAATTGACAGTTAATAGATAACATTGTCAGCACCTTGATTGCACAAACAATGTCACCGGAATCACAGTGAACCCCTACAACCGCAAGCTCTCCCCCGGAGGATCCTCCGGTGGCGAGGGAGCGTCCATGGGATTTAGATGTGCGCCGCTGGGTGTTGGGACAGACATTGGCGGCTCGATCAGAGCACCAGCTGCATTTTGCGGCGTGTATGGTTTCCGTCCAACTGCTCTCCGGCTTCCCACGGGCGGTGCAAAGTCAGCCTCGTGCGGGCAGGAGTCTGTCAAGGCTGTCATCGGACCGCTCGCAAGTCAATGTGTTGAAGATCTTGAACTTTTCCAACGAGCCGTCATCGACCAGGAGCCGTGGGATGTCGATACGTCTTTGGTTCCATTGCCCTGGAAGAAGATTGAACCTACCAAGGACATCACTGTGGGGATTATATGGGATGATGGAATTATTGCACCGCATCCTCCCATCATGAGGGGGTTGCAACATGTAAAGGAGAAGCTTGTGGCTGCTGGGATCAAAGTGGTCGATTGGGAGCCGTATAAGCACGATGAGGGATGGGAGATAGTTGTACGTTGTCTATTCAAAACCCTCATGCTCCTGCTCAGCAGCTAATGCCCCAAATCACAGTCCGCCCTTTATTTCCCCGATGGTGCCAAGAGCCAACTCGAAGTCCTGAATGCGTCCGGTGAACCGATCCTGCCTCTGACCCAATGGGCCTTCAAATACAGCCGCCCGACAGCCTTGTCCATAAACGAGAACTGGGCATTCAACAGGAGGAGAGATGAATACAGAGATGCATACCAGCGTCTCATGAAAGAACGTGGAGTGGATTTCATCCTGAGCCCAACTTTCAACAGTGTCGCTGCCCTCGTGGGCGAGCCCCAATACTGGAACTACACTGCCATCTGGAACATCCTGAATCTGCCCTCGTCTGTCTTTCCGACGGGCCTATACCAGGACCCAGCCATCGACAATCTCCCAGAGTACAAGCCGCGCAACGAAGAGGAAGAGCGAGAGTGGAAGAAGTACTCGCAGCCGGAACTGTACACGGGCGCACCCATCTGCTTGCAGTTGTCTGGAAAGCCTTACAAGGACGAGGAGACGCTTGCAGCGACCAAGCTGATATCTGAGATTGTCCTTTCGAAATAATTGATGATTATCATTTGTGATATACTTTTGAAGAGGTTTATGAGCTTGTAGACGGTCAGCTTGAGTTGGACAAGATCTGATGGTTATTGCATTTACTCACCGTGGACGATTTACTTTGTAAGACAATTTTAAAGATTAAAGATTATTGAAGTATCGTAGGAGCCACAAACGGACATTGTGGGATCAAACATGTCGAACCATGGATGAAGTTGGAGAAATGGCGGTCGTACAGCGCAGGAACATGGAAGGTTGCGGAGATCCCTAGTTTGCCCACTCCGTTATCTACCGACACAATATGCTGCGTATATAATCGCTCTACATCCCTCCAAATTATCTTCTTCCTTCTCATTTATTATCACCACCAGACTGTCTCTCATCATGAAGTTCCTGGCAGCTCTTGCGCTCGGTGCAACAGCCACCTCCGTGTTGGCTGCTGTGATCCCCCAGCAGGATCCCTTGACTGGGCCGCAAGTCTACCGTGAAGCAGAGCAGTATCTCATAGAACTGGAACCAGGGAACACAATTTGGGTGACTGAGGATGAAAAGTGGTCATTGAGACTGGTCGGATTCTCCCGAGCTCTTCCTCCGCTACTGCTGCTGTCCGGCTAACCGTTGCTGCCTCGCGCTGCTGTAGGACGGTGTCAAGTTCATGGACGTTACTGAGGAGCATCACAACAGCCTGTACCCTACTTCTCGTATCTTGAAGACTGTTGAATATCCAGTGCAGATGGAGCACGTCGATTCAGTAGTACCGCTCACCCAGTCCCTGTCCAAGGATAACATGAAGGCCGACCTGGAGCATTTCACCTCATTCTACACTCGCTACTACCAGTCATCCACTGGCGTCGAGTCGGCAACTTGGCTCTACAGCAGAGTTTTGGAGACTCTTGAACAGTCAGGGGCTACCGCGTATGGTGCTTCGGTTGAGAAGTTCCAGCATTCATTTCAGCAGTTCAGCATCATTGCCCGAATTCCTGGCCAGTCCAACAAGACTGTGGTAGTGGGTGCTCACCAAGATAGCATTAACCTACTTGCACCATCATTCCTTCCTGCGCCCGGCGCCGATGACGATGGCAGCGGCACTGTTACGATCCTTGAAGCTCTCCGTGTCCTGCTCCAGTCGGAGGAGGTTGTGAACGGATCCATTCGCAACACACTTGAGTTCCATTGGTATGCTGCCGAGGAAGGTGGCTTGCTCGGATCTCAATCGATCTTCTCCCAGTACAGCTCGGACGGAAGAGACATCAAGGCCATGCTCCAACAAGACATGACCGGATACTCCCAGGGTACGCTTGACGCAGGTCTCCCGGAGTCTGTCGCCGTAATTACCGACTATGTCGATCCCGGTCTCACCGCGTTCATCAAGGAGGTCATTACCACGGTGAGTTCGGAGTGCCCAATCCGAAATGTATTGCTTGAGTTTGCTTATCCCTTCGTTCAACAGTATTGCGACGTGCCCTATGTTGAAAGCCAATGCGGCTACGCCTGCTCCGACAACGCGTCCGCAAGAAAATACGGCTACCCTTCTGCCTTTGTGATGGAATCCGAGTTCGAACATTCATCTGACCGTATTCATACCACTGGCGACAAGATCGATTATCTCAGCTTCGACCACATGGTGCAGCATGCAAAGCTGACTCTTGCCTTTGCATATGAACTGGCTTTTGCCTCGCTTTGATTCCTAGTCGGAATGACTGTGTAGATAGTATTGATGACTAGGGATGATTACTACTATTAGCACTCCGTACCCTGCATTATTACGCAGTAATGCGCTGTTTGTTTGATATTCACTATTCCCATCCGTTTTCTTATCATCCCCATTAAGATTGCTATCTCCCTCGCGTTGTCGGTAGAGGCTCTGCTGCTGTTGTATCTCCGTCTGTGCATCATATTACGATAATGACTCTGCATCACGTGAACCAGCAAGGTCGGTTGATCCTGCAGTCGTAGAAATCGTTCATTTCGTAGCAAGGGAAACATCCTAAGGAGAAGCATCGCAACATCACTAGCAACTGCTGGGTCGAGTCTACGTATCCTCTCTCGTCTTCCTGCATCGCCGCTCTCGTTCACCCATTCGAAGCCTTTTTACCTTACTAACTCCCCCTGTACGACTTGCCATTTGTCTCCAAGCACTACCAGTACAACCTTTCGCATGCTCAACCCCGACACTTTCATTGTGGCGCCATCCATCCTTGTTTCCAGTACTAGGATAAATAGGAATAGTGGTTATTTCTGTGTGAAAAGGGCCTGGTTTAAAATAGCTGCCATTGGTTGCTAGCTCAACGTTCCTCTCCTCTCTCGAGATAAAGACACAAGAGCTGTTCCCCTCTATATTGCATGCTAGGCCTTCTTTCTCTTCCCAATGGCTTCATATTCTGGTCCTTATGCCAAAGAGCTCCAGATTGCTTGTCTGACAGTGCAGAGGGCCGCTTTGCTGACAAAGAAGCTCCTGGAATCTGTCGACAAGGGATCCATCGATAAGAGCGACTCCACGCCAGTGACGATCGCTGATTTTGCTGCTCAGGCTTTGATAATTGCAGCCATCCAAGGTGTTTTCCCTGAAGATGAGTTTGTGGGGGAAGAGGATTCGAAGGCTCTGCGTCAGGACCCCATACTTCTCCAACGAACCTGGGATCTGATCGCTTCCACACGCCTCGAAAATGAGGAGTGCGAGTCCATGCTCAACACGCCAAGCTCGAAGGAGGAAATGCTTGAGTTGATCGATCTAGGAACGCAGGGCAAGTGTAACGGTAGCGGCCGCACGTGGACTCTAGATCCTGTGGATGGCACCGCGACGTTCATGCTCGGTCAGCAGTATGCTGTATGTCTTGCGCTGATAGAAGACGGAAGCCAGAAGGTAGGGGTGCTTGGTTGTCCTAACCTCAACCTCGAATCTGGGGTGATTAAGGAGGAGATCGTGGATCGCGACGGCCACGGCTACATGATCTCCGCCGTCAAAGATCAAGGCGTTTCCATCCGGAAGATGGGTCGGGGAGCCTTGCTGCCAGCTAGGAAGCTTGATCAGATCCCCCAGATCACTGACCCCAGCGAGATTCGTTTTGTTGATTGTTCGGTCGCTGCCTCGTCAAATTTTACACTGCACGGCCAGGTGGCATCTCGATTAGGCGCCCCTTGGCCCCATATGACCAACCTCTGGTCCACACAGATGCGATATGTGGCTATAGCGGTCGGCGGGTGCAACGCTACGATTAAGATGCCCCGTAAACCGAAGTATCGATCGAATATCTGGGACCACGCGGGTGGCATGCTCATTGCGGAGGAGGTTGGCTGCAAGGTTACGGATCTGCAAGGGAATCCTGTAGAATGCGGTCTGGGTAGGACTCTGGCAGGATGCCATGGGATGATTGTGGCTCCTGCTTCCATCCACCAGCGTCTAGTGGAGGCTGTACGAGAGACGACACTGCAAAGCGCTGGAGACAGACCATGACTGGATCGTGCGGACTCTTGACACACAAAAGCACTGCTGTCTGGTCTACGCTCTCTTCACTGCTGGGTCAAGGATAAGATAGACAGTAACAGGGGTATTCTTAGTTCTCCGGTCATTTTGGACCTAGAGGCAGGATTGGATTTATAAGCCTGCTAGCCTGTCGACGAGGCCGACGTTATTCTCCATTCATTCCTTTCATCCGGTGAGATAGCCGTACCTGCAGCAGGATTACAGTAGCCTCTTGCCAACCCCTAGTGGGCTTTGGACTCAGGGTTGCTCGCGTCATTCTCATATTCGTCCATTAGATTCGAGAGCATCTCCTTTATTGATACAGCGTTCGTAGTTCGACAGTATGACGGATACCAGCCACTGCGACAACCTCCGCCGTCAAGACTGCACCCCTTGCATGGGAAAGCGGTTCCTGGCCTTCCACATTTAAAATCCACCCGAACTGTTTCCCGTATCCCACATAGAATGACGAATCACAATAATGGCCGGCTTGCTTGCTGCGACAGGGTTCCCGCAGAGCTGCTCGTTGCCCTGGCGACAGACGGGTTTCGTCTCCATCAGCCCGCATCACCATGGCGCCGCTCCAAACGCCGAAGAACGGTTCCTGAACTGGACCGCTGTAAATATTGGTTGATCCATCAGTAATTGACTATATTATTGCAGCTGACGCGTGCGAACTATCTGTTTACTGCCTGTTTTGTCTGGTTATTGTGGGAAAGAGAAACAACTCGTTTCACTCATATAGTTCGATCGAGATACATCTACTCCACCAGCTCAAACCGGTTTGTTTACCTGCTAGTCTGCCAGTGAGGGCGGATATACTGGATGCATCTATCCCCTTTTGCAGACTATCTGACTTTTTTTCAGGACTTTCTCGCGAGAAAAAGGAAAGACCTTGCTTCGATTCAGTTCCCCAAGCGTTGATCGCTACCAACGTCCCACCTCATGCTCTAGGAGCACCCACCTGAAGCAGGACACAAGGACAATCACCATGGATCCCTCTTCGTCAAGTGGATATCGTCCTCCTGCTCTGAACTATGAGGAAGAGCCACCGGCGTATCCTTACGGGGACACTGCACCTCTCATCCCAGAGAACCAGTCACCCTCGGCATCGCGTCTCAACGGCCCGACGATGAGACTCCTAACGACAAACGCCAATGTTGATGATGCTGATATGCACAGTGACTTGGGAAATTACTCGCAGCATCAGTATGGATGTGATGACCCGGAACCCAGTGTGTATGTACCCTCAGCTACTACTCCAAATACCGAGAAACCCAAGGACTGTGGAGACCCCCAAGCCTCAGCGCCCATGTCACATCTTCCCCCTCACACAAGAAAATTCCCCTGCAATACACCGTCAATCTTGAGTAGCTCACATTCTCCTTCCGTTAAACCTAAACGGACGGGTGGATCTGATGCATCAAGTAAGGGGCAGCGTCCCCGGGACAACAAGAGCCCTATTCATAAAAGACCATCTATTCCCGAGAATATCCAAATCCCCAGAGTCGCAATTCCATCTCCTCTATTCTCATCCCGAAAAAGGAGCGACCCAGCTTCAGGATTACCCTCTAAGGACGTCTTGAGCGGGACAGTCCCTGGACCAGAAGTCGTGTCTACTCACAGCGGGTCTGGCGCAAAGACAAATGCTAACAAAATGGCTTGGTATGGCAGAATAAGCGACGGGAGGGACGTGTCCGACCCTTTCTACCATCCGCGGGATCGGGATTCCCTTTCGCGAAGAACCTCCGTGCTCGACGCTGCTCCACGGATCCCACCCCCTACGGCATCCGTGGTAGATAGTCCGTCGTACTCTCGGCCAGCTTCCCCTGCAAGGTCGTGGACCTCTACTCGCAGCACAGGCTGGGCTAGACCGCCACGGCCACCATCCGTAACAACCACCACCTACGAGCGTGCGGATCTCAACGGTAGCCCACGACCAGGTACTCCAAGTTCACGGTATGGGGGCAGTCCGCGGCGCCCCTTACCCCCGGCGCCTCTGTTTGCCGGTTCTGGATCGACAGCCAATGTAGCTGACGCAAGCATCGACATCGGGGACACCGGCGAAAACGGATACGATGATGTCTTTGGCGGTGGTGGGAGGACCATTAACACCCACCTATCTCGCAACAGCGTTGCGTCTTTCATGAGCGATTCTACTATCGTCACAGATGCAAGGGATGATAGGATGGCCAAGGTTGACCTGGATGAAGACGATGACTCGACATCTATGATCGATCATAACCAGTACTATGGACCAGCCCCAGAGAAACAGAGCCGCAGAGGTGTCCGGCAGGCACAGATGTCGAAGAAAGAAGTCCAGCTCGTCAATGGTGAATTAATTCTCGAGTGCAAGATCCCAACCATCCTTCATAGTTTCTTGCCTCGTCGTGACGATAGGGAGTTTACTCACATGCGATACACCGCTGCAACCTGCGACCCGGATGACTTCACCACCAGAGGATATAAATTACGGCAACAGTTTGGCAGCACCATGCGTGAAACAGAGCTATTGATCTGCGTTACCATGTACAATGAAGATGAAATCAGTTTTACTCGGACCATGCACGGAGTCATGAGGAATATATCTCATCTCTGCTCACGATCAAAATCGCGCACCTGGGGGAAGGATGGGTGGAAGAAGATTGTTGTGTGTATTATCGCCGACGGACGTAAGAAGGTGCATCCCCGTACCCTCAATGCTCTGGCTGCACTAGGTGTCTATCAGGAGGGTATTGCCAAGAACATCGTCAACCAGAAGCAGGTCACGGCCCACATCTACGAGTACACGACTCAAGTATCGCTCGACTCGGACTTGAAGTTCAAAGGAGCCGAGAAAGGAATCACCCCCTGCCAGGTCATCTTTTGTCTAAAGGAGCGCAACGAGAAGAAGCTGAATTCGCACCGTTGGTTCTTCAACGCGTTTGGACGAGCCCTTCAGCCGAATATTTGCGTTCTCCTCGACATAGGCACCCAGCCCTCTCCCACGGCGATCTATCATTTGTGGAAAGCCTTTGATCAGGACTCCAATGTTGCTGGGGCAGCAGGAGAGATTAAGGCAGGAAAAGGCAGAGGCATGCTGGGTCTGCTTAACCCGTTGGTCGCCAGTCAGAATTTTGAGTACAAGATGTCCAATATTCTCGATAAGCCTCTTGAGTCTGTCTTCGGGTACATCACTGTTCTTCCCGGTGCGCTGAGTGCGTATCGATATTATGCCTTGCTCAATGATGTCGACGGCAATGGGCCATTGAACCAATACTTCAAGGGTGAAACACTCCACGGCAAGAATGCAGATGTCTTCACAGCCAATATGTATCTGGCTGAAGACCGTATTCTGTGCTGGGAATTGGTGGCTAAGAGAGATGAACGTTGGGTCTTGCGCTTCGTGAAGTCAGCCGTCGGGGAAACTGACGTGCCAGGTGAGCGGGACTGCCTTGCTTTCTATGATTTAGTAATGAAGAAACTAATCAAGCTTTCGGCTTTGAAGACACAATTCCAGAATTTATCTCACAGCGGCGAAGATGGCTGAACGGTGCCTTCTTTGCTGCGGTGTATTCCATTGTCAACGCCAGGCAGATATGGAAGACTGACCATACACTGGCGCGGAAGATTCTGCTCAATATCGAGTTTGTGTACCAGTTCTTCCAGTTGTTGTTTACCTACTTTGGTTTGGTAAGGGATATCTCTTTTTAATTACCTTAGACTGACTCGTCTTGCTAACGGTCTGACCACAGGCGAATTTCTATCTGGCGTTCTTCTTTATTGCGGGATCGTTGAGCGACAAGAAAATTGATCCGTTCGGCCACAACATGGGAAAGTACATCTTTATTGTTCTTCGGTATGCTTGTATCCTCGTCATGTGTATGCAATTTATCCTCTCGATGGGTAATCGGCCGCAGGGGTAAGACAGTGATGAGATCCGTTTCCTTTACATCATATTTAAACTGACATTGGTGGCAGAGCGAAAAAGCTGTATATGTCCGGCATGATTGTCTACAGTATCATCATGGTCTACACGGCTTTCTGTACCATCTACCTGGTCGTCTTGGAGCTTATGGCGCGAGCTGGAGCCCACTCACACGTCCAGGTCACCGATTCTCTCTTTACTAACATTGTCGTCTCCTTGCTCTCCACGGTCGGCCTGTACTTTTTCATGTCGTTTGTCTACCTGGACCCGTGGCACATGTTCACCTCGTCAGCACAGTACTTCGCCCTCTTGCCAAGCTACATCTGCACCCTCCAAGTCTACGCTTTCTGCAACACCCACGACGTGACCTGGGGTACCAAAGGTGACAACGTCGTCACCAACGATCTAGGTGCGGCGAAGATCGTTGCCGGATCCACCGTCGTCGTTGAAATGCCCTCGGAACAACTCGACATTGACAGCGGGTACGACGCGGCACTCCGCAACCTTCGCGACCGCCTCGAAGTCCCAGAACCGCCCGTTTCGGAGAGTCAGATGCAGGAAGACTACTACCGCGCCGTCCGCACGTATATGGTATTGTTCTGGATGGTAGCGAACGTGATCCTCGCCATGGCCGTCTCGGAAGTCTACGGTGTCGATGCGGGCGGCACAAACGTCTACCTGGCTATTATCTTGTGGTCTGTAGCGGTCCTAGCTGCTGTCCGTGCGACTGGCTCTTGTATCTACGCGATTCTTAACGTCGTCCATAAACTTGTCGAGGGCAAGACCAAGTTCGAAGCTGGAAATATCGCAACGGCTAGCGCCATGTCGGGGTCTATGGGCAAGTCAACCACCTCCGGCCCTCGGCGTCAGCTCTTTTCTAAGTATGGAGGGAACGCGTCCATGAAGGATCGGTTCAGCGAGGCCGGATGGACTATCAAGAGGAAATTGGGAAAGTTGATGTTTTGGAGGAAGTGATCATGCCTTTGTAGTGTTTAATTATCTTCCCTTTAACCTGTTTGATGAGATCTTTTTTTACCCCTTTTGTTTTTTCTATCTCTCTCATGTTGTTTGATGTGAATATGAACAAAACTGGCAACACTTTTGAATGACACATCCAAAACCAGTGGTATTTATTATTATTTGCAGGTAGTATGAAGTATTCCGGGATGATCCTGATATTGTTTTCTTTGTTGCTGTCTTTCGAGTTTTAAATATTTGTGACTCAAGGGGTTTTCAAATCATGCTTCCCCATTCAATATGGAAAAAATCTATTATTATTAACGAATGCCATCAGCGAGGATCCTATTATTATTGTAAAGGGCTTGCAACCATTCTCATCTGATACCACAATGACTCATGATGATTTCTAGGATGATTCTATCTGGATGGAGCGCTTAGGGCCTAGGGTTCGTGACTCACACACGTGCGCGCGTTCTTATCTTTCCGGCTTTCCGGGGCTTATCTGCAATCTGCTGGGTTACTACATAGTAATAGCACCATCCCCCACTCGCCTCGCCTCTGTGCGCCATCTACTCTCTCCTGAGTCCCTCGGCTACGGAGTATCTACTATCTACTGCCCAGGAAGCATCTTCCTTCATTCCCTAGAAACTCTCCTCCGCTTCCTTTTGCCTTTTGTCGTCGAACTGCACGTCGTTGCCTCCTGGATTCAGGACCAGTTCTCGCGCGGATTTCGCAATGGCCATCCATCCTACTCTTCGCCGCTCTCACACTGCATCCCAGAATAACCTGTCGCCGCAGCAGGCGATTGCTATTTCTGTATGGACGGAGCAGGCTGCCGCGTCTTTGCAGGATCTGAGCCTTTCAGAATCAGTGCCGGGAGATGATAGGAGCGCGCCCGCGACCGCGACAGTGACGCGACAAACCGCCTGTGGGACCTCGGTTTCTTTGGCAATTCCTCTTGATGATGAGGTTTATACTGCTGAATCCAAGGCTGCTCCGCGGGTTGGGGAGCCCCAGAAAGTCTCAGTTAGTTTTCGGCGTCGGCCGCCTATCCGTCGGGACAGTCTGAAGAGACGCGAGGCCTTGCTCAAGGGGAAGGACGGCAGTCGTCGTAGACAGCGTTGGGAGAATGGTATGTCTTCGACAAGTGTAGATAATTTGATTGATTTAATCCTTTCTCGGGAAAGGGAGGAAGCGTACCGTGTTGATCACACGGTTGTCTCACTTATTCCGGGGCAAAAGAGAAAGACGAATGATGCTGACCAAGCCTTCCCAACATCAAGACCGTCTCTTGAACAACCCCTGGGCTGAGCCGCCATCAGCTAATGACTGGCTCGTGCAACCAACTTACCCTCGGCATGACCCGGTTCCCTACTACCTTGCGCCGCTCTGGGATATTCACTATTCACAAGTTGATCGTCATTCGTCCAAGGCTATCAAGGCTGCAACCGAACAAAAGCACCGAGTCCCAAAGGAACTTCGGACGAGACTAAAACACGCGCGTGGTGCACGTGGCATGCTCCAGGGCCTGGAGGAAGACGTCCGGAATTTTGTCCAGCGATGGAACGAGAAGCAGCTCATGCTTCAGCAGGAAGAATCACAAGATGTTTCTGGGCCAGAAGAGGACTCTGAGGATGAGATCGTTTTTGTGGGCCGGAATGGACAGGAACAGGAACGTAAGCCGAGGCTGCGGAAGACGCAAACGAATACGAGTTCGCCAGAAGATGAGCGGTATGGCGAGAAGATGGTATTTGAAAGCATGGTTGACGACCGCGCCGCTGGGTTTGGGTAAGTACCAAGCCAGTCACCCCGTTTTTTTGTAGAGGCAACCAATGCTTATAATGTCTCCAGGCGCTGGCTCGTCCATTGCATTGCGTCCTACTATGGCTTGCATACCTGGTCTGTCACCACTCCAGGGCAACCGGCCCGACGTGAGGCCTATGTTGGCTTCTATCCTCCGAATTCTGGCAACCGGACTGGATCCATCTTGAAAACAGTTCAGCCGGGGGAGGAGCTTCCTGTGCCGCTCTGGGCACAGCTGTAATCCATCTGTATTGGCAGAGCTATAGAACTGCAGATTCCGGTGTTTTAATGCGTGGAGATTAATACTGATATATAACCATCTTAAGAATAAACTAAACGCTTTATTTGCAAGGCGCATCTGCGTCGCATTAGACACGTGACGTAGACCAAAGCGAGTATCTTTGTCCCCGGATTTTCTCCAGTATGTTGCACGTTGCGAGTTGCTGCACGGTGATATCCATGCATGGCAGAGACGTTGCACCGTTTTCACGCGCGGACCGTCCCGAAGATTCCAGTCTGACCCATGGATCGGAAAGTCGAGTCGTACATCGCTCGCACAGCTCAACGACCAGCAGCAATGATAAATAAACCCAGCTCGATGACATATGGAGTGGCTTGCTTGACTGGATTCTGGACTCTGATCTTGCTAAGAATCTGAGATCCCGGGGTAACAGAGGCGATGCGCAGGGCACCAGCACAGGCCGATGCAGGTATTTTTAGACCCAGAAAATCCCCGAGATAACGTTGACGATTTGTCTTCATTCAGATCATCTGCACTGCCCTGTTGATGGCATGACTGGGAATTAACTTTGCAAGGATGCGACGGTCAGCACTACACCAACAGGCCTGTCCTGGAGATGACAGACACCTCGACCCTGTCATGCTTGTGAGAATGCCCCAGGATCCCTGTTCGATCACAGGCTTGATGCCGAAGGGAAGGGGAATGATAATATCGAATAGCCGACGCCGTGTGGGCTCTGTGGAGAGGAGGGACGGCGCACAGATAGCCAGATCATGCTGTCTCCCGAGCCCACAAGGGCCCTTGATGAGTTGTCGTGGTCTTGGGCAGATAGCACCACGACATGCCACGATGGCAGTATTCAGACTGTCCGTCTGCGTCTTGTCATCATCTTCCGTCTTGTCGTGGACGATGATACTACGCTGAGAGAGTCATCGTCGGCTGTGGGGTTTGCCAGACAACGTGGCTGGCATTCTTTTGCGGATCTTGCTGGCCATCTCTTCTTTTCCTTTCCCCTTTCTCCCTTTCTCCCTTCTTTTCTGTCGTGTCTACCGTCGTCATTTTTGTCTCTTTTCTGTCTCGTCTACCGTGCCGCTCGCATCCCTCCCCCTCATCCTTCCGCGCGCTCTCTTTCGCCTCTCGCCCCGAGCTTCATCGTATGATTGAGTCCGTTCGGTTTGATCGCGCCGAGTCCTGTATCTGATTTGTTTATTCGCTTTCTGTTTGTTTGTTTATTATTCCTATTCTTGCTTTGCTATCATCCTATCGACAACGGTATTTCACCTCGCTGTCTGCTCTACCCAATACTGTCCTACCAACAATTGCCGTTACTGGCAAATTACAAGGACCTGTGAAACCCGTCCATGTGTTGTGCTCGGGGCTTTTTAATTGCATCTATATACTCTTAGCAAACATCATTCATCGAGATGGATTTTTGTTGTTTGACGTTTTGACTGTCTATCAGTTGCGGCCATCCCTCGTCTTCAACCCTTCAGCTTCTACCAGCCAGTCTCGTGGACTCCTAGTGAGCAACTAGGATATAATATTCCTCGGAGCACACAGTATAGGCTGTTTTTTTTTTTTTTTTTTTTTTTTTTTTTTTTTCCGGGTGACCATGGGGTCATATACTGGATCATGTCAGAACAGTTCAAGGGGTGGGAGCAGTGCCGGCTCTACTAACAGCTACACTTCGGTTCGCTCCAAGAGCACGGCCCCCACCATCTTCAGCGATCTGTCCCCGCTGAAACGGGGACAGACAAGGGATGGGGCTTATGGCAGAGAAACCGAGGATTCCGTCTCTACGTCTGCGTCGTCCAGTTCATCAGTTGACTGGCTTCCGGAGGGACCACAGTACGACGTGATTGATCGCAGGCAAGGCTACCTCCCCTCAGAGGCAGTACCTTCTAATCCGCCAATCTTCGCGGACTTGTTTCCATCGTCCCGTCGATTGCGCATCCGACATGATGACACAACTCTTGATGGCAACATGAATCTGCGCGTGGACACTTTGGTCACGCAAAGAAACGGTTACCAGCAAGACGTCATCCTGTTTCATCTCCGCATGTACGATCTATATCCCAGAAGATTCTCTCTCCGTCGGTACTGCCGAGACTCCGGGCGAGAGGTGTGCCACTCCACACGAAAACCGGTGTCGTCCCGCAATGAGAAGCGCAGCCTCTTCAGCCGGCCCTGGAGTGGCATGCTATCAGCCCTCCGGCCAGGCTCAAGCGGCAACCAGGGCATATCCCCAAGGAATATCCTCAGGCGGCAGGACTTGGGTAATAAGTCCATCAACGATGACGACCTATCATCTAGAAATGGGGGTTCGGATTCTGGAGATAAACTCTCAAACACGATTATGCTGGAATTTTCCAACTACGCTCACGTCGAGGTCAACCGACGAGGCACCAACGCTGCCAAGAAGTATGAGTATGAATACTGGTCGACCAAATACCAATGGAGACGAGAGATGCGGAAGGAAGGGGACCTCCGAGAGGCATCCTACCACCTCGTCAACTTGAAAACTGGGAAAACTGTGGCACATCTCGTCCCCGACATCCTGACTCCGTTGGAGGCTGTCGAAGAGGCAAGCAAGGGAGGCTGGATTCCGCCGTCGTCCATGTGGATAAACGATTCGTTTGTGTATGACAAGATGCCTGACATAGCCGAGTAAGTCCTGTCCGTGATTATGTGGTAGATTATCTGCGGTTCTAATAAACACTCAGTGTGATCGTTGCAACCGGACTCGCCGTCCTTGTCGACGACTGTATCCACCGACGATGGCATTCCAAGGGACGTTCCCAGAGAGCACCGGTAGCGAAGAGTATCGAGTTGATGGGACCCAAAAAACTGTTTCAACGCAGATGGTCATCGTGACCATACGGCGTTAACATTAACATTCGTCTTTTCGATTCTTGGAAATACTTTGTTTATTTTCAGTTTATTTTCGCCGTGAGCTGGTGGCTAGAATGTTTTCCCTTCCTTGTCTCTCTCTTTTTTTTTTTCTCTGTCTATCTTTGATGGGTTCATTGCCCGGCTCTATTGGAGGATACCTATTGGCGACGGCAGTTCGCTCTCAAGTTTACGATTGAACGATATGTGGCATGAGATGATGTAGTTCGTCCTGGTTCTGTGTACATATACGAGTTATGATCTAACGAATGAATCATGACATACATAGTACTTGCTTCCGCCTGATCATATGCAGCTCTGCCTAAGCTTTCCCGGATCCATTGGCCGTCAAGCTCAACAGCTGCATCCTCCAGCCTGAAGGGATGTTCATTAATTAAGCTGTGGCCGATGCTGTGAAGCGGATGCGGGGCAGAGAGAGTAATAATTAATGCTAGTAATATTATTATTATTACTATAGCGATCCAGTCCCAGTCATAATAATAACCGTGAAAACTCAACCGAACCCAACCACTCCCTGCGCCATGTCGCTGAGCTGGCACTTTGCGCGCGTTCCTCGACGCCCATAACACGCGCAGTCGACAATCGCACCTAAGCAAATTAAGACCAGCTGCCCTGGCAACGTCGATGATGGAGGCTGGATAAAGGTTTAGGGCGTGTCGAATGCAGGCATGAATGCCCAACTCAGTGCCAAAGCAGCGAATCGGGTCGGTCTCTCTCCACGCAGTGCGAAACTGAAGACTGTTGGCTCTCGGAAGAGTGTCATTGGAGTTTCTTTCTGGCTGACATGCGTGGGTTCTTCTTTTCTCTTCTCTCTAAACCGCGTTGCCGCTACCCTCGCTGTCTCTGGACCCTTCTGTTCCCCCTGGGGCCTGCAGAGCCTCCGCCACTACGAGGTATCTACACACACATCTCCCCTCTCTAATGACGCTTTTCTGGCTATCTGGAGGGCCTTTTTTTAATTTGTCTTGTCATTTTCCTATCTAACCCCACGCAAAGCGGCCCGGTTGATGGCTGTGCCTGTGCTTGTACCTGTACGTGTGTACATGCACTGCTTATATCGGCAACAACTGTTTTGTTACACCCAGTCCAATCCGAAGAAGTCTCACTTCCATTTCCTCCCAGATCCGGAGGGGTAGTGCCTGTCGAGGACGAGTGGATCAGTTTACACTCTGTATGCAAAAGGAATGACGGGTTCGTGCTCAAACTTGTCTGCATGGCGTACATATCCTCCAAATATGCATATGTATCTAATGGTTGATGAGCTGGCAAATTGGGTCTTCCTGTGCCCGGAAGGGGCCCGCTTTCTAACATTCTGAGCCTCGCAACTGGTCAACTGGCGCAGACACCAGCATCAAATTCGCCTTCTTATGGAGTCTCTTGCTCTCCGCTTTTGGCCCGACTGTGACTATGGGGTGGAACGGGTCTTCGCCTGTCCGTTTGTGATTGAAACGTTAGGAGGAGGGGGAGGATCCTTTTTTTCGATTAATTTTTTGTTGTGCGCCGTTTCTTCTCGACCCATTTTGGGCAAACTCCATCACCATTGACCTGATCCATCAGAGGAACAAGTCCTTTTCTCGCCAGATTATCAACCAGTCAGTCCATCAATCAATCCCTTTCGTCCTTCGGCTGAGTTGTTCGACCTCCGGGATCGACTATCTTTTCTGTGCCACCAGTCAAATACGGGAGAACCGACTGCTCAACTGCAAATGCCAGACATCATCAGCTGCCCGATGCAGCCCCCTTCTATGCTTGCATCTGCTTGCATGCCACAAATATTCCGTCCATGTAATCCGGTCTAATCGGCGTGCGCCGGCCCGTTCCAGCATTGCAGCCCCCGAAGGAAATAATAATAATGACAACAATAATTTGAAATGATCCGCATGTGTTTGAACATCCCTCATGCAACATGGATTAGCTGGATAGTGGAGAGAGTCAGATAAAGGCGGGAAAAAAATGAAGAGAAAGGAAAATTTGCTGACAAGTATTCCCTTGTCCACAGTAGCATGCATAAGCCCTCTTTTCTTGTTTTGGTGATTGGGCTTGCTCTGTGTCCCGCCCAATATACACGCATATGAAATTTTTTTTCTTTTTATAAAACAAAAAAGATAATGACCAACTGTGTCATGTTTCCTCAATGTTTAGGCAGGCCCACTACCTTTTTTTATATGGCTCCCCGCTCTCCCCATGTTCCCTGGACGGTTCTGAATGAAGAGCGAAGAACAGCCCGTTGAACTGTCACAATCTATTTTCTGCATTGCATCTGACTCATTCTAACTGTGTATTCCTCTTCTACCACCCTCTTATCTGCGTGTCTTGTCCCTAGGGCTGTGATCTGGCGTTTCCTATTCCTCCATCTTGAGACTTGGGAAGCAGCACTGCTCGGCTGTTCACATTGTGCCCCTCGAGAGGCCATTACAATGCCGTCCGGTAACTTGAACAATGGTGGCAGTCGACTTAGCTGGCAGGACCAGCTGCGTGGTATGGTTCCTGCACCAGAGTTCCTGTATGTCGTTGTGTTCGTTCAAAGGCCATTTTCGCTGACCATGGTTCTTGGATTAGAATATTGTCTGCGTACAAAACTACAACCGCCTGTCTTCAGCATCGTCTCCGATCGTCGAGGTACACACATAGTTTCCTCTTATTTTATCCGTCTCTGGTTGACGAGGTTCCGCTGCTCTTTGTTGCTTGTTCTTCTTTTTCTATTTTTTTTTTTTTTTTTTTTTTTCTGTGTCTCCTGGGCACTCTGAAAGTGGAGCAGGAGAAGACTTTCTTCACCGACATTCTGCTCGCCAATTCCTATAGTTTGACAATCCGGTTGTGCTAATCTGCAACGGTGTTATTCTGTACAGGGGGTCGCACAGCATGGTCCAGCACTGTCACCGTCCAAGGCCAAAATATCGCAGCTCGCTACTGGTATGATGGCCAATACATCAACAACGCCAAGGAGGATGCCGCAGAGGTAGCTCTCATGCGGCTGAATCACCAGCCTCGCTCTCACAGCGTCTATCAGGGGCAATTGTTCCCGCAGACTAACGGGTACGGTCGATCCACGGATTACTAGCTCTTCCCTGTTTTCTTTTCTGGGAGGCTATGTCTTGTTTTTACCACCATTGTATCGTCACTTTCCCTTCCACCTCACCGGCATGCTCTTCTTTGTCTCTTGATATGACGTGTGACAAGTATTCTGCGTGGATGCCGCTTCCCTGGCCTTCGTTTCGTACGACACTACGATCCTTGACATCTATATCGTGTGCTGCTGCAAAGCTCTGAAAATGGCCGCACGAATACATACATGATCCTTCCTGGTTCCCGTTTTCCGGGTTGAAAGACGCCAAAGAGTGACGGTGCAAGCTTGCCATTCTTTTGTCATACTTTGGATGCTTTCGGGATTTTGGCCATCTTTCCCATTATTTACGGCTGATCTATCTGCATCTTCTTTCCTTCAATGATTTCATATCAGCGGTCTATTCGACCGACAGATTGTTCAACGTGCCCACGCATTCTTTCAATGAGTTTCTTTTATGCAGTTCTTTGATTTCTCCCCACCCTCACTTTCTGTGCTTTCTTCGCGGATTTGTTTACACCTGTTTTCATTCCTATATGTTCTTTTTTTTTTTTTCAATTCCCGCGTCCCTGTCTTCCCTTATCCATCTCTTGTGGAACTATCGAAAAAGGCAAACCGGTCAATAGCGACAGACACGAAATAGAAATATTCAAAACGGAGGCTCATGGATCGTTGGTGGACTTTTATTTTGTTTTGTGGAACAGGCTTCCTGGGTTTGGAATCTGGAGTTTTAACATGGATATTGGGAGGATTTCGTTTGTCTTGAACTGGGCTGGGCTGGGCTATCTGACTGACTCTTTTGTTTATCTGAAATAAATCATGATCGGCACTTGATTATTGTGAAATGATTCCTATGATGATATGTGGCATGCTTGTTCTTTTGCGCTGGTTTGGATTTGGTGGATGTTTTCGGGGACATACTATGATAGCTGATGCATGCTCATGTTGAATTGAATGTATGGGAACCAGTCCCATGTCTTTGAAATATCCTCTACTCTTGCTCAACTGTGACTTTTATATATTCTGCTTCTATTGAGGATACAGGACGTTGGTCGGTCTACCTAGCCATGTAGAGCTGTACGGCCCAAGATTCGTAGATTTACATAATCAATGCAAACAGCACAAACACAACAGCATTATCCGATTAGATACTCGATGGCTTCAAAAATATCTATCGAGCTGCGGGACAGCGTCGCATACGGGTGAAAGAAGGCTTTGATCATTGTGATGAGAATGCCCTGTCTCTGACATTCCTCAATGCCATGTCTGCGAATCAACTTCATCCGCTACATCCCTTATAACTCCACAAAGAGGAAATCAACCGCAGTAACTCTCCGCGGGTTTCAAACCGCAACCATGTCGACCACGACAACGACAGCACCGTCGCCGTCACCGCGCAAGCCCATGCCTTCCGCATTGACATTTAACCTCGATGCAAAATGCTCGGTGAGATTTTTACTATTATAGAGCATACATACTATTCTACGACCATGAAAAATTCAAGGACTCATGCGCTGACTCATGTCTGTCCCGTTCCGCAGACAACCAAAGCCCGCGCAAGTACCCTACACCTCCCTCATGGTGCCGTCAAGCTTCCCATTTTCATGCCAGTTGCAACACAGGCGTCCCTGAAGGGCCTCACATATGACCAGCTGAAAGATACTGGATGCATGCTGTGTTTAAATAATACATATCATCTGGGTTTGAAGCCTGGACAGGCCGTGCTTGATGAAGTGGGCGGTGCGCATAAACTGCAGGGATGGGATAGAAACATTCTAACGGATAGTGGGGGGTAAGCTATTTTTCTTCCCGGTGTCTTTGCTCTGTAAAGTGGCATACATGGGCTATGCTCCTACGGAGTAACACTAACATGAGCTATGTTGGACATGCGGCTGATGATTTCGTCTGTTGCTGCAGGTTTCAAATGGTTTCCCTGCTCAAACTGGCCAGGGTTACAGAGGAAGGTGTGCGCTTTCTCAGTCCCCATGATGGAACTCCTATGTACGTGGAGTTGGCCTCTATCTTCCTGTTTGCAGGCCCACCTAATGAGATCTATGTGGCAGGCTTCTTACTCCTGAGCATTCTATTTCTTTACAAAATTCCATCGGGTCGGATATTATGATGCAGCTGGATGACGTGATTGCCACAACTTGCCCGGATATTGAGAGGATGCAAGAGGCGATGGAACGCTCTGTTCGATGGCTGGACCGTTGTATTGCTGCACATAAGTACCCGGAGAAGCAGAACCTATTCTGCATCATCCAGGGTGGTCTGGATTTGGATCTGCGGCGGAAGTGTTGCGCCGAGATGGTAGCGCGTGATACGCCGGGGATTGCCATAGGAGGATTGTCTGGGGGCGAGGCAAAGGAGGAATTTTGTAAAGTGTATGTCCATTCTCTTGTTACACGTCTCCCCTCGTCGAAATTCCTTTTATCCCGGTGGATAACTGACAGTATCCCGCAGGGTGGACACATGTACCGGCCTCCTTCCAGAGCGTAAGCCTAGATATGTAATGGGAGTGGTAAGTTTACCGAACAAATGTAGCTGTGATTTGATTTGATACTCATCTGCGTCTCCATTCAGGGCTATCCGGAGGATCTGGTTGTGGCAGTGGCACTTGGTGCGGATATGTTCGACTGTGTCTGGCCCACAAGAACAGCAGTAGGTTTCTCTGGCTCTTGTTTTCGAACCGTTGTCGACTGGCTCACACGAATGACAGCGATTTGGTAATGCCATAACATCTGCGGGAAACCTGAACCTCCGTAACTCGTCTTATGCCACGGACTTCGGGCCGGTGGAGGTTGGCTGTACTTGCACTTGCTGTCTGCCTACGGATCAAGGTGGTATGGGCATTACAAGAGCCTATATCCATCATCTAACAGCAAAAGAGACTGTCGGTGCTCACCTGTAAGGATTTAACCCCCCCAAAGTGTCGCTACATCAAATGGGAAGTGACATTGCGCTAATATGATCGATCTCAGGCTTTCAATCCATAATGTCCATCACCTTCTATCTTTGATGGGATCCGCCCGACAAGCCATTCTAGAAGATCGATATCCCGAGTTTCTGCGACAGTTCTTCAGCAACCTCTATAAAGGTGACAAGTTGAAGTATCCTAAATGGGCGGTAGAAGCCCTCCGCGGCGTCGGAGTGGACCTGTTGGCGTAGGGAGCGGGAACCAATCATATGAGCATGTCGTTTGCATTTGCGGTTGGAAGCGAAGACCTGCCCTTATTTTGGGTTGTCCATTTCTATATACATTGTGGACTTGGTTGAGGCGCAATATTCTCGCCTAGCGACTGATGTGTTTACACTGTTACGTTCGAAATAGACTTCTTCTAGATTATCTATGGTTTACTTGGACAAGTTGCGCCGAATGCCTCTGGCTTTCATTATTCTATGAGACGAGTGATAGACATGGTGATATGGGTGAGCTACAGATTGCGAGTAGATCTATCCTGTCTGGACTCATTGCAGAATGGATGGAATAAGCGCCTTACTCGATTGCAAGACAACGAGAGAAAGATAATAATAACTACACATATCCAGGAACGCAGATCATGAAACGTCACAGTCCAAAATAAAGTTCAAAATATGTAAATATTTTCAATAATAATAATTTCTCAGAAAATCGCAAAAGAACTGTGCAGTGCGTAGACCCACCCATCCAGATTCCACAGATTAGTTACATATCGCCGATCTGTATAATCGTGGAGAAAGACCCACACTTTCACCACTATCCGGTTCTAGCCATATACCTTATTTCCCACCAGCGCCACGCTAAAATTTTGGGCATTTTTGGATTTAGAGATGGTCTGCGGTATGCTCTGTCTTTCGTAATTATTGGTGTTGAAAACCCGGATACATCCGCCTCAAGGTCCAAACATAAGCGCAGACCTGGTTCTATCCCAAATAGCGCGATTACATCGCATTTTTTGCCAAAATAGGCAGGCAGTTCCGGTGCAAAGGTTCCTGGGTATTAGTAATAATTTAATCTCAGCACGTGATATTGCGTATCGATATCACGTGATATTGATACGCGTTCCTGTCGCGTGGGACGCGACACCGACTTTTTTTCGATCTCACAGAGATTAAAGCATCGTTGAGGTCAGTCACTACGGTACATTCACGTTATTCTGTCCGTTGCGATAATAATACATAAAAATAAATACACAAAGGCTTTTAGAAAGATACTCTCAGCCATGAATTCCGAAGAAGCTCAAGCGCTCACTCAACCAACCACCATTACTATTACCCCCTCAAACCCCTCCCATGAAGAACACCAATACTTAAACCTCATCCGCACCATTCTCGCCCAAGGCGAACACCGTCCCGACCGCACGGGAACAGGAACATATTCTATATTTGCACCGCCACAACTCCGATTCTCACTATCAAAATCTCCCAGCAGCAACGATGAAGAACAAGAACCAATCCCGATCCTCCCCCTCCTCACAACGAAACGCGTCTTCCTACGCGCTGTCATCGCAGAACTGCTATGGTTCATTTCCGGATGCACCTCGTCCATCCCCCTGTCTGAGTCTGGTATTAAAATCTGGGACGGGAACGGCTCGCGCGACTTCCTCGATAAGGTGGGCTTGGGGCATCGCGAGGTCGGTGATTTGGGCCCCGTCTACGGGTTCCAGTGGAGGCATTTTGGGGCCGAGTACGTCGATGCCAAGACGGATTATACCGGTAAGGGCGTTGATCAGTTGCTCGAGGTCGTGCGGAAGTTGAAGGAGAACCCGTTCGATAGGAGGATTATTCTGAGTGCTTGGAATCCGGCGGATTTGCGGAAGATGGCTTTGCCGCCTTGTCATATGTTTGCGCAGTTTTATGTCTCTTATCCTGCTACTTCTTCTGAGGGTGAGGCTGAGACAAAGAACAAAAAGAAGGGAACTCTGTCTTGTCTTCTGTATCAAAGGTCTTGTGATATGGGTCTAGGCGTTCCCTTTAATATCGCTTCATATGCGCTTCTCACGCATATCTTGGCTCACGCTGCCGATCTATATCCTGGAACCTTGATTCATACCATGGGCGATGCTCATGTGTATCTTGATCATGTTGATGCCTTGAAGGAGCAGCTTACGCGGGAGCCGACCGAGTTCCCTGAGCTTCGGATAAAGAGGGATGACCGTGGTAGCGGTGTTGTTGATGGATGGAAGGAAGAGGAGTTCGAGGTGATTGGGTATAAACCGCATAAGACGATCAAGATGAAGATGAGCGTCTAGTTGTTCATTATTGCCATGTTATATTGTATTGATGCTAGAATATGTTTATGATAGATATCCTTGTTCAAAGAGAAATCGAGAGAGTGGCATGATCATGTCGTAGACATCATTAAATCGCATGAAATTTGTTCAAATGAAACGCCCGGGTGTATCATATGCAACCATGGCCCAAGAATGCCACAAATGCAAGAAAGAATATCAAATATATATCATCAGGATTTTCCCAACAATACTCCCGCCCCTCGCAGCAAAACAAGCGTATGGCCCTGCTTCACCTTGCCTCCTCCAATGCTCTCCGAGAACTCCAGGAATTCACCAGACTCGACATGGAATACACGCAACCGCTCTTCCTCCCCTCCACCGCGATTATTCAGATTCTCAACATGCAATCTCCTTGCAGCCTCATCAAGCACCCTCCCCACTTTCCAACGGGAATCGAAGAAGAAATCCCCGGTCGGAGGTTCCGTCTTCTGAGTATCCGACGACCCCACCACATGCAGATACAGTCGCTTATCAGCCACAATAGCGGGATCGCCTTTCGCGGTCCTCTTGAGCGCATTCAAACCTCCCACACCTGAAGTGGACGATTTGCCCTTGAACCCATTCGACAACGTCCCTCCACCCGTCGTCGGTATTTTATCCTTCCCCCATGTTCGTACCTTGGCGAACATAGATCGTATCGTCTCACTTGCATTCGCACTTTGTTGCCCTTGCCCTTGCCCGCCCAACGGCACGACCTTCGCGCAGTCATGTTCCTCCTGTAACCTGTGTTTCAGACAATACTGCCGATTACAGTTGGGACAGCGCACGGCGGGATCCTTGAGAGTATTGATGAGGGTCTTGCAGGAGAGATGAGCGCATTGATCGGTATTATAGATGGTTGGTCTCTGCGTCAATGATGATGACAGATTACCTCCAATCCCCGCATTCTGGTTACGTCTTCGTCGGGCCCACTCGCCTGCCTGTGGGCATTTGTGTGCTGTTTCTGTGCGGTGTTCGAGACAGAATGTTCTCCGGCAGGATTCGCATCGGAAGGGGAGGAAGTCAAGCTGGTTGCAGTATTCGAACTTACAGTGTCGGCCGATAGCTTCGAGATCTTCGTCTGGGATTTGGGTGAAGGAGGATTCTTGATTCTGTGTGTTTGGGTCTGGATCTGATTTTGTGCTGGGACTTGGGGTGCCCGATTGACGGCCCTTGACGACTGTGATGGGTGCCATAGCTGGAGGAATACGCTGGATAGGTCTGTAGTATGTACGCCGGGGAGATGAAGGCGGAGAAATCGCCTTAATAAGTAACTGCCGGAGGTGGAAGGCGGAAGAAGGAGCTGGCAGGTACCGATGCCGTTATGTAATCTGTATTACTGTAACTAGTTAGTTACGGTATTAATATGTGTAACATGCACAGCCATGTTATGTTATGTAATCAAGATATACAGCTGACTATTGTTAACTACCGAGGCACAAGGACAACCTCCAGATCAAGAAAAGAAATCAAAGGAGAACTCAAATACACATAAGGGTATATTCTGACAAGAAAGACTGAGAAATACCAAGTAATCCGCAACTGGAGAACCTAAATGACCGGATGCCCATACGGCATAATTCAACAAAAAATAACAGATACAAAGGAGCCAGGAAAGAAAGACTATATCGATGAACAAGGGGAAACAGAACAGATCGATATGATATTAAAACACCACACCTGGCTTGCACTATTATTATGTCCGTGTAGATATATGCACCATAGCTGGCGATGTAGCTTATCCGGCAACAACCATGGAGGACAAGACAGTGGTAAGATCACAGTATGTGATCCTAGTACGGCCATTTACTGAGGATTGGAGGCAAAGGGGATCGGACCGGACGATGTAAAGACAGGAAGACCATGCTTGGTTTGCGAGGCTGATACTGGTGGTGAAAAGAGAGTAGGCTGAGGGGGTGTAGTATTGTTTACACCTCCAGGTGTAAGCGGAGGAGAAATTGTAGTCGATATCGCCTGCGGGGTGATGGCTGTACAGGACGCATCCACAGGATTGCCGGTCCCAGAATGCTCGACACCCGCAGCCACGTGTGTTCCAGAAGCTTCAGTTGCCGAGTCTACCGGGGTAGACAATGAAGCGAGAGGAGAGGTAGAGAGCGGGCTGACCGGTTCCTGATTCTCAGGTCCGACTTCCTGCTTTGCCTGTGCAGCAATGGGAAGGTAGGTTTCGGTGTTGGAAGGAGCCAACGGAGGCAGTGAAGTTGTCGAAGTAGACTTCGAACCAGTAAGATGATGATCTTTCACGCCGCCAATTTTCTTAGACACGATCTTTGTTGAAGCTCTTCTGCGTTCTTCAGCCGCCTTCCTCTCTTTCTCCCGAATGGCATTTTCCTCGGGCGACGGAACTTTCAGTTTGATACTGAGTTTCTGAATACCCGCGGATAAACTATCCATATCGTGCTTGCCAGTATTATCATTTCGAGCCGAGGGGACTTCTTCTTTACCATTTGAGGCAGACACAGAAAGCTCTTGCCCCTTAAGAGAGACGCCAGAATCAAGCGTGGGCGGGACCTTTGGTACAGGAGGCACCCTCTTGGGACTTTTGGACTGCTTCGAGGCAACGGTTCTAGTAGCAGCAGTCTTGCGAGCTGCCGTTGATGCTGAAGACCTGGCGCTCATCGAGGTCCCTGGTCTCGAGGGAGGCCGCGAAGAAACATGGCCGGCAGCTCCTGCGGAAGTGTCTTGGCCTGCAGGGGTGCTCTCTCTCCGACCTACGCTCCTGACTGGCCTATTAGCAGACGATGTTTGAGTAGAACCGGCAACATCGATTGTAGTTCTCCTGCCGCCTTTGAGCACAAGCGGTTTAACACTCTCCTTCTTCGGCGTATTTGGTCGGGAAGAATTCCTGAGCTTTCTGGAGCGAAGTTGCATTTTGCTCTCGTCAGTAGCAGTGGTGTCCTCTGTTCGATCAGCAGCCATCTGACGCTCCCTGCGGGCACGGGAGGCTTCCGCGTTAAGCTCCTCTGATCGATAACTCATGGTCTGTCGATTGCTAGGAATGAGGATTTTGGAAAGCTCATGTGCTGCAGTGGCCCACCCGACTTCTGGTAGTGGAGGAGGCGAATCGGGGTCTGAATTGCCGCGAGAGCTAGTGGACTTCCGATCACGGGGGGGAGTTACCACTTTGGCAGAAAATGAGCGTGTCGGTGCAAAGTATGATGGGCCAGATTTCTCACGAGGTTTCATCGTAGGACTCGGTGGTGGGTAAGCGAGTGCTTCCAATTCATCCAGCATCGCAGGTTCCCACCATTCGGTTCGGAAATCTGCCCCGAGTGCATGATTGACTGTTTCACCAGAATCACCGACTGGGAGCCCCAGATGACCGGTCATCTCAAATGCCAAACGGTTATTTTTAAGGTCCGGGTCAGATGCACTGCTGGATGATGGATAACCCAGGCCAGCTAGGTGACTGAAGACGCCACTTTCCAATGCCCGGTCACTATATCCACCTTCCAATACACTGATAACCCGCCCGTCGACGCCCAATCCTTCTTCCTCGGCCATGCGGGCCACATCCGCCGTGAACTTGGCGTAAAAGTCCGTTGGAACATTCACCTTATGCCTCTGCATTCCAGCACCCTCCCATTCGCTGGCATCGAAGCCAGCAGAGATGAAAACAGCTGCCTTGGGCGAGGGACCATTGGGCGCATGTGATAGGCGTTCGGTATGTAGGCGCAGAAAAGCGCGGGCTTTATCAATCAGAATGGAGTATTTCGTTCTGTAGAGCTCCCAGAATTCCGAGTGGTTCCTCCACGGCTCCAGGTGGATGTTCCAAATGGACTGGCCATGAGCTTTGTCGATACAGATACTTGCATTGCGTACCTTATCCGGTTCTCCCATTTCGCAGGGGTATGAGTTGATATCGTGCATGCTAAAATATCCAATCATGGTCTTCTTGTAACTTGCTGAGTTCCTGTGGGCCGCAGCAGCCTTGCGATTTTGTTCCCAGGCGACCTCCTGTGATCCGTCGCCATGGTGTAGATCGAAGTCCAAAATCGCTGCATGAGTCAAGCCGTGTGTCATGGCAGCGTATGATATACCCACATGTACATTATTAATCCAGCAAAATCCAGATGGATGGCCGGACGAGCAATGGTGGCCGGGAGGACGGATGCAGACAAACGCGCGGTTGACGGAATCTGGGCAAAAGACGGCATCAACCCCTTCGCAGACACCTCCCAAGGCACCCTCGAAGGCGTTCAGAGATTCAGAACACAGATAGAGATCTCCTTCATGTAACTGGGGAGCATCCACCGCAGTATCATCCTTGTTTGCGCTACGAGGTCGGACAAGCTCCCTGCCGTTCAACGCGAGTCGTGATTCTGCCGCATCGCACATGCTCTTCAGGTCGTCCATCCACTTACTGCCATGAACATTGGTCACAGCTGGAGAATTAAGGGCGAGAGTCCTATCCGTTTTGCGAATCTGAAATGGCACAGGCAGGTGGCGAGGATCCAGGTCCGGATGAGGGGAGAACATCTCACCCGCATGTCTGCGTCCCAGACGAACGTAGGCGGCGGACACTCCCAAGACACTAGCACGAACACGTTCGGGACGCTCTACAATGGTGCTCAGAGCGGTCTTTGATGTTCGAGGTCGGGAGAAACGATGACCGTAGCAGGCATCTTGGAGGATCACAAGGGTTTTAGACTGCAAATCGGTTGATTGATGCAGTTCTACCTCCTTTCGAAAGTGTTCTGCGGCAATAGAAGCTGCGGTAGGAGCCATATGCTCACCCGCCAATGTATGGGATGACCTAGAAGGCATGTTAGTCTTCGTGACGTGGAAGAGAGAAAAAAAGAGACGGGCGTATTGGGAATTGAATGACCGTTGAGCAGGAAGACTGGGGCGCGGAGATGTCGAACCTCCAGTGCGTGCAGATCGTAGTGAAGCCGTGGAAGGGCGTTTTATTAAGCCTGGGGTGGATTTCCTGCGTTCATCTCTCAATGAGGTGGAACTGGGTGTCCGCCGCGGAGGATGATGGTGAACGACAGTACGCGACAGTGGCCGTGTTCCATCGAGCGCAGACAATGAATGTCCAGGAGAAGATGACAGAGCCAGGGGATTCAGACTGTTAGACAATGACGCAGCAGGATCAGATGTGTTGGGATGAGACATGGGTGGTGATGGCGACGCTGGTTGTACAGTAGTTTGGTGTTTTGATGGAGCGCCTTGCGCGTAGTTAGGGGAGGATCCGAAGGGGTCCATGATAACAACGGAGACGACAATACAATGCAGTTGTATTCGATAGTGGAAGAAGTCTCTTTTCCTTCCTATCCTCGCATTTCAACGCATTGCATCTATATGCTGTATAAAGTTGCAATGACTCCTGAATGATGATAGTTCGCCAAAAGTTGAGCTGTAGATCCGCACGTGTCTCTCCCCTTACCACAGCCGCTGCAGGCTGCAAGCTGTACGCTCACTCTGCACGCAACCACAAACAACCCCCAGTCAACCTTCAACTTTTTTGTTTTTCCTCTTCTACTTATCTCTTGCAGTCTTTGTCAATTGCCAGCATAGCTATCATTATTTTATTTCGACCTGTCTACGTTCTTGTTGCCTGAGTGAACTGTCCCGTCTACTGCTATAGGAGTAGCAATGCCATAATACAGACGCATTGGAAGGAAATAACCCCTTCTGGTCTCTCTGGGACCAGATATTCCTGTCTTGTCTCTCCACTAATGATTGCACTATAGGCACAGTGCATAGACTCATTCAGACAAAAGACACAACTGCAAGCACACCTTCTCAACTGACCCTCTATCTTATAGTGCCAGTTTTAAGGCCACAAAACAATCCCTGGATGAATAAACCGAAATAGGAAAAGAAAGGAAAGAAAAAGAAAGGAAAAACAGTAGTTCAAAGAGAGACAATGAGTGAGATAGACACAAAAAAGAAAGCAACATGCCGCTGTCCGCAACGCTCAGCATCAAACACAGCTTTTTCTCAAACGAAGGTATCTGTCTATGCAGCCGGCCATTCTATATGCTGAATCAAAATATTTGCAAACGAAATGAAGATATCGATAGCGATATCGACAGAGACACCGCAGAAAAAAGCCCCCCAGTTCAGATGATAGACCGAAGATCATGTGGATACAACTTTTGAATTCACCCTGTCGGTTTCCTGTATCAGAGTGATACCACTACCTGAACCAGTGGTACCACCTCTTCTTTCTCTTCATCACTGTAGATATCACACCCTTCTCATCAGGGTCAATTCCACGCTTTTTCAGCTTCCGCGCGCGCCTCCGGGCTCTGCGCTCAGATTTCCATGATGATTTTGCATGGCGATTACAGAAACAATGCATGTGTGCCGCTTCAATGGCGACATCCTGACAGGATCCCTCTTTCCTGGCAGTACATATAAAGTTTCCAGCGTCAAATTCGCACCGACACCATTCGTAGCAGATGATATATTGCCGACACATGATGGGCGGGGTAAGTATTGCTGCAATATTCCGGGAATGAGACGAGTAAGGAATAAGGAGTAAGGAGCAAGGAGATAAAGCCTCAATGGCAATTAGACTAGGAGATGAGGACTGAGGTGAGGTTGATAGGATCGTCGTGTATATATAAAAGTAGTAATAGCAGTAGAGGCCACGGGGTCCTGCCCAGGAGTAGTTGATAAGAGATAAAGCATCAAATGATTCGACAAGTGTCTTCCGGCAGGGAACACGAGGAGAGTAGAACCCCAATCCAGCGGATGTTCGGTAGACGGTCCTTCCAGCAGGCAGGACCTAGAAAACCCCAAGGCTGGAGGGCTAATAGCCGCCGTATCCGAAGTAGCTGAGTCTCTGCTCGGGAAGCCGAATCATCGTAGTCGACTTCCGGGGGCTGTGTATCTGGTCGGTGGCGGTTGTGGAGCTTGGCACGGGTCCTAATAGTGATAAATGATACTGATACTGCTCCCAGACTGCGACGTCCAGTCTGGTTATCAACGCGGAGAGATTGTGGTGACAAAGAGGACGGAAGGGAGCGACAGAGGGTGGGCGAGAGATGATGTTCAAATAAAGAGGATTCGTAAGTGCGAAAAAAAGTGTTTGACGTCAAAGTGGTCAAGCCATGGAGTTCACTCTAGCAATTAGCGTCGCCCAGCCCATCCGGCGGTCTATGAGTATGGATGAACTTTGAAGATGCTGAGTACGTTCGCAGCGAAGGTTAGGGGAAACGGCCTGCGGCATGCGGACGAACTCTCAGGTCTTGGCCGCAGTCGTAGCCATGACACGCCGACTGCCGTCTTCCGCCAGCTTCCGCTTGACGCTGGTCCTAGCTCTGATCCTCTTGGTTAACTGCGAGAACAAAAAAGGAGGCCTCTCATGACCAATGGATACCGGCGAGGTCTGGATGGGGTAGATGCAGCAAAGACTTACTGGAGACTGGGGTGCAGAAGCTGTGTCATTATGCATGGAGCTTACGAATTCGAAGATCGGCTCAGCTCAGCTGCTCCTTTGTGCTATTATTATCCTATTATTATCAGTAGGACGGAGTACTAATTATTATGGCTGAAGAAGATGAGATCATTATTATGCATCACGATCACTATTCCCGATTGGGCCGGGCAGATCTCGCGGATCACGTGGGTCACTTCGCGAACGCTTCTGCTTCTGGACTAGCGCAGTTATGTGAGTAATCGTATTTTATGCCTGAGGCACTGCAGAGGTATCTTCCCGGTCGGGCATGATAATTATCCATTGGTGGGATCTTCTCCGGTTCCGACTTCAGATTCTACCAAAACGGCAATGCACGAGATACCCTTGCCAGCTGTCAATATCCCTGCAGACATCCGCTTTCGGACTGAAAATTTTACAGTTCCCCGATAAAACTTGATCCTCACAGCCCGCAGATTTCTACCGGTACCCTGTTCAATATAATCCAATGGCCTCGCCCCAATCCCCTGCCCTACCTCCTACTACTACGAAAGCAGCTATGACCGCATCTCCCCAACGAGCCGCCACTCTCCTCTCCAACCTCGCCGCAGTAACATCTTGCGTCACCACCGCATCCTCCAAGTCTGCAGCTCCAAAATCCGTCCGACTCGTCGCCGTATCCAAACTCAAACCCGCCTCCGATATCCTAGCCCTCCACAACCCACCCGCCAGTCACCTCCACTTCGGCGAGAACTATGTCCAGGAACTGCTGGAGAAGTCTCGCCTTCTCCCCACAACCATCCATTGGCACTTCATCGGCGGGCTGCAGTCGAATAAATGCCTATCGCTCGCCCGGGACGTGAAGGGGCTCTGGGCCGTCGAGAGCGTCGATACGGAAAAGAAAGCCTCGCTACTTGATAAGGGCTGGGGTGAACGCCAGAAGCTCTCCTCAGAGAAAGAGGAAGGGGGAGAAGAAAAAGAAAATGCACAGTCTCGTCTCCGCGTGTTCGTTCAAGTAAATACGTCAGGCGAAGAGAATAAATCGGGTGTGGAGCCTACAGCGGCACCCGCATTATGCCAGTTTATTCGCGACAAGTGTCCGCGTTTGAAACTGCAGGGCCTCATGACTATCGGTGCCATTGCACGGTCCAAGGCTACTGGTCCTGGACAGGAAAATGAGGATTTCCTGTGCTTGAAGGAGACCCGAGATCGCGTTGTCAAGGAACTCGATCTCCAGGGTGCTGAGCAAGATCTGGAGCTGAGCATGGGCATGAGTGATGACTATGAAGGTGCTATTGTCCTGGGCAGTGACCAGGTCCGCGTTGGTACGTCAATCTTCGGCGAGAGGCCGCCAAAAGCTCAGGCCAAGGTGATCTAAGTCCTGCGTGGCCTGCTGTCCAGAGCCACGAGAACCATGAATTATGAACATTTGCATACACGTTGCATTTTTTTTTTCTTGGTGTTTTAAACGAGGCCTTGAGGATGTCCTGAAAGAGGGGGGAGCCAAATGTTGACGTATAGATGGTGAAGAGAACCCTGCACCACGCATTGTAATACTGCCCACAGGTAACTTAAAAGCTGTCAGCTTATGCATACTATTGTAATCGGCATGCACGATTATTATCTAGATATCTATACTACTATTCTTAACTGACAAACTTCTCTTTATCCAATTCGAGCTATCATGTCCCCGCTTCTTTTTGCAATGCTTCGTGGGATCATTAACCATTTAAGGTGCTTGGTCTGCATGTCAGCATACGATGCCAAAGATCAGCAGCGCTTCGTCCATTCCAGTGATGATTCTCCAGAATTGTCACAACCGCAGGGGTGATCTATATAAAATTGACTATAATGCAGAATATGATAGAAATGGAATTTCCAATTCAAATGGCATGCAAAAACCCGAACTCCAGATGCCTTGCAGTGATGGGTTCGTGCAACAAGAAGATAAAGAAATACATCGAGGTAATGTAATTATATAGTTATGAATGGGTGTTCCATAGGGCCCTCCCTCCATTTCCCGTCCACTGTCACAAAAGAAGTCGGAGGGTCATGAAAAACTGTTTCCTGTCTTGTTTTGTCACTACACATACTTCTCCCTGTTTATCCCCTGTGACAATTTCTGCTCCATCTGCTTCATCAGGGCCTGCGGGACTGCCTCCTGAGTGGCACGGATCGTGATTCGGTACATCTGATTCCTGTCAGTTATTTCGCACTGGTAGAAAAGCGGGCAAGGGACCGCATACATTTTTCTCATAATTGGGCTCCAACCGTAGAAGGCAACCCGTTTTTCCTTCGCTAGATTCATACACGCCACAACCAACAACGTTCTTCGAGATGGGATCCACGCCATCCAGAATCTTCCATTGAAAGCCTTCAACAACTCTTCTGGTGAATACATCATCGATGGACTTCCCCTTCGCAACGCCAAAGGTGTGTTGTGCCTCCAATGGCGGCCCGCCGATTTGCCTCCACCGCTTGAAGAAGTCTTCTGCACTCAATGACGACGGTTCCATATATCGGTGCATCAAAATTGGTAGCCGTAAAGTGTAGGCCTGAAGTGCTCCAGCTAAGTACGAGATACGGATGGTAGGTGGTTCAGAAAATGGCCCATGGGATTCAACAAAGATCGTCTGCTGGGTTTGACCGGCGGCCGGGATCGGAGACTCGGGAAGGCTCTTCGTATCGATTTTTAGGTTCGTGGCCTCGGAGTTGTCCAGTGTCGTCGTAAATGATCCCACAGGATACGGCGATTTATTACTGAAGTAAAGTTTCACAACACCCAAATGCCCGCGGTACTCCGACCGCATGCCGACCTGAATCTGCACGTCTTCAAACAGTACGCCCTCGTCAGAGAAGAATAGCCGATTGTACCCAATATCCCAATCAGGCGTTAGATGCGCTGCACTGGCTAAGTTAGGGGCCGGGGTAGACGGAGCACTAAGATCAAGGCCAACCAGATCGCCTGATGCACTTGACTTGAGTTTTCCATTCGAAGTGCCATTGGCACCATTAGCGATTGTTGTAAACGAGCGCTTCAGTCCAGTATTCTGTGCCATCATGACTTCGCTCTTATCCGCATTGGCATCTTTACCGCCCACAACCCATGTCTTCTTCTCGGAAGTGCCAGCGGTCTTCTGGTGAAGACGAGACAGAAGAATTGACGCACGCTCTGAGAAAGGAGGCATTTCGTCGCAAACGGTTCGGAGAAGGTCATCTGTCGGCTGCGTGGCCAATGATAGATATTCAAAAGCGCGTTGCTGTAGCTCGGAATCGGGCGAATGACTGTACAAGCGGAATATGTGCAGAAGCTGTGGCTTGATTTCAGGGAATAGATTAACAAATTTGACGAAGGATGATAAGATCATAGCCCGTGTGTTATCGGAGCAAGAGAACATCTTCGCCTGCAAGGTTAGGAACTGCTCAATGGGACTTGATCCCGGGTTATCAGCTATCAGGTGGCCAAACTCGCCCAGAACATAGCTTCCGATTTTCACCAAGCTTTCATGGCAGTCGACTTTCAGATAACCGATGAGAATCTGTGCAGCGTATGCCTGCAATTCTTCATTGTTGGTAACGATCTGAATCACTCGTTGCCAGACCTCTTCATTCACGTGGTCGCCAGCCAGGGACAGAAGCTTCAAGGTCATGTCAATGTACCATTGCGCATCAGTAGCATACTTCTCTGTAAGGATTGCGATCTTTAGCACCATCTCCTCGCGTATCGCATAGTCAGCTGTCTGGAGATACCGCAAAAGCTCATTAACTATCGGGCCTGCATTCGATGTATCACACATGCTGTAGACAAGATCCAGTCCCTTGCGGCGAACGCTGATATCCCGATCACGGAGGGAGCCCAAAATGATATTCTGGTGCTTCTTGATAGGATCGAGTGTCTCTGCCCGGGCTGCAAAATGGGTCATAGCATCTAGGCCGAGGTACCGGACATTGGTCTCGCGCGATTGGATGTATTTACCCAGCCGGGAAGATATTTGCATCATAAGACTGTGCTCTGTATCTAGGTGAATAAGAAGGTTGATAGCTTCGAATAAAACAGCATTTTGAGCATTGTTCTGCTGGACATTTCTCGGCATCTCCATTGCGACGTGCATGATTCGTTGTAACGACTCTCGGATGATCTCCCGGACACGGGTGTCCTCTATTCTCAGGTTAGACCGGTTGACAAGAAGAACACCTGACTGGAAATGGAAAATACATAAAGATGTATGGAGGATATAGGCTTACCAGAAGGTGGGTAGTACTGAAGGAGACGCAGCAACTTCACTTGGATCCAGGGACATGGCACACGGTAGTAAAGATAATCGACTGACATATCGTTATCGATGACGACCTTCTTCAAGCGTTGGGCAGCTTTTACGTAGCAGCCTTTGTATTCCTCTGGCTTATCTTGGGCAAGGGCCATAATGAGAGACGTGACTGACAAGGTTACGCCCATATCCGGGTCATCCATTAAAGAGATTATTCGTTCCGCCCACTCATTCTGTACAATACCAGGATACTTGCGGTATAAACGGAGGAGGGTTAAAGCTGCCTTCTTCTTAACAAAGGCCTTTGAGGTCCTAAGGAAATGTCAATAACGAGTATCTTCTGGCCGAGGGAAGGACCAGGGAAAGCGAGCTTACGGTGAGATCAGAAGCCGGTGAACGTCAGTACCCAGGGCCTCTCCCATTTCTTTCCCACCTACATTAGCAACTGCATGCAAGGCCAAGCAGTTGTTCAACTCATTATAATCGAGTAGATCCTTCCGAATGCTGTTGACGACGAGATGCAGCAGCTCATGTTGTTCATGAAAGAAGAGTGTGACCGCCAGGTACCCAATCTGCTTCTCGGAATATTTGGTGGAAGAGACCAGATTAACCGCCTCGAGGTGACCGAAATCGACATCGTACCCTTGTATGTAGACGTAGAGCAACTTGCAGACGTATTTCTTCTTCTGATAGCCATTGAGATTGCCTGCCTTGAACTTCTGCCGGATGTTGGCCAGTTCTTTATTCACCCGCTTCTCCTCCAGTTCGCGGGCTCGCGCATTCCGCAAGTCTGCGATGAACTGGACCAATCCACGCATGGAAGACATGATGCTGGCAATTCACCCAGGTCACGTATCGTTTTCGAAAGATATGGCGAGGAGGGAGGGAAAGATCATAGACATATATATTCGAAATACTTATTCGAGACACCGCTTTCCTTAGCCGATGTCGCGTTAGACAACATGCGCGATCAAAGAGCCCACACGCATGTATATGTATATATACCCACTCAACAACCACTTAGGGGGTTTGACCAGTGAGACAGCATTCACACGTTCATATTCTTATACCTGCCCGATTCCGATAAACGCTATTGTCCATTGAGAATGGTATGGAAATCTGAAAGGCGAATCTGCTCAAAATTTGTTCGATGCCGATGATATTTGGTCGGCAAAGGGTAGGAATGGAAGGGAAGGAGCCGGAAGGGGGAAGGGAGACGGTTGCGAGTCTGTCTCGAGGATGAGAATCGGCGGCGGCAACAGGGGTAAGACTGGATTGAGCTGACGGGACTTGTCTCAGCTAGGAACCACGATAGCTGGGCCACCGATATGGCTCTGGGCAGCGGGAGTTGCGATGACAGGACGCCGTTCGTCGAAGTGCAGGATTGCAGTCGCAGAAGCAGTTCTCGGACCTCCGATGTCGATCCGCGCCAGATCCGCAGCTTTGAAGTCGGATCATCGTTGATGCGGGCTGTCTGCAGGAGAACTGTTCATACTATTCTTATTGCATACAGTATATTTTTCTCATTTCCTTGAAACATGAAGACCCGTGAAGCTCTTATGAGCCAAATGTATTACTAGTTTATAATCATATTGAAACAGCCATGACCAAGCAAAGCAATCCCTGACAAATCCTCTCACAGTATAAACGCCCAGACCCAAGCATGCTCATAATAATAAGAACATTAGTAAACGAGAAAACTCAGACACCTCACATCATTCCTAATCATGGGGATGGCGTGAGGTGAAATCGGTCTCCAAGGCTTCGGCAGCAGTGTCGACAGCTGCAGCTTTCTCGCATGTGCAGGAAGCTGTGTGATGAACCAGTCAGAAAAATTGGTCCTTTTCTCCACTACTCAAAAACATGGCAAAACGGGAAAGAGAAAAGGAAACTCACAAGAAGGCCTCCTGCCACAAGGGCAAGCATCGCCACTCACAGGCTGGTTTTCCGTTGCTGCCCTCTCACAGGTGCATTGTCCAGCTGGTCGCGCGCCTAGTCGAAGCAGTCAGTTTGATTTGTGCCCTTTGAAAAAAAGAAAAAATCTACAATCCAGGAGACATACGGCATGAACATCTGGAACCGGTGATGGTGTTCTCCGAAGAAGCCTTGTCGCATGTGCAGTGGAGTGCGTTCTCCTTGCCGCAGGAGCACTTTGCCTGGGCAGCGCAGATGCAGCTCCCATCCTGGGAGTTCTTGCAGCAGGATAAAGGGACGTGGTGGGAGACCATATTGAGATAGTAGATAGGTAGGGATATATGACGTATGTTCAATTGAGGTCGAGGTGAAGCTGAAGCTCGAGCGGATCGTGACTTGACGAAGAACGTATATCGTACACAAAGAGGAGTCTCGCACAATCAATTCTCTTTCCTTGAGAACAAGACCAGTGATTAGTTGAATCGATAGAAGATACCCAGGAACAGCCTGCCATGGAATGGATGCTTTTATATCTGCTGCTGCCTCGTACGATGCCCTGTCCCGATTACCAATAACTGCATCATGATTGGCTCTGTCGCTCGTCGCGAACCTTGGTTCTCGTTGCTTATAAAGTTATTATCGTTCATCTTTGTGCTATAGCCTCGCTATGACTGGAGGAGTGAAAGACGATTACCTTTAGGCTGTTCGTGATTCGACGGGAATGCTTTCTTGCTTGCAGCAATTATACAAATGGCTGCACTCCGACTGGTGCCACGAAACTTGCACTCAGTACTAATTTTAGACACTCCAGGCGAAATTGAAATCCTGACCTTGAGTTAATAAGTTTATTATCATTCGGCAAGATGATCCTGCATATGCAATTAAATATCTGTCTAATATCGAAGTCTATCTATGTACCTTAAAGTCCGGAGAATTAATGTTGGAATGAACCACCAATCCAGTAGTCCCCAGCGGCCTTGGCCCTGTAGGTACCACTGGGTAAGGCTTCAGCCTTAACAAAAACACGCATCGCCGGAAGATGCAGAAGACGGACATCTACATCATTCCCTTAATGCTACGAATCAATGCAAACAGAATTCAGCATGCAATTTCCGGAGAAAATTATTATAGAATTATTACATACATAATCAGAACAACCTCCTTTCCAGAGCCCAAGCCCCCATCCAGTATGTACAGATATAATAGAAGACGTATACATAAACACGCATATAGAAGAGGTGCAAACATATACTGGCACAGTGAACTTGTTATAGACAGAGGTCCCTAATCTTATTCCGGAAGAGAATAGATTAGACATGTGTCTGGTAACACATTGGAGGCGAGGTTCATTATATAAAATGTGGGTAGTCGAAAGGCGGACCGGTCCTTGGAGGTTCCATGTTTGTTGGTTGGTTTATTCTTTCGTCGGTCGGGCTGTACATATGGCTTGGGGGAGCATTGCCTGCATCTGAGTGACGAAACGAAGTTGGGAGGCTCATTGTCGAAGGGTTCGCTTGCGCAAAAGTCATTGTGTTGACAGCGTATGGGTGATGATACGACATAGGCCGGTAAGGCGGGGCATCTGATACCGGGGCCGAACTCATGGGCAGATGTCTACTTTGCGGTGGGATCTGTGCGTTCATTTCTAATCCACTAAGAGATTTCGTGGTTGGTATCGCAATGTGCGATTGATACCCGTGTACATGCGGATCTATGCCCAGGGGGGAAAAAGTCAGAATTTAGGCATCTGGGAAAGGGGGATATTCATTCGCACCTGGACTCTGTATTCCGTAATGAACGGGCGCGTTCCCCGGTCCTGCTGGGGATATTGGGCTCTCCTGCTGTTGACGGCCATCATAACCACCAACCACAGTACTCGACGGCCGGCTTATTCCATAGTCCACTGGACGTTGCCCTTGAGGTATCACCGTATGCGCTAGAGAGTCCGAATTTACACTTGGGTATCGCTCATGCTGGTGTAATAAGGGAGCATGATGGGCATATGGTTCAGAACAACTATTCGATCTAGGGAATGAATAGGGTTCCTGGCCATTCCGTTGGAAGTTTGCAATGGGTGCCGATAAGGGTGCTCGGTTCAGGAGCGCCGCGGATTGAGGGAATTGCTCCGGATTCCTGTCTGGGGTAGAAGGAGTGATATACGCTGGGGCCGATCCAAGCGGGGAGACGACGTATTCGCCATCATGTGGTCGTGGCAATCCATCCGTGAGCAACATCTTCAGGGAACCGTTGTTGTTGTTGTTGTTGTTGTTGTTGTTGTTGTTGTTGTTGTTGTTGTTGTTATTTGTTGTTGTTGTTGTTGTTGTTGTTGTTGTTGTTGTTGTTGTTGTTGTTGTTGTTGTTGTTGTTGTTGTTGTTGTTGTTAATTGTTGTTGTTGTTGTTGTTGTTGTTGTTGTTGTTGTTGTTGTTGTTGTTGTTGTTGTTGTTGTTGTTGTTGTTGTTGTTGTTGTTGTTGTTGTTGTTTGGGGACATAAAGTTCCGGGGAGACGACATGGCAGTTTCCGGGGAAGACTTGCCATCAAATGGGGACCGAAGGACTTGACTTGTGTCAAAATCCTCCGGTAGTGCTCTGGACTTCAGCATCCTCTCTCTATCGTTGCCCGTGAGACGCTTAAGTTTCGCTCGCCTAGAACCAGCGGATCAGATACCGGATAATAAAGAAAACGCAATAGATGATATTGTTATTTACCTGTTCTGGAACCATACCTGCACCTGACGCGGACTCAAGCCAGGTATTTCTCTCGACAATCTTTCTCGATGCGCAGCGTCGGGGTGCGCTTGACGCGTAAACTCGCTCATCAAAAAGCGTGTCTGGTTGTGGGTAAGACTGAAAAGGAGAGAATGTAAGTGCATGTACACCGTGGAAATCAGGTTGGTTTGTTTGATTTTCTTACCGAAATCGCTTCATTTTCCTCTTCTCCGTTTTCCCCTCAGCGGACGGTTTTCCTGTCTCCAAATGCTCCTTTATGTCATCCGATACTGTGGTCGACCCGGCTGGTTCATTCTTAATCCCATGGGTTCTGTTCTCGTCCTTGTTTTGTTCTTGGGCAAATTCTGACGAGATAGCGGATGGCATTGGGCCCCGAGGCGCAGTAAGAAGGGATTCATTTAATTTCTCCGGTCTTGTGTAAGACAGAGGCACTTCCAGTGCAATCCCAAGATTTCGAGTGTCGGCTCTGGTAACTGGCATTTCCTCCCAGAGGTAGCGTGGACGACTGGACATCCCCGAAGGATCTGCAGCAGACACTGCGGTTTCGACTCTCACCGGAGATGGGAGCATCTCGACAGGACGGCGCCTGCAGGGTGTGGGTTTCCTTCACACAGCAATACCAATAGCCTCAGAGCAACGATTGTCGTCTTTAGTAGATCTTAGACGCGTGCCGTTCCAGAGGTTAGGTAGTGGAAGGTTCAGAACAGCAAAGTCCAGGACGCGAGACGAATGGCGATGTCCAAAGGCAAGCCAATTTAACATAGGATGAGGGAGTACCAGCTACTCCTCGGGCTTATATGAGAGAGGCAAACTCAGAATAAGCTTCTCCCACTGAATATCGAAAGTTCAAGACACCAACAACAGACCAGCCGCAGTGGCCGAAGCTGAATCGGACGAGGGCTGTCAAACAAGGTGGATACCGTTGTTAACGGATTATTTCTCAAACGAGATTGGCGTCTTGCGGCCCTGAGGTAGATTGTAATTCAGGAATAAATTGTACTAATAGTGGTGCAGAATTCAGGAAAGGGAACGAGGAGCATAAAACCCAATCCGGAACAGGATATGGCTTCACCTGTCGGGATCTAATGCGCGTCAAAGAGGGTTTAAAAGAGAAGGGTCGAAATAAAATATAAAATAAATGAAATCGAGATATTAAAAAGAAAGGAGAGGTGGTTTAAAAGAAATAATAACCTAGTTTCTGCAAGGCTATCTTGCGAGGGCAAGAATAGACGAGACAGGAGTCCCCAGTCAAGCAGAGCAGGCGACCAGCATGATTGGCAAAGCAGTGACCCGACCCAGAAAGATCTCCCATACGGGTACTTCTTCACCTCCACAATGATGAAGGGAAGCTCAAGAACAACCCCCTCCGATGGGCCCACAAACGGAGACCAAGCGCCAGTAGAGGTAAGGCTGGGTATGGACGGAGTTGTGGACAGACGCCTGCTCCAACGCCCGAGGGGGAGACAAAAAATGACAGTCAATGATAATGATAAATAAAAAATAACGCTCGGAAATGTGATTGTGATGATTATTGGAAGCAGGACGGCAGCCAAAACACACTCACAGAGACACACACATCCACGCACACAAAAATAAAAGGATAAAAATATCTACTACGGTATAAAAGGAAGTATTCCGTCATTCAGGAGAAAGCATTCCAAACAGACTGCCATGATTGGAGTGAGTGACCAGAGGCAACAGTTAAAAAAAAAAAAAAAAAATGAAAAGGGGCCCACAGAACTCTGCAGAGTTGGGCCACCAAAGAGCAAGATCTCTCTCCTCCTGACTGCTCAATGATAGGCAAGGCCTGATATACCTCGGCCCCTGTGACGAAGTAAGATTACGGAGGATGGCCGTCGGTTCTCCATTATAGACGTTGTGAGAAAAAAGAGTTTGGAGCGAGCCTGAACGGAGCGGAACTGCAGGTTGAGCCATGATTCGACACCAGTTTGGACCTGCCAACCTAGTCCACGTGCCGAAAGTCCGTCGGTCTGCGTGCCGAGAAGACGGAGGAAATTCACGTCGCGAAGACCGTGTGGTTGCTTAGTTGGCAATAGTATAAGTGGCATCTGTCGGGCTGCTTTCCAGCAAGTACACGACAGTCTGTTTATCTCGTTTTTCCAGAGGTATACACACACACACACACACATACACACAGATGGCCACAGACCACCTCCAATCGTTCCCCACTCGGGGGGCTAAAGCCTCCCAGCACGGAGGATACTCCGTATAAAGAAAGCTAAGGGGAATCTCCGGAGGGCGGAAGGCTGGGAACGGTGGACCCTGGTTCGCATAGGGTATCATCATTGCGTTGGATCAATTCTCGCCCCGATGGCCAGTCCGGTAGTAGCGGACCGCGGAACGCGTTGGACACGGCCAGTCCATGGTACTGGTATCTAAGGGGTTTCCCAGAAACCAGACATGCTATGCTATCATTGTTTCTCTTGTTCACAGGTAGATAGGAGGTAGAAACCGAATGCCCGACGTCGAGGTTCCGTAGATACCAGGTAATGCCGCGTTATTTTCCGAGAGACGCATTATTTCTCGGAGTCAACCCGGTTCCAAAAAAAAACGTAGCTAGCCACCTGTAGATCATCGCTGGTCCGGCCGAAACTCGCGCAAAATGATCACTGATGATCGTATCGTGTTCGCAAAAAACAATAACATCGCTAACTCGCTGGAGGTAGTAGTGGGAAATAGGGCGTTTCACCACGCGGGCGGGAGCATCGCGATGAGGAGATTATGAACATTATTATCCATGGACCTCCTGCAGCGCTGCAGAAGTGCAGAATCCAGACTTGATTCCTACCCGGAGGGTACACCGAATGGGGACGAGGGATGTGGTGAAGCAGTGTTTGTGCTTGGAGTGGGCTGCTGTGGATTGGTTTTTGTTGCCGCCTCGGCACTGCCTAACCGGGCTATCCTGCATCTAACTGGCCCTACGGACTGCCTCCAATAAAGACGCCCTGCAAGTCCTTGGTAGCAGCAATTTATGATCAATATGATAGACACTATCATTCTTCTTATTATTATTGTACTATTATGATCGACTGCGGAGTGATATCTATATTAACGCTTGAAGATCCTCCCCCCTATTTCTGATGCGAGCCGCACCCACCAAGCCTAGAACCCTGAATCCTGATCTCCTGAACCCTGTTGCCATTTCGAACTGTCTAGGCGCCCTTGAGCTAAGCAGCTGGATCAAAACGGTATGCAAGAAGGTGATCAGGCTAGGATTATGTACATAGTAGTACATATTACAGTGCACGCTGCTATGGCTGCTATGACTGCATAGTGCCCCGTCTGCCGATCGTGGGAGCGGCAGATGGTGACTGGCATTATTCGAAACATGAACAGTGCTTATGCTAGCACTGCTTGCTGCAATTGGTTCTTGCATGTATGCAGTAGTAGTAGTAGTAGTAGTTAGCTATGTACCTACTTCATTGCCAGCAGTCCAGCTCCTTATCATGCAATGTTCCAGCGATCCTGTGCGTCTGCTGCTGCTCCAAGAATTGGGAAACTGTCATATGAGAGAAGTCGATGATCTCATTCTTGAGTATCGAGATGCCATCATGCTACTACTCTACTGCTGCTGCTACTTGGTAATTCATCATCGCAAATAAGCATAAAGGCAACTGACTAACAACTCTATCTATTTTCTGATTCTAACCCTTTAGGCACTATCGCCGAGCGCCCACGGAATACTTCCGCCGCTCGTCGACCTGTCGGAAGAGGCAACAAAAACGAAACGACTCATTGGGGCGGCGATCACGGCTCTACTACGTTATATCCACTGCCGACATTTCCCATGATGGCATCGTATGATTCTCCTCTCCTGCTGTTATCCCAATTCGGCACGGCACTCGCGATACGGATACGTCTATGATGAACAACTGCCAAGGGGGCAATAATAATAATAATAATAATAGAGTTGACGATCATCGGGAATCACAGGGGTCATCTACCCTCAACATCCTCCGCGTTAATTAGAATGGCATACTCTGAAACAGCTACATGCTCTCGTCATTGATTTGGACCCTTAAGTGCTCGCGGGCATTAAGCAGATCCCCCATGCCCTACGAAAATTAAAGACCGATCCAGTGGTTCGCAAGGCGATCACTCCCTAAGGACTTCCGCGTGTTCCTGCAAGGCTCGGTCTAATGCGATCGCCGTTCGCAGGAAAGCCCCCTCCGGCCCCTTTTCAACCTGGTCGTATTAGGTACGGAGTCATTGAGCACATAGCTTCTAACCCCCCCTTAAACAGCCGTGCGAAGAGAGCTGCCCCGTCCCTCTCCGACATACCGTAGAGACAATGTCATGATCTAGCCTTCTTGAAACGTCACCCGTCCTGGTGTTAATTGAAAGGTAGACAGGATGGGGAGAAGCAGCGACCAAGGGTACCAGTACCGTGGTTTATCAATACTTTAGTTCCAAACAAGGCATCTTACTTAGGCCGCCTCGGTCTGTTTCGTCTCTGTGTCATCGGGGATCTTCGACATTTCTGGCGTCTGTCCCTCAACTGCCGTGCTTTGTTTTTCAACGTTGGCTGACCCGTGATCGGGTTGGCCGGCTGCGTTTTCTCCCTCTGTTGGTGGCCTCGGAACTCCCTCGGTGGCTTGTGGGGTTTCAACCAACAGCCTGATGTTCTTTCCATCGTCTATTTTCTCGAATGCGGAGAGCTTGCTTTTCAAGGACAGCCGTAACACGCACCATGTCTTGCTCGTTTTTGCTCTCGATATATTGTCCGTTTCTTCCTTCGTCTGAGCCATTTCGAGATCCAGGTCATCGTTCGCAATGCTCTTGACGAGAGATTCTGAATCGGGTATAGAAGACCTTTACACATGTCAGCTGATACGCTCCAGTTGAGTGCCTTAAGAAGCACACACCTTACTGGCTCCTTGAGCTGTTTAAGACTGTCATCATCCAAAAGAAATTTCAGATCAAGTGCGCCAGCAGGGGAAGAACGAAGACGCTTATTCGCATAGATCTTGGTAGCACGCTCCCGAGCACCGAGATATTCCGTCACTGAAACGGCAGGTCGTTCTATGGGCGGACATCCTTCGGCCTTCCAGCGAACCCAGTTTTTATCCCTGGAGAGAACAGTGTCTACCATTCTGTAATAGAATTTACCGCCAATCCCTTGCTGGAGATACTCTTCGATTCGCTTCCTCATATCGGTAGCCCATTTTGCCTACACGATGTTAAGTTCCCGATTCCATAAACCCTGGCTCGTGAAAGAAGAAAAACTTACATCTTCATCGTTCAGTACAAAACCATAAAGCACGGACTTGTTGGTCAAATTGGATAGTCTGGCTTTTGCCTTCGGCGTAAGGGAAAGCATGAAATCCAGAAGAATGAGAGCTTGGACTAGGACATGTCTCCTGAAAGCAGTATCGCTAACCTATGTAGAAAATAAGCACAAATCACGAGGGAAGGGGGGGGAAAGAAAAAACAGGTCTGCTTACCTCGAGATCAAACAGATCCCGGCTTGTGAGGTATTTCGGGTTGAAGCTACTCGCGAATTCCTGGCCGTCAGCAGTCCGCTTCCGTTTAGTTGATTTCCTAATGTCCTCTGATGCCTTTGAAGTATTTTGATTTTCGAGATCCGTGTTAATGCTCTTGAAGGTAGAAAGGGTTGCTTCCAAACCAGTCTTAAACGATGTAAAGTGCTGCGGATCAAACACTTTTGTCGGGGCAGAAAAATATGCCTGTAGACTCCAAAAGAGCGGGTAAAGCACATCTAGATCGACGTTTGTTTTCGAATTCCTGTCAGTTTGTCCAGAAACTGTGAGTTTGGGGAGCTTCGGAGTTTCCCCCGAATCTGCCCCAGACTGAACCTCAGCTGCCGTAGAAGCCTCACTCGCATCGGTCATAGCCACATCAGTCTCAGCATGTTCTTCCTCTGGTTTGCGGGAGATGTCATCGTAGGTAGTAACATTTTCTGTATGATATTCGCCTCGAAGGTTGACAGAACTTTTATCTCCTAGAGGAAAGCTTTGGAATAGAAATATGAATACGCGGCCACAGAAAACAGTATCTTCCGCCCGTGATAGTCGTCGAAGGAGTTCGTTGCAAGACCGGAGAATGATCAAGCTCTTCTGTTTGAAATGTTTCTTCGGTGGAATTAGTGAGATCGTATCAGATAAACTTCAAATCACATGTACCTTCGTATTGATTTCCCTTCTTGACTCCAAATAGTCGAAAACTTTACGACAACCGTCGATGGTCTGGCTGTCGAGGAGCTCCTCGATTAGCCAGAATATCAAGCCAGGCTCACATTGCTCTATCATGTGTCAGAGTATCATCGAGCAAGTCAGGCGTTATCCAAGACTAACCGTTATCAGAGAAAATAGAGACTATATCGAGCAGATTCCATACATGTATGAAAGCGGTTTCATCTATCGACGTCGTGGCCTAGTTAGGAAGACAAAAAGTTAGATCCATCGTCCACTGCGTCAAGGGTAAGGGCGAAGCTTGACTCCTACAAGAAGACTGTAGAATTTCTCCCTGAACGCGATCTCAGCAGCAGCATGCCGGGTTGGATGGGCCAGTTGCTCGACAACATTCGCATCTGCGCCTTTGACAACCCATATTGATTCGCCCAGTTGCGCCTCCGTCAAGGGCGGTTCGATGTGTTTGTCCGGTTTTGCCTGGGTTGCTCGCTCCAGAAGGTCGGAAACTAAACTCCGGTAGGCGTTGACGGCCTCTATATCGACATCTGCCATTCTTCCCGCAGCGGAAAGCGTCTATAATCGGGAAGGTGGACGAATGCGTTTTGTCGGCGAGCCGCTGAGTTGGATAAAGCGGATGCGGCTCTGCGGGATCAAGCCCGCTCGGCATGAAGCAAACCGACCAAACCGCGGTGTGCTGCGCTAGAAGACCTTTCCGCGATGCATTTCTACCACTATCTAATCCGCGCCTAAGCTTTCTCTGTGTCGTCCAACCTGAAAGGAGTGGACTACAGACGCGCCATGGCCCAAGGTCTTGAATCCCGGCCGACTGTGGAGGACTTCCGTGAGGATAGTCAGTGGGTGAAGCTGGCCAAGGCTAACTGGCTGGATACTTCAAAAGTCCGCAAGGTCAAGCAGGATACCATCAAGAAAGACTTATGGGATCCTCTGGAAGCCGACGGCTTCAATCTGCGGTCTCTGCTGACGTTAGAAAACTTGAATGTGTTGGAGAAGTATGCGCTTCTTTTTACTTTGTAATACTCCCTACGTCCTTCAAGACTAACTTCTCGTCCAGGTTTCTTTGGCCAGCCTACACGGAGGATGCCTCCAATTACCATGTGCTCTTGATCGCCTTGATTGTAAGCGTCAAGCAGCGCGAGCATCTGCCAATATGGGGTGAGTCTGCTACATGCGCGTGTTGGATCATGATATCTGATGGAGGTTACTTGTATTAAATCAGACATATTTTCCGATCGACCGGACGAATTCTCGAATCTTTTCCATCGAGTTCTCTCCATGAGCATCGACGGCTCACTGCCTAACTTCTCGCGCTTGTCAATTGTTTCCTTTATAATCAGCGCCTTTCAATCCCTTGAGAACGTCCTCATTCGGAAGGAATGCGCTCCATTGGTGTCCATCTCAATATGGCATAATCTTTCTAGTGAAGAATCCAGGGAACGTATCCTGGGGAAAGCAGCGACGGCTAGGAAAGCTTGGAGAGCTGCTGCAAAACGGTACGACGCAGCAAATGAACCAACCAAGGCGAAGATGAGATTCGAACGGGCATGGCTATACACAATGCTTCAGGACTTTCTACGGAGATTGAACGGCCCTGGGAAAGATCAGGCGGAAAATGTGCGGTATTGCGAACGGTTTCTTGAACTGCTCGTCGACTTGAATAGTCAACTACCTACGAGGCGCTATGTCAACACGCTGTTGAAAGATCTCAATATTCTCTCTATTATCCGCCTATCACAGCTATATCGCAGCGTGGAAAATACCCTCTTCCGGGATTTTTACAATCTCCTGAAACATTTCATTAACTTCTCGATTGATGACTATTCGGGCCAAGCTCTCTCTCCGCAGGCGGTTTACGAGATTCATTGTCAAGAACTGGCACAGCTGCAAAGGACTTCCATGAAGTATTTTAAAGATAAACTTATGATTCTGGCATTATCGAATTACGGCTCTATTGAACAGCGCTCGGAGCTTGAAGGGCAATTGTCTTCCTTGGACGACTTAGAACTGCAGAGTTTGTGTTCACATCTCGGCTTCAGGACTACATATCCGAAACAATCCCAGATCGTTCCGGATCGGCAATTGTATCTGGAAATCCTTCTATCTTTTTACGAACGAAAACTGTCGTTCCAAGAGGTTGCTTCACAACTGAACGTTACACCGACAGAAGAAGACCTTTATGATCCTGCTTTGCTGCGGAATGAGACATATGATGGGTCGAGACCATTGGCCATTCCTAAGTTGAACCTCCAATATCTAAGCATTGGAGATTTTCTCTGGCGCTCTTTTTTGCTATACCGTTCCGAGGCCTTTTACCAAATCCGTAAGGATATGGAATTGATCGTCAAACGAATGCAGCCTCGCGCAACCAGGGATGGTGCTGGCCTGATCTTCGATGGTTTCTCTCGGATGGCCATTCCGATCTCCAAGCCTGCCATTGTCGAAGTTGCACCGCCGAAGGTCGGGTCAACAAGGCCGGCTTTTGTCAGGGCAGAAATAGCGATAGAAGTTGGCCGGTTGGCAGACCATATACGCCGAGAATGGGAGTCACTTCGTCCTGACGATGTTATCTTTCTCCTGGCTATGCAGCCCGGTACTACGCCAAAATTTGGGATACGAGATAAGTCTTCTCCGGAGGGACCACGCCTCACTCACGTCAGGACGGCCGAAATAGTGCAAGTCCTTGATGAGCAAGGTCGGCCCTTGCGCGAACCTCCGTCAGGTACAGTGAATGGTCACACTTCGAGGCCACGTCTGAGGAGATTGCTGGTCAATCTAGATCCGGCTGCATTCAAGGCAGACAAAGATCGCACTTCCCAAGGCAAGCAAGATATCTATCCGTTGCTTAATGTAGTCGCGAGAAGAAAAGGAAGGGAGAATAACTTCAAGTCTATCCTTGAGACAATACAAAGACTCATCGTCTCTGATATTACTCTTCCATCTTGGCTTCAAGACATTTTCCTTGGGTACGGAGACCCGGCAGGGGCGCGTTATACAGAACTACCGAACCGCCTGAAAACAGTCGACTTTCGAGATACCTTTTTAGATTGGCAGCATCTGGTGGAAAGCTTTCCCGGCCTAACTATCGTACCTTCGGGAAGTGCAACTTCAAGCTTCGGACCCCCATATGTCCTCGAATACCTTGAAGAGGCATCAAAGCCGCCTCCAGCAAACCCGTCCAAAAAAAGACGGCGAGAACACCCAGACAAGACTGAATCGACACCTAGTTCACTCCATGTGTCGACATACAAACCTCCGAATCCCGGTCCCTACCCAGTGGATGCCCCTAAACTCAATACAGTCCGTTTCACTCCGGCTCAAGTGGAAGCAATCGCATCTGGCACGCAACCTGGGCTGACTGTAATCGTTGGCCCTCCAGGCACTGGAAAAACAGACGTGGTAACACAAATTATCAACAATATATACCACAATTTTCCCAACGAACGAACCCTACTCATTGCGCATAGTAATCAAGCCCTCAATCAGCTTTTCCAGAAGATCGTTGCACTTGATATTGACGAACGCCACCTTTTGCGGCTTGGTCACGGTGAAGAGGAACTAGAGACTGAGTCAAGCTACAGCAAATATGGTCGAGTTGAATCTTTCCTGGATAACCGTGCCTACTTCCTAGCAGAGGTCTCGCGACTAGCAGCATCGATTGGTGCACAAGGCGCACACGGGAACTCATGTGAAACCGCTGGATATTTCAATACGGTCTATATCCAGCCAGGCTGGGCCAAATTCTGGGACCTGGCGCGCTCCGAAAGCACATCGAAAGAAGATATAATCTCTGCCTTCCCATTTCTTTCGTACTTCTCAAATGCGCCCCAGCCTTTGTTCGATCCAGAGTCGTCGAAAGACGTTGTTCTAGATGTGGCGGCTGGCTGTCAACGACATATCGACAAATTATTTTCTGAATTGGAGGACATCCGTCCGTTTGAGATCCTGAGAATGCCCCGAGATAAAGCAAATTACCTCCTCGTGAAAGAGGCCAGAATAATCGCAATGACGTCCACGCACGCCGCAATGCGTCGTCAAGAGATTGCTAGCCTTGGCTTCCATTACGATAATGTTGTTATGGAAGAGGCTGCGCAGATCACGGAAATAGAAAGCTTCGTTCCTAGTGCGCTTCAGAATATGAAGAACGGGGAGTTGCCGTTGAAACGTGTTGTGCTCTGCGGCGATCATCTTCAGAACTCCCCTATCATCCAGAATCATGCCTTCCGCCAATATGCCCACTTTGAGCAGAGTCTTTTCCTTCGCCTGGTCAGGCTGGGTGTCCCTACCATCACTCTAGATCAACAGGGACGTGCAAGACCTAGCATAGCAGACCTCTTCCGATGGCGTTACAAGCAGCTGGGAGATCTACCAATCGTGGAAACAGCCCAGCAATTCAAGTACGCCAACGCTGGGTTCCAATTCGAATACCAGTTCATCAACGTCCCTGACTATCAGGGCACAGGTGAAAGGGAGCCCAGTCCTCATTTTATACAGAACCTGGGTGAGGCGGAGTATGCTGTTGCCATATACCAATACATGCGACTTCTAGGCTACCCGGCGTCGAAGATAACCATACTCGCCGCCTATACGGGACAGACAGCTCTGATCAAAGACGTCTTAAACCATCGTTGTGCGAAGAATGCCTTGTTTGGTATGCCAAAGATTGTGACTACCGTGGACAAGTATCAGGGTGAACAGAACGATTGTGAGTCTCTCTAGCTATACTTTCCGTATTTCCACTCGATCGTTTTATTGTATGCTGACTTAATCTCCTACAGATGTCATCGTTTCACTCACGCGCACTCGCACAGTCGGCTATCTGCGCGATGTTCGTCGTCTTACGGTTGCTCTATCTCGTGCCCGTCTTGGTTTATATATACTTGGCCGTCGCGAGGTCTTCGAGTCGTGTTACGAACTCAAGCCAGCATTTGATACGCTTCTCCAACGCCCAGACAAGCTTATACTCGCTCCAGGCGAGATGTTCCCTACCACCCGTTCACTAGAAAGCGAAATCCAAGGCACGCCTATGGAAGGTGTCGAACACCTTGGCCAATACGTGTACGAGATGACGCAAGCCAAGCTGAAAGCCATGGGTGAAGAGGCTATTGTCGTTGAGGACATGGATGTGACTCCTGATGGGGACGTACTAGACGTAGATGAGGACGAAGCTATGCTAGGAACTGGTGAAGAAGAAAGGGTAGAACCTGACGATGTGGACTCGTTGCACAAACATGCATTATCATAGTGGTGATGTCGATCGCCTTCCTGTTTCTCTTGTTTAAGAGGGGAAAAGAAGAGTATCAGAGATGAAGCGGGATTTTGACATTTAATCAATTGATATTAGATCAGTTGGATCAGGCACTGGGTTCTTTGGTGTAATTTCGTTCAACTCCATAATACGTAGCGTATATGCTAGAAGCACCTTTGAGAAATGGGTAGTATAGTAAGCCCTGTATCATTCTTGATTCTAGTACATTGATTCTCCACAGAAATATACTCATCTCTAAAATATATAATTGAAAGTAGTACCCGCAATCCTTCTACCTGGTTAGAATCCAGAGCAAACCAGGGACAACTGCTGTCTATTAGGTAGGGTCCAGCTCAACCGAGTCTTATATGACGATGTACTAAGACCTCTGTCCATTGAGTTCCTCAACAATATTCTGTGGGTCTTTCCAGGCGAGAGCAATGTACCTGTTTTAAATCAACAGACATCAGCAATCCCTGCAACATAAACTGGTGGATACCTGTCTGCGAGATAATCCACAAGGAGAAACGTAGTCCCTCAAGGAGAAAGGAGTAAATACTTAGTATGACTTCCTCTTGCGACAATGTCACCGGCGCTATTTGTGAATTTGATCGTTGTATATGCTAGGGTTTTGCCAACTACATGTCGTGTAAGAACGAGATCAAGCTATAGGTCATTCCACGGCGAGAACATGACATCTTGGAGTCGCGAATTCACGAACTTACATTTGTCACAGTTGACCTCCTGTCAGGATTAGTGGATCAGTGTGTTATCCCCAGAACAAGCAGAATAGAAACTCCGAATATAGAGAAGGGACGAGGCATACTGCCAGAATTTTGTCACCTATTTTCCCACCTGAACTGAGGTATGTCACTGCATTGGGTTTGGTCTGCGTCAGAGGCAACATATTTTTCACGGGAATGAATAGATGGGCCTCCTTGAAAGGGTTGATATCAACTTACCGTTGAGATCTGTTGAGACACCGGTTGCAAATAATCCACGCGATGCTACGGCCAGAGAGCCCCCAAGGTCCACTAGGAAAAAGTGTAAACAAAATATCTTAGGATTGATTCATTTGAAGAAAGTCCGACATACCCATACTCGCAATTGTTCCTCCATGGAGGATATTGAGGCGATTCTAACGGTTGTTAGTTACAAGCTGTACGACAGATGCTCCCATAGTAATACAAAAGAAGACATACTGTGTGATGCTTCTGGATGTCGAGTTCGAAATTGACGACCCCAGGTCTGGCGGCAGTTATCCGGAGCTATATAGACGGGACGGACGAGGTTAGTAACGGCTGGCCGACCAAGATTGCGGTGCTGCGTGCCCCCGATGGTGTTTTTAATTAGATAGACATCATATGGGTATTGTGAGCATACGTTATCCAATATCCTATGCACAGTTAGAACACGATGGTCAACCAACATGATATGATGATATATTTATCTTCCGGTTCCTACCTTGGCTCCAGCCCTGACGTAGCCCGGAAAGATTCCCAAACCTAGGATTCATTCAGTATAGCACTGAGAGATATAGACAGGCATCACATACAGACTTGACAAACCTCAAGGCAGTCATTTTCGTTCTCTCTGATGCAATGGGAGGGGGATGGTGAGTTGCGATGATATACTGTTGTTGTTGTTCCTCGGTCGGAGAAGATGCGGCAATGCGGAGTAGCGTTCCTGTCACGTACGGTAACAGTACATACATTACCATACGTTACATTCCTTCGATCTCGATTCATCCGAATTTCGAGCTTTGAATAGCTTCATGTTCTTGGACACGCAGGCACGATGGCTGCCACGTCGTCCCGTCCCTTTGATTATCTGGAAAGTCAGCCTGGAACGGTCTTCCTCAAGCTATACAAACAGCCATCCACAGCCCTTGCCATTTTCAGGCGCATGCTGCCTGATCTCGGTGCGTCTTCCCTACATCAAAATATGGACAAAAGAAACGGCATAGGCTGATGGCTTCTACAGCAAAATGCTTTGTAATGGCACTTCTCTATCTCAAGGACCCTCTTCCAGCTGCTGATTTGGAAGCATGGGCCAAGCCGGACAGCAAGAAGTGAGCATGGAGTCTGATTTCACCGTGGTTTTGTTATTCTCATCTTCCCGTCATTTCACAAATTGGTTGACGATCCAATCTCGACATTTTCAAGGGAACGAGATAGCGCTTTATCGATCCTTGGAAGGCTGCACATCCTGTCGAATTCCACAACGCCGGAAAATGTTCGAGCCTACGTGCTCACCAATCCATTCGCATCCTCCCTTCGTCAGGCCCTCACCGGAACCGATCAGACGCAATCCTTCGGCATACTTGCACACATACCAGAACATGCTGCGATGACTGTATCCGACCTCGATGAATACGCCAGGCGTCAGTGGGAGGGTGTTTTGGGATATATGGTCGGTACCAGCGGGTTAGGTATTCAACGCGACGTGGTGAACTTGAGCAAAGGCGTAAAGCAGCTTCTTCAGTTCGGACACCTCGTTGAAATCAGAGATCGTCGGGTTGAAATTACACAGGATGGATTTGCATTCGTGCTTCAGGACGTCAACACGCAGGTCTGGCATATTCTGATTCTCTATGTAGAAAGCGCCGAAGCAATCGGGATGGACAGCGTCGAGGTTCTTTCCTTCATCTTCCTTCTGAGTAGTCTGGAACTGGGCAAGTGCTACGAGAAGAAACACTTAACATCCAACCAACTTCGTACCTTGACCGACCTCGCCGATTTCGGTATTGTCTACCAGGAAAGTCCGGATACGACCCATTTCTATCCAACACGCCTTGCAACCACGCTTACTTCAGACTCGAGCGCCATTAACAACCCCATATCCGGTGCGCTTGCAGGCCCAACAGGCGCAGGATCAAGAAAGCCTGGTTCCGGCTTTATTATCGTTGAAACCAACTACAGGCTTTACGCTTATACATCCTCGCCTCTTCAAATCTCCCTCATTGCGCTCTTCACAACCCTCAAATACCGTTTCCCCAACCTAATAACTGGCAAGATCACCCGACAATCGGTCCGTCGCGCCATAGAAATGGGAATCACAGCAGATCAGATCATCTCGTATCTCTCCACACATGCGCACCCGCAGATGCGCAAACATAACACTTCCAAATCCACGTCTAATATCACGGGAATTCCGCCGTCCATTTTACCACCGACGGTCATTGATCAGATTCGTCTATGGCAGCTGGAGCGGGACCGTGTCAAAGCTACTCCTGGCTTTTTGTTCAAGGACTTCGTTAGCCTGGCCGAATACGAGGCGCCCTGTCGGTATGCGGAAGAGATCGGTGTCCTTGTCTGGAAGTCGGATCGGAAGCGGATGTTCTTCGTTACGAAACACACGGAGGTTGCAGCTTTCTTGAGGAGTAGAAAATGAGTCTGATATGTGGAACCATGTTTATGAATCCATTCTTTGCTGTACGATACCATGGTTTGGGGACCTTTTCTAAGGAGTCTGGCGCATGGCTGGCTGTATAATGTGGGCTAGCAATAAAAATAGAAGGGAACATGAAGAAGAAAGAAACCTTCAAGGTTGTTCGTATTATTCAATAATTAATATTACACTACATAATAACATCAGATGAAGCCCAAAGATTATGGGTGCCATGAAAATCCCAAAATCCCGTATGTACCATTTGGGCACTGCTCTTCATCCTCAGAGTGATACCAGAGCTTCTCCTGAGCCCCACTTACAATGTACGGATTAATGAAGAACACTTTAAAACATCCACCGGTACCCATACTGTGAGACGTATTCGTCCCGAAACACTCTGAAGCTCTGCTTCGCCTCGTCGGTCAAGCAAGCCCTTTCCAAAACCATGAAAGCGCGTTTAATGCGGTACTTAGATGAATCCATAGCGGAATAAGACCGCGGGCCGGAGAACTTGGATCGCATACCGAAGCCAGTAGCAACATCTGGTGAATTGAATGAATCCTCATAGTGGAAGGCGTTACTCAAAGTGACGAGACGGCCAAGCCAATATTGTCGAGGCTGTGCTTCGGAGACCTGTAGATCGAATCCAGTCAGTGGTTGGTCTATCACGGCTTCAAACTATACAGTCCGGAATCATTGACAGTGGATTGATTGCCTACCATTCTCCCCGATTCGTCCTTTTGTCCCTCTGCATATCTCTCCCGCATCTTAGACGCTGGGGATGTAGGAGATAGTTGCTCTGGATGTTTAGCTTTTTGCATCGTAAATGAATTTGGGAAGGAAATAGGACGGCGTCTTTTTTCAACAGAGGTAGCTTTCAAGGCGCCTGACTGTTCTTCCTTGCTGATTTCGAGATTCTTGCGCAAGACTTTGGCTGCTGGTCCTGAAGACGAGTGGTGCGTGGATGTTGGCTGACTGCCCACCGATGGTGAAGCTTGAGCCTGCAAGACCCGCGGATAAGAAAGAGGACGCGGCCTTTTATTAGATGCGGCAAGAGGCCTTGCTTGCGCCTTCCTGAATGTGGTGGTTTTCGGATTGGTAGGGCACGCTCCAGCCATGCCACTCTCAGCTTTCAGCGGATGGGATGTGTGGGAATTGGAGAATCGTCGAGTTAGGAATTTCCTTATGACTTCAGGAGAAAGAGAAAGGTGTTTGTAATAAGATACCTTGGCGTTCAGACGAGATAAAGACTGCGAGGGTAGAAGAGACATCAACGGCTTCCCTTGTGCTGCGTTTTCAGCAACATCGTCATGGTTAAATGACACGATCTCCGAATAAAAGCTGCGTGTTTTCAGATCTCTGTCGCAGACACCGGCCCCCCTCCTGAGAGAAGAAATTGGAATAGAAGGTTTTGGTAAGGAAAAACGGTCGTCAGCATTGCGCCCTGGATCTTGCTGTATGCCGGGTGAAGGTGTCCGAGCTTTCTCTGTGTTGTCGTCTTTGAACAAGCCCGCGTAGAATCTGGGGACAGCTGTCGATTGTTCACTTCGCCGCTTGTTGTACGACGACAGCAACCTCTGTATTCCCTCCTCTTGGGTTAGGGGAAGACACATGTCTCTGTCGAATGACTTGACCGGCGTTGGGATCCTAGATGATAGCTTTAGGCTGCCACGCCGCTTATCAGCAGGCCCAGGTGACGCTGACAGGATTGTGGAGTTTTCATCACCATCACCAGAAGTAGAATCAACTTTCTGACTTCCTGATGATGGGTAACGAGAAGCAGGAGCTCCTGTCACCGTCTCTGTCGTCGGAGGGGTTTCAGACCCTTCCGTCTCATCCTGTGATACGGTTGCGGTCTTTGAAACTTCTAGCGCGTGTAACGGTCTCGACGAAAAGCGATGTTCATCTTTCACGCTGACTCGCCTGGTGAGAAAGTTGAAGTCCTCGTTAGGTGAAGATGATGCTAGGAATGCCGTGAATGGGGGTGCTGCAGTCTGATTTGTCGAGGATGAAGAGACGGGACTGGCTTTGCAATGGGAGCCCCATTTGCCATTTTCTTTGTCCTCGCCCCATACATTGTCATCGAAAGGACAGTCAAGAGCCTGTTTGTGAAAAGAATGAAAAGGACTGGAGATAGCAACTCCGTAGATTTGATGCTCGTCCATTGCGGCTTGATGGCTTTCCGGGTACTGATAAGAGATTCATGGAGAGAATGAACAGCAGGAACGGAGTGGGCTTCTTTGAGCACCTTTTCTATTCTCAAGGATGAAGTAATAGAGGTACAGATAAACAACAGATGGATGCTCAAGTGTCAGATTGAGTTGCCATCGTGATGGGGGAATGTTGGAAGTGAAGCCGGATAAGATGGGCAGGAAATGGACTTATCACACCTCATCGCTCGCCCCCGTCGGTCGTCAGCCAAATCCAGGCCAGAGGATCAGGATGAGCAGTCGAGACATACTTGGTTACCTGGGAGAGCTGACAACATAGTCACTGTAGTTTCATCAGTTATCCTGATGCGGAAAATGCTTTGCGTTCATTCACTTTACTCGGGCACCAGAATGCGGCCCTCAGATACTCGCACAGCTACACCAGTCAGCTCAATACTGTCAATCTTCCCTTTTTCTTTCACCACAGTTTCAATGCCAATATCGCTTCGTCTGCCCATCTCGGTTCCCTGCACAATGTTGTAGCGATACGTCCGAGGTTTCCCCTCCACCAAAGTCAAGTACGCCGCCAACCCGCTCGCCGCGCTGCCCGTCGCTGGGTCCTCAAAATTCCCTACAATCGACCTAGTCCGGATGACTCTTTTTCTAGTTTGAGCATCGTCGACGTCCCGGACAAAGAAATAGGCAAGCACAAGGCCAGACTGCCACCCTTGGTCGAGGTAATCGGGTTTCGCGGCATCGTTCATGCTAGCACCGGTGACAGTCACCGCAGCGAGAGCTGCGACAGATGGGAGCTCAATATGAACTTGAGTCATGCCATTGACAATCGACACGATGGGGAAGCTGATTTCTCTCTGCTCTTGCTCTCCGGAAGGAAAGAAAGCCGCCAGAGTTGGATGCATGCGAAGCACTTCCTTGAGCGGGAACCGGGCCGCATGAATACGCACGTTGTGCGCGATTCTCGCAGCCACTTCTGTATTGTTCTGTTCTCCTAGTCTCCGAATAGAGATATCTCCGGACTTGGTGACGAGAGTTCCGACAGGTCGCTCCTTTTCTCTGTTGGGTGACAGACAAAGTAGCCATGACGCGGCACCGACCGTCGGGTGTCCCGCAAATGGCAATTCACAGTCGATGGTGAAAATGTCGATTTTGCGCTTGCTTCGGCCATCTTGTCCTTCCTCAGCATCGCTTTCCGGGTGCACGAAGATGGTTTCCGAGAGGTTGAACTCCGATGCAATCCGTTGTTTCTGGCTCTGCGTCAGGGCCCTTTCGTCTTCGTTAGGAAGGAAAACCACTCCCAGAGGGTTTCCGGTGTACGGCTGGGTGGTGAAGACGTCGAGGATGACGAAGTTTAGTTGAGCCATCTTCGGATGGGTCAATTAGCCAACTAATATTTACAACTGAGGAGCGTTCACATACGGTAATCTGCTATGAATCGGCAATTCAATTCAGAAAGGATTGACGAGGCTGCGAGGGAAGAGAAGCAGTGCAGCGTGTGTACGCAAGCGTGCTATCGTTCCAGTGGATGTACCTGTATTTATATCCTTAGCAGCTCTTCAGAGATGCTGTTTAGTTACTGGCAATTACTAATGAGAAGTCATCGTTGGATATGAGTCATATTACTTTCATCAATTACGCTTGCAAGGTGCAGGCTGGTCGTAACATATGCAAAAAACCAAAGCCCCATCCCAGAAATCATCATCGCAAAGAATACATGGTCAAGCACGCCGAACATCCCACTACTCTGAGTCACTGTCAATTATGAAACCGGCCCTCATGCGCTTTCTAAGCGGAGCCGTTACAGGCACATTCTCGTCTTCATCCTGGCTGTCAGCGCCATTCGGCTGGGGATCGACTGGGGAATCCGGCTTGAGACGTCGGTCTCGGCCAAATGCGAGATCGTCATCAAAGTCCATGTCGTCTCCAGCTGATGTGGGAGGAGTGTTACCGACATCTTCAGCGTCATGGCTGTGCAAAGTATCTCCGTGTGGGGACTGTGAGAGAACATCGGCCATGATAGCGTCTTCATCTCCAGTATCATTGGCATCCGCTAAGTCCTCAGAACTTCCTCGTTGTCGCTTCCTTTCAGTCCCGGTATCCGGAATTTTATGAGTTTCGCTCTTTCGCTTCTTCCCCTTCCCTTTTCCTGTTTTGCCAACGGTCTGGTCTACAGCGCCAGTGAGCAGGGCTTGCCTGACTCTCTCTGCTTGGGCCTGTCTCCGCTTTTCCTCAAGGAGAAAGAATTCCCTATCGGCCTCCTCATCAGTCTCTTCATCGCTTTCATGGATGAAAAGGTCGCTCTTTATTTTCGCTTGCCGGGCCAACGAGTTCGCCAGACGTGCATGACGACGTTCTTCGAGTTTCTCATCATCCAGCGGCTCCCCCTCACCGTCTTCTTGCCGCTTCTTCTTGCGCCTCTTCCTCAGTTCGTCCAATGCAGTGGACTTTGATCGGGGATTCGGCGGGAAGAGAGGCCCGTCGGGCACTTCCTCTCCCTCAGACTCTGATCCGAAATCGACGTCTAGTGTTGGCTGGTAGGTATTTCCCCTAGTTGCACTGTCGTTTTTACGCCGAATTAGTTGGTGAGGGTCTTGACCCTTGAATTCAGTAATAGGATTAGCCAGGTGGGAGTCAATTGACTTTTTGGTATCTCGGAGTTCCTTCGATGTCAATGCTGAAGGGACAGCCCAGGAAGCTCCAGCAACATCCTCGAACCCCAGTCGTTCAAAATGAATTAGCATCATAAGAAGACGGAGTTTGGCGTTCGAAAACATCGCTTCCTCGCAGGACTCATCACAAGGTTTCACAGCTGGCTGTGTGTCAGTACTGTCGAAGTCAAGTAGATGGGGGCTAAGGCATACTGATAATAGGATTGGGAACAACCGCCGTCGTAGGGGACTCAGCCCTTCGTGCTTCCTCCTGTGCCTCCCAAGCCTCTCTTTCATCCGCTGCGGAACCCAGGACATCACTGATCCATTTAACCAATTCTGCCTGCTCGTCCATTATAAGCACAGCTACGACCACCTCCAATTGTTCTTCAGGTGTCGAAGCCTCCTTGATGTCAACCTCAAGTTCAGCCGGCGGTCTTCTGCGCGACATCGTCTGCTTTTCATGCCCGTATTCCAAGTAGAACAATGTTGAGTTGATCTTGCTGAAGAGCAACTCTGTTATCATAGCCGGACGCTGGTCAATCTTTTTGACCAATCTCCTGATGAGCTGCCGAACCAGTTCCTCCCATTCCTTAAAGATGGGGCTACTCGAATCAAGAGCACCGGGCCCTTTGATCATCCTATAAAACATATTGATTATGTCGACTCGAAAAAGCAAGACACTCATCTCTTGCTTGAATGCAATTCGATAAAAGTAGCGGTGCGCGCGTTTCAACTGTTCAGCATTTAGGTCCCTGTAAAATCTGGTAAAAGCGACAAACGTATCGACACATTTTTGATTGCAAAATCTAGCAGCGAATCGATTAAAATCGAATTTGCGCTCTCTTGAAACTCTCTCAGCTTCTGCTAGATCTTCCTCCTCGGAATCCTGTTCTTCATCAAGGACTTGCTCGTTGCCATGCTCTGAAGCATGTTCAGCCCGCTTCTTACGGCGAGCCCGCCGACGAGACCGTACTTGCATGTCAGTGTTTTGTTTGGAGTAGCGTTCAAGAACCCGCAGGAAGATGTGAACAAGCTCTGTACATGCATCTAGGTAACCAAATCCTTGGTCTTTGAATCCACGGGCAATAGTTAGGACTCGATCTAAAGTGGTCTCCTCGTAGAAAATGCGGTTTTGGATATTTTCTGCGATCTCCTGGTCCTCTTCTAATGGTGACAAAGTCATTTCCTGTACTGTCAGTAAGATCTGAGTGAAACAGCGCATCTCAGCGTTGAGATCTTCCCAGTCCTTATGGTCAAGACTATACTGCATCGACCGATTTAGGAAGACGAACATCTCCTGGGTCAGAACGCTGGCAACGAGGCCAAAACTGTCTGGCTGGAGTTCTCTCGATTTCTCATTGTTCCGTTGGTGTTGCTCATTCTGGCGGACACGGCGAACACGTTCCGCCTGAAGAAGCCAGGCTGCTGTGTAGAAGAACTGCCGTGTATTAATGTCCGTTACGCGATCAGCTTCGCGCTCTATCGCCTTCCTCACGTGGATGAAAAGGGGGTTGAATCCGGAGTCTAGGAACTCCTCCACGAATGTCCGCAGGTTCTTGGATGCTGATAAAGAGAGATGGGCCGGCGTATTGAAATCATTGTTTGCATCTAGTCCATCATGTTTCCGACGCGGTTGAGGCCTATTCCACTTTTTACTCTGGTCCATTTTGAACAGCGTAGCCTGCCCATCTTTGAGAACATCCTGTCCAGAGACGGTAGAAACCTTCGCGTCATCCCGTTTCACCCAAATCATGGTCCCAAATCGACCATGGCGTGTTGGCGCATTCCTTGCGTATTCCCTCTGGAGAGATGCTTCTTTCTTTAAAAGACCGCTGAGTTCATCTGTCCGCTTGGCCTTTCTCTGCGCGTCATTCATAAACAATTTCTCGACATCAACTCCCTTTACGATATGAAATATTATTTCCAGAAGTACGATGTCTTGTAAGTTAAAATCATCACCCATATTGGAACACATGGTAAGAAGAAGAGCGAACACATCCTGCTGTTGAAAAGCATTGATGGTCGCAGACCTTGACGTCTCCTCCTCATCGCCTTCAGCCACAAGACGTGTATCCGGGGCTATAACTGCAACGTTCCGGATAAGGTAGAGCATGAGTTTCAGAATGCCTTCATCGCGTGTGGTTCGCTCAGAACGGGCGATAGCCATACTAGGAAGGCCAATGGAGATAGTGGTTCGGAGCAGGCCTGAGTTCCCATGGCTAAGAATCCCTCTCTTATATTGAACCTGGGCTTGTTGTAGATAGGGAACATGGCGATGATGATTGACTGTCATCTGGCTATGCAGTTCCACTGGCCATGTTAGAGGTACCAGCAGCTCCACTGTCAAACGTCAGTGACGGACTATGCAAATATTCCATCTTCTTTTCACTTACAACATGCCAGCGCAACTCTGGACATGTATTTGCTTTTTTGATTGGACCCAGACCAAACAGACAGGATGGGTAGCAGGTCGCCATTCACAAGATTCGCTTCTCCCAGACATCGGGCAACATCCATGCGGTTGTTCTTCTCATCGTACAGTTTTAACCACCGCTTAATGTCACGCAGACACGCCAGTGCGTCGTCTCCCAGAACGTAGCGATCAGCATCTTCACCATTGAATCCACCTAACTGTTGTGCTCTCAGACAGGGTTCACGGACAAAGTAGAATCAGGAGGACAGCTTACCGCAGTAACGAGACTATATACGTGGGCACGGACATCTGGGTCGATGACCTGAACAGTCTGGCCCAGGAGCAGGCCGTCTTCGTCCATGATGGCCGGTCGTCGGGCTCATTGAATGGAGTGCTCTTCGGTGTCGAAGGTACTAACTGAAAGCATACCAACGCGTCTGAGCGCGTCTAACGCGTCTTGTCGGCCTCGGATCAAATTGCGCTGCCGAGCCGAGATACCGATCATAACCGGTGACGTCGGGGAAACACGTGCAGCAGTCACGGATGCATCGAAAGCCCTCGACATACAACAAGATGTAGCGATTGCTGTCCCGATTCTCTCTTTGTCTGGAGTGATAATCACTATCCTATCTTCTTGGTCCCTGTTCTTGCTCAGCCTGCCATCATGTTGTCGTCCTGCCTCAGAACCGTCTGCCGCAGAACCCCCACGGTTGCATCTCGGGCATTCAGCACCACTTCCCCGACATGCGCTGCCGACGTCAAGACGCTCGGTGTGCTGGGAGCTGGCCAAATGGTAACCTGCCCTAGAAATTTATTCAAGCATCTAATCTAAAGTATCTGACTGTGATCAGGGTCTCGGAATTGCTCTAGTGGCCGCTCAGAAGGCCCAAGTCCCCGTGATCTTGGTCGATAGTTCACAAGCTTCTCTTGACAAGGGCCTCAAGTTTGCTGGTATGGATGGAATGAATCTTTACTGACATCATTGACTCTCCGGGAACAATCAATTAACCAATTGCTGTTTGTCCAGATAAACTTCTCGAGAAAGATGTCGCCAAGGAACGCATCACCCGGGAGGCAGCAGATGCCGCTCGCGCTCTCATCACACCCAGCCTGAAGATTGAGGACTTCAATTCCGTGGACATGGTGATCGAAGCCGTTCCCGAAATTCCAGACCTCAAGACTTCCATCTTCACCAAGCTCGCCCAGATTGCTCCTAAGCACGCGATCCTCTCTACGAATACTTCTTCCATCTCCATCACAAAGATCGCCGCTGCCACTACGACTAACCCGAACGATCTGCAAGCCCCTGCCCGCGTTGTCTCGACTCATTTCATGAACCCGGTCCCCGTTCAGAAAGGTGTCGAAATAATCTCTGGCTTGCAGACGTCCAAGGAGACGCTCGATACGGCCATTGCCTTTGTGAAGCGCATGGGCAAGATTCCCTCGGTTTCGGCTGACTCTCCCGGTTTCCTTGCCAACCGGATTCTCATGCCCTACATCAACGAGGCTGTGATTTGCCTTGAGACTGGTGTGGGTGGTCGTGAGGATATTGACAGCATCATGAAGAATGGAACAAACGTGCCTATGGGACCTCTGACGTTGGCGGATTTCATTGGTCTTGATACCTGTCTGGCTATCATGAATGTCCTATATCATGAGACAGGTGACAGCAAGTACCGGCCTTCTGGTCTCCTTAAGAGAATGGTCGATGCCGGCTGGTTGGGTAAAAAGAGCGGAAAGGGTTTCTATGACTACTGATTTATTCGATTATGAAGCGAGACAGTAAAAAGGTGTCACTTTGCATATTGTGATGACCATGTTCCTGTATTTCGACGTATACTTATACTTTAATTCTTCAAGGAGGTATATATCCGGCAAGGAATACATGGCCGATCAAGCGCCCCCACATACGTTACCGTTATTTGGCATGGGTTTTGGATTCGAAATTCGAGTGGTAGAAGGACACGTTTACACCTAGTTACACCGATCGCAGCAAATATCTAGCTGTAATATCAGAGCAACCCTATCCCAAAAAAAAAAAAAGAAAAACTACATCTCATGAATGCCATCCTGGCCATGGATGAAGCTGATTTCCTCCACATCACTCCCACTATTGATAAGTCCGAGCCGGTATCTTTTCAGCATATTCTCTCTCTCTGCAACAACCTGGTCAAACCACATTCGATCATAAACAAGCTCTTGCACGAGGCATCGTTGGGCCGACTTTATCACCCTCACATCTTCCTTCCCGGACAGAAATGGAAATTTCATCCTCGTATGCTCGAATCGCGATGTTCCATGGGCTGACGTTCGTTGTCGGATGCATGGTTCAAGGCACCTCTGCAGCTTTCCAATGAACGAACTTGCCCCGTGGTGAGACTGCTGCTGAGAAGAAAGGAACTTCAGCACCTGCTCCTTTTGCCGGTTGATTAGGCTGAGCTGTTGCAGCCTGTTGACCTCAGAAAGATGGGCCTGCAGGTTCCTGACGAGCCCATCGATTAAGAGAATCCGGTGAGGGTCTGGGGCACAAGACTCCTCGGTTTCTTGGGAATGCATGACTTCTGATGAGGGCTGTCGTTGATCTTCACTTGCTTCCCACTCTGCAGTCCCCTCTGCATATTCCAGTGTAGCGAGTATGTAACCGGCAGTAGGACTGTCCTCGGCAAATGGCAGTTGATCGGGAGCACACGGACAGGGTCTCTTTCTGTCCCACGGTCTGCCACACTTGTAGCTTCGAAGAGTTAGCTCTGACATACGTACAAAGGATGAGGATGGGTGATGGACATTACCAAAATTCCGCCTTGCATCTACATACCATATGGTAGCATCCGTCTGACAACTCAACCATCGCGCCGCAATGATAACATCTCTGCCATTTTCGGAGCCGTGCTTCCTCCAGGACTTCCTCGTCGGAGACGCAATCCCCCCAGCCGTGAAACTTGCTGCGACATTTCGAGCAGATCAACATCTGGCAGCGCGGGCATTTTTGCGATTTGGCCCGGGCTCTCAAGTTCTCTGGCGAGATCCACACACTGCACTCTGTGGAGGGACAGTACCAGCGGTCAGCGGGTGGTGTGGAATACTCCTGTATCTTCCTCAGGTAACGCTGCGCCTCCTCCCAGGAGAGGGTTGGGAGGATCTTCTCCAGGGGGATATCCAGAGAACAGCAACGGGGAGGGTAAGAATATTCGCCATTCATGGCCATACGCGCCAGCTTGCTGAGGCACAAGCTACAGTATTTATGCTGGCATCGAAGACGTATCAGTTGGTCTACAGACATTTCATTGCAACAGCTCACGCATTCCCTTGGTTGATTTTATTAGTTTTCAAGATCACCTTATCTCGGATCTCTTTGGAATACTCACTCTATTAACGACCGAGGGCCTATGGATGGGTTGATGCCAAGGTCTCCTGCACGCTTCAGGAAGCGCTCATTACGGGCAGATTCCCTGACGACGCTCACGACAACATCCGGTACGTTAATAGAGATCTCCTTGAGCTCGGGGGGACACCGACGCTGCATCCACCCACTGATGTCAACATGGACCGTCTTTGCTTCCTGGAACACAGGTAGCGCTGGCCACTCTTCCAGATAATGACCGGTTGGAGTCGTTCTTGCAAACTGCGATGCCATTGTCTAAATGTACCCGTGATTCCAGAAGACCAGGCTCGGGATGGAGACAAGAGAACACGATTATAAACATAAATTTGCAAGAACATAGCATGAAGTAAAGAGTAGCAGCGAAAGAAGTGGCATCGTATTGACCCCTCAGAGATGCCTATTAACATCTTGTCGTTTCAACCTGCTTTACGCTATTATGATAATTGCATTCATGCTAGAAGCGATATTATTAGAATCAACAAGTCATGATTGCTGATGATGCTCATGATGTGCCTGTAGTTCGGCTACAGGAACCATGGTCGGCGATGGAATCGACCATGCCAACCACGGATCAGAAGCAGTGAATAACTTCGAACGATTCATTTCCTTCAGACTGCGCCCTGTCAATTAACGTGTAGCCTAACCCTGAGTAGGCATGCAGGGCGTTCTGCGATGTGAGAACATGGTGGCAGTGTTTCTGGGCAAGCTAGCCCGTCTATCGAATCCAAGTCTGGTTAATAGCATCTTTATCCAAATAGTATGGCAGGGTTATGGAACACCTAGGAAATACTGCTATTAAGTAGGAATCCTATGTCTAGATCAAAAGTCAAACAGAACACAAAGTAACCATGAAGTTGAATTCATTTTGCCTCCCTCCATACTTGGTCCCAAGCGCAGGCTTTTATGCCCGACGCCTGCTCATTCTACTTACACGCAAACGATGAACGAAAATGAGAAACGAGAAATGATGAAATGGAAACGAAGACTAACGAAAAGACTGAGGTCCCTAATACAGTGGTGAGGGCCCCAAGCAACTACTGGCGCCCAGGGCGCGGACTCTCCAACCGTTGCCCTTGGCGGCCATGTAGCCTAAGTCTTTCGTTAAGGTTTTCTTCCGTCCAACTCCCAATGCTGATCTCTGTGTTTTCCGCAAGGCCTCTGTGCTGACGTCCAAGCAAAACACACGATTATGCCAAGCCCTTGCTTCCTGGTTGGTATTGAAGCTTAAGACAAGAGCTGTGCCATCTGTATAGATATTCATTGCACCTTCTGGAACAGGCAGCCAGACTGTCTGTCATTTCCTAGTATTCGATCCTCACGGTTTCGTCCTTGGTATTCTGAAACTTGTGTTCTAGTGCAGAACTCTAGATTAAGTCACGTCGAGAAAATTCGTGACTGAATCTGAACCTTCGTGCCATATCGTTAGATGGAAATGGATGCTGTTCTGGCAAATATGTTAAGCAACCATTTTAAGAAAATTCTGCGGATGATAAGAAGATATGAACGAGGGCACATTTTTAGGAGAGCGTGCGCCAGCTTAGTGGAGGCTAGGCAGGGACTCAGACAGGATTATGGCCAGGAAGATATAGGGTTATCAGAGGGGGAAAGAGGATATATCAAGATAACTGCCCGCCCCTAGTCAACACCATGAATGGCCATCAAAGCAACTGCAACCCGTCAGCAAATAGAGGCACTGCCACTTCAATGGTGTCAAGCTGGCTATTCAGCAGTGCTTAGACCTGCATCAACCTTGCACACTTATCCTAAGGCTGCAGTTGACAGGGCATACCCCTCCTAACCAGCCATTCATATGTTACCACCATCTTCATGGCTATCACTGAAGGAAGTTGAAAAGGAGGTTGGAGCTGGAAAGGACCCAGATCACAAGATGCAAAACCATGTTCAACCTCATTGAATGACGAAGAGCCGCATATACTGTAGCCCTTTTTGTCACTCTCTATCGGATGACCATGATGTTACTCCATTCTTGGGAGTTTGATACGGCTGACAAGGCTCCTTTCTGCCTTGCAAGGTCAGCCTTTGGATAACCAGCTTATCCAGTTTAGCAGGGAGACGGATGAAAGTGACAATCTGTATGTAGAGTGGAGATTTCCACCTGGTCTACCCGTTTTAGGCCTACTCAGCTAGAGTCAGGTAGAGTTCAGAGGTTATTAGGAACAAATAGCAGTATTATACCAACCAAAGAACCAGCAGCTCCCCCAGCGAACTCCGTCTAAGCCAGCTGAAACTCCGCCCCAAGGAAATTCCTGGTCTGACGATGAAAAGAAAATCAATTGATTTAAGAAATACGCCTCATAACGCGCGAGAGAACTTCTTCGCGGCCCAAGCGGAGCCATGCTCTTGGTATTCCTGTCGGGTAATCGCGACTTTCTTCAGCTCCTCTTTATTTGTTGCGAAACGCGACGCACCCAGCCATGTATAGCGAATAGGACTAAAGAAGTGTTATTACACATGTAGTAATTCTGACAAGGTAGAGAGAGTGAACTCACTCTGCTGGACGTCGAACTCTCACTTCACATTCTGCAGAAGCAATCCGGCGTAGTTCCGTCTCCCTGATCCCAAATTTATTAGTGACTGCGCAAAGAAAATTATCCAGTAAGCTGGCTTACAGCCTTTTCATAAACCCTGGTAATAGACAATTTCCGCCAACGACCAAGACGTTGGCTAGGAACGCAGGATGCAGCCCGGTTGGCAAGACAGATAGACTCTGAAGGATAATATCTGGTATGCCTGCCTGTCTCATGCCGATGTCACTCGGCGTAAACAATACCTCTGGTACAGTAAAACGTTCATTGCCAAGGACCAGCACATCCTCCGATAACACTTCGGCATGGGCGCCGGAAAGGATACCTTTCCTTTTCTTGGTATTTAGGAGAGGATCATGCGGGCGCATGTATCCCTTCTTATCCGCGTTCGGGTCAGGAAGGACGTATTCGACTACAATTCCTTCACCTGGTTCCGTCTGAGGGCGCTTTCGGTTGCCCTTCCACGTCCGTTCCATGTCATTTGTGAAACAGTTGCTCACAAAGCAAGCAGCTTCTTTGACCTCATTCATTACATATGTCTCATCCACCATATTATACTGCCTCATTGACACCATCTCCTTAAGATAGTTTGTGAGGTGTTTGCCTCCAATGTCAAGTCTGCGAATCGCACGTTGAAGAGGCTGCCCCTTGTAGACTGGAGTCACCGTAGTGTGGGAATAACCAGAATCGACGACAAGTAAACATTCCGCTGGCAGGGCAGATGAATCCGTTCTTCGTAAGACTGAATCGCCAAATAAATCGTGTATCTCATTCCAAGCGTTGAGGGTCGGCCCTGTGGCGATAACCGCGTATTCAGATCAGCCAAAGGGATATCAGGACGACTTTCCAGGCCGAAAAAAAAAATTCATCTTACCCACGCATCTCACGTAGCCCCCAAATCCCCACTCTTCCATCACAATCTCGTCTGCATTTTTCTGTAATGCTGACAACGCATTCGGGGCCTCCATGAGCACGAGCGTGGTCTCCTCGGGATTCGCGATCAGAAGATTCGAGCACCGTGCTGTTTTCTCATCGAAAAATGAATGCTCCCAAATTGCCCTTTGTGCCTCCCAGTTCACAATATATCCTTTCTCCATAGGACGACGGAATATCACCTCGTTCCAATCAGTGATGTGCGTTTGAAGCTGTGAGCCAAGAAAGACTCGATTCCCACGTGTCTTCGCGAGGGCATTAGGTATAATGCTGCAGGCCAAAAGTGCCTTTGCTTCATCATCTGGAGGAGTGGAATCCGGTGCGTATCCCGCTTTTAGCGTGTATGCGCCGTTGTCAAGGACAAAGGTCTTTTCTGGTAAGGGCTGCGCGACGGCGGAGGCGGCTCTCGCCGAGGTACGTGGTCTCGTTGTCCCCATCTTCGGAGCACTATTTGCAGATAAGATATCGAGTTCGGTTTCAGGTGAGCATGGCACGAATAACTATGTGAAATAGACTTCTTCTGCTCTTCGTTTGTGATGTCGTCGAGGAAAAAATAGCTCTTGTCGCTCGGAGATTCTCAAAACGGGATGGGATAAACTAACCCGAGACTGGAGGAGCTACGTCACGAATCGGGAATCTAGGGCAAAATGCTAGGGCTTCATTCTATCTTTTACTCCGCGTCAATCACAAATTACTCCAAATAACAAAACATTGGCTATCTTCCGGCGTATATAATGAGCTATTTACATCTCACTCCCCCTTCTGCAGTGCCTCCCGTCTTCCTGTGCTGTTTGGGTCAAGATACGGCTTCTCTCCTATACTCACAGCCCTCTGTCCCGCTCTCGGACCAAGATCTTCGTAATCGGGGGTCGCAGCGTGATAAACACTTCTGTTATCCCAGATTGCTGTGCTGGCGTTAGCAGAGTTCCTTCTCGTATACCGGTTGGCGCTGAGAGTCTTACCGAGGTCATTGGCATCTTGCCACCGAAAGCGCACCTGGAGATCGTGATTCTCGACAATGAGCGTCACAAACCAATCGAGTAGGTGTTTGCTTTCTTCTTCTGTTAGTCCATTAACCTTTTCCACATGAGTCCCAACTGCAAAAACGCTTTTCCAGCCAGTGACTGGATTGGTACGGATGACAGGGTGGATGGCTCTGAGCTCATCGCCGATATTATCAGGGGAACCCCTGGGTGCAGTATACAGTTCAAATTCGTTCTCCTTGGCGGCCTTATTAAATCCAGGCTGTGCGTAAGTGGCAGTCAAGCCTTCCAGGAACTTCTGGTATGGTTCCGAGATGCGGTCGTAAAGTTCATATCCAGAAGCCCAGAGAGTGTCTGTGAGTTCCAGTGAGAAGGAATTCGCATACAGCTAGTATAAAAAAAGGAAAAACAAAAATACTTACCACCACCAACCTTTGGAAGCTGGGTCAAACGTAGAATTGCATAGTCGCTGGGAACAGGCTCAAAGGTGATATCACTATGCCATCCCCTTCGTTGAGTCTGCTTCTTTTGAAAGAATCCTCCTTTATACAGCTTCTTCTGCTGTTCTGAACTAATAACACTTATTTCATCATCCTTTCCTCCAAATTCGCGTCCCGAATTTACAACTGGGTGGATGTGCAAGGTTGAAGAACTTGGCTTTCCGGCAAGTTGACCCAGACGCTGGGCCAATTCCTTTTGCAGATCATTATCCAGATCATCCTGCTTGCGAAAGAAGACAACACCCCGTTGAGACACTGCCAATATATTAGTCAATCGTGTTAGGTCCTAAGTATATGAAGAATGGAAGAAGCTGCTCCATCATCACTCACCCGTGATAGCTAGATCTCTGAGCAACTCATCCGAGTTCGGGGCGCGCAACCATTCTTTAAGATTGGCCTTTGTAAATTCCCTCCCAATAATAGGGGTAACATCAAACGACTCGAATGAATCCAGGACGCCCTTCAGTTTCAACGGTTCCTTCAGGAGAGTCTTGGGAGTAGCCTTTGCCACTTCCGGGACCACGTTGGGAGCTTCGGCAGTAACACTCGGGGCCATGGCGTTTTTATATTGCAATCTAGGTAAGACTCGGAGCTTTCAAATATGTTTTTCTTTAATGTTTCCTACAGATAAAAGGTTACTCGAGGAATGAGTCCCTTTATAGATCTGAATTCCTGAGACTCGTTATGGCTGACGCCTTAGAGATATCCCATGACGAATCCCGTTTAATAAACGACGTGAGCCCTGAACAACGGTATCTCTACAGAGAATCTCCCCTCTTGAAGTACAGCGTCAAAGAAGATAGCATTCGGGATATGACGACTCCGGGTGGCTTTGCTGGCGTTTGTATGTCCCCGACTGGCCTCGCTTGAAGCAGCGAAGGTATCAAGCGGCTATCTCGCATACCAAGAATGATTTGCAATAATACCCCTCCCTCGTGCAATATTTTGCTGTCCTCGTTGATGCTTCAAGCATACAGACATCCATGGATATGAGCCTGGTTGGATAGAGGCATAATGAGATGATTCGGGATGCCGATTACGCCATGTCCTGCAGGCAACAAACGCTCTCCAGTTGAAGAAAAGCAATCTCAGGTATTTTATTACCGTATAATTCCGCTAATTGGAGCAGAAGAGCGGGGCACAGAGAGTTAATGCATCGCCTTGGTAGAAGATGCTGCAGGGATGAGGTCGTTTTCTCGGTGATTGGCCCTAACCTTCTAACTGACGGGTTGCGCGGTCTTGGGAGGACTTTCAAGCCTTTCAGTAAATTGAGAAATAAATGCTCTATTTTTTTTGTTCCAGCATTGTGAAGAAAGGATACCAGGTTTTTAAAGTCCGAAGAAGTTCCCCTGGTCCCATTGAAGCAGCCTAGTGTTAGCTCGCACTGGCAACATTAAACCCCCTTATTGTGGTGAAAGTATTTACGAAAGATAGTATTATCATTATATTAATTAATATTATGAGCCTCGGGAGAAATAATATGTATGCCTTGCCGTGTCTTTCGTACATGGTATGTATGGTGTTCATGGGTTGGCAGACATATCAAGATACGAGGACTGTATACAACCCAGACTAATACAATATATGTACAATGCAGATATATGAAATGTCTAATTTCAAGTATTCCAGATTCCCGAATGAGATGTAATTTTTGTCATTGTTGTTCTTAATTCTAAGTTTTGTCTTCAAGAGCATACATGGCCCTAATTATTGATCCAGCCCGCATATGACCGGGACAACCCTAATCAGCGGAGCCAGCTTCATTATTTGGCCGAAATTTCTCTTCCCATTCTACCACGCTCAACTCCCCCAGTCTTCGACTACCTCGACGCTCCGAACAGGAATACGTAAAGGGAGGTTAGAACAAAAAGACCAAACGCAGCATGTCACGACGCCTCTCTATCCTCATAGCGACGACCCTGGAGCTTTCACAGCAATTTCAAACCACTCTATCCCCCCCCTCTGCAAACCCCGCAGTCGCAGAATCTCCGAACAAAGACAATGCCCTGCCTCTCCTGTCTGCTTCCTCAACAGCTTTGAAATCGCAAGTCACAAAACTTTCGCTTCTAGCTATAACCTCTCCTTTCACCCATTCCGCCATTGCCACCGTCCTTTCGGATCTGAATACCTCCATTCTTCCGTCCCTTGTCACTGCGGCGCTACTTATTACTCCGAACGCCTACACGAAAGCCTTTCACTCCGAGATCCGGGTTTTAGTGAAATCGACACTGAAGGAACTCTCCGTGCTCGTTCAGGAGGTCAAGAATATCGTTGAACAGAAGGATAAGGCGAAGGCGGAAGATCCGAAGCGCGCAGAACGTCAACTATCTCAGTCAGAGAAGGATGTCATAACGGTAGCTACTGGGCGCGTTTGGGAGCCTTGTGACGCTCTGATCGATGTGGCCGGGAAGGGCGTCATAGGATTTGTCATACGCCGCGTTGAGGAGTGGAGGAATCTAGTGAAGGATGCTGTGGAGGAGATTGAAGAGTGGGATCCCGGGGAGGGAAATGATGATTTCTTGGATGACCTTCTAAGCGATAGCGAAAACGGTGAAGATTATGGGGTGGAGAATTCACGCCGTGGAGACCAAGACGAGGAGCAGAAAGCTGCCTTGCAGGAGCAAAAGAAAACCACAATCCGCATCTTGAAACCTATCGCACAGGTCTTTCCCGCTATCGTTAAGAACCGCCTTAGCACTTCCGAGAATCCCACCGTACCGTCATCCAGGGTCGAAAAACTGGAGTTGCTAATGCTAAATCTCCAGAGTATCCCTAACTATGTGGATGAAGTGGCCGGGGCCCTATACGAAGCAAACTTGGAAAATTCGTCTAGATACTTGATGAAGGCAAGGGCCTGTGCTGCAAAAGCTATAGATTTGGTGGTTTTGCCTTGGGACGTGAATCCCGAAGATGTCGGTGATCAGCCAACGCCGGAGGACAAATTCACGGTCTGGTCGAAGACATGGTGGAAGGTCGTAGATGAAGTGAGCAGGTCAATAGTGGATGGAACAGAGAAAACGAACACTAGCAGATGATTGCCTGCTGCAGTCAAACTTTTTGACAGCCTCCAGTGAAGCATTAGGTGCAAAAAATTAAACTCCAATGGTATCCGGATATTTTATGATTTTCATATTAAAACAGCTAAGTACACAGCTGGGACTTTGAGCCCAAGAAGCGTATACTTGCAATATATATATATATATATATATATACACTAGTGAATGATGATGGTCAACATCTGTACTGTTGAGATTAAGTATATGGAGATGGAAACACCTATTCTTAAACAAGATTGCAGGACTTCGTCATCTCCAAATACCCATTTTCTTCCTCGATGGAGTTTCACGGTATCATATTGGAAACCCGCTTAAGTCCTCATGATTCCCATTGAAGAAGCTCATCTTCAGGGATCCTGTTCTTTAGCCATTCCAGGACAGCATCAGTCCCCTTGGCAACAATCTGCCACCTAGGAACCCTAAAGGTATTGCCTGCAACTTCAAACCTTTTCAGGGCCGATCCACCGCCCCAGTTTTTACTGGAACCTTCGGCACGCAGCAGGCCAATTTTTGGCGGAAGAGAATTGATATTGTTGTTACTCACATCGAGAACTTGGAGACCCTGCACTGCCTCAAATTCCAGACTACTAATCTGGTTATCAGCTGCCAGGAACGTCAACAGCTTTGGGTATTTTTGTCGCATAAACGGAAGAGGTCCTGTTAGACGATTGTAGGATACGTCAAGGAAGGTGAGAGAAGGAGCCGACAGATTCATAAATAAGGGTTCAAGTGACTTCAGGCTTGCAGAAGCCAGGTTGAGAGTTCGTAGATTAGGGAGCGTCAAGGATATAGCGAGAGGCGTGTCATCATTCAGCGGATTGTTCGAGAGGTCAAGGTCTGTCAAACCATCCGCGATCATACTAAGTGCTGGAGTCGGAAAGCTGTGGAGCTCGTTGTGATGCAGATACAGACATCGGATGTCCTGGGAAATTATCGGTTCAAGATTATCCACGTTGAACTCGCTCATATCAGTGTGCGACCTGTCAAGGACGCCACCAGATTTAACCTGCCAGGAGGTCTCCTCAGCTTGGGTTTCAGGAGCAAGAGTGAACTGTGTCGCCACAGAACCCTCCTCGTCATCCGTCTCTAGGACCTCTGGTTGACAACGATTCCTTAGGTCGTTCTTGAGATCCTCAGTACCCATATTCAGGAACTTCCGTTCTCGGATTGGGTTGTTGGCAATCCGGAATACGGTGAGACTATCCATCAGTCCAATCCTTTCGTCTAACCGTGAAATCCCGTTTCCTGACAAGTCAACGTTTCTGAGCCTTTTCAAATCAACGAATCCTCGAGGGAAATCTGTTATATTATTATCCTCCGCTGACAGGGTCAGAAGAGCCTGCCAAGATGATACGTCAGGTAGACTCGTTATACGATTGTAGGCTATTGACAAAGTTTGGAGACTGGGAAAGTCAAGTTTCTCATCCTCGGAAAGCATTTCCAATGAATTGTTAGAGACGTCGAGAGTTTGTAAATTTTGCAACTGGTGTACGGTGGTCGGAATCAAAGTCCCCTTCAACTTATTTTTCGGGGCACTCAGTTCTCTCAATGAAAGTTTGCTCAAATTTTCAAATGGTAGAGTTTCGAGCTGATTTTCACCAACGTTCAGCACTTTAAGGGAGGTCAAACCCACCAATGTCTCGGGAAGATCTGTGAGAGAGTTGCCGTGGAGGTCTAGAGTTTCCAAATCACTGAGTTGACTGATTGCGGAAGTAAATGAGCCTTGCAAGGCATTGTTTGCCAACTTCAGATCAGTAAGAGTCTCGATTTCCATCACAACATGGATATCATCCATTCTCAGTTTGTTATTCGACAGGTTCAAGGTGTGCAATCGCTGCAATCTCCTGAACCCTATGGGAAGAGACTGGAGTGAGTTTCGATGAAGGTCCAGTACTTCTAACCCTCCAAATTGATTGCCTCTCTCATCAGCATCCGGATCCAATGCATAGGGGTCAACATCAGGAAATGCGGTGTCGGTGAGTTCGGTCAGTTCATTGTCGGCAGCAATCAACTTGACAAGGTCTACGCTTTCGTACCAGCCCGCAGTGGAGTTCGGGTCGAAGTCGTACATAGTCATCACTTCATTTGGTAGCTCTTTTAGAGCCAGTGCGGAAATATTCAGATGGCCTGAAGTCCGCGCAGTTTCTACTCGCTTTCGAAGTAGAACCTTGGTTTGGTCCTCCTTGGGTCGCTGGCTGAAGGGGTCGTGGATCTCGATACTTTCCCAAGGATCAACAAATCCAGCCTGCGCAGCTCCCCCCTTTGACGCTTTTCGCGCAGCTTTAGCCTTTGCAATTGTCTCCCGCAGAGCAGTAGAAGATTTAGAAGCCTTTCTCATTTCGCTTTCATCTTGCCGTTCTAGTGCTGTATTGTCAGACGAGACTGAGGATGGCTTAGAAACAGAAGAAGACGAAGGCGAGTTAGTAGTCGACGAAATACTTGACCGGGCCCGTGTCTTTTTGACAAATATGGTGTGCTGTGAAGAGTCCATCACTGGCTCAGATGGTCTCTTGAATGCTTTGCTCGAGGCTGGGCAGGCTTCCGGTGCCTTCGAACTGGTATTCTTAGATCCATTGTACACTGGTTTAATTGGTGAGAGCGTTTCAGATCGTCTCGGGGGAGTAGCGGTATTGGATGACAGCGCTCCCGGGCCGGAACTCGTTCTCGGAGTGGGCTTCTTCAACCTAGAGGGGCTTTTGGCAGAGGTGATAGATCTGCGATCAGTCGACGTATGATTCAACGTCAAGGAAGGTCCAGTCGACATGCGTGACCTCGACGGTAAGCGCATGGTAGTGGGGGGTTGTGGGAGCAGGTCGGTTCCATTCTGTTGGGCTGACGGAGGCCTAGATGGTGACCTGGAATGACTCATCCCCGATGATGCACGCGAAGGCGAACGTATTGGACTGACTGAATAAAAGAATCCATCTCTTTTTTTCAAAGATCCAGGGGACGGTGGGATTTGAGATAGAGTCTCAATGGTCCGCTCTGACAAAGAGGGTCGTGTCACTCTTGCACGGCCTCGCGTCTCCATTCCGTGCTCATCATGGGTGGTCTCAAAGCTCGGGGGCCCTTCCACAATTGTTGTTCCAACACTTGTTCGCAGATGAGATGCATCTTTCCCATTGTTTTGAGGTTTAGGTAGGGGAGGGATCTTAGGAAGCGGCGGCTTTTTGAATTCGGTCTCCTCGGACGGCCTCCGCAGTCTCGTGAGGTCAAGACCCGGGTCAGCTCTGAGCCGTTCCCGAGACGGAGAAGGTTTCACGGATCTGGATGTAGTCGGCACTGGTAATCTGGAGGATAACCGTGGGATGTTGCTGGGAGCTCGGCCGGGGGTCTTGGGCTGTCTATCCATGGTTAAACTGGCGGAAAGGGGTCTAGAAGATCATATCGATTGGACGGCAGAGAGCAGGATAAGTATCAAAAACGATAGGAAAAAGGAAAAGGAATAATTGTCTTGATTATGCGGCGACGCATGGGCTTCAGGGAAAAGCCTCTGTGTAGGTCAGAACTCGGGCTTTCACTCAGGAGGAATGAGGGCTGATGATAATAATTTCCTTGCGGAAGCGGTAGATAGAATAAATAGAGGCAAACGGGAAACCATTGGCCAGGCGGCGTTCGTTTCCAGGAACTATAGATAGATGTTTAGGTTCCTACCGAGACTGCACAGGGTCTTGCAGTAATAATGATCCATAATAATAATAATTTAATCTTAATGTGCTCCTGGTTGTTGTTCTAGCAAGTTTTTCATCTTGACTTGTGTCTGTGGCATTATTAGTAATATTGCACATCAAGAACATAAAGTCATGTGCTCACGTTGTCTGAACAACCCTCATTAGGCCATATCCGGTATAAGACAACCACGTGATACTATATATCACGTGGCTGGTGTGGTTGGCCATTCCGAATGCGGGAATGGCTGGACTTCGCGAATCTCTCCAGCTTCTCCCAGCCTCCTCTCCTCCTTAGGCATCAACTACCTCATCTCCTCCTCGCTCGATGCTCTCTTTCCTTGAAACCCCTTGCTTCTCTCCCCTCATCCCCTCTTCGCAATTTTGATTTCTATCAGCCTGTCATCCCTTTGACGTACCGCTTACTATCAGCTGTCTCACCAGCACAGTGCCCGTACGCTGTACAGCCCTGCACGTTATCTGCGATAAGTCATAAGTCGGTCGCTACATACATCACATAAGCAGTGTCAACAACACGCTGCCCAATACAACTCAGTCAATTGCTTTGGTGCCAGACCATCGAGCTCCTCCAAAAGTCGCGACATTTGGAATTGTACCTCGTCTCATTTTCATACTTGAATGCGCTGAACCATCGACTTCACTTGAGTTCTATTGACCATACCCATTGAGTTTCCGGTATGCCCGTCATTACTCTGTACTGTCTTTCTGGTTGTCTTCTTCTCATTATTACAATCTTGCTGACCCATTCAATTCAGCAGATCTCCAAGTTTCCTTTTGGATTCGCTACCGTCGAGTCACTATGTCACAAGACATGGAATCACATTCTTCACAGGGCTCTCTTGCCCCACCGGTTGAGATATCTGGCCCGACCGTCTCAATTCAACATGAAAGCCTTTCTGTGTCACCAGAGCCAAGCGTCATTCCCGATAGCCATACATCTCGGTCTGACAAACAGAAGTTCTCCTCCCCGCCACCCTTGTCACCGCCAGATTTGACGCCACCCCCATCGTCTCAAGTTCGTGAGACGCGTCGTCGACGGTCGCGATCTCAATCAGGTCCGTATCTGGAGCCTCGACCAGACATGGAAAAGACACTGTGCGCCGCGTATGGAGCGTCTGAAAACCTCCCAACTATCGAAGAGATTGACAGTGCCGATGAGTCCCGGCTGCGTTCTATTGCCAAGGACCTTCTAAGTGCAACACAAGAAGCTCGCATGTCAGCCCTGCATTTCAAGTTGCAAAACAGCCTACTTTCTTTTGCCAGTAATGAGGCTGTCAAGCGTGCGGAGGTTGAGCACCAATTGGCAAGGAGGGAAGTGGAAATCCTTCAGAGCTCCGAGTACCGCAGCCGCCATCGCTCTCCCGAGTCCAAGCCGGTGCAGCCGGATTTAAATGGCGAATTGGAAGCTGCAGTAAAACGTAACCAAGAACTTGAGAGGGCCAATGCCACTCTCGACCGGCGACTCCGCCGTGCTAAGAAGCTCATCGAGGAAGAGAGAGAAAGTTCGGACTTGCTTCGGGAGGAGATAGGGCTCCTGAAAAAGCGCATTAGAGACAACCGGGAGCATCTTTCTCAGATGCTCGAACATAGTTTGTTGTCACCCAGTTCGCAGACGGATTCTCAGACACCGAAAAGAAGTTCCGTTCCTCAGTACGCGGATAACGCCAGTATTCATATTCGCAGGGGTGAAAGCCACGATCCGTTTGCCGCCCTTCTTGCTGCCGATAAAGTCCTTAATAGAGAGTCTGCGAGTGTTTCATCTACTCCAAATCAGCACTACATTGAAAAACAGCGAGAAAGTGGCCATGTTCGTGGTTCACACTCATTCTCTTCGCTCCCCATCACCCCCGTGCGTTCAAGAACTGAGAGACAGTACCTCACTCCGGTCAGAAACTCGCATGATGAGAGTCGCTCCAGCTTTCCTGATTCCCAGGAGCGTGATAGACGTGACAGTGACAGCACGATATCAGCATCAGATGTCGAAGAGGCCGTCACTGATAGAGATTTGCCGGCTTCTCAGGCTAGCACTCTTGCAACAAGTATGCTTCGCCGCAATAACGTCATTAGTCATAAAGAGGGCCATACTGGATCAAATATTCCGAGATCGAGCGCTCTGCTTCAGACAAAGCTGTTTGGCCAGGTGAGGAAGGCCGGTGTTGAGCCTCCTGCCAATCCCAAACGTAAAGCGAGTTTCAAGGATAATGATTCCGTCTCTGTGAAGAAATCCAAGGCGGGCAGTGTGGGGCTTGGTCTTGACACATGGAATGTCTCTCGTGCATAATTCATAATTTGCGTTCTCTCACTCTTGCTACGCATTCTCGAGGCCTAGCAAAGCCCAGTCCGCTATGATGGAAACTTGTTTCCACTTCATTCCTTTCCTACATTTCCTTAATCCTCTCTACCACCTTCTTTCTCTCAGTTTATTCTTTTCCTTTTCTTTTCTTTTGCTGAGCAGTCATGAATGATGAACAATACGAATAAGGCTGGAAAGGTGTTCAGGTGTGGCTTATTGCTTCAATTTGGTCTGCGATTTCAATACTTTTCTGGTATCATTCCCAGCAATCGGAAGCAGCTGAGAAGCTGTCCTTTTGAGTTATTTAGATGAAAAATAAACGCGCTTGATACAAAGTTATGAATGCCTAAAAGGCAATTTTCTGTATGCTCTCATAAAACGAGAGCTCTGACTCATGCTCAAGCAACAAAGTCAACCCTGCAGATCAAAATAAAAGGAGAGCCTTGATTGTAGAGTGAAATAGTATAATGGCATATCTTCCCTATGCGAAGAGTCGAAAAGGGAGAGAAGAGGACATGCAGAGTGTCGCCTAATGCGGTAAGGCGGGTAGGGCTCGCTAAGCGAGGCGGTGCGGCTCTGAGTGGTTGACCGCCCACACCAAAAAAGTTGCTCCCCGATTTCTTTGGACGACCAGCAACAACCGACGACGACGACAACTCCCCCGGACTTGGTCTCCATCCGTCACAATGGTGCGTTATCCTATCTCGAGGCTGGTTTATTGAGTTCTAGGAGCCTTGAAGCCCCTAGTTTCCGATTACCTGGCAATGTGACAGCATGCTGATTGAAAACCGGTGATACAGGCGATCAAGCACAACAACCAGATCCAGAAGCACCGTAAGTGAACCGATTAGGAGGCATTGTCGAACAGTCGAATACCATCACTATGATGGCGCAAATTTATTAAGGGAGTTGAATGATCTAACGACAATCTTTGAAGACTTCCACAAGCACTGGCAGGAACGTGTGCGGGTGCACTTCGACCAGGTACGCTCTTCCTGAAATTTCAATCCATTTTACTATCCGACTCCCGACGAATCATTCGGTTGTGTTCGATATTCGAGAAGCAATTATATCGTTTCTTGTATATGGTGGACTAACAAAGATTTTTGTCGAATCTATAGCCTGGCCGTAAGCACCGCCGTCGTGAGGCCCGTCTCGCAAAGGCTGCTGCTGTTGCTCCCCGTCCGGTTGACAAGCTGCGTCCGGTTGTTCACTGCCCCACTGTTAAATACAACCGTCGTGTTCGCGCCGGCCGTGGTTTCACTCTCGCTGAGCTGAAGGTAAATTTACTACTTTCCGAACAAGTGCAATGCGATTTGCAATTTTCAACCATGGGAGACCTTGGTCATGATCTTGCAGGTCGCATTGGAATTTTCATTGGGAGAATTTGGTAGTTGGAATTGTGGCTCACAACCTTGTCCTTTTTAAATCGTATAGGAAGCTGGTATCCCCAAGAAGCTCGCCCCTACCATCGGTATCGCCGTTGATCACCGCCGTGTCAACTACTCCAAGGAGTCTCTCGTCGCCAATGTTGCTCGTCTGAAGGACTACAAGGCTCGCCTCATCCTCTTCCCCCGCAAGAGCGGCCAGTTCAAGAAGCTCGACTCGAGCGCTGAAGAGGTCAAGGCCGCCAAGGCCGCCTTCGCCGCTGAGGGCAAGACCGAGGGCTACGCCATCAACGTTGACGCTACCTTCCCCATCAAGAACGCTTCTCTCGAAGACGCCATCTCCCACGTCAAGCGGGATGATCTGCCCAAGGGCGAAGAGGCTGCATACCGGCGGTTGCGGGAAGCCCGTAGCGAGGCTCGCTATGCTGGTATCCGGGCGAAGAGGGCCAAGGTTAAGGCCGAGGAGGAAGAAGCTGCCAAGAAATAAATGTGATGGTTGTTCTAGTCTAGCAAATGATGATCTGGCCAATTTTCAGGTGGGGAAATTATTTCTATACGGTGGCATGGCATGGCGCCTCTTATTCCTTTTTATTTTTTTTCCTTATCCTTAAAAGACCTTTTCCGAATTCTCGAAATGCAAATGTCACTGTCTGATGTCCCACGCGAACGCATCGTCTCGCTCAGTTCTAATGTCGATGTCAAATTGTAATAGACATGGGCCGTGCCCTTGTCGGTTGAAACGAGGTCTCGCATGGAAAATATATGCAGTACAATGCCTAGTAGAGAAAGCCCGGGGAGAATTTAATATATATCTCGGGAGCATGGTAGTTAGTACCATCAGTGTGTACGCTGTAATGACTGATCTATAGTATGTGCGCAGAGGCGACTAAATAATATATACATATTCACTTCGATGCTGGCTTCCAAGCACAACCCCCATGATCTTCCCGTAACGAAAAAATACATAAGCACCACGATAACTCATTAATACGGCCTTTTAAAGCCTTGCATTATTCTTTCCCCAAAGCCTTTCGCTTGGAGGCTGGTCTCGCAGTGTTACTATCAGCGCCAAAGAGAACACCCAGAACTCCTCCTATTGCTCGAGCAATTGCGTCAGGGTTGGAATCCCCTACCGCGCCATCTGTCCCAGGCGCCCCCTTATCATTTAACAACGCACGAAACAGCTTTTTAGTCTCCTGTTCAATCTTTCTTCCTGACACTTTGTCGGGACTCGGTGACGAGATACTGATCTCCGGTCGCAGCTGGGGTTCTCCAGTCCACTCATCGAGGGATATTAGGCAAGAAAGGAGTACCTTGGGCAATTTTTCGTTCGATGCGAAGAGCGCACTAGTGCGCTCGATGTGGGAAATCAAGAATTGCGGACGGGTTATTGTGGTGGGACCCGAAGAGCTTCCTTTCTGACTGCTTGGTCGACTGTTTTCCTTGTTTGATTCATCAAAAAGGGCAAGTCTCCCGCGGCCTGGTATCCATTTCGAGTATTTACTTTCTATATTTGACCATATTTGTGCACGATATATCACTGCTTCCCAGTAGCGATTGATACCCCAGCAAAGACCCGATATATCGAGCTTCAGAAGGGGATTCGCCAATCTAGATTCTGCCCAATTCTGCAGAACTTCTAGAATACGGGAGCCGTTGTGTGTAATATCTGGTGATAAGGATACGGAAATGACTGACTGTGTTTCCGGGTTTGATTCGTATGTAACAGTGACGCTGTATAGACGTCGAGGGAATGGAGGTGGTGCGGATAATGTTAGTTCGTGAGTCTCAGTCAAGATGTCAGGCTTCGATGCAGACGCCTTGCTCGACTCTGTGAGAGCCAAGGGCGCAAAGACCGTAAGGTAAGGCGTTGTTCGAGTAGAATCCTGGAGAGCAAACGGGTTTTCCAGAGAAGCTGATGAGTGTTGCGTCGTCCTTAGTGGTACCTTCGGAGAAAAGGGGAGCAGTGAAGATATTAGTGAAGACAGAGGTAAATTGGCCGTGCGAGCTGCTCGAGCTTCGTGGAATGGTAAGCTACCAGAGTCAGTCAGTAAGAAATTGATGGTCCTCGATGTCCAGTAGACGTACACAAGCTTGCGCAAAGTCTCCGTATCAAAAGCTTCATCGCGCTCATTCGGGCTTTTGGATTTATCGACCCAGTTTTCCAATCCCTCAACATCATTTCGTAGCTGGTTCAATTCTGAAAGGAGTTCCGCCCTCAACCTTCGCTTCTTCAAAATTGTTTCAGGCACTAGTTCTCGGCCTACAGTGATCTCTTTCATTGACAAGTCCTCTGCTTTACCTGTAAGACCGATAGAGTCCTCAAAGACCAAAGGACTCGGCTGAATAGGGTCTATAGTCTGTCGCTTTCCTCGTTTTCGTCCACTTGGACTGTTGCTTAAGTTCCCTGTCGGTCGCCCTGGTGGCTGTTCCAACCCTAGTTGAGTGGGTGTAGGAGGCAGCTCGGGTTCTTCGACCCCCCCATATAAAGTAGAATGAGTAAAGTCTTCCCCATCATCCTCTATCCCCGTCATTATAGACTCTAGCTCTGAAGCCAATTGAGCATTTTCTCTGCGCGTACGCTGCGATGTGTTCTGCAGTCGTGTCGGTGACCCGAATGTAAAATCCGATGGCAGAATTTTTCGAGAGACTCTCCGCGGAGGAACGGCAAATGCCTGTAAACTACTCGACCTCCTAGCCGGAGACAAAAGGGTGCTGCTGCCAGAGAGCCGTGGTCCCCTAGCCGGACTTGCTGTCGATGTCAAAGAAGGCCTGAGGGCCTTTCTGTCACGCAAGCCAAATGCCCTCCCTTCAGCTTGCCCTCTCTGACCATCTGACTGTCCTGTATCATGCGCTGGTATCTCGGGATGCGACTGGCTGTCCACATTTCGATCAGGGGGCACCTGGTTGGTATGCGACGCGTCGGTATCTGGGGCGTTGTTAGTCTTACGCCGTTTGGCCGGAGAGGAAAGCATCGTTTTGCGCATGCATATGGAGAGAAGATTGAACAAAGGTATTCGCCAACAACTTCGTACGCTGAGTGTCCTAGAGACAGTAATCGAAGGAATTAGTCAAAAACAACACAAGGAAGCCTGGAATCGATTGATCCGGAGGATGGGCGGTGTTTGCGCTGTTTGCACAATGACATAATACTCCTGCTCTGCGCTTTTCTTTCGGCGAACGAACAACTTCCGGCTAATAGCCAGAGGAATACAGACTCTCATCTCAATCAGGCGATATGGAATCTCTCGCAGTGGCTACGAGACGCTCCCTTCCTCGAAGGACTGTCCGCCTATCCTGCCTTCTTCGACATTCTCTACCTATCTCCAAGACATCTGCGCTTTCTCCTCGACCGATATTACTTCGGCAGCATGCCTTTCTCCCGACGCACCCTCGGCTAGAAGCCCACCTGTCTGCTCCAACTAAAAATGGAGATAGTTCTGTAGAAGGTTTAGATCGCACCGCCGTGCGACAACAGTATCCATTGTCGGGTTATTATCTCGACATTCTCAATACCCGCTCTCCTTACTCGGACCTAGCAACTTCCTCGCGACCCGTTGTCGAACCTACAATCATGACGGAAGATAAACCGTCGCCATCATCGACCGTTCAGCCACAGTCACCACAGGATAGAATGGCCATTGTTTTTGGGAGCCGTCTCGCCTCGCCGGGGTACCGTTCCTCGCGCTTGCCTCCAGAGTCGACTTGGAAGACCGTGAATGGAGTTGCGATCCCGCCGCGACCAGAGGAACCTGATAACTGCTGCATGAGTGGCTGTGTGCACTGCGTGTGGGATGACTATCGTGAAGCGGTGGAAGAATGGGCGGCAAGGCTTGAAGAAGCCAGAGCAAAAGTACACCCAAGCATAGAGACGGACATGCGTAGCGGCCGGAGACCAGAGGTTGCCAGTGCTAGTCTTTCCATGGATGACGATGGTGGTGGTAGTGAGACGAATTGGGCTCCCCCGAGCTCAGAAGATGGTCTTTTTGCAGATATTCCAGTTGGCATCCGGGAATTCATGAAAACGGAGAAGAGACTTCGTCAAAAGCACAGAGAGAAAGCGTCCGCTTGAACCCAGTGACCTTTTTCTGGAATCCTTGTTCTTATACCCTGTTCAGATATGGTGCTTTTCCTTGAAAGACTCGTTGATAGAATTCTATATAGATGGCATGGCGTGTGTATATATCATATCGACTTGGTCTTAGACAGAGCATATGTTTGCAATGACTAATGCAGTAATTCTTCCGAAGACTAATTGTCTTTTCAGATCTATACAATTCTGGATCACGGCAGATTTAGCAGTTGATTATAGGATAATCGTGTAGACCAATATTAGGCACTTCCCGAAGCCGAAGAGCATGATGGACAGTCGATATGCGGAGTAGATAACTCCACTATAGGTTCTGCTTGTTGATGGACTAGTCTCAGCCCTACAGGATCGAGCCATTGATTATTGTAGACTCACAGTCATCTTTCAATTCAGTTGTATCCGGCTCTTGCCAAAGAAGTTATGAGTATCATGGAATTTTGTCCATCCATGCACCACCTTAGGCACCTCGCTGTAATATCCATTCACCCAATACGGCAAGCGGTCAGAGATGCGGAGATTATCTCTTATCGACGACCGAAAAGCTTCATTTTTCTAGAAGGCCGGCATTATTAAATTGAAGTGAACAGTTGAATCAACCTTCATGCGCCATGTCGGCATGGAAAAATGATGCCGATGTCATTCTGAACAGAACAAACGTTGCCTTGGCGCGCAGCCAGCGACTTGTTGCGTCCTGGCTTCCACCCAAGACAGCAGCTGAGGAATCGGCGACTTCCAAGTCCGAAGAAGAATTACGCCAGGAAGAGGATGAGATTTTCACGGCTGTACCTGAGAGGTGAGTAACCTATTTTGTTTTATTTATTTATTTCACCCCTCGAAATTTGCCGATTCTAATTGGAAATTTCGTTTCTTCTCCAGACTCGGACTCGGAGCTCCGCTCCCTCAAAAGGAAGCTGACGGGAGCTGGAATCGCGGCGAACTCGATTCCAATGAGAAGTTGCGGAAGCAGCTTCTTGGAAAGAATTATCAGAAGGTTATGAAAAAGACGGCGTCGACAACGAATCAATCGAATCAATCGCATAAACATCAAGACGTCAGGAACGGGGCATCTGACGCAGCGTCGTCTCCAGTGCTACTAGTGGCTGGAAAGGAGCGAAAAGATGGGAATGAAGATGACGATGAGGACGACGAAGGACGAACCTCGCTCGTTGGTAGAAGCAAGAAAAAGAGAGCTGCTGCCGTTGATGGGTCTGGGGACCACGATAATGGCGCATCTGATCAGGCTCAAACTGCTGCCGCGCAGCCTGATGGAGCGGTTGAAGAAGAACTGGTGACAAAGAAGCAGAATCTATCTTCGAAGGGGAAAAGAAGGGCCACGAGTTTTCTAGATGAAATACTGGCTGACAGAGGAAAAAAGAAGAAAAAAAGATGAATGCTCTTTTTTCTCTGTAAGATTGACATTCCATAATGAGCCGTGTATACCTCGTTGCAAACAAATTAGTACATCATCCTTCTTTACCCATTTCCTGGTCTATCCCAGTGGATGTCTGCCGTCTGGAATAAGAGTTAATTCGTATAGAAGAGTTGTATTTCCAATTATGTATAGTAAAAATAATATAAACCCGTGCCTCTTTGCCCTTGCCATCTATTGGAACACAGATGCTCGCTCCATCCAACCCAAGGGTATATAAGTGCTGTTCGGAGCATGCACCGTAGGAATATGCAAACCCAGCTTTTCTAACTGTCACATTTCAAAAAAAAGGAAAAAGAAAAAAAAGACAATGTCACGCGCAAGAGAATCGCCCCAATCCATATTATTGCTGATGAAGAGAATACCAGTAGCCCAGTGACAGAAAGGGCATGACTGCTAAAAAAAAAAAAAAGGGGGTGATTAAAAGAAGTACAAAAGTATGTGGTGCCCAAAATGCACTTGAAGGCTTATCCCCAAATGCCCCCACTTGTATGAACAGAGAACAGATACTCACTATTCAAAAAGAAATTTTCTTCGGCCATAGACTGCCTAAGATATGTTCAGATACCCATTTGGTGTGACAAGAACAGAGTTTGTCCCATCAACAGCAGCGCATCCATTTCCAAATATTAACTGTGTCAATGGAAGGCGCTCGTCTCACGCATCTCCAGAGACTCGTGGAATTATTCCCAAGCATGATAATGCCTGAATGTGCGCCGTTCGCAGAAAGATGCTTATTCAAGTATTTATATGGAATTTCTCCACTCCATTCCCTGACGGCTAACATATAAAGCACCGTTCCGCCGGGGAAACCCGAACAAGATGTCAAAACGTCCAGCGAGATGTCCGGTGCTTTAGAGAGAGAATAGGGAAGCGATAAATTACTCCAATCGCCTTCGTTTCCTATCCTCGTTGGGTGCTCGATCGTCTTCCGTTCTCTCAGTAGGATTTAACAAAGAGTGGACATTGCTTGCCATACTCGAGCGCCTAGTTGCTGGCAAGGAAGATTCATGTCGGGGAAGCTTCAAACCACTGAACGCCCATCCATTATCAACGTTGAATGTAGGGGGAGTCGTATCAGTGGTTAAAGGTGGAGTAGCATGCCGCGAATTGCTCTGAAGACGTCGCGGCGCATCCATTTCGTACCGTGCCAAAACATCTTGCACTTGCTGATCGCTAGAAGTCGGTGTTCGATGCGGCGATGGAGGCCAATGGGATATGGCGGGCCCGGCCATACTGGATGGGAAAGGAGAACTGCTTGATGGTGGCCACCCATGCTGACGAATATCCGCAGATGTGTGCCGTCGACCAACATTGGATCCTGGAGGAGAGGAGACAGTCGAGAGCGGATGAGGTAGTGGCTGCTGCTGGGGAGGAACCGGCGGAATCGGCGGTCGGCCGTAATTCGGGGAAGAATTCGCAGCGCCAATTGAGCCGTAACGGCGAGGAGTGACAGCAAAGTGCGCAGGAACAGGAGGACGGATCACACCTGTCCTCGGTACATCCACGACGGATGGTCGACGGCTCTCATCCTGCGGTATTTGACGAGGAGAAAGGGGTGGACCCGGATCAATAGACACACTAGCCAGGTAGGGTTGTCGCCCTGGCAATACTGATTCATGAGGGATTTCGAGAGCCCGCACGTGGTCAAGGTGTCTCTCGATTTCTCTTTGCATGTCACACACTGCTGTTGAGTCAGAATCGACCCGCAGAAAAAAGACCAAGAATAGAAGGGAAATGGGCCAACGTACCATCCCGGTATAGGGGACTCTCGCGGTCGGGAACCATTGCTGAAAGGAAATGAGTAATTGAGTGAGTCCACTAGAGCATTGTGGTGAGCACTGGACAAGGCAATACTGGACATGCGACAAGCAATCAACTTACGTGGAAGCATCTGCTCAGGCTCTCCACCATGACTTGGCATTTCGAAGTAAGAGCCGCATTACCCTCCTCAGCTCGCACCAATCGGTTGTGCATGTCATACAGCGAATGCTCCAGGTTCACCAGTCGGGCATCAGTAGCATCTGAGGCCGGTTCAGCGGGAGTACCGGGCTGGGATGCGGTGGTTTTATGGCCTGCAAAGGAGTCGCGGTGAATAAGAGCATGTCTGGATGCTCGTCGCTTGATTTCCCTTAGACCAACAAGATCACCCCTTTTGAAATTGCCATTTCCATGTTTGAATTCCCAGAGAGCAGAGTCCGGCGATCCGGTGTGGAATACATCGCTCACTATTCCCGTCAGCTACCGAGCTTTGAGCTGGGATTATTTTGGGGGGGAGGAAAAAGGCATCGTACCTTTATGGAACCCGTACATGTTGAGCTGTCGTACAAACGAAGAAATGTTGGTGTGTTTAAAATACTGACTGGAACGGAATGTGAGCGACGACGGTCAGGGTAGAGGAACAGGGAGCAGGAGAGACGGACGCAAGGACTTTGGAAAACTCCGATGTTGGAGACATGACAAAACTATCGTTTGTACTAGACCAGGATATAAGATGCTGGATGCTGGGGTCTTCGAGCATACTGCGGCGACAATTAGCAGCCATTGATCAAGCGGTCTGCGAAGGCCCAACATACTTGTAGAGTTTATGAATAAACGCCGTCTGTACGACTTTTGGTTGTTGAGCTGCAGCTGCAGCCCCTACGGCCTGGGGAGCAGCATTGCTGTTCGACTGACCCTGCTCTGATGACCCGTTCGTAGAGGCAGTATGCGTTCGATCACTAGGCGGACCGGTGTGAGCGGACGTCGTCGTAGTCGCGGCACCAGACGCAGGCGGCGTCGCCTCCATATGTCCTCCTGGAGATTGACGGGGAGACGCCATGGCAGACGAGGTGAGAACAGGAAGGTCGCGGGTCCTCCCCGTGACATCCACGGCACCAGGCAAGCCCCTTCGCGACGGTAGATCAGCAAGGCTGCTCATGGCGCACGGAATGAGCAGTAGGATGGGATTGTCAAAAAGAAGGTAATGATAAGAAATGAGAAGAAAGAGAAAAAGAGAGGGGCGAAAGGGGCAAAAAACGAGAGAAAAGGGTTCCGCAGCGTGGGACCCCGCAAGGATAGAAAATGGTGGTAATACTCAATAATAGGGTATAAATAAATAATCTGCCCAGCTGGCTGGAAGCTGGGGAAAGGGCCGATTCAGCGCAGAAATAAAAGGGGGATAAAAAAAGTAGGAAAGAAAAAATAAATATCGCGAAGTTTTGCCCAGACAGCACCCGATCAACAACTCCCAAAGACTCGCAGCACGATAGTCATTGCGAGGGGTCCCTTCAAAAGCAGATTGTATATGCGTTCAGGAGCGCCTCGGAGCGGGAGAGAAAGGGCTTGGAGGGTCCGCTGTCCGGGAGAATGGTATGGTAATCACAGGAACCGGCCGAAGGACGAAACGTTTCACGCAGGAGGCGAATAGGAATAGGAATAAGGGGGGGAGGAGCAAGAGGATGTTCGCAGCAGGGAGAAGGCGAGTAGAGTTTGCGGGAGAGATAAAAATCTACAGGCAAAAGGCAAAAGGAACGGCGGGTCGATAAACGATCCGCACGGCATCTTCATGTCCCTGGAGGATTATTTATATTTATTATTAGCACGCATCGATCGCAGACCGGTCGAGAAGCTAAGCTGGGGACTGCGGGAGAACATCCGTGAAGCTGTCCCAATGACTACTAGACTCCTTAACTTCTCTTGAACATCGCATTAATATTGGAGAGGATCCATGAATAGCTGCATGTCCCAGCATTGGCATCCCCCAAGCATCCAATCCAGAGCAATCCATCAGTCATCGCGTCTTTTTGCCAGTCCCCTCCCCTCTTCTTATTTCAACCTGACGCGATGGTCGAGCGGTTGCTGCTCTGCAGTTCTCCTGCCTCTATCCGGTCCTCTGTCCTATAGTTTAACCTGTCTTGTCTGTCTGCTGTGATATCATCCCTGCGTTTGCCATGGGCTGGTCCGTCATGTCGGAATATCCAAATCAGAAGCTCCTGGACACCTTCACCGCTGCCTTCAACGCCCTGCGGACAAAGGATGCTCGTCGATTCGTGTACGGAGAAATTGGTCCCTGCAGTGGATGCATGTATTACTTGCTTAGTGCATTGCCGGCTGATCTGCGCCATCATTCCTCATCTACAGGTATCAGCAGCTACTAGAGCAGCTTCGTCCCGACGAGTGGCGCGAAGTGCAAGCTTGTGCAGACATCCATCTCAAATGCGACATCCTGGGCTCTCTCCCGCTGGAAATTGTGGCCCAGATTGTCCAGTCGCTCAGTATCTCGGAAGTGATTGTCCTTCGAAGAGTAATACTATCCTATCTATCTATCCACTGATCGTGCATCGTACCTCGTATCCCTGTGTTCTCTCTCTAAATATAGATCTATTAATCTATCTCTTACAACGCTCCCTAACTTACCTGTCAAAGGTCTCCAAACGCTGGAATACGCTGCTATCGTCTCCTGTCGTCTACTCAACGGTTCTCCACATACCCAGCGGAGATGATCTGCCTGTCCTAGAACAGCGCCGTCGCTTCATCCGCCACGCCCGACGGAGGGTCATGTTGGAAAGAGGACAGCCGGTGAGCAAATCCCTCTATCCATCTCCTCAAGTCCCCAATCCCCCTGCTCGTGTCGCCTTCGATTACTTCGGTGGAAGATGCGCTTGGGTCGACTCTGGCCCCGACAGCCGTGGCACGGGAATAGCCGTCCGCTGTTTACGATCTGGCGAGATGTGCCGTTTCCATACCGAAAACAGAGACCCTGTCTCTAGTGTCCGCATCTCGGACACCATAGTTGCTACAGTCACTATGCGAGGGTAAGCATGCATCCAAAACGCGCTCTTTTCTTTGTTCTCCACTTGATTTCTTGTTCTTTCAATTTGGTTTCCGAGCCTAACCGGGAAGGGGATCCTCTCTACCCCGTTTCCACGTCACACAAGATACTGCCATGTGTGGAATCATCACACTGAAGAGTATGGCTATTTCCGACTGCCTTCAATACGTTACGACTTCTTCGTGGTGAATGGGCATAAGGTCGCTTTTTGCTTTACCAACTCTGTCACCATCTGGGATTTCCAGTCCCAAAGCACCACTCGGACATTCCCCGCGGACCCTGGCATGGTGTTCATGGCCTTGTCCGCGGCATCAAACAACCTCGTTACCGTTCATCTCCGCAACAGGAATGATGGAACCTACCCCCTTCGTGTTCCCAGTGCGCAAGCACATCTCGAGGTTGTGAGGTATTCGTTGGACGAGACCGATCGGGCGAATAGTCTCTCTCAACCGGAAGTGTCCAAGGACTACCTGAACCTCCCCCTGGATGATACCTGGGTCGTGGACCGGTTCGAGCGACATCTGAAAACAATGTCATGGTGCAGCAATAGGACAGAAGCCTTGGGCCTACGTTCGCTGGAGCCCGAGTCTGGCCGGATCGTGCCCCCGAGTCATCTCATCTTCATTTCGCACGATCTGAGCCGCGACCAGATAGCTCTTCATGTGGACGACTGGCGCTCACGAAGAATGACATGCGTTGCCCACAATATTTTCTACTTCGTCGAAGGTAATGACGATGAAACGCCTTGCATATGGATCTCCAATCCAAGTGCGGTCGACTCTCTTCGACCGGCGGAGTCCATGCAAATAGAAGGACCTTCTGTACATTGTCCATTAAGTGCCCCAACACACTTGCTTTACGGAGATTCAGATTTCGTTTTGGTGTTGAACACTATCGGACTCGAGGTATGGTGTTTTGACGGGACGATTCATCCCCCTAATGCCATTCCCCTATGCGGCAAGTCGCAATGATGACGATGATGTTGATTATGATGAAAGACAAAGTGAGAAGAGGAACTTTACCGGGGTTACTAGCAATATGGGAAGAAATTGACCAGACTTATCATTCAAGAGTAGTTGGTTTATTCTCTATGAATACCGGAAATGGAGAAAATAGGGCTCAAAACTACGTACAACTTCCAAAACAAACATTATTGACCGCCACGGAATTAACCAGAAACAAAGGAGAGGATACGCAGCAATGCCCAGTCGTGGACCCTAGGAAAACTGAGAACTATCAATATCCATCTTCAGAAAAGTTCTCTCTTGCTTCTCTTTGAAACCTCCCCTGATGCTCTACTAAATAGCTGCCTAAACCTCCATGATAAGTATAGTGGAAGAAATAACAGGAATAGTAGTAGACCAGCTGGTCAAAGTGGTGCGCAAGACGGCCTCTCCTCACCTAACCTAGATACCAAGGGTGAACTCGACACCCACGTCAATATCGCGGGCCATCTTGACCACCTTCGAGAACTGGACAGATTTCTCTGCAGCACTTTGAAGGTCCTCGATGGAGAAGATCCTCAGACCGGAGTCATTGATCTAAGCAGCAAAGATCAGGTTAGCGAAAGGAGTCTTATGATCTATCGAGCTCAGCAATTAATCATACCAATTTGTGAGCCTGCTCCATGTTGGTACCCTGCAGACGGGCCACGATAGGTGTACGGAGGTTCATCTCATTCACCACATGGATCAAACCCTGAGCGATGGCATCGCACCTGACGATTCCACCGAAAATGTTGACAAAGATGGCGGTGACCTTGGGGTCGCTAGTAATAAGCTCAAAAGCAGATCTGATGGCCGAGGGAGTAGCACCGCCTCCGACATCCAGGAAGTTGGCAGGGTTGCCTCCGTTGAGTTTGATGATATCCATAGTGGCCATAGCAAGACCTGCACCGTTGACTATTTCGAAATCAGTATCAATTGAAAGTGACAAGGGCATAACTGTCCTTACCCAAGCATCCAATGTCACCATCGAGCTTAATGAAGTTCAATTCGTGCCTATATGAACGTCAGAATTCGCACTTTCCCACAACACATAGAAGCCCGCAGCAGATTCAGGGTCCATACTCTGCGGCCTTGACTTCGTCCGGGTCCTCCTGCGTGGTATCTCTCCACGAGAAGATCTCCTTCTGTCTGAACTCCGCATTGTCATCAAAGCTCAACTTAGCATCCATAGCCAGAACCTGATGGTCCAAAGTCTCTGACAAGGGGTTGATTTCGATCTGGGTGGCATCCTTCTCCATGAAGAGCTTGTACAGATTCTGAATCGTAGATTTCGCTTCCTCGACGCACTGCTCCGAGAAGCCCAACTCGGTAGCAATATTACGAGCAATCTCATCGGTCACGCCGACATTGATATCAATTGGAGTGGTGATGATAGCATCGGGGGCCTCCTTCGCCACAGTCTCGATGTCCATACCACCCTGGGATGAACTGACAATAACGGGGCTCTGTGTCTGACGGTCCATGAGAACGGCAAGGTAGAACTCACGACGGGCAAACTTGCGCTCGCAGATCAATACGGCATTGCACGGGCGGCCACGGGCGCCAGTTTGCTTTGTGATCAACTTCTGTCCGATCATCTGGCCGGCGAACATCTTCGCCTCAGTAGGACTGAAGGCTCGCCCGGTTAGCACTATACATGATAGATGGATGGAATTGAACCCACGAGTAGATCACCCGGACTCCACCCTTGAGACCATTATCGAAGGTTCCCTTGCCGCGACCACCAGCAAGCACCTGCGCTTTGATGACCATATCGATATCATTGTTGCCTGGTGTTGGTGTCAGTACTCTCTGCGGGCCGGGTCGGAAACAACGGATCGGCAGTACCAATGGTCTTTGCAACAGCTTCGGCTTCCTCTGCCGAGTGGGCCACCTCGCCTTTCGGGACCCCAACCCCATACTTTGGCATAACATTTCCATCAGCCGCGACATCTCTTTGAGAGCTGGCTAGCTCCCGTTTTCTTCAAGAGGTTTCGCACTCACAGATTTGAGGAGTCTCGCAGATAGGTATTCGTGGATCGCAAGGTTTCTCTTTTGCTGAACAAATCGGCCTTGGACAGAAGACTCCTGGAGGACGTAAGGGAGACAGAAAAATCTTTCATCAGTAACCCTGGTGGAAAGAATTGGGTGGGGATTCTCACCGTCGCAGCCCTGAGGGCCGCCGTGACTGGCCTGCTGCGAGCAAACCTGAACATTCTGAGAATCTGGTAGGAAAGAAGTGAGAATGTTTAGAAAAGGGTCCAAACAGGAGGAAAATGAAAGAAGAAAAGACGCGGAAAGAAAGAAACGAAATGAAATACAAAAACACGGAGTTCCGATAAGGGGAACGGCAACAATCTGCGGTGATTCTTTTGAGCTATTCCTCGGGCACACAGCCAAGGCACGTGATACCATTTGACTAAGCAGGGTTGCAGCTCCTAACTAGTTAACTAACTACTCCATAACTACTGGATGGATACTGGGAGTTGTCAAAGTCATTCGTAGTAGTGATATTAATTAATTAATCGGTATTTTATGGAAGTTCAGAGCACATGGATATCGGTGTCATTCAATTGCGAGGGCCGCGCTCGGTCAAGTTTCCTTGTGATCGCAGCTTTTGGCTACTGCTGGAGGCTCGGGTCTATAACGAGCATCCCCCATGGCATGAATGCTCGTTAGGTATTCCGTAGAGACTCCGTAGGACACAGTACATAGTAGGCGGGTCTGCTCTTTTGCCGGGGATGAAGTCGATGGGCGGACCGTAGCGGGGGTTATCCGACGGGAGAATGCCGTCCTTGGCCCAACCCGGGGGATTCAGCATGGGGAAGGGAGACATGGAGAACGGAGCAAGAATAATGATAATAATTAATATCTATTGCATGGCATGCAGATTAATACTTCCCTTTGCCTAGGTATCATGGTCCATAGATGCTGGAGCGCGGATCACAACCAAGATGCCGATTCCCGAGAGCGCCGAGACAAGCGATACTGCTTTGACGTGGACATGCGTGTTGAGTCTCGACACCATGGGCCGGCTCATCCGGCGTATGAACTCACGCCTTGACTGCGCGGTCGACAGACCCGTAATTCGCATACGCTTGCATGAGATCCAACACGCTTTTCACCCAATAATATTTTTCAGTCCTTTCTCTCCATCTCTCTCTGCAACTTTCGCATTTTGGTCCCCTTATAGAGGACGCCTGTATAGATTTCTGTGTTCTCAGACGAGTCGGAGACATACACACTCCTCTTTTCCGTTCCCACCATCGAGCGGGGCTGGGACTAAACCTAAGACAATGCTGGCGACATCGTGCTCATCTCAATAGTATGTCGGATACCACTGCGATACCTAGGCATTTAAGAAACCCCGGGGATGATGGGTATCGCACGCCAACCATCGAAGACGCCGAACGGGCTCTCTCCATCCACGGCGCGGACGGCGACCTGTTGTACCCATCCATGAGGATACGCCAAGTTCACACTTCGGCTCTGGAATCCTTGCACGACCCGGCCTTTCGGGCTGCGGTGGACACCGAGAAAAGGCGTCTGGACGGAGCAGGTGATGGTACGGGTTTGCCGCGAAGACCAAGTGAGTCGTCGACAATCCACGATCTGACCTGGAAGCAGCGAATCCGCCATGTTACTTGGGCTTTCTTCACACTGACAATGGCCACGGGAGGGATCGCCAATGCTTTGCATGCCGGTAAATTTTGATTGACAAGCCATTGGCTTCCAGGCAGCCAGACTGACCGGTTACTTCAGTGCCCTTTCGATTTCGAGGGCTGGAGACGATTGGTGTCGTCGTCTTTCTGCTCAACATCGTTTTCTATCTCGCCATTTGGGGTCTACTAATCATGAGATTTTACTTTTACCCCTACACCTTCAAAGCATCCCTCGTACACCCGACAGAATCCTTGTTTGTGCCCGCGTCCGTTGTCTCGTTCGGCACCATTCTGATCAATATCTCTCAATATGGCCCCCCGAAGACTGGGCCTTGGCTTGCCCACGCAGTAGAGATCCTATTTTGGATTGATTCCGCTCTTGCTGTTATCTTCTCTGCTGGCATATATCTTCTTCTGTATGACCGGCCCTATCCTCGAGATGTGATGCGCCATGCATCTTACATTGTCCGTGCTAACAAAACCGCATAGGTGGTCCACGCAATCTTTCACCATTGCCCAGATGACACCAGTCTGGATATTTCCAGCCTACCCCATGCTGATCATTGCGCCCCATGCCGGCGTTCTCAGTGCTGAGTTGGAACCTTCCCGTTCTTTGACAATACTTATTGGCGGTACCCTTATCCAAGGGATCGGGTTCTTAGTGTCTCTGTTGGTCTATGCGGCCTTCATCTACCGCTTGATGACACAGAAGCTCCCCAAAGAGAATGTTCGACCAGCTATGTTCGTTTCTATTGGTCCCAGCGCCTTCACTGCATCCGGCCTTGTGAACATGGCCGCCGACGCAAAGAGGGTGTTTCCGAATGATTTCATGGGAAATGGATCTCTAGCGGCGGATGTCCTGAGAATTATTGTCAATTTTGCTTCGTTATGGTTGTGGGGGTAAGGGCTGAATGTTAATCCCTTGATTTTTATTACGGTTTTACTAATGAGCTTTTAGCTTGTCTCTGTTTTTCTTCTTTATAGCCACCGCTGCTAATCTGTCAGCAACTGGACAAGGCCGGATGGTTTTCACGATGGGCTGGTATTCCTTTGTATTCCCCAACACTGCGCTGACCACCGCGACGTTCGCCATTGGGAAGGCATTTTCGTGTAAGCCAATTCAGATTATTGGCTGCATCATGGTGTTCCCTCTCATCCTGATGTGGTTTTTCGTCACCTTCATGATGATTCGTGCCATTACCCATCGCCAGATCCTATGGCCTCAGAAAGGAGAAGACAAAGATGAAGGTGGATTTGAGATGAGACTTCACGGCAATTTCATGAGGAGCTAGCTCGATGGACAGACTCATTGGTTCTGATATTCTCAGTTATATATGTAATACTATATAGAGCAGGATAAATAAAAACGCCCATAACGAATCCTGGGGGATTATTCGCAGCTCTGGCATGCGTCTGCTAGGGTCTTGCAGTCCAGTTTTATTTGCTATCCTTTCTCTCGTTCACTGATTTGAAGGATCCAAAATCCATGATGTAGCCATGTGTATGCGGTACTGGAAATATGTGGGGTAAAGCGCATGTCTCAGTGAGAAGTCCAGAATATCCTCTAACTCCCAAAGCCTGTCCTTGTTGTGGACACCAGGCTTCCAGCAGAGATATCAGACTAAAACTTTCCATGACTCATGGAAGCCAAGATGCGTGTGAAGAGATCCTTGAAACGGTCGGAGCTTGCCGCTGAGGATCGCCCATGGTGGGGTTCCATGGTTGCAGTAGATCCTCAAAGATATTTTTTTCCGGCTTTTTTGTAGACTTCTTTTTCTGCTTTCAGATTTGGGATTCCAGTCGCCGTCTTTTTTCGTCTCATTTTTGTTTCATTTTTGTTTTCTCCTTACTCATTAATACCTATTGTAACTCATACAATTTCGATTTCGTCTTCAAGATGACTCGAAAAGTCTACGTTCCGTATAACCAGGTAAGCTGCCTCAATCAAAATTTAATCTCTGGCTGTGCAGACGAGACCTGAATGGTGCATGTGCAGACCTAGCGTTGACAAGTTCTCATCCTCATTGTGAGATGTTTCTTGTCTTTTTGGAGGGGACGTCTGGGTTTTCAGAACTTCTGCTAACAAAATTCCCCGAACCTAGGTCCACAAACTCTGTCAATCTTCCGCTGACAAGATCCTAAACGAATTTCACCCGAATCTTATGATTGCTATTGGTGGTGGTGGATATGTTCCTGCTCGTATCCTACGGTATGTCTGATTACCCAGCATTCTACCATTATTCCTACGAAATCCGTTCTTATCTGTTTCTCATGAACAGGTCGTTCCTCAAGCGCCCCGGTGAACCCAATATCCCTATCCAAGCTATTGGTCTGTCGCTCTACGAGGACCTTGGTCGTGGAGACCCAGAGGAAGTCCCCGGAACGAAGGTCACCCGTACACAGTGGTTGGATCTCAGCTCACTGGAGATGTCCAATCTGATTGGCAAGAACATTCTGATCGTTGACGAAGTTGATGATACCCGAACCACGCTGGAATATGCTGTCCGTGAGCTCCAGAAGGACGTGGAAGAGGCCCAGAAACAGCTTGGACGCGAGGGCGAGAAGACAAGATTTTTCGTGTTTGTCTTGCATGTACGTTGCCATTGTCCCAATGGGCCGTTCAATCTCCCTATTGCCTGGTGGACGGCTTCTTGATTAACGCTCTTATCGTCCAGAACAAAAATAAGCCTAAGAAGGGGACCCTACCCTCAGAGATGATGGAGTCAGGCAATTACCATGCGGCCGTTACGACAGACGACGTTTGGATCTGCTACCCGTGGGAGGCAAGGTATGGAACCATTCCCACATATTTATTTAGTATAATGCTTTAAGAGCCATCTTTAATTGCTAACTGCTTTTGTAACAATCATAGCGATATTGACGAGCATGACCGGTTGGCTAAGGAGAATCCTCTTATTTGAGCCTCTCTCCATTTCCTATCCACTTCCTTCCCTATTTTTCAAGACCTCTTTGACAATCTGCCTTTTAGCGGCTAGCATACTCCTTCATATCATTTGACCTATTTTATTGTGCATACTCTTGCTTGAAGACATATGAGATGGTACGTCACGAACAATTCTGACGATGAGACTTTTCCTGCCTTTCAATAGAAGAAAGAATATAAAAGAAACAACCACTATGTGAAAGAGAAAAGCAATCATCATTTTGGTACAGGATAATTATGCTGTACTTCTGCTCTGTTCCAAATATATAGCACTTTACTCCCTCTCCAACCACATGCGATATGGCATTGGGGTGGTCTGTAACATGTCAACTAGTATTAATTGATTAATGCGAACTAAGTATCTACATGGATAAAAAAGTCCAGAGGCTCATTTCAGTACATCGCAACCATCTGGGTTCTCCTTTTATCCTAGTAACGAGGTTCAGATTGCAGACATAGCGGTATGGGCCATATAGCCTTTCTATAACACTTCATTCAAATCCTGGAAACAAACCAACTAATTGAATTTGTAGTAATTTCATGTAACCTTGTGTCACAGTAGATTACTTCGGCCTTAGAGAGGAACGGCTCGAACTTCCGGGCCAAAATCGAGAACGCAAGACAGACATTGTTCAATCCACATCAACCTTCGCTCTGCGAAGTTCCGTCTTGGCCTGTTCAATCTCCTTTTGCAATTCCTCGTGCGCCTCTGGAACGTCGTTGAAAGTAAAGATCGCCAAGCCTAATCGGCCAAGCAGGTAGCATGCGAAGGAAATTAAAGCATAGAAGGGAAGCTATGAGTGAAGTGCATTTAAGTTAGCAGCTATATTTGAGTACAACAAGAACAACGAGAAGCAGAATGGAGAAGGGGACTGTGTGTTCTGCAAGGGAACATACGACAGAGATAATTTCTTCCTGAACAGTCTCATTAATAGGGATGAGACCTGCATATAGGACAAAATAAAGCTGGAGAGACGTCAGTAAGAGCACTTTCTAGGCTTCCTTCCCAACTTCAGTTGACTTGTGTTGGTGCCAGATAATGCATGTACGCGACGTACTGAAGAGGCCAGTAGGAGAATAGAGATGGACTGTTGGGCGCGTGTCATGATGGGCCGATGGGGGTTTGGAACTGCTGTATTAGATCTCAATCGAAATTGACTGTGGGAATTATTATATAAACCAATTCGCTGGAAGATGGAAATGTGGTGGTTTTCACAGGGGAGCGGTCTCCGTAAGAGTTGCGGATTTGCGGGTCAGATCATTGTAGGACTGTTCTCCTGATGTCCGTTCGCCTACTAACAATACAACTTTACCTTTTTTCCTTCTCCTTTGAGTGAAATCAAACACATTGTCCACTCAGCTCCCCCCTTTTCCTTTTTCTGTTTTATCAGGGTGATACTTTGAGGCTGTAGACAATACCTACCTTATACTTGTACTTGGCCACTGCAGCTGGCTGGGCCCAATCATCTTTCAAGCCTGGATATTCAAGCTCGTCGCGAGTCTGAGGGGACTTCCAAACACCCTGGCTTCTGATCTTAAGCAGGTGATTGAATTATCTAGGTAGTACTCTACTTGAATTGCTTCCTTGTGACTCGTCCATGGGCTTCAATTGCTGTTATTGCGTTCCCACTGTCAACAGCATTCTAGTCGCATTCTATTGACCGCTGCCCATACAGATTTACACCGGACAACCGGACAGTTCTTCAAGATCCTTTGAAATTATCTTAGGAGGATTTAGGCAGAATAGCCTTGAGGAATACCGTGTCAACAGGCCTTATTGCCGCGATATTTAACCTCACTCAAAGTCCGCCATGTCCAGTTCAGAGGAACCCCTGGGATGCAATGTCAAGCTCCCTCCTGTAAAACAGCTTATCTCCAAATTGACGGCCGAGGTGCCATATTTACCAACCAGAGGAACCGAGAGCGTATCTCAACTAGAACAGGAGCGCATCTTTACTTCTTTACGGTCATCCTTGAAGGAAGCCAAGGACGACGAGACAGGAAGACTTACTGGGGAACTTCATTCTACCTCTGACCAGACCAACTTGGTTGCGACGTGCCGCAGGCAGGATATAGAAGCCCTGAAAGACGTGCCGGAAATTTTGCATAGGCTTTGGCGATGCAGATCAGACTACATGACGTTGGCTACAGAAGTTTTAGCGACTGAAAGTCGAAAACGTGAGTTATGCCACTTAGTTGCTAGCAAGTAGATTACTTATTATGATTCCAGTATCATGGAGAGCTCCCTATGGCCGAGTTGGCATTCTGGACTTTTTTCTCAGGCTTATTGCTACGAAGGAGGATGTCGACAATGATCTTCTACTGCACTCCCTACGGTTGATCGGCAATTCTTGCGCTGATACTGGTATGTTGAAGGTGGAGATGACCTCCAAATTCTCGGCCATTGGAATTCCTAACAACAGTGGCAGATGAAAACAGAGAAATTGTCGTGAAGGGCAATTATATGTTGGCCATTATTCAGCATTTACTTAACCCGGAGCTTATCCATGTGGCAGTACCTGTTATATTCAATATATGCGTGGACTTTGGTGAGCATTCATTAGTCTTGAAACCCCATTGACTCGCTGACATGACATAGAGCCGGCTCAATCCCAAGCCGCTGCCAACAGAATATCATATATTTTATTGAAACTCATCAAAGATGGAGCCATAATGGAGGGTAGTAACCCGCTTAGCTTTGCATACGAGTTAATAGAGATGGCTTCAACAAAGGAACAAGGTATGGCATGATACATTCTATGTGATGCTCTTTTTATCCTAATGCTAATCATCATATGACAGAAAGTAAAGTTGAACAATCTCCTGATGGAATAATTCAGCTCATCACAGAACTCGCCCTGGGCGCATCTCTGGACCTCGCTCAATTTTCCTGTCTTGTCAACTCTCTGGTGGCATATTTGGAGATCCAGCGGTTTCGAGATATATGCATATTACGGAATCAGATTGAAGGAGTTCTGTCTATTCTAAAACAGTCATTCTTCGTCCTAATAGACCCATCGTCTAGTGACGACCTCCAAACACTGCCCCAACTAAGGTTGAAGATCAATCAGTCACTGGCAGAAGTTTCAGGCTCGCCGCTGTTTATGGAGACCTACTCTCTTGATTCAACAGTTTCGCAGACTTTAATATCGTGGCTGAGAACAGGCAACGAAGAGCAACTCCAGATATGCTCGTGCGTTATGCTGGGCAACTTGGCAAGAACGGACGAGATCTGCCAGAGGATGGTTCGAGATTTAAATATACATATAGATTTGATTTCAATTTTGAAAAGCGACTCCAAGGGGGCTGTTCTTCATGCTGCGCTCGGTTTCCTGAAAAACCTTGCCATCGCCCCTGATAACAAGGTAGATCTGGGCGATGCAGGAATAATACCTGCAGTTTCCCATTTGTGGGGATTTGAAACTGTACCACAAGTTCAATTTTCTGCGGCCAGCATTGTACGGCAAGTCATCTCATCTTCTATCGAAAATGTGGCTCGACTTCTTAGCCCACTCTCGACGGAATCTGGTTTACCTGCGCACACGCAGACGTATCTATCGCAGTTGCTTTTGCTTTTCGAGAAAACAGATTCGACTCCAATCAAGATTGACATTGGACGTACGGTTGCATCCATATGTCGGACTCTTAGCCCAAGGGCTCGCGACGAGAATAGTGAAGCCAATGCACTTTCTGAGCGCCTTTTTCGGCTGCACGATGGCGTCGCTCGTCCGGTAGGCGCTATGGTGACCCAAACCCAATGGCCCGTCGTCCGGAGTGAGGGTTGGTTTTCTCTAGCCTTAATGGCGTCCAGCAGACCAGGCTCCCTTGCTGTTGTGGATTGCCTGCAGATTACCGATGTGTATCAATCGCTGAAGGAAAGCTTGGGTGCAGAGATTCCAGAGGAAACTACCGAAGCGGACAAGTCGAGGCTAACGAAAGATGGAAGTAACATCATCATACTTGTTAAAGAATTGCTGGGAAATGCCGTAAGTTAACAACCTGTTCTTGCATTGTGTGAGACTTTTATTGCTAACTACTCAAATATAAACAGTCTGACGTACTTCCATCAGACTTGAAGGCTATGCTACATGGCTTTATGCGCCACGATGTTTATCAGCGCCTGAAAAGCACCGCAGAATAGAGCCAGCTTGGCGGAAAGCTCTCATACGTATGTAACCTCGTTGAATGGAAGAGGCAGTGCGATTCTATTCGCGAATGCCTCGAATCCATCGTCAATTCCTCAAACGAGAGTAGATATATGCATTAGAATTCATCGTAACTCAGATCTAGCAGCGTTCCTTAAACCTCTATAGATTGATAGATAGCTGGCAATCCTCGGTGTGGGCGGTGATGACGTCGCTGCCCTCGCATCACCTTTACATCCTCGATCGGTCATAAGAGGACCGGGAGAAGAGCCGTGTCTTGACCCTTTTAAAATGGGAAATCAGCATGGAACGCGCAAAATCCCGCCAGATACGGCTTGATTACTGTCATTTTCCTGGAAGTCATTCCAGTGCGAACACTATGACGTCTTGACACGTGCATCCAGCAACTTGATAATAATTGTCCTGAGGTAACCTCGCCAGGCCTTCCCTACTCCAACTTCCCATGTTCCATCTTTCAAATGATTCTATTAACTGCTGACGGGCTTGCATCTACGTGAGAACATGTGGACGGCCTTCCTCCGTGGTCGTCCCTGTCTCAGCCGCGGTGGACCTGTCCAGCGATTCTTTATCCGCTTTTCGCCATCCTCCCCATTACGCCATGTCCATACACCAAAATGTCCACAAGTTCACAAAAGAAACACACAGAGGAGGATCTCTGTAAAAGGGAAAGTGTTATTTGCAGGACTGAGCCCTGGGGTCTTTTTGCAACTGGCAGAAGAGGGGAATGGCCATGAAAAGACTGGGGAGGCCTTCATGCTGGAGAAATCTCGCGAAGAAGTCCGGAAATCTGTTCACGAGAATTTGAGAGGTTTTTCCAGGCTCCGTCAACAGCTCTACGTCTTCTGGTACTGCTACATATACGACCCTATAGCCACTGGTGTCAGATTTCTTAACCTGGTACTTATCTTTGCGCCTGTTATCCTCACGATTCCTGCTGTCTGGTTTGGAAAGAGAGTAACTGCCCGCAATGGAACGCGGACTGGAACATTATGGTGGTATCGATTCCTCGTCAGTGCTATGCAGCGCGCTGGTCCGGCATTCATCAAAGTAGCTAGTTTCGATAACCCTTCAACTTTGGGATGCGCAGTTGGCTGACCCTGCGTTGAAACAGCTCGGACAATGGGCGGCATCTCGCACTGACATATTTCCTCCTGAGCTGTGCAATACGATGTCCTCGCTCCATTCGAGGGCACCTGCGCACCCACTTCACGTCACCAAGGAGACAATATCCAAGGCCTTCAATGGGCTCCCTTTCGAGGATATCTTTGAGGAGTTCTATGAGGAGCCACTTGGTGTAGGGGCGATTGCCCAAGTCTACAAGGCGAGGTTGAAACCAAGCTTGGCGGCTACCAACCAAAGGGACCTTGTCCAAGAGCCCCACGACTTACGGGGGAAGGTCCGAAAGAACGTTGATGCTATTGTTAAAATCACACCGCAAAGAGTGCCATCATTATACGTGGCAGTGAAAGTACTCCATCCAAAGGTCGAACAACTGATCCGGAGAGACCTAAAAATCATGGAGTTTTTTGCGACAGTGATCAATGCTATTCCCACCATGCATTGGCTATCTTTACCTGACGAAGTTGTGCAATTTGGAGAGATGATGAAACTTCAATTGGACCTGCGTATAGAGGGCACCAACCTAGTCATATTTCGGGAGAATTTCAAGTCTCGTACGACCGCTTGGTTTCCTTATCCATACCTAGACTATACTACTCGCGAGGTTCTTGTGGAGGAGTTTGCGCAGGGAATTCCTCTGTCGACTTTCATACATGTCGGAGGAGGCGTCTACCAGAAAGAAATAGCAAACCAGGGTTTGGACGCATTCCTTCACATGCTTCTGATTGACAACTTTATCCACGCTGATCTGCATCCTGGGAACATCATGGTTCGCTTCTACCAACCCAGTGAACTAGATCTGTCGCTTCGGAAGCATTCACGCGCATCCGACGCACCGACTAGGGCTGAAGTTGACGTTACTGAGACCGTTCTTGCGCGGCTAAGGCCGTGTATTCATGATTCAGACAAATGGAGGGAAGTTTTGGAACAGATAAATGCTGAAGGCTATCGCCCGCAGATCCTGTTCATTGATACCGGCTTAGTGACTCAGCTCAACGAGACCAATCGGCGAAATTTCCTTGATCTTTTCCGGGCTGTGGCAGAATTCGATGGGTACAAGGCCGGCCAGCTCATGGTTGAGCGGTCTCGTCAACCCGAAGAAGTTGTTGATCCGGATATCTTCGCTTTAAAAATGCAACATCTGATTTTGAGCGTGAAGTCGCGGACTTTTGCATTAGGTAATATCAAGATTGGGGACGTCCTTAGTGAAGTGTTATCAATGGTCCGAAGCCATCATGTTCGTTTAGAGGGCGACTTCGTCAATGTTGTCATCTCCATACTTCTTCTAGAAGGTATTGGACGGTCTCTCGACCCAAACCTAGATCTATTCAAAAGGTGGGTAGCTTCCCCTATGATGGAATGTATTTGTTTGATTTGATTTGAAGAGAACCATGCTGATGGAATTTCTCCGTTTTAAGTGCTCTGCCTATCCTTCGCCAGCTGGGATCCGGTACTACGTTCCTCAAGTCGGTCCGCTCCGGCGATACCTCTATGATCCGCGTCTGGTTCGGACTTGAAGCTCGTACGATGCTCCAGACGAGCGTGGACAGTGTCGAGCAGTGTGTCAAATATGACTTACTGTCTCCCAATATCTAACAGGACCGGGCGGTGGAGATTGTTTTGACGCCATTTGATTTGCGGGATGAATCTATCACCCACTTAACTAGGTACCTTTGCCTGCTTCTGGGGATTTAGAAAGGTTGGATACATGCCATTATACTGCGTTTACATTATATAGAGAGGATCTCATCGTTACATGGCGAATTTGGGCTAGATACACCTACGTGGATGTTTAGAATTATGCATGGTTAACATTGATTTAGGTATTATTATTTTTGTTCTCTTTTTGGATTGGTCATTTCTCGGATGGGTAGATAAGTATGAAAAGCAATTTTCTGCTAGATAATTATATATCCATTAAAGAGACCAGTCATACATAGCACATCCCAAGCTATGTAACCATAAGGCGCCGTTAGACAGCACTCTATGGGCTTGAATAATGGCAAGATGAAGGGCATAAAATGCAAAGCGTCGGAAATCCATTGAAAAAACGAAAGACCAACAAGCTACAGAATGTCTCACACAGAACCGTGTCATTGAAGCACACACTGGATTAATCACGTTCAATCCTAATTCCTAACAGCACCACCGCTGGCCCTCCACCAGACGTCCCCTCCCCATCTCATTAATCGTTCTACAGCAGCCGTTGGCGTATCCAACGCTGGTCTGATATCAAGGTAGAAGACGGGCTCACCCGTCGGTTCCGGGGGACCAGAGTAATAATCGATCACATAACGGACTTCCTTTGGCCCCCCAGGTGTTTCTCGCAGCACATACCAGTCATGTCGATCAAAAGGAGGATTCGTTCTGTTAACGTATGTCATAGTAAGCATACATCCGCAAAAGAGAACATCCGCGAATACGGCGGAAAAGAGGATGTAACGTACCCGAATTTTGCTGGATACAACCAGCCTAATGTTTGAAGTATTCTCGCTTTCGGTGTCAAGTCCTGAGGTCGACCCTGAAACCTGAGGAGACGCGGCTCGGTCTCCGTATTAGAGCTCCCAGAAATCTCTTCCCTGGCCCTTTCTAGGACCAAATTCTCTTCACCACGGCGACATTTCTCCCACCCCTGCCTTAGGCCTTTCGAGAATATGTTCTCCCATCCGACAATTTCCGACCACGCGCCCTCGTTCAGAAAATTGTGCACGGCAACCATTGACTCCACAGCATCCTGCGGTGTATCGGTATATCCTTTCCGGAGCATCGCATTGTACATCTGCTGGGGTGAAGGGTACTCCCAGTTACCCTCCTGGTCGCCTCTCGGAATCGAAGAGACCTCTCGGTCGACAGGCAAATCGACTGTCTGGTTTGGAGCGCGTTCTTGGGAGATTGTAGAGAACATGTAATTTAATGGGTTCAATCTGGACAGTGTTGAGGTACTTGAAGGAGCAGAGGGCTGCGGAGGTGAGGACTTCGGAGCGACGTAAAATGGCGAGTCCTTGGACCTGACCGGGCAAGCGCTAGAAGAATCATGGAGAGGTGGGGTTGAAGTCTGTACTGGGCAGCGCGACTGTAGCAACAAATGGTTAGATCGCCTGGCCCATCTGTCCAAGGAGACGTGATATACAGGTTAACGGCAGTATACTGACACGACTGGTAGAGTCCGATTGATTTGAAGCTACAGAAGGCTTTGGTTGCGAATCAGCCCAGAACCAACCCATGGTTATTATAGCTCAGGGTATATACTGCGACAGTCGTTAGAAAACAAATAGCAGATTGTGCAGAGTATAAATCAGGATTACATACAAGGGGAAAAAAATAGCATGGTAAGAATCCTGCGATTTGAAATCGGAAAGTCAGCCACGGTCCGAATCATGTGACTAGCGGCTTCGGACGGGTACTGACGTACTGCAACGCTCTAAGGATTCTTCTTAACAGTTACCTGTTGCTGTGTAAATAGCCCTGCTATATCTATCTGCAATCGCTAAGGTTTTAGGGCCAGTTGGACCTCTCAACGCCATTTCTCATAGACGCCTTATCACCAAATCTTGCTAAACCCGACGAAACGTGCTGAAAAAGTAAAAAAAAAAATGGTAAGGCCCAGTGAAGGTGCAAGAAGAGAAGAGCAAATGACAAAAATGATTAAAGAGCTTCAAACCGTAGAGAGAAAACCTCGTCCCCCAAGAACAAATAGCTCTTCCCATACCATAGAAGGGCGGTCCACGCTCAACCTTGAACATCGTTGATCAGTCGTGTCAGGAAGGCATATCCAAATAAAACGGCCACGCAAACCCATATTTTATGCCGTCTAATCCAGCTTTCTCCTGCTTGTACAGCCTGGCCCCCTTCCACGACCGCACCTAGCCCCGAAGCGCTCGTGGTCGGACGTTTGCGTAGTGCCATAGTCTCTGGTGAGCATTGTGTCCCTTTGGGCTTCGACTTCGGCAATATCTGCCCAGTCGCCGGGTCAATATTGTTGTCTTTCATCCATTTCCAATTCTCCTGATCCAATTCTGGCCATTCAGTGCGAAACTTCAGACCCCCATCCCCCGCCTTAATGTTGTTGATACCCTTAGTTGTTGGAGTCACTCCCGGCGAAAGATTGGAATAGGAGCCGCCACCAGTGGAATTCCACCATCTCGACTGTGCTGCATACACTCTGCGCTTGGCTTCAGTGGAACTGACGCTACCGGTAGTCATTTCATCGCTGGTCATGAAAGATAATAGACCGATCAATATGGTCGAGACTTCCCAGGCTGGGTTGAAGGATTTTGGGTGGAAGTCGCTGATGCTGAGACAGAGTCGAGTAGATGGCTGGAATCGACCGCTTGGGGTGTGCATGCGAATTGCTGGGGGGGCGAAGGGGTATTCCGGTGGAAATATCAGTGTGCCCCAATATTGTCCATTTTCATAAGGAGTGCCTGGAGGGCCAGTAAGGATGTAATGCCACCTAGAATAAAAGGGTCAGTTAACACATCGGACACCGACATTTAGATAAGGGTATTTGACCAGAAAACTCACTCTAGAATATCTGATTCGGAGGGATGTGCCACAATAAACGGCGGGGGATTTTTCACAATATTTTGGTACTCTCTAGTGAGCTGTTCAAATGTCAATAGGGAAAGAATACTGTACTTTGGGTAGTCTGCTCACCCTCTTGTATGCGGCTTTCGTTGCCATCCTGACATCAATATTTTCAGCGTGTGAAAACAGTTTGGGAGGAGGGGGAAAGGAGTGAGATATTCAAGAGGGTAGAAACCCAGGAAGCGACACAGGCAGCTGGAGACGATGTAGGTACGTCAGAGTCAAGGATGTGTCTGGTCGGGAGATGGACATCATTAATATTAAAGGAGCGTCACTAGAGAGACCGCATCCCGTCACGTGCCGCGCGCTTCCGGCTTCCAGCGACGGAGCGAGACGAAGCAGCGAAACTCCCATTGAGTCAAGCACTTCTCCCTGGCCATTGCAGCCGCCGCAATGTCCGCTCCGCTTTCCGCTGAAGATAATGATGTATGTCAGACCTGTAGCTTTTCTTCTGGCTCCATGTTGTCCGGCTCTGTTCCCGTCGGCTTGCTGACCAGCATCCGTTTCTTCTACTAGATCTTCGGACGTCTTCAACAGCGTACGGATCCGAAGGTGCTGGAAGAACAGCAGCAAGCTGTCAACGAGCGAATTCATGCTATATACCAGAAGGCCCAAACGCGTCTCGGGGAATTGGTATGTTTCCAATGCTAAATGCAGGCTGTCAATTTCAAAAGCGACCTGCTTCCTGCGGCTACCGGCTAACAACCACAATTTTGACATCAGATTGACCAGAATTCTACTTTGCCATGTGCCATCTCGTCAATTCAGGTGCTCAACGCACCGCATACTCGCAGAGGCTTTCTGGAACGGATATTTAATCCTTTACTGAGCGCTAATAAGGACAAGGCATACACACTCTCCGAGGCCTTGCGGGAAGTGTCGGCCCGGGCTGACAAGCTCAACAGGTTTGGTTCGTGGTCCCCTCACGCGAAGAATGCATGCTTTAGCTAACACCCTAAAGATATCTTTCAGCAGCCAATTTCTATATTCTTAGACCAGTCATCGGGACCGGATGCGTCATCGGGACTGACAAATCTCGACGTCTATCTGTCTGTCAAAGAGAAATCTCGCGTTTTGCTGAAGACAGGGACTGATCTTGGAAATGCGGAAGGTTCAGCCTACGGTAATTTGCTTTGGCGCAATGTTTTTGGGGGAGCGGAGTCTCTAAATTTGAACGCCTCGATGGGCACAAGGACTAGGTCTGCTTATCAAGCGGCTTTCGAGACCCCCATTTTTAGTGACCCTGACTTCCGTTGGGAACTGGGTGGAATATCCAGTTCGACTCAAAAGGCATGGGCGAGCCATGAAGAAGTTCTCAAGGGGGCCTGGACCAAACTTCGGTGGGTGAGTAAATCGGGACATCTCAATGAGCTAGGCTATAGTGGTTTCTGGAGACAGGTTACTGGGCTAGCTGAGAACGCATCTCCCACCGTGCGGGCGGATGCAGGTGACAGTGTGAAGAGTAGTGTCTTCCACAGCTGGGTCAATGACAGACGTGATAACGCCCTTCTCCCATCTTCTGGCTATTACTTGAAGGCTTTCAATGAGTTGGCTGGGTTGGGACCATTGAAGGGAGATGTCTCTTTCTGGAAATCCGAAATTGAAGCTCAAGGGGCAGTGCCAATCCCAATAATTGGGATCAAGGGAAAGAGCGGTGTCAGCCTGACCACTGGATTTCGGGCTGGCATTCTCTATCCTCTTGGTTTTGATTCTAGTTCAAAGCCTCAGCTTTCCCGCATCAACGATCGTTTCGTGCTTGGAGGTCCTACTGACGTTCGTGGTTTCCGACTCTGCGGTCTTGGACCTCGTGAGGGCTCAGATGCTCTGGGAGGCGATGTATACGCTGCTGGAAGTGCGAATCTTTTCGTTCCCCTCCCACGCGTGGGCGCCGACAAACCTCTGAGACTGCAAGCATTCGTGAACGGTGGCCGGCTTTTATCTTTACGGACTTTAGAAAAGAACACACCTTCCACAAGCGCGGAGGTCAGCAACGCTGCCGTTTCTACGTTGTCTGAATTAGCGAATGGACTTCCGAGTGTTGCAGCAGGTATTGGTCTTGTCTATGCGCACCCTGTTGCCCGGTTTGAACTGAATTTCTCGCTTCCGCTGGTATTACGCAAGGGTGAAGAGGGCAGAAAGGGTCTACAACTAGGAATTGGGATCAATTTCCTGTAAATTACAATGTACTATGCAGCAATTTAGCAGATGAATATGGCATCTTTGCGAATACCGTTCGCTGCGCGGGCACTCAGGCGGTGAGGCCGTTTACGGCAACTGGCCAAATTGTACGGAACACATTTACATTCTTTCCTACTCCGCAGAAGCAATAATAGTACTCCGTACATACAACCTTGTCCTCGTCATCCTATACTTAGTATCCCGTTTATTATTCTCCCCTAACTACGTTTTATTTCTCCCGTCTCTTTTGAGAAAAACTTCCAGGTCGCAGAACCGCCCGCCTTGGCCGTAATGGCCCAGTACTACCCTCACCAGCAACCGTACGGAGCTCAGTCTTCGGCTCAGAATCTCCAATTCTTCCCCTCATCTTACACATCGGTATCGGGACACACCACTCCGTCTCAGGCTGCATATGGTGGCTTTGGCGCACCTCCCAGCCAGGCCGCGCCCGCGTATCCAGGGGGTGGCGGTTATGGCGGATTTGGGTCTTCAGCTGCTGGTGTGAGTGGAAGGATGGGAGAGCAGGGCGGGCTGAGGACAGGCTGGCTCGCTGCCTTTGGGACAGAAGGATACGAAGGAGAGCCGCCATTACTGGAAGAATTGGGGGTCAACTTTGAACATATCAGGACAAAGGTATGAAGTGACCATCTTGACATATCAGGATGAGAACCCATTTTGCTTTCCCCAATATAAATCTTCAAATTTTTACGGCCAACGGCCTTCTAATTTTAATGGAAATGTAGACATTGACGGTCTTGAATCCCTTTGCGCACATCGACCAGCACCTCATGGATGACAGCGATCTCTACGGAGCTCTCCTTTATATCGTCCTCTATGGAACCAATCTCCTATTATCAGGAAAGGTCTTCTACGGGTATATCTATGGCGTTGCAGTCTTTGGAACTGTCGCTTTACACCTGATCCTCAGCCTCATGTCACCCGTTCTGGATCCCGCAACAGCCGCGGCGGCAGCAGCAATCCCCAACGCTGCCGACCCAAACAACTATAATCCTCATCACAAGCCCTCCTCGTCCACTGGGTCTATCGGCAACTTTTCTACTACTCTTACTTTCCCGCGATCGGCGAGTGTTCTCGGCTACTGCTTCCTTCCGCTCGTCCTGACAAGTCTCATCGGCATCATGGTCCCCATGGACACAATGCTGGGATACCTTTTGACTACGGCTGCCGTCGGATGGTGCACGTATAGTTCTTCAGGGATGTTCTGTGCCGTTGCTCAGATGCGCGGGATGAGAGGTCTGGTGGCGTATCCGTTGGCCTTGTTTTATGTTGTTTTTGGTATTATGGGCATCTTCTCTTCCCGTGGTAGTGGGACACTGGCGGCGAAGACCGGGTCTGTTTGATTTTGACCATCGGTTTCTTTTCCCCTTTTTTCTTCCCTATAAAAAATGTGTGGACATGGTTTGGCTATTCAGCGAGCAAGTAGAGTATAGTATTAATCGATTAACGAAGCTGAACGATTCTCTTTTTCTCATATTGATCATATTTGTTCAATTGCTGCAAATAATATTGCTGCTAAAGTTCCAAGAGTCAGAATCTCACACCTCAGTTGGCTATGTAGTTACTATGCTCGTTATTATCCCGGTTCTATACGTCCAGTCTATTTAGATTAACTGATTCACCCTTAGCAGGAGCCCAATTAGATAGCCATTCTTTTGCTTTATCCAGGTCACCTCCCGCAGCCTCAACGGCCGCGACACACCATTCCAGATCGTACGCTCTCCCCTCAGACACAACGCCCTCTGCAGTTATCATTTCTGCCAGTGTCCGCCGTTGCTGACTGGCTTGGTCTATGCAGAAATAGAAGGGTGCTGTGTTGCGACCCGCCCCCGGCTGTAACTTGATGCCGTCGATCAACGGGCGGACCACGTTGAGAATATTCGCCGCGCTCATCGTGGCAGGCTGGATATTAGATGTTGATTGTTTCGTCTGCTTCCCGGTCTTGCAGTATTCGTTCTGGCACCAGGTTTTTCCACAACCAGTCATCATCTGGGAGAGGTAGCGACGCTCGATTCGTCGGCGTAGACTTTTGCCTTCTGGGTCATATGTGTCAACGTACAACGGTCCAAAACAAATGCTGCATAAACCGAGGGAATCGTTCCCGCGACTATCTATTGTGCGGCCACAGTTTTGATTTAGGCATATACGAGGAGCCGGTCGGGAAAGGCGCTCCAGATCGTGATGGCGGAGGTGAGTCTTCATGTCTCTCAGCCGAATGATCTTGTTGCACAAATGGCATTCTGTCGTGCGGCCGCCGTCAACGACTTCGTGGGGCGTTAACCCAGATAGCAAAACTTCCGGGTCATGGATGTCGGGATCTGACTCGCCCTGTTGAGGTACCACAAGATGGCAGAACTGGCATAAGATCGGCTTCGCTGGGCAAACAGTCGTGCGATGTTGAGCAAGGCCAGGGAGCCCTTCAATATCAAAAGCGCAGTTGAGACAGGAGTATTTTTTATGAAACATGGAATCATGCTTGACCTTGCTTGAGGCATCATTTCCATAGTAAGAATCATGAGGGCAATGCCAATGGTTTTCCCACTCCGGGGATCTCTTTTGGAAGACGCTTCCACACTGGGAACAAAGCACATTATTCCGGAGACAGAAGTTTTCATGCAGGAATAACGTCCGTTGGGGTACCCACTGAAGACAGTTTTTACACTGAACATCGTCAGGGTCGTGAGAGTGAGGTTCATTGTTAGCATCCAGTCCAGTTTCATTTGGCGCCCTCGTCAAAACACGTAAGCTATATCTTAATGGGGAATTCTGGTCTTCAGATTTGGAGAATGGGTGGACCGATATGTACAAAGTCTCCGCATGCTCCAACTCCACGTTTGTCGGCTGGAGTCTAATTCGTTTCAGAGAGCCACTTGAGAAATCCCCAAGGACGTATTCATCTTCTCGTGGTCTGTTTCTCTGGCGAGGTGAGAGTGGGCTGACGAGGAGATCAGCATCACCATCATCCCCAATCTCGAGCTCAATATCAATGGCGTCTCCAGAATTCCATTTCGGGAGATCGTAATCCACGTATTCCCCGGGTATTACCTGACCAGTAACGGTATCCCCTACGGCGATGGTGCCTCCAGTCGAACTGCCTTCTGCAGATCTAGGAGGACGCGAGGCCTTCTCCAACCTCCTCCTGAGAGTCTCCCTTGCTTGATCCTCCGTTAGTGCTTCGATATCAACTTCTAAATCGGTGTCGACGACGCAGATCCCATCACCCTCCGGCTGCACCTTATCAACCAGGAACCTGAAATGCTGATCCCGAACCCCCGGGACAGACAGTAACTCCCCCACTGTCAGAGTAGTAAAGTTTTCGCGTAGGTAACGCTCAAGTAGAGATTTCCAATCCTCCGGATCGTAGCCAGCCTCAAGCGGACGAAGGCGTACGTATGTGCCTTTCGGTAACTGCTTCGCATGGACCGTCACCGATGGAAAATCATGACTCTCCATAACTTGGGTACTCATCAATCTTCCAGAAGGTGTCTCCAGGTCCATCACGTCGGGCGGTGCTGTTAGCTGCCCGTCATCACCACCGTTATAGTCGACAGAAGGTAAAAACTGGCTATCATCGATCCCCAGTGCCTCTCGCAGGAGAGCACTCAATCCAATCTCATTTTCCCTGGCCGAGAATTCCCGAATGCCAGCAAATACCACGCGGTCATTCTGGGGATTGACGAGGCGAAACGTTAGCGGGTGAGGAAGCTGCTGCTGGCGGTCGGACGCCAGTTCACGGGCTCGAGCCTCGGCATCGAAGGTGTGCGGATTGAAAGGATCGAATGTGTTCGTGTATGGGCGAGAGTTCGAGGGAGCAACTGACCGGATAGGCGCAGCTGCAAGGAGTTGCTCAAGAGCAGATTGGGGGAGGACGATCTTATCGCCAGTTAAGGCTCGCGGGGTGCAAATCGGAGGAGCGACAGTGAACCGGGACGACCACTTCAGAACATCTTCATCCTGCGCCATTCTTCTCGTGAAACTAGTAATGAGTAATGGAAGACAGCAGGCTCATTGGAGATACGATAAATAATTTTAAGCCCTCATGAGAGGACTTAGGAGGCTGCAAGAGGTCGAAGGAAGACATGCGTCTGTTCTCGAAGATACCTTTTCGCCTCCGAGATTACAAACACCGGCGTTGATAGCCGCATGCATCGATCTCGCACAGACATGACTTTACATTACAATTATCACTGGAGTGTTATTATCAGAGATTGAGAGGAAATGCTATTGTTCCATCGTTGAGCAAGAGACCCGGCTACTTCACTGGACAGGTATTAAAATATCATCGTAAATCCAGAACCGGCCAACACCATCATTTGTCTCCAAACTGCTCGCTGAAGGGGAACAAACTATGAAGTAGGGATAAGCACGACCACCGAAATCCAAAAGAAAATTCATAATCTGCAGTTGGGTGGAAGACGCGAAGGGTGCATCTTCAATGCCTGCGAAAGGATATAACACTATGCATACAGTCAGGATACCTACTGAGACAAATGAAGGTCTAAAGCTCTCTTGTTCGACGGCGTGAGGAAGTGTTGCACCAGTCACACTGTCCACAAGATGTCAGCCATGATTCATGCATCCAAGAGAAAAGGACCATACCATCGTTGCAGAGCAGCCATCATTGTGCTCAATGCAATAATCTCCCTGGCAGCCGTGGCAAATACGCTGACAGTCGAACTTGCAGGTAGCACACTGGAACCGTTGTCAGCGATTCTCACAGAATCAGTCGCCAAGGGGGTACATCGCCTACAGTTGGCCCACACTCCCAGCAATCTTTACTAACGCCAAACCCAAGTGTCTACGGCATTTAATAAGCAAGCGGTTTTTAGTTGATAAGATCCTACTAGTCACATACCTTTCGTTCCTGTGATGAGCCCGCATCGCCATTCCGGCTGCTTGGTGCTGCGCGGACAGCGGTTTGGTGGGGAGACAAGCTCGGTCTAATTCTTTCGGGATGTGGCAAGCAGCTGGAACAGAACCATTTGTTGCATCGGTGACACCATCTGTCAGTCAAACATTCCGTGCAACGTGCTATCAAGACGGGACATTCGTCTGGAAACAATGCCGGGCATTTTGCAGTGGCGATTGTTGAAGAATGCAAAGGCAGCGGAGTGAGCAAAGGAAAATGATCGTCTGCAGACTGTCCCCAGATAGCTGGTCCTTCTGGTGAGCTATGACAGCCGTCACAGCCTCTGGGTCCGAGAGCAACCGTTGCAATTGCTGGGCCCAGGAATCTACCTTCTGGTCGAGATCCATCCTCGTTCTCAGAGGAAAAGAAATTCATATTGTGTCGCGGGCCCCGACACAGTACGGCATCAAAAGAAATGATCCCTTGGCACTTTTGAAGAGTCTGTGCCCACCCATCTTCGAAAGTTCTTTTGAGGAGTCTGCCAGATGGCCTATACCACTCATGCTGCTGTAACTGCGAAGGACTGGTACTGAGTTCCTCGAAAATACTGCTTGGTAACATTCTGCCAGCGTCTCTTGAGCTTTCAAGCCGAGAGCTCCACCAGTCTCGATACCTACTAAGGCCCGGAATAGGGAAAGAGTTCTTGGGCGTGAAGAGATAGATTCCCTTCACCCGCGGCATTCCCTCAGGACGGGTAGGTCGAACAGCATGCTGCAGAACCTGCATGAGTTTTCTCTCGTTCAAGTGCTGGCACTCCCTGATAGATAGGATGTTGACATTGAAGCGGTCCGTCAGAACGATCTCTGACACCAGGTCTGCGGGTACTGAAAGGCCATCCAAGATGAGAGTACGCACATCTTGCAAGATTGATCGCCGTTCCAAGCTGGCGAATACGGCTTTCAGGTGGGCAGAGTAGAATTCGTCCTCCGTTAGAGAGTCATCTAGCTGCACGTTGTCAAACCCGTAGCCCCCAGGGCCAGTGGGCACTTGAGCTCCACGGCAGCGGCTCAGATCGAGATGCCTGAAGACATAGGGAGTTTTCATGATCATGAAATAGAGAAACCTCGACGTAGATGCCAGTGCAAGGAGAGACGATGTTGAAAGGTAAGGCGCCATATGGTCGAGGATTAGGCTGTTAGAAAAGATATCGAGGAGGTTGGTACGTCTAGGCAGCGTACACTGCGGGGAATTGAACCAGGCGTGCGTATCGTGAGGAGAGGCGTCGCCTACCGGCGAGGTAAGCCCCAGGTCCTTGTGTGTCAGGCGATGAGATCCATAGTAGAAATCGGGAGCGCGTCCGATGAGATTCCTCCGGTAAGCAGCCATAGCACCAACGGTGACTTCGTCGCCTAGCATCATAGAGGGGCCGGTATGGGGCTGGATCTCCTGCAGAGCAGCCCTGGCCTTGGCTAGCTCCGTCTCGAGAAGGTTGATAGTGGACTGCAGAACGGCCGGCATGGCTTTAATATTCCAAGGATCGATAGCAGTAACCAGAGTAGACCATAGCTCTCCTTCAGGCATAATACCAACAGTGAAGGTCAGCAAAAATTAAGTAGCTAAAGCAGCAAGACAAAGAGAGGGGACACGGCAGACTAAGAACAATAAAGAGCAAGAAACCCTAACAGGGTGTGATGTCTAATTTCAGGTCGACCCGAGAAAAGGGCAAGAGAGGAAGCGGGAGGTATAGAGAATTAGAGAGGTACTTCAGTTCTCAGGCAAAAAGATAGATATATTTAAGAAAGGGAGAGAGGTGTTATGGCTGCAAGGAGTGAAAATGAGTCCGCCGGAGGTCCAGAGGGATGAACAATGACCATGGATTAAAGCCAAGCACAGCTACTGCGGGAGGACTAATATCATAATCGTAGGGGTACAACTTAAATAAATAAAAATAAAAATAACAACAAGAACAGTTAAAAAGATCAGGACGATCTAGATTCTGGGATTATCAGAGCAACTCCGCCAGGAACCAAACGGAAAGGCCGAAACAGGAAGTCCGGGATACCCGTCGGTAAACGGAGCACAGGGACGCGGTGTATGCACTCCGGAGTGTCAAGTGGGAGGAAACAGGCCGACCAGAGGTATAGTATAGATTGCGAAGACAGCAGAACGTGCGTTGTAGAGAAAAGACAGAAGAAGGCAGTCAGTGGAAGGGAAAGGGGGAGGAGAGAAAGCAGAGAACGGAGTCGAGAGAACGGCATCAGGAGCACAGGAAAGCGGGACAGCTGTCGGGGAGTGATACCACCATCAGCTGGGGTGATGAGCATGAGGATTGACCGGACGCCCAGATGGGCAGGATTGGAGATGGAGGTGATGGCTGGCCATGTCCAGTGCAGCAATGAAGTGGCATATGAAAGCCTAGGCATGGATGATGGAGATATGCATGTTCTCCGTGTGGGGAATATCACGTCTCATACTACATATTATTATTATAATGGAAAAAGAAACAACGGTCACGCGGTCATCAAGATCAACGGTGACTTGTCGCGTCTCGTATGGCTCGCTGCGCATCCTCTTCGTATCTGCATTCTCCCATTTCTTCTGCCTCGTGTCCCCTTGGCGCCAATGCTCCCCCTGGTCTCCCTAAACCCCATTTCGCAAATGTACTGGACTGCAGAACACCGAGATTTGCGGAGTATGGCATTATTAATCTTCAGCACTAGCTAGGCAGATGGATCCTATGTATGAACCATCTTCTCTTGGCTACCTCAAAAACTAGCTGCCTGAGCAATACACTACTACTGCGTAGTACGTACACCCCTTCCCCAGAAAACCTGCTCTCACTCACCAGCTTACTTCCAAAGCTTCCCCAACGCTGTCTCCTTATCGTCGTGCTTGTTGAGGATCTTGGCCGTCGCCAGGTCGAAATCCTCTTGCGTCACGTGAACCCGTCGCTCTCGGAGCGCATACATGCCTGCTTCGGTGCATACTCCCTTGAGCTCCGCCCCCGAGCATCCGTTCATCTTCTCTGCGATCTTCGTCAGGTTGATCCCGCGCGTCAGGTTCATCGACCGCGAGTGGATCCGTAGAATGTCCGCACGAGCCTCTACTCTGTTTGTCCGCAGCAATAAGTAATTGTAGACTTCTAGGGAGCAACAAAGATAATAAACAAAAAGCACTTACGACGGTGGTGGGAACTCAATCTTCCGGTCAATCCGCCCAGGTCGCAATAACGCAGGGTCGAGGATATCCAGTCGGTTCGTAGCCATTATGATCTTGATATTTTTCGTGGGCTCAAACCCGTCGAGTTGGTTAAGCAGTTCGAGCATGGTCCGCTGCACCTCCGAGTCGCCCGAGCCGGCTTGATCTATTCGACTTGACCCAATACTGTCGATCTCGTCCATGAATATGATGCTGGGAGCATGCTCTCGAGCCATGACGAATAGCTCGCGCACCATTCGGCTACCTTCACCGATGTACTTCTGCACCAGCTCCGACCCGCTAACTCGGATGAACCGACAGTCCGTGTGATGGGCCACTGCCCGTGCCAGAAGCGTCTTGCCCGTCCCTGGCGGTCCGTACAAAAGCACACCCTTTGGCTGCGCAATACCAAGGGCTTCGAACAGCTCCGGGTGGTTCAGTCCCAGCTCGATGACCTCCTTGATTTCTTTGATCTGTTGGTCTAGACCGCCAATCATGTCGTAAGTGCTGTCCGGGACCTTCTCGACCATCATGAGAGAGACAAGAGGATCGACGGAAGAAGGGAGCATGCTTTCCAGTTTGTAAGTGTCCGATAGCAAGGCCACGCGTTTTCCGACTGTGAGCTTGTTGATATCGACGCCGTCCGCAATATCCACAACTGCATACCACAAAACACGTTAGACGATAATCTCCCCATTGCATGCCACTACAACCACTGAAACCTACCATATTTCCCTTCTGGGTGCACTTTGACCAGAACCTTCTTGGTACTCATCACCTTCACCACCTCACCGACGTAGGAGCCAGGCTGCTGGAGCAGGCCAAGCTCCTCTCGTAATAGACGCACTCTCGAGTTGTAATCATTACGCTGAGCCTCCAGCCGTCTTAGGACCCCCTGTCCCTGGATGATCTCGAGCTTCAGGCTCTCGATTTTGTTGCGGTAGTAGTTGTCGAGGGCCATGTTGGGAGGAGAGGAGAATGTGAAAGTTGAGACACGCCCACTTATATTCAGAGTAGGCTGCCTTCTGCGGAGAGTGTTCAACGTGTGGTAATACGGGTACCAAGAACCATCAACGGGAAGAATCGTAGGAAGGGAGAGTAACAGCGGGTGTATAAGAGCAGAAGCAGCTAGTAATGACGAACAGCTTCGCGGTCGGACCGGGCACCAGCCACAGCGGCCTTTGCCTCATTGTTGGACGCCTGAGGCTGTCATTCTTAAGTTAGCTGTCCCAATCCGTCCTAGCGCATACCAGGATAGCAGATATTAGTAATCACGACAGCTGGAAGTAGTTAAGTTAGTTAACTCAAGTCGGCGGGCGAGGCGGCCACCTCTGTATTCCTTATAAAATGGAACTTTTTGAGACATCAATATCACCACCACCAGTAGATCACATAAGAAAAGATATATAAGTTAAGTCTAAAAGGAAGGTCTTGAATTCTTGTATGTTTTCCTGGAAATTTTTCTGGCTTTAAACAATAGAATAACTAAAAATACAAAAAAATACAGCTGTAATTTATCTTACCTAGAGAAATACGAAGTATAGGGATCTCTATGCTTCATATATATAAATAAAACATTTATTTAACATATATCTCAAGTTTTATACCTTCCAGATGTCTTGTTGCTAAGATATTAAGCTCCTAAAAATTTCCGTTTTATATGGAATACAGTGGCCGACTCGCTTACCAGTTACGTTAACTAAGTGATCGCGTCCTGTAACCGACCCCTACGGTAACCTTCGGGGTCGCGCGTATTGCGCGACCCTGACAACCACCCGAGCACCCCAGCCACCCGAGCACCAATTTTAGACCCCCCTTCTAGCTTCAATATCTCAACGAATTCTATAGTATTTAACTTCAAAATATATTTAAACTAAAGCTCTACTCTTCAGCTTGGGCCCTAGCATGTCGTTGCCTTCGTATAATAATTCCTCGTCGAATGCACACATCCAGCAGCTCTGGTAGGCAACGCTTATACTTAGTCCTCCACCTCTTTATTTCAGCCTGCTCATTAATATTCGCAGTATTTCGATTTATAGCTTCAAGCTCTGAGCTTGATACTATGCCTCCCTTGCGAATCCTGCGCCTAGAGGCCTGTGATCGAGCTGCGCGGTCCCTAGCAGCTTTAATATACCGGTCAAGCTCAGCTTCGATAGCAGCTGAATATGATGCTAGCATACTACCACCACGAATAAGCAGCTCTAGGCCCTCATTAAATTGATCCTTGTTGATATCATGAATCTCCCATATCCTATCACCAATCTCCCTAAATCGTTCAGCTTTTTTTTTGGCGTACTGCCCCAGGAATCAACATCATTGGTATTGGTGGATGAAGAGGATGGACGATGTGGTTGAGGCATTTGATTGAGTACAATTGATGGATTGAATGGTATGATGCCAGTCTTTTGGAATCCATGCCGAATAGTACGCTTTTTGAATGTCTTCTTGCGAATTGCTCCTAAGGCATGAAGGAATTCAACCTTAGTAAATTTACTGCATCCTGAGTAGGTTGCATCTGCAACTGCTTCTGAATGCCAGTGCTTATATGCATGAAAAACACCAACATCCAATGGCTGCAAGAAATGACTTGTATGTGGAGGTAAGAAGAAGGTGATGATATTGGTCTTCTCACAGAATTCAACAAATTCATGTGTTAGATGGGAGCCGTATCCATCACATATAAGAAGGGTATATTGACCCTTCCTATATCTTTTAGTATGCCGATAGAATGACTGAATCCATTGGAAGGCAATTGTATCAGTCATATAACCATTTTCTGATACTCCAATTGAATAGTCTTGTTGAATATCAGCAGCTTCAAACCAATTTGTAAGTATACAGCTACCACTCATGAGAATAAGTGGTGGGCAGGTCCAGCCATCTGCATTGACTGCTTCAACCACAGTAACATATTCACGGTTTGAATTCATCCCAATATGAGGCTTATTAATATTGAAGTCCCTGGTAATAATCCATTGATCACGACCAACACCGATATTGAAGCCAGTCTCATCAAAATTGTAGATATCCTCCTTTAATATCCCATGGTTCTGGATGGTCTGATGGAGCTTCTGAAACCACTCCTGAATAACCTCACGATCCTCTGCACGCTTGCGGTCAAGCTCTATAGCTCTAGAGCGACGTCTTTTATATTCAGGATGCCTTCCTAGCCATCGGTTTAACCATTTCTCGCTGACAGTAGGTGGAGGGGTGTCTAGGCTGGTATGGGTTGATCTCAGAATAGAATTGGCACTTGATTGGATCATTTGTGCAAGTGGCTTTATATTTAATTGCTCTAGAGTATCAACATAGTGACACAGAGCCTTTTCTTGCTCTTCTGATAATCTGGTGTTGGTTGGTGGTCGTTCACATAGATTGGACCGTCCCTTCCACCTTGCGGAGAGGGTTTGCCGTTTAACTCCATATTCACGTGCAGTTTTGGCGATATTTGGGGGATTTTGTGTGCTTAACGCGTCAATAGCTTTGAGCATTCGATCTTCATAATTTTTATTGAATTTGGGCATGGTGGTGGTGGTTGAATTATATGATAAAGTTGATGGGTTGGAATTCTACGAAGTTCTAAAATCGGTGCTCGGGTGGCTGGGGTGCTCGGGTGGTTGTCAGGGTCGCGCAATACGCGCGACCCCGAAGGTTACCGTAGGGGTCGGTTATGTAATAATAAATAACATCGTGACCTTCTCGGATCATCTGCCTGACCTGACGCTGAGCTTCCTTCATCTTCATCCTGATTCCTATATATCCTGTGAGATAACCCGGGTATATCTGTCGAAGATTCCAAGATCCTGCTCTGAAGTTTTCCATTCCTTTTCTTCTCTCCATTTTGCCTTATCGATCTACTGAGAGCGGAGTAGTTGCAACATGTAAACGGGCCCTTTGGTTGTAAATGCCAGTGCTACTTTTCTGAATATCAATCGCTTCCTGCTGTAAAGATTTTTCTTTCCTCCCACACCTTTTTCATTTCTCTTCTTGTCTGCAAACGTTCGACAATGGACAGCAAACGGGGGGGTCTCCCTGAATCCTCAGATACATCAGGCCATGTATCTGCCGTGAGATCGTCTGAAACTGTTAGGCGTCCCGTGGTGGCTGGGCGAAGTTCGAGAAGCTACGGTGTGTCTAATCCCTCAAAAGAAAAAAAAGTATTCGGTTATTCCTTCCAATGCGTTTGCGCTAACTCCTTATTTTGACTTGTCCTCTAAAGGCACTCTGGAATCCTCTGACGTAGGCTCTGAACAGCTTCGTGCGGAAGACGAGCAACCGGAAAGCTCAAGTCGCGCCTTTGTATCTCAGTCGGCATCTTCGCAGATTGGTAGACCGAGGAAACCATCTTTACCGCGCCGCGTTTCTTACAAGCGCCAGGGGCCGCATAAGGGTCAGGAATTTTCTACAGACGATGGTCTCAAGGAGATCGAGGAGGACATAGCCATGCAACAGACGGCAAACCCGCAACCTTCTCCCAGAATCCCCCAGCCTTCTCCCAGACTGCATCCATTAAAGAACCCAAGTTTCAGTCTCAGGCGTAGGTCGAATGTCCGCCCGTACACGCTGTCAGAGGAGGATCCTGACTATGCCGACGACGATGAGACAAATTTACCGGATCCAGGTATAGAGGCCTTTGGAGCCCAATCATCGTCACTGCAGTCACAGGGAAATGATCAGGAGGAGGATGGGCACAGTGACGCAGAGAGTTTCACCCTCAAGGACCGACAGCAGGCTATTAACGAAACACATCCTTTTGGTATTAGGATATGGAAACCAGCGCTGTACAAGAAGAGACGCTCTGTCGAGAAAACTGCTGAGGGCGATATCCATTCATCCCCTGGTGGTCGTGTCAGCAATATGCTATTCTTATTCAACTTGCTGTGGTCCTTGTTCTTTGGGTGGTGGCTTGCCCTTGCAGCACTTACGGGTGCTGTCGCATGCTTTATCTTCGCATACTCTCCTAGCGCTGCTGCTTACGGAAGAGTCTTCTTAGGTATCTCTTGGTATATATTCTATCCGTTCGGATCCTTTGTTCGCCTGGAAACCGATGAGCATTATGCAGAAGAAGACGAGGGCGAAGGGCGAAGTATCAGTGAGTATGAGCAATGGCAAAATGGGGATCTTGAGCATGGAAGGCTCTTCTTCGGTCCCCGCAGTAGTCGATCTCTGGTTGGTAGGAGAAGGAATAGCATCGATTCAGCCAGCGAACATGACAGCCTTCTTGGACGGACCAGAAGGGATAATCGCCAAGACAGCTCCCTGACACACTCCAAGCGTCGTCTTTTTGGCCGTGGCGAATGGACGTTAGGCCGTGTTGTATTCTTCGTCTTCTTTTACTTTTTAGTTGGGCCCTTGATGCTCTTGGTATCTCTGACCTGCTGGATGCTTGTTTTCTGGATTCCAATGGGACGTGTGACGATTATCTTGTTTGACCACCTTCGTCGCCACCCTCTAGCCCTGTCATTCCATTCGGATACGGCATACACCAGATTCTCTTCGGGCTCTTCATCTTCAGTTCTCCTTTGCACCTACCGCGCTGCCGGTACACGATACTGGAAGTATACAGTTGATGGAACGAATATCTTCTTCATAAATCTTCTCGGCATCGTCCTATTCGTCATCTTTGATTACTGGTTTCTGGATGAAACCTTAGGCCTGCACGCGTGGTTTACCCATCCGGGCTTGATCTTCACGTTGGCCCTTTTTTCCATCATCCCTTTGGCATACTTCATTGGTCAGGCCGTTGCATCGATTTCTGCTCAGTCGTCTATGGGCATGGGCGCAGTGGTCAATGCCTTTTTCTCAACAATAGTGGAGGTCTATCTGTACTGCGTTGCTCTGACAGAGGGTAAGTCCCAACTGGTAGAAGGCAGCATTATTGGCAGTATCTTTGCAGGTATTCTTTTTCTCCCAGGGCTGTCTATGTGTTTCGGTGCAATCAAACGTAAGACTCAGAGATTCAATGTCAAGTCTGCCGGCGTCACTTCCACTATGTTGCTATTTGCTATGATTGCTGCGTTTGGTCCTACGCTATTCTATCAGATCTACGGCAGCGTAAGTTATCTAACCGACTTTCACATGAGGACGCCACTAACCACGAGGTTTTAGCATGAATTAAAATGCCGGCCCTGCAATGTGCCTGTTGAACTCGCAGGGCCAGATTGTCGCCGCTGTTATTTCTCTCAGGTTCCAGCTGTGGACGACACATTCTTCCAGAAGGCTGTGCAACCTTACTCGTGGTTTGCTGCCTTGTTCTTATTCCTATCCTACATGATCGGTCTGTGGTTTACTCTCAGGACCCATGCGGCTCTCATATGGGCTACAGAGATCGAAGAGAAAAAGGTTGCAAATGCTCTGCAGGCAACTGGACCCTATGAACCACGGCATTTGCTTTTCCAACATGGATCGCAGAATGTCACCGGCGCAGAATATAACCATAAAGGTTCCATCCGTGAGTCGCAATTATATAAGCGCATTTTAGGGCAGTCTCTAAACCAGGTCGGTCTGGCAAGTAGTAGCGCAGACAACGCCTGGGGTCAGACAGAGGGCAACTCTGAGGCTGATAGCACAACGCTGCACGTTGTCCCTCCACCACCCGAAAGTAATAATGATGATACAGGGTTGAAAGACAATAATAAATTGTCAAAAGATGAAAATGAAAGATTGGTGCGTCATGTAACCGAGGTCGCAGCAACTGTTGCCGCCATGGCTGCGCGTGAGGGAACGCAGGGCCGAAAGTCTCCTACTCAAGAATTGCCAAACCAAGGCAGCAATAGTAAGGCTTTTGCCCAGCAGGCAAACGTTGTTCCCGAAGAGAACGACGATGTCGGTTTCTCTGCGCACCCGGGCGGCGGTGGACATGATGCACCTAACTGGGGTAGGACTAAAAGTTCGGTCATTCTCCTGGTTGCCACTCTTCTCTATGCAATCATAGCAGAAATTCTCGTGAATACGGTAGACGTGGTCTTGGAGAGCGTTGACATCGACGAGAAATTTCTCGGCATTACTCTTTTCGCTCTCGTACCAAATACCACTGAGTTTTTGGTACGGACTTGAGTTCCCCCATCTTTCATCCTTTAGTATGGATTTTTTTCGCTAACAGGTCGAGATCTGGATAGAATGCTATTTCTTTTGCAATGAACGGCAACATCGCGTTATCCATGGAAATCGGTTCTGCCTACGCCTTGCAAGTTTGCCTTTTGCAGATCCCTGCTCTGGTACTCTTCAGTGCCGTGTATTCACGTTTAATTGAGCCGTCGGAACTTCTAGCTCATACATTCAAGTAAGTGGTATTATCACAGGCAGCATTTTTTAAGACAGCTCTTTCTTACATTGCTCATTGTGCAGTCTTATCTTCCCCCAATGGGATATGGTCACCGTCATCCTTTGCGTTTTTCTCTTATCCTACGTATATGGAGAAGGGAAGAGCAATTACTTTAAAGGCTCTATTCTCGTGCTCACGTATCTCGTGGTTGTGATCGGTTTCTATTTATCCGGCTATAATACGATGGACATCATGGGAGTGGACCGTTTCGATACGCTCGCCCTCGGTCCAGAGAAGTCCTATCTCGCCGGTAGTCCAGGTGACGCGGTGACGTTCGAGTCACATTCTAGCGCACTATAGCGATTCGGCGAGATCTCTTTTCTTCAGCTTTGTTTTGCATAAATTTGCCTCCGAGTAACCAGATAAATAACTTCAATTGAATTGTATAAAGTCTGTCAATTATCATCACAAGCGTAATGTCGATAAGTAATTGGCGCCTTGTAAAGAACTTAGGTTGCCCCGTTTTTCTCTTCTCTATAACCTTCTAAGTATTCATAATACATATCTATACTCTAGAGGGACCAGGGATGCCATGTTTACACACTCGCACACGTACAGCGGCCCCCCAGGAATCTCTTATGCGTTTTGAGGTTATGCCATAAGAAGGCACTGTACCAAGTTTTGCAGCCGTATGTGTTGCGTTCACTGTGTATCAAGTGAGCACTGATAACAGTGCAGATAAGGCACGTTGTCAAGAAGAAATCAATTAGACTTCTTCCATAAGCCGATGGCTTTATCGACATTCTTTCGGTATTCTTGTTGCTTGAAGCACTGTTCAAGGAAAACATCATACTTGGCCTTGAGTAAGGCCTTCTCCTTGGGGTCGTCAGTCGGGGTAACTTTCTTTCCAGGCTTACTCATCCGATCCATGATGTCCCAAAGACTGGCCGTTTTCCCCTGGGCATTGGCACTGGCAGCTTTTGCTCCTAGCATTGCAGCGCCGTGACAGACAGCGGCGTGGACGTATTGTGGGATGAGAACAGGCATCTCACATGCCGAAGCGATAAGTTTTACCAGTATTTCGTTCTGGCATTGGGACCCAGACATGAAAATTGAGGTAATGTTGTGACCAGCTTTATTCATGGTGTCAATGATTTGTTTCGTCTGCAAGGCGATGAATTCTAGGGTGGCATAGTAATGGAGACAGAGGCCATCGACACTGCTATTGCTGGAGATACCTATAATGGAGCCTGTCATTCGCGAATCTGCAATTGGGGATCGATTGCCCCAGAGATCTCCATAGAAGAATATGTGACGAGCAAGGTAGGAGACACTGGGGGCACCTTCGCGCTGAGTCATCCCCCTGAGGTGTTCATTCAAATAGCTGTAAATGTTTGGATTGTAGGATTCAGCCAGCGACTTTGCCTGTCGAAAAGCCGGGTGAGTTTCGATTACGAACTTGAGCAGCTCTCCGGTAGCAGACTGGCCCCCTTCGGCCATCCAATAACCAGGCAAGATCGTATCACGATAGGGGCCCCATACACCGGGAACGAAGACAGGGTTTGGCCGCATGGCGAGGTGGCAGGTCGATGTTCCGGCAACAGATGCCAGGCGTGTAAATAGCTGCGACTTGTCGTTATTGGCAACATCAGCGGTTAGCTGGCCGGCACCAAGATCGACCTTCGCGCCCACTGTTCCAATCCAACCTGCATATGCATCAATAACGCCACTGCCTATAGCGATACCCGCTGGCAGTCCAAGTTCTGAAGCGGCTTTCTCACACAGAGTACCGACAAGATCACCAGCACTAAGGTAATCACCATTCTGCAATGCAGTCAGTCGCTCAGCATTCCTAGTCACAGACTTTTGAAGAAACGGTCAAAGAAAAGGCTCACCACCCCGTTAACTCCACCCATCCTTACAAAATTGTCTTCAACCAAGTCACCGAGGCCGATTTCTCTGAGGAAGTCTTCTTGCCACCCTTTCACACTTCCATCAACGCCGACAGGTACATATCCCTGTTTGCATATGACACTACAAAAACTCCTCTTTTCATTGCCGGTTGCGATGTGGGTCAGAGCGTCAGCTAGGTCAAAAAACTTGCACTGCGAGAACAGTTCTTTGGGCATATGGTTCTTCAGCCATAACACTTTTGGGATTTCCATTTCGATGGACATCTTGCCGCCGACATAACGCAGGAGATTGTGGTTGGTGGCATTGACTTTCTCTGTCTCTTCAACGGGTCGATGATCCAGCCACAGGATGACATTGCGGTCAGTATCGAAGTTCGGGCCTGTAACAGATACCGGCTCATTGGAGCGTTTAGAAAAGACGGCTAATGAACATGTTGCATCAAACCCGATGCCCCTGACTGTGGAGGGGTCAACTTTATTTTGGCTAATGGCGCGTTGAACAGCGGTACAGATGCAATGCCATATGTTGGCCGTAGATTGTTCCTAGAAAGCGATAGTCAGCACCTTGTCCAGAGTGGATCTGTAATGTGCGGGATAAGGACTATCAGTGTCGGTAGAAAAAGGGGGGAAAGAGAACTATGTTGTACTAACATAGTAACCTTGCTGTGGTTGCCAGAGGCCGATTTCTTCAGAGTCCAGGCCAACAATGTCGCCGTTGCTGTTTACGATACAGGCCCGGGCGCTTCCAGTGCCAACGTCGATGCCGATATAGTGATCGACGGGAACTGGGGGCCTACTTCGTAGATTCGTCGGCGCCTGCAGGGGAGGTGGTGCAGCCATGGCGGAAGAAGCGATAGCGTATGCAGAAGGCAGTATCTTCTGTCCGTGTCAGGTGAAAACTTCTATTGAGTGCATCCTTGGGAACTTAGAGATATTTGGATGAAGGGGGTCGATATTTCCACCGACCCCTTGGGAGAAATTTGGTCTAAAGAGTCCGTGGTTTTCGCTTCGACTGCAACTGATGTACGGTGAGCAACTCAGTTGAACGGGAACCGGACAGATCTGGGAATGAATAGATAAATACAACGGGAGCGAGATGCAGGAATAATTTCTTGTTTTTCTATTGTCTTCGCTTCTTTTCTTGGCTGTTTATCTGCTACCTTGATAGTTACACATTGCTGGCAAACAACTCACAAAGAAGAGACGGAGGAAACGATGCGATGACGATGCTCCCGTGAGTATGACATACCCTTTCCAATGAGGCCGCCCGTCCGCGTGACTCGGAATTTGGCCGACATAGATACGGTATAGTGCTGTACAGTGGCACCTAATAAGTCTTTGCCCCCCATCTGACCGCCTCTAGTACACCGCCTGCTCTAGATCACACCGCATACCCTACTACTCCATATGCTCGCCCCTTTTACTACCATCTAATGCCCTACACCATGCCACCAAGAAAAGAATTAGATCCTACATCTCGTGCTCGCATCTGTGAGCTTCATACTACCTGCCATTGGGGTGCTAAATGTATTCATACAGTGCATCCTGAGATTCCACTATCAACTATCAAATATACCATTGGAATGGAACACCAACGTTGCAACAATGCCTCCATACCCTGTTCTGGTCAACCACACAAGCTTACTGAAGAGGATCGAGATTACTTGTATGATGTTATCTCTACAAATCCACATATAAAATACCGAGATCTGGTTGATGAGGCTGATAATAAGGTTAAAAAGGAGTCAATACGCAACCTCCTGAATGAGATGGGTCTCTGCAAATGGCGTCAACTTTCTCAGCCAGCTTTATGCCATACCCATGCTGCAAAATGACTTGAATGGGCTAGAAAATATGAGCATTTCACTTCTGAGAATTGGGCTAGAGTTTGTTGGTCAGATGAATGCTCTATTGAGCGTGGAGTTGGAGCGAGAGCTACTTGGACCTTTATTCAGCCATCACAACAACTTAAAAGTTCATGATATCCATGAGAGGCCACATGGGAAAGGTGTGAAAAAGATGTTTTGGGCTGGATTTGGTGAAGCTAGAAGAACTGGTTTGGTTCCTCTAGATGGCAATCCTGAAGCTCCTCATGGAGGTGTTGACCAATTTGTTATTGAGGCATTATATCATGCTTTTCTTCCTGAATTTGTCCGCCCAGGAGATATATTTATGCAAGATAATTCTCCCTTACACCAGGCCTATCTGATACAAGATCTTTTGGAGGAACTAGGGATTGAGGTAATGGATTGGCCGCCATATTCTCCAGACCTCAATCCCATTGAGAATCTATGGGCATTGATGAAGGCAAAAATTTATTGAGCTTTACCCTGAACTTAAATGTGCCCCTAATACTGTGGAAACTCTTGAGCAATTAATAAAAGCAGCCAAGGAGGCCTGGAAAGCTCTAGATAGGGAGATATTAGTAAAGCTATCGGATACAATGCCAAACCGTGTAAAGGCTGTCATTGAGGCTGACGGATGGTATACTGAATATTGATTTTATTGATTTCGGAGGGTTTGACCGGCAGAATAATAATTAGTAATCAGGGGGGGCAAAGACTTATTAGGTGCCACTGTAAGTGAAACTGTACTATACCGTACCATACCATACGTCTGTATCCATACGACCTCCATACCTGATCCTGGTAGAATGATTGAATCAAGCTCGATCTTCTCGTTCCTCACTGGGCTCCATTGTTGTTGATGGAGTGCTGTACTCCGAATACGCTCATCCAATTCTAGGCTCTTTTGCACAGGATAAATCGTATCAATAATCATCATTACAATTGTTCTTTCCTTCTCCTGGGCAGTTCGCGCGAGAGTCAAACATGCGTCGACCATCTGCCGTCCTTTATGTGATCTTCTCCCTGATCGTTTGGACTGCCGCCGATTCCTCATCTTCTGCGCTGCCTGCTACAGCTGATATCCTGTACTGGCCCCTCGCATCTCCGCAGCCGTCGATTCTGTCTCGTGTATCTTATGATCCGGCTTCCTTGAAGTCGAGCATCCTGTCGTACACCCCTCCTCAGAATGCTGTCGGTGCCGAACAGAGCAAGGTTGATTACCATACTGATGACCTCGTTCGCATTGGTCTTTTCACTTCTACTCCCGCCAATCCAAGGCAATGGGTTGGAAGTCTCACCTCACTATCTGCATTGACAAGTAACCGTGATCAGAAACCCACGCTCCAACTTCACCTCGGACCTAACAACCAAATCTACCATGCCTCCTTATCGTTGTCATCTTCGAATAATGATATTACTTCCTCAACGTGGGACCTGAACTTGGAGCTCATTTCGAATGAGGCAGGTCCTCGTCCCTATCTTAACAGGCCCGTTGTGGTCAGTCCCGATGGCACAGGTACTGAAGAGGTCGCCGAGAAAACCTTCTTTCAGAAGTAAGTTTATATCTCTATATGCATCTTCTAGGTGGTCTTCGAGTCTGACAATCATTCTACTCTGCGCTTTAGGTACTGGTGGGTCATTCTCGTCGTTACATTCCTGGCCACTGCTGGTGGTGGAGAAAGACAACAGTAGCTTTCTATATTCATCCCCGCAAAGAAAATATTGTCAATCTACGCTACGCATGTACTGCTCCCAAGCCGCAATATCTATCCAGAATTTTAATGTGTTCTGTAAATCAATTTTTTACCACCACCACCACCAGGGAGGGTGGTTGGTCTATATGCCACCCTTTTATAAGCGCTTATCCTGGATTTCGGCTCCAGTGTCCTCACGATGTTCCAGTCCGGTTATTGTCGTACTATCAGGCTGCTTCAAATGAGAATATCGAACAGTTAGGATATGTAGCGGGTGAAAATATGCATTTTGTAAGTGCTGCTAATGAAACAGAGCTAGCAGGCTCGAGCATCGCCATCATGCAGCAGTGTCCACATAACCAGAACTTCAGTCACGGCCTAATTTGCTTTCTATGGCATCTGCACTTCCTTTCTCTGGTGTCCCTTAGAGGTCGAGTTTGTATGTCATCTGTTCCCCCTTGCCCGACGGGCCAAGATCCCAATACATCACCCCTCGGTCTGTGATGGCCAAAAGCTCGTCCTCCTTATCCGTAAAGATAAGTTTGAAACATACAGCATCTAGATGGAGAATAATGGACTGCAATTCAATCATGTCCATATTGGCAGATTGAAAATAGGGCGGGTAAAAACCGCTTTTATTCTCCTCTATCAGTGCATTTGGTTCGAGTGCCCAGACGTAAATCATGTTCCAATTTGCAATTGCAAGCCGTGTGCCCCGTGCAGACGCAGCAACAATACAGCCAAGAGAACTAGTTGGATCCTGATAGCCTCGAAGCAGCCCAACTATTGTCCAATCCGAAAGTCGCCTTCCGCGGTCGAGGTTTAATTCATGTCCACAGTGACGTGTCCGGCAGCGAGCTTCGGACTTCAGTATACATGCCACTGTCCAATTCTCCTCCCGCTGTCTGGCTATTCCAAAAGAAAGGTATTTCCAATGGCACATCGAGAGATTGTTTGCACTGTATGTTTGATGTGTCCCAAAAAAGGGGATCGCAATCGAGAAACGGAGACTCAAGGAATCTGAGAAATGCACCGTGCATGAATTTCTATGTAGAGTAGGCTGGGTCAAGTCTGACGATGTATTGATCTTCTGGAATGAACCATATAGAGTCCATCCTCGATAGTAGTAAAGCAATTGACTATTTCTGTCGTTGAAAGCAAGGTCGATCACAGGTCCCTTTGAATCCGAGAGCCCGCTTCTGGCAGATGATACCGTGAGAGCTCCGTCCACATCAGGCTGCTCTCCAGATTCTTCCAAAAGAACGCGAGACTTGTAACTGAAGCCTGGACAATACCAATAGTCAGGAACTGAGCAATAATAACAAGTCGTGATAAAAAAGAAGAGATGCTACGGACTGATTATTCCAGATTCCTCGTCAGTTGATTCTTGCAGGATTGTATAGAGGACAACCTCAGTTTGACCGCTATCGCGGGCATGTTGCCATGAAATCGCAAATGTATCTCTATCGGCAGCTCCAAGACCCAGAGGTACGTAATCGGTATGTTCTGGAAAGGCGCATACCCGAACGCCATCGTCTGGGGCCTCAATCCCATGATGAGCAAGATAAACGATTGGGTTTGAACCTGACTGCAGAGCATGCTTGACGAAAGGATGCTGTTCCTCGTCCACATTACCCTCGTCGATGGAAGGAGTGAACCGCTGCAGGACGTAGATGCCGTTCCCTCGATCAAATGCTGTTTTGAGGACTTCCACTCGCCCAGGTTGTCTCCAGGGTGGTTTCAGGCAACACACTGGTGAGATATTCCCATTATGAGCGTGAAAGATGCGGACACTCTCACCTTTGTAAACAAGCGCGAGGTTTGGATTTCCAGAGGTTGCAAAGGCAGAAGCTCGGGCGTCAATGGCCAGTCCCTCAGCAGCAAAGACCTTACGAGTCGCATAGTACTGTGCACCATACAATTGCCGAATCGAGCGTTTGACGAGTAATCTGAAGAGATCCCTTGTTGGTGAGGACTTGACATCCAGATCCAAACCAGGGGTCCGACGTAAATGAAGTAAGATCACTTCACGACAAGTGGAGGCAATCTCAAACAGTGTGCGGCAAGAGAAAGCCAACTGTATGTAAGTGGGCGTGGTGGAATGCTGAAGAACGAGCTGTATTAGCTCTGGTGGAAGTCCTAGAAGCATGCTGCAGGCTCGGTCGATACTTTAGAACTTGTAGGAGCAGCAATACCAGGCAACCTGATGCAATTCGATCTCAGGTGTTGAGAGAAAGCCCAGTTCTCATAAATGAGCAACCCACTGCTGCCTGGCCGTCACATTGAGATTCACTCTATTTCATGGTGCTTCCCTCCAAACGTTAACCGCAGTGGCTCAACAGGCCCAATAATAATTGAGATTAAATTTATACTCAATGGCAATCTTTCACTACGGTCACCTGTTGTATTGAACACGTCGATTTGGTAGTCATCGACAACTCAAGATGTTCGGCTCAGTTCCCCCATTTTATCTAACGAGTCTATATATCTATCAATGCGTCGGCCACTTCATATCAAAGACACTTGCTAGGTACAGAGTAAATACGGCACAGTTATATACATATAGTCATAAGTATTATCTCATAAATCTGCTGCACCTAGGCCATCAACAGCGTATTAACATCAAACCACGCTTCCAAGAGCAAGAGAAAGTGAGAACGAAACAGAGGGTATCCGATCAAAAGCCAAGATTCAAGCAACATGGGTTCCTGCCGTTTCTTCCACCATCTGAGACGCAATCCATTCAAGTACGCTCTCATAACAAAGCACAAACTGGCTCAGGTTCTGTACCATACTCGGCCTCTGGGTACGAAAATCTCCCACGGTCTTCGCAATTAGATCCAGTCCCTTATCAAAAATCCAGCCATCACCTGCAGGGTCCTCATTGTCAGTTTCCCGAAAACGCAAAGCGCCCTCGGCGCATTGTCGTTTCAACATATCCAGAACGCTATCAACAGTGCAAAAAGCGCCAGTCCGCCCGCAGCCAGCACTGCAGTGTACAATGATCGGTCGCTGCCTCCCCGATTCCGACTCGTGATCTCCTAAGCGAACGGTGCTGGTGGCTCTTCGGACTTCGTCACACTGCTCAATCAACTTTAGAAGGTGGAATGGCTGCGAGGTTGTCCCGAAGTCGGGCCAGTAAGGATACTGCAACTGGGTGATTTCCCGGAGTGGTTGAAACGGAAAAAAAGAATGAGACAGGCTGAAATGTCGGACAATTATGAAAGAATTGTCAACTGGCTGCTGGACAAAGGCGTTCTGCCCGTCCAGGGATGACTGATCTCGCACTGGACGATTCCGCGGGTCGACATGCTGTACATCCCCAGAATTAATGAAGATATGTTGCTGAGAGACACACTTGAGCTTCAGGGGTCCATAGTCTCCCGATTCCCAGTAAGGGTGGCATTTCACCTGTCCCCTTTCGACTTCGGCGGTGAGAGAAACTATAATATTAATACCTTGTTCCCAAACCACGCGCCAAAAATCCTGAAATTGTTAGAAGATAGTTCAACAAAAGGAGAAGGCCATGAACTTGCATTAAATGTGTCAGGTACAGGGGCCTGCGTAGCTATGTATGTTTTATTGCTATACTCAGCTTTCAGGTAATTGGCATTCACATAGTCACAACCACCAACTGGTACATCCTGGAGATGAACTCTTGAATGTTCAAATGGGTAGACATCATTGTACCTGTTCTTAGTGCCTTTTTCGATACCTGCAACGCGAAATTGTCTTGTTGATGCGTTCGATGACATAGACGGCTCGTAAGACAGTGCTTGCCGCATACGATGTAACTCCTCCTTCTCGAGTCCCAAAAATTTCACCGAGACAGTGCGTCCCTGATCCTTAAAGTCCGTTGCAGCTCGCAGCCAGAGAGGGAGTCGTCTCCTTCTCGATTCTGTTAGCTTTTCCGGACACTTGACAGCGATTTGCCCGACACCCCCAATAAGATCAAGATTTTGGCGGATGTTTCCGAAAAAAGGGTTCGCAGCGGGTGACTCCTCCGGTATGGCACAACCCCCAACGACAGGAGCAATTGACGGAAGAGTAAGGTTCATCGAGGTTTGCTCCTTTAACGTTGCTCTGCGCGATTGCGACTGAGGTTGCGGTTGTTTGACAAAACCGGGGAACTTCTCCGAAAACGCTTTGAAGCCGCCACGGATTATCAACCCCTCGCCGGTCCACCCATCTTCTGTGAACTTTTTCAAGACGTTAACAAGCGGACCGGCATCTTTCACACTCGAGGTAAAGGCATCATAAACGATAATGAAGCGGCAACTTCTCCATCTAGAGAACCTTTTTTTAGAAGCCTCATTCGTAAATGTACCTTCCAATTTGTGGGTGTCAAAAGAACGGCGCTTCAGTAACGTTGTCGGGATACAAAGATTTAAAGAATCATTGATATTAGCACGCGCAAAATGTGCAAATGGACGGATGTCAAGTAATAAGACCTCATCCGGAAATGATTCAAGTAATTCGACGCATCGGTCAGGCGAGATAGAACAGGCATCGAAATCTGTGAAGGTTGCGGGGAGCGTATTCGCACGAGAGATTGAAAGATTTGGCATGGACAATACTTGATCCGATCCATGATATGGTGGATATTTCCGTTTGTCATTCCAAAGGTTAGAGCGTGGTGTGTTCGTAGATGATGAGAAGCAGGCCATTGTTCTATCTGCGCCCTTCTGTAAATTCAGACACTCTCCCATGGCGGTAGCATTCTCGGCACCTTGGGAGGATTTCCCGGGAATCTGTGGAGAGAAGTACCCCATTAAAGGTAGCGCAGATGCAGTAGTTTTTGATACTGGCTCCACCCTATGTGTTTCACCCTTCGATAACCCGGGAGTTGCAATATCTCGATGCTCCTCATCCATTCCGGACCACGTTTTCGACTTATTCAAGGAAGCCTCAAATGCCCCCATCTGTGGTAGAAGCTGCCACCTCGAAGGAGATTTCGAGGCCTCTTTATGCGAGAGTGCGTTGTAGCTGATTTCATCGCATGTGTCCTGGATCGAACCCGTGCGACTATGGGGGTTTTCAGTGCCGCCATCAAAGTAATTAGGGGCCAGGCCCTCTGCAATAGAGTCTGTGGGATGGGTGGCAACGTTGAATGGAGAAGAACTGGAATCTCGCATCGACAAAACAGACATTGGCGCCGAGGGATTCGCAAGTTGGCAATCGGGTGAGTCTCCCGTCCATGGAAAGGCTGCCATGGCAGGCATGTCCTGCAAAACTAGGAGACCTGACTGAGATTCTGATTAAGGTCTATCGGAACAACAAGATGCAGAAAGAAAATTCAGCCATGTTCGATTCCCTTTCACGACCTGACAACAAGGTAGCCTCGTACGGAGTCTGCTCTGGGAAGATAACCTCTAGGTCCCCTTATTTTTTTTTCTCGTTTCCTTTTCTTTTCGAGTTACTTCCCAAAAAGCAGACAATGAGTGTCGGCAATACAGAGAAGCGGAGAGCAGTCAGATATAGTCGTGGTTGCAGTTAAGATTAGTTGAAGGTAGAGGGAAAGAGCCGCAGACCAGAAAAAGGAGGAGGGGAAAGGGCTGTTGATATCATCGACCCACCATCTAAAGAGAGAGAAAAAGGACTCCGTATAATAATAAATAATATTTAATTAGAAGTAGCATTTTTGTGCCTAGATATTTACATATATAACATTGTTCAATGGCGGGTGCAGGGTGGCATTTACTGGTATTTCTCCCGCTCTTAATAATAACGATCATGTTACAGAGCATCATGCTGTACAGTGAATGTGTGGAAAAGGCCAGGCAGAGCAGAACAGCGCTACTCAGCACTGGCCCTGTATATGACGTCATGATCAAAGTCTGACTTTAGGCCGTTCTCAACCGCTGTTCTGGATCCCGACCTTCTACCACCAGCATCCCTGTGGGCCCTGGGTGGCGGAATAATGAATGGTAGCAAAGGCAAAGTTTGCCTTGCCTGCCTTCAGTACGCATTATTTGCCTCCGCACTTTCCGCCCTGTTGCATGAGGTCTCTTCCAAGATCTTCAGTGAACGTATCGCAATGAGCCAAGCGACGACTTCTTTGTACCATACTGTACTCGTATCTTACTGTGCCAGATGTTTCTTACACAAGCAAAACTGTCGATTTCAACACCATGGTTCCGAGGAAAGTATGATAAATGATAAACCCCCTTGACAGTATCGAGGCTTTTGGATTAATTGAAGAATAATAAGTGGCTGCTTCTATAAATACATATGAAAGCTCAATCCCACTGTCAGGGTAACACTGGACGTGTCATAGCCTTCCATCTGGCTCACCCTTGAGTCTCTCTACTCGCTTTTGCTCCCAATTGTCTAAATCTTTGGCCATAAGCCTCTTTATTCGGAAACGAAAAGTCAAAATGTTAGTAGACCCATAATCAGGAAATGAAATTGAGAGAAGAGACTTGCATAGTATTCCTCCCTTTCATCTCCCACAATACGTCTCCTTGGGTTTCGCTTGATTCCTTCTTCTCCAAGGCCCTTGAGGCCGAGATCCATAGCTTCCTCTTCGCTCAATTGTTTCACTTTACGGTCGTATCGTTCGTATCTTAGAGCCGTAGCTGGTGTTAGAACAAAAGACCCTGCGACCATGACTGCAATGAACGGGAGACCGAAGAGAAGAAACGGGTGTCTAGGCAGCTTTGCTCGGTACAGGGCACCAATTCGTTCCCCAATGCTTGACGATGCCGTAGTCGCGCGGCGAAATGTTTTGGTATGAAATGTGGGCATTGTAAATGCCAGGACAAAATCTCTTTCCTAGATGTGCCTTGGGGGGATTTCTTCTCTTCATATCATAAGCAAAAGATCTTGTTTCCGTGTGCTTGTATGTAGCGTAGCGTACCGCATTATTACTGCCGGCAGAATAGATATCCGTCTTTGGTATACACACGCGCTAATTACACCGCCTTTATCGATAATCTTGTATTCTTACTCCAGGTAAACACAAATCTTCAGGTTTCCTAGCCACCAAACAGAGAATTTTTTACACGCCTCCCAGGCTCTTTCAGTTTTGGAGATATGGAATCTTCAGGTCTTTGAAGGTAAGTGATACTTTAACCACCAAGTAACTCAACCTCCGCGGGCTTAAGTATAGCAAATGACCTAAGTTGAACATCGTGTACTAGGCTTTTCTTTCTCAATTGCACGTATCGATTCCGTTTTCTGTCTCTAACCTGTTGCCTAAGCTTTACCAATGGCGTCTTCTAATTCCAGCTCCATATTTGGAGGTGGCGGTTTGGGGTCCGCGGCTACCAAACCTCAGTCCACGAGCATATTCGCGACAAATAATCCAACCGGTCGTTTTGCAGGAAATTCCCCTGCTGGGGCAACACAACCTGCTTCAGCTACGTCTTTATTCGGTAGCAAATTGCAATCTCAACAGCAAGAGAGTCAGCCTTCAATTCTTGGACAGACAAGCGACAACCAGTCACAGCCCCCTAACCGAATGACCCAGCCTGCATTCTTCAACAGCTTACTGGAACGTGGTAGGAAACGGCCAATGTCGGTACCTACGCAGGATACTAGCTTTGGAGAATTGCCTAGTCTTCAGCTGGGACTTGATGATATCCGGAGAAAGGCAAGAGAACTTGGTGCAGGAGGGGCGAAGGAGCAGAATGGTATAAATGGCAAGGCGTAAGTTTGCTATATTCAAAAGCATTTTGTCCCCTGCGTCTAGTGAGCCGTTATTGACGCCTGTCCTTCAATTTCGCAGTCACTATTTACTAGCAAGTTCTGGGGTCTCGCCAGGGCATGCTTTACGCGATCTCAAAGCTTTAGATCCTCAAGCGTCTTTGACTCTACCACCAAGAGCACAGGATACTTTTGATCCTGACAATCAGAAATTCTTAAAAAACATACAGCAGCGCGGCCGTCAGGTTATGATTGCCGAAAGTCTTGCGCGCTCCCAGAGGGATTTTGATGCATTCCTGGAAAAAAAGATCGATTTGGACTGGGAGGAACAACGCCAAAAGATTTTCCAGCATTTTGGACTGGTGCAAAAAGATGATAACCCGAACTATAGCCCGGGTGCGCCTATGAGGGGTTCGTTTGGTCGGTCAACGAAACCGTCTAAACAGGGACTTGCCTCATCACACCGTGCACCTACTTCATCTAGGAGTATTTTTGGTCGGTCAGGCCTGGGAAAATCAGTTATTGGAGTTCCTGCAACGGTATCAACAAGCCCGAAATTGTTTGAGGACCCGTCAGAACGCAACGGGGGCTCAGGTTCTCGCTCATCAGATGTCCAATTTCTTCGAGAAAAAATGGGGCACTATGCAGAGAAGGTGCAACGCTTGAATCTAGCTAGACTTCAAGGATACACTTTTCCCATCCTTCATGAGTTCTCTGGGGTTGAAAAGACCGTTGGTGGCGATGTAAGTTACCACACCGGGATCTCCCTCCGCTTGCCGACTAATAAGCCTAGGTCCCTCGGCAACTTTTCGATGCCTACCGAGCTCTGGTAAGCATAGTTGGGGAAAATGAAAGCATCGGGAATGTGTCAGACCCGGGTGCTCTAAAAGAACGACAATTTGCGAGGGACTACCTTGATGAAGCGCTACAATCACGTAGCGCAACATATCTAAGGAGAAAAATTCTCGAAGGCTCGAGGTTGTTCCTTGAACATTCATTCTACGACGAAGTTGAAAGTCTTATCTACAAGAATCCTCGAGAAGCACAACTTGGCGGCATACCAACTGTTCTGAACAAGATCCGTGCGTATATTCGGCTTCGAGCAACTAGGAGAGACCTTGCACCCGATGGAACTGAGCTGCAGATGGTCGGTCAAGACTATTGTTGGATTCTCATCTTCTATCTCCTTCGTTGTGGTTTTATTACAGAGGCCGCAGAATATGTGAGCCAAGATCCTGGTTTCAGGTCTTTGGATCACAAATTTGTGACATACATGACAACATATGCGCAAAACAGGCGGCTACCTAGGGATCTGCAGCAGAAAATCAATGGAGAATATCAGCAACGTTCTCGCAATGCCCCCGAGAATACGGTGGATCCTTATCGGATGGCGTGTTACAAGATCATTGGACGTTGTGACCTGAGCCGCCGGCGCTTGGAAGGTGTGAACCAGACTGTTGATGACTGGATGTGGCTGCAGTTTGCCCTGGCAAGAGAGGACGACCGCGTTGAAGAGGCTGCAGGAGATGTTTTTGGTCTTGAGGACATACAAACCGACATTACTGAGATTGGGCAAAGGGTCTTTGCGAAGGGACAAGAGGGTCCCGGAGGCTATGGGACTTTCTTCCTTCTACAGATCCTGGGGGGGATGTTCGAGCAAGCCGTTTCCTATCTTGGTTCCTATGCCCCAGTCAGTGCAGTCCATTTCGCCATTGCACTATCTTATTACGGGCTCCTACGCGTATCAGATTTCTATGCCGCGGGGGAAGAACTCTGTAAGACCGCCCCCCCCTTTTTTTTTTGGAAATTTGCTCATAGCTGATATGAAATGGCAGTGTCGTATACCGTCAAACAGTACCCGCAGGTTAATTTCGGCTATCTCATTACACAATACACTCGGGATTTCCGCATTGGACATGTGGAGGCTGCTATTGACTACTTCTCTCTAATCTGTCTGAACAGTGATCTTCCAGGCGCTCTCGGCAAGTCCCAAACCTCTGTCTGTCACGAGGCGTTGCGGGAGTTCATATTGGAAACCAGAGATTTCGCCAAGTTACTCGGCGATATACGTGCCGATGGGACCAGGATCAAGGGAGCGATTGAACAGCGTCTTGGCTTAATCAAATTGGGCGATCAGGAAGAATTTTTGAAGACGATAACGCTGCAAGCAGCTGCAGTGGCCGATGACAAGGGCCTAACAGCTGATGCCGTTCTTTTGTACCACCTTGCTGAAGACTATGACCATGTCATTGATATAATTAACAGAGCGCTCTCTGACGCTGTTTCCGTTGAGCTTGGAAGCCCCACACTGAAACTGCAGCCCTTAGTACCGAGGACAGAGCCGCTTCAAGATGGACAACAGGGAGTTTCAGCGCAGCCCGGGAGCAGTCTTAGCCTGACAGCAGTTGAAGATCCAGTTACGCTAGCGAAGAACATGGTCAGTCTCTATAATGCCAACGCTTTATATTACCAACGGATCCGTCAAGTGAATCGCGATGCATGTGGACTTCTACTCCGAATGATGGAGGCAAAGACTGAGGTAGAAGCTGGCAAGTGGACATCAGCTCTTGATGTAAGCCTCTATTTCATTCTTTGGGCGCTTTATCAGAAAAGGCCTTTCCTTCCTTCAGTTTCCGGCCCGCTAACGCGTTGAACTTACAGGCGATAAATCGGCTAGACATTGTTCCGCTAGGAGCTGGCGGCTCCGTTCCATACGTTCGGAGTGCAGCGCAAGCTTTTTCATCATTTCCATCCATTATCACCCGCAACGTTGGGCATGTAATTATGTGGAGCATTACGTGCATCGGCCACGAAAGGGAGAGACTGAGTGCTGGGCCATATGAGAATGAAGTTAGGCAAGGTTTGGCAGACGAATTGCTGGTCATGGCCAAGGATATCATGGTTTTCTCTGGTATGGTCAAATATAAGCTGCCGCCAAGGGTGTATGAGACTCTTGCTCGTGCAGCAGCAGATATCGGGGCGTATTGAAAGCGGTTGTATTTAACGGAAACAATCATATTGCTTCATTTTCCCTCTTCCTTTTGTTATTACAGATTAGTATATGCCTCTAGTGCTCGTTTATTCAAGTCGATTGGTCAGCAGTCAAGGTTATGGCTGTGGACTCCCCAAGAAACCTTAGATGGAAAATCGGATCCATGCCAAGGCTCCAAATCCGCCGCAAATGCCTGGCATATCCGGCAGATATTATTGTCATTACGGAGCATTAGTTTTAAGATTCCCGTTGATCGTGAATTAGCATAGCACTGCATTTTTTGAAAAGAAAACTGCAATCTTAACGCTACACCATTGTAGCATAATAAGATCCAGGCCTTTCCTGTGTGTGTGTGTGTGTGTGTGTGTGTGTGTGTGTGTGTATCAAGGTCGCACATGCATTCGTGAGCTCTACGCCCATATCCCGCCGCGCTCGACATGGACAATGATATCTCCGACGCGTCCGGTTCAAGCTTGAAATCAATATCTTCTAACGGCGACATAGGATCTCCCCGTGATGGGACAGAGACTCGAATAGACGATGGGTTGGGGGTTGTATCGGAGCCCGACGTGGAAATGACCCATGACAGTACTACAGAAAATGATGGACCGGCGTTTCAAGACCAGGCACAGATAGAGAACGCTGGGAATAACGAGGGGGCATCAGAATCTCGATCCTCGGAGATGGATTTCGAACAAGCCCCAGAAAAAAATGCCACTGATCAGTCAGATGGTGACTCTGGAGCAGGAGCCGGTTTTCGCGAATCCGCAGATCAAGGCGCAGCTGCGGATTACAGTCTTTTCAACAACCCACCCAACATTTCCCGAATACGACAGGTACTGTTCGAATGCAAGGATCCTATAGAGATCAGTCTTGAAGAGTTTGAGACATACTGGCCGTTTATTGATAACGTCTGGGTCAAGCAGAGATCTAACGCCAGCAAAGAAGGTCACTGCACGACGGACTATTACATGTGTCGTCTACGGCGTCCAACCCACCGGACATCAGAATCCCGCCCCTTGCCAGAGGGAAAGCGGCCTCGGAAGAAAAGAGTGCGCGAAGGTGGCATCTGCAACTTTCAGATAAAGGTGGTCAGATTTGAAGGTGCATATTCTACAGTGACTATTTCGAGGACGCCGGGTAGCAGCGAGGAGCACTCCCATGACCTTGATTATAGCGATAAAGTGAAGCGAAATTCAGGGCTTATGGAATTTGCACGAAAGGAAGCCATCAAAGGGTATCTCCCTTCTTCTATTTTTACAAAATTCCAGGAGGAGCCAGATAAGCTTCTCGAAGCGGGAGGGAAGTTTTTCACAGTCACAGATGTTCGGAATGTATCCGCTAAATGGCGAATGCAAAACCCAGAAGTCAAATTAGTGCCCCATAATGGCTACGAATATCAGAAAGGACATGGCATTGTGAGGGTCCGGGGGAGTAACAATGACGGTGCCGCCGCCACAGGTAGCAAGCCATCAGAAATGACCCCGAAGGTTCCCCGTTCTCCGGATACCTTGACATTTCCCCGTTTTTCGTTGAATTTCTTGAAGCCGTATCTTCCAAAGCATGATAGCCGGCGTCTGTTCCCTCATGTCACCCTCTCGTACGCATCTTCTATGGATTCAAAGATCTCACTTCAGCCTGGAATGCAAACAGTTCTATCAGGGCCTGAAGCAAAACTGATGACCCATTATTTAAGGTCGCGCCATGATGCGATCCTGATTGGAGTTGGGACTGTTCTTGCTGATAACCCGGGACTAAATTGCAGGCTTGAGGGAGCAGGCGGGTTTGGCGGCCTTGGAAGAATGTGGCAACCGCGGCCGATCATTATTGATCCAACAGGGAGGTGGCCTATCCATCCTGAATGTAGGATCCTGCGTACCGCAGTTGAAGGAAAAGGCAAGGCACCGTGGGTGGTCGTATCCCCAGGGGCACAGCTCCATCCTCAAAAGCTGATGTTGCTCAAAGGTTATGGTGGCGACTTTCTCCGGATCGTGGAGTACAATCACAATTGGAGGCTACGCTGGGAGGCTATTTTCCGTGCACTAGCATCAGAGGGTATCAAGAGCGTCATGGTAGAAGGCGGTGGGACAGTCCTGAGCGAGCTATTAAATCCCGAGTACATCCCATTCATTGACTCCATTATTGTGACCGTTGCTCCTACATATCTTGGCCGTGGCGGGGTGGGCATCTGTCCTGATTCAAAACGAGACGATCAAGGCAAGCCGACTCCTGCACTTAATCCGACCGGTGTTACATGGACAGCCTTGGGACAGAATGTTATCATGTGCGGAAGAATCCGGCCTTTATCAAGTACGTCTGAAATTCCAAGCCCGGCGGGCACCGATGCAGGCTCTAGGGAAGATACTTAGGGACTACGAACATATTTCAAACCCTCTCCAGAGCGACAACGAAGAACGAAAGGCATCAGGCACTGAAAGACTATTGTGCAATGTTTTGAAATATCGGAACGTTATGTCTCATTCTTATCTCTTCGTACCTACTACTTTGCTGTGTTCGGCAACCGCTCCAAAAAGGAACCTTTTCGGGCAGTGATACCAGTCACCTATCCGGGGTCTGGTCGAGATACGGCCATCTGCTCCGCACGCTATTCGGTCCTTAACCTGGGCCTTGGCTCTTTCCTTGATGGAGCGCTCCCAGTGGTCTATCCTATATGATTTTGAAGGAAGCTATCACGCCCTGCGGTTCTACATATACGATACGGTGGTCCACCTGCCTTGCGGCAGTCTTGCATAGACACGCTGTACTTTCGTCTTCTATCGGACACCCAAACGGGACCTATTTTTCGTGTCTTTTTTTTTTCAGTATCCTTATTGCAATACCATCTATATACTATATACTGTACATAGTATTTCTATATTGGCATGGCATTGTTACTCCTAATGGCCTAGTATTGGGGCCTTCCTGTTGACCTGTGCAGCGGATAGGGATTAAATGGCACATCAATGCCTTTGCGTGCAAGACACACTTGTACAATTTCCAAGACGCCGTCCACTTCTCAGAGTGGAATAATTCCTACGTCAAATTCTCTGCATGTGTAACTTGATTTGAGGGTGAAACAAGGCATTACCTTTGTTTGGTATTAACTGGCTCGCCTCTTTGTTGGGTGCCAACGAAGTTTATTGAGGGGATAATAATACACCCTTCTGAGAACTGGCTTCCCTCCCAAAAATGGTGAATCGGCACAGAAAGAAAGACAATACTGCAGGAAGTGAAGTACCTACATTGCTGTACGCAGACGGAGGTCCTCGAGTTGTCCGGAATGGGACATTCCGAGAATGGATTAGTGCGCAGAACGAGGACAGTATTTTTGTAAACAATCAACAACATTAACCAAGCTACATAATTCACTTCTGCTCCTCTTCACTCTTTCCTGCCCTCTTCTTATTTCCGCCCCTCCAGGATCATCTCAGGGTATTTAACCCTGTTCATCTCCCCATTCCTCAACCTCATCACCGTCAGCTTTCCTTTGAGGCCTTGATTCAAAAAGATGCCTCCCAGAAAGCGTGCACCAGCCGCGTCTAAGGCCACCACGACCAGCACTAAGGATGTTGTCACTACCAAAAAGACCACAGCGACTGCAACTAAGAAGTCGGCAACAAGTACAAGCAAGGCTAGCGAAAAGAAAGGCACTGTGAAAGCAGCGGCAACTACGAAAAGCACTAAGGAGAACACTACTTCTGCGAAGCCGCGCAAGACGAAAGCTCCAGTCGCAGCTAAAAAGCGCAAAGCCGAAGACATAAGCGAAGAACATCCTCACGAGCCTAAGAAGGCGCGTGTCACTCAGGCTCGCGCTCCAAAACCGAAGCCGAAGGTTGTAATCAACCAAGCACCAACAACCAGATTGAACGTTTATGTCTTCGGTGAGGGTAGTTCTGGTGAGCTTGGTCTCGGGGCTACTAAAAATGCGATTGACGTGAAGAGGCCCCGTCTTAATCCTCTTCTTCCGGCGGATAAAATCGGCGTCGTGCATATCGCTGTTGGTGGAATGCACTGTCTCGCGCTTACTCACGACAACAAAATTCTGACGTGGGGTGTGAATGACCAGGGTGCCCTTGGAAGAGATACTACCTGGGAAGGAGGATATAGAGATATTGACGACACCAAGAGTGGTTCCGACTCGGATGACGAAAGTGACAGTGGTCTTAACCCTTACGAGTCAACCCCTACCGCCATTCCAACCGATTCATTTCCTGAAGGGACTGTCTTCGTTGAGGTTGCTGCTGGCGACAGCGCGAGCTTTGCTCTTACTGATGATGGCCAAGTTTACGGCTGGGGAACCTTCAGAGTAAGTCGGCCGAACGAAAGAAATATTTATTCTACCGAACTAACGATGACTAAAATAGAGTAATGATGGCATACTGGGTTTCAATTCTTCTACCAGAGTTCAGCCGACTCCGATTCTCATCCCTTATCTCAAGAAGATTAAGCACTTGGCTTGTGGTGCCAATCATGTTCTGGCTTTAAGTGAGACGGGCGCTGTTTTCTCTTGGGGTTCTGGTCAGCAGAATCAATTGGGCCGTCGTATCATCGAACGTAACAGGTTGAATGGTCTTCAGCCTCGGGAATTCGGCCTCCCCAAGAACATCGTACATATCGGTTGCGGTTCTTACCATTCTTTCGCTGTCCACGATTCCGGAAAGGTTTACTCCTGGGGCCTGAATAGCTTTGGTGAGGCGGGCGTTCGAGAAGGCGCTGGTGATAATGAGGCTGCTATAGTGCATCCTACCCTCGTGGAATCACTTTCGGGCAAAAATGTTACTCAAATTTGCGGTGGTAGCCATCATTCCCTTGCGCTGACTAGCGATGGCCAATGTCTTGTGTGGGGGCGTTTGGATGCCTACCAAACCGGTTTGAAGATTGACAGTCTCCCAGAATCTGCTGTCATCAAAGACGATCGCGGACGCCCGAGAATTCTGATTGAGCCCACTCCCATTCCGGGTATCAATGCCAGTATGGTCGCCTGTGGCTCCGACCATTCTATCGCTATTGACAGCGATGGCCGTGCGTGGTCTTGGGGATTTTCCGCTACCTATCAAACGGGTCAGGGCACTCAGGATGATATTGAAGTGGCTACTGTCATCGAAAATACCGCGGTTCGTGGAAAGAAGTTGAACTGGGCTGGTGCAGGTGGACAGTTCTCTGTCTTGACTGAGCCTATCACCTTGTGAAATGGTTTCTTTTACAAGTCTGGTCTTACACTCATCTTTTTACTCCCTGCTTGACATATATCACCAATGTCCGAGCCCATATGCGATCCTCAATTGTTGTCACATTAATGATGGGTTATTGTCTCATGGCGTGTCAGTCTAATAGTCTCGAGCTAATGTGTCATCGCTACAACCAATCTTCTGCAAGCCTAGAAAATAGTGTACAATATTCAGAATGCCATGAAAAAAAGCTAGTGTTTGAAATTCAAGTTGCATAATACCGTGCGACTATGGTTGTATTCCCTCAAGTAATTTCATACCCAGTGTCAAGGATACCGAATTCTTCCATAGCTTCCAGTTCATCATTAAATCCATCATGTTCTTGTGGCCTCAAGACAACTCCATTTGGCTCGAAACCCCCACTCTCTTGTTCATTTAGCAGCACTTCTAATTCGTCGTGTTCGGGAATGTGTTGGGCCTCGGAATTTCGTGCATTCCTTTCGTTATCTGACAGCAGGAACTCCGGGTCTGCAAGGTCGCCTACCCCTTTATCTTGTTGCGGCGGGTTACCACCCGAAGGGAATTGCGAGTTAAAGCTCCAGGACTTACCGTCAACCGCATTCAATTGAGAGCTGTCCATACCGATGACGGCCGGGTCATGAGTGTAGAGTCTCTCGCCGAATGATATTGCCCGGCTACCACCAAAAGTATTTTCGCCATGCCGCGCTTCCTCCAGCTCAGAGGTATGCGGTTTCGGTTTTTCCTCATCTATCCATTCTCTCCGCATGGTCTGTAAACGCTTAGAATGGCCAAGCTTCTCAATGATGGCGAGGCCATCGGAGAACTTAGCACGGGGGAATAAATCATCAAGCCAAAGTTGATAGAAGTTCAGCAGCCGTGCGGCATCTGAAAACTGTAGTCAGGCTGCGTTAGCCCTAGGGTCAATTGTATGATACGAATGGCAAATTCTCAGCGGCTTCAAACCTCGTGTCCTTTACCCTTGAGCTTCAACTTTGATTTTGCTGTGCGGCGAAGCTTCGGAATTCCGGACTGTGAAAGTAACCTTGTGCAATTGTAATTAGTGTCTGTGAAAATAAACAGGCAGGATATCTTCCTCTCACCGGCTTTCATCTAACTTTGCAGTAGGCTTTCGCTTTCTGGCCACCTTGACTTCTTCATCTAAGCCCAGCCCCAAACCAGATGTATCGTCTCTAGTAGATGGCTTAGTGCCTTCTGCATATGACGCATTTGGGGCCTCTCGAGGAACTTCTTCTAGGCCAGCATCATAGTCGAACAGATCGTCAATATCCGAGTATTGAGCATTTCGAAATGTACTTTCTTCGGCAGCATCCATGTCTGCCTTTCAACGTCAACAACCTCACTCCTAGCAAGCATAGCTGCATAAAAGATGCCGATCAAGAGTACACACCTCGTAACCCAATGGGGATGTTCATATCATTCGAATACTGAAGCACCTCCGTCCCGTCTAGCGCGCGTCGAAAACAAACGCGACATGGTCTGCCGCGGCATTGTCCTGGATTAGGTAATCTACACTAAACTAAACCACAATCGGAAACAACATGCACCTCCGAAATGGTAGCTGAAAGGCCAACCGGGAGCCCAATTCCGACTTCTCCGCGTCTACGTACTGTCTGGCAGTGCAACGATCAAGGAGATCCTGCACTATATTTTACGAAGATGGTATCTAATCAGCAGGAGGTACTCGTTCCACCTAAGCGAGTGAATACCGACTATCCGGTGAGACAACCTTTCTGGATCCGAGTGCAAATCGAACATCGCTAATGGACTCACAGCTTATTGATTCCGATCCGTATGAACCACTCCGCAACTACGTACACAGCAACATACTCACATCATCCTAGGCACTTGAGACGTGTTTTTGGATATGCCAGGCCTTCTGATTATGCCATCGCTGGTGGCATGGCTGCCGTGTCCCCAATTTCATTCTGGGTTATGGAGAGAGTGAGTCCATCCCATGTGGGGAGAGGAGGCTTTGCGCCTGTTATGCGCTTGGCGACTGCTATCGGTTTACTCGGTGGTCTCCATGTGCTCTACCAACGATCATGCAGTAGGTCAAAGTCTAGGAAATCCTGTCATTGTGACCCTATTTTTGTTGTGCAGCGGCTCACTAGTGTATAGACCGATTTTATGGTTTCACAGAGAACTCAAGAGAGGTTGAAATGGACATGAGGGAGATGGTTGATAAGGTCAAGAAGGGTGAACCTCTATATGGCACTTCCACACTCTCACCCTACCTACAAGGTGTAGCAGCAAGGAACTCCAGGTATTCAGAGTTGTTTGTGCATGTCATTCCGTGGTTTAACATTGTGAACCACAACCAAGTAAGACCTATTGTTCAATTTATCTTTCTTTGGAGAACAGGATGCTAACTGGGAGACCAGCATGGTGTTGACACTGCCAAGTACTATCAACAAGCTGAAAGGGAGCTCGAAGCTGAGTCGGCTAAAGCAGGCTCTAGTTGAATGTATTTTTCGACTTGCAGTGCGCGTTAAATGACATCCAACATTCTGTGTTCGACTAACCAATGGCAATTTTAAATTTAAGCTCCTTCCTCCGTAACTCCAGGTTGGTAATAATGAAGTATTCTGAGACGTGCATTCTATTGGGTGTAGGATAGTCCAGGCATTGTAGTCGGACTACCTTCGGCATGAGAAGGGCGTGGTTGGGAATTTTGGATCCAGATCATATGATTAGGTCATCTTCCGCACAGTCTCTAAATTTTGTATTTAGTTCTCGATTCTTCTTGGGGCGAGGATTGGGTGCTTCCGGATAGTCAGTGAATAATTTTCTCTGTATGTGATAGTGAACAGATTATATAACTTGCCTTTCTCATTCTCCTGTATATAAAAGCGTCGGAGGAGCATAATGGCCTCCTTGTCAAATAGACCAGCATATACTGGATAACCAGGCTCGATTGAATGACTGATGATGTACAGTCAGCTTTTACCGCTATCGCGACTTGCGAGCGCATTGGGTTTCGAACTCAGAATGCAATGACAAGATGCTTCCTGTCCCTCCAAAGCGTTCGTTGGCACAGCCAAAGTATACGCTTCGTATCTGATACTGTCTCAGCGCAGAGGCGCACATGATACATGGTTCAACAGTCACATAGAGATCTGTAGAGCGCAATATAGATTTTGAGTAGCTTCGTAGCACTTCTTCAATAGCAACAAATTCAGCATGTCTAGTACCCTATTGAGTGTCAGTTTGGAGAGCAGGACATATTCTAGAAGAAATTGCAGGTAGCAATGATGAGCGAGTGTAGAAGAACAGCAACTGAAGGAGTCCAAGGAGGCCTACATTCATCGACCTATTTGTGTCGTTCATTCCAGTGCCGACTATTTTACCAGCATATACTAGGACACATCCTACAGGCGTCTCGCCTAATTGAAGGGCTTTTTCTCCCTGTTAAATTGTAAGCGGAGTGCTGCTTCAGTATTGGTTCATGTCGAAGATATCCTTACCATCAGTAGTGCCTGTTTCATGTAATAGGCATGCATTGTGTCCTTTTGCTCCATGTGTGAAGGTCCTTTATCTAGTAGTTTTGCTGTTAAACAGATTTTGTCTCTCCTTCTGCATCCTCTGGGTTTGGGCAAAGTCTTGTCATTTCAACCGAAAGTGGGACAACGATGGGTGGGTTTATATATGTATTTTTTCTTCTGCCGCTGCTGCTCTTTGGAGGAGCATTATATCACCTACACCCAACAAAACTCCCACTTTAATTGCACAGCCATTGCGTGGAACATACACCAGCATACTACGAGAAAAGCCCGTATCAATAATCACAAGTCAATTGGCGAATCTATACCATGGAATTGGGTAGTAGTTATTATATGGTTATTACCTTAGAATAATACTACAGAGTATATATCGTCTAAAGACTAATTACCTAGGGATCCATCATTACTATGATAACATATCATTTGCGGAGATGGGAGAGCGAGCGCTACCCCATAAATTTGGACAACTCTGACACTAGATTTATTTTGACTATTATTAGCCAAAGCGACCCGTATATGAGGCATATCCGAGTACTAGATACTCCGGCGCCATTCATAGAGAAAAGATTCCAACTGGACAATAAGGAAGAGAGAGAAAAGTGAAAAGACGGTTCTCTGCATTTACTAAGCCAACTGAACAAGAATCATTGTGGCAACAGTCTAGCTGTACACTTTCTTTGCCAACATATCCACAATCATCATTGAAAATAGAAATGAATATATCATAACACTGAAGGCTACCTACTGCATGAAAGTTAAATAGGACAAACAACTTATTCTCACATAATATTGCTACTCAATTTCTCTGTATCTTCATATTTCTTCTCTTACAGTAGGGCCACTGAAGTGTCAGAATCCTTCTTCTGCTCCTCAGGGAGTTCTTTACAAGACTTATCAATTAGGATAGTTGTCACGGAGCTCAACTCCAGAAAGAATAGAGAATGCTATTCGGCTATCTAGGTAACTATTTGATAGAATTTCAAGCATGGAGAGAAGGGAAAAAGGAAAGGATCTACATGAAGCGTGTTCCTAGTTGTGCAAACCACTAATCCCAATTTGGAAATTATAATAGTGTCATGTGGTAATACTGAATACATAGTGAGGCCCTGACAATAGTGGCTGCACAGACTTGTCACACTTGTCTTGGTCTAGGATGTTTGAGGTCACGTGGGATTCTGCCGCATAGGTCCGCCCTCGCTGACCCTTTTCACCACGTAGGCCTATCTAGCTAGTCACCAACCAACGATACACCTCCATTAGTAGACCAGGACGAGCACGTGAGTTTTTTTATTTGGATTAGCGTGGCGCGTGGATAGGAATACGCCGTCCAGCTTCACGTAGATCTCTTCCTTTTTCCTTCTTCTTCATGCTTGAAGTTCTCATTGATAGCTGCCTAGATAGCTGAATAGCATCCTATTCATCGTCTAGTTGAGCTCCGTGACACTATCAGGTGGGAGCTTATTATTTTGATACCAGTCCTGTCAGGGCCCTTGCCATGTAGACCAGGACGAGCACGTGAGCTTCCTTACTTGGATTAGCGTGGCGCGTGGATAGGAGTACGTCGTCCAGCTTCACGTAGATCTCTTCCTTTTTCCTTCCTCTTCATGCTTGAAGTTCTCATTGATAGCTGCCTAGATAGCTGAATAGCATCCTATTCATCATCTGGTTAAGCTCCATGACATAACTTCAAGCATCCACCTTATCCTTTTTGTCGCCTGGGCAGGAGTCTGATTCTCACCAACCACTGACTCACCCAGAGCTGAACTGACAGAGTTGATGAATTCAAATAAAATGAATCTTTGAACCTAAGAATAGAACAACTGATCAAATTGCCAAATGGCAAGACCCTTTGATACAGCTGGCACTGAACCAGCTGGAATAACCTTAAGCCTAAATATGGAAGAACTAAATTGACATAACTCTATTATATTTAACAACCATAGGGAACTTGACTATATTAGCTTGAATGATTTTTGCAGACAAATGATTGCTGATCTAGAAGCCTTATTTAAAGATATTTAATCTAGATACTGGGATTATGAAGAAATAATTAAAGATCAGAAGATCTAGATTACAGAGGCTATTGTAAAGAAGTAAAAGATTACTGCTGATCTAATCTTATTATAATAAAAAGTTTAGTATCTATAGAAGAAGTTGAATCAAGCTATAGCAGAATAAGATATTTATATCTAATAGATTGCTAGAACTATTGCTGATAGAAACATAAGCTCTTAAGTTAGACTGAGTTTCACCACCTGCAAGTTAGCTAAGCTCTTTGATCTCTCTATGCTCACTAACAGCAAGGAACCTTATTTTGAAGATTAACTTTTACTGATAAACTAGAAGCTTTCTGCAAATAATAACCACTATAATATCCCAGAACTTTAAATCATGTATGTAGTAGGCTACTGTGAAGGCAAGACATAAAAATATATTATGCTTTAAATAAGAGAAGGAGCTTTTAGCCCCTATACAAATATAAAAGATATTCTCAATTATCTAAAGACAATCTATGAGGACCCTAATTAGATTATAACAGCTAAGAATCAGTTCTGCTAGCTGTATATAAAGAATATTGATAAATTCTATAACTTCCTTTCTAAATTCCTCTACCTTACAGCTAAAGCAAAAGTCCCTAAAAACAGCTAGAAAGATGAATTATATTATTAGATCACAATAGAGCTACAGAAGCTGACTATAATTAAGAAACTTAAAAAAAGATTATTCCAGGAGTTTTCAAACCTTTGCTCTCAGATTGCAGGTCACTTAAAAGCTATTAATCATTAAGTCTAAAGAAGCTATACTTTCACCCCTACTAAGATCAGTCAGACTATCTAAGTCAAGAAGGAACCCACCCCTGGTACTCCACAATCTAATGGCGCCCCTATGACTGAAGACCTGTAAGAATACTTAATGAAGGAAAGACAGTGCTTTAGATACTATAAGTAGGGACACTGATCTTAAGATTGCCCAGAGAAGCAATCCTAATCAGGATTAAAGTTCTTTAAAAGGAAAAAAGACAACAGCAACCAGTTAGAAAATGTCTAACCTAAGATAAAATCTCTTCTTTAGATCATATTGATAGTAGCTTAGAAGAAGTAGATTTAAATAAATTATTTAAGAGGTAAAATTTTATTGTACCTAACTAAGTAGCACACAATAAAATTAACATATCTTTATCTGCCTTAGCTGACACAGGAGTAAATGGTTACCTATTTCTTAATATATATTATACCACTGAAATTGTTAAGTTTTTAAAGATCTTTATCCAGTAATTAGACCAACTGAGTAGGATAAAAGATTTTAATAAATAATTAGGCCCCCTTATTACCTATATAGTTGTGTTACACTTGTGGATTAGTGGCTAAAGATTCCTCAATCAGCCTTTTCTTATTCTGGACCTTGGCCAGCATGACATGATTGTAGGGAGGAAATGGTTTATAGATCAAGATATCTGGCTAAATATGAAAAATCACTATTTGATTTAGCCTAATTGGAGGCCTTTAACTGTAAAGATCTAGGCCAAACAAAATACTGTTATCCCCAGACAAATTCTTAAACACCTAATACCAATACTTGAGCATCAGAATCACATAGAATACTAGGATAAACTGTGGAAGAGAAGGGACTATTACTAATAACTAGGAATCACAGAACAAGATTATCATGCAAGCAATGGAAAAAGGATGTAGGCACTAGCTCTGGAAAATCCTAACTAAGGCCACCTAACTGATACTGTGACTCTCTAGATAGATACCCAAGAAGAGGTCTGCCAGCCTACATTATATAATAAGAAGCTAGTTAATATTGCTATCATAGGAGCTATACCTTTCCACCAGTACCTCAGTAAAAAGGGAACTGAGGCATATATTATAAGCTTATTAGAAATTAATCAAATAATAAAGGAAAAACATGCTATAGAATATGAAGCTGAGGAGATAGCAGATTAGGAACTTGTCAAATAGAAACTGCCAAAATACTATTAGAGATATGAAGATGTCTTCTCAAAGACTGTATCAGACAGGCTGCCACCCCACTAGACCAATAATTATAAGATTATACTGGAAGAAGGAAAAATATCAAAAGAAGTAGACTATAGCCCTTTGTATAAGTAATTAGCAAAAGAGCTAGAAGCAGCTTAAAATTATATTGTTAATAATCTTTTAAAAAAGTTTATCAGACTTAGCACAGCACCATATGCTTTACCTATTTTAATAGTTTAGAAGTTAAGGGGTGGATTATAATTCTATATTAACTATCAGAAGTTAAATTTAATCACTAAGAAAGACTGGTACCCTATCCTTTTAATAGATAAGTTAATAGAATGACTATCTAGTGCTAAGATATTTACAAAACTTAATATCTGATAAGGATTCTATAGGATTTGCATGAGTCTAGAATCAGAAGACCTTACCACCTTCTAAACCTAATATAGAATCTTTAAATATTATATTCTATCTTTTAGACTGACTAATAGTCCTGTTATATTTTAGAGATTTATTAATAAGATTCTTATAGACTACCTAGATTATTTTATTATAGGATATGTGGATAACCTCTTGATCTATAGCTAAAATAAGGAGGAATATATAAAGCATATAAAGAAGGTCTTAAAATGCCTTTGCAGTGCTAGGTTACAGGCAAACATCAAGAAATGTGAATTCCATGTCACACATACAAAGTATCTTAGCTTTATCCTGACTATAGAAGATATGGAGGTTAATTTAAAAAAAATAGCAGTAATCTAAGGTTGGAAGACCCTTAACACAGTATAAGGGGTCTAGTCATTTCTAAGATTCTGTAATTTTTATAAGAAATTTATAAAAGACTACAGCCAGATATCTAAACCCTTTCACAGGCTCACCAAAAGAAATGTCCCCTTTGATTAGGATAAGAATTGTGAAAATACTTTTAAAGATCTAAAAGAATGGCTTTCTAACACCTTTATTCTGCACCACTACTATTTAGACTTTGAAACTAAATTAGAGACAGATACCTTAGATAATGTAGTGGCAGGAGTCCTATCACAGAAACATGATAACTAGTAGCACCCAGTGGCATATTACTTTAAAAACATATCAGCTACTGAAAAGAACTATAAGATCTATGATAAGGAACTACTAGTAATCATATAAGCTCTGCAAAAATAGTGAGCAAAATTGGAAGGACTTCAGCTATGAAAATAGTTTAACATCTTTATTAATTATAAGGCTCTTAAATATTTTATATTAACAAAGAAGCTGAATATTAGATAGGCCTATTAGACTAAATTCTTATCATGATTTTATTTCTTAATTTAATACTGTCTTAAGAAACAGAATATACTTGCTAATACTCTCAATCATCTTTAAAAGAGTCTAGATACTCTAGACTGCAACTATTGATTCTAGATCCTTTTAAAGCTAGACTCTCTAGAACCCCAGGTTCATAGAGAGGTCAGCCTATCCCTTATCAATCCTTAGATTCACATTGTCAATTGGATCCTCTAAATGAACTAAGAGTCTCTTAAGCTAAAAGAATACTGAATAAAGGCAAAAACTGATTAAGATAGACTATAAGAGTTAAGAGATAGCCTGCTGCTCTAGAACAATCATCTAATAATCTTAGATAATGATCTAACTCTGCATACACATTTTTTGGATAAGGTTCATAGGCAAATATCCACAGCATATTTTAGGTGAATAAAGACTTAGCAGTTAGTATAGGCTCAGTACTATTAGTCTAGCTGACATCAAGATATTGAATAATATATATAGAACTGTGCTAAATGCTGAAGAGCTGAAAATTTTTAAGATAAGAAGCCTAGATTACTGTAGCCATTACCAATGCCTAATTACCCTTGGCAGTATATCTCTATAGACTTTTGCTCCTTCCCTAAAGATAGGAATAGATTTAATATGGCTCTAATATTTGTGGACTAGCTCAGCAAATGCCCTATCAGCATCCCCTATTATAAAGGAACCACTGCAGAGCAGATAGTGTGACTATTTATTAAGTATATATATCACTAATAAAAGCCTCCTGACAGTGTTGTATCTGATTAGGGCCCTTAGTTTATTTCTATCTTCTGGAAGGCATTCTGCTGAATCTTAGGAATCAAACTGAAACTCTCCACCCCTCACTATGCAGAGATGGATGGGCAAACAGAAATAGTTAATCAATATATCACAATACACCTACAACCCTTTATCAATCACTATTAAAATAACTAGTCTAAATTTCTGCCTCTAATTGACTTTGCTGCTGTAACCTTTCCCTCTAAAATTACCTTAGCCTCCCCCTTCTTTATTGATTACAGATATAAACCCTGAACCTTATTTGATTAGACTAGCCTCACAACCCTTATCCTGCAGAATGAGAGGGTTAGCAGGAAATAAGTTAAAAGGATGGCAGAGTAGATGTAGAAAATATGGCTAGCAGCAAAGGAAAATGCTATAGCTGTCTAAAAATATTAGAAGATTTAGGCAGATCATCACTACTGGGAAGTGGACTTTGGAGTTGGGGATTCAGTTTGGCTGTCCCTAAAGGTATATAGAATAAGCTAACCTAGCAAGAAGCTGGATAGCCAGATGGCAGGACCCTTCCAAATTTTAGAAAGGGTGGGTCACTCCTACTGATTAGAGCTTCCCAAATCCATGAAGATCCACCCAATATTCTCACCTGATAAGCTGTGTCAAGCTGCAGATGATCCTCTCCCAGGACAACAGATTAAGCCCCCAGAGCCTATAATTATCAATGGAGAGTGAGAATGAGAAGTTGAAAAGATACTGACATCACAGCTCAACAAACAACAGCTCTAATATCAGGTTAAATAAGTAGGCTATGACAAAGACAATACATGGTATCCTGCCCAAAATTTTAAGGGATCCCCCCATCAATTGCGAGACTATCATACAGCGTATCCTTCCCACCCTAGACCACCATGGTATTTGAATGAATGGCTGAAGGCCTGGGAGAATGATAATGACCTACCAGATCACAGAGATGACAACTTATCAGCTTGAGGGCTGGGGACAGCCCTCTTAAAGAGGGGGGTAATGTCAGGGCCCTTGCCATGTAGACCAGGACGAGCACGTGAGCTTCCTTACTTGGATTAGCGTGGCGCGTGGATAGGAGTACGTCGTCCAGCTTCACGTAGATCTCTTCCTTTTTCCTTCCTCTTCATGCTTGAAGTTCTCGTTGATAGCTGCCTAGATAGCTGAATAGCATCCTATTCATCGTCTGGTTGAGCTCCGTGACAAGTCCTCTATATAAACCTTCTCTTTCAAAATAATATATAGCAGAAGTACCTATCCAGTTGAATTGATATATTCAATAAAAGTAACCTATTCCCAATTACCTTACTGTACAAGAAGTGGTTTCCTATAATAATTAGCTTTAATAACTATTTGAGCAGTAGCTACTAAGCCTATAATAAAGCTAATTTTATTAAAATTATGGATATCTTTCTGTGTGATTCCATATTATATTATAGTGATTTATACATGGTCAAACCATTCCCTAATAATTTTAGAGTCTTTGCATTTTGCACAGTGATAATCATAGCATCAAAGATAATAAGTTTTTATTTTATTATATCAGTTAATGAAGCTAGAAACCCAGTTCTTTCCAATAATTTAAATAGGTGTAGTACCACACGCAGTAAGAAGAATATTGGCTATTTCTTATATATAGGATAGTCAGGGAGGTGCTCTATGCCAATCTAGTGATAGAATCCATTGTATAAGTGAATCCTCTTCATTCTGGGTCAATTTATGGCTGTTGGTGCATGTTTCTGCATGTGAAGTGATTCCTGTCATGGAACTCAACTAGACAATGAATAGGATGCTATTCAGCTATCTAGGCAGCTATCGATGAGAACTTCAAGCATGGAGAGGAAGGAGAAAGGGAAGAGATCTACGTGAAGCTGGACGGCGTATTCCTATCCACGCGCCACGCTAATCCAAGTAAGGAAGTTCACGTGCTCGTCCTGGTCTACATAGCAAGGGCCCTGACAATTCCATTCAGTCATTGCTGGAGAGCTGTGTGAGAGATATTATATATGCGTGCCACTTCGCGAATATTGCAAATTTCCTACTTTTTTAAAGCAGAGATAGCATGCAGTAGTCTTCCCTCCTGCTCAGCTAAATTTCTTGAATTTTGACGTGCTTTGGAGGCATAGTTGATGGTTGAATTGAGTGAGGCAATAAAACGCGTAAATTTTTAGTGAGTGGCCCGCTCGACCGGGTGGCCCACTTGACCGGGAAACACGTTAAGCATTACTAGCTTAGTTAAAACCTGTTGTAATACTTTTGCATATATAGTCCCCGCGTACGACCATAATTAAGGTTCATTTTAAACCGCTTCTTTTCAATAATCCCTATTCAAGCCGTCAAAACAACATGAGTACGCATTAGTTTAGACCAGAAAACCATGTCTAAGCCTGCTTAATGGCATCCAATAGGGATAGCGAACATTGGCATCCTGCAGCGGAACAGAAGCATGCAGAGCCAGCTTCATCTTTCTTCGCAGTGCACCTTGCACCGCACATTGCATCACAAGGAAGCCAGGCGCACCATCTGACACGGGAGACATTTTCGCAACTGCGCCAGGAGCTTCTAGGCGGCAGATATAGGCAGCTACGGCTCGATGACAGCGTCACTGATGTCAACAAGTTAGTTTGCGTTGTCCTCAAGGCCGGTCTAGAACCCAACTGGAAGGAAGATGGCCTTAACAGAAAAGACTTTAAGAGCCAGATTACAGACTGCTTGGACATCATCCAGGCTGCTGTCGAGAAGGCCCCACAGTGTCTAACTGAATTCGCAGACCCTGAAATCCTGGGAAAGGGCATACGTGCGCCATTATTTGCCTGGCTAGTTTTGCGATTGATCGACTTGTTCAATGCCTGGAATTGTGAAGATGTACAGAAAAAAATCGGTGATATTTTTTTAAGCATAGTTTACTCCCAATCAAAGCAAGTTCGACCATGGCCTAATGGCCTTTCTGTCCCGGCGTTTTTGCGTGCTTGCACAGCAGGTTCGTGATGCCCACACTGGGCCTACACTGGGCCTACGAAATGGTACGCTGACTTCTTCAGATATCTTGCAGTATCTCGAAAGCCTAGGTGTTTTGGAGCTGAAGCATTTCAGTACGGCCATACTCTCTGTTCCAGCGCTAGGAGAATCTTTTTTAGGAAGCCTAAACAGGCTTGGTTATCCCTGCAGGCTTTCCGACCATAGTATGACGCTCGGGACATTTCCACAAGCTGTCAGCTTGCTACTCCTACTGCTAGATATCTTTGTTCCGAACTCAGAGACTGATATCCACGCGAACAAAAATGACTCTTTGGTACGGCTGAACCGCATGTGGGCTCTGAACGGATACTGGCGCTTGTGGAAAGTCGTTTTTTTTTGGCTAAGAAGCTCTCCATCGGATATGCATCAATGTGCGATTCCTGCGTCTCTGCAATTCCTAGCCTCTGTCCAGAATCGTTGCAACAAGGAATTGCCTCTATCAGCCCCTGTGCCATCGAAAACAGAGTTCACATACGTATGGCTTCAATCCTTGACGGAATTACTCACGCTAGACTGTTTAAACAAACTGCCTGCCCTCCATCTCGGATTGAGCCAATCTTTACGTGGTCTCGCGGAATGTTTGGGACACTCAGAGACATTCGTCACTTGTATGGAAGACCTCCTTCTGCCAGTATTGGTAGATGTCAAAAATGATGTTGCCTTTGACAGTCTGGAACTATGTCTCCAAGTAATTAACGCACTGTCTAAGTTATATACTATTCACGTACGTCTAACTGATTGAGAAATAGATGACCATACAAGATGTCCTGGAAAGCTCTTCACATCCAAACTTGCAGCGTCTCCAAGTTAAGCGAAATAATCGCAGTTTCAGTAAAATGAATATTTCGGGCTCCTCCGTTGAGATTCAAAGACTGAGCGTTACATGTGAAGCGACAGATCCAAAGGACGAGACTCGTGCAGCAAAGCGTCTTTGCCTTTCACGAGACTTGATCAAGCACGAGGACTGGAATCCACTACAGCAGCTTCTAACCAGATCTTTCATATTGCTGCGTTCAGAGAGCTCTAAGGGAATACAGGATCTAGGTGCTGCTGTCTCGTAAGTTTCATCATATATCTGACGACTAAATAGGTTGCTGACATCAAAAGTGACTCATTTGCTGGACTTTCCGAAGAGGACAAGTGCAAGATACTGGAGACTCTAGGCAGGATTTCATGCGCTATTGCCGGGGGCTTGAGCAGAAGACCCTCCGGTATCACAACCGATGCTGAAATGTTGTGTAATGTCTGTGATAATGAAGATTACGAAAATAATGCACCATCAAACATGCAACGTTCTAGCTATGATAGCCTACGGGAGGCACTGACCGTCATTCTATCTCAACTCACTCGCGCTTCAAGCCCTAGGGTAGCTGCAATGGTCGCATTAAGGAGGCTGTTAATGCATGATTCCACCTCCAATCAAATGCAACTAGCTTCGTCTGTTTTCGGGGAGTTCTGTCTGAATTCGCTTCGAAGTTCAATAAGAGAGCTTCGATTGGTCACTGGGTAATCCCGCCTTTCATGCATATCCATGTGCGTTCTGAGACGCTGACAGACGTCCAGGCATTCAGTAGCGGCTTTTGTCCGTACAGGCACAGGCTCCGAAACTCGCCGGAGTAACTTCGTCATTGTTCTAGAGTGGCTGAAGAACCTCTCCGAGAAGAATGAAATCTCACTACAGGAGACTTGCATTTTAACCTTGTGTCGTCTTGCATGGTATGTCTTCTTTTCCTCAAGAGATGCCCCTTCTGTTAAGTAACAATAAACACTTCATATAGTTTCTCTGGAGATGAGGAAATGAATATAATACTCCTTCGCTTGTTGGAGTACCTGGGCCACTCGAACCCCTTCATCTGTGCAGTGACGCATACAGAAGTATGAACCTCCGGATATTGATAGTACCCTTTAGTGGCTAACATGCTCTCTAGCTTTCAAAACTTGCCCAAGATCTTTCTGTGACACCTACCGGTTTATTTCGACCTTTTTGGAGAACTATCTCTATAACAGTTGTCAAGAATTTCCAATCCCGCCCATACATGGCAGAGCAACTCTGTGATCTGCTTGGAATGAAAGTGGATGATTTCCTCAGGTTGACTGAAGTGCACATTTTGCCGTACCTGGTGCTGACCCGAAAACGTGATCTTATTTGCAAGGTTGCTGCTACCTACAAGAACACTAAGTCCCCTTTCGATATCTGTTCGGAAAAGAATAACCTAGCAGCGATCCTTGCTTTTCTCTTGAGTCAGCCCTCGTCAGACCCGGAGGGAATGATAATGACACTGTTAGCCGAAGTAGACCCCAGCTTTAAAGGTCGCACCCTGGCGGAACTGGTACGAACGGAGCCAATTCTGATTGCTTGCGATCTTCTGAAGGGGCTCGGAGACTCTGGCGATGTGAAGGGTGAAAGAGTGAGTGACTTCGACTTTGAATGCCCACCGGATTATGCTGATAAAACGACACAAGTATCACCGCGCACTTCGTGTTCTAGCAGCTTTAGTGCCTCGAAAATGCACTTCTCGGAATGCCGCGTCCAAGAGATCGAGCTCGCTGGGTCATTTCATCGAGGAGCATGTTCTCGGTATAATCACCCAATTCGCAAATGCTGTCAATGACTTTCAAGTCAGGCAGTCGCTTGTGGAGAAGAAGAGAAACATTGTGGCTATCGGGGAAATGATCAAAATTGCCGGAGGTCACGTAGGCAGTGCATTACCGCAGGTATGATACTTTTTTTTTGCCCTAGCCGGACTTTTTGGGAACTAACTAGACTAGATATGTGCTTGTTTAAGGTCAGCACTAGATATTGAGCACCTTTGTGATTATGCCTTCAGGACCTGGGGGTTTTTGATCAGTTCTCTTAGCGAAGAGGAGATCGAACCTCTCATTGACCAAACCTTCTCGATTATCATCAAGTACTGGAGACATTTCACCTCGGAGAGCAGGGAATTCGCATATAAGCTTGCCAAGGATATATTCAAAGATCACGGTCGGCTTGTGCAAGAAATTTTCAACACTATGCCTTCATTAGTTTCAGTCCCAGCGTTGGCCGAATTCGAGGCCGTGTTAAGTGAACTGAAGGGCCATATGGATGTGCGCAGTCACTTTCAAGCTTTCATCCGTCGTTGTCAAAATGAGAATGCTATTGTTGTTGAACAGGCCTTGACGGAACTAGAGCCCTATCTGTCAGAGCACGAGGACTTCCTCCATTCATGCGTTCTCAGTGAGCAGCCAGATCCCGTTGTCGCTCATTTGACACGTTCTTTACTTGACTGTTGTGTGAAGTTCAACACAAGTTCCGGTGCCATTACTCTTCTATCTACGCGTTGCTTAGGTTTAATTGGCTGTTTGGATCCAAACCGCGTGGACAGCGTCAAAGAAAAGATGGGCATACTCGTGCTGTCTAATTTCGAGAGGATGGACGAAACGCTCGGTTTCGTATTGTTCTTCCTTCAACATGTGCTGGTTGACGCATTCTTATCGGCATCCAATACTAGAGCTCAAGGATTTCTTGCATACGCGATGCAGGCTCTACTTAAAATTTGCAGGTTAGATTCCACTGTCACTCTCCGTCCTCACGATATTCAAGTGGATGAGCGGTATCACCGATGGCTGGAGCTTCCTGAGACGGTTCGCAACACCCTAACACCTTTTCTCACATCGAAGTATACAGTCACTGTGGGTGCAATTGGTCCAGGGTGCGAATATCCACTGTTCCGAGCCAACTTGACTTATGGTGATTGGCTTCGGACATTCGTACAGGATCTGCTACAGCGCGGGGTCGGTAGCAATGAGAATGTGCAGCTTGTATTCAGCGCATGCAGTCGGATTGTTAAGGGTCAGGATATCTCTATTGCATCATTTTTGCTGCCATTCGCAGTTCTTAACTGCACCATTGGGGGAAGTGAGAAGGAAAGGCGAGATGTAAAAGAGGAACTGACCAATATTCTCTCTTATCCTCTTCCTGATGGAAGCAGTCAAATTAGGGAATCTATAATTCTCTGTAGTCAGGTGAGCCTATCAACCCTATCAATTTTAATTAAACTTCAAATACTGAATAAGTTCATTTTGAATAGAGTGTCTTCGAAGTTCTGGACTATCTATCGCGGTGGTTGCAAGGTAAGAAGAAACAGCTCAATAATCTAGTGGCACATAGCTCCCACACGGGCCGCGTGCACAAGGAAGCCCCCGGAGATTTTCTCATTGAGACATACGGCTCTCAAATTAAATCTGTTGAGGCGCTTCTGTCTTCAATACCTCCGGAAGTAATCTCCAGGAGAGCTGTCGAATGCAAGTCGTTCTCAAGGGCGTTGTTTCATTGGGAACAGTATATTCGACTGTTTAAAAATGGGCCGGGCGAAAAGGACAGTACCAAGCTTGAATCCCTTTATCGGCGTCTCCAGGATATATACAGTCAAATAGACGAGCCAGACGGCATCGAGGGTATCTCCACGCATTTGCAAGTCCTCAACATTGACCAACAAGTTCTTGAGCATCGAAGGGCAGGAAGATGGGCAACTGCTCAAAGCTGGTATGAATTACAACTGGAAAAAGAGCCGAGTAATACCGACGCCCAGTGGAATCTCCTGACATGTCTCAAGGAATCTGGCCAACAAGGTATAATCTAACGAACCTGTCCACAATCCACGACGCTAACAGTCTTAGATGCCATTGTCACTCGATTTGAGGCGCTCAAGGAGGCTGGATCTGCGGTGTCCAGGCTTCTACCTTTTACTGTGGAGGCTTCCTGGATAATGGGGAAATGGGATAAGCTAGACAGCTATATTCGATTATGCATGGATAACAATGCTGATGACTTCAACATTGGGATCGGGCAAGCTCTCAATGCTCTTCGTCGAGGGGATAGAGCAGTATTTAATGACGTTATTAACGGTCTACGACTCGGAGTTGCAAAGTCTCTAACCGTTAATTCCGTATCGTCATTGCAGTCATGCCATGTGAGCATGCTTAAACTCCACGCATTAACCGAAGTGGAATTGATAGCCGATACTGAGAATAGATCTGACACTACTCACTCAGATGTCTGTCGCACCTTGGACCGCCGTTTAGATATTCTCGGCGGTTATCTTGCAGACAAGCAATATCTTCTTGGATTAAGAAGGGCCTCGATGGAGTTATCGTGAGTTATGCTCCGAGAAACTGCTAGAAAGAATGCTGACGGGGTTCATAAGAAGGGGGTTTGATAATTCTGACATCGCTGCTGCTTGGCTTACGAGTGCCCGTCTTTCCAGGAAAGGCAATTTCACCAGTCAAGCTTATCATTCGATGCTCCACGCAACGCAACTGAAAGATAGATCAGCTACTATTGAGCATGCGCGACTCCTGTGGAAAGACGGCCATCATCGGAAGGCAATCCAAATCTTAGAAGGTGCAATTGCTGCTAATGAATTTATGCCCAGTGCTCCTTCGTTGACTGATGGAACCTCGACATCATTAGCGTCAAACCAGGAGCAGCATCATAATATGCTTGCCGCAAGAGTAAGTCTCCCTCTGAAAGCAAAAAGAACAAAATGAAATAAAGAAGGGGGCAACTGTTACTCAAGATTGACATCTGACGTCTTCAGGCACATTTATTGCTAGCGAAGTGGACTGACAGGGCCGGACAAACACAATCCGATGTTATAGTTCAGCGATACCGGGAGGCTATTAGGCTCTACACGAGGTAATGAAAAATAGGATAAAGAATGCTGACACGGAAAAGCGCACTGACATCTTGCAGATGGGAAAAGGCACACTATTACCTAGGCAAACATTACAACAAGATCTTGGACTCTGAGAAGGCCAAACCTTTGGGCAAGGAGGCGCAGATATAGTCAGTCCCCTTATAAGTTTGCTGAGCAATGTTACTAATGGACTACTCCAGCCTGAGTGGTGAAGCTTCAAAGCTCGTCATTGACAACTACCTCCGTTCATTAGCGCATGGAAACAAATATGTTTTCCAGACTCTGCCGAAAATCTTGACCCTCTGGCTAGCACATGCCTCTACTGTTGATCAGCCTTTTGATCCAAAGAGAGGGGATAATACGTGAGCATATTAGCACCCTTAGAAATTGGCAGTTGCTAAGAAACACCGAAGGGAATTTCAAAAGCACAGTATAAGTCAACGAAAGAAGAGCCTGGACGACATGCATTTGCAATTGAAGAAGTACTTGAACCGGATGCCGGCTGCGTTGGTAAATACTCACGACTTTAATTTTCGGCTAGCTACAGCTAACAGTATCAGCTATTCACTATACTTCCTCAAGTTGTTGCCAGACTTGGCCATTCTAACAGTGCAGTCTATGACTTGTTAACAAAGATTGTGGCTAAGGCAGTCAATGCCTTCCCTCAGCAAGGGTTGTGGACAGTCATTGCTGTAGTTAAATCTTCTTCTAAAGACCGATCCTCAAGAGGCATCAACTGCCTACGCAAGATCACAGTAAGTTTGCAGCCCTGGATAGAGCACCCTGAAACTCATTGGTACAGGAAACGACAAAGAGATTGAATGCCGAGTTTTCAGTGGCGGATATGCGTGCAATGATAAACCAAGGTCAAAAGTTTTCGGAGGAAATGCTTAAGCTATGTGTCGCGCGTGTCGAAGATAAAGTGTCTAGAATAAGTCTGGCTCGGAGCCTAGGCTTTAATCACAGGGTTGCGCCTTGCCGGCTGGTGGTGCCCTTCCAGGCAATGTTGACACCGAGTCTACCTGCCAGTCATGATTCCGAGTACTTGAAGAGCTTCAGGGCCTTTCCCCGAGATCCTACTATCATAGAGGGTACGTTAGCGAAGGGCCTAATACCAGTGACATGCTTTGTAACCTGTTCTCGCTAGGTGTTCTTGATAATGCCCAGGTCTTGAATTCACTTCAAAAACCACGCAAAGTCAGCCTTCGAGGATCCGATGGGAAGATCTACAATATCCTTTGCAAGCCGAAAGATGATCTTCGTGTAGATCAACGACTCATGGAGTTCAATAATATGATCAATAGATTCCTGAAAAGGGACGTAGAGTCAAGCAAGCGGCGCATGTGTAAGTGGCTTTACCTGACAGGAGTGGGATAATGAAATGGTTACTCTGCCAGAATTTCAGCTAACTCCGGACAGACATAAAAACCTATGCTGTGACACCTTTGAATGAGGAATGTGGAATCATTGAATGGGTTGATAATCTCAGGACATTGAGAGAGCTTGTCGTCAAACTACTGCGTGAGAGAGGCATAATGCCTAATGTCAGTACCATCCATTGAACATATATAATTTTCTGGAAGCTAACGTTCATATTTTCACAGTATAATGAAATTAGACATTACCTTAATGAGGCATGCTCAGATATGTCAAAACTGTCCCTATTCACCACAAAAATTTTGGCAAAGTAATTGCTTGACCACAATATGCGCAATATTCAAGGCTAACAGAATTGCAGGTTTCCTCCGGTTTTACACGAGTGGTTCATTGAAATGTTCCCAGATACCGGAGCATGGTTTGCTGCAAGACTCAGATACACACGATCTTGCGCTGTCATGTCAATGGTTGGATATGTTCTAGGGTACGTTTACTTCCGGCTTTTCTCTGGCATCATCAGGTTGACATCGTATGCTCCAGGCTAGGGGACCGGCATGGCGAGAATATCCTTTTCGAGGAAGGCACTGGTGGTATTTTACATGTTGACTTCAACTGTCTCTTTGACAAGGTAATCCCAATAATAGCAGCTCCCAGTGTCTCATGCGCTGATTGGCGTAGGGTCTAACATTCGACAAACCTGAACTTGTCCCCTTTCGCCTCACACACAACATGGTAGATGCTTTCGGGGCTTATGGATATAATGGTCTGTTCAGAAGAAAGTTCAGTGAGTTCAATGGATTAACACTTCTACAGGCCCGTTTCGAAGAACTTGCGAAATTAGTCTTAATCTTCTTCGGCTGAATGAGGATGCCTTGATGACCATCCTAGAGACGTTTTTGCACGACCCAACTACAGATTTCATAGGGAAGAAGGTAAGCATCAAACATTGATTAAAACAGAGTTTGAATATTGACATGCATCCAAGCGTCGCGCGCACCCAAATGTTCCAGACACACCTTCAGGTGTCTTGGAGTCAGTCCGAAACAAACTTCGCGGGCTTCTACCGGGCGAATCCGTGCCACTTTCGGTCGACGGCCATGTGGATGAACTAATAATGCAGGCAACTGATACGAGGAACCTGGCAGCAATGTATATCGGATGGTGTGCATATTTCTGACTAGTAGGTTGAAACGTTTCATGAAAGCTTATTATATTAAACCGAAATCTAGTCATGTTCATCATCTCTTCTACGCTACCTGGTCTTACCAAAATAATCAATTGGCAATGAAAATGGTTCGTCCATTATGCTTGCGTACCTCACCAACACCTCTCTATATCAGTAGTATAGATCCGACTTGCAGAAGGTAAAGTCAGCTATTAAGATAAAAATCTTTTCTTTTTTTGAAGAAACTTCCGTAATTTTCCTTCATCTTCTTCGCGCACTATATCGGCTCCGGCTTCGACTTCGGCTCAGATTACGACTAGGGCTCCGACTCCGATCACTGCGGCTGCTGTAGCCGTAGCTACTGTAGCTAGGACTTCGACGCCTACGGCGCCGAGGACTATGTGCACGTACAGGTCTCCTTCGCCTCGGTGGAGGAGACCCCGATCCCGATCGAGAGGAGTATGATGGAGAGCGACGTGGAGAGCGTGACCGCGATAAGGAACGTGGCCGGTATAAATCATGTCTTTCCACCGGTCGGGCGGAAGCATACCTCCGTTGGGGGGAGGGCCGGCGGAGATACGGCGAAGGACGAGAAGCACGCCTATGTCCTAAACGACCGTAGTTCCCTCTGGTGGTTTGAGCTGGAGGTGACCGTGAAAACGCCCGCCGAGGAAGTACAATTGACACGTTCAACAAGGCTCCATCAAGTTGGGCTTCGTGCATGTGCGCAATAGCTGCCTCTGCATCGGCAGGGTCATTGTAATGTATGTAAGCTGTGCCTCTATTGGTCATGACTGAAATACTTGTCAGATACGGCGGCTCCGTGAAGGGGCACAAGGGATACTCACAAGCTTCGTTCATTGGCAAATCCAGATTCTGTATCTCGCCAAAGCTCCCGAATATTTCACGCAAATGGTGTTCAGTGACATTTTTTGTCAACTTCTCGACAACAATCTTAGATTTTGTAAGTATGGTAAAATTGGTGAATCAAGAACCAGTTCGCGACAAATTGGTATAAACAAATCAAAGCACACAAACCTTGGAGCTTCTTGGGGGACTATCGGGGCTCGGGGAGCGGGTGAGACTTCTATCTTTGTACCGACAAGAGTCTCTACTTCGACTCCGAGAGAGTGATCTACTGCGAGACGAATAAGGAGTCCGACTTCTTGAGCGATTGCCGTTGCGACGATTGAGTGGACTTCCGAGAGACGGACTTCGAGTAGGACCTCTGGGCTGCGACTCTTTCTGGGGAGATGCAGAGCGTCGTGCCGAGGGAGACCGTAGTCGACCTGGTCTATGCGGCGACCGAGTTCGCGAACGCCCTCGCGTTGAGCTGAAGGACATGATGGACAAGAGCGAGCCGAAATCAATCGAATGACTCCGATATGTCGTCGGCACTGAAGTATTAAATGGTTCAAACGGCCTTGCGGTCGACCAGCATAATTACATAATAGAGCATGGGTAAGGGTAAATCAGAGGTACAAATGAGTGGGGATTCGCGAGAAGTGCAGGCAAAGATTGATTGATTTAAAGGCTGTGGTAACTAACAGCCTTTCCAGGGAATAATAATAATGTTCGGCGAAATCGTTGATTTAATATTGTTCAAATAAAAATGAAACTAGAAGATGACACGCCAAGAAGGTGAGGGGCTATCTATAGAACTACCTATATGGGGAATAGCCGGAGTAATAATCTACAATCTAATATCTATAAATGCCCACGCACCCAGCTATGTATGCTATGTTCTTAGACCAGCTCTCCAGTCTTCATACGCTTGAACAACGGCATCTGTGATTTGCCGCTTCACCTGTCCAAGCGCATATTCGAAGTGTTTCCACCTGACACTCTGCTCCTCACCCGTCTCTTCTTCTTCATCCAACGCTACATCTCCAGCCGTCTCGCAAATATTCACCAATTCGGCTCCAGAGTAACCTTCGGTCCTTAACGCCAGCTGCTCAAGCACTACCTCCGGGTGAACCACGGACTTGCGGAACCAAAGACTTAAAATCTCTTTTCTTGCCTCCAGATCCGGGGGTCCTATATAAAGGATGTTGTCCAGACGTCCCGGGCGCATCAGGGCCGGGTCAATAACATCGGGCTTATTTGTCGCAGCGATGACCAGAACGTTCTTCAGTTCCTCAATACCATCCATCTCATTTAGTAGTGTCGTGAGTACATTGACGCCACCTTGAGACGTGTTGCTGCGTTTGGCAGCGATTGCATCAATTTCATCGAAGAAAATAATACTAGGCCTAGCAGACCGGGCTTTCCTAAAAACCTCTCTTAAAGCTTTTTCGGATTCCCCAACATACATGCTTAGGATTTCCGCGCCCTTAACCGCCAGGAAGTTTAGCCCTGCTTCCGTGGCCAGTGCTTTAACAGTGAGCGTCTTAGAGCAACCGGGAGGCCCATACAAAAGGATCCCTTTCTTGCTATGTACATTAAGTCGTCTCATCCGTTCCGGAAACTGGGGAGCGTCAGAATTATCGCTGGGATTTTCTCAGAGCTGACAAAACCTCCTTACCTTGAGTGGCCGTTCGACGGCTTTCTGGAGTCGCTTCTTGATATCATGCTGCCCGCCAATGTCGGTCCATCTCACCTTCGGTGTTTCCAAGAAGACCTCCCGCATGGCAGTAGGTCTGATTTCTTGCAGGGCTGAAAGAATGTCGATCTCTCTGATATCTAACGGCACAGATGCATCCATAACGGAGTTATTGCTGGCAGGCGCAGGCACTACTGGACGAACAGTTCCCAACATATCCATCGACCGACATTCCGATGTTTGCCGTTTCCGAGCCTTACGACAGACCATTTGTAGTAGCGCAAATAAGTCGGCTCCCACATAGCCGTGTGTCTTCTCTGCGATCATATCTATAAGTGCGTTGCTGAGTTGATCAGGAGAGGCTCTGCAGATGGCTCGTACAATTTCTGCACGATCTTGAGCTGTAGGGACTTGTAGCTCAATTTCAATGGCAAGTCGATGTGGGGTTCTCAAAGCGTCATCTACATCGTTAGGATGACGAGTTCCAGCCACCACAAGAACTGAGCCTTTCTTCATAGAGTCTATACCTTCACACAATACCGATGCCAGGGATAAGGAATCAGGCGTCGTTTTCTTTGGCGCAATGAATTCCAGTTGGTCAATTATTATGACACTGGGCTGATAATGCATTGCCTCCCGAAAGATGTTGCGCAACTTAGTTTCCCCTTCACCTATGTTCCTTCCGACAGTGGATGTCCCAACACTGAATGTCTTGTTCCAACCTGCTGCTTCAATTTGCTGTAATAGCGTAGTTTTACCGGTTCCTTTGGGTCCGTATATAAGGATCCCTCTTGTGTGCTCGTAGAAAGAAGGCATTGCCAGTTTATGCGAAGTCGGATTGAAGTCTGCAAGAGTTTCGTTGATTTTTCCAACCTGGGATGACATCCCACCAAGACCGGTGGTTTGCACTTGGATGTGAAAGTCTTCCTTTCCCTTGAGATCTTCAGGTCCATCGCCAACGATGACCTTGGAACTTTCAGTGTATCGAAACAAGGTGCGGGAAGAGCTTCGATTTCCACTTTGAATGTTTCTCACTCTAAAGCTCCTACGCTGGCCTTTAAGCTCCATCTCGAATACCAGACCAACAGCAAGAACTTCACATTTGGATAAGGGGTGTTCTAATGACCATTCCCAATGGGCTCTATCCATATGGTATAAGTCGCCATACTTCTCGAGTCTCTCCGGATCAGTGCATTCCACTAAATAAATTGACTCGATATCTTCCAGAGAGCCATCCACAACTTTACTGATAGATATTTTCTCTCCGAGCTTAATCGCGTAACAGTCTTGGAGGGTCCTTGAAGTCTGTACAACTGTATTCTGGATATTTTCAGTGGCGGTCCAAGCAATTGCGGTCCTTGAAGGCCCATTGACCGGTTGCAGAGTACAAGCATCTCCTGCCCGAAGTTTGAGGGCAGCCAGCGAAGAAGACGAGAGGAAGATACGAAATGCATCTTTCATGTCAGATCTTGGCTGCTTTGAGAGCGGCCGAACGGTAAACATGCGGAGTTCTGACATATTGCGACGACTAGCAATAGCGGAGCGGACAGTCTTAAGCCACAAGTCCTTCAGCCTAGCTGCAAGGGTCGACTAACCCTAAAATAGACCAGACCAGACGCTTGACAATTTTGTCAAAAGTCAAACGTTCATATGGTTCTGCCAAGCAGATTTTGAAGGGGAAGGAGAAAAGAAAAGAATGAATCTATAGTAAAAGCATGTAGATATTCATGTAACAAAAAATTGAAATGAAAAATATAAGGTTGCTTTGACCCTTGCACTTGAGAAATTTCCATAAATGTGAAAGAAATGTAGGTTAAACTTTTCTTCAAGGTACCTTAATAATACTATCTCTGTAGTCTGCACTTTTTGTAGGCTGTACTATTATACTACGATCTAGGTAGTTACTGGTATTAATTAAGTAATAACAATACAGACACATCATTTGTCACAAGTCGCCCAGTTTTACGTTTTACATTTCCAAAGCTATGATTACATACTCATCATTTCTTTGGCTGCCTGCTCATGTCCATTGTCTACCTGATAAATAATGGAATCTCACACTAAGATGATACTAACATCACCAAGGGCCTTTTCAGTGGGAATAACAAGCAATAAGGATACTATCAATTTTGCAGGCGATAGCTCTGGTCATCGTAAGTAGATTTGGGTATCCTAAAAATGGTTATATTAGCTGGTCTATTCGATATTAATGTTAGCAAAGAGGCTTCATCTCATGTAGATATGATATTTGCTGGCATTCATTGGTTCAAACTACTTGGGAATCTAAACAATTGGAACATAGCACATAATTTGGTAGAAGACATGGATAAAGAGTGAGAGGCCAAATATGGAAAGGCGGTGGTGTTCAACTACTCATCTAACAGCACTTCCCCCCCGCGTTGCCATTCGCACCAGAACCTTGCTGATCTATAGTGACACCCTGAGAGCCGGATTGTTCAGATTTAGAAGTATCCATTCCCTTCTTTATGTCTGAAGCAAGGTTATAGAAAGCTTTCTCAATGTTGATATTGTTCTTAGCAGATACCTCGAGAAACGGGATGCCGAGTTCGTCAGCGAGCTGTTGACCTTGTTCTGTAGACACAGCCCTTTTTTCTTCCCAATCGCACTTGTTTCCGATGAGTATTTTATGAACACCCTCGCTTGCATGCTGTTCAACATTGTTGAACCAGGTCCGAATATCTGTAAATAGTTTAATCTCTAAACACTTCAAATGGAAGAGAGCAAAAGATGTCAGATTTCTTACTGTGAAATGAACGCTCATCTGTGACATCATAAACAAGGAGTATGCCCATTGCTCCCCTGTAATAAGCCGTCGTAATCGTCCTAAACCGTTCCTGCCCAGCCGTATCCCAAATCTGGAGTTTGACACGCTTGCCGTCCAACTCAATCGTGCGAATCTTGAAGTCGATGCCAATTGTGGTGATGAAAGACGGTGTAAAGGAATCCTCGCTGAACCGTAAAAGACAGCATGATTTTCCGACCCCAGAGTCGCCGATAAGTAGTAATTTGATCTGTAAAATGGAAATGAAACTTAGAAAGTGAACGTGCCAGTTTTGGTCGACTAGGACATACCAAAAAATCGTAGTTCCTTGTGCCTGCCATTATGGTCAATTTTTTATAAGTTCAGTAGAAGCGCCTGTAAACGCAAACAGGCGCTGACCGCGGATACGTGGCTACTGCAAAGTGTTCTTTTCCCTGATTTGGATCTCTTCCCTTGGCCTTTCGTATGTGATTATTCCTGCAGAGCGCTGCAGCCACCGAATGGTGGCAAATATTCCGAGATCCCCAAAAAGAGATAGCAATGAAGTGGTGTCCTACTCTGAGAGTCAGGGGGGGACGCGCGTGACAGCGGTCTGGTTATGGTGTTCGATTTGCTGAAGTGGTCGCAAGGGGAACGTTATAAAAATGCCTTGGGGGTTGAAGAAGCTGTGGGCCTGTAGAAGAGTATGAATAATGGATATGAAGACTGAAGAGATGGTGGGAAATGGATGCCAATGCTCGTGGGAGAAGAGCCGTTGTCGAAAAGGTGCCTGGTGTCTAGATATCGCTCCTACACTCCGGAGGCTATCTAGGAGGCCACTGAAGCCAAGACTGAGGAGCTAAATACTACTATTAATAATAACTAGTTAGGCTCACTACTATGTTGGTAGCATGTATGTATCAATGATCAATCATATTAGGTATCCGGTCCGGTAAGAATTGGCTGCCCTTACACAGCACTGGTGCTAAGTGCCTATATAACTACCCAAGGTTCACCTACAAATGACTACTCGTTTCAGTCGCTTATCTAGAATTGCTCATACTCATGAGGCCAACCGCGGGCTCCATGTTTCCTGCGCTACCTATGTATAACTCGACGTAAGGAGTATTTTCTACATGGGAGACCAATACAAAAGACACCTCCTGTATACACTTTATCTATGGTCACTGGATCGAATTCCTAGCATCTAGTTTAGTAAAGTTCTTGGCTGCACCTCAATGGTGGTCTCACGAATAGGGCTGTATACTATCAGAAGGCAGGGCCGGTTGCCATCCTAACAACCCAATGTAAGCGTCGGAGGTGAAATATATCCCGTTAAGTCTAATGGGCTTTTGGCCTTCTCCAGTAATTCATGGGCCCGGATGCGAGCACCATCAATCACAGCTAGAATTGGCCAGGTCGAGCGGAAACAACCTTCGAAATACCATTTGTCATCGTCAAGAATACCTAGAGTACGCCCACCTTATACGTTCAACAACTTTCAGTTGTCTATCAATGCCCTGTCGGAAATCCATAAGATCTCTGATATCTTCCTGAAATTCGCGGTACTGCGGTTCATTCAAACTGAATCTGGCCCTTTGAAGCAACAGCTCTGCCTCGCATATAAGTACTCCATGGTCCTCATAGGAGAGAATCCCATTCGCACTTGGAGATGAAGATGTTAAGGTTCGACTAACTTTTCTGTATGAAGAAATTAGCTTCGAAACCGAGTTTGTCACTCATATGAAATACCGCAGAGCACGTCGCAAATCATCCCGCTTCCTACCAATACGCAGCCCTTTTCTGCTATCAAAGAGACCCCAGAGCCAGCTGAAAGCTGCGTATGAAACCAAGATTCCGGGGGTCAGGCCAACGAAACTAATAGATGTCAACCCTTGCGCCCCGTCGAATAGTGCGGATTATATGTGCATACCCAAAAACAAGTTCCTGGCTTTTCAAAATAGCATCAATTCCACTCATTGCTATTTCAATATCAACTTTTGTCTTTTGAATCTGAATCAAAAGAGCGCGGATTAAATCGCCCCGGATAGTTCCCGCAAACGGTGTTCGCAAATCTCTTTCATATGCCTTCAGCACAGGCGTCAGGTCTCCTTCTTTTACCTTGTTCGCGATGGCTTCGGTATCTGATCTCATCGAGTGTCCTTCACTGAGATCAGGATGATCCTGGACGAATTCAACCACCATTCTTTCTAGACTTGCCCGATCAGCCTCAAGACTACCTTTGCTAATTATCGCGATTTCGCTGTTTTCGTCGTGCCTAATAGTCTTGACCAGTTTTTGAATAGGCTCAATCACCCAGTTTCCTCCAAAATCGACAGCTGTTGACGCAACATCGGCAGCCCAGCGAATGAGATCAGTGCTTTTCTTCGTCAATACCTTCAGAGACGTGCTAGTCGAAAGTATTGCTACCAAGAATGGCAACCAGTAACGAACAAACCATGACGGACGACCATGTTCGCCGATTGCGGCCACTGACGACGCTGTGCAATTTGGCAGGCACTCTTGTAGAATATGAACCAGCTGACCGATGACAAACGTAGGTTCTTGAATCGACGATTGTCCGTTCAGCTGCCTATATATGCCATCGGCTTTTCTCTCAACAGTCGCAAACACCCGAGTCTCAAAATCCAAATTGTCATTTTGGCTCGTTGCATTCTGCAAGATGGCTTCCATCACGATAACGCTCCGGGATATCATAGAGCGCCACTCCTCTTCAGTAGGGATACAAGCACTCTTGTTCCGAACATCGTCGGCAGTTTCGAATGAGAAGCATTCTTCCATTAGAATTCCAATACTGGTAGCGTAGATACTCTTGACTGCTTTCAAATTTTTCTGATGGTGGCGCACCTCCGTCCTGAGCATCCAAGAAGGTGACAAAATTCTGGCCTGCAATGACCACATAGACTCGAACTTGATATACCTCCCTACTATATTGTAAAAGTGCGTCCATCCGAGTCCAAGAGTCTGGTTCCCAGAGATTGTCCAATTCGAGTATTTTTCCTTCGCTCCCCGCCAACACCTAATGGGAAGTGTTTGCACGGCATATGCGCTAGCATACCAGGAAGATTGAAGGATCCCATCCCAATATCGGATCTCATCATCCAGAATAAGCGCTCGTTCTAAAAATTCGGTCATCACCAACCCTAGTGTCTGTACCGCAGCTTTGCCAGCGGCCAGCCATGCAAGGTCGGATACAAATGTAGAAAATAATACATCTGAAGATTCTGTAAGGTGCTCGAGCTGTGCCGAGGGAAACCGGGATAGCAATCGTAATAGTCCGTCCCGTAACAAGAGTTTGGTTCCAGTAGTGACTGAAAGCGTACAAATGATACCTTCTAGGTCACTTCTTTGTCTGCTTCGAATTCCGGAATCTTCAACAGCATCAAGGGGATTTATCGGCGTATGGTCAATATGTAATTTCTCGGTGGTTTGTTGTTGGAGTCTGTCAAAAACAGCGTCCAAACGCCGGGCGTTACTGTAGGAACTCAGCTTGGAACAAATCAATGCTGCAGGAATAGAAATACTTACTCGATGATTATAGACATGGCCTACTGCAATCAACGCTTCAATTCCTGTAATGCTGGTTCTAGTTTATGCTTGCCATTGTCCATTGAAGTCAAACCTTGCAAACAGGCTCGGTCTTCATGGAAGTAGACAGAATCGGCCATGGTAATAATATGGAAAACCTTCGCTTCACAAGTACACTTGTTAGTAAAGTTACTAGATAGGAAATAGTCAACTTGAAAATATTCATTACACATAAAGTACGGGACTCTATGCTGTAATACTCGTAGTCCATATGTACCTATGTAGTATTGCTTCTATTATTAATTTAATAATAAACTTTGTGCTAGTAATATTCAGTATGCATTGTAGGAAGAAGGATAGTAGTAATCGACAGCATTACTATCTTGTGGCAATAATAATAAAGAACATGACTTGACAAATTTTGACATAGTGGGGATTATCAGATCGGTCTTGGTCGGCTAGACAGTGGTGTGCCCTTTAAGATCAAGTCTCGCCACTCCGGGAACGGGTGTCCTGGCTGCCTAGGCTTGATCTCTGCCTTGGCCCCTGAAATACTGTCTAATCCACCAATTCACACCTCAGCACACAAAACATCCGTCTAATATTTTCCGTTCATCTGTGGTGTGATTCAAGTCAACATAACCAGCTGCAATCTGGTGACATTGTTTATAATAAACGCTGAGACTACTCAGTTGAATGACAATGTAAGCTGTACTTCTGATACACCCAGTATTAATCGGTGACCTAACTGGATAAAGGAATTCAACAACATTGCTCTCTACCCCCCCGGATACTTACTGGGGCCAATTTGACGAGATCTCTAAATACAACACTCATCTCAATGTGGCTGAGAGGCTGTGGGCAGCATATTATGCATGGATGCAAAATGATGTTCTTGCAACGGGCATTATGTCCTTTGCAATGCATGAATTGGTGTACTTTGGTCGCTCATTGCCTTGGATCTTCATAGACACCTTGGGACTCTTTAATGGCTATAAGATCCAAAGTGTAAGTTACATTGCCCCTACCGAAGTGCATTTCCCTAACAGGCCAAAGAACAAAATTCCTTCTCTGCGAGAGCAATGGGACTGTGCCAAATTTGTCCTCCTTAGCCATTTCACTGTTGAATTACCTCAGATATGGTGAGTGATTGCTATGATTTGCCCCTTTTAGTTTTTGTTTGTGCTGTAATTAATAACTCTCCAACAGGCTCTTCCATCCAATGGCTCAATTTTGTGGACTGTCCACATCTGTTCCATTTCCCTCTATCTGGACAATGGCGTACCAAATAATGGTGTTTTTCATTATGGAGGATGCTTGGCATTATTTTTCACACCGCGCACTACACTGGGGCCCTCTCTACAAGGGAATTCACAAGATCCATCATCAGTACTCAGCACCGTTTGGACTAGCCGCTGAATATGCTTCACCTATTGAAGTTATGATTCTCGGATTTGGAACCGTCGGCTGTCCGATTCTCTGGTGCGCTGTGACCGGTGATTTGCATATTCTTACCATGTATATTTGGATTATCCTGCGACTCTTTCAGGCCATCGACGCGCACAGCGGCTACGAGTTTCCTTGGAGTCTCCATCATTTCCTCCCTTTTTGGGCTGGAGCTGACCATCATGATCTTCACCACGAGAAGTTTGTCGGTAATTATGCAAGTAGTTTCAGGTGGTGGGACTACCTGCTGGACACGGAGTACAGCCCGGAGGCTATCAAGAGACGGAGGGAAAAGAAAATCGCGAGATCTTCCAAGAAGACACTGTGATACAGTTGCATCTACAATCGGGTCTTCATGGAATCTGATTGAAACGGAAGAGTTACACACTCCTTGGAATATTCATAAAATCATGCCCTACAGCGGCAATGTTATTCTTGGCTCATTATGTATATATTGATTAACTACCTATTGATTAATGATGTTGAATTAGATATCAGTGAGATAAATGCAGCAGCTGTGTTCTAGCTATGTGAAAAGATCTTCAATTCAGCAGTACCCGGTAATTGATCCTTCGGTGCCAATTGTATCCAGAGATGGCCCTCGCTGGAACGATGTGACATTTATAAGTTAACATGGGGAGAGAAATATTTTAAAATTAGTACAATTAGCCACTACCTAATCGATTCTGTTTTGATAATTTGACCATTGTCAAAAAGCAGGCATCTTCCGAGACTGGTCACGTCACTGTATATTTCCGAACATTTGTCAAGGCAAAGCCCAGTAATCCCTGCCACTTTCACTGGCCAAGGAAATTGGCGTCTCCTATTGGTGACTCCTCTGACGCGTTCAAGGAGGATCCTCAACAATCAACACGCACAAAATAGGCTGGACCTCTCTATATTAGTAGGAAGCAGCCATATGTTGATGAGGATATAGTATTTCGGACAGGCGGTTCATCTAATAATCCGGTCCCGGGGTCCGGAGTATGTATATTCTGGGAGGAAAGGTGCCTACACCTGAATTCCCCGAATCCCGCATATATGAGTGAGAGTGAGAGGCTTTAGGCATTAAGCATGTCAATTAAGAGCTTCACGATGTACTAGAGATAGCAGTATATTGATATAGACATTCATGTGTTACTGTGGAGGTTCTAATAAAGGATTTTAGAGACCTAAACATAACTGGTGAACCAAGACTTAGAGATATAGGATCTCCTATAATGGCTAGCATACCTAGAATAGGTGTAGAGATAGAAATATTTAAATTAGAGGTAAGAATGTCGAAGGAACAATCTGTAGAGGTGTAGAGAGGTAGGGATAATTGAAGAACTGTGAAGGCCAGTGTAGAGGAAGGTAATAAGATTTACCTTTTTTATTAAGAATATGAGGAGATTATAGGATTTGATTAAAAAATATATAAATTCAATTATTAAGAGTAATAGCTATTAAAACATCAATTAAGATTAGTATAATTTAATACTGAGAAAGGACATAGAATAGTATAATATTAATTTAAAAAATAAAACAGTAACTAAATTAGACAATTTATTGATATTTAAAACTAAAGATTAAAGATACCAATCTAAAATAGTATTACCTAAAAAATATCGTAAAAAAACCTATAAGTATATAAAAAGATATAAAGCTAATAAAGATAGCTAATTAAATATAAATTAATGTTTTAAAAAAGTTAAAATTTTGTAAAATATTAAAATATTATATTTATATACTCTGTGCAATTCTGAGATTCCATCACTAAAGCATCTGAGATACTTTTAATTAAATGGTTTTAAGATTTTAAGCATCTTATTAACACTACCAGAAAAAACCTTTATAGGAATACGATGGTGAACTAATTTATTATTAACTTAATCTTCACCGTGATCAGGAAAATTAATGTCATCTTAAATTTAATTTATATCTTAATTCTTATACTTTCGAATGTTATTTGATAGATAAATGGAAAATCTTTTTCTCACTATGTTAATAGTATTTTCTTCAAAGGCAGATTAGAGATATTTAATGTCTAATATATCTTCTAATTTTTAATTATAAAATATTATTTAGCTAACTGCTGATAAAGAGATCTGTAAAAGAAAAAAATACCTTTAAATGTAAAACTTAGTGGACTAAAGATCTTAATTGAGTTTAAAAATTTATAGAGATAATTAGAAAACCTATTTAAAAAGTCTCTTGTCTTTTAATATTATGAAGAAATCTTATCTTATCTTAAAGAAGCAAATTATTTTTTTGAACTATCAAAACAACTAAAATTAAATATTAAAAATCCTGTTTAAAAATATTTAAAACCAAGAGATTTTTAAAGTTCTTAACCATATTAAATAAATGTAGGTTCAAACCTTCATTATTTTAGATATATAAAAGATGTTTGGAAAGCTAACATAATCTTATTTCAAAATAAAGTTTATATATTATTTTTTTACCTTATTCTAGCCTTTCCATAGGTTAAAGCTTATAAATTAATTTATCTATTAAGGACTAGACATAGCCCAAGATAATAAAAGGTTTTCAAAAAAATATACTTTTAAGCTTTATTTATAAAATATTTAACCTTAATAATATTTCTTTTAAGATGATTAATCTAAAAGGCCTATTTAATGTAATCAACCACCAAGTCAGCACCACCACTGAGCCAGCAGTGTTTCATGCCTTCTTAAGTAATTTGGAGCTTTTTAACCACCAATATCATGAAATTTGCCTAACTAAATATATAAAATAATAGCTATTTACTAGGGCAATTTCTTATAGTATATCTAATTATTCCACAGCCATTACAGCATTATGGAACTATTTAATATAACATATTATTTTGCTTTTTTCTTATTTTTCAATTGTTTTTAATATATAAAATTCTTGATTTCTTATTATAAAAGAAGGTTAGTATATAACGTATTTCACTAGTGAGCTGCCACTTCTGCTCCAACTCCTGTCCATGGGCTAAATACTAAAGGCTTTATCAACCAAACAATCTTATTTCTATATAAAAATCAATTACTAAGTGGTTTAGGATATCTAACTAGTATGTCCCTGAACATGACAATTAGAACACTGCGTGGTGCTTGTACATATGGCCGAACGGAAGAAAGTGTTAGAACTATAGGGATAGTATCCTGAGCTTCCTGAACCTTATTCTTGTGCTAAAATTACTCTAGGCCTTTTTGGAGAGATAAGCCCTCTACAATAGCTAGCTGTTTATTAGATTTCTTCTATTTTTAGCCTTCTTATTTATTATTAGTGTGATGTTTGCATATTTCTTCCTTTATAAGAACAAGCTTATTAAGAGTCAATTTATGACCTTTAATAATCTCGGTCTAAATTGTGCTTCTAGCAAAAATAAGACTTTAAGTATATTCTTTAAGTAGTTTTTTTACTGCAGATGCTTGCTTCTCTTGCTATTTAATAATATAATAGATTTTAAGCACTGAATTATTTGACTAACTATTTAGTGATGTAAAAGTTTTTAGTTAAATATCTAACTTACTAAACACATATCTAGATTAAATAGGGCTAGACTGATAATTATAAAGCTACTCTGAATATTCTCTACTACAAAAGCACTTTTATAAGTCTTTAAAAAGATATCTAAGAAATTAAGCTTATTGATATAGCTGATACCTAAATATATTTTCTGTTACACTAACTTACTATATATGCTTTTTAGAGACTAGAAATAGCCTACATCTAAAAGCTGAAGGTTTAAAATTAGAAGAATATATAAGCATATAAAAATTTTAAAATAGTAAAGGCCAATCTTATTAATAGTTTATTTATTAAGGCTAACTTCAATCTTGCTATTCAATGAGAGTGATAAATCTTGATACTAACCCTTTATATAGACCTTCCCTTTAAAGATAATACATAGAGGAAGTGCTTAATTAGTAGAATTAATATATTTAATTAAAGTAACTTATTCTTGATTACTTAGCTGTACAAAACATACTTTTCTATAATAATTAGTTTAGATAATTATTTAAGCAGTAGTTATTAGGCCTATAGTAAAATTAATCAAAATTATGAATATCCTTTAATACAATCTCATACTGTATTATAATAATTTATAATTAAACTATTTTTTAATAATTTTAAGGTCTTCACATTTAGCATATTAATAATCATATTGTCAAGAAAAGCAGGATTTCACTTTAAGATAGTGATTAACAAAGTTAGTAACCCAGTTTGCTCCAACTGATTGAATAGGTGTAGTACCACAGCTAGCAAAAAGAATATTAGCCAAATTTTTATATATCTGATAGTTTAGGAGGTGCTTCATATTAATCTAGTGATAGAATCTACCATATAAGTAATTCCTCTTTATTTTAAAATAATTTATGGTTGTTGGTGTGTTTTTCTTGTGATATTTACTATTATAAAGTTAGTCACATAAAGTTGAACACAGTATATTATAGACCTATAGCTTTAGCAATTTAGGTAATTTGCTTGCTTTCTATAGTGGAGATTGCTAATAGAATTCTACCCTCCTGCTTAGCTGAATTTTGAAGCAATTTTTGAGGCATGGTGGATGGTTGAATTGAGTGAGGTTTTTAATCGCGGTCAAAATGTGTTGAGGTGGCGGCTCTCTAGTGAAATACGCTATTACTACTGATTAATCTTTTTAAGATATTAAATATAAATAAATAAATAATAAGACTGCTAGAAAAATTTTATTTTATATTAAAATTATTCTATAAATTATATATCTTTTAATTTAGCTAATAAATATTTTCTGAAATTTAAAAAATAAGAGAAATTAAGCTTTCAATTGATAGCATTAGCATATATAATTGAAAAGTAAATTTAGAAAATTTTTATTTTTAATTAAATAGCTTGTCTTATTTTTATAAAGTATTAAAAAAGGTATGTAATCACTTAATACTAATTATATAGCACTTTAAAAATAATATAAAAAAGTTTTATTTGGTGAAAATTATTTTATTGATTATGATTTATTAATATTAATAAGCTTAAATTCTTAAATTAGGTCATTTAATTGATGGTTTATCTTAAATATAATAATTAATAATATATATACTCCTTAAACTAGCTTTTAATAATTATAACCTATTTATAGTTATCTTGAATAATTTTATATAGTTATTCACTGCACTTAATTATAATTATTATTTTGATATGTGTTCTATTTTTGAATAGCTGCTTATACGGTCGAAAATTAAAGTATTAGGATTTTTAGATATTCTTATTTTACATGATAACGTATCCGGTAAGTGAGCGGCCATTGTAAGCGAGCGGCCACTCCGTGTTTTGACTGTGGTCAAAAACCTCACTCATTTCAACCACCAACCATGCCTCCAAAAGCACATCAAATTTCAAAAAATTTAATAGAGCAGGAGGGAAAGGTCCTACTTGCTATATCTGCTTTAAAAAAAATAAGAAATCTGCGGTATTGCAGAAGCAGCATATATTTATAATATTCTATATATAATACTTTGAAGATGACTAAATAGCCATATTTTTTGAGCAGAAAAATGGACTAACAACTATAAGATAACTTAAAATAAAGAGGAATTATTTATACAATAGATTCTCTTACTGGATTAATGTAGAGCACCTCCCTGACCTTTATATATATAAGAAATAGCTAATATTTCACTTGCTTAGTG